ACTCAATCCTAATAATTCCTAATTTAGGAAAATTATGTCTAATTAGAACAGGTTTAGAGGGGGGGTAAGCTAAAAATGTCTAATCCTAATTGTTCTTAATTATGCATAAATAGAACTAATTAGAGCTTAATACAAAGGGGTGGTTTTCCAGATGCAGTTGTTCTTGTCTGCGTGCAGGATCAATAACAGAGTGAATGCCATGCCAAGGGCATAGAGCACATCTTGTAGGATGATGGGAGATGTTTTACCCTTGCCGTTGGGGATCTCTACCCTCAGGTTCCTGCATCTGGTTGCTATGAAGGTTTTGCCGTCTGCAGCAGTAATGGGTTCAGGAGTAATACTGACAAAATCCTCCATTTCTTCTTTGTAGGGCAATATGTGATGGCTAGCCCCAGTGTCAATGCAAGTTGTCATCAGGTCTCGGGATTCCTTATAATGAGCGGTGAGTGCAGAAGAGGTGAGGGTGGCCATAAATCTAACAGGCTCAGTCGTGCTAGCAGAATTGGCAGCAGTACCTCCTTTTGTGCCTTTTGATCCACTCCTTCCTCCCCCTTGATCTTTGCCTTGATTGGGATTAAAACCACCACCACCTGACTGTTGGCATTCTGCTTTTCAATGACCCTTCCTTTCACAATTATAGCATTTGCCCTTGATCTTCTGCGATGAGGCTGACAAGACCTCCGCATTTGGATATGAGTAAAGGGTCGAAGATGTGGGTTCAGTGGCAGTGCATTTTTCCAAAGATAAGGCCTGCTTGTTCTACAACTGATCATTCTTCCATTCATCAAGGATAAGAGAGGCAAGTTAGTTGGGTTGTATGTCCTGCCCAAGGATGCACTTGGTGCCAATGATGCTCAAGACAAAAGACCAATACTGTTAAGCCACAAGGCTTATCACGTGCATCTGTTGCACTAGAAGGGGTTCCTTAGGCTATAATGAATGGTGACCACCCAACGTATGAAGATAATGGCTTGTCTTTGTGCTTGGTTTAGGAAGGTTTGATCTGTATTGACCTTGTCTTTGAAGAGATGGTGAAGATGCCGATTAATTACATGCCGATGTTTGTCTGGTATGAACAGATCTTCTCTGATGCAGCAGATGACTTCAGAAAGATCCCAGCAGATTACTCTGTAGGTGGCAAGCCCTTGTTATGTTGCAGGCAGTAGAGGATGGTAAGGGTGTTGAGACGGATCTAGTGCTTCGTTAGACTGTGTATGATTCTATGGATCTGACAGAGATTGTGAAGCGTGAGCTGAAGGTAGCCAGACACCAGGTGCAGTGCAGAGATCGAGATGTGTACAAAGTGAATGAGCTGATCTTCTAAGAAGCTCAGCTCTCCTATATATAGTACATGCTGTTTAGGGTAGGATGGACACATGGTCCGTGCTTCTAAATGCTAAGTAATCTGCAGTCATTGTTCGTACTCCGCAGCTCCTCAATATAACCATATATAGTAAGTATATCAAATGTCTGTCCACAGCAATGTTCTATCAGAACTCAATCACGATCGACAGGAACTCAATCACGATTGACAGGAACTTGATCACGATCGACATTAGTCATCACAATAAGAAAGAGATCATAGTACGTAAGTGTTCATACGTTAGTATGTAAATGGTAAACAGTCCGAGTCCAAGTCATGTGCGTATCTCATGACCATGTCCTGAGTCACATGCTTAGACATGTGTCAAGTCACAGTCCTAGTCATTAACAGTTTGAGTCTAAGGAAACACCTGACCTTCCTTTCTGTCCACGTGTTAGGACGTGGTCCTGAAAGTGTAGCATAGGAGCCAGATAGTATTGCGCTTGCTGTATGCAATGATACAGGAGGATAGTGGGTACTGCAAGAAGATAGTACTGGACAAAGCTCTGTATGTGAGAATACAGAGAGAACAAAGAGAATAGACTCAAGATCCTTAGCCTATTCTATGGGCCTTATATACTACTTTGGGAAAAGTGTGAGAATACCATATATGTATCCCATAGGTATTCTCTAAGTTGTTCCTCTCTCTAAAATGACTACTCTTGCTTCTATGATTGCCTCTTTCTGACCAAGAGGTCAAGGGGCTCCATGCCTGTGTGTGAGTAGTTTGTAAGGTGAGGAAAGTTGCCCACTGCAATAGGCCTGTGATACTTGACTAACAATAGGTGATCTGTTGGGAGTGGATGACCAAAGATTATATCTGTACCTTCATGTACGCCTCAAGATATGAGGCTGCCTGGTAGTTGTGATAATTGTATTGGAATAGACCGCCGTGTAGGCCTAATAAGTCATGATCATAACACAAACAGCCATCACTTTATTATTGAAGACCACCTTCTCCATCCCTTTAAGGACAATGTTATGATCACAACCTATTGGGCCTTTATAGTGGTCTATGCCAGTGTGATCATCACAACTATCAAGTGGCCTCACATCATAAGGCATACATTAAGGTACAGATATTATCCTAGGTCATCCACTCCTAGTGGATGCACCTGTCACTAGTTGAGTATCACAGGCCTGTTATAATAGATGGCCAATGGAGGCTTACATATCTACTCACAGGCATAGAACTCCTTGCCCTCCTCATTGGAAAGAAGCAAGCAGAGAAGCAAGAATAGTCATTCTTGGAGAGTAATGACTTGAAGAATACCTACAGTATATATATATGGGATTCTCATGCCCTTTCCTAAAGTAGTATAAAAGGCCTATAGAATAGGCTAAGGTACTTTAGTCTATTCTCTTTGTCCAGTACTGTCTTTCTACAGTATACCTTTTCCTACTGCAGTCTTTATACTGTAGTCTTCATCTTATTGCCTATTACTGCAATACACTCTGGCTCCTGTGCTATGTGTACAGTCAAGACCATCACTCCACTCTTCCTCTATAAACAACCTAGGGAAGAACCTCCTACTCTTGGGGTTATCAAATAAGCGGTTTATAACAGACAGGATTAATGATAATAACTACTTTCTTGCACAAGTGCAATGAAGAGCTATAGTCTTTATCTATTGGACAGTTACTATTCAGATAGCCTAGGGAACCCCTCTACATGCCTGCAGTCATGTGATAAGCCTAGCAGCTTAACACAAACTAAGTATAATACTTTGGATCTGGCAGAGTTCACAATATGTGAGCTAGGAAAGTAGCCAGACACTAGGCATAGTGCAAAGATTGAGTTGTATATGAAGTAAATGAGCTGAGCTTCTTGGAGGCTTATCTTGGCTATAAGTACATACAAGCTATTTAGGGCAGGATCAAGATCTGGTCCATGTTTCTCAACACTAATCTACTTGATAGGTGTCAGAACTTCTGAAAGGTCAAGTTCTCAATCACAATTAGTAATCTACAGCCTGCAGTATGTCCATGTATAGTAACAATGATGAATGTCTGTCCACATCATTATAAATCCAGGCACTAATTATGATCAACATAAGTAAGCATTCAAGCCAAAGCTTGTGAATAAGTCATACATTATAAGCATTCATGCATAAGTATGTGAATAGCAATCAAACAAGTCCATAGTCTATGCCTGAGTTGCATGTGTATCTCCTGACATTCCCCTTCTATCATATATGAAGCATGTGTAAGGACATGGTCCTAACAGATACTATTGTGCACTCTACACATTTAATTGGGGTTAGGAAGGGTTTCATACCTCAAAATTTCAGCCATACTTACACACTATTTGCATTCACTTCATACTGTGTCAACAAGTTTGTGGACCATCATACTAATGCACTTATACCTTAATAGAATTCTCACTGCCTGATGAGCTGTTTGTATGCCACAATTGTTTTATCATCTTGGAATAAGTAATGTTGCTTTTACAAGTAAATTTGTTCTTAAATAAGTCAGATCCACCTTACTGGTGTGCACAAGACAGCCGTGTGTTACAAGCTCAAAAAGACAGACAAAGATGAAAAAATCCGGAAAAAGATAGAAGATGACAGAAAAAGGTCGAAAATGACAGAAAGATTTGGCTAAGTCACAAAAGGAAATTTGCGCATTTCCTGGTGCAGTCACGATGATCGTCGACGTTGGCCGAGCAGTCCGCGTAACGCGTCAAAGACGAGGTCGATGAGCAAGTGCAACATTTCAAATCATTTTCTGGTTGAAAGTTGTACCACGGCAAAGTCCGGTGCTTGAAGCTGGCCTTGCCGGAGTCTCCTCCGTCTCCTTCCGTTGCTCTCATCCTCCATCAGACGAATGCGAATTTTGTCTCTCTATACCGCGACCGGTGACCTCTTATCGACCCATCAGACATACCTGTTTTGTTCGCAATTGGTCATCAAATCCGACGCGGGTGCAACCAATTACGGTTATGCTCGACGTCTGCGCGAAGGCACTGTGGAGCCTTCAACGGATCCGAAGCACGGTCTTTGCTAGTCCTGTACAGTCCTGTATCCACGTTCATGACTTGACCAATATGCACTTGGTTTCTAGTCCCTCGGATAGCCAATCGTTTCGACAGCCAATGGTATCATGGCCCTCGGGCCGTCCTTTTGGGCCCGCTTTCGTCTAATAATTTACACATTCACGGATCTCTAATACGAGGGACTCTTTGCTGAACTCGGTATCGACTTTCCCCCAATCCCTGCGCTTCGATCTTTCCCGAACATCTCATGGCCAGTGCGCACAATGTCCTACCAAATTTTGCGCGGACTGTGTGCGTCTCTCGAGTTTAGAGTTGCGCTCCCTGGAAATTCACTCATCTAGCTCTGTACGCTCCTAGTCAAGGCCCCACGCTCATCGGGCTTTTCTTCAACCTAATTCTCTATGGCACATTTCTCACTCAAACACAATATTATTTCTCCTCGTATAAAAGGTTCGTTTCCCTTCTTTCATGCGCAACAAAATGCTGAGTCCTTTTATAGAGACTCTCGACGGCTGAAAAATTTGGTGCGCATACATTCCTTACTCTCTCTTTCCGGTTCCAACCATAATCTTTGACATATTGTGTGAACCGCAGGTTGTATGTCTTGTTATTGTTGAAACTGTGAATTCAGTGTTTGCGATGTATTATACCTATGATCGCCTTGTGAACAACTTCGGTGCGCTGTATCTCACTCTCTCGACATGAATGTCTTTTCGAGAATTTCTGTGTCATGTACAGGAGACATGAACGCCCAGGCCGTATCTAATTGGGGTATGCTTTATTATCATCATGGACAGCAGAATGTGGGACTGATGTGACATTGTCGCCTATAAGTCTTCGGAATGGGTGAGTGCTCGTCCCGAGTTTCTGTTATCTCCGATTGTGGAAAATTCGCCTCTGATAACCTGCTTTAGGACCTGTTACCAATGTGACTCTAGTTCATGGAAGACCAATGTGAATCTTGTGCTTATAGTTTCACAGGGCATCGTTGCGATGTCGGTTCAGATTTTCTTTTCGTGGAGGGTCAGGGTCCTCACGAACATGTTATGGGTGATGATCGGGATTATTTTCCTGGCCGTCGTGTCGTGTCGTAAGTGGCCTAAATTTGAAGATCGCCTGCTTACATCTGACGTTCTCGCATAGTCGCCACTGTTACTGTTTTCCTTGTCGCGGCGATTCTCGTTCCAAGTCCCACAGCGTCTGCAGCTCAATACTTGCAGCCTGTCGTCATTGTCTGGTTGGTCTCATCCGTGTCGGCAGATACTATGATTAGCACTGTCCTTGTCTACTATCTGGTGAGAGTGCCGTCGCATCCACAAGTCAGAGTTCGGGCTAACGCCTTCATAGCAAAGGCACAAAACGGGCTTCGTGAGAACAGACGACACAATCAATAAGATCATCAGACGTATGCATCTTCTCTTTTCACCCCATCAATTCCTGGCGACGTTCATGGAACATGATTCGTAGTTACTGTTCAGACCGGCGTTATAACCTCCGTGTGGGCCACTGTGGACCTTGGCGTTTATCTGGGCGATGTGAGTCGAAAATTACTTTCGGCTGTGTGTGCTTCGCTGGATAATTGATTTGTTTATCGTGTATAGTCGACCGCGCAGTAAGCCACTCAGCTCGTACTCGGAGTCGCTCAACCGGAATATTAACCATTGCCCTCGTACTCAGCCATCTGATTTTCAACCTCTCCCTTGCCAAGTTATATTCAAACTCTCTGTTGTCAAGTCTCAATGCGCGAGAGGGCTTGATGAGCAGTTCGACAGAATACAGCACCAGCTTAAACGGAAGTCACAGCACAGGCAAGCACAAAGTGAGCATCACAACCCACCTGTCTCCATCTTCTCATTTCGCTTACAATATATCCATATCACCGCCTTTCAGCCACCGCCGAGTGCAGTCGCTTTCGCTTCACCTTATGTGCATCCTGAGGTACGTATCATTGAACCTGAAACCCCCATTCTTCCTACAATGTATTGCTGCAGGTGTTCATCGACATAGAGGCGCACGAGATGCGGGACCCATCGCCGAATAGGAAGCATACCCTCGACACGCCAATGACAGGAACCGATGAGGCCTTTTCTATTATGAAACCTGCTGATGCGCTCTGATTTTGCTCTTCCTTGATTCGGTTGTGCGTATTGTTCTATAATTGCTGCTGTTGAATCAAGCACATAATGTGGTTTTAGTCTTTGTATCAGTTTTATAATCTTTTTGTTTACTATGTACCAAGTTACCCACGTGTTTTTAATTATCGCAGTTATGTATGTGAAGTGATAGATACTAAGAATCAACTCAGCCTTGTAATTATTCTCAGGTTTCGGGCTTCGAGCTTCAAATCCAGTAGCCCTTAGGCAATATGTCGCATACTGATCACCATGCTTTCAAAACAATTCCAGTCGCAATCTTTAGAGAGCTGATGTTCCATTCGTCAGCACGACGCTCTATCAGGCCCTCATACACTCTCAGAAGGTGTATGAAATCAAAAGCACATCTTATCTACATTGTAATATCCGTCGAATACTGTTACACTTGTCACACTGAAGTTCGTTCAAAATTTGCCCTTGATGATATCGGCCGCTATACAGATGTAGACGCAATGAGTAATGCATCCTCAATACGAAGCAGTCAGACGTACCTTGCTCTGCTAGCCCGTACACCACGGCTACGAAAATTGCTGTTGTTAAGTAATATTTCATGATTTTGATGGTTGGAGGGGACTCACATTGCGTATGTGCCGCGAATAGTAGAGGAATCACGGACATGTCGACAACCCGAAGATTTTCCGTACCGTAAACCTTCAACTGAGGGTCAACGACACCCCCTTTCTCCCGTGGAAGCATGGATGCCGTCCCTGCGGTGTCTACATAGCTAGCCATGAATAATTCTTCTATGGGGGAAGGGAGAGGAAGCACTCACGGAAGGTGGTGGACATGGACTTCTTCAGCCAAGCTGGAACATGGACAGATGTCCAAATGAGCCTGGGAGATTGAAATAAGATTGGATAGGTTTTGGAATCTTACCACTAATCTCCTCATCGGTGTTAACGTTTGGACCCGGGTTGACTTCGGCGACTAGAGTCAATCCGTTCTATGAGTTACCAAAAAGTGCTCGAGTATCTGACAATACACGAACCCAACAGCTCCTTGAAAGGAGAGAAGTTACGGAGCGACCTGACGTACTTGATGGTCTCAACGAACGTGTGAAGGTCTGTTCAAAGACAAACAGTTATCAAAATGCGGATATTAGGTGGCGGGTGAACAGACCAATCTCTTCATCGAAATAACGAGGGTTAATTTCAGGTTGGGCATATGGATCGGCCGAGTTGATATGCTGAACGCGAAATGCTTCTGTCAAGTCTCAGACTACGGAATTAGACCCACTTACGATAGATCCTCTCGACCATTGATGGTTCATAGACAAATAGTATGAGAAGTACTTCTTCCCGTCCAACGGGGGGTCTGCCACGATGAGAAGATCAATCTGTCGCCCTGTTTCTCGGGGAGAAAGAAGTTACGCACTAGGAAAAGATGAGAAGCCGGCGAAAGGCAGGAGCTCACACCCCGGCCCAAGGTTATCCAGGCGTTCGACCATGATGTCGTACTGCTCGCGCAGCCACACCGGGTATTTATCCCTATTCTCTGTAACTTTCTTCTTTTGAGCATCGTGGATCTCTTTTGCGCGCGGGGAAAGCCACTCAAGAGGAGCAAAGACAAAGCCCAGGTGGGCTTTGGTAAAGAAGCCTTCGCCTTTGGAGCTGTAGAACAATGATACTCAGTAAATCAGATGGTGAAAGGTAAGAGGGAAATGGGTACTAGGCTTCGAGCTCTTTTGCTGCACTCGAGGGATCACGGAGAATGTCAAAGGTCTCGTGCTCATAATCATCCTTAAATTCTGTGACACGAACGTTTCTAAAATAGTCTTGAACTTTGATTGAAAAAAGCCACTTACGGAATGAGGTAGCGACGAAACTGTGTTCTTGCACATTCTCTCCGACCGCAGGCAGGTCCAGTTTGACCGGGATATCATACTTCTCCAGGATGGACTTGCTGCCAATACCCGAGAGTTCGAGCAGCTGGGGAGTCTTGATAGCGCTTGACGACGTTTGAGTTCGAGGAATCTCTGATACATTACCATAAAGTGACTCACCCAGCAGAAAGAATCACCTCTTTCCTTGACTTGGCAACATAAACTTTCTCCGTAATACCCTTCACCGTGAATTCCACACCAGTGGCCTTCAGAGAGGAGGCACCGTCGGATAAGAGAACTTTGATGACGGTAGACTCAAGAAGCAACGAGAGGTTCGGGCGAGATTCGTTCGGAAGGTAGTATCCCTAACGGAGATAAAACATGATACCAGGGTCAAAATCCACATGTCTCTGAGAAGCTAAGCACGAACCGTCGTAGCGTAAGACCTGCTGAAGGTTTCAGGGTCGACGGTTATGGGGAACGGGTACCATCCTCTCGGCTGAACAGCGTTCATGAGATGGATCATTTACCTTCAGCCGATAGATGTCACTTACATCTCCATTCAGCTGTCAATGTGACAAAGGAGGTGTTTCAGATGAGACGCCCAGGTACAATATAACGAGACGCACCGGTGCGGGAGCTAGTGGAATGCCTGCGGCTTTCAAAGTCTGTTACGAGTTCACGATGAGCCATACTGGACTACCTCCCATCGATGAGCAAACCAGTGAGGTAGCCACTTACGCGCGCAGAAGCGAAATCAGGCTGGGTAACACGTGGAGGGACAATGAGCTTGATAGGACCTATTACAGTCTTGCAGATCAGAAGAATTTTGTAAGACTACGGGAAGCGCATACCCTCAGTTCCGAGTTTCCAGTTATCTACATTCAACTCCTGCTCCTTGATCTGCTCTTCAGAAGGGGGAATATATCTGGCGGCAACATGTTCGTCAGTACGCAATGTCATGCGAGGCCGTGTCAACACATCGAGTACAATGATTAGAGAAAAGGACAACGGGGGTGAGGGGAACGGAGATGGCATACCCTTCTGCTTTTGCGGAATACTTCTGGAAGTTTGCCCAGTTCCATCCCGGGTTTCCAAGCCGTTCGAAGTCTGACAATACACATCCGCGACGAGGGGTGTGCGCCGTTGCAATAGGATTGACAGACGTCGGTCAGCGTTCCGGGCGCGGTAGCAATGGCAGTATGAGTAATTCCAACGTACCGTCGATCTCCTGCGCCGGCGGTTTGCAATACGCGAAGAAGTTGAGTGCGGAGCTTCCGCCCAATGTGCGACCGCTGCTCAGTACATACATTACATGATGAGTATACGAGTAGAGAAGGATAGGTCATGTGAGAAAGTGGGAGGACCTGGAGAGTCAAAATGCAAATGGACCCACCGAGGCCAGAAATACTGAGTTTCGTCGCTGTTCTCCTGGGGGACCTGTGGATACAGAGCATGCACACGTGAGCCGTTGGTTGACAGAAACTCCGGCATTTGAGAAAGGAGTTGTACCGTACGGAAGAACCAATCGTACTTCTCCTGACCAAATTGTGCAGCGAAGGATGCAAGGCGAACTGAACAGTCCCTCAATAAGGTCGTAGACCCTTACAAATGGAAGGAATTCACATACGGAGGAGGTTGTCGTTCAAGTTGGCTGGGCCAGATTCAATGACAAGAACGGATGTTGATGGGTCTTCGGTGAGCCTAGCAGCTAATACCAACCCAGCCGTCTAGGGCCCCACCGATATCAGGATCATCACGGGTTTGCCTGAAACAAGGTACTCACACCACCACCTTCGAAGGTACAACCGTCCCGGTCAGTGCCTTCAGATTGACCCTGGCCGTCGACGGAGACTCACCGATAATGACATAGTCGTACACCTTATCCACGACATCGCCTGGATAGGACAACAGAAACTGAGCACGTGTGCAGACGGAGGGAGGGACGCCATACCGGCTTGGACAACAGGCATCGTTCGAGAATTGGATAAAAAAAACGGGTACAGGTTATCTCTAGCGACGGAGACTCAGGTAGATATGTTGGCGGAAAGTAGGTTAATCTCGAGTGGCACGTCGATCGTATCGTTTAAATCTGATGCTGAGACCCTCACAAGACGTCTAGTCTCCGTTGCTGACCAACACAGAAGATTGCAGTCGTTCTGTGTTAAGACCTCACGAGCGTCAAGAGTGGAAGATGGACAAATTCCAGCCGTCAGCGTCTCTCCAGGTCTCTCCTGGGCCTATCATTGCACCTGAGCGCCCTCAGCTCAGCCGTACTGTCCGGCGTAACGGCCGGGGTGGTCCTCAGGACAATCCGATAGCGACTCCAACTGCGAATTTCATCGGTGCAATATACATGAGCCGCGTTTTTGACCTGCTCCCGCATCACGCTCTCGAGCGTCCGAGGTGCGTGAGACTCTTTTCCCGTCCCCAGCATTGCCTAGAAGCTATCTTATTGCGAGAACAGATAAGTGAATCATGCGACATTTCCATCAGCAGGTCTGATGCGCTTCGTGTGTGTGGTGCGTTTCCTGATCCGTGAGCCATACATCGGCATTAGCGCCCGAAATTTGAAGAGGCTGTCACTCATGCTTTCTACGCCACAAAGGCAGACATGTCATTGCTCGCGTGCGCTAGGCGCCTCTTGCGAGAGACCATTGATAGCCATTGATATTGTCGTCGGTGCTTGTCTCAGTCGATTGGATCGGTAGGTGGGGCTGAGACAGGACTCGGAAGCGGCGTCGGTCGGAACAGTCAGCCGCGCGATGCGTCTTACGTCAGCTACTTGCTCCTGATCCCCTTGCCGCCCCGCCAGCTTGGCTGGGCTACCCCCCGACGGCACCGTTTTGCAAAAGCTCCAATCCACATCACCAGAGACGATGTGCTCGTACCATCAGTGCCATCAGATGGCCCTTTTTGACTTTGCTTTTCAAAAGCTATGTCAGCCCCTTCATCAAATACATCCGAAGCACCATCTCTGCGATCAAATACTAGTTTTCGGCGTTATCTGCTAGACAGCGCCATTGCTAATGGTACATGTCGTCCAGGTCGCATCAAACCGTCCTGTTGCGTATCATATAATAACACCAGGATGCATCAAGGTCGCTTCCCTTGGTTGAAATCTGCTTCCACGTTCAACCCTCCCCCGGTTCTCTGCCTTGTACATCTAGCATGTCGGACAGCACCCCAATCGTCCTGCCTAATTTTGCTAAGATCGTGTATGTCTTTCGATTTCCTTGACTCGCACGCTCTTACATGAACCGGCTGTGTATAGACAGGGCCCCACGCTCATTGGGCTGTTCTTCAACCTCATATTGTATGGAACTTTTCTGTCGCAGGCGCATTATTATTTCAGTACATTTAAGAGGTGCGTCGTGTTGGTGGCTATTCTAGTAATACCTACATGCTGAATTGCTCGTCTCCAGGGATCAGAGATGGTTCAAAATATATGTGCGTGCGCTTCCCATTCTTTCCCCTGCTGGTGACGAAACTCATTGATGTGCGCGGTCTTACCAAACAGATCACCGTATTAGTCTTTCTAGAGACAATAAATTCGGTGTTCGCGATGTTCTATAGTTACGACCGGCTCGTGAATAACTTCGGTGGGCTACCCTGTTTGTCGGTCTTGTCGTTGGCACAACTAATAAAAAAATCTCCAGGAAATCAGCTTGCCCAAGCCATCTCCAATTGGGGTATGACAATGGTGTTTCTGTGTATTGTACACTGTGACTGATATGCTGCCAATTTTTTCAAGCCTTTGGAATTGGTCAGTGTTCCTTTTATCCTCTCGCACTTGGCTTTGTTCTCATATTCAGTTTCAGGCCCCCTCACCAATGTATGTCAGATGCAGTATTCATCCTCACCCGATACAAGTTCTCAACTGAGCGTTCCCTCCTTTCCACAGGGTGTAATCGGAATGACAGTCCAGATATTTTTCGCCTGGCGAGTCAAAGTGCTCACGCATAGTCTGTGGGCGATGGTTGGCATCAGCTTCCTAGCTGTTGTCTCGTGTCGTAAGTTCTGAATGATACCATATATGGCTTTCTTTTACTGACGTTCTTCGCGCAGTTTGTGCCGTCACTATCTTCTTCGTGGCTACGATCCTTGTGCTCAGTCCCACGGTGTCGGCCGCAAATTTTCAGCCTGTCGTCATCGTCTGGTTGGTGTGCTCGGCGACGGCGGACACGCTTATCAGTCTCATCCTTGTTGTGTACCTAGTAAGCCTATCTTCCTTGTGCCTAATCGTGGTCGGCCGACTGATCTTGTATCACTGCGCAGAGGAAGCATAAGACAGGATTTGTTTCGACGGACGACACGATCAACAAGATCATCAGGCGTACATAATTTTCCATTATACCTGTTTTGCATGGGCTTATCGGCCTCATACGTCTTTCCCTTGCAGTTACTGTTCAGACGGGACTAATCACATCGGTATGGGCCATCATAGATTTGGGTGTTTACTTGGGTGATGTGAGTGTCCACTCTCCTCCGTGATATCTGTTCTCACTAAAATAACTGGCTCGCCCGTAGTCAACTGGAAAGTAAGCGCAGATTATGTTCATCAAATATTACTGACGTACTGACATCTGCGTCGTGCAAACTCGAAGCCACCTAATTTTTAACCTTGCGCTTGCGAAGCTTTACACGAACTCCCTGTTGTCAAGCCTCAACTCGCGAGAGGGGTGGAAGTACACATCAGCTACGGAGAACAGTGGGCAAGGCATGGATCGTAATGACCCATCTCGGGCAAATCCGAGGGTGAGTATTTTATCCCGCTCGTTGGTTGCTCGTGCTCTCCTTGTGTGCCCATGATGAACATCATCCCTCTAGCCACCTCAGGTTGTCTCCTTTACAACAGCATCCGTTCGCCCGGAGGTCCGTTGCTGTCATTCCCTCCTGATTTCCAAACCCTCTGACATCGATCACAGGTGTTTATCAACATCGAGGCGCACGAAATGCGCGACGTCACGCTCGGTAAGCACGACGGGGTGGTACCTGGTAGCTACCAGTCATCCGACCTGAACGACAAGGAAGCCCAAGCATTGTAATGTCAAAGCTTGGCTGAGCTCTGCTCCTCGTTGCGCGCGTTCAGTGACTTGTAAAGGACCTTTTCCCCCCCTTGGATTCTAGATGTTAATAGTGTAATCATGCTCCCTAGTTGCCATACCTGACTATGTGTAACCCTGTGAATTGTAGACTTTATGTATTGGTTGATTTATCATTCATGTTATGTACTCGAGCGACGGCACGCATCGAGCGTCCCAACAGAAGTGGGGTTAATGCTTCTCGATTGGTATTGCCTAAACGCGTTAGAAACTCTTGAACTTGAAGACGGCAATTTCGGCAACGACGAGCGGTTGCAAATGTACATTTGTCGATCCTGTACAACTAGTGCACAACTTGGCTCTTACAGCAGGCTCCTACAGGCTCCTACCCACTACCGTGTCGAGGGCAAGGGTCTATTACTATGAGGAAATAACAAAAAACATATGACAAAACATATGACAAATAAATGACGTAATGAAGCAATATTTTGAACCTCAATCCCCAAGCCCTCTCCATCAGCAGCTGGCACAGAACATATACAAACATGTGCCACCCGGAAGATTCACCGGCATCAGCCACAGAAGACCGGCCGTGTGTGAGATTTAGATTATTAGTAATGCGAGTGTGTGACATCATGAAATTTACTAAGTTGCACTTGGGGCTCTGGACCAAAGATTTGAAGGTTAAATAATGATATATAATGCAATGGCTCTACAAAGTCACTATAGGCCCCAAATGTCAGGGGTATAACTTGATGGCAAAGTGAATGCCAGAGCAAAAGGCAATAATCACTTGTTATATAGCACTGGTGAGGACATAAATAAATTGATGTGTTAGTGTAGTGGTTATGCTGCCATGATAAAATTTTACCCACTCATGAGGTCACAAGTTCGAACCTGGCATGATTTTTATTTTGATCGGGTATGCTCCCTTCCTATATGATTCATCAAAAGCCTCAGTGCTTCTATTCTCATGAGACAGAATTGATAGTTTAAATAAAACATATATAATCATGCCAGGTTCAAACTTGCAACCTTGTGAGTGGGTAAAATTTTATCATGGCAGCATAACCACTACACTAACACATCAATTTATTTATGTCCTCACCAGTGCTATATAACCAGTGATTATTGCCTTTTGCTCTGGCATTCACTTTGCCATCAAGTTATACCCCTGACATTTAGGGCCTGTAGTGACTTTGTAGAGCCATTGCATTATATATCATTATTCAACCTTCAAATCTTTGGTCCAGAGCCCCAAGTGCAACTTAGTAAATTTCATGATGTCACACACTCGCATTACTAATAATCTAAATCTTACACACGGCCGGTCTTCTGTGGCTGACGCCGGTGAATCTTCCGGGTGGCACATGTTTGTATATGTTTTGTGCCAGCTGCTGATGGAGAGGGCTTGGGGATTGAGGTTCAAAATATTGCTTCATTATGTCATTTATTTGTCATATGTTTTGTCATATGTTTTTTGTTATTTCCTCATAGTAATAGACCCTTGCCCTTGACATGGTTGTGGGTAGGAGCCTGCTCTTATAGTAGCTTACAGTTCTAAGAGGTCAATCCACCAGGAGCATAAGGACCCCCAATAACCCCCCCCCCCCCCTCCCCCCAAATATATGATCTTCCCACGGTAGTGGGACGGCATGTAGTGCCAAGCTCTGATTTTTTCTGGTAGTTGTTCTATTCCCTGGTCTGATCTTTTTGTTGGTAGTTTGAGCCAATTTGGGAGGGGATGATCTTTTTCTGGTAGTCAATATCTAGTCTCAATATGGATTGGAACATGTTATTTTCTCCAAATTTCCTGAGATTTGTTACCAAAATTACTATCACAAAATTGCCCTTGAATCTCCTCTTGGTGTCATAGCCTGACAATACCACAGAACTTTCACACCCTTGCAGCTTTGAGCTTCTCAGCTTCAGCTTCTTGGCTTCTTATGAAATCACCTAAAATGGTTATTGAGATTATTGTCAATGCCGAGATACCTCTGCTCAATCTTGCAGAATGGATTGGTATAGGAAAAAGATTTCCTGAGGATATTGTACTACTTAAGATGCAATCATATATTGATTCCCTCATGGCCATCCCCTACAAACATTGTAACAAAATCTTGCCCTATGCTAAGCTTACCTTGCATAGGTTCATATGACTGACCTTACCAGAACAAAGTCACAGCATCATTAAGAAACAGGCAATTACCATATTCTATAAAAACCCACCCAATCCATCAGCACTATGCCCACCCAGCTAAAGTATTCCATATAAAGCCTTTATTCATGCTGCTATACAAGTGGCTGGCCAGTATTACAAACTGCTCATTTGGTAACCCCAAGAGTAGGAGGTTCTTCTTTAGGTCACTCGTAGAGCAAGGGTGGAACAATAGTCTCGACTGTATGTGTAGCACAGGAGCCAGAGATATATTACAGGGGAGTACTGTAGGAAGACAGTACTGGAATAAAAGGACTATAGTAGGAAGACTGCAGTAGAACAAAAAGAATAGACTAAAGATCCTTAGCCTATTTTATGGGCCTTATATACTACTTTGGAAAGGGCATGAGAATACCATATATGTATCCCATAGGTATTCTCCAAGTTGTCCCTCTCTCTGAAATAACTACTCTTGCTTCTCTACTTGCCCCTTTCCAACCAAGGGGTCAAGGAGCTCCATGCCCATGTATGAGTAGCTTATTAAGCGGGGAAAGTTGCCTGCTGTAATAGGCCCATGATACTCAACCAATGATGGGTGATCCATTGGGAGTGGATGGCCAAAGGTGATATCTGTACCTTCATATATGCCTTAGAGTATGAGGCTGCCTAGCTGTTGTGATGATCCTATCGGTATAGATGGCCATGCAGGCCCGATAAGTTATGATCATAACACTTAGCCATTCAGACCTCATATGTTTTCAATGACTTCCTTTCCTACCTTGCCAACCTACATTATATCCTCTAAACAAAACAACCCCTTTACTACCATCTTCTCTGCCCATACCATGGTTGAGGAGTTGATACAGATAACCTCCTCCACAAAATCTAGCATATTAGAAAAAAGAGAAGTATTTCCTTGGATAACCAACAAAAAGAGGGCATTGAATAAAGCTAACAAAAACATAGATAAGTATATGCAAGAAAGAAAAAAAGTTGAAAGACATAAGGACATCTGGAAAACCACCCTCTTGTATTAAGCTCTAATTAGCTATGATTAATGCTCTACTATACTAAATTATGAAAGATTAGGATTAGACATTTTTAGCTTACCCTCCCCCTCCCCTAAACCTGTTATAATTAGACATAATTTTCCTAAATTAAAAATCATTAGGATTGATTATAACTTGAAATTTTGGAAAAATCATAATAAATCAAGCATCAAAATTCTCATAGCCTTCTTATAGAGTCATGTCTATTAGAGCACTAGTTAAATACCTAAACACAAAATACACCTTATAACAAACTTGCCTTTTGCCAGAATGAAACCAACAACCTCATGTATACAAGCATGCAGAACAGATGCTCTAAGCCACTAAGCCACAAGGTCTAATATATAAACTTGGTAATCTAAATAAGTAGACATAATATAGGCAACCTCAACATCTCTGATTTTATTTAACATTTATCTTTCCTCTTACTTATAAATAAATAGGACAATAGATACCTAAAAAGTCAGGTCTTTTAGAATTTATTCTAAACACCAGCTAAGAAGATAATAAACCAATGGAAATAAATAATACAGTTTATATAGGGTAAAAACAAATGATGGCACTTACACAATTTGGACTGAGAATGTGTAAAACTATGATTAAGTGTAATATTCAATGGGACTCTACTAGTATAGACAATGCTACCTGAATTTGCAAATTTAATCAAAAACATGATTATGAATAATCAAGATCCAATAAGAGAGTGGGTTTTTCCAAATAGCCACTAGTGAGGTAGAGGGTGGGGACAAGGGTATATATATGGCATGCCTATATATAAATAAGCACAAGATTATTGGATATGATCTTAATATGCTTAGTGCACATATTTCCTATATGGTAGGCAAATATATCATTTTGGCACCACATACCAACATGACTGTCTTTTCCACAACCTAATAGCTGGAGGAAAACACCAAGTTTGAGCATCTTCTGTATAACAAGGCAATAAACAATATAAATAGTGCTAAAAATTGTAGTATTAATAGTGATGATGATTGTGTGCTGCACAAGACAATATTAACCACTGTACTAATAGACAAGGTCTACAAGGCTGCATATAGCATATCCCTAAGTCCAACCCACATGTTGTGTTCTATAATGACCAGTAGCAGGCATTGGCTAACAATGACAACTTTAATGATCTTGTGTGCAAGAACAAGGTACCTAGGTCTTCATAGCCTCTTGTGGCAGTTGCCAAGCTGCCAACAAAGTGGCTAGGGGCATCAATGCACATTTCTCTCTTTCTATATCCCTTGTAAAGGCAGCTAGAAAGTCAGCAAAAGAGCTACAAGATAATAGTATAGGTATATATGAAGGAGAGTAATGTGCTAAAATAGTATAGAATGTGCCACATTTTTACCTTCTCACTGATAGAGCTGTAGTATTTACTATTTTCTACTGCTAATTAAAGACTTCTTAGTATAGAATTAGTGCTAATATCATGAAATTAGAAACCAATCCAATGCTCACAGTGTGTTGCTCCCAATTAGGAAATTAGACACTTTTAGATGCTATTAACATTTTTAGATACTTTTAGACACTATTAGATATAATCCAGAGCTAATACAAGGGGGTGGTTTTCCAGATGTACTAGGATATGAGATATTCTTGAGGGCAGGGAGGCGTTGCTTGAGAAGGGCCTTTTCAAAAAGTGGAAGCATAGGACCAGTGAGATAGAGGAGGATAATGCGGGTGCAGCTGCAGACAAACCAGTCCTCGGATTTGCCTTCAAGAATCCAAATAGGATGCTTAACTTTGACACTGTATTGGACATGGAATTCAGTGTGGAATGTGCTTTTGCTGATATAGACATGAGCAATGGGTTTGATGGAGAATGAGATATGCTTATATTTTCCAATCATTACATACCCAGATGCCTAAATGCTTCCTCAAAGGTTTGCTAAGTGTCTTGTGGATTGGAATAAGGAAACAAGGGCCATCCCTTATGCTAAATTCCAAGCTCAGTTGCCTGCCCATTGCATAGAAGCGGGGTCAATGCCATATGGGGAGTTGCAGTGTACTGCAGGCGCTCACTGTTCCCAAAAACCCATGCTACAAAAGACCAAGAACAGCAGGTCCCATGAAGCACTGGGGGCTTAGGCATGGGCATGGGCATTATAGCCAGTAGTGCCATGAATGGATCAGTGGACATAGAGGACCATAACAAAGAAAGAGGCACATTTAGGGGCTGATGCCTAGCACTAGTAAAGGCATATGGGGGCCCTTCATGCCCAGGATTTAGGGGAGGGGGTAGCACTGTCATATTGGTAAGTGTTCACAGTTCCATGGTTGACAATGCAGGATCTGTGTCAAGATTGGCTAGGTGAAAGAGCCTGGGGTGAACATGCATACAAGGCTGAATTGATGAACTCCTTGCTGACAGTCCAAAGAGCATACAAAGCAGCTGACTTGCCTCCTCTATGTCAGAGTATCTTGGCTGGGAAAAGACCAGGTAAGGGCATTGATATGACAGGCCCATGAGTGTGCCTCTGTTTTCAAGCCTCACTTGCCTACTGTTATTGAGTGTTGAACATCTTGCTAGCACCCATAAGTGTGCCTGATGCTCAAGCCTCATATCTCCATGATGGTATAGCATTGGTGGCTCTATTGATGCTGGTAAGAGCCAGCGTTCCTTGTATGATGAACTCACGCTGTTACGTAAATCAATGGGGTGGTCGTGTGTCATGTTTTGATCAGGATTTACCATAAATGACCTTGATGAGAGATCAAACACCCTCAGGTGCTCCAGAGTAGTACCCTGTCCATAGTTCTGTCTAAAAATAGAAGTCTTGACTGGTGCTTGGAAGAGTATGCAAGGTTCAATGGGGGGGTATTCTGTCTCAATGTCAATGTCCACCAGCAAGAGCATGTCCCTGCAGAATAAATGAGATGAATAAACAGCATTGAAATGAGCTAGCTATACATAGAGGACATCACACTCAAGTCAGCGGCACTGGTTCCGCCTTGACCACTCATTCTTGTCTAACACACTGTTTGGTAGCTTTCACAGCTCACTGTGTGTGCACACTCTCCCAAAATTCATTGGGTACCTTCACCAGCTCTTCAATTGTCTTATCGGAGCCAGCCAACCAATCAGTAATCTGGTCAAGCAACTCTTCAGTGACAAAATACAAGCCCACTATCCAGTTGGCCTTCTTCACAAGCCATCTAATGGTGAGGTCCAATATTACCCAGCTGCATGGCCTAGGGTTTACAATGATAGTGGATTGCTATCAATCATCATGCTAGGTTAACAGCAGTTTTTGCAGCACCTTATATCCTGCTTTCATGCAAAGGATGGATGAGACTTTTGCCTTTAGGTTTTTGAGAGTCCAAGGAGAAAAAGAAGAATGGGACATAGCTACCAAGATGAGAAAATACCCCTCAATGCGATTTTGATCATCAATGGATGGTACACTAACAAGAGCATTGTCTAAAGTCCAGCATGAACAAGCACTGCAATAAACACCCTTTAAAAGTTTGGGTGGCAAACTATGCACTTCCCACCTTATGGCATGTTGCATGTTGTCCTCATTCTCTGATCCATCTGAATCACTTGCAACTAAACTGACTTGAAAACCTAGAATAGCTGGATTTGGTCGATGTGTGAAGTCTCACAGGCATGTCCTAGAGGTAGCACACTTGAGATAGGCATGTGATATGGGATCCAATGCAGTGCAATGTTCAGCTGTGATTTGCTTCCATCCTCTTTGTTATTCATCCACAGGTCCATCTAGCTCCTCATCTCCAGTCTCTTTAAGCCCCTCCTTACCTTCCTCCTCAAATGCCCAGTCCTCAACTAACTATATCATTTGTGCTGACAAGCCTGCTTAATGACCAGCTCTTCTTCCCTTTTGGAATGCAGAACACAAGTCTTGCAGGCCATATATAACCAAAGTGACAATATCTGGTATGTCACATCCTATTCCTGCTACATCCATGGCAAACAGCCATCTAATTATCCCTAACTCAAACAGTTCTATAGCCTCTACCCTAAATCCCTCAGAGTTTGTGCCAGTAAAAGCATATAGACACTCATGCAGGCTATGCAGCAGCAGTGTGTGTAATATTTTGCATGCCTCTTAAGCCTGCTACCAAGATTTGAGGTAAAAAATCATCTTTAGCAGTTGCTCCAGTAATGACAAAGGAGTTATGTCTTCTGGGATAAATGCAAACAGAGCTGCAAATGTCTTTGCAGCATATTACATGGGATGAATAACCTGCATGAGATTGGGTTGGTCAGCTCTCAGGTTGATGCCCCAGAATGGATGTGTACTACCCAAATCAAGTGAGCAATACACCATTTCAAAAATGTGTTAGCACAGTGGCTAAAAACACAGCTATGGGGATTTCAGTGCCAGCAATGATGCACAGAGTCTGAAGCTCACCATAGTCCTTACAGAAATCATCTTGCTATTGCTGGGTGATGTGCGCCTTGTCAATGACTATCACAATCTGTCACTGTCAGAAACTCTGAGATCTAAATAGCTGCTTGAAGCAATTGTTTTGGAGAAGGCTTCCTGGGGATACATAGCAGATACATATTTTGCCCATCTCTAGCAATTTGAAGACCTGACCTTCATTATTATCTTCATTGATTGCCAGTGTATGAATCTTTAGCAGGGCTTCCACATTATGGGTCTTGGTCACCTTGCCATGATGCACCAAGTTCAGTTAGTTGACCTATATCTGATAAAAGGCATGGTAAGTGGTTTCTCTTAAAGCAAGTGAAGCATGTACCTGATCTAGCTACAATGCCTTCAAGGGACAGATCACTATGACAAGACCTTGGCTCTTTGTCAACTCTACTGCAATTGCAAGCATCGCAAACATAGGTGACTTGCCCACACTAGTTTGGGCAAGAACAAATATATTGTGCCCCTCCAAAATCTTAATCGTCACGTCAATCTGCTACTGCTAAGGTTTGTAACTAAATATATTCTTATTTGCATTCACCAATTCTAATCTTGGCAGTATTTTCAGAAGCCGAGGCCATTGTTTTCTGGCAGATGGTAGTGTTGTGTTGGGGGTGGAGTTATTAAGATAGGGGGACCTATGTTAAGTGCTTGAGAACAAGTATTTGGAGTTTGTGATTCTGGTGGGTGTCTTAGGGGGTGTCTGTGGATTGAGACCCAGTGAAAATTCAGTCGAGGCAAATCCAGTCAGATACAGTCAGATATAGTCAGATGCAGTCAGATACAGGCGAAGCCATTCGCAAGTGTTCAGAACCATATAAATAGATTGTCACCAATTCACAGTGTTTGAGAAGCTCCAGAACGAGTATTTTCAAGTGTATTCTCGACACATATTCATGATTTTGGCCATGTTCGGCATTTCTCAAACACTGCAGGCTTTGAAAATTGGGATTTCTGATTTCATAATACTGTCATGCAACATGCAGCATCATCTGCTATTGTCCACTCTTCCCTGTCAGTGTTCTCCTCGCGCATCCTCACAGGCGTCGTCATGTAGTTTGAAGCCTGGCACGCGGTGTACCATCTCGCTACAGGTGTACAGGTGGCCATGCTTGCCATGATGCCTAGCTTTCACCCAAGGACATAGGGGTGGTACGTCAAAACATGTTGACGATACGGCTCGCGGTGATGGAGCCAAGGCTGCAGGCATGCATCATTGTGCTAGTGTTGAGTATTTGCCTTGCTAACCCTGAATCAAGCTCACCTTCCTCCTCAATAGGCCACCACAGTTTCTCTATGCATATGTGTGAGCACGCGCTCTTTCTCCCTAGTGCATAGCCAACCTGTTCATCTGTGTTGCACCTCACATATACGTGCACAGGCTATTTGGCATCAAGATGGGCCCGCTTGTCAGACACATGATTGGTGCATTTGTTGTGACACCCAACGCTTGCAGCAGCTATGGGCCTACTTGCAATGTGTGCTGTCTACACTATTGCGGCAGGCATCCACATTGTCACTGCCGGCATGTGCCTTGGATTCGACCTCATAGACCAAATGCAGCAGGCATCGCCGATAATGAGCATGCATGCATGTTCCTTTATAGTCTTGAGAGGTGCTGACCTAGACCTGGTTTTGCTCAATGGACGGAATGGGCTGCCATTTCTGCTTCCGATACCTCTGTTGCTGCCCTTATTGCTCTACCTCACGAGCTCACACCATGATCATCTTGGTGAGTGCCACTCTGTCATTCAACCTGCTTCCCAGCATGAGTCATTCATGCAGGTACCATGGCGTGCGTACCAGATCTTTGTCCGAAAGGCTATACGTGATCGTGCGCTAAGGCTAGTGCGCGGCGGTAGCGCTCTCGCTTGGTTGGACAGCATTCCAGAGTGGCATGTGCTTGTGTGCAACATGGTACTGTTTCACTCCCTCCATTCAATGACCATAAATACTGATTAATTTTCATTACATAGGCAGCGGGAGCATCTATGGAATTGTAACAGGAGCTGGCATGCACATATCAACGGCAGGGGAAGGTCAGGGAAAGCCCGGATGACAGCGAAGGGTATGGGGCAATGGTGGGTGCGGGACAATTCTAGAAGATCCAGAAGATGTTGGATAATGCAAGCGGCACAAATTGCAATGTATATTGGGTGTGAATGGATGTTTAATTGATCGCAATGGATCCCAATGGATAAAAAAGTAGCTGTTTTACTGATTTACAAAAATAAATGGTGAATCAAACTGAATAGATATTAATGGATATCAATGGATATGCCTTGAATTACCAGGATAAAAGTCTAAGTTTCCGGATTGTGAAAGAGGGGGACAGATTCAAAATCATTCAAAAAGATTTGCCTGTACTTGCCTCAACCGGGTTTTGACTGGGATTGAGATCTATCATTTAAGCCTGAATTGTAGTGTTGTTGTGTTTTTGGACAAGGTGGTAGCATGCAGACAATCTAATCTTCATAGACAGATCTGCGATATTAGATAATCTTTAATGACCCTTTCGGGGTTCGAAAGGTTTTGTAGCCAGCATTCAAGATAACGCGCCACCATGCGGATCCCCTTGGCGATTACTACTTTGATGCAAGACCCTTCACCACGTGAAGGTGAGCGGTCTTGGAATGAGACTAGGGGGTTGTCGGGGGTCCTGGAGCATGAGGCGCAGTGGAGATCTTCAGAGCACGATCGAGGAGAGGAAGCTTCCCAATTATTCTGTACGTATTTCTACGACAACGTTCTTCAATCGCGACTTGGTGATGCTGACGAATAGCCGTTGACACGGAGGTATGTCGATTTTCATTTTGCCGCCTCTACCACCGGATGTCTTTGATTGGTCACCACACGTTCGCGACCAGCCCTTGAGCGCTGCGCCCGTCTCCCTAATCCTCATCCTCTCTTTTGGCCTTGGATGGATGACGTGTCTCAAATTAACTTTGCCAGGACAATGTAAGTGCTCTGATTTGTTCGATGGCTATGCTATGGTGATCTGATCATTGATCGTGGGGATAGACAGGGCCCGATCATTGTTGGAGCCTTTTTGAACCTCATCCTATATGGCGTCTTCCTCGCCCAGGCCCACCAGTATCTCTCCATGTTCAAACGGTTCGCGATCGTTCCCTTTTCGAGGCATGTGCTTACTTATGAGTCGTTTTGTATAGAGATCGGTCATGGCTGAAGATACTCGTGAGTCATTGAGACTGCGTAGCAATGCATGGCTTGACTCACACTCTCTCTGCGAATTTAGATTGCGTACTTGGTGGTCGGAGAGACTGTGAATTCGGTGTTCGTGATGTTTTACAGTTACGATCGGCTCGTGAACCATTTCGGTGAGTGTTCAAGCAGTATTAGTCGGGCAAGGGCAGTAAAACGAAGACACCATTCAATTTCAGGCAACATGGCTGCGCAAGCAACTACTAATTGGCGTAAGAAATACCAGACATATGTTGTATATTGGTACTGACCGATGCTTTGGGTTTCCTTTAGCATTCGGCGTAGGTAAATACTGCCTTCAATTTGAATCATGATCGAGGATATCTGACAATGCATTCCGCGTCGTACAGTCTGTTTTTTTGGTGTGAGCTCTAGTAACGTGTACTCGAATGCGTATTATCCAGCTAAAGAATTTCTAGGGCATCTTGGAAATGGCTGTTCAGTGCTTTTTCGCGTATAGGATCAAGGTATTGCACCCTTTACCCTTCTTAAGGCCAGGTTTCAATGGTCTTGACCTTCCTTCGGGCATCCTAATTTTCAGGTGCTCACAGACAAGCTTTGGTCGGCCGTCATCATCTGCCTTTTCGCTTTTGTGGCTTGCGGTAAGTTTCCGCACTTGTTCATGGTGCATGAGCTTAATACAGGACTTTGTCATGTAGTGGGTGCGATTGGTGTTCTCGTCGCAGCCACCGTCGCAGCACCGACCCCGGTAGACAGCGCAAATTTTCGGCCGATCATTATCCTCTGGTTAACGTTCTCGGTCGCCGCCGACACGATGATTACTGTCATACTTTGTCATCATCTTGTGAGTCATCCCCAGTAAAACCTGGGACAACCCTTTGAGAGGCTCACACTGCGTGTCATTAGCAAACACATAAGACTGGGTTTTCAGAAACCGACAACATGATCAACAAAATCATACAATGTGAGCTCTCGTTCATAGCACTCTCCAGTCTCACAGATTGATAGAGCCATCAGTCACTGTTCAAACTGGTCTTATCACATCTCTATGCGCCATCATCGACCTCATTCTTTACCTTACGGAGGTGTGTATGTTATCTACCCATCATCTCTATAGAAAAGAGATCTGATATCTTCCTCGTAGAAAACTGGGCAGTGAGTGTCGCCTTGGCAAATTCATGCACTATCTAGCATCTAACAGAAAAATCAACACCTTTCCTTCAGCCATCTTATCTTCAATCTCCCGTTGGCGAAGCTGTACACGATATCTCTGTTGTCGAGTTTGAACTCTCGCCAAGGCTGGCAACTCAGCTCACACGTGGAGTCCAATATGGACCACATGTCGGGGAGAAAGGAGGCATGTCATCTCGTACATGTGATCCTATTACGGGACTGATATGCAATGTTCTTATAGCCAACTACCACCATCGGTATTTCCTTCGCCACAGTATCTGAGTTACCGGAGGTGCGATTTGCATTACACATGCTCAATAGCGAACGGTTGCTCACACAGGACGACTGTCGATGGCAGGGGTATGTCGACATTGAAACTCTTGAAATGAGCGACGCATCTCCATCACCTAGCGTCGACCGGCGAAAAATCATCAGTATAAGCTCGGATGCACCTTCGCAGGCGACAAGTTCGATAGCCTGACAGATTTCTATTATATAAAGGTTTGGGATGATATTCGAGGTATAGTTCATAAGTAGTAAACAACATGTAATTTTACGATGCCATTGCTGCACGCTTGGGTTTTCTAAGTTCCACTGACGACGATCTATTAAAAAGTAAGACGAACTTCGATACGCGCTAAGCTTTAACACAGAATGCTATCTACGAGCCGCCAGGGACGTGGACACCTGAGTCTGATCGGTACACTAGTATGTGTGTCGCGGCGATTAGAGTACAGTGTATGATAATGATCGAGTTGAACTTCATTTACTTGCCCCCGCACGCTCAACAACACAAACACCACTCCTGCCCTGATATCCATCCTTCATAAGCCGTGCTATGATGCTATGATTTTCCTATGGCTCTCGAGAGCCTCACAGTGCGCGCATGGTATCTTGCTAGCCCACGACATCGAGGTCCGACACACCTTGCTTCGCCCAGCGATCGATCTGACTGGTGGAAACGCGAAGGATGCCAGAGATTCCTGAATCACTGGCGAGGGTATTTGATCTGATATCCGTCAATTGTCAAAAAAAGCCGCGGAAGAATAAGTAGCAAAAGCATACCTAACCGGAGATATATTGGCAGAGATGGAGGAGGTAAAATCGGTACCAATGATGGCATCTTCTGCGTTGACACAATGAGAGTTTTGGATTGCCCCGGACCTGGAGAGATGCTATTTGGGAAATCAACTGCACCTGCCAATGGGCAGACGAGCTCTTCCGGTCGAGGAGGATTTGATACGACATATGATTCTATCTCTTCAACAGGGGGTTCACTAGCAACAACGGAGACGGCATTGCGACGGGCGCGCCTGGGTACTGAGGAGGAAGAGTTCATGACAGCAGCAAGAGGGTGGAAAGATGCAGAAGACTGGACGCATGAGATCAAAGTAGAACATATATACCAATGGAAACGCCGCATCCGTATCAAGTGACGGTCAATCACATCGGCCTCAAAGCGCGTGTATCCATTTCCTTTGTTCGGTCAGAACCTCCACGGGTGCTTGGGAACTTTTGGCCATCATGATGAAGAACATCCTCATCCAAAATAGAATAAACGCTCGAGCTGAGTGCTGAGTAATGTTTCATGGGTGACACTACATTCGGCACGGTCATCCTGGGTCATCCAGGGTCATCCTCGCGCGCGTCGTACGGAAGGAAAACTAAGGAAAAACGGCAGAGATTATTGGTCGAAGATCAATTCTCGGCAAACGCCGAGTCCGCCACATTTTCGGGCACCCAAGCGATTTCTCTGTTGAACTCTCCCAACCTCACACAAGGCTCTGAACAGCAACTTTCTACCAAACCGCCGATCTTTCTCATAGTCTGTCACTACTGCATTGCACACCTCAACATATATCATCACTATGAATACTTACAATTCGTCCTCGCGAGATAATCAGTGTAGCAGGAGGCAGAGGTCGAAGGATATCGCTCACGATCTCGACACGTTCATCGTTTGCAGACAGATCAAGCTGTCAATCAGTGCTCAAATTCAAGAAGTAGTGAGTTTCAAGTGCTTAGTGACGCGATGAACCGCATTCATTCCAGATCGCCGTCTCAGTATTTCCAGAACCCAAACCACCTGGTTGCATTCTCCAAGATTATGGCACAGTTGCCTTGGGCGCATCAGGATCCGTCTACTTTGCCATCCTGCGCATGTCATCCTCATGACCACGACTTTGGAGTTGCAAGTCATCGCAAGAAGCACAAAGCAAGCGTTCGATATGCAGGCAAGGATAGAGACGGTCACAGTGCCCTCGGTGATGCGAAATGCGAAGCGCCATTTTCCATCTCATGTGCCATTTCATGTGGTGTAGGGACTGTACGTGATTTTTATAATTGACTCTGCATCTTGCTCCATCATTGCTTTTAGTTTCTTCTTGTCGAGGCTGTTCGTGGCGGTGAAAGAAACGCCCGAGATGTGGAGCTCAGAAGGACCTTCCTTAACCTTCGGTCACAAGATATTGAAAATAATCCGAATACAACCAGGACATCTGCCAGCCCTTTTGTGGATGACAAATTTCTTTCAACGTCCGGTCCGGAAAGCTCTGATGCGAGCTATCAGCAACCTGTTACATGCAGTGTTCCTGTCTCGGAGGTCTTGAATGTCCAATCTGACCTTCTCGAGGTCGATCTTCTGTCTCTGGGTGCGATGGCGTACGAGCTAATTCATGGCTGCAAGCCGACACACGGTTCTAAATTTCTTCGAGACCTCCGTCTCCAAAAGGACCGTGTAGTCTTCAAATCCAAGGAAACCATGGACGAGCCCACGCAAGTATCGATCTATCAGTCCTTGTTGAAGGATCTTATAGGCCATATTCTACTCGACGTAATACAGGATTCCGGGCTCCGGTGAGCGCAGGCTTTTCCGCCGTTGAATTTGTTATCCATCTTGACTATGATCCTGCTGACAGGTCGGATCCCGAGGTTAACTGTCAGAACTGTCAGAACTCCGCACAGAAAGCCCATCAGATGCTGGGGGCTCCAATGCTTTCTTGCACGGACTCCAGAGACGTTCGACAAACATCTTGGGCGTCGACCTCAACTACAACATCATCATCTGACATCTCAGATATCTCGGCTGCCATCGACGCTTCCGATTCCTTCGTTTCTGTTGTTCTTGACGAACCCGCTGTACCTGTGACCTCGACGAAGACTTGTTCTTTTGCCTCTAGGTCATTGGCTCGTCTCAGCCGGTTCTTTCTCTGCAGAGCTCCTTGAATCTGGTCTGCTCGTGATCGCAATGACTATTGTCTCTGACAAACTCTGACTCTAGGGTTCTACGCTTGTCACTGGGAGGCTTGAATTTCGTTTCCCCTTTTCGGCTTGCTCCAGCCTTGGGTGGGTAAGTTTTGGCTTGTATCCTTCTCCGAAATTACATATGGAAGTTCTACATGTATTTTGTACGATGTTCAATTCCTAGCATTCCCAAACGTTCATTTGGAAGTGTGGCAAGTCATCGCTGTGACCAATGTCACGGCGGAGATGTCACAATTTAGCTAAGACACGACCTGGGAAAACCGCAAACTTGAATCTCGACGTCGACGACGCCGACGACCTCAACCCCTCCATAACTCACCCATTATGTCTGGTCAGAAGCGGGATTTGTCTGGCTACAACTATGGCGCCATCTCTTCTTTGGTTTTAACAGCAGACAGATCTGCTTTGCCACGGCGCGACAGGGAACCCGATGGCGCACCTACGTCTCTCGCCGGACGAATTGACCCTAAAGAGATGGGGTCGCGTGTCCAAAGACAGGCACCGAAGGATGTTGATAAGAAGAAGAAAAAGGCTTCCGACAAGCAGGATCCGACGGAGAGGCAGCTGACGAAACGCAAAGCCGAGACGACTGGTTTTGGCTACACAGATATCATCGAGGCCACTCAGGATGTTGAAGGTCTCACGTATCGACCACGAACTACTGAGACGCGCGAGGTTTACGAACTCATTCTTTCTACCGTCCATCGGAGTCTTGGGGACCAGGCTCAGGATGTCGTTCGCAGCGCTGCAGACACGGTTCTTGAGACGTTGAAGAACGATGCAATGAAGGATTTCGACAAGAAAAAGGAGGTCGAGCAGGTCGTTGGGTCGATATCCAATGAGGCTTTTTCTCAGCTGGTCAACCTCTCCAAGAAGATCACCGACTACGGTGCAGAAGATGAGACCATGGTAGATCCGGATATGGAGAGGAAAGATGCAGAGATTGACGAGGAAATGGGTGTCGCCGTTGTCTTTGATGAAGAGGAGCAAGAGAGCGAGGAAGAGGAAGGGTACGAGGTACGGGACGAGTCTGACGAGGAGGAGGAGGATGAGGGTGACGAGCCACCGCCAGACGAAGACGGCGAGGAGGGGCTGGTTATTGGAGGAGCGACATCAGGATCAGGACGGGCCAAGGCCAAGCAGGACAAGGACATCGTTTCTCCACACTCCATTGACGGTTTCTGGGTGCAGCGACAGGTATCCGAAGTCTACCCTGACCCCGTGACAGCCGCAGACAAAGCCTCGTCTGTACTTTCAATTCTCGGCTCCGAGTCCAGTTTACGAGACTGCGAAAACCAGCTTATGGAGCTTTTCGACTATCAGAGCTACGATGTCATCACCAAGTTCCTCAAGAACCGCGAGGTTGTCGTCTGGTGCACGAAGCTCGCGCGCAGTGATGCGGACGAACGGGTCAACGTCGAGGTTGCGATGAGGGAGAAGGGGCTTGGTTGGATTCTACGGGAACTTACTGGTGATCGTCAGGCAAAGGCGCGGACAGACGCCATGGACATCGATGACGAGGCAAAGCCCGTCAATGTTCCAAAGACAGCGACTCTTGTGCCGGGCTCGACCTTGCAGCCGAAGAAGACGGTCGACCTCGAGGGCATGGCATTTAGCCAAGGCGGTCACCTAATGTCAAACAAGAAGTGCAAACTCCCGGAGGGTTCGTTCAAACGTGCGAAGAAGGGTTATGAGGAAATTCATGTACCTGCACCTAAGCAGAAGACAACCGCCGCCAGCGACCTCGTCCCAATCGCCGACCTTCCTGCCTGGGCAAGAGAAGCCTTCCCTGGTACCAAGTCGTTGAACAGAGTACAGAGCAAACTCTACCCCGTCGCTTTCGGGACAGATGAGCCCATTCTCCTCTGTGCTCCTACAGGAGCTGGCAAGGTGGGTTCCCTTGTCATTTTGTTGTATTGCGATCTCAATAATACCATCTAGACCAACGTCGCTATGTTGACGATCTTGAACGAGATGTCCAAATACCGAGACGAGGCAACAGGCGCTTTCGACCTGGATGCCTTCAAGATTGTTTACGTTGCTCCTATGAAGGCCCTCGTGCAGGAGATGGTTGGAAACTTCAACTCTCGCCTCAACCCGTTCGGGATCAAAGTCGGCGAATTAACAGGTGACTCGCAAATGACGAAGCAACAGATCTCCGAGACCCAGATCATCGTCACGACACCCGAAAAGTGGGATGTCATCACCCGGAAGAGTTCTGACACGAGCTACACCAACCTCGTACGACTGCTCATCATTGACGAGATTCACTTGTTGCACGACGAACGTGGTCCGGTCTTGGAGAGCATAGTGGCGCGCACGATCCGGCGCATGGAACAGACATCTGACTACGTGCGTCTGGTAGGTCTCTCTGCTACGCTCCCAAACTACGAAGACGTTGCAACTTTCCTTCGTGTCGACGAGTCCAAGGGGCTGTTCTATTTTGATGCTTCGTACCGCCCTTGTGCACTCCAGCAGCAGTTTGTTGGCGTGACGGAGAAGAAGGCTATCAAGCGCTACCAGGTGATGAACGAGGTCTGCTACGAGAAGGTCCTGGACCAGGCAGGCAAAAACCAGACCTTGGTCTTTGTTCATTCTCGGAAGGAGACAGCGAAGACTGCCAAGTTCATCCGTGATATGGCGATCGAGAAGGAGACGATTACACAGTTCGTCAAGCCTGATTCCGCCGTCCGCGAGATTTTGACCGAGGAAGCCAATAACGTCAAAGATGCCAACCTCCGCGACCTTCTCCCATTTGGCTTTGCTGTCCATCACGCTGGCATGTCACGCGAGGATCGTGGGCTTGTTGAAGAATTGTTCGCCGACGGATCTGTCCAGGTACTCGTGTGTACTGCTACTCTGGCCTGGGGTGTGAACTTGCCTGCGCACACCGTTATTATCAAGGGGACTCAGATCTATAACCCTGAGAAGGGTCGGTGGGTTGAGTTGTCCTCCCAGGATGTCTTGCAGATGCTCGGGCGTGCAGGTCGCCCGCAGTACGATACCTATGGTGAGGGCGTCATCATCACCAACCATTCAGAGCTGCAATACTACCTGAGCTTGATGAACCAGCAACTTCCCATCGAATCACAATTCGTGTCGAAGTTGGCTGACAATCTGAATGCGGAGATTGTTTTGGGGACAATACGAAACAGAGATGAAGCTGTTCAATGGCTCGGATATTCCTACTTGTGCGTCTTTTACTGGGGTCCTCGGGCGAGTTGACTCATTGATATCTCGCAGGTACGTCCGTATGCTCAAGTCGCCTGGGCTTTATGGCATTGGTGTCGACTACCAAGAGGACGACGGCAATTTGATCCAGAAGCGTGCAGACATCGCCCACTCTGCTGCTGTCCTGCTGGAGAAATGCCATCTCATCAAATATGAGCGCGCATCCGGTAGGTTTCAGAGCACGGAGCTGGGCCGCATTGCGTCCCACTACTACGTAACACACAACTCCATGGCTACTTACAATCAACACTTGAAGCCGACAATGTCAACCTTGGAGTTGTTCCGGGTATTTGCGCTATCGAATGAGTTCAAGTTGATCCCCGTTCGTCAGGAGGTAAGCGTGATGAATTGTTTGAACACGAGATAGCACCTGAACACAACTTTTTGGCTACAGGAGAAACTTGAGCTGGGCAAGTTGTTGGAACGCGTTCCTATACCTGTCAAGGAAGGTGTAGAGGAGCCTGCTTCCAAGATTAATGTTCTTCTGCAGGCGTACATCTCCCAGTTGAAACTTGATGGTAAGTCAACATCGTTCGCTTGTACAGAGGTATTTGACTGACCTGTCTCTCACCTAGGGTTTGCTCTTGTTGCTGACATGGTTTTTGTTCAGCAGTCGGCTGGACGGTTCGTGCACCTCGTCGTATATGACATCGCATAGCCACTGATTGGTCGTTCGCAGCATTCTCCGTGCTGTCTTTGAAATTTGTTTGAAGCGAGGCTGGGCTATTCCAGCTCGTGCTGCTCTAGACATGTGTAAAATGGTCGAGAAGCGCATGTGGGGTTCCATGACTCCCTTACGCCAGTTCAAGGGTGTTCCCTCTGAAATCATCAGGAAGGCAGAAGGAAAACAATTCGTAAGTTCGTTCGCTGCTGCACTATTCGCTTATTGACTTTTATGTCATCAGCCCTGGTATCGTTACTTCGATCTTGTAAGTTGTATCTTGCCTTCAGCTTTTTGTCACTCATGGAAATGTTCATTAGAGCCCACCTGAGATCGGAGAGCTGTTAGGCATTCCTAATGCGGGACGGCTTGTTCACCGCCTTGTACACAACTTTCCCAAGCTTCAGTAAGAGTCTACCCGTTGGATCCCTTTCGCACATGTATTGATTGGGCTTTTAGGCTACAAGCTCAGGTTCAGCCTATCACACGCTCCCTTCTTCGTATCGATCTCTCCATAATCCCCGATTTCCGTTGGGATGAGAAGGTTCATGGCAATGCCGAAAGCTTCCTGATCACGGTTGAGGATGTCGATGGAGAGGTCATTCTTTTCCACGACTCCTTCGTTCTTCGTCAGAGGTACGCTGAAGATGAGCACAATGTGACGCTCACCGTGCCGATGTTCGAGCCCGTTCCACCGAACTACTACATTACTGTTAACTCGGACCGGTGGCTACATGCAGAAACTCGACTTCCCATCTCCTTCAAGCACCTCATCCTACCTGAGAAGTTCCCTCCACCTACACCCCTTCTCGATCTTCAACCTCTCCCTCTCTCCGCACTCCACAACAAGGAGTTCGAAAGCATCTACTCGACTACACTTCAGACGTTCAACAAGATTCAGACACAAGTGTTCCAAGCGCTTTATACCTCAGATGAAAACATCTTCATTGGTGCGCCCACAGGCAGCGGGAAGACCATTTGTGCCGAGTTCGCTCTACTGCGGTTGTGGAGCAAACGCGAACAGAAGCGCGCAGTCTGCATTGAGCCATATCAGGAGATGGTTGACCAACGGGTAGCCGAGTGGCGGAATAAGTTCGGTCAACTGCAGGATGGGAAGGAGATTGTAGGTTTGACTGGTGAAACAAGCGCAGACTTGCGCTTGCTCGAGAAGGGTGACGTCATTGTATGCACTCCTCTGCAGGTGAGAGACCTACTCCGTGCTATACATACAATGTTTCTAACCATTTGTTGTAGTGGGACGTGGTCTCTAGGCGTTGGCGACAACGTAAGAATGTTCAAAACATTGGCCTCCTCATTGCGGATGAGGTCCAGCTCGTCGGTGGCGAAGTCGGACCCACATACGAGGTTGTCATCTCAAGGACACGGTACGTGTCTGCCCAGACCGAGATCAAGACCCGCATTGTCGCATGTGGTGTCTCGCTGGCCAACGCTCGTGATCTTGGTGAATGGATAGGTGCACCTTCACATGCCATTTTTAACTTCCCTCCTAGGTAAGTTTTTTATACGTACCCTGCCTGTACACAACTCAAGCTTTCGCCCCAGTGCCCGACCATTGGACATGGATATTCACTTGCAGAGCTTCACTATCCCCCATTTCCCATCCCTCATGATCGCCATGTCCAAACCCGCCTATCTGTCTATCCTCGAGTATGCTCCGACCAAGCCTGTCATTATCTTCGTACCCTCTCGCAAGCAGTGCAAGATGACCGCCGATGATCTGCTACTGCATTGCAGCGCCGATGACAACGAGGACCGGTTCTTGAACATTGAATTGGCAGACTTGCAGCCTCATCTAGACCATGTCAGCGATCGGACGTTAGTGGAGACGCTTAAGCACGGAGTTGCATATTACCACGAGGCCCTCAGCAAGCAAGATAAGCGAGTTGTGGAACGTCTTTTCCAGTCCGGCGCAGTGCAAGTGCTCATAGCTTCGAAGGTCAGCCTCACTTTGTTTGCAGCGTGCGCAACCTTCTCATAACTTCACCAGGACACTGCGTGGAGCATCCCTGTGGCCAGCTACATGGTCATCATCATGGGTGTACAGTTCTATGAAGGAAAGGAGCATCGCTATGTCGACTATCCTGTCATGGACGTCCTGCAGATGATGGGTCGGGCCTGTCGTCCAACCGAGGATGACAGGAGTCGATGCGTGCTGATGTGTCAACAGACTCGAAAGGACTTTTACAAGAAGTTCCTTGCAGAAGGTTTGCCCATCGAATCGCACCTTCCCACACATCTTCTCCACGATTACTTCCTTGCGGAAATCGCTGTCCGGACGATTGAAAACAAGCAAGACGCAATGGTAAGGCGATATGATTATATCCTTTGATAACCTTTTAACGGCCTTATAGGACATCTTGACCTGGACGTACTTCTACCGACGCATGACGCAAAACGCCAACTACTACAACTTACACAACGTCAGCCATCAACATCTTTCCGATCACCTGTCCGAGCTTGTTGAGAATACCCTCAATGACCTTGTGAACTCAAAATGTATCGCCATTGGTAAGATTTTCTTGGTTACAACTTCACAGCGTGTACTCAACGTGATATTACAGAGGACGAGATGGACGTATCTCCTCTCAACTTGGGAATGATTGCAGCCTACTACAACATTTCTTGTCAGTGCTCTCTGTTTTCCCATCACCTCTCAACAGTTCTCACAATCTGTCCTCGTATATAGACGTCACCGTCGAGGTGTACACTCTGTCGCTGAAAGAGCGTACGAAACTCAAGGGTCTTCTCGAAGTTGTCTCTTCTTCTGCCGAGTTTGAGAACATTCCCATTCGCCGACACGAGGATTCACTGCTTCGTCGGATCTACGACCGCGTACCGGTGAAATTGGATCACGCTGACTTCGAGGCGCCCCACTTCAAGACGTTCTTGCTCCTCCAGGCACATTTCTCCCGCTTGACTCTTCCGCCAGACTTGGTCGCAGACCAAGCCTTGGTCCTCGAAAAAGTTTTGAACCTGCTCTCGGCATGTGTGGATGTAATGTCGTCCAACGCTTGGCTCAACGCTCTAGGCGCCATGGATTTGTCGCAAATGTGCGTGCAAGCGATGTGGGAGACCGACTCCCCACTGAAGCAAATCCCGCACTTTGAGCTCGACGTTCGTACCTCATCGTCTGAATGACTATAAACTTATAATGTTTCGTCTCGTAGGTTGTCAAACGGTGCAAAGAGGCTGGCATTGAATCTGTCTACGATGTCATGGAGATGGAAGATGACAAGCGGAATGCGCTCCTCCAGATGAATTCCCCACAGATGTAAGCTCTCAGTTCTGGCTTATCCTATGTCGTCTAACTGTTATCCATCTAGGCGCGACGTTGCCGCATTCGTCAACTCCTACCCTACGCTTGATGTCACACACGAGCTCGTCAAGGGAGAGTACACAGCGGGCGGCCCTATCGTGTTGCAGGTTGCACTCAGCAAGGATGCAGACGAGGAGGAGGAGGCTGGCGATGCCTCCGTCGTCGCGCCGTACTTCCCTGGGAAGAAGCTTGCCAACTGGTGGGTCGTGGTCGGCGAACCCAGCACACGACAGCTGCACTCCATCAAGCGCGTGACCGTCACTCGGAGCCTCAACGTCAAGCTCGAGTTTACGCTACCGAAGGGCACGCACTCGCTCAAGCTATACGTCATCTGCGACTCGTACGTCGGCGCCGATCACGACATCCCGCTCGACCCCATTGATGTTGCGGAGGGCGAGGATAGCGACAGTGACGATGACGATGGCAGCGACGACGCCATGGAGGAGTAGATGGGCAGATTCTTCGCGGACTGCGTGTGGCTCCCAAAATGTATCAGTAGCGGTTGTTTGCTTTTTCTTTTTCGTGTACCGATGTACCATATGTACCCGTTGGTGAACAGCGTTATTCTTGAGTTGCTTCTTGCATCAATGAACCGAAACACACTTTGAGAGTCAAGGAAGTGCAGGCTCTGATCCTAGTCGTCTGTGCACCACCATGCTTTGTAAAAACCAATTATCAGATAGTATAGATATCCCAATGAGAGATCATCATGCGAGTCCGAACACGCCGTAGTCTACTCAACCTTAGCTAGACCGATATCGATGACCGCCATCCGGCTCGTGTCCAACGCACCAGTCTTCAGCTTCTCAAGCGTATCCTTGAGGTCCCTAAATATCTTCTCCTTGTCCGTCGCCTAGAACGTACACACCGTCGCGGTGAGCATGCCTAGGACGTGAAAAACTCAATTCGGCGCACCTGAAAACGCGTCACACGCCCCGAAGTGCTGGGAGACACGAAGAAGAGGGTCTCGCAGATAGTCTGTCGGTTGATCGTTACGTTGATCGGCGTGTGCGTCTGGTGAGAGGGCGAAGAACGCGTACCTCGGAGGGCGGAGGGTGGTATACGAGCTTGAAGGGCTGCAGGCCGACGTCGGGCGAAGCGGCTGTCGCGAATCTCGCCCTCGTTTTCGCCTGTGCTGGCGAGGACGCGCTCGTCCTCGCGCTTTTCCTGGCTGTTGCCCCTGCTTTTCTGGGGCTCGCGAGGGGAGGAGCGTCTGGGCGCTCGACGAAGGTCGCGTCCTCCATGATAATGCCTGAGGCGGGATCGGGGGACTGCGGACGCGGCGTAGGGGCAGGGGCAGGGAACGCCTGCCCGCGGAGCGCGCTCAGGACTACGCGCGCGATGCCCATCCCGACGAAGCACACGATGCGTGGGCGCACGTGGGCGATCTTTGTGAGGAGCGCGGGCACTGACGCGGCCATTTCGGCGGGGGAGAGCTCACCTGCCTAGAGGGGGGATACACGGTGTCAGCTGCAGAGCCAGAGCCAAAGGGAGGAGGGGGGGAGAGGTAAGGGGAAGGGGCGAGGGCGCACCTCGGTCGAGGGGCGCTCGACGAGGTTGGTCTGGCAAGATATGGGTTGAGCAGGCATCCAGACGCGGATATGGGACGGGGACAGGGACGGGACTGACTAGGCCGAGATTGAACCGCTCGGGGAGCGTGTGATCTTCCGTAGGCGGAATCCGGGTCGGCGTGAAACCTGCAAGTGACCACAAGTATATTGAGATAACCTCAGAGGCATGAACAGCACATAGTAACATACCCGACGCGTGCAGGCAGCGGTAGAAGTGGTTGGTCGGGTTGCAGAAGTGGTGGCCCCTTTCTGCAGACATGTATCCCGGGCTGAGCGGCCGCGCGGGCGCGGGAGCGGTGTTCATTAGAGCAGGGCGAGCGCACCGTGCACCGACGGAGCGCCGCTTACTTTATGCCACAGAATACGACTTGGGGGCGCCGCCGACGTGAATGGAAATCTGTGTCAGGACCGGGCCAAATAGTCTACGTGTAACGCGCGCACCATCCAAGCCCGGCGCGAGGTAGTCGTTCAGCGCGGCGAGGTGGGCATACGTCTCGGGAGGCGCGTAGCCCCTCTTCGGCTTCTTCTTCGGCGACGTCAGAGAGTCCGTCTCTTGCTCGCCTCTCTTTCTGCTCGCCGGAGACGCGGGCCGCTTGCGAGACGTCTTCCGTGGCGCAGGAAGCACGTCGTCGTCGTCGTCGTCGCGGTCGCCGGACGCGTACTCAGACTCGCGTTTCACGGATCGGGGCAGGCGCTGCGAGCGGCGCAGAGAGCCTTCGCTCTTCGCGGGTGAGAATCTGAATTCTGAGAGCGCAGAGCGGAAGTTGAGGACGGAAGCGTTGTCTGCGACGGCGTCTTCTACTTTGATACTCTGCTCGATGGTCATGGTGTCGGTGAGAGACGGGCTAACCCCACGCTGTCCCAGTAGGTTGGCTCACTGGACACGATCGGTGGAGCACTGATTTACGCATCGTTGAGGTTGGCCGAGGTAGCGAAGTCCTTTTATACGGCTGCGTCTCGCGGATATTCATCTGTGGAGACCGTCGCTCAATCGACATTCTGCGAGAATGCGCATGCACCGTCTCCCGCACAAGAAACCAGACGGAAAAACAAGGCCACCAAACACGCCCGTCGCTCGTTTGCCCGCCGTACGCAAACAAAAAAACAACAGCTTACAACCTCTCGTAGTACAAGTCCTCGTACATGTACACGCCCACCCGCCTCCGGCCGCGCTGCACTTCGCTTGTTGCACGGAACGGGGCACCTCGACTGCGCTGGGCGCTGGACCACAGACACGACACGACACGACACGACACGGACGGACGACATGCGCAGATTGACACCTCAGAAACCGATAGCTACAGGCTCACTCCCGTGCCGAGGCCGAAGCGGCAGCCACGGCAGCACACAGACACAGGCACGGACACGGACACAGACTCAAACACGGACACAACCACAAGAACACAGACACGGGAAAACAGACGCAAGCCATAGGCGAGGCCCGACAAGCGACTCACGGCCGCTTCCCGCGCCACCCGCCGCCGATCCCGCCGCCGAGCGCACCGCCCCCGCCGAGGCTGAACGCCGCAAAGGCGGCCCCGGGGCCCGCGCTCACAGGGCTCATGCTGTCCGGCCCGGAGATGGGGCTCGACACGCTGCTGGTTTTGCCGTGGAAGGAGGAGCGGAAGGAGGACTGGGGCACCGCTTGAATGGAGAGGAACTTGTTCGGGAGGGGGCGGTCTTCTGTGTTATACTGTTCCGTAAAACCGCGGGAGAGAGACAAGTCAGCGAGCTGCGAAGCGAGGAGAGCCCCTAAAGGGCGCGCGCACCTGGAACTCGAGGCCGATCCCGTCTGCCTCGGAGACGTCTAGCAACTTCACGAATTTGCGCCCGATGCCGTTGATACGCTCCACGTCGTCCTTGCTGCGCATCCAGAGCTGGATGCGGTCGACCTTGCTCCTCAGGCTGACAACCGCGCCACAGATCTCGTCCGTCTCGTCAAGCTCCTCGCCGACGAGCGCCATCGTAAGCCACTGCCAGCAGCGGTCGAGCAGCGCGGGGTTGTTCTTCATCGTCAGCACCCATTTGCCGCCGTTCGCGTTCGCGTCGTCTTCCCACATGGGCTTGATGCCCGACTTGAAGATGTGATAGTTCGAGTTGCGGTCGAGCTTGCTCGGCGGCTTCAGCCAGTTGAAGTAGCGGCAGTACGACTCGACGGTGTCGAAATCGCCGACGGTCGTGAGCCCCGCCTCGTACACGCCGGCCTCCGCGGGCGCGGGGTGGTTCGCGCCCTCGACGACGGCCGCGGGCGTAAAGGGGATTTTTGTCTTCGTATCATGGTAGATCGTCCTGTGGATGTGCGCCGCACAAGTGAAACACCATGTTAGCGCCGGGAGGGAGCTCCACGAACGAGCGGCTGACGCACCATGAATGTTGCAAGGGGTGTTCGGGAGCCTTGGTCATGAGGCCCGGCGTCTGGGGATCTTCGATGGACTCTGCCTCGGGGGGCACAGGGGTGCCGTCGACGCTGAGCGTCCTCGTCCTCGCGTAGTGCGCGGTGATGGCATCAAGGCTGGGGATGTTCTTGTATCCCTTGACCTTCTTCGGGGGCTTGTCGCCCGTCTCCTGTGCGAGCTTCTCGACCTTGTCAAAGGTAAGCGGCTCGCCGACGTCGCCGTTGACGGAGCCGGCGGTGGAGTTGGGCGGAGAGATGGAGAGGGCGCCGGGGGAGGTGGAGCGGGTGATGGGGGGGTTGACGGCGGTGGAGTCGGCGGTGGAGGTTGTAGTCGAGAGAGAGGTAGTCGAGCCCGTGCGGAGGAGGGAGGCGGCGAGGCGAGGCCTGTTGTTGACGGGGGAGATGGAGGAGGATGAGTTGGCACCGATGCGGGCGGCAAGTTGGTTCAGGGAGGGCAGGCGACCTCCAGACGGCGCCCGCTCGGACTTGGAGACGGTGGTGGCAGCGGCGGGGGGAGGAGCGGCAGCCATTGTTGTGTGTGCGGACGTCGGCGTCGTCGTCGTCGTCGTCGTTGTGTTCGTCGTCGTGATCGAGGATGTGGAGAGACCACAAGCCTGCGACAAGCGTGTTCGGCGTCACCGAATGCTGTGGGACGGGTTATGTAATGTATGCACGTGCGGTGACGCGTGCCCCGGTCGCGCGACGCGTGTTAACAGGGCGTGTCGCTGTCGCCAGGAATGGGCAGCCAGGCAGGTCGCCATCGCCGTTATCGACGCCATCGCACCCAACGCACCGCCGCAAAATCTGGTCGCGCGTAGCTATGTCCCACCCAAGCCAGTCCACAGTGCGTCATTGCTTTCTCGCCGCGGCTCTGATCCTATCGCAGTCCGAATGACGCATTTCATACAGCCACATGCCGCGAGATTGAAAGAGCTCGCGGTCGAGATATCCGGCCTCGACAAAGATATATCCAAGCTCCAAGCCGCGCGCCAGAAATGCATCGACCAGCGAAATGAGATCCTGCACTCACAGATGAGAGCCAGCGCAATCTCCCGCAAACCCTCGATGGACTTCTCTGTATCCTCTGCAGACGTGCGTATGGACTACTACGGACACTTTGAGTGGTCGCAGGAGCTCCGCCTACGCATGAAAACTATATTCAACATCGACGACTTCCGTCTCTGCCAGGAAGGGTGCGTACTCTGCGCGCTACACGTGCCATTTCGCTTACAGTGGTCCAGCGTGTGCAACGCGAACATGGACGGCCGAGACATCATCTGCATTATGCCCACAGGTGACGCTGCTTAGACTCCGACATCTGCTCGCCCGGCCCCCGCTCATCGCCGCCCTCTATCATCTAGGTGGCGGCAAGTCACTAACGTACCAGCTCCCCGCGCTTCTCGCTCCTGGCTGCACCGTGGTCATATCACCGCTCATCGCTCTCATGACGGACCAGATCATGCACCTTACAGAGGCCGGTAGTGAGTCCCTCCTCCCGCCGCCCCACTTTCCATAGGCACGCTTCCTGATAACTGTCCTCGGATTCATGTAGTCGAAGCCGCTATGCTCACCGGCTCCAAATCTCGTCAGTACCAGGACGAGGTACTTCGTCGCTTAGAGTTCAGCCCGCGAGCCCTCCAAAACAGCGCGCAAAAAGAGATTAAACTTTGTTACGTTACGGTGACTCAGCTGTGTATGCCTCCGGGAGTTGTGTCTTTTGCTAACGGAGACCTATATACCTATCTTGGGCGGGTATATGCGTACAGCCGGAAAAGATGAACAAGGACAAAAGGATGATGGAGGTCTTTTCCAGGATGTCTCAAGACAACCGTCTCGGCAAGTCGCAGGCCACTTGTGCCCCTTCGCCGATCTTGGCTTCAACTCATTCCTTTCACTTTGGACAGCACGATTCGTGATTGACGAGGCTCACTGTGTCTCGTCACTCGGACATGATTTCCGGTTTGTCATGCTACCTGCAGACCATGTCCATGACACGCTCCTCTGCTGACCTCGACTCTTTCGTATTCAGGCCGGATTACATGGCACTGTCGGAACTCAAGAAGATGTTCCCGAAAGTCCCCATTCTCGCCCTGTCCGCGACATGCCCCCCGCGGGTCCTGACAGACCTGCTCGCAACGCTGCGTCTCGGCCCCAAGACTGATGGTAGAAGTGAGCACTCGGATCCGCGTCACGCCGCACTATGTCGGCCTTCTCATTTTTTTTTGCCTGCATCTCTGTCTTTCTGCAGATGCGAGCCTGAAGGGGACAGTGTCCTTCTCGAGTCCGCTGTACAGGCGCAACCTGCACTACAGAGTCCTCGCAAAGCCGAACAACGAAACGCTACTCAAGCTCATGACCGAGTACATCCGCGCCTCGCATCCCAACGAGACCGGCATCATCTACTGTCTTTCCCAGGCGGTGCGTCCGTGTCCTCCCTTCCCACGTTCGCCGGCACACTGAATGCGGACGCGTCTGCGCGGGCGCACTGGAATAGGACGCCGAGAAGGTCGCGAAGGGTATATGGGAAGAGAGCGGGAGAAAGATCAAGACAGGCGTGTATCACGCGGGCATCGCGGAGGACACGAAAGCGAAGCTGCATGAAGACTGGACGACGGGGAAGGTGCAGGTCGTGTGCGCGACGATCGGTGCGTACGCCACAGCAGGCAGCGTTCTCGGCCTGACGTGTCGCAGCGTTCGGTCTCGGCGTCGACAAGGCAGATGTCCGATTTGTGCTTCATCATTCGGTACGCGTCGTCTATCCACGCGCTCTCGTCTCGCTCACCGTGTACCTGGCGATCCACTCCAGCTACCGGTGCGTCCCCTTCCGCCGCATGCTACAATCGCCCGGGCTCACTGTTCCCTCATGCGCGGCAGACATCGTTGGAGAATTACTATCAAGAGTCGGGCCGTGCGGGCAGGGACGGCAAGGATGCAGAGTGTATACTGTACTACAAGGCGCACGACGCGTTCAGGCGGCCAAACATCCTCCTGGACGATCTCGACGGCCAGACCAAGAGTAAGCCGTCCGTGTGTCACCGAGCGCTCGACGTACTCATCGCACCTGCGGGCCAACGACCCGTGTCGCAGTCCACGGCATGCTCCGGTTCGCGCAGGACCTGGAGGAGTGCCGCAACGTACACTTCGCGAGGCGAGTGTGCCCCCTCACCCACTCTCGAGCACCGCATCGCACCGCACCGTCTGACCAGACCACCCCTTTTCTCGCGTTTCACGTGCGGCACGCTCCAGGCACTTCTCAGAGTCCGCGGACCGCGCAATGGCGGTGTGGACGGCGGACAGCGACGGGGACGGGGACACGCTCGCGCGGTGCGGGCACTGTGACAACTGCACGCGACCGCCGGAGACGATCGACGTGCGGGACGTCACGCTCGACGCGTGGCGCGTCCTGCGCCTCGTGGAGTGCGTCGCGCAGAACAAGCGCTACGTGACGCTGCCGATGCTCACGGACCTCGTCCGCAACGCGCGTAGCGAGCGGATTCGCAATCTGGGCGTGGACGTGCCCGCCGTCGCGGGCGGCAAGGTCGCCCTGCGGAAAGAGGTGCGTGCTCGTACTCGTGCTCGTGCTCGTGTTGTGCCGATGCCCGCCCGCGTATACTGACTACGTTTCGCTGATCGCTCGGATCGGCGTGCAGGACGCGGAGGCGCTCGTGATCCACCTGCTGCTCGCGAACTACCTCAGGGAGACGTGCTTGAGCAATGACTATGGCACCATCGTGTACCTCGTGCTCGGCCCATGCGCGGTGCGGCTGCTGGACAGACACACACCGGCGGACGCGGGGGCGCTTGAGGAGCGCGTGCTGTGTGCGTTCGAGAGGCCCGCACGGAGGCAGGCGCGGCGGCGCTCGCGCGTATCGCATGCGGGCGAGGGGTCGCGGTCGCGGCCGAGTGTGGGGTCGCAGCCGACCCCGGGGGCAGAGGCGAGAGTGAGGAAAGGCAATGTTTCTCGAACTCGGAAGCGTAAGCGTGTCGAGATCCAGTATGAGGAGTCTGTGATTTTTTCGCTTAGCGAGAGCGAGAGGGGGGACGAGGGCAAGGGCGAGAGCGAGGGACAGGGAGAGGACGAGGACGCGGACGCGGACGGCGGCGGCGAAGCGGGTTCCTCATCTCGCGCGCGCGCGTTGTCTTTCTCTTTCACGACGAAGAGGATCGCGCGCGCCGCCGAGGGCGAGCATTCAGAGTCAGAAATCTTAGCCGTGATCGGTGACGTGAGGTCCGCCCCGAAGCGGAAAGGAACAAGAGAGACAACCGAGGGCGCGTGGGCGGGAAAGCAGAGAGGGTCGCCCCCAAGGCGCAAGCGCCATCGTCGTCAAATGGGTATGTTCGCGATCGACGACGACGACGACGACGATGACAACGACGACAAGATAGAGGTTGTGAACGAGGAAAAGAATTATTGGATACCGAACATGCGCGACAGCGTCCCTCCGCAGAGTGGATGGAACGCGCGGCAGGAAGAGCCGATTGAGATTTCGTCAGACTAGGACCGCGTGTGTTGAATAAGTTTTATATTGCTTTTAGGTACGTAGCGGTTAAGGTGTGTGCGTGTAAAAGTACAACTACGCAAGTGCATGCTATGGTGGAATGGTATACAGCGCGTCTGGCGGAGCCTGCTGTCAGACGCACGACGACATACGGACGGTCCGGAAAAAAAATAGGACAGCATGAGCGCGAATAAAACGCACGAATGATATAGAGCGAATAACTGAGTGGGGCGGATCTGGTGTGCGAAAAGTTTCGTAGAAATACAGGGCGTGCCATCGCTCAGATGCTATTCGCGTGACCCTGAGGGTACTTGGGGCGTTTGAGCGCAGATCGTAGTACTTTGGGCATGAGTCGGTGCTGCATGTCGATTCGGACGCCCTCTTCGTTCATCCATCCTACGCCGTAATCTGGGTAATTTTGTAGGTCGAGAGGGTATTCCTGGCCTTGCGGTGCAGGCTTGTACGCGCCGACGTTCGTCCACAATTGATCTCTGTGAGAAAGGGGGAACGAAAAGTCGGCGGGCTGAAGAACGTGAGAGAAGAACAGACGTACCCTCGGCGGTTAAACCAGCCTTTGCGGCGCTGGTGGGTGGGTATGGGAGACGGACAAATCAGGTTTTCGTTCCATCGCACGCAGCGCGTGTTGAGGATCGGCTGCGGCCGAGCGGGCGCTCCCGCTTGAGGGATTTGCGCGGGCGCACTCACGACGTCTCGAGGATCGGCCGGATGCATCCTATTTGATGCCGCCGGTGTTGATGGGGGTAGTGTCGGGCGCTGGCTCTGGTCGGAAAGCGTGCGGCTGCGCTGTGGTGGGGGTCTCGATGGAGCGGACGATGAGGGCCCAGCGACGCGTGCATCTGGGGGTCGTGATAAGACGGGGGGTTCATTTGGACGAGGTGCTGGAACGGAAAATGATTCTCTGCGCTCCCTGCGGACGGGCGGAGGCGCGCTGTGCAATTCGGGATGACGGTCAGCGACGGGGCTGGGTGGTGGTGATGATGACAAGCCAGGCGGAAAGGCTTGTCGTCCGTCTGCTACAGGACGGTCGAGCTTTGACTGGCGAGACGAGCCAGGTTGCTCGTCCCGAACAACCATATCCTGTCTATGGAGGGCAGCAGGTGCGGCAGAGCGGGCGGGGTAAGCGTTGGAAGGATGAATCTGTCGGGGATCCGGTCTTGCCGCAGATGTCGAACAGTACGTTCTCTGTCGACAAGGCTCCCCAGCGGCGGTGCTGTCGCTATCTGAGTCTGAAGATGAACCGGACCCTGAAATCGGAAACGATGAGCATGCCAAAAGAAGGACAATGCCGCTGTCGCGCGCACCTTCTGGAAGAGAAAGGTTAATAATCCCGGAGCCGGTGGATTTCTGAGCGACAATGAGGGCAGGAAGATTTGCTGGGACTATCCGGCTAGGCGGATGAGTTGGCAAAGCGTCATCTACGTCCGAGTCATCATGGTGGTTTTCCGCAGTCAACGCCAAGGTGCTCAGAAGCGTCTCCGTACTACTGCATGCACGAACGGAGGAAATCTCGCCAGAAAACGACATGATTGAATCATCGTCGGCATCGTGCGGTGACATACGATCCGAGAGAGACTGAAGGTCCGATTTTGACGAGACTGAAGCCTCAAGAATATATGTATAACGAGAGCCGCCGGGGTAGACACCGTACCCATGAGTTACAGAGGGACCCTTGCGGGCGTAGTTGTTATCGACAGCAGAGTTTGTTGGCAATTGACCAGCAACAGGATGGAAAAACGTGTTCTGAGCCGACGCGAATTTTGCCCCGGCCGTGGTGGGTTGCGCAGCAGATCTCGGTAGGGGGTCGGAAACGGAAGAACCGTTCGGTACACCGGATTTAGATGAAGATGAAAAAAGGCCTGAGGTCAGTGAAGAGTTGTCGAAGAGGCGTAAGGACAGTCCTCTGGGCAGGCCAAACATAGTGCTCTTATGGAATAACATAAGCCCGGGCTCAAACGAACTCACAAGTACCAGACTCACTTTGGTCGTCCCAGTGCGGGCATTTTTCGTCGAAGACATGTCAGGAAAGGTACGAGAGTAGGAGGCCAACCAGCGTTAGGGGTCGATATAAGACAGAGGGTCTTTAAGCCCCGGCCAGCGTTCTATCGGTTGACCAACGTCATGCCTTCTACACGAGTTTGAGTGTTTGATGGGCGTGTCTGCACAGTCTAAGCATGCCCACGAAGAAGACTGGATTGAGGACACGCCCAAAAGGTGAGGAGATGATCTCGACCACAATGAAGTGTCAACTAAATGTGTGATATTCTCCAGGCTCGCACTCTAAAAACGGTCAGCCTTCCACGATCGTCCTGAAATTGATGTAGTCAGGTTAGAGTTTGTCGCGGAACCCATCACATAAGAGGTCTCGAGTCATTCCAGTGCACAAGACCTGGTCAAACCTCCTCACATTGCCCTGTCCGAAGTGGACGTTGCGAACATGTGTTTGTGACGAAGGGTGACAGAGTGTCACAAGACGATCATGTTCTGAGTTCATGGACGGTCACGCGATCTACTCAGAAGCCTTCCGCTTTCTTCGTGTCTGTTGCCTGTGTCGCTATTGTACAGAGACGGCTTAGAACGTTGAAGAGGACATATACACCGTGGAAAGCTGTAGCAGCTGGCCGGACAGCTCAGATCTCACAACGAGTGAGATTATTTATCATTTGCATCTTCCCGGACACTCATTTAGTCAATTGTAGTTCTATCGACTCAGTTGGCATTGCAACTTTGGGTGATACTCAATTGGTTTTCATACGTTCATAGATGCATGCGCTTCGTCAAGAAATTCTTCCACCTAATGGTGTGGAATTCGCTGCAAGTTTGAAGTTGACGCCCTCGACTATCGCCGACGACACTGTACCAACGCCTTCAACCTCTGCAGTACAAGACAACATCACTTCTCGCGCTCTCTACAATCTCGTGGTCGCACGTTCCAATATTCTACGCGTCTTCGAAGTCAAAGAGGAACCGGCGCCCATCTCGGCTCAACTGGATGACGAAAGGGAGCGGCGGTCCAATGTGAGGAGAGGGACTGAAGCTGTGGAAGGAGAAGTGGAAATGGATGAGCAAGGGGAAGGCTTTGTGAACGTTGGCTCCCTTAAGGTGATTTCGAATACCTCCTGTCATCTTACAGCGGAACGCACAATACCAGCCGCCAATCCCGTTCTTTCTTGGTCGCGAACGTTAAAACGCATGAGAATCGTTGCTGATAGACTCATACTTGTCTTCAGTCTACCGGACCTAAGGGCGCCACCCGCGCGCCAACTGTCATTCGATTCCACTTTCTTCGAGAGCACCGTCTTCACGGAACTATTACGGGCTTGGAAGGCATACGAATCATATCTTCTCTGGATGACAAGTTGGATCGCCTCCTTGTTTCTTTCAAAGAAGCCAAAGTTGGTCATCAAGCTTCCCACCGACATTATACTGGCTGATGATTCTCCTTAGATCGCACTGCTTGAATGGTCTGATACGGCACGCGGGCTTGTCACCGTATCCATTCACACATATGAAAGGGCCCCTCAGCTGGTACATATCATCGTTCACTCATTGCACATAAACCCTTACCTCTGACGCCATAAGCAGCTATCACTAGACTCTTCCCTATTCACCGCCGAGCTGCGGTCTGACCCTGTTTCACGATGTGCGGCCCTAAAACTTCCTCAAGACGCGCTCGCCATCCTCCCGTTCTATCAGACGCAGGCTGAGCTTGATGTCATGGAACAAGATCAGACCCGTTCTAGGTGAGCGCCTCATGTATATCTTCTGCCCTCGGACTCACCTGGTTATCGAAGGGATGTGCCTTATTCCTCGAGTTTTGTCTTAGACTTGGCGACTGACGTCGACGAGCGCATTCGAAATGTTGTCGACTTTGTTTTCCTCCCTGGGTTCAATAATCCCACAATTGCCGTGCTCTTCCAACCGCAACAAACGTGGACGGGGTAAAGTGACTTCTTCCAATGTTCTAGCCCTGATTGACGTTTTCTCGCATTTCAGCCGTCTAAAAGAATTCAAAGATACTATGACGCTCTTCATTTTCACATTAGACCTGATAACCCGAACCTATCCAGTCATCGTGGCGGTCGACGGGCTGCCCTATGACTGCATGTCACTACTCCCATGCTCGCCAATGCTCGGAGGTGTGGTTGTGCTCACCAGCAACGCCATTATACATGTCGATCAGGCATCCCGCCGAGTGGTTCTTCCCGTTAATGGTTGGTCATCACGCGTCAGTGACATGCCTATGCCTTCTCTCTCTCCGCAGGACCAGACACGCGACCTGCAATTGGAAGGCTCGCGCTTGGTGTTTGTAGATGAGAGGACATTATTCGTCATCCTCAGGGATGGCACGATCTACCCTGTCGAGTTCTTCGTGGACGGTAAAGTCGTGTCGAGGCTTTCAATGACAGCTGCGCTCGCTCAGACCACAATACCGACTGTTGTAAAATTGATGGGCGAGCATCTGTTCATTGGAAGCACGGTCGGTCCTTCTGCTCTGCTTCGAACCGCAAAGGTCGAGGAAGACATCAAAGAAGAGATAGACGAAAATGGCTTAACCTCGGCTCCTGCAGCCGTCGTTGATGCTGCGAATGCCATGGAGGTGGATGATGATGACGGCGAGTACCACGCGGTCCCACTACGTCACTCAGATCACTTATGACTTCGCAACAGACATATACGGCTCCTCGTTGCAGGACCCTCAGCCCACTACCCTAGGCGGACTCAATGAGACGGCTTCTACGGTGAAGAAGAGGACCGTCATCCACCTGTCGCTATGTGATTACTTGCCTGGTTACGGGCCGATCTCTGATATGGCTTTCTCATTGGCAAAAAATGGAGTAAATATGCTATCTACTATCAGACCTATGTCCTGTTTAAACTCGTCTTTCTAGGATCGCCCTATGCCAGAACTGGTAGCAGCAACAGGTTCAGGCGCCCTTGGGGGTTTTACCTTATTCCAGGTATTGGCATCTTTGAGCCCTAGATCAAATGCTTGCTCAACTCCTCTCCAGCGCGACCTTCCTATTCGAACGAAACGCAAACTACATGCCATTGGTGGCGCACGAGGGGTGTGGTCGATCCCTGTCCGGCAGGCCGTCAAAGTCAATGGTGTTTCATATGAGCGACCCATCAACCATTTCTATGCAGACGATGACTCCGTCATCATCAGCACCGATGCAAATCCATCACCAGGACTCTCCCGGGTATGGTGCTTGCGCCTGGCTGGCAGTCATAACTCAAACTTTCCTTAGATCGCGGCACGATCACCGAAAAATGACATCACCATCACGACGCGCATACCAGGAACTACGATCGGAGCAGGGCCCTTCTTCCATGGGACCGCAATCCTCCACGTGTTGACAAATGCTATCCGTGTACTCGAGCCAGGTTGGTCTCTCAGAAGAAACTTTGGTTGAACTTACTCATTGTGTCTAGATGGTTCTGAGAGACAAATTATCAAGAATATGGACGGGAATAACTACCGTCCGAAAATCAAGTATTGTAGCATCTGCGACCCGTTTGTGCTTATTCTCCGTGAAGACGATACCATCGGCTTGTTCATCGTGGCAGAGGGTGGCAACAAGATTAGGCGCAAAGACATGTCACCAATGGGCGAAAAGGTGCGGTTCTTCACCCTCTGTGGTGTCAACATCCTCATCGAACCACTCACCTTCAGACATCGCGTTATATCGCTGGGAGTTTCTTCACGGATACTACTGCATTATTCCAGACGCACACCAATGACAGCTCGAATGGTTCAAACGAGCAGATCACAACTTCCACTCTCCAAGCTGCAATGAATGCAGGGACAAAGAGCCAGTGGCTTGTCTTATGCCGACCGCAGGGCGTGATGGAGGTGGGTCAACAGTTCCATTGAACATCATCATCGCTCACACTCGAATGCGCATCAATAGATCTGGTCATTGCCAAAACTGACTCTAGTATTTTCGACAACAGCACTGGCTTCCCTTCAAAGTCTCCTCGTCGATTCCTTTGACCCTCCCACGTTATCACTCCCACAAGATCCTCCCCGCAAACCGCAAGAGTTGGACGTTGACCAAATCCTCATTGCTCCCCTCGGAGAGACATCACCTCGTCCGTACCTGCTGGTGAGCGATGTACGACCAAAGTTATGCTGTCATTGTTGAAACGTTGATAGGTGTTTCTTCGATCCGGTCAACTGGCCATCTATGAAGCTGTCCCGTCGGAAACGTCAACCGATTGGCCGCCAGCATCTCGAGCGGCATCCTTATCTGTTAAGTTCGTCAAGGTGCTCTCTCGAGCTTTCGATATCCAGCATCACGATGAACAAGAGAAATCTGTCCTCGCAGAACAGAAGCGGATATCGCGCTCCCTTGTTCCCTTTGTCACTTCCCCCTCTCCCGAGAATACCTTCTCCGGGGTATTCCTTACAGGTGATCGACCATGTTGGATCTTATCCACGAATAAGGGTGGCGTCAAGCTCCACCCATCGGGGCATGCAGTCGTTCACTCATTCACAACATGTTCCCTCTGGCAATCGAAAGGAGATTTCTTATTATATACAGAAGAGGTAAAGTGTTTTGTTTCAATGCGAACAATGTTGCAAATGATCATCTTGACAACCTCTCTAGGGCCCTAGCTTGCTTGAATGGATGCCTGGCCTCCGGTTAGATATGGATCTACCCTATCGATATGTTCCACGCGGAAGACCATACACCAATGTTCTGTTCGATCCCGCAACATGTTTGATCATCGCCGCGTCTTCGTTGCAAGCATCATTCACCTCCTTTGATGAGGATGGGAACCAGACATGGGAGCCAGACGGTCAGTGTTTTTTCGATTTGCATCGTTAAAGAAAATCCAATGGCAATATTCCTGCAGCTCCCAATGTTTCGTACCCCCTGATTGATTGCTCTACCTTGGAGTTGCTGACTCCGGATGGATGGATTATTATGGATGGGTAGGTCTTGTCCTATGATCGGCTTGATTAATCATCTGACGTATGCTCAGTTATGAGTTCGCCTCAAACGAATTTATCAATGCCATCGAGTGTGTAATGCTCGAGACCGAAAGTACGGATTCGGGCACCAAGAATTACATCGCTGTCGGGACGACTATCGATCGCGGTGAAGACCTTGCAGTCAAAGGAGCAGTAAGATTCGTCTCCGTTTGTCTCTTTTCGAGTGGCTAATGTGTTTCCAGACTTATATCTTCGAGATCGTTGAGGTTGTTCCAGAGCCTTCGTCCGGGCTCAATCGTTCCTTTAAACTCCGATTGCGATGTCGAGACGATGCCAAAGGGCCTGTTACAGCGCTTTGTGGTCTTGACGGGTATCTCGTCTCCTCCATGGGACAGAAGGTGCAATACATATATTTCATTGAATCGATGACGTAACTGACGATGTATCAGATCTTCATACGAGCCTTCGACCTGGATGAGCGTCTTGTTGGAGTAGCGTTCTTGGACGTCGGGGTCTATGTTACTTCTCTTCGGGCGCTCAAGAATCTCATTATCATCTCCGATGCTGTCAAGAGCTTGTGGTTTGTTGCTTTCCAGGTGCGTGAAGTTATCCATCTACCTACAGATGGGAGATTCAAGTGCTTGCAGGAGGATCCATACAAATTATCTATCTTGTCGAAAGATCCACATCAGCACCATGTTGTTTCTGCGGACTTCTTCTTCGCAGATCAACAGTTGTCCATTGTTTCCTGTGACGAGGAGGGTGTGATCAGGATATATGAATATAACCCTCATGGTGAGTACAGCATTCTGGTCATCCAAAGTCGTCTTACCTTCTCTACAGACCCTGAATCCAAGAATGGGCAGCACTTGTTGTGCAGAACTGAGTTCCACGGGCAGATGGAGTATCTGACGTCTCTGACTGTCGCTCGTCGAACAAAAGGAGAGGACATGGCCACGCCTCAAGCCAAGCTCATCTGTGGTATGTTTCGCCTGTATACCATGATGGGTTTGTCTAATATCTGGACTGTAGGAGCTCCGAACGGCTCGCTGACTGCCCTGGTCCCGGTTGACGAGGCTACATTCAAAAGACTACATTTACTACAAGGCCAGCTTACGCGGAACATGCAGCACACAGCTGGGCTCAATCCAAAAGCTTTCCGGTCCGCAAACACTCTCTTGTTCACATTGTTAGATCCACTTACTAACACTCCGCTTACAGTATTGTACGGAATGACTACGTCTCTAAGCCTTTGTCTAAAGGTATCCTTGATGGAAATCTTCTTGCTTCGTTTGAAGAGCTTCCGATTACTCGGCAAAACGAGATAACTCGGCAGATTGGGACGGAGCGAAGCATAGTGTTACGAGATCTGAGTTCGATGGGTGGAGCCTGGTAATGTGTCAAGCGTCGAGTACTTGTTATTTTCCCCAGTGTTATTCTATGTATACAGTATCGATAATTTTGCGCTCTATATGACACGGTTGTTCGTGGCCCCTTTCAAGATGGTTGTTTTGGTCCAAAAATTCGGCGATCTTTTGCACAAACTTTACTTTTTGTCAGACATCTCTCAAACTGGCAATGGCGTCGGTGTCAGCTTGCTCCGAGCTGCTCACTTGAACAGGTTCACCACTAGACCCTAACGTTCGGACGCAACTGGCGAGAGCAATTTACTTCAAAGCTTCCTTCCTTGCTCACCAACTTCGATCGTTGGCACTATATTTTTGACATTCTGCATGCCGTTCGGAGAAATTGTGGTAGGGTCTCCAGGAAGCGGAAAGTCGACATATTGCTTCGGCAAACACCAGCTCTTTTCTGCTTTGAATCGTCCCATCTCTATTGTAAACTTGGATCCTGCTAATGACAACATCCCATATCCCTGTGCGATCGACATTTCATCGATCATCACCCTTCAAGATGTCATGACCGAATACGGTCTCGGGCCCAATGGCGGCATGCTCTACTGCATGGAGTATCTGGAGGCGAATTACGACTGGCTGGAGGAACAACTGAGCGAGCTGGGAAAGGATGCATACGTCTTATTCGACCTTCCTGGACAGGTAGAGCTGAGCACGAACCATCATAGCTTGAAGAGAATCGTTCAAAAGCTGACGAAAGGCGGATTTCGGGTGCGTTGGTATTGAAACTCTTGTGGGCTCTGACAAAAAACTATTCTAGCTAGCCGCCGTCCATCTCTGCGACGCACACTATGTAACCGATGCATCCAAATATGTATCGGTTCTATTATTGTCTCTTCGAACGATGCTTCACCTGGAGCTGCCACACGTCAACGTCCTCTCAAAAGTAGACCTGATTGCGCAGTACGGGGATCTTGGTACACAGATTCCTTCACCTCCCACCTCCCGTCGTCTTATTGGTCTCTTGCAGACTTCAACTTGGATTTTTACACAGAAGTACAGGATTTGTCACATCTGGAGAACACGCTCTCGTCTGCCACACCTCGATTTGCAGCCCTCAACCTAGCAATATGTGGTCTCATTGAGGATTTTGCGCTGGTTGGATTTGAGACACTGGCAGTGGAAGTACGTGCCACTATTTTCGAGCGAGAGAAACACTGCGCTGAACTAATGGGGCTTATGATGTGGCAGGATAAACATTCAATGTTGCATCTAACAAGAGCTATCGATCGTGCAACAGGCTACATATACGTTCCACCTGCTAGTACGCCTGCACCGCAGGGGACTGTCGTTGATCCAGATGCTCCTAGTGCACAGCGTCCGAACTCCTACGCGCTATTCTCGAGTGCCGCCGGACCGATGCTGGGTGCGCGGAGCGACGTGCGCGACGTGCAGGAAAGATGGGTTGATGCGCGGGAGGAATGGGATGCCTACGAGAAGACCCAATGGAGAAAGGAGGGTGAACTAGTCAGAAAAGAAGTAGAGGCAGCTGCGAAGAAAGGTAAGATTAGGGAGAGAAAGGGACCGAACGTGCAGCGATGAGAATTCGTGTTTTGTGATTAGACCTTTGTATTTCACATAGTTGTATCCATGTTCCGTTCCCAGTTTTACGAGGCAGTCTGAGCCAGTTATTAGAGGTGGTCACGTGGGTACTTGAGGGCAGGCATCAGAGGCGCGACACGTCGGCAGGCATCGTCACCGCGCAACAGTTCCATACTACTCAAACCCACCATGAAACTCAAGGAGATACACAGGACATCGACATTCGCGTGGTCCCCGCTCCCTTCCATCCCGCTGCTGGCAACGGGGACAGTCGCGGGAGCTCTGGACGAGTCTTTCAGCAATGAGAGCCAACTCGAAATATGGGCGCCTGACTTTCTGAACAAGCAAGAGTATGACCTCGGTGGGGAGGGTCAACCAGGCCCAAAGGGTGTCGTTACGGACAGCGCAAGGTACGAACATGATATTTTTCCTCTGTCGTGACGGGATTATTCAATGAGGTTGGATAGGTTTAACCGCATTGCATGGGGATATGTGGATGGGAGCCGCCCGCAGGGTGTGATTGCTGCGGGTATGGAGAACGGAGAATTAGGCATCTGGGACCCGGCGAAGATACTTGCCCACGCGCCGTGAGTCCATCGTTCAGCCATCTCGGCTGGCTGTTGACTCCAGTGTGTATAGTGTTTCCGAATCATTGATCTTGAAGAACAACACGCACACAGGGCCTATACGTGGTCTCGACTTCAATCCCATCCAGACCAGCCTGTTCTCGTCCGGTGGAACGAACGGCGAAGTGTGTCCTGACTTCACGTCGCTGGGAGGCTGCCGCAGCTGAACTTGTTTGTAGATCTACATCTGGGACCTCAGAGATCCGAGCAAACCCTACTCCCCCGGAACACGCAGTTCCAAACTCGACGAAATTACAGCTCTGTCATGGAACAATCAAGTTCCTCATGTTCTTGCGACATCGAGCAGCACTGGATATACCGTTGTTTGGGATTTGAGAGGTAAGCGTGAGGTTGTCGCTCTTGCATACGGCGGTGGAGCGGGAACGCTTGGTGGCGGCATGCAGGGTGGTGGAATGGCCTTTGGCGGTCGGCGAGGCATGAGTGATGTTGCTTGGCATCCTGACAATGTAAGTGATGCACGCGATGAACGCACGTTTTTCTCATTGTTTTCTCGTGCAGGCCACGAAACTTGTCACTTCATCTGAAGACGACACCTCTCCTGTCATCATGGTATGGGACCTTCGTAATGCTCGTGCGCCAGAAAAGGTGACACAATTTCTACCTTGGTATATCTCAGTCTAACGCAAAAGTCATCAGATTCTTACCGGTCATGAGAGGGGGGTGCTGTCCTTGTCGTGGTGCAAGCAGGATGCAGACATGCTTCTTTCGAGCGGTAAGGACAACCGCGCGTTGTGCTGGAACCCCCAGACGTCCGAGATTATTGGCGAGGTGTGTAGATCTGCTACCAGCTTTGTTCTCATCATCACACCTTTCGTAGCTTCCTTCCGCAGATAACTGGGCGTTCCAAGTTCAGTGGTGTCCTCGAAACCCTGACCTTTTGGCAACTGCTTTCTTCGACGGAACTATTGGCATTCATTCTATCCAGTCCACCAATGATTCCACTTCTGGTGACCTGCCTATCACGACACCAAGGCCTGACGGAGGAGATGTTTTCGATGTCCCCGGTTTCTCGCGTACGACACAGGCGACCTTCTCGCTCAAGCAACCGCCAAAATGGTTGCGCAGGCCCGTCGCGAGCTCGTTCGGGTACGGCGGACAACTAGTCTCGGTGTCGAACCTGCCGTCAGCTCAGGGAGGACATCAAAGTGGTGTTGTGCATTTGCGCAATATCGTCACGGAGGAAAGCATTGTCGAGCGTGCGAGCAAGTTGCGCGTGGCTCTGGATTCTCAGGAACTCTCAGCTCTTGCTACCGAGCGCAGCAGCGAGGCAGCAGATAAGGCAGAGGAAAGCGAGGAAACTTGGAAGGCACTCTTGAGCCTGTTCCAGACCAACTCCAGGGAGGAACTCGTCACTCTACTTGGCTTCTCCAAATCTGAGATCGCGGCTCGCGTTGCTGAAGCCGTTGCCGATCTCAAGGCGGCCGCCACAGCTGACAACACCACCACGACTCCGCCCTCGCCATCAGAAGGTGATACGTTGGATTCCAAACCCCATGAGCCTGTCGTTTCGTTCGTCGAACCCGAGCGCAGTCCGTCTGAGCTTGGCGAGGACCCCCTAGAATCGGCAGGAAGTGTCACTGAGAATACGCCATCAGAAGTGAGCGCGAGCGCGGCATCAGACAACACTAATATCACACCTTTGGCCGATGGCGAGTCGACGACAACTGCTCCTAGCCTCTTTGGTGATGACAACGCTGTGGGCACGCCTCACATGGACGCGGCTGACTTTTTCAGCACTATGGGGATCAGTCAAAGTACCGCGGATGATGATCAGGTCGTCCCGCATACTAATTACGGCCTCGACTCTTCTGTTGCTGCGACCATTGGATCTGGCCCCTCTTCTGTCGCCTCAGATACCCTGAAAGGCAACACTTTCACAATCTACCCTGAGGACGAGTCTGAGATGGACCAGCTGATTACAAAGGCTCTTGTAGTTGGTGATTTTGAATCCGCGGTCTCATTGTGTCTGTCTACCGATCGTTTCGCTGATGCCATCCTACTTGCGGCAAGAGGTGGCCCGCAGCTCTTGGCTCATACTCAAAAGGCGTATTTCGAACGTCGGACCACTGCCCTGCCTTATCTGCGTCTATTCCAGTCTATCGTCACGAATGACCTTTCGGATATTGTTCAAAACGTTGACCTGAAAGAGTGGCAAGAGTGCTTCGTCGTACTCTGCACGTTCGCTAGCTCTGAAGAGTTTCCGAACCTCGTAGAACAACTTGGCACGCGGCTTGAGTTCCAGGGCAGCCTTGCCAAGTCGTCGGACCCAGACACCCCATGGAAGGCACGAGGCTTCAGGAAGAATGCAACCCTGACATATCTTGCAGCGGGGCGTCTTGAACGCCTCGTCAACATATGGATCGAAGAGTTAGCAGAAGAGGAGAGGCGGATCCTGGCGGATGAGAGTCAGTCCGGCGTATCACGCTATACTGTACATGCATATGCCCTACAGACCTTCATCGAGAAAGTCACCGTCTTCCGTGCGGCGATTCGGTACGTGGACGACGAGATCGAGGCCAAGATACCTGAGGATGGCTCTGCTACTAGAGTCTACAAATTGGCAGCGCTGTACGACCGTTATTTCGAGTATGCCGATTTCCTCGCCACTCAGGGGTTGGTCAAGGACGCAGTAGCTTTCTTGGAGCTCACGCCGCGGCATTACGAAGGCCTGCCTGGCTCGCACGTTGACTTTGCTGTAGGCAGAGAGCGTATACTAATTGCTGGCGGTGTCAGTAAAGCTATCAGTGCTTCAGCAGCTATTGCGCCGACAGGCCTGACCGCCGTGTTGCAACCTGCCACTCCATTGCCCCCTTCCAACTCTTTATATGGCTATCCTCAGTACGGAGCTCCTATACAGCAGCAACCTGTGGCACCTGTGGCACCTCCCGCTACCTATTCGACGTATGCCCCTGCACCGGTGACTACTGCATCCATAGGCAATGTTTATACTCCAGCCAACCCAGCTCCGGCATCTCAGCCATACCCTCCTCCCGCGGGAGGTTACGGTTATGTTCAACAGCAGCCTCCATCCGTGCCGCCACTGGTTCCTCCCCCACCCCGTCCTGCCGCCGGGAATGGTATTTCAGCGCCAGCACCCCCGCAGAAACGAAGGGAGAATGGTGGGTGGAATGATGCCCCACCCTTGTCCGATCGTCGAACTCCCAGCTCGTTGAGTTTGAACAAGCCTTCAGCTATCACTTCACCTTTCCCCAATGCCCCATCTCCAAGTATCATGCCTAACTCTGCATATTTGGGCCGAGGCCAGTCTCCAACTCTACCCCCTCCCCCTCGTCCGGGCAGTGTCCAGGCACGCGCTCCTCCACCTCCACAAGGCCAGCGCATGCAGCATCCTCCGCAGGGTCCTCCGGGACCCTTCCCTCCTCCTCATGCAAGGCCACCATCCGGACCGCCTGGGCCCCCTCAACGCATGATGTCTCCAGGCCAGCAGATTCCCTCCCAGCCCCAATACGCGCCTCCTCAGCGTGGCCATATCGCTTCTGGCCCCCCTGCAGGACCGGTTGGGGCAGGACTTGGGGGACCCCCTCCATCCTACGCTCGTGCTACTCCACCTCCAGGACCCACAGTCATGAGTGCGCCCCCACAAGGATTTGGCCGTGCGGGACCTCCTCCCCCTGGGCCTGGTCAGTTTGGCGCTTCCGGATTTGCTCCGCCACCGCCACAGGGTGTGCCACGAGGTGGTCCACCGTCTGGCGCCGTTCTTCCTCCACCGCAGGGTTTGACAAGAGGTCCCCCACCAACAGGGGCCATGAGCACCCAATCAGCCGCCCCTACAAGGACCCCTGTAGGGCCAAAATATCGTGAGTACAAGTCGAGTCACGTTAGCCAAACAGTCTAGTGACATGATTATTGCAGCTCCAGGAGACCGTAGCCACATACCCGAACTGCTCAGGCCGACGTACAGCGTCATTTTGGAGCAGCTAAATCGCTTGAAGCAGACTACGCCGGTATGTATCAGCTTTGCCTTTATCTTGACCTGACACTGAAAGCTGCGTGTAACCTAGCCCCAACAAAAACGCCTTGTTGATGATTTGGAACGGAGGATAAACCCGTTGTTCGACGCTTTGAATTGCGAGTCTCTCTCTCAACCTGTCGTTGAGCGACTGCTTGTCCTCACCAAAGGTCAGTCATCGTGTCTCGTTCGTTTGAATGATGAACACTGACGTGCGCATGCAGCTATGGAAAACCACGACCGTGAAACGGCGCTTGCGGTTCACGTCGATCTCTTGACGACGACTGTGAGCGACGATATCGCATTGTGGATGTCGGGAGTGAAACAATTGATTATGCGGTTGTGATGAATATTGTAGAGTAGTTACGAATTGGATGTGCGGAAGTGATGTTTTGTCTTCAAGGACTTCGTTTTGCTATACACAAGATTTTCCAGTTCTTTGAGACTTGTCATAGGTATCGAACACGCGAACAAAACCCTTCATACAAATACACAGATACGGCTGACTTCTCACTCATTTGAGAGAATCAAGAGTGCTATCGAAGACAGTTTTCTTCCTGTCTTGCGCGTTTGCCGTATCGACCCACCAACTGCTTCCGGAACCTGTGCGGTCAAGTACCAGCCGTTTTCCCAACGTTGGGTAATGCACAACATCTACGGGCTCCCTGCTCCCTCCAACGAGGTACTGCATGTCAACATCTCCGCTGAAGAGCTTGCGCGCCGTGCGCATGCCCGCGGGAAACCCGAGAAAGTCACCCGTCTGGAGAGGTACCTCCTTGACCTCGTCCTTACCCTCATCACTAGTTTCATGGACAATAATAGACGCATTCGGCCCGCATGAAATAATATAGAGCCATTCGTCGTCTGCTGTATGCCAGTGCAGGATGGTGCTTTCCATCTGCGGCTCGAGGCGGCAGAGGTGTACGCCTGTGCGCGTGAGGCCCGTGCGCAGGCCTAGAGAAAGCTGCTGGCGCCGCGCGGCCGGGTCCAGAGGGTGTTCGAAATTGGGCCGCGGTTCCAACAGTGAGTGGATCAAGTATGGAGGCGAGGAGATAGTGGGCATTGTTGCTTCTCTACCCGCCATCTAATGTGCCCAAATGAGCCTTGACTGCGAACGCAAGTAGTGCAAGCTCACAAATCAGTACGATGCCTTGTGTGGGGGACGACGCAGTGACCGTAAGTAGCCAAGATAACTTGACAAAGGACGCAGATGCACTGGAATCCTGCTCAGCACATATATTGACGAATTCAACTGCGAGTTACCGACATGCGGAATGTCAGGTCCAGCGTGTATATTTTTCTGTGAATAGTGATGGTTGGTGACAACGTTCAGGCCTGTACAAGTCGGTGGGAGAGCGACTGGAGCAATGCGGCCGTGCGGGCCGGTTGGAGGGAACAGGCGAGTTCCCACGATGGTCGTTCTTGCTCCCTTGGGCATCGATGTCGACGGCGCCGACGCTGGTCATCTTTCGTTGCGACAGCCATGTCTGACTTTCCACCCAACATCGCTCCACAAGCAGATGGATCTGCCGCCGCTGTTGCTATTGCACCGCAGGATCCACCGAAGGCAGCCCCCATCACTGAGCAGGAGGTAGGCGAGTATCGCGAACAAGACCGCTACCTGCCCGTCTGTATCAACGCGTGTTATCCTCCTCCTTCGTGCTATGCTGACTCAGAAAACCCCTTCTAGATTGCCAACGTGTCGCGTATCATGAAGAACGCGGTGCCCCCCACGGCAAAAATCGCGAAGGACGCCAAGGAGTGTGTCCAGGAATGCGTCTCCGAGTTTATCAGCTTCATTACGTCCGAAGCGGCTGAGAAGTGCCAGCTCGAGAAACGCAAAACGATTGGTGGAGAGGACATCCTTTACGCCATGATATCGCTTGGGTTCGAAAACTATGCGGAGACGCTCAAGATTCATCTTGCAAAATTGCGGCAGGTGCGTGTGTTTTGCCCCGTGATCACCAGCTGCTAAAGCCTCCACATGCACGCGCTCTTCGCACAGCACCAAGCTGCGGTAGCTTCAAATTCAAGGGGGGATGGTCATGAGGGACGTGGCGATGATGATTAACAACTGGGAGAATAGACGCTCGACTACTGTATTGTATTGTATTTATTGTATTCTTGCTATCCTGCCGCTCATCTCAGTATATCACGGTCTCTCAACATCCTTTACCAGAAGGTGTATCTAGTATACGTCAAGACGGATATGGATATCTGAAGACTACGTCGGAGGTTAAGGAGGATCGCCATCGTTGCTGTCATTGGGAGACTAATTAAGACACCCATGAGATCTATTTGCACAATCAGAGTATGCAGCCTTGAAATTCCTCACTCGCAAAAGCAAAAAGAGAGTGCGAGTAAAACTCGTTTCCCTTCGTACATAGTAAGTTCGACCAAAATGCTATGGTACTGCCTCATCAGCTTGGAAGAATTGTGTTCCATAATTGATCGAGATTTCTTCCCCAGGTTCAATGTCCCTGACTACCAGCACGACCATCGCTTCAGCCGCTCCTGTTTTTCGGCTGTACAAAACGTGAAAGCTTACTGGCAAAGATACCAATCCGATTTTCATCGTTCACTTGAAGTACTGTCATAACCGCATGAGGCCACGCGTGCATCACTTAGCGTGTCAAGATTAGCCACTCACAACGGGAATAGCAGTTTGCGTCGTCTGCATGGTTGATATAGCGCGAGATATTGCCAGCTGATGTAGCATCAATTGCGAATGTGGTGTCGAGTCCGAAAACATAGTTGCGCGTCCTATGTCTAGCCAATGCGCTGAGTGGATCAATCAACATCCATGTCAACATCCCGTACAGGAAGAAAGCAAGAGGCGATTACATACTCGCGGGAGTCGATTGTGCTTCCGTATATGATTTCTCCAACATACTCTTCGGGATCGAACACCAATGAACTGACCGCAAAGTGGAAGATGATGAGTACGTACCGAGCACGAATTCATCCTCCTTTACAGGCTCGGTGGTGAATAACCCAAGGCCATGGTCAGACTCTCGTACCTCCAACGATCTTTGGACGGCCTGCTGCATGCCGCAATTCTGACAGTCCCTTGCTATACGCGTAAGTGTTGCGCTTATCAGTGATATCCACAAGAACGCAGAGATACTGTCATAAATTGGACCTACACCTTCACAAAGTACGTTAGAGCATTGTTCGATTTCATCAACGGATGAGGTGGCAGTCTACACTCACATGCATCTTGTGCAGAGCTTGGGATCGCATTCTCTGTTGGCGCTATAACATGGACATCTATTTGTGCGACATAACTTAGAGCCCACAGTGCTGCATTTGCAGCCCTTCCAGCGCTGCGAGCCTACATTTCAAACGTGAACCCGTTGAGCCATGACGTCAGAATTAGGAAGAAGTGATATGCTGACAACTCGAAGAGCAATGACAGTTTCGCTGGCAGTGAGCTTGTGAGCGAATGCATGGGCACGAAGCTCTGGTACATGGGCCGGTATGGATGCATGGCATCCCCCTATGTGTCTCACTTCGTGAGCTATGAAATCATTCTAAAAGGGATCGCTGGCGTACGGGCGATTGTGAACCGCTACGCGAAAGTGAGAGAAAGGGAACACTGAGCGTCATAGATAAGATATAATAGCCGGACATGGATCCTTACAGTGTTCCTGGTTATTTATCGCTGGAGTAGGACTTCTGGATGGTGTACGAGACAAAAAAGCTTGCCGCATCGCATACACCTATGAATGAGAGGTGAACCTCGATGATCGTATCTGATGGTGCTGTCGTCCCGCTTACTTCACGACAAGGCTTGCGAATGAGCACAGCCAAATCACAGGGCGTAAATTTGATGTCAAGTAAAAGCAAATCGCGCAGCTCGTTTCGCTCAGTTTCTTCCCATTCCACGTTTCCCTATATCGATAGAATAATCGTTCAAGTGCGGATGCGGGGCTAAGGTTTGACGTCTCACACCTCATGCCACGTCTCATGAGAAAAGCAGGCAATGCCACAGGGTGTGATGACCTTTTGGAGCTCTTGCGAACGAAGCACAGTAGAAGGAGGCCGCAGATATGTAGCCTCCACTGTCGACAAGTAGATGTTATGCCATACTATTACAGTAGAATAGTAAAACCGAAGCATACCATGCGTTAAACACATATACTCGATGCAACTCGGATTTGGACAGAAAACAGCGGTCGCACTCCTCACCCTGCCATAGAGATCGTCTACATCAGGGACACTTCGCTTCTCAGAGTTTTCCAAAATCGTGGGCCGTCCAAATGGCCAGCGAACAAAGTCCCTTCGTTTTTATGAGAATTGAAAGGACAAGAATGCGAGGATGGTAATACCTTTGCAGACCTTGATGGATGAGTCCAGGACTAACCTCTGGTTGTGATAAAAGTGACCGCGGAAATACGGTCATTTTGTCCATTTGTTCTGGAGTGATAGACCATGCTCGTTGAAGACGCGATGCAGCTTCTAGAATGATCAAGTCCTCTGGCAAACGACACACAGGATGAGACGAGACGGATGGCTCAACATATTGGAGCTTCACTCACGGTCAGGATCAAAGAATCGGCTTTCCCAGGCTAAATATGTGAAAAATTCGGCATTTTCGGCCCAATCAAACCCTGGGTCATCGGCAAATGGGATGAAGGGTAAGTGGTCGGAGTCGTCGCCAAGAAAGATGTTGCGGCTTATTGGAGTGCACCCCTCATACGCACTGTATGGCTTGAGCTCGGGTAACGAGGATATAGATGCAGTCTGTACGGGAACGTGTGTAGTCTTGGAAATCTTGCCATCCTCTGAATATGTCTCGACAGTGAGAAAATCATCGTCATCTGTAGACATAGTCAAAATCACCCCTCTACGGGGAGCATTATTGATGAGTTGTTCGCCTTCGATGAACGCTTCATCGTCTGATAGAGGGTTTCGTGTCCTTGGACCATTTGAAATCCCTCGAAGAGAATCGATAGCGCGCCGGCAGTATGACGATTCCCAGTTGTAAAAGTCTTTCCAAGTTTGCCGAAAGACAGAAGAGGCAAATTCATCGGTTATGTACTGGGTGGAATTGGAGGGATCTACGCTGGAAGAAAGCATAGCGCAATGCGTTTTTCAAACAGGTACACGGGACAGTGAACAACTCTAAGCAAGGCTTTTACCGAAATTCAGGTTCTAACTCAGCATCGGTATCATGCGCTCACGTGATTGAAGTTTCGGGACAGCATACCTCCTAAAGAATGACGACTACGACGTAGATACGACCAATGGTTGTGAACGCGCTTTCCGACCTCCGGCTTTACTGCCTGATACAAGATGACCCTTCTGGGTGGTTTTCAGTCAAGGTACCCCCAGATGCGAATGTTCAAACTCTGAAGAGCGTCATCCAGTCCGCCGCTCAGCACGGGTTTCTACACGCAATAGATGCGAAGAGCCTAGTGATTTGGAAGGCAAGGTTGAACCCAGTCTCCCATCTTGGGCATGAAGCTGACCTTATTTTCGAAGCTTGACTTGCTTGAACCTTTCGAACCCAGTATCACTTTCGAGGAGCGTGTGCAGCTACATCTTGGTCAACTGTCAGATCGAGCAATGCAACTGTTCTCCTGGCAGAAGATATTGAACATATATCCACAGCAGCCTGAGATCCATATGATTGTTCAGCGGCCGAGTATTGAGCATCTGCTATGAAATCTAAATAACCGTGAGTTATCCCACAATCGGCATTGCAGGCATGTTTCAAGTTAGATTCTGGGAAGTATAACCTCTCAGAGCTCCTAACAGGTTGCGAGGACTTTGACGTGGAGACTCATCGCCTGCTAGTTGGTATTCCACGTCCAGTACAAATCAGTGGTTAATATCTCATCCTGCGCGTCGTTACAAGCTGGCCCGAAGACTCATCACACCCATGGTCGATATGCGCGTTCCTTACAAAACGAGGGCCGATTTCTCGTCAGCTTCAATTCCACGCTCTACAAGACGGCGCACACAGAACTGATGAAGGCATGTTACGAGAGAGCTGTGGTGCCCATGCTGAATGAATATGTCACCGCACCCGAATGCAAAGGGGCGGATACGAAGCGAACGGACGTGATGGTGACTTGAGCCGTATGGAACTCCATACACTATCACCATTGATAACTTTTATTGTACTCCATGTAGCATTGTGTGGCCAGCTTGTATTTTGATGAATGTGTACGTTGTCGTTGTCCGACCTTGGTGACTTGTTTGTTGTCTGGATCGATGCCGTGTATGAGAAGCGGCAGAGTGCACTGGACTGTGTTCTTGAGTGCTAGTGCTATAATACAACGTATGCCCCGACGATTGAGAGTCGGCTAATTGGCGTGAGGATAGTGTGTGGATGGTGATAAATGCGAGGCAGGACGAGAGCGTAAATGCACATGATGGAAGAAGTCCTCACGAGCGGGAGTGCGCTTCGTCCCACCATTTTCGAGCCTCTGCATCGGTTAATGGAGGTTCGAAGTATCTACACCGGGACGAGAATGCTGAATACCCAGACCCTGAGCGCGAGCCTGACAAGAATGTGAAGATGCTAGCTTACCATCGAGCGAGCGCTGTCGCACAATCTTCTCCACAGAAAGCTCATTATGTACTTGATTCCTCTGTGAGGAATGTCGAGGATGTAGGGATGCAGTATCATGCCAGTAATGCGCGACGGAGTGTATTCAAGGGACACACCTTTACTTCATCGGCAAACAGATCACCCTGAATCTTCCGCTGCTCCACGGGATCTCCAACCTTCTCGCCTAGCGCCTGTCGCTTCTGCTCCATGGACTGATCGACAACGCCGACGCAGTACTCGATCACGTCCGTACGACGTTTCCAGTTTTCTGTAGCAATTCCTCATTTGATTTGCTGATGAAGTGCCGAGGAGATCGCGCTCACCGACAAGTTCTTTCCAGATGTACATGCATGTCTGGTCCTGGACGCTGCCCTTTCCACCCGTTCCCAGACGGTCTCGGTCTCGGAACTGTGCGTTCGTGCGATTCAGCCTCATAGTGATCGTGTCGTCCAATCTGCGGTACTCTTTCATGAGCTCTGACAAAGTGAGAGGGGTAAAAGGGGGGCTGCAGTCAGATACATAACACGAATACTGATTCCAACGCACCCTTGAAAAGAGAGAGGTTATGGCAGGTTGATGGCGAGACGTGCACGATCTGCGGTGTTAAAGAGGGGGCTTGTACAGCCAGACTACCTAACACTGGTGATTTTGGGGGCATGCCTGTGCTTTGTGCTTTGTGCAAAGCCGTGTAATGGTTTAAGGTGGAATTTCAAGCTCTGTTGCAAAGCAAGCACGTAACACGTTGACCGTCATAGGCGCTTGATGATCTAGACCCCCATGTTCGGCAGCTCGGTACAAATAAGGCCAGCTCTGGCCAAAAGACAGGCCCAGCTCCGGGCTGATGGTTAGCGGTGGTCAACCCATCCAATGTTTTATGTGGATCTCACCCCCTTCTGAGGCTTTTATCCTCCGTGTAAACAATGAATTCAAAGACTTAATTCATGCCATGAGAGGACAGCCAACAAATAAACACATGTATTGCAAAGATGCAAAGTTGACATTAATCAATGAGAGCATATTTAATAGGTAGAATAGTTTCATAATCATACAGTACATGTCACGAACGGCTGTTCGGGACAAGGGAGTCCCAGGCCACAGTTGGCAGTGGTATAGACAGAGTGACAATGGGAATGATAGATGTGAAGAGTTTGGGCTGGTCAGACTAATGCCTTTGAATCAGGGAAGACTGGTTAACAGCAGTTCCTACATTGGACAGAAGTGGATAGCCTAAGGCTTCCCTGCTGTGCCACAGCTGCTATAAATACATACAGGTCGGAGCACAGACCAAGTAACAATGGATCAGGAACGCAAGGTATAGTTGGGAGAAAGGTCCTATATGTCCTTATACAGATTGTGGTAAAGCAAGAAAGATATAGTAAGCAGTTCGTAACATTACCCCCCCTCTAGGCCATCAGTACCAGAGATGGTAGGTAAAAAGTTCAGGAAAAACATAAGCAATACACATAGAATCAGTTATAGGTCGTAGGAGAATAATACTTGGGGCACTAATTCTCATTGCCCACTGCTAAGTCATGGTGCGATAGCCCTTGAGTACAGATGCCATGATACCTTACCTTATTAGAACCACATGGGGACTGCATCTTAGAACTGAGTCCCTTTTCTCATTGTAGCAGTGAGTACTGGCCCAATGGATTTGAACTGTTATCTGCCCTGGCAGTTTAACATTATACCAAATAACTGCCTACTTTCTTCAGAGGGTGTGGCAGTGATTGACGAGGGAGAGTGCATCAGAGTCACTAGAGTTGTACTCAATAACGGAAGGTCTGGTGCATGTGGGTGGACATCAGAGACCAAAAGTCAGGGGGATGGCTTGAAAATAAGGGAAAGGACATGTAAATCTATATATCCCTCCATCTGGACCTATGGTATAAGTTCCCAGCATCAGGCGAAGTGGACTTCCATTTGAAGCCAAAGATGAGGCACAAGATACCACAGCTATAAATGGCATATAGTATTCAGTGGTGGGAGTGGGGTCATTGGTAGGGTGAAAAGTGTCATGGAGGGGTTCCGTATGATCGAGTCCTATTAGTTTTCTCTTGCATGCATTGATGCGGGCAATGAGGGTCCCTTCTTGCATCTGTAAGGCCTTTTGCACATGTTTCATGAAAGCTCTTTCCTCTTCTAGAATTTCTAACGCCCTCTGTATGTCCAGTTGGGTAGGTCCTGAGATGAACTCCATGCTTGGCAATCCTTCTATGAGCCCCATGAGGTATGCAACAGGGGCTATCAGGTATGACTCTTTGTCTGGGAAAATGATTCCTTTGTGCCCTTCATAGATTAGGGGCGGAGGAGAGGGCAAGTGAGGAGGTGGGGATGTGGGTTGTTCTTCTTCTGCCTTGGCGTTGATACGCTAGAGGTGGCTCTAAGTGCCAAGCACAACACCAAAACAACCTCTAATGCAGGGGTGCTGGAGCTAGTATCTAATACACAAGGAATTGTTAGTGATGGCTTTATAAATTGAAGGTGTACTAAGAAGCAACGGGGAGTATGAGATCATAGCACCCAAACAGTTTTGGGACTATGCCAAACACCGACTGAATGTTTAGTCAGTTGAGTCAGAGATTCGGTAGGTAACAAGAAGGTAGTGTTGCAACCGACAACTACATGCTTCAAGAGCCACATGGGACTCTGACAATATATAAGGGAGGATGGGGGGGTATGAGTGAAGAGATGAGTACAAACACGAATGAGGCCGAATGACAAGGATGACAAGTTTTCGGAAGTCAACGAAGACGATTTTGATGGTTGAGATAAGTGCGAATGAGCTCTGAACTGTGGGTCTTATACTACTTTGGAAAGATATTAGAATGCTATGTGTATCCTCTATGTATATCCCTAAGTTACTGCTCTTTCTCAGCTACTACTCTTGGGCTTCTCTAATTGTCTCTTTTAACCAAGGAAACAATGGCTTATGTTTCCCTATGAGTATGTATGTATAAGCCTTTATTGGCCATTTATTCCATATTCTATGATACTTGACTAGCAACAATAATATTCACTAGGAGTTGATAGCCAAGAATATTACCTTATACCATAATGTACACTCCATGATTGGAGGCACCTAGTAGTTGTGATGATCATTATTAAAATAGATGGCCAAGGAGGCCCTAATAGACTAGATCATAATAGTTTGGCCTTATTCACATTTGTACTCATTTCTTCACTTGTACCTCCCATTCTCCCTTATATATTGTCAGAGTCCTATGTGGCTCTTAAAGCACATAGTTGTCAGCCATAGCGCTGATGAGCATGTACCCATGCTAGGGTCCAAGGGAGGTATTTGGGAAGCTTTGGGGAGATACCGAACAGCGTTAGACGAGTACTGAAGATGCCAACTTGCACTGAACACGGTCAGTCCCCACCCGACCAACCGCACCCCTCCGAAGGACGTTCGGCAGCACTTGGGTCAGTTCGCCCACACTTCACGTACTTACCATGACCACACAGGAGTGTTACAATAGGTGTTTACAAGATCGGAGCCAGTCTTCCGTGTCGGCCGATGTCTTCCATAAGTTGGTCGGTCCTTATCGCTTATCTTCCCGACTTCCACATGGTCGGTCAAACGTGATCTTGTACCATTACTTGGCCACCCTGGTCGTATGATACCTCTCCTTTATTTTCATTGGTTCTCCAATGCCTGTTCTGGCTACCTACACTCGGGCGACGGATCCCGAACGTTCGGGATTTTGCCATTGCTGATTAACTTTTACCTTGTCACCTTCGGAACCCATATGGACATCTCACCTACCTTCTTATCTTCTCGGATCGCTAAGGCTTGGCGCCCATTTGACATCTACTCTCATTTCTTGTTTAATATTTTACTTAGGGGCTCTGTTTACTATAAAAACCTACATACAACTTTGGAATAAACCAGCTTTGCGCACCCCACAGTTCAGAGCTCAGCCGCACTCGTCTCAACCATCGAAATCGCCTTCGTCGACTTCCGAAAACTTGTCATCCTTGTTCGTTCGGTCTCATTTGCGTTCGTACTCATATCTTCGCTCGTACCCCCCCGTCCTCCCTTGTATATTGTCAGAGTCCCGTGTGGCTCTTGAAGCACGTAGTTGTCGGTCGCGACACTACCTTCTTGTTACCGACTGAATCCCCGACACGACCGACCGAATGTTCGGTCAGTGTTCAGCACAGTCCTGAAACCGTTCGGGTGCTATAATCTCACACTCCCCGTTGCTTCTCAGTATGCCTTCAATTTCTAAAGTCATCACTAATGATTCCTTGTGTATTAGATACTAGCTCTAGCACCCCTGCATTAGAGGTTGTTTTAGTGTTGTGCTTGGCACTTAGAGCCACCTCTAGCATATCAGTGCTACCTTCTTATTACTGACTGGATTCCTAATATAACCAACCAAATGCTCGGTCAGTGTTCAGCATAGTCCCAAAATCATTTAGACACTATAATCTCACACTTTCCATTACTCCTCAATATACCCTTACTTTTTGAAAGTTATTACTAACAATTCCTTCTATATTAGATACTAGCTCCAGCACCTCCTACTCTAGAGGTTGCTTTGGTATTGTGCTCAGCACTTAGAGATGCCTCTAGTATATTACTAGTATAGCCAAGAAGGTCTTTTGCCATTCTTGAGATAATGTGAAACTTAGAGGCATGTGCCTAGAAAAGAGATTAGCCATCATTCTATAAATATGTTGTTTCTCTTACTTTCCACTATATCAAGAGATAATCATTGTCTCCACTACTATCCTTAAAACTCTCCCAATGATCCAGTTCAAAGTGCTAGACAACAGCATTATCTTTACTTGGACTAATTAGAGTCAAGTGTGCATCTCACTAACTTGGAAAATTTGCTTCTGTAGGCAACCCATGGAGCTAAGCTTCTGCATAGAATTGTTTTTACAAGTAGGATAAGTGAAAAAGATGTGCTGGAATACTACAAAGCTAAAGAACCACAGATTAGTATTTACAGTGTATAGATATGAAAGACATACCTTGCTTAGTGAATTGTTTTTGACCTGCATGATTGACTGGTCAGAAATTGAGTTATGTTGCAAAGGAACAAACAAGGGACAAATAAAATTAAAAAGATGATTTGTCATCACCCTTTTTGGGCCTTCAAGCCCAGTGAGAACCCCAGCTAGCGTGAGCTAGACACAATGAGCAAGGTCTATCACATGATCGGCTCACCTAGCATCACCTAGTAATAGTGTAAAATGAATCAGATTTCCTCTCGACAAATACCAATGAACCTAGCTATCAGGTCTATCAGGTCTATCAGGGCCTCATGTATGCATTTGCCCTACTAGCACACTCCAAACAGGGTCAGACATCCAACGACTCCACGAGTTTCCGCAAGGCTGCGCACGTGATGTGATCAACCTACCGTGCTTTCTTGACCAGTGGACCTTAGTTGCGTCTCGTACGCCGATCGGGCCTCGTAAGTTGACTATTCTCCATTATTGTTCTTAACTGATCACCGGTCACCTCTCAGCATGCCCCGAGCCCCTAATGGGCGGTACTATTGCAACTGTCTCGCACACTGCGGTGGGCATTGGCAAGAACGTAGTCGGAGAACACATACTCGACATACACCCTACTGACGCGACAGCCGCAAACCATCCTCAATATCTTTTCAAGCTTTTATCACCACCCTGGCTCCCATAGCGCCTACGGAGGCATCTAGCAGCTCCTGTGCAAATGCTCATGGTGGTCCTTTCACCAGTGGCAGGGCCGCGCCGGTAAGCATTGTTTGACTCGTTGCTGTGCTTATATTGAACCACATTCATTCAACAGGCTCTAAGAACCGGCCCTCTTCATGAGATCGCCAGGCAGTCTGACCCGGCATCCATTGGGACCCGTAGCACCGGTCATTTGGTAGCCTCCCTGGCCATATCCGCACGTTCCGCTCATGCTGTTCCTGTATGGGACCGTGACAGTATGAGACCGCCACACACTTCTCAACCCTCTGTAGGCCCCGTCATCCTATCCGCCATAGATGCTCACAATATCCAAGCTGGCACGACGTTGGGCCAAGACCCGGCAGCTTCTGCAGGCCCCGTAATGCCCTCCGCCACATACGCTCGCGAAACCGAAGCTGGCACGTTGTTCGGCCAAGGCCCGGAAGCCTCTGCAGGCCCCGTAATGCCATCTGCCGCAGACCCTCACGGAACCGAAGCCAGTGCGTCGTTCAGCCAAGACCCTGCAGCCCTTCCTGTCAATGACGTTGACCCGGACAGCAGGCGTGTACTGCCACTCCCAGCAATCTCAGTGAGAAAGGATATACCTCCATACGTTATGCAGCACACATAACTTACACCAACCACGTAAGGTTGCCGCGGAGTCACCCCCCCCCTGCAATTGGTGCACAGGACTGCACTGTGCTCCTATCCACCGACGAACTACTCGAGGATGTTGCCCCGGACGTTGGTAGCCCAGACACTGCAAGATCGAGAGTTATGTCCAAAGGGACCTCCAAATCTCGATGACCCCATTCTCTGTCTGTCGCTCGATTTATACCTGGCAGTCAGTAACGCTTCAGAGCAAACTTACGAGGATGTTCGCTTGTCACTCCTGCGATATGACCCTGCCCTCCAGCTCCTGTCCTTGGATCAAGTCGAACGCCGTGTTGCGGAATTAAGCGGCGTTGTCCCAATTTCTCATCATATGTGTGTTAACTCATGCATTGTGTTCACTGGACCTTTCCGAGATCTAGTGACATGTCCCATGTGTCGGGAGCCTCGTTACGATCCTCTGAAGCCAGGTACAAAGACTCCTCGACAGGAGTTTCAGACAATCCCGCTAGGCCCACAGCTGCAGGTGGCGAGGCGAACCGTCGAGGGTTCCAGAGCAATGCGTTATCGTCACGCATGCTACAACTCTGCCATGCGACAGATTAACAAGGATCATGCACTAAGAGACTTTGCTGATGTCTGGGATGGCACAGACTTTATCGATGCCGTGAAGAATGGACTCATCAAGGAGTACGATCCTGTTGTCATGTTCTCCATTGACGGGGCTCAGCTCTATTGCAACAAAGGTTCTGACTGTTGGATATATATATGGGTGATCTTGGACCGATCTCCTGATCTTTGGTACAAGAAGAAATATGTACTACCTGGGGGCTTCATACCAGGTCCTTCGAAGCCCAAGAATCTCGATTCATTCATATTCCCGGGGATGTATCACTTGTCGGCGCTCCAGCGCGAAGGGATGTACTTTTGAAATGCAGTTGACGATGCGGTTGTTGAGTGTTGTCCTTTTCTAGCCCTTGCGACAGCTGATAGTCCTGCCATGGCCTCTATATTTGGTGGTGTTGGCCATCATGGGGCATATGGTTGCCGTCTTTATTGCCCTCAGAAAGGACGCCACAAGCCTGGGGGCGCCCAGTACTACCCGGCATGCTTGAAGCCTGTTGATTCCGATATTGCCAGTTCAAATCATCCAAATTATGACCTGCGGACAATGATCGTCCCGACGGCAGAGGAAACCGAGAAAAGGTTAGAATATGTCCCCCGATGTGCCACTTTGGGCTAATCACCATATGCTTTGCAGATATTTGTCGAATCTGACCCATGTCTCGGAAGCGCGCTCGGCGGCGGAGTACCGTGCACGGCGGCTCCAAACAGGTCTTTGCAAGCCTACATTGTTGAGTGGGATAGATCCAAGACACCGGCTGCGCATTCCCGCCCTGTTCCCTACAGATCTTATGCACCTCTGTGCCTTGAATCTCACCGAACTGATAGTGGGCTTGCTCCGTGGCACACTTGATTGCAGTGTCTCCGACAATCGAGATTCATGGACCTTTTCTGTCTTGCAAGACCTACAGATATGGCAGGCACATGGTAAAGCAGTGGCCGCTGCGACACCGTATCTTCCTGGTATCTTTGACCAGCCACCTCGCAATCCTGCGGTGATACGCTAGAGGTGGCTCTCAGTGCTGAGCACAACACCAAAACAACCTCTAATGCAGGGGGTGCTGGAGCTAGTATCTGATACACAAGGAATTGTTAGTGATGACTTTAGAAATTGATGGCGCACTGAGAAGTAGTGAGGAGTGTGAGATTATAGCGCCCGAACGGTTTCGGGACTACTACACAACACCGACCGAATGTTCGGTCGGTCGTGTCGGCGATTCGGTTGGTAACGAGAAGGTAGTGTCGCGACCGACAACTACGTGCTTCAAGAGCCACACGGGGCTCTGACAATATACGAGGGAGGACGAGGGGTACGAGCGAAGAGACGAGTATGAACGCGAACAAGGCCGAACGACGAGGATGACAAGTTTTCGGGAGCCGATGAAGACAATTTTGAGGGTTGAGACGAGTGCAAGTGAGCTCTGAACTGTGGGGTGTGAAAGCTGGTTTATTCCAGAGTTGTATGTAGGTTTTTATAGTAAACAGCGCCCCTAAGTAAAATATTGAACCTGAAATGAGAGTAGATGTTGAATGGGCGCCAAGCCTTAGCGATCCAAGAAGATAAGAAGGTAGGTGAGATGTCCATATGGGTTCCGAAGGTGATAAGGTAAAAGGTAATCAGTGATGTCGAAATCCCAAACGTTCGGGATCCGTCGCCCGAGTGTAGGTAGCAGGAACAGGCGTTGGAGAACCAATGAAAAATAAAGGAGAGGTATCGTATGACCAGGGTGGCCAAGCAATGGTGCAAGATCGTGTTTGACCGACCATGCGGAAGTCAGGAAGATAAGCGATAAGGACCGACCGACTCACGGAGGACATCGGCCGATACGGAATACTGGCTCTGATCTTGTAAACACCTATCGTAACACTCTTGTGCGGTCATGGTAAGTATGTGAAGTGTGGGCGAACTGACCCAAGTGCTGCCGAATCATCCTTCGGTGGCTTGTCGTTGGTCGGGTAGGGACCGACCGTGTTCGGTAAAAGTCGACATCTTCGGTACTTGTCTAGCGCTGTTCGGTATCTCCCCAAAGCTTCCCGAATACCTCCCTCGGACCCTAGCGTGGGTGCATGCTCATCATTCTAATAGTGGGCTTGCTCCACGGCACACTTGATTGCAGTGTCTCCGACAATCGAGATTCATGGACCTTTTCTGTCTTGCGAGACCTACAGATATGGCAGGCACATGGTAAAGCAGTGGCCGCTGCGACACCGTATCTTCCTGGTATCTTTGACCAGCCACCTCGCAATCCTGCGGAGAAGATCAACAGTGGGTACAAAGCGGTTGAATATATGACTTGGATCTATGGCCTTGCTCCCACACTTCTTTACAGAACTCTGCCGTCAATCTTCTGGCGGCACTTCTGCAAGTTGGTTGCGGGTATCCGTCTGGTGCACCAGCGTCGTATTTCTCAGAAGGAACTCAGACGAGCGCATCGTCTGCTCATTGAATATGCGGAGGACTTTGAGGTCCTATATTATCAGCGCCGTACAAGTCGGCTTCATTTCTGCCGCCAGAGCATCCATGCTCTGTCTCATCTCGCTCGCCAAGTTACACGTTGCGGACCTCCAGGATACACCACTCAATACACAATGGAGCGGATGATCGGTGATCTCGGCAGTGAGCTAAAACAGCATTCAAATCCTTACGCGAACCTCTCACAACGTGGCGTGCGTCGAGCACAAGTGAATGCTCTGAAGACGATGCTGCCAGACCTCGAGCGCAATGTCAAGGAATTCCCGCGCGGGGCACACCCTGTTGGAGATAACTTTGTACTCCTTCGGGCAAAGGATTCATGTGCTCGCCCTGTCCTCCCATGTGAGGCTCTTGTCATCAAAGGTTATTTTCGTGAAGCTGGGGGTATCTACCACACAGAGGGAGAGGGTGCGGAGGCGGCATGGATTCCCATGGTACAACAATGGGCCCGGCTATGCTTGCCCAACGGACAAGCCATACGATCACTGTGGAAGGAGTCACTGAAGGCACTCAATGAGGTGCAAATAGCACGCAATGTCAAGGTACGGTCCCCCCCCAACTCTGTCTTTTTAGTCGCTCAATTTGTTTGGGCTCAATTTGTTTGGATTCATTGCTAGATAACATTTGGGGGTGTCACTCGCTTTGCAGAGGTAAGGTTCTTCTTCACAATGCGCATTCGAGGCGTGGAACATGCCCTTGCGCTGGTTAGCTTATACACACACCCTGATCCCACATTGCTCCATGAGTCATCCGGTACAGTCGCCTCTTGCATCCATCAAGGTGACGCAGCCCTCGCCGTGATCCACGTCAAGTGCATAATAGCTGGCATTGCAATGGTGCCGCATACTTTACCGCACACCACCATGTAGGAGAGATTTTTTGTAGTTGAGAAGCTCGGTCTCGATGTCGCATGCATGAATGGCATAGTCGAGGAGACTGTTGAGGAGTAGTCTAGACATGTATTCACTAACATGTGTCTACTGTGGTCGTCACTACGAATCCGTACATCTGCGTTTTGAGCAAGAGAAACCCATCGTGATGGTGTTAAAGATTGGTGCTTTCCTCGTCAACTTCTTCTGATTCCCACTGTTGAAAATACTGTGTGTCGGTGGTTTGCATGTCAAGGTAGCTCCCGGGAGCCAGGAATCTACATGAGTAGGTATCTATTTAGGTAAGAAGGTCGTCTTGTTGGAACTTGCAGTGATTCTGTACTTGCCTTCTGATGGCATCCTGGGCGTCAGCAGGCCTCGGGCACATCCGAGGAGGACTCGGGAGCTCCCCTATCTCTTGTGACAGTTCGAAATCACTTGAGGACATGGCAATGTAAGAATGAGCAAGATACGAAGGTCGCCATCGCAGCACAATCGTGCTAGACAGTGCTATCATGGGACTTGTACAAACTCTATTTGGCATTTTTGGCACTGACCTTTTTTTCTTCCATCACAACATCGAGCAACAACTCCCCTGGTCCAGTTGTTGGCAACATGGCCTTCCACATTGGTATGGCATTGCCCACGACCTCGGGCAGATCATCAACGGCCTCGGAGTTTTTATTTGCACCCACACCTAGCGGCACCAACGCTGTCAGAGCCTTGTTTGGTGCGCCAGAGCGTCGTACGGAATCTCCTTTTTCTCTTCCTCTGGACTATTCCCACAATTTTAATGGCAGTAGAGGAGGCACTCCACTCAACTCGTCATTAGAGGGTACGCCAAGCTTCGGCCATGGCCACGGTGTATCCAACAGGGGGTCGACCACACCATGGGATTCCTCAAACATGCATATGCCCACAGTGAGCAATAACTGTTTGATTTAAAGACCACAGTGAGCCCGCCATGACATCCTTTTGAAAGGGAGCGCAGTCCTTTGGAAAAGCAGGGCCAGGCACCAGTCTCTACCATTATGGACCCGGTACCCCCACGCCTCGGTCTAATCCACAGAGCAATGACATTTACGATCCATCCGTTGAAATGTCCTCTGCTTCATGTGCGGACATAGTTGCACTACAAACTGAAGTCAATGTGCTGCGGTGAGCAATCTCTCGGTGCCAACAAGCTCTGCTCTTCTAATAGCTCATACAGCAATGCATTAAAGGGCATTATCTCCGCAATCCCTGATGTTGTTGGATTGAGCAATGCAACATTGCCCACGGAATTTACCATGCCCGACCCAGCTGCTTCGACAAATCCAGGGCGAACCATGCGCAACATTGCGCCAAATGGCCCTCTTTGCCTTCGTGAACCATTGTCACCAGTCTAACGCACAGATGTGCCGCTTGTTACGATCTGGACGACGCAAGAATGGGCTGAAGTCTCGAAAGAGGACGGCATCACAGACCCCAATCAAGTCCCAAAGAAGAAAGGTAAAACCAATGCCTACCTCGGGATCAATATGACAATGAAGTATGTCCAGCATCAGCATGGTCAAGTCATAGATGGATATTATGCATCCGATATTTGAGAGGGAGCTTATCAGATATGGTATGAACTTCTGCTGCGTGGCCTAGCACCTCCGAAGTGGTCGCATATCTCTCTGAGTGCGGCAGATTTCTACTACCAAGAGATGGGCTACCGGTTCCCTGAACTGCGCTTTTGCGGCGGTTCTCCGGCCAATTGGAAGGCCAAGAAAGTTGCTACGGACAACTACCCCGCATTCATTCAGGGTTTGTTGCAAAAGGAGATGATACACTTACTCAGGCCGGCACCATTGAGTGCAGTGAAGCGAAAAAATCCTTCTGACAATAACCAACTATCCGACTCTGAACATAACAGTGATATAGTCCTTATTGATGATTTGTCACCATCGTCTCGCGGCAAGCGGCAAGTACAGAAGCTCAAGACACCAGCATCTGCAAGACATATCACAGCCAAACGAGCACGACGCACCCATGCTATGCCCTCGGTCGCTATGATCACACAAGATCCTTTGTAGGTTCTTGCAATTTCTGTCATATTGGTCTCACGGTGCGTCGTTTACAGAGCCGATGTCTTCACAACAACATCATCACCGTCAACAGCAGAGGGCCAAGTTGCCAACACGACGTTTACCACAGATGACAGGGATGGGAACCTGTTTGGAGGTAATCTGCGGCAAACTACAGTGCCCTTGAGTGTCCCCGACCTGTTTGCCATGACACTATTGATGCCAATTTTGCATACAGTCACCCAGGACAGTAGTATCGATTCCTCAGCACCATATGTCACTGCTAGCAACCATGTAAGGCTTTGTTATCATTGTGACTCGACAGAAATAAATTGACGGAGACGCAGGGAGCAACCACGAGCACTGTCGCCCCGACAGAGAACACTTCTGCAAACACCAATGATGTAAGGCTTTGTTATCATTCTGACTAGAAAAGTGCACTAACCTAATGGTAGGGAGCAACCATGAGCACTGTCGCTTTGACAGAGAACGCTTCCACAAACTCTGTTCTCCCCCTCAATAGGGCATCCCCCGCGGGTCCGGAGAGTGGTGCCAATGCACCCGTTGAGCCAGCCACCTACAATACTGTCAGCAGTGTTGTTGAGACGTCCAACACTTCCATCACAACCACCGGTGACACTAACAAGGGGCACGCTGCCGCAGAACAATCAACAACGACCACCGTGATGACACCAAATCCTGGTGTGAGCGTAGAACAAGCCTCGGGAGCAATCACAATGGCATCAAATCTCGGAGTTCCCTCCACATGCGTGAGCTCCACTGAAGCGAGAGATGGCGGCAATAGTGCGAAGGACACTGGCCAACCTTTGTGGCCACTACGTACGGTGACTGCAAGGTAGGTATCCACTCTCTCTTGTAGTGTGCAGTGCTGACTATTCCAATATTCAGAAATATTTGTGGAGCTCAGTGGAAGGAACAAAATTGTGATGCTACCAAGGAAGCCTTTGATACCTATTGGAAGATGTTGTCCAAGCAGGACAAAAAGGTATGTATACTGCACTTTTTGTAATCGTGACGACAATGTTCTGACGGCCTCACGTCATGATGCAGATCTACACTACTGAAGCAAAATCAATGGTACGTATTGTGATCAAGGCGGCCTGCTTGTGATAATATTAACTTATTGGCTTGTTTCACAGAAAGCGGCGCGAGGCAGCTAACCTAGTGGAAGGCGCTAATCGAGTGATCTAGGGTAGTTTCTTCAGAGCGCGGGAGTGGGCATTATGCTATACTTTGCTAGATAGTAATATATATCACACGCAGAATTCGGTATAGGATAGGGCACTTAATGTGCTATTTGCTAGGGCGTAATAGGAACACCGATCATAGACATAACTAGTTGCTAGGTTGTGATAGGAGAGTGGATCAATATAAGGTACAAGGCCATTAGCGATATAGCAAGGAATAGCACAGATGGTAATATTGACTCTGGCGCAAGGACACTATAGCCCAATAGATACTCATAGAATTACGGAGTAAGTAAATCTAGTAAAGGGCCATTTTTCTATCAGGGCATAGCTCACTCTATCTCCAACACCAATGGTTGAGCATGCTAGCTCCAACTAGGCTGGGTTCTGACTGGGCTTCAAGAACCATATAGCTGTGTGGTTGGCAAATGTAATCAAGAAAAACAGTTTATATATAGTAAGTAAACCAAATTGTTAGAGCCTTATATGCACCCTATGTGAGTACCAATGACTATGGTCAAACCTCCGGGGACTATCTGCTCAGAAGCTTTTGCAATGCCCTATGTTGTATGCATCTAAGACTGGTGAAACACAATCACTTCAACAGTCTTGTGGGTGAAATAGCTATGTTGAAGGGAGACACAATGATCGTGCGGAGCACACTGAGACAAAACGTGATCAGCAAAAGCCGAATGGGTGCTATTGGCCAATCAGACCTAGGCTGGATCGGCCCAATCCTCCTACTTGCAGTGCCCGGCAAAATCTCGATTCCAACCCATCACAACTAGGAAGAAAGGGCAAACATGACTGGCATTGCAGCCACATACGTGGCCGAAAAAGACTAATAAAACAAGGAGGGGTGAGCGGTCCAGATGAGACCGACATATATGCTACACTTTGTGAGGAGACGATACGATGCGACGTGACTACTAGAAACACAGCGTGAGACCGTCGAAAGAGCATGAAAGAGAGGCCGTAGCGGAAAGGGGAAACGCGAAGGGAGGAAAAACGAGACAGAAATAAGCATAAACATGCCGAAAAAAACCCAATTAAGGAAAGTATGTGGGCGCGGTCGGAGGGGCCGCGTACTGCATGCGACAAACGAAGCACAGATTAAAGCTGCGAAGGGTAGGATGGAGTACTGATGTGATAGTATGTAAGAATGCCATGAAGGAGATACCCAAGAGATGAAAGCTGAGAATGGACCTGTGTTGAAACCGCCAACGGGATAGCCAGCGCAGACGGTGCATAAATACCAATGATGTGCAAAGAAGGTCGAACATGCTTGAGATGAGACATAAAAGGGAAAAGCCATGCATGGTAGGAGATGGTAGGCGGGCCCATCGAGGAAACTGAATCTTGAAGAATCATCGCCGAATGAACATCTCCACAGGGATCGGCTTCCTCCGCAGCCCTGAGCTTGTGTTGCTCTCGTCGCTCTCGCTCTTAGACGCCTCGGACGAGGACGTTGAGTCAATCGACATCCGCGCTTCTCTACCCCTTCCCCTTCCCCCTCTTTCCCTGTCCTTAGCCTTCTCCCGCTCTTTCTCCGCGACGGCGCTACTTCTCCGCGCTCGTGCGCGCTTCCCAAATGGGAATCGCAGGAGCCGCGAAGACACGGTAGAGGGCTCAGCGGCAAGAGAGCCAAGAGTGGAAGACGACCATCGCGAGCGTAGCATGGGCTCAAAGCCCGTCTCGTGACCTTCCTCCGTCTCTGTTTCCTGCTCATGCTCTTGATCAACAACAACGGCCAGGGTCAGGACAGATTCCAGAGCAGCAGGAGCCGCATGCACGGAGGTTTCCTCAACAAAACGTCGTGGGGATGCCGGGAACAAGCCGAGATGGAGCGGAGATGTAGGAAGAGACAGCGGAAGGGGCTCAAACGCGTGTGCATCAGGAAATGTACTGGGATGGGAATATGTGCTCGCAGAACCGCTGCTCTGTGGGGTCTGTGGTAGACGCGGAGGTGAAAGAGGGCGCGCTTCTTGCGCCGGGGCGACAGTTTCGAGATTATGCGCAAAAGGTGCCACGTCCCACGATGAGAAATCGTCGAAGATATCTGCGCCCTCCGCCTGAGCGTCAGAGGGTATAGGTGTGCGAGGGAGCGGACGCGGCGCGTGAGTAGCCAAGGTCGAGACTGGGACGGCAATCGTCAGGGACTTGCGATTAACAGAGCCACGGTGAGACCGGTAGCGCGGCCCTGAAGGTGGAGGTGGTGGGGGTGCACGCGTGGGAAGAGGAACGCGCCAACGGCGTGGGAATGCGGGATCGAGCTGCGCGCTGGGGCGTGGGAAAGGTAAAAAGCCGGTCGTTCGGCGCACGCTGCGGTATTCCCCTGGGATAAAACGCGGCGTGGGGGGAAGCGAATCTGGGCGTGCGGGGGAGGGAACGGGTGCAGAGGGCAAGAGAGTGAAGACGTCAGACATCTCGCGGGAATACCATGCGCCATCGTCGTCAACCCATTCATCATCAGCCTGTTCTCGCTCTGGCTCCGATTCAGGCTCGTGCTCATCTTCAAGTTCCACGGTCATAGAAGGCGCGATGGTGAACATGAAAGTGTCGAGTGGGCTGTTCTCCACCAGATGTGATGCCGTCATGGACTTGGTGATCACAAGGGGTCGGATAGAGATACGCTGAGGCACCACGGCTTTACGAGAGCGGATGAGCGGAGGGAGCTCGTCGTCCGACGTTGTCGGGGTTGCGGGCATGCCGACCGATACGCTTGTCGAATCGCTGAACACGGAAGAAGAAGGAGAATGTGAGCGACGACCATTCGCCTGCGGTGATGCGGGGGTAGAGTCGGCGTCTGAATGCAATGGTGAAGGTGAAGGGAGGTTAGACAAGTCGAAGGACATTTCAAACATGCTGAGATCCGGGGAATGAGCTGCAGGGTGCGTTGGAGAGGGTGTCCGAGCCGCGGTTGCGGGTGCGGGTGCGTTGCGGGTCTGAACAGAAACGGGCGGTCGGGGAGCTGGCCTGGGCGCCATCAATGACATATCCTCTTCTAGCTCACCCAGCCCCTGTGGCCCAGCAAACTCTGCCCTACCATACCTGCTGACCCGTTTGGTCGCTGTGGCGACTCGAATGTCCTTCGCATTGATGTCGACATGTGCACAAGAAGGGTCATACACAGCAGGTTGGGGAGAGTCGGAGCGGGAGCGGTTGTGGGAGAAGGTTGAAGACGATACCAATTCCTCTTCAGGCTCTTCAGAGAGTACAGGGAGCGTTAAATGTTTCCGAGGTTTGGTCGAAGATGAGGCGAAAGCTATTGGGGCCGTCTTTGAGCGCGAGATGCTACCTCGATTGCGAACCGCTGGCTGTCGCTTGAGCGATGGAAGGAAACCGTGGGTGGAGAGAACTATCCGGAGGTCGTCACATTAGAATACAAATAACATATATTGAATGATGTGTTTCTCACATGAAGTCATCACTGGTGTCGTTGTATAATCGTCGTCTATGGATAATAAGCTGTCGACGCAAGTACAGGTTGCAGTCGAGTCGAGTCTGAATGAGTACTAAAAAGTCGTCAGACTACGTGAGAGCAGAACCGAGAAGGAGATGGAAGACCGAGAGAAATGGCGAGGACGGAGAGATGGGGGCGCTTCCCAGTAGTTTTAGTATGGAATGAACCATAGCGAAACTCTTGTAATAAGGCGGTATTGTCGTTGCGGAACAATAGCTCGAACAGCTCTCTTCATTCCTGCCTAATCGGGAAGACCGGGTCATTGCGCTATTCAGACTCCGATCCACCCAGATGTCCCGATTCTATTGTCTGCACGAATGTCCCTCCACTTCGTCAGGCCCGTCCATTGCCTTTGGATCTCTATCGGTCCTACAATATAACATTGCATCCCTCGAGTGACGATTGCAATCTCCTTCATCGTGTGCTCCCAGTGATGGCAGACCACTCATTGACCTTCGCGACGTGCGTCTTTTTGTTCTTCATTAGTAGGCAGCCATGCAAGGACTTTTGTGTTGAACACAGCCTATGATATGGCCCCACCTCGAGGTGAGTCTTCTACCGCTCTTATTATCCAACTATATCTGTCGCCGCTGTCATCAGTTTGGAACGACCCAACACTCATGCGGAGTACAGGTATGCTGTGCACTTCCCGATATCATCGTCAAGAACGATGCCGCTCAGACTTCACGAACGACCACGCCAAAATCTCAAACCATCCATCATCCTACCTATCCCTCGATATCCGCGGCCGAATCACGTATGTCCCTTCCTGAGCGGTATCTCCGAACAGAAATGTAATGGAATATATCCTTGATACTTATTCCAGACCATTTCAGACCATTTCCGTGTCCTGAAAATCTGCATACTACTGAAAATGATGCCGAGCACGGTATTTTTTATAGCGTACGAGAGCACGACCTAATACGTAGCATAGCAGTTTGCGCGCCATGCGCATCCATGCCAAGGGATATCGCTGTGACAAATTCACACTCACATCGTATAAGTATATGAGAATCTCATCTTAAACCTTAATTTATAGCTGCTTTTCAAAACTACAACCTACTTCAACAAAAAATCAATACATCCAATCGGAACCTAGTTTGTCCAAACTAAAGCGATTTCTCAAGGTTGATCAGTTCGTCCATGAGCTCAGCGTCTTCGTCTCGCAGCTCATCCACCGACGGTACCCCAAGCAGAGGCCCTCTTATCACCGCATCTCCATACCCAAATTTCTTCGATACGATGGCCTTCAAGAATGCAGGTCCTCCAAGCTTTCGCGACACGTTGTCACAGTGGGCAAGGATCCGGTGAATATCGAGCGCCTCGTCAACTTTACCCGACTCGTACAAGCTCAGCATGCGACAATGCACCTTTGGGGCGATGTTCAGAAGCGCTGTGTTTCCGCCCGCTGCTTTGAGCATGAGAGCAGGGAGTAGGGTATCGGAGGTCGCAGTGAACACCGAAAACTGAGACTGAGGGAGGGTGGTGACGATACGCGTGAGTTTTGCAAGGTCAGAGCAGCCTAGCTTAGCGCCGACGATATTAGGGTGTCTGCCTAGTTCGATAAACCTAAGACGATGAGAACACCAGGAATCGATACCCGAGAAACAGATGACATACATATCGGAGTCAATATTGATGCCTGCTGTATTGCCAGGATTGTTGTAGATCATGGTCGGTATGGGCGATGCGTCCGCAACCTTGGATCGCCATGAGATATAAGGCTCAGCGGAGGCCATAAGTGCATACCTGGACGTGGAAACGGATGATAGCCTCCCTAGTCATCCGTGCTCTCCAAGTTGATGGGGTGAAGATGAGCGCGTAGGCAGCACCAGCTTCTCTTGCGTCGACGTTGAGCTTCATCGTCTCCCTCGTCGATTGTGTCCCGGTGCCCGAGATAAGCACAATATCTTTGAAACCGTTCTCATCGAGAGTCTGGCGAGTGAACCGAATGATGGTTTTGCGCTCATCATGGGAAAGGTGCTGCGCTTCTCCGTATGAGCCTGTGATGAAGATGCCAGTAACCCCTCCCTGACAGAACTGATAAATGCCAAATCTCTAGGAGAAGACTCACAAACTTACGTGGGCCAGCCTGAGCAGGTGAAGTTTGATCGCCGGAAAGTCAAACTCCTCGTTATCGTCAAAAAACATAACGGGAGCGACGTAAAGCCCAGGAGGTGGAGGGATGGATAGTGGCTTGTTCGACATGATGGACAATGCTCGTAATTATTTCGGAAGTTATGTATGCCTTGGGAAGCTTTGAGAAAGTATCCTGGTGTGCACGTCGCTGCGTCGCACGAGTCAAGGTAGGTCAAAATGAGTCAAAAGGAGAATTCCGAAAGGCGCTGTCCTATATATAGCCATTGTAAAGGTTCCGTGAATTAGCAGCAAATGCGCAGATATAGATCAGGACCATTAAGTCGATGACTATGGCAGGAAGGGGTTGAACTTGTTGCAAGTCATTGGCGGTTTTGATAATGACAACGAGCAGAAGGACAGCAGAAGGCGAATCTGAGCAGATCTGAGCGCTTCCTGGTCGGAGATTGGGTTAGGGTTGACGGGCTCTACTAGTCTGTATCCAACCGCAAGCCTCAATTGATGGTCCCCGTGTGAACATTTGTAAGCATCATGTGACCAACCAACGCGCTTTGTTGAACGCGTCAAACGACGCGTCGTCGTCCTTTAGATCACCACTGAAGCACCGCCGGAGCGGTTTACTATCGTCGATCAGCTCCCATTCCACTATTACTGCATCGAATCTTTCACTACACCATCTGGAAATGCCCTTGTTTGGTATCTCCTTTGCCAGAAGTCCAAGGAACCACATGGCTTCCAGGTTTAGTGCATTTGCCAGCTCTTGGATGGCACTGATGTCTTTGCTATCATAGCTATGGGTGACAGCAAGAGTCGGCTATTTTGTATGTTCATTCTAGTATGCCAAGCCCTTTCAGAGCATGCACAGTACTGGCCAAAAGGCTTCTACATTACTAACAATCCTGTTATAATTGTTATCTGCCCTACAAAAAGCCTTGAGGAGGACATGGTATGTAACTAACAGTGTCTAATTGAAAAACCAAACTGATTGCAGGCAAACTCTATGTTAAAGAATGGGCTGGTAATAGTTGTAATTAATAAAGATATAACCCATACTGCTTAGAAGCATAGCAATAATCTATGGGCTGCAGCAGAAACATAGGCCACACTGATTTTTCTTTTGCCAGAATAGCCCAGCATATGGCACTTCTGAGACATGCTCAAGAACAGCAAGTTCTAGCATTAAATTATAGGTCTTGCTATGAATAAGGCATATCTAATTTTGTTATAGGATGCCACATTCCATAAGGTATTTATATAAATTAGCTTAATATGTGCTTGGCTTCAGTATTCTATGTGCTTCCTGGCTATAACCACAACAATAGAATTAGGTCCACCATTACACTCTGTTACTCAGGCTTGCTATTAAGATATAATACACTCAAAACCTTAATAGTAGACTCAGCCTTACAAACCAGCTGCTTTTTAACTAGCTATGCTGCCATAGATTTAATGGCTGGATAAGCATTTTTTTTATTTCAAGATATAGAGTGGATGTAGAGTACATAACTCAGCCAAGCAAGGTTTTAGTCCATTATTAGGGCTTTAGAGCCAGTATTTGAGGTTTTGGACTAGAGTATAAGTATTCTGGCTATGGAAAAACTCACTAACCAGTAACTAATGATTCTTTTATCATGAGACCCTTTTGTTCAGATTGTAGGTCTGATACCAGAAGTAGTACCACAAAAAGGTGCCAAAAGACTAGTTTTCTTGTTGAATTGTTGCAAAAATATTTGTGAGCTTTCTTTGAATAAGCTTCCAAAATGGTAACAGAAAAGAAGATGACATTCCAGAGGCACTAGAAGATGCAGATAGATAAGAGTTATGTGTTGAAGGGATACTTGCCAATATCTGAAAACACCTCCTCTCTTAATTAGATCTAATCAAAATACTAATCTAAGTTAATTAGAATATATTATCCATAATCAACTTTATGACCAAATTTGCAATTAAGGGGATATTGTCTATATTATTATAGTTCCATTGAAATCTACAACCTAATTACAAATTTACATATCCCAAATCCAAATTATATGAGTGCTACAATTTTATTTTTACTATATTCTTTATTTTCTATTAGTTTACTATATTATTGTCTGGTGTCTAAATTCAAATATTAAAAGCCCTGATTTTCAGGGTATTTATTGGCCCCTTTATATATAGAATAGATAAAAGATAAATGTATAAGAAAATCAGAAGTGTTGAGATTGCCTTATTTATATCAACATATTTAGGTTACCAGGTAAATAATCTAGACCTTGTGGCTTAGTAGTTTAGAGCACCAGTCTGGGGTAGGCAGGCATGAGGTTGTTGGTTCAATTCTAGTGATGGGCAAGTTTATAATAAGGTGTGACTTTAGTTTGATTGGTAAGCTCTATACATACTCTATGATTAGAGATATAGTAGTAATAGAGAAACCATAGAACTGGGTTGGTTGATATTTTTTCAAAAATCCATATAAAAAACAGCTTTAATTAGCTCTAATTAGATCTTATAATTTCAAGACTAGAAGGGGGTAAGCTACAAATCCTTAATAGTAATTGGTAAAATATAGCTATATTTATGCTTAACTATGGTTGATTTAATATAGAGCTTTTCCCTGATAAAAACATAAGAAAGAGTGGAATTTTGGCTGTAATTAGAGCCTGATATCAGTGATGAGGAATAGGCTGTCTATTGGAGAATGTTTGTAGGCTGTGGAGGTGTTGTGGGAGCTGATAGCACAGTTGGAATCATGAATTCCATGGCTAAGGGTGACAACAAGCATAGTGGTGTATTGCTGAAAGCATTGAAAAAGCTATAGGAATAAATTGGCCTTGGGAATGTTCCAACTACTAAGCAAGGGGCATAGCTGAATGCAGACTATATATAGAAGAGACCCACCTAATCAATTTGTCATTGACCATTTATCAGTCTGCTAAAGAGACTATATTCTACTATAATTCCTCTGTCATTGCAATTCTTTTTTGACAGTTTAGAGGGTATAGTATACTATGTAGATATGTGGACATGATGCCCTTCTCTACTTCACTCTATTTTCTTTGCCTATAATAAAGGTATTTGTCTTTCCTTTGGACTGGAATCAGCTAATGCTCATGTCTCAAATAGCTCAGCTAAAAATACTATTCTATGAACAAATCAATACAATCATCTAGAAAACCACCTTTTTGTATTAGCTTTGGAGCAACATATTGTAAGCATTGGATTGGTTTCTAATTTCATGATATTAGCACTAATTCCATGCTAAGAAGTCTTTAATTAGCAGTAGGAAATAGTAAGTACTATTGCTCTATCAGTGAGAAGGTAAAGATGTGGCACATTCTATACTATTTTAGCATATTACTCTTCTTCAAATATGCCTGCACCATTGTCCTGTAGCTCTTTTGCTAACTTTCTAGCTGCCTTTACAAAGGACATAGAAAAAGAGAAATATGCATTGATGCCCCAGCCACTTTGTTGGCAGCTTAGCAGCTGCCACAAGAGACTATGAAGACCTCAGTACCTTGGCCTTGCACACAAGATCATTGAAGTTGTTATTGTTAGCTGATGCCTGCTACTAGTCATTACAGGACACAACATGCAGGTTAGGCTTAGGGATATGCTATATGCAGCCTTGCAGACCTTGTCTATTAGTGCAGTGGTTAATACTGTCTTGTGCAGCACACAATTGTCATTACCATGGATATTATAATTTTCAGCACCATCTACATTGTTCATTGCTTTGTTATATAAAAGATGCTCAAACTTGATGTTTTTCTCTAGCTATTGGGCTATGAAAAAGACAGTCATGTTGGTATATGATACCAGAATGATATATTTGCCTGTCATGTTGGAAATATGTGCACCAAGCATATTAAGATTATCTCTAACAATCTTATGCTTATTTATACATAGGCATGCCATACATATACCCTTGTCCCCACCCTCTACCTTACTAGTGGCCATTTGGAAAACCACTCTCTCTTATTGGATCTGAATTATTGATAATCATTAATAATACTAATTTGAGCTGATTATGGCCAATTATTTATAATCATGTTTTTGATCAAATCTGCAAATTAAGGTAGCATTGTCTATATTAGTAGAGTCCTATTGAATATTATACTCAATCATAGTTTTACACATTCTAAATCCAAATTGTGTAAGTGCCATAATTTGTTTTTACTCCATATAAAGTGTATTATTTATTTTCCATTAGTTTATCATCTTCTTAGCTGGTGTTTAAACTAAATCCTGAAAGACCTGACTTTTTAGGTATTTATTGATCCGTTTATTTATTAGATAGAGGAAAGATAAATGTTAAATAAAATTTGAGATGTTGAGGTTGCTTATATTATGTCTACTTATTTATATTACCAAGTTTATATATTAGACTTTGTGGCTTAGTGGCTTAGAGCATCTGTTCTAGGTGCTTGTATACATGAGGTTGTTAGTTCAACTCTGGCAAAGGGCAAGTTTGTTGTAAGGTATATTCTGTGTTTCCGAAATTTCAAGCTATAATCAATCATAATAATTCCTCATTTAGGAAAATTATATCTGATTAGAATAGGTTTAGGGGAGGGGTAAGTAAATAATCCCTAATCCTAATCATTCTTAATTATGCATAAATAGAATTAGAGTATAATATAAGAGAGTGATTTTCTAGATGATCTCACTATGCTAGTTGCATATTTTGTAGGTCTTATAAAAGGCACTCCTAACAATGAGTTTGTATCTGGTCCTACTAGGCCTAGGGTGACTAGGGCATCGGAGATACTATAAGAGGAATGAGCATTTATCATGTCATACAGAGGTTGTTGTAGATTAGAGGAGGGACTCTAATTGCCTACATTAGCATAGGAGAGAGAAGAATAATGGGGTTCAGTAGCACACAACTACTTGTGACTTCTTTTACCCTGCCAATGATTATCACATGCCTACCATGGCTATAGTATCTTGTTCCTCATTATGGCCTCAAATAGTACTCCACTTTGCCCAATGCTAGGGACTTATGTGATAGGACCACAAGGAGGAGTTTAGAGGTTTATCATCCCCTCCCCTTATTTCCACATCATCCCAATATTCTTCAGACTCTACCACCTGCCATTATATGCTCAACTCTCTATTATTGAGTATAACTCTAGCAGCTTAGACACCCATGCTTATAACCACTGAGGACTAACAACATTATTGTCTAGCATAACATAAAACTACCAGGGTCAACAATGGTTTGAATCTATTGGGACAGTAATTGCCAGTATGATAAGAAGAGGGACTTGATTCAAAAATGCAGTCCCCATATAATTATAATAGGTAATGTACTATAGCATCTATACTTAAAGGCTATTGCACCATAGCTTAGCAGGGAGCAACAAGATTTGTGCTCTTATATATGATTTCCCTTTGTGACTCTAACTCATTACAATTGACATTGCTCATGTTTTTCTTGAACAATAACTTTTACTTACTGTCTCTGGCACTAATAACCTAGAGAGGGGGAATAATGTTATGAAATTGCTTATATACTGTACTTTTACTATAGTCTTTATAAGGATATGTCAGACCCTTCCTAAGTCTATAACTTGTGTTTCTGTCCCACTTGATACTTGGTTTATGCCCTCACTTGTATGTATTTATAGTAGCTGCATATAGCATGGAAGCCTTAGGCTATCCACCTTTGTCAAATCTAGGAACTACTATATTTAGTCTTCCTTGATTCAAGGACATCGGTCTGATCAATCCTTCACACATCCCTCTAAACTAAAAGAACTCCTTTTATCTTAGGATTTCCTTGTCCTAAACAGCTATTTGTAACACCAGCACCTTTGCTCTAGAGGTTGTTTTGGTATTGTGCTTAGCACTTAAAGACACCTCTAGTATATCAACATATCTTGCTGATCCAGTAATTGTTACAAAATATTATATATTGCTAACCAGACCCTAAAAAGTTCGATTTTTGTTTAAGAAAACCCTTCATATTTCTATGTTAATTAAATCTCTTTCTAAGCATTGAGGCTGCCTATAAATAATATTTTGAGCTTTTTCTTAATCTGCAAGTATGCTACTTTGTATGTAAGTGAGTTAAGTTTGAAAAGATATCAAATTCAGGTTGAAATGCCTATTACCTAAAAGGGTGTATAATTTGAAAGTAGCCTAGCTGGAATCACTAGAAGTCTAAAACCTAGTGGATTAGCATGTCTAGTGTGCTAGACAAGTATAAAACTACTAATAGTGATTCTATGCTTTGAGATTCTCCTTTATATAAGATCTCCTTCCATAGATATACAAAATAATGATTAAAGTGCATGCTTAATACAAATATAGTGTGAGTAAAAGTGAGCAGTTGAACTGTCCATCAAGGAGTTATTTAACTTTGACAAGAAAAGGTACAGCAATAGAAGTGTACAAACACATTAATACTCAACACTTGCTAGCAAATAAATTATTTGGGAAAGACTGTCCATAATCATTTCTCCAAGTCATAAGATTAGAACTTGTATATGCTTCTTGATATCTACTCATGAGTCCGTATCACCAGCATCTCTATTCTTATCCTCTACAATAAAATAAAAAGATGGCCACATACTTTTGAATATATGTGATAGTTAGAAAGTCTTCTAAATTGCATCTAATATTGGTAGAGTTAGAGCACTAGTAAATATGGACATAGTTGACTTACAATGGAAACATCAGTATGTTGAAATCAATAATTCCAAAGTTTTCAGATATACCAAGATTTCTAATAAGGTCTATATTGATTGTATGAGTGCTAGTGCTGCAGTGCATGATACAAAGCAAGACAAAGATGCACCCATAGGCTCTTAGGTCATAGCCCATGGGCCAATCTTGACTCTTGTATCAGCTTCCAATGCTCCAGATTTAAGTGTCTATACCGTCTTGTTATTATTTATCCAAGAAATATACTAAGATAGCCAAGTGTATTATTAGCAGGGCACATCAAAATGTATTATTAGTAATGCACTACTATTATGATCATAGTCTGTTGAGGCCTTTGAGGCCTAGTCTAATTGGCAACTGATTATCACAAGAACTAGGTGGTGCTATCTATGGCACAGACATTATAGTTAAAGGTATAATCCTTAGGTTATTAACTCCTAGTGGATATCATTATCACTAGTCAAGTATTTAAAGATATGTTCCAGAAGAAATATTAAGAGAGGACTAACTACCACTTTATAAGGGAACCCATCCTATTGAAACTCCTAAGTTAAAAGGAGATGATTGAGGAAGCACAAAAGTAGATGCTAAAAGAAAGCAGTGGCTATTGGAAAATTCCTGAAGAAAAGCATTGGAATTCTTATGATTTCCTAAAGTAGTATATAAGGCCCATAGAATAGGCTAAGGATCTTTAGTTTATTCTTTTCAATTAGTACTGTATTCCAACAGTACTCTTTATTCTGTGTAGTCATATTACTATACCCTTCACTCATACTATTGTCTTTCAGTACGCCTCGATAAATATCATTCCTTCCTAGACACTCATATAGTCAAGGCTATCATTCTACCCTTTCTCATCATGTGACCTGGGGAAAAACATTCTACTCTTGGAGTTATCAAATAAGTAGTTCATAATAACTGCATTATCAAACTGGGCTTGTATTCAATTGCATATACCATATAATATCCATTGGCTAGCTTAAAACAGCTCTAATTAGCAGTGCTAATGGTGGATACTATATAATGTTGTATTAAATATTTACAATAAATAAAGATAAAGAGATATGCTCACTGCTTTGCTAATAAGCATCACTAATGTATAAGTCTAATTCAGTGACAGTGCTATTTGAGATATCATAATTGTCTATAGAGTTGAGCCAATAGTAGCCATAGTTGAATGGCTATTGCAAGGTCAATGCATGAAGGATATCATAAATTGAGAGAGATAGAGCATACCCCCATTTGCACTAACTGAGATACTATGCCAATTAAGGGATCCTCTTTGACCTAAAAGTCACTTTAGATTGGGCAATGACCATAGACTTGTATAAACACATATACCTTTGCCTCAAACATATCAATCTTTGGTGCCAATCTTCCCACATATATCTTATCAAAGTGTATCAGGCCTATATATGATTTACCAGAACATGTGCAATGGAAAAGACATTGACCAGGCAAGAATGAGAGCACATCATTATTATAGGGATCTCTGTCAAAGATGGCAGTGAGCAAAAGCCTATCCTTTATCTGATTTGCCATAGTGCCTATATCACATGTATTATAGCTGTATAGCCACTGCTTTATAGTTCAGTGTCAGTTCATAGCAGCAAAAACAAGGACATATAGTTTCCTCCCAAAAAATGCACCATAGCCTACATCTGGAAAACTACCCCCTTGTATAAAGCTCTAATTAGCTATAATTGATGCTCTACTATACTAAATTATAAAAGATTAGGATTAGACATTTTTAGCTTACCCCCCTCTACACCTGTTCTAATTAGACATAATTTTCTTAAATTAGAAATTATTAGGATTAATTATAGCTTGAAATTTCGGAAAAATAATAATAAATCAAGCATCACAGTTCTCATAGCTTTCTTATAGAGTTATGTCTATTAGAGCACTAGTTAAATATCTAAACACAGAATATACAAACTTGCCCTTTGCCAGAGTTGAACTAACAACCTCATGTATACAAGCACCTAGAACAGATGCTCTAAGCCACTAAGCCACAAAGTCTAATATATAAACTTGGTAATATAAATAAGTAGACATAATATAAGCAACCTCAACATCTCAAATTTTATTTAACATTTATCTTTCCTCTATCTAATAAATAAACGGTGATACGCTAGAGGTGGCTCTAAGTGCCGAGCACAACACCAAAACAACCTCTAATGCAAGGGGGTGCTGGAGCTAGTATCTAATACACAAGGAATTGTTAGTGATGACTTTAGAAATCGATGGCGTACTGAGGAGCAACGGGGAGTATGAGATTATAGTGCCCGAACGGTTTCGGGACTGCGCCGAACACCGACCGAACGTTCGGTCGGTCGTGTCGGGGATTCGGTCGGTAACGAGAAGGTAGTGTCGCGACCGACAACTACGTGCTTCAAGAGCCACACGGGACTCTGACAATATACAAGGGAGGATGGGGGTACGAGCGAAGAGACGAGTACGAACGCGAATGAGGCCGAACGACGAGGATGACAAGTTTTCGGGAGTCGATGGAGACAATTTCGATGGTTGAGACGAGTGCGAATGAGCTCTGAACTGTGGGGTGCGAAAGCTGGTTTATTCCAGAGTTGTATGTAGGTTTTTATAGTAAACAGCGCCCCTAAGTAAAATATCGAACCCGAAATGAGAGTAGATGTCGAATGGGCGCCAAGCCCCAGCGATCCAAGAAGATAAGAAGGTAGGTGAGATGTCCATATGGGTTCCGAAGGTGATAAGGTAAAAGGTAATCAGTGATGTCGAAATCCCGAACGTTCGGGATCCGTCGCCCGAGCGTAGGTAGCAGGAACAGGCGTTGGAGAGCCAATGAAAAATAAAGAAGAGGTGTCGTACGACCGGGGTGGCCAAGCAATGGTGCAAGATCGCGTTTGACCGACCATGCGGAAGTCAGGAAGATAAGCGATAAGGACCGACCGACTCACGGAGGACATCGGCCGATACGGAATACTGGCTCCGATCTCGTAAACACTTATCGTAACACTCCTATGCGGTCATGGTAAGTACGTGAAGTGTGGGCAAACTGACCCAAGTGCTGCCGGACGTCCTTCGGTGGCTTGTCGTCGGTCGGGTAGGGACCGACCGTGTTCGGTAAAAGTCGGCATCTTCGGTACTTGTCGAGCGCTGTTCGGTATCTCCCCAAAGCTTCCCGACGACCTCCCTCGGACCCTAGCGCGGGTGCATGCTCATCAACGGATCAATAAATACCTAAAAAGTCAGGTCTTTCAGGATTTAGTTTAAACACCAGCTAAGAAGATGATAAACTAATGGAAAATAAATAATACACTTTATATGGAGTAAAAACAAATTATGGCACTTACACAATTTGGATTTAGAATGTGTAAAACTATGATTGAGTATAATATTCAATAGGACTCTACTAATATAGACAATGCTACCTTAATTTGCAGATTTGATCAAAAACATGATTATAAATAATTGGCCATAATCAGCTCAAATTAGTATTATTAATGATTATCAATAATTCAGATCCAATAAGAGAGAGTGGTTTTCCAAATGGCCACTAGTAAGGTAGAGGGTGGGGACAAGGGTATATGTATGGCATGCCTATGTATAAATAAGCATAAGATTGTTAGAGATAATCTTAATATGCTTGGTGCACATATTTCCAACATGACAGGCAAATATATCATTCTGGTATCATATACCAACATGACTGTCTTTTTCATAGCCCAATAGCTAGAGAAAAACATCAAGTTTGAGCATCTTTTATATAACAAAGCAATGAACAATGTAGATGGTGCTGAAAATTATAATATCCATGGTAATGACAATTGTGTGCTGCACAAGACAGTATTAACCACTGCACTAATAGACAAGGTCTGCAAGGCTGCATATAGCATATCCCTAAGCCTAACCTGCATGTTGTGTCCTGTAATGACTAGTAGCAGGCATCAGCTAACAATAACAACTTCAATGATCTTGTGTGCAAGGCCAAGGTACTGAGGTCTTCATAGTCTCTTGTGGCAGCTGCTAAGCTGCCAACAAAGTGGCTGGGGCATCAATGCATATTTCTCTTTTTCTATGTCCTTTGTAAAGGCAGCTAGAAAGTTAGCAAAAGAGCTACAGGACAATGGTGCAGGCATATTTGAAGAAGAGTAATATGCTAAAATAGTATAGAATGTGCCACATCTTTACCTTCTCACTGATAGAGCAATAGTACTTACTATTTCCTACTGCTAATTAAAGACTTCTTAGCATGGAATTAGTGCTAATATCATGAAATTAGAAACCAATCCAATGCTTACAATATGTTGCTCCTAATTAGGAAATTATACACTTTTAGATGCTATTAACACTTTTAGATACTTTTAGACACTATTAGATATAATCCAGAGCTAATACAAAAGGGTGGTTTTCAAGATGGCCAGTTTCATTATTGAATGACTTATAAGTGAGAGCCAATTCTAATGTGTCTTCATTAATAAGGCTTTATCTTTCTATTGTAATAGTCATAATCTGAGATGATTAGATGGAGTGAATAAAAATGTGGTAATTATAATGCATAGAAGCTATATTTTCAACTCATGAATCTAGTACAAGCTCTGCAGTCTTCTTGGTAAAGTATGTTATAAGAGGATACCCCAAACTAATTCAAAGAAATAAATTATGAGCAATTAATATAAAAACACATGAAATTAAGCACACAAGAGTCCAAGGATGGCTATTGTCAAAATTGTAAGATATCCAAGATTTGCTAGTCCTTATATGCTAAAAATATTGCAGCTATAGTTTATAATTGTGTCATGAGTTTGTGTAGATCATTATCAAAGTTGTGGACATATTCTAGTGTCCCTAGAGGTACTATGTTCATAAAGCCCTAGAATGCCAGATCAGGACTTAATGTAAACTAATAAAGCAATTGAATAATAAGACAAACAATATCAGTGAAGACTTACCTTTTCTGACAAAGATCTAGCTACTATTGTATCTTGTAATAGACTGCTAGTCTAGGGGCACTAGGCAGACATAAGCAAGTTGCAAAAAGGAAAGGGGAACACAGATACATACCGAGGACATTTAGCTCACACAAAGGGAAGAACATAGTTAGGGCACTGCCTTTCTCTCTTCTGAAGGAGAAAAAAGAGAAGTATAGTATAGGCTAGCTATAAACAAATAAATGTAAAGAAATAAATACACTGATAGGGGGAAAGTGGGAAGAATTAGAGTAGGGGCATGTGTGTTATCTTAGCCCTTTGTACAGTACTTATGTTGAGGAAATTATCCTTGCTAAATAAAGCTGTGGAGTTCTACCAATATCAGACATTCTAAAATTTTTACTACAGCTATTTCCTAGATCATTGTTCCAGCCTGCACTAGTGGCTCTTGTATGTTAGTACATGTAATGCACCACAAAGAACCTTTTTGAGAATTGGAGTCTGAAACTCAGAGCTCAGCCACTGTCCAGGGCATTAAGCTAGAGTTGAGTGCTCAGTGTGCAAGGGCACTAATGCCCAAGATTGCAATAACATTATAATGGCAAGTGAGCATAATACCAGATCCTGTGAAAATATAGGGATGAAAGTGAACATGTCTCATGACTTATGAGGAACTGCCAACTTGTAGATTGTAAAGTGTGCCATCTTCTAGGACAAGAATGGTGAAGGAATGTCCAGCTTCAACCCAGTTTGATGATAATTCATTGAACATGGTTTATATGCTTTGATTTTATGCTACTATGCATGCATAGTGGAACTCAGAGCTCTTTGTGAAAACAACAAGCCACTTGTGATGATATCCAGACTCCAATCCTGCTTATCTAGAGCCTTTCAGCACTACCTTTCCCTTATGAAACTCCTTGCTAAACAACAAGACATTCTATGGCAGCTCTTGAGTAGTGTTTACAGCTTATCATCCTAGATAAATATAAAAAAGCTGTTTTTGAGCAACAACTTACTCATTACCCTGTACACTGATATATTGGCCTTGTAAAGTTTGTCTTTTATAAAACTAGTATGATGTCAGCTAGCGATCATATATCTCTGCCTAGAGAAAATAGCATCAAACAATATACAATAAAGCCTCAATGGAGTCTTTTTGTTTTTGGGGCTCTCATATAATTGAAGAAGCTTGCAGCTATGGACTCTGGGAGTTTTAGTGCCAGATGAGGAAGGGTAAGCCCATTTTTCTGTGTTTGTAATCCTGATTTTTCCCTTTTGAAATCCAGTTGAAGTATCAGGTATCACAGAGGCAAAGAGCCATATCTACCAAGTCTACCTGCTATTATAGCCAGGTACATCATTGCCACCTTGTCATCACCCCTTCAGGAAAATGCACACTGCCACTATTCAAATGGAGTGGTTTTGAGATTGCACTTACTACCTACAGTTTCACACAAGTGTTGATTGTTTTGCAGTCCCTGTGAACCCTGCTCTTATGAGCACTAGAGTTTCATCCCCTCTCCTGCAAATGGTCTTTAGAAAGGATTGGCAATGGTAAGTGGTGACAGCACACAACAATCGATGATCTCATTTACAGATTGACATCCTGTTAACACCGCACACAATCATGAATTTCTGTATGGCAAATACAAATATAAGGATTGTTTCAAATGTTATTGGCATAAACATATGTCCCGAAAGATGGAGCTGAAGGACACCACAACTCATCTGGCGTATTTTTTTCCCTTCGTAATTCTGCAATGAGCGTTGAGCTTCACTCTTCATAAATTTGTGTAGGCAACCAGACGCAACCTCTGAGTCGATCCTCCCGATCTCAAATCGGGTTTACGTAAGAGCGCGCTCCAAGATGACTGAGACTGATGGAGAGAGCCTGTCGAAACCGTCAGTGTGCGACGGTCTATAAAAGCGCGATGCGGCCTCCAACGTGCATATCACCCCCCTCACCATTCCTTCCACACTCACCCTCCTCAACATCCTCTTTATCTCACTTCTCCTTCCTCTGTTCATTCAACGTAAAGAAGAAATAGACATGGCCGCCGCTCAAGCTGCACAGATCACTTTCTACACTGCAAAGGTGCGTCTGCTTTCAGACGACAAATTGCTCATTGTTGGAGAACAAGGCATTGATTGTGTGCTGGTTTCTGATCCAGGTCTGCCCTTTTGCCCAGCGGGTACGTCATACTTGACTTCATGTAATGTGTTTGAGCGAGCAACTGATGCACTCAATTGGCGGCGTGCGCGGATGCACAGGTCGAGCTTGCATTCGCAGAGGCTGGCGCACAGATCAACAAATACCTCATTGATCTGCAAGCCAAACCCGACTGGTACGCTCCCAAAGTCAACCCCGCCTCCAAGGTACGCCATCCAGCCCTTCCTCCCCCTCTCCTAATCTCTCACATCGCTCTCAGGTTCCCGCAGTAGCCTATGGCGGTCCCGTGGTTCCCGCCGACCAACCCTCCTCAGAGAGCACCAAAATCGTTGAATCCCTCGTCCTCCTCGAATTCGTCGCCGACCTCTACCCCAATGCGCAGCTCCTCCCCTCCTCCCCCCTCGACCGTTCCCGCGCCCGCTATTTCATCGATGTCGTCTCTAACAAAGCTGTCCCGGGCTTCTTCTCGATGGTCATGAAAGCCGAAGGCCCCGATGCGCTCTTCCGCGGGCTCGAGGAGATCCAGTCGCTGCTCCCTCCTGAGGGTGGCTTTGCTGTTGGCGAGAAGTGGTCGATCGCGGACGCGGCGATCACGCCGTTCTTGGGCCGCACGGATCTGCTGTTGAGGAACGATATCGGGAAGTACCCTGTGGGCGAGGGCCCGAAGGTGCACGCGGAGATCTTCCAAGGAGCGCGGTTCGCGCGCCTGCAGAAGTATTTCGCAGACGTGACGGCGCGTGAGAGCTGGCAAAAGACGTTCTTCCCTGTACGTGTTTGTCTCCGTCTTCCTTCTCACGTTTTTTGAGGGAGCAGCGGTGCTGACTCGTATTGTGTATCTAGGACCACATTGTCGAGAAAATGAGCAAGATTCTTGCACGCCCGGCTCCTAAAGTCTAGATGGTATGGAGGATTTCATGATATGACTCAATGTACACGTATCCAAGCAGCATGTAACAAAGATGCTCCAATTAACATCCAACCCCAGTCTGCTTCGAATTACAGATGCAAGTCTCGTTTCAATTAGATGTTGGTTCTTTGAACAAGCAAAGTCTGGTATTTGACATCCTTAGCTGGTCCACTGTCCGCTATCGTCTGCCAACACTCGCTCATTGGTCTGCCTTGACTGTTGCATTCTGGTGCAAGGTTGAACCCGACACACCCATACAGGCCGTGCGTTGCAGCTCGCCATTGTATTTCATATACAAAAAATTCCAGGTCGAGTGGACAACGATGTCATGCCGATCGCTGTACGGATAGAAGGGTCATCTGCTTATATCGATTCTCAACAGAACGATCTAACCTCATAATGACAGTCTGAGGTCTAAATGCGGTACGCGGTTCCCGAGAACAGACAAATCTCTGGCTTAATTCATGCGCCCTTACATGAAAATAATCCCAGATGACAGCCGAAAATGAGTTTTGTTGATTTGAAGACAAACCAACAGCCTATTTTTCTTTACGGATGCGGGACATTCGCACAATCCACATCCACTGGGTCCATCATCTTCGGCCGGCCCCTCAACGCCTCCCATCGCGCGCGCCTAAACTCGGTCGCCACGGCTGCCTGGTCCGTTTTGGACGCCATCTGCACCGTCGGCGCGCCATCGAACCCGCCCTCGAGCGTCTCCCGGCCGAAATGAAACCTAGAGTGTCCCCATCACACAAACCAAAGATATGAATATCGAGTCAGCCCGATGATCACCTTGTGAGGGCTGCTTGATGGTGGATGAACGTACGCGGTGAGGACGTTGCGCATGAACGCGTCGCCGAGGACCCAGAGTGGCTCGTCGCGGATGTCAGGCGCCGAAGACTTGCCCGTGAACACGCCCGCACAGACCGTGCGCGGCTCGCCGTCGAGGTCCTCCGCGTCCATGACGAGCGTCAGGTCCAGCGGGTGGACGGAAAAGAACCGACCGCTGTGCGACGAGCCCAGAAATGGGAGTTTGAATTATGGGAGCAACAGAAGGTGGTGCGTTGAGACATGAAGAGAAAATAAGGAAAGCGTATAGCAAAGGCGACGCACCCGAATCCAAACGACACGTTCGCGGTGGCAAGACACGGCACGAACCAGTACTTCCCCCCGTCGATCACACAGCTCTTCGCGCCCTGCATCCCCCCATAGATAAAGTCCGCCGCGGCGTCGTCCACGAGCGCGAAGCTCGTCCCGCTATCCAACAGTACATTGATATTTTGTCCTCCTTGTCCCTGCCTTTTGTCCCACCGCCACCTCTTCTTGACCGCAGTAGCCAGAGCCGACATAGACGTGTTTAGATCGAACGGCTGCCCGTTCACGCGCATCCCGTCCAGCGCGACCTCCCACCCTCCGCTCGTCTCGGCTACAGGCACATGCGGCACGCCCTCGAAGCGTGCTGCAGGCATGTACGGGCCGATTGTGAATGTACCAGAGGAAGAGGACGATGCGTCGCCTGAGGCTGACCGGGAAAGGTCGAGGGTGAGAACATTCGGTGTCATGGGCGTCTGGGCGAAGATATTCGTGAGCGGAGTGAGCGTCGATGAGTCTGGGCTATGAGATGTAAGTGAAGACGAGGACGCAGAGTGGATGTTGGACGCTCGGTCGAAACCGAGGCCCCAGATTCCGTCTAGATCATCAAGGTCGGCGGACTAACGGCAAATCAAGATCGGACGAGGATGTGAGCGAGGTGGGAGTAGAAAAAAGTAGATGCAAAATACGTACGGCATCGACATTGATAAAAGCTGTATATAATAACAATTAAAGACCAGATATGAATGAGTTGGTTCACGTCGACGAAGTTCGCTTCCATGACATCACTCCTTACCTTGACTTGGAACCTGGAAATCGCCCACTGTGAACGGTGCAAACGCGATATTTCCGGACACCCATCCTGTCCCATACTCGATCTTCACGCGCTGTTCCGTTTGTTTCGACACCTGCATGCCCTCTCGCTTATGTATCCAGAAATCCGCCGAACCCGTGTCGAGCTGTACCAAGAACGCTGTTCCGATCCACCGTCCAAGGAAAAGTCAATATACACGAATGCAGTAAAGATAAACTGACAAGAATATTGGACGCACGTTGTCCGCCGACGGTGACATTTGCGAGATACTGAATAAAACCCATTACGTTCAGCTCGCATGCAGACTCTACGCGCGAAAAGAAACGCACCACAACATCGTCCCTGTCAATGGCTGGAATTCCAGACACCGACCTCTTCACGTCAAAATCTAAAACAAATGGAGCCAGCTCGCCGCCAGCGGCAGTAGAAGAACGCGACGTCGGTGCGCTCATAGAGCTGACGTCTTCAGAAGCCCATGAAGGAGAGGACGGGGCGACCAGCGCCCAAGAACGGGAAACGACAGACAAGGAAACCAAAAGACACGAGAACATCACTGTCGAACCTGAAGAGAGTCGGGCACCTAGCAGTGGATATTATATGCGCCTCGAGTCGTCTCAGACTACCAGTTGGACTAAACCACCCGACTCCATAGCTCGTCAGTCGCAAATGAAACAGGCCCACGCGACAAGACAGACATCGTCCGCCACGCTAGTCAGACGTTTTCAAACCAACCATCAGTCCGTTTGTGGGAAAAGGGCATGTGTATGTGGCGCTCAGTACATGGACGTCAATGTACACTCGCGATCCCCGCAAACGCGGTACCCGCCCCGCCGAATAGCGATTTCGCCCAGCTCCTGAGGAATCCGACTCCCTTACCCTCGTGCCCTGGAGGAGGCTCCTTGTATGTCGGCCACCATTGGCGCACGCGCGCACCAAGGGAGCCTACAGCTGGGCGAATGAAGATGGCGGCGGCTCCCCTGTACAAGGTGGATACCATTTTGTTCATGCACGCAATCAGATGGAGCTGCAGAAGTTAAGGATTATTTACGCACCAGAGTGCACCCTGCAGCAGTGGGCTGATGACCTGGTCCCGCGTGGTGATCCAGAGCACCTTGCCCCACTCGACCGTGATCACCTCCGCCTCCCCTATCTCTTCTTCCTCTTCGCCTTCCCCAGTTTCCTCCTTGTTCTCGCCGTTTGCCCCCTTCGATGTCCGCTTTCGCCGCTCAACATGCACGTACGGCTTCACCCGCTTCAAGTATGTCTGCTCGAAGCGCAGATCGGGGATGACAGATACAGGCAAGCGTGCATGTTGCAAGGATTCGTGTTTGTGAGGCACGGGTTGGCGGAGATGGTCTGCACGACTCTGCGACAGAGCAAGAGTCGTGATGTAGTCTGGTCGAGGGTATTCTGCTGCCATACGAACAAGACCTGCTGTCGGAACGAGAACGCGGCCAGAGAACGAGATGGCCAGCTATTACGTCATGCCGCTCTAAGCAGTGTCTTCTTGCGGTGGGGAGGATGGACGCGGACACGTCCAGCCTGTATGGAACACACACCCTTAATCACTCTAGTTGAAACCATGAACAAATCCACCGATAACAATAATGTAGACAATACACAAAAATATTACACACACTAGGGGTGAGAGATAACATAACATAGCGCGACAGCGGTATAATCCGGCACACCTTTTCACTGTCCATCTGTCCCTGGACCAGGCGTAGTCTTCCGAGAAGCAACAGACCCAAGCTCCTTGTCCAGCCTCTCGAGCCGCTGCGCCCGTGCAGCATTCCGGGCTGCCAGTCGCCTGGTCGCCGCATCGTGCTCTTCGCGGGGCACCTTTCGCCACAGGAAATCCTCGGTATTGGACACGAAGAAAAGGCGATATGTGCGGACACAGACTTTGATCTCCAGTCCGCCGTGCGCGACGACGTCCGGCGTGTCTTTCCGCACGGCCGAGGGCAGATTGCTGATGCAGTGAAGGAAGGTCGATGAGTGTCGGTAAAATTTGAAAGTGATGTTTGCAACTTACCGACGGAGGAACGGGCGACGCACTTTGGACTGAGGAAGGGACTTCGTGTCTTCGTCCTGCCAGCAAGAGTGGTGAGTCATTCGAAGGTTTTCATGATACCAAAACTCACAGAGACAAAAGAAGCGATGTAGGACTGCCATCGCCCAGTCAGGACTTCCGCATCATCGAGGCTAGAGCCGTCCTTGCTCAGCAGTTGGAAAGTGATGACTTTCGATTCCGGATGCTGGTAGAGCGTGATCAGTCATATCTGCACTAGATATCAGCGAACGATCATACCCAGTCAATGCAGAACAAGTTCTCCTCCGGCCCAAGAATCTCTTCAGCTTGTCTCAAAAGCTTTCGATGATCGTCGACTGTCGGCTGTTTCAGTTGCCGCTCGTCCGACAGGAGTTTGTATAATTTATCCTGTTTCTGGTCTGCATCCCCCCAGCTTTGTAACTTCACAAAATATAAGGTCAATGGGCTACGACCATGCACTGAGTAAACGAAAAGAACGTACCTGTTTGATCAGGACAGCGATCACCTTGTCAATAGTGAATGATTTGAACGCAGCCTAGCCCCAACCTTTTCATCAACATCGAAAACAGACGATAGACGAATCGCATATCGCACCTGCAGCCCGAACATCGCCCGCATCTGGTCCTCGAACGCATTCTGGTCGATCTGGCTGTCGAACAGCTTCTCGCACGTCTCAAGGAACAGCTCGTAGTACTGCGCCGCGCTCACTCCCGGCATCGGATTCACATGGCCTGGCCCCATCAGGTACTCCAATGTCCACGCACGGCTTTTCCGACCCCCCTCCTGGGTAGCAGGCCTGCATTGCTCGCCTGCAATCGTCTTGAAGAGATGTAGGCGGGAATAAAGCACCTTAGATCGAAAACAGCTTTTGAGACTCGCCCAAATCTACGACAATGGCATCAAGGCTCACCTCGATCAGACGCAGGGTAGTGTAAAACCATGTATTCGTGTAGAATGACCGCCGCTTGCAACACGGTGTATCACCTGCAGAGGGGACGAGGTCAGCCCGGCTCTCCGAGTCGACTTCCATGTCATCTTCGGAGGGCACCAGCGGCGCGGGCGATGCCCGCCGAGAGCCTGCAGGCGACTGCAGCGGCCGCGTCTGCGATCGCGTCGATTTGGCCTGCTCGCTCTTCAAGAGACTTTTCCGCAAATCACCCGTGAAGATACCGCCAGCGATCCTGTTCCTGCCGCCTCCGTGCGAGCCGCTCGCGCCGTTCAACCCGTCTGCCTCAGCGACCGAGCTCGCCACCTCCTCTTCCCGCGCAAGTGCCCCCTGTTTCGCAGAGGAACTTTGATGCCACTCGTCGCCGAGCATGAAGAACGCGCGGACGATATTATACAGCCTCGTCTCGACCCATCGCCGCTTCTCTACATCGACGCGCGTCTGCTGCGCGGGCATGCGCGCGAAGTACGCGAACGTGAGCTTCACGACGTCTTTCAGCACGTCGCCGTCGGGCATTGCGAACTCGAGCTGGTGCTTCGGCCGCGTGCGCGCGAACAGCGGGTCGACGAGCATCGCGCGCTTCGCCATCTGCTCCTCCACCACGGCCTCGATCTGGCTCACGAACGCCTTGGTGGTGAGCGCCTTCTTGTCGGCCGCCTTGAACGCGATGCTCTGGTGGTCGAGCGCCTTGTTATAGTTTTGCGCGTCGACCTCGCGCCAGACCTTGTTCCACTCGCGCTGCGCGCGCTTCCACTCGTCCTCTTTTTGCTTGAGCCGCCCGAGCACGATCGGCACGGCGAGCGCGGGTGTCTCCTGCAGCGCTTGAATGACTTCGAGCCCAGCGTCGCGCCCATAGAGCTTCTTGATGATGCGCTGGTGGATGGCTTTGCCAGAGCCCCCGAAATTTGGCTTGAGCTTGTACGCACTGCGCTCCTCTGGACCGAGCTGCATGACTTTGTTGTTGATCGGCTCGAGGATGCTGATCGTCTTCACGATACCATCGATGTGGAAATCATACTCGTGCCGCTCCTCCTCGCAGCGATGGAGCGCCTCCTCGTAGATGTTCTTCTTGTGCGCGACGAAACCGGAGTCCTCGCTCGCGAACGTAGGGTGTGATACCCATTCGTCGTTCAAGACTGACTTGCACATCTCGTCGCGCCCGGAACATTGCACGTTGATATCCTACATGCACATGTATCAGAACCACGCCTGCTCGAACCGACACGGAAAATTCTCACATCTGCAGGTAGACGCCTGTAACTCCCATGGCGAATGTTCAGCTCCTCCTTGCTCGGCCTGTCCAGCACGCCCAAAGGTCTTCCTGGCATAAGCCCCTCTTCTCGTTCCCGCGCAAGCGCAGCCTTGTCCTGTGCCTCGTCCCACCCCAAGATCTCCTTCAGCTGATACATCAACTCTCCGTCGCCCAGGAAATACACGCTCTCGCGGACCAAGCGCGCACGATCAATATAGCCCTGCGTGAACAGATTGATGAGTCGTAAAAACTCGTTGTATGACTCGCGCGAGTCGACGACGCGCCGGACGCGTGCAAAGAACTGCGTCCCGTCGGAGCCTACGGCGGCTGTGGCAATGGAGTTGGACACGGACATAACTGGTGCACGGTACGCTGGAGGCGAGGGCGGCAATTGGACGTGTGGATGTGGGTGGTGGACTTGTATGGATCGGCGCGGAGAGGGCGGGGCGGTCGATGTGGCGTACTGCGAGAATGATGTTGACGCATCCATGGGCGGCGCTTGTAGCTGTTTTGCTTTCTTCGACTCGTTGACGATTAGCCACATGGCAAAGGCGGTGCGAGGCGGCTCACCTTGGACGCGACCGATTTTACACTGTCTTTGTCCTTGTCTTTATCCCCCGCTTTGCGCTTACGCTTCGCCGGCACAGAGGACGGTGGAGCCTCAGCTGGTTTCCGCTTCGCCGATCGTGAGCTCTCAGCGCCCATGACTGGTGTGCTGATTTTCCCAAGTACGCCTTGGATCATAGAATCGTCACCGTCTTCGGGTCTCATCCCTACACCTGGAAGGAAGTCGCGAAACGCCAGCGAGAGGTCTGGCGCGTCTTTGAAAAGCTCTTCGACTTGTGCGTACACTTCTGCCTGCTCCACGGGGAGTCAGCACGGAATCAAAGTCAACCTGGAATAGATATAGAGGCGCAGTGAATGCTTACATTGTTTGCGCTCGCCTTGTGTGTGGAGAGGATCTCGAGGAACTGTTTGTAGGTGTGTGGATCGTCGCTGAAACGCGTCTTGATGCGCTGCACATAATCCATCGCTGGACCTAGGTTGGCTCTCTCAGCTTCACCTCCGATACGGCCTGGCTCACCGGGTGAGGATGGTGGTTCTAAATGACGTTGGAAGCTTGGGACGGGTTGGGCGTGCATGGACATTGTTGGCTCCATATGGCCACTGCCAGGCAGAGACTCAGAGAATCCGTTAGGATCGTTATTAGATTGCAAGACAGTGCCGGAAGGCGTGGTGACCGTGATGTATTCGGACGAGTGAGAGTCAGAACCAACGTCGATGCGGTAGCCGACAGGAAGGAAGGTGTTGAAGCCTGATATGAGAGATGGGTGGCCATGAAATAGCGATGACACGCGCGCGATGACACCGGGAGTGTCGATCCTGAAAAGTTATTGTTGGTGAGAAGGACAAGAGAGAGATCAGAGACACTGACTGCTGGCTCTTGAAGTCCTTCATGATGTCCAAGAAGAGGTTGTACACGTCCGGTCTCTCCTGGAACTTGTTTTTCACATTGTCCAGATAACTCAGGGCATCGGACACGTTGAGCTGTCTCTCGCCCTGCGGATCTCCGCCAGCCATAGATTGCAGCGTCGCAGCGTTTTGTGAAGCCGAGCGCGAAGGGAAGTAAGAAGGAGAAGCAGCGCCGGGGAGGTGAAGGGGAGTTGATGATGACGATAATGGCTGGGGAAGCGGAGCATCTCTACGCGCAGGAGACGGCATGTCTTTCGCTGGGCTTGCGACGGTTAATGAGGGCTCTTCGGACGGCTGCGAGGGCTTGTGATCGAGCGCGGGATCCAGCGGTCCTTGCATGGCCTCTGTCTTCATCTCGCCCCGATCCATGCGTCGACAGAGATCTGTAAAAGACACGGCGCACTGCGCAGCGCAACGGCGACAGTAAATCCTCGAATTTTTCACACCCGGGACGAGGAAGGGAGCTTCCCCATCACCACATACACGTGATGTATCCAGTGGGTCACATGTGCCACACGCGTCGCGTCAAGAGGATCGCTTCTAGCTACACTACCGCTGTACCGCATTGCAAACGACTGTAATGACAAAAAGGTACTTCTCTCAAAGAGGGAAACCCTCCGGGCCTTAGCTGAGCCACGAGCAGTCACGTTCCGTAGCGTACTTGTAATCCTTACGTCCCCACCGCCCCAGGCTAGCGCTGTGCGGTATATAAATCCTTGAACCAAAAAAAAACTGTAATGAAAGACTATGTCTACGAGATCTGATTTGTGGACAAGAGTGAAGTAATGCCACATGCTTCAAAATCGCATGGTAGGGAGGTCTGTTGTCGGACCATACATTTGGAGGGGTTGTCGAGAGTAGACCGAAGTCGCGGAACGCCAGAGAGAGGTCCGGTGCATCTTTGAAGAGCTCTTCGACCTGTGCATACACTTCTACGAGGAAGGGAGCTCCTCATCACTGCATACATGTGATGCAACTATCAGGTCACATGTAGAATACGCGTCATAAGTAGCTACGTACATCTTGCTACGTCGTGTATAGACCCGTCCACAGGGCCATGGATGGACCTCGCTCTCAGAGAGAAGATCAGCCAGGTTAGGCGAGCACTGAGCAAACCCTCACTCTATTGACCTCAGGCTCCCATTCGACTTTCGCATCTAGTGTATACTTGCGTTGGATCGCACGTTGCGATTGAAGATTGGCCCGTGCGTCTCATAGTTTGCTTTCAGTGAGCATCTGAATAGACAAAAAAAGTAGGTTCACCGCTTCATTACTGATCAAGTAGACCGAGGCATCTGAATGGAAACGGTGCGCAATCTGAGGAGGTTCAAGACAAGCTTGGAATCATCCACATGGCATTGAAAAACAACCACGCACTTTCCAGGTTCGACATGACCATGACGAATTCCGCACGGCCGGCCCTGCCACATTGAGGACTGCTCTTTCCTGACACAAGTCATTGAGTAAACTTGCAGTCTAACTTCCAATCGCTTGAATCTCTCAATTGAATCCTTGGCCGTCGATGGAAGCAACGTCTACGCTAGTGGATAGGACTCAATTCGTCGTCCGAATGAATAGATGTGCACGAGATGCTGAAACAGTCAGGATTTTGTTTAGCGCGCCTTGATGAAGTTTAGCAGATGACGCATACCGTGATCGCCCAAAGCACCCTACGTGTCTTGCTCAGATGACACGGTTGTCAGCCCCACATTTCGCCAGAATCTAGCTCTTCTGTTTATTATTCATTGCTCCGAGTAGAGCGTCGAAGAGCGGTCTTCAGGACAAGTTTGCTATCACGCTGCGCGCCATTGGTGGATAGTACGCTTCGTGGATGGTGCTCGGAAGCACGCACATTCTGGGACGAGACGTGCGGATACGACAGATACGACAGATGATGAAACGGTGGTCGTTTCATTTCCTGGGAGGGTGGCGCGTGCCCGACAGATGACCATGATCAGGGATCAGGTGGGCGTTGGTGGTGATGACGGCTGCGATATCAGTGCGGCCGCGTCCTAGAGGGACTGAAGCCGTCGTAACTTACATACACATGTCCGCGGGAGGATAAATAGTAGGATGACGTGCTCTTTATGCCTGCGTCCTCTCCCGCTCTCGTGAAACGGTATGTAGCTTGCTACGCGGCTAGTCAGGCGCTGCCACGGTCAACCTTTCGGCCAGCATCTTTGATGACCATGCATGAGCTCACTGGTAATTCCTGTCGTCTATTAAAAGCAGACACTCCACAAGATGTGTGGCCGTCGACCTTCGTCGACTTGATCAACGACCAGGCTCTCAAGATCTCTGGCGCCACGTGGAGTCGGAACACGATCTCGTGACTGCACAACGTGAGTCCGCGTCATCGAATCTCAGACGCCACACGACGAGGCGTTTTCTGCCGTTTTCTGCTGTCTTTGATGTCTGTCTCCATATCAACAGAAACGTCAAAAATCGAACCAAAATGACTCACCAGGTGCCGCACGGTCAGGTTGAATGAGACCGTAGGCTACCGTAGGTCATGTCGACATGAGAGGATAGGTACGAGAACGCATCCGGAATACCTGGCGAGCGCTGATACAATTTCCGGCTTCTGGAGTACAGCTTTTGTCGAATTCATTGACGGAAAGATAGACTAATAGAGTATGAAGCCTTAAGGCCTAATTTATCTGTGGCTTGGTCTGGGCTTTCTCTCCCTCAAGACCTGAGACAATATCTTGTTTTGTACAGCTATTTGCCTGGCCTCCCGTTCTGCTGACCCGCAGAGCAATGAAAGGTTCTCGAAAGGACGGCCTGCGGCTTATGGACGGCATGTTATAGGTTCATCCGTTGTTCTGAATTCCTAACCTTGATGCTTTTGGCTTTAATATAGCCTTACCGCGCTTTCATCGACACCCACGCGCTGCGCAGAAAACTCTTGGCAATGTGCGTCCAAAATATGATGTGGCCACATCACAACTCGAAATAGCCACATTGGATAACACGCCCTCTTCAAGTTGGCCAGTAGCCACATCGGGGAACGCCCTCATCGAGTTGGTCAGTACAATCCCAATCGTAGCCTTCAAGGCCATCTTTCGACTCACCAGGACTTCTTTGCCCCTATTCTTGAGCAGGTTTTCGGAGTCCCAGTCCTAGATGTCGGCCCGTAGACCATACCGTAGACTGGCAGCAAGACTCGGTCCCGCTGTGCGTCCACCATCGGCACTTTTCCTTGTTTGCGGGCCTTTGCCTTTTATGTAACAGAAACAGCATTCTCCACGCGTTCAACTGGGTGTACGATGCCCCGCACGAATCCACCGATCTCGCTTCTTTGCCCCTGAATTTGAAACACACTTCAAATTGCCCCACATTTCCATGCCGTACGACCCCGCATCACGTTCCCCCATCTTCTCCAGTCCCCCCAAACACTGAGACGCCTAGTAATCCAGCACATCACCCATATCCGGCAACTTGACTTCCACAGAATCGCACTTACCTCGCGCCTTGCGGGCTTAACGCTACAGGCCCGGATGATCCGTTGGCAGCAGTGGGGCTACTCATCCCTGAATATCGTCTCCGCGCACGGCGGCCTGTCATGCCATACTGCTCTGCGCACATGTTTTTCGAGTCGTCTACGGCCCTGATGAAATGGGTTATAGTCAATCCTCTGTCAACCCTGGATACCAACGACGTAAAGTGAGTAAAACGACAATGTTATTCCACGTACAATTCCGAATATGAATCACTGTAGGGGCGGTGGATTAGACGCGTAAGGGTGTATATGTAGGCGCTGGCACTCTTCGGTAAAGTCGTCCCAGTCCTGTGATTGTTCGCGGGCCGTGTCAACACTGTGATGGCAGCTCAGCTCACTCGCGCACGAAGGGCGCAACCGTCCGCCATTTCGGGCGCGATGGTCCAAAGATTTGGGTCCTCCGGTGCGGGGCGATTTCTGGACCCAGGAGAGCGCCGTGCCTCACTAACCTTTCCGTGGCCGCGGGCGAGGCGCCCCGAACTTTCGCCTTCAGTTTAGTATTTTTGAACTGTAGTGTCGAGTGTTCTGTTCGCTCGGAAGCTGGTTACCGGAATCTGTTGGAGGCCACCGTTGCATCGACTCGCGCGTTCGTTCATTGTTCCCTCTGAACATCAGCCTCATTTCGAGCTGTGTTCTGATGCGGCCTACGGTGAACCTTTTCGTATGTGGGTGCTGTGAAATACGTCCGTTGCTTCAGGTCTGCGCGCAGCAAATCAAAAAGGACCAGTCTCGGATCCGCACTATATCCATTTCAACCTTCACTCTTTCCATGGCAGGCCCCTCGCTTCTACTTGCGCACAATCGATCTGGACAGAAAGCACGCGGAAAGTGCGAAGGAGAACAGTTGCTCGCTCGTCCATGATTGTTTCCTTCTTGGGTATGGGTATGCCTTCGTGTTGCCTTTATGGGCTTCATAGTCTCAGCATATCGCTTGCCGCGTGCCCTTGGATTCTCTCGGTTTACTTACGGTAGAACACCGGATGGCGTGTCCCTGGTCGTGTGAGCTCCTTATTCGTCCGCTCTCTCCGAAGACGCGACGCGCTCCTGCGCGCGATGCTAGGCCGAAACCGCGATCAATGCAGGCTTTGTTCGGACGAGTCGGTTTTGGCGCACATCGTCCACCGGGACCGGCTCGGATATTGATTTTCCGCTCCTTACCATTGGTCGGACTCTGTCACCTCCCCACACGTCCGAAGGCGTGGAATCCCCGAGTACCCCAAAGCCTCCAGGCTTCAGTTCCTGCCACCTTGCCTACCATGAGAAATGCTAAGGTTTGCCATGCACTTCGCAAACTCTATGACAGGCCATGGGTGCAGTGTGGGGTCTCTTAGGACATTGCTGCGGGTGCAGAGAAGCGCTGATTTATGTGCCGATATGCCCGATATTGGATTCGCGCGGTGGACGATCGATTGATGATACAGCGAGCATAGTAAGCTATGGTAAGTTACGTTTCTTCTGCCTCTTCTGCTTCTCGAGTTTGAATCGGATCCCGACGAGCGTCATAGCCTGTCTGATGAGACAGCCTGGCTTGATCTGTGCGGCAAGCCAGTGGCCAGCCTTGGCCAGCTCCCCTGCATTTTTCACCAATCTAACCTGCTGAGTAAAGTGCCTTGGCCTCTCCCTTCCTTCCCAGGCCGCGAATTCACCGAGCACAGCACCCGTGTCCTTGGTCGATCAGCGTTCTGATCGTGAGCAGCGTGCATCCTACAATGTATGCTCCCGTCAGTACCCCAGGGCACCCCACGAATTAAACTCTCTCCATCATTACAACGCTCGCCGGGGATTCTCACACCGCCAACGTAATGCGACGCTGACGAGCGCAGCCTTCCGTCCAATCGCACACACGCATCAGATCATCTCCCGACGCTGCCACAAAGGGACGTCAGCTCCCATACTTACCAGAGGGCATCGCACATCTTGGGCCTTCGCAGCGGGCCCTATGCCATACCCGGCGTACCGAAGCGCGAAGCACAAACGCGAAGCCATTATCACGGGCGCGTGCGCGCGCCCCTATTGTCTGTCCGGTCCCAGCTGCCCGCGCTCCTCTGGCCTGCGCGGCTTCTGATGGGCGCCTTCGATTTGGGCTCGGACTTGGTCTTCCTGGGTCTATGCACCGGTGCCAGCGCCCGCGAGGCACGGACGCTCCCATCTCTGGTGCATCTCTTGATATCTCGATTTTGATGTTCGACGATGGTCCTTGGCCGCCGCCGCCATCGTCGTCGTATTTACGGCCGCAGACGCGGACGCTGTTCGGACTCCGTCCACTCGCACGCAGCGCCTCCTCGTTCGCCGCGGCCTCGCCGTCTGCGTACTGCTGAGCTGCCAGTCGTCCCCACGCGCATGACACACTCCTTACTCGGCGCGGGGTTACGAAGAGCACCCACAGCGCCTCTGCGTCTTCTCCACGTACGCCTGCTCCGGGCGCCCAACTATGTCAGCGCGCGATCGCGCGGCGCCCCGCGTCGCGAGGCCTCGAAGCGGCGAAGCGGCGAAGTGCTCCACCCACCGCACGCACCGTGTGTGTGCAAACGCGCTCTCCGATAACTCATTGTATGTATACGGAGGAAAGGAAGTGCTGGACCGGGGCCCTCCCCCGCTCTCTTCCACGCCATCCCATCCCGCGCCGTGCCGCTGCTCGACTCGCCACGCGTCCTGCGCAGCCCCCGAGGGCCTCGAGGCGCGAGCGGTGGAGTATCGTAAGTGCTAGGCGTGCTTCTTCCGGGCTTCGACGATCGCAGCGCTTCGCAGCGTCGCCCGAGGAGGTCGAGGTCTGCTTCTCCAGCCACCTCGCCCCACCTCGCCTGCATCCCTCGCGCGCGGGGTCATCGACGCGTCCTCGGGCGCTCTTCGCGTTGGGCCCCCGGGAGCTGCGCCGCCAATGGCGATGATGACGACGACAAGGACGACGATGCTGGCCCGCGGCGTGCCGCGCAGGGCGAAGGGCTTGGGCGAAGGGCGCAGGAGGCCTCGGTAATGGACTTCCCTCCTTCGCGTCCCGGCGCGGAGGGTCGTCCGGAGACGTGGAGCCCGAAGCGCCTCTTGCGCCCTCCTCGCGCCTAACCTACTTGCGCAGGGCCCTCCCCCTTCCTTCCTTTATTCCTTCCTTCCTTCCTACCTTCCTTCCGCCTTCTACTTCGTCAGCGCGCGCAGTGATGACGATGATGATGATGATGATGATTACGAGCTGCGCGCGTATACATATGCATGTATTACTGATACATTTTTCGCCCGACCACGTACGTACTCGCTGTACACGTCGACACGTACTCATACACCGGATCGTTCGTCCGCCGTTTTGGGTTCGGGATGGCAGGGGTGTGCGGTAGACAGGTAAGCATGTAGGTAGGTAGAGAGGTAGAGAGGTAGGTGGGTAGGGATGTGGTCAGATCGTCATGTACGAGTACACCGCACACCGCACGGTAAGAGTGGGTTGGTCAGAAAGTGAGATGCGTAAATGCTCGAGTAGTAAATGAAGTAACGGGGACCGCTGCGACCCCCGTCGCCGCCGCCGCCGCCTGCGTCGTCGTGGTGGCATTACGGTCGTAACAGAGAAGAAAAAAGGCGAGACGAGACGAGACGAGACGAGACGAGGCGATGGGAATCAATAAGAGTCATCAGTACGTGACGAGAACGAGACGAGAGGGGTGCCCAAACGAGGCCAGTGGTAGTACTTATACAGTCGCGTCGCGCGCGCGCTTATTCCGAGAAAGAAACGACATGGAACCGAATCGAAGTGTGTGAGCTCGCGAGGCGAAGCGAGTACGAAGCCGGCGAGGAGGATAGCGAGGGGAGGAAGAGGGAAACAGAACCTGAGACCGAGACCGAGACCGAGACCGAAACGCATAGAGAGAAAGAACGAGAGAAGCGGAAGAGGCGGAGATCAACGGGCGCGCGGGGCGCGCGGACGCGAGCTGGGAAGCGGGAGGAAGGGGGGCATAGGGCGGTTTTGTTGCTCGGGTGCGGTGGGAATTGGGGAGGTCGTAGGGAGGCAGGGCGATATCGTCGTCGGGTTCGTGGCAGCAGCGGCGGCGGCGGGAACAGGCGTGCGAAACTCGCGCGATCAAGGGGTTGGGGTGGTGCGGGGTGGTGCGGGGTGGTGCGGGGTGCGGGGAGATCGGACGTCGTGTGGGGCGTGCGATGTGCAAATATGCGAGACGGGAGACGAAAGAAAACAGAGGCGGAAAGAAGGCAGCGGAAAGAGACGAGGGGGCGGGCTTGAGGGGCTCGAGGGGGGCACGGGCTGAGGGGGGGTATCGACAACGGGAGCGGTATCATCCAATCATCCATCCATCCATCCATCCGTCCGTCCGCCCCTCCACAAAGACAGCCTGCGCCCTACGACCGCATGCCGCCCTCCTCCTCCTTCACCTTCACACCCCGCTCGCGCTCGCGCCTCCGCCCCCTCTCCACAGCCCCCGCCCCAGCTCCCGCCCCCGGACCGTCCTCGTCCATCCCCATCCCACCGGGACTCGCGCTCGCGCTCCCCTCCTCGTCCCCATCCACCATCTCCAGATCGCCCTCCTCCACGTCCATCGCGTCCACATCCTCGCCCTCGCCTTCACCCTCACCCTCACCCGCCCCGTCCGCCCCGCGCCCACCACCACTCTCGGCACTCTCGGCACTCTCGCCGCTCTCGTCGTTCTCGCCCTCGCCCTCGCCCTCGGCAGACTCGACGACGCCCGCGAGCTCCCCACGGTACCGCTTCCCGCGCGCCGCCTTCCCGCTCCGCCCATGCCCGTGCCCGTGCCCGTGCCCGTGCCCGCGTCCGCGCGCGGCGATCTCCTCGTGCAGGATCATGTCCCCCTCGCCGTCCTTCGACCCCGCGCGCGCCTGCGAGTGCGAGTGCGAGTGCGAGTGCGACTGTGGCGAGTGCGACTGCCGCAGGCCCTGCAGCTGCGCCTCGAGCTCGCGATTGCGCGTCGCCTGCGCCGAGACGAGCTGCTGGAGGTACCTGCACACGCATGCCCGAATCCCCACAACGCCCGCAACGCCCGCAACGCCCGCAACGCCCGCACCGCCCACGCCGCAAAAGAACACACACATCCGTCAGCGCCTCGTCGCAAACAATGCAGACACACACGCCAACCGACCAACCGCCCGATTGGCAAAAAAAAACAAAAACAGCGATGACGAACGCACCGTATATAATCCACGCTCTTCCTCAAAATCATCCCCTTATTCGCCTTGACAGCCCCATCCGCCGCCGCCGCCGCTGCCGCGGCACTCGCAGCACTTGCAGCGGCGCTGGAGCCAGCGGGCGCCGAGCCAGGTGTGCCGTCCTCGTCCTTCGGCGACGCCGAGGACCCGGACGCACCGGGGGCGGCGCTCGCGCTCGCGATCGGGGAGAGGTTGCCGAAGAGGACGTCCTCGGCTGTGGGCGAGGTGGGCGTCGCGGCGGCTGCACGTCCGGTGCGGCCAAGGTGGGGGACGCGTGAGCATAGTGAAAAGGGGAGAGGAGACGGGGAGAGGATAGGGACTGGGGGGAGCAGACACGCACCGCCGGGATCGAGCAGCGCCTCGGGGATGAGGGTCGCGAGCTCCGAGATCTTCTCGTTGATGTTGTCCCGGCGACGGCGCTCGACGGCGTTGTGCGACTCGCGGCGGCGGCGCCGTTTTTCGTTCGCGAGGAGCGCTCTGCACGGGCGGACGGAGGACGGTCAGCGAACGCCCGCGAAGGAAGACAACACAAAGCCGAAGGCCGAAAGCCGAGAATCGGCGATCGAACGCGGGACCAAACACCGACACTCACTGCTTCGACACCGGATCCGCCCCGCCGCTCCCCACGCTCCCGACGCCCACGTGCCCCAGCCCCGCCCCAGGGCTCTCCCCCATCCCACCCATGCTCCCGCCCAAGCTACCCAGCTCCTTCGGACTCACGCCCATCCCCCCGCCGCCGCCGCCACCGAACCCCGCGAACCCGCCGAGGCTCTCGGGCGTCGGGAGGCTGTACTCCCCGCTCGCGTGGTGTGCGTGGTGCCCCGCGTGCCCGCCGTGGCCGTTCGCGGACGCCGGGGCGGGGCCGAACCACGAGGACGAGCCCGAGACGGAGAGCGCGTGCAGCGAGAGCGGCGACACGGGCAGCGTCGGCGTCGTCGTCGTCGATCCACCCCCGCCTCCGCCGATAGAGCCCGCGGCGGAGGACGCGCGCGCGCCCGGGATGAGGATCGCGTGCGGGGGGTGGTGGTGGTGGTGCGCGTGCGCGCGCGGGGGCGAGGACGAGGAGATGCTGCCGCGCTTGGCGCGCGTCGTGCGCGCGGGCCCGCCGTGGGTGCTCGGGGGCTCGATCGCTCCGATGCCGACGCCGAGGCCCATGCCCATGCCCGTGTCACGGCTGCGCGAGCGCGAGCGGTGCGCGGGGTGGTGGTGCGGCGGGAGGGCGCCGACGGGGGACGGGGTGTGGTGCGTGCGGTAGTCGAGGCCGTGGTACGACGAGGGCGGGCCGCCGTTGCTGCTGCCGTTGCCGTTGCCGTTGCTGTTGTTGTTGTTATTGTTAGAAACGGAGGAGGGAGCGGAGGGATCGTGCGGGTCGTAGCGGAGGGAGGAGGAGAGGGCGGGGAGGGTGGCGTTAAAGTGCTGCGGGGGGTTAGCGGTGTAGGGGTCGAAGGAGGCGGGGTGGGCGAGGGAGGGGAGGTCGCGGTGGAGGGAGAAAGGGTTGTGCGAGGACGCGGAGGGGTGGTGGTGGTGGGAGGAGGCGGAGAAGGAGGGCGCGGAGATGTCGAATATGTTGTGCCTGTAGCCCGAGTCGTAGCCGTTCCCGTTGGGGTTGGAGGCGTGGTGGGGGTCGGCGGTGTCTGGGGAGTGGGTGGAGCGCTCGTGGCTCTGGTGGTGGTGCTGCGGGGGCGGAGGCGGGGAGTGGGCCATGAGGCTTGCGAGCTCGTCGCCAAAGTCCATGCTGGGCCCGCTCTGAGCCGCGTGGTCCTTGCGGGAGGCGTAGGGGTCGCTGAGGAAGTGGGGCATGAAGAGGGCGGGGTCGAACGCGCCGCCGGACGGGTTCGCGGAGTTTGGGTTGTTGTTGGGCGGGGGAGACGGGTTGGAGGGGGGCGGGGACGGGAGATGGAAGCCTTCCTGGCGGATCTGGGGTTTGTATGCGGATGCGGGGAAGAAGGACATGCTCGGCGAAGGGTGCGCTGCAGCACAGGACAGACGAGAGCGGGGAGATGGAGCAGGAGCAGGAGCAGGAGAAGGAGCAGGAGCAGGAGCAGAGGAAGAGCAGGGCAAGGCAAGCGAGGGCACTCGAGGCGCGTCCGGCACCCGCCAGCCCTGTTATACGCTCGGCCCCCGGTCCGTCCCCGCGGTCCACGCACCCCCGCACCTCCTCCCCGGCGCGGACATCGACCCTTTCGTCTCTCCAGGCACGCCCCGCATACCCCGCACACCCCCACGTAACCCCGCCGTCGCACCCGCCTCGATCGCCATCGCGGGCGAACACCCAGTCCCATCCCTGCCCTCGCGACCGTCCGCGTCTCTCCCCGCCAAGCCCACCCCAGCGCAGATCCTGCCCAACACTCCCCGTCCCTGCCCTCGCCCGCTCGTACACGGCCTTTCTTCCGTACAGGCCCCGCAGGCCTCCGCACCCCGTCGCGCGCCTGTGTCCCTGCGCATCCCTTACCCGAAATGAAGCAATAGGGTCCCGTTTGAAAATCACGCCCTGCTTCTCGTCCGCTTTGAACACCGACCCCGGCCTCCAACGCATATGCGCTCTGATCTGAGCACGGCGTACGTACATGCATCTGTACGTCTCTAGTTCTCGCCGCACCGCACGCGCCCACCGCACCGCACGCGCGAACCCTGCCGCGCAACAACCCCGCGTGCATACGAAGCGCGCTACGCCCCCCGGAGCGGGGAGAGACAAGCAAGCGCGCGGCCCACTTCGAAGCCCCGCGCCGCGCGGTTCGGGGCTCGCACCCCAACGCGTCGAGACCGCAGCCGCCGCGATGCCCCTGCATCCGTTTCGTTTTCGGCGGCGCGAGGACATCGCGCGACGCGCTCCCGATGTGTGGATTCATGGACGGACGGGTGGTCCTAATAGCCCATAGGTACTGCGGCGACGTAGCACGACAGCGCCCTCCGCCACACGCGCACCGTGCGCGGCAGCGTCTAGACGCCACACCAAATCGAGACCAAGGCGACCGCATCGGGGAGTCCTGCCCTCCACGCCGCGCCACGCCGGCAAGGCATCATACATCTGCGCAGGAGGCGGCGGCGGCGGCAGCGACAGCGACTGGACTGTCGGCCCACACGGACGCGCGCTATGGACGCTCGCGGGCCCTGTGCATATGCGCGCACCTCGCGCGCCGCCGTCCTGCCTGTGTGCTTGGCGTCGGTCAGCCAGTCCGCCAGTCCGTCAGTCGACAGTCAGCCAGTCAGCGGTCAGCGGTGAACGGGATAGGGATAGGGGCTGATCGGATCGACAGGCAGACTGTATTAGAGCCACCGCGGCGCGCGACGTCATTCAGTTCACGTCCGAGAGACGGACGCGGAGGCGGAGGCAACGGTGCTCGAGGGCGCGCTCGCCCCCGCCCCGCCCCGCCCCGTGCGGCGTCGGATATCCCGACGAGACGCGCGATCAAGTGTTTCGAGACCACAGGCGGCGCGGCGCGGCGCGTGCGGAAGCCGCGACGCCCGATGGCGCATACATCAGTCGCACTCGTACATGTGTGTGCTCGCGCGAGCGAGCGCAGGGCGCATTGCACAGTATTTAGTACCATAGTGGCAAGCGGCGTCGCAGAGCTCGCAAAGACGGGACGACGGTTTCACCGCGTCCGCATCCTGTCTGCCCCGCGGGGGGGCGAGATCCGAGCGAACCGCGACGCTCCCGATGAGCGCGATCGCCGAAGCGCTGATCCGACGGCGCCGACGCCAGGGCTGCTGGCCTGCCCGTGCTCGCGTCTGCCTCAGAGGCAAGGCGGGCGGGCAGGGCGGGGCACGGCAGACGAGAGTCGAGTCCGCCGGCATGTGTCTCGGGACTTGCGCTCGAGACCCGGACGGGCCAAGTCAGGCCAAGTCGCGCGCAGGCGCGGCGCCTGGGCCCGCCCGCGACGCATGACTCACGCGTGATTTGACGGCCGTCGTCGCACCTCGGGATCGTACGAGATCGCGGTGGTGTGTGTGTGGGGGGGCAGAGCAGATCACCCGAGTCTATAATAACGACGGACGATGCGGAGCGCGATCTCCGACGCGCCATTGGTCGCTGCCTCATTCACTCGCGACTGACTCGGCACCATCACGAAATCGGGCGCACTGGCGCTGCTGCAGAGTATTACTCGAGCACAGACGAGAAACATCGTCGCGAGTACGCGTCCGCCGGGCGACGCACACTGTCCTGCGCTGCACGCGGCGCGTTGCACTGCTCCAGCCTAACCCCGCGAAGCTTCCCTTCTTGCCCTTCCCCGGCCCCTTCGCGTCCCACCGTCCGACACGAAAACTCATAAGCAGCCACGACCCTGCGCAGCCCTCGTAATAGCTCACATTATGCGGACGCGTGAAATGAAAACCCCACGGAACCGACTGGATCCGATCGACGCAACGCTAAACGCACGCGACCAGGAATGGTATTTCCGCACGCTCGTTCTGCGCTCGCGGCTCGGACCCTCCCCTCCCCCATTTCCCGAGTCCCGATCGGGCCTCCATACCCCGCCCCCGCACGGCGACCCATCAAATCAAGGCACGCTTAGGCGGCCGTGGCCACCGCGACAGCTCGCGACGCGTATATGCGCGGGGTACATACGTGTATCGGCTAGCGGAGGCGATCGGGCATACGCGATTGGACGGACTGCTGGTTCAGAGCAGTACGCTGGGAAGTATAAGCACTGTATGTTGGGAAGGCACCTCGAGTCGACGACAGCCTGCGCTCGGGTATGCGAGCCTTCGAACGCGCTGGCCAGCCTGGACGGCCGCACGCACAGGCGATCGGCCTGCTCAGCTAAGCGATACAGCCTCGCCCGTCCTATTCATAAACACCAACGGGAGCCCGCCTCGCCTCCTCCCCACGCGCGCGCACAGAATCGCGCACAAGCTTGATTGCATACGGCGCTCTGATACGCGCGCACGCGCGTGCACGCGCAGACGGGGCAAGGGCGTATTCGCATTCGCGCACGAGCGAATGAGGGAATGGAAGCCGACCTTGCGTATATGCAGCGCGTGCTGTACATGGCTTTCAATTCGCCACCCGGCGGGGATGCGATTGCCTTGGTGGCGGCCGTTGGAGCAGGGACTCGGCTTGAGCGTGGGCACAGCATGCAGCACGGGCCGCGCGGGGGATCGAGAACGAAGGAAAGGGGCGTGAACAAGCCGTGGACGGCACGGCCTGAGGCGCTGTCAGTGTCCCGTTCTCGTGGTGCGTTCTTGAAAGAGGGATCAAATAGCAGGTGTGGAACCGGGAGGCTGGATATGCCGATAGCGTAGCGGCTGGTAAGAGAACGAAAAGCCTGCCAAACGAGATGAAACCCGTCCGACAGTCTTGTCGTTGCCCACAGAAAGCCAGATCGCCTGCCAGCGTGGTCCCATCACCCATTAGCTCAGCAACCTATCCCAGACTCCGCAAGTGTGCTCAGTCAACGCTCACGGATGAAAATGCACGAGGCCATTCAGGCCAAGAATTCCACGTCGACCGAGAAAAAAAAAGACTCAAAGGCTTGACGGTGCACCGAGCCGGCCCCCCACCTTCCCCCGGGTGTATAGCAGATGCCGGGCGTCGACTTTCGTGGGCGTTTATTTGTTTCAGCGTGAATGGGCTCCTGGCGGAGGCGATCGGCCGAGCGCGGCGAAAAGCCAGTCCCATATGCAGACGAGGAACTTGCGAAGCAAGAACGCCTGTGGAGTAAGGGAGCGGGCCTGAACCTGAGACAAAGGCCCACCGACTTTCCGAGCCGAGAAGCAGACAGGGTCCCCGCCTCAAGCTAAAGACCATCATCAAGGGGAGGTCGCGGCGAGGCAGCGCAGCCTCGGAGCTTGCAAAGCCTGCAGTCGCACACTTCGAGATACCTGAGGATTGTTGCGCCGCTCAAAGCAGAAACCAAGTACATCAGAGAGTGGCGAGGTCCATCGGGACCGACTTGCGAGACGCGCAGGCGCTGATTGCGGGCCGCGTTTGCCTGCGACAAGCGCCCACCGACGGCACGGGCGTCCAGTTGCGTCGACCAAGTAGCACCGGCCGATCTTGCGATGGAATCTGGCATGGAAGTCGTGCGGTCGTTTTCGGACTTAAGGCCCACGTCGTCTGACAGCTGCTAAGTACATGATGTCCCCGGTAGCGTATATGTCAACCCCAGACTGAGACCCCATCACAAAGGCTGAGCGCATCCTCCTTCGCGAAGAGCGCCACTGACGCCACGTGCCCTATTTAGAGTGTGGGGAAATCAGGGGAAGTATGGGGAAAGGGGGTATCATTGGCGGAAGGCGAGTCGAACACTTGTGATACTAACGTTCCTCGCAGGCGTGTACTTGGTCCGACGAAGTCCAGTGCGCGGAACCTGGCACAGCGACCTCGTCCGCGTTCTCGAACGGACGCCCGACTCTAGAAGACGCGACGAAGGGGCGACAAATCAGGGACGGGTGGGAGCGAATAGCGTCGCTGGCACACAAGCACGGCAACACAACGAGGGGCCGTTCTATTCCCTCTCGGACCAGGGACCGCACCGCTGTACGTACGCGCGCGTGTATGCAGCGGTCCGTTCGCAGACGCGTCTGCGCAGGTCTGAGCCCGATCTGGACGCAGTAACGTGAGTGAAGAGCGCGAGATAGACGTTCGACCCGCCTAAGCCCAATCCGGCCTCGATCTTCTGCCATCCGTCTTCGTGTGGGGTAGAAGAGCTGACGCCGATGCCGATGCCAACCCAAACCGCGCGAGCTTCTGCTATTCTTTGTGGAGGCATTTAGACATACACGGACACGAGGCGGAATCGCTCGCGGGAAAGAGGAAGCCCAGAGATGTCGACGAGGGTCCTTCGAGCGTGACCGTCTGTGCGGAAAGGCGGGTGCGCGAGAGGCGTGGTGCGCGAGCCAGTCAAAACGCATAAAGGACAAACACAGACATGTCGATCTGGGAGATAGGGGCGAGTCACAGAGGGACCCGGGCCGCCGTATACGGCCAGAGCAAAGGTAGACACCGTCCAACGCGGGCTGTCAGAGATTACAGCACGACGTCACGCCAGCCATGACTATACAAGACATGCGCGAGCGGCGAGGCAAGGGCTACAAGCGCTGATGCGGACGGCTGTAATGACAGGCTGAGCAGGGAGGTAGCTATATAACTGAAGAAGGCATCTCCGGATTTGTATGCGATCGGGAATCGGCACAGAGAACAGCGAGACTACCTACATGTAGAACGACAGCCCCAATCCGAAGATGCCCCAGGAAATTCAGGGTCACAGGAATGGTGAGGCGCGGGATGGGTGAGGTGATTCCGCTTCATTTCCACGAGCGCGTCCGGGTGACCTCAAGTGAGCAGCACGGAGCACATCAAGTACGCGGCCGACGTCTATCGCAGCATCGAGAGAGCCATATCAGCGACAAACTTACGTGAGTTGCGCTTGAAGATGAAGACGATCGGTTCAGGACACCGCGGAGGATCAGGTGCGCCAAGCACCGGACCATGAGTGTTATTCTACAAGCACCTAATGTCCCATCGTGATTCCCATGAAAAGTACAAGAGAGCAGGCCTCAGTCGCATGTAGATCGTGTGCGAAGGCCACTTCCTTATGGACTGGGAGATCCATCGAGGAACACAATGCCGAGCTATGCCGAGAGGTGTAGAGGAGGGAGCGCTGGAGGGCCAGGCACAAGGACTGGAGCGGGACCGTGAAGATTTGGTGAGAGATATTCAGAGCATCTGTGGGGCCTCGTCGATTCTGGAGAGACACACTGGAACCTCGCGAAGGCAGCGACGGCATGGAGGGGGTACCACATGTCCAGGGCATTGGAAGGTACACTGCGTAAAGAAGCGTGCGGTGCTGCCCCTTGTGTAGAGGGAATAGATCGACAGACGGTTCGTTGTGTGAGAGAACAGGTAGGATTGGTCGGCAAATATTGGACACACGGACACAATTGTGTATATTCCTTTCAACGGAACCGAGCAATCGGGGTGAAGAAGCTATTCGTTGACTGGTCAGTACACCTGCTGTGAACGAGCAAAGAGCGAGGCCTCGTCTAGACTCCGACATTGTCATCCGGCAAGTGTTTGTTCGAAGCGTGCCATTCTGATTTGCACCACAGTTCTGATCCCTTGATCCATGATCCGTGTCCGTCCAAGCTTGGGAATTCATGTTGCAGGCCCCAGATTCGGTCCCATAGCCAGTCCTTCGCTCACAGAACCATACGGCCAAGGGTTCGAAGCTAGAGGCCTCATGAGAAAGTAAGCATTGCAAGGAAACGCACAACACGCCTTACCTCTCTGTCTCTCGGCATACGTATGTGTTACGTCTGTGGACCGCTGAAAAGCCTTTGGGGCCAAGCGTACTAGACGGCTGACAGCGGTTAATGACTTCTGGTGGAGCACCCGACAAACAGAAGCACATTGTAAGATATGAGTCAGTTTCAACTTACCTGGACTACGCACTCAATCTAGAAGGCTCTAAAACGCCAGTTGAACTAGCGAACGGCACAAAACACTGAGGTTTTTGTCTATATTCACTTTGAGGTCGTACCATTAATCTATGAAAGGGTTTTCAGAGTGCCTGGGGCCCGCAGCTTGATGTCATGATGAGGGACTGCCAGCGCACCGTCCCGTTCGCGCCGCTCGCGGGCCTATGTCATCTTTGCACCCCAGAAAGCATCCTGGCGGACTGGTCAGCCCCGGGATCGAGAGAACGTTGATCCTGATCATTGAACGCGAGCAGGGCTCCAAACTCATCAATCGATTGTGTGAGATCCGGATAAAGTCCGTATTGAGCAAGCCGGAAAGAGAAGGCAAACGATACGGCGACAGCGCGCTACGGACTGAGTATTACGGACGCTGCCTGGTACCTGGAGGAGCGTGGAAAAGGAGCCGTAAGATGCGCATCAGAGCGCTGCGCTGCGGCGGGTAGTGCATCCATTAGCAACGAGTTGCTCACTCACATCTGCGACTTCCATCAGATGTGATTGGTATTTCCTCGTCGGCGCAACGGCCAAACACGATCGAGGGGATGGATGGCTGAAAGAGGGTCGAACTCTGCGCCCTCGATACATCGGAACATTGACAGCGGTATCCGCATCGTTTCGCCGGGCCTTGTCAAGTTTGACGTCTGCCAGCGTCCGCATCAGGCTGTGGCGCTTGATGAAGATGCTCCGAGATGACGTAGATGCAGCTGAACGTGGGCAGGGGCAATGTCAGAGAAAACTGAGAAGAAAGAGACCTCGCCGCGTGGCAGCGCAGGGAACCGGAATTCGGATGACGTCTGGGGCGCAGCCTTGCATGACACGGTTCGTTCATTAACACTTAGGAGAGAATAATCGGGCCAGTGGGGGTCAGTAAGTAAAGGCGAACGGCCCCAGTCGTTTGAGACTGACAAGGCGATCGCGAGTCGCAGAAGCCGGGGCCCCACATCGCGCCCCGGAACACCGTACGGCTGCCGTTGCATCGCCCCCGGACACCGGTCAATGAGCAACAGAACTCAAGCCGGACCAATCGACAACTGTTGGCCGTGCGCCGCAAGTCCATCACTCGGCGGTCTCGGACGATGCGACCACAGAACAACATGATATATGACTCTAGGACTGAACATGACAAGGCCAGTGGATATCAGGAGTAATGTTGACTAGAACTCACTGAGGGTGCTCTGCCCGAAGAGACAGCGGTACGCTCGCCACTCCTGATTCTGCTCGACAAATGCTCGTTGAGTCTGGATTCGTCAGGAGGCAGCGCCTAGGACCAAGGGCTGCTTCAGATCATTAAATCGCGATCATAGCCAGCAGGGCATACATACGTACCGCGCAAACAGTCCTCGTTGAAGACCGCGACGACAAATTCGACGCATGCAGGCGAACGGACCGAACTCTAATACGCCAGAAGCATGAGCGCTTTAGAGGCTTGCGGAGGTGAGTCAAGGCAGATGGCAAAAAGGAATCCCAATCCACGTCACCCCCAATACTTATATCTCCCCCTCCTCCCCGCAAACCCCAGCGAACCGCCTATTGCGACAGGCCAACCGGTCACGATAGCACAATCTCTGCTCCGATGAACACCTAATCTTCCCCATCTCTCTACACCGACACTCACCTGATGCCCTCGGCCCCGGTCATCTGCCTCGCGAAACGCTGTTAGCCAAATGCACAGCCCTCTATCAAGCCTGTCACCCGCTATATCACCCGACTCAAGGCTGACACGAAGTCTAGGCTGCCGGAATTTGTTTTGTTCGCTTCTCAGTTTCCTATTCAGGTTTTATGTGGTCGGGAGATGGGATGCAGTCGGCAATTGGGAGGTGGTGCGAGGAATATTGTCTCGCGACTACGCTCGTGCATGCCAGCCATTGTCCACATACTCTAGCGCTCAATATATCTAGACACTCGCGCTTGTGTCATCAGTAGTACATGCAGCTGGCGTTGATTCCGACCAACTGGATGTCATTATATGAACGACTGAAGCTTTAAGCTCGGCTCTTATCGTCACTTCGATGCTGCCCAACTAGTTAGATTGTAAAACAGAACTTTGCTTAGAGGATCTGCTCAGTGAAGAAAACTAGAACCGACCACTTAAGGTGCTACCAGGGTTCGAACCTGGGTTCCGGGAAACTCACTTCAAAATCCCGAGTGATAACCACTACACTATAGCACCATGATGTAACTCTGTTTAATAACAAATAATACGAGATGTTACACACCTTATCACAACTTGTTACTGAAACTCTCTTCAGATGGCTCTAACCCTTGCGTAGAACAGGGTAGAACTCTACAGATGCCAAATTTGCTTGGTGAATCATCTTGGCTCCTCCAAAGAAAATCTGCAGAGTCCAGTCGGCTCTCTTGCAGGGGGTTTCGTCTTGACAACTTCGGTGAGTGTGAATGTGAATCATTCACGGACGTCTGTTTCTGATGGCTTTTTTAAGCTTGATCAAACCGAGGTCACCGTATGACTCCATTGAATGTGATGCAGCTTCAATTTGTGTTTTTTTGCGACGGCAAATTCTCGGAGCATCAACTTTCATTGCTATCGAGTCTTCTTCACCGTATATTCAAGCTGTGTTCGCAGTCCCGAGTCCTTTGCCCTTCGGAGATGTATTGGGTCAGTGCTATTCCACGACATGACAATATGACACTTAACATTTCAATTCCTTTCGATGATGGCTTCTCTGATGCCGCTGATCACCTTTTCTCGTTATCGTCAGATCTATACATGATCGACGGGCTTTTCGAATATAATATGTGCGTTCGCGGTTCAAAGCCTGAATTTGGTGTTGGAATGAGCATGACCATTACATGCTGCTCGTATATGTGTACAGTGGATTATATCATCAAATCATACGTATCATACCATCTAGACTTCGGGAGCCGGGCGTGCGAGAGCCTTGCTCGCCTTCTCGATGATGTGGTCCTAGATTCACCATATAAATCAGCACCACGACTCATCCAGGGAATGGAACACGAGAAAGAAGAAGACAAACACGCACAGGGAAGAACGTCTTTTGCCAGCTCTCGCGCACCGTCACGTCCGCGAAATATTTCTGCAGACGCGCGAACCGTGCCCCTCGGAAGATCTCTGCGTGCACCTTCGGGCCCTCGCCCGCGGGGTACTTCCCCATGTCGTTCCTCAAGAACAAATCCGCGCTACCCAAGAACGGCGTGAGCGCCGCGTCCGCGATTGACCACTTCTCGCCAACGGCGAAGCCGCCCTCAGAAGGGAGCAGCGACTGGATCTCCTCGAGCCCGCGGAGGAGCGCATCATGGCCCTCGGCTTTCACGATCATCGAGAAGAAGCCCGGGACGACTTTGTTAGAGACGACATCGATGAAATAGCGCGCGCGGGAACGATCAACAGGGGAGGAGGGGAGGAGCTGCGCGTTGGGGTAGAGGTCGGCGACGAACTCGAGAAGGACAAGAGATTCAACGATCTTGGTGCTCTCTGGAGAGGGCTGATCGGCGGGAACCACGGGCCCGCCATAAGCTACTGCGGGAACCTGAGGGTGATGTTAGCGATTATGAAATGGGAGGAAAGGACTAGATGGCGTACCTTGGAGGCGGGGTTGACTTTGGGAGCGTACCAGTCGGGTTTGGCTTGCAGATCAATAAAATACCTGTTGACCTGTGCACCAGCCTCTGCGAACGCAAGCTCGACCTGTGCATTCGCATGAACGCCGCCGAACGAGTTCGTCAGTCTCTCGATTGAACATATCAAATGGAGTCAGATACGACATACCCGCTGGGCGAAGGGGCAAACCTGAATCAAAGACCAGACCACCACACAATCAGTACCTTGTTCTCCAAGAAACAACCATTTATCGCTTGAAACCATACGCACCTTCGCAGTGTAGAAAGTGATAGGTGCAGCTTGAGCGGCGGCCATGTCTATTTCTTCTTTACGTTAATGGACAGAGGAAGAAGAAGCGAGATCTGGAGGATGTTGAGGATGGAGATGGAGGGTGCGGAAGAGATAACGAGGGGGACGATGTGCACGTTGAAGTCCACATTGCGCTTTTGTAGGTTGTCGCACACCGACGTCACAGGCCCAAGTGTATTATCGACACCTTCTACTCGTTACGGCGTTCCATTTTTGCCCGACCGAGCGTATTTGGATAAATTAAATAGGCCTTGTGAGAGGAAGTGGATGTGAGTGTCAGTACCGGAAGGGATGTGACAGCGTGGATGAAATAGGAAGGTGTCGAGCCTAATATGGATGCGAGCGACTGGCGCACTGGCACAGTCCTTTCTTTCAGGCCCACATGGGAGGCGCAACTCAATGGACCATCAAGTTCAACGAAATGGAGCTCCTGACAATCGTGCGCGCATGTTGAAAAATGGCGCTGCAAGCGCTTTGAAGATATGGCGACGGTGGGGAAGGATGGCAGGACTTTTGAAAGGCCGATCGTACAATGCCCGCTTCATGTCTCGCCTCCAACAAGTCCAGAGCGTCCCACCTTGCGCTTTTGACGGACATGCGAAGCGGCGTGATAGATGCACTCGTCCCCGGCGAGAACGTCGCAGTCCATGATATCAAATCTTATCGGGAATAACTCGTCTGGGTTCGTGTTGCCTGCGGTCACCTAGATTGTTTCTAAGTATACTGGAGAGGTATTGTGAAGCAGAAACGGATGGCACAAATCGAGGCATACATCGTTATCAAAGATCTGGACAATGGCCGCTAAGTTCCACACTGGTCCGTCAAGCCGTCCAAATGCGTCCACTCATCTTTCTGGTCGCTCGACCTACCCTGGGCGCTGCTCTCCCATGTCTGTTTGGGCAGCTTTGAGTCGACGGCGTGGGTGGTTGTGTTGAATCTCTTCAGGCGATGTGTTGGTCAATCGCTGGCGCATTTTCTGGTGTCATTCGATCAGCTGCTACGACGAAGAAAAAAAAATTGGAGTAGTACCCTTGAAACCATGGAGATACTCTCTACAACCCCCTCGTCTGAATACCAATATTCACCGATCATGCATTTAGCCGAGAAAACGCTTGTAAGATCTGCGAGATGACTTGGAGTTCAATCGGCCAAGGTGCCATGGTTTCAAACCAGTCGTGTCGGTGGTCCGTTACTTATCGGATAAAGATCATTTGATTGGGTGTGAGAAGCCATGAAATGCCAGTGTGGCGTCGAGAGGCAAATATGGGTGGGTAGCGGTGGGTTAGCAAGGGATAAGGAACAAGATTTCGGGGCCAGCCCCAACTTGCGGATTGGCCCTTATTAATAAGGACAGTTCACGTATGTCAATTGGATCGCTATCGAGGTTGCCTGTGAAGAAGTTTGAGCATGTCGCAATGAAGAAGACTTGATATTCAGACATGAGGTTGTACCCACGGCAAAATTCGGAAGTATCTTCGAGTGCTCGGCATACTCAAAAATGAAAAAAGGAATGAGGACCATCGTTTTGCCATAAGAGGCTTCAACGCTCCGCCTCGATGCCATCGGTATAAATTTCCCTTAGCATAGTCTACAAAGCGACTCGGCGATGACGAGGCACTCCGAACACTATGGCTCTAAGATGCCCTGATCTCGAGGAAGCTATTCGGAGCGAGCGTGGGGTCTATAACCTCAATCACCGAACGATCAAGTCCGACAAGAACTCAAATACGGACTTTCGAAGTCCTGCCATGATATGACGGCACCAACAGGCAGGTTGCACGTTGTCTGTCAATCAGGGAAAGATGTGATAAAAATGTTCGAGGTGGGAGAAATGAACGACTCGGGTGTAGGGTATCGTTTGGTATTTACTGAAATTTTTGCAGGGTGCGAAGGAGGGCGAGGAGGGGATCTTTACACGAAAGCGAAGGAGGAAAAGGCCGTCGAAACCGACGGAAAAGGTTGGAAGGAGGTGAGTCAGCGTAAGGACCGGGGGAAGCGGCTTATGTCAGCGGCCATCTTTGGGTAGGACACGCACTCTGAGGCTGCGGTCTGCCCATCATCTCGCACAACCATAAGCATCTCCTCCCTCCTTCAACAATAACTTGAGCGTATTTTCATCATCGTCTGCTACGACATGCTCGTAGATAATCCCCTCCAGCCGTCCCCTTTCGTCGTCAATCCAAACGACTTCTCTGAGTTTTTCAACCTCGACCTCCTCGTCGGTGGCTCTTCGTCCCAGCAACAGGGCCAAGGGTCGTCCTCCTCTCGTGCATCATCCAACTCCCCAGCCCTCTCCTTCTCCGCCCTCCCCTCGCCCCCCGCTCCATTCCTCCCAACAATCGTTGACTCGCAAGCGACCGATTTCTTCAACTTTTACCTCGACGATGAGTACACAAAAGTCGATCCACTCGCACCGCCTCCTCCCATCACCGGCGCTCCCTACGACTTCTTCGGCGCCTTTTCGGGCTTGTCGTCCTCGGGCTCGCAAGATGAGAGCAGCCCCGAGTCTGGAACCACCAGTACAGGCCAGTCCCCTCCCCTCGCTATTGATCCCCAGCTTGTCGGCAGCCCATCAAAGCCCATGAGCGATATCGATGAGGAAGAGGAAGGGGAGGGGGGCGACGAGGGCGATGAAGATCACGACGATCTCTTCGCCGCCATCGCCCCAGTGAAGGTCGGCGGCAAGGGCAAAGGTCGCAAGGGCACCGTTCAGTCAGGCGGCGTCCAGAAGAAGCCCATAGTCAGTGCGGTCGTCAAAGACAGCGACAACAAAGACGAGCCAGACGACTGGCGGCCCTCTCCCGAAGAGTACAAGAAGATGTCCTCCAAAGAAAAGCGGCAGCTGCGCAATAAGATAAGCGCGCGCAACTTCCGCGTCCGGCGCAAGGGTGAATCCGCACATTCTTCTCTTCTCCCAAATTTATGTATTCTGACCGCCGTTGCAGAGTACATCACGACGCTCGAAGGCGATATTGCAGAGCGCGATCGCCTGATCGATGCCATTCGTACTGAGCTCGGGTCTACGAAGTCGGAGAACAGCGCGTTGCGGCAGGAAATTTCCGCACTCAAGAAGGCGCTCCTCACGGGTCGTGCCGAATCGCCCGTTCTTCCTCCACCTGGGCCCATCCCTCCCCCCGTCCGCGCCAGCACCACCTCGTCGCCGCTTGTCACGCCCAACATGCACAAAGATCTGCCATCGTCGCCGCGCCTCGCATCCGCTAAGTCGTTCTGGGGTGGGAGTGCGACGTTCGGCGGGATCACGCCCGTGCACACGACCCTCATTCCTGAGTCGTTTGCGCAACCGCTCGCGAACGTCAAGCCTGTGGGCAGCGATCGCTCTATCTCGGCCTCGCTCCAGGAAAATATCAACCCGAGTCTCAACGTCAACAAGGTTGGACTCGCCGCGGCGGCATTCGGTCCGGTCAAGGGCGGCAAGCCTGGCGCGTTTGACGCGTTTGCTGAGAACAATCCGTTCACGATGAAGATGCTCGATGCGTATGTTGATTTCCTCTATTGAAAGTTACAACGTTCTAGTTCTCAATGCTGTGCTTTTTGCAGCTATCGTATGCAGCTTTGGGCACGCATGGCCACGGCACAGCATCAGCAGCAACAGCAACAACAGGCTTTGTCTGCCCAGCCCCCTCATGCGCCCATCACTGGTCTTGCTTCGAACCTCCGCCCACATTATTTCTCTACCGTCAAGCCATCCAGCACACCGCTCTCCAACCACACAAACCTCTCCGCCGTACTCTCCGGCAAACACACGTCCTCCTCTCTCGCGTACCCATCACCGCCGCCGTCGCCGAAGCTCGGCGCGACAGCGCCCCGGGACGTGCAGAACTCGCAGCACGCGCTCATCGCGGCGATGGCATCGCAGACGCTGTTCCAGAAGTTGGGGTCCGCGTTCTGGGAGGCATTCTCCGGCTCGACGCATCCGTCGATGTCCTCGCCGGGGGCATCAGGGTCCAGGCAGCAGGCGTGGGACGCGGAGAAGGTGCGGAGGGTGCTGGAGGGCAAGGCGATCGTGAAGGTCGTGGACATCGAGGATATGCCGACGCCAGCGAGCGCGCCAGCTATGTCGCGCGCACAGGTGCAGACGGCGCCTGTGCAGGCGCCGATGGCAGCGACAGCGAAGGATCGGTGTTCATGTGTTTCTGTCACAGACATCTTGGAGGAGAGTATGCGGGCGTTGAGTTTAGGGAAGAAGTAAGGTGGAGAAGAAAAGAGGGAGCGGGGAGCAGATGGATTTCACAGGGGAGTTGTTGCCGTGTCTTGTTAACCACCGGGGTTTCCGTTGCATATACAGTATGTGCGTCTCCAATTTTGCGCCGTCCTTCCTGGTCGTTCGATGTGCCTTCCAACCCTCCTTCCTTTTTTTCGTTCCTCGTCATCGCCAGGCTTGTCAGCCCCTTCTGCGGGCTCAGTGTCTCGCTTGCACTCTCGTTGTTTGCTCGCTTTTTTTCTTTTTTTCTTCTCGATCCCCCCCTTCCCTCCTTGATCTGTCTTGCCCTGTCCTCATGCATACCTCGGTCCTCGTGGTTCGTTCGTCTCGTCTCGTCTTTGGTTCCGTCTCATCTGCATCTCATAGCATTGTCTTTCGGCGTCGTCGAAAGACGCCCATCCCCTCCTCTCATCTGTCGTCGTGGCGTCCTTCCGTTCGAGTCATCCTTGCATTGTTCCGCTCCCCGCGCCCTCGCGGGCCTTGCGTCGTCTTTCCGTTTCTCATTATTTTATTCGATGGCATTTCGTAATTTGGCATACTTAATCCATCTCGGTTTCCAGCAGCTGTCCATCGATTGTTTTTCCATCCACCTCCATTTCATTCTGCCCTACCCTGCCCCTCCTCGTCCTGCCCTTCCCCAGCTTGATCGCTTTTTTTTGTGATGTCTGTTTGTCTGTTCGTTCGTGGCCTCGTTCTCGGTTTACATATATACACGCGCTCCGCGGCGAAGATCGAGACAGCCAGTTGTATATCAGGGAGTGCCTCGAGTGCTCGAGTACGAATGTACATAAATTTGGAAATCGGATGTTGTGCAATGTCTTCTGTTAAGGCAGCGCTGAATCTGCCCTATCTTCTTATCGTGATCCGAAATCGCTCGATCAGCGCTGGCGCTACTTATACCCTGGGACCATATAGCCAGGTTCGGCGGCACGATAGCTTTTTTCCCTTCCAGAGCATTTGAGTTTTGGGGGTGGGTGGTGGGGGGATGTAGTCAGAGGCATAACTAGCCAATCTTGCTTCCAGCCTTGAAGCTTGACGGGACGGATGTGGGGCCTGGGCTGGCCTGGTCTGAGGATGACCTAGGATGACTCGATGCCGATGTGGGATAGAAGAGGACAGCTCATTGTCCTCTGATCCATCGATCTTTGCTCTCCAAATGGAACAAAGAGCGCGGAGAAGCCCAAGGAACTCCCACCGCGCGAATCATGACTTGCGACTTATCGTAATTCCTCCGTCTGCGGAGAAAACTCGTGGCGTGGTGTATATAAGGCTCTCTGATTGTAAGCGCTGGGACCCTTTGCAAGGCTGCCAGTGGCCACAGTCCATTGCATCTCCATCTCCATCGCAGAAGGTCAACAAACGTGAGTAAGCATGCCGGAACAATTGATTTTACGTAACCCCGCGACCGCCTTTGTATGTGTCGTGCCGGGAGTGTCCATTGCCGCCCAAGTTCAACTACTCTTCCCCCTCTCTTTGTTCCCCTTCCTCCCTCCCTTCCTCCTCCTCTTCCTCCACCATGTCTGATGACCCGCGCGCTACCTACCCCGCCTCTCTTCCTCCACCTTCCTACACTCTTAAAAACGGCCTCGCCCAGCTTGATGTTTCCAAGTTCAATTTTGACGTAGACTCTGACTCGCTCTACTCTCCCTCTGAGAACGGTACCTTTCTTGAAGAGCTCGAAGGGACTAGCGAGGGCGAGGGCGAACACGGCCGCGGTGGGATAGCTGCAGGGCGCTTGCCCGAGGAAGTGTATGTCAGTACGCTTCCGCTGTGGAGGAACGCGCTCAGGAGAAGATTGGTCTCGTGCGTCGAGTGGGAGACCGGCGTCCTCGCGAGCATGCAGGTATGTCTTTTCTTCGACAACACGAGGTGCAGGCGCACAGCTTCTAGTCGCATGGAGGGATCATTTGCTCACGGTCTATTTCCTACTGGCGCCCCTAATCCCTATTTAGGACCGCGTGCGAACCCCATGGCTTGACATGTACTTTGTATACACTTCGACGCTCGGGACACACACGTTCTTCATGTTTTTCCTGCCTGCGCTATTTTTCTTTGGGTACGAAGACCTTGGGCGAGGGTGCGTATCCAGGCTGTTCGCGCGCATATCCGTCGGTGGTCATCTTAACGCTACTTGCCATATGCTCTGCGCAGACTTGTCTATGCGCTTGCGCTCGGTGGTTATTCCTCGTCTTTCCTGAAGGACCTCGCCTGCTCTCCGCGCCCCTTCAGCCCACCCGTGTCGCGACTAAGTACGTGACGTTGGATTCTTATTTATTTAGCAGCTCGTTTTCTAATGATCGCTCTAGCGATCGGCTCGCACCACCTCGAGTACGGGTTTCCCTCCACGCACTCCACAAACGGGACCTCCATGGCACTCTTCTTCCTTGCGCACGCGCACACCCTACTCGTGTCTGACCTAATCTCACTTCGCGCGTTTGTTACGTGCGTCGTGTTTTTGGTCTTCTATGTATTTAGCATTGTCGGCGGGCGGCTGTATACGGGTATGCATGGCTTTATCGACTGCACGGTCGGTGTGACCCTCGGCGCGTCGACGTGGGCGCTCCAGTGGGCGGTGATGCCTGTCGTGGAACGCTGGGTCGCTGGGAGCGGCTGGAGCGGTGAGTGTCTTTTCTTTTGTCCTCTTCTATAGGCAGCTCGTGCACGTGTGCCTTCTGAGTGTTTTTATCTTCATCAAAATAATTAAGAATGCTGACGTGCCACTGACCGTGCTCAGGTCCTCTTCTCGTAACCGCGCTCTGCCTCTTGCTTGTCAACCAGCACCCGCAGCCGGTCGACGATTGTCCCTGTTTCGAAGACGCTATCGCCTTCATCTCTGTGATGCTCGGCATCCTTCTTGGCAAATGGTTCTCCGCGCAATACCCCGCGTTCGACCCGTCCACGTTCCCGCCCTCGTCTTACCCCGCCCTCTCCTTCGCGCATCCTAACACCATCATAGTCTTCGCGAGCATGTCGCTTCTGAAGCTTGCCACGGGCATTCTCGCCATCTTCGCGTTCCGTCTGCTAGCGAAGCCTGCCCTGCACGCTGCTCTGCCGCCGCTGTTCCGTTGGCTCGCAAAGACGGTGCGGCTGCCGAACCGGCGGCACTACACGCCCGCGACGGAGTACGCGCGCGGCCCGCCGGCCGATCTTCGACCGATTCCGAGTGTGATGGATCTCACGCTGGAGATTCGCGAGGTCGGCGGCGAGGGGGAGGGAATGGCGAGCGCGCGGAGGGCGGCGGGGTCTGGGGGTGTGGCGGTGCAGAGAAGGGGGATGGCAGGTAGGAGGGCGGCGGGGTGGGAAGAGAAGGGGGGAATTGTGTACGACAAGAACAGGGCGGTTGTATTTGAGGAGGCAGATGAGGGGGGCGCGGAGGGCCTGGATGATTTCGTGAAGCATTATGATGCGGATGGTGCGTGGCCGTCTGTTGTCTGTCTCTTCCTTTCTATCTGATTTCTCTTCTCTCTCTTCTTACTTCCAATTTCCTTCACTCATTTGTGCTTCTCATCCTTCATTCGTGCTCGCTATCGGGTTCTCTCCTTTCGCTCATCCTTCTTTCGCTTGTGCTTCTGCCGTCTCTTTTTTTTCCTTTTCCTTTCCTTTTCGTCAAATTTCATTCTTCTTCTTGCTTTTTTCTTGTTTCTTTCTTTCGTTCCTCTTTCCGTTCTCTTTTCGTTTCCGTTTTTTTTTCGTTCATCTGTGAACACAACCTCTGGTGCTGATGTCGCTAATGTCCTTGTCGGACGTCCTATTTTTTAGTGTTGACGAAGGTGTTCGTCTACGCTGGGATCGCTATCATCTCCATGATCTGCATGCCTACCTTCTTCCAGACGATCGGGTGGGGTGTGCGGCCAGTGTTCGAGTGAGCGGACCGTCTCACCGCCCATCACTGCCGCCGCCGCGGCATAGGCACCGACAAGGACGCGCTTCTCTAGGCTTCATTCATAATGACGGTAACGAAGGATACACAAGACGACAGTAACTTACAAGCTCAGATAACGATCACGCTCACCGTGCTATACACCGGTTGCCACTACTGCAGACGCGACCCCCACCGCCACGTTCAATTACGCTACGTCCCACCAACGATTTCGCATCATGGTCTCGCGGATCTTTGTAATGGTTTGGCTGTCTCTCGTCCTCTTTTGGCTGGTTTCCTTCTGTTTGCCTCGCGGCTCCTTTCCCACATATTAACAACTTTGCTATCCCTGTTTACTTATTGGCGTGTTGGAGATAATGACGTGGCATCTGTCGTCAGTAGGCCCATTCGTAGGGTTGGCGATCGGTGGTATATAAGCAAGCCTCCCCTTGCCTAGAGACCACGATTCTCCGGTCGCCCGATACCCCTTCTCTCTCCCTCTCTTCGTCCTCTCATCTATGAGAATCGAATCGTGGCCATTGGTCAGGTTTTATTCTGGCTCTTTCTCAGTTGTGCACGACAACGATGTCTACCTTTCCTTGCCTGTGTTATCTATCTATCTATCTATTCTGATTTGATCTCTTTTCTTTTCGCTCATCGGCGCGAAATGTTCGCGTAGCATGATCTTCCATGCATACTTCATCTGATCATCCGGTTTGTATCTCTGTCTTTTTCTTTGTTCATTGACTCAATCTATATTCATTGCTAATAGCATGGTACGTGTGTTTCGTTTCACCCATGATCAAGTTTCGAGCTAATGCTCGAACGTAGGATTTTCATCACATACATTGTATACAGCTCGTACAGCTCGTGAGATTAGTATCAGCCAAAGTGACTCGCCTCGACCAAGTTCCTCAGGGCCAAGGAGTCCTGAGCCTCGATAGACGCCGCAACTTTTCAGAGACCCTCTCGCGCGAATATGCAGTCCAAGGGATCAGGTATGGAGGCATTCAATATTGCGGCATCTACTACATGTCGTATAATTGTCTTGCAGGATATATCGGATCAAGTCTACAGCATACTTGGTTCAAATAAGTCTTCCGTCATGACCAAGTCGCTTGACGTTAACGTTCTTGGCAAGAACCATGCGCATGAGATGCATTCAACACCTTTTCTTTTTTGCAGCGGCAAAACTCGTTTGTACTCGCAACAAACTCGAAAGCGATGTTCGGACGATCGGAACTTGCCCTTAACATGTGTTCTGCCGGCGCAGAAGTCTTCGGCACCGTTAGGGTTACTAACGCTGTCTGGCTTTCACAGCGGTGGATTGAGCCTTATCCCCGTGCCCTCACAGCACTGCTTCTGGACTGCACTGACTCTGGTGCGTGCTTCCACTTTGCCTACGTTGCTTGACTTTAAGCTCATCTCTCGTTGCGCTTTGACATAATCATCCTTCATTCACTCGTTAGCTGTGGAGGCGGGAGACAGGGGATTGCATTTCGAGCGCACTGATGAGGCTACACGTAAGGCTTTAGATCTGCCGCCCAAGAAAAAATGGCACACACCGGGATCCATGGCTGCAACATCGACTATATGAGGCTGAGTATGAAACCCTGTTCTCAATGGGTACATTGTCCCACGCCGGTATCGCATCGCTTCTTATACATCCCTCCAACGTTTGCCCCCGCTCCGTCCCTCTATATATCGGGGACTGTGTCTGCAGTCCCCTGTATCCCCTCCGTGCAACTGAACTGAATTTTTGACATCTCAATATTGAACAGATCCTACCATGCCCCCCAAACGATGGACCACAGACGCCGAGCTGCAGTGGTTGCGCGACCGAGTCCTTCAGGACTATGCTCTACAAACCAAGCAAATGCTACCGGGCTGGAAGAAACAGGTCGTCCTGGACTTCCAGCATGCTTTCCCTCCCGTACAGCGCGTGTTGACGGCAGATGGAGAGATATTGGAGACGCCAGAAGAGATGAATCAAAGGGTGGGGAGGGTACCCGGGGTGGGCGTCTTCGCTTTTTTGGCCGCTTATATGTGGAGACTCACTCGATGATGTCAGAGGGTTCGAAAGTGGATTGACAACCACGCCGATAATGTCATTTCTCCCGATCTTGCATCGACGACACCTTCAGCGACGTCAGCGACGCCATTGGCTTCGAGTGCCCCTTACCCGAAGTCATCGAAGCGGACCAGAGCCAAGAGTGCCAGGGATCTGAGCTACCAAGACCCGCGTGTCAAAGAATACAGCGCACTGCTGAATGCCTTGAACAAGGAAACCCCTCTCAGCAACCAAGAACGCACCAGATTGATGAATCAGTTTGTGACGGATATGATGAAGACGGATGCCATCAATAAGAAATACACGGAGATGGCGATGGGATTCAAGGGCGGCTCCCGGCAGCAAAACCTCAGCCTCGCGGACCTAGTCCCTCGACAACCGAACTTCATGTTAGTACACGATTCATCTCCTCTTCATCGCTGAAGATCGCTGATCACCAACTACGTAACCTCTTCCCACCAGCTCTCCGGTTGGGTGGATGGCCCATGCTGATCATCCTGCAAGTTTTGGCCACGATGGTCACCGAAGGCGGAGGTGCATTGTCTTTATTTGAGTATAATTCCTCAGAGTTGAATCCCGTGTTCAGTTCGGTGGTTACGACGGTGTCGTCCTTCAGCCCAGTGTCGAATTTTTCATTCAAACCAAACGAATTCGACACTGGCCCATTGGGCGCATTTACCCCGTTGTCCAGCGTTGCAACGCCATTTTCTAACGACACCCATGCAGAGGACGCGGTGGAATCTTCAGAGTTCATCTCATCTTGCGATTTTCCATCCAATGCCAATCAGTTTTCATCTGGAGAGCCTCCTGCGCCACCCATCGATAACCCTAATACAGCTCCCTCGCCATCGTCCTACAACCAAACTACCCCAGACCCAGCTTTCGCCTTGGCTATAGCCCCTTCTCCTACGCTCCTCAATGCACCCGCCCTTCCTCTGTTCGAGATATCCGTTCCGCACCAAGACGCCGCGGATACAAGGGATGCACCCTCTCCAGTCGAGCTTCCGCCAGATTCATCCTATGCTCCGACTGCGCGTGAATGTGATTTCACTCAAGCGCCCACTCCCATCCGGCGTCGTCTGCCATCCCTCCAGTCCTCGCTGGCAGGTGCCTTTGACTTCATAGAGAGACCAACACCCGTGGCCTATGCTGGTCACCCTCGTCCGTATGATCCTTACTCAATTGCGTCATCGCATGGCTATACCACCCCTAACACTCCCGCCACCGAAACACACTTTATACCACGATACGACGATATGTACGGCTCTCGTGAGGCTCGGGATGCATACTCGGATCCTTTCAATGCTTCCCACATTCAGGCGCAGCCTACGACGACCTCATACCCCCAAGAGCCCAGCGCTCTCACCTTCCCACCTAACATGTATCCTCTCACCTTCCCACCTAACATGTATCATCCTACGAACACAGTTGGTGGCCCCCTGCCATACTATAGCCAACGTGACTCGATCCCCTTTGAGCCTCCAAATGGTGAATACCTCCCGCCCTACACTCACCTCCACGTTTGTTTACTTATAGCCGCCTAGACTCGCACTCAGTTGCGACTATGAGCTTATATCATCCCAAACCCAACGCGCTACCCCCCTACTTCCCATACGACCTGAACTAGCCCCGCTTTCGAGCTCAGCCAATGATTACGAAATGCATAGGGTGAGTACTTGGCTCTCCTCAGGAGTGCTGGATCTCACAATCCTCCAGATAGAATCAAAGCAATGTATAACAGTGTGACCGTGCACACAAATTCGTTCTATTGCACACGCGCGCAAGTTGAGATGATATATTGTATCGATTCATTGGCCTCATCACACAGTCGCCTCGGACGCCATCCATACCATTCTCATAGCATTATTCATTAACCATCTATCATCCGTCTGACATACTGCTATCAATGGCTGGTCTGTATTGTTGTGCTCAGTGTTGATTACTGATGTGGAGTCGCGCTCCGATACGATGTTTTCCAGGGTTCGCGCATATTACTACTAATTGCTCTCCGAGAGAGTAATGGGTTTTTTGGGAGATGGGATTTGGATTGTAATTCTTGTTTTGTATCAAGAATGTAATGTTCGGGAATGCACTAGTCTCCGTGGCTGACCTTACACAGAAGATAGTCGTTCTGTGTATAAGGTCTGCTTCCAAATGCTGGGGCCTTGCAGGTAGTACTGATTTCGGCATTTGCCGCTCTCAAATGATGGACTTTGCCGCTCTCAAATGATGGACTTTGCCGCTCTCAAATGATGGACTTTGCCGCTCTCAAATGATGGACTTTGCCGCTCTCAAATGATGGACTTTGCGAGGAATGTGACACCTAACCTGACGCACAAGGGGAAAATGCTTACCAGCTAGATATATAGTGCCCACTAGATATATTTTTGTTTGGTGCAATAGGCGAGTTGGAATGAATGGTTGTATTTTGCTCCGGTCGCTGGTTCGAGTCCAGCCCAAAACACCATCCATTGTGCTCAAATCTTTTCATCACTATTATTCTATGCTTCTACCTTTCTATGTCAATTAAATTCCTTTCTGAGCATCAAGGCTGCCCGTAAATGATATTTTGAGCTTTCTCTTAACCTGAAAGTGCTACTTTGCACGTGGGTGAGCTGAGTTTGAAAAGATATCAAATTCAGGCCGAAATGCCTACTATCTGCAAGGGTGTGTGATTTGGAAGTAGCCTAGGAATGCACGAGTGGTAGCAGAATGATTTGAGAGCTCGCAATTCCAGCCGTTTCCCTCCCGAGACTCTGCCCAAATTGAGCAGAATCTGTGCAAAACACGCTCTGATATTTTGCTCATGTCGAGATTTTGGTCACAAGATTGTGAAGATCCGTTCTTTCACACGACTTTATGTTGAAACTTCCACGGACCAGACCAGCCTCATTGATTGCACGCCGCTGCGGCGCACCATGCAGTGCCACGCAAGCACGAGGCCGAAAAAATCCGTACATATAAGTATCGTGCATGGACTGTAGGACCTGCATCGCTGGCTCAAAGGCGACCCTCCTGCGAATCGCTGACCCCGGCAGCTAGATTCGTCTCCGCTATCATATCTGGCAGATCGATCCAGATCGGTTGAGATCAACCATCGTCTCCGTAATGCCTGCCGCCAGCTTCAGGTGGGATCTCGAAGAGGAACTATGGTTGAAGCAACGTGTTCTGGAGGAATATCCTGAACAGTCGGAAGCTACTCGCCCTGACTGGTACCGGCAGGTCATCACGGACTTCAAGGATCGATTCCAGCATGTGCCAACACCTACGGACGGGGATTTCGACAGGCTCATGGAGGGGGACGAGGGCGATAAATGGGATAAAGCCCCGGAGGTACGATCATTTTCATCTTCCCTCTTGTCCGCTTCACGTACAGACAAACATGTTCGACTTTGAACACACTCGGCTGCACAGAGGATGTTCAAAATTGACCACTTTTGGATCTGTACCTGTGCGGCTTATGAGCCACCGTCGAATGACAGCAGCGCTTACTAGAATTTCCATTCGGGTTCATTTCAGAGGATCAAGAAGTGGATCAAGAATCATCGTGCGCAGATCCTGGACCATCCAAAGTCAAACAAATACACGGCGAAGGCTATCTCGGTTCCTAAGTCTCCCCCGCGTGCACGCTCGAAGTCGCCGCGAGACCTTTTGCTCAAGTACGACGCCGCGGTCCAGGACAAGAGGATAGAACTTAATGCTCTCCGGAAGGACAATCTACTCACTCAGGCACAGGCGATGAGCCTACTGGGCAAATTTGCTACAGAAAGGCTAGAAATTCCGGAAGTCAACGCCAAATTCCGTAAGATGGCCCAGGAACAGACCAGGAAGGCCAAGCCTGCCGTTAGCTCATTCAGACCAGCGGAGCAGACAGAGATTCAATGTGATGATGCTAAGCGTCGTTCGGACTGCTCTCTGCAAAAGTAGGATTTACTTTCGTTTGAATTTCGTTTCTCATCAGTTCAATCAATTGTAACAGGAGACAACAAAATTTCTACGTCAATACTCAAAGCTTATCTCAGGACCTTTTGAAACATCTGGAGGGTGCTACATTGGAGTTTCGCTCTTCGAGTCCGTCACGCAGGCGCTCAAGGTCTTCAACGCCTCCGCTGGATGAACGCAGGTATATCTGATCAGCTATATCCCTTAATCACGGTCATAATAATTGAGTCGTTAGCAGCACACGCCGACACGTTGATAAGAGCGTGGGGGACTCCGTCGCTGATCATGATATATATAAGTCAGCTCCTTCGATGAAATGCACGAATCAACCAAGCAGGCAAGTCTTTGTTGCACTGGTTTTGGCGCTGTGCGCTCGTAACTTCACACCCTTCATAGAGACAGCTCGGTTCCCAATACAGATACCATCTCCAAACAAATCAGTGGCCCGGGCTTGTATCTGGTCTATGGTATGGAGGTGTCTCCGCGCCTACTATCTCGCCGCAATATCTCCCTTTGTTCACAGGACCCATCGTCAAAGATACTCTACCAGATAAAGAGGATCACTCGCCATCAACAAGCCCGGCTCATCTTAACGAGACATCGGAGCTTGTTCCACACGATCAATCAGATAAAGGCCAATTTAACGAGGAAGTTCGTACGGATGCGTGCAGGCCCATCCCGATTCCAAGTCCACATCTTTGGAAGACAGAGAAATCTTCGACGGACAATGATAATATGGATGACGATGACATCCCGGGCCTCGTTTCCGAAGACGAGATGCGGGCTGATCTATCTGAACCGAACCACGTCCCTCCGAAGCTCTTCAGAAAGGGAAAGCAGCCCGCAAGACCCCTGAATGGCGAGTCACTCTTTCTTCCACTGGTTGATACATTTCTGGACCACGGCGTTGACGGGCTCCTCACTAACCAGATTTATGACAATCTACAATCTACCCTCACCTTCTTTTCGCACCCACTTATAGTTTACGACAGCATCTGTTCGAGCTACATCGCCACCGGAGCTGATGTCTTTCCGTTTGACCGATAAATTCATCATACGAGTACTGCATGCCTGCGAGAAAGTCATTCATCACTGCGTTGTCTGAGCATCTCGCACGCGCTTTGGTTGAGTTTTGGTCATTGTAATGAAACCCGGACTTGTGTCCCTGCAATCCATTACAGAGCCAGATGTCTTTCGGTAAATGATCACCTTGACGATATATCTGTTTCAAATAAATATTCAAGAGCTGAGTTATAGTAAGACTTTCGCGATAAAAACCTGAAGTCCGTGGCAACACCTGATACAAGAACTCCGGCCACAAGAGTCCTACTAATAAATATTCAATCAAAGTCTGTAGCATATAAAAGAAACCCGTCAGACCGGTACTCCTGCTACAAGAGACCTAGTACAGAGGAGATGCCACGCGAGCTCTTCAACAGCGACTGAACAACAGCGACTGGGGGATAAATTACAACTGATAACCTGCAAAGTAAAAGCTTAGAAAACCAAGGGATAAGGTAGCAGCACGAGGATTGTTGCTGGCCAGAGCGGCCATGAGAATGCTTGGGAACTATGGCCTGCGACGAGTAATATAATTGAACATCACATCATGCAGCTCGCCCCTGACGACTCTCGCGCGGCTAGTGTATGAATAATCTTGCCTGCGTTCGAGGAGATTGATCCACACACTACCCGTAGAGTCCACTTCTGCACCAAGCGCCTCGACCAAGCGGTCATCAACAATACCGTTCAATAGGCTGCGACCTTGATTCTGGGAATCGTCGACATGAGCGCAATTAAATTTCGGCTCCCAAAAGATAAAACGAGGATTACCTGGCTCGTGGCAGGCATCGATGGCGACGCATGAGTTGGGTATAATGTTTCCATATTGGAAATATAAGCGCCTGTGACGACACCGTAGGCGCTTGGGACCGTTGATGCATTCGTTTGATGAGCTGGGGTATTGTGCTGAGAGGGGGTATACTGAGGACCATGACGGGTATCCGAGGTAATGCTTGCGGCGTGTCGTTGTCCGTGCGTGAAGTCGCCGCTGGGTAGCACAGAGACCGGAGCACGAGCTTGTCCTGCTGCCTCTGTTGAAGGCACAGCGTAGAGTGTCGAGGTCACGTAAGCGTTCGGAACTGAGGTATCTCTCGTGTAGGGGGTATATTGTGCATCTTGAGGGGCGTTCATGATGCTATTCGCCAGCTCTTGGGGAGGTACATTTGTCTACGTATAGACTTGTCAGAAAAGAGTATATACCAAATTTTCTCGAAACAGACCGAAGTGGAGGCTGGAAAACGGGGGGCAGAGGAAGTAAACATTGGAGACTGAGCAGCCACGTGTCCTGTAGAACCTGGAGAGAAATATGTTGGCTGAGCGGACCCATTCGTGGAAGACATTCCTGGTGTCGCCAAAACCTGGGTAGGGTGACTATATCGTGGTCCGGACGTCGACGATGGAGTATTTGGAATTGCTAATCTGCTACCCAAATTGAACGTCGTGTTTTTAAACGAGAGATCGCCTATGAACAAGATCAACATACGGAAACTGAAACAAAAGTAAAAATATATTCACCGGCGTAATTGTTTCCAGCTGCAGAATCCACGTATTGAGCAGAAACTGTATAGGAGTCAATGATCAGAAGCTGTTCCAATTTCCGGGTCAATCGCATCCACGGGAGCTCACCCGATTGAGGTGATTGGGAGTCAAAAGTGTGATCCCATAATTTAGGATAATGGTTTCGCACCCATTTATCAATCCTCTAATGTTGCTTCAGCAGATGAGCAAAGTTCACGCAGAATAAAGGAAAAGAGATGTTGCAAATTCCATAGGTTAGCACATACCGTAGGGATCCTGGTTTTTCTCTCGAAAAACTCCTCGTCAGTCTCCCAAATCCCGCCTTTCTTCATACGACTTGGAGGAAAAGCCCGCAGGAAAGCACTGACGAGCGAACTCATCCAATGCTTACGATCTTGAGACCCGCCCCGCGTCATATGCTGTCGCAGCCACTCTTCTTCTTGAAGTGTCCAACGGAACATTTTAATTATGCGAAGAGGATAACAAGACTCGAGGATGAGTGTCCAAGAGAGAAAGGATGTGCGGTATATTCCAAAGGACCAGCCATTTACAATGATGCAGTTGGGCATTGACGTGGTCTACACGCTTATGCCTCGAGGCATCCGTCGATGGTCGCGCACAGGCTTCGTCGGAGGCATATCCCATCCCTTGGAAGCTCGAAGAAGAACCCAACATGTACTGGTGTCCACGGAGAGGGTGGTGTCTACTAGCTACTAGTCGAAGTCCAGGCTTGATCTAGCTTGGAGCACGTTGTTTGTGCACGATGCTATTCATAAGCGGCGCCGCGGCGGACCGGTTTCAACCATGTGTCACCTTTCATGTCCCGTTATAGATGTTGAGCCTCCCCTTGCGTTCCGCAAATGGAGGCTCCTCGAAATTCCTTTGATTGGCTCTCATAATCACGCAGAAGGCTCACGTAGCATATGCAAATTAGATTGTAATGCATATACGGATGGACTTTTGTGTACACAACGATGCGGGAACGGCGTGTTCGATGACTTGAACACGAGTGTTTGGTTCGGAGGGGATGTCGTTCACAGAACCCGACCCTAAATCGATATCCAAACACGGATGCAAAGGGATACCGAAATCGCGAACGAATAAATTGATTGCATCAAGCAATATATCATGAGAAGAAAGTCTGCTCTGAGCATACTTATGTTCAATTCCAAGAGTGGACGTCAATTCACACTCTACCAGCCCAAGGAGTTCTCGGCATTAGGGTGCGAGTCGTCCAGCAGCGCAGACGGGGAGTTTGGTTGAGGAATAGTAGGTGATGTGTTTAATAGTGTGGGTAGCATGTCCGTCGGAAAGGTGTACGTATAAGTATGATCCTAAATGTTATCAGCACAAGCGAGCTTCGCCAACGAAAGAAGTAATCCACATACCAGCACAACATTGTCTGCCGCTTGCGCCTGCTCCTCCACAGGGAAGAGATCCTCCGCATAATGAATATGATCGTCGTTCAACAGCATGAGGAATTCATGAGAGTAGTTAAAAGACTCAGAGGCGACGGTCCGGTCGACTGTGAGCGATCTGAGGCATCATCAACATGGGCATCGGGTGGCGGCACATCGATGCATGCAACGTACTCAAAGTGATGTGTAAAGGAAGGACCTGCGACTGCCTCAGGATGAGGAGCGGGCGGCTGAGCGATATGAAGAGAATCTGTCGACTCGACGGAGGCAGTGATTTGATGACGACTTTGGTTGAACTCGTCCGCCATCGCTTTGCACAGCGCTTTGACTTCAGGAAGGGCGAGCCGCCCCGACACAAACCGACCGAATTGAGCCATCTTTTGGGCTTTCGTGATTTTGCCTTCGCGATGCAGCTTATTCAACTCGGAATGCTTGTGGACGGTGAGCTGGTCGCCTTTGAGAATGAAGTCGCGCGGGCTCTTGGCCCGAGTACGAGTGCGAGTACGGCGGCTCGGAGACAAAATGGATGGGGATGTAGGTCCATGCAAGACTCTATTATGGTGATTTCGGATCCATGTACGGACCCTCTGAAGGATGATGGTTAATGTTTAGCACAAGGGTAAATAATATATCACAGGTCCGACGTACAGTCTCTACCTTGCGCCAGCGCTCTTCAAGTTCTTCGTCGCTCTCCAGCCTCCCCTTAAGCTCTCGCTTCTCCCTTGGAAATTCATCCATAAAGTCTCGGGCAATCCCTCGAGACCAATTGTAGCGCGTCGCGTCGGTTTGGTATGTGTACTCTGCGCGGACACGAGTCTCGAGCCACGACTTCTCGGCTGGGGTGGTCCATTCTAGATGGGGCATTGTCATTGGTATGAGAGTGGGTTCTGAGAAAGACAATCGAGATCAGAAAGTGTTTGCTCCAGAAACATATGCTCTACCTCGAAGTTGATGCACAAAACGGGCTTCGCGGATGGTCTTGGAGAAGGTGTGCAATATCACGACGCCAGTGCCGGGGATTTATACGGTGCAGAGCCCAGGTGACATAGCCAGTAGTCGTACAGCGGGCCAACCACAGCTAAAGAACGAAACTAGCGAGTTGAGAGTGAGGCAGTCAAGTCGTTGACAGCGAATGTAGTTAGAGTAGAAATAGGTAAGTAGCTAGAGGATTGCCCTGCCATGCTGAAGTAGACCAGACGACTGGAGGCGGGATAGCTCGTCTTATTCTGGTACCCACGAGGCGCCGGTCGACCACGAGGAATGTGCAATGCGCTAAATACATAACAAGCAGCTAGATTCCGATCAACGTGAGTGTCTTGGATATTACGAGACCTGTTCTTTGAATTTTGTTAGGGATATACATAACGTCAGTGCGGTTAAGGTGGTCGACATGAGATGCACGAGGAAGGAGGGGAGGGACAGGAGGGGAGGGAAGTAGCGTTCAAAGTAGACGATAGTCGATGCTGTAGTCGAGGGGTGGTCGATGATGTAGCCGAGGGACGGTCGATGCTGTAGTCGAGGGACGGAGCCCACATGCCGAGGGAGGGACGCACAGCACTCGCCGACGAGCACAGCTAGAGAAACAAGTTGATCACGAAGACATCCAATGTCAGGCATTAGAAAACCGGACCGCAGGAGGCAAGGTGTCGCCTACTTCATAATCAGGTTTGCTAACAGGAGGCGGGGTCAGCGTGGGAAATGGCAGAAGCCTTGAGAGACAGAGCAGTAGACAGGGCTCTTATTGATGGGCGCAAGGTGTGAACTTCGTGGTCTAGACTAGTGCCGACTAGCATTCGCGTCGCCGTTAGTTTCGCGGTCCTCGCGTGAAGGGGAAGAAAGAGGATGAGACAAGGGCAAAACGGGGAGGGGGAGGGGACAATTTGATGGAGGGGTGTCCGTGCGCGATTCCATGCCGGGAGATAAAGACATATTTTGTTTGGTGACGTTTATCATTGTTAATGCTAAACGCCCTAAGGCTGTAGCTTAGCAGCGAATTTGATCAGCTGCTATCGTCCAGTCACCAACGACTCTGCATGTCTCGTACTTCGGAACCAAGTCGGATGACATGTCATTCAGCGCCTATCGAAGGACATCACGAAGGGAAGTTGAGGGCAGCACTCAGGGTAGCTGGTTGGCTTGCGACTATATCCAGTCTTCAAATTTCGCATTCGCCAAAGAAGTGTTTTGATCTACCTGTGGCTTGTGAGTGCCAAAGCTGTAGTTGCCAGTGAGACTACCTGAAATCTGTCATTAACTTTGATCTCTTTTCTAGTAGGAGAGAAGACCATCAACACACACCTAGGAGGCGTGGAAAGGATGGACCTCTCAACTTAATCCCATAAGATTACAAGGCGAGCGACTTCGGCATCAGAATAGAAGCAGTCTGAGATCCGTGCAGCACTATGCCGTTCGCCCGCCGTTAACATGGCAAGTCCGCAAGTCCTGACGTAATGGCCATTCAGCTGCCACGACGCTCCTTTGAGAAAGATAGGCAACGATAACGTACCATTGTAGGGCCAGTTAATTTCTGTTCTAGACCCCCAAAGCCCATCATCAATTTCTGCACTTCGCGACTTAGACTGAGGCCTCAGTCCAAACCGCGAAGTGCAGAAGCTTAAATGAGGTCAGCCTGCAAGTGCTAGCGTGGCAGATTGAGGTGAGCGCCTCGACAGACTTAGGTGCAATGATTGATCGGGTCCTTCGAGTAGTCTTCGAGAGGCAAGCCTTACTCAAGCGTGAGACCCGCGATCGTGTAGTGATGCATGCCCAGTCAAAAAATCGGTATTTTGTCATGTATCCGTCATAAAAGCAGTGCAGAAGTCGTGTGAAAGTTGTGTCCAATTTTGGCAGTTTATGACTTGTGCATGACTTTTCGCGCCTTTTTCTTAACGGATACATGACAAAAGACCATTTTTTGGACTGAGCTTGACATTCACCTGAATTCCGTTTTTACTGAGGCTGACTCGTGGCATCCGGCCCTAAATGTGACGCCGCGGCGTCGAGCAAAGTCAGCGAGTCATCATAACCATGGCCACCAGCCCCACGATCGTCTGGTCTTAGATCGTCGATCAAGATGGCCTTATTAGCGATCAAGAAACAAAGAATCAACAAATCTCAGAATAGCAAAGATGATATCGGAAACATATTGCATTATCAAATTCTATTAGAGTACGTAGAATCATGTCGAATGATATACTGTGAAGACCAGGAAATAACAACATCGAAGGAGCTAGCCGGCTACATGTATATAATGTGCTAGAAGTAACTACGTGGAGACATCAAACAATGAAGGCATTGGGTATCTAGACAGCATACAGACATTATTAGACTAGAGGATGACCGTGGCAAGCAGGAAAAACACGTCTGAACGGCGAGACTCGCTCGCACCGAATTACAAGATGACCATAATAAGCAGGAGAAAAACGTCCGAGCGGTGAGAAGGCTTTCAATTCATGATAAGCTCATATTCAAATGGAGGAGAGACAAAACCAATTTCGCCGAGAACTTGGCTGCATGAAAACATAAAGTCATCTTCCCAATCTACGAGGGCTGGCCCTCGATTGTGAGGCCAGCCGAACAGATCAACAGGCGGCGAAGGCGATCTCAAATCACGCGAGCTTGCAGGCAGTGCTGGTGAAGAAAGGTCGCCCGAATACACGCCTGTACCGATCCCAACTAAATCAGTCTGAGAGGAAAGATCACCACGTATAAGGCTATGAGGGGCAGGAGATACTGTTTTAACAGTTCGACTATTGTATTCCTGTGCCTTCGCCTGACAGAGTGCCATGACCTCAGGACGTTTCAGCCGCTCGGTGATGAAGGTACCCCACATAGCCATTTTCTCGTTCTTGGTGATTGTTCGCTCTCTATGACATTTATTTAGTTCCCAAAATTTGGCAGCAGAGGGCCCGTCGCATTTGAGGATGACATCGCGGGCGCACTTCGCCCTCGTGCGTCGCGGGGCCTTGCGGATTCCATTGGCCTGCCGATGGGGGCCCGGAGATGGGAGATCGTAGGCAAGGCGCTTGCGGTGGTTCTTGATCCATTTCTTGACCCTCTGTGCGAATGAATGAGCAAAGAAATAGTACAGAGCAATACTAAAATACGCACATTCGAGACCATGTCCCATCGCTCGTCGACCTCTGCGTCGCTCTCCAGGACCCCGTTGAGCTCGCGCTTTTCTTTAGGAAAGGTCTCTATAAAGTCACTGACAACCTTTCTGCACCACTCGGTGCGTGCCTGGTCAGTTAGCTGTAAATATTCGTTGCGGACACGGTCCTGCAACCACAACTTCTCTGCGCTCGTCGTCCACTCCTTAGCGGGCATTCTAGGCAGGATAAAAAAATTGAACAGAGGATGACCGTGGATGAAAGTTACTGATGGGAATTGACCCGGGGCGGGCGACGTTTAAAAAGGTCTTCCGGGCAAATTCGGGGCAGAAAGCTGTGGAAAAGCTAGCCAAGCGCTTAAGTAGCCTAAACAGCAGTAAGCAGGGTGATCAGCCGGTCTATTTTACAAAGTCAGGACTTTTGTGGGCTGATCGAAACAAATAGATTCTATACCGGTCGACAAGTTTGACAATCTAGACCAGAATTGAAGCCATCTCGAATAAATCAGCTCATGGCCAAGGTAAGACCTGCTGAGAGAGAGATTGAAGACGGGGATTGGAGAGAGGCAAAATGAAAACACAGGCATCGGCGGCTCAGCAGTGGAGCAACACTTCTCGGAATAGACACGGGAGGCGGTGAATGATCCTGGTGTGGATCATCAGTTGCGGTCAGGGACGCAGGCGTCTTAGGAAGGCGGTTTCTCACCTGATCAAATCAATGGACAGTGCCACACTAACTGCTGATGAATCGACTACTCACCGGTCATCCTGTGTCACCCGCTGTGCAAAATTCGAATGTGTCAATTGACAAAGGCTTACCAATGTAGTTGATTTTCGAGTCATATTTGATACTGAACATCGGGCATTGGCTCAGACCCAATACGAACAGTCGTGGCAAGGCTACCTCGATCTGCAGAGCTTCAATATCCGAAAATTGTGCGCGCAGGGTTTTGGAGAGCCTGTCACAGGGCATATGCAATGAGGTACATTACGCGGTCTTATGCTCTGTTAAAAATGTCACAACTTATGGTACATATCATTTCATGTCGTCAGTGTAGTCGATCCAAGTCCCTGATTTCTGCGCACTCATCTATCACATGGCCTCCCCGACTAGAAGATCGTTCTCACACCTGCTGCGCGCCACTCTCCACCAATGGTGCGAAAATCTCATTCAGTATCCCGGCGAGCCTAATCCCGCCCATAGCCAACAGCCTCTCCACCACCCACTCATTCGTGATCCTGCCAGCGTACTCCGGGGTATCCAACTCTAAATATGTGCCTTTCCTAGGACCCATCCCCCTTGCCGACTTGGGATCTTCGCGAACGGAGTTGCCATATGGAGGCTCGTCCAACTCCTTCGGCCACACAAGATCACAGTTTAGTTGATGAATTGGCTCAGCCCACGCTTGCGGGCACAGAAATTCATCGTCGGTCTCCTGCTGCATGCGTCCACCTGTAAAAAGGTCGAGGACGGTCTGCCTAAAGAACTGGCTGAGCATCTGTATAGGTCCGGAGGCAAAGGATGGAATCTGAATGCGTGCGGAGGTGGACGGACACTCGAGCCACTGTTCAACTTCGTCTTCCCATTTACCAGGGGTGGTGCTGTACTCCCCCACACCAATACCTTCCCACATGATCTTACGAATGTAAGGATCGTAGATAGTGCCGCGCAGCACAGACTCGACAGCGGGAATAGGAAGAGGGCGGGAGTAGTTCGAGGAAGACGGCATAGAGCGGAGGGCCTTCGCAATGAGGAGACCATCCCAAAGTGAGTGAAGATCTGAAGGACAGACGATTCATTGGTTAGGTGCCAAAGACAGACAAGAACAAGCGAAGAAACGAACTGGTGACACGGCCATCCCATGAGACTTTGTCCCCGTTCCCGCCTCGATCTCGCCCAGTCAAATGAAGAGGTTGATGCAGATCACCAAGGAAGTGGATTAAGAACTTGAGCGCTTCTTGCGCGGTTCCTAGCCCATCGTCTATAGTCCGCTTAACGCCAGTCTGAACACGCACGCCTGCTTTTGATTCCTTCACGAAATCCTCGAGCAAGCCGGTCACGTTACGGATACCCGCCAATACGTTGCCGCCCTGTCGGCCGGACCAGCCGCGATCACCGGGGAAGACGCACGAATCCGAAGGGTGGTCACCTACAGCGCCTACATAGTGGAGTGGCGCTGACCAGCGAAACTCAGAGCGATAGCGCACGCTATCGGCCCATGTGGCCACGGAGGAGATATAACAAAAGTCCTTGGACGAATTGGGATAGAGAATAGAGCAGAGCAGAGGGACAACGGGAGGGTTAAGATGGATTTGCGCAATAGTTGCGACAATTTCATGACCTGTGAGGTGAGTGAGTCAGCGCCTAGTTTGCAGACTGAACATTCTCTAAGCCTTCTTTGAGCCAGTGTATCCTCAAACAATAATGATACCAGCGAATGGACTACACCAGAGATCAGAGGGGAAAAAAGAATTCACCAGCAGCACCCCACGCACTTACGCCATGCAAGCTACCCAACCCTGCAATCGCCACGAAGCTGATGGCTGTATCGAGACGCATAACAAGTGATATGGTCCGCTTGGCTCACCCCAAGCTATATAGGCAGGAGATATGCAGGAGATGGTAGTCAGAGAACAAGAGATGAGATTATAGGCGCCGACGAGAAGGGACAGAAGGTCGTTAGGAGACCACCACAGAAGACCCGTTTCGTCAAGACGCCTCTAACAAAGACGCGTAGGCCAGAAATGGAGACGCTTTCACGTGATGAGAAACGCTTACACGTCCGAGAAGGCCGAGAGGGGCCGCGGCTCTGCGGACGCAACCATTGATTGGTAGAGGCAACTTGTCCTATTCTATCATTCGACGACAAATCGCTACGCTCATCATTCAACAGTCGTGAAAGCAGACTTAAAAGTCACTTCAATATCAAGTCTTCGGAGGGCACGGGAAGTTCCCGCAGGATCAATGCCTCCGCAGATCTCGATTTAGGGGATATTCGACACCTGAAAGGCTTCGGATGACTTGAGGTGTGAAGACTCGCGTTGAAAGGCAGATCCTCTGGATAGGTCAGATAAAAACATACCAGATGAATCCGTCGTAGTCCACCTCCGGTTCGAGAGCCATACCATCTACGTCCTTTGCCTTTTCAATATTGAAGACATAAAGCAAAGATGCGATGATGAGGGAGATTGAGTTCTCTGCGAGGAACATTCCCGGGCAGATCCTTGTGAGTGAAAATATGAACGTTGGCATTCAAATCAGATGGTCAAATCATTTGTTGTTATCCAGCTTACCTCCTACCGAATCCGAAAGCAATCCAGCCTGGGTCTTCGTATTTTTCAAGCTTTCTGAGTTGGCCGCCTTCGTCGAGAAATCGTTCAGGCCGAAATTCGAATGGTGCAGGGTATGTTTTGGGATCGTGAAGGATTGACCTGTGCATACATAAACGCCATAAATAACATGAGTGCGCAGGTCATCCAATATACTGACCAGATGTTCGCGTATACTGTTGACCCTTTCTTAATATGATATCCTCGATAAGCATCGCCCTCAGTGAGGCGATGCGCTAATCCTAAGGTACATCGGGATAAGTTTTGCCAATTTTTTTGGGGATTCTTGTTTGCTTTGGAGAAGTTCGGAAATAGATTCGAACATACCAAGGGGGACTGAAGGGTTCCAGCGCCATACTTCCTTCACAAGAGCACTGATATAAGGCAATTCCTGTATATCTTCGATCGCGGGCATCCTGCACGTATAACTTTCACGAGCTGGACCTAGGTAAGCATCGATCTCTGCTTGTGCTTTTGCAAGTACGTCAGGGTAAATCAGCATCGCTAGAAGGAAAGACATTAGTGACGACTGTGTCTGCGACCGCACACATGATGATCAGCTTCATAGGCAGATGATGGTGCAATGCCGTTACCGTTTCGGCACCCCCTGAAAACCTGGAGTTCATTTCAAAGACTTGACGACTCAAATCAAGACAAACCTGAGTATAGAGAAGCTGCAGCTGCTTTAACCAGTTCCTCTTCCGCCTGTATTTCCGATTCCTCTTTCCCGCTGTGATCATCTTCGTCGGAAGTCATAAACGTTGACACGATAGATGTCAGAGCTCTATTTTCTCGCTGAGGTCATAGGGGTTTGATTGGTCAAGATTACGAGAATAGGAATAAGAACTTTAGACCAGACTGACCAATTGTGACTTCACATAGTCGAACGGCTGATCGTAGAGCTTTTCCCTGTCGTCTCGCATGAGCTTGGCCTTGCGTCGGAAATCTGCAAACGGCAACCAAGCAGGAATGTACTTCACTGACGTTGTGCTAAGGTTAGTTGAACACGGCAAGGAAACGCAGAGCTTACAGATCGGCCATCGGTCTACCCAGAAAGCACCGGGCTCTGAAGCACGTGCGAATCCCAACATCGCGTCCTCGACGATCTTCACCAAGGGATCGTGAGCACTGGTGATTCTATACCCGTATGTGAGTAGCAGAATCAGGGATCCCGTAGATCTATCAACATAGCCAGAGTGAATCGGTGAATCACAAATTCGAAGACGGCGAATTGAAGCTTACTCCCTGATAACATGTCCAATGTCAAGCCCATTTTCATCCTTCTTTGTAATTGCAAGCAGCCTCCCCAGAAGCCTGGCACGTTCCTCTTCCTGCATTATAACTAAATCTGGTCTTTTACATGCGCGAGGGCCAATTGAGACATGAAAGATTCTTCGCAGTTCGCGGAAGCGAGCGTTAGAGGACACAGGGAACAGCGACTTGCTGGACAGAGGTTGAGGAGAAGCAGGATCAAATCGGGCATACCCTAGTCCAAGATTCCAACCGACACTGCTTGACGCTTTGGTGACATTTCACAAATGAATGAGGTAGCGCGCTGCGTACAGATCTCCTGCCATGGTTGCCGGCGGACGATCTGAGTAGATGTTGCCTGAAACCATAGATGAAGAAGCGTCGCGAAGTTTATTCAGAGACTCGACTGACCTCGTACATCCAACAGATCGATTGCTGCTTTCACAGATCCCAAGATGATCGTCGTCTCTCCCAAGGAAGAAATGCTGAAGATATCACCTTTTAAATTCATCATCAAATCAGCCCCATCCCTTCAGAAACATTTGGGAATATATCAGACAATCCGTACCATAATCTTGCGTCCATTTGTCGAACAGTAGCCAGTGTTTACCAAGGGGAAGTTGGAACGCGTTGCCTACGATAGGCCATCCCGGAGGACCGGGAGGGTAAAGGCGGCTATTCGATGTGCTCAATGCCGAAAGGATGTAGACCGTGAGACAGGCACAGGCTATATCAGCGCATAATGAGAAGTAGGAAGTTCTCGATATATATTGCACGAATGCATCGCGTAGGGAGGCCATTGATGCCTGCTGAGATAGCTCCTGTCGTGACTCGTTTGCTCTACGCGGCCGACTTTCCCCTTGAGGACAATATCGAGGTGGTGGTGGTAGAGACGATGATAGATGATAGTCGTGCAAGTCGGAAGTTCAGACTTTCACCGAGAATGTCAAGCGGACCACGTGGTTTAGGCTATGTCCCATTGCGCAAACCTGGATGCTGTAGTGTGCTGAACGCGCCTGCCTAGTTGGTTTTCATTCTGTAGAGCGCAGGGCGTGAAACAAGTCAGCCCAACTGAGATTGAATTGAACAACGATCACCAAAAATAATTAAAATATTGCAATTACGAAACAACATGACAACGATAGTTCTTCGACCAACTCGCTCAATCACATTACCAGACACTCAGTGTGGCCTCTTTATCCGAACCTTTCCAACTCTTCTCTTCAGACTCGACTTGTCGTCAGCGTCGCCAAAGTCTTCGTCCACCGTCTCGTCCCCCAATTGTTCCGCGTCTCCCATAGCGTCCGAATCATGCCTGGCTGCGACTCTGTCCCTAAGCGATGGCATTGCGGCCGTCGGGATCGAATCCGACGAAAGACGATCTAATAAGGATGGCCCGCGGTGGGAGGTAGGAGAGAGGGTGTGATCTCCTGGAGTTTTCGACAGGGGTCTGTTTAGCATCTCGCGCCCCGGACGGTCCAGTGAGGCCGAATTTTCACTGTATCTTCCGAGCGCAGAATCTGACACGTAAGGGCGAGTGATGTGTCCTCGAAACGTGGAATCCTGGCCGTGGAATCGAGTAGAGGGCGGAGGCATATGTCCACGGCCACGAGAGCTTGTAGCTGGTGGCGGAGGGTGATTCGCATAGGGTTCTTGTGGTCGATCCCAGACTGCCGGAACACGCTCTTGCGTACGGGACGGCGGTGGGTACGCAGAGTCTTGTCGAGGTTGAGGAGGATACCTCTCTCGACTTCGGTAATTTGACTCATGACGAGGTTGAACAAAACTCCCGTCATGGGTTCCATTGTGATGAAGTACGGGATGGTGCATGTCCATCGAGCCAGACCTGGGCCGTGATGGGTGAGGCCGTGATTGAGGCGCCACATCACTTCGAAGATCCACGTTTGAGTGGCTTTGTCTAAGTCTCGGATTTTCAGACGAAGGACCGTAATCAGGCGAAGGCCGGGTATGACGAGGAGCAGGACGAGTGTGTGCATCATGCTCCCAAGAACCTGACGGGCGAGAAGGTGGCGTTGGGAGTTGACGCACATTTTCTTGCGCATGGGGAAGTTCTGCCGTCGGTTCGCGTCGTGTCCATGTGCGATTGGGCTCGGTGGGAGGGATGTTTCGAGGGATATCTTGGCTTACAGACGGTTGTTGCAAGGGAGGTCCGAAGCGGGACTAGCAATTGTGATCTCAACATACTATAGCTGAGTGGAAATTTGATAAAACTAACCGGCCGCTCATGGCCCTGACCTGGAGCAGGGACCAGATTCGTCCGGTGCTGCTGAGCAGCATTGGGACGTGGAACAGACGATGGTTGCTCAAATGACTGAATCAAGATCAGACGAAGTTTATGCAGCCAGTAAAGACCACTCACTCCATTGTGAGCCGTCATGCCTTCGCTCACGTCCGAATGAGTAGGGTGTGAGGAAGCTGGTGGCATGCGCGGCAGCGGGGGTCTCATCGTTTGGGACTAGCGTGACAGGTCAATGTGAAGTCGATTGACGACGTTGATGCAAGAAAATTACACACCGATGGCCGTTCCCAGTGAGGGGCAGGCTCTAGGGTAGGGTGACTATGCCCGGATTCGACATGCGTTGTATGGATAGACCCCCGCCGGGTCAGTGTAGAAGGAGGTGGAAGTTGAGATGGGATGGGCGGTGGAGGTCCAAGTTGAGGACCACTTCTGCTTGCAGCAGGAACACTGTTTGTGGTGGAGGTTTTGGACGCGGGCCCCAAAGGAGTGTCATGACGTTGAGCTCGAGGGGCTTGGACATCCTGGGAATTTGATAAGCCACACGAAGGCTGTGATAAGAGAATTTACTACTCGCCTGATACTGCGCTTCGTGTTTATCATATTGCGCCCGACTCGGCCTCTCTTGCGAAGACTCATAAGGAAGTGGCCTAGTGGCATTCCCGGACAGTGTCGTGTTCGGTCTGGGGTGGACGACACGAGCCGCCGGTGGCGGATAGGACGAAGGGGCAGGTTCACGATGGCCGGGCCACGAGTCCCTCGGATGAGCAGGAGGCTGCCTCTCTCTTGGACGAGTCGGGACATAGTCTGGACCATGGGGCCTTCGGTCGAAGGACGGATTTGTGGGAGAGGACGGAGGTGGTCCATGAGGTGGCTGAACAGGGAAACCCCGTGGAGCTCTTGGTACGAAATCGCGAGTTTGTACCTCGCTACGCGGTGGCCTCTCATATATAGCTGGACGGTGGCGTGAAGGATTGTCGAAAGGAGCCCTAGATGAATATGTAGTGTCAACGTCCATCGCATCTTTGTCTCTGCTCGTAGAATCGACTGCAAACGTATGCCCGGTGTTTTCAAGTGGGCGGCTTCTAGCACTCCCTGGCGCGACAAGGCCTGAGGAACGACGATCCAAATGATAGTCAAACGCCGCCGGCGGTGGTAAAGCATGCATGTTGTGCTGCAAAGCATTACGGGGCCCTGACGGAGTGCTATGAGGCGAATGTGAGAACATAGATTGAATCAGAAATAATTTTCCTTTTACCTGCTAGGTATCTGTGATTGGAATGGCGCACGACTAGACACTACAGTGCGAGACGGGGGTGGTGGATTAGGGACTGGACCTGAAGGAGCTTGAGCCATCTCGCGGAATCGATCGCTTTGAGGAGGTAAGGGAATACGTTTACGAAGACCTAGAAGATGATATGACAAGTGGATTGATAGGCGGGGAGAATGGGCAGTCGACATGAGGATAGAGCGTGACTGATGCAGATTAACGTACGAGAGTCACTTTGCGCACTGCCCGATATCGGCGACGAGGATTCGTACGATTGTTCGCGTGAAAGATAGACATCGGCGTCCTCCTGTGGCACACGGCGAGCGGGCGCCGAATCACCAGTATGTGCATCAGTGCGACGACGCTTTGCATCGTAGTCTGCATCTGACATGACTACGTCGCTGTCCCTGCCTCTTCTTAAAGGCACCGCCTCAGACGGAGCGTACGCGTGAGAGTCCATATATGAATGGCGCGGAGCAGGGCTTGGAGCACGACTGTCACTTCTCGGCTGCCTTGGAACAGGGCGAGCAGACGAGATGTCCGCTCGTGGCACAAATTGCGGACGTTCTATTGTTTGCCGTGGGTACTGCGATGATCGAGCGTTATTGCGAGGCGACAGAGATCTGCGTCCTAGATGATGAAACAGGGGAGGGAAAGGACAGTTGAGAATCGATCACGATAGATTAATGGAAAGGATGGGAGAAAGTGGAAGCAAGACGCAGAGGTCCATCATGAGCGCCCATGAGTCGGTTCAGGACAAGGTCGATGAGCGCAGCGCAGCTCGACTCCCAAGGCTTCTCGAGACTATCCATAGATGCAGGTCCTCCACCTCGGGAGGAGCCGAGGCGCACGATACGAGAGGTGGAAGGGTGAGGGGATGATGTGGACAACGTACTTGGAGCCGATGATGCCCACGTAGCATTTTGACCACTAGAATGGAGTTCCTGAGAGACATGAGCTTCACGAGGACCCTCCCGAGGACCTGCGAAGACGTCTGATTGGTAAGGACGATTGTACGTTGATGGAGCACGAGGAGCATCACGAGCGTATGGATCATGGATGTCCTGCCTGTGATCAGAGTCATGATAGGAAAAAGGAGCACCAGGACGCAAGTCGTCCTTGTCGGACGCTCGATGTACACCGTTGTCTCGAGGTTGTACAGAAGAACCTCTGCGTCCACGCCTAGGACCGTCTACAAGTTCATGCTGGTAATCACCCTGTGGCTGCCGCCGTTCCAGGTCATCGAAATCTGGTGTTTCTCTCCCAGAAGGCTGCAAGCGAGATGATGCGCTGGGGTGCGGCCTATCTTCGCGAGCGTTGGCCTGATTCGCTCCAGGAGGTGGCAAGGCGTCGCCAGGTCTGTAATGACGATCATCGTAAGAGAGTCCATCGTCGTGCGGCACCTCACCAACACGGGCACGAGGAGCTGGTATATCGTTAGTCAACACATCATCATCTCGCCCAACTATCCAAGAAATGCCAATATCCCCCCTGGGCCTGCTTTTGCCGGAGTGTGAAGGTGATCTTCCGTCGTTCATACTTGGACGAATCCACGTAGACTCAAACGTCTTGAGGTTGTAATAATAAGCATCTCGCCCACCACTGCGAGAATATCTAACCTCCCAATCAGATGGCAGAGATTCTACGGAATCGATAGCTTTTTCCATTCCATTAACACGTCGCTCCTTGTCTCGGCGCGCCATAGACATCGGGCTTGCTGCTGTCGTCGAAGGCATAGCCAGGAATGCCGAGGAGACAACAGGTTTGGGAGGTAGAGCATGAGTGAGATTTTGGGGAGGCGGATGAATTCGATTGGATGAGGAGTTTGCTCGTGTAGGGCTTTGGAACAATGGTGATGACTCCCTTCGAGGGCTGGGCGTCGTGTCGCGTTCCGCCTCCACCTTGGACGCATCGCCTCGAGCCCTTTGCCAAGCTGGAGGAGCAGGTGTCGCCTTGACATTGCCAGGCTTGTCAGAGCTGCTCTGGTAGGTCATGTAGTCCTGAATGTCATCCTCGTCTCCTCCGAGAGAGACAGCATCCTCGACATCTTCTGTGTCGCCACTTCGCCTGTAATCAATGTCCAAACCTTTGCTATGAGAGTGAGGTCCATTGTGAGAAGGATTTTGTGGTTCGTCGTCTTCGTTGCCCCAGTCGAGAGCTTCGTGGTCGTCTTCCATGATGGCAGTCGAAAGTTGTGAGCCTCCTGCCGCCACCGGAAATCTCTGTCACGGTTGTTCTTGCGTTGTTCGAAATTTGATTCTCCGACGTCGGTTGCGCCACAGTGCACACCTAGTGGCTTTCGACACCGAGACTGCCATTGTGGTCGCTAATTGCCCAGTCGATTCATTTTTTCTGGCCAACTTTATTCTTTGCTCACTTCAATCTGTCTCTTTCTCGCTTTCGGCGCACAGAGGCGCATAACACCATGGCTATCCTACCCATAAACGCTGGTCCGAGCCAGAATGGATCGTCCTTCCAGTCATCTCATTCCGTCACGAACCGCGTTCCAGTCATATTTCGGAGACTGCTCAGGTTTCAGCATATGGTGCGCGAGCCTCAATAGATAACTTTGGATCTATTAGAAGGACGTTCGCGTCACAGGATTTTGAGCTGGCTGCTTGGCAATTGACCTACCTTTGCCTGGCCCCCAAGAGAGTGTGAGCATGCTCTCAAATATTGTGCGTTATTCTCTCCGATTGAAGTTACACATAGGTATCGAAATGTATATTTTCACAAACGTAGGAATAGGCGTCTATCATGATTGCGTTGCCTCAAATTCACAAATGCTCCAGAGACCAAAAATACATGGGCCAGAGATGACCCCGCCATTTTAATTCTCATAGCGGCATGTCTAATAGGCAAATCGAGTTTCTTTCCGTCATCATCTTCTAGACGATGCGCTGACGCGCTTACAATGCAGTTTCGGCAATTGCGTGGTCCGTGGTATGGTCGTATAGCCCTCTCGAGGCTGTCCGCCTGGCTCTTCTTATGATCTTTCGGGATTTTCTTCTCGTGGGCATCGTAGTGGCGACATTTTTTTGGTATGATCCCACGCCAAGATGCGCATTCCCCTCTAACGACTCCGGCAGGTTCTTTGCGAACCGAACATTACTCTCACCGCCCTCCCATTCAACCCCTGCGGATTCCGCCGTCGAGTGGGGGTACACGTTTGATGTGCATACGAATGCTTTCTTTCCCTTGTATCTCACACTATATCTGGCACAATTGTTTCTTGTTCCTGTCATCATGAAAAACAATTGGGTCTGCTTATGGGTGGGCAATACGTTATACCTCGCAGCGTAAGCACGTACACCTGCACTATGAAAATCGTCATTGCTGATACTAAGTTGTTTTAGATTTGCTCAGTATATATACGGGATTTACTTGGGACTGAACGGTGAGTATGCCTCGATAAACGGGGACCATGGAGCTCACGAGCAATCAACTAACTATCTTCACAGCATTACCATTCTTAATACGATCCGAGCTTCTGCTGGCGCCGCTGCTGCCCCTTCTCGTAGGATATATCGTCTCATTGCTAGGTTTCAACGTGGGGAGGAGGGTGTTATCTGCGTACTTCGATTCGTGATCAAAGGGACTTTGCCCAAAGCTGCGCCGTTCAATGCGATGGCTCGATGTCGGCTGCTTAGTGCTGCGATGGATAGATAGAGCACCACTTTGTAATATGTTCCACAACCACATGTATAAAGGCCCTGTAGGATGCGCTTGAACGGAAATTCACTGTGCAAGAACTGTTGTGACGCAAGAGAAGCAGTGAGGGGTGGTTACCAAAGACAGCCGCAGGTGGATTGAAACACCGCTTGCACGCGCGCCTTGGGATAACTGCCCTTCACCCTCGACGGATTCCATCTGTCTGGCTACTCCCGTTTCGTTTTCTATTCCGTTCGTTCCTCCTACCACGACTGCCTCGTTTTTGTCATGTCCGGAAGAACACAAATCGAGCGTGCAATCATCCAAATACAGGAGAAGCCTGTCGTCCCCGAGATCGACTTTACACAACACCAGCTCGAGAATGGGTATACCATCAGCACCCAGGAGCGAGTCGTCAAGGAGGTGTGTTCGTGATCCTTACCCAACGCTAGTGGTGTGCTGACGAGAAGCCCGGATGGTGTATGGCCGTCGGCGGGATAGGTTCAAGCCCCCGCGATGAATATACCCACCGACGCACAGTTCTTCTCCCGACAAGACCCAACCAAGCCCGATGTCGCTTTTCTGAAGAACCACTTTTATCGTGAGGGACGTCTATCCGAGGAGCATGCCATGTATATTATCGAAAAGGCGACCGAAGTACTGCGTGCAGAGCCTAACTTGTTGAGCGTCGACGCTCCCGTCACCGGTGAGTCAATCACGCTTGTCTCTGTCCTACGATTTCTGGCTTCCAAGACGGAATATGTTATGGCCCCCACATGTCTAAAGACTTCTTTGCATTGGGCCACAGCTGGCAGCATCAGGTATAGGGGTATATCAGCTCTAGTGCATTGCTACCATCTCTCTCCGTGCGGTTTGATTGCTTCGGTATAGTCGCATACCTCGAGTGCCTTTCTTGCTATAGCTGCGTCACGGTGATTACTCGAATCAGTGTACAATGAATCGCGCTGCTCTGTTCATCGAGCCTTCAATGGGTCTTTCATACCTAGACTGGTGGTGTTATCTACCATTGGTCAGATTGCTTCCATTTCTTTGCTTTGATCAGACTTCTCCACACATAACTCGTATTAACTTTGCTATTGTCAGTTTGTGGGGATATTCACGGGCAATATGTATGTCCGTAGCCATTTCGCCTCCGCGCTGATCTGACGTCGTGTGCAGTACGACTTGATGAAGCTATTCGAGATCGGGGGCAATCCCGCAACCACACGGTATCTTTTCTTGGGCGATTACGTCGACAGAGGGTACTTCAGCATAGAAGTATGTGTTACTGTCTCGCTCGTTCCAAGATGGCTCCTCATTCTATGTCGCAGTGTGTTTTGTATCTCTGGTCTCTCAAAATTTGGTATCCCGACACCATCTTCCTTCTTCGTGGCAATCACGAATGTCGGCATTTGACTGACTATTTCACATTCAAACTGGAATGTACGCGTTGCTCTTTCCACTCATGATCAGCTTACTAACCACAACGATAAGGCAAGCGCAAGTATTCAGAGCGAATATATGAAGCATGCATGAATTCCTTCTGCGCACTGCCCCTTGCGGCTATCATGAACAAGCAATTCTTCTGCATTCATGGTGGCCTCTCCCCTGAGCTGAATACTTTGGATGATATCCGCAACGTACGTTCTATCGTCTCTGCGTGTCGCAGATCACATATCACCGTCCTTAACCTGCATCAGATCGATCGCTTTCGCGAACCCCCCACATCGGGTCTCATGTGTGACATCCTATGGTCAGATCCCGTCGAGGATTTCGGGAATGAGAAGATCACGGACAGCTTTATACACAACCACGTCCGTGGCTGCTCGTACTTCTTCACCTATCAAGCAGCATGCCAGTTCCTGGAGCGGAACCGGCTGCTCTCCATTATCCGTGCGCACGAAGCACAGGATGCCGGGTTTGTTTCCGCGATCTTTAATGTCACAGTGTTGCACTTACATTCGGGAGATTAGGTATCGTATGTACCGCAAAACCCGGACTACTGGTTTCCCGTCGGTCATGACTCTTTTCTCCGCTCCCAACTATCTCGACGTCTACAACAACAAGGCAGCGATCTTGAAGTACGAAAGTAATGTACTGAACATTCGCCAGTTCAACTGCACCCCACACCCATACTGGCTGCCAAACTTCATGGATGCTTTCACATGGAGTCTTCCTTTCGTTGGAGAGAAGAGTACGTCATATATCATTAACATTCAAGTAGCAAATCAGTGAATTCCTTTCTCATAGTCACTGATATGTTGGTGGCTGTCCTCAACACGTGCACTAAGGAGGAGTTGGAAGAGAGTTCGGATGAGGAGACAGCGGTTTCGCCCACCACGCCTTCGGAAGATTCTGCAGAGAGAAGGAAGGTCATCAGGAACAAGATCCTGGCTGTGGGACGCATATCCCGAGTTTTTTCGCTGCTCCGGTGAGAATATTTTTGATGACAGACAATGCCTTTTCTGATCAGCCTTCATGCAGTGAGGAATCAGAACGCGTTTCGGAGCTCAAAAATATCACAGGTTCCACTAAGCTTCCTTATGGTACGCTGGCACTCGGTGCAGAAGGAATCAAGGATGCAATCAACGGTTTCGATGATGCGTATGTGTCACTATTACATTCGTGATGGAACATTGACTCACTTCGCACATCCTAGTCGCAAGTCGGACATCGAGAATGAGAGATTGCCGCCCGAGCTTGTTGATGCAGACTCTGAAGAGGGCAAGGCGTATATGTCCCAACCTCCTACTCCCTCAGAAGAGTCATATGTACCGCCACCTCCTAATGGGGTTGCAGCTGCCCTGGAAGAGGCCATCTCAAATGGCACCATTTCGCCTGGTTTAGGGCCTCACGGTCCGACTTCCCCCATATCACCGACCTCGTCCAACTCGCCGTTCCGGCGCGGACACGGACGTCAGGCCAGTTTAGGCACGACCATGACCAGTCCGAGCACGAGGAGGAGGAGCCTGGAAAGCACCATGTCCTTGCTGAAGGAGGCGGTAGACGGAAAGGAAGCGGATGCGGAGTTTGAGCAGCTGGCGGATCAGGTAGCTGGGAGGGTAAAGGAGAAGGAGAATGCAGCACCCCTGTCCAGATAAACAGAGGTGCGGTTCGCTGTTGGGCAGTGGGATCATCAGGGGGGATACTTTACTTTTTGGAGGTACTCGCGTTCGTGTAACATTCAGCCTGTTCTCGTTTCTTTCTTTCCTCTTGACTGTCAGAGTTTTTTGTCAACCAATCATCAACCTGTACACTGTGGCGTGACGTGTCGTTTCACTCCGAAAAGGGACATCGTATCCATCATGCCGCCACATGACCCTCCCTGCCTCCCCTGTGTTGGATAGACTTCCCCTACGCCGTTCTGATAAACCCTCGCTACGCTGGTTTGGGGATCGACATTGTCCATATGTAGACCACGCTCCGCGTGCGAAATGTATGGCGTGGATGTACATAAAGCATCACGGGGTGGCGGATCGCACGAGCTCCCTTTCCTCCCATCGTTCGCGAGCCTCCCTCAAGGACTCGCGCGCACGCCACAATCTCACAAACGCAGCAGTTCGCAAGATTCGGCGTGTTTCAGAATAGCTCTGCTTGCCGGTTACTAGCTTTCATTCCACATCTTAATTCAGCGCTATTCGTTGAAGAGCAGGGCATCTTTGTAGGATCACTGTTCCAGACAAGGCGCCAGGGTGAGCCTTGTGCCAGACTTGATGGGACTCGGAATGTATACAGCCGCCTAATGTGTTACAGGCAGAGTATATATAAACCCGCCACATAACACCTTGACCCTGCGCAGCCTTACAATCCTGCGTTCAAAACATTCCGTCCTCAACAAGCACCTGACCGCACGCCACGGATTCCGATGAATAATTGCCCCTTGGAGATTCATGCCTATATTTTCGAGCTCGCATGCACGGACGATGGTCGCACAGGTCGCGCACTATCCGCTGTGAACAGATACATCCGCCATGCATCAGCACCCTATCAATGGCAGAGCTTGGTTATATATGACCTAGCGCAGGCAAAGGGCTTCGCCGCTCTTCTCAATACTCTTCATGATGCCGGCACATCCACGGACACAGTCACCATTCACACTAGACGTCTGATTTCGCACTTGTTCGTGTCGAATAGGACTGGTGCCTCCGCGAGGGACATTCGACTTTCTCAGTGGCATGCGGCGAGGACTGCTGAGGAACGGCAATTCACTCATCGGCGTTTTGACCTCGAGGCGGAAGAATGGACCGCGGCAATCAGGCGCATACTTGCTTATGCAGCCGACAGCGTCCGTACGTTGACAATGATGTGCTATGACATACACATCAGCCCGAGCGGTCGACTGTTTTTCTCCGACCTCAAAGGGACAAATTTCCCTCGGCTTGAGGACCTCACTATTCGCGGTGGTTTTGATGTCAAACTGCGGGACCATCCTAACACCGACTCCGAGCCAGACACGCTCGTTGTCAGTCAACCCTACGCAGAGACTGGCGCGAGTACAAGCAGGCCAGTCGAGACGCCGACCCTTCCTTCTTTACACCGCCTTCACCTCATATGTCCGATCAGTTTTGAGCTCTTCTTACAGCGCCTCCGCCCACTAGCACCCAAAATTTCTTACATCCGTCTTTCCGAACTTGCCGCCTTCGACCTCGATCTCTGTCGATTACTCTTTTCCGAGCTCGCAGAGCGCCAAATCGTTCCGGGAAGACTTCCCGGTCTGCAAGGGCATCAATGGAGTGCCGAACCCATCGCGCAGCCCGTAGATTGGGAACCATACTTGCCGCCCTCGGAAATACTAGAACGAATTCTTTTACAGCCATCACAATTTCCCGTGAGACCGGAGAGCCAATGCGGGTGTTGTACAGGATACTATAAGGTGGACGACATGATTCGCATGCTGCGGGAGATGGCGAGAGAGTCTTCGGGGGCCACGTTTGTGTACGTGCCTCCTGGGAGGAGAACTGGGACGGGGTACGCACACGATGAGGCGAAACGGGATTGGGAAAGCCGGATCGATGGTGGTGCTGGATGCTGGAGAGAAAAGAAGGACGTTGACATCGATAAGCCGGTCGAGAGAGATACGGAGGAGGACCATACCCAAAGTCATTCATCTCACCGATCCTGGCGCCCTAGGAGATCAATCTTGCAATACATGATGGACTCTCCTTAATTGCTTTTTCTTTTGCTGTTCGGGTTTGTTAAATCTCTCTTTCTCTATTTTGTCATCCCTTTCAATTTGCCGTGACCATCGTTGGTGGTAATCGACTAGGACGCTCCAGCACTTTATGATATCGATAATGATTCTGACCAAAGATGAATTTCTCGTCGTTGCCAAAGCCATCAAGATCTAGTTTACCCTCTGACTCATGTTTAAGCCTTGGCCTTCACACTCTCTTTCAGCCCACGGACGATGACGACCTCATTTCTTGTTATATGCGGTATCTGGCGATGACCAAGTCATGGAATGGATGCATTTCCACAGGCCTTTAGAGCGAGTTCTAAATGCTAGATTCTTCCGATGGCTTGGTTGCCGCGTCGGCACGAGCGAATCCATTCTGTCGGAGCTTGAGACCCCCCTTCTAGATTTTGGAACTGGAAGGGGGGCTCCCCCCCCCTTTCCAGTTCAGATTCGCCATTGTAAACGCGTTTTTTGAACTCCGCTTGAACCTTGTCGTCGCTATCCTGCGAGCTAAGGCGAAAACACTGACACAGACAAGAGCTTCGCTCCATAACACCTAATCATCATTGTGATACCAGAGTCTAGCAAAACCAAGTCATCAAGATCCACTGCATATGCCATTATCCAATGTTATCGAAGCTGAACAGTAGATGGTGGGCTTGTGGTGTATCTGCGGTGGACTTATCCGTGCTGGCTGCACGGAGGCAGATCGTGATTGAAGCTCCGCTTATATCAAGTGCGTGCGTTCACCAAGTCATAGATGGTCTTATGGTTCTGTAAGATTTCTAGTTTCAAATCTAAAACAAGGTTCGACTCCGATTTATTAATCTAGAACTGCTCCAAAACCTGTGGAAATGCATCCAATATCAGAATATATGAACGCCTTGGCCACACACCCGTATGATGGCTTACTTTGCGACAGACAATTCAACGGGAGTACTGCTGTGCAAGGCCAGCGCAATGCCCCGGTTTCGGACCCACGATCATGAAACACCTCGACCTGACATTTGATCTTCGACTGCGATGGATCGCCCGGTGAGCCGAGGGCGCAGCTGTTTTGCCTTTGAAAGTCGCCATCTGGTCACACAGTACCGCATACTTGATATATCCTTGTCACGGGCAGCCTCAACATCGCGATACGTGGTGTGGGTCCAGGTGGGTCCTCAAGTCCAACTCGGAGACCGTCATGCCGCCAGAATCCTACGAAGCCCATTAGCATCTTCCGCTTAGTATCACCTCTATCAGAGCAGCTTTGCTTTCAGGATCTGCTTGTTGATTCTGCTGGCATATTTAAAGCCAGGAAATCGAAGCCGCCGCGGTGAGATCTAGACGAGGTGACTTTCGTACCTTGGCGCAGAGGCATATCTACGGCCTGCGGACGTACTCCTGGCTCGCAACGTACTGTGTGACGTTGTCGTGCGGTGTGCTTTCCTGATCAGAAGTGTGAGAGCAGACACATATTCACGCTCTTAGGCTGCGTCGTGCTCAACGCAGTCAACGTCCTCGGACAGTAGTCAGCTTCACATGAGAAGTAAAAGAAATTCCATGATTTTAAGTGCCGCATTGCCAAAAAAGCTCTTTCGACTTTTGCATTGTTCTTATGTACTTGTGATAGTCGTAGAGTACATACCCATTGTAAAGAGCTTCTGAGGATGTCAGTACTCTTGATCCAATGGAGGTCTGAGGCAGGAGAGATATCGATATCTCTACTATTGTCCGATTCAAAATCATGATTTTGGCCTTTCCGCAGGTTTTTCGGCAGCAAGGCGCCTGCATTCGTCCTAGATCTTAGCAAATTAACTGTATCTGTCCGCATTACTGATCAAACGTGCTATTTACTACTAATTCATACCCATTGGAGATTCAAACCTCAGAAAAAACCTTTTCGCGTGATGCTGTTCCGAAAGTAAAAAATTCCCAGAAGTGAACATGAATTAGCGAGAGCCATCTGCCCATCTCCTCAGACTAACATTCTATCCTAACGTAGCTGGAGACCCGATACCTTGTATTTTCCAGCCTCCGATGGAGGTCTTTATTTTACTGTTAATCTGATACACGTCTCTTGAATGGTCTCTGGATCTCACTTACACGCCGAGAATGTTTTCAAACTCCGAAAGGAGCCCCACTGAGCGTACCTTCCCATACTCGGTAGTACGCATTTCAGCCCCAACTGCCCATATATCATCCCTCCAAGATGGCGGAAGCTGTCTTCAAAGATGTCCCCGAGATCGTTGAGGTCGACCCGGGCGAAAGCTTAATGGCTCGTACTGAAAGTCTATGTGAGTACAGTTAACGTACTTACCTGTCTTCGTCGTAACTTTAGTGGCTTTGTTTTTGTACAGCTGGGTTCCGCGAATTAGGGCCTCCGGATTTATGTCATGTCGTGAAGAGCACTGGGAAGAGCGGTCAACGCGACGTGAGTGCCGGATCGTGCTATGTTCGCCATCTACTGACAGTGAAGTCGCAGATCGGCTCATACCATTATGTCTCGGGCGTGGATGCATCGTCATCAGCATCACTGGCAGCATACATCAACCAACTCACGTACTCTATTGAAGAACCACAGGCCTGGTTCTCTAAGGGGACAAGTTGGAAGTTGAAGAATGGCTGTTACTGGTGAGCACAGTGCTCATTTACGATCCTCCAGACGCTCAGCTGTGGACCAGTTGCTTCAATGCGTTTTCTCGCGTAGACGTCCGTGTAGATGTAAAAATCCCAGGAGGAGTTGATGCATACGTGATTGACTTGCGTGGTGACCGGTGCGTGCTCTGATGCCATTTGTTCTCGATTCAACTGATGCTGCTCGCATCCAGATATAAGGCGACTTCCGAAATGTGGCAGGAGACTTATCTATCTGCTGTCCTTCGTGCTATCCTGTACTCTGACGACTCTACCTACGAACTTGACGCATACCGCCGACTACAGCCAATTGCAACTCCAGATGCCGAGATTCGTTTCCTACAAGCTGCTGAAGAGCTATTCATGAAAGGTGAACATGCTCGTCTGTTATTTTCCTGTTATATTCGACATCTCATCGTGTCACGTAGGATGGCAAGTTGGTTCTGATCCGGAAATCCAGGTGGCCACAGTAGTGTCAAACCATCTTACTGCAGGCATTATGAAATACTTCGGTGATAGTGGGAGGTTCCAACATGCTGCCAACTTGTTCGAGAAGCTCTCAGCGCGTGAACCAGAGGTCGCTTGTCTTTTGGCTAAAAGCTATATCGGAATGAGTGAGTTCTACCATACCAGCATCGTCATTGCTTCTGATTCGTCGGTCCTTAAATCAGGCGAGGAGGTGAAAGCTGTGCAGATAATGGCAAATGCTATGAAGCAGACGCCCCAATCATACACACTTCTTCATACGCAGTGCGAGTTCCTACGATCCAAGGGGAAGCATGAATGGGCTGTCAAACTCGCGCGACAGGCTGTCAACTGTGCACCAAGCGAGTTCGTCACTTGGGAAAAGCTCACAGACATTTACATTGATCTGGGACAGTATGAATCTGTGGGTACCAGATACTTACGTCTTTCATGATGACTTATGACGACTCCACTCTTGTCAGGCACTACTTACCTTAAATTCATGTCCCATGTTCACCTATAATGGCCGTGATGCACACCGCAATCTAACTGCAGCACGTCTTCATCTGCCTGTCAAGTCATCGGTCGGTGAGATCTTACCAGAACGGGAAAAAACCGATGATGACGAGGTAGGCACTGTCTTATGTCGGTGAAGCCAAAACCGTCGTTCTTACCATGCGCAACAGGCCGATGCCGCGCTTCTGCGGTTACCAGCACCAGGTCTCCGCGGGACATGGTCACGGGCCTATTCCTTGCTTACCCGCCTTGTATCGCAAATTGGTTGGGACGAATTGCTCAAGACGCGGAGTGCCGTTTTCGTCATGGAAGAAGAATATCGCATGCTGAAGGCACAGTCTGACATTCAGTCTTCAACAGGAGCGTCAGATGTGATCATTCATGAAGATGGCGCCGCAGTACCTGTACGTGATTCGCTTGTGTCCGAGGGCACCACTCTGGCGACAGGAGGCTTAGAGGGGGCAGATGATGACGCAAGCACGAGAGGGGTGGTATCGCCAGCGTCCAGGCGTGCATCGAATAGCAAGGATCTCAACGCTGAAGGAGAGATTCCAACGATCCGAATCTCGACGGAGTCAAACAGAGAGAAGAAGGCAGAAATGGAAAAGGAGATAGAGGCTAGTGAGAATAGCGAGGTGAAAACTAACGGCGTAAATGGCGGCACGGAGCTGCAGCCTCCTGTACAAGCCGCTGCTGGAGAAGGAGAACAAGATGACAGTGAAAGCCCGGGGACTTCTGCACCGGAGCCATTCTCGTTCAGCAACAAGCGACTATGTGAGCGTTGGCTCGATAACTTATTCATGGTTCTATATGAGGTAAGGCAACGGTGTTCTGTGAGTTTAATGAGGAGTGGCTGAATGTGTAACTGACAGGATTTGCGCGTGTGGACAATATTTCGTGCCGAGGTTGCACATTTCAAAACGCAGCACGTTGCGTATCGTAAGACGGGAATGGAGTGGGAGATCTTGGGAGATCTTGGCCTAAGGCTACACCACAAGGAGGAGGCAAAAGAGGCGTATCAACGCTGTCTAGATACGCCACGCTATTCGCTCAAGCCATGGTCGAAATTGCTCGAAACCTATGCAGAGGAAGGTGACCTCATGCGCACATTGCAGGCAGCGATTCGTGTCGCAGCATATCAACACGCAGAATATGCCGAGCTGACTGTGAGTCCGTTCTCAATCCAAAATGACCTCACTTTGTCCAATATTCTGACCCGCCATCTGGTAGTTCCCGTCACAAATTGCCCGTTGCTTCTTTAAAATCGAACAGATCCATGGTCACGCCAAAATCTGGAATACTCTTTTGAGCATGGGGCTTCCTCCGCCAATCTTGACAATTATGCAGAGCTATTTGTTGTACGGGCAAGTATTCAAAGTCGAAGGTTACGATTTCTGAATTAGTGTCATGGAGATTATCTATGTATTTGTTTCCTTTCATCGTTCTCCCTATTCTACGTCGTCTTTATCACCTTATTCTCGTGAATTTGATACCTCGTTTCCGGTGTTAATCCGAGTTGGACACAATTTGGGAAGAGCCGGCCTCTGAAGGTGAGAATGCGCGCCCCTTGAATTAATTTGGCCACAGACCCCGGTTGCCGCTAACACCGTACTCTACACCTCCCACCACAAGCCATCTGGATTCTGCTGGCTCTGAACTGAAGTCTTCTTCATCAATCTCACAGCAGATTTTCCAGAAACAATACTCTATCTAATGTCCTTATCCCCTCCTATCCGAAGGTTGTCAGCCACTAGCACCAGCAGCAAGCGCGAAGAAGACCTCATTAATGCGTATGAAGCTGAGGAGGAGAGAATCATCAACGTCCTGTCACGCAAACTCGAAAAGGTATCTGGTTGTTGCAGCTGAGGGAGCATCTCAAGGCAATTATCTGTTTACTGATATTAAAAAATAGCTACAAGAGGAGAAAATCGAGCTTGAGAATGTGTTGGAGGCCGAATCAGAGTCGCATGTCAATAGACTCTCTAGAGAGCTTTTCGCTCTTCGTCTTGCTCAACAATCATCCCAGATGCAGTCTCAGAACCACCTTTCCAATGGCAATGGCATAGGGGAGCCTTCGATAGAGCATGGGCGTCCGGCGAGATCAATGCCAAGCAACCCCCTCGCACCCAGTTCAGACATCATGCTAGAGGCTTTGCTACGAGAGAATGAACTTTTGAGGAACAGAATGGTTGATATGGAGCGAGAGTATATTCGAATAACGCGACTGAATGAAATTTATAGGGAGGAACTGATACAACATCGGAGGCGGGTGAGTCTTCTTCTATTTCTACCACTACACATAGCCTCTCACATCTATGTAGCTCGGATTATCGGTTGATAACCTGATTGGGCTCTCGTCCTCGCACGAATTGTACTCACAGCCCACACATCGGCGCTCAATGTCGAATACGTCGTCCCCCGCTGCTTCCGCGCCTATCCCTCTAACTGCCCACGCCACACACCCCTCACCCAATGTTCCCATTCCACGACCGCCATCGCAAATTCATCGCCCTATCCATACCACGTCTGAATCGACCACTCCTCTGTCCCACTCACCATCGTCGGCGTCCGAGTCACCTTACCTTTCCCCATTGATCTCGACAAACCCTGCAAGTTATATCAGCAACACCACAGGTGTGACGACACCACCTTCTTCCACCTCTCCTACGGCCATTGCCAACGGTGCCTCTCGCACGGCTCCACTTTCCTACCCTTCCGTCCCCCCGCCATCTTTGTCTTCTTCGTTCGGCTCGCCAACGGCCTATTACCATGGGCCGCGCCGCGATCTCTCCTCTTCTCCAGTCGAAGGCCACACAAACCACAGAAGCGTGCCACGCCGTGGGAACTTTGAACGACGAGTCGCTGACTCTCAGAGCTTGCGGAGGAGCGTGAGTCGTGGGAACTCACGAAGAGAGAGTGTCGAGCGTGGTGCTCGTATCGCAGAAACAGGACAGCTCGTGCCACGGAGCAGGGCTGGGAGTGTGGCACTAGGCGGTCCCTCTGAGGTCGTCGCCCCTGTTGACGAACACGCAGACAGGACGTAAAATGCTTTGATGAACCCAAAGGTTCACACTTATTCTCGACAGATACATTCTCTAATTTTGTCCGATGATCAGCTGTCCGTGTTCATCTCTTCTCTTCTCTGGATATACATCTACTGAACATATTGGAGCATTGTACATTATAGTGATGTCCGGCTTTGAAAAATACGAAAATACAGCATCTTATGGTGAGGCTGAAATCGGTGGTTATAGCTGGTAGGATCCATTAAACAAAACGACTGCAGCACCTAACCACGACCACAGAGCAGCTACTTGACTCGTTCCAATATATGTGTCCCATTAAGAGGAGTGTGTATTCTGAGGACCAGGCTGAACTGACTTCGTCCTATCATAGCCATCAGCCCAACTCTCGATTCTCGCAATACAACGTCAGTATGTATCCCTCCCTATTTATCGCCCCACCTTCTTCTCTATCAGCCTCAAAGGGATATATAGTATTACTGCCACTGCAAACCCAGTGAGCAATCCTATATCGCCTGTTCCCTTCGCAGCGATAGGCCCAGTGTACCAAGCTTGCGACATGCACGGTATAATTATAGCGACCGACGCAAGAAAGGCAGAGACACCGGCAAAACCAAGGGGGAGTCGCTTAGGATTGTTCCAATCTTCGACGTTGTAGCTGGCGAACCGTCCTCGTCGGATAATGCTATGCTCACACATAACGATTGCGGCATGGGAGGCGGTCCAGTAGCCAATGATACCTGTGTATTGGATGAACGTGAGTGAAATTCAAGCATGGAGATGGGGTAAATTACTAAGAATATCGACAAGAGTGTTGTAAAACCGTACAGCGCCAACGATCGCGACCGGGATGAGGCTGAGACAGAAGCGTTTGAAGGTCAACTTCTTCCCTCGTGTTAGAGATAGAAAGACAGCGCTCACATTGCGGTAGCAACGACGGCATAGACATATCTTGGGATTTTCGCGAGTATGGGCGTGACAGCCATAAAACTAGAAGCAAACGAGTACATCGTCGGCGCAACCGCACTCGGAATGGTCAAAGCGATGACGACGGTCAAAAACTTTCCGAATCCTCCTGACATGCCGAGTATAGCCTCTATCAGCCCTCCAACATTGTTGCCGTTGCCTAAGCCCGCTTGCCAGGCCGGCACCGCAGACGCGCTTGCTGCGAAAGAAGCACCCAACATATGGCCCGGGAGCTGTTCGTGCGTAAATAAATGCTCCCAGGAACTGAGATGCCAAAACCACCAACACTAGAGACGAAGAATCCGAGATAGACGTATATAAATACACGCCAGCTATCAAATACTCGTGAGTATCTCGTGCGTGTCAATGAGAAGGCAGCACGAACCTGGGCGAGTCTTTATGATATACTCCGTAGTCTGGAGTCATCGTACACCAACTGATGACACTAGAGACCAGGAGTGAGGCGAATGACAGCACAGAAGCCGGTGACGGCGGAGGCGTAGGGACATTTTCGATGTGCTTTGCACCAACACCGAGCATAACCAAAAACGCGATCAAGTTTGGGAACCACGCGACGCTTTCGTACCTGCTCATGACATTAGCGATGTACCAGAGAATTTCAAAGCAACGTAGATGTACATGTGGATGACTTTATAGCCACAGAAGCTCACAGCCAGTGATATGACAGCAATAATTACAATCCCGAGGGTATCGTCAAGACTGTCAGATACAGCAGCGAGTGTTTGGCCTCCGACAATTGTGTTGAGGATGAGAAATCCCTGGAGAGAAAAGGCATTGAGGAGGCTCGGGATCATGGCACCGTAGAATCTGGAGCAAAAATTGACGTCAGGAGAGCATACATGTAAGAATTTATCATATTTACCCCCAAGAGAACCGGGCTTGGACCATAGCACGGGTTCCCAGTTTTGGACCAAAAACAGCACTACGAAAAAAAATCAGAGGACATATGTCGAACTCGAAACTTGAACCTACAAGTATGCCGGGACTGCACAAAGTCTGCGATAAGTGAGTATCTCAGCTTGCCTTGCTGATGAATTGTAAACATCGGCACGGACATGACATCGACCATGAGTATGGTGACAAGAGAGTCTTTAAGACCGAGCGAGAAAAAGGCTGGTCCTGCTGTTCCCGTGCTGAATCTGGTCAAGAACGATGTTACTTTAGGTTGATGGTCTCGATAAAAATCCCTCACGCCAGGATATTGAGGTTGGCCGAACACCAGATAAAGAACATTTGGTACAGGCGCGTATCCGTCCTATCTTCCGGGGGGATAGGTGTGATGCTACACAGGTTATAGTGTTGACCAAGACAGGTGAGTAACTTTGAGGATTTGCTCGCCCTTCCAACCAAAAACATATCCACGCACCCATGCGTTTCGATGCCCCACTTCAATAGCAGTTTAGTGAATTTCTGAAAGGCGTTCGGCTCCGAACCCGGCGACGATCCAAGATTTTCAACTTCAGCTCCTATGGCGTCATCTGCCACGATGCCAGCCTCGAGCTCCTTGGCACTGCGCTTCTCATCCATGCTAGACACTGAGGGCGGCATGGTGTATAAGGGGTCAATTGAGACCTAGAGTAAGAGGGGAGGTAGAAACAGAGTCTGCTGCGAGATCGAACCATCACGAAAATTGGGTCTAGATAGCTGATTGAATGCCAAAGGGGGAGGATGAAGTGACGGCACATGGACCAGCTGATAGTTCACCCAGAAAAAAAAAGATAAACGCTGATAGACAGCATCGCGGAGTTTGAACATTCAGTTGCCCCATTCATCGCCTTCGTCACCTCTCTCAATACCTCTTTCAATTCTCCATCATGCGGTCAAAAGGCGGGTATCTGGAAAGCCAAAAAACAGGATAGCCCGTTGGAGGGGTATTAATCAATGGCATAATGCACACCATTACTACGTGACTGTCTTGTCGAGTGCTGAACGATGGTACTCTCCAGCACAGTCGGCTCGCAGCAGAATAAGCAGTCCGTGTCACTACTCGGACTCTGACTTCCTTCGATGATAGCCATCCCTCAAAGTCTGTTCACATTGAGCTTCGAGCCTGGGTGTCCCGAGTAGCTCGCTTCAACTAGGCGAACAGTCGCACTCTCCTGGGTCTCTGGTTGGTGGCCAGGCTCTGAATCAGCTAACTCGCGACCGCTCTGAACGATATTATGAGATTCATTCTATGTAGGCACTTGCTGTCGTTTTCTGCACTATTTAAAGGGCCACATATTAAACAACCGCCGTATTCGTCAATCGCCTTCGAGCCAGCTCTTTGACGGGACGGCAAGCGAGGCTCTACCACTATGCGACCCAGTACCTGTGGCTCGACCTTGGCTCTATTGTGCCTTTCCCTCCCGAGCGTCTGTGCACGCCCTAATGGTATCTGCCTTGTATCATATCTTGATAACATTACCTTACTCGCATTTACCAAGGCATAATTTCTGACCCTCGCACCTTTTCAGCACAGCAATTCGACGTCCTAATTGTGGGAGGCGGTGTTTCAGGGCTCGTCCTTGCTGCGCGTTTATCTGAATTGCCGTCACTCCGCATTGGTGTACTCGATGCAGGGACATACCGTCCAAATGATCCGCTCCTCACTATACCCGCGCAGTTTGGTGCGGCTTTAGGGAACTCGACGTATGATTGGAGTTTTTCTAGCGTGCCTCAGTCCAACTTGGGCGGCAGAGTGATAGCCGAGCCTGCGTACGTCTAGTGTTTCTTCTTGACATTGTTTTTATGCTCATTCGTGTCATTTGCCTGCAGCGGGAAAGTCCTTGGAGGTTCAAGCGAATTGAGTGCAATGGTGAGAGACTCTTCCATGTTACGCTCGACAGCATGAATTGATATGCTTCTATAATTGTCAGGTTTGGCAGCGTGGTGCAGCTGAAGAATATGATGCTTGGGCAAATGATTTCGGCAACGGAGAAGAGTGGGGCTTCAAGGCACTTCTTCCATATTTTAAGAAGTCTGAGCAATGGCTTCCTCCGCCACCGAATGTTCTCCCCGGTCAAGTTATAACCCAATCCTTAGCTTCGGCACACGGACAAAATGGAACCTTACCGGTGAGATCATGTACCCAAAGCGCCGAGACTATACCTCATATTGGATGGTTTGCTGCAGATTGGATATAATAACTTCTATCCTCCCGTCATCGCAGCCGGGGTCACTGCTGCGAACGCACTCGGAATTCCTACGAACTCGGACCCTGTAAGCTGACTTTACCATGACTTTCAGTCTCTAATATCTTACGCACTGCAGGACTCCGGCAATTCGGCAGACTTCTCTCTTGCTGCCCGCTCTGTGGACCCTGCCACGGGTTTGCGCTCAACCGCAGCCACTTCCTACTTGGCCCCAATCCTGGGCCGTGAGAACCTGCTAGTATTGACTGGTGCACATGTTTCTAAAGTCAGTTTCACGGAGGGGAGAAACGGAGAGCTGACCGCCAAATCTGTCCACTTTGTTGGTGGAGAGGGCAACCAATGGTCTGGATCTGCGAGGGCTGTAAGGGAGGTCATATTAGCCGCAGGTGCGTACTCGATGGGGGTGAATTCGAACGGAATCTGAGCAAGCTATTTCCCCTAGGACCATTGAAAACGCCACAGATCTTGGAATTGAGTGGTGTCGGGGATCAGAATTTATTGAAAAGCCTCGGGATTCAGACGAAAATTCACCTCCCGGGTGTAGGAGAGAATTTACAAGTGAATCCTCTTGATCTCGCATACAATAATGCTGTCTTCATACTGATGGGTCTCGCTGTCAAGGACCCTACTCTCACAGCGTCTGACTTCATTGCAAAGCCGGGAGTGCTTACTCTTGGTTTGTCCCACCAGCATTCGACGGTTGTCATCTAACAATGGTTATAGACCAGCTGCGCTTCAACGCAACATTCGCAGAGGAGCAGCAGGAGCTATTGTACGCTCTTGCTTATTTGTCTGAACTCTCAATTGCTCATCACACATACCTCAGCACCGCTAACCACACTGGTGCTTTCACATACAATACTGCAGACGTCGCAATGTCACCCCTGCAAGCGTTCCTCTCGGAAAGCGAGATCAACAATCTGAGCCTCGCGCTTTCATCTTCGCTGTCCAAGTCTACGAACACCTCATCATTGTCGAAAAAGCAAGATCAGGTTTTGGAACGCTGGATGAAGGAAGGAAAGGTCCCCTGGGCCGAATTTGCGGTCACCCCCAGTGGGGGTGCTGCATCAACGCCCGAAGGGAATAATTCGTATGTGTCAATCCTGACTATCAATTTGGTGAGTTCCTTTGGCGGTTCCGGCCCCTTTCCCGATACTGAACCCCTCAAAGCACCCATTTGGGCGTGGATCTGTGGTACGTTTATTTGTCGTCTCGTTGTAGCCGGCGACTGATCGATGCCACATAGCACATCAACTCAACCAATCCATTCGCGAATCCTCTCATAGATCCCAAATATTTTGCGAGCCCCTTTGGTAGGTCTCACTCTCGTCATCAGACCATCTCTCCTAATGCGTGTTGGCAATATAGATGTCGCCGTGCACGCATTGGGCACCGCCTGGGTCCGAAAATGGATGGCCACAAAACCTATATCCGACACGATTGCTCAGTTGCATGCCCCTCCAGCCAATGTGACCGAATTCGATGGGTACGTTTCAAAGCCTTTACCAAAAGAGCAGAAACATATGCTAAGGACATTGATTGTGGTGATAGATATGTCCGCCAGGGCGTCATCGTGCGTCTCCAACAGGCAACTGTGTTTCTGAAACGCTCACCACTCCACTTTTCAGTCAACATTCCATCAAGTGGGCTCGACTCCACTCGCACCTCGGGCTCTAGGAGGCATGTGTTATGTTCGACTATGGACATATTACATGCTAAAATTTACCTGCTCCAGGCGTTGTTGATCCTTGTCTACGCGTATACAATACAACAAACCTGCGTATTGTAGGCTCGGGTGTGTTCCCACTCGCTGTCGGCGCAGCCCCTCAAGCTACAGTTTATGCCATCGCGGAGAAAGTACGTCAGTAAAGGACCTCCGTCGCGGCTGACGCTGATTGGTGTGGTGGCAGGCTGCGGATCTGATAAAGCAAGCCTTGAGGACCCAATGAGATAGCAAAGTACACAGATTACCCCCGCATTGTCTTCAGGACGACGTATAGACTCCATTTGTGTACTTAGCAGCCCCTTTCGACCATACAATCACAGGCTTTTTTCAAGAGTTGGTCTCCACCGCTGACACTACATGCAAGATCATATAATCAAGTCATATACCTCAAATAACCTCACAGATCATTGATCTATCGTCACCGGAGTCGTATGCAGCAGTGGTTAGCTCAATCTATGACGTTGTCGATGACAAGATAGATTGGCTAGGTGAACCGACCACGGTGGGGTGGGCTGATGTCGCGTCGGAGCTGAACTTCAGCCTCTATGTCAATCGCTCCAACCAGTCAAACCTGTCGTTGAAGCCAGATGCTTGCTTCGCGGAAAATGAAGCGGGGGGGCTATATAAAGAGCCCAGTCAGCAGTCTACTATTTGTCAATTCATTATCGCATTTTCACCGAGAACTCGAGGAATAACTAGGTTGTACTAACTTTCACCCCAGACTTCCTCTAGCATAACGAAATATGCATGCATACGAATCCCCTCAAGATCCTTCAGCACAACTTACCACCGTGTTGAACTGGATCGATGCTTTGTCCCGTCGTGACTTCAGTGCCTGCGGAGAGCTCATGGCGGAGGACTATAAACATTCCGTGTTGCCGGGAAGTAAAGGGCCCGTGGCGTCAAACAGGCGAGAGGGAATCGACGTCGCAGAGAAAGCAACGAGACCCTTGAAGACTATTAAGGTTCGCTTGCTCTGTCAAGTTTCCTTGTTTAGCATCGAGCTGATGCAGTGGACGATAGTTTGAGTTATACGCTGTCAACGAGTCGCCGGGGAACATATGGATCCATGTATGTCAATTCGAGGATGCTTTTTAGATGCTGATTGGAAGTATTTGTGCACAGTTGATGCAACGTGCAGTAACGAATGAAGGAGATCATACCAACGCCGAGTCTATGCAGCTCTTCGCACTGGATCAAGGTCCGGACCCGAAGATCACAGTGATGGACGAATTCGTGGGCACAAAGAAGGCAGAGTGATCGCCAGGATTGAGGGTCAGAGACAGTGGATGGTCATTGAAACCAACGTGTACTGAGGTTGAGAATTTGAGGATACTTTCGTGTACCAAGCTGTGAGCACTGATCTTCACTTTCCAGTGACCTACTGTTACAAGATAAGAAATGAACCTTGATAAAATAAAGCAAAGGAGGTCGATTTGAGTTGATGTCCTGCTGTTGAATATGTTCACACTATTTTCAATCACTATAGTTCCAGCCATGCTCCACCGTCTATGAGAAATCAATCAATGTGAGACTCATCCGGCAAATTGTACTGCTCGCGAGAGTGGGAGATCCAGTCTATGGACCGAGTCGAACAACAATGAGGAGCGCGACAAAATCCTGGAGACTTCTAAAGGAGCAATAGGCAAACTCAAGATTCATGACAATATTAAGCAATGGAAGGACAAGGACTCACGTCATTAAGGGCGAAGCCTCCACTTTCTCATCACACTGTGTTTTTGCTTGAAACGAGACACAGATTGCCATCGCATCCAGGGTCATACCGCTCACCGGCGTTTGACAGGGGGGCTGGATTTGAGCAAGCATGAAAAAGGGAGTGTCCATCATTGGGCTGTACATCGTCCAATCTCCGACGACGTCCTGCTGATATCCTAACCTCCGTAGTTCCGCTCCGTATAACCTCTGATGGGGTAACATTGACCGTCCAACATTCATGTCAAGCAAAGCATGCATCTTAAGTAGACAGGCATAGCGTCACTCATGGCCGATCCTTCAGCTTGTGATATTCCTGTTTCGTCAACATATTGCTGTCGAACAGAGCTCTGGTGGTGTTAAGCTGCTGCCGGAGCTCACTGGGGTCCTCGGGCGGCGATATGAAATGATCGCTTTTTTCTGAGGTCGATAGGCCCAACATCACTGACTCAAATCACATGTTGTAGCAATAAAGTGACCTGCCAATGCTTCAAATAAGGGGCGTGAGGGCTGCATAAAAGGTCGGCGTCCGAACAACGTACTTGTCGTTACTCGGGTTCTCTTCGGATCCTCTCAACAGCCCTCCATATTCAGAACACCTGCCGACTAGCTACGCGCCCCTTCCATCCACATAGCCGAAATATGCATGCATACGTACCTCCTCAGCACCCGTCGGCGCAGTTCAGCACCGTGCATAATTGGCTGAATGCCTTGTGCCGTCGTGACTTTGATGCTTTCGGAAAGCTCATCACAGACGACTACAAGCATTCAGTTTTGCCGGGAAGCAAAGGCCCAGTGGCATCGAACAAGGAGGAAGGGATCGCGTTTGCAGAGAAAGCGATGAAGCCCTTCAAATCTGTCGAGGTTCGTATGCTCTGTCAAGTGTCCTTGTTTAGCATCGGGCTAACGCAGGAGACAATAGTTTGAAATATACGCGGTCAACGAAGCGCCTGGAAGCATTTGGATTCATGTACGTCTATTCAACGGTGCCCGCTAGATCATAATTGGAGGATGTCGCCGTACAGCTGATGTTGCATGCCGTGTCAAACGATGACAAACCATTCTCCTCCGAGTACATCCATCTCTTCACGCTGGAAGAGGGCCCAAGCCCGAAGATCTGCGTGATGGATGAATTTGTGGATACCAAGAAATTGGCAGATCTCTTTGAGTAATCGCGTATAGGGATAGGGGATCTCCGGAGAAGAGGCAGTACAAGGATAGGCATACGGGGACATTCTCGAAGATACGTTGTGTTTTACGATACCACTTGTATAAGCGACCTATTTTGAAGTCGCGACTATTGAATATATGACATGGAATTTCCTGTGACATGGCTTCCCTGAAAACTAGATGAGAAGGCTTGGCAGTTGATGGCAGCGATACAATACATGCCAGTGTCAATCAACGATATTCGATTCATGAGCCGAAATCGCTCTGTCGAAGTCGACTCTACCGCTCAGCTAGCAAGAAAACGTATAAAGGAGCTCGCCAAAATGTTAGTAGCCAAACACTGCCGCCCAACAATGTTCGCGCCGCCTTCGAATCCGTCTCCCCAGCTCCAAACCGTGTTACGTTGGTTCCAAGCGATCGTGCAATGGGACTTCAACGCACTTGAAACTCTCCTCTCGGACGACTACCTGCACGTCACTCTGCCTGCAAGTGCAGGCGATCCGAATAAAAACAAAGAGCATGGCATCGCTCATGCGAAGAGCACTGCAGCGTTGTTGGGTGGACAGAACATGAACGTGGGTGTCCAATTTATCGCGTCAAATCATTGGCTTTGGCACTTATTCATGCATCCATGTCAAGTTTGAGCTTTACGATGCTAACGAGTCAGAAGGAAAGATATGGACTCACGTATGATGTTTCTTTTTCTCCTTTCTCCTGGCGAGTCAACCCCTAAATGCCTCTCCGCCCTCCACAGGCGAGATTGTACACGAAGTTGGCCAACGGGGCAGTTTACGACAACGAATCTATCTTCCTGTTCACGCTCTCTGCAGGAAAAGAGCCGCAGATCAATGTGATCAAGGAGTTCATAGACACGAAGGCCGTGGCGGAGCGGGCAAAGGCGGTTTCTGGGGACAATTGATGCTGAGGAAGAGACCACTCAGGAATGTGAATGTAAATTTCATTGAATATACAACTGAGCATATCTCACTTTGTCCGTATATATTGGTGTGCATCAGTTCTCCTCCATCTCATTTGAAACTTTTGGGAGATCTCGCCAGTCGAATCGGCACCGTGTGGACGTGCATTTTTTGGATAAATATGTGTTGCAGCGGGATAAAGTTCTGGCCAAGGTATATACACACACGCGCAAACGAAATCGAAGCGTGTTCATCACTTGGTTTGATGTTGAGCGCATGTAGGCAAACGAAGATGACGATGGGAGAAGATGGAAGTCGGACATTGGAGCGCTCAGATGCCGAGCAGTGAGAACGATCGGTGATCGAGGTAAGCGCGCAGTCTCGTGAACATTCAAGCACTGATGAGAACAAGTACCCGAATCGCGCCGAGGAGGGTAAGGTACTAGCAAGGTAGTGTCACAAGCTACAGTAATTTAGATAGAAATGCAAGTAGTCAGTGGGTACTCCACTCACTTCCCAGCTAAGTAGAATACAATAATCGTACACGACGCGCGCAAGTCTGTCCTGTCCTTCGTTCCCACAGTCGCTGGTCATGGATGGTATTGCTTCCGACTCGGCCGCCCATAATAAGCGCTAGAGCTTTTTATCGGAAGCATTGCCGACCGTCTTCGGTCTGTCATGCTACTCAAACGCCCCATAACGTCTCGCGCCAAGAACACTGTGCCGTTCTCCTCCTCGTTCAGCACGCTACGCTCGTCCAGCGACTCGATGATGTGGATGTCAGAGGGGTGAATTGTCGCTGAATGGGAATAGCGGAAGATGGTAATAAATTCGTGGCGGTAGATCTGGACTTCGACTGCAGTCAGAGCCGAGGACGTTGTCCCAGGCACTGTAGGTGACACTGGGTAGCGGATGGTGGGTCAGTATCCAACAATGTCATAGGAGGCGATAGCACGCACGCTGGATCAAACAGACACTATCCTGGATCTGTGCGATCGCGAAGTGCATGGAAGGTAGTGGTAGCGAGGAGGGGGTACATGAGCCACACGAGATAGTAGCTGATGGAGAGGGCGCATTGGCAAAGGTGACAGTAGCCATTGGTCACAAGGCGAGAGGAGCTGGAGAGAGACTGGCTACGGCGGAAAGCAGGACGTCTTTATAGAGCATTGCATCCTCGTGCCGATACATGCGAAAGCGGTTTGCTCATGGAGCCAAGGAGCATCTGTTTCGACTCCATACTGAAAAGAAGTCCGGCAGAACATGAGTCTAGAGCGTCTACACCCTAACTTATCCGAGGCTCACCTGCAAGGTGACAACAGGGTCGCCTTACGTTGGCGAAGATAGGGATGCCTTTCAAATCCGGCATCCCCGGCGGGAATGAACAACGGCTCCGGAACAGCTTCTAAAAATAGCCACACATGGACAACGACTCTGGCTTGCTCTGACGGCCGCACCCAAAGCACCCTATGCTTCACTCCACCCTTTGCTGCGACGAGCGAACATATCGCTTGATTTGGTCGGAATTTCCCCCACGACGACCAATCTAAACGCCTCGCTGTCGAGAGATGAGAAATTGGCGAAAATGCGCAGCGGGTGTGGGGTTGTACATAGGAGTTGAATAGAATTCGTGCGTTACGACCCTGTGCATTCATGCACAAAAACGGTGCCACGATCGGAGGTTCCGCCGCGATGACCCCCCCCTCGTTCCGACCCCTCACTCATGCTGGCGCTTGATGCGGGTGCATGCTGATCTCCGCAGCGGAGAACTTCGTGGATTGAACGGGACGTCATGATAGTCGCCCACACGGAGAAAGCATGAGCGAATCGAGGTCAGTCAAGCCATAGAGGGCATCGGACATGCCTCGCTGATTTCCGGAAGAAGTATCTTTCGGCGGTAAACTAAAGTTTCCCGCCCGTGGCAATGGGCCCGTGATCTACAATTCCCCTAAGTGGTCTTCGCGTTTTGTCATCAAAAGGGTTCTATTTGTTCATCGGGAACCATGACGAGAACGTAAGTTATCGGATGGATTCGTGCGATCTCACTGAACTCACCAGACTTCCGGTAGAATCAGCGGGTGCCTCCCAAAATTAGGGGCGGTTCGGACCCAGATTTACACCGCTCTAGGTCTTGATTCTAGCCCAAAGTTTACTGCTCTAGAGGGGTTTCTATAAAATGGAGGCGAAGTGCTTGGGGCGGTTCCGAAGTATGGAGAGTTGTGAATGTATTGGATCTGGGAGGGAGTCCACACGCCCAAGTATGCGAGACGATCGCGACAAGGGACAGGGGGCGAGAAGCTTGCTACAGAAAGTCAAGATGTCATTTCTCGGTTGACGACTTTGCCTTCGACGAAACAGTTTCCGGCACACGTCGTACAAGTGTCGTACACGTGTAATGATTTTCAAATTTTCACGATACAGGGGCAATGGCGGGCAATGGACTGGCAATGGTAGCCCCAGAAACGGATGCAAAATCATGGCGGTGCCTAGGCTGGCCCGCAGTCGAGACTAGTCGAGGCGGGAACACTGCGGGAACAAGAGGAACTCTTCCGAGCACAGCCAATGATGTGAGATCGACGATATCGGGGAAACTTGGAACGCAGGAGCTCCTAGTTGCCCATAGGAATTGTAAAACTGTCACGACCACCATTTCATTACGGGGGAACACACGAACTCCTGAGACGGAAGAGCTCGCAGACATCTACGCCACGATGCCGCCACGTAGCGTGAAGCGATGACAGATGACCTTCTCAACCAGCACATGGCGCAGAAGAAGGTTTCGTGAGACGGCGTTGAAACTTGATCGATTTGACGAGGCAGGGCCGCGAAGCTCTAGACAATGAACAATGAAAATCTCCTTTAACGACATAGGCTACTCCTAGTTGTCCCTCCGATCTACACTTGAATGATAGCTGCAACTTACTCAAGATACCCCTGTCCGTGTCAGGCCGTCATAACACGATGCTGCTCGAGCTTTGCGATTTCGCAACCATCGAAAAGCGGGATCAAGCTCTTGAGAATGGAGAAGTATCAGACATCGCCGTGTGCCTCTGTAAGGTCCGGACGTTGAATGCAATGGAAGGGTTCGAAGATGATTCAATCAGTGCACCCCAGACCAAGAAATGGAAAGTCGAACGGGACCGACATCGAGGTTTGGTGTGCGGGCCCGTGAGCTTGCTCTAGAGGCACGATCAGCCGGCCCGGGCGCTCCAGGCGCAAAGCTCGATTCCGTGAACACTCGACCTTACTTCCACCAGCCTCCGCCTCAATATCGTTTTCTATCCTGACATTGTCACAGATGGCGTCCGATCCCTGTAAGTATGCATCTCGCGCTGCAGCGGTTCATATTGATCATTGGAACCCTAGCAAAATCTCAGTACGCTGCTGCATCTCATGTACCTCTTATCCAATCTCCCAGTCTGCGTGTGCCTCGACCCGTACGTCTCATCTGGACTCCTGACCTTCATTCGGGGTTGACTATCTCATTCCGACAGGTAGAGATGCCCCCAGATATTCATCCTCTACCAGATAGCGTCACAGAATACGTACGTATCAGCCTTCCGCTTTCTGATCTTCACGTCTCACAATCTAGGTTCGCAGTTTGTATACCCGTTCACGCTAGAGCCGCATATAATCATGTTAGAATCATCCAGACGACAAACAATTGCAGCCCACGCGGCCCGTCGGGAAGCACTCCTCCGTGCGCGAGAGGAGGACAAGGAGCGTAGGAAGCGGGAGGCACTGAGGAGGATCGCACCTGGGTTCGAGCCAAGAGGCACGCCTCTAGTACCAACCAGGGTGAGTGCCCCTTTGGAGCCGGGCATTGGACATGGCAGTGCGTCGGAAGGAGGAGGTAGGGTGAGAAACGCGATGGAGGATTTGGTAGACGGTTTGGAGGCTTTGGAATCTGCATCGAAAACATCGTAGGTGTATCTCCCATATCGTTTACATATACCATCTTGTATTTTCTTTGCTGTAATAAATGCCAGACTCTTCTCTCAAAGAGATACTGCTAGCAAAGGAGATTGCGATCGGTTCGATTGAATAATCGGTTCGATTGATGACGCATGGGTATGACTCGGGTTGCCTGCCTCGACTCTTCACCTTTCCCCCGAGGGGAGGCCAAACCCCTTACCTTTGACCACCAGTTTCCGCGTACAATTCTCATGGCGAAGGGTCAGTCGTCGGCGTCGTCTGCGACGCGCAAGAAACACGCCCGCAAAAGTGGCAAGGATACTCCAGCACCGGAACTCCTGCCTCGCGAGAAGAAAGCAAAAAGTAAAGACAAGGGCAAGAACAAGGAGCCAAAAAAGAAAGTATACATTGCACCTGCGAAGCCTGCGCCTGTTCAGCAAGATCCGCTCGATACACTGGGACTCGCGCATCAGCTGCCGCCAGAATTGCTAGTAGTCCTCCGAAAATTCAGTAAGAAGGATGCTGTGACAAAGACGAAGGCTTTGGAAGAGTTGCAGGCTGGGTGGATCGACAAGGCGAAGAAGGAGGAGGAAGGGAGCTATACATCGGAGATATTGGTGCTCATGTTACCAGTTTGGGTGCGTCCAATATCCATGAGCTTCATCTTGAGATTCATCGAATGCACATGTATTGATATCTTGTCCCGTGCATCTAGCTGCATTACATCCCATCACTGTTCACGCATCCCTCACGGCGTATACGCTTGCTCACGGCAGGACTACACTCAACTCTCCTGCGTATTCCTCATCTACGCGATCAAGTCTTCTTCTTTATCCGCGATGTTGCATCTGAGGATCAGGCCGAGTCGATATTAGGCAGCTGGTGCATGGCTTCCCGAGATGTCGATCGCCAGGTCTCTATCTACGCGCGCCGTTCCTGGGAGGAAGCCACTTCGCTCGTAGTCTCCGCCGATAAACTGCATATATTCGGCACTCTTTTACATTCTCTCATTGCCTTCGTGCAGCGAGCCATCCTCAATCCCACAGAACTTTATCTATACCTTAATCCTGTTCAGGTTGCTGTGGATCTAACACCGCCAAAGAAGGTGCATGGACGCGTTGTGCCAAGTGCACCAGTCAAGAAAGAGGATGAGGACGGCGGTAGTCGTATGAGAGGTGATGGAGATGAAGAAAACGACTCGGACAGGAGGGCTAGATTGAGGGTCGGAGGATTGGGTGTTGTGCAATGGTTACTAGGTAATGGGTAATGGTCTGAGAAGATAGACCGTTTCATTTCGATTCTGATTCTGATTCTGATTTAAATGTCTGCTTTCTTTATAGATGCGCGCGCGAAGAATGCCGGATCTGAATCCCTCCAAGACCTGATGGACATGCTCTCCAATCCGGCTCTCTGGAGCTCACTTCATTATGCAGACGCGTGTCCCTTTGTCGACATGGAGAGCTTTGGACTCGCGCAGCCTGTTGTACGAACATCTGCATGGTCTTTGCTTCAGGTTTTGCTCCAGCACTGGAGGGGTGTGTTATTTCATGACAGCGTCGCCTTCTTTACTGAAAGTCGGCCTCATAGATCAAATGGATCCATTGGTAGAGTTATTAAGCGTCGCAGTGCTCCGCTCTGCGTTTGTAGAACCAGACACTCAAGTGAGAAGTGTTATGTGGCGGCCCTTATTGACTTTCCTCAAAGGTACGTCTCACGCACTGAGGCTTGGGAGGCTTTGTGAATATGAAGTACAGAGTTTCCGCGCGCTTGGGAGTTGGAGGCTTCGGTCGACTTAAATAAACAATACGACGGCGAAGATGATTCAGAAATGGAAGATGCGGACGAAAGCACCAATTCTCCTGCACCGGGCACTGAAGCTCTAACGCCTGTAACGTCTAGCTCTCATTCGAAGGCGTACCATGAATTTTTACAATTCTTGGAGCTCGGATGCTCAGGGTCACCGCTTCAAGGATATCCGACAGTGCTAATTATTCTCTCTACAATTCCCTCCTCTGTATGCTACAACTTCAGCATACTCAGTAGAGGCTTATTCACGAAATTTTCAGATCCTCCTAGCCTCTTCGTCGCCCCCGACCTATCCAGCTGCAGACTTCTTCACCTCATTCTGGGCAGCTATAGATGGTCGCGCATTGAGCGCATTGGAGCGCGCATCTACTTCCAGGGAATTTCTCTCCGCCCTCCTTGAGTGCATGACCTTCATCATACGGCGTGTGCGGAACGGTTCACCTCCAGCAGGAGAAGTACAACAGACACAAGTGAATAGTATCGATGATGCAGTGAAAAAGCTTGTGGCAGATCAGTACGCGCGCGTGTGGCAGGAGCTCGCTGCCACAAAGTTGAGACTTGATGCGACTGTAGCTGGTGTGCTGATGGCAAACAACTTACAGATACTGGAACGAGTCGACATCAGTGAGGATATGTTGTTTATCTGATCGCCCGCTTTCTGCTGGCTGACTCTGTCTAGGTCTTTTTGATGCGGCGTGGGATGCATTTTCCCCGTCCATGAAAACACACGCTATGATCGCCGGCGCACATGATTCGCATCTCGTGTCGACGGTCCTGAAGACCTTTTGTGCGACATTCGAACGCGGAAGCCGTGTCCATACGATTGGGAACGCGTTCATTCATACTATCGCTGGAGATATATCTACCCGGTGTCAGAGTATATTGGCTTCACTTGAAGCGGAGACAGAGACTGGTAGGGCACGCGAAGCTGTGGCCACTCTTGCAGATGTAATCGAGGCATTTGGGGATGCCTTATTCCACGAGACCGAGTTTGCACTGGTAAGGTTCCATCGCTCTTCAATTCTCATATCTAATCGAATCTGTTTCTTCATAGCTTATTGATCAGACAATCCGAACATACGCATATACCTTGCTCACCCTCTCTCCCCATCTGCTCGTGGTTTACCTCTCTCATCGTCAAGATCAAGTCGGTACATTACATCTCTGGCTCACTCTTCTATCGTCCATCTCGACGCATTCGGATGCTATCTACACCACTCTGCCGCCACTGGTCGACGCTGCGCAGGCTGGTGTTCTCCCAGAACATCTTACCGCTGCGGAAGGAGAATTCGACCAATCAGTTAACAAGCTATTTGCAGATGCAGTCGGGGGTCACGATACTTCTTCTTTGCCGTTGTTGTTGAGGCTTATACGCATTGCGAGTAAGTCTGGTGGTCGTTTTTGCATCGGGCTATGCTTATTACTGACGCTCGCAGAACCCTTCGTGACGGATGACTCTTTTGAGGCCCTACTCGAATACGCTATTTCTGACTTCGGCGAGAACTTCGAGTCGGTATCTTCAAGAAACGAAGTGGACTTGGCGAGGCTCGACGTGCTTTTGGATGTTTTATCTACGTCCTTTGAAGTCAGGCCAGAGCTGTCCTCGGACGAATCTGTTTGCTCGTCCCTATTACCTAGCCTTTTCCTCTTCGCCTACTTGTTGCCCAAGTGCTGTGATTTGGACGGTGCGCGCTCGGTCGTGCTAGCAAAGGCTCTTTGGACATCATGGTTCGGTCGTGCGACCGATGGTCTGAGAGCTGTAATCTTGGAGATGATCATCCATCAATTGCATGACGCTGTGTGGGATGTCAGCACACGAGCGAGGTGAGCCATAGTGCATCGTGGCCCTGTATCATCTAACGTATCCTCTTCAATCCAGCCCTCGCGACATCATCAAGGTTCTGACGGAAGACAACCCTGGAGTGACAAGCGTCGCCTTCGAGAACATACTGCCTTCTCAAGCTCGTCTATATGACGAGCTGAAGGCTTCACGCTCTGATCCTGCGCATCCAAGTTTAGCGATCAACCATCCTCTTGTCCCTCCATCATCTACGTTCGACCCAGCAAAAGGTTCCGGATGTTCTACAGATATATATGGGTTCACCTCATATGCAAGAGCTGTCAGCACTCTTCTTTCCGTCTTCGTAGAAGATCGCCATGCAGCGAAGACGAGCATATGGGCCTTGCGCCATTTACTTGTTCTTTCATTCTACGCTGATGAGTTGATGCAGATGCCATTGTCTCCTAGTCCTATATTTTCGGACAGGATCTTAAAGAATGTACTTGTCGATCTCATCACACAAGTACGACAACTGGCGGCGTATATGCTGGTCGTGCCATCAGAGGGTAAATGGCATGCAACTGTGGTTTATGCGGTCTCCGATGGCAGGCCGAAGGTCGAAGGAGAACTGGCCCAATTTGTTGTCGAGTTGGTCAGCGCTGCGATGCGGACAGACTCATATAGGGACTCGGCAGTTTTGTTGGCTGCGTTGCAGTACATAGTTGGAGACGCGGATAAAGGAGAGGCAGATCTATGGATGGGGTTGGCTCGTAAGATCGAAAAGTCGGGTAAAGGTTTTCCCTCTGGATATCTAGTCCGGACACTTTGCTGATGGCATTTTCATTAGCACCCCAGACCGCACTTGCGATTATCACTGCTGTGGTCCAGTTCGGCTCAGAGCCACCACGATTGGAGCGGTACAGGAATGAGCTGGCTGCTGGGATACTAGGCATTCCCTCGACAAAAGCCAACACCGACGGTGTCCTCTTGCTGCGAAGGCTGGCAGCCACTGCTCCCGACTTTGATTCAGATGTGGTGTTCCTCCCTCAACCGCGAGCCGTGAACTTCATGAAACAATGTCAGCAATGGATAGCCTCCGATGAGGAAATCGATGAAGACGTGGAGAGCGAGATGACGGCGGTCTTCTACCATCTTGTACCCATATTGCAAAATGTTTCCGGAAGTCATTGGGATTTCATCTTTGATGTTATTGAAAACAATCTCGAGGTATGTTACTCCAACTTCTTGCACCGCTGTCTCTTATGAGAATCGTAGAACTCCTCGTTCGACGACGATATGACATTGACGATCTTGTGGAGGACGATACGGCTTATCCAGGTCATTGAAGATCAAGTGACATATAATAAGGCATTGCGTGCAGATTGGCAACGGAGGCAGATAGCAATATTGAGTTTGCTGAGAGACCTTGTTGCCTCTGAACCCAGTACGCATTGACTCGTCAGCTGAAAGTGACCACAACTCATCGTCTAAAAGAATCCCCTTCTTTGTCCACCCCACGATCAACGTGCAGAGAAGCAGCGCTGTCCATCGTCCAAAACCTACCTCATTCCTTGATCAACCATGAGATGCTGTCCACAGTAACTTCGTCATTTCCTCAATTGACTGATAGCTGATCTATTCGTCTCCAGATGTCTCATCTCCTCTCAGACCCTTCAATCGACGTCCAGAAGATGGCTTATGATCTTCTTCGTGAAGCGGCGAAGAAGCGAACTGAATATCTTGTGATCGAATCTGGCGTGAACACCGAGGATGTCAAGATCGATCTACCTGTGGAACTCGTCAACTTACTTCAATCAACATTAGACGAAGAGGAGGGATCGGTATGCGCACCATCATCATATGTTCACATTTCACCTTCCAACCATTAGAACAGCCGTTTGCCTGCATGTTAGGCTGGATGGTCACCTTCGATCTGTTCCAGAACGCTGTAAGTTTTTCTGTGTATGACGTGGGGGTCGGTTTTCTCACTTCAGTTCATAAAGTCGATGAAAGTGAGATCGGGGTACACGGAACACCTGAGAAGCCTGGACCTCATTGCGAAACACTTCATACCACTGGTGTTGGATGCCCTGGGGTTATATGGAAGAGCCGGACAGTTCTTCAAGCTAGGCATATGGGCAGTGGACGAATTTTATCTCGAATGTAGGTTTTTCGATCTACCATCATGGCCATCAGGACTAATCAACCGATAGCATTTGACCCGGAAAATACCCTCAGCCTACCGCTCTTTGCTGCTCATCTTTACTATCGTGGGCTTGTAACCGCTCCGTCTCTCTTCCGCATGTGGCTTTTGGACTGCAAAGATTACACACTATCGACGTCGGTCGGAAACTACACATCGCAGCACTTCTCGCCCGTTATCATCGGGCACGAGCTCGGACACGTCAAGAGCCCGGAAGTGACTTCCGAGCTGAACAGCGACAACTTCGCCGTCAAGGTCGCAAGCAACACGAACGAAGTGACGGGTGTGTTCACTGTCGACGAGCAGCAGCTCGAGATCATCCTCAAAATCCCAACGGATTGGCCACTGCATGGGATCGAAGTCAAGGAGTCGAAGCGGGTCGGTGTCACGGAAAATCGCTGGAGAGGCTGGTTACTGGGGACGCAACAGATCGTCATGTATCAGGTATGCGGGCATACATCACTGGCGGTGCATGAACTGACCACCTTTTAGAATGGACATATCGCGGATGCTCTGAGTCTCTTCAAAAAGAACGTCTCGCTACACTTCGAGGGCTTGATAGAATGCGCGATCTGTTACTCGTACGCTTCATTTTTCAATTGGTCCATTTGCGATGTATTGACCGTGATCGATGTTTGTACAGTATCATCAGTGCCATCGATGGAGACAGGCCTCGCAAACCATGTAAGACGTGCAAAAACTTGTTCCACTCGTCGTGTCTCTTCAAGGTGTGTTCTGGAGATCTCCTGGTCATGCCAAGCGCTGAATTGAAGATCGCTTTCTCCAGTGGTTCCATTCAAGTCACTCGTCTAGCTGTCCGCTGTGTCGCTCAGATATATTTTAGAGGTCAACCGTGTACGATCAAACTAGTGTACAGAATACATTCGAAGCTTTGGCACGTCGTGATCCGCCATCAAGTGACTTGAGTTATGTACTTGCGGGTAGCCGGGCCGGGTCGGGCTCAGTCATACCTCTCCCCATAACATGGGTGCAGGCCGAGAATAGATTTCTCCTCTATCGTCTTTGACGACTTTTGTCAGTGCACAAACTATTCGTGTGTTTTGAAATCAATGTCGTCTTCTGGGTCCTCCGCGTCCTTCACCTCTATCAATAGTCGTCTAACAGCCGTTGCTTCTCACCTCACCAGCAGTCGTCCGAAGGTCGTGGTATGTCGCGATCTGGGGCCAGATGTCATGAAGCTTTTGTACGAGAGGAAGGACCTCGAAGTGAATCCGCAGTCCTTATACGCCGCCCATGATGCTGGCTAACGTGAGCTATGAGGTCGTTGTGTGGCCTGAGGACCAAATATGCGACAGACGGTGGCTGTTGGACAATATACATGGCGCGTCGGGCGTGCTCGTCTTTCTGACGGACAAGGTACGTCCCTACGCGTTGCTCTATTAGAGATGTGCAGATACAGCGCGTGTACACAGGTCGACGACGAGCTTTTGGATAGAGGTGCGGCGAATTCCGAGTTTTGCTGCCAATGATGACCTGATCCAGCTGTTCAGCTGGACCGAGCTTAAAAGTGGTGTCCACGATGTCCGTCGGATACGGTATGTTGGAGGATGTTATCGCTTGCATGTCGATTAAAGACTGTTTGTTTGTGCAGACCATGTCACCCTCCCGGCCGTCTCTCGAAGGCATGTCCGGGTCGGCTACACGCCAGACGTCCTTACAGATGCAGGTATGCATTCGAAACTGCGCAGCTTTCTTATCTGACCACACGCCATGCGCGACACCAGTGGCAGACCTGTCCGTGATGCTCGCCCTCATGGCCGGCCGAAACGGCGGCGAGACGGTGGCTATGGTGCAGAACGGCGAGGTAAATCCCCCACTCTTTGTGTATGCCGCTCGGACGCGAGGATGACCGTCTACGACGGAAAGTGGCCAGGCTTCAACTGGGCGCCCTTTGGGTTCTGCGGCCCCCAGCTCAGCGCGGGCCCGTTCGCGTCGACGCGCACGGTCGGCTTTCTCGGCTTTGGACGCATCTCGCAGGCGACTTTGGCCCGCCTGGTCCCGTTCGGGATCACGCACTGCATCTATACCTCGAACCCATTGTCCCCGCCGAAGCCCGAGTTCGAGGCCTCCCTCAAGGCGCAGCATAAACTTCAGGCTGTCCGGAAGGTTTCTCTGGACGAGCTAGCCGCGGAGAGCGACGTCTTGTTCGTGCTAGCGCCCGGAGGCGACGCTACGAAACATGTCGTCAACGAGACGTTCCTGAGGAGAATGAAGAAGACGAGCGTGATCGTCAACACGAGCAGAGGGACGCTCATCGACTCGGACGCACTCGTCAAGGCGCTCAGAGAAGGCTGGATATGGGGTGCTGGATTGGACGTCGTAGAGGGCGAGCCGAAGATCGGCGCGGACCACCCATTGGTGAAGGAGCCGAGGTAAGGGAGTCGTGCGTGGCTGCCGGGCATGTCTGATTTTTCCTTGCGATAGATGCATCGTGGTACCGCACATAGGGAGTGCAACGTTCGAGACGAGGTTGGGGATGGCGACGTTGGCGGTGAAGAATTTGTTGGCTGGGATATCTGGGGCCGCCATGCCGGCCGAGCTAAGTTTAGAGGGCAGGGCATGAATAGAAGTATAGACCGTTGTTGTTTTGGTTTATAAGGGAGGTATACACCGATGTTGGCATCATTCGCCGTTAACGTGATGTAGGTCCTCGGCCGTCGTCCTCCAGCAGCATCGAGCACGCTCGGGACCTTCACACCTGCGCATTAGAACGAGCTTAGCAATGGATGCGGGTTGTTGAGCTCGAGCTCTGGGTCGTTCTCGAGCGCTGTGCGGCAACGGCCGGATGCTGATTACATCCCCGCGGCGCAGGGATCCAAATAAGGCAACCGGCGGGCCCGACTGCGCGCATTGTTCGCCCAAGGCGGCACCGCAGCGGACGAGTCACTCGACGTGAGCAACCGTATATAAGGCGTGCTGGCACCCCAGGAGAGCTCGACAAATCGTCCTCCTGGCGCACAGCCGGTGATATAAGTGCATATTGAATGCCATACTGTTTCACTTTCAGCGACCCCGGACACTATTCCACTCTTCCTCCTCAAGCAATGATGCCTTCAACGCCGGGCGAGAGCAGCGCGGGTGCCAGCACACCCATGACATACCCCAGCCCGTGGGACTTCGACACGACTCCGCTGCCCGCTCAAGAGCAGCCCGCGGGTGCCCAGCAGTTTGAATACGCAATGCAGCAAGATGCGCTCTACGGCGGCGCGCCCCCGCCACAAAACCACGCGCCCACCGTGATTCAGCTGGAAGAGCGCCCTGCGCCCCTGCCGCGCAGTCGCCAGCGCCGCGCGCAGGGCAGCAGGACGCCGCGGCTGCACGTCGAGACGACGGGTGAGAGCAGCGCTGTGCGGCCGTTGACGGCCGGCGCCATCGCCCCCTCGGGCCCCGCGCGGGTGTCGCCCGTGCACGTCCACGCCGAGCGCGAGCGCGTGCACCCCTATCGGCGACCGCACAGCGCAGAGGATGCGCCCGCTCGCGCGCGCGGCAGCGCCACGCCCACTGCTGCGGGCTCGAGCGGGCGCTCGAGTGAACAAGCGTACAGTGTGAGATTTACGCCTCTGCATCATCAGCAGCCTCCTCCTCCAGCGGCGACGCCGACTGGGGGCGGATACTACTACAGCGCTCTGCCGCAAGCGGGCACCAGTGCGAGTGCAAGTGCGACCGCAGGGTCGGGCGCAGCGCCTGCGAATCTAGCCATGAGGTGCGCCGCAGAGCTCACGATTTTTCGTCCTCATTTCACCAGGACTCGGTCGCTGACGCCTCTTCACCCACGGATCGCCCCGCGGCAGCCCGCCCGTGACCGTGCCCAGCATGTCCCGCTCTTCCACCGCCCCGCCGCCCGCGGCGCTCTTCCCCGCCGGCCCCAGCACGCGGACGCGCCCGACCCGCGCCCCCCCGGGCGAGACGGTATACAGCATCCGCGCCGACGTGCACTACAGCCTGCGTACGAACACGATGACCGCGCTCCTCGAGCTGCCGGGGCTCGCGCGCGAGGACGTGCAGATCGGCCTCGCGCCGTGCCGCTTCACGCGCGCGCCGCAGCTCACGATCTCCGGCCGCGCGCGCGCGCCGTTCCCGCCCGGCGCCGCGGACGAGCGCGACGGCCGCGCGCACACGACGCGCGAGCGCAAGTACGGCCCGTTCGTGCGCCGGCTGCACGTCCCCCCCGGGACGCAGGTGCGTGCTTCGAGTAGTTTGGGTTTTGGGCGCGGCGGGAGCGGGCGCTGATTTGTGGGTGTCGTGGTGTTTTGCGGCTGCCGTTGGGGACGCAAGGCGCGCGACGTGGGCGCGGAGATGCGCGACGGCGTGCTTATAGTGACGGTCCAGCTCGGTACACCGATGGCGGTCCCCCCGGTCCCCGAGATGATTCCGATTCGGTGAACGCGCGCGCTTCAACGCCCTTGCCGACTTTTTTTTTGCGATTTTCATCCGATTTCACGCCTTACGCTTCGACGCGACTTTTACGGGATCTTCAAGCTTCGAGTTCCGCACGTCGGTCGGTGTCCGCAAAACGAACCACGGGACTTGGAGGCCCCCAAGTGGACTTTTGAATTTTGGTTTGACTCTCCCGCGCTGCATATCTATATTTTCATCTCGCGCTCTTCTTCGTCTCGGGATATCCATGCTTATTTTGTATCATACCCTTCGAGCCCCGTCCTCAGAACCCCCTCTTGTAGCCCATCGCCCCGTCCCCGTCCCCGTCCCCGTCCCGTCCGCATTTCTTGTCTCCGCCCTCCGTCTCCACCGCTCCCGATCGGCTCTACTACTACCACCGCTCGTAGTAGTCTCTACTACACCTCTTGCTCTACTCGCCGTCTGCCCGCCACGCACGCACGCACGCACCTACCTACCTATCCATCTGTTATTAGACGGCCCTCGCAATGTAATTACCGCGTTCGGGCGCCCGCGCGTCGCGCGTCTGATTGAGTTCGGGATCGGGACCCGAGTACGCCAGCGGGTGTCCTCGTGTGTTCTGATGGCAAGTGCCAGTACGGTAGCTACTCAGTACGTAAGGGAGCGTGAGGCGAGCGTATACGGTGCCGCTGTATCGGCCGCGCCGATCAGGCCCGACACGAGGCGAAGGCGAGGGCGGACGGACGGACGGACGGAGAGCGCGCGCGATGGAGCGCGGTTGGAGCACCCCGTGGCGCCTCGCCGTCAGATCTCCCACCCACCGGCGGTACGAGTGCGAGTGCGCGGACGGTACTCGTCCTCGATCGTGGGGCGTCTGCGCGTCTGAGCGCATCTGAGCGCGCCGGGTGCCTAAGTGCTTATTTTGCAGGCGCCCGCATGCGCCCGGACGCTCTGCTCAGTGTCGAGCGGCTTGAGTTGCGAGTTGCTTGGGTTACTAGGTTTGTACGCGCGGTGCGTGTGCATCGCGCCTCGCGCCTCGCGCCCCGGTGCGTGCGGCGGATGGGATGGGATGGGATACTGAGGTGCGTGCAGCTAGGTGCAGCTGCGGCTGCGAACGATGCGCGGGGCGCCTGGCGCGTCGCGGTCGGGCGGCACGTCGTGCCTGTCCGTGTCCGTGTCCGCGTCCGTGTCCGTGTCCGTGTCCGTGTCTGTGTCTGTGTCTTTGTGGAGTCTTTGTGGACACGAACTGCTTGTTTGCTCGCTTCGAGTGCCTCGAGCGCTTGGAGGACTTGGAGGAATCGTGTGATGCTGATGCTAGGAGTAGGAGTAGGAGTGCAGTAGTGGTTGTCTATTGTCAGTTTAACGCCAGGCAGGCGCGGCTGGATGGTTGGATGGATGGATGGATGGGTGGAGCCTCGAGGTGTGCGTGGGACGGTGGATGGGCGGCGGCGGGCGAGCGGGCCCCCCGGGCGTTCAGGCGTTTAGGCATTCAGGAGCATTCAGGGCGTTCAGGGCCGCAGGGTTGGAGGGGCGTGAGGATGCCACGGCGCCGGGTGGGCTGGCGGGTGAGAGTCGTGCTGGTGGTGGTGGGTGGCGGTGGCGGATAGTGGGGATAGTAGGCGCGCAGGGCGCCGGTGGGGAGCGCTGTGAACGCGTTAGGGTAGTTGGGGCCATGGGGCTGGAGGCGAGGCGAGGCAGGGCAGGGCGAGGGTTGGCGTCACGGATTGGACGCCGTTTTGTGCGGGGGTGAGCGGGGATGGGGCTAGGGGCGGGTGCGTGAGAGAGCGTGGGATGGATATAGAGAGGGGTGAGAGAGTGGGGAGGGAGGGTATAGATAGACTGCAGAGACGGCGGACGGCAGGGCAGGCACCGCGCACGGCAAGGCGCTTCCCTTTCGCTCTCCGCGGGCGTCGCTTCCTCTCTCTCCATCCACCCTCTCGCTCTCTCCCCACCCGGCGACACACAGCGACTCCTCTCGACGTTCCCCGCCGCAGCAGCACACGACCCGCCCCGCCCCGGTCCACCCAGCTCGTCGCCCGCACCCACCCGCACCCAGCCGCACCCGCACCCGCAGATGCACTCCAGGTCCACCCCGGACGACGACGACCCGCTCGCCGCCGCCCTCCGCCCCCCGCCAGACGAGTCCCCAGACACCCGCGCCCTGCGCCTCGCTCGCGAGGAAGACGCCCGCCGCGTCTCCCGCGCCATCGACGACGCCATCCGCGCAGAGCGCCAGCTCAACAAGAAACGCCGCATCGTCCGCGTCCTCCTCCTCGGCCAGTCCGAGTCCGGTGCGTGCCCTCTCCCTCCTCTTCCTTCCGCCTTTGCCCTTCGCCTTTGCTCGGCTCTCTGCCTCTGCCCTCTTGCTACTTGCCCGTTCCCTTGGCCGCGCGCGGGCCCTGCTTCTTTCTCCCCCATCACTCCACCCGCGCGTGCCATCAGCGTTATCACATACGCGCTATGCGCCCCGTCACTCCCGATTGATAGAGTTGCCTGTCTCCGTGATCGACCGACCGACCCGTGCTGACCTGTGACATCACGTCTTTCTCCGCCCCGCTCGGATATTTGTCCCCGCCGCGGCGTCCTCTCTGCACACCGCGCACTGAACGCTGAACACTGCGCTCTGCGGCCATGTGCTCACTGGTCGCGCGCGCGCAGGCAAGTCTACGACGCTCAGACGTGAGTACCCCAGCTCCCAGCCCCGTTTGCCACGCGCTCACCCCGCACCCCGCACCCCGCGCCTCGCTCACTTCTTGCCTTCTCGCGCTCCTTCTTGCCTTCTCGCCCCTTGCGATCCCGTCACGTCCCATCATCGCTCCCTCGCTCCCCTCCCCGTCCCTTCCTCCTCCCCGCTCCTCCTCTTCCCGCACCCAACTTCGCCTCGCCTCGCCTCGCCGCGCCGCCCCACAGAATTCCAGCGCCTCTACACCCCGACCGCCTTCCGCGAGGAGCGCGTCCACTGGCGCGCCGTCGTGCAGCTCAACCTCATCCGCTCCGTGCACACCATCCTCGCCGCCCTGTCCGACGCGCGCGCAGAGGCCGAGGCCGAGGCCGACGCGCGTCGGAGGGGGTATGCGAGGCATCACGCGCAGGGTGGCGGTGGCGGTGGGTATGGGTATGGGGGTGGTGGGGGGTATGGAGGGGGTGCGGGGCAGCCGCGCACGCGCGCGAGGACGATCGATTCGGGGTGGGACGAGGGCCCGCGGGCGCACCATCCTCATAACGCGCAGCACGCGCACGCGCACTCGATGCATGCGCACTCTATGCGCTCGCATTCGCACTCGCACTCACATTCGCATTCGCACTCGCATTCAAATTCGCATTCACAGGAGCAGGACCAAGAGCAGGACCAGGACCAGGACCAGGAAGACACGCTGTACGACGACCTCACGGACGGCTACTCGCCCGCGCCGTCGCCGCCTCCGCTCCCTCCTCTCCCGCCGCTCCCGCCCGCGCTAGCCCTCAACAGCAGCAGTAGCTACAACAACGGCCACAACAACGGCCACAGCTACAGCCACACCAACAACGGTCACACCAACGCCAACCACAGCTACACCAACGCCAACAGCGGTCACAACAACCCCAGCAACCCCAACCACAGCGTCGGCGTCGGCGCGCGACACGCTGCGGCGGACGACTCGGACGCGGCGCTGGACGCGCTCGCGCTGCGTCTGCTGCCGCTGCGGCACGCGGAGGCGTTCCTCAAGGCGCAGCTGGTGCCGCCGGACGAGGAGGAGGCGGTGGATCTGGGGGCGGGGGCGGGGGTAGGACTGGGTTTGGGTTCTGGTTTAGGCGCGGGGGTTGGAGCGATGGGAGGGGGCGGGTCGGGTGCGTCGTCGACGACGTCTGCGTCGGGGAGCGGGAGCGGAGGCGCGTTGGAGGGCGCGGGGAGGGAGATATTCATTAGGCCGGGAAGGTGGCGCGCGAACGTGTTGCGGGGCGCTGCGGGCGCGTCGTCCTCCTCCTCGTCTTCTGTGGTCGGTCGTGGGAGCGGGAGCGGGAGCGGGAGCGCGGGCGGAGGTGCGAGTGCCGGCGGAGGCGGAGGCGGGGAAGAAGCGGGCGCGGGCGCGGGCGCGGCGGACGAGCCGCAGAGCGCGCTGTGGGCGTGCCGGAAGGACCTGATGGCGCTGTGGGGGTCGCAGCGCGTGCGGGAGGTGCTGGCGCTGAAGCGGGTGAGGCTGGAGGACGAGAGTGGGTTGTGAGTGGTTTTTTTCGTGGGTTTTACTTTGGGGGTGGTGGGTGGGTGGGTGGGTGGGTCGGCGCGTGGCGCGGTGGAGGGCTGGCGCTGGCGGTGACGGGGATCGACGATTGATGGTTGATTTTTGGTTGCAGTTTCTTGAACGACTTGCCGCGGCTTACGGCGCACGATTATTTCCCGACGGACGGTGCGTGGCGCTCATCATCTCTCGCTCTCCTTGCGGCTGCGGCGCGCGTCGTGTGCTGACGCCCTCTTGCGGCCTGCGCAGACGACGTGCTCAAGGCGCGGCTGAAGACGATCGGCGTGTCGGAGTACAAGTTCGAGCTCGAGGCGGGCCCGCAGAGCGGGACGGAGTGGCGGATCGTGGATGTGGGCGGGTCGCGGTTCCAGGTGCGTGCGCGTCGCTGGGTGGGGGGTCGTTTGAGCTGGCTGGCTGTTTCGGCGTATCTGTTTCTGTGATTTTTATTTTTTTTTGAGTGGGGGTGGGGGTGGTGGAGGGGAGGGCGTGGGCGCGCTGCGTTTGCGGGCGAGGGGTTGTGCGGCCGTCCTGCTCCCCCTCTCCCCCCCTCTCTCTCTCTTGACCCCCACCCCACCCCACCCCACATTCTCGCGTCCTCTTTGTTTTGTACCGCTCTGACCGAACCCGCCTCTCGCGCTCGCCCGCCTTCTCTTCCACTCCTCAGCGACGTGAGTCCCTTCTTCGTTTCTGCCCCGCCGCGCACTGGTGTTGACGACGGCGACGACGACGGCGACGACGATTGCTCACGGCTTGGCGTTGCAGCGACGTGGGTGCCTTTCTTCGACGACGGTGAGTCTCGCGGACCGTGCCTGGGGAGAGCGACGTTGCTGACGGGCTTCGGTCGGCGGGTCGCGCGCGCGCACACAGTGGACGCGATCATCTTCCTCGCGCCGATCTCGGCGTTCGACCAGGTGCTCGCGGAGGACCCTAAAGTGAACCGGTTGGTGAGTGCGCCCCGACCCCGCCGACCCCGCCTCGCGTGTTGATCGTCCTCATCGTCCTCATCATCATCATTATGCGCGCGCGCGCGGGCGGCAGGAGGACAGCGTGCTGCTGTGGAAGGCGGTGTGCTCGAATCGGCTGCTGGCGCACGTCGACCTGGTGCTCTTCCTGAACAAGTGCGATTTGCTCGCGCGGAAGCTTGGCGCGGGGACGCGGCTTGCGAAGTACGTGCGCAGCTACGGCGATCGCTCGAACGACGTCGACACGGCGAGCAAGTGTGCGTGCCTTGTTCTTCCCCTTTCTCCCCCCTGGCTGCTGGCTGCTGGCTGTTTGTTGGGGCCTTCACCCGCGCGGATGCTGATGTCGATGTCGCTTTGGCGGGCCAGATTTTCGGAGCAAGTTTAGCGCGATCCAGCGCGCGTACTCGCCCGCGCCGCGCAAGTTCTACGGCTTCTGCACGTCCGTCACGGTGCGTCTCCCCTCCCTCCTCTCTCTGCGCGCGCGTCCCCCCGTGCTGACGGTGCTGCGTCTTTGGCAGGACACGGCGACGACGGCGGGGATCCTCGTCAGCGGTGCGTGGCTCTCTTTCTCTCGCGCGGGCGCGGGCGCGGGGCTGACGGGCTGTTCCCTGTTTTTCAATACATCGCGCGCGCGCGCGCAGTGCGCGATATCGTGCTGCGGCAGCACCTGCGGCAGTCGAAGCTCGTGTGAGCGGCGCGGCGCGGCGTGGGCTCCGGCTGGGCTCCGGCTGAGCTCCGGCCTTGGCTGCGCCGTCGCCTGTCGCGAGCTCCGCGCACCGCGTTGGGCGCGGGGTTCCCTCGCTGCCGCGGTCTTTTGCGCCGACCGCCGATCGCCCCGTGTCCCGTGTCCCGCGTCCCGCGTCGTGCCCGATGGAGGAGGCTCGCCTCTCGCGTCGAGCGGCGCGGGGCAAGAGCGCGCGCGTCGGCATTCGGATGGGCGCTGGAAGGGCAGGGAGGGTAGGACGGGACAGGGAAGGACGGGACGGGGGGGGGACGGTGCTTGTTGTCCTCTGGGGTTGTTGGTTGTGCGCGTGTGTCGGCGCTGTGCTGGTTTTACTTGCTTTTCTTTGACCGTGTTCATTTTTTTTCGCTTGCTTCATTGATTGATTGCTTGATTGCTTGATTTGATGGATTGTTTACTGACTCCTTGCTTGGTTATGAGTTTTTTTTACACTGTGCCTTCTCTCTTTCTTTCTTTGTTGTTGTTGCTGTTGTTGTCGATGGCGATGATTTTTTCGGGTGTGCTACGTGGAGCTATGTGGTCTGCCGCACTTGACACTTTGCATGCACGTGCTACGAGGAGTGAGTAGCACAGTAGTACGCGCGCATCCATTCGCATCTTTCCCATCTTTCGCATCTTTCGCATCTTTGGTTTCCCGCCTTCAGCGCTCCATGCCTCCCGAGTGCCCACTGCCTGCACGTCGAGCGTCGCGCTTCGCTTGACCGGCTGACCTGTCGTGTACCGCCGCCCGCGACGTTCGTTGATGTAGCGCCGCGTGAGAACGGCCATCCCTGCATGTGTTTTTTCTGGCCCTCTGTTCGCTGAGACCGGCTGAGTGCGCGAGCGGGACCCCGGGGTGAGATGGCTACGGGGTCCGTTCGGAGATGTCGGATGTCGGATGTCGGGTGTCGGGATTATGGACGAGTCGAGTCAGTCGTCTTCGTCGACGGGCTCCTGCACTGCCCGGCGACACCTTTGTTCGCTGCAGACGCCCGCCGACGCGCCCGCCGACGCACACTCCCTCGCTCGCTCGCTCGCACAGCCAGCCCCAGCGCTCTCTGATCCCCGCAAGCGTCTGCACACCGCCATGAGCGCCCTCCCCGCGCCCTCGCCCTCGCCCTCCTCCTCTCCCTCCTCCTCTCCCTCGCCCTCGCCGCCCTCTCCCTCACCGCCCACGCCCTCGCTGTCCACCTCGTCGTCCGCGCTCTCGCCCTCGCTGTCCACCTCGTCGTCCGCGCCAGGCACCCCGCCCCCGCGCACGCCCCCAAACCTCCACCAGAACTCGATCGACCCCGCCGCCCGCTGGCTCGTGCAGAAATACGGCGGCACAAGCGTCGGCAAGTTCGCGGCCACCATCGCCGCGCACATCGTCCCGTGCGTGTCTCCCTCCCTCCGCACCTCCCTCTCCGCCGCCCTGACTCGACTTGACTCGCCGCGCCGTGCAGGGACTACCTCGACCAGCACAAAGTCGCCATCGTGTGCTCCGCCCGCTCCGGCTCCACAAAGGCCCTCGGCACAACCAACCTCCTCCTCCGCGCCGCCGCCGAGGCCCTCCACCGCCCCTCCTCCTCCTCCTCCATCTCCTCCTCCGCCTCCGCCACATCCGACTCGACAGCCCCCGCGTCCGGCACAGCGACGCCCTTCGTACACGGCCGCTCCTCCTCCGCCCAGTCCCCCATCTTTCCGTCCTCCCGCGCAGCATCGCCCGCGCCCGCCTCGTCGCTCGTGTTCACGCCCCTCGGCGACGCGTCACAGCCCACCGCGACGCCGACGCCGACGCCGCCGCCGCCGCCGTTCAGCGCGACCGTGGACGTCATCCGCGCGGAGCACATCGCGGCTGCACAGTTGGCCGTGCGCGACCCCGCCCTGCGCGCCGAGCTCGAGGCCGAGATCACGCGCGACTGCGATGGCCTGCGCGCGTTTCTGTACGCGACTCAGGTGCGTGCGTGCGTGCGTGCGTGCGTGCGCCCTCGCTTCCCGTCCCGTCTTCCCTCCTGTTCCTCGTCCTGATCGTGTGCCTCGTGTGCGTGCCTCGTGCGCCGTCCGCTCACGCTCGCCCCGCGCAGGTCATCGACGAGATATCGCCGCGCTCGCGCGATAGCATCGTCGGCTTTGGCGAGAAGCTCGGCTGCAAGCTCGTCGTCGCCGCCCTCCGCGACCAGGTGCGTCCCCCCTCCCCCCCTTCTCTTCTCTCTCTCTCTCTGACCCCCTGACTCCCCTTCCCTCCAACCTCTCCAACACTCTCGCCGCCCCGCCCCGCTCCGCCCCGCATCACCGCTGCCACCGCCCCCAACAGGGCATCGACGCCGAGTTCGTCTCGCTCGAGAACGTCGTCCCCGCCGCGGCGCACGACGACGCGGACGCGGACGCGCACGGCGCGCTCGGCCAGGGGTTCTACGACGCCGTCGCCGAGGCCATCGCCCAGCGCGTTCTGCAGTGCGGCCCGCGCGTGCCCGTCGTTACTGGTGCGTTCTGCATGTTCCTGCGTGCACGCGATGAGCCACGCTGACTTTGTGTCCACCCATCCACATATCCGCCCGCACCCCCGCCCGCGCGCGCAGGCTTCTTCGGCCCCGTCCCCGGCTCGCTCCTGCGGCAAGTCGGGCGCGGCTACACGGACCTCGCCGCGGCGCTGCTCGCTGCGGGGCTCGGCGCGGCGGAGCTGCAGATCTGGAAGGAGGTGGACGGGATCTTCACCGCGGACCCGCGCAAGGTGCCGACCGCGCGCCTGATACCGCTCATCTCGCCCGAGGAGGCGGCGGAGCTGACGTATTATGGGAGCGAGGTCGTGCATCCGTTTACGATGGAGCAGGTGCGTGCGGCGGTGGCGGCATTCGGGGGGTTTCTTGTGAACTCACGCGTCGCAGGTCATCCGGCGCAAGATCCCGATTCGCATCAAGAACGTCGAGAATCCAAAGGGCGGCGGCACCGTCATCCACCCGGACCCGGACCTCGACCTCGACGCCGTCCCCGACTTCCTCTCCTCCGCCTCCAGCACCCCGTCCTCACCTTCCCTCCCCAGCGCGCTCTCGCCGCTCCTCACCCAAAACGGCGCGTTCACCACCAGCAGCGCCGGCGGCGCATCGCGCAAGCTCCCGACGGCGGTGACGATCAAGGAGCGCATGGTCGTGCTGAACGTAAACTCGAACCGCAAGAGCGTCTCGCACGGCTTCCTCGCGCGCATCTTCGGCGCGCTCGATCGATTCGGCGTCGTCGTCGACCTCATCAGCACGAGCGAGGTGCACGTCAGCATGGCGATCGAGGACGTCCTCGACCGCAAGGCGCTCGCGCGCGTCGTGCGCGAGCTCGAAAAGTCCGGCTCCGTGCGTCGCGCTTCGCTCCCCCCCCCCCCTTCCCCCCTTCGTTTCTGCCGCTCCCGCTCACGCCCGCTCACACTCACGCTCGCGCGCGCGCGCAGGTCTCCGTGCACCGCGACATGGCGATCCTCTCGCTCGTCGGCAAGCAGATGCGCCACCTCGTCGGCATCGCGGGCCGCATGTTCACCACGCTCGGCGGCGGGAACGTCAACGTCGAGATGATCTCCCAGGGCGCGAACGAGATCAACATCTCGTGCGTCATCGACGGCCGCGACGCCGTCAAGGCGCTCAACCTCATCCACCAGAGCTGCCTCCAGATCAAGCCCGAGGGGCCCCAGGGCCGCGGTGCGCGCTCCCCGCCGTCTCGCTGACTCGCTGGCTGATCGACTGACCCGCATCAGTAGGCCCGTGGTTGTTCTAGGGCTACACATCTATCCTGGAGGAGAGCTTCTTTTATATCTCGACGTTGAGCCGTCGGGGGCGGATGTAGCAAAAAAAAAAACAAGCATGTACTGTAGAGCACACAAAAGGTGGGGTCACCGCCAGACTCTGTTTCATCACTCGCGACGTGCCTGGCACATCGACGATCCGGAACATACACACTACAAATACAACCAGCTGGCGATGCGTATTGTTACAGGCGAACGGCCCTTCGCTCTCCTCACTTCATAATTCTCGTCCTGACGTGGTCCACGAGCTCCGTCGCGTCAGGCTCGTCTGTCGCAGAGTCCCAGTCGAAGTTCTTCCCCGTGTGCCCACCCCGCATGTGCACAAAGTTCAAGAACCCACGCCACAGCGGGATCTTGCCCAGGACCGCCGGGTCGCCGATGACGATCAGCAGCGCCTGCGCGCGCGTCAGCGCGACTGCAGCAAGTAAGCATCAAGGGATCAACAATCGCATCTATGTATATGCCATAAGCACGTGGGGACCGCTCACCGTTCAGACGACGAGGGTCTCCGATGAAGCCCGCTGACTTCCTTTCGGTGGTTTTCGTGTTGCTTCGCACTGTCGAAAATATGATGACCCGTCGCTCCTACATCACGAAGGACGTCGGTCCATCATCCCCAGCAGACTGCAAATGGTAGCACTCACCTGTCCTTGGAACTGCTCGACCGATCCGACAGTCACGTCGCCTAAGTTCTCTTCTTTGAGGCTTCTCCTGATCGCCCGGACTTGCATCCGGTACGGGCTGATCACACCGATCTCTGCCGCCTCTATGGTTCCAAGACCCGTCAATCCATGCCAATTAATCCAGGTAGCGAAGGCGCTCACCAACACGTCTCTCTCGATCCCCGACAAGGTCCCTACAGTATTTTTTGACGAGCGAAATTTCTTCTATATTGTAAAACGATCTCGAATTTCCGTATCTGTCCCTTCCCTGGATCCCGTGGAAAACGACGGGGAATGCTTTATTCACGAGAACAGAGCTGCCTAGCAGGGAATGCGTGATCTTAGGGTCCCCGGCACACTGTTGCTGATTGTCATAAAAACGTTGATTGGAAAAGGTGAAAATTGCTTCGTGCGATCTCCTGTTATTCTTGAGTTGAACGATCCTAAAAAGCAGCGATGAGAGGGATAGAGCGAGGCCAGATTATAAAAAGCCTTACGTCCGTCCGTCCCCGACTGCAGGGTCATATATTTTTTGAGACATCAGCCTCTCCAAGAAGCTACGCCGCAACCCGACGTTATGCGACTTTACGACAGGTCCCAACTGTTTTGGATCTCCAGCTAGAATGATGTTGGTATCGTGGCCCGCAACGGCGGCAATAGGAATCAAGGTCAAAGGTTCCTCGGCCTGCCCGGCCTCGTCGATGAAGACATGACTGTAATAGCCGGTGGGTATACCAAGGCTCTGAAGGACGCCCGCCGAGCTGCAGGTAGACACAACGATGCGGAATTTGACCATGGCAGACTTGGGAGGAAAAGCGAACGTATCATGATCGTTACTCAAAGTGTACGGTACCACTGGCTCCCTACAATCCTGCAAAGGTCGAGAAAAGGCATTGAGACGAAACATGTCGCCTGTGGACAAGTGAGTTGAGAGGCGTGTCGTTAGTTCATCAGCTGCAGAATTGCTAGGGCAACATGCAAGAATCCTGCAGCTAGAGCGACGCTTGAGTAGTTGGAGAATCGCCTCCGTGATCGTGGCCGTTTTCCCTGAGCCGGGGCTATTGTTCCATATATAAGAACAAAATCGGAGGAGAAAAAGAAAATGCGACGCACGGGCCATACAGGATAAATGGAACGCTACCAGGCGGCAGATACAGTATCGAACAGATTGTTCGAGTTTGTTCCTCATCCTGCCCAATGCTTAAGTTGTAAAACTCGATCTCGCCGACGTCATATGCCGGAGTCGTGGGTGTCGGTGTCAGTGTAGGAAAAAGCACCCTGGCCGGACCAAATTTGAACGGGGCTGATACTGCGAGATGCATTCTACGTAGCGGCATCCGATTGAGTACAAATCTCAAGCCGAACTTGAAGCCACGGTATGTGCTAAACCCCTTTGGCACGCGAAGGACAAGTGGTCCAACAAATCCGTCTTCCATGAATAAGTACCCGCCTGAATGTATGCGCACTTCATAGCATGTGTCGGTCGATAGTTGGTCGAGTATGAGGTAGTCTCCGACTTTGATGTCTGGCAAATTTAGCTCATCTTCGTGAGCGAAATCAATCCTACGACGACTCTCAGACGGAATAATGTCCTCAAACAGAAACAGCGTACTGATATCTTGGATATCGAGGTCGAACTCGAACATCACCTATCACAATGTTTAATAGATCACGACTTGCTTGAAAGGTCAGAATAGCTGTCGCCAAAATACAAGCATAGAGCGCACCTAATGTACGCCTCTTCAAGCCACAATAAAGTCTCGAAGTAATCTCGATACGTGTCGACATTCAGTTCGACCGGCATGGGCGCTTGGGCAGCGTGCTTGATCTCTTTATCAAACTTTGATGAGTGCAGAGTCTCTGCAAACGTCGATGGCAAGGGAAATTCGGGAAGCAAGTTCTCATATTGTGTTCTCGTCCATGTGGGAGGCTTCAATGGAACAAAGTTCGAAGGGTTAGGTCGTGGCGGCCGACGGGATCTGTGGGGCGTCTCAGGAACTCGCAGGCGTTTTTGATCAATCAATGAACCTGCGATGCCGGACACTGGGCGAGAGATTGTGAGATCGGTCTTTGAGGAGAAGTTATGGAACACGAAAAGAAGGCTGTCCTCGAAGCGGCCTTCGTAAGAAGGAATCAGAGTCACCATGACACGCAACGAGGTATCTGGCTCTATCCATCTTGAATCTCCCTCGATTTCTACAAGGAAGCTGAAGTACAGATCAGCAATGTACTGGCATGAACGAATGGGATCAAACAGACACACCTTGAAAACATGTCGGTCTGCAATGACTGCGAGGATGATAGCTTGACCTCGATCAATGAGACCTTGGGGCATGACCTCAGCGATGCAGGCGCGCACGCATCAAGATGGATGGTGAATCTCGCCACGCTTGAGGCGAACAGAGACTGGTCATCGGCCCGCTCCACGACGCCAAAGTCATGGCCGTCTGTAGGATGGATAATAATATCGCCATCGTCAGAGGCGTCACCGAGAGTTTTGTCAATACCACTGTGGTTGCCAGGATCGACGTGTTTATCTCCTTCGACTGCCTTGAAGCTTCTTTCCTCGGCACCGCCTGCAATTCGACCTACAGCGGCCGCAGACACATATTTCTGCTGATTCAAATGTTGTTGTGACTTGAGATGAAGGTTCCGTTTCGATCGTTTAAATGTCTTCTGGCAGACATCGCAACGCGCGAATCCTTCAGGGATGGGGATTGCGCCCGGCGAAGCGCCCGTGGACATCAATTCGACATTTGATTTGTGGCATTTACCCTGTGTATGCGCATCGAACCCCTGCGTTCCCACATACACGAGTATGCGGCATACATCGCACCAAGATGCTCCTGGGACTGCCACTGGTCCTGGTAGAGTGTTCGATTCGTCCTCTGCATACGCAGTACTGGGAGTATTGACAGCAGTGGTATCGCTCTGGGAAGGACTAGCTTGCGGCTGCGAGGGAGTCGACGGGCATGGTGTGTTCCTCGCGGTGTCAATGCGTCTAGCCACCTCCAGATGCCGATTCCCACCAAGATGAATGTGTATCTGAAACGCAGGGATGAACCGGTTGCAGGGTACGCAGTGCTCGATGTCATGCCGGTGACGGCACCGATCAGGGCGCATACATACACCTGTCTGAAGAGTCTCTGGACAATACGTTCCGAGGGGGTCTGAAGGGGCGCCAATATCTGTGCTTTTCACTACGGTAGAGCTGCTCTGGGTAGAGGATATGGGGGCGTCCGGAAGCGTGTGTGACGAAACTTGCGGGTCAGCAGTCGAGGTGGCGCCTATATGCGATGTCGGGGTCGTAGCATCTCCTCTATCAAGCACCTTTCGATGCGGCTTCCCACCAAGATGAATGTGTATCTGAAACGCAGGGATGAACCGGTTGCAGGGTACGCAGTGCTCGATGTCATGCCGGTGACGGCACCGATCAGGGCGCATACATACACCTGTCTGAAGAGTCTCTGGACAATACGTTCCGAGGGGGTCTGAAGGGGCGCCAATATCTGTGCTTTTCACTACGGTAGAGCTGCTCTGGGTAGAGGATATGGGGGCGTCCGGAAGCGTGTGTGACGAAACTTGCGGGTCAGTAGTCGAGGTGGCGCCTATATGCGATGTCGGGGTCGTAGCATCTCCTCTATCAAGCACCTTTCGATGCGGCTTCCCACCAAGATGAATGTGTATCTGAAACGCAGGGATGAACCGGTTGCAGGGTACGCAGTGCTCGATGTCATGCCGGTGACGGCACCGATCAGGGCGCATACATACACCTGTCCGAAGAGCATCTGGACAATATGTTCCCAGCCTGTCTGACGGAGGGACAGCAGTTCCAGTGTCTATTTCATTCGCTGTGGTCGTGTCGCCCTCTGCAAGGGTCATAGGAATCTCCGACGGGGGCAGATAGGAAACAGCAGATGCCTCTGGGATCACTTGCGGGCCATGGATAGCCTGGGCGACCGTCGAGTGCGCCCGTCCGTTGACGTGCGCCTGCATCACTTGGGTAGGAATGAACCGTCTGCATGGCACACACTCTGCGACATCGTGCTGGTCGCGACAGCCAGAACGCGTACAGTGGCCTGACTGCAACGCTTCTGGACAGTATGGCGACATCGGTGAGCTGTTGTGGAAGAAAGGTAAGAATGGTGGGAGGCAAGAGCAAGAAGCGCTCTGGCCTGTACTCGGAAGGTCCTCGTTACCTCCTTCCTCAGAAGGGCGAGCGTGACAGATGTTGATGGATGATGGATGAGAACCCAAGTCCTAGAATGGCCTATGGCGCACCAGTCTGGATTAGTGACATCAACTTTAGTACTCAGATACCGTGTTTTGTCCCACTTTTGTTACGGCGCTCTACAGTGCTCCATCTAGCAAAGGGTTGGAGTCCATTTCTGGTATGACATGGTAGCGGGACCGTGCGGCAACAGGCAACGACCTGTCCACAGATCACAGAACAAGTCTGCAAGAATACGTCCCGAGCGCGTTTCGGATCAACTCCACGCACATGCTAAACGAATTCACAGCTGACTTCAATTCAAGTGAAGGTAGGACCCCTTCGCTGAACACAGGTGGCAAAGAACCAGAAGGCGCAATGTATCCAGGCACGAGCCGCAGTTAAGATGGTTCAGCAGTCGACTAAACACAGTCAATGCAAAATACACAGCCGCAGATTACCTTGTTGTAGATTATACATCAATGAGAATTTGACAGCCAACCAGCATGATCGATACTGACGCGTCCTCGTAGCATGCAAGAGGTCAGGTCAAATGTGCACACAGTCGCGGAAGGCAGTATCGCAAATATTTCTGCATCACCTTTCATTACAAAGGCGCGCACTCTCTTTCGAGCCATGCAAGCGCGCGAAGGTCGTTCTTCAACAAGGGGCCTACCTTCGCCAAAGTCTCTGCATGATACTTGTCCAGCCAGTCTCGTTCCTGCACCGCCAGCAGGCTAGTGTCAATGAGCTTCTTGTGGATCGGGCACTGCGCAACGATCTGTTCTAGCAAACCAACATACGAAAGGTTCGAAGACATACCATAGTAATGTGCTCGAAACCCAAATAGCCCTTGCCGCCGAAGTTGTTCGGAGTCTTTGCCTCGCGGACGATTACGACGTTTTCGATGCGAATACCAAAGCGGCCATCAGCATAGTACCCCGGTTCTAAACAAGGTGCTCAGCGCATATTAGATACAATTGAGTCAAATTGCCGCGGACCATTTGACACTGTCATGCCAGGCTTCAAGGGCGTGTTGTTGTATGCTATCCGAGTGCCAATACCATGCGGACCTGGAAGCGGCGTGACATTCGAAGCCAAATTTCCAGTGTTGAACACGAGTTACCTTCATGCACGTTCAGAAAGTGCCCGACTCCATGTCCCGTGCCGTGCCTGTAGTCTGAGGTATATATGAGCAATTGTTGTGGGTAATGTTCAATGTTCAGGACATACCTAACCCGTCTTGCCACAAAGCTCGCCGCGCCCAAGTATCACTGTTACCAAAGTGAGTTGACTAAGGCATATTTCCTTGGCTTGAAAGTCGACCTTACATTATGTACCCTTCGTTCGATGAATGCTTCAACTTGATGCGACTATAACTTCTCTGAATACGACGCACCTGATGTTCCAGCCGGGAAGATAGCGGTGTCGATGGCAATATGGCCCTGAAGCACTCGGGTGAAAGCCCTCTTCTCTTCTTCGGTTGGTTCGCCGAAATGCTACCAAAGAGGCATAAGCGAAATAAGCATTAAATTTCCACCCCACAGGGGCCTACCCATGTCCTCGTGACGTCAGTAGTACCGTCCAAGAATTGTGCTATGTAATCTTGTCAAAATCGAAAACCCTCAATGCAGGAACTTGACCACTCACCGCCTGAATCGCATAAGTAGATCTGCGATTCAGTAACTTTAGAGGGCGACATGCAAAAGATAAGCATAAATGACATACCTGGTCCTTCTTGATGATGTCGCTGTTATGTGGGTCAGGAGAATAGTGTATGATGGCTATTCAACAGTTAACTTTCGTCCATCATGATTCTTAAAGCGGGTTGTACCTCCATTTGGCCCCGTCGAAGATATCGTTGTGAACGATAGACCCTTGTATAGGTCGAGCTCTCTACACATCGTTTCAGTGCTGAAATTGCTTATGAAAAAACAAAGAAAAAGCCACTAACTCACGGAACCTCTCCAATTGATCGGCAGCACCGCTTTCAGAGATCTCTTTGCCCTCGTTCAGCTGTGCCTCGAGCCACGCAAAATATCTCGCGAGTGCAGCTCCATCCCTGATATGGCTGGCGCGAAAGCCCGCGATCTCTGTCTGATTCTTGATAGCCTTGAGATCCGCAACGGGAGATCGGTCGATAGTCGTATTGGAGCTGCCAATGGCCTCCGCGACAGCTACACTGGCTTTATCTCCCAAGAGAACCTTGACAGTAGCAGAAGATGAGGACTAGATTTCAAGGCATCAACGCGCATACTATGAACGGCGGACGAACAAGATACCTTCAATTCATTGGCCAGTCGTCGCAAGTAGCTTGTGAAATCGGCATACGGCCGGGTCTCAACTTGTGAGCCAAGATGATTCTTCAAGGAGGCATCCACTTGCTCTGGATCGATAAAAAGATAGGCTTTTTCAAGCGTCACGATCGCATACGCAAAGAACACTGTGACAATATGTTAAATCGCCGTGCCGTTGGTAAACGCGATAGAAGAAAGCGTAGACAAACCAGGGTTGAAGTCAATATCTGCACCCCGCAGGTTAAATAACCACGCGACCTCATCCAGCATCGTCACTATCAACGCTTGTACCTCCTTCTTCCGTAGTCCATCACGTAACTTGGATAACTTGTCAGTGTGCAATTCGCCTGGAAAGGGACTCGTTCAAATAATGCGACCGTTTCTTAGACGGAATTAGGTCGTCATACCGGAGTATTTGATTTCGAGAGGGAAGACATGGCTCTTGGGACGTGCAGGTCGATCAGAACCCCAGACCTTGTCGACTAGATTTTCAGTGAACGAAAAGCTGGTCTCAGGAAAAAACTTCGCGTCGGCTATGCCAGAGCAAAAGATTAGATAAGTATATATGAGAAGCAAGATGTAGTCCATGAAACGCACTAGCTGCAATCAATTCTGGGTCTATCCCTACTCGGTCTGACTTCGAAACATTCTACAGAAATGCCGCAATGAGTATGACCCTCGCACCAAGAATGTTACACCTACTTTTTTGATGAATTCCTGCCATGTTGGCACATCTTACATGGTATTAAATATGAATTCTCGACTTCAACGATGACCAACCCACCTGGCAGACCCTGCTTCATTAGTGTCCAGTTCCTAGTCAATCTTCAGTGCGACCAAAAGACCTGAGGAGAAAGCGCAATCTTACTTGTCCAGCTGCTGCTCAGCTTGTAAGAAGTAACGCCCATCGGTAAACAAATATGCCTTGCCCTTCGTTACAATTGCGGTGCCTTCAAGCCATGAGACTCTCTGTTGTCTTCGCCGTAGGATTTGACACACCTGCTGAGCCTGTGAATCCAGAAATAAAAGCCCTGCGCTCATCACACTGCGCGAGATACTCGCTCGAATCTGGACCAAGTAGCTGTGAATCAATGGAATTTACGTTGAGCAAACTGCATACATACGTTGGTCTTCGCTCGGCACAACATACGCGGACACTGGCTTCTCAGCCATCAGCTTGCGCAATGCATCGAGCCTAGCCGATGTGTCAACAGTCTGCGCGCCAGGTAAGCCCATGGTAAAAGACGAGGAATAGAATCGATAGGATGGGGATCTGTGACACCGGATATGGTGAGTGCCAAAGACGCGAAAGGCAGATGCAAGCATGTGCTCCAAGGAACAATCCGGAGACCTTGATTGGGTGTAGATCTTGGCAAATCGATCTTTTAGAAAGATATGCCTTTATCCCTTGAAGCTGCCGGACGATATGGTGTGCTTGTGTACGATTTGTGTGCCAACATGCAACACCCCCATTGGCGCGGCTGTCACTTCTGGAAGAGATTAGATTAGATGACATAGTGACAACCCCCTGACAGCTTTGGAATAAGCAGTAAAGACCCCAGTATCTTTTATTAGCGCTGGCATCATTGTCCCTGGCACGCCCCCTTCACTAAAATAACGACTCTGAACGTCCTCCTTCCACTCATTTACTACGAATACTCTCTATATTTGCGGAAATGGTTGAGGACAAGTACATTGGCCTCGTTCTGGCTATGTCCAGCTCGCTAGCAATCGGCACAAGCTTCATCATCACAAAAAAGGTGTGCACAAACCGAGTAGACGCTTGGCATGCCTATATTCACTAGGCTACGTAGGGCTTGAATGATGCAGCGGATCGACAAAGCGCATATGCTTCTGCTTCAGACGATTATGCATATCTGAAAAATCCAATCTGGTGGGCGGGGATATCCACACGTGAGTTCAAACGATGCAGAGGAAAGGCAGGCTCAGCTAAACATCGCTCGCCGCGTGTCGGTTAGTCGTCTTGGGGGAATGTGAGTCCTGCGACATCTACTAGTAGCCTGTAGTTGATCGATGAGCTTGAACCGCAGTGGCAAACTTCGCAGCCTACTCCTTTGCACCTCCGATCTTGGTTACTCCACTAGGCGCCCTCAGTGTTATAATTGGGTGCGTATGCTTGTGTTCATATATTCTTTGCCGTATGTCTTTTCAGCCGAGCGACGGAGAGTAAGAGGCTTAGCACCTCGATTCTTCCACCATCTTTGCACCTGTGTTCGACTGGGTTCACAGTCCTGGCGTACAAGCTAGACACTCAAACGTTCTCACCTCACTCCTCAGTAGAATTCCCGGTGCTCGCCTGCTTCAATCTGACATGGGTGTCACTTTCCCCATCCTTTTACGATACCCTAATAAAATTCTTCTTCTCTGATATCTATCTTGCTGCGTCCTGTTCATTTGACTTACTTCCAACAAATTTCAGTGCTATTCTCGCGTCCTATCTGCTCAAGGAAGAGCTCGGTCACCTAGGACGAGTGGGCTGTGCATTGTGTCTGATCGGCTCCCTCATCATTATTTTACACGCCCCAGAAGACAAAGATATCGAGACTGTCGACGAGGTTCTACGTTATGCGGTCCAGCCAGGTGTGCATGATACTCTATATATAAATTTCAGCCCTGACACGACTATAAGGATTTCTCATGTATTGCTTTTCTGTTCTCGTGTTCTCTCTCGTCATGATCTACTCCGTCGCGCCTCGCTACGGTCGCTCAAATCCGCTCGTATACATCTCTATCTGCTCCCTCGTGGGATCCGTCTCCATCATGGCTGTCAAAGGCTTTGGCATCGCGGTCAAACTCACAATTGCTGGTAATAATCAATTCACCTATCTAAGCACCTACGTATTCGGCGTAGTCGTCGCCGGCTGTATTATGGTCCAGATGAACTATTTCAACAAAGCTCTCGACATTTTCTCGACTAATGTGTACGTCCATCTCTCCTCCGCCTTCTTGACGTCCCCGCTGACCCCGCATGTAGTGTCAATCCCATGTATTACGTCTGCTTCTCTACCGCGACCATCGTCGCTTCTCTCATTCTCTTCCAAGGATTCAACACCGACAATCCCACGAACACCGTCTCGCTCATTGCCGGCTTCGTAGTCACCTTCCTCGGCATCCATGTCCTCGAGCTTTCTCGCAAGCCCGAGTCGGCAGCCGCCAACGGCCATTCTACACTTGAAGGTGGCCTCATGAATCCCCGTCTTTCTCTCCAAGGACGTGCTTCTCTTGACGATTGGTCAGCGCCGGTACCTGGGTCTGCCGGCCTCACCCACGCACGGCGCGCGTCGCGAAACTCGCTGTACCGTTCACAAACGGCCACGCTGTTCAATGCATTTGAAGATGACGAGGCGGATGGAGAAGCGGTCGGCCTGCATAGGCTGTCCGAAGAGGATGACGAGCTCGAGGCAGTCAACGAGCGAACGCGCTTGCGTGGGGATCGAGAGAACCGCAGTCGTGAGGGATCGGCTCCTGGGTCGCGACATGTGTCGCGAAGTAATAGCAACTCGGCCTCGCCGCACGGGTCGCAGGGCGATTTGCGGAGGTCATAGCGACATTGCTCCAAGCGAGGAGCACTGTTTTGAGTAAATATTGTTGGTGTGGAAGGACATCAATAGATACCAGCGGTGCGGACTACGTATATTACATCTGCTTCTGTAGAGCTTTTTAAGCCTTTTTTCAGTCACTGCTGGTTGGTTTTAATGGAGCACGACGACGGTTTTTTATTATTATAGTTGCGAGGTTTGATTCAAAGCTTCCTAGTGACATCAAGAGATGGTGCATCATATTCGTGTGCGATTCATATAGGATGTGGGCGTGATATCAAGGCAAGAATAGGCTGCATCAGACTAAAACGCCCCAGTCTATTGTACAGTATACTACATCATTCGGCCTCCCTCCAAGGTCTACCGACATTTGCCCCGGCCTCGTCAATATCATCGATGCTCCCCAGAGTCAACGATTCCATCCTACGAGTGGAACCATTCATGTCAGATAGGCCAAGCTCGCGCAGCTCAGCACCATAGCCGCCGTTGTCCCGAACGGGCTCCAGCGGGTCCCATGGGATTGGAATACCCCTCCATCCTTTGTCGATGTGAACATAGTTCAAGAAAGAGCGCCATAAGGGATCCAGGGAAAGGACATAAGGATCACCGACAACGATGAGCAAAGCTTGTGCCCGGGTTATCGCGACTGTGGTATCCATCAGAGTAGACTCTAAGATTGTACCTGGAGGATGCACCATTGAAACGACAGGGATTTGCAACAAATCCAAGGGTGTGTCTGAGATCATACTCGACAAAGTCTATACTGCTGCGCACCGTGGAGACGATGATCACGCGACGCTCCTTGGAGGTGTAAGATCATGAGCAACCTGTCAAGTTGAAAGAGAGAAAAACATACTTGGCCCTGGAATCCCTCAACGCTCCCGACCTTGATCCCATCAGCAAATGCCCTGAGAGAATTACGGATTTTCAGGCATTGAGCGTGATAAGGCGCTATGATGCCGATGTCTTGATCCGCTGTAGGTAAAAAGAAACTGTGTCAATCGTTGGAGAACTAAACATCAAATTATACCCTTACCGACGCGAAATTGTCTCTCAGAGCGCAAAGCCTGGACGTAAGCTTCGACTTGTAAAACCTCTTCGATGTTGAAGAACGAGGGAGACGACACCTCCCGATCATCTTTGCCTGACATGGCATGAAAGACGACTGGAAACTTGCTGGAAACAAGTAGAGGGCTGCCAAGAAAAGAATCTACCGTGCCCTTGTCGCCGCACGACTCTAATTCATTGGAATAGAAACGTTCGTTGGGATATTTGAGAATGGCATTGTGCGAACGATGATTCTTGGTCAATTTCACAATCCTGAATGTCATAAGAAAGTACTCTGAGAAACATGGCAAAATGAGACATACGTCATTCCATGACCCTTCTTCAGGTCATAGATATCCCGATTCATGAGCCTTTCCAAATAGCTGAAGGTGTCGCGCGACAGCGGATCGAATGATAGGTCCAAGCTGCTTCGGATCTCCAGACAGCACAACGTTCGTCTCCAAATCGGACATCGTCTTTATTGCAATCATGACCTCCGGTTCAGCCGCATGGCCTGCCTCGTCCACAAAGATGTGTGAGAAATGTCCACGCGGCATCCCAATACCATAAGCAAAGGAGGCAGACACAAGTTGAGACTATGACCCTGTATCGTCGCAGAAATAGCATTCGAGGCATAGAGAAATGGCCGCCGCTGTTGGTGCTTGTAAACGGGAGCAAGTCATCTGGGACATCTTCTTTATCTCGACTGGGAGCATAGAAGCGAAAGAGCTTCTCAGTTCCAAGGAGATGAGTTTGCTTGCTATAAGATCAGCGGCAGAGTTGCTTGGTGCACATGCTTCGGTGTTAGCACGCAAAACTTGAAGGATGGATTCCACGATGGTGATGGTTTTGCCTGTTCCTGGCCTACAACGAAAAATGAGATGAAGGCAGGCAGAAAGAAAATTCAAGTTCTCACGGGCCAAAAACAATGAAGGGAACGGAGCCTAGTGGGCGATTTATGATGGCCTTCACAGCGTCTAGCTGAGAAGAATTGTTGGTGATGATCTTGTTGTACGGAGTGATATTGATTGTGTCGCGTGCCCTCGCATGAACATGTTTCTGGATAGGAAACAGCAAGTGTTCTGGAGCCATTGCTGTATCTAGAGCCTGGTGCTGCCGTCGCAATGGGATTCTGTTCAATCTGAAGCGCACATAATAAAGCCGGTCCCTATCAATGCTCAAAAACGAGTTGTGGAACTTGAGTCCAACTTCCTCTCGTCGAACGAAGTGAACGCGGCCTTCAAACCATTTCCCTCGATCCGCGCCATGACTTTGAACAATGATAGAATCGCCTGGCGATGCGTAAGGCTAATCACGACCGAATGATGCGAGAAATGTAATTACCCGTCAGGACACTTGGACGCCTTTCTGCAAGCCCTGGAACTCTCAAACTTCATAGTTGGGTGAGCATATGTGGAGAAAATCTCGTTCAAGCGCAACTGACTAGTAATATGCGCCATGTCGGTCAAGCAGAGCGTTGTACATATCGTAGGTCTGGAGGTCATTTCTCGAGTGAGGCACGTCAGCATCATTTGATGTCACCCGTACGCATACGACTCACTCCATTCGGTGTTCTTCAGTCCAAAGCAGGGCCTTAGAGTGACGAGAGTAAGTATCTGCGTTCATGGATGGTGGCAACACGGTTCTCTGGAGCTGGGCAACAATGTTCTAGACATGTCCAGTAGATAAGGCTGAGGATACAACCCTTGGTATCAGCGCCAACGGGAGCGTGGCGACCCACTTTATTGCAGTAAGGACGGGTGGCGGATCGCCTGACAGAATCTCAGTCTCCGGTGTGCGCCTGACGGGCTTCCGAGGCACATAGGGAGCAACGGGCTTGAGAACCTCATAATCTGCCTTGCTTCCTACGACGACCTTGAGTGCCCGAGCGATTATAAAACGCTGACGAAGGCTGAGATCTTCGAAAGTAATTTCGAGCCGGTCTTGATAGCGCCCGCGCAAAGCTTGCTGGAATGTGACACATACACCAGAGTCACGACCATTCTGCAAGAGAGAAGGACCGAAAGCCGCTGATGTGAAGCTGAAGACAAGGTTAAAGACTGAACAAAATAGTGTGAAGTGGGACATACGAAGACGTGGTTGCAAAAGGAGACGTGGTTGAAGATAATTTGAGGTCCATCATTTTGATTCTGGACGAAGGATCGATCATCTGGACCTTGAGCTCCACACTCACACCTCTTTCTGCGTCCTGCACTTCCACGATACCAAAATCAACACCATATTCATCATGAGAGACCGTCACTCCATGCTTGCCCTTAGCAGCCTCATCGAATGCAGACTTATAAGCAACCAAGTTCTCTCGTCGCTTGTGAGCAGGCCCGGCGACGTGGGACGCCCAGAGGTCGTCGCCGACGGCAATGTCACACAGCTCGCAGCGGACATGTCCAGGAAGAACCGGAGCCCCCTCCGGCTGCAGGTCGGCTGGTGCACCCCTTCGCTCATTATGCGAGCGGAGAGGTCTACCAGTGACATGCTGTGCTCCCTTCATGTTGCGGTCGCAGGCCGGACAATGGAAGGCTTTGGATATTCCGGATACATATTGCGCTGCCTTCTTAAGCCAAGCCTACGCTACTAGTGCAAACGCGTCGACATGACTCACAGAAGTCGACGTTGTGTGGGCAAACTTGAGCCATGCCGATGAGGTAACCGGCAGCGTCGATGAATCAGCTCGAGGTGATGATGACTTTGTGAGTCAGCAGTAAAAAATCGGTGTCGACACGCTGTGATTAGCGCAAAAGCTGGATGCTCGGATCGAACGACAACGATCGTGATAGAGGCAAACCCAAACGCAAGGAGACCAGTGGCTCCAGAGTCCGTTGAGTATATGCGCCCACAAGCGCCCACACGATATGATGAGAACGAAGGATAGATTACGAAAATCCAGTCGCGAAGGAGATCGCAGCGAGGACCTAGACGCCTCGAGGCGCATCGAATAAGGGTTAACAAAGTGGGTATGACTTTATATCTATGTCTTATCATCAACAAGAGCGCTAAGCACGATCTGGACGTTGGACCAGCAGCAATGAAAATATTGCCTACGGGTTCGCCTAGGAAGTGCAGTGACGGTGCTGGCAATCACGATATGCGAGTTGCCTGCCAGGTCGCGCCGGTGGTGAAGCAGGGTGAGGCTTCAAAGCGGACTTCGAGCTCACAAACTCCGCAAGCTGCACTCCTCTACGCTCTTCTACTCTTGCCTTGCACAACATTCTCGCCCCAAAATACCAAGCATATAGGTCGCTACAAGTCGCTACAGGTTGCAGCACAATTTTTGAAGGTAGGTCAAGATCGGGACAAGCATCTCGCAGAAAATATTCGAAAACCCGCTCATAGATCATATCAGTCAGCTACATCCCTCCCTATCACTCCACATCTCTCCACGGCCTATCGACATTTGCGTCAGCCTCGTTAACATCGTCAACGTTCTCTAAGGTCAATGATTCCATCCTACGAGTGAAATCGTTCATATCAGCAAGCCCAAGCTCCCTCAGCTCAGCGTCATATCCGCCACTGTCCCGAACAGGCTCGCGCGGATCCCAAGGAATTGGGATACCTTTCCATCCTTGGTTGATGTGGACATAGTTCAAAAAAGAACGCCACAGAGGATCAAGAGACAGGACGTAAGGATCCCCGACAACGATGAGCAGGGCTTGTGCTCGAGTCACTGCGACTATGATATCTTCAGACTTCGAGTCCTGAAATTAGAAATCAAAAGCAGACGCACCATTGAAACGACGAGGATTTGCAACGAAGCCAAGCGTATGTCTGAGGTCGTATGCAACGAACTCCCTACTGCTGCGCACAGTTGATATTATGATCACCTTTCGCTCCTGAGAACGGGAAACTATAAGTGGCTTGCTAAGCAAAGCATGAAAAGAATCGTACTTGACCCTGGAACTCTTCAACACTGCCCACCTTGATGTCGTCGGCGACACCGCTGAGTGCTTTGCTTATCCTGCGACATTGGGCATGATAAGGCGCTATGATTCCGATGTCATGGTCCGCTGTAACAGAACGGATTTTCAAAGACAATCCACAAAAACGTGAGTTGGATGCTTACAGACTCGAAAACGTCGATCAGCACGCAATTGCACAACATAATCTTTGACCTGTAGAATTTCCTCAACGTTGAAAAACGATGGAGACGAAGCTTCTCGATCATCCTGCCCTGACATAGCGTGGAAGACGATCGGGAATCTGCCGGATGCGAGAAGAGAGCTGCCCAGGAAAAAATCTGTTGTTTTTTTGTCCGCGCAAGGTTCTAATTCATTTGCGTAGAAGCGTTCGTTGGGGTACTTCAAAATGGACTTATGCGAGCGATAATTCTTGGTCAATTTCACGATCCTGAATGAGATGGAGTTCACGATCGAGATTTGTGGTGGAGGACAACAGATGGGACGTACGTGATGCCATGGCCACTCTTCGTGTCATAAATCTCTCGATTCATGAGCCTTTCCAAATAGCTGATATCCAGCTGAAGATCACGCGCAACAGCGGACCGGATGATAGGCCCAAGTTGTTTCGGATCGCCAGACAACACAATATTCGTATTCAAATCAGCAATCGTCTTGATCGCGATCATGACCTCCGGTTCAGTCGCATGGCCCGCTTCGTCTACAAAAATATGCGAAAAATGTCCACGCGGCACTCCGATGCCATGAGCAAAAGACGCAGAGACGCAGGTCGAAACGATGACGCTATACCGTCGTAGAAATGGCATTTCAGGCGATGAAAAAAGGCCATCGATATTGCGGTATGTGAACGGGAGTAAGGCATCCGGGACGTTTTCTTGAGTTCGGCTAGGTGCATAAAATCGAAAAAGCTTTCGAGCTCCAAGGGATATAAGTTTGCTGGCTATCAAATCGGCCGCAGAATTGCTTGGCGCGCATGCAAGAATTCGGGCTTGAGGATTGGCGTGTATGATTTGAAGGATGGATTCGACGATTGTGACCGTTTTGCCTGTTCCTGGCCTTCATGGAACGGTAAGATAGAAAGAGGAGGAGGATAACATCGTGTACTCACGGACCAAAAACGATGAAGGGAACAGAGCCTGGTGAAGATTTTACGATAGACGTCACGGCGTCAAGCTGAGGGGCATTGTTGACCAGATTTGAATTGTACAGAGAGAAGGGCGTGTTGCGTGGCTTCGCGAAGATGTGCTGCCTAATTGGAAAGAATATGCGCTCCGGTGTAAATGCAGTAACCAGGGTTTGATGCTGTCGTCGCAGAGGGAATCTGTTCAGTTTGAAGCGTACATTATACAGTTGACCCCTTTCGGCGTTAGGGAACGAATAGTGGAATTTGAGCCCAACCTCCTCTCTTCGGACGAAGTGAACGCGGCCTTCGAACCACTTCCCTCGGTCGGAACCGTGTCGTTGGACAAGGATGGAATCACCTGTACCCATATTAAGCTATGAAGATTGTATGACTATGCAGGCGAAATCGCTCACCCGTTATGACACTCGGACGTTTCTCAGCCAGCCCTGGGACCTTCAAACTTCACGACTAGGTGAGTACATGGTTAAAATTGGATATTCGCAGGCAACTGACTAGTAATATATGCCGTGTCGATCAAGTACAGCATCATCCATATCATAGATGTGGAGATCATTCCTAGAGTGAAGCAGATCAGTGTCATTCAGCGGCCACTTGCAAATACAAGACTCACTCCATTTGGTTCTCCTCGATCCAAATGAGAGACTGGAAATGGCGTGAATATGTAGTCGCGTTCAGATGCGGTGGTAACACAGTCCTTTTAAGTTGGGCGATGATCTCCGAGACAGAGCCAGCAAATAAGACAGAAGAGATGGATTCTGGAATCGGGGCCACTGGCAGTGATACAACCCACTTAATTGCATTGGTAGCAGGTGGCGGATCGCCCGGCAAAACCTCAGTCTCTGGCGAACGCCTAGTCGTCTTCCGTGGTACATAGGGGCTGACAGGTTTGAGTGCCTCATAGTCTGCCTTGCTGCCTACGATGGCTTTAAGAGCGCGAACAATGATGAAACGTTGACCGAGACCGATATCTTCAAAGGCAATTTCCAGCCGATCTTGATACCTGCCGCGCAAAGACTGCTGAAACGTGATGTACACACGAGTCACACGACCGCTCTGGAGAACAGAAGGACTAGGAACCGCAAATGCGAAACTATAGCGCAAAATTATGAGACGAACTACGGATGATGTAGAAGCACATACGGAGAATGGAATGAAAGTGATGACGATGTCGAAGCCAGTTTGAGACCTGTAATTTTTATCCGGGTGGATTGACTAGTCATCTGGATCTTGAGCTCGACTCGCACACCTCCTTCTGCATCCTGCAGCTCAACAATACCAAAGTCGATACCGGAATCGCCATGAGAGATTGTGACACCATGTTTGTCTTTGGAGGCCTCATCGAACGCAGACTTATAAGCAACAAACTGCTCTCGTCGCTTATGAGACGGCTTGGTAACGTGTAAACTCCAATGGCCGTTGTTGACGTTGACGTGACATAGCTGGCAGCGTGTTTGCCCCGGGAGAGCATGGACCTCTTCTGGCTGTACATCGACTGGAGCACCCACTCCTTCAGTTCGCGAGCGATGGGGCCTGCCATTGATATGCTGTTCCCAGCAGTGCGTTCCGCTGACGTTAACATCGCATGTAGGACAGTGGAAGGATGTTGACGCCCCAGATATGACTTTGAGGTGCTTTTTGCCACGGGCATGGGCTTCATAGACTCTGATGCTGGTCAAAATACGTTGGCATGGCTCACAGAATATGACATCATGGTTGAATGGGCATGATTCGATTGCACAGGTACCAGACGATCGCAGGTGAGGACAGACTCCGACCATCTTGAATGATACTGAGATCAAGGTAGCCTGCAAGTCACCATACGATAGGAAGAAGCTGATGAGCGAACGACAGAAAAATCAGACCATCAACGCACCGAGGTGTATCTCGGGAAAGATCACGATGGTCCGAGAGGTGGTGACTAAGTTGAAGGCTGCACGCACGCTGCTGGTTTATGGAGTCGAGGTGGCAGCGGGAAATGGTGGGGAGACGAGACGGGGATCTCAAGTAAGAGCGCTTAAAATTCAGCCTCGCGGCCTATGCCAGGCCAACGTCAACCTACCACGAGCATCTTCTGGAAACTCCTATCCCATTCTCACGTTACTATCGGCCCAATGAGGGCTGAGAGATTTGGGGTAGCGTCAAGAGGCATTGTTGTCGGTCATGTTGCTGGTGAAGTTGCAGGACTGTTTCTGTTGCTGGATATTGAGGCGGAGCTCAAGTTCTTTCAGACACTCCGCGACTTCTAGATCACTTCCGAATCCGCCGTCCCTCGCGTACCGTAACGAATTGTGCATTTTGATCGAGTTCTCTGTAGCCTTGAGCACTTCTACAGCACGACAAACCAAGCGATAACTTGTAAACTGGAGCTGTACCGAATTAAAAAAAATGGAGGCTATGAGGCCCATTTGCCTCCACGGCAAAATTCCTCAAGCACCAGATATTTGCATACTTTAGTAATTCTACATAATATGGCAGGTCACATCAGAACTTTCAGGGTACGCAGCGATAGCTCAGCGCAGACGAGACTAGCCAACGGACTTATGAAGAAGAATAAAGATGCCAGTACTTCATACACCGATCTGACACAGAGGATAGCCGTTGTACGTCAAAGAACAGTCATCGGTTGGCCAAACATCAAACATATGTTGATGGGTGTCCCGGTACAGATCTGAATAAGAGAGATTGTTATTGGCAAGGAATTGTTCACACTGTGAGTTCATACCGCGGTCAAAGGAATGAGTGGAATGTCAAGGTTGCGCTGCTAAGTTGGTAATGAGTTCACGTCAAACCTTCGAAGAAAGAAGCTGATCGCGTCGTGATGCGTCCTATGTTATGCCCGGTAAATTGACCTATTGATAGGTTAGGTAGAATGTGCGCCAGGTGTTTGTCGGCTGGCGTAGGATCGTCGATCTTATTTGGCTTATGTGGCTGAATGTATAAGCCTCTTGAGCGGAAAGCAATATACAGCTAACACAGATAACCATCATTTGCGATGTTGCATGCCTGCTTTGATCGACGACTAAGTGTGCGTCCATATTACACAGGAAAGGATGATTACGCCGACGACAGGAAAATGAGAAACCGGGGCACACAGACATCATGAGAATAGCTTGTTGACAGAAGTATTCCCTTCCTGGTTCTTTTTCAGAACCTGTGGAGTGAATTTGATGAGCCCCAGTGCATATGCGATATGAAGCGACACAGGAACTCACCTTTGCCACGGCAAACTCAAAGTCCTCTTGCGTGACATGCTGCCTCCGCTCACGCAATGCGTACATACCTATCGGAGATGTCAAGATGTGTCCGTTTGGGGTTTGTTCCTCGCAGGGAAATCGATGTGCGTACCTGCTTCTGTGCATATCCCTCGGACCTCTGCACCCGAGCATTGTCCCATCTTCTCTGCGAGAGAGCGTAGATTGATACCTCGTTGGAGAGACATCTGGCACAATCGGTTAGATGAAAAGGATACAAAGTGTGTAGTGGTGTTGACGGACCTTGCGTGAGTGAATTCGAAGGATGGCAACGCGTGCCTCGGGGCCGGGTGGTGGGAACTCAATCTTTCGGTCGATACGCCCAGGCCGTAAAAGAGCCGAATCAAGAATATCTAGATAGCGAATTCAGGGTACCATAGACTTCCATTTGAAATTCACAAACCTATCCGGTTAGTGGCCATGACCACCTTAATATTCTTGGTGGGTTCGAAGCCATCCAACTGATTTAGCAGCTCCAGCATGGTTCGCTGGACTTCAGAGTCACCGCCGCCAGAGCCGCTCTCCCCTCGAGAACTTCCGATAGAATCGATCTCGTCCATGAAGATGATACTCGGCGCATGTTCCCGAGCCATCACGAATAGCTCCCTGACCATCCGGCTTCCCTCGCCGATATACTTCTGCACCAATTCCGACCCCGAAACCCTAATGAACTTGCAATCGGTGTGGTGGGCGACCGCTCTGGCCAGAAGGGTTTTTCCTGTACCTGGAGGTCCATACAGGAGGACGCCCTTCGGCTGCGCGATACCGAGGGCTTCAAAGAGTTCTGGATGTTTGACAGGTAACTCAATGACCTCCTTGATTTCCTTAATTTGCTTATCGAGACCGCCGACCATTTCGTATGTGCTATCAGGAACCTTCTCCACCATCATGAGAGAGACGAGGGGGTCGACTTTGTTGGGGAGGACTTTATGAATTGTGTACGAATCGGAGCGAAGGGCAACACGAAGAGAGGGTGTGAGTGTTTGTACATCGATTTCTGCGTCGAAGTCGACGACTAGATAAAATGGTTATACGGGCCGAGTGGGAAGAATGAGCTCGAACACACTGTATTTCCCTTCGGGCTGGACCTTCACTAACACCTTGTTCTTGCCCATAACTTTCACAATTTCACCGACATAGCTTCCAGGCTCATGTAGAAGTTGAAGCTCCTCTCGAAGAAGACGCACTGTTCGGAATCTTGTTTCATGAGCGTGAAAGGCTATGTTCTGGAATGCTTACCCCGCGCGTTCAATGCATTGCGTTGTGCCTCCAGACGGCGCAGGTTCTGTGTCTTCTGGTTGATCAAAAGCTCTGCGGCTTCTATCTTGGCCTGATAATAGGACTTGATTCCTCCTGGGTTGGTCGATGTCTGGATTGCGACAGGCATAGTGATTTGAAGCAGTACCAGTCAAGCAGGAGAGTGGAAGACGTTTGCAGCTTTGCCGCCAACTCGACGCGTACGCGTCACTGGTCCATCACATGTGTCACTTACGTGACAGTAGCGTCACACAGAATGTGAGTACGTGACACTATCAAGTTCAGAAATTTCAATTGTCAGACTGTCAGAACGTCGAACGATGACTTCGCCGCAGCGTCTATCGAGCATTGTGCTCTGAGATCTGAGGAAGCAAGGTGCGTAAATACGATTGTATTGGTAGGAACAGCTCCGAGCCGTAATTCATGGCTGTTTTCCCCCGGATCAGTCATTCGCTCAGCGCATTTTCTGGTTTCTTCGAAATCTTGGCATACCTACCGCTTCACATGCATATGCATCATTGAAGGCCGGAGAGTCTGTGTCATCGTGGGAAATAGCTGAAGAATATCCCGCTGATTTTGACGTTGTCGGAACAATCCAGAGCACATGCCTAGAGCCGCTGCATTTTGGCAATACACCCGCATGCTCAAAAGGGTCTCGTAAGTTCTCGGAGAGTTGTCAAGACACACTGGTCAAAGCGTTTCAATAGGCCAACTAAGGATTGTTGAGCTCCTACAGACGCTGTCTCTCCCCAAGCAAGGCTTCAGCGTTACTTCAGATGGATAAGCCAAAACCAGCCGGCGGCGACAAGGCGGCGAACTTACCACCCGGTAGCGCACAGGCAAGTCCCGTGAGAGGGGGCATCTGATATCAAAAGGTGACGCTCTCGATGTCAAACCTTGTCGACGAGGATCATTCTGTGTGCTTTCCGTGTCCGCGAGCTGGGTCCAGCGATTCTCGGGTTTTCGTCACTCCAGCGGAGATAGGTCTTGACAAACTCGAAGAGGCACCGGAATTCACAGCCGCCCAACCAGGAATAGCGCAAGAACCAGCGCTAATCTGGAATTGTTGTCTGCAAGAGGTATTATTGGCGAATGTGGTAGCACGCCTCGCGTACCGAGCAAGAGAAAATGTCTTACATGAGTGGGAATATCGTGCGTCATCTGATCGAATCAGTGGGGGTGCTCAACTGGATACGTGATGAACGTAATCCTGTATATTGCAATCGCATTGCAGAATCGGGAGATCCTCAAGGACACGAGGCTTTTGGACTCGGGTCTGAACAGTTCGCACTCAGGCTAGTAGTGCATGTCGGAGTCAGATATAGATTTGACGATTCGACCTGCGATGCGAGTTAACGTGTTCTGCCTCCAGGATGTCCGCGAGACGACAATTTGATTTATGAACTTCGAAGACCCACCGGACAACTCATTGAGAAGCTGATATCACTAGCTGTTCATAGATAGAAGTGGGCGAGATGACCATAACCTCCAGAAGATGTCCTTTGCATAATTTATGATCTTTCCCATTGGGATTTTTAGAGCCCCAACGCTCTGCTGCTATCGATACTATCAGTCATACATGCACCTCACCAACACCACCGCCATCAGTCGATCACAATCCGATGTCCGCCGCATGCCTTCGGCATGGCATTACATACCATACTTCCTTTTCAATGCCGCCCACCCTGGCGCAGCAGCCCCATAGACCTCCACAAAATGGTTCATGTCGTGCTCTGGGATACGGTTCATATCAACGCTGTTCCAATATCGACTGACGAAGAAGATGATGTCTTGTGCGTCTCGTTCAGATCCGCGGCTGCAAGAATCAGCACTCAGCGAATAGAGACAATGATGTAGAAGGCGCGACACGCACATTAACCACGTTTTCAGTTTGGCGCGGATGAATTCGGATATCGACAAGAAAGGGATACCACTCATGACGGTGACGGTCAATGCGTCTAGGCGCCGAGGACCAGCTTCCCCTGCAGGTAGTATCTCGATCTTGAAGACGTCGAAGGGTATGAGTGCAGAGCACAGCTGATACAATAGAGAGACTTACCTCTATTGGAGGAATGCACCGATGGTATTTTGCATGCAGACTGAGACATGTTTGTCAACGAGGGCATGAGGAGATCACTTGGGGAGCATACCGATTACTCCATGGTGAGGCGGTGATAGTGATGTCTTGCCTGCCTGTGAGCGCCTGGCGCACACGACGGAATGGATGAGTGCTGCCCCCTTCGACTATGCAGAAGATTTCCTTGACTCCGATGAGTGGAAGGACTGTCAGACGACATGAAAGCATCGTACATCGGCTTGTGTGCTGCTAGTAACGACTGCAGTGAATAAACTTCCGTAGAAGGCGTGGGGAACCCCGCTGGCGCGGAGGAGTTGAGAGAGGGCAGTCGCTGCCTCCAGAAGTCGACGGGTCTCAGGCATATTGGAGAGGGATGTTGGAGAGTTGCCGGGTTACAGACATGATATGAGAGGAGGTTGAAAGGTTGAACTCTATCGAGAAGGCAGGAAGAGACGATTGGTGGGATATGAATTAGTTGGTTCTGTGACCGAATGTCCCAAGCCCGGAAAAAATAACCCAGTCGGAATTACTTCTGAGGGCTTGCCGATACGGAATTGTCCGATCGTGGGGGACCGTGCACGTTGTGTAAGGACGCTCTATGTACACAAGGAGAGGTCCATGGAGGCGTCACATGCTACAATGTGCGAAGTGAATTTCACGATGAACCGCAGGGCCGGGACACGCAGCGGCACCTCGCAAAGATCAAGAGCGACATACACCGTTCTAGATCGTTATGAGCCAGGGCACTCTTTCAGCGACCGTTGCGCCGAGCGTCAACTCTAAACGAGAACAGCTGACCGTCTGACCTGAGCGGAACAAAACTTCCCGAATGCGAGATCGCGGTAATAATAACAGGAGATACGATTATTTGCGCCTCAAACATTTATCACCGATGGATTGCTGACGACTGGGGCGGGTTAAATTCGAAGCATATTGTTTCAAAGCGTTTGTGGGGAAGGAAGGGCAAGAATGCGGGGTGGTAAGCAAGAATGCGGGGTCTACTGTAGGCGAGTGCCACCTCGTCGGTATTTACGTCATAGAGGTCACATGATTTAGCTGTCACTCGTCCGCGAGTGTTTGCAGCGCGCGAAATTGCGCGAAAGCCGACCGCTCCGTCTCGAGTGCTTTAGGCTCGAAAACATTCGATATTCGCGTCAAACCGCGTCCATACGCTACGCGCATGCATAAAGGCCTCTGGAGGTCCTACGCTCGCTATGTGATGCCCCTTGCCTCTCCATTCCCCTCTCGGAGTCGCGTTGGCCTCACTGGATCGTGCGCCAGCAGCGCGACCGCCAGCCCCCTTGTCATGAGAAATTCATCTAGAAAATCGCACTCTCGCTCTTCTAGATCATTACATAGCGTTTACATCTCATCTAGAGGGGCTCGCGCAATGTCATGGACCTCGAGATTCAATATCTGGCCAGAAGAGTCATACACAGGTCCATCTGACGGTCGGGAGGAGGCTGCAAAAGCGGCTATATTGGAAAAGGCTATCAAGGGGCGTCAGCAGACAGACTTGATGCTGCGATGTATGTCGCTCCCTTGAGCTTGTGCGCGGAGTTTTTGAAAATAACACTTTCTCTGTAGGCACAATCCTGGATGCGGGTGGTGAGTAAACGCCTTTCCCCCATGGACACGGTGCTGGTGGTGGTCAAAGCATTCGAATCTTGGGTGCATTAATGTATTCATGGCAATCATACCCGAAAAAAATGCTCCTGCGGAGATGAATTCGGGTACTGAGGCCTGGTCGGAACATGACGCATCCACCCAGCATTGTTGCATAAAATCGGCGCAGTACCATGACAATACAGCCTTTGATAGAATGGTTACTTACGTCTGAGTAGGGAACGTGAAGACCATCTCCGGACAGTTCAAAAGATCGGACCTCTCTTCCGAGCATCGTCTAAACGTAAGAAATCGATTCTGTTCACCATTCCCACATGCAACTGAGCAGGTGACGCTCTGTTGTGAAAAGCCGCGTGACCTGCGGAAGATTGATTCCAGGATTCCAAATTTGGTCCCAACCATTTTGGTGAGAAGGGAAGCAATCCTTGTAAGTCACCTTTCACCCCCAACGCTCCGCATCCCATGTTAACAAGTTCATCGTTCATCGTCTAGGTGAATGTTTTACACATCCGCGCACTCGTCAAGGCAGATGCTGTTATATTGTTCGACACGTATGGGTCCACAGACTCAAGGCTACACTCAGTCTTTCTATATCATCTCGAAGTATGGCTTCATCAACATTTCATCAACGGCGATCCTGACTCTCCCGCAGCATAATCTCAAGATGAAAGGCGCTGGGCTGCCATATGAGTTTTTGTGAGTCTATGGACGTATTGGTGACCGCCGGCTCCTCACGAACAGCAGACATGCTTCAGAGCATTGGAATCCATCTTCCTCTCTGTTGTAAGCGCCCTGGAAGCCGAGATGGTTTTCATTCGGAACCTTCTCGGCGGTCTGCTGGCAGAACTTGAGGATGACATCGATCATGACAAGTTTAAACGACTTCTGCATTATTCGCGGCGACTCACAAGCTTCCTGAATCGAGCCAAACTTGTGAACACTCGCCCTTGTCACTGGACCGAGGACTTTCACTGATCACCCTATTATTAGGTTCAGGAGTCTATAGACGAGGTGTTGGAACAAGGTACATATTAACTCTCACGTCGTTGCACGGCACCATGCTAATGCGGTTTGCGCCACGTAGACGAGGACCTTGCAGCCATGTACCTTAGCGACAAGAAGAAGGGTCTCGCACGCACCCTGAATGACCACGATGAGCTCGAAGTCCTCCTTGAAACCTTTTCTAAACAAGTCGAGGAGATAGTTAACGAGGCCGAAAATACACAGGTTCGTGATGCGTAGGCAGTCTTTATTTCGATATTCACATGCATATATAGAGCAATGTCCAATCCACGCAAGAGATAGTCGAACTCATATTAGACTCTAATCGCAATGCCTTGCTGGCTCTAGACTTGAAGGTATCGTCGCATAAACAGGGTAAAGAATGCATCTCACGATTTATTTAAGGTTTCGATAGGGACCATGGGCATCGGCATGGGGGCCCTTATCGCTGGGCTTTTCGGTATGAATGTATGTCTTCCGTTTTCTCTTAGCTCCCCATCTCTCACGTCTATTTCAGTTAACAAGTCACATCGAAGCAACCCCCTACGCCTTTGTCGCCATGTCTGTTCTATCTACAGCTGTAGCTGTTCTAGTATCATGGACTGGTCTCAGAAGGTACCCTGTTTTTATCTCTACCGCCGGACTGCCCATGTGAATGATTCTTTCCAGGCTAGCGAAGATACAGAAAGTTGGTCTCTCCGCATCTAGCGGTCATAAGGGACACAATCGGCGACACAGGCCTTGGCTTCCGCTTCCCTTGAGGAGTCGTCGCTCAGGAGGTTAATCTTGAGTGCCTGGCTTTTGAGAGCTCACGACACCAGAGATTTCTTTTCAGCTCTCGCACCACATAGACATATCACACCATAACTGTAGGACCAGCATCTATGACTTGTCACTCTCGATCTTTGCTCTCTATAATATAGCTAACGCCCCTCTGCCTCCGATATCCCGCGTTGAATTGGTCCGGTCCGAGGCCGTGTGCTTGAGTCTGGACTGAGAAGTAGTGTCGTTCCATAGAGAAACGCAAGGCCTGTATGGGATCGTATGTATCAATTGCTCCGCGATCATAGTCCCTACGCTGACCTTTCAACGTCGCAAGCTTCCCAGATCTTCACAAGATCGGTTTTAACATTCCCATGACCCCTTCAGCATCTCTGTTTCCTCGGCTATACCCTTCGGCCAAGTCGAGGTGATTTGAAGCGTGATTCAAGATACAGTTGCTGATAATCGCAATACACGTCCGACGAGGAAGATGTCTGATGATAAGCTTTGCAACTTCTAACTTATCGGTATCGGTACCAGATCACCTGCCTAGAGACGTCGTCCGCGTTTGACTTGCTGCTTCAATCCAAAGTCAAAACGGGCGCGGGACCAGCCGAGAAACACTTCGTACTTCGATTCTATACAAGAGGATAGGGGTCGGGGATCGAGTGAGCACATAATGTGATCATACTTTCCCAGTATCTCGGTTGCTCTGAGTCCGACATTTCTACCGTCACAGAGGCACGTCAGTGCGTGTTCCCGTCATTCAAAGGTCAAAAACCGACCAACGTGACCCGGAAGCATTTCGTTGCTGGTTTGCGGTGTTGTCAGTATGCACACAGCGCCTGAACAAGATGCTGACGCCTTTGCGGTTCTTTGACTTGCAATTACCTTTAATGAGAGCTTTTCACAAATATTCTCTGTAATAATATATTTTCTCTTCAGGCAGGCTGGGCGCCATTTTCTGTACGTGAGATATCAGGCGATAGAGAAGGAGCCTGCGTTTTGTTGATTTTTGTTATAGACTTCACCTGTGGTTCTCTGAGTGCTCATGTGGATGGAAGGTGAGTTAGATCGTAGCGCAGTTCAAGCGGTGTAGGATTGATTGATCACTCGATAGTGCAGAAGTCCCTAGTATAGCACATTCGCGTAAAGCGTCATGTAAACTATGGTCCACGGTATGTAAAAAAGAACGTGGAATAAGTAGCTGAGTAATGTTGTCCGACGCATCCTCAGAGAGTCCGCGGCAATTATGTGAACTAGAATATACGTGGAGACACATCTATGACAGAAGAGAGTAACCAAGAATAATTACCCATCAATGGCTCCACTATTCGCACCACTTACGCGCCATCCCCATAATTAGCCACGTCGTCATGAAAGCGTGCCTGTTCCGCCTTCATCGATGGACCTGAGACACGAACTGGTTGATAGCTTGGACTCACTGATCGCGATGACCAGGAGCTACCACGAGAGCGACGGAGAAGGAGAATACCGATGACACAAAGCGTCAACATAAGGAAGACTGCGACACCCAGAAGGCCAATAACAGCCGGGATGTATCGTAGAAGTTTGCTGATGTTATCGGAATCTGTGCTGTCGCCGCTCGTGCTGGCGGATGACAAGCTAACGCCTTTGGCGCCCGTTGTAAAGCAGGAAGAGCTATTCGAAAAGCCAGAGGAATTGGACGTCCCCGAGCCCTGAGCTTTCGCCTTCCATAAGAATTTATCAAACGTGTTCCCGTACGCAGGAGGGTTCACGGCGAAAACCATGCCGGAACCACAGTGTGAGACGGGATTCGTCTGACGGCAGTGTGTCCAAATTGGCTTCGTGTCGTTAACCAGGATTTCAAAAGTCGGGAGGTCATAAGCCTGAGTAGGACTGACGGCCTTACTGAAGGTTGTACACGTTAGTGGGTCTATCAAGCGAAGTACCAAGGAAGCTCACAATTCGGAATCAAACCCTCCATAGACTTTCTCACAAGGGTCCTCGAAGGACGACTGCGTTACAGTGTGGTTCTTGACTAGACTTGAAATGAGAATCATGATCAATTCAAAGTTATCAAGCGCAATGAAGTCGGGGCTTACAACTTGAACTGAATTGTGTCTCCAGGGTTCGCTTGTACATATGGCGGATCATACTTTAGATTCGGTGTCTTGCCGTCTGCTTGCAGCCCGCCCACAGTGACGTGATGAGTCGTAGGTTGCGACGAACACACAGACGAAGTCGCAGATGCATAAGCGACAGAACTCGTGGTAGAGGTCCCTTGTTCTTTGATTGCTCGCGTCTTGAACGCGTCGAATGTCGTGTTTCCGGAGTCCGGTGGATTGACAGCGAACACCATGCCAGCACCGCAATGGGAAGAGGGGTTCTTTTGACGGCAATATCCCCAGATTGGATTTGTGTCGTTGACCGTGATCTCAAAAGAGGGGAAATTCGAGGTCGTGTTCGCGCCTACAGGATTGCTATAGAATATCGGATGTTTTCACACAGCTTCACGGACAAGAGCGTGATTAGGCTCACAATTGAGAATCGAAGCCGTTGTAAAGCTTCTCGCAGGGAGACCCAAACGAAGACTGCGTCACAGTGTGATTCTTGACATTGCTTATCAAGATACGAACGTTTCAGCAACGTCTCAATACACTAGAGGGGCAACGACTTACAAGGTAAAATGAACTTTATCGCCCGGGCTTGCTTTCACGATGGGCGGGTCATACGCCAAGTTGGGAGTGCCGTCACTCTTCACACCACCCACCGTAACATAATGCGTTAGAGGCCGACTTTGCTCGTGGGACGCCTTCGCGGTGGTCAAGAACTTCTCGAAGGTGTTCCCATATGACGGAGGATTGATCGCAAAAACCATACCAGACTGACAGTGTGTTGGGCCAGGAGGGGGCGGAGCTTGCCGACAGTACCCCCAGATCGGTTTGGAGTCGTCGGTAACCGTGAAGTTGAACGTGGGAAAATCAGAACTCTGATTGAAGCCTACAGCATTGGTGCTGGCGTCAAATGCGAATGAGTTGTCGTGGGCATGAAACGACAGAAGCAGATACATACAACCCGGTGTCGAACCCTCCGTCCATCTTCGAGCATGGAGCATCGAAGGATGACTGTGTGACTGTATGGTTCTTCACATTGCTGTCCAAGGAATAGCGCTTAAGCGAGGAATAGAGATATAGAGATCAAGCTGCGACTCACAAGGTGAATCGAACTATCTCGCCCTTCTTAGCTTGGATGACCGCTGGGTTGAATATGAGATTTGGCGTCTTGGCATCTCCTAGCAATCCACCGACAGTTACTTCATGAATTGTCGGTGGCCAGTAGTCATCGCGGGCCACGACGTCAGAGCGTGCCGCCAACGCCAGGCGCAAAAAGGCGGAGATGCAGAGGAAAGAAAGAAACATAAGAGGGGATCAAAGACAGATAGTCGCAAAAACAGGAAGAGTATTGAGGCATTTAAACAAGACGGGTTCACAGCGAGAAGCCCGACACAGTTTCATCCTGATCGATGTATTCAGGTTCAGCATAACAAAAGCATGCACCGCCATAACTTGAACATCCCTGTCAGCCAATCGGTGACCATAGAACTGTTGATGAGATTGCCTGAATGGACAGAAGACCTCTCATTGGCGCTATCAATGCTATCGACAGAGCGCGCCTCTCGCCCGCCAGTTGGGAGTGCGTGGTAAGATTGTATCCTCGCTTTCGCCAATGAGATTGGCAGCATCGACTGTGTATCATTATGAGACATGCATCTGAAGACTGAACAAGAGCTCACATGCAAGCTCACAGGAAGAGCCTATCGTTGTATTCAACAGCCCCTTCCAAAGTCTCAGGGACATGAGCAATGAGCACTAGATTCGAGACCTGTGCACCGCAAGCGGTGCTAACAAGGAGCGACAGCTAACCGCCTCTGACGTGAGCGGCACCTAATGCGTCGATGGGCGCTCATGTGCAGCCACTTGGCATCGGTTTGCGTGCTTAAAGAGGTGTATGGGGTGCGCGGGCTTGCATGGATGTCGGGATTCGGCGCATATCTCCTGCATGCTAATCGAAGGTATGCTCGCGAATGGATTGAAGACTGTTGAAGCTGTAAAGCTAAGGCAGCGAGTGTCTTCGGCAAGCTGTTTAAGGTGTGCCTATGTATAGACAGACGGCCTATCAAGTCCACGCGGGGAAAGATACTAGCTGACACGGAAATGGAACTCTGAGTTACTGGTAGCATGAAGCTGGGCAGGAGACTGACCTTGTTGAGTCGACGGTCTTGACACTACCTGGAACCAAGGGGCGATTAGTCGCATATATAATGGCGACTAGTCACTCGGTTTCTGCTAGGTCACTGATAATCCAAGTCGTACGAGGATGAATCAAAGCCAGATAAAGATCATCAGAGCGAAACCAAAGCGAGTATGTTCATAGCTCAGAGGATCACAACTCAAGGCGGCTCGACGCTGACGCCGTCCATTACCGCAGAAAAGATGCAAACTGCAGCCGTACCTAACTTGTTTCGGAACAGTCTCGGATGGGTGATACCTCGATAGGGGTCGGTTTGACCCCAAAAGATGCGCAGATTATGAGGAAATCATACGCGTCCTGTGACACAGATCTGACAATAGGCACTGAACATGGGGTACTGGTGGTGGCTTCTCCACAACTCTCCCTCCACCGTTCATCTTCGTTGACTTCACCGCCAGGCAAAAGCTGCACCCCCAGCTCTTCAGAACCCGCTAAGCCTTGCTGTCATCGACGTTGGAGTTTGAGGTGGTCAAGGAAAGCTCGTCTGTAAGTCGCTGAACATCTGTCGGCGATCGGGGATTATCGGCCAACTGGTTCATATTTTTTGCTGACGCTCTGTATCATTTAATGACGCTGTACACAGGACACACACCATCTTACGGGTTACTTGGGCCACTGCGCAGGCGGCGGTCATCGTCGATATCTCTTGAGAGGGCATCTCAGGTTGACCGGCTACCTCCTAACTCTCCCCTTACGCCCTGACACTGCCCTTACTTAGAAGCTGCGGGCGTCAAGCGATTCATCTCCATCTTTTCTTCATTAGACGCTCGACCATCCACGACCTCTCCTCTTTGCTATCATGGCGACTGTGAGTCTTCCAGGTGGTGTGCTCTCTGTGTCTCCACTCCCGAGTAGCAATCTCCCCTCATCGACTCCATCCTTGTCGACCCCCACCTCTACGTCCTCCGCTCCTACATCGTCCTCGTCGAATGGAATTCTCCCACTCTTCTTCAACACTGTCCCTGAAATGTGGACATGCGGTGCAGCGGTCGTCACCTGGAATTACCTCGGATCCTCTTCCGGACTTCGACTGGTCATCACGGACAGCGACGTTACCCAACAATCACCGCCCACGAACACGCAGAGCGATGGTGTAGCTCGCCCCGCACGGCGGGACACATTGTCCATCACACAAACTATCGGCACAGACCTCGACCCATCTTTAAGTAATTGGACATGGACCCAAGTCGATGTTCCTCAGGGGTGGTATGTGCTACAGGCTTCCATCGCCTCCTTGTCATCGCAGTCGGAGTCTTTCTTCGTCCACAATGGCACCGATACGTCGTGCGTCATCGGTTCTGCCCCTTCACCCTCTTCTGCGTCCGCAACTATATCCGCATCATCATCGACGTCGCCTTCTCCCTCCACGTCTGCGATTCTCGTCTCAGGATCGTCCAAAAGCTCACATGCCGGTGCCATCGCAGGCGGTGTCGTGGGCGGTGTCGCCTTCGTGGCCGCAGTACTCGCAGCGATTTTGTTCTGGCTGTGCAGGCGTCGTCCAACTCGTGGACGGGCTCGGGTCCTCGGCGCGGAGGCCGGACACAGCGGTAGTAATGGGAAATGGAACGGACTGGCCACGGTGACCGCCCGTTCCCTCAAGAAAGCCAAGCACACGTCAGACAGCGGCGATGGCCTGTCAAAAAACATGCACGACCCGTCTCCGAGCGCTCGAGCGTCTCAACTCGGGCGTACACCCATTGGGTCAGACGAGGAAATCAATTCTATCGCCGAGGAAAAGATGATCGTTGCGGATGGCGAAGCACCCGTCCCGCCGCATTACTATCTCCCGCCTACCAAACGCACATCTTCCTCTTCCTCAGTCGCCACCGCCAACTACCGCTCCCGCCCCTCTTCCCAGCGTGCCTTGTCTTCCCCAGAACCCCCGCGGAACGGGCACCACAGTTCAAAGTCGATCGAGGCCATCGCCCACGCGCGTCTAGGCCGGCCGATCTCCTATGCGCCAGGCGCTGCGTCTCCCGAAATGATTCCCCTTGAGCGCTCCGGGTCAGGTTCGGCGGCCGCAGCGCGCCGTGCAGCACGCAAGCCTGTCCCCCAATACGATTACTCAGAGTTTGACGAGCCCGCGAGCCCGCCGCTCGCAATGACCGCGTCCGGTTCGCCAGAGAGCATGTTCGAGGGCACGCTCACCAACGCGTCAAACTCGTATCAAGGGCATGGGGCCTTTCCGTCGAAGATCACATTCGACGATACCCCGACGCTGCACCACCAAGCCAGCTTCGGCAACATGCGCCCGATGCACGTCATGATGCCAGATATGCCCCCGCCCATGAGAGATTAACCAATGAGGAGTCACGGACAGTCTGCTGGCCGGACTGTTATTGTACTAACAAGACACGTCAAGCGACTCACCTCCTGCACTTATCGATCACCTTGTTCGCATCCTCATCTCCTGAGTTTTATTATCCATATGTCATCGGCCATCTTGTTTCACCCATCGCTAATGTTGTCCCCGGATCATGATCCCACACCGGAATGTCTCAAGTATTTCATGTCTCATGCATCTCATCTCACACTTGTCGCCGTCGCCGTCTTATATATGTTGTGATCACACTTTACTCGATACCGTACTGTTCTACATTTAGGCCTTCTCACATTTTTGATACAGAGCTGTCGCCAATGTTTATCGATTGGCGCTTAGCTCTCGGACAATTACAGACTCTGATTTGGTTGTTTGATGATCTCAGCGAGGTTGTTCTGAGTTGTGAACAATGGATTCGCAACGTCATAAGATCGTTGCTGCAAACCAGCGAAATGTGGAAAAATTAACAATCAGGCCTCAGGATTGGACAGACGAAAAAGTGGTTCAATCCAGGATCGAACTGGAGACCTTCTGTGAACTAGACATGCTAGTGTAAGACAGAAATCATAACCACTAGACCATTGAACCGATGGCAACTTATGGCTGTGATTTGCTATCAGATTTTGCAATTCCGACAAGTGCCGGCCCGACTGCAAATGTTGTGGCCCACTCTCCTTGTACTCACTCACCCACTCACCCGCTCGAACTTGACGTGACATAGATGATAAAACATTACTTCGAGCTCTAGAAATCTCTTCATACATTCTGAGATTCCCTGGGCCACCTGCTCGCCATCTCTCCCACCAAAACACCTCGCATCTGGTAGCTCGCCACGACCTCCCCACCGATTTGCATTGCGATGACTCTCATCCACGGCACTATCGACATATTCATCTACACGTTCCTCGCCATCAGCGCACCCTCTGTGGTGCTATGGCTTCGCTCCCGAAAACCACCCACGACTGCAATTCCCCGGCCACCTCTGCGCACACCACTGACCGTCCTCGTCGTCCTGCACACGTTGTATACCCTGTATACGCTCATATACCACCAACCACCTAATATATTCACTTCGTTGGATATCCCGATATCGACACCGACGGCGCATATCCGCACCGTGTTTCTAGAGCATGCCGCGCACGATCCCACAATGACGCTCTCGCCCTCTCTCGACGCGCTCATAACGCGCCTAAACTCGTTCGACGTGCGCACCGTCTTCATCCGGTGCGCGGCCATCCGCTGCTTTGCATTGCTACGCTTGTGCTCACCTGAGCATTCCGATCAATTTGCAGGTTCGGGCAGCAGACGGTCGAATCTTGCGATTATTGCCACAGCCTCGAAGATTTCGCGATGATCGCTTTCCCCAGACCGCTCCTCGAATACGTCCGCGAGGCGTTCGTCGTGGGGCTCCTCACCACGCGCGGAAGCGGGCACGAAAGCCGACGCTCCCTCTCCATCGCGTTGCTTATATCCCTCGCAATCGGAGAGGCCTACTGGCTCTACACCGTCCCAATATCTCTGCAAGAAAATAGCGACATCGTGTTCATGGTACGCCCCTCCTTTACCTCCCCAACCAACAGGCGGAAACACTCACTCCACGGTGTGGGCCACAGTGGCACGATCTCCTCTGGATCCTCCGCCACATCCTATTCCTCACCCTCCTGCCCGTCCTGCACCTCCTCCCGATAAACGCCTCCTCGCCGCCGCTGAGCGCGAGCCTCCGCGTCGCTTCGACCACGACCGACATGGCCCACGCACGCACGCGTCTGTTGCGCTACACGCGCGGCGCGGCGCTCCGCGACCCAAATCTGCGCGGGCGCGCGCTCGCGTACTGGAGGAACGAGAAGCGGGTGGGCGATTGGGTCCGGGGGGACGAGGCGGTGCGGAAGGCTGCGGACGAGATGAAGCTCGGGTTCAGAGAGAAGGGAGAGGCGAGCGCCGACGAACCGGAGAAGCAGGTGGAGCAAGATGGGACCCTGCGGGATGCGGCCAAGAGGGTCATCGTTCAGTTGAGGGAGGTTTTCAAGGCTGAGCCATGATGTCTGCTCTGGGAGAAGGGGGGTAATATAGATGTGCTGGGACCTGGTTGTGTCACAATGGCAGCTGCATCGCTGTTCAATTATCTTTATCTAGTGCCGAGGGCGTTTCTCTTTGCCCGCGTAACTTATTTTGTTTTCTTATGCTGTATTACCGGAATAGAACTAATGAACAGGATTCGATACTTCGCCGAGCCATCCTTCCCACTGCTGAACCGTCGTCCGTAAATCTTCGCTCATGCTGCCCCCTTGTTCCATCGTCGCTCCATAAACCCCCTCCACCAACGCCCTCCGCACAAACGGCACGAACACCGCAACAAAGACTCGCCCCGTCGCCGCCACGACCCCCTTCTGCTCCGCCTCGCCCTCAAAACGCCCCGCATACTCCAACAGCGCCCGCGCCGCGTCCACCACGGCCGCATCCAGCGCGCGCAGCAGCTCCGGCAGGAGCGACACCGGCGCGAGCAGGCGGAGGCCGTTCAGCATGCCCAGCACGGCGTTCGCGTACTCCGCGAGCGGCGGGTAGGACGCCAGCAGGTGCGGCGGCGCGTGCGGCGGGCCTGCGAGCGTGTCCTCCTGCGGCGGCGGCGCGCCGGGCACCGCGAGCCACGCGCTCGGCCTTTTGGAGGCGCGCTTGAGGGCGCCGCGCCACGCCTCCGTCGCGTCGCGCAGCTCGCGCGCGACGCTGTTCCGCACGGCGTCTTCGAAGAGCGGGGGCAGGAGGAGGCGGAAGTCGAGCCCGAGGCGGGAGAAGGACGTCGCGCAGTAGGTGAGCTGCGTGAGGAGGGACGTGAGGGAGCTGGGGTCGGGGATGTGGGGCAGGGCGGTGCGCAGCGTGGCGAGGAGGCGGTCGAGGAGGTGGGAGGTGAACGTCGGGAGCAGGGCGCGGACGGTGGGCGAGGGGGGCGGCGGTGGGGGGGCGGACGCGGTCGAGGCTGCGGTAGGGCGGTCGAGGAAGATGGTCGTGTATTGGGTGACGACGTCGTGCACGCCCTCGCGCCAGACGTCGATGTATTTCTTCAGGTAGCGCACCCACGCCTCCCTGTCCTGCGCGCGCTCGGCGCCCATCTCGACGGCCAGCAGGCCCGCGTCGAAGTTCTCCAGGCGGCCGGTGAGGAACGCGAGCGCGAGCGCGTCCTCGGGGAGCACGTGCATGCGGCGGAGGAAGCTGACGGCCTTGAAGAGCGCGGGGAGCTTCGCGGGCTCGCGGAGCGTGCCGAGGAGCTGCACGAGCAGCGCGCGGACGGCGTGGTGGACTTCTGCGCGGACGTCTTGCACGACTGGCACGTCGGGGAAGCGCGCGGCGAGGCTCGCGGCGTGGGCGGCGAGGTCGAGGGCTTCTTGGAAGGCGCCGTTGCGGACGCAGGTTTCGGCGAGGAGAGGGAGCTCCAGGACGTCCTGCAGCTTTGCGCTGTGCTCGATCACGAGCGCTGCGCGTCGTCTCTCCGCTTGCACATCGCGGATCTCTGTGAGGAAGGAGCGCGAAGCGGATTCGAGGGCGGGTATGTCGTCGAGGAGGTGGTTCAGGGAGGCGGAGAAGGACGAGAGGGTCCCTGAGAGGCCGGTGTTTGCCGTGTGCAGGGAGATGAAGGTGGGGTACGAGGACGTGCAGAGGGTCGTGAGGGCGTTCGTGAGCTGGGACGAGGTCGAGGAGAGGTTGGTGGGCTCTGCCTGGAGAGAGGGGAGCGAGAGGGTGGTGAGATGGGAGAGGTACGCTGCCGCTTGGTTCGAAGAGAGGTCTGGTGCGGAGGCCGACGCGTCTGCAGAGCGGAGCACGTCGACCAGGGCGGATATCTCAGCTCCTCGGGCACCGACTTGCGTCATGGCGTCTTCATCCACAGATCCTGGTCAACGTGGTTAGCAAAAGAAAGATGCTCGCGTACGCAATAATGATGCGGGCGCCGCGTTCCCACACCGTTAAGAGTAACGTACGTGCGGATATCTTCGAGCACTCCAAGGCTGCACCTGGCGTGACTGCTCTGTGCATCTTGTCACCCAGCCCTGCCATCGTGTCACACAGTCTGGAAACCACATGAAGCACAGATGCATGTTCCGCGCAAGGTATTGATGAAACCAACCGACGTTCCTGCATGCATATCCGAACCAACCATATACAACGCAAATTTCGAAACCATAAAGAAGACCAAGGTCGCTCACGAACGCATGGGCTACCGGCCAGACGTAAGTAAAGAAAAAAAAGCCAGGAAATATCGTAAAGAGTCGTGATCGGAAAGAAAGAAAGATAGAAAGAAAGAAAGAATGCATGCACGGCGAGCAGCCGTGCCCGGAACGCGCGCGAAACGTCCGCTCGCTGCGATCATGGCGCGGCGACCGGCATCGTCGAGTGCGCGTCTTCCGGGGTGTACGCCGGGTCCTCCTTCAGCTCCTCTTCTATCGCCGCCTCCCCGTCCAGCGTCAACCTCGGCACACCGGACTCGATGTCCTTCTCGAAGTACCTCGGCACAAACCTGCAGCCATCCGCATCAGCCTCGCGAGACAAAGAAACAGCGCGCGAAAGCTCACTCGACGCCCTTCCTCTTCCTCTCCGCCGCGTCCTCCCGCTGCTTCTGCTCGATCGCGTGCTTGTGCCTCGTCGCCTCGCCAAACTCCTTGCTCACGAGCTTCGTCGTGACCCGCTCCCACAGCCGCCGGCTCTCGTTTGGCAGCTGCCGCTCCAGCGGCCGCACCGCCTTGGGCACGACGTGCAGCGTCGACAGGTCCATCAGCGTGCTCCACTCCTCCTTGCCCCCCGCCGCGCCCGCGCGCCGCCAGCGCACCTTGTGCCGCCACGCCCCGTCGAGGTACGCGAGCGCGCACTCCCTCGGAACGTGCTTGACGCGCGTCCACTCCTCGTGCTCCGTCGCCCCCGGCGTGTACGTGTGGATCACGCCCTCGACCGCGAACTGGGGCTTCCCCAGCCAAGACTGTGCCGCACGACGTCATCAGCAACCCCGCCGCCCGCGCCCCCGGGCACTCGACGCCCCCCCAAAAAAGAAAGCAACGCACCTCCTCCTTGTACTCAATAACCGCCCTCAGCTGCTTCCCGTCGAACCCGCGCCCGCCCGTGCACGTGATGATCGTCGACTCGCCGACGGTGACGTAGAAGCTGCCCCGCAGTATCCCGTTCACCTGCGCGACGGGGTGCGTGATCTGGTACTGCTCCCCCGCGCCGTGCCCGCCCTGGACGAGCACGAATATGCCCTTGTTCGCGTGCCCCGGGCCGATGCGCACGGTCGCCGTGCTCGTCACCTTCGCCGAGATCTGGTCGACGCCCGCGAGCGCGACGCCGCGCGCGGGGCACGTCGCGTAGAACGCCGATATCGGCGGGTGGTGCGACACCTGCTCCGTCAGGTACACGACGCGGACGTGCGGCGCGCGCGGGTCGTCCGACTCGGGCTGCTCGCTCGACGCCGCGGTCTGCCCGTCCGTCTCCGCGAGGCTGAGGTTCGAGAGCCGCGCGTCGACGTTGGACTCGACGGTCGACGTCGACGCCGGCGAGGGCGCGGCCGTCGACTGGACGGCGGACGTGCTCCAGCCCTTGGACAGGAGTCCGCCGAACGCGCTCGACCGCGCGGCGATGGACTTCGCGCCGCCTTTGGCGCTCTTGGCGCTCTTGAGGCTGACGGTCTCTGACCGCGTGAGACGCAGGGCGGCCGTGCGGCTGGCGACTGAGAGGCTCGATTCGGCGGCTTCTGGGGTCAGGTACATGTGGTGCACCGGAGGTTGGGACGGGTCCGATTCGTAGGATACGGGGAGCACGTCCCAGTGAGAGCGGAAGTGTTCGCCGAGCACCGAGTTGTACGGCTTGCAGACTTTGCCCCGCTATGCGACGAGCCGAGGACGTCGGTGTGCGTCGTGAGAGTTGGTGGGAACGAACAACTCACTATGTGTCGGAGGTCCTTGGAGAACGTGAAGCGGAGCACGGCCAGCATCCTGTCGAATGGATCCTCGGAGTCATTGATACTACGCATGCACGTTAGTCAAGCTTCTCGCGGTGGAGCAGGCGATTTCACTTGCGCGGCAAACAGGTCTGGTCTGTCGAGGTAATGCCAGTATTCGAGATTGGGTATTGGCTCCAGCAACGACGCCGGCAAGGAAAGACGCCTGTGGACAGAGATGTCAACGATCGCTCGGAAAATGATGCGTGAGGGGGGCTCGACGAGTAACAAAGGCGGAAAGACAAGTCAAAGATTCTCTCTGACGATGAAGGGTGGATATCAGAAGCTGTGTGCCCATCTTTGTCGTCTGATGGCAAGACATCACGGCTTTCATAGAACCCATGATGAAACGCTCGAATGGCGCCCTCGGCCAGCAACAAGGTGGAGCGAGGGAGCCTCTGATTTCTCCGCCGATTACAGCGAGATGTCTGGACGCCCTGTCACCTCGTGAGGCTGATCCCGTCGTCCAGGCAAACTGCCCTGCTCGAGCGGTAGGTGCACCCCAACACGACGATATTTGCAGAGCGCAGCCAAGGGCTCCGAATTCAGGCGGCGTCGGGCTCCATGTTCGCAACGGAGACGTGCAGAAAACCCGACGTGGAGCGTTCGTTGGGGTGCGATGGGCCGCACGGCGGGAGCCGGTCATGGCCAGACATGAAGCGGCGCACTCACATAGCGGCGATATCCTTCACGCCAAAGCATTTCTTGACGAGCTGCACGATCATGCTCAGCTTACCGCCCTCTCCGGTGTCCTCAGGCAAAGAGATGGCAGGGCCCGGTGCGTCCTCGTCAGCGACGGCAGCGGCGTCGTTGTCCTTGCTCGCCAGAACGACTTCGTGGGCGGGAGCGGCCATGCTTGAGGGGCGATGAGCACGGCGAAGAGCAAGGAGGGTGAGAAGAGAGCGGTGTGGAAGAGGGAGGCGCTGGGGCTCTGAGCGAGTGTGTTTGGAGGGAGGCTTGGCTCCTCACCACACCGGGCTAGACTTCCTTTTTCGGGTAACCGCATAATTGCAGCGACCGGACCGCTCTGGCCGCCATGAACGTGCACCGCTCAACAATGGCCACAACCGTACAGTACGAGTACATATGTCTGGCGGTAGCTAGATGCTAGACTTTCCCGGTGGCGATGAGCAGCTCGAGTGTCGCAGCGAGGGCCGACTGGACGAGTGCCGCCGGCGACGCATCCACGAGAGCTATTATTATCCGTGATGCCCCCGGTCGTGTCGCGACATGCGACGAAGCCCAGGCTCTGAGTGTCCCGTGCGGCCCACTGCGAACGGTCACATGCACGTGCTGTACGCGTCGCGCGGGTCACGTTTACTGGACGCGAAGACGAGCTGGCAACCGCAACCGCCCTCGCCCTCGCCCTCGCCCACGCCCACGCGCAGACCCACCCGATGCCCAAACGCCCCGCGTCTCCCGCGTCTCCCGCGCCCGCCTCCCCATCCAAGCGTCCCAACCTCCGCACCCTCCCCAAGTCCACCCCCACGCACGCCTCCACCCCACGCACCGCCTCCACCGCCAGCTCCGTCCTCTCCACCCCGTACACCCCCTACACCCCGTACTCCACCTCCGTCCCCTCCGACTCCCCCACGAACCCCTTCGGCTTCAAGCACCGCCTCCAGAAGCTCAAGCTCCCCCCCGCGACCTCCTTCTCCAAACACCTCTCCCTCCGCTTCCAGCTCGTCAAAAGCCCCGCCCTCTCCCCCGCCCAATGGCCGCTCCTCCCCAGCTCCACGGCCAAACCTAAACCCAAACCCTCCCGCACGGGCTCCCGGCACCACCCCACGCGACGCGATCCCGCAGCAGCAGCAGCAGCAGCAGCCCGCGCCCCCGCCTCCGCCCAGCTCCCGGAGGGCGAGGAGCTGCCCTACGACGCGCAGGGCGTCTACCGCATCGTCCAGGTCCCGCTCTCCTACACCTTCCGCCACCTCCACAAGCTCCTCCTCTTCCTCTTCTCCGGCGACCCCAACCCCGCGCCCCCCGCCGCCCCCCGCTCCCCGCCGCCCCGCGGCTACCTCTTCGAGGCCCACGACCAGGTCCTCATGGGGCCCCGCCCCGGCCAGATCGCCAGCGCCCGCACGTGGGCGAAGCTCTCGAGCGTCCGCGACCCGTACTACTCCGCGCAGTCCATCCTCAGCCTCGTCGAGAGCGCGGAGCACGACGACGCGCTCGCCAACGCGCTCGATATCGAGGGCGACGACTGGCGCTGGGAGACGGAGGAGGACCTCTCGCTCGCGCATATCTGGGAGACCAAGGGCGGCGACGTCCACCACGCGATCACATACGTGCGTCTCCGCAACATCTTCCTCGTTCGTTCGTTCGTGGCTGGATGCACGGGTCGCTGACGACGCGCGGCGCACACGCACAGCACCACGACGAGCGGACGACGGTCCACATCACGGTCAACACGCAGAAACTCGCCCCCCGCAGAGGCGTCGGCAACACCCCCTTCGTCTTCCGCGCCTTCGGCTCCGTCCCCCTCGACCCGTCCTACGCGCCGCCCCCCGCGCCCCCAAAACCCACCCGCGTCTTCCCCGTCCTCCGCAAAGCACCGCACCAGAGCCTCCCCGCGCCGGCGCGCGCCGAGCCGAAGAGGAAGGCCCGAGCGCCGTACGGGGACGAGCGCGGGGACGAGCGCGGGGACGAGGACGAGGACGAGCGCGGGGACGAGCGCGGGGACGAGCGCGGGGGCGAGCGCGGGGACGAGCGCGGGGACGACTTTGACGGCGGGCTCGACACGCGCTACTGGAACCGCCCAGACACATTCGAGCGCTTCCTCTCCTCCGCCGCGCCGCCCGAGCCCCAGCCCACGCCGCCCGCCTCCCCGCCCTCGCCCGCCCTCCCCGCCTCCCTCCCCTCCCTCCCCTCCTCCCCCTCCCGCGACCCCGACCCCGATCCTGACCGCGCCCGCGACCTCTCCTTCTCCTCCTTCTCGTCCTCCCCGCTCCGGCTCCCCGTCGTGACGCCCGCCCCCGCGCGCGCGCTCACGCGCATCCGCGTCGACAGGGCGCAGCGCCGCATCGAGCGCCTCGTGCGGCGCGCGATGGAGGAGGAGGCGGCGGCGGAGGAGGAGGCGGCGGCGGAGGCGGAGGCGGCGGCGGAGGCGGAGGCGCTGGAGGTCGATCAGCTCGATGCGGACGGGGAGGTCGATCAGCTCGATGTGGACGGGGATGCGGATGGCGAGGACACGGGCGAGGGCGAGGGCGCGTTCGGGAACGAGGAGGAGGTCTGACTCGCGCTGCGTATGCTCGCGTTCTGCGCGTTACGAGCCCCCCTTCCCCCCCTGTATTTTTCTTGGCGGCCAGACGGCCAGACGGTGCCGGAGGCGGAGGCGGAGGCGGAATCTGTAAGCACGCCGGCGGTCCATCTGTGTACTGTGTACTGTGTACTGTGTACTGTATCATTCTTCGTCTCCACACGCGGTTCTTCACAGCGTTCGCGCGCAAGATGCATGTCTATTTTCAAGGATCGGTCGCGAGGTGCCGAGGTAGGCGGCGAGGTTCAAGTTCGACGTTCAAGCGACAAGGCTCGATACTTATGCACCCCGTCTCCCACACGCACGACCGCTCAGCGCTCAGCCCGCTCTGAGGAGCCAACCGCGAGAGCCTGCGCCGCCTGCGCCGCCCACATGCACGCACAGACGACGACGCACGCAATAAATAACCGCACGGCTGCTACGAGCCACGCCGCTCCCGACATCGCACAGCTGGCCGACGAAAACGAGGATCCCGAGCACGTGTCGATCGAGTCCTGCGACGGCGGCATAGGGCAGGCAGGGCAGGACACCGAATCTGGTCACCGGCCGCCGTATCCGTATCTCCCCATCGCAGGACCCGCCAGCACGCTCTGCATCACGTCCGCCTGGAGGTGCGACGACACGCCGACGCCCGCGCGATACCACCGCTCCCCGCGCCGCGCCTCCAGCCCCGCCTCCATCCTCCACACGTACCCATCCACGTTGGGCATCACGCCCTCCACGTACCGCGGGCGCTCATCCCTGCCCCTGCCGCCGCCGCTGCCGCCGAAATCGACGTCGTACACCCCGAGGCCAAGCCACGACGTCGCGATCGGATGCGGATGCCGCCGGCCCAGAACCGCGCTCCAGAACCGCTGCGCACAGCCCTCGTGCGCCTTGTCGCGCCGGTCGCGCGCGCGAGCAGGATCGGCGAGCCGAGGAAGCCGTCGGGCAGCGCGGGCTCGAGCCGAGCGCGACGTGCATGTGCATGTGCGCGTGCGCGTGCGCCGACCCTGCGCCGTTCTCTGCCGCGTGTGTGCGCGAGCAGCGCGTCGAAGCGCGTGACGCGCGCCCCCCGCCCCCGCCCCCGCCCCCGCCCCCGCCCCCGAGCCCGCCTCCGAGGCCTCCTCCCACATCGCGTGCACCTCGACATGGCTCACGGGCGCTCCGCGGTCCCATTCCGCCCACGGCATCGACGTGCCTGGCGGATCGACGGCGCTGGGGCCCAGCTCGGGCGGGCACGCGGCGCCCGAGACCCACCAGCCGAACCGGTCGACCGGGAGCGCGCGACGCCCTGATCAAGTCGGGGTCGGGTCCGGCGGCGTCGATGTCCCCCCGCTGCGGCGCGGTCGAGCAGGAACAGATCGAGGGCGGGCGAGAGCGCGGGGAGGGGCGCGTCGGCCAGCGGGTGCGCCAGCGGGTGCGCCAGCGGGTGCGCCAGCGGGTGCGCCAGCGGGTGCGCCAGCGGGTGCGCCAGCGGGTGCGCCAGCGGGTGCGCCAGCGGGTGCGCCAGCGGGTGCGCCAGCTCGACCGCGACCGCGAGGCCGCCCCACGCGAAAGTCGTGAGCTGCGCGATCATGCCGGGGAGCCCGTCAGACTCTGCCATGTCGAGGAGCGCGAGCGCGGGGTGCGCGGGGAGCAGTGCAGCCAGCGGCACCTGCCCCGCGTCTCACCACCCAGCGCCCCCCGCGCGCGCGGCGGCGTCTGGGACGAGCGCGGAGAGCGGTTGGGGCCAGTGTGCGGCTGCAAGCTCGACTCTGGGGTCCGTTTGCGCGCCGTACGAGAGCATCAGGCGCCCGAAGCGCCGCGTGTGGTCGACGGTGTGCGGACCACCGGCGTACGGCGCGAACTGCAGCTGGCCGGCCCACTGGGGGTACGCGTCGAGGGTCTTCGCGAGGCTCAGCTTGAGCCGCTCGACGGACAGGGCTGAGCGCGAGGCACCGTCTGCGGGAGAGCCAGACGCCGCACGTGGGCGCGAAGCGCGCGACTGTGGCATCGAGGATGGAGAGTGGGATGTGACGCGGGGTCGGTGGGGTTTTAGAGTGCGAGTCTGGGTGTATGCGTGTTGCGGAGATTAGCTGGATGCCAGGGTTTGGTTCTGAGGTCGGCGGATCCATGAATCGAAGGGATGATCGTGGAGTGTTGTTCGAGTCCTGTAAAGGCAGTCTTATAAAGGCAGTCTTGGAACAAAATGCGTTCGAGACCGCGAAAATGCTCTCGGCGGGACGTACGGGTACTGCGCAGATGGAAGGGTTGGAGGTGTAAACTCTTCACGGCAGGCACACAAGTCGTGGAGTCCCGGCACCGACTGGTATTGGCTCCCCTAGAAAAGATGATCCGCGAGCAGTTTTTGAGCAAACTTTATACTCGTATTCGCGTCCACCGATCTCTTTTGGAAGGAGACGAATAGAATTGATTTCCATTGTTAGCCGCCATTGTCGCTCAGGTGCTGCTTGAAGTTCCGACTAGGAACATGAGATAGTACTGGTGAGGAACGCGATGATATCATAGTAGCCCTAAACTACGAGGTGGTGCGGGCTGAGAGCGCAGCACGCAAGCCTATTATCATCTGATAGCACCTGACCATGTACGAGGTTTGGCCAGAGCGTCTACCTGCGCCTACAAATACGAAGTGTGCTGTCAGACCGGACGTCAGACACTCAGATGCCGATCAGCCTACGGTGAACACAACCAGTTTGTTTTTCTCCACGGAATCATCATCGCCATAGTATTCGCATGACTCTCCTGCCTACTCCCTCCTTTCGCTCCCAAACTGTCTCCGCCGTACCCAATTTTTGGTCCTCGACGGCTTTCACAAAAGCTTCTACGCCACCCCCGACGCCGAAATAGAGAACCTTCGCTGCTACCAGGCATAGACTCGTTTTTGATACCTCTATGTCCCCGCAAAGAGATATGTTGGCGGTTTTTTCGACCAACTCTGTCGTTGCATCTTCGGTGAGAGAAGGAGCCCCTAGTGACGCGTGGCGCAAGGCGCGCAACAGAGCGGGCAAGCTATCTGTCCTGTAGATCGTCTCAGATGTCAACACGACGTCGTATTTTGTCTTCCAAGGGCCTTTGGACGAAGGGTCAGGCGTTGGATTCGAGCCCCAGATGACGTTGACATCGAGCCCGTCCCATGATCCTGAGAAGAAGCGCAGATAGATGTGGTGTCGCGAGAGCGTGTCGAGGAAAGCCTGCTTGAATTCAGATGGGAACGAAAGTTCTCCGGGGGTCTGGGGATCTGCATCATCCGGCAGATCTGGTTGGGAGGCACGGTAGGCTGAGGAAAGGGGCGACATGTCTGCCATCGAAAGCGAAAGTCAGTCAGTGCGGTTCACGACGAGTGCGGTGATAGCGCCTACACCATACGAGTAGAATGTTTGGAAGTGTGACAAGCTCCAGAACAGAGCGATTGTAATCTTGCAGATGGATATGCGTTTCGATTGAAGCCTTCTCTTCTGATGTTGCGAGGGCTGCAAATAGCTGGTGCAGAAGGACGAGGGTCGGAACAGCTGTACCACATCCAAGCTAAAGAAATCACCAACAGATTTTAGCTTGATGTCTCTCTCGAAGACCATGAACGCACCTCCAATACGCGTTTGCCCTTCACCCAATCTTCACCCTCCTTGGCAGCCTGCGCTTCCAAGCACTCAGCAAGATCGACACTGCACTCCCACGTCTTCAGCCCGCCTTCATAGACGCCTGGCACGAGATCTGAAGGTGCGGCCAAGAAATCGAGCGCACCCGTCTTATCCTCGTCATCCGCGCCTTCCTGCGATATCACTTGGAGTCTCGCATCAAATAAATCGCGACGGGCGAGAGCAACTGGTGCGCGGCCTGACACAATGGGAATGTGTAAGGGAGAGTAGGATATACTTTCGGGTACAGCGTCGAGCTATGATGAAGATGAGTTTGCAGGAAGCCTTGAAGCTTGAAGGAGACGTTTTGACGCACTAATTCAGAAACAGAGACCTCCGAAAAAAGTGCTGCTTCGTGGGATAACGCAGGTTCTGTCTTCGTCTCCGAGTTGATCTGCGACGGAGCCGGGATGAGGTCGAAATCATCGTCGAGGTCGTCAGCGAGGTCGAAGTCAAATGTGAAATTAGCCATGAAAGCACGTCCGTCCAGGACCCCACAGATGTCCGATCCTAATGCGGATGGGAAAGTGGTCAAAATACCCAATAAAGTCCGATCCTACTATCACTGCGTCGGTGGCTGTCGAAAACTCAATTCTGGTGTACCACTTGCAGGGGTGCGCAATGCTGGTATTTATCAGTTTCAGAACCTTTCGCTGACGCACAGCCTGGGACTGTCCGTCGAGGCATCGTGGTAGGCGCTAGTGGGTCCCATCACGGCATGTTAGGATCTGAGATCTGAGATCACCCGCCGAAATGCCAGAAATACATGAAGAGATTGTCAGGGCGAATAAGATACAAATAGCCCCCCCTCCGGACACAACCTATACCATCTGCACTATATCCCAATGTCCTTGGTAAAAAGAATGTAGACACGAGGAAAGAAAGGGGGCGTCTTCCAAATAAATAATTATCCTCAACAAACCTGGAATAAGACATCAGACCTCCTGCTAGAGCTCTTCTAGGCTAAGGAAGGGTGGAATTTGGGGGGCGCTCATGAGTAGCGGAGATGAGGCGGTCTCGTTGTTCCATCATAACCAAAGCAGTCTCTGCTGCATCAATCATCTTGCGAACTCCTTCTAAGAACGGGGCAGGTACAGTCAGTTTACTGACCGGTCAGGTTTAAAATGAGAACTGACTCTCTATGCTCAACAAGAACAAGGTCTTTGGTGAAAATGGTCATTAGAGAGTCACAATACGTGAGATAGAGTTAGTCACTCACGTTGCGCGCTGTCGCGTCCTGCCATACTTCGCCCTTCAGCCTCTCACTCATTCCTTCCTGCTGCGCAATCTCATTCAAGAGCTTCTTCATATCGTCGGGGACTTCTTGATCCTTCAGATTGGCGATGCCCTGAGGATCAAGCAGTGCCCCCATCCCCTCTGACGTCGCATGTCCATTGGTCACGAGAAAATACTTCATGTGCTCTCGGAGCATCTTTACTTGTTCAAATATTAGTTCTGGGAACGCCTCGAACCGGTCCAATAGACGTTGTTCTGCTTCTCGTAAAGTCGTGACTTGAGAGCGGGGAGTGGATGTGGTAGGTGGAGTAGAAGGTGGTGCCGCCAAACTCCCTATGTTCGCTTGGATAGCTCGACCGAGAGTCTGAGATTCTGAAGCCGGGGCTGGCACGGGTGGGGGACGATTGTCTCTGCTCGACTTTCGGTTCTTCTGACGATAACGTCGAATGGCTTTATCAAAAGACCTGTCATGCATCACGCTCCTGTATTTGGAGGAAAAGGCGTCGGAAATGACTGCATTATGATTCAATTAGACGACGAAAAGAAGAAGTCAAATGACGTGCCAGCAATTAGGACCGTCATGGCACCCACACCCAATAATGCCCAAAAAATAAAGATAGCACGGCCTGCTGGAGTCACAGGCGCGAAGTCGCCGTATCCAATGGTCGTGAAAGCTATGAAGCCTGTAGAAGACACGGTGAGCAAAGCTGTCATTATTTGGTGCACGCGACGTAAATCCTCACAAAAATACATCGCAGAACCGTATGTCCAATTCTCCGTCAGCGAGAAGATCGCGGAACCAACTGTCCAGAATATCAAAAATACAGTCCAGGCTAATGCAAGCTAGTGAAAAATCAACAACGCTGAACTGCTATCATCAATGATTATAGGCAAACCTTCGTATACAGACTCCTCTTTTCCTCTTTTTCCAACATCTTGACGGCATCAAAAGCCTTCGGGGAGTCAACGTCCTCAATATTATTCTTCATCTTTTCTACCTTCTTCAAGGTCCACCAGTGAGACATTCTGGTACGGGTCTTGCTCGATGCTTCTGCAACGTTAGTTTGAGAAGAAATATCAAGGGGAGCAGCACTGTGCGCAGACCCGCTACCAGGACTGGGGTTACGAGGGGCGAGCCCAGAATCGTGCGTAGCACCACGTATCCTGCCCAATGGTCTCGCAATTCGCTGATGGACAAATTTGTCGAGTGGGACATCAGCTTCGGCAGCTGCTGCCTCCAGCTCTGTGGCAAAAAGTCCCTCCGTATTCAAATGCGCCCCGCCTGTGACAGGAAAGTGGAATGAGCGAGTGTCCAAGGACGGCATGGAAAGTCTCGATGGTGTGTTCCCGACCTCCGGTCCCAAAGGCGGCGGATCCCGCACCCATATGTCCAAGTTCCGCTCTTTAAGCCTCTTCTCAATAGCAAGCTGCCATTTCCTCGCCTGCTCTGCTTCCTTGCGCTTTTGACGCTTTTGCTTTTTATATTGCCGCACCCTACGACGGTAGCCAATTTCTAACCCTTCTATGACCGCTTCGCTGATGAGACGGATTGCTGCGCCGAGGATGACAATCCCGAAAGAGGCATAGACGCACACGACGGCACGTTGTACAGCTGTGATTGGGACGATATCCCCAAACCCGACTGTGAGCGTTGTGACAATGGTGAAGAATAGTCCGTTGATGAAGGAGAGGTCCATTAGGAGTGAGGTAAGAAGAGCACCGAGAGCCACATAAGAAAGGAAGATGATTGTGATAAGGATGAGTGAGCGTTGCTTTCGAGTGAGACCGCTACCTATATATAGTGTCAGCATACGAGCGTTGCTATAAACATAGTGTTCATTTACCGCTCCTCGAGAAATTCGGGGTAGTGAAGAAATCCCACAGAAGAGTGACGTTAGTGATCGTTGATACGATGGTCGAGCAGACTGTTAGCCAGTAGGCCTGGCCGTACGTGAAACCGTCATTAGCACGATGCTCAATACCGAACACGAGAACGGTGACCACGTTGATCAGGTCTGTTCTGGCACTTGAGAATATGAGACAGAGTGTGAAAAGATGCACGCACCATGAATAGTCAGAAACACCGCAGACATGATGGTCATCGCCTTTACTCTCCGCTCCAAGAAGCGAACGACCAGAGCCGCGTTGGCGATCAACGCACACGCCATGGATAGACTCATCGCCACGTCCAATAATGCGGAGTTTAGCTTGATCTCGACAATCTGATTGTTCTCGGTGCGCACATACCAGTGCTCGGTCAAGCCAGGGATCTCGAGCAAGATGGAAAAAGGTATGAGGCTGCCAGAGACGATGGGCAAAGTCCGATAATTAGGAATGAAAACGTCATCATGGGGGTGACTACCGAAAAGGATATCCTTGATTTTGACAAGCCAGGGAGGAAGAGAGTATCGCTGGAAGCTACTCGCCAAGGATGTGGATGTGGAAACACGATGGGTGGGTTCAAAACCGTCCTCGTCTTGTGCATGCTCCTCCGGGCTCTCTTCTTCGGAGATTCCTCCTGAATCATGCTCGTCAAGATCCTCTCCATTGGAGTCAGCGTCGACCTGCTCATTGGGTTGTCCTGCCCTGTCCTGCTTTTCCGGATCGTTTGGATTGGCAGGGCTATGGTCCACGAACAGAGAGAGCATAGCTGCAGCTGTTGAGATAGAAAAAGCCGTGAAAGATGTCAAGGGTGAATACTGTTCATATAGTTTGAAGTAAGCTGCTCCCAAGGATCAGGATGTTGTAGAGAGCATTGTGTCGGTCTTGAACACGGAATGGCTGGCACATGCAAGCCCCTCTCCACAACGTTCTAATCGGGCAAGATAAGATAAGATCCCCTGCGTCCATCTGCCGCGCCGCAGACTTTTGCCCTCTGGAATCTCCCTTGAAACCTGCAGCACCCAAAAAAACGCGGAAAAGGACGAGATCGCGGAATGGCTTCGACACTACAGCCCTATCAAGTGGAGTTGATTGACAATGCTATGTTAATCGGAGCTCTCAAATTTGGGTCGTTCACCCTGAAGTCAGGACGGTACGACGAGACATCTGCATATTCACGCCGGCACACTGTCTGATAGGATGCACAGTGTATCGCCCTACTTCTTCAACGCCGGTCTTTTGTCAACTGGCCCCTTGCTCACGACGCTCTGCACGGCTTACTCCTCTGTCATTGCCTCCGCTCTCTCGCCTTCTTCCTCATTGCCCCTTCCAGAATTCGATGTTCTGTTTGGCCCAGCGTATAAGGGCATCCCGTTAGCTGCGTGCACCGCCATGCTCTTGCACTTGCAACATGACATATCGGTCGGTCTCGCATACGATCGCAAAGAGGTCAAGGATCACGGAGAAGGTGGAAACATGGTCGGAGTGTCTGTCCGCGGCAAGCGTGTCCTCATCCTAGACGACGTCATGACTGCCGGAACAGCTGTGCGTGGCGCGATCGAAACGATTCGTCGGGAAGGTGGCGAAGTTGTCGGCGTTGTGATGTGTTTGGATCGGGAGGAGATCGGGAAGGGGAACAGCAGCACGGTACAGGAGCTTGAGAGTGAGTTGGGCGGAGAAGGAAGGGTCCAAGCGATCGTGAAAATGCGTGATCTGATGAAGTGGTTAGAAAAAAAAGGGATGGATGAGGATTTGAGTGGGATGCGGCAATACTGGGAGAAGTACGGCGTGAAAGAGTAGTCGGTAAGATGTTTGAACACTGAGCGTATTGCATTGCTGTGTATCCACTCGGGATAATCATACAAAATTGAATGGATCATTCAAAGACCATAGGGCAGATCATGTCCACGCACGTCGACCGTATGTCTTTATCAAGTCTCAATCCTCCCCCAATCGCTGCCCTGATCCCCACTGATATCCTGTCGCTCTCCCCCCACCAGTCCTCTCCTGCCTTGGTCGCGGAGGAATAACGTGAACGCCCGTTCCTGCACCCGGGTTTGGGCCTGCACCACTAGCTACAAGATTTCTCAGCCACCCAGGCGCATTTCCCCACTCCCTTACGCCAGGAAGCCCACGCCCATCGTCTCCAAACATGGTCCACCACCAAAGGTGTCCGACAACAAGGCCAGTGACACTCACAGCAGCGGCGTTCGGCCCACCTGTTACAAGATCCATGGCTGTATACCGAGTTCATCACATGTTAGCTGGAGACTTCAGGAATAAAAGAATGTACAAACCAAGCAGAGCGTAAGGAAAATATTTCACTGGGAATGTGATGAGCCCCATGAATGAGGTTTGTGCTTCAGCTGGCGACAGAGCAGCTGAAAGATATGTTGTGCACAGCAGAAGGGCGCGCGCGTGCACGTATGTCCTCAGGGGAATATTCAATCCCTAGTACGGTATTCAAAAACAATGGTAGGATGGAAGGATGTGAATATACCAATATCGCGCCGGCAGCCAAAATTAGCTGCCATGCGTAGTCAGGCGAGCGCCCACTGAATTGCCCTGATTCAAGTGAATCCGAGTTTCGACTGTAGATAACCCGAGCCACGTCTATATGAGATATCGCGACGAGGCATGATGTAGTGGCGACACGAACTAGAGCATGATTATATCGAAGATGTAGTTGAATCCAGAACCTGAGCGGCATATCAGCCATGGAAATCGTGCTGGTATTATGAAGCTTACTTCCAAGAAAAAAGCTGGTCCAGACTCTCCAAATCTATCACATCCCCCACAAACCGAGCGCATCAGCCCACGCTTCATAACGACCGCACCAACTACAAGAATGAGCTTACCTCCCACTTCTGCGTGACCAACTCCCTCACAAAGAGGACTCTGTACGGGCTCAAAAGCTGCAGCATGACCGGTACTGTGACCGCCACGGACGACGCGCATAGGAAGCGCGTCACTGGGGGGATCTTGCGGAGCTCATCGAAGAAACCGGTATAAGACATCAAAGCTTTTCAATATTATGGTTCTACAGATTTGTGATTTGGTGGTGTGGACGAGAGTTAGTAGAGCTGAAGAGATATGACGGAAAGAGCGACCATGAATACCTCGTGGACAGAACATGCTCGAACACCACCTGCAAGCGCACAACACGTCAGAGTTTACACATGTTATGTCCTTCCCATGATGAAGCGAGATTCTGCCAACCTCTGCCAACGCAAACTCATCAGTACCACCTAAGTAGTCCTTGTTCTCATTATAAACTATAGAAGACGGCATCCAGGTTAGTCTAGCCGAAAACCTTTTCTACTCTTCTCACCATTCGCATACAGATCAACTTTGACCCGATTAGGTTTGACTACCGAAATGAGACCGTAGAACAGCGTGCAGAATTTTGGGAAACGATGCGACCATGGTTTCAAAAGAGAGGCTGTGCACTCTATAGGGTGAAATGTCGGCCAGAAGGAGACCCGCCTGTCCATATCTCGTTTTGCTATGTTCCTTCCCATGAACCTGTAAATGAAGAGTCCGCTTTCCCCTATGCGCACTTCGTGAACGACATCTCGCCTCACAAAGACTATCCTCCTTATGCTTTTCAACTTCGTGTGCGTCTCTTCTTCTCTTTTGATCAACAATTTTCTTGATTCAAATGGAACACAGGCTCGAATTCTACCAGCACAGGACAGTCAGAATCGCCACGTCGTCATGAAGGTCATCTCCGAGAGCTCGGAAGAATATTGAACAGTCAGTTACTTTCACCAACTTTCCTCTATCCACCCCAAAGACAGCTTGGAAAACGTCGTACCTATTCTGGATTTATTGAAATATGACAAGTACTGCTTCGCGGTCATGCCCAGGTCAGTGTACGTTGATTCTGTTTGTTTGAATATACCTGACATTGTTCAGATGGGGCCCTCTCCGCGGCGATAGAGTTTTCCCGACAATGGCTGATTGCCTTAATTTTATACAGGGCATGCTCAAGGTATCTCATCCCTTGCACACCTCGGTAGTTCTCCTGCTAAACTGATGGTCTACAGGGTTTGGTTTCTCTGCATCTACACTGCATCGCTCACCGGGTAAGGCTCAAGCGTCTTTCGATCTGATATGTATCATTCTCACAAAGAGATATATAGGACCTGCAAGCGTCCAACGCAGTTATGGATCATTATCAAAGCGAAACAGTTGTTCCAATCAAATCATGGCAATCAACGCGCGATCTCTTCGGGGGTCAGGATAGTGTGATATATAATATCATCGACTTCGACTACGCATTCATCATACCGCCCTATTGTCTCTATCATGAGGCCGAGGAGTCCTTAACAACATCTATTCATTATCCTCGAGACACTCGTCAAGGTGAACTTGAGTACAACCCTTTCGCATATGACGTCGGAGCTTTGGGAGTGATGTTCTGCAACATGTTTCAGGTAATTCTCTTGTACAATGTTTGAAAGAAGTATGCTAATATCTTGTGTAACATATGATCAGGACCTCATTCTGCATGCCCCCATGATGACGCCTCTGTTAGATATGATGGTAACCTCAGATGTATCCCGAAGATTAGCGGCGGTAGAGGCTTTACACTTCTTCCAACATGGTCTGCTGCCTAGTCCGTCTGATGAACAGCTGGCTATGGCTCCACCGCCACTTTCACCATATCGCGTTGTGACCGTTGAGGATGACCGGTGGGCTGGTCTCCCGAGTGACTTCGTTGCCAAATGGAAAGAACATTGCACTCCTTCGTCATCCTGAATGACTTTGCTTCTACGCCACATATGTCGAAGGAAGTGGGGATATCCGTGTGTCCGCGCTACACGTCGAATTGTTAGGTCCATAGTTTATCATATTCACGGACAGCATTTGTTTATTTAGACACATGCCCTCCTAATACAATTTAGTAGGTAATGGGACAGAACGGCGGACGTTGCCAGTGAATGTCACTATGAGTACTGAATAGTAGAATTTTCGTTCTATTCTTGCGTCGAACAAGGAGCACCAATAGTGTTTATTATGTGGGCATGATTGAGGGACATCATCTCGCTTCTTGTGTGAGTGGCTGAGCCTGTGCACTCAAACAATCCGTTCAGATGATGATGTTTAATAACACAGGGACATCTCCACGTCGCAACTTGAGGCTTGTGTAATGTCTGGTGCTGGTGTTATATTCCTACACTACGAGTTGTTAGAAAAGAGGTCGGGCCGCCGCGAGGATGCGAGAAGACTTGCGGGACTCATCATACGTAAATGTCACGTGATCTATCCCGTTTAAGTACAGAAGGAATTTTTGCCAGCAACTCTCTTTACCGAGCAACCATGGCGTCGTCTTTACGGTCGACGGCAATGAGGGCCTGTCGCTCGCCCGTCTATGCCTTCACGTCTTTCCGAGGTCTTGTTACTTTGTCGGCCAGGAGCCGGGGTGAGTCCTCTTGCTTTTCATTCCTTGTCATACCTCCCATCATTGTTGTGCGCTGAGCTTCGACTTTATCATCTTCGACTTGAACATGGCTCAATGGCTGACTATATGTGCATATCCCCAGTTAATCCTTTATTACCCTCATGTCGGCGATATGACCACATCCTCGCGCGTGCGCTCAAGGAAGAGCCCGTCAACCTCGATCCTGGCGAGCCTGTCGAGCCGCAGGAGGAACCGGAGAGTCACAAAAAGAACGATTCCTACAACAAGCAGCCTACCTTTGCTAGCTTGAGGGGATCCATCTCTGACAATACCCTCAAGGCACTCACCCACCGTCCATTCACACTCACTCACATGTCACCCGTCCAGGCAGCGGTCCTTCCTCTTCTACCAAAACTTTCCGATCCTCATGAACCGGGTGTCGATGCGGACGCATCACCTCCTCGAGACCTCCTCGTCAAGGCAAAAACTGGTACAGGAAAAACGCTCGCCTTTTTGATCCCCGCTATCGAGGCTCGACTGAAGGCCATTGAACGTGCCGGCCTTGATACTCAGACATCAGGTATCTCGGATCCTCATGCGAGGCACAGGGCCGAACTTTCGTTCGCGAGACAACAGGTTGGCACGCTCATCATCAGCCCCACCAGAGAGTTGGCAACCCAGATTGCGAACGAGGCGATTAGGGCAAGCTTTTGGCACAAGGGTTTCGAAGTCAGGCTGTTTACCGGAGGTGCGAGCAAACGGAATCAGATGCGCGACTGGATGAAGGGCCGCCGCGATATTGTCGTCTCTACCCCCGGTCGTCTTCGTGATTTGCTGCACACGGAACCAGAGGTTGCTGAAGGGATTAGGAAGACTCAGATTGTAAAATTTCTCCCTTCTCAAACACGTCCATCACTAAATCAGGGCTTTGTTTTAGCTTGTTCTTGATGAAGCGGACACACTGCTCGAGATGGGCTTCCGCGACGACATCGACGCCATCATCGATTTTCTGCCCAAGAAGCCCGTTCGCCAGACCTTCCTCTTCTCTGCTACTCTCTCCCCAGCCATTCAGCAGGTTGCGCGCGCGGCTCTCGACAAGAAGCACACCTTCATTGATGTTGTTCCTGTTGATTCGTCGCCTGTTCATGCACATGTGCCCCAGTACCACACTGTCCTCCCCACGGCCGAGAAACAGATACCTCACATCTTGAACCTCATCGCCCACGATCAGCTTGTCAACCCCGGTCGGTCGAAGATCATGATCTTCTTTCCCACGACAAAGATGACTCAGCTTTTCTCTACGCTACTCGGTCAATTGGCTAAGACGACCCTTCCGGCAGGCACTGCTACTAGGACGTACGAGATTCACTCCAAACGGACACAAGAATCGCGTTCTTCGGTATCGGATGCCTTCCGCTCTGACAAAAGCGGCGCCTCCATCCTTATCACTTCCGATGTATCCGCTCGTGGAGTTGATTACCCCGGCGTGACGCGCGTCATCCAAGTCGGTATCCCCGGCGGCACTGAATTATATGTTCATCGCGTTGGCAGAACTGGACGAGCCGGAACGAACGGACGTGGCGACCTTGTCCTTCTCCCCTGGGAAATCGGTTTTGTTTCTTGGCAGCTCACAGATGTCCCGATGAAGCCTCTCACTTTCACCGAGCTTGATTCACATGTGAAGGAACTCGCCAAGAAATACGATGAAGAACCGGAGTCGTTCTGGAAAGGTCTTAAGGTCGCCGAACACGGCGAGCCGCAATATGATCGCTCAGGTCGTAAAGCTCTTCGGTTACCCACGAAATACCCGCAGACACTATCCTCGATGGTCGAAGAAACCCCTACTATCGTTTCTGCGCTATTGGACAAATTGGACGAGTCCGCTATTAGGGAGACCGTGGGCTCGATGTTGGGTTATTATATTGCCAAGTCGCCCGAATTGCGGGTTCAAAAGCCTGTCATCGTTAAGGGTCTCATGGACTGGTCCGTTCAGGCGCTCGGTCTGCCGCAGGCTCCTATTTTCTCCCAAGCGTTCCTTGAGCGATTGGGCTTCTCGGACGGAAGGACAAAGCACTTCGGCAGGGCTCCTCAAAGAGAGCGAAGGACGGACCCGCGCCAGCCGCACTGGATGGGTCGAGGCACACGAGCCTCCAGAGAGGACGAGGGCGAGAGAGGAGGATGGGACAGCGAGGGTGGCGACCGATTCCAGAGGAACAATAGAATGGGCAGTGGTGAGCGTTTCCCGAGGCATGATAGGACTGATGGCGATCGGTTCTCGGGTGGCGATCGGCCTTCAGGTGGTGATCGGTTCTCGAGGGACGATCCTCGTGGAGAGCCTTCGGAATATCGCAGCAAGCGGTACGATTATGGAAAGGGCGCGACGCGGCCAAGAAGGGAGAGCAAGGACGAGTATTAGTCTTTCGTGAGTTCCCTTTTTGACTGCCAGGAGCACGCAGATGTAGACGGGGAGAGGGGGCACTATATATTACATTATTGCTGTTACCTTGTACTATACTCATAATGGTCGCATTCATCTAGTCTCCTCACCACCTCATCAGTCACAGTTCAGTCTCCTTGCTAGAGTTACTTACATCGCCAAAAAGTATGTATGGTTCACATCGTGCGCCGCTCGCTGTTTGTTACATTCATTCATTATGAGGAGCAAAAGAAACTGAGACAGTTTGATGTCCCGCCAAATTTCGGATCCACAAATCATAGGCTGCTATAGGTGGGGAAAAACTTGACCTTACCAATGTTGGCAAATAACATTCGCGCCGTCAGCGCGCGTCTCCCTTGAGGACCGTCTTCAGCCGACATAACTATCTCCCGTGACACACCAGCCGCAGTGCTTGATTCGAAGGTCTACGATGACTTCGGGAAACCTGGAACCCGGGGATGAGGATTCTATAATTGATTATCCTGGTGACGCCACTACAATGCCGTCGAAAGTGCGCTGTAGACCGATACTGATACTACTACTTCCAAGATTGCCTTGGGTCACGAACATTCAGCGGCAAAAAGGCCACTCTCCTCAGCCTGATACCCGATGTTTCGGTATCTATCTTCTACGCCGTATTCTTTAACACGCGCACACAGCGAGCTGCCTCCAGTTCTCAAGAATATGTTTCTGTGCAGCACATGTTGAACGAGAAGTCTAACGAGTTAAGGACGCGGCGTGATGCATCGTGGTCTCAGGCCAATGCCACTGACCTCATGGCCCAGCTCGACGAGCAGCGGGAAGAAGAAAGAGCAACGTTCAAGAGAGATCAGGCGCAGTGAGAGCAAGATCTCGAAGCGCGATGGGAGAGTAGGTTGCAGTAAGCATTGACACAACAGCAAGTGGACCTGCAGAAAGCAATGGTACAGCAGAAGGCGGAGCTGGAGCAGAAGATCTCAGAGCTGCAGATAGCATTGGCGCCGCAGAATATGTGGATGCAAGACGAAATGGAGCGGAAGGTGGCAGGGCTACAGACCTTATCGAGCCAGGCGGCAGTGAGGGCGAACAAGGGAAAGGAGCACATCGAGCAAGAAAACAACGCAGACAATGAAGACGCGACCGCTGAGCTTCTACCGCTGAATAGTCACATCGAGAGCCAGATGTTCATGGAGAGCGTGATATCCCAGGTGCGCTTTTGTCATTGATCCTTACCTTCAGCTCATTCTTTGGTTGGTTTCAGACTTTAGATGCACTCAACTGGGAAAAGCTGTACAGACGGATCGAGAAAGCGCAAGAGAGACTGGCGTGGACTGCTGGTCTCGTCGACAATATCTCCAATCGTCGAGTAGCAAACATCGGCGGGCGCGCGTCAGCGAGATTAAGACCCTCAATCTCAGCGACACAGAGCGGCTTGCTGTCGCCAAGGGCCTCTTCACAGGCTCTGCAGACAAAGAAGCATCCGCCTTCCGTCTGCTCAACTCGCCTGCTGGATACCTTGTCGTGGAGCGCTTCTTCCTTGTGCGAAAGGGAAGGGGTTCAATTGTTGATGAGCCGGTTGTTGATCAAATTGGTCCACACATGGAGGGTATCCTGTTGCTTACCTCTTTTGTCCGTGATCCCGATTATGATATCGCAACCTAGTGAAAGTCAATTTAATTCCACAAGCAACGTCTACAAAGTAGAAACCCTGATGACTGCAGGGGTGAAAAGAGGGGGGGAGTGGGGGTTCTGTAACATCGAGGAAAACACGTATGCTTTCCTATATGAAAAGTCTACAACGTACTCTATCGACTCTCGGACATCGACAAAACGCGCTCGCGCCCGTCATCGACAGACTCGTCGACCCCTTCGACGAGGACTTCTTCCCCAACCATGGATTCCTCAGGATGCGGAGGCTTGAAGCTCTTCAGTTGGTTGTCGAGCTCAGCCTCGAGGACATCAGGTCCACAAGATGCAGCAACGAAACCGAGGAAAGGTGGTGATGGATTGAGTGGACGCGTGCAAAACTCAGGGTGAGCCTGAAGACCGATGAAGTAAGGATGTCCTATTAACACGTGGGCGGTTAGCTTTCAAGTCTGATGGGCAACATGTGAGCACTCATACCAGGTAGTTCCAGCACCTGCATCCGTTCTCCCTTTTCGTCTTTGCCAACGAAATGCAATCCACTGGCTTGGAGCCGGTCGATAAATTTGGGGTTGACCTCGTACCGATGACGGTGCCTCTCCCAGATCTTGCCCGCGCCCGCGTATAGTTTCCGCATGACCGACGACTCTTCGGTGCCGGGTTCGAAGACAGTCGGGCGAAGACCGAGACGCATCGTTCCGCCCATGTGAGTACGCGAGATCTCAGGCATGAAAATGATCACGTCGTCCTCAGCCTTGGAATTGAATTCTGTCGAGGTGGCAGCTGGAAACAATGTCTGATTGATATGGCACAAAATTTCGATACAAAGGACAGTATGCTTACCAGGGAGGCGGAGAATATTACGCGCCCACTCGATGACAGCGAGTTGGAAGCCGAGACAGATGCCCAAGAAGGGGATCTTCTGTTCTCGCGCCCATTTGATCGCGAGAAGCATCCCCTCAGTGCCACGTTCGCCGAATCCGCCCGGGACGAGTATACCCCTACGGTATTGTGCAGCTCTTATCTGTGTTAGGCATTCAAATGTGCTTACCCAGCGCCGACAATGGTTCGCCATGCATCGTGATACTTTTTAGGGTCCTCGTCCTGCGTAGAGGGTTCCAGATCTGACGATTCGACCCACTTTTAATCGATAAATCAGCGTGTGGGACGTATGGTGTGGTGAAAACAGACCTGAAGGATGAGTCTACGATGGCATCGGAATGCCGAGTGCTCTAGAGCTTTTGTTACGGACATATACGAGTCCTTGAGGTCAGTGTATTTCCCCACCAACACGATTGAGACCGTGTCGAAGAGGCGCTCCTGACTGAGATGAACTTTAGACGCGAACGATCCGAGTGAAGATAGATGCTGCTGACTCGATAGTTAAGCCTTTCCACCGACGTTCTAATTGGGTGCCTCGTTCCTGCATCTGCGGCGTCAATTGAATACTAGTCAGGTTCAACCGTTTTTTCAAGAACCCGACGATGTTCTGAGACTGTAGCAACAATGGAACATGGTACACAGAGGACACATCGTGCACGCCGACGACCTGTTCCGAATGAACGTGGCAGAACATTGAAATCTTCTCTTTGGTGGCGGCTTCTAGTGGTTGTGAAACGGTGAGGCGGCATGCGATCTTCATTCGTACTTGATCAACGTCCTGCGAGCGTAGTATTATCGAATTACGGGACAAACCAGATCGGGAAGTAAACCCAAACCGCGCAGCGCATGCACAGTCGTTTGTGTTGGTTTTGTCTTTTGCTCGCCGTGCATATCTGGCACGAGCGAGACGTGAATAAGTGCAAAATTTTCATGGCCTACGCGGAATTGGAATTGTCGCATGGCTTCGACGAAGGGAGCAGATTCGATATCACCAACGGTACCGCCAAGCTATGTCATTGTTGAAGAGTCCGCTGTATGATGAGCGAGAGGAGAACACGTACCTCCACGATGCACACGTCTGGTTCCTCGCCTGTCTCGTCTACAGGAATTTTCGAGACACGCTCTATCCAGTCTTGTATAGCATTTGTTACATGGGGGACAATCTTGGGGTGCGTGCATCAGGGCAATAGCCAATTAAATACGCGTTATACAAGGTACACTCACCTGGACGGTCTTTCCTAAATAATCTCCCCGACGCTAGGATGTCATAAGGGCCACAGTCCACGGATAGGGGCAATAACGCACACCTCTTTCTCTATCACTTGTTGGTAGATCTTGCCAGTCGTGATGTTGTTGTCTCGGGATAGCGTTACATTGAGATATCGTTCATAATTGCCGAGATCCAGGTCGACTTCACCGCCGTCATTGAGAACATACACCTCACCTATCTCCGATGAGTCAAAAACGCGTTCTCACTGCATCGCGTCTGGATCTCACCGTGCTCAGTAGGACGCATAGTGCCCGCATCTACGTTCATATAAGGATCTATTTTGATGGCAGTGACTTTGAGCCCCGTCATCTTGAGCAAAAGGCCCGTCGACGACGCTGCGAGAACAGGTTTCAATACACGAGCTACGAGTCGTGCTACTGTTTCGTACCAATGACCCCCTTTCCAATGCCACTCACAACACCTCCTGATACTAGGATATACTTTGTCATCACAACTGATATTGTTGGTGACAATGGAGGAAGGGTACGGTCGATTGCAGGGACCAAGTTTGAAAAACTTCGAGACGGTGTCGGGAGCCTGCGATCTGGCGCGGCAATGGCCGAATAGAAAGATGCACGTGACTACCCAACTCGCTTCACAGCCGCGCTCCAGCGTCCAAGACGCCTGGTAGCTGGTTGGGTCATTGCGGCCAAAGCCTACGGCTCAAGAATTTGACTCTAGATGCTTTATAGCCTTTGAGATGTCATCATGACCGATGTTCTGGCTGCTTTTCTGTAGAAAGTCCGTTTTTGTCGCTCCAAGATTGCTTGAGCACATACGGCTAGGGCTTAGGCCGACTGTACCAATCAACTCGTTTTGACGTTGGACGGTGCTATCAGCACTCCCCGAGACTCAAGGGTCCAATGTTGGATTCTCACCTAGCTCAGGATGGCTCGTCATATCGGTTTATGATTGACCATCATCCTCGGCGTCTCGCACACCGCTCATCCCCATATATTGTCTTCCCTCCCTTTTGATTCAAGTATCTAAACTTGGGTTGGACTCTTTTTCTCATCAGGCCCCCTAACGCTCAGGGCCCTCCCACGAACAGACCTTTTTTATGATAAAGGTCTCCTCGAGGGAAGGTTCCAGTCCCCATAGCTTCAGTGACTATCGCGGGCCCTTAGAATGCATTTTACAGAATCTCTTGACATGAGTTTACGCCTGTCGTGATGGGCTCATTCTTGTTCCGCATCGCCGTCACGCCCCCTCAATTAGCAGCGTACATCTCGCTTTGCCGTCGTCAAATGGGACTGTTGTGGCGCCCAAAAACGATCAGCTGTTGATCTTTCCGACTTTCGTGCCTAACTTCGGTGAGTTTACTCCTTTTGCGGATTATCGTGCGGTATATAAACCCAAGGCATCCTAAGATTCTCATACACCGGTAAAGCCATGACCACCTCTGCTTACACCCGCGTCGCCGTCGTTACTGGGGCTGCTCAAGGCATTGGGCGTAGCATTGCGTTACGTTTGGCTGCTGACGGACTCAATGTTATAGTGAATGATCTTCAGAGCCAACAAGGAGCCCTGGGCGAAGTGGTCGCCGAGATCGAGACGAAGGGTGTCAAAGCCGTTGCATATACAGGTAATGTGTCAGTCGAGGACGACGTCAAGAATCTAGTCCAAAAGGCTGTCGAAAAGTTTGGTAGATTGGATGTTGTGCGTGATTGTTTACTCTCTGCATGTTGTAACGAACCTAACATGTCTTATGCGTCAGATGGTTGCTAATGCAGGCTTCGGGGGCCAGATCTCTGCGATAACTGATGGTTCGTTCACCTGACTATTACTCGACGGACATCCTTGACTTATCACGGTCTCGGAATAGTATCTCTTGACGAATGGAGAGGCCTCATGTCTGTGAACCTCGATGGTGTCGTTCTTTGCTACAAGTATGCGGCTGCCCAGATGATCAAGCAAGGAGATGGTGGGCGGCTTATAGGTATGTATTCTGTTCATGAAGGTCCCATCGGCCCCCAAGAATCTTACACCTCGAGCAGCTGCGTCTTCAATATGCGGAAAGAAAGGTTTGCTTGAATCTTCTTCCTTGCAAACATTCGTCATGGCAGTTGGCAGGCTTTGCTAGACTTACCGCCTATTGCGCGTCCAAATTCGCTATCCGAGGTCTGACACAGTGTCTTGGTATGTAACCCTTCCTTGTTTAGATCGTACAACTCCTTATATATCACAGCACTGGAACTCGCCGAGCATAACATCACCGTGAATGCATATGCGCCAGGCATAATTCCAACTAAATTGAGTAAGTATCAGTATCCATTCTTAATTGATCTTTTCGACCCTATCAACGCCGTCAACAGCAAAGTCTGTCGGCGATGGCGGGCTTGACCCTATCAAAGAGGTCAGTCTTACTATTGAATGTCGAATGTGCCAATTTTTTATGGTTGTGACTCCATATACAGCTCATGAAACTGCCGGATGCGCGCACCGGGACGACAGAAGATATCGCAGCTTTCGTGTCGCACGTTGCATCGCCGCAATCCAAGTTCATGACAGGTATGCGTCTATAGAAGTTCACTTGAATCTTGAACATTCCCGTCTGATAAACGTACAGGACAAACAGTGATCATCGATGGTGGAATTTGCTTCGATTAAGGACACTGTATGTCGGGAATGAGCGACTGCAAGTATATATGGTGATATGTTGTATAACAGCTATTTTCTTTTCCCAGTGTGAGTAGTGAAGAACCTGCGCCAATATCAGCCAATACTTTAGATCGGTCTCTCCAGAGGTCGCGTGCACTAGGCTGTACTTGTTCAATTTCGGTGTAAGGTGCGTAAGTTGCTCGCCTACGTCAGATTTGATACTCGTTGCAGGCTCCTATTTTTCTCGTCAAATTCCAGACCCCTAGGGTGCTGAATGACCCTTTTTGTTCCCTGATCACATAGCTGTTTCCCTTCCTTTTCCGAGGTCGGACACGAGGATTACTGTCTAACAAATGCACTAATCATAGTGTCAACCTTTTTATTTTGACCGTAATAATTGGCTTTTCATGATCAGGATGGAATTGAGATCAGCGATACCTACAGCGACGTCTCTAGTCAGCCATCTGCTATGTATGACGGTACGTCTTTATTCCCACCGTCACCCTCGAGGCCTGCTTCAAGTACGAAGCTGATCAAACGATCAAGCAAGAACATGATGAGTCACTAATACTGTAGGCTGTCAATCCACGGAACTTTGACGTGTATTGAACGAGGCGCATTATCGTTGTGCAGCAAGACAGGTTAGCTTGGTAGGCTTGGCCGCATATCGCACATCTCATTTAGCCATTCAAGCCATAGCAGAATGTGTTGGTGCAGCGGCTCTCCAATCACTCTCATCGAAGTTATCAACGCTGTTAGCAGCGGGCCGCAGACAATCTAGCTATCCTAGCTCTTGCGTATATCTGCCAAGCCTCTGCAGTGGCTACGAGACACGAGATGTTCGTCTAGGATGCGACGTTCACTAAGGAGTGGGTTTTGTCAAGCTATGTCTTTCAGCTAAAATTCGTTGGGGATGTTAGTTCGGGGCACACGACATACCTTTCCTTGTCATCGTTATCGTATGTCCTCATCGTTACGCACACCTAATGGACTCGTCGACGTGGGTGGGATGCCACCAACATGCTGTGCCTACAACACGTGCACGTCATACAAGGTGACCACGAATGAACCTATTTATTATCGAATATTCAATTGCCTGGACGCCTAGATGTGTTAATACCTTTGAATATTGCAGAGGTTGGAGACACATTGCGAAGCACTTAGTAGGGAGTGGCGCCCATGGCGCACGCTGCTACGATTGGAAGACAGGGCCAGTAGGCGTCACGCTGAACCTCACCCTATCCCCTCTCCCAGGGCCGCCGACGCAAAACTCCCGCCAAGTCCACTTCCAACCCGCTACACTCTTCTCATCGATCTCTCGCTCCATCCCTAACCGATGAAACAACCCGTACCCGTGACGCTCCGCGAACAGCAGCGTGATCTCGATCACGCCAATGGGAGGCGGCGCCGACCTGGGTGTGAGCCTGATGTGCCCCGTATCTGGGTCCCGATTCAGCTCCTTTCGACGACCGATGACAATCGCCCAGGTCTCCCTGTCATCGTAGGCTCTCATCGTTGCCGTCTGACGGCGGCCCGTGTCTCCCAAAGACCCACCGTCCCCTCTAATGACCAACGCCGCTCTTGAATAAAACCTGAAATACCCCGAATCACACATAACGCCCTTCGGTGCTCCCTCCGATTGCCATACATCTTGCGTTCCGATCGCTTCGAATGCCAGCATAGGCCCCTCTCGCGTACGTATGTACGCCCTGCCACTCTCAGACGTCTCAGGCATGGCAGGCAGCGTCGAGATCTCCACAGACGACGGCATCTCTGGCGCGATATATAGCCACGTCGCCCTCTCCCCGCGGTCCATCAACACCTGGATCAGCTTGATTGTCGCCTTCGTACGCTCCGCGGCGTGGAATTGCGAGACATCGAGGCTGACGCCGAGCAGGTCCATGAGGCTGAAGACCATGTCGACGGGCCGCGAAGACGACCGTGCGAAAGCCGATACCCACAGGTACTGACCTGATCTCCCAGTTTTGAGTGCGCGCTGTAACAGTTTTGCGGCGGGGGTATAGATGACTCGAACGGGGAAATGATCGTGGTGCATCGACAGCGTCGGCTCATGGTATTTAAAACCAGCCACACCCCCCGCCATCAGTCGAAAAAGCTCGATAAGATCGCACGCCGCGGAACGTCCTGGCTCGACTATGGTCTGAAGGGGACTGGGGGTGTGATGGAGAAACTCGATGAACTTGGGGCTAAATCTGGATCCGCATTGCTGCTCCAGGAAATCGAAGTATGTCGTATGGGTAAACGCGAACACGCACTTCAGTCTGTTCCTCCCAGGCGCCGACGCCTCCTGGAGCGTCCACGCTCTGTCAATCCATGTAGTCGGCTCCGATAGTCCTGCAAGCCGCACCAGACCTCCAGGGAAGACGAGACACGGGTCACAGTGGGCGTAGATCTGAAACATCCGCTGGATCTGCCAGTTTTTGTCGTCCTTCCTCGTCTGCAGAATGCATAGTCTGTCTATCCACAGTATCGATCTTCCGAAACAGTGTGCTGCAATACATGCCGTGCGCAGAACATCGATGCTGATGTGGTCTGCATGCTCGGCACCCTTGACACTGAAGCTACCTTCGGGAGGCGTTGTCCCTGTTGGTATTTGGAGATCGCGCCAAGGGTAGGAGATGGCAGCAAAGGAGTATTCCGGCAAAGATCCATCTGGCCATTCGATTATGCGGAGCACGTCAGAGTCGATAAAGGCATTGCAGTCAAGGAAACGAAAACAACATGGAACAGCATGCTCGTCAAGGCTGACGGTGGCATTGGCGAGATTGAAGAGTGGTATATCGAGAGCTAGTCGGGGAGGCATCGTGAACTTTGACTTGATGGTGAACAAAGGTCTATCTTGGTCGCCTGGGTGCGGCAGTTACCGAAAAAACATTCCAGCTACTGTACTTACTGTATCGGAAAAGCATCCTAATGAACGTCAGGTGAGCTTGGCTTTGCATAATAATGGATTGATATTGACACTGATGTTGTAGTAAAGATTGGAAAATTAAGACATATTAGTTGGATACTGACAATGACAGGCCCTTGAGACTCGTGCGACACTGCAACGTGATGAGTCCTCCATGCTGCACCAAGTGAGCAGGCTCGGCCGATATACGCGGTATGACACAGACTTAAAATAGAAAGATAGAAACCATGTGCATAAGTCTTGTCCGCTCACGCGTGCATACAATGATGAGGTGACGTGGTCGTTCGATATGATAGCGTTGAATCAGTGGTCCACCCGGTACAATATACATAGCGATGCGATATGATGGCACTTACTTCTGGTTCTGACTATTGAGCCCTAGGTCAGGAGTCACATCCACTTAGTCGCCAGAGCGTGCAGGCCATGAGTTGTAGGCAGTTCGATGTTGAAGCGACAGGCTTCTATGTCGGAGAGATCTTCACGAAGGCCAGTCGGATTGATGCCAGAGCTCTCCAGAGGCGCATGAAGACACGAAGCGGCCCTAGCATCACGATTCGTGAAGCATTGAAGCAGCCGGAGTATTGCTCGGATCTACGAGCTAGGGCATTGAGTCGGAGGGGTTCGTGAACTCGAATTCCTCCTTCGATCCTCTGCCTCGTGGAGCGCGCGCTATGGCATAGTACCATGCAGCTAATGATGGTCCAGGTGATGACCATCGCGTGGGAGAGAGTGATGGCAGGCTCAGAGTCCATCAGGTTGTCGTGGAAGAAGATGAGTAAACATACCTTGGGAGGCGTAAATTGCTGCAAATCAACCTTTGAAGCTCTCTTAAACGAACGATTTGCGCTTCGTGCAGGGCGTTGAGAGGATACCAGGTTTTACTCGCCAGGTGCAAGGTGATTCGATTAAACCGTCGATGTTCAATTTGTTGACAACAAATGGATGCAGACACGTGATTGGCAGGGATACAGATATATCGTCCGGGATATGTTGGAGCTTCGAGAAGCACGATCAGTTGACTCTGCATGTACACTGCTGCGGTGGTAAGCCTGCCCCTTCTTGTACTTATCTCCACATGCCTCACACATGCCTTCAGGGCTCAACGGCCTCGCCAGCGCTCGACACCGTTGTAGCATTGCCAGCACTTTAGCAGCATGTAGCACTCGACTCACAGGATTGCCTCCAGATGACGCAAATAGGAGACACAAGGGCCGCAGCGGGGGTCTCAGCCGGGAGACTTGCGATTGATCTGAGCAAATGCTCCCGGTCTCTGCTATTGTGCCAGTCACCTCGCTAGCCAGCGAACCAGCTGAGTCAACAGTATCGGGTGCCGCTATCGCTGGTCGACATCATTTTTCCAACACGCGGCAGCGCTCAACGGACGGTCTCAGAATCAGATCGTTTCGCGATATAGCTCGGACTGACGACCGATGGTATAGCTAGCTCGGAAATATATATAATAAGACCGTTACGTTGCGAGCCCATCGAACCGTTGCCCCACCCGCATCTCTCTGCTTGCTGTTCTGCTCTGCTCTGTCCTCAGCTCTATTGACCCTGGTCTTGATCCTCCAACTCTTGGACATTGAACGCGATTGGGTCCCTGCGAATGCTGCTCTCGGCTGCCTTAGCTGCAGCCCTCGCGTTCCCCGCGACGGGGTTCGCGAAACAGATACCGGTCGTCGATGGCGTCATCGGAGGCGTCGGAACTACGAGCGCGCCAGAGGCGGAGACACTCACGGCCGATGCATCGACGGCTGCGGACGCGATCACACCTGGCGCGCTGCGCGTGACGGAAAACTCTGGTATCTGCGGTACGCGCGCTTTCACTTTCCCTGTGTCCACGAGGTCGGACAATGGTTTGATAGTGGGTTGTGGACTTTGTAGAGACGACGCCGGGCGTGTACCAGGCGTCGGGGTACGGAGACCTCACGTCGAACGAGAGTATCTGGTTCTGGTTCTTCGCCGCGCGCAACAACCCAGACACGGCACCCCTCATCACCTGGTTCAACGGCGGAGTAAGAAAACTGTTCTTCCGTCTCGATGCATTTAATTCCGCAGCTCATCGCCTCGTTGCGTCGTCAGCCGGGAAGCTCGAGTATGCTTGGCCTGTTCCAAGAGCTCGGGCCGTGCCGCATCAGCAACGACAGCAGCAGCGTCGCGTTGAATCCTTATGGATGGAACGAGAATGCGAATGTGTGAGTTGCTGATGTTGATCCAATAACTGCGCCTTCTTGAGCTCGGCCGGCAGGTTATTCATTGACCAGCCTGTTGGTGTCGGGTTTTCATATGGCTCTACGACTGTCGGAACGTCTCAGGCTGCGGCGTCGGACGTGTGGAAGGTACGATGCAACCCTCTTGAAGGCACTCGTGTGTGGTATAGGCGCTCACCACGAACCGCCTGACTGCAGTTCCTCCAAATCTGGTTCTCGGACTCCCGATTCAGCAAATACGCCAGCAGAGACTTTGCAATCTGGACCGAATCGTGCGTCTCGCTCACCTCCCTCCGTCCGCGATGCTTTGTGCGTGCTCAGATCGCCTGTGCTTTGCAGTTACGGCGGACACTACGGCCCGACGTTCGCTGCGTACTTCTTGGAACAGAATGCAAAGGTCGCGAATGGTTCGGTTTCTGGTCTTCCGATTAACCTGAAAGTGCTCGGCGTTGGCGACGGCCTCACGGTATGCGCCTCGCTCACTGCCAATCTCAACGATTCCTCATAAATATGACTAGGACCCACTGTCGCAATACCCCGGCTACATCACTTACGCTGCTAACAACCCGTACCACCCCCTAGTTTCCTCTTCTGTCATTAAACAGGCCAACACTTCCTTCTACCAGACAAACGGCTGCCGTGCCCGCGTGCGTCCTCTCACTCCTTTCCTCCACACATCGCGCCCGGCGGCTCAGACGTGCGGGGCCCACAGATCCAGAACTGTTACAACAACGGCACGAACTCGGTCTGCTCGTCCGCGCAGAGCTACTGCAACAACAACGTGCTCTCGCCGCTCGCGGGCGACTACGACGTGTACTACGTGCCCGCGACGGACCCCGACCCGTACCCCCCGGATCTGACCGACTACCTCACCAGCGACGCCGTGACGTCGAAGATCGGCGCGCAGGCGACGTGGAAGGAGACCAGCAACACCGTGTACAACAACTTCGCGAACACCGGCGACTGGATGCGGAACTCGGCGCCGAATCTGGAGACGGTCATCAACGCGGGGGTGAGTCGCTCGTGCTGCGCTCGTGGCGATTTGCTCACCGTGAACAGGTCCGCACGATCATCTACGACGGGGACGCTGTACGTGATTCCCAGGCAAGGGGCAGCAACGACCCGGTTTGACATTCACCTTCTAGGATTACATCCTCAACTTTAACGGCGTAGAGGCCATGGTGAAGCCCTCCCTCCCTCCGCTCTCGCGCTCAACTAACACTCCCGCGCGCGCGCGCACGCAGGTCAACAACCTCAAGACCAACTTCTCGCGCGAGTACGCGACGCAGGCGTTCTCCAACTTCACCGTCGACGGCGTCTCCGCGGGGCTGTACAAGAACGCGGGCACGTTCTCGTACGTGCGCTTCTTCGGCGCGGGGCACGAGGTGCCCGCGTACGAGTGGGCCTCGATCCCGCGCGGCAAGGCCGCGCTGCAGATGTTCGCGCAGATCATGGCGGACGAGTCGCTTAGGGGCACGTGAAGCGGGCGAGGCGTGGTGCGGATGTTCGATCGCGAACAGGGAAATCTGGCGGGACGGCTCAGGGATAGTTTTCGTTTCTTTTTTTTTTTTTTTTTGCTATGGGTTTCGTGTGAGGGTAGTAAGGCGCGTGTTTTGATTTGACGACGTGAACGAACGATGATGTTTATCACACTGATGGGCGGAACGATTGAACAGCAAAACATGCATGCAGCCCACCGGTGTGTACGACGCTGCGCGCGGCTGACAACTGCTAGTCTGCCACGTCGACGAAGGAAGGCCGGCACACGATATCCGCAGAGTCCAGACATGGGCCGTTATAGCCCGCTATAGCGACGGACGAAGGCCTCGCTCAACCCACCCGCCTCTATTTCACTGCCCGCGAGCCCTTCTTCCTTCGATACATAGACAAACCCCTCCTGTGACCAGACTCGCCAGTCGCACCTTCGCGGAAGCAGACCAAGTTCGCGCACGCCGCACGCATACATATGCCTCCATGCCTCTCGATCCAACTCCGTCAGCGCGAAGAATTCGCCAACGACGAGGACGCAAAAAAAAAAAAAGTAGGCGCCCCGTGGGGTGGGGCGCGACGCATACATGCACGATCGGGCAAGTAAGTAAATAAGTGTAAAGTGCCGTCGCACGATCATCGTGCGCGTCGTCCTCCGCGTCTCATCGCATCGCATGGCGAACCGTCATAACAATCCAAGAACCTCATAGCCAGGATCCCACCGCGTCTCGTCTCATACCCATAATACAAACCGCACCCGCACCCGCACCCGCACCCGCCTCACATCCGCGCTCACTCCCTCTTCTTCCCAAGCCCCCAAAACCGCCCCCTCCGCCTCTTCTCCTCCACCTTCCTCCTCGTCTCCTCCTCCACCTCCTCCTCGCTCAGCTGCTCGCCCCTCGCATACCACACCACCGACGCCATCCCGAGCACCGCCGCGAGCACGCACCCGGCCATCGCGCCGATGCCCTTCGAGTGCCACCCGTTCCGCTGCGGGAACGGCCCGACGGTGAGCCCCGACAGGTCCGTCGTCGACGCGTGCCCCGCCGCGTTGCCAGAGATCGGCATCCCCAGCTGCTGGCACTGCGACGTGAGGTACGGCGGGACGCTCCCGCGCTGCTGCACGAGCGCCGGCGCCTCGAGGAAGGTCACGGCGAGCCCGACTTCGAGATGCCATTCGATGTGGCCTGTGCGTCGCCTGTCAGCCGAAACGTCGCCAAAACAGAGCGATACAAAACAAAATCAAACGGCGCAATAAAAAGGGACGGCACGCACAATGGAAGAACCACGCGCCGGGGTTGTCGGCGATGACGCGGAGCGTGACGGACGTGCCCGAGGGGACCTGCACCGTGTCGCGGCGCATCGGGTTCTTCTGCCCCTCGACGATCGGCGGGTTCAGCGTCGCGTTGTCGGACGTGTAGTCCTCCGAGCGGCCCACGATCTGCATCTTGTGCCCGTGCAGATGGCTGCGCGTCGTTCGGTGCACGGAGGGGAAAGAACCGGGTCAGCAAGGCGCGGTGTGAGGCGGGAAGCGACGCACAAAGGATGCTTTCCCGCGTCCCCGTTCTGCACGACGATGTCGAACACCTTGAGATGATCCACGACGATGTGGTTCGGGCCATACGCCTCCGCGACGGTCGCGTTCTCCGCGAGCGTGCGCTCGGACAGTATCGTCGGCACCAGCGGTGCGTTGTACGTCACCTGGTTGAACATCGCGTGGTTCGTGCCGTCGTCCATCGTGTCGAACGTGACCTCGAGCTCGTACGTCTCGTCGACGGGCGGCATCGCCTCGACGGTGAGCGGGACGAGGTCGATGTCGGGCACGTCAGAGTAGGCGTCGATCGTCCCGAGGTCGGTGAGCGGCGCGCTCGCGGAGTAGGTGATGAAGGCGGTCGCGTCTGCGCGCACATCAGCATATATCCACCCACTTTAGAGAATAAAGTCGACAGAGGCGCACGAGTGACCGTAACTATAAAAAAGAGAGAAAACATGTGAAATTCAACACGCACTCGGGTTCAGGGTGTCCGGCACGGTGTCGAACATGTCGGTGTCCATGTTGGCGTGGATCGCCCAGTTGGTGACGTTGGTGTCGTTCCTAGCGGTGACGAGCACCGAGTAGCGCTGCGCGACGGTGACGCTAATGAGGTCGATCGGGTACTCCTCGATGTCCGTCTATCCCACCGACAGCCAATGAAACCAAATAAACAAGCCGCAAGGGTCAGCACGACTCCCATATGACAATAGCAGACGCGACGCACGCCGTCCGCCTCGATGATGCGCATATCGTGGCCGTCGATCCAGAAGAAGAACATGGCGAACGCGGCGGTGTTGACGACGCGCAGGCGGTACGTCTTTCCGGGCTCGAACGCGAGCGTCGCGTTCTCGTTGAAGCCGACGGCGGACGTCGAGCCCGAGGGCGACGTGCCGGGGGCGGGGGCGAGGTACGCGCCGTTTTGTGCAAAGTAGATGAGCGGGGCGTCTGTGGGGTGTGGGGCAAGCGTGAGCGGGAGAAGCAGCGAGAGAACGGTGGCGGGGCGGGGACGCGCACCGGGGACGGGCTCGGCGCCGCCGGGGTTGGAGATGCTGATGAACTGGTCGAGGAGGGTGGAGTGCTGGTCGTGGTACCAGTCGCCGAGGACGACGGTGTATTCCGCGTCGTACGAGTGGGCTTCTTTTTCGGGGTGGATGACGAGCGGTGCGCGCAGGCCGTCGACGTATTGGCCCTGCGAAGTCGTGAGTGGACGTAAGAGACGTAAAAGGAAGGGAGGGGACATACGGAGGCGTGCGCGTGGACCCAGTAAGAGCCCCACTGGCCGGATTCGTTCACGGGAACGACGTAGTCAAAGGTGTCGCCGGGGGGGATGCCGCTGCGGGACAGAAGGAGGGTCACGTGGAGTCAGCGGCGCATATATGCGGGGGACGCACCACTGGGAAACGCCGACGGCGCCGTCCATCCAGGAGGTGGAGTTGAAGTACATGCCGTGGTGGTGGAGACTGGTCGGCTCGTTGAGGGAGTTGTGCGCGTGGACGAGGAGGGTGTCGTTCGTGGACACGTCGACCGGGGGCGGGCTGCACAACGGGCGAGGAGTGAGCGAGGCTGAGGGCGAGGACGAGGGAGGCACTCACGGCCAGGTGCCGTTGACACCGATGACCTGTCGCTCGAAGAGGCCGTCGGGGTTGGCGTTTTCAACGTAGGTGATGTTCCACCATATTTCCTTGAGTGCGGCGCGGGCGGGGAGGGCGAGGGCGGCGAGGAGGAGCGGGGCGGACCGCATGGGGGGCGGAGGGGAGGGAGGAGGGACGGGTGGAGGGAGGGGATGGAACGGGTTTATGAAGCGAGGGATATATTGAGGCGTGGACGGGAGACGTCCCCTGGAGCGCGCCCCTAATCTGATAAGAATCTTCCACCGCCCTATCAGATAACCCGCCCGAAACGGCCATCGCATCACGGCAGCCCCGGGCCCGCGGAGACGGCGCGCGCCCTTTATTGGCGCGCGAATTTCCCATCTTATCAGATGCGCGCCCCGGTCCACCCGATAAGATCAGACGGGTCCTGGTCGCCCTCCAAGTCGCCGCCTCCCGCCTTCCAATACTTATATCCCCCCCCTCCCTCCCATCCCCCGTCCCTCTCCAAGGGCCCCCCTTCTCCCCTTCCTCCCTGCTCCTCCCTCCTCCCCCCCGTCGCCGCCACACGCAATGGCCCGCAACCTCTTCTCCGTCCCCATATTCTTCATCGTCTTCCGCGAGACCCTCGAGGCCGCCATCATCATCTCCGTCCTCCTCGGCCTCGTCGAGCAAATCGTCAACGACGACCCCGCCCGCCTCGCCACCGCACCCTCCATCTCTGCCTCCGACGACTCCGAAAAACACGCCCCGGACACGCTCGCCGCCGCCGCCGCCGCCAGCAACAGTGCCGACCCCGAGAAAAAATCACCGACACCCGATGCCGCGTCAAGCGAGGGCGAGGCAGACGTCCGCGCCCAGCCCGAGCTCGCAGCCGTCCCCGCCGTCGACGCCCTCTCCAAACGGCGCCTCATTCGCAAGATGCGCATCCAGGTGCGTGCGCGCGCGCGCTCTCCCTCCCTCCCTCCCTCCGGGCGAACCTGACCTCACCCGCCCGAGACAGATCTTCGCGGGCTCCGCCATCGGCCTCCTCATCGCCCTCGCCATCGGCGCCGCCTTCATCGCCGTCTGGTTCACCAAGGCCTCCGACCTCTGGGCCAAGTCCGAGGACCTATGGGAAGGTGCGCCCCCCGCACAGCGCGTCGCCGGGCGCGCGAGCTGACTGACTCTGTGCGCGTCGCGCGCGCAGGCATCTTCGAGCTGATCGCGTCCATCATCATCTTCATCATGGGCATCACCATGCTCAAGCTCGACCGCGCCAAGGCCAAATGGCGCGTCAAGCTCGCCTCCGCGTTCGATGGCCAGCGTGAGCGCGCCCCCGTCTCTACCCGCACCGTCCCTGCGCTGACCCCCGCTCGATCGCGCCCGCGCACACAGACGTCGACGGCCGCACGCGCACGGGCAAGTGGGTGCTCTTCCTGCTCCCGCTCATCACCGTCCTCCGCGAGGGCATGGAGGCCGTCGTCTTCGTCGGCGGCGTCACCCTCGGCCAGTCCGCCACCTCCATCCCCATCGCCGCCATCGTCGGCCTCATCGCGGGCCTCATCTGCGGCTTCTTCATCTACGCGTTCGCGAGCCGCTCCAGTGCGTATCCTCCCCCGCTTCTCCCTCGAGCTGGCCATGAGCGGTGGCGTACGTGCTGACGCGCGCGTGCAGCGCTCACGATCTTCTTGGTCGTGATGACGAACTTTATCCTGCTCATCGGCGCTGGGCTGTTCAGCCGCGCCGCGTGGTCCTTCGAGATGCACCACTTTGTCAACATGTACGTCTTCTCCCCCATCCGCCCCCCCCCCCCCCCCCCCCCCCCCCCCCAGCGTCGGCGGCGAGGTAGACGACACGGGCGGCGACGGGCCGGGCTCGTACAACGTGCACGGCTCCGTCTGGCACCTCGACTGCTGCAACCCCGAGAACAACTTCGACAACGGCGGCTGGCAGATCTTCAACGCGCTCTTCGGGTGGACGAACTCGGCGACGATCGGGTCCGTGCTCGCGTACAGCCTGTACTGGGTGATGGCGATCGTCGCGCTCGTGTGGATAAAGTGGCGCGAGGGGCGCGTGAAGCTCGCCGGGCGGTGGGAGAGCGCGGCGGGCGTGAGGAGGAGGGAGAAGAGGGAGAAGGGGGAGGCGGGGCTGCCGCTGTAACGGGGTTGCGCGCCGAGACGGTTATTTTGGGTTTTGTACCCCCGATCCATGCATGCCTCTGTTGCTTATGAGTACTACTGGCGGATACGTGCAACAACGACGACGACGACGACGACGACGACTGGGCGACTGGGACGGCTGTACAGTTGAGAGTCCCCCTGTGTGTCGCTGACTCGACGAGTGCGGCCGAGTGAGGGAAGATCGCGGGAACGGCCAAGTCGACGGACACGGCGAGCGCAAGGCTACGTATGTACTCGTACTCGTACTCGTACTCGTACGAGCAGCGTAGGGCCTCGTCGGTGCCTCGCCAGTGCCGTATGCCACGCAGCAGCTCCTGACCCCAAGCTTGACGCTCGACGCTGGAAGCTGAAGCGCCGAAGCCGGGCCCAGCCGGGCCTCCCGATCGAGTGTCCCGGCGGCGCCTAGGTCACGGGAACATCAGACTTGGCGCTCGCTCGACCGTCCTTCGAGTCTCCGAAGTGTCTTTGACCGTCCTCGGCGCGTGCTCAAGCTCCTCTTTGCACGCTCGAGTCTCGATAGTAGCCCAGAACGGCCCTCCACGGCTCCAACGTCCGTCGTCTGTCGCACACGCACACGCACACGCATACGCACACGCACAGACACGACCACGCGCTCGCCGCTCGCGCTCACTACCGTCCCCGGCGCACCGTGCGCCTTGATATACCCTGCTATACTACCCTGCTATACTACTCTGCTATACTACTCTGCTATGCCCCAGCGTACCCCAATGTACCGAGGCATCATGCATCATAACGACCATCCACGTTCGTCTCCATCCGCTCGGCACACCCCACGCAGAGTACATACGCCAGTCATACTCTGTCATACTCTGTCATACTCTGTCATACTGTGCCGTACGCCCCCCGCCCGCCCCACCCCGCCAATCCCAAACTCCAACGAAACTGCATCTTATCAGATCCGCGCCCAGCCCTCTACTAGCCCTCCCCGGAACCCCCATAGATCCCCGCGCGTCCGCGCCCGCAGCCGATCGCAGCGCCCCCACCGCCCCCACCTACAGCGCCGAGGCGGAGGACGGGGCGCGCGGCGCGCGGCGCGGAGGCGGGGTCGCGCGCGTGAGGGCCCGAGGTCGACTGAGGGCCTCTGGGGACGAGGGGCGCGCAGGCGGCGGGACGGCGTCCGAGCGCGCGATGATCCGCAAGGTGCGCATCCAGGTGCGCAGCGCGCGCACACCCGCACGGCGTAGACCAGCCTCTCAGCCCCCGTTCTTGCCTGTTTACTCGCTCGCTCGCCCGCCCGCCCGCCCGCCCGCAACGGATCTTCACGGGCGCCGCGCTCGGGCTCTTCATCGCCGCCTGGTTCACATAGGCGTCTAACCTATAGTCCAAGCCCGAGACCCTCCGGGAGGGTGCGTCCCCGCGCCGCCCCCGCGCAATGCGCCTTCGCTTCGTCCACTCGACGGCGCAGCGCCCGCAGTCCTGTGCACGCTTGGCACTGACGCCCGTCGACGTCGATGCACGCCTGAACCTCAGTGCCCGTTCTGAGGAAAACGAGACAGCGCGACGGACAGGCGGCCTTGGCTGGACTCTGTCTGTTTGCGAACGTCGACGCACACTCGATGGACCCATGGCCAAGTCAGTCCAAGTCGCGATGATCGGAAGGGTCGGACGATGCACGCCCGATCCGATCTTGGATCCGGTCCTTGCCCCCACTTGGATGACGTGCTCCAGCTCCGGATGTTTGCTCGCGTCTTTTTTTTTTTTTTGCGCCCTCGTTTCTCCTCATTTTTCAGGATGTATTGATAGCGACCACTGCGTGGTGGAAGAACAGGGATCGCGCGGAGTCCGTGCACCGTCCGCAGCTTTTTCCGTGCCAAGAGTTCCTGCGTTCTACGCAGTACATACGAGCGTCGAGCGCAAGCCTCGAGGTCGATGTGCAGTCTCACCAATAGCGTGTGCTGTTACCTTCTTCACAGCTCCTCTACGAGATACACACAAGGAAGACTACTAGCAAAGACAGTGCAAAGACTTGCCCGCACTGAAATGAATCGTCCCATGGGAGCCCATGGGGGTCTCCTGAGGCAATTGTGGTTTCGCGGTCTCAGACTGAGTTGTCCGGGACCAACAGGCACGAATCTGATCGAGATCAGAATCGTGGCTAGGCTCGGCAGGTCAGGTCCCGCCGGTCACCATGCGATGGAGACCCTCATTTATCTGATAAGATATAATGCACCTTCTCAGTCGCTGATGCAGATATTTTCTGGCAAATCTGGGCACGCTTGGCGAGGCGAGAAAAAAACGCTCGGGCAATGATCAAGCCTCGTTGTTTTTCACAAGGAGAGGAGTTGAGCCATGCCTGCCATGCCTCGGAATCCACCGCCCGCGAGTCACGCGAGGGAAGTGCTCGGCGAACGGGCCCAGCGGCTTGGAATGGCTTGGAAGCGCCGATCCACATGCACGCATGAAGAGCCGACGAGGCAAGACTGCGAGGCTCGATATTTGCTGAGGGACAAACACGCGTATCTCGGATGGGGTCGGGGCGAGCGTTGGAGCTGCGTCCATGTGTCGGCCGTCGAATTGAACATGGCACATGAAAATGAATCCGCGTGAGGGCGGGTGCCCGCTGTGCCCGAATACAGGGTGCACGACACAGGACGATCAACATATGCGGTAGCTCGTTCTGTGGATGTCCACCCAAACATGATCTGGAGAACCACGGAAGCGAATCGAGTCGCAAATGGGGGCCTAAGAAACTTTCGATGCGAAGGACGATCCGTGCGCACTTGTGCTTCGCGAAGCGTCGCAGGCGTGCATGGGGCACTGTGGAGCCTGGGTAACGTTGAGCGGCTGCACATGTGGTGTTCAAGACTTCGCGAGCCCTTCACGCGTGCGCCAAAACAAGCAGAAATGGGTGCCGGTGTGGGCTCGCCCATCGAAGCCGTAGCCATGCATGATACTGCGCGAAGACGTGATCTGCGCAAAAAATTGAAGACCTCAAACAGGGAAGTCGAAGGACGGAGGTATTCGGGAGAAGACGTAGCGCGCGGGGGTCCGTGATGGACTTAGATCTGAATGATGCAACGGGGTGGCGTAATAAGCTTCGTCTATGAATATGTAGATGTAGATATTGATGAGCAGAGACCAAAATTGTCCACGACCGGCGCGATAAATCAAGGGACAGACAAGCCTCGAGCAATTCGAGACAGCCATGACCTATTCCCTGTACCGTGGCGAACGTGCCGCAACGATCGTATGATGAAGGCCTGTAACTTTGATGTTCCTAGCGCGTGTACGGTATCAAAATTTTCTGGATCCAGGCATTGACTAGTTGACTGTACTTGGGTTCTTCCGGCAATGCCGTACAACGTTCCTGTGACCTGGTGAGGTGCCGCTTTGGAAAGAGACAAGCTATTCTTATAATGGCACCGTGAACGAACGGCTGACCTGACACACCGTGATCAGCGCCAGAACACATCTACATCATACTATACGTACCTACGGAAGGTAGATGTCCGCTAAATATTACACGCTTAAACACGATACCGCGAAGAGAGGCAATTGTGAGCATGCGGGGTATGCATCAGATAAGATATACCCCAAAATGCCTTGCAACAGCACCCGGCGTCGCGGAGTCGAACGAACTACGAAGAACTTCGCCCTCCGCGCGGGCGTAGTTGAGTGTATCAGGGCACCTCGGGGTGCGCTATCTGATAACCTAAAGAAGTCGACGCGAGAGGTCTTCGCGTGGGAGGTGGACCCTTGATTCGTCGTATCTGATACCGGCAGAGTCAAAGCAGTTGGAATGAATACAAACAGAGGAAGACAGGTGTCAGTCATCTGCACTAGCCAGGTCGATGATGATCATTCAAGAGGTCGAAGCAAGGCGATAGGAAGGCAAATTTGGCATTCGTGAGAGACGATCTAGACGTGAAGGTACACAGAGGATTGGTGATGATCCGGCGAGCGAAAGGCTGGTGATGATTGAGAGGAGTGATCGCTCGCAGAGTGGCAATAATCAAACAGCGTGTGCTCATCCTGACGCACCCTGACATGCGCAATGACTTCTACCCAAGTAAACTATCTGACAGGTGGATAGCGGCTCCATGGAGAAGTCGTCCGAAACCCTGTGATCACCTAGAGGAGACCTGCCTTAGATCCAGTCCTGGCCGAACAACAATGATACTGTGCCGATGGGAATCCCATACGAATTGAGCGGCAGAATCAAAGACGAGCGTCCTTCCCTACGTAGAAGATCCGCAACATCGAAAAAGGCATCGGAGACACCAGCGTAATGACTTGGACCCAAAATAGCGCAAGCGAATAGGTCCACGGGCTCAGACGTGATGCATTGCTCCAGCATATAGTATTCCTAGATAGAGACTAGGCCTGCAACAAGCAAGGACAGCTGATCCTCACATGCACGTCTGACTTCATGTGTGTGAATCGGGCATGATATGACTTGATGCTGCCAACCAGATATGACTCACCTAGATCCGTGCTGGATTTTTCGTGTGTAGAATGAGACGGGAAGTGGAAGGTGAAGATAAAAAGGAGTAGCGCAGCCAATTCAGTGTCAATTTGAGAGTGGTGCAGAAGACCCGAGAGGACATGTGCGCCGTGGAGAATGGACGTGGCAATTTGGAGCGTAGTTTATCTGAGTTTCGATGGGTCTTAGCTGTGAAAGAGTCTGTCAGTGCCTGTTTGGTGAGTAGTCCCGATATCTCAACATCACAGCTCAAAGAGCAGCCATTCTGCACTAGGTCAAAATCCAACCACCGAATAGCGACTGATTGCGATATGGTGAACTGGATCCAATTCTTCAGGACGGGGGATGAGTTGCTACAGATATAGACGAAGTTATCCTTGCTATTATGAGGCCATGAATTCATGAGAAGGTACAACAGTTCAAGCTAAAGGGGGAGGAAAATGTCAAGCTGAGGGCGAGTAGCGGAAGGTGGCGGACGTGAGAAATTCAAGAACGCGATACATGTCGGCCAGATTAGATGTGTTGATAAGATGAGTTCACCTCTATTGACTCACATTCGCCAGGTTCGATGGCTACAGTTGTAAGTTAGGGGGCACTCTCTGCAGTGTTGATTTGGATTGACTATATCTGAAGGAGATGGACCCTGATACTTCTTTCCATCTCGTTTCTGTGGCGGAGCTCACAGGTGCGTCTTTTTTTCTTGGGTTCTTCCGTTCACACAATGGTGAACGACTGGTGACCGACAGGACACGACGATCGGGTTTGGAACGTCGCTTGGAACCCAACCAAGCCCCTCTTAGCCACTTGCTCCGCAGACAAAACTGTCCGACTATACAGCTATGCTGAAGGAGCCGACTCGTCGCCTGCATTCGCGCTGCATACATCTATCTCCACAGGGCATAACAAGACTGTGCGCGCATTAGCATGGTCTCCATCCGGCATCGCGCTTGCAACGGCTTCTTTCGACGCCAATATCGGAATTTGGCAAAGAGAGGGGGAAGAGGAGGCGGGAGAGGAGGAGGCGGGCGGTTGGGAGTGCATGGCCTTGTTGGAAGGGCACGAGACAGAATGCAAGAGCGTCGCATGGTCTGCATCGGGGAATCTGTTGGCGAGTTGTAGTCGCGATAAGACTGTGTGGGTTTGGGAAGGTACGTTGCTCCAGCATAGAGTGCGAGGAGACCGATCTGAACTGGTACGTGCAGCGGGTCCAGACCATGACTTTGAGTGCATGGGCGTGTTAATGGAACACACGCAAGACGTCAAGGCAGTTGCGTGGCATCCACATGAAGAAGTCAGTTTGTCCCTTCATACCACCGATACTTGCCTACCTAACTCCAGCTCACCTCGCTTACATAGTACAGATACTTGCATCTGCCTCATATGATGACACTATAAAGCTGTACATCGACGATCCTAGCGAGGACTGGTTTTGCTTCGCTACGTTGAGCGGGCACACCTCGACGGTTTGGTCACTAGCTTGGTCTCCCGATGGGCGTTATCTGGCCTCCGCCTCCGATGATTGTACGATCAGAGTATGGAAAAGGGTAGGAGACCATGAGTGGGTGTGCGTGAGTATCTTAGAGGGGCATGACAGAACGATCTACGGTGTCAGCTGGGGAGTAGGGAAGAAGGGCACCGACGATAACTTCCTCGGGTGGGTGGCCAGTGCCGGTGGCGATGGTCGGATAAATGTTTGGGAGCTTACAGTGCGTGATTTTCGCCCCTCGATTGATACAATTCATTCTCATCTAAGCCTTGTCACTCAGGAGTCGGCGAATGCGACGTCAAGGACGCCTCCAGACTCTAAGCTTATCGCGCGCATTGAGAATGCTCACGGTGTTGCCGACATTAATAGCATTGCGTGGTCTCCGAGAAAGGGTTATGAAGACTTTCTTGCGACAACGGGTGACGACGGTACGGCAAGGGTATGGAGGATGGTTAATGTAGAACGTTAATATCACATTGAGAGAGTTGTGCAGTTTGCCATGACGCCGATATCATGTACCCTCTTAGATTGCAGGAACTGGTAAGATGCTCACGGTAGATATGTAAAACGGATCAACTACGGTGGCGTAGCATTGGGTCCGCCCTTCGAGAAGAGATGAATGCATGGCTGAGCTTGTTGAGCGCATCAGCAGACTCATCACGCATCTCGACGGAGTGGAGTTTGCACTAGTCGCAGCCTGAAGAGGGCTGTTGGTGAAATTATGGCTCCAATGCAAAGTTAAAGAAGCCATTTGAGTTCCAATCAATCTATCAGTCCGTTGTCATCCATTTCCACATCGCCTCCAGGTTGTTCCTCTGCTTGTTCTACAGTGATATTTCCCGCCGGCCGCCATACATTGCCAGTTGTGGCTTTCCAGAGTCGGATTCGACCGTCATTGCCTGCTGAGGATAGGATGGTTCTAGTGGTCAAGGAAGATTTAGCAAAGATATTGATGATTACATCTGTAGAACATATGTACCCTGTGATATTCCACTCGACGCGGCCTACGGTAGACCTACAGGCGGTCGCAACTGATTCAGTCAAACATCCTGCATATGGAAAGAGGACATACTTGTGATGATCGAAATCAGCCACGATGCTGCAAGTCCACCGTGTTTCGTCGGCTTCTGCTCGCTCGTCGTTTGAAGCAGGAGGTTTCAGACGCCATATCCGTACATGTCCGTCGCGTCCACCTGTGGCAACGAGATGATACGATCGACCACAGCAAGGTGCCCAGGCCACAGACGTGATAGCAGAGGGGCCTGGGCCATCGTGGTCCATTGCTTGCGAAATATTTGCCAGTGTCGATGGATCGTGTTTAGGGAATGGATCGAGAGTGAGAAGAGTTGTCGGGCGGCGAGCGGGTGTAAACTGGATGATCTGCAGACTCAATCAGGTAAAACAAGGGGAATGTTGAGAAGGTAGCCGGAAAAAGTACTTTGACGATCCCGTTGGTCCCACAGCTGGTTGCGATGATTTCGCCCCAATATCTCTCCTTGCACCAAGAAATGGACCAACCCCCATCTGCCTCTCTGTTACCCGTTCCTGGTCGACTCGAAGGCTGATTTTGATGTTGCTGCAGTGCATTAGCTACCACAGAGGGAGGCGGCCCTTCAAGTGCGGCGTGTGTTTGTGTAGGCGTGGCTGCGGCAATGGTTTGCGTGTGCGAGGCGGAAGCGGAAGACATGGAGGGGATGGAGAGAACATCAACTTCTTCGATCAGCTGCCAGTTGGTCAATGATGGCGCTTCTAGACATTCGTAGACGCGAATGTGATTGTCAGAAGATATCGTAGACTAAGGGGGGTGCCACAGACAAGGTTAGGGAAGCTTGAAGACAAGAACGATAGGCAGTTCGACGCACGAGCTTGAGACCAAAATGATGTGGAGCAAACTCAACCCCTCGAACACTTCCCTTGGCATCAGTATTCACGGCGCGTTCTACCCAACGTGAATCTGAGGCTGAGGAAGGCGCATTGCCATTGAGTTGTGGCTGGTCGATGTCGGGGGTCGTCTCTTCCCAGACTTTTACTGAGCGATCAAACGACCCAGAGGCTATGACGGACCCGAATTCAGGGTGAGCCCAGCTAACCCTTGACACCGCTGCGTCGTGAGCCTTCCAGACGATACATAAGTTTCAATCTTCACACAAGACGAAGACGCACCTTCCAGTCACTAGTGACATTCCAGATTCCATTCTGCTCGTCGAGTTGCCATATTTTTATTCTGGAACAAAGAAATGAAAGGGAATGTCATGCCATGAGTCAAAATTGAGACGAGAGAAACAAACAAAAGCCCGACCTCTGATCAACACTGCATGTGGCGAGGCGAAGCCCATAGAAATCGTAGGCTGCATCTGTAACGAGATCGTTATGTGCGTTTTGTATGAGTCCTGTTTGCATTGTTTCGGTTCTCGTGTTTTCTTTAGTGATGGTGGCCGAGATGTGCGCGTGTTCAAGAGCGTTTCGAGTTGGACGCGAGGAGTGAGACGCGCCTCGGGTTGCCTCATCTGATCCACGGGTCACGGACTTGACTTTCGCGGTCACCTTTCATGCACATTTCAATCCCATTTCATGCTTCATTCCCGCATGTCGACTATCTTATAGAACATATCTCGTCTGGAATCTGCCTGTGGAACCCACTGTCTTGTGACTGGGCAAATGCCGATGTTCTTCCGAACGACATAAATACTAGCTATTCAAACGTTGCTCCCATTCTCACATCCCTCGCGCTGCCCCAGATACTTACTGAACAGCACTGCTGAAACATGACTCAAAACGTGTTCCCGAAGACATTCCAATGGGGCTTTGCCACAGGTAAGATCTCGCGTTCTGAAGCCTGAGGACGCAGGCCGGCAACGCCATGAAATAATCGACGAATCTATCATAGCTAGTTATCAGATTGAGGGCTCCCCCAATGCAGATGGTCGCCTCCCGTCAATCTGGGACACTTTCAGTCACACGCCCAACCGAACTGCGGATGGTGCAACGGGGGATAAAGCGACGGAATCTTACAAGTTTTGGATGGACGATGTAGCTTTGCTCAAATCTTACCGTGTCAAGGCGTACCGGTTTTCCCTTTCGTGGTCTAGGATCGTCCCTACAGGCAGCCGCCACTCAGAAGTGAATCAAGCAGGAATAAATCACTATCGACGCTTCATTGAGGCCCTGTTGGAGAATAACATACATCCTTTCGTGGTAAATTTATCTGAGTGGCCGAGTTGTTGAGAGTGCATTTATCGATGATTCTGTCTAGACCTTATATCATTGGGACTTACCTGATGAATTGGAGAAGACTTATGGTGGCTGGCTCAATAAAGACGAGATCGTGAAAGATTTTGTCTTTTACGCAGAGGTAATTTGGCCTATCGTGGACGTACATATCTCTGGGTTTACCGTCCGATTTGGTAGACCTGTTTCAATGCCTTCGGCGATCTAGTCAAAGACTGGTTCGTCCTCCTAATGATACCTTTATCGGCCTGATAAGTCTTCACTTGTTTTTACCAGGATCACTATCAATGAACCCTGGTGCGTAAGCGTTCTGGGGTACGGGAACGGTGTACATGCTCCCGGGAGATCAAGCGACAGGAAAATTTCTCCAGCTGGCGATTCCTCTACAGAGCCTTGGATGTAAGGCCGCCTATCTTTACATTACTGGAAATCCCTGTGTCTGAGATGTCCCATCCAGCGTCGGTCACAACGAGATTTTGGCACATGCATATACAGTGCAGGCTTACAATAGTAAATTCAAGGAGTTACAAGACGGCCAGATCGGTATTACTCTCAATGCATCGTGGTTGATGCCCTACGATGATTCCGATGCCAGTACGTGTATTGTGATTTAACTGTGTACGAATCCTCAACGAGGTATTATGAACAGATGTGGCGGCGACGAAGCGTGCGATGGATGTCACTCTTGGTTAGTATGGCCGTCTTTCCAAGAATTAGGCAGCAAATGAAGTGGCTGCTTGATTTCTCCAGGATGGTTTGCGGTAGGGACTTCCGAAAGAGAGTTTCATGCTAGCCCTGTCTCACCTGTTTCTCGTTAGGATCCGATCTACAAGGCGGCGTATCCGCAAGCTCTCAAAGACATGCTCGGATCGAGACTTCCCGAGTTCACACATGAGGAGATCAGCGTCCTGCGTGCAACCTCATCTGACTTTTTTGGCTTGAATACCTACACAAGCCACCTCGTGCGTGAGTAGAAGTCACTATTCTGCTCAATTGTGAACTCATCCTCTCAAAAATCAAGAGGAGGGAGGAGAGGAGGAGTTCAATGGTAAAGTCAAGTATACGTTCACGAGACCTGATGGCACGCAGCTGGGTACACAAGGCGAGCGCACTATCGTCCTTCCGGAAGATGTCACGATCTCACCTTGAAGTTGGCATTTCAGCCCATGTTCCGTGGCTCCAAACGTGTATGTTCTGCTAAAATGCCTGTCAGATTGTCATTGCCGATAAATATCCTAAAACAGATGCCCCAGGATTTCGAGAGGTGAGCAGGGCACCATTCATATCGACTGTCTTGAGTTCACGCGCTGCATGATGCAGCTTTTGAAATATGTGTGGCAGGTACGCCCTATTTACCTTTTAATTGTTGGTACATCCATATATACACTTTTGCAGACGTACAGAAAGCCTGTCTAGTAAGCCCTTCCACCATGTTGATAGCATCACTCTTCATCAATTCCCCCAGCGTGACCGAGAACGGCTTTCCACGCAAGGATGAGCACAAGATGTCTATCGATGAAGCTATCAAGGACCGCGATCGAGTACAATATTACAGTGGCTATGTCAACGCTATGCTGGATGCCCTTACAGAAGATAGTGTTGATGTCCGATCCTACTTCGCTTGGAGTGAGTGTATCCACAAGATGCTACTTGTATGCATATGACGAAACCAATCATTGTGCTTCAGGCTTGCTAGATAATTTTGAATGGTAAGCAGACGGCCTGCGATATGAAGTGAATCCCTCACTCGCGTCGCGCAAGCTAACCAGGGATACTACAGGGCTGATGGTTATGCGCCGCGTTTTGGGGCAACATATGTCGACTATGAGACTCAAAAGCGATACCCCAAAGAGTCGTCAACTTTCTTGACCAAGGTGCGCTGTGTCTGATTCGATCAGCAATAGTATTCAATGAGTGTTTCCAGTTCTTCAAAGACCACATTGACAAATAAAATTGTATAAGCATCTCAAATCTTGATGTCTGCGATGTACGATATTTTGAAGGTATCGAATATTTGTGGGTGACTCAAAGCATCAAATATTGAGGGCTCTTGAAGGATTGAGAAGCCCTTCTGGCCTGCGTAGATGGCGTATTCAGCACTGTCGTTGCCCTCTGTTCTCGTCTTGAACGCTGTCCTTACAGTGAAGGTTCTACTTCATTCATGGCTCACGGGATCAACACCGGTGGGCGTGTCTCCTGTCGTTGTCCAACGTTTATAGAGAAGAAAGAGACTACCAGTCGACGTCTTCTACGACCGTAGTGTGGACGCGATAGGCTCTCTCTCGACAACAGGCGACTCACAGATTCTTGAAAGTTACAGCTCCTCAAAACTTTTGAGTTTTATGGTAGCCATTTCGTCCGACAATTCATTTGTTCTTTGGCAGTCGTGATCCGTCTCCCCGTCACATTGTGCAAATCACCCATAGCTTTCACTTGGGGTCCGCCTATTTTCCTGTCTGGTTTCACCTGAGATCTTAGTAGAACGTGCCCGACGACTTTTGTTACATTCGTGGCGACTACCTACTCTTTTGCACCATCCTAAGCAACTAAGCCGTTCGTGCTCGGAGCCATTGCACCAGAGACAAGGAGGGTGTCGGTCCAGGTGGTACCGCTTTCAGAGGGGGTCTCACCAAGAACGTAGGTGGCATAGAAGTTTCCGGCCGCCCATCCTACATATCCGAGGAAGACTAATCGAAAGATTGTACCATCAACGTCAGCCAGATGATGGAGGCCGTTGCGGGTGCCACTTACCATCGGAGTTGGCAGCCTGGTATGCGATCTGTTGGTTCATATACATGACGCAGTCATCGCCGTTGCCGCCGCCGGTCTCGGTGTTGAACGCCTGGCGACCGTTGCAGCGAAGCCACTGAGCGAGAGGCTGCCATGCCTCGCTGATGTTGTCAGTCACACATTCTGCGTGCGTACCACTTCACGACAGGCTTTAGCACTGTGTCAACGATTTGTATTGTGACTCACGAGTTGTCAGAGTCAAGGTACTTGTGCACGTCGAAGATGAGGTTAGTCTTGCTGCCGTCCGGGTTCGTAACTTTGTTAAGCGCATCCGCGGAGCCGTTGCTCACAAATGTAGCGGCAGACGTCCAATTGTTTCCCGGGAGGAGGATGAGCTGAGTTGTCGCGCTGTGTAGATGTAACAGCATCAGAAGAATAAGAGCACCTGAGAAAACTCTCCATTACCCTGCCTGGCGGATGGCCGTAACAGCAGCCTGCACACTGGCTGCCCAGGCAGTGATATCAGGGACATCATGGGGTTCGTTCATCCTGTACGAACGTGCATCAATGAAGGAACCCGCCATTGCAAACGTGGAGACATACACGCCAAAGATGATCTTCGAATTCGTTGCGTACTTGGCTGCGATTCCGGACCACAGTGCAGCGAACTGATCATTCGTCGGACCACCCTGACCGATGATCCCTGAGTCCCAGCGCGCATAGTTGTGAACGTCGATGATGCAGCTGGCCCCAGTAGCGAGGCACGCCTGGACCAAGGCATCGTACTTCACGAAGTTGTCCTCGTTGATGGACCCGCCGAGCACATCGTTCGTCAAGAACTGCCAACCAACGGGAAGACGGAAGACATTGTATTTATCGTCGTTGACGAAGTGCTGCATCTGGCCTGCACCGTCGGCGCCGTAGTACTCAGTCAGGGGAGGCCAGGCAGCGCTCGCGGTGCAACTGCCGTCGCTGTTGCAGCCAAAATCGAAGCCCGCGATGTTGACACCTGCGAATTGGAGCTTTCCCGCAGAGGAGGGGGGAGAGTTCGCCGCACATGAGCCAGTGCTTGCGGGCGGGGTAGATGTCGAGGTACTAGAGCCTGCCGAAGAACTAGAGCCTGCCGAAGAGCTTGCGACAGTGGAAGCCGATGCTGGCAGACATTGGGAGTAATCTGATGGCAAAATCAAGACTATTCTCAAAGTAGATAGAAAAGTGCAAGGGACTGACAGTCGCCCTGAGCTGTGCACACAGCACCGGAGACACAGGTAGTGCCTCCTGTCCATCCCTTTTAGCAGATGGATTGATTTATCACAAGATCTTGAATTATCGGCTGTGAATCACTCACTATCCCACCACCTACGCAAAGCAAATGGAGCTAAATCAGTACAACATGGCACCGTATATGAATATTGTCGGCATACACTGTGCATAAAGAGCTTGTTGAGCCTGCACAGAGGAAGCGAGAACGCCAAAGGTGGCCAAAGTGACAAGCGTGTTCAAAGACATTTTGCGAAGGTAAAAAGTATGTCTCAAATGTCGGAGGACAATACCTAGCCCAGCTTCGCTTTATATGGTTCCCGCCAAGGTGACAAGGGAAGAAGAAAAGAATAGGACATATTCGCGCGCAAGTCCGCAGGGGTAAGCGATAGAAGACGACCGATATCCATCCGAGAGCTGATGTAGTTGGTCCAACACCAGAGAGCGGGCAAGGCACAGCGCGAAGAATTGCAGACGGGTGACGCTGGACTCGGACAATGCTCGTCTCAATCTCGGGCATGGCCCACTGATACTTGATGTTCAGTATGTTTAACGGCCACGATGAAGCTGATTATACACCGTCTCAACTATAACACATAGATGAGATCCTTCAACGTCGCTGAAACAGATAAACCCAGCGTGTGTGGGCCGATGAAAGAGGCCTAAAGCGATCATTGCTCGGGCGGATATTCATCTCCAGAATCTCGGGAACTCGAGTCGTAAATTTGAAGGAGTTTTTCTAGAGAACGATGGGTCAGGCCAAATGTGAATTAATTTTGCCGCATCCTCTGAGCCAAAAGTGCATGATTGGCGAATACTGAGCCTTGGGGCGGACGACTTGGATATAGAGGACGACGATGCAACAGAATCAGCACTGCGGCCGACGCATGATCTACAGGGAGCTGTTTATGTAAGTAATAGGTAAGCTGCCAGGTCTGGCGCTTACTCTTCTGCGGCCATCTGTTGAGCTTTCTTGACCTCTTTACCCACTGCATCAGGATACAGGTCCCTAAATGGTGCTGAACCATTATGGCCCGGAAGAATTGGAGCAGAACTGCATGGGCTGCAGGATGCTTCAGCTTGATCGTACTGAAACTAAATCTCACTGGCTGCCCTTGTCATTTAGTATCCCGCATCATCGAACGTGAATCCCATCGCCCTTGATATCAGCCCATTCACTGTAGGAGGTTGTAGGCGCCTCTTGGAACAATTTACAGCAATTCCAGAGCGCAATCTTCCATCTGCAAGTCGGGTTCAATCTCCACAATAGGGCATTCATGCCAGCTCGGCGGTCAATGGTGGAACAGCTTAGTATGGTACCATTCATGAATGAAGCTGCTATCACAATCATTGGTACTGGGTGCAGGTGTGTTGGCCTCGTTCAAGCATATTCCAGGAAATCATCCACTGCGTCAATCGCTGTATGGTACGGCAGGTTCGTTCAAAGTGAAAATACGGTTTCTGCGAATGAGCCACAGCATGTACTGTATAAAAAGATCTCAAATTCCCTTGTGGCTTGCTCGTCTAGCTCGAAATTGATCCTGGGAAAGAAAACAAGTGTGTAAGCGCCGAACTTAAGCGCCCATCACCATTGACAGGATGCCGCTGAGACGCGTCAGACTGTTAGTAGATATGCGCGCGGCGCCGCTGACAGGCCGTATGATGCAAGCGGCATCCCTTTCTATAAAGGTGAAGGTAAGTCCTCATGCCAATTCGTGACCGTCCAACATTCTTCCATCTTCGAGCAGAATTATGAAGGTTCTCTTGACGGGTGCCACAGGCGTCGGTGCGTCCACAGCCGTGATCACGTCCTCTACTCTCTTTCACGAGTCGCTGACCATCAACTTAGCCGGGCTCGCAACCCTCAGGGCCCTGCTCAAAGACCCCTCTGTGTCTCACGTCACAGTCCTAGCGCGCCGCCCGCTCCCCGCCTGGGTGAAACTGCCCGGCAGCCCGCCCGCATCGTCGCCCGACTCACCCCCGACGCACCCGAAGCTCACCGCCTTGACCCAGCCGTCGTTCCTGTCGTACCCGCCAGACCTGCTCCCCACGCTCGCCGAGCACGACGCCTGCATCTGGGCCCTCGGCACGGCCTCGCGCAGCGTCTCCGAATCGGAATACGTCGAGATCACCGAGGGCTACCTGAACGCGTTCTTAGGGGCGCTGGAGGAGGCAAAGGTGGGCAGCGGCGAGAAGCCGTTCAGGTTCGTGTTCGTGAGCGGCAACGGGGCAGACTCGAAGGGCAAGAGCATGATCTTGTTCGCTAGGTCGAAGGTAACGCACTCATCTCTTCGAACTTAGCGTTTCAAGTTCGCTGACATGATGTCGCATTCTAGGGCCGTGCAGAGAACGCGCTGTTTGCTTTCGCCGATGGCTCGTCAGGAAAGGTCAAGGCGTCTGTCCTCCGACCTGCCTATTTCTTCCCATCGCCAGAGCATCCAGAGGACGCACAGCATCAGCGAGGGGCGACGGCGCGCTTCATGCACACTGTACTGTCGCCGGTGTTTTCAGCAATGTCTATGATCACGCCCGTCGAGAACCTTGCCGAATTTGCGATTCAGGCGGCCAAAGGGATGTGGGAGGATAAGGGCAGGCTCTTTGAAAATGGGGAGATGAACAAGTTGGTAGAGCAAGCCCGCGAAAAAGCCTAGACATCTGCTTACCTCCCTTTTGATCCCTCTCAAATTCGCGAGAACGTACCATATAATAATAATTTATTCTCTGCCCTGGGCTAGTGCAATAGACACTGGAGTCCCTCGAGCAGCAGGATCCAAGTCTAATCTATTCAAAATTCAGAATCTTTGAAGCGTCTTCGCTAACTTATCCTTGACCGCGTTGTTCTCTTCTTCACTTCCGATGGTAATACGCAAGCAGCCCGCGCACCCTTTCTCTCCGCCACGATATCGAACGACGACTGCCTCCTCCTCCGCCATCGCCTTGTACACCTTTTGCGCGCGCGCGTTGTCCGGCTTCGAGCCGGTGCGGTCCAGCACGGGCACCAAGACGAAGTTCGCGTCGTGTGCGCCGATCGCGGGGCCGAGGCCGAGCGGTGCGAGGCCTGTGAGGGCAGCGAGGAGAGAAGCGCGGGATGCGGTGAGTGCGGAGACTTTCGATTTCATTGTGCTGATGGAGGAGGGGGAGAGGGCGCGGACGGCAAGGTGGGCAGTGGGCGTAGATATGTTGTATGGTGCCTTCGTGTTGGACAAGATCTGGATGAGTGGGGGTTGAGCGAGCGCGACGCCCATCCTAGATGAAGAAGATATATGTATGTTTAATGATAATGCGTAGTCGTAGAAACTGAAGAGATGTCCTACGCGCCTGATTGCGGCAAGGCCAAAGCTTTTGCTCAGTGTTTGCAACACACATACATTCGCGTACTCTGCGATGAGTGCAGCGGCACTGCTGCCTTCTGTGGCGAAATCGATATATGCTTCATCGACGACGACGATGCCTTTGAATCCTTCGTACTCGAGGAGTGCGCGGACGGAAGAAAGGGAGATGAGCGTGCCAGTGGGATTACCCGGAGAGCAAAGGAAGATGAGTTTTATAGAGGGGTCAGCGTCAACAGCTTTCTTCACCTATCATTTGCACAGAATTCAGCATATACATCCCGACATCTCCTCGAGGAAAGGAGAAAGCTCGCACCTCGTCGACCCGCAGACTAAACCGGCCTTTTTCTCCACCTTCACCGGACTCTGCACCAAGTTCCAAATCGACCTTGACCGCCTCGACATCGTTCACCTGCGCACACACAGAGTACATCCCGTACGTCGGCGGCGTCGTCAAGATCTTTTCTTTCCCGGGCGCGACGCACACCCGTATGAGCAGATCGATGACCTCGTCCGACCCGACGCCCAGAAAGACGTAGTCCGTCCCCGGCAGCGCGCGCAGCTCTGCGATGCGCGACTTGATAGACGGGTGCGAGGGATCGGGGTAGCGGTGCAAGTCCAGCTCCAGCATCGCGTCGACCTCGGGGGCATCTACAGCGTCCCCGCCAGATCGCGATGACGCCTCGGCGGATATCGAGTGCCCCAGCGCGTTCTCATTCGCGTCGAGCAGGATGCCCGAGGAATAGTCGTCGCGAGCGCATCGGTAGGGGTGCAGCGAGAGGATGTTCGGTCGGATGACGCGCTCAATGTCGAAGTGGGCAGGTCTTGTGGGAGTAGCAGAGGGAGCAAGACCTAGGATGGGCATGTTGAGAGTGGGCTGGTGTGTGGAGGGTTGAGAGATATGCGCTTGGGAGTGGATGTACTCATGTCACTTGGATGACTCGACCACTAAATTTCCAACTGAGATTTCATTCGATTCGATCTCGGAGACATCCGCGGCAGGGCTCGAAAGCGCCCCCTCCACTCTCTTGCACGAACCATGTTATTCAAGTCATAATTTCTATCTCCAAATAATAGCGTGGCAACGTTCGGTGGTATGACATGAATCAGAGATGCACAGCCGTGAGGCTTGAATTCTGGTGCAGATGCGCGACATGAGCGTAGGTAGTGATAGACGTCGAGTAAATATCCAAAGCAGTAATAGCAAGCGACTTATAGGATAAAATACATAATGCAAATGAGAGCGACGAGGGCGGGGACGAGAGACGATAAATGCATACGGTGGTACGGAACATGGTGCGGCGTGAATGCAGAGAACTTGAACCGAAAAATAATCCGAGGAACCTGAGACCAGACAGAGAGAGACCTGGAAAAGAAGAAACCAAACAAACATAACATACCGCGCTCTCATCTACGTTTTTAGAGGATGGAGGTACGGACGTGAGATGAAAGATGAAAGAAATAATGAGACAGGGGCAGCTGAGATCGGAGACCCATGGTCCTTCGAGGAATCCGGAAGAAGCCATCGAGGAGGAATAGGACGAAGATTATAGACCGTTCGATGGCAGATATACCAAGCAAAGACGGGGAGGACCATGAGCCGTGATAGGCGTCGAAACGCCAACGCCCAAAGCAACGTCCGCTATATCCTCGCCATGCACTGGTTGCTCACGGGGCCGTTGCCCAGCTCTACCCCTATTTTTCTGACCATATCAAGGCCAAGAGACGCCAACGCCGTCTTCCAGACAGCCCTCCGCCTCCGCCCTTCGAACACCTCCAACGACCTCTCACCAGTTTCGCCCTCAGGACCGAACACGAACACAGCGTTCTCCGACGAAGACCATGGCGCTTGTCCATACGCGAACGTGAGCCAGCGGGCCTGGAGAGTGGTCCGGATGTTGGTATATGTGCAGAACGAAACAGGTGGAAGAGTCCATTGGCCGCCGAAGCAGTAGGGGTCGGACGAGCCGGAGGATACCGAGTCGGCGGGGAAGACATCGCCATCGTCGGATTCGTCATCGTCGGAGAAGGTTTCGAATGTGTCAAAAGAGCCGAAAGAATCAAACGCATCGAACGAGGAAGTGTCGTCCGCAGGAGGAGCAGTATCGAAGAGGAACAGCACGTCCGCTCCGTGGTGTGGGATCCCACGCTTAGGGGTCTCTTGATCGAAGACATATCGCCACACCTTCGAGCCATGGCCTGCTCCTGCACTCCTGAACGTCTCGGTGATGCAATCTACCGGCCATGCTACACGCGCATCGTTGACGAGCTCGAGCACACGCTCCGGAAGCTCGTCAGGATGCGTGTGCGTGTCGATGTCATACGCTCGCAGAAGAGGGGCTGCGCGGGAGAGCGACCCGCAGATGGCCTTCAAGCGACGCACGGCGCCGGATGGCGTCCACAGCGATGCAGAATGTTCGAAGGTAGACGACTCACATGCACAGTCACCAATCATGATGGATTGCGGCACTCGGGAATGGGAGTGGGCAAGGTGCCGCGAAAGGGCTTCGAACGGCTCGTGCACCCGGTGCTGGTGATGGGGGTGAACCTCGGGGAACAGAAGATCCTTCCAACCATCAATGAAGAACGTGCCATCGTTGACCGCGTGACCACAAAAATTGAGCGACAGGAGTTTGTCTACATCGACTCTTCGCAAGTCTTCGACAGTGGAGAGATGCAGGGCGGACATGGCGCGAAAGACATGCGAGCCAGCGCTTGAGATGTCGGGGATAGTATCGATCAGAGGGCTCTGGATGATAGCGCGGTGGAAGAGCGGATAAGAAGCATTGGCATGGGAAGTAAGATGGCAGAGAATGTCAAACGCGCCCGTGTCTTGTCCGATAAGGGTGATGTTTGATGGATCCCCGCCAAAATCAGCAATGAAGTGATGGACCCACTCAAGCGCCCTCCGTTGATCGAGAAGGCCATAGTTGCCCACACCAAAGTCTCCTGCGTGCGAGTTATCTTCCAATAGCTTCGGGCTGGCCGCGAAGCCGAGGAAACCCAAACGATAGCTGAAAAAGCTTAAGTTATACGAGGAAGGAGATAGGAGTCATGAGACTCACTTGATAGTCACGAGGATGATAGGTTTCCCCAACTGGACGCTACTTTGAACAAGCGCGCCTCCGTCGTAGAGCCAATGAGATCCACTTCCACGGTTACCACCACTGAAACAGCGTTTAGCATTGAAATGAATGACGATCATGAACTCATAGCTCACCCATGGATCCAAATCATCACCGGAATCCGCGACTGGCGGGTGAGGCCTGCAGGGCAAGTAATGTTGAGATTCAAGCATTCGAATTCGCTCTGCTTGAGATTTTGCGGTTGACATTCGTCCTTGGAAAAGCCAAAGAGCGTCTCCTCGATGGGAGCGCCTCTGGGCTGAGGACAAATGGGACTACGATCGACAAGGGCGCATGAGACGAGGAACAGGCCAAGAGGGGCTCAGACTCACCCATGTCGTGTAGCATCAGTATGTGAATGGTATGCTGTGAAGAGTCTCGACTGGCGGAATCGGGCGGGGATGCTGGCATATTTGATACCCCTGAACTGGAGGACAGGCGTGTTGGGGGCGGAGAGAGAGCTCAGAACGCCGGTGAAGGTGGTCTTGAGCGTCGTGTGACGAACAATAGGATCGGGAAGGGGAGCGACCTGGACACCCATATTCACAAGGTCGAGAGGGGGTAATGAAAGGCGAGGGAGAGGGAGAGTGGACCAGGCCAAGGCAATGATGTGGCATGATATAGTACGGGGGGACTCCCAGGATGGGTTCAAGGGAGTTCTGGAATCCAGCGCATCCGCCCGCTGATGTCGATCGTATTTGGCCCCAGTATGCAGAAAACTCGAGCTGTGTTCCCAAACGGGAAACCCGCCGAATGGTAAACGAACGAACGCCCACACGTGATTCGGGTGATACCGCGCGATCCCCTCAGAGACCCCGCAGAGAGGGCCAGAAAGAGCTGGAACAGCATGTTGCGCAGGGTGACACAGATGACGAGCGACTCGTCAACGCCCCTCTTCGTCACACAGCGATCATTTGTCGGGCGGTGATATCACGAGACCTGCTGCGTCGGGATTTGCCAGCTCAGATTTGGAGAGGAGAAATGAAGGGCGACGAATCGTTTCGTACCTCCAGCACATTCAGTCAGCTGGTGTAGGCGTCCATCTGTCGGGCAATATAGGAAGCCACAATAGCCTGGGCAGATTAGGTGATGCGCGTTTTTCGCCATGAGTAGTAGGGCCTGGTGTAAAAGAAGCCAAGAGTATAGGCCCCATTAGAAGCTACGTCCAGAAGGGGACTCACAATTTACTATCATTCATAATGAAAATTTAGCAAGACCCTAGCTGAAGCTTTCCAGGGTGCTGCCGAAGTTCGAGTGGGTATCTGTATGAAAACACCGACACCTAAGTATACGACAACACAAGCACCGTCGTGGGACGAGCGAAAAGTGCCGAAGATAGCCCAAGACGACGACTGCCGCCCATCGATTACACAGAAGAGCAGAGTGCGCTCCGGTATCCGAGGCGGGGAACTTCGAGTGGGACTGAGTGAGAATGGGAAGCTTGCGATGCTGACAACAAGGGTGCTGTGGAAAGATGTGGGGCTGGTTAACTATAGCACAGACATTCTTAACTTCACCCTCCTTAGAAAACGAGACGATTGCCTCGACAACGAACAAGTCATATTGTGCACAAGCTATGGTACACTAGATCAAGCATAGGGGTTAACCTCAAGCCCATCCCTAGCGCACATAACATCTGGACCACGCTTCATCAGCATATAAACGGAGAAGTACGAGGGCAGTAATGTTACATACTGCATTGAAGGCCGATCGAATCATTGACACATGATCTGTCGCAGTATACCTCTTAGTCGCCACCGGCATGCTCGTTAAACAACATGATGTGTTCCCGATCACCCGCGATGGCTCTCTCTGACGCGGGCGGCGTGTCCATTGGCGTCTCGTCAAGCGACTCACCAATCACCACGAGTTTGCCACGACGTGAATCACGTAGCAAGGCGGCTAAGCCAGCCGAGACTTAGCCTTCTGAACCTCTTTAAAAGCGTCTGCGAGTCAATGGGTGGGATTGGAGAAAGGCGTGCCGATGGGGTTCGTGGTCATGGACGAGATGCTGGCTGCGATAGTGGAAGTTCACACCCTTGCAGATGCGCCACGTGACTCTCCGTTTCCGGAGCGGTCGGTTAAGTTCGGTCCGCACCCGGAGCGCTCCCCCGGGGCTCGATGAAATCCCGAACGGAACGTCCGTGTCTTATGATGCATACCGGTGCTCCCTGCTAGCTCTAGCATCGGCATGTTGATGCCTAATATGTTCGAGAGAGGCTCCCCCGTTCTCAACATCCGCTTGAGACGCGGCCCCGCTCAACTGCGCGGTTTCTTCCAATTCGTCCTTGAATAGCGTCTCTCACGCCCCATTGGGCCTCTGGAAGGATGATAGCTACTTATGACGGAAGTGAACATCTTTCATCGGGTAAATAGGAAGACTAACAGAGTGTTCAAATTTTAGGGTAGCATCATCACTCGTCTAGTGACAAGTGACTGGCCACTCGTGATGTTTAGTGGCCTCACAGACGAGTGTAGGTGCAAACACCTGCCTCACGACTTTAGAAACTATCAATCTATATCGAGATGCCCAGGCGCATTGAGCCGATGTAGGTGTATTAGAATGATGTTCCACATTAAACCTGCCATGCGAAGTGTCAACACATGGTGTGAATGAATATGAATACACGGGGTCGGACAATGTTGAAGTCCGTTTTGATCTACAAGTGCCGACCCATCCACCGATGATAGATACCGGCACGACGTTGAATCTTCAAAATCCTACACGCGGGCCCTGACCCTCACCCTCGCCCTCGCCCCAACCAACAACGTACGAACGGATAAACGAGCGATGCGGACCTAGTCGTCTTCCTCGACACCCGCAGGCCGCTTGATCTCGCCCTCGATACCGGGAACGGGCCAACGCCTCGCGAACGTCGTCACTTCCTTCTTCAGCTCTTTGACCAACCTGGCGCCCTCCTTGCCCTCCTGTGGTGTTGTGGCTACCCTCACAAAGTCCTTCAGCAGCTTGGAGCCGGCCTCCTTTTGCAACAACAGGGAAAGCTGGACAGAGCGGTGCAGGAACCTCGCGACCTGACGCACATCGTCTTCAAGCATGTTACGAGAGGTCAGAGCCGAAGTGCCGAGACGGATTCCACCAGGAACCTGGGCGGAGGCATCACCCGAGACAGCGTTCTCTGTGACGAAGGATATGTTAGAATTCAATGGAGGTGTAAGAACAACGAGAAGGAACGCACTGTTGATGGTAATGCCCAAAAGGTCGCCGACCTTCTCCACCTTGGAGCCAGTCAAACCAAGGGGACGGAGATCCCAAAGGACAAGGTGGTTGTCTGTGCCGCCAGTCTGCAACTTGTACCCATTCTTGACGAGCTCATCCGCCAGAGCGCGCGCGTTTTTGACGACTTGCTGCGCGTAGGCCTTCCACGAAGGCTGGGACGCCTGGAGAAGAGCAGTCGCAATGCCAGCAATAGTCTACAAGCGAGCATGAGTATTCCTACATGTGAGGATTGAGATAAGGCACGCAACATACGTTGTTGTGGGGACCACCCTGGCAAGCCGGGAAGACAGCATCATTGACGCGCTTCTCGAGATCCTTGTGGTTCTCACCATCCTTGCGGAAGAAGATCAAGCCAGCACGAGGGCCACGCAGCGTCTTGTGTCTATGTCAAACTGTCAGAGCGGGTTTCAACAAAAAAATGGAGGGGTCGATCGCTCACGTGGTGGTGGTCACGACGTCGCAGTATTCGAAAGGATCGGCAAGCTCTTGCGCAGCGACCAAACCCGAGGTGTGGGCGATATCAGCCATCAAGTATGCGCTGTGCTCGTCAGCGACCTTGCGAAGTGCGGGATAGTCCCAGTCGCGAGGGTATGCGGAAGCACCGCAGATCAATAGACGTGGCTTGAAAATCCGGGCCTGCTTCGCAAGACCTTCGTAGTCAATCAGTTGTGTCGCGGGATCGAGGCCGTAGGGGAGAGACTGGAAGTAGATCGAAGAAGCCGTCATCTTCTTCTTGGCAGTCTACTCAAAGTTTGAGTATATGACGATCCCACAGACACACACAGTAACGCACGTAGTAACCGTGGGTCAGATGACCACCATCTGGAAGACCGAGACCCATGAGACGATCCTGGGGCTGTAGGAGGGCGGTAAGGGCAGCAAAGCTGCACGTAACTCAGTATTGAGAGATGGTGTGTTCAATAAAAAGTGGCTCACTTAGCTGTTGAACCCGAGTAGGGTTGAACATTGACACCCCACTTAGCAGGGTCAAGGTGGAATGCCTCAAGCGCACGCTTGCGGCAAAGAACTTCGAGTTCATCGATGTACTCGTTTCCACCATAGTACCGTGCGTTGGGAAGACCCTCAGAGTACTTGTTCGTGAGGATAGAGCCATTGGCTTCCATGGTAGCCCTTGACGTCAGATTCTGTCGGATGAAAGTTTTAGACGCAAAAGATTAGATATGCGTGCGGGGGACGGAAAGACGGACCTCCGACGCGATAAGCTCGAGGCCAGAGTACTGCCGCCATGTCTCCTTGTCGATGATGTTTTGAACGACGGGGTCGATCTCGGAGAGGGGGGCATACAAGGATTTGTTCTGAATAGAGAAAAGTCAGACAATATGGCTAAGCGAATATGAGACCGTGATAGTCATGGAAGCGGTGAATAGGAGTGAATCTATGGAAGGAGTAGAGGAGGCGCGCAACCGAAAGCAGGAAACTATAGAGAGGAGAAACATTAGTATCATTCATGTGTTGATCGTGGCGTCGACACATACCAATGGACATATTATCATCCTCACAAGCAAAGCAGCGCCCGGTAGATAGAGCCTTTCAAGAACGCCCACACCCTCTTTTTCTCTCGTCCAGCAACGATTGTGCCAGTAAACATGAAGAGAACAGAACTCACGAATTCTGGGGTAGATGCCATGGTTCTATGAGCAAAGTGCAGAGAGGGTCGAAGGGAACGAGAGACGAGACGCAGCATCGAAAACTGCTCAATGCTGGCGTTTTCATCGGCCGATTTTTGAATACAATATCGGGGGTTTCCGCAACCCCAAACCATGGTTAGGGGCTATGCTATCTCGGCTGGTTCTACCTTCAACCACCTACTCAGCAGACCGATAAATGTGTAGTAATGACGAATCTCTGGACAGCTGCACAGCTCGTACAATAGATAGGCTGTTTGGAATTTACGATCGAAAATACTTTATGAGGTTAGGAACATTTCCCTTGCCTCAATGTCGTCCCACCTCCATACCATACCAGTCCAGCCCGACAATCCAATCCAAAGTCCTCACCAAGGACCCATACGCCGCCATTCTGGAACTCGTTACCTGGTCCAGGCCAATAATTACTTTCTAACCATGTATTGACCTCTTCGATTGTCTGCATCCATTTTGCAATCTTCGTCTGATCGGGGCTCCCTACCTCAGTCTCGAAATCCGTGTCGGCAATAATCCGCGCAATGGTAAAATGTGCGGTAGGAACGACGTAGCGGGCCTCAGGCACGATTCCTGATTCAAGACTCAGTTCATAAAGGTCTTTGCGAAGATGGAGGAACGTATAGGCGTCTTCTTCCGCTGTCCTGCTGCTCTCGACGGTAAGCCCTTCACAGGCAGCAGGAATGAAGGATAGCGAGACGGCGGTGCTGTCACAGGATAGCATTGGCTTTAGAACCCGCGCATGATGCGTGACTGTGAAGTCAGTAATCCGAGGAATGATCTCGCGCATCGCATGTGCTAAATGTGCAACTGTCTCTGGGGTTTGCGAGTGAGTGACTTCTAGTACTGTCATGTGCAGATACTCTGCAGGCACGAGCCATAAGCCTGCAATGAGTACTTCTAGCGATCGCCCAGGCTTTCGATGAGAAGGGGCCGACTCACATGGTGCAGCGGCCTTTAGCTTCTGCTGAATGTGCCCGGTCAGTTTTCGGATGGCTGTCGGCAACCGAGCGGAAAACACCAGGCCATGCCGTGTATCTTGAAAGTCAGGTTCGGTTACAAGCGAGCGAAGGACAGGGTCGATGGTCATCCCGGAGAATGCAGGTGACAACAGCTTTGTTCGCTGCTGTCTCATGAAGGCCGTGCGATGGGAGCTATAAATAGCTTGGATGTCCTTGAAAGAGTATAAGTGGGGGCATTTGGACAACAGGAACCACCTACAGAGTTGCTATGGCATGTAGATAGCAGAGATAAAAATGGATTCGTAGTCTGAATGCGAGTTGCAGTCATCCTGGTCAATATCGGAAGTTTAAGATGCAAGACATACATTCGAGGATTGCATGGTGTTTTCATCAATCCGGCGTTTCTGTGGTCAAACTAAATGCCCTCAATATCAGATATGTAGTGACAGCGCATGCATCGAACAGCGTCGTGGTTATGTGCGATTGCTTAAACGCTGTCGCCGGATCGTGTTACTATCGTGTTGTGGGCGGAGAATTATTTACTTTATGATTTATGGTAAGCCCTTTGTTGTGCCATAATCGGTGGTGGCTTTGATGCCGCGGAGTGTGCAACCGATGACAATGACGGCGGCTGGTGGTGGCTTTGAGCCTCTATTGTACTCGCCAACATATAAAGCTCACAGAATTGTCGACATGCTCTTCAGGCCCATTTCCTCATCCTTCGATCTCGCCATAGAATTTGGAGCCAGGCGCTCTTCTACGGCAGCTCAGCTCTTCATTCATCGCCTGCCTTGCACGAAGCTTGCCTGTTGCTCACCCTCTCTTCCGACGTGCACCCAGACTTAATTTCCTCGGCATCGACATGCAGTTCATCACGCTCGGTTCGATCTTCCTTGCGCTTTCGGTCTGTGGTGCTTCTGCTGCGCCCGCGTACAGTCAATCAGACGACTGCGAGAGTACGTTCCATCGTTGGATCTCAGGATTTCACGTCTAAATTCTCAATCACTGCCAGCTTCTTTTGCACCTTCAACGACAGCGGCACCGGTAACGTCCGCGACGACGATTTCTCTCAACGCATCCTCTGCGACCGCGAGTGCCCCCTCCGTTGACAACGACAATACGTTCAAGACGACGATCTTCCTTAACAAGCCTTCCGCGACTGCGAGTGCCCCCTCCGTTGACCAGAGCGGCAGCGACAATGCCACCCCTGCAATCCGTCCGACCATATTCCTGAACGGGCCCTTCGCCAATGCCACGCCGTTATCGAGCATTCTTCAGTTCAACAGGCGCCAGATCGCATCCGCTTTGAGGGATTCTATCAACTTCAGCTTCTCTTTTGGTGGCATCGTCCCAACGTCCTCCGCCGACGCATATGGGCCTGCGCAGACGTCAACCAACTCGTCCTCCCTCCCTGCGTCTTCGACGCCAATTGCGTCGGCCCTCCCGGTGTTGCAATCCACGGATGCGTTGTCGACCGCCTCCGCGTCTGCGTCGGCCCCTGCGGCATCTAACGCGTCCAGCGTGTCCATTTCGACGCTGGTGGTTATCGGCACCGTCACAGCGCCCGCTGTTACCGTTACCGAACCCGCTGTCACCGTCACCGTCACCATCAATTGTTCCGCCAATGCCACCTCTGTAGCAGCGGCCACTGGCGTCCCTTCCTCTGGCGCGGCAACAAGCACGCTCTCTTCCTCCGCCTCCAGCCAGCCATCTTTAACGGGCTCTGCCACATCTCCCGCCGTCACTGTCGCGCCTACGTCGTTCTCCATCTTCCTCACCCTGCACCCTTCACCCAGTCCTTCCGTCGCTTCGTCCGCGTAGGGAAATGTGCGCATCCGATATCCGCACACGAGGCAGGCATCCTTCGGAGACTGTGCAGTTAGTTGTATAACGTTAATTTTGGATTCCTGGTGAACTGAATTGTTTCTGCTTGATTCATCGTTTTGGTGTAGCCCTAATAGTTATTATACCTGCTTATTGTTTCGACATATTTGTGCTTGCAAGTCATGTAGATTTGAAGGCCTGAAGATCGAGTGTGGTCTGAACTTCAATCTAAATGAACAATAATGCACTCGATACATATGTGTAGTCCATGCTCCGCAAGTACAGTCTGCATACAGCTTCTTCACAATGACTTCTCATCCGAAGGCCCACGCTTACAGATACTTGAGGAACCACTCGACAGACGATTTGAACGCCCCCTCCTTGCCAGCCTTAACCTTCGGGTCGCTCTACAATCAAATGCATAATCGTCAGTACTCATTTCGAGAGATCATCGCATTGGGCCGGGGACGCACCATGTCACCACGGACCGAGAACCCGTGGGTGCAGCCATCAAAGTAAGTCCTCAAGTATCCAGGCGCAAACTTTCCATCGCCGAGTACCGCATCTGCCTTGGCCTGCTTCTCGGCGGGGAATTGTGTGTCCACCTCACAGCTATTGATTAGAAGGGGAGCCTTCGCGGACGCTGCATATTTCTGATGGATACAAGATGGGTGTCAAAAGGAGATGCACGATGGCGTGGAGGCAAAGTCTACATACGTCGAGATCCTCGAGCTGGAGGAGCGAAGGGTGGGCGACTACGGACACGGCGGTAACGCCGTCAAAGGCAAGATCAAAGACGTAGCGACCTGATGGACGAGTCGCCATGAAGAGTCATCTCACAGCTATAAATGCGAGGATTTTGACACACCTCCATAGCAGTATCCAGAGGCACCGATGGCGGCGATGCCTTGTTCCTTAAGCGCTTTGACAACAGCGTCGATGACAGGACGCGTCTGCGCTTGCCCGTGGTTCGGGAACCACTTCATGATGTCATAGTTTGACTGCACGCGACAAGACGTTCTCAGATCATCCCGTCTGTACACTCGATGAGAAGAATGAAATATACGCACCCCGGGGTTGAGAGCGTCGACAGGGACGGGATCGCCGCCGAACAGATCAGGGAGGTAGACTTGGAAGCCATTCCTGGCGAAGTCGTCGGCAAGAAGCTGAGGGGTATCGATGGCATGATGATAAGTCGTGAGATGGAAGCAGGGGGAGATAGAACGCACGAGACTGTTCTGAAGCTCGGGTCCAAAGACGTCGGTTAGGAAGAGGATGGCTTTGTCCTTGGGGTAGTCGACGGTGGGCTTCGCAACGTAGGTCCTGATTCCACCGATCGTCTCGAACTTGCCTGTTTGCGACAAGCACCGACGTCAGCAGAGCCCTTTTGGGCCCATCCAGCTTCAGACGAGGGAAAAGAACATGCCTTCGGGAGTGCCCTCGTGGCGAACGCCTGCCAGTACGATCGGATGCGATTAGATTGTAATACAATTGAACGCTCAGACACCAGCTCCAAGGATCCGGCTTGACAGATCGCTTGCCGTAATCTTCAAGGGGTTTGGGACGTACCGCTGATGCAGTCCTTGCAGAAACTCATATCGTTGCTGGGGTGCTCGGTGGGAAGAAGGGGGGGCTCAGGAGTGGACGGTGAGAGCGTCAATGATGTGCTTATATATATGCGGTTGGTTATCGATCTTCGTTCCCAGCGACTCATGCGTCATCCCATGTTCTCATCCCGTCGGAAGCGATCCGTTGGCGTTGGCCTGAGCGTGGGTAGTGGGTAGCTGCTCCGGCAACCTTGGCAACTCCTAGTCGACATATTGATAGCGTCTGATTATAATGTTGTCCAACAAACGAACCGCAATTCCAGGGTAGGCTCGGATAGATCGAGTCGGCCGTAGTATGCAGAATTGCGGAATCTAAAAATATCGATCCGACCAAGCCCTGTTGGCAATTCGTGAATTCATGAACACCTCAGTGTTCGTAGACCCACCCGCACACTCAGATGGCGTACTTGCCCCGAAAATAGCGCAGGCGGCAATGGGAATGCTGGCCAGGACTCAAGAAATCCCATTCGTAGCCATGTATATTGCCTGTATCATCGGATGTACTCTACAACGCAATTGGCGGTATGCACTGGCGTGCTTTCGAGGTGAGACACAGTACTGGTATTACAGCGGTATATGATACACATGGTCATAAAAAAGCACACTCATGATTTTTCCAGAGGGAGGGTTTAATTTAAGGGGTCGATAAAATACCTTGCAAGCGTCAAAGACGGAAGCCTTGCGGTCTATCAGCAGTCACCGCAGCCAAGAGCAGTGCTGATAGCGTTCAAAAGAATGTTGTTGGAGTCACCGCCGGCCTCCCACATAGCAAACCCGGCCAGCCCGCTCTGGCTGATGAATGTGCCCTTGGCAGCTAAACAAGGTGAAATCTCAGTAACTTTATCGACAACAGAGAACGAATCACCTACCAAACGATGTCGCATCATCGTAAGACACCATAACTTGTGTGTTCGGATTGTAGACATACGGCTGAGCACAGTCGTTCGTTATGAGGTGACCGATCCAGGAAATAAAAAGACACGACATACCGTCTGACTACAATTATCGAACCTATATTCAATCCCGCTCTCCGCTGTCCCATTCGCGTTCAGGAATCCTCCCTGTATGAGACCCCAGAAGTCGAAGACGCCTCCAATCGCCGGAGGATTCCCACACTGATCTGCGGGACCTGTGCCATCGCTGTCCCAGCTATCGCCGTGTGGCTGCTGAGACTTGTCAAATGGCGGGTACGCAGCGAGCGAGCCTGAAGAGTCCAGCGCGGAGCTCGTGGCGACATGGAAACTGTGTCCATAAGACGCGACGCCCATGATGATCTGCTCGGCGGGAAATCCGGCCTTTGTCCATGAATTGACGGCGGAGACGGCAGATCCTTCGGGCGCGATGCCCGATGGTGTGCAACTGTCATTCAGAGGCGCGTTCGGGCCAACCTCGGGAGACCAGCTTCCCCAGATGTCGTAGTTCATAACCTCTTCAGAATGGATGTCAGAATTCTAGAAATGCCCAGATTTTTGTCAGAGGCACTGACCGATGTAATTAAGAACCTTTGCAAAGCCTGAGACATCAGACATAGGCGCGCCATCGGATCCCACGAATGGGGTGACTGCTACCGCAGCAGATAGGATGAGGTTCGAGGCGCCGTCCTGGCTTCGGAGTGTCTGTAGGAAGGTCAGGAAGTTCGCGCTGTCGTCTGGGGACAGAGTGTTGCAGCCAATCCCTTGGTGATTAGGATATTCCCAGCTATATGCAGAAGACAGAAGACAGTGACTCAATGAACAAGAACACGTATCAGAGCCTGACTATGCGTACTCAAATTCGATCCCGTCCAGATTGTATTGCGAGACTACTTTCATGACAGCTTGAGCAAACGCTGTGCGATTTGAATCCGTCGACACTGCGGTAGAAAAGTATTGTGATCCGGTCCATCCACCGATAGATAGTATGGCATTGACATTCTGAGCATTATCTTAGTACTGATCAGACTGAGCTTACAAAACACTCCTACATTCTGGTGAGCGAGCTGCACAAATTGTGGAATCAACTGTTCATCAGATGATTGGAGCCCTACAGTTCCAGCATCAGGCGTGGTAACGCTGCAGGCCAAGGATTGGTCAAATTACTATTAAATTTACCACACACAAGGGGACTCACCCAAACGCGTAGATGACCGAGCTGTACTTCGACCAGCTGATACTGGATAGAGGAAAGTCACTGCTGTGCCAGCTGGCCCACCATGTAGCTGCTACGACAGAACCAGGGGAGCCACTAGACCCACTGCCTGTTCCGTTGCTGCTGTGACCTCCACTTCCGCCTGCAGAAGTTGCCGTTGAACCAGACGGCGCAGCAGGCGCAAGGGAACAGTAGGGCGCAGCCCATACCATGGAAACGCTCAGAAGGACGGGAAGAAGTAGAAGCATTGTCAGCGGGGGCGTAAAGGGGGTGAGGGAGACGTTCGTGAGTGATATGCATGATGGTCGACGTGCTTATGTAGATTAGAACGGTGTTCAGACCGAGGCTGGAACGTGGAAACCGTCCGGTCAAAATTACAACAATGCACGGCGGACTCACCCGACAGCGGTCCAAGTCGCAATGGATGCACACGCTTCCGTGGTCTCTCACGTGTGCACCTCGGAAAGGAAAACAAGAACGAAAGCAAACACAAGAAAGCATGCCGATAGAACAAAAAAAAAAATCGCGTCCATCATGACAATCTATGGCCCGACTAGTTGCGCCGATAATAACAACCATTGGGAAGCTGGAAAAGAACAATAAGAACATATAATGCTCATCCTGTTTGAGATCCTCGAGGAAGCGAGACCTCACGGCAACCACGTGGATTAGCATGTTTGAAGCGAGGCCATCATGAAATAATATCATTAGTGACCGGAGGACCTCCTGAGCGACATGAGACGACTCAGAAACCTCTCAAATCGAGGAAGCGCGTCGATATCAGGGGTTGCCTGCCCCATACACCGTTGATCGACTTTCCCAGGTAAGGGAGGATGCGAAGGGCAAGTTGCAGCAAGCGGACGTCTTTCATGCAGGCTAACCTCGTGTTCTAAGCAGCCAGAAAAGAGATGTTTCACTTGCCTGTGACTTCGATTTTGTCTTCAAAAGGCTCAAGTTCAGATACCGCGTGGTAGCTTGCACCTTGCGGTCTGATGTTCGTCAATGGTTGAAGTCACGGCCAAAACACCGTGCTCGCACTTCACTCCGAGTCGCCGTTGTGAATAGCTAGGATGTAGCGATCGATACGCATTATTGAAACGTTCAACGTTCAACGTTCAACACACACCCAGGGCGAACTACCTGCCCCCTGGAGGTGTGTGTCCTTCGTCGAATGAACGCATTTTCCCAGGGACAATGAAGGGCGGAGAAGGAGCAGAACGCTGGCTGCACATGGAGGCGAGGCTGGTGAATCAGCACAATGGTTGCTGTATTTAATGGGTGTCAGGAATCACTCTATTTAAAAGACAAGAAAGCACACCATTTGTGAACACACGAATGGTCAAAAATCCATTATCTAAAGAGAACCACATATCATCAGCTGCTTGCATCATGAACATAAACACTAGGATTTACCGAAAGCTTGTCACCACCAGCCACCTTGACCTTCAAAATAATACAAACAAAAATCGCACGTCAGTCCATGAGCGCTAGCAAGTCTCGGGGGACTACGACGGAATCAGCATCATGAGAATACAGTTAAATTATCGCTTGGTATACATCCTGAAAACAGCAGATCATGCTCTCACTCGTACAACCTTCCTCTTTCCTTTACCTGCTGCACCGCCACCGGCAACACCAGGAGCTGCACCCTCCGCATTCATACCAGCCTTCACTGTATCGACGAGGACGCCAGAAGGCAAGGCAGGAGAGTACACGGACATGCGGCTGGCGGGTGAGGGCAAAGGTTCGGGTGGGTTGGGGAGAGGGCGACTGGTCTGTTTCGGAGGTGCAGGGTCCTTAGATTTGGGGACCGACGCGGAGGATTTGGACGAAATGGACTTCGGCTTCGAGGATTTGGCAGCCGAAGCGGACGTGGGAGGAGTAGCAGGAGTCGGATAAGAGAAAGGGGGCTTAGGGATATAGTCAGGCTTGATTCGTTGAATTTGGAAGGATATCATCTCCAGTAGCTGTTTTTCTGCGACGGGCGCTCAAAGGACGATTCGGAGAAAGATGTAAAGAGAACTGCATACTGGTTTTGATATGCGGGTTCATAAGCCGCCCCTCCTTCTTCCATTGTACGCGTACACGACCTGGGTTCTCCCAATCTCGCGGGTGAGCCTTGTTGACTTCGTGCAGGGTGCCCAATCCAAGGCGATTGGTCGCATCAGCTATATCTTTGCTGAGCGGCCACCAAACGCTCTTCTCGCGAGATATACGCCGGACTCCAGTGCCATATGGCTGCTTTGCGTCAATGTAGATAGGGTAGATGCAGGTCCATCTGTTCGCGTCCAATGGGTGAGCGTGAATGTGATGATTTGGACGACACCAACTTCTTGTATGGAGTTATGTCTGTCACAACGGGCGTTCCTTGGCTTGGCCCTTGCGGCGAAGCTGGACCTGCAGTTGGTTCCACCAAGTCTAGGGCTTCATCGTCATCGGATGCATCGTCTACATCTGTGATTTCTTGCAGAATCGCGCCGCGTGTGCCGGTATTGGGCAAGGGGCGCGACGGCAATGGGAGGTCCACGTCGTCGTCGAATTCCTCGATGATCGCTGCACGTCGCGACATGGTTGACCGAGATGCTACAGAGAAACAAGAATTGGAAGACTGTCTGGATTTTTCCGACTACGTGTTGAGTCTGGCTTGTCGGACTTGGAGGATCTCGGTGGTTGTCAGAGTTCCCACGCTCGACTTATGCCATGTTGTCCTCGACGCTGTGGTCGATGAGGACCGCAGCTTTGCTGTAAGTTGACCAGGCATACGTGCTTGATATTTGCATTCAATTATGGTTATTTAGGTTCTTTCTCTCATGTATTGCTCCAGCACTAGCACAAAATGATGCCTCTCCAGCTGTTGCACCAGACGTAGTCTGCCGACCTTTCGGTCCATGTGAACCATGTCCAGATGATGCTGTGAGTGCCGTTGTTATTCAAATATGACCTTGAAGCACTGTTGGCATTGATGGATCCCGCCACCCCAGCTTCACGAACCCTTCTGCCAACCGTTTGGCAACCGACGTCTCATGCATTGCACATCTACCTACCGGATTCCCTATGATTCGAAGATACCGCCTGATCATGGCATTATGCGCCACTCCTCCGACCCACCACAAGGCGAGACGCCTGCATGGGAGAGCTGTGGACGCATAGTTGTGCAAGAGCGGGCAGATTTCTGGGAGTTCGTCGCATGCAACGTCCTCTTCGCTTCAATTGGATTATTCCTTGTATATGCAAGGTCCAAGAAGATACAGGCACTCCAAGCAAGGAATCTTGCCGCACGGATTGGCCTTATAAGAGGCGGTAGCGGATGATATGACGACAGAGCGGCTTTGGTTTGGCACTGTGGACTGTGAGCAAGTTTTTACATCATGACTTCCTGGTACTCACGCATGTATTCCAGCTTATTAGCATATTCTAGACTTAATCATACGCATATCACGATAGTCAATAGGTCAGAGCACTGGCTGAGAGTAATTTGCTGGATTTCTCAGCGATGCTGACGATCATAGAGATCCCTGCACAGTCTTTGGCCTTGTCCTACCAACGCAAAAATAGTGAGACTGGCGTATCAAGTCTTCCGGTAAATATTTTTGTGCAGCTCCTGATGGCCACTAGATGTGAAGGACAATCCAGGTTCTATCCAATGGACGGAGAATGGCGGTGAAGGTAGGTGCCGAGGACTTTTATCAATCTGTCTCTGTGGCCCCTCTATCTTTTCTCCATGCCTGGATCCATTGTACAATTCTCGAGACGTTTGATTCCAGGTCTTCTGTCCCTTCACTTCTCAATTCTACGATGATTTCTTGGGCATACGAGGATCGCGCTTCCTCGATAACTATGTCCATGATCTCTGCTTCGTTATTCTCCTGGATCTTTTTCAAGGGATATCCCCTGGCGAACGAAGTACAGATCAGGACTTTTTCGAGATCGTAGAAGAAACATGTCGTACCGTTTTTCTAACCGCTCCCATAGTTTGGTGTGATCACATCTAAGTACCACAACGAGATCCGCCCATCGTTCTGGAAATATATCACATGTATGCCAGTCGAGGATTATACCGCCCTCCGACGCCAGTGGTTCCAGCTCGTCCAAAAGCTGACGGCAAGGGAAAGTCAGCCAGAAGCGCAGACAGATTGGTGGTGTGCGCACCTTGTCCTCGTCGACGGTGTAGCTCTGCCATTCCTCGTCATAACCTTCATGCAAATCCTTATCCTTCACGAGCTCCCCAACATTGACGTGCCGTAGTGGTACGGGAGATTCTTCCGCGAGTAGTTGGGCATGAGTCGATTTGCCGGTACCAGGCGTTCCTGTGATGATGATCACGGGAGAACTGCGAGACGATGGAGACATTTTATATGCAAGATAGCAAATTTCAGAGGTGCGTAGGATATGTCCTGTAGGTATTGGAAGTGGCTAAAAAGGATGAGTCGATCTCGTAGAAACTTGGTGGCGCCGCAAATGGCATCGTGCTTGATCCGGAACTCTCACCATGCTTGCGACCTAGCATCCAACGTTACGGAAAAGGGCCACTGTCATTCCTACGGAAACCTGCTTTCAATCTAGACGATCTTGACAATGTCCGTGCACGTCCAAAACCCTTGTTGGTTCGCCTTTGCACCTGATTTGCCGGTGAAAACATCATCCAGGACCATCGAGCACCAAGCTGTCATTCACTCATGTAGTGAGTTGTGGGGGCTGTTTTACGCTCTGAAAATCTGAATGACATTCGATACCAACAGAGCTTAGAGAGATATCCCAAAGCGAAGAAGTCAGATGATGTGGTCAGTCTCCACTTCATCTCCGCGCGGACGTCTATCTACCACAATGCACTTCGAGAGTTTCCATCGAACTGAGCAGGATACATCTCTCCCTCTTGGGACGTAAACTTTGATGCGGGCAAAGGCTGAAAAGGATGACAGCGGCGTCACCATCAACACCTACCCCTCCCTGAAGCTGAAAGTCTACCGCGTTCATGCTCATGGCAGCCATTTGTCCCCTCCCCGCCTGTCAAGGTCGCACGTTTATCTCAGATACTGCTCTTGAGCAGCACATGCGCTCATCAAGGCTGCAGCATCCCTTTTGCGAATCTTGCGATCGCAAGTTTGTCAACGTACCGGCGTTCGCTCAGCATCTACAAGCCATTCATAGCCCTCAATATAACTGCTGCGCCAAGACGTTTCACTCGAACGAGTCATTGAAGCAGCACCAAACCACTGCTTCATCACATCCAGAATGTTCGTGGTGCGATGAAAGGTTTATCAATGAAGAGGAGCGTGATAATGTGCGTGTCATCTCTGCGCTATATTGCCTAAGATTCAAAGCGTTCTTCAGCACGAGGTGGCACGTCACAGGCTGGTGCAATGTCGAGTTTGCAGAGACTGCGTGGTTCGACTGCATGAGCTCGATGACCACTACGCCGACTCTGATCAACATGATCGTTGTTCGTTCTGTCAGCGTGGCTTCTCGGATAGGGAAGAGCTATTTGCTGTAAGTGGTGTAAGCTCTGCCTTGACGCTCGTCCAACTCAAAATGCCAAGCATATACGGGAAAGTCATCCAAATGTATTCTGCGAAGAGTGCAATGAATCGTTCTTATCTGAAGAATCGCTCCAACTTCATTATGATCAAGAGATCACTAAGCACCCGAGTTGTAGAGTATGTAACATCGGGTTCAAAGATTATTCGGAGCTCTGTGAGGTGAGTAAAAGGTACACTTCTTCTGAAGATTGAATACTTAATATCTGACATCTGGAATATTCTCCTCAGCATCTTGTGAATGTCCACTGGTCTTTGTTCGATCAGGCTGTTCATATAAACAGGCCGGTCAATCTTTGACATTGGTATAGTCTGTTGAATAGTACGGGTATCGCTACCATGTCAAGAAGAGGATCGCTTTTCTGGTGTTTTTTATGCTCCTTCTACATCAAATTTAAGCTCTTGTTTCTCTACCGTATCCTGCATTTTCTAGAGATTTCGAAAGGACGACCAAGATGTCCTATACATGGTGAAACTCAATGTGTGGATCCACGCCAAGCTGCGCGGTGTGACTATTTGTCGTAATCTCGATGCATCGAGGCCCACCTCAATACCCACGAAGACAAGAACGTTCCCAAGCCGACCCATCCACAAAGCTCCTAAACGACTTCGATATCGGCATAAGACACGCTCTCATAAAACTTCTCTAATAAGCCTCTGCACAAAAAGGAGCCTATGCGCATAAGTTGTGCTCAAAGGGGACTTTGTTTATGGTTCCCGGAGAGCCCTTTTGTGCTTTTCGTTCAAAAAAATGTGTGCGGACCAAGTCGTCTTTTACTTTACGAGGTGAACCTGAGGAGATAATCAGAGGAGCGATCGTGTTAGCCTTGGGCGAAAGAGGATCATCATTGCATAGCAAGGGCATTATTGTTTCGAAATTCAAAAGCAGTTGATTCTTTAATTGTACAGTACTGTAAGAGGGAAGCGGTGATACGGAGTGAGACGATGGTAATAGACAAAAGTAACATGACGAGTGTGCGCTTGCCACCAATCAACCCCTTCGCCGTTTCTTGTCCCTGCTCGCATCGAACGCCTGATCTTTTCTATCTTCTACACGTTGTAGGAACTGCATTTTCTCGAGGTATCCACCTGTTCTCCTGTTGGCCTCTAGCTCATCTTGTAGCTGAGGATCCTCCTGGGAACCAACATGCGCCTGCCAGTCGATAGCAGACTTCTCCAACGTGGTTAGCTTCTTCGGCTTCTGTGCAGACGAGGATGGTAGAGCAGCAAGCTGAACCTTTGGCTTGCGGCGAACTGGCTTCTTGCCTGCAAGTGGCTGTGGGGGAGGTGGGGCGACAGGATGTTGTGAGGTGTCCACACCTGCATTACTTTCAGGGAACGTGGACGCAGCAGGTTCGACAGCCGCTATCGGTGAGGCTTTGTCGTTGCTTTCTGGTGATTGCCACACAGGCCACTTCCGAGCCTCCTCAGAGTCCGCTGCAACTTCTTTCACTTCTCTGTGACGGTGGAGCTCGAGAAAATCAGCTGCACAATACTCATGTAGAAGCACTCACATCACGTCCTCTCCTGCAAAACGATATTTTTTCTCGATCATGATCATCTTATTCGGTTCGTTCGCTGGCCTCGATGGCGGCGTTGAGGCAGAAGCTTGAAAGTCTGCCCATAGTGCTTCGCGAGCCCTGTGCTTGTGAACGGACATTGGAGATGAGGCAAAGGTAGCTCAATGCTAGCAAAGGCATGGCACTAACTTCTTGTCGAGTCTTTCAGGCTCGTGCGTGGGCTCTTCATCATGAGAGCCCGTCCGTGGGCGTTTTGATTCGCGGTCGTCGTCGTCAGAGCTGTGTTCTGGGAACCTGGTGTAATAACGCGATGTAAACAAGGAGTCAAGGTGGTTCTTTACCGTCATTCACGTCTGGTGGAACATAGTCAGAATCGTCTTCAGAATCGCTTTCGTGTTGCGAGGGATGCTTGAGTGCTGACATGTCGATAACAAGCTGCTTGAGCTTGTTCGAAAGTGCTCCCCGTAATCGCCTCTGTACTAGTGTTAGGACGCAAAGCTTTCGTTCGTTGCCGACACCACCTTCCGTTTCATTGGAGCTTCCTATTTTGGCCTTCACAGTGCATGGACGTCGTGGCTCGCCAAGACAGGGGCTCTCCGACTCTAAGCCCACTGTCTGCGGTGTCTCCCACCCTCACCTTCGCCAGCGATGCCACCGACATCTCCCAGTACACTCCCACCGAGTACGAGAGGACTACATACTACAACGGGATCACCGAGGACGGTGACCACCCTGTATTTGTCTACAGGTCGGATTTCCTCACTACACCCTTCCCCAAGCCCGTCGGAACATACGCCCATATCCCTGTCAAGTCTCTCCGTGAAGCTTATGATACCTCGCTCAATCCTATCTGGGAATCTGTCGGTCCCGAGATTGCTGAACGGCTCACGACGACTTGGAAGATTCGCTGGTCCTCCATCAACCCAGCCCGCTTCTTCACCCACGCAACACCGGGGGAGGAGGGGGAGGGGCGTCTCAATCCTGTCGTCATATGGCTGGGTATCAAACCTGGGTCCGCCTCCGATACCGCCCACGAGGTCTCCCAAAAGATCCTCAGGCTTCTGAGAGAGTATGGAGTCCATGATGTTGCAATTGAAAGGCGTGAAGTCGTCCTGCAGAGGCTGGCAGGTCCGGCCCTTATGAGCCATGTCGGCAGCACCAATCACACCCACCACGTCCGTCGGTTCCTTACTGCTCTTCTCGGCATCCCTCTTGTGACTCGAGGGATGGAGAAGGATGATTCCCAGGGCACTCTCATCTTATGGTTTCACGAAAACAAAGACAAGAATGGCGATCCCAGCAACAATGTCTATGGAGCTAGCAGCTGTCACGTCCTTCGCAAGAACGCCACTATCGACTACGAGCATAAAGGCGGTGCACCCAAGGACTCTGTTTGAGTTTGCAGAGTCCGTCGATTCCAGCAGGGCCTCGATGAGACGAAGAGAGCTATCAATGACCACGGCATTCACGCCAGCTTTCACATCCAAGAGATCGATGGGCTGGAGAGGACGGAAAATCCGGACGGGGCCGAGATCGCCGCGAATCGACGCAAATTGGATGACGAGAACGAGGCCCTCCGCTAGCTCGAGTCTCGGTACAACGAAGTCATTGAGTACTGGTTCGACATCAAGCTCCACCGTGATATCGGCTATGTCCAACACGCTGAAACCATCAAGGTCGACGTCGAAGGCGGCACACGTTATACATCGGGCTGGGGTGCGTTCTTGGCCGCTGAGGCGAAGGTCGGGGATCAGTTTGAGGGCAATGTCGTCGACCTTGGTGCGTCTCGATCCTTCTCATCTTTGCCTCGTCTAGTGAAAACAACCTAATTTAGGATCGAAATATCCTCCTGAAGAGCTTATGGCACTGTTTTATCCTTGGGGTGTTGGTGCGACCACATTCAAGTTTCCTCGGGGTAGAAAGCTTAGGATCGTGGGTTGCGCTACGAAGGAGGACCTAGTCAACCCCACGGAGTTCGATAGCGAAGGCAAGGGCTGCTTTATCGTTGGTAAAGACGGCAACACTACCGACTTCACTGTCAGACGTTACGCCAGCCTGGTATCATTTATTCTCAGCGACACCAGTGTCTGGTCTAGGGAGCTCGCTATCTACAACTCGCGCCTGAAGAAAGCCGAAGTTTTCTCAGTTAAGGGAGACTCGAGCTCTCTCATCGGGCGTGCCAAGGAAGGCGAAGGTTACATTGTTGGGCAACCGCACTTAGGAGAAAACAAAGCCGGCTCGACCAGTAATCATGTTACTTACTGCACCCCTGGCTGGTACCTCCTGGAGCAGATCAGGAGGCGGTTTCCGAACGCCGACTTCTACCGCACCGTCTGGTAAACTTGAAAGTTCGTGTCTTTCTTCCGCCTCACCCTTTCGTGGTACACATATGTTCCACAGCGTCTGCTTCTGCGACGTCTTACCTTCCGCTATGCCCCTTTCCTGTTTCCCCCGCGACTGTTCTCGTTTCATGAACTCGTCTCCCTTCCCTGACTGTGATGTCCTCCCCATCCCTGAGCGTTTTATCCTCTTTTTTGACAGCGTGTATTCTATTTCCCAGTCGTTGATTCAGACGCGTGTTTCTACCGTCGATTCGCTGGTTCCACACATATCTATCCGTGGCCATCTCAGCGGTGGATTAAACAGTCATCTTCATTATTCAAAACTAAATTAAAACCGGAAATTGGAGAGCAGAAAATCTTTCGAATGAAATATCGAGGTACAGGGCGAAACTGGAAACACCCAGAGACTTGACAGAGACAACTTATAAATCGTCCATTCGACGTGGGTCTAAGAGATCTGCAAACGGAATAGGCAATACAACAAGAGAGGCGTTCCACACTCAGGGCAGCAGGAGCTCTTCACGACCTCGTTCTTGATACAGCTATGATACAGTCAGTAAATCGAAGATCTCGACCAAGATGAATCGAGCGTACCTATTGCAGAATATGTGGCCACACATCGTTGCTGTCGCGCCACGGCAAGGATCCCTGCGGCACAATCTGCAGTATACATGGGACACCGTCTTTGCGGTCTGATCAGATTGTTCAAGCCTTTCTCGAGATCGCGGAACAGATAACGGGGGTGACGGTGGTGATGAGCGGTTGACGCCGGGCGGGGAATTGGCAGATGCAGGCGACGATGGCGACTTCAGCTGTTGGCCGAGCAGGTTCATTACTGATGCCGATTGAACGTGCGAGGGGGTTGGTGATGTCGCCACTGTGAATCCAGAGTAAGTCAAGGAAGATACCTTGAGGTTCCAAGTCCAAAATACCTTGGGTTGGAAGTCGGTTGAGCACGGATGAGGGCGCCGTTTGCCTTACGCCTGGCGAGCTTGGTGGAGTGTGAAGCGTGGAGCTACAGGATTGTGGTACGTGAATGCTGTCTGCGATGTGAATAGCGCCAACTTACTTGTTGACATGGTCATGATATGACCGAGCAGCAAGCGAGGCCGCAGGGGAGGTCGCTCGTGCAGAGTCGGAATACAAGTGATGACTCAATTTCGAAACTCTCCCACTGAGAGGGTTGTGCGGAGAGCGAGGCAACGGCGGCGAAAACATCATGGGAGTGTTTGTGGCCGATTTTTTCGGCGTAAGCAAGGGCTTCAACGAATCATTTGGAGAACCCTTGGGCGGGGTCACCGAACGATCATTGAACACTGCCTTGATGTTTTGAAGACCGTGAATCTTATCATCATCGCGACCGGAAGATGTTGATGATTGATAGGAGCGGCTACAACGCATACAACCTCAACGAATGAAGACGAGACGGTAAAGGGATAACCTACGTCGGTGCTGGTGATTTAGGCTGAGGGGAAACCAGCACTGTCAGTGATGGCCGTATCTCTGGTGCAACGACAGGCGCCCCATCCATGGACACAGAGTCCTCATCTTCACGGAGCGGCAGATCGAGCTCTATTTCAGCCTCAACGCTCTGTATTTTCTTTTCAGGAGTGATTTGCACGGTTGATTGTAAGGTCGGGGCAGTCGATAGGGATGCGGCTCTAGCATTGGAAGACATCGTCATTCCTGATGGGGACTAAACATGAACGGTAAGGCCATGGACGACGCGAAAGCCACTCGATGAAGTTCCAGACTTACCGATGTTTGAGTGTTAGACACATCATCGTTGTGCGAATTCGAAGGTCCCGAGGGAGTTAGAGACGCCGCGTCGACAGGCCCGGATCGAATTGGTGTCTCAACAGCCTCGACCAGTGGACTACTGACCGAAGAAGCCTCTGCCCTTGCCTGAGGCAAGTCGTTCTATGAGACATTTGTTAACTACCCTAGCTCTTGGATACTGAGACCAACCTCTCTTTCAAGGTCCGCCTTGAAAACAAGTTTGATGGAATTTTGCAAAAGTGGGTTGAACACCGCCAAGACGTGCTAAGTGATTCTCAATTTCAGATTTTCGAACCAATGATAGATATGGAGGATAATGACCTCAGCAAGCGCTCGATCATCTATAAAGGAAATCTTGCATTCTGGACATGTGGGATGCTTTAAAGAATCTCGATAATGTCCTTCCAATGAGGCTTCTGAACTGAAATTCTGTCCGCAGGCCTTGCAGCGAAATTCGGGATGGCTGCTGGCGATGTGCTGTGCTCTTCGATCAGCATGCCGGAGATCTAAGACAGGAGGCCCGCCGACTAACCTGCTCGAACGCTTCTGTACTTGCAAATCCAATAGTTGGACACTTCGTACAACGCGGATGGTTAGGCGAGACTCGATAGTGATTCGGCACATCCTCGCGGTATACTTGGAGGCCACCGCATGGGGCGCAAGTGATCGGAACATGCACAGCTTGTATGTGCTGTTCGGTTGATTAATATCAAGGTATATAGAGGGAATAATGCAACGTACAATGTTCAAGGCTGTTGGATCTCTAAAACCGATGTCGCACCGACCGCAGTTGGGATGATTAGTGGAGTCTCGAAAATGTTGTTGCAAAGCAGGTGCAGACGAATACAACCGATTGCATGTATTGCACGAGTTGATGTTGTTTGAGGAGGAGGCTGACATTGATGGCAGCGGCGGTACTGCAGCCACAACACTATGCACCCTGCTCATGTGCTAATGCGGGTGAATGCTGTTAGCTCAACGTACGAAACACAGAGATGAAAATACTAACGTCCTTCAGCACCGCGGGACTTCGACATACGCACTTGCATTTGGTACAGAAGTACGACGAGCCCCAAGCAGCAGACGAAACATGCGCACTAAGCAGTGCTGCACTGATGTTTTTATGGCCGCAATTGCACGTCGGGTGAGGGCAGACAGGCATAGTAGGTGATGCGTGGGTCAACCAGTCAAGGTTACGGAGACGGGAGTCCATGTATGTATACCCAGAAATGCGCAGCGTTGCAGCACCTTATACGTGAGGAGTATCCACGTCACAACGTGTGAACGTACAGGCGAAGGGGCAGGTCTGCGAAGGGCATGGTGAGATATTGCACAACTCGCGACAGCTTTGGAAAGAGTACCCGATCTCGAGGCGCCCAGAGTTCAAGTGATCCCCTTAGGTATACCAGCAGCTGTCAGATAAGCCCTAAGTACGGTCAGGGATGTAAAGTTGAGGGCTCACTGCATGCCCGTCAGCCCCCATTTGAAGTGACAGGATGGGGCAGGTGACGGCGTCGAAGACTCGGATAATGGGGTCTTGGGAACATACATATAGCAAGAGGTGAAAGAGCGGAATGCGGCGGCCTGGTACGGTCTACGGCCGTGAGCAGCGAGACGCAAAGATCGCAGCAAGAAGCATGATGATCCTCACGCGACAAGAAACTGTATCAACGCCTTGAGGTGCCCAGCCATCTGGTATGGAAGTGACGTCCTTGCTATTGGCCAGTGTTCTGCATTCAAATATGTCGGATATCTAATCAATCATCACCACGGTCCGAGAGCATGTATCCGGAATGAACTTCAAAATGGCGCGACATTCATCAGCGCGGCGCGGAACGAGGCAGCCGGTATGCTCTGGTATGATTAATGGGGGATCAAAGCTCCCTTGACCTGACCCTGAATTGAATGAATCTGGCATTCGTGCTAGATACAGAGTGTTCATATCGCGGTCTCCTTCGGCGATCGAAGGAAAGTGGGCTATCTCGGTAGCTTGTGTGACCTGCTCGCTGGGTAGCTGATGAGTGTTTACATGCTTACCGGAGTGAACTGTATAACACGTCACCGGTCACCTAGCACTCTATCATCTCAGAAGAAATTTGACACGGAGGAATGCTTAAAGTGATAATCTGAGTTCCGAGATGGTCTGTTAGCGCTGCACATCAACAAATGCACTGCGGACGTTGGTTAGGTCTGGAGAAAATAGATTTTTTTTATGGCGAGACACCATTGTCAACCAAGATAGCAGATGGTCCTTACATAGTCAAACGTCCACACCATTGCCGCCTCCAGCCAGGCTAGGAACTCCCTCTCCCGAACATCTCCGCATCGGCCGAGGTCGATGTTGCACCCGGAGCAATGAACGCCTGGAATCAGCATTACGCCATGTCAAAGGTTTTGAACCTGATTCCGAATGTCGGCGACTCAAATCTCCATAAGTCTCTATAAGTTGAGGGATCTAAATAAACTCGGCCTTGGTGATGCGGAACACGCGCCGGTGTCAGTTGGTATGAGAAAGCCTTCAAAGAGACCATTGTGGATGACTCTGACTTCTTTTCGAGATCATAAGCCACTACCCAGGCCAAGTAAATTGTTCACGAGCATCGGTGACAAACGGGCATGGTGTGCATCAGTCCACAGGAATATCATGAAGAGGCAAGACATTGCGAAACGCGAGTGGAACAAGACAGATCGAGACGTTAACGAGCCTGCCATTCCTCTTTGAATGTACCCAAGGAGGGGTGAGTTGAGAGACAGTCATATGGAGAAATCAGATGATTACTCACTAGCTTCAGGAAGTGGAGGTATTATAGGGTATTATTAACGATTTTCCTGGAAGGAGACGTCAGCCACATTATTCGGAATTTGCCGAGCCTAGCCGTCAGAAAGCGTGTCTTGGCGGCTGCGTCGTCGGTTTTTCGAAAGCAACAAAAATGGATAGGAAAATCGCCCCATATCCTTCCATACACGACTAGGATTTTAGGTGCATATAGTACTATTTAGAACACTTGAAAAATGTAGACAAACACTGCGGATACAATATAGGCTGAATAAAGTTGAAACATTTCACCCCCCCTATTCCATACAAAAATAGAAACAGTCGCGCAACTCTCACTTGAGGTAGTACTCGTATGCTGCACGCCAGGCTTTGTTTCCATCCTTCTCGATGACATCCTGAAAACCATGAAATCAGAGTGTGCGATGGAGATTCGATTTCTTGGTAAACATACACCGTGGCAAGGGATAATTCGCTCGAAGTCCCAGTCGGCAACCGTCTGCGCGTCGCGCTTCATGGCTCTGGAGTAATATACAATGTCAGGATCACAGGGAGGCAGAAAAGAGGAGACGGGCAACGCACTCCTTGTCCATGCCGAGCCGCCACATCATGCGCTTGTGACTCGCGGTGTAAGGGTCAATGTTACCAATGAAAGGAATGCGACCGGAGAACCATGACCGCGAATACTGGAGGGAGTGAGTAAGTGGGGGGCTGCAGGAGGTGATAAATGACATACTTGTTCCAATGCGGGCATGTTGAACAGTAGGTCGGCTTCGATGAGCGTCTTCGATGGCTTGTGGACAAATGCAACGTCCTTGTTCTTGAATCCGGAGAAGTAACTACACGGAGGGGTACGTGAGGTGGCGTAAAGATGACTGCAGTGCCGAAAATGCTTACCATGATTCAATCTGCATCGTTGGGGAACGGAGTACAGAGTGGAGCCAAGATGAGTCGAGGCGGGGTAAGCAGTGAGTGGTACGCGACTTACCTCGTCCTCGAAGCCAAACTTGGGGTTTTGCTGCTTGTCGCCCCAGACTGAATGCCCAAATTGAGCACACCATCACAGAAAATGCAGACGCGCCACTCACACCCAGCAAAGTCCAGCCCTTCACCCTTCTTCTTCTCGACAGCTTCCTCGACAGCAACCAGCTTTGCATCGGGATAGGCCTTTTTAAACTCGCCTGTCGCATTCGACGAGACATGGCTCCTGTTCAATCCCCCTCTTTCCTCAATCAAGGAGGAGCGACGCACCGAGATACAAGTGATGTACGGAATCCGCGCCAACGATATACTTTACCGGGCCGAGGTTCTCCAGCGTCTTTTTCGTGTCCGGAGTTAAAGGCGTCGAGGCGAGGACCCAGACATCGCCGTTGGAAAGTCTGACGGCCGTCGAACGACCACCGATAGGAAGAACGTTGAGACGCAAGAAGGGTCTATGGCAAGCGTCAGTTGGATAGGAAGAAGCGTACGAGAGGGATAGTATAGAGGAAAGGTGAAGATAAAGAAATGGGGCATACTTGGAGAAAGTCCAAATACCCTCCGTAACCTGTAGTCGTGCAAAGACAGATTAGATTCGTGTTGGGGCGCCAGTCGAAGGCCGAGACACGTTAATTACCTCGCGGATGATGATATCAGACATGTTCAAGTGATCAAAGTACTTGGTGCAACAAGTGAACAATGGGGAGAAGCTGGAAGATGGTGCGTTCACTCTTATAGGAGCGTAATGGAGTAAAAACGGGAGCAGAGTCGGGGAGCGGAGAAATCGTAGCCGGAGGCTGGAGTCTCGGTTGCTGACAGTGCTTGCGTACGCACATGGGCAACCATGCTATTGCGATAGGTCCCAGACCAGTCCAGAGCGCGACAGTTCCGCTCAGCCACAGCACCTGGTGTGTCGGCGGCCTTCGACATTGGGGGCTCAGTGAAGGTTTCTGCTCAGGCCTCAAGTTGAGATGTCAGGATCTTGGTGTGCGTAATGCGGCCAGAGCAAAGGAACAGTCGGGCGTCTCGGCAGCCCTGACAAATGATGTGTGGGTTCCTGTGCACGTGATTGAATGAGTAATCTCACGTGATCGCATCAGTCAGCGAATGCGACATGTGACGTCTGCGCGTTGGGGGCATCCCCTGCAATGGTACTCATGTGAAAATGGGACAAGATGTGCATTATTCGACGAACAAGTTATATGTGTGGAGTGAGATACCGCAGTTAGCAAAGGATACAAAGAGCATAAGCCTTGAAGCTTGAAGCTTTAAGATTGAAGGTAAAGCTTGTACGCAGCGCGCCAAGCCTTCTTCCCGTCATTCTCAATCACGTCCTATGTCAGCAGAGCATTTATTGAGTCTGTGTTTTTTTTAGACTAAAACAGCATGCATACCCCGTGGCATGGAATAATCCTTTCGAAGTCCCACTCATCGACCGTCTTGGCATCTCTTTTCATAGCTCTGTGATTGCATAAGGGAACGATGAGCGACGGACTGGTAGGTTCGATAGGCACACACTCTTTATCGTCGGCAGCGCCCTTTGCCATGCTTTGTGCTACTCCTGAGTAAGGATTCATTTTACTGATGAAGGGGATACGACCGGAGGACGATGATTTCGAGTACTGCGAAGCAAATTGGAGTAGTGAGAACGATGGAAGACGGAAGATAGTTTGTCGATCACCTGTTCGGTACCGGGAAGATTGAAAACCAAGTCGGCTTCGATGAGCGACTTTGACGCAGGGTGGAAAAAGGCTACGTCTCGTTTTTTGAAGCCGGAGAAATAGCAAGCCTTGATCTGTTGCGGGGTTAGTTATTCGCCAATCACACATGCGTCGTGTGCATGACTCACGTCGTCTTCGAAGCCGAATGTTGGCTCGCGGGCGTTGTCCGCCCAAACTGCAGCGACAGGAACATGAGCGTCTATGGAACAAGCCTGACAGTCGAGGCTCTCACATCCAGCAAACTTGAGGCCTTCCTTCGTTTTCTTGTTCACTACGTTTTCGACAGCTATCAGCTTCGCCTCGGGGTACGCCTTGTGGAACTCAGCTAGAATGATGCCATGCATGCGTCAACAGTCTCATACGACTCTATTTATAGGAAAACGGCTAACCGAGAAAGAAATGGTGCTCTGCATCCGGGCTGACGATATACTTGACAGGACCCAGTTCTGTGAGCTTCGCCTTGGTTTCATCATTGAGAGGCGTCGATGCGAGGACCCAAACATCTCCTGAAGACAACTTGATTGCGGTGGATCTTCCACCGACGGGGAAAAATCCAAAGCGATTGAACGGTCTTTGAAAGAGTCAGTAAGGGGGAGTGTGGGGAGGCCTTGGAACTCACCGAGAAAATGTCCACACGCCTGTAGCGACCTCTCACGAGTGTCAGCGTCAGAGGGAATAGGGATGAGTGGGGACACACCTCACGAATTACAGTATCACTCATGTTGGCTACACGTGTGCTGTGTGAGTGGAGATGCGTGAGTATGGAAGGTTTTGGGTTGCATTGAATCCGCTTCTCGGCTTTTATACCTGCATGCCCTTTCACATTGACGTCAGTAATAAACGCTGTTTGAACCTAGAGAATGATCAGATGGCTTGCTGAGTGTTCCACTGTGTAACGTACGTGCCTGCAATTGGACGCGTTGTATAGCAATCTCGGTCGTTGACCGGCCTCAGTCCTATTACTGTATGCATCGCCGACGGAAAACATCCTGGGCGGCATCAGGGTAGACGCAACCCGATCACGGAGAATACGTTATAAGTACAGTCATTGTGACATTCGAACCCTGTTCTAGCGGCGATAATCGTTCAATATTCGACGTTTCAAGCTTCAAGGTTGATCAAACTCTCTGTACTGAAGGGGAATCCTGAGTCCACACTGAGTTATGTCAGGTCTAGCCGAGTAGGATCACAAGCACATCAACCAATGAGAAGATGTGCTGAAGTTTAACGACGCCGAGAGTAAGCGCCATCTGTTGCAGAGTTCATTGAGCGAGACTATTATTGAGTGTCCTTGTCTCGACTTCTCGACGCCCTGTTAAGGAATGGTACAAATAGAGTCAAATAGCGCATGCCCAGCGTGGCGGCAGAGTGGCGCTGCGACTGCATCTAATCTCCTTTGTGCTCGTTTAACATCTCCTTACTCTTCACTGTGTCCTCCAATATTAGGCTGTTCACATTGCATAGGTCAGAAACTACGTCGAAACAAGAACTAAGTCGTGATGAAGTTCACGAAGCCTGCCTGGGTTGCCCACAAAGGTATACGCTTGGATAGGTTTACCACCTTTACCACCTCTGACTCTAACAACTCAACAGACCCTTCAAGCAAGAGCGATTCCGCGCCGAAACGTCTATCTATATTCTCCGTACACGTTCACCCCGATGGCTCACGCATCGCTACTGGCGGTCTTGACGCGAAGGTGCGCATATGGAGCACCAAGCCGATTCTCAACGCCACTTCGGAGGCTTCCAATCGACCTGCGAAATCTCTCTGCACTCTCACAATGCACACAGGCCCTGTTCTGTGCGTTCGATGGGCAAACTCGGGGCGGTGGATTGCGAGCGGGAGCGACGACACCATCGTCATGATTTGGGACTTAGACCCGTGAGTGTCGCCCGTTCCGCAGCTCAGTCATTTCGGATACCTGATCTGCGTTAGGACCGCGAAGGGTAAAGTGTGGGGAACGGATGAAGTCAACGTCGAGGGATGGAAACCGTTGAAGAGATTACCTGGACATGAGAGTGGTGAGTACAGTCACGACCCGGGCGTCCAAGTTCGCATTGATCACTTCAATGCCCATGTTGTCATACCGAAGAACTACATGTCCAGGGATTGGCAAAATGCACTCATACCGGATACTAATCTCTGTGTACAGATGTAACGGACATCGCGTGGTCACCAGCCGACCGATTCCTGGCTTCGGTAGGACTCGACTCTCAGGTTATGATATGGTGTGGTTACACTTTAGGTACGTCACCCCTTCTTCTCAACCATATCACTATATATCAGCATACTGTCGTCGAATTTTGTTTGGCATATGTCTAAAGAAATAACGATGGTTTGGCACAGTAGCATAAAGTCTTCAACCGAGTTTATATGTCTGTGTTCCTAATCACCTGAGCTAATTTCAACTTTCTTGTAGAGCGTCTACGCAAAATCGACCAGCACAGAGGATTCGTCAAAGGCGTTTGCTGGGATCCAGTCGGCGAATTCCTCGCCACTCAATCCGACGATCGCAGCGTGAAGATTTGGCGAACTACTGACTGGGAATTAGAGGCAGAAGTTGTAAAACCTTTTGAAGACTCTCCAGGGAGCACGTTCTTCAGGCGTCTGAGGTTCGTCTTGCGATTTCAATACTTTGGGTTCGTATTCTGAATGATTCTACAGTTGGTCACCCGACGGTGCACACATAACTGCGTCGAATGCAACAAATAACATGGGATTTGTGTTCATTGCAGCCGTGATTGCGCGGAATAGTTGGACTTCAGAGATCAGTCTTGTTGGACATGAGAACACAGTCGAAGTAGCAGTGAGTGACACACCAGCTCCACATATCCAGAGTCCCTAAGTTTGAGTCACAGGCATACAACCCACACATCTTCCTGCGTAATCCATCAGCACCAGTTGCAACGTCTAATATCTGCTCTGTGGTGGCGCTAGGTGCAGATGACCGTTCTGTGTCTGTATGGCAGACCAAATCAGCGAGGCCACTCATCGTGGCAAAGGAGGTTTTCGAGAGACAAATAATGGACCTGAGCTGGTAAGCTTTATTATCGCTCTATCTCCGGTTCTCCTTTGAGACGTCTCGTAAAGGTCGTGGGATGGCCTCACATTGTACGCTGTCTCGTCTGATGGAACACTTGCAGCTTTCAGCTTCGATCCAGAAGAACTTGAAGGCATTGCCCCGCACAGCGCTCAGCAACAATATCTCCAGAAGTTTGGGTTTGTCCTACCTCCTGTCCCTGAAGGCTATTCCCACACTGGGCGGTCAGACCAGAGAATGACCCCACCCCCTTCGCCGACACCTGGCTCTGGAAATGCGAGTGCGTTTGGTGGGAGCAATGACGGAAATGGAGAGCGCATCAATAAGCTGGTAGCAAAAAGAAAGACAACGAAGAGGGTTCAGCCATCGTTTTTGGGAGGTTCCTCGAGCTCCGCTACCGTCCCGTCAGCTGCTATCCCACCGGTCTCATCTACATCCTTCTCCGATACTTCCGCTAAACCAGCTCCTTCACATATCCAATCGCATTTGGCTTCGCCACTCATTGGGCCTGGTGTGGCTGCGTCTGTGCCGGAGCTGTCGCCGTTCTCGCCGCCCATCGTTTCCCGGCAAGTCGACTCCGATGGGAGTATGCACTTAGATGTGCCCATTGACTCGATTGATTCTGCGAGTTCAGACGCGAGCGGGAGAGGGAAACGCAAGAGCTCGACCCTAGATTTCCTGGACGAGAGACCGACTAAGGCCAGGACACTTGGAGGAGACAGAGTGCGTGAGGGCAGGCCTGTAATTGAAGAAATCAGCGTACATTCAATCGGGCGCGCGGGGAGCTCCGTTGCAGCAACGATTGCTCAGAACGTGTTCGAAGTACCCCGCGTGTTGACGTATCTGGAAATCAAAGTGGTCGATGTAGGTGATGATGTATTTGAGGGAAAGAATGCAGCGGATGGAGGTGAGTCAACTTGCTTTGCTAGCGCTACTTGATGTTGAATAGACGCTTTTGGTAGGCTTGACTGAAGTGGCCTATGTTAGCGGGAAGCAAACGCAATGGTTGGATTACTTACCATCCCCCATCATCACTCTGGCTGCCACAAGCTCCTTCTGTGCAGTTGGTATGATAGATAGCTGCTTGAACATCTATTCTCCGACAGGCAGGAGGTGAGCATTACTTAGTCCATTCCCAAACATGGCTCATGTTCGAGATATATTCCTTGTCTAGATTGATGCCAACTCTTACGTTGGATTCACCAACAAGCTTCTTATGTGGCAGTAAATCGTCATTGATCGCACTTACATCTACAGGGACGCTGTATTCTTGGTGAGAACCGTCCTCGATGGGCTTAACTATCCCCGCATGCTAATTTACCCTCAGGAACGTGAAGAAAATGTCGGCTAACTTTCCTCCGGCATCAATTTTGCCACTCCTCTCTATCTCCCCAAATTCCGTGTCCGATGGGGTTCCCATCACTATCACATCTCTCTCCGCTCGGCCTAATGGCAGTCCCGTGCTTCATACCACATCGGGTGTCGCATTTTCTTACGATTCTTCTCTGCTTTCCTTTGTCAAACTGACGGAGTCATGGTGGGCCTCGGGTTCAGATGCATGGTCGGGTCGGCAGCGTACGGCCAATGCCTCGTCTTCCCGCCTGCTCGTCACGAGCCTTGAGAGTGTGATATCGGAGCAGATGCCGCCACCATCTCACTCTGCGACCCGTCCAACGTGGTGGACAACTGCTTTGACGCTAGGTCACCTCGAGTCAAAACTTCATGCTGCGCGAGTGTTAGATAGTGAGTATGAGTACAAGCAGGTACTATTGGTATACGCCAAGAAGATCGCAGACGAGGGGTTCAGGGCGAAGGCTGAGGAATTGGTGAAGGAACTCTTTGGACCGATCTACTGGTACGGTCTTTATGATATCGTGCGAGAGATGTCGATATTGATGTCGATTTCAAGGCGGCCTGGAATGGCCAAGGAAGACAATTGGTGTCCGACGCTTCTTGGATATTCCAAACGCGAGCTGCTGAAGGACGTGTTGTCGATTTTTGGTACGTTAATTGATGAGGTTCCAAAATCAAGCTCACAGTCTGCGCACGAACAGCTCGCAGCAAGACACTGACGAAATTAGCCATGGACTATCAAGACTTGTTGAAAAAAGCATCAGCTCCGAATGAGGATTAGATGGCAGATGTCTCCCTTTATATTGGATCTCCTACGATTTTTGTTCTAAGTTATGGCCTTGTTCGCCTATGTGTATTCTGTGCTTTACGCTTCGGGTGACCATGCTGGCATGGACGGCACACGACGGCAACGGCAAAGTCAATGCCTACATTGTAATGGTTTCGGGCGGGTGCTTTAGCACCTGAGTCCCACCACACGTATTTAGGTCTATTTTTGTTCCCTCCGTGGCGTTATCAAGCGCCCGATGGTTAGAGAACTCGATCCTCTTTCGTTTGTGCCGTCGCTGCTCATTTTATATGTAATCATTTGTCCATTCCTTATTATGAGGAATATCGCTGTAGTACATACCGCTATAGTCTATCTTTCCTTTTTTTCCGTTCCTGTGGCTTTCACAGCTGAGGCCATCGCGCAGCAGTCTCGCGAAGCAAAGGACATGGGTTGGATAACCAGTTTGTCCTTGCTTATCTGTATCTCGCTCGAAGGCGTGAGTGCGAACATATCTTGCGTCATGCCGAGCTCTCTCTTCGGCGTGCATTTCGTCCACGTTTTCTAGGTTTTGGCTTCGCCGCAATTTCATACAGCGTTAGAATGCGCAAAGTACACTCCAGATGGTGTGCTTGCGTGTTTTCTCCCCTGGTGCCTTCGCGTTCTCGCTTTAAAACATCCCTCGGGTGCTTCTGTATGGATTTCACGCCGGGACATCATCTTCGCTGCTGTTTGACCGCGTCAATTGTCGGGTTCCTCGACGTCCTCGACTCGCTATGGCCTCCACCGTTCCCCTAGCTGATTCTCAGCCTGTTCTGGCTCGCACGGACACGCTTCCCACCGGGCAACGCAGAGCCTCTACCTCGGAGTTCTCTCTCGATCACAAATCTGCTGCTGATACATATACGAGCGAGCGGGTCTCCACTGCTGACCTTGCTGAGCCTGACGAGGAGAAGACAAGACTCACAGACTGGCTGCTCCGTCGAAACCTCAAGAAGGGCGAGTTGGACGCGATTGCTACGAAGCGCTCAGTTTTCGACGACCCGACTCTCGCGAAGCATTATTTGCCGTCGGAGAAGTATGAAAATCGACACCGGTTCAATCCGAATGCAAGATGGACATACAGGGAGGAAAAGGCATGACCGTCGCGCTTCTCCGGTGCTTATAGACATTGAATCCATACCTTTTATTTTTAAAGGCGTTGGTCAGGAAAATTGACTGGAGGGTCATGCTTTGGGCCGCCATTTCCTTCTCGGCTCTAAATTTAGACCGGAACAATCTCAGTCAAGCCAACTCGGATAACTTCTTGCATGACTTAGGTTTGACTACGAACGGCACGTCTCTATCTTACAGCAAGACAGCAAGGTTCTCATCTTCTTTCAGATTTTAATCTAGGGAACGTCGTGTTCCGAGTAGCATTCTTGAGCGCGGAGTTACCATCACAGATGGTCTCGAAACGAGTGAGTCTTTGTTTCATTGTATGCTTGACCCTGTATTGATGTTTGTGCTCCAGCTCGGTCCTGATCGTTGGATCCCAATCCAGATGTGTGCATGGAGTGAGCCGCCTTTGTACGGGCAGCAAAGTGTGAAGCTTATGTGATGTTTTTTAGGCGTCGTCACTGTCGGCCAATTCTGGCTCACCGGCCGCTCTTCTTTTCTTGTATGTCGGGCGCTGTTAGGGTAGGATATTCCATCTTTTTTTTTCAATATCAGGAATCCGCTAATATCTTTCAAGCTTCATCCAGGGAGGGTGTGTAGGAATCTCGCTGTCCCTGACGTTTCGGTATTGAATCAAATTCCAGGTTCATCCCAGATCTAATATTATACCTGTCATGTAAGTTCTTTCGACACCTATCTAATTTTCAAGCTAACAGAGACTCTTCAAGATTATTATACGAAGACCGAGCTACCGCTCAGGCTAGCACTTTTCTGGATGTCATCTAACGTGTGTAGTATTATAGCCAGTTTCATCGCTTTCGGAGTACTACACATGCGTGGCGTCCTCGGAAGGGCCGGTTGGAGATGGCTGTTTCTCGTCGAGTATGTTTGCTTGCACCTCTGTCAAACATTCACAGTTTTGAGATTTTATTCACAGAGGACTAATCACCTTGGTGGTCGGAGTTACGACTTTCTTCATGATGCCGCCCTCTCCAACACAGACAAAAACATGGTTCAGACCAAATGGATGGTTTACGGAGCGAGAAGAGATCATCGGCGTGAACCGAATACTTAGGGACGACCCCAGCAAAGGCGATATGCATAATCGTGAAGGTCTGACACCGAAGCGACTTTGGACTGCGATCTGCGATTATGACTTGTGGCCGTTGTATATCTTGCAAGTATATTTCGCCCTTTCGTGAAATAACCTGATATTGATATAATCTCTTCAAGAGGTCTTATGTTTGGTATACCAGTCTCCCCTCCTGCCACCTACCTTACACTTTCACTACGCAATCTCGGGTACGCCTTCTTTATTTCTCTCATCCGCTCTTAATCATCCACTCTTATTCACCGTCATTCAATCATTTTTGACCTGTACAGATTCAGCACATTCAAGACAAATCTGCTTACCATCCCCTCCACTGTGGCCGGGATCTTCAGCATGTTTGCCCTGACTTTCGTCTCGGAACAAGTCAACGATCGTGCTATCGTAGCTAGTCTGGAGGACTTTTGGGCTCTGCCATTCTTGATTGCAATCTATTGCCTTCCTTCAAATCCCAATCCATGGATCTTCTACGTATGCTCTCTGTACTCGACACTTTCTTCTCCCGAGATGACTGACATAATATTGCTCTAGGGATTGGCATCCGGCCTACTGTCATACCCATACTCGCATCCGATTCAAGTAGGTTGGTGTTCGAGGAACTCGGGTGCTGTAGCCAGCAGAACCGTCAATGCCTCAATATATAATATGTTTGTGCAAGCAAGCTCAGTCGTTGCGTCGTACATATATCGTGCGGATGATGCCCCCAGATGTAAGGTGCCTTGCAGGTCTGACCATAGCTCGGTCACTCATAAAGTTTTCTCTAGATCGAAGAGGTAACCGCGCTTTGATCACAATATCCTGCATCAACCTGTTTGTCTTGTATCCCGGGACCAAGGCGTACTACATCTGGCGAAACCGACAGCGCTCTAAGATTTGGGATGCAATGACTCCAGAGGTGTGCTTGCTTTCACTCCTTAGTTCTCCAAGCGCTGGGTTATTAACGTATGGTCATCCGCAGCAACGCTCTGAATACTTGGCTACGACAAACGATATCGGGAACAGACGCTTGGACTTCAGGTTTGCGCACTAGAGACAGCGCAATTCTTTATGATTTTGGGATATTTGTAAAAATTTGCCGTGTACCTTTGACATCTTTCATCGACAAAGAACCGGCGCATATCTTCTTGTAATCTGTACTAGTCTACACTCTTATAAAACTTGTGGGCATGGATGTAAAACAAAGACAATATTTCCTCTTGGCTTGTCTTCTTTCAATGTAAAATTTTAGCGCTTAACCGCAGAGCAATTGGTACAGCACGTGAGATCGGAGGACAAATTGTGAGGGAATCACGTATTGACACCTAATTTGAGGTTAGGGACGGCAGACTGATAGCAGTCGCTAGGAACATGTTCATCTTGATAACAACCTGCCAGGTAATCTAAGCGTCTGTTCGGCATCTTGACATGTTCATCGCAGTCGTAGGCACGCGGTTCTCTGGCAAATCCACCATTCAGGACTACCTTATACTCAAAGGGTTCACTCCAATAACACTGGGAAGTGTTCCATCGGAACAAGATGACGAGGTCATTTAGTATTGCCGCAATTTCTACTGCCTGTGCTAAATGGGCTTCATTCAACGCTTCAGCTTCCAGATTCAGCAGACGATGCGTCTGATTTCTTTGACGACGACGGGGACTCAAATTCAAGCCCGACTGTCAATGCAAATAACATAAATGCGGATGCAAGACCAGTCCTCCAAGGCGTCCGCAGTACAGACAAAGTCGAGTCGAGAAGCTCCTTTCTTTTCCTCACTCCGTCTAGTGCGCCTTCTCCAGTGTCAACGAGGTTTCCAGATCAGTTCAAACGCAAGCCGCTGCATTTCTCTTCGCTGTCGGAGCTGTTGGATTATACTACCCTCAATTGGAATTCTCATTTCGTCACGGTCGACCTGAATGTTGCAGATGCTGTGGAGAGGTTTGTGAAGCGCCCATGGTTCATGTTGGTCAGTGTCGACGCGCCTTTGCTTGTGAGATACCGGAGGTCGTACGAAAGGTAAGTCCTAGCGTGCATCCCTTCGGACGACTTGACATCTACATCCTCTAGTTTGAACGGAAATGTCCCAACTTTCGAAGATTTTGTTTATGAGCATGATGCTCTTTTTTACGGCGAAAGCTCTCGGACGAAACAGGGCAGTGAAGAAATCGAGGAAGTTCAATCTAGCATTCATGGCCTGAGTAAATTTGTGACGTTGAGGGTCATTAATCACTTCGACTCTGTGCAAGCTCTACATTCATATCTAGACGATTTGGATCTTCTGAATCCAGACCGCTTGAGGCCAAGCTGGGATACATACTTCATGGTGCGTTCGTCTCCGTTGCTCTGCCCTTGCGACTTATACGTAGATTAGACACTTGCATCGCTGGCATCAATGAGGTCCAATTGTATGAAGCGTCGTGTGGGCGCTATCCTTGTCAAGAATAACCGTATAGTTGCTACAGGGTACGTGGATTGTTAGAATACGTTCATCTGATCTAAAGCCTATCTGTTCAGATACAACGGAACGCCGCGCGGTCTCAAGAATTGCAATGAAGGAGGTTGTGCGCGCTGCAATGGTACTTCCACGCTCAAAGAAGATTGCCTGTGCCTACATGCCGAAGAAAACGCGCTGCTAGAAGCAGGCAGAGATAGGATTGGCGACGGCGCTGTCCTATATTGTAACACGTTGGTTTATTTTGTTATCATGCAGGTGTACTGTTGCTTAACTGAAACATAGTTGCCCATGCCTAACGTGTACAGTCAAGATTGTACAAACCGGTGTCAAAGAGGTGGTTTATAGCTTTAGCTACAAAGTGTATGTACTTCAATCAATACACCCCATTTGTCTTTCTTAATCTCCATCTCAGGGACGAAGCTTCAGCTAAAATATTCAAGGAAGCGGGCGTCCAACTTCGACGACATGCACCTCCTTGACCGCACTCGCCGTGTATAACACATAACAGAGATACCCCATTCAGACCACCGAGATCTGCGCTGACTGACTGAGTGGATGACGGCGAACACAGTGAAAAGGCATGAGCAGGCGCTTTCGAGTTTCATGTAGCAGATTTCTCTGAAAGGAAATGCACGCATTTCGTGCAAGATGCAGCTTTGCAAAATCTCCTGTTATTTTGATGTTCCATCCTTTACTGTAAAACTGCTGTAGGTGTAGTGTCGGGCGGAGATTCGATATCTTAATTTTTATCTACCACCGAATATACGAACCGGTCCCAGCTGTTCAGCTTCAGCATGTTACAAAAAGGGCTTTCATTTGGGATTTTGGGTCTCGCTTGGCTTGTTACCTGCTTTGCCACCAACTCAAACTCACTCCAGCATGGCTCAGACCAGCTTGTCTTTACCTCTGGAGCTTTCAGTGACGCGCACAGCGACGTGGTGATCACTCCAGACTTCTCGACATACGTCGAAGAGCTTTTGAAGAAAGAGGGAGTGCCGGGTTATGCATTGGGCGTCATTCACGCCGGGAGGAGCGAGTACGGAATGTTCGGAAACCGGACGGAGGATGGAGAGCCAGTCGATGTCGACGTGAGTACATGTTTTCTACTCCTTCTATACGCAACAGCGGCAACATTGATCGAGGCATGTGTTCGAGAAGACACTCTTTGACCTTGCATCGTGCTCCAAGGCATTTCTCGCTGCGTCGATGGGAATTCTGATGGACGACTACGCCCACAATCGCAATAGCACTCCTCTTCCTACCGACCTTGCGACATTCGACTGGGACACAAAGGTTAAAGACTTGCTTCCAAATGAATGGAACCTCATGGAAAAGTGGGCAAACGAGAAAGCCAGTGTGAAGGATATGTTATCGCATATGAGTGGAATGCCCAGGTGAGTGCAAAACCAGACTTGTTTTGACGAAAGGGTCTGGTGGTGTTATTCATCGCAGCTTTCAGGCATGATCTTTCATACGGACGCAATGATACATTAGACGATATAGTCACAAACCTGCAACATCTAAGGCCGGCTTTTGAGCTACGAGAGAGATGGTCATATAACAATCAAGTAAGTACCTGCTTCCACAACTCAGTGTTGCATTCCGTTGATAAATACGCCACCTCTAGATGTACATGGTTGGTGCATATATTGTCACCAAGTACACCAACGACTCCTACACAACCTTCGCTTCTAATCGAATATTCAAACCGCTGAACATGACATCGACAACATTCTCTCCCAACAAAGCCTTTGCGTCGGGAAAGCTTACGCAGATGTGGACAGGCTTTGGCCGGCGAATCCCATTCTGGTTCACGGAAGAGAATGTAGAGCTCAACGCTGGGGCGGGTGGCGTTATTTCAAGTGTTGCAGACCTCGTGAGCGGGCACCATTTTTTTTCGCGCTGCGAACGTGTTTCATGAAATATGGGTGATATAGGATAAATGGGTCCGCACCATGCTCAATGCCGGCGTGAATCCCTCCACTAACGCAACTGTCATACCTCATGCCGCGTTTGATGCGGTGACCACTGCGCACGCAGTCAGCGTTGGTAAGAGTCCGTCTCCCGATGAGTCCATTGAAGGCTATGGGATGGGATGGTTCAGGCAGTCATATCTCGGTCGTGAGGTGCGCCCTTTCAAAATCTATGCAGCTATCACAGTCAACATAGGATCTGGCGCTCCCAAAGGTGATTTCCCATGATGGATCGATCCCAGGCATCTCGACGCGTATCGCCTTCCTACCGTCCGACGGGCTTGGCATTATCACACTTGCTAACGCTGATAACAAAGCGAAAGTCAATGGAGAGGTGGTCAAAAAGGCCATCCGGGAGGCTCTTGGTCTACATGGTAAAAAGTCCATGAATAAGAGCCAGGCGGCGTCTTCGACCAAGCACGGAAATCATGTCCGCTCGCAGAACAACCCGTCTACTGCGCTGTCGCTTCCAATTGCGAACTATCCGGGTACATACACCAGCAAAGGATACGGCACATTCACACTTTGCGATGCCTCGGCGTCGGGAAAGATATCATCTTACTGCGCGCAAGTGCTTTCGGATTTTAATGCTGTCGACTCTGTCACCACAACGCCGCGCAATACATCTCATCAGCTCTTTGCCGCGTGGTCGCGTCTTTGGAGCTCGCACATCCGCCTCGTACATTCCGGCGGGGATCGATTCAATATCAGTCCCACTTCATTGTTTCCAGACGGCTATGGTAGAAATAGAAGTGCTTTTGAGAAGACTGAACCATTCAACAGCGCAATGGCGGAGTTTGTTGTTAAAGATGGTGGCGTCGTTGGGTTTGGATGGGTTGGGACTGTTGATGATACCCCGATAACGAAAAGGCAGAGACAAGGCGGAGGCGTGCAGAGTGAAGCTGATGTTTGGTTTGATAAGATTTAACATTGGGGGCCAAGTCGTGTACACGACTGAATATAAGTATGTATTTACATATACCTTGAGCACAACTGTAATTTACAGTGGTGACGCGACGTATGGGTAAATGAAAAGGGTATCAACAAAAGCTTCAAAAAAAATCATGTATTGAAAGCGGATGCCGGCGACTGTTCTCATTCATCTCTGTTTAAACGATACAAGGCTTCACTTCAATGAGATGTGTTGCATTCGCAGGCTCGGAGCAAACGGGGCATGCCGGATCCTGCTCCAAGGTCTCCTCCACACATCTGTGGATGGATATCAGCGATCGACGTACGGATGAATGCAACTTTAGAGTACGTACGAGGTGCAAAAGAGGTGCCCGCACTTTAAAGTGCTGCACGAGTCACTTGGACCTGCGAGGCAGATCGGACAGGTGAGCTTGACACTGACCGCCCGCCTGTACGAGGCCTCGTGTAACAGAGGGCCCGCGCGAGACCTGTCATTATATCTGGCGAGTTCTGCAAGGGTCCTGACGTGACTATACTTGTTTCTAATGGCGTTCTATGATCGAAACTTAATCAGTATAACGTTCGGAAGAGAAGGTCCGAAATTACCATGAGCAGATCAATTCCTCCTTCGGTTGTGGGAGGTACAAATTCGAGCGAATCCGCACACTCCTCCTCCTCCTCTTCCTCTTCGTCTTCTTCCCAAAATTCCTCGTACTCGACGTCATCCTCTTCGTCGGTAGGACCATCATTGGGAAAGTATTTCTTTCCGCACTCATCCTCCCAACCCTCTGGACGGATTTTCGTCTGATCAAAGGAGGAGGGGCCAAAGGTTGCAACGACACTGGGAGTGCGGTGCTTGGGGGAAGCTTCAAGGTGCTAGATGAATCATAAATTTGTAAACGAAGTGTCCACATAGGAGGAAAAAATAGGGGACATACGATCTTGTAACCTCCTTCAGTGCTGAATGCCTTATCGCACAGCAAGCAGTAGCGATGCTTCTTAGAGCAGGAGTAGTGCTATTCAAATAATGATGGCTTGAGGGGGGAGATGAGCATAATAAAAACAGGATGACATACGGTGCGGAGGGCATTCTTGTTGGGGAAGCGGCGCTGGCACGGCTCGCACTGCGGGTGCCTGGACGACCACTGGACATGTTCTTCGCGAGCTTCGGAAGTAGTGAAGTACTTGTCGCACAGCGCACAGTACGTCTGCTCAGGGAAGAGATATCCGGGCATTGTTCAAAGAAAAAATTGGGTGATAAACGTCAAGTTGGGGTATGGGAAAAAAATAGGGGTGGATGGGCACTTGGAAGATCGACTTCAAGATAGGTTGGGGCGTAATTGGCCTCAAGGAAGGGTTTATATACGTGAGCGGATGAGCAGATGTCTCAGACGTACGTCAGCAGGCCGAACATTGCTCGGAGGAGGCATAGCCTTCACAAGCTCCAATTGCGACTCCTATCCTGGCCTAGACGTGCCTCGGTCGTGAGTTAAGTATGGAGAAAAGAATGCGATGACCGACGTTGAAACTGCACGGAGATACGGTAAGTAAACGCGGTTATGACAAGGCTGATACCTGCATCGCATCCGGGAATCATTCAAAATTCCGCCATGGTCATGATAGAGAATCCGCTTTGGTAGAGAAAATCTCCGGGAGTGATATAAGACTCGTTCACACGATACAGGCCCCGAGATGATACAACGAGCCAGGCCTTTATATATGGTGTTTCAATCGCAGTGAATTTATGAGATGATATTATGATTGATGAGTTCTAAGTTCGACGATGGTCGCAGTATGGTCGCCGTTCTTTTGCTAGTTGGAGGGCGGAAGCTGGTGGAGCCTCCTGGGGATGACTCAGCGGCATTAGCGGCACTGGTCACCGCCTCCAACTCAAGACGAACCATATGTGCCATGATCATCCCAATATCATGGGTTTACTGCAATGCAAGGTGGGTTGTTTTATCTATCCAAGAGACCTGCATGGCAGGATTTATACTGATTAGTAGCATCAGTCAGATGTTCAGTGATGAGCTTGACAACCCGTTTGCACTCGGGGTAAGCAATGATAACATTCCTAGTCATCATTGAGCAATGCTACGTGAAAAGTGTATGGCGGCGCTTTGCCGTCTGGTATTGGCCAGCATTGTCCACGGGAAGTTGAGGTGATTCGAGTGCGTAATCCGTGTCAATCACAGTGACCACAGGAAATTGGGACATGCTCGAGAAGCATGAACAGCGGAGCGAAAGCCATATCATAAGATTATATGCAACTCCTACGCCGGCACTTTTCCACTCCATATCAATGCCAGCAACAGAGAAATTTGTGTCTGTGTGTTTACTCTTCTTTATAGCCTATCCTCAAAACTTCGGCGTTGATTTCTTGTGTCTCTAGGAACAGCACCGCAGACTATCCATCTTCAACAAGGCCGGAGTTGTGGAGCCCGGAGTAGAATTGCTCACAGTTGCCCAGCTGCCGCATCGTACGCCAATTCCGAAGGGAGACCTGAACAGCAGAAGCTCGCACATGAGATCGATCACTCCTCGCCGAAGAATAAGTTCCATCTTTTACTGTGCATGTACCGGCCTACACGCAGATAGTTGTTTGCCACCTAGATATACTCTGGCCCACTCTCTGTTACGTTTCAGCCATCAACACATTCTCACTCGTGATTTTCATGCCTTTGCGAGTCCGACCATCGAATTGGAAGAATAGAACCACATATTAATATGAACATTATGACGAGAATACTAGTAGGTACACAAGCAAAGCATAACGTCAATCGAACTGGTATATATTGTTAGTAGAGCATGTCATGGAGTCACGTAATGCAACAACAGCCATAGAGTAAATAACATGGTCGAGGGCGGGATGGGGATTTGCGCAATCAAGCACACCTATTGGGTTTGAACGAGCACCTCTTCAGAGATGCCTATTTTTCCTCTTCGGATTCGACTGCAGAAGGAAGGGACCCTGGGGTAGACTCCTTTCGGGATCGCTTTGCTGCACTTCCTGCGGAGCCATTGTCTAAATTGGCCTGATTAGACGTCCGCTTCAGCCTACTGTGCCGAGTCACCCCTACCAAGCCGGTCGCCGTGGTAAGGAACCTATCACATCCGAGCAGCTCGTCACTAGTGTCATCATCCCTCCATCCCTGTCCCTCGAGTTGCGTGTCGAAGATCTCGATGAATCGGTCCGAAGTTGTGAGGACTTCTAGAGCAGCATCTGGAGATTTCGCCAGGTCAGTGACCCGCTTCAGAGATTTTGCATCGGTGTAGAGCGGGATAAACAGTCTTCGAAGTGTCTCGATAAGATCGACATGCGGAGCGGTGAGGAAAATGTCAAGCTGCGACTCTCGGAAGGCAGGGGGAGGATCAAGCATGAAGTAGGCCAGCTTCCCTTTTCCTCCGTATGTTCTCCCCTCTATGGTTCTGCGAGTACTGTCAAAATGGGTTTGAACCGCGTCTTGAAGGTCCCCAAGTTGTTCCGGAGAAACTTTGCTCGCTTGGTAGCGGATGCTGTGGTAGAGCAACACGTGAAGAGCGGATTCTAGTTCATCGCGGCGTTCATGTCGCATACTTTGATGATCTAGGAGTCGGGCGGCCGAGACGAATTGCCAAGTCCCCTGCAGGCATCACGCGGTCAATTTCGAGGCAGAGGGAATCAATCAATTGATTACGCACCGTTTGCAACTTTGTCTGCGTTGCCTGGTCGACACCAGGTAGCAACCTCACAGACAGATCCCAGTCAATCAACATGCCTTTTCCTTCATCTGATATCAAGATGTTGCCTCCACTGATATCACCATGTCGCACGTCTGCGGCATATGCTTGCGCGTGCGCTGCATAGAAGAATGTTGATCAGCGATCAGGCTACCACAACCGAAACAATCGACTTACTTTTGGATGCATCGCGTACAGCACTACAAAGCTGTTTTGTGGATGTGAATTTGCTCAAAGGCCGTCCGATATCGCCTAGCACCAGCCGGTAAAGCCTGTGCCGACTCGGGGGCTCGGATACCTTGCAGCACCATCTTGCTCCACTAAACTCGTGCGTGCGTGTCTCATAGTCCTTGACATCCTCTGCGCATACCAGTTTCGGGATTCCGGCCACGTTATGCTCTTCGAGAAGCTTATATGTATCTCCCTCCTTCTCGAGCCCGTCCTCTAGGTACCGCCAGCTGTTCTTCAAATAAACAAGCTTCTTTTGTTTAGTATCATAAGCAATGTACCCATCCGTGGCTCTCCCTGTCGGGCTGCCACTCTGCCACTGAGGACTGGATGCCACAAAGAAACGCCCCCGGTTTCCTCTAGGACCATCTTCATCCATCATACGAAACTTGCGAAATGTTTCGTCTGATGAGTAGTACTGGCCTCTCGCTTTCTTCTCGTCTTGTCCTAAAAGCTTGGCTAAAAAAATGGCTCGTTTGTCGAGATGCCGCTTTGCCACTCGGATCTGTTTAGCTGTGGGCTTTGAGACTGAAAGATCGTGACCACGCTGATCTGAGGGGAGACGGTCAAACCGCCACAGAAACGTAGCGAGCATCTCAGGGTTCTTTCTCCAATTGACCCGTTCGGTGACTATGGCTCCCGCGCGGTCCCATCGAAGGAAGCGGACATAGTCACCAAGCAAGAGCATAGAGAACATGAACACCAAGTTTTGCACAGAGAACTGGCAGCCCGCGTATGAGCAGATTTGTCCTCGATGGTGTATCGCCTCCAGCGTGTCAGTCAAGAAATAGTGTGTGTCGCGAGATGTTGCACTCGGATGGGGATCTGTGAAGGGGTCCTGGTCTTCTGGCTTGCGCTCGATACATAGCTCCATTATCCGAAAGTTTGTATTTCTCTCCTTGAATCCAGGAGCTTTTCGGTAAACAGATATGTCTGGTTTTCGCTCGTAATTTGCGTCCGTGCGTGTGGTAGTGTTGACAAAAATGAATTGGGGGCAGAGTTCCGCTTCATGTACAGCACGAATCTTAAAAATCGGATAAATCTTCAACATATGGCCACAAATATCCGAGAAACAGAGACTTACAAATCCGTCTTCAATGCCTGGCTCTCCATTCTTGGGTACAGTTTTGAATGCTTCAACGTAGCCCTTGGGCGGGTTCTTGCGTGGTTTCTGCATGAAGGAGGAGAGAAACTCTGAGACAGGCATGGGTCCAAAAAAGTCTCCTTTCATCTCGTCGGCAAGTAATCGGTATTCTTCGTCCGCCTTAGGACCTGGCGTCGTGGCGAAACGTTGTGAACTAGAGATTTTGTGTGAGGACATGTTCAAAGGCCAGCAGCTGAGCAGAGGACGATGAATTAGTGCTTACTTGTTGTTTCTATCTTTTATATACCAGAGGCCAGTGCCACAATCAGTGGATATGAAGTTTGGGCGAGCACGCGTGTTGCGGAACCTACGCTACCTGCAACTGGAGGCAAAGCCGCAAAGAGCCGAATCAAAGCGAAATTGAACCCCGCGAGCCCAGACACGTGCACAGTAGCACCAGGTAGCGCTAGGTACCTCGCAAAAAGTTTCGATCACCTGTGCTTTGCCTTGTTGCCGTGTAATTTGTGACCCTAAGGCCATTGAGCTTGGGTGGACAAAGGCGAAAAAGCGTTTTTCATTACAAATAATTGAGGGTCTTCGAACAGACGCACGGCCAAGCTTCTTTTGGGGCCACCCACGACCATCATGAAACAAGCGATCGCCCTCAAGGGAGCCCATGAGCGTTGCAGATAGGTGGCAGATCACAGCAGAATGGAACGATGGCTAATTCATAATGGTGGAGTGCGGATGATCTATTTCACAGCCTCATGTTTTCAGGAGTTTCTGAAGGTCTGTGCCGTACAGGGGCCATACTGTGACGGCTACACGATCCGAGACAGGTTTTCCTGCTCTTGCTGTTATTTTTGAAAATTGGTCAAGACTGATTGAGGTATAGTACAATTCGTGCCTGCGCTTAACTGACGTGTTCATGCGTCCAACGGTCAACTAAGTTCGAAAGATGTGTTGTGCTGGTGGAATCCAAAGAGTGTTCTGTTCCCGGTTAGAGTCAGAAGTCATTTTGAGAGAGGTCACTAATCGGACGCGCTATCAGAAATATCACAGTCGGATGAGACACACAGGCCATGCATGAACGATACTATGCTGGGACCAGAGTTGAACAGTGGACCAGAGTTGAACAATCAATATAACTTTCTCCCTATTGTTGCGGCAGCCCTGAAAATATTCATTTATGTTAATGTGTATGTATAGATTAGCTGTATATATTTTTTAGACTTCTAAAATAAGCGCATGGGGCAGAAAAGAGAAATCATGTAGAATCTTGACTCTCTGTTGCAACAAGGAGCCCAGATCCAACCGATCTTGCATTCTAAACCTCATTTAAGAAAAGGAGCAGGAAATGTATATGAATGAAAATAATGTGAAAAAATCCGAGGGTGATCAGTAGAATCTTCATGCCTCAAATAAAATATCAGCGCAAGAGGATGCACAGAGTGACTTTGGCCTCGGAAAGGTGACTTTCTTTTGAAGCTCCGACGTGTTCCGTTGGCGGACCTCGTGCAGGAGTGCCGAGGCAGACTCTCGTTTGTGCTCGGACTGACGTCGTAGACTCATGACATCCTCAGGCAAGAAAAAGAGAGACAAGGAAAGGGAGATCCGTGAGTCTACTGTTGAAGCCGCTTATCAATCTCTCCGGGATGGTATACACTCGAGCTATAATCAGGCTGCCATTGCTTTCGGAATCTCAGTTTCCACTCTGCGGCGTTGTTATCTAAAGAAGTCATCTACTCCGAAAAATGCTCATGAAAGGGAGCAGTTACTGAACAATGCTCAAGAAAAAGTCTTAGCTGAATGGATTCAATATCTAGGGTCTACCGGTCATGCAGTCTCGAAGCAGACAATCCGTCGGACTTCTAATCGGCAAGCGTGACTTAGCGTGACTGAAGGCTCGGATGAATCGTCCAACTCTGGGCCCAACGCCGTTTTTCGAGTCTCCCCTCTCGGCCACTGCCCGACACTTTTCCTCGCCTTCAACAATTACAAAAAAAACGCCATCAGGAAATTGATATATTTGGTCAGGTATTTACAGTGATTTTAGAGTTGTTAGTGAGCGTGCAGGACCTAGGCAACCAGAATAGCTAAATATTGTTCAACTCCAGTCCCAGCATAGTAGGGAGACACACCAACCAGCTCGCCTTTGGCAGAGCAAATGACAATAATGACGACAGAATTTTCTTTCTTTCCGTGGCACACCTGCGAAGAGATTTAAGGTACATTTATTGTCGCCCAAAAGCCAGTGAGGATACTCGCTGGCGAAGATGTCTAGAAAACGATCTCTTCGTTCAACTTCTCAAGACTTGTGTCGATCGAGAGGAATCCCCAACCATTACAAAAAGAAAGCACAAGATCCTCGCCAACAGCCCGATGCGCAAAAGCTGATCTCACCCTTCACTAGACACTAAGAACATTGTGATTTCCCTAAACTCTCTTCAATTCAGATCCCTCGCACATGGAGCCGCACTTAACATTCAGGCCACAAGGTCTAGCTTCAGCAGCGCAAATAAGAGTATTGCAGCATGACAGACAGGGCAACGTGCATTCCTCCGCACTTCTTCCACGATGCACCTTCAACAATACCAGATTTGAGTCAGCCACCACGGAGCCCGGAAAGATGGAAACCGTCAGCTCACCTATTACAGAATATATGACCACAAGCCGTGGCTGTCGTCTCATTACAAGGGTCGAGGGCGCACAAGCGACAATGAAACTTGGATTGTATGCCACCGTTTGTGGGCGTCGCTTGCACAAGAGTCGCCAAGGACAGAGACGCACGACTCCTTGGCATAGGAAGAATCGATTGGGGAGTCATCGACCCTGGCGGTGGTGACGGTGTGGACACTGAGAATACGTCCATCTCTACCGCACTCTCCAAGTCTTTGAGATCATCGCGCTTCCATCTGTCCGTCGAGCCTGTGGGACTGCCATCTGTACCGCCGTTGAGTAAGTGAAAGTTCGAGAGATCACCAGAGGGGGTCTCGGCGAACGAAATCCTTGAATGGGATGAAGATGGCTCTGATGGTGAGAGCGGGTGCGATTTGATCGGCGTGTGCATAGCGGATGTCGTCGACGGGAGTGTCGTGAGGGGCGGTGGCGGCGGTATCCTATCACGGGAAGATGTAATAAAAGCGGGTGGCGTAGCCACATAATCTGGTATGAAGCTATTCCTCTCTAACTGGGATTGGCGGATCCAAGCGTTGCTAGGCTGCGACGAACCAGATGAAGTAGCGGAGTCAGCACGCATCGTTCGACTGCGATCAACCGTCTTGAAACCCGACCAGGGGCTCGTATGAGCGTCTGAGATATCGTTGATGAAATCTGCACTTTTCGGAGACGCCACTCCAGTACGATTCATGGCTGATGTTGGTACATGTGGACTCGTAATACCGCTTGATGTATGGTTGGAATATAATGTGTCCGATAGTATCTGTGATCTATATTAGTATTCTGCGATATTGCGGCACTTTTGATATCTTTACTCGTGATTCTATTCTATTCGCGACAATCCGGGGGTGGGAGAATGCCTTCAGATTTCAGATCATCAAAGAGGGCCTGTCGGTGAGAGACAAGTAGAAAGTAGGATTGCTGCTTACCGCTGAACCTTTAGGAGTCTCAAGTGTTGCAGATCTCGATGGCACATTGGTCGTCTGATCAAGCAGAGCATTTGGCTGTCGATATGCGTGCTGAGACATCGCATTAGATGATGGTGGCAGACTTTGCCTACGCCACGATCCAACCTTCTGCGAGACTGTCAAGTCAGTGAAATGTGCTCGATGGAAGGGCTTGGACGTGTGCGTACATTCGGAGATATATTACTGGATGACATCGAATCAGGCTCCTGGGGGACGTGTGTAGTGGTGAAGTGCTAGTTTACTTGTATGAAGGTGGTATATAAATTACAGAAATATGATTGTACCTCTATCTTCGTAGGTGTGTCCTTGAAGATCTGATGACATATACCGCACGAGCTGTGGACGCCTGGATCGCTGTTGTGATCGTTGAGGTGATCCATGGAGGTGAACGCGATATCGCAGATATCGCAGCGCACTGCGGGGATTTGCTCCGGCTCCTGATCCTGCTCTGTATGTTTCGCAAGCTCGTGCTGTGCAGACAAGGGCTTGTTTTAAAACCTGTGTTCAGGATTGAGCGACATGGCGCACCTCGACAAGCTTTGTCGAATTCACAAAGCCAGTAAAGCATTGTTCGCAATGCGGGTGGTTTGAAGAATTAAGGTAATGCTTGTCCAATTCATCTTTGAACATGCTCAACCCGCAACACTTTACTCTTGGATGCTCATCTGCCATATGCTTCGAGGGCAAAGAGGTCGATGACAGGAGAAATCACAGGACAAACGATGAGCGTTGTGGATGATGACCTATGACATGACTTACCACAGCAAGTGCATCTTTGTCTCTTACCCCGACACTGCATCGCCGGCACTTTGGATGAGCAGCCGATGCGCGGTAGTGCTGGTCCAAGGCTGTCTGCGAGTGATATTTCCTGTCGCATTTTTCGCAATATATCGTATGCTTGGTATCGTTGTGCTGATATACCGATAGAGTGCCATCCTAGATCTGAACAGAAGACGACTTGGGAGAATTCAATGCGACTTACCTGGATGTAGGACGGTCTGTCCTTGAAAACTCGCTGACATTCAACGCACAGGGGATGTGACCCACGTGCAGCGTTGGCATGTGTCATCAACTCTTCAACAGAGTTGAAGAACTTATCCTGGAGGGATAAAGAGCATTGTGCCGATGGGCAGGAAGGCATGATGTCCAGCTCCTGCCTGAGGAAAGCGGTGTGAATCTGATGGTACAGAATCCAGTCAAGGGTTGGTGGTCTCGATCTATTCTCGCGCAGGTCTTTATATCTCTATAAAAATGACAGGCGGCCTCATGAAGGCCACGAGGACAGTGTTTTTCTGGAAACGTGGCTGCGCGTGAGATGTCCTTCTAAGTCCCAATAGAAATTGAAGATCTCATCCCGAATATCACATGAACGAAGTTATATTCGTAAATGAAACAAAGAGTAAGCACTCTTTCGGTTTACAGCTGATGGAAACAAGTTCAGGTTGAGACAAGGAGTACATTCTTTTACGAGGCCAGTTAAGCAACCCAATGTTAGTGACAGGTTGAAAGCAGGACACACATTCCCTAATAGGTCGGCCCAAGACTTATTCTGACTAGAAGTAGGACGTTTGATTGCCAGGTACGACCCCATCTTTGCCTCGCTGAACCCCGCAGAACATTGACGGCATACTTGGGCTATGGCTGGTGTATCCAAACGTGTTCGGAGATTATGGATACGTTTACGCTGCCGTAGAGAGGTACAATTATGTCAAATTCAGGGTTGATACACGCCATTCTGGTGAGGAAGACAGAGATATGTTTCCCTCTTGAGCGAAGAGACGAAAAAAGGAGGAACTCAGGAAACATAATTCGGAGCCGAGAGAGCGGAGTATAAAATTCCGGCATAGTGCCGCCAGATGCCGTCTCGGCTTACACTTGCCTCTCTGACCGCAGTCAAACGGACATTTTTCAGAGCCAATATGAACAGATGTGTAGGTCATGCGTCTGGATGCAATGCCCGATTATGTGAGAAGAGGAATATGTCGCACCTTAAATGGCAGAGAGATCAAAGGTAGAATCACCTGGGTGTTTGTGGTAAGTAAAGATCGCAGAGGTATATTCTGCCTACTGTCCTGTCTATACTTGCAAAATAACGTAGCGACAATAGAAGCGGTGTCCACGCACGATCAAAGCAGGCATGAAACTCATCACGGCGTCGACTAAGACTTTCCAGGAAGGCTAAGAAGGCTGTTTGAGTTCACCACTCCCACTTTGTGTTCTTAGCAATGGCCATCGGAGGCGGTTGGCGCCTTGACCAGCCCCAACTTTCCCCTCTCCAACCTGACCGTCCATCCACCTTCCCCGAGCGCCTCCTCTTCTAGACTGTGCAATCCACTGTGATCTTGATGAATGACCCTTCGCGCGTTGATCTTCGCCAGCACACGCTTCGTCTCCACCTCTGCATCATCCGCTCCTAACATGAAAGGCGCCTCAAGGATAGATCGGGGATTGCCGACAACAGGTATTTCGAGCGCGGGGAGTAGGCCTGTGGGAGATCCAACGCTGACAATGTGCTTGAGCGAGGTTTTCTCTTGTGTTAGTGTAGGCGATGTTAAGTGGTGCATGCGCTCAACAATTTCATCCAAGGCAGAGGGGTTAACGATGGGAGCTGTAACATCGAGCAGAGCCTCTTGCGCACTTCTGCCGTTTCGCTCTTCGTCTGCGGGGATCAAATGAGCAGTATCCCGTCTCACAGGCCCGTGCGGGCTGTGAGGAGACGAAAATACTTCCGAATGCCGGCCCCCTTGTTCGCTCCTTGTTTCTGGGTCTTCAGGCCATCGCGCCCCGCCGACTTTGCCTAACCAGTTCCACACCGCGTCAATAGTGCCACTTCTTTGCCTCCTATGACCTCCTTGCTTCCCTGAATGAATATTTTCATCGTGTACAGCCACGTCCACCAGATCGACGCCGGTCGCACGCCCTTCCTTTGTCTTTGATTCCTGGCGCCGCCTCGTCCCACTAGCCTCTTCGTCTTCAATCTCGTCAATCGTAACTCCCAAGTCTCTTCGCAGGGGTGACTCCGCAGTGGGCGGAACTTTCGCTCGTCCTGGGGCTAGGTTTGACATTTTGCTTGTGGCTATATCCAGACTCTCAATGCGCTTCCGCACAGCCTCGTGCTGGTTTGGTGTAGTAGGATTAAACAAGTTCGTGCAAAAATCGAGCGCACGCTGGACTTCAGATTCAGAGAGACGCGGGCCCATGTCTGCATTTCCTTGAATGACTTTATGCGCCGATTTGACGTGATGGAATCAGGCAATATCAGCGAGTACTAGAACACGAATGCAAAGAGAAAGCGTACCAGGCCTCAAAAACGAAAACGCTTTATCAAAATTGTCTTCCCCGACATCGGAAAGCACGTCAGTAGACTGCGAGCGCATCTGTTTGTATGCACCGAGGACTACAACCAGGAACCTATCAGTATTATCAGCTTTCATCCTCAGGCCGATTTCATTCATGCGAACCTCGTATACGACACGGTCACTCGCTGCGAATGCCAGTCTGCCGCTTCTCGCTCATTACAATCTCCTCGAATTGACGCTGCGATACTCGCTGCCGCCGCAAGGCCACTTGTCATGGCAAGATGCACACCGGAAGAAAAAAAGGGATCGATGAAGGCTACTCGTAATAGCATCAGCAGACCACGCGATGAAGGAAAATAGAGAACTGACCTCCTGCGTCCCCGACGATCCTCCAACCTTCTCCAGCGTAGCTCGATGCTGAGTAACTGTAGTCACTGGCTGTCTTAATCGTCCCATCAGAAGAATCGTCTAGGCTTGAGATATAAAATTCGCCACTTGTGCAAGACCCAACGCTCAGAGGCCTCTTGATCTCTTTCGCCTTGACTGTTTGAGCCGGCCCAGGAGTACGCTCCGAGGATGAGTCAAAAGTGACTGATCTCTGCGTATCACTCAAGGAAGGTCTTGCGCTTCCTGACATAGGGCCTGGAATTTCCGTCGACTTCTTTCCCTGGAGCAGCGTCCCTGCTCCGATCAGTTTCTTGACCCCTGGTGCCAGCTCTAAAAACGAGAGGTATCTCCCGACGAGGTTGTCAGAACCGGGTGCGAAGAATCCAGGCGAAAAAGACGAGGATAATGTAGGTGATGAGGGAGAGGGCGACGAAAAGGGCGTCGCGTTTGTGTAAGGCGATGAGGACAGTGAAGGGTCTGTTCTATCGCTGAACGTCCCCGGCGACGGGATCAAGCGGGTATATTTGTAAGGGGTCGAAGACAATGAAGGCAGAAGGGGGAGGACAGCGATAGATGGCGAGTTAAGAGGTTCTGGTCGAGAGGACTTCCTGAAGAGCTTTTGATCCATGACAACACCGATAGACGTTGTCCCGTCATGGAGTGGAATGAACCACGCCCAGCCCGATTCATCTGCCCATGCTTATCAGCTGATATAAACAGAACCTGCGAAGCAGAACATGCCTGTAAGCGCTTCAAACCATGGCGCACCCTCAGCTGCAGTCTCCTGTGCGTATGTACCTACGCCCGTCCAGTAGCCCCACATGGCTATGTTTTTTAAATTGGCATTGAAGCGCCTATTCTTTAAATATCTAGTAGACATGATGCCGGCGCGGCCACTTGCATCGATCAGGTAGTCAAAACTCATGATACCGGTGCATTGATTGGTGGATGCGCAAGACGTATGGAGCCATGTGACAGAGGTGGGTCGGCCGAGTGGGGAAGAGGCTGATGAAGTTGAAGAAAAGGCGATAGAGGTAGCCTTGTAAGGGTGAAAGACTTTGGCGCCACAGACAGATGCATGGTCAAGAAGCAAAGCATCAAATTCTGAGCGAACCTGAAGAGATTTCTCAGTGATGCCAAAATCGCTTGCAAGGGGCGCAAATTCATACGACATTCCACGCGTTGTTATCATGCCCAAGGGCAACGAAATCGGTGTCTTGGTGGATTTGGCGTGGGTAAACAAAATCGCGTCACAGATAGAAAAACTCACATCCTTCTTTCTTGAACTGATTGAACTTCATCGCCGCTCCGGGCTGGTATGCAGTATCTAGATAGGTTTCGAGAAGTTCCCAAAACTGGCAGGAACATGCACGCACCTTACGCGCAAATCCATGCGCCGCAACCTTCTCTTCTGCATCGATAAATCTTAACTGGTACCGAACAGATGGTATGAGGCTCTCTCCGATGTGGTATCTCCGATAAAATATGAGACTAGAGTGAGGACGTCAACACTGAGCGCATATACCTTGGAAATGCAGAAGCTTCAAGAAGCACGACATCAAACCCTTCCCTTGCCAAAGCTGACGCGGCATAGCTGCCACTAGGACCACCTCCGATGACAAGTATCTGGGCATGCTATCAAACCGAGTTGGCCCAACTTCGAACGAAGAGAGAGAGATTTGGAAGCTCACTTCTGGAGGATGAAGAGAAGACATGCCTGCGGCGCTGGAATATTCCAACAAGTTCGTGCGCTCCGTGCGCTGCGCAGGGATGCAAGAAGAGAAAAGCAGGTCGTCGCCCTTCTCCGTCAGAGACTAGAGTCCCATATATACGTGCTGTCACTCATTTGGACGTCGGAGAACGCTTTCGGAAGATGGAAAAATCGACGACAGAAAATCACCTAAGAAGGATCAAGAAGGCGAAAAGAAACATTCCATAGACTGCAGCTGCAAGGTCGGGTCTCCAATTTTCTAAGGAACCATGGTGCATTACCGGGTATGCTGTATACTGCTAGATTTCTCAATGAACGTGTTGTGCAAAGTTGAAGGATAACATGATTCAGAAGGATGAGCATACGAGCAATTAACGAGGTCGTTGAAAGCTGAGGATTTTGCAGGAACTTCGACACTACTTCGACTCCCGACACAGAAACTCCCAGAAAGGAGGTTGAGATCCTGACACTGTATCGCGTAAGCACATCACACGCCAGCAAGACGCATCGAGATCTGCCGTACCACTGCATTCAATCAAGCTGTTGGGTGAACCTACCTTTTCTAGCCTTTTCTCTTCCTTTCCTTGATTGCCGACAGCTCTCTGCAGATTTCCTCGATAGTCTCAAATCAAGAGCTGAGAAGAAGAATTCCTTTTCTCAGACCGAGGCTGGCATTCGAAATTCTGCAATCGATCCAGCGACGAGAAAAAGGTAGAAATTCGCTGATCACACATGTGCGTCGTGCATTCTACATATTCCACATCAGTAGATGTTTGCCTTGAATCTCACTTACTCTCATATGACCTGCCTCCGTACGTCACTTTACCCTTCCCTTCTCGCCGGGTTCTTCTTCGCTGTCTCCTGAATCGGGGATAGCGCGTGGTGAGTAAGATGTTTAGCATGGATCCATGTAGCATCGTAAAGATGTACAAGCTGAAACCATCTCTCTCTACTCTCAGACAACATCTCAAAACGATCTTTCTTCATGTTGAGTGCTTTCAGCAACGTTTGGACTTCAGCCGCTCTAGTCTTCATCACTGCGCGCTTGAAGCTTGGAGCTTGAAGTTTTCACGGATGACCATTGTGGGAGGTCTCTCAGAAGATTGGTTCAAAACGAGTCTGCTGTGATAATTGTGCAAAAGAGGCAAATTTGCGCATAACATCTCACAACTCCCCTTTACTCTTACAACTCTCCACAGAACTGACGCCGTGCAATCTAGGCTCCTCAGACATTTAAATAGTACTTACGTCGTCTTTCAAAAATTTCTGTGAGACAGGCACCCCCCGTCATCGCCAATCTATCTTTCCCCAGGGCTAGGCATTCAGTGAAGGTACGTCTATCTCAATCTTGCCACGCTCACAAGGCAAGGTAACCCTTCTATCAGCGCAGCAAGCCGATTTTCTACAGAATCTGCATTGAGGCAAGAGCGAGGCTGCTCGTGATTTATCAAGGCTTGTACATACGTGTGTGCAGAGTACGACTGACCCCATGTGAAATGCACATCTATTGCTGTTTGACACCATGTCTGATATAATGGGACGCAGAAACGACCAGGCCATCCTCCCGGCGAGCTGTTAATCGTTCACTTAATCATGTTAATCATGAGACATGTCCACTAGTAATCCAGCGAACGTGTTGCAGCAGTGAACACGTGGCTAGCCGACTATGTCGCGGACAAATGGCCACCATCAGTGGTCACGAACAATTTGTGACTTGTTCGAACCTCGGAGAGCCACGACTTGTGGCAGTAGTCTCTGGTATCTTCGGTGTCATCGTAAGTAGCCTTTAAATATCTATTTGGCATGTCCTGCTCTACCCCTGACTTTTCAACACCCGCACAGTATGCATACGATGTCAACTATTAAAAAATGTCAACTATTAAAAAAGCACAAGAATACATAGCTACTGAAGAGGTAAATACTTACACAGGTCTAAGCCTATCACAGAGTTTTTGACACTGTTCTGAGAGAGTTTGACAAGAACCCTCCTGAAACCTTCGAAATGATGTCCAACGAGGGGAGCTACGAACATGAACTTGTACGCGATGTGCTCGAGGAAGAAAAACATGCTCCACATGAGCCCACTCAAACAGCGTGGTTTTGCGAAAACTCCAAACCCCCTAGTCGCCACAAACCTTACTGGGTAGTGTTAGGCCATGGAGGACGACCATTGAGCTGATTTTCATCGACGAAACAGCTTTGTGGCGCTATACGCGATACAGCGAATAGTAAGTCCATCGTATATGTGACAGCTTATTTTTCCATCGACATCTGTGCAGCACATGTGCAAGTATATAAAGCAAGTCGGCAATAAGGTGATACTAGTACCGATCACACCTTGATATCGGACGAAGAGATAGGCATTGACTGGGATCTGTCCAAAAGGCTGAAACCTAGTGTCGACCATGGAGTACAGACAAACTGGAGAACGGTGCGTCTTCAGTCGATCGATTTATTTTGATTCGAGAATGATTGCGTGACTTCAGGGGACTTGGCAATTCATCTCGGCCGCCCGTCTCCTAGACCTTGTCAGTATTCGACACGAGCGTCGCGATGAGTTAGAATCCGCTCCTCACGTGTTGCTCTACACCAGCACCCGCCACCAAGCAAGTCGAGTTTCTGAAGACCAGCTTGGGGACCTCCAAGACGCGATCAAAACCCATTTCGACAGTATACGCAGAATCATGCAGGGGGAAACATACGGAGGAAAGGGGAAGCTGGCCTACTCCAGGATCGAGCCGCCCTTTGCTTTCGATAAAACGCAGCTTGAAAATTTCCCCAGCACCCCACACATCAATCTTATCGAGACGCTTCGAAGACTCTTTATCCCGCTCTACCTTTCAGAAAGATACTTGAGGCGGTTCCCTGATGTGGTGCAATCTCGAAATGTTGCTCTCAAAGCCCTCAAGACTTCGGACCAATTAATAGAGATATTCGGGAAGCACCTCAAGATGGACGAGTGGAAGGAGGACGATATCAATGACAAGCTGCGTGGCTCTGGTGGAGTTCTGATGGATATCTTTCCAAAGCACGTGGCTTAGGCTACACAGTTCGATGTGGTTGAGACCAGCTGAAGGTGCGTCAGCACTAAAAGTCTTACCGATGGCCGGGTTCGAAGGCAGAGATCGATCGACGATCAAGCTCAAGCGTATACTCTTGGACGTGGTACAGTGGATCATCGCTGTCAAGTTTTCCGAATTTTCTTTCATGAATCACCCTATGCTTTCCGCTCTTTATTTCGACAGCATCATCCACAGTTACATGCTGCAAAAAATTTCTGCCCTCCATGATATTTTAATACGACACTCTCTGATGATTTCCGATGTTTTGCGCACTCACAGCGCTGCGATATGTCACAGCTGTACTCATGTCTGTTCCGCACCCGTGGGAATCTTACGCTGATACTTGGCACTTCCTCTAAAATTGTGAGCTTCTTGCACGAGCTTACGACGTCTCTCTTGGAGGACCGAAGATCTTGAATGAGAATCATGTTTGTATGTATCCAACTCTCCGCCTATAGAATATCAAGGTTCATACCAGAACGCTGTGAGTACTATTGGGTATTGTTCCGAGAAAGCTGCAGCTGATGATTGTATTTCAGAGCGCATTTAAGACATAATAAGAGGTATACTGTACTCGGACCTTCCGTATGAGGCTTGCGAGCACGCCTCAGTAGTTGATGTGACATCAACGCGACTCGTGATTGTTTCCAGTGGGAGTAGGATCTATTTTACCTTCTATTCCCTACTCTGGCATGGACACATGACGGTGGCCACGTCAGTATCGGCATCATTGCACGTCCCGCTCGCCACATCGCAGGAAGGTGATTGTGGAAGATCATACCCTTTGTCAGTTTCGGCCTGTATCAGGGTTGCTGCGCACATGCGTTCTAGATCTGCGCAGTGTATGGCAGTTACATCCTCATGCATTTCATGAGGCCGCATAGTTCATGTATGAGCTGCTTGCTGTACATTTCGATTTCACCTGTGAGCTTGAACCTCCATCCCCTACAGCCTCTCACCTAATCTCCTTGCTGTCAAATGCCTTATTGTCCGTCTAGTCTGTGCAAACGTCGATACTTTGAGACGGACCACGCTCTATTTCAGCATGCTAGAACATCTGCGAGGGCACATCCGTGTTGCATCACGTGCAAACGCACTTTCAAGGACATCGAGGCCTATACTCAGGTGCGGGACTACGCTCGAACTCCTTTTTGTGATATTATCCCGTTGATTGTATCATGCCTATAGCACAGAGAATCTAAGCATCTCTTTCACTGCAATACATGCAAATGCGACTTCCTCTCTGAAGGTGCTAGAGAGCTGCATCACCATATCTCTGCTAACCATTCAAGTTGCCCTCGATGCGACCTTGGTATCTATAGTCACGAGGCTCTGACGAAGGTAACGACACTTACATAGATGATCGCTGCGACACCAGTCTGATATTTACTTTTTCGAAACGCATATCCTTGCGCTAGGCTCAGGTCTCTTGTGTCGCCTGCAACGGCCGTGGGTTTTATGTAGACGAGTCAGAAGGCCATTGTCCCAATCCTTCTAATCGCCCAAAATGCGATCGATGTGCCGTCGGGGTCGAAACCCTTGATAAGGTGAGTGAATGTTCTCGTACCACTGAATTGGAGGTTTCCTACACTCTTTTTACGCAAAACACACTTCTACAGAACAATACATCTCATTACTCAGAACATGGACGCGAAGTATGTCCGTCGGCGTTCGCTACTGCTCAGGAATTGGAACCGCATATCAAAGAATCTAGTGCCCATCCAGTATGTATATCTTATGGCAATACTCTTGGCAATGTATGAATCTTGCTTCAAATTTCTCCATATTCTACAACTCTTATCAATTATAGCGCACACCAAGTGTACACGTCTTGAACACTCCTTGCTCATCTTCCTACACTACCGGACCTGCCGTGGTGAGCCCTCCGCCCATTTAGACGCTGTATCTCTGGCTAATTTCATCTCAGAGATCAAGTCCTCACCTCAAGTCGTCTTCGACTGCATCGCCGATAGTCCAGGTAACTCCAACGCAGTTTTATCGTTCCTCGCCAATGCCCTCAAATAAATTAGGGACATTTGATCGATATCGAGAGCATGTGTGTCCAGTTTTCTTCACTGATCATTGTGATAATGACGCATCGAAAGATTTTCAACACTGCGCCTGATGCTTCGTCATGCTCGAGCTCAGTCTTCTCTCTTTCCAGCTCCAAGACAATGACTTCGGCACTAGGAACACTGACCCCTCTTCCTGAAACGGATGAGGACATACCTGCAGCTCATATGTTGGGAAATGCGTTGTATCATGAATTCTCGCTTTCACGACACCCGACACCTTTTCATACGTCGGACCGCACAGGAAAAAGGAGTTGGGCTTCGCCGTCGATCAGTCGAAGCGCGAATGATTCTGTCGATTCCCCGGCATCGACTCCTCGTCAGGATACGGCACCTTCTGTCTTTGAGGAGTTCCTCTTTCATTTGCCGAGCATTGATACACACAATCTCCCAAATTCTTTCGAGAGAATCAAGGATGCGACTGGTATCTCGCTCGAGGTCACACCTAGCACAGCTCGATCGAAGGGTCCCCTTGCACGAACATCATTATCCGGAGATCTTTCCCGTTTTCACCTTCTCAAAGGTGTCCCTTCTCCTGTAGAATCTCTCAAACCCCTAGTCAGCCCATCTCATGCACAGAGCAACGAGATCGACAGCGCCAATGGCAAAACATCTGTCCAATCCATCTCGTTTCATTGTAGAGTTTGTCGGGTTGATCCATGCAGAAATGTTACTGCAACAGCCTGCGGGCATATTTTCTGTTACGAGTAAGCACGTTCTCAGTTTTAGCGCATCAGCTGATGCCTAATGATCCTTCAAGCTGCATCACAGAAAAAGTCAGAACGACCGCCAGGTGTCCAGTTTGTGATGCAGCACTCATGTTATTCAGTCTCCTGAAGCTAGACATGAGTTAGATGGCGTAGTTGAATTACTGAGTTTTTTGTGTGGGAGCCATTCCATCACCGTCGTCGTTTTGCGTTATTGTCTGTGGATTTGCCATACGATACTTTCTTGGCTATTACTATGGTGATATGAAATGTACACATTTCTCGTTGGTTGACAGCATCGTTTGTCTTATCGTTGTCTGTGGATTTGTGCAGTCAAAGCAAAGAGTGGGCTGAGACCGTGCTCAGGCACGTCTAGACTCTAGATATTCGGTTCTAAAGCCATACAAAAAAACGAAAGTCACCGAAAATGCATAGTCTCGGCTAAATGAACACCTCCTGATTGATATTCGGGCTTAACAATGGCGTCGGAACAGGAAGGCTTCATGGTTTATGATGCAAATTTGCGTCCGTGATAGCTTGCAAGGGCAAGGCCCAAGCTGTATAGACGGATAGCGGACTTTGAAGACAGCGCATTATATAGCATGGCCACTCGCCCTTGCTCTATCCGTCTCTTCTTTTTCCCTCCCCACCTCTTTCCATCCCATCACTTGCCGGAAAATACTATTGATGTCTGATACGGAGACGAAGAAGTCTGGCTACCGTCTGGAATACTCTGCAAACAACAGGGCAAAATGCAAAGGTACGTGGCTCGCTGCATATCAGTCTCAGTGTTCAAGGTTGGGCTTACCGAGGCACGCGTTTGTTGGATTGTTAGGACCGAAGCCATGTGCTGGTAACCTTTTTGTTTCATCTGAAGGGTGTTGCTGTTGTACTGACGCGTGCGCTATCAACAGGCACGACCCTCACTAAGGGTTCGCTGAGGGTTGGCACCATTGTTGACTTCCGAGGCCACACTTCCTAGTGCGTGCAATCCTTCCTAATCTTCCGCTTTCCTAACACAGTTCATTCCTATGATTCAGTGCATGGCGCCATTGGGGCTGTGTAACCCCACTGATCTTTACGAACATGAAGCAGCAGTTCAACGAGGCTTCTGAGTTGGATGGCTTCGATGACCTCAAGGAGGAGGATCAGGAGCGCGTGACGAAAGCCTGGGAAGCCGGCCATGTCGCCGACGAAGACATTCCTGAAACTGCAAGGAAAGCTGAAGGCGACGAGGAGGAGAAGCCCAAGAAGAGAGCGCCCCCGAAGAAAAAGGCAGAGAATAGCACAGAGGACAAGCCTAAGAGAGGGAGACCCAAGAAGGTGACTGGGTCTTTTCTACCCCGACTAGATATAGTCTTACTGTTGCTCTTCGGAAGGCGGAAGACGATGACGAAGATGCGGACGAGAAGCCCAAGAAAAAGCCTGTGACTCGCAAACCTCGTGCCAAGGTAGGCTATTCTTGTCTACCTTTCCGCATGTTCAGTGTTCAAATGTTCGTAGAAGGTCGAACCAGAAGGAGACGATGACGGGGACGATGATAACGAAGAAGAGGAGAAACCCAAGAAGAAGGCTGTCAAAAAACCTCGCGCAAAGGTGGGTGAAATGTTCGATTGTCCTTCGCATCGTTACTGATACAAAATTTCAGAAGGTAGACGAGGATGATGAGCCAAAGAAAAAGAGCGTCAAGAAGCCAATCGTTAAAAAAGCAGCGAAGAAAAAGAAGGCTAGTTTCGCTAATCGCCTTGAATCATGAGTTGTGCACTGATCAACATGCCATCACGTTGTCTCAGGACGAGGACGATGAGTCTGGTGAGGACTTCGCGGCGGAAATGGACCAGGTTGATGACGACGACGACGAAGCTCAGCCCAAGCCTGAGGAGGCCACCAAGAAGCGGAAGGTGTGCTTCACCGTCAACCTATGTGGTGCTTCAGCTTCAGAACACTGATGTCCCTTGCGTCACAGCGTCCTGCCACAAAAGCGTCTGGTTCCAAACCACCTGCTAAGAAAAGCAAGCCTTCCTCCTCACGGGCGAAGAAGGTCAAGGAGCCCGTTGAGGAAAGCGACGAGGAGTAGTACAGTCGTCTATCTCGCTTTGCATTGCTTAATGTCTCTTGGCTGTGTTTCTCGTCTGCTCTTTTCAATTGTATGTATATCACGTTCTTCGTTGTTGACTTCATCTAGTTCTCGCTATAGGATGCATTTCGCTGATGGCCGTTATACCACGCTCTATTTATATGGTCTGACCATCATTTCACGATTTTGTTCTGAACGGATTCGGAGACATGTAATGCAAAGCCAAAATGAACATTCCGTTAAACTAGACACCTTTGAGAGTAGTCTGATCTCTGGCAGAGATACATCGGCGCTCACAATTTTGAGGGTGTTCGAAGTCAAGCAGGTATCAATATAACTGATGATACCACCATTGATTTTATGATACAGCAAATGACAGGCTACAGCGGTCCACGCTACAAAATACAAGTCTAAGTGTCATAAGATGCCAATCTTTCTACGAAAAATCCCAAAGAAAACCCAACAGAATCAAGAACTCAAAAAGGATACAGAGACAGTCAATGAGATCATCAAGCTCAGACGCTCAATACCCAGCGTACTCCCCGCTTGTCGATGAGGATGTAGGAGTGGCCGTCGCCGATTTAGGGCGAGGAGTGAGAAATATTGTCGTGGGTGTCGGAGCACTGGCATTTACCGCACCGTTGCGCGAATCCCCGGTGGCCGCGCTGACGGTGTTAGCGGTTGCGGAAGAAACTGCAGAGCTGGCAGGGATAATGGTGACAATGGAGAAGGAACCTCCGGCGGTGAGGGACGAAATGAGGCTAGAAGCCTCTGCGGGAGGGAAGGTCTGCGTTTCAGTGGGTAGGGTGACGGAGCCGCTTGCGGGGAGAGTGATCGTGATTGTGACTGTAGTGCTGTCGTCGCCAGAATCGTCTGGGGTGCCATCGCCCTGTCCATTGTCATCGTTGCCGTCATCGTCGTCCGAGGAGCAGTCGTCATCGTCATTATCGTCCGTACTCGAGGTAGAGTTGACGATAGGGAAAGAAACTGTGACATTTGATGATGCGGTTGATACAACGCCACCCTTCGCACCAGTCGCAGATATTATAGACTGGGCATTGTTTGGACTTGTGCACGCAACGAACTGGTAAATAGTATGGCGTCAGCACACATCTACGTATCACATGTAGCACAGCCACGCACTGTTCCATTGCCTCGAATTAGAGGAAGAGCAAAGCATTGCTTGCTCGAAGGGCACCGTTGTGTCTCCCATGACGTCCCATTACAGGTGGCAAATGAATTTTTGATGCAAGCAGTTTCGCCATCTGAAGCAGAGAAAACTCAATATCAATAACTCATAAGCCACATGAAGTTACACACTATTGCACGGGTCTGTGCTCTTGAGATCAGCGAACTCGGCATTGAGCACCTGCGCGTCCTGGCCATTCGCGAGGAGAGTGCTATTATCAACAGCAAACGGGTGAGCTAATACCATCGAGGAGGCCATGATTGAGAGGGCGATGATGAAGATGGGTGCCATTTTTGACGGTGGCGAGATGTATTGGAGGCAATGGAGTTGACTGGTAATGACAGAATGAGCAGTCGTATCGTGACGTAGAGCACCGGGCTCGAAAAGGATGTCTGGAGGGTGGGGACGACGGAGGATAGTAAAAAGAAATGAGAGCCACGTACACTTATAGCATCAAACGCAGACAATGGTAGACAAGGGCCATATTGTTCTGTTGTTTCGTCTGTCATGGGCCAAACAAAAACGGGAACAAAAGCCAGCTACAGCCACAAAGATCAAAAAGGAAGGTCCGACTCCGCGTTCCCTGAATGGGTAGGGACCCTGGAGACTCCTCACTTGGAGATTTGTCACCACAGAAACGTATTCCGGGTTTTCTTGATGGCGTGGGACTATCAGAGCCAGTACCAGAACCGACACACCAGCTGAGTGTGGTCATAACCGCTGCTCCTCAAGACCCTCGACAACTTTCAACATGGTGAGTGTTCACCATCTCAGTCTCTATGCCCCAGGATTCCTTGTCACCGACTCGAAGCGTCGAAATCGTTAGTGGAATGCGATGGATGGGCGGTCAGAAGGGTGGATGGATGTGCAAGCGCGCGGATGGACCTTGTGATACCAACTCTTCTCGGGCGGAATACTGACTGGAATTGGGGCATGGGTCGCAGACTAAAAAGCGAAGAAATGGCGGCCGCAACAAAAAGGGCCGTGGTCACGTCGTCTTCCTCCGCTGCTCCAACTGCTCGCGCGCGGTTGCGAAGGACAAGGCCATCAAGAGGTTCACTGTAAGAAACATGGTCGAGAGCGCTGCTGTTCGTGATATCAGCGAGGCCTCTGTCTACCCTGGTGCGTCGATGGCTTTTGTGAGGTCTGCAAACCTTGCGTTAACTAGGCAATTCTCATGCAGAGTATGTTATCCCGAAACTGTACATCAAAATCGCGTACTGCGTTTCCTGCGCTATTCACTCGCATGGTCAGTCTAGTCATAGCTCTTCTATCCCAACTCTCACTCACGTCATGACCGTTCAGTCGTCCGCGTTCGCTCGCGCGAGGGTCGTCGCAACCGTGCCCCCCCTCCCCGTGTTCGGTGGAAGGATGGCAAGAAGGTCAACCCTGCTGTTGTCGCTGCTGAGGAGGCGAAGGCCGCCGCCGCACGAAGTGCATGAGCAATACTGTTTACTATGTGCCGCTGTGTATTTACCTGTTCTGCATTCGACCTTTCCTGCCTCTGATGAACACAAAGATCTGCGAGACGTTAGTGGTATCAGTGTGCATCAGCTTTCCTCCCTGCATGCAAGTTACTGATTGCCTTGGCCTCCCAAATCAACGAGATCTGTATAAGAGCATTTTTCGTCTCATTGTAAGGTGATATTGTACATGGTCTCTTCGAATATCTTCCAGACGTTATGTCGATATCGGCGTTCTTGGGCTGATTGAAATGATTGAGTTTATGACAAGGAACGACCGGATGGGCCTATGAGCACCTGCCCATTCGAGTGTGCAGACGAGACTTTGACTCTAAGGTCATGGCAGTGATACTAGTGTGATACTGCACAATTGAATTCGCAAAAAAAGAATTGATTATATTCGGACACAAAAATCATGTTCCTCACACTACTATCTAGAAGACCATCATCACTCTCATGGAAATAATTGCTTCCACAAGGCATAGAGCTGCTAGCGAAGGCGGAGAAGATGTTCCTCTGGCCAACGTCAAATGTCCCCTTCCTCGTTGAGCATGAAAAGCGAGGCAGGAGTGATAAGGTGTTGGCGTTGAAAGAAAAAAGCCTAACGTTCCGACGCTCTCTCTTTATACACGGCATTTGCCGAATTCGGATGCTTGCCGAACCTTGCCGGGAGCAGTTCATGGATCACTTCAAATAGCCTGCTCCTGACCTCCACGGGTCCCATACACTCTCTTCTCATAGGATTCGGGATTCATGAAGCTAAATAGCCCTTTGCCACAAACATTACCCAAGGAATGCGACAAGGCCGCAAAGATCTGTGCGTGCGCTCGTCTTGAAGACAGGGTGAACCTGAGCTCTGCTGAACTAACCTGACCATCTGAATGCTACAGTCAAGTCGTTCGTCGATAGCGGAAATAACGGGTTGGATGGGGTTAGTTCCAGCCTATTGTTACTCGAGCAAATGCTGATTTCTATTTCTCTCAAATTTTCTCAGGTCATTCCGCGCACCGTGCTCGAGAATGCGCGTGGGTTCGCGATTTTCAGTGTTTTCAAAGCCGGCTTTCTGTTCTCAGCCAGGGCAGGGAGCGGTGTTGTGATAGCAAGACTCGATGACGGCAGTAAGTACTTCTTGTCTATGTTCTTCTCTGGACGTATGGTTTTGTGCAGGTGTGACATACCCCAGCATGCTGCAGACACGATCAAGGATGGTGTTCTAGCTGGCTTGCACGCCGTATGCGTTGAATTACTTTGCTGTTTCCTTCCATCGGTCAATAGCCGAGTCGTCCGTTTGCCGTGCATCCGCTTCGTGCATCCGTCCGCCCCGCAAACATAATGCTCATTATGCAATTGTGACCGGTCGCCGCAGCATGTCATTGACATACTTCATCATTTCACAGCTTGGTCTGCGCCAAGTGCGATCGGACTGGCAGGCGTTGGTGTGGGCGGCCAGGCAGGCGCAGAGATGACAGATTTCCTCATTGTCTTGAACTCGAGATCAGTAAGCATCGTCCTTGCCGCCAACGTCATATCTTCGTCGTGGCTGAGTAACATGTATATTCTGCATAGGCTATCGTAAGTCACCCTTGTGATATGTTCCCGCTCAAATCTGGTGAGTGGTACCAAGGCGAACAAGGGGTGTTGTCAGCCTGTCACGTCTATCCGTCCCGCAGCCTAGATTTGAGTGGGAGTTGTCCAACGCCATCGCATTTATTTGACTTCGTGATTTGTTTCTAGAGATCGTTTATGGCAGCAGGATCTCTTACTCTTGGCGGCAATATGAGCTTGGCTGTGGGACCGTTAGGCCGTAATGGAGAAGCATCGGGCGCCCTCAATACCAGCGGCAAAGTAGCGGCAATGTTTGTCTAACAGCGTTCTTGATCGCCACCAGCGCTAACACAGAAGTTGTGACTCATAGGTACAGCTACTCGAAGACGCGCGGGTTATTTGGCGGCGTGTCTGTGGAGGGCTCTGTCATCGTCGAGCGTCAGGACGCAAATGCTCAGGCGTACAAATCTGACGTGTCTGTCAAAGTCCTGCTGAGCGGGTCCGTAGACCCGCCCGAGTTTGCCATGGGGCTCATTCATACACTAGATGCTTGTACAGGCATGCCGGGAAATCGCCATTGGGTGAAGGATGATCACAGCGCGCCGGGAACGCCGATAGATGGCGGGTATGCATTCGGTGGGATTGCCAGCTCGGGCACGGAAGGGCCTGCGTCCCTTAAAAAGAGTAGGAAGAACAGCAATGCGTTTCCTCCGGCGTCGTGGGGTAGGAAGAAGAGCTCGGGCAGTTATTTCAACACAGATGCGCCGACACAAGGCAACACGATCACTGGTTCTGACCGTTCTTCGGTGTCTGGGGCTGGGAGACCGTCTTGGGACGACGCACCACGCGCCGACAGCACGCAGAACTTTGGGACCCGCTTCGAATCCGATTTTGTACCGGACGCACCGAATAGCACACCACGTCCTCAACTTGGATCTACTCTCTCACCTAATTCACCTATGTTGGGGAGAGGGAGCCTCAGCCACACATCGTCGAAGAACACCTCGCTCGACCTGTCTAGGTTCAATCCGAAGCCAATCATGCACAGCAGATCTGCCAGCGCCGCAGCGTATCCATCATACGACAGCTATGACAGTAATCCGTTTGCGCCGTCGATTGACGAAGACGAGGGCGATCTGTACGGGTCTTCGACGGACAAGGGGCATAAGCCATCACTGCGGATTGCGGCGAAGGCTGAGTTGACGAGGCCGCTTCATCCTGGCGAGGGTGTGGCGAGGGCCATTGCGTTGTTCGATTTCAAGGGGCAACAGGCAAGTAGCACCTTTAGTTTGAAGCATGTGGCGTTAACTGAATCTGGGGGACAGGGCGGCGACTTGTCATTCAATAAGGGAGACGTCATCACGATCACGGAAAAGAGTGATACGACGGATACATGGTTCGTTGTCCCTTGTGGTCGTGCGATATATGTTCACTCATGCATCTGGTACCCAGGTGGAAGGGGAAAGCCGGCGGCCGAGTTGGAATATTCCCCGCAAACTTCGTAGAGGTTGTGTGATCAAGGTCGACTCGGAAAGTGCTCTTGATTTTCGGCCGTCCTTGGAATGTTGTACCTATACTTGTGTATCCTTGCCATTCTGTCTCCATACTGTGTAAAGTGATGTATGTACGACTTCTCAACCTCCTCGCCCTTTTCCTCGAAAAGCTGCGTGACATGTGTGACAATGGTGACGCAATGTGATCGCGTGTGTGACTGCGTGACGATAGCAAGGAAAGTGGTGTGATTCTCTGTCGTACCAGGCGGCGTCGCGCAACTCTTGTTTTTATACCCTCATCATCGCCGGGGCCTAGACATCTCTTCCCCTTGAACCTCGTCCATGTCGTCTGCATCGTCGTCGACAGGATCCCTGGACGAGCGAGCTTATGCTGAAGATCAAATGTCCATGATGTCCTCAAGTTTCGATCCTTCGGATCCACTTAGTTTTCTACTCAGCCATGTATCTCACACTGACTCCAGTACGGAGGATACGTCGTCCTCATCTCAAGGCGAGAGCCCGCCCGCCGATTGGTCCATGTTTTCAAATATCTGGCCGACGCATGAGGGTATCGAGGAACAGAGTCAGGCGAAGTTCGACCCCGCAATGGACTTTGACTTCTCGCTGCCAATGGACATGGACTTCAACGGGTCGATGGCTGTTCAACCCAGCGACCTCCACTTCGATAACAAGCTCTTCGTCGAGGCCGCGCTTGCTGCACCGACCAACCCGGCGATGTACTCCCCAGAGTCATTGGCGCTTCAGTACCCCATGTACGCGGATATGGTTATCACCGCTTCTCAGGCGGCCCAACACCTTCAATCTGGGCCGAGGCGATTGAGTATCACGTCGTCGTCTTCATCGTCAGGCGCGTCGCTGTCGCCGGCCATGGATCATGCCGTTACAACCGAACCATCGTCTGGGGCAAACTTTGAACACCCAATAGACCCCGCGCACGAGCTCGCGCAACGTGTCAGGCTGGCTGCCGGAGTGACGCTTGCCGTTCCCGTTCAGGGACAAACCCAACACATACCGCATTCGACTGGTGAGTGTTTCCCCTGCACCCATCCTCGCTTTTATATCTGATGAAAGTTACAGAGGTTCAGAAGTTACCTATTCCCCGCCTTGCTCGCCCGACTCCCCCACCCTCTTCCTCAGTCAAACGTTCCTCTCCGAAGCCGTCCCCATCTCCGCCTATACTTCAAGATATCTCTGTGCCCTCATCTGCAGTGTCGTCTCCCCCAGGTTCAGATACGACTGGCTCTTCTCCCGTTTCCACGCCCTCTGCAACGGCCCCAACACCCACGACTACTGTGATTGGACGTCCGAAAACAAGTCACACGACGATTGAGCGACGGTACCGGACCAATCTGAATGCGCGGATACAAAGTTTGAAGAATGCAGTCCCAGCATTGAGAGTGCTTGATCAGAAGAAAGACGATGGAGACGTGAAAGACGATGTGGATGATAGGGGCTTCGCGGATGGTGTTAAAGTCGCGAGGAAAATCAGCAAAGCAAACGTATTAGGCAAAGCTACAGAATATATTCGGTCAGTCTTATTTTTCGGTCTCTATCGCTGGATGTCTGCTCATGTGCATTCAGGGTATTGAAGAGACGCGAGGCACGCCTGAAGCGCGAACAGGACGGGCTACGTTCGCTTGTTTCCGGCCTCGTCGGCGGACCTGCACTTCTGCGAGAATGGGAGCGGGAGTGGACTCAAAGATTCGGAGGCGCCGAAAGAGATGAGGTGGAGAACGACGGATCTGCGACAGATGACGAAGGAGATGATGGCGAAAGCGAAGATGGCGGTGACGAGGAAGAGACTGGCCGCGCGCGGAAGAAGCCAAAGGTTTCCAAACCTGCGCCAAAGAAAGAGCGTTCGAGTAAGCCTACTCCCAGCGCGAGTGCAAGCACTGCAACTGCATCAGGCGTCGTTCCCGAGAAACGAAAGCGAGGCAGACCGCGCAAAGTTCCTATTCAGCCTATCTCGCCTGTGGATACCTCTATGGCCGGTTTAGCGGTCCCGATGGATGTAGGCACCACTGAGCAGCGGATGATGCAAAATTTTGCGCCTGCGCAAGCTCAGGCGCCCGCACCACAACAGTATCTGCTTGCTGCTTTCGCATTCTTCTCATTCTTCAATTCACCCCTTACATCGTCGCCACCCTCGTATGCACATCACAGTCATTCTGGCTCTGTCCTCACTTCGCCTTCGTCCTATGCTACAACATCGGTTTCAAGGTACGCGTTTGGGTGGCAGGGGCTGATACAAGCGTTCCACCTTTTGGTGTCAGCGCTTGTCTTCATCTCTATCGTATTCCCGCTCCTGCCCAAGACGCTGCGCATTGGGCGCCTGTTGTCATTGACGGCACTTCGGGCCGGTGATTTGCCGACGCCCCCGCCTTCACCTACATCGGAGACACCTCTCTCTTCCCGCAAGAATGATACTTTCAATCGTGTCGCACTCATTGATGCGCTCTCGCCATCGTGTCATGGTAGGCCAGATGAAGCGGAACAGTTACGGGCGGCGCTGGGCGTATACCCTGGCGCTATCGGGTTGGTACAGGGAATATTGAAAGGATGGAAGCGCAGCGGGAGGGGAATCGAGCGTATGCAGCTGGAGCAGCGAGCTTGGGTTCGGTTGGGCGAATTGGTTGCGCTCAATGGTACGTGTTCAGCTTTCTGCCTCATTCTGTGCCTGTAGCCGAAGACTTATACTTTCTGGATGATCTATAGACTCATTGCGATTCAGCACACGTCTTTCGGCATACTGGGGCATGATCTCGCATACCTCTTCTTTTTCAGCCTCGACTATAGATCTCGTGACACTAGCGCTCATCATTTACCCTTTCTCTCACACGAAGGCGTCAGCTCTTTGGGCGAAGGCCAGCAGAGCACGCGTTGTCCGACCTTTTGAGCGTCTGGTTCTGGACCACATGACGGTGGACGAAGCCGCTTCTCGACTTGCTCAGCTCCGTACCTCCAAGATCAGTGACACGGATGTGTGTCGCTTCCCAGACTATGACCGACACAGCCCTCTTTCCGTTCTCGCGACCTTACTCATCCGCGAACAGGTACACCGGCATGCAGCTCTACTCTTCGTGCGCACTGTTCTGCACGAGTCGGCTGAAGACGGTGCTCCCGCCCACGTCTATGATGCGAAGAAAGAGCACAGACAGGAACAGGAGCGCCGCATGTGTATCGAGGCTGGTAAGTCTATGGGCGGCCGACCGGCGGAGCTTGCAGCTCTTTTGGAGCGTATATGGCAAGCGGGCTTCGTCAAGCACGAAGACATCTCGCAATCTCCTTCGGAAGATCAAGATGATGAGTGTGATGGCGAAGAAGCCGAGATCCGTACGCTGATTACCGCCCTCGTATTGTACCGCCGGCTGTTCCCGTCCGCGCTCGTCCCATTCTCGGGGACCGGTCGTGGAGGCATCTCACTTATCCTTTCGCCGCCGCCCTCACCGTCGAGGAGGAACGCGAAGCTGCACATGGCTCTGCGTGTCGCTCTCGACTCGGAGGCGTTCGATTATGCGGGCGAGGATGCGGGAGAGATGGGCGCTGCTCTGGACGACGCGAGGGACCGGGTGGTCGATATGTTGGTCGAGGCGGACAGGGCCGCGCGTGTCCGGAGAGGTTGACATCGTATTTGTGATTAGTGGATCGGGACCTTTACTTTTGAGGTTTGTATTTTTTTTTCTTGCTGCGAGTGTTTTCTATTTTATTATGCGCATGTCGCACTCATCTTATTGTGTGGTGTCTTGATTTTACGATGGGTCTCGTTGAGGAGTAATCAGACTAATGCTATCGTGATTTTTTGTAATCAGAACAATCCTGTGGCATGGCCCATGCATTGGTGACTGGCGAATGAAAAAAAGCGAAATGATTTATATGGCTAGAACAACAAGCTTAACAGTTTAGAAAACATGGAGCTTAAATAGGCTGTACAACAACGTCACTGCACCGCATACAGGACAGCTGGACGACCGTATGACCTGGTCAGTAATACACCTTATGAAGTCGGCCTTCAGTGCGTACACGAAGGATATTAACGAATGAAAATTCCTCACTTGTTACAGAAGATGTGGCCGCACACAGTTGCGGTGACCTCTACGCAGGGATCTCTGCGGCAGAACCTGCAGTATATGTGTGATACATACCTCACCGCAGGATCGGCGTGGTTAGATACAGGGGCGACTGGACTTCCCGGTGAAGCCCTACCCGCCGAAGATTGTTTGTTCGCTTCAACATGTGGAGAGGTGGGGGGTAATTGCTGGTCTGATATTGGTCATATATGAGGTGCCGTCTGTGCCTCTACCAGAGGTGAAAGCGGTACCTTCATTCTCATGTCGCGGCTCGTCAGTACGCAGAGTCGAGCTAGTCGAGGCGTGGCCAGAATCACTGTTCAATTCGGGGTCGGTATGTACACGATCTACCTTTGGAGTTCATGGAGCGAAACTCACTTCGGCTGGTTTGAATGACTGTCTTGTCCGGGTTGCTCATCCTGCCTGCTCCTGTTTGTATCCGGAGAGATATCATATAGAAGAGCATCAGGATCGTCGAGTGATAACCCGGGGGCTGAGTCGTCGAAGCCAGCCCATTGGTCTTGAGCCCTTTCTGATTCCGCGCGCAGCGGAAGAGGGGATGGGGTGCGGCTCGTGAGATATGACACTACCGAGTAGGTATCGTCGATTTGGTCTTCAACCGTGTGCGGAGACACCTGGGGGCAGGGTGAGGACGACGAGGCTGACACTCTGAGGAGTCAACGATACCGGTGGATGGTCCTCGGCACGCTTCTTGCTCTCCGACAGAACCTCTAGAACCTCTCGTGGGACTGTAAGCGGAGTGGGGGTTATCGGAGACTCCGATTCGCGGATTACTGAACCGACTTTGCTCAAGGCCGGTTCCACTCTGGAAGAGAGCTTTGATGGTCCAGAAAAGGAAGGTGGAAGGACTTTAGGCGATGGCGCAGCGACAGGCGGAGTCACAAGACGTGCGTGTGTGGAACTATTGTGCTAACATTTGGGAAAGTAATGTGCTATTCTGTGACGACTCATGGTAAGATGAAACTTACAACGTCCAATTCGGATTGTCCTTTGAATCCTAGCTGGCAGGGTTTGCACTTTGGATGAATATCAGCATCTGCGTCACGATAGTGCGAGTCCAAGTGTTCCTGCAAGGCATATTTACGACCACATCGCTTGCACATGATGGGATGATTGTCCTTCAAATGCTAGTACAAATTCAGTCACTGATGGACGCAGTATGGCCGACAGAATGATGCTCAGACCTTGTTAAAATTGGCTCTGGCGACGACTATGTTACATCGTGGACAAGTTTGTGTTTTTGCCATACCGTCAGGCGGTGGGATTGAAGACTTTATCGTGATGTAACGCTTGAGGAAACCCTGCGCAGTGCAACTGCCCAAGTATAAAAAGGACGTGTAGACAAGCGCTGCCTTACCTACACCACGTTTCGAGGTTGCCTCAACTTGCGCCTCGGACCAGCCTCAAGGTAGACGATCGAATCGACGCACCAGAATGCCTTAGCAAGTGCCTTAATCGCTGTGTGACATGGAAGAGCGCAAGTTGCCTCGTGGCTATGAGGGACCAACCTGAACAAAAATCAAAGCTTTTACCTCAAGAACACCTGTTTTTCAACAAATCTCAGCAATTCCTGGCAAATGCCGTCAATTGTCGGACATTGTCGACAATGTCCGACTACGATTGTCACAAATTGCCGCAATTGGGTGCGACTCATCTAGCCACCGATTTACTAATTCCGTTCTACAAAACTCACAAATTTTCAACCCCTCGAAAACTCTTTCTAGATACTCAACAATTGTCAACAATTGCCAACAATCTCCAAGTCTATAACACAGCCCTCAACCCAACAGCATCCAACAATTGCTAACAATCAGCTAGGGCCATGGGTGGCATAGTATAGTGCACCCCAATATGACTGAGAGATAGAGTAGCAAGGCATAACAATATCTGACAAGGTCCAACAAGATCCAAGAAAGCTTAAAAAGCAGATATGACATTGAGATCAGGTGGGATTAAAAAGGCAACCATGATAATGGACAATTGTTAGTAACGAGATTGAGGGCAGATTACCAGCAATTGTTGGCAATTGACACATCTTGCCAATAGTGCTTAATTGCTGACAATTGCTGACAATTGCTGATACTGCAGGCAAAGTTCTATGGAATTGGTGATCCCAAAATGATTACCTAATGATTTCTTGCCCAAAAGGATCAGTATGAGATTTATAGATAAATCTTGAACAAAATGGCAATGTGCTCCCCAAATTCCACACAAAGTGTGCTTGGATTGCATGATAATCTGATTAAAATTTTGTTTCAGAATAAGATCATGCTGAAATCAGGCTAAAATGTCATAAAGGCTGCAATATGTGTCTATGGAGCACAAAAGAGAGGACATTTGAGCTAAAATCACAAGAAACTCATAGATCACATCCTAAGCTCATTCTAAATAATCCACAGATTCTAAGCTGATTCCTTCAGAATGGGATTGGAATGGGATCAGTAGACTATTTAGGATGAGTTTAGGATATGATCTATGAGTTTCTTGTGATTTTAGCTCAAATGTCCTTTTTTTTGTGTCCTGTAGACACATGTTGTGGAATTTATGAAATTTCTGATCAATTCCAGCCTGATTTCATACCAAAACAAGTTTTTAATCAGATCATGATATATTCCAAGCACACTTTGTGCAAAAACTAGAGAGCACATTCCCTTTTTGCTCAAAATTTATTTATGGATCTAATGTTGATTCTTTTGGGCAGGAAATTATTAGGTAATCATTCTAGGATCACCAATCCCATGGAACTTTGCCTACAGTGTGACAAAAGACCACCTGCCAATTATGGACAATTACCGGCAATTGTGGCATTTATATGGAATTTGTCAGTAATTGTTACAAAATGTTATATATTGCTGACCAGACCCTAAAAAGTTCAAATTTTGTCCAAGAAAACCCTTCATACATACCATTAGTTACCGCAAAATGGATCTTGGACCCCAAATCACACCTTAACTCTCTACCACCTGCACAATGACAGTCATTTATGGACCATCATGCTCGGCAACAATCACAAAATCTAAGTTGTTGGTTGTGTATCATACGTGGTGAAATGCTGGTGGGGGCAATGCCGAGCTCCACCGAGTAATATTTCATAATTTTGGGGGTCGCTGGAACTGAGCTGGAGGATCGCTCATGAGAAGGCCCAGAAACAAAATCGCCGCTGTTGACTAAGAAAGATCGGAAAAGCAAACACGGCCCAAAAACGCGGACTCTAAATCGCACGTACAGACTCCGACTGCTACGGAGTGCGCCAGGCGCGGGGCGACCGTGCTGGTCGTTTTTTAGTGCCTGGAAGCAATGAGACAGAGATGAGCGAAGTCGAAGTCAAGGAGTGAATGATGCGTACAGAAGATGGTTCGGCCGTAGAGCCTCCCGCCATCTCGATGAGGAGACGAGAATGAGGAGACGAGAAGTAATACCAGCTGTATTTTTTCTTTAACGATTGGAGCATCTCGGACCAAAGCGATACAATATAGCCCGCTGCTTGATAGTGGATAAATCTTTAGAACAACTGAAAATTGCTTGTCCGCGGAATCTGTTTGATCAGCTTCGATACCAAATCCAAGATGTTCGTGAAGTATCGAATACGCCCTGTTGTGTAAAGGTGCAGACATTGCAATTTGATTCTTCAGCACACAAAAGTGCAGTTAGGATACAGGATTACTCTAGAATAAAGATTTTGCGGGGACCAAGATATGAAATGGACATGGTGTCATTTCACACCGGCCAAACCCTCATAATGCTGCAACACTACAGTAGTTTCTTTACCCGTCAGAAATTTCGATTGTGCAAGCACCTGTATCAATGAACTCGAGTAATCGTATCAAGTTGCATGTTCAACAGCGTGTTCGAACATACCAACAAGTGGCTCCGCAGCGCGCGCCATCCAGCAGCTAGCCGGATTGTCACCCAGTACTCATCCACGAAGGTTTTTACCCATTTACAAGAATCTTCAACGAATGTGTTTCTAGAAAGGAACGATGGGCGGGAACATCCATATGGAGCGGCACACCCATCGAGGGACGACTCACCGATTTAACAGAACCCATCTACCCCATAACGCTTGCATCACCTTATCCTCGTCCCTCACATCATCGGCTTCGAACAGCTCTTCCTCCTTGTGAATCACCGACCACGACAGCACACCGTATGGATCCATTGGCAACGATCCAACAAGGTCGTACAGCTTGCCGCCGCCAGGACGACATGAATAATATAGCACGCTCCCGTTATCCAGTTTGGTTGGGAACAAAGGCGCCCGCATAACCGGTCCGAGCGGATCCGTGTCGGAACCAAAAACGAGCGCTGCGGGCGGCGATGAGGACCTCTGCCGCTGGATTGGAAGCAGATGTGATGAGGATTGGGAGGTCATGCTCGACGCCCGCATGGAGTCGGCGGCCGAGAACGTCGTGGGCGGTTGGAATTTGAACTTGAATTGCGGGGCAGGGGTTTGTTGAGTGGTCGAAACAGAAGCTGACGTCTCTGGTGAATCCGGGCGGTGAATCGATTCTGATACCGGGAGGCCTTGGGTTCCAGTAGTGTCCAAATTTGTCTGTAAGAGTCCAACAGGCGAAGGCGATCGACTAATATGCAAAATCAGTGAGTGTACCACATATAGCACAAAATTAAACATGCCGTACCTGGGTAATACTGTCTGTGAAGAGGTATCATCATCAGAGTTGGCGCGATGTATAACCAGAGATATCGACCATGACTGTGGATGATGATCGGCAGTCAGATTCAATCATTGAATGACGAAATTCATATTCACTTGATCACCGCTAAGCTCCCATTCCGTCTCTACTTCGTCATGGTCCCATTCCATGTGCCTCTGCAGCATCTCTCGTGTAGGAAAACGCCCGTAGACCTCACATACTGGACAATACCAGTCGGCTATCTCTAGTTCATGATCATGATCATCTTCCTCATCGTCGTCTTTGTCCAATTCACTACCAGGAGCCTTTTTGTAGATGACCCTTACGTTTTTCCGGGGAGGCGCCTGAGGATTTGTAGGTACGCCTCTCCTGACGCAACTCTGATCGAAACCACGACGCATGTTCCGCCGAAGAAAGGGCAGCCGATTCGCTCCTTTGTGCATGCTCGTGGCCAACGTCAGTGCTTTCAAGGCATCCTTGAGCTGACCCAAGGGACTTTCTGGTCGGCTGGAGATGTGGCGGACAAGGTCTGGCGGCGGGATCGAGTCCTCGATATCGGTGACTTCGCGGTCTGCTTGACTGGTTTGACTGCCACCAGAGTACTTACATGCACCTAAGACGCACCATTTACAGAATTAGCTCTCTTTCTAGCTGTCTGATTGGAAATTTGTTCTTTGTAGTGGAGTTTTCTTGCCGCCTTGCCATATACCTTCCCATTCCGAATTACGACGGAGCTAATAATCAATTCTGTCATGAACAATTCAACGAGAAGTAAGAAGTCTACTGACCTTGCATCCGTGTTTAAGTAGATCACTGGACCGCCTATGAGAGGGATGCCATGGTACAGTGACGCGGTCAGATTCTTTGCAGCGAGTGCTGGCTCCTCGCCATCCTCGATGTCATCCCATCTTGGGCGGGAATGACCTTTTCTAGATCGGATGAAATCTGTCCCTCGTAGACCAAGCCATCCCCTGTCTTGGTCGTACTGGCGCTTCCGAGCAGAGAGCTCAGGCTCCCTTCGCTCATCTAAGATGCTGCGAGTGACCGGATCAATTGTCGGTAAAGATTTTGTGACGGTATTGGCTATCCTTCTCGAGAATTCCGTAAGTTTGGGATTATGTGCAGGATCGATGGGTTGGCGCGGGGTAGGGTCGTGGCTCGCTTCGAATACCAACGTCGTTCTTCCTCATCCATTCAGCAATTTTTGATATTAAGCAACACGACTGACCTTCTCTTTGATCTCTGCTCTGAAAGGTGGAAACAGACATTGGGGTCAATAGTATGCTACAATCAAGACGGAAGAGATCACGCTACCGAGTACGATGGACCATCGGACCACGCGGATTGCCTAGACGATGGCGGAAAGTAAGAAGTGCCCTTCGTGCGAGCTCTATTGTCTCGGTGGTGGACGAACGCGTTTGGGTGAGCAGATATGGTTTTTCTGAATTGCATTCGCTGCCGAGGTGGATCAATTATGCGGGCGTGTTGCGTTCCGTCTTCTCTCTGGGTGCCATCGATGAGGGAGGGCCGGGTTGCCCCCGCTACCATAGTCTGGCGAGGCCGCACGTCGCTGAAGCGAGCGCGCTGTGTGTCGTCTCTTTCATCAGCGGCGATCGTAGTATCTACACGAACTTGACTAGTAGATGAGGATTGCTTCCGCGACACTACCTTGATCGCCTTATTCGATTGTAAGGAAGGTTTCTCTGCGGGTGACCCGACTTTCCGAGCACGAACACCTGATGGGAGATCCATGGCGGTCAGTGGCAGACCAGTAGCAGACCGCCAGTGACGGCGACCGTTGTGGTGAAGACGCCGCGGACCCAAGGCACCATCGCTCGGCAGATGCCGTGTCGAAGTGCTAATTTGCCTCAACACTATCGTCAATATGCGGGTACATCACCAGCACATTTCTCAAAGACTTGGCTTTCTTTCAGAACGGCACTACTGCCGTGGATATTCGCTTAGACACCATAAAGCTTGATGAATACGTGCGGAATATGATATTCGAACAGAGATATACACAGGGCTTAAACTATCAAAAACAGAACATCAGAGCAGAAAAAGATACTTAGCAATGAGACAGACGAGATCCTAAAGTGATCAACCAGCCCAAAATAAGGATAAATCGTGTGCGAGAACATCGCAAAGGCATTGCCTCTTGCTACGCTTTCTTCTTAGCCGTCTTTCGAGATATCTGCTGCTTGATCTTGGCCTAGGATATCCGTCAATAAATGATACCCTATGGTGATGATGCCTGTGTCAGACTCACCATGGCTCTAGTACGCGCTCCTCGACCCAGCCGTTTTTCACCGACTTGTTCTTCGTTATTCTCCTCAGAGCTTGAGTTGGATTTCGCTTCACCGACAGACCCTTCGCCTTCATCAGCGCTTGACTCGGGAGGGGAGGACTCATCCTCGTCTTCATCATCGTCCTCCTCATCATCCTCCTCGTATCGCTTTCGATTGCTGACCCTTGGTCGCCTTAGAAAAGATGTTTTCAGTTGGTTGCCCAAAAAAACCACGGACGGACGACTCACTTTGCGTGACCATTGGCACGCGGTGCCGTTGCCTTGCGTTTACCTGTCGGTTTGCGCCCGACCTTGGCCTTCTCCTGTACTAAACACGTGAGGTCTCACACATGAAAGAGTGGGAACGGGTACTCGCCTTGCTATCAGCATTGACCGCTTTAGCAGATCTCGCTTGTTCCTTCAGCCATTCCAAAGTCTCCTCTGGAAGATACACGTGCTTCAATATCTGATTGCCAGGGACCGGAGTCAAAACCATGGTGCAAGAAAAGTAGGTGGTCTTACTTGGTTCACAGCATCTGCGCTGGGCAATGGGCGTAAAATATCCGAGTACAATTTGATCTTGCCTGGATAGCTTTGCAGGGGCCACGAGTGGAGATGAGCGCGGACTTTGATGAGGTGTTGCGCCAATTCACTTAAAGCGTATATATTCTGAGGGGTAGACGCCATGAGCGGGATTCTCAGAAATATCATATTTTCGCGCACCTCGCTATAAGCGTGAGATTGCGAGTCCCTGACGGTTTTCGTCTTCCCAGCAAGGTGATATAAGAGAGAGATATTGTCGGATGAGGCAATCAGTTCCAAGTAAAAGTCAATGTATCTACATTTCAGCGTTAGTGGATCTATGTATCGAGGGTGTAAAACGGGGTCTACTTGGCCATGTCAGGAAGGACCTCAGAGGTCATGGCAAAATCGGGGTGATGAGCCAGGAGGTGGAAGAATCGGATGAATATCATCTCGAAATTCTCTATCTTCAAGGCTAGTGACAAAGTCATGATGAGGAAGGTTCATTATACGAAGATGCGAGAAACTCCCACCTGGCGGGGCATTCTTGAAGGCATATGCTACATATGCCTTCGCCTGCGTTACGAAACATTGTCAACGATTCCATCTCAATTCAGTACACAACACGTACCATGTTTCTGACATCCGCTTCCGGGTCATGCACAGTCATGAACGGAATGACGTTGAAATGAGCGGGGAGCCTGCGGGGGTTCAATAGAGCGACGAGTTTCTGCAAGAACTCCAAGCGGACTTGGTAACAGGAATCCTGAAAGAAGGCTACCTTGAACGTGCCACCACAACTTGATCGATCGCCCTACATACCTGCATATTCAACGCCAACAACACAAAGTTGGCTGACAAGAACCTTGCATATTTCTCGACAGTCGAGAGATGGAGGAGCGACTCAGCAGCCTGCAATCGCATCCGTGCTTTAACCTTGGGACTAGGTATATGCACATCTGAGCACAAACGTACTCGCGGAAGAATCAACAGTAATGCTACTCACTCATCGTTGTTATCCGGGCTAAGCGCTCCATTGTGCTCCAGCAAAGTGACGAACATCTTAAGAACGGGAGTTGCGATTTCGAGCGCCGTCTCTGAGGACGCATGTGCCATGCATCGATTGCGACAAACTTTCAGCGACATGATCTTGGCACGAAGAGCTGATGATATGCTATCGTCATCTATCCATTCTGTTTCGTCGTCCATATCATCCTGATAGATAGAATGAAGTGATTCGTCCATACGGATGTCAGGGATAGAGTAGCAAAGTCACATACCGGATCTGCAGGGCTTGGACTCGTCAGGACTTTTCTAACCAGGAACACCATGATATCCTCGCTTCTCTGCTCGAACGCATCCGGAGCAATGAGTGCAAACTCTTTCAAGACAGCCAGGTGCGCCACGCGCTTGTCGGCATCGACCTCTGGCAGGCTATCCGAGATCGTCTGGATTGATTCGCACGGTGCAGAATGAATCCAAATGCGATGAATATGGTCTTAGAATATGCGGCTTACGTTTACGAGGTCCGCACATATCTCATCACTATTTTTCAGCTTCGCGAGCAGCCGCGCGCAAAATTTGGCATGTCGGTGATTGGACTCGAGAGCATAGCGCATCACGCGCTCCGTCGTGCGCCTGCACCGCAAACGCTGGTCAGGGTTGTAAAAAACGAAAACGGGGAATTCGCTCACTTATCAGTTGGGGCCAGCTTCTCGTCCCACTTCACGACAGCAGCCAACGCCTGCAGACACACTTCCACCAGTCTCGGATTCTTCTCGTCGGCAATGGCTTTGGTCAGTTCTGGAACGTGGGGCTTGTACAACGCGGGGCAGTGCTTAGAAATGTACACGAGCACGACCTCCGCATTGTTGGCCGATAGCTGCGCTTGGCTGGTGCCGTGTCCGTCACCCGCCGGGTCACCCTTTTGAAGACGCTTGATGAGGGTTGGCAAGGAGGACTGATTGATAAACCGAAGGCTGGATCGGCGGAGGAGGGTACTCATTGTCGGTAGGATCGTGGCTGACGATTGTTCGATTCTACGCAGAAAATCGTTCTAACAACAGAATGGCCGCTATTTGTCAAAAGCTTTTTTCCATCCGGAATGACACGCACTGTAGTTTTTACTAACGTCTTGAGGTCGGTTTGGGTATCCATGCACGTCTTTAACATCTTGTACAGTCTGCCTTCGTTCATCTTGGCGAAGGCATGCAGATCATCAGAGGCTTTCTGTGGATCAGGCAACGATCCTGAGTAGCAAGATTAAGACATTGCAGACTCAAGTCGAAGCAAAGACAAACCTGCGATCTTGCGAATGGTCTCGCCCAGTCTTTTGACAACCGCATCTTCATCCTCATCGATGATGCCACCCTGAGGTTGTTGAAAAATCAATAAGCCTGGTGAATGAGAGGTGGCAGAAAATACCAACATTATTTTCTATGCATCGTTCTACGAATCTCTCGTATACAGAGGGACGGCTTGAATCAAAACATCATTGAATAATCAGATCATCGGATGGGTTAAAGAACTCACAGAATCTTGATGCCGGTGAGACCCAGTAAGGTAGTGATTGCTTTCTCATCCATGAATTTCATGACCGTCAACACTCGGTCAGTCCATGCCGCTTCATCAACTTCAACATTTCGCTGGCCGGAGACAGACGGGAAGGGGAGAATATATTCAGCGAAGATCTGTTCTATCGCCGCTCTTGACAGAGTAAAGTTATGTGAGAATGGTAGAGGTATCAGGGAATATGTGATGCAGCGTACTTCACTTCAATCGTTGTTGAGCTCATATGTAGGATACGCTCAGGTATCCATGAGAATTGTCGAACTGCAGCAGGCTCGCTATTCTCACTAAGGAAGGATTATCAGTGTTAGTATATCCTCCATGCTCAAGATCACTCACATCTCTGAGTATGCCAAACTATATAATTTTCCCATGCTGTTCAATGCTTCGGTACGAACAGAGTGCTGGAATATCGACACAGTCAATAAACTTATTCCAAGCAATGTAGGAAAAGCTGGATCACGTTTACCTTCTTGTCCAAGACTCGGCCGGCGATCGATTGTAACTGTGTCTTCGAGACGTGGTGTAGAGCGGTCTCATAATCTAATTGAGAATACAGCTTGCACACCGTCGCGCGGACCTTCTCATCAGGATCAAGCAACTTGGTCGCCAGCGACTCTTTAATTATCATATCAGCGCACAGTTCCGAAACAAGTCAGACTAAGTAGAACACACCTTCTACAATCTGCCTCTGCTCTGCGAGGTTGACGATGAGGCCTTTCGCAGCCTCTACCATCGCCAATCGCACTGCCGCGGACTTATCATTCCGTCGTAGCAACCACACCTGCCACGTCGTCGGATACTTCCTAACGAGATCCGCGCCGCCCTTGTCTGCGAGCATTTCCCCTAGCACCTGTGTTGCGAGCGTGCGCAACTGAACATCCTCCACGCGGAGTTCTTCTTCAAGCTGGGGAACGACATTGTGGAGGAGCGTTGGCGATGTGCGGTTAAGCCGCTTAATGAGATCGTGTGCAGTTCGAATCTCGTCATACTCTTCTTCACGCGAGTGTTGGACAATTATGTCGGTAAAGTATTGGCAAACGTGCCGCTGGAGTTTGTCAGCTGTAGCGTTACAGACTTGGACAGCTAATCTGTAAGCTGGATTGTCCATTCCCTGTGGAAGAGAAAGGTTGTCAGTCAACCTATTATTTCATTTTCCGATACCGAAGTTCATAGTACAAGTATGAGCTCTCCATATACACTGTGGGGTGTATAGCCCTTCCGCATTGAGAAATATGTCGAAAAGGGCAGCGTAAAGAATTGGAACGAGTGGGCGCAGCATCCGATCCGTTCTTACCGCCTAGTGGTCCTCACACATACTTCATATCAGGATGGACAATGCAGCGGAGATGGGAATGATGAGCGCAACAACAGGAAAGCACGCGCTTTGACCAGTGTTGCGGGTCTTGCAGTCAAATCGCATCTTGGACCTTCCATGCTATGCACTTGCCACAATTGCAACAAGACGAGAACGGCGAACTCACAGTGATTTTGTCCATAAACTGCGCCATGATGGTCTCCAACACTTCCGCCGGAAGCGTCTGGCACTCATCAATCAGTGCCACCATTATATCGGCGATGAAAATTTCGATCTTCTTGGCGAGGTCTAGTCGAACAAGGCCGAATAGGGCGCGGAATATTTCGACCATGAGTTCGTCTGCATTTGGAAGATCGCAGACGAGGACGACGCTCTTGACTGTCGAAAGCGACTCCAGAAGGTGGAAATACTCGTTGTAGTATGGAGAGTCTGGGCCTTTCAGGCCCGCGGAGAGCTGGCGGAAGAAGAACTGGAAGATGTCGCGCAGCTCGTCATGCGTGTACGGGGCGTCGGGCGCGTATAAGCGCAAGAGATCGGAGAGGCAACAGGCGGCGTAGGCTTTGACGCCTCTGTCTTTATGAAGTAAGATAGAGGTATGAACGAGTTCCTTGCGTGCGTTAGAGAGAGAATTGATGTCGACGACCTCCTGATCCAAATCAGCGAGTTCTGTGTGGAGCGCCCTCAATTTTTTGAGGAGAGTATCTGTCGAAAGGCCCTTCCCGACAAGCTTGTCGTAAAACTTGAGCTTTCCGGGGGAGGAGTGGCCTGCGCCGCGAGTTTGTGCAACCATGGAAGGAGGAGAGGGCTTTGGAAGACGGCGGCTGAAGCGCGTGCTCACCACACGCGTTGTGTACCCTTGTTGTCCCTTATATTACGTAATATAACTCCTCCTGCTTGCTTCAGCATTCAGTGAACGTCTCTGCTCCTTTCCTCTCGTCTTCGTTGCCTACATGCCGCCATCAACACTGCCAGTGCCAGCGAAGCGTGCTCTTCCCCCAAAAGAGTCTACACTGTTCCGCGAACTCCTCACGCTCTACGAGACTCGCCAGCTCAAGAAGGCTTTGAAAACAGCAGACCAAATCCTAAAGAAATACCCTGAGCATGGCGGTAGGCAGAAACTCATTGTTTGTATTGTCTGATTCGTATATTCTACCTATCCCAGAGACACTGTGCATGAAGGGCCTCGTTCAGACGCACCTGGGCAAGCGCGACGAGGGACTCGAAGCGGTGAAGAAAGGCGTTCGGCTGGACCTGACCTCACATATAGTCTGGCATGTATTCGGTCTCATACAAAAGGGGGAGAAGAACTACGAGGAGGCCCTGAAGTCCTATACACAGGCCCTCCGATTTGACAAGGTGCGGCATGCGTCTTGCTACCTACCACAGAAATTCCCATCCCAGCGCTCCCACTGTGCATTTCTCGCTTGCGAATCGACATCAGAGCATGTCGATATCATGAGATAAGGAACTCTGGAATTAGGCCCGCCTGCATTTCCATTACTTGGATTTCACTATAATATGTCCCATCAGTGGATGGCGCTTGCGCACCAGGCAAAGATTGATCGGCAGACACCGTGACGTATCACAGGACATATAGCGATACACATGGTATTTCTGGCACACATCCTCGATTACATTGAACGCGCGTCGGGTTTCATGCATTGTCATTAACTTCTACGCACAGGAAAACATGAACATCCTCCGCGATGCAGCGCACCTACAGACCCAATTACGCCATTTCGACGCCTTGATAGACACACGGCACCTCCTGCTCAAACTACGTCCTAATATGCGACAGAATTGGATTTCGCTCGCCGTTGCATACACCTTAAACCGTAATTTCTCTGAGGCTAAAAAGGTTCTGGAAATGTACGAGCAGTCTCTGAAGGTGCGTCCGAAGTGAAAGGTAAGGTCATGTATCTTCAATGCTTATGCGAGCTTAGAATATACCGGACTACGATTTTGAGCACTCCGAATTACTGCTATTTCATGTTCGTGTGTTGGAGGAGCTGGGAGAGTGGTCGGAGGCACTTTCAATACTGGACCCGAACGCAAAAGATAGAACGATTGTAGACCGAGTGGCGATCATGGAAACTAGAGGTTTGAGCCTGATCATCTTCGCAGCATTTGGTCTGACTCGTTTCGGCTGATCAAGCTCGTTTGCTGTCCAAGTTGGGCTCCCAAGACGCCGCAGAACAGGCATGGCGCGACCTTATTCAGCACAATCCGGACAACTATGACCATTACCGAGGACTATTGCTCAATAAGGGCGTCGATCTCAGTATGCTAAACTCTGGTGCTTGTGATTATATACTGATCCAAGATAGATGTCATTACAGCATCGAACCGTACCGAGGCACTGCAAATACTTCAGGATATATCGGACTTGATTCCCCTCGCGGATACGCCTAAACGTCTAGCACTAACAGCTTCTGAAGGTCAGTTTGATTGCTCTTTTTTGCGTTGTGCTGATGCCATGATTTCTGATTGTTCACAGGGGACGAGTTCCGGACACTGGCCCGGGCTTACATCCTCCGCGGTCTCAAAAAGGGTGTTCCATCCCTCTTTGCCGACATCAAATCGCTCTACCGAGATACACAAAAACAAACCATTATCGAAGAGCTTGTGGAAGGTTTCCGGGAAACGCAAGAGAAGGGCGATTCTCTAAACGGCGAGCCGTTGCCGGACCCATCGTCTTCCGCCACAGCTCCTGCGGACCCAGAGGAACCCACGACATATCTCTGGACGCTCTACTTCCTCGCGCAACATCATTCTTCCCTTGGCAGCCACTCTCGCGCACTCGATCTTCTCGACCTCGCGCTTGAACACACGCCGACGCTGCCGGAATTGCACCTCTTCAAAGGCCGCGTCCTGAAGCGGCTCGGCGACCCGTATGGAGCTACAGCGTGGGTCGACAGTGCGCGACTGCTGGATGGCCAGGACCGGTTTTTGAACACAAAGAGTGCGAAGTACCGGCTGAGAGCCGGCCTTATAGAGGAGGCGAACAATATGTTGGGGATGTTCACTAAGGTATTATCCGCCGCGATCTCGGCCTGTCAGCTTAACTCCATGATGTCATTGATATTCACTACCGTCTTTTGTGCCTTTGTGCATGAATACAGAAAGATGCACCAAGTCCTGGTGCCGATCTGGAGGACATGCAGTCGTTATTGTATCTCATCGAGGAAGGAGACGCGCATCGACGAAGCGGAAAGCTCCATCTCGCGCTCAAGAAATACCACGCGGTTCAAAAGGTCCGTCTTCGGATTCATTGTGTAAAACTCGCCATCGGTCGATACCAGCCACTCACTTTCCCGTTTCCGTTTCCGTTATCTGTTCAATCGTGTAGGTGTTCGACGAGATCGAGGATGACCAATTCGATTTTCATGGATATTCTCTGCGCAAATTCACGCTCAACATCTATCTGAAGTACGCCTTCGATCGTTCTAGTCCAGCATCTCTGTATTAATGAGGAAATGGGTTACTACCTACAGCTTGTTGTCATGGGAAGATAAGGTCCACGCCCACCCTGGTTATGTCTCTTCTGCAATCTCAGCTTCCCGGGTAAGTGGGCTTTCCATGGTTTTGAATTAAGATAAAAAGGACTTGCGACCTCAACGTTTCGCTTCAGATCTATGTCAGAGTATATGATGACCCGACCGTTGCGAAGAACTGTGTCGCAACAGGTATGGCCTTTTCATCTGATGGTTGAAAGCGGCACAACTCAATCGAGTTTCAGATACCCTAAACGCGAAAAAGAAGGCAAAAGCCAAAGCCAAAAAAGCCGCACAAAAAATCCAGGAAACACAGAAAGGCTAGTTTGCACAGAACGTTTTCACTGCCATAATCCAAGACATATTGTTTCAACCCGTGTAGCTGCCACATCTGCGACCGAGGATAAAGGTCTTGAAATCGGATCTGCGAAGGACGATGACCCCGATGGCATAAGATTGTTGACGGATCGGGAACCGCTCGAACGCGCGTGGAAACTCCTGAACCCATTGACCACTGCAGCGAAGGATAATATCGACGTTTGGATCCAAGTCTACGACGTTGCTGTCCGTCGAGGTACGTAATCTCCGACCTTGGTTTTGTGCATCTTGCTGACCTTCTTGCGGCTTTGGTAGGGAAGTACCTGCAAGCTGTACGGGCACTCAATACGGCGAAGGCGCTCGATGCTGAGAATCCTCAGCTTCACGTCCGGTTAATTCATTTCCAAAAGACCCGTAGGCTCCCTTAGTTCGCTACTCTGACCGCACAGCTCCTTTGACACCCTTAGTAGATTCCTCGCTTTCGACGCCATTGCCGGACCCAGTCGGAGCTTTAGTGTCCGAGGCATTGTCTTCCCTCCTTCCCACCGAAGTATCCTCAGAGGCCTTCAACTCGAACTACCTTCAATTACACCCAGCTAACCCACATGCGATCCTTGCTTCCGCTGAGGTCCTCCGCATACTTGACAACCCCCTTGAAGATGTTGAGAATACCGTTTTCGGTGCGCTGAATCCTGACGTCGACCTGAAGGTCAAGGTACGCTACCTCAAATATATGTCAATTATTCGGGTTTCTTACGCCCACGAACTTTTTGCATTCTCGCGTCAATTAGAGCGCTCTCGACATCCTGGCGTTCCTTCGAGAGCTGCATTCGCCTCGAGTGGAGGAGTTCATGCTCGCCTGTGATGCGAAATTCGAGCTGTCGACTGTGTTCAAATCGCCCGCCGAGCAGGAAGCTCTCGCGAAGAAGTGCAGCGCTGACGCAAACAACGAAGTGGCCACTGACGCAGAGAAAGAGGTAGCCAGTTGAAGGATCTTCGTTTTACGCTTGTAGGCCATATATAGATAAATAATCTCTGCTGCCAAGTATCGTCATCGAAACGATTTCTATATTCAGCGGCCCAACATCTCCAGCCGCGAGATTTCAGCAGAGAAGTCCGAGAATAACGAGGATGTGTCGCAAGCTCGATTGTTGACTGAATTTGACCGGAGGGTTTGCAAGTCCGCGAACCTTGAAATTGATATTCACAAGTGCTGTAGAATCATAAGCGGATCGTCGACAAACTCCCCACAAATGTCACGATCGGAGCACCATAAGAAGAAGATTGTTGTTCTGGGTGCCGGTATGTGACACTTTCAGTATAAAAGGGCTGCGATCTTAGTGTTCTAAGCAGGAATAATCGGTATCACAACTGCTCTGAAGATACAAGAAAGGGGAGAGTACGATGTCTCCATCATAGCTGAAACGTTTCCCACAGACGAGAAGACTATCAAGTACACGAGTCATTGGGCTGTAAGCACTTCGGTTCTGGAGTTCATCTCGATGAGTTTTGAAAGAGAGTATGCGCCTGATGGAATGTATATAGGGTGCGCATCACGTCATGGCAATCACTGGCGATCCACAGCAACAGAGTGAGTGTTCGTTGAATGGGATGTGCAAACCCGTCGTAACTTTGAAAGAAAAAAGAATTGGAGAAGGAAACGTTTGAGATCATGTGGGATCTGTCTCGGCCGGGCGGGGAAGCTGAGGGTTGCTTTCTGCGAGCACCTCAAACAGAGTATTACAACTTTGACCCCAATTTTTCGCGCTACGACCTCTCCTTCATGCCAGACGTCAGTGACTTTTGGGTTGATATTTTTTGACTTCTTCATGATGTTTCCTCGATCTTTCCAGTTTCGCCACTTGTCGCCCGACGATCGACCGAATATCCCCGATCTCAAGGCGGCAGTCAGCATGACGGCTATCAACATCAATGTGCCGGTCTATCTCCCATACCTGTTCTCGCGTTTCCTGGCGCGAGGTGGTACAGTCGTTCGAGGTACTGTGCAGCACGTCGACCAGGTGCTCGAGGGAGGACTATCCGCGTTCACACGCAAACGCACGTGTGACGGTTTCAATGAGGCCTCCATAGACGCGCTCGTCGTGTGCGCTGGGATGGGCACGCGGACGCTTGGAGGCGTGGAAGATCAGAGTGTATATCCAGTACGCGGACAGACAGTGTTGCTGCATGCGCCGTGGGTGAAGGCCGGGATGTCTCTGGTGCCATCTTCGGCAGGATCAGGGACATACGTGATTCCGAGGAGGAACGGTGATGTTCGTTGATCTTGCGATCAGGTAGCCAACTGTTTTGATGAAATTCTCAGGTTATTGTTGGTGGAACGAGAGACGCCAATGATTGGTATGCATACCTTTGCTACCATGGCATCCCCAGCTGAAGTGTCCCGCTACATCACACAGGTATCCGATCCCTAGACCAGAGACGACTACTGATATACTCCGGCGCGGACTCGCTCTGTGCCCTGAGTTAGCCTCACCTTTGGTGAGAGAAGAACGCGAGCCTTCGATCGAAGACTTACGATCGATCTTGCTGGAGGAGGGCTGTGGGCTGCGTCCCGCACGCAAAGGCGGAATTCGACTGGAAACTGAATGGTTCGAAGTGCCAAGAACGAAGGAATGCAAGATACCTGTGATTCATAACTATGGGTTAGTGATCCCCATTATTTTGTTGACCGTGGGGGATCTTGAAAGAAACAACTAGGCATGGAGGCTTTGGGTTCCAGACCTCTTGGGGTTCTGCCTCTGCAGCATTACAGCTACTTGGAGAGGCGCTCGCAGGAAACGAGTGAACGTGACTAGCATTCCAATTTATCGAAGAGCCATTCATGCAAGGGTATAGTCGAGACATTCTGCGTATTTCGATCTATGCTGCAACTCCAAACCACCATTTCTTGAGGACGAATGATTCACTGACGCTGTCAAAATCCGTGCGCCCGATAAAGCGATGCTTCGAGAGTAGCAAGGGTAACCAGTACTTGTCTGACTCCCACATGTTGTCAAACGGTATGGCCAGAAGATCAGGTTCGGTTGCAGCCGTAGAAGATATAGCGGTAAACTGCGATGGTTCAGCTTTGGCACTTTCTGGCATGGCGAACCACTGAAACCGCATTTCATCCGTCCTACATTGACCAGGTTTGATAAATGATATTGAAAATGATAAAAGAATAGATGAATTTACTCGACAAGAGTACCGCTGTAATCCTCAGCGCGGAATATTTCTATCTGGAACGCCCATTCTGACCCACCGCGAGTGACGAACAAGAACGTGCCATAATGTTCGAGAGGCGCTTCGATACCCGCCTCTTCCTGCACGCACTCTAGTCACGTCCATATGACTGGTCAGTTCACGGAAGTCTCACTTTGAGTTCACGCGCGGCAGCTTCCGCTACGGTTTCACCTGGTTCAACCTTGCCGCCAAACCCATTGTATCTGCGCCGTCGTCGTTCAGTACATCTCCAGGCCTCGTTTGGGAGTAAAATCACTTGTGTATTCCGAAGCCACGTTTCTTCAGCCCCAAAAGCAGCTGCAGATGCAACGCCTTCATGAGGGTCTGATAGCCTGGGCAGTGATCAGCAAACTCACCTTGCCATTTTTCACAATGAATGCATTGGTGTACAGCTTTTTTTGATGAAATGGAAGCCAGTCGCTCACGCCGCCACTGCTGGCCTCTGTAAATGCACCCTGCAAACCTGGAGGGAGGGAGATGGGTTCCATGGCAGTCAGCGACAACGAGTCAGGCTGCTCGCGGCCCGACTCGATCAAGTTGGCTGTTCATTACATAACGCTATGGCCTTTCGTCCTATGTGCGTACTTGTTAGCCTCCGACCACCACCCTCCTCCTAAAATCTCGCCTCTTGTCGATAATTCGGTCTGCTGCTGTTAGTTTATTTTCTTTCATGTCGTGTTTTGCGCTCACATACGTCTAGGCCTTCAGCCGTGCAGAGAGTCACCATGGGGTATGGGTCAACCAAGCGCGTGGCTTCCGCATCCCCAGACAGAATAAGACCTAACAAGAGAGCCGCGACATCGTCGCCGGAAGAAGGAGAACTCGATGAGGTGTCGCAGAGCACAAGCACTAGACCACCGTCTCCACCGCCACAGTCGGCGGCCAAGTTTGAAACGAAGGTTAAGTTCCCATTTAAGAAGAAAATACCAGGAGAAGAAAGTCGATTGTCTCCGAGAGGAGAGAAGGAGAGGGTTCCGGCGTCATACGAGCGACTGGCGGAGGACGACAGGCGAATGAGGCAGGGTGACAGACAGTCAGGTTCGACTTTGCCACCCTCGCGAGAGCAGCATCGACGACAGAATGTCCACCATTGGCAGCCGGGAGACCGTTGGGAGTCTATGGCAGATCGTTGGGACCCTAGCGTTGGATCTAGTCGGGACAGAGACAGAGATAGGGACAGAGATGGACGTAGGGTGCGTGATCGGGACAGGGAACGAGAGAGAGACAGAGATCGGGATGCCCGTCCATACGACGACCACCGCGGGGCTCGTCACCGCCCCACCTCGTCGACTGACTCGAGGGACCACAGCTACCATAAACGTGACCATGAAGGAGGTAGAGGTCGCGCGCGTTCTCCTCGAGCATGGTCTTCTCACTCGTCCGCTTCACCGTCTCGGTCTACATCTTCAGCTTCTCCTTCCGGCTCCGGCAAGGTGAAGCATAGATTGCCTCCTGCACGCGCATCGCCGTCTCCGCCTCGAGACTACAGAAGTGACCGCGCTTATAGTAGGGATGGTAGGGATCGTTTCGACGGTAGCTACGATTCGCGTCGCGGTGACTCATTCAATAACTGGCGACGTGACACGCATGGACAATACCATCGGTCACCCCCAGAGGACTATCACGGCGACCGGTATTCAAGGGGAGACTATTCACCTGGTCCGTCGTACCGCGACTCTTCAAATATAAGGCCGCGCGCGGAGGTCTACCGACCTTCCGACGCTCCTTCCTTACCGCCGCGTCCGGCGGGACCATCACACTTTCCCAATCCACAAACCCCACCTTTGCCTCCCTCACCACCACCGCCGCCGCTGCCACCCGCGTCCCAGCCTATGAAAAGCAGTGTGCTTCCTCCCACACACACTATGCTGTCGATACCGTTACCAAAGAAGCCCTCTACGCCCAAGGACGCGCACTCTCCACCGCCGTTGCCGTTGCCTGCTGCCGAGAACGAAGCGGTCCACAAACGCGAGGAAAGCCAACGTCCTCATGCACTGAAAGCAAACGACGCGCGGCGAAAGCAGAAGCGTGAACCCGTACATCGGTCGCGCGAAGACGAACAAAAGGCATACGGACGCATGTTCGTGGGGTGCGGACGACAGGAGGACTACGACGTGACAACAAAATTGGGAGAGGGGACTTTCGGGTTTGTTCGTCTACTACATGACAACACAGTTCATACTAACACATTATGCTTAGGGAGGTACACAAAGCCATGCACAAAGGGACGAGCAAAAGTGTTGCTTTGAAGCGCATCCTGATGCACAACGAGAAGGAGGGTATGCCGGTGACTGCTCTTCGAGAGATCAAAATCCTAAAGGCACTCAATCATCCGAACATCGTTCAGTTACTGGACATGTTTGTCGTGCGAAGTAAGTCGTTTGACTTATGAGCATCTTGTGTTCTGAACGTCAGTAGGCAAAGGCAAAGAGGCACCACTGTCGGTGTACATGGTCTTCCCGTATATGGACCACGACCTTGCAGGATTGTTGGAGAACGAGCGTGTCAAGCTTCAGCCCAGCCAAATCAAGCTGTACATGAAGCAACTCCTCGAGGGAACAGAATACATGCATCGGGTCAGACATTCTTGTCGCCTTTTCCGTTATACAGTTGCTGATTTTTGTGCCAGAACCATATCCTACACCGCGACATGAAAGCTGCCAACTTGTTGATATCGAATACAGGCTCTTTGCGGATCGCTGATTTTGGCTTGGCTCGTTCATTCGACCCGAGCTCTGCAGTCATCAGCGAGTCTGCGACCGATTCGAGAAGCAGAGATCGTAGGTACACGAATTGTGTCGTGACGCGGTGGTATCGCCCACCAGAACTCCTGCTTGGAGCAAGGCACTATGGTGGCGAAATTGATATCTGGGGTGTAGGGTATGTTTCTGTTCTCATGCGCAAGTTGGTAATCCTTTTGACATCTAACTTCCTAGTTGTGTGTTGGGCGAAATGTTTTTACGACATCCGATCTTGCCTGGAACGTCTGATCTTGATCAGCTGGAGAAAATTTGGCAGATGTGTGGAACGCCGCACCAGCTGTCATGGCCGAACTTCGATGCATTGCCAGGCTGCGAGGGTGTCAAACATCACAATCAGTACCCAAAGAGACTGAACACTGTTTTTGAGCAGTCAGACTATTTGTGCTTTCCTTTGACATCACTCTCTGACACGTTCATATTGTGGCAGATTCGGACCGGAAACTTGCGATCTGATTGACAAGCTTTTGACGTGCAATCCTCGAGATAGGATCACCGCTTCTCAAGCACTAGAGCATGACTATTTCTGGACAGACCCTCTGCCTGCTGACCCAAAAACGTGGGACTTGTTCATCGTCTGCTTCCTCTTCGCACACGTTGCTCACGTTCCTCTTTCTTCGGGCGTCCTGGTCGACTCATCAACAACAAATAAACAAATTCTCGGTAATATAGCCTTCCTAGCTACGAGGCATCACATGAATTCGACAAACGTGGCCGTCGTCAGCAGCATCATCAGCCAGTGCCCCCGCCGATGCCTCATCGACCTCACCCAGATTCGTATGGACAGATGGGTCACCCCAACGGCCACCCACCGCAACGCCCATACTTCAACCAGGGTCCGGCGCCGTCTCGAAATAATAATTTTCGCCCCGCACCTATCCCACCACCGCCTTTTGCCGCGAAACCCGTACCTCCGACTCACTACAACCACCCATTCCATGGACCCAATAATTTCGGTCCAGGTGGTAGCTACTTGCCCCCTCCTCCTGCGCTGTGGGCTCGATATCCTCCCGAAGCTCCCCCCATGCGATCTGTCCAAGGTCCCATTCAGCCAACGTATGCGTATCCTAACAATATGCAGCCGCAGTGGGACCCGTCTAAGCAGAACCGACCTCCGCATTTGCCTCCGCGTCCTCCTGCGCCTATGGGAAGAGGCGACGGAGGGTATCATAATGGTCGTGATCGGCAAGGAAATCGCGGTGGCCCGTTTCGAAACGAAGGCGGCCCTCCGCCATCGAACGGCGGTTTATACTATGGTTAGTCTCGCTGCCGTGGTCGAATCAGGGGTATGTGTGCCCTCGTCTTGTTGGCTGTTGTCGTCGTCATTGTTACATCGCTGTCCTGGATTTTGCTTTCGAAAAACATCTGTGCAATCGAATAGATGTGTGCGGTCAGGTGACGATGCGACATGGTCCAGTTGCAGCGCAGCCCTGCTGTACCTATAAGGGTAATATCTGCTTGTCTTGGTTTCCTCAGGTAAATTCTTGGGCTCTCAAATCTTGGCATGTGAAGCAAGAAGGTGCCTCATCTGAATGTAAAACATGCTTCTCCACGGCATCTGCCATCTGGCGGTCGATGGATTCATCCTTGTTCGCGTCTTGAACCACAACGGTAATGCCTCAATAGGTATCCGCATATGCCTGACGATAACACTGGTCTCTTGTAAGTGAAGGTTCCTACGATTTCAATAACTTGGATTGTTTGACAATGCTTGTTTTTTTCGTTGAGCCCACAGATGATATTTGATTCCCTCGCTTCCCCCAAATGTAGTTTCTCGGAACTCAGCTGACCCGACAATGGATCAGAGAAGTGGATGCATAGTATATGCCGACCCACCCTAGACCGACATAGCACGAACAAATTGTCAGCACAATTCAGAAGGCACTTCGTGTGTACTCTTCCATGATGACATCCGTGATGACGGGAGACGGTTATAAGCACATTCATCCCTGAGTTTATCCTCTCACTCTTCCTTCACTCCATGGGTGCAATCACACTACTCCAAAACGGCTTGCTTGCGACGTTCACGAATGCTGATGGGCCGACGGCAACCCCTGCCGCTCGTCGGGCGGACGTATTGATCGATACTGATCGAATAGTTCAAGTGGCTGCGGCAAATAGTATCGATGCTGCGGCATTAAGTCCACCTGCCGCCCAAGTCATCGATTGTTCGAACAAGTGGATTGCTCCTGGTTTTGTGGATACTCATAGGTAAGTCTTCCGCGCGATCAGATCATGCAAACCTATTTTGAGTTTAAACAAACAGGCATCTATGGATGTCTGTTGTGGAGGGGCATGAAGATTGGACGTTGGCTGAATAGTATGCTTCATACATCCTGTCGGATAACCGCTCGTGTTCACAGCGCTCTTCAGTTTGGCCAAGCTCTCGTGGACTACTGCCAGCGTCGTCGACGCAGATGACGTTTACATTGGAGAACTTGCTGGGGCACTGCAAGGTATGTGTTCCCAGGTGCTCGTCAGATGCTATTGACATCTCTCTAGCTCTCCATGGGGGTACAACTACGGTTGTGGATCACTTTCATTGCGCCAACTCCCCTGAGCATATCAAGAAGGCGATTGAAGCCGCAACCGAATCTGGGCTTCGGTGCATGCTCTGCATGGCTCGTCAGGTGCGCCTCGTCTTTGAATTGTAGGATGTTGGGGTTTGAAGCCTCATTGTCTCATGGCGCACAGTCTGTTCCCTCAAGCATCGATCCCCTTCGGTTTGACAACGATTCAGCCATCTCGGACATGCAGGTCTCTATGCTCGAATCACTTGCTCAGATCGACGCAGGAAAACTCACGCGTGATGGGAGGGTGACCCTCGGGCTTGCATACGACGTCCTCGGGCTCAATCCTGTAGAGGATAAACGCATTGTCACACTCGCTCGGTCCCTCAACATCACACCCATCACTGCACACTTTGTCGGTGGTCCACAGGCCCCTGCGTACGGGAACAAAGCGCATGTGTGGAACAATGCTGGTCTCCTAGACGGGGACATCATATTCTCACACGCAAATGGATTCACGCATCGGGGCGGTGATGAGAACGAGTGGGCGCTCCTCAAAAATTCGGGTGCCAGTATCGCGTCTACACCTGAGGACGAACTCGGGATGGGACACGGGGGCCCCGTCACCTATGAAGCTGTGAGAAGGGGCGTCAAGGTTGGATTAGGCATCGTACGATTTCTCTTGTGATTGCCTTGTGTTTGGGGTACCTGATGCACCGGTGACAGGACTGTAAGTCAATCGTCAGCGCGGACATGTTTCCTGCGATGCATTCTGTCCTTCAGTGGGAGCGAGGTACGCCCATCTGGAGTCTCGCGCCAAAGATCAATCTTTCAAATTGGTTGTCCTCTCAAACGCCACTAGGTCGCATCCACGCCCTGCATGCACACACATCCCCTCCCAAGGCGGTGAAATACAACGCTTACAGCTGTGCCTCCGTATTCCGCCTCGCCACATTGGGAGGCGCCGAAGCCGCCCACGCAGCAGACCGAATCGGGTCTATAGAGCCGGGCAAGCTGGCCGATATTGTGCTCTACGACGCCGATTCGATCAACCTCGCGGGGTGCACCGACCCATTCAAGGGAATCGTGATACACGCCACGGCACAGGATGTAGACTTGGTCATGGTCAACGGAACGATCGTAAAAAAGAACGGGAGATTGCTGCCTGTGGTTACGAGCAGGGGAGCGGAAGAATGGCCAAAGATCGCAGCGCGTTTGAAGACGAGAATCGCGGGCATTCAGAAACGACTCGCAGGGACGGATCTCCATGCCAGGTATGACACGGTGGCAAAAATTCTTCATTATGATTTCGCGGATGAGCAGTGATAAGAGGATGCTCTGTACACGATAATCCTCATTGTGTACTATCGAGGCAGCTATGAAATGTAGTTCTACCAGCAAACAGGTCCCTCGTACACGATATCGAGCGTCAACGTTCACACTGAACAGGTCATAGTTTCTCTCTAAATGCACTATCATTTCATGCACTGTCTATCCGATCCGAAAGCAATATCGATATACACAACGCCTGTGCTTACTTACATATTGGAGGAAATGTCTCACATTCAATGCGGCGATCTCGATCAACAATGTTGAAAGAATAAAGTGGACGAAAATATGAGTGAGGTATAATGGAGGATGAATGAGCGAATCGAAGGTGTAAGGTAGGGATGAGAAGAAAAAGAAATGCGGCAGCAATGTCCGAGAATGAAGCAGTTCTTCATCCATAGCACTCACTGCTTCGCATCTAGACTGTACCCTGCCAACGACATTGTAGATTGCGTCGTCGTCAATGGCGCCACAGCCGCGCGCGACACGTTATTCGATGTATGGGGTGCCCAGAATAGGCCGTTTGGCGGCGTCACGGGGCCAGGCGTGGCTGGTGTCGATACAGAGGGTGTGTTCACCTGCGAACGGTTGTGCACGAGATGCGCGCGGACTAGGTGTCCTGCAGCGAGTGCAGAGAGAAGTGAGAGTTCGCCAGCCATGACCGACGCAGCGACGATACGAGCGAGTTGCTGAGCATTCTGTCCAGGCTGTGTTGGATGTGCGCCCTTGACACCGAGCAGCTCGAGGACTGCTTGTTGAGGTGCAAGTACAGTGCCGCCCCCTACGGTGCCGACTTCAATCGAAGGCATGGTGACAGTCATTAACAAATCCTGGCCGTTATTCGTGCTGAAGACAATGATTGTCAATTTGTTGCGTTCGCCACAGAAGCGAACAGACTTACGGTTCCATCAAGGTCATGCAATTCGAGGACTCGACGTTTTGGGCGGGATCCTGGCCGGTAGCGAGGTAGATAGCAGTCAGGATATTCGCTGCATGCGCATTGAATCCACCAATAGACCCAGCCATCGCGCTCCCAACCAGGTTCTTCTTGATGTTCAAGTTGCACAGCGCCTCAACCGTCGTCTTCAGCACCGCCTTGACAACTTTTCCTGGGATGACAGCCTCCGCAACCACGCTCTTCCCACGACCCTCGATCCAGTTAATCGCAGCCGGCTTCTTGTCCGTGCAGTAGTTACCCGAAAGCGCGAGGACGATCATGTCGGGGAAGTACTTGCCCATCGTCTCCAGCGCCTTCTCCGTACCCTTCGAAATCATGTTCATGCCCATGGCGTCACCAGTCGTCGTGGCGAACCGGACGAAGAGCGTGCGGCCGGCCAACGTACACTTGAGCCTCTGCAGTTTCGCGAAACGTGATGTCGACTCAAATGACTCCTTCATGATTGCACCCCCCTCCTCCGAGTCGATCCATGCCTTCGCAGCTGCAGCCATGGTGATCGATGGGAAGTCAATGGCAGGTCCGCGAGTCATGGCGTCGTAGGTAATAACAGTGGTCACGCCTCCGCCCGCATTGAGAGCCTTGCAGCCGCGAGATGTCGACGCAACAAGGGTACCTTCAGCCGTGGCCATCGGGACCGGGAAGAGCTCGCCGTCGATTCTCAAAGGACCGGCGATCCCAAGGGGGATGGGGATGTAGCCAACAACATTCTCGCAGCAAGCACCGATAACCCGGGAGTAGTCGTAATTAGCCATAGGCACATCAGAATGTTCGAACGTCTTGGTTTTGGAGGCGCGCGCTGAACAAGTTGATTAGTTTTACAGCGCCGAGGCAAACTAGGGACGAAAGGGCTTACATATCAGAGCCCTCCGAATCTGGACGGCGCGCTCGAGGTTTCCGAGCACCTTCTCCAGAGCATACGCCGCGATCTTGCCGTTTTGCGCCAAAAGGATAACTTCTTCGTCGTTGAGCATGGATAAGGACACTGATACGGGCCGAGGGCCGTTTTCGAAGATCTCTATGCATTCCTCCAGGGTCCTGACGTTGGTCGAGGCTTGCTTCTCTTCTTCATCCGCTGAGTCCGAATCGCCAGTGCTGAAACGTGGCTTCTGTGCCTTGAGCGCCAAATCTACAGAATCGAGCATCTTCGAAATGCCGTTGACGGACGCCGTCTTAGGCAACGATGCAGGTGCAACTGGGGGCTGTGTCGCAACTGTGGCTGGTGCAATAAAGCGCTCGACGCGGGTTTCGGGAATCTCGATGTGGGTAGGGCGAGCAGCAGTGCGTTTGGTCTGATCTTCCGATTTGAACCGCACACTCTGTGGGGGTTGAACCGTGCGAGTCGACCCAGTGCCGGTAGCGATACCCTTGAGCAAGTAACCATTGAGCGCGACGCTGACGCCGAGGACGAGGACGATCCACTTGGAGAGGACAGGGTCGCCGACAAGATTGGTCCACGACGACATAAAATCGTCAAACAAATACTCCTCCTGGGCCTTGCCTTCTTTGGTGAGTGTAGGCACTACGCGAACATGCACAGCTGGGGATACTTTGACGAAGATCTCGGACTGTGACTGATCAATGCTTGCGACCAGGGATGCAAGGGCGCTCGAGACGGAAGGGGTAGTCAGATCGACCTTGTGGGAAACCGGTGCGAGTTCGGTCGAGCTCCATACAGACTGATCGTGTCTAGCTATCACAGATGTAGGAGTCAAGGTGGTGCATAGATTGAGGATGTGCAGAGTCAAAAACGACACAATCTATAAATGAATATTAGCTTCTGTCAAGTCATATTAAAACTCAACGAACCAAAAGCAGCTTGAGCCGCGCAACGGGGCTCTCCTCCTTCGTATCCTTAACTTTACCATCGGTTCCCTGAGTCTGCCGCAAGAATGAACCCTTCACGCCGAGAACAGCAGCCGATGTCCGCTGGCGGAAATTGAGCTGAGGCATCTGAAGCTGTCCATTGGAAAGAACAGTGGCAGGCTTGCCGTCTGCCGATTTCGGCCCCGAGCGAGACATGTTCCGGAACATTTTAATCCTGCGTACTTCAATCATGATGCTCAAAATTGCGCAATAGAAGGTGGCCATCGCAACACAGTCCACCGTCAAGAGGAGGGCAGCCAATGCACAAAACTCCTTCAGTCCTCCGACCTTGCTATATGCCCCAATGAGCAAAACGGCGATTTCCAAGGCATAGTCACGGAGAATGGGGTTCGCAGCCTTGTCAAGCACCTCCATAATCAATTCGGGTGCCGGTTTCATCTGGCCGCGGAAGCGACCTTCCTGAACGGCGGGAGTGAAGAGATGGGGGTGGCTAAACACAGCGCGAGCAAGGCGAAGGGGCTTATCGAAGCCTACGGTGCAGACGAGGAAGGGGAGAGCCTCGATGAGGCTGACAGGCTCAAGAGGAATGTGGAGGTAGCCAGCAAGCGGGAGAGCGACGATGAATGAGAGGATCGAAGAAGACAGGATGGCTGTCATCAGCCAGAAATTTGAGCCCAAGCTTCGCGATGACAAGAATAGTCTGATGAATGTCGTGTGCATGAGAACATAGCCGGCGAGTACGAGAAGGATGTCGAGAGAGTCCGCCTTCTTCAATAGATCCCAGAAGCGAACAACCATGGCACGAGCAGCATAGGCTACCCATTTGCCGCTTTTCATGTCGCCGATGGTCTGAGCTTCCTGGTCCTCGATGACATACTTGACGCTACCGAGCTCCTCTGAAGCGAATGGCGCCTGCTTCTTGAACGCAGACAAAAATTCTTCCCTGCCACCAGGGATAAATGACAACGTGAGGACCTCAGAAGTTGGCGAGTCCGGAACGGTAGATACAAAGCACTGCGCTGCGCTGCCGTCGACAGTGAGTTGGTGGCAGAGGTCTGAGTAAGATTTGCCTGACGAGGAAACAAATCGGTGGGTTAAGTATTGGGTGACATTGTCCATAGAGCTCTGAACGTGGGGGAGATTCTGAAGCGAGTAGCGGTCAGATAATTTCAAATGACTGCAATAGCGCAGGGGTACCTTCTTGGCAGCCTTCGCATCCAAAGAGAGCACGATTTGCTGGAGTTCCAACGTTGTGACGCCATTCTCGGAATGACGAGCATCATACCAAGTGTTTTCGCTCACGCTGACCCATTTGCTGTCGCGCAACAAAGTGTGGGCAGGACGAAGGGTGGACGGCGAGTTGGGAGCCAGGAACGAGGAGTGTTTGATGGCGGAAAGGACGTGGAAATAAGCAAGGGTCGCGACGATGAAGAAGAATACGATGGTCTCTATGGGCTGTGAGGCGGCATGTATGGAGACAGGACGAATTAGGGCCCGCATGTTGAATGCGGGAGGGTGAGGGTATGGGGAGTTATTAGGCTCTCGACACTGTATAAAGGCAGAGACCTGTCAGCTATTGCGACGAATGCGGCTCCACCAAACAAAAGAGCTGTATCACTGGGACAGACAGTCTCGGCAAGGCACGTACCGACGCGTCTAGAATAAATGAAAAACTCTATACGTCCTACACAAATTCTGCACGGCAAAGCAGAACCTCGCACGACCAAACGCGTGTAAGCGAGGAAAAATGTGGGGAGGAGGATGGGGAGATCCAAGTGCAGTGGAACGACATGCACTATATTTATTGATCAACGGCAGACCCCGGCCACCCTGCGCGCTTAACACACGTTCCCTTTCCCGGCTTCTTGTTCCAGCGCGCGCTTCTTCCGCCCCTCCCTTCACCCTATCATTTTCCATGTCTCCCGGCCTCGAGGGAGAAAGAAAAAAAAGTATTGACCTGCATGCATGGCCGTCTGTGCCGTCGCCAGTGAACCGAGAATCCTCCCCAGCGCTTATCCTCATATACCGCTCATCTTCCAGGCCCGAGATTGCATAACCTACAGCTTGGAACGGAGATGTGTTTCAGTTTGCGCTGCTATCGGCTCTTTCGTTTCGCTCACGGAATAAACGCCTTCCTCTTCCCTACACCAATCTATCCATCAACAAGCATCACACTTATTCATATCCTCATAAGTTTCCTCCATATCTGCCTGCCGTCACGGAACGCATCCCATATCATTGGTCAGCCGCAACCCTCTCGGAGGCGCTGCCAGAATCCAACTTTTGGTTCTGAGCGTTGAGTTTGTACACTGATTCATGCCCGGTAAATAAGCCCTTCAATACATTCAGTGATCTCATTCCCTTCATCCTCATATCCACCTCTCTGCGCTCATCCCCAACTGGTTCTAACACCGTCGCCCAATAACAAGCTCAGTCACGTAAGGACCTAATGAACAAGGTACACATTAGCTAGGCTTGCCTGTAGAGATATACTTGACTATACCGCTTGCGTCGCAGCTTATGCTGAATTGCGTCTCTATAGCACAGGTTCTTACAGCATCCTGCCCAGATCACACATCCGCGTTCGTTCCTGGACAACCTCGCATGGGCCGGCAACTCCAGATTCACTGATCGATAGCCCTAATTTCTACGACTAGTTGCAGCGTTCATCATCAGCGCCTCAGCGCGATACCAGTCCCATCTTAGTTCTGCGACTGCCGGCATTTGGATCTCGACAGCGGGCGCCCGCCTTTTCCCGCGCCTTTTCTGACACCAAATAGTGCCCCGCTCCATGCTGTCCCCCGACGTTTCGCCACGTTTCGCCCTAGCCCCTGATACGACGGCGACGCCCCCTAGGCCCGCACGCATCTCACCCGAGCGCCAACCGCGCATGCCGTACATGTGTGCGCGCAGCTCTGGCATGCATGCATTCATGCGCGCGTCTGACTGGCCCCTGTGCGGTGCCGGCACGCCCCTCCCGATCTGTGTATGGGTAAAAACCCGACAGACTCGATTGACTATGAATAGCAGCCAGTGACGCTGCCGGTTTCTTCATTTCTCTTCCCCACACTCACCAGTTTCAAGCCTGCCATGGCCCAGCCTGTATGATCACCGCCAACCTGACGCCTCCGGCTCCTAAAGACAATGGAACGGACACAGATACCCCACGTGTCATCTCTACTCGGAATGGTGAGAAACCAATGATACTCTTCTATTTCCAGTTCTAGTGTATTGAGTGAGTGCGTGATCTACGGGCCTGCGTACTGGCGTCTGCCGATGGTAGCGAGTGCAGCCGATCAGCTTGACATCAAGATTGCATCTACATATTATCCTTCCGAACTGACGTCGGACTATCCAAACAACAACGAGAGATGTACTGAAGGTCTCGGAGCTCTGCCGTCCCAAATTTGAGACCCTGCCTCCAAGGACCCTGGTCACCGGTCGAAAATGGCAAGACCATCAATAGCGATAAGCTCACACGGATCTTCGTCGCTCTTGGATCGAGCTAGATCAAGCTGGATTCAATGGTAATGGATCGCGATTGGGTCCTTGATGACGACGGACTTCAAGGCGAGAATGTCATGATCAGGGATGGTGAGATTAGATATACTAGCCGCAAACGTGCTCGATCGAACATGCAAGCTTGATTCCATCAGTCGTGAACTTCGTAGGCCAGCAGACGCGATAGAACGATGCGTGGGACGATGTCATGGCAGTGCGAAGATGCGCATGGTGGTTGTTCGTATATCATACGTGTAGGCTTGCATACATGGCGAGAGCAAAAAAAAAGTGCACAAGAGAAACAAAAGACAACAAGATGCGTACACAATCACTGCAGGCTCGGCGTTAGTCAACGGAGGATGGATGATTTGAGAGATCCAACGCACGAAGGTAAGTGCAGCACCCTTCGTCTTCTTCTCACCACCAAGCTCGAAGCTGCGTCACATAAGATGTAAGACACCATGCGACTGAAATTGGGAGCAGGACACGCACTGTTTGCAACGCTTGAGCGAAAGCTGCATCTTGTATTTGCACACAGTGCACTCCAAGCGCAGAACGACCTTCTTGGTCGTCTTGGCCTACGCACCAGCCAGCCGGGTAAACATGTCAAGGCCGAATGGGGGGAGCACGATGGACGCACCTTCTTGTGGAAGACGGGCTTGGTCTGACCACCGTAACCTGACTGCTTACGGTCGTAACGGCGCTTTCCTTGCGCAGCCAGCGAATCCTTCCCCTTCTTGTACTGTGTCACCTTATGAGGGCTATGGAAAACATCATATATGTGTCAATCAACCCGTCTCTATGACCTACGATTCAGGATCATGACGAGAAAAGAGACGTACGTGTGCTTCCTGCAGTCCTTGTGAGCGCAGTCTGGGCAGGACAAGTCGATGTCAATACCACATCGCAGCAAGCCAAGGCGCCAGTGCCGTTTTGAGAGACTTACATGTCCGGCGGGTCCTATTCGATCGGGTCAAGTCAGAACATCCTAATGTGTGGGTCGAGACGGAGATCGGGGTAGAAACATTGCTGCTCACTTGGGGATGTTGACCATTTTTGTTGTGTGTCGTCGAGTCGGTCGTCGATGGCCTTGAGGATTATTCGGCAGTTGATACGGCAATTCCCGGAGGGTTGGGTACTGTACAGTCGCGATATATAAAGTTTTGACTCCGCTTTAATATGTGGCGTAGTATGACCACGCCTACATGCGGGAAAGCTGGCATATTACTGTCGTCACGACTGGTTTGATAGAAAATCCATTAGGACAGCCAAACTGGGTTTACCCTGGCCTTGTCAAGATCGATGCCTTATCTTCCAGGAAGGGCATCACATTATCGAACGATACCTCCTCTAGGCATCGTTCCACGAATATCTTCGACTCCCAAGGAGATGGGCACTTGCTTCTATTCTGTGACTGAGTATCAGCTCGCATTCTTTGTTCTCATGCATCCTGGGCCGGTCTTACGATTTTTGGTTACCAAATGTCTGCCATGTTGCAGCAGTCAGGCCACTCCAGTTTGTAAGGATGCACCCCCAACTCTGAATGTGATTTCTGTTGCGTTTTTAATATTAGGTGCGTAAGGAGTTCCCTGAACAACCAGTTGGGTGATCAGACCCGCTGGCACCGTACGCTTTCAGGTAAATGCTCTCTATACATTGAACGAGGTTGACATATGAAACTTTGTATGCAGTCACAGAACCAGTCAAGTGCGTTCTCATGCCTCTCTTCCTCGTAAATCGTTTCCGCTTCCTTTCTCTCTGTCATTACTACCATGCGAGGCCTTTCAGGTCCCATGTACGATCGCAGTATCTAGTAATGTATAATCGAATGGCATTTACCTATCGTAGATGTGGGCCTATGTGAGCTTATCGACAAGCCTCGCTATTCAAATTTAACGCCGTCCGCTCTAAGTACCTCGGCGACCCAATACTGCTTCTCTTCTTCCAGGTCTAGTTACTGGTAATCTACGGCCTCGTCGCAGTGCTTTCTCACATGAAGAGTCTCATATGCAGAATGCCGTACGCTATGTTGTGGCTAGACACCTGTCTCAGAAGTGATGCGATGGGCTCCTCTAGGTGTGGGAGGATGCCTAGACGCTCCAGGCAAAATAATCTTGCGGAAGTCCACAGATTAATTAGGTCATTGCAGAGTTGGTTATAGTTAGTAGGTATACAGCGAATCCGCTATTCGAGTTGATATGGCCACATTGACAGATTCGGCCCATAGCACCTACATTAGAATAATTATGTCAGATTCAGGTGCAAGCATAGCCGTAGAAACAGCACTGATTATCCAACACGGATCTCCCTCTTTAATTTTTCACCGTTGTGGCCTCTGCACCCAAGCCCTCAATCACCTTTTCGATGCCCCTGCTCGCCTTCATCGACGCGAAACCAAAGCTAACGCCCCCCGACATCGATCGCTCTTCGCCCCTCCCACCCGCTTTCTTGTGTTCATCGACAAGCTTACACAAACCCTCCAGAGTCGTCCACAGAGGTGCATATCCCAGTCCTCCTTTCTCTGGTGGCAGCCGTGCGCGGGAATCATCCCATATAAGATGGACCATAGTCAAGGCGAAGAGGGACGGTTGCAAATTAATCAGATCGCTGTTCAGTTTTGGAATGAGGGAACCTAGGCGGCGGATAATCGCATTGGACGAGAGTAGCATGAGCGCGCGGGATACATGAATAAACTCGAAAATGTACGAGAGGAGAAGCATGCTGGTGGCAGAGAGCTTGGGGAAGACGGTCAAGCCCTCCGTCAGGACGCCTAGTGTAGTGTACACGTCCCCATAAGTCACCGGCGGGCCTGCATCTGTCACACAAAATGCTTGACCGCCGACGTCTGGGTTTGTAGAGCCGCGCTGGATTTCTATGAGACGCTGTTCGTAGCACAGATGTGCAAGCGCTCCGTTCTCGACGTATACAAAATTCTGTAAAATGTTGCCTATCCAGGTAGGATTGACTTGGCGGACAAGGTAGGAACCGCAAAGAATGTCTCCCCCTGGGCCATAAATGCCATTCCCAGGACGCAGGCAGCCCGTGCGCACAACAGCATTCCCTGAAGGGCTCTTGTCTGCGGCCCGAACAAGTCGTTCGGCTTTGGTCTTGGATGCCGCATAGTTGGAAAAGAAATGTTCGTGCCGCTTGGGTATTAACTCGTCTTCGTCCGTAATGACCTGCACCAGGAAATCCGGCTCCTTCTGCCATGGCCAGAGCCAGAACCTGGTGCGCCGCACGGAAATAGATCCAGATGAAGTATATATCAGGACAGACGTCCCGATGGCCCGTGCGGCATCGATGATGTTTTGGGTGCCTTGAACATTTACGCTGTCCGAGAGATAGAGCAGCTCGGGGTGCCGCTCGTAAAAACGGATGTTCGCAGCCGTATGAAAGACAGTGATCTCTGATTGATGCGTTCCAAGACTCTGAGATCCAGTAGGCCAAGGAGCATGGAAGGCATTCTCGACTGCCTTTTTGTTCGAGATATCGACGAGCCGGAAATCGACGTCCTTCGCTTGTCCCGTTGTTAAATCCTCCCGCGTCGGAAGCCGTATGTCAAGTACCCGAATTCGCTTCGGGTCCTCTCCACGGCCTAACAACTGGCAGACAATCCAACCACCCAAGAACCCTGCCTGTAAAATTGAACATGTCAGGACTCAAGAACTCACCGCGCACAAGCCTCCGCAGCAAGAAGCAATCGCCTAGCATCAAGCACAAGATATTCTGGGTTTAGAACTCACCCCTCCTACAATGATGTACCTCCGCCCAGTTTGAGGTGGCAAAGAGCTGGTGATGGTGATAGGAATTTCCGCTAACCGAGCGGCGGTCCGCATTGCATCTTCGTCTGTCACTCGATGAGGAGAAAACGTGTCCTCAACGTATGACGGCAGATTCATCAGTTTAGCATCGTTGAGGTAGATATATATATACAGAAGCAAAGGGATGATCAGGAGAATGGCTACAGAGCTCAGTGGCATGGTCGTCAATCAGTGTAAGCAACCGCGACCTGCTGACTGACGCCCAAACCCGTTTTGCACGTATTGTTGAGATACGTCATCTGATATATTCCGAGAGCCCGGTGAAACCTTAAGCGCGCAGTCGGAAAGATGTTAAGAGAGGCTGAGGGGAGAGGCAGCACAGAAGATGGAAGGCTACTACAAAAGCAGACGTGCTACATACAAAGTCAGATGAGAACAAGGACGAGTATAATCCCTAAATGAATGAGCATCGAATTATGCGCAGCTAGTTTTGAACTGAAAGAGGACCAGTCGCGTCATCACCAACTGTTCCACTAGCGTTGTGTAGAAAGATCAGCCAAACAAAAAAAGATGCCACGAAGAAAGCCGTGAGATCATTATGAGGGAGGTGGTGCTGGTTCACTTGGTGGAGGTGCGCCTTCTTGCCCACCGTATCCTTGTGCGTAGTATTGGGCATATTGCGATTGACTCGCTTGCCATTCTTTGAACTGCGGCGAATTGACGTCGTAGCCATACGCAGCCCTGATGTTGTTGTGTTAGTAGCTATTAGACAGACAAAGAAACAACATACCAGTATGCGGCAAATGCATCCGTGTCCGTTGCCGCTGGAGGGCCAGCGGCAGAGGGCGTTGCTCCGCCCATAGGAGGGGCGGGAGGGACACCACCATCTGGAGGTGGTGGCGGCGGCTGATCTCCTGGCGGAGGTGGTGGTGGTGCGCCGGACGGAGGAGGGGGTACATAACCCTACAAATGCCAGAATAGTCAGGGAAAAGTCAGTGTTCAAAAACGGCATGTATAAATCGGAAACAAGATATCAAAAGGGCATTGGAGCCTGTAATACGACCCATAGTATGAGTAAACTATACATACGGCGAAGGCGCTGTAAGCGGCGTACTGGGCTTGCGCTTGATGGAGCTCCATCTGTTGTTGGTGAATGACGGCTTTCACTTTGGCATGCTCGTCGCGGACAACTTCGAGCAGATCGTCAGTCAGAACTTTCGCGCGCGCGACCTGGCCCTCATCCGGGCCACTTTACAGCTGTATTTTAGCGTCTGTGTTCAGCAAGAAGAGGATATGACTCGCGTTATATGAATATGCATGGGTTCATCCGATTCTCGACCTGTCTCTTGATCAACGAAACCTGATCCGAGCCCCTTGATCTGCACCCGAGTGCCAGTCTCCTGTTGTATATACTTGACGAACATGCCCTTCATTGAAACCAGAGTCAGTCGAGAAAGCATCAACCAGATTGCAATGCTCACCGTAGGTCCAACGACTTTTGCGCGAACGTTGAAGTTACGGATAGACTCAAGACCAACTGGTATTTTTTCCTCCGGCCATTTTCGCTGTTCAAAAGGGATGAGATGCATGAAAGAGTAGAGGTAGAGGCCACGCACTCTTTCACGACGACCGTCCTTCTTATCATCAACCAAAGAGCCCATATCAATTGAGATGAGCTCGTTCACTTTGTCGACCGCCTTCTGCAGAATTTCCTTGGTAGTAGCAGCAATATGCAGATACAGCGGTGGATCCTTCTCAGTCGCCTTTGCCCGGTCTGGATACCACACACCCTTCGTGCTGATAGAGGCTCCAGTCTCTTCGTGAATCTACAGCGACAGACAGTAAACGAAACAAAGACACATCAAACTGAAGAAACAGGCACACCTGTGTTTGCGTCGACCCCTTCGTTAACATATAGCGATTCCTGACATCGTTGATGTCGATATCATGCGTGAACTCAGCGTCGAAAGGGTCTTTTTGTCCAGGTGTCGAGCCCCCATTACTTGTCGTCCCTGCGCTGAACTGTGCTGCAATTTTGGCGGCGATGGCAGCGGCGGCGGCAGCAGGATTTGACGGACTCTTGCCTTCCTCCACCTTTGCGACTTTAGCTGGAGACTCGCCATCCTCTGGTGCATCGGCCCACTTGCGTTTTGAAGACATTTCGTAGAGTGATGGTTTCGAATATCGCTAGTAGTGGGTAATACGACCAAGAGATGCTTTGTTTGTCCTTTGTTTGTACCTCATGATAAATTACGACTGGGTGGGCATGAAAAACATGAAACCCGACAACAAAAAGCAACCAGATACGAGTAGCTCGATTAGAAACAAAGATAAATTCGGCTGAGGGTCTATGGAAATTTCCATGAGTCTTTTGGTATGCGTATCTAGGCGTGTCTCAAGTGGCAAGAGCGGCTTTTACCATATTCCTGTCATACTTAAGTCGATAATATTTACGTCCGCTCATGGTTCTCAGCACGTGTCACATACGCGATGCAAATAGGCGTGTCGACAGTGTGTCGACTCTCAGTGAACGACTTATTTTTATTCCTGAAAAAAAAATCCATCGATGTATCTTTCTGTCGTTATATTCCGTTCAGTTCGGCTTGACAGCAATTTTCAAGGCCCCGCGACTGCTCATCTTATCCAACGCTGCCTGATATTCTGAGATGGTAAATGTGTCGGTGACCTGACAAGGGTCAAGCTCAAGTATCATAAGACGGTGATGCGCTATGGACACATACCATTCCTTTCACTTTGATCTTTCCGCTGTCCAGATACTCGACTGCTCGTGGGAAGCAGTACATTTGAGCGAAGGAGCCTATAATCTATTCAAAATCTTTGCATCAGTATGGTGTGTGTCAGTTCGGGGGAAGTTTCTGACATTTATCTCATCGCCAAAAATCTTCGACGGCGGCCAGTGCACAAGCGCTTCATCGCTGTAGACGCCGTAGATCAGAAGAGTACCGCCTCGGCGCACGTAATTGATCGAATCGTTTGCGATCTTTTCTGCGCCAGTTGCTTCGACCTACATCGCCATCATGATACACCCAGAAGAGGGGACAGCTAAATAGACAGACCACAACATCGAATCCGTAAGGATAATCCTGCTTGATTTTAGCCCACTGAGCATCCGCGTTGTCCCTGTCAAGCTCGATATACACATCCCCAGCATCCAGGCTCTTTGCAATATCGGTCTTGATCCCTTTGTTAGCAGCAATCACCACCTTTGAAGCGCCGTTAAGCTTTAACAACTGCGCGAGGACCAGACCTGTGGGGCCAGCACCGATAATAAGGACTTCCACCCCAACAGGAGCATTCAACTTGTCCATCCCGTGGATAGCGCAAGCGGTTGGCTCAACGAGAATTGCCTCTTCGTCGGAGAGATTGTAAATCTTGTATACCTTGCTTGCATCGCTAAAAAGTGGAGACTGAACTCTCCACACATCATCGAATAAAGAAAGATGCTTGTAACTCACAAGGCCACATATTCTGCGAAGCCTCCCGGCACACTCACACCTCGACCTAGATAGTTTTCGCACAGGAGCGGCTTTCCCCGACGACAATAGAAGCAGGAGCCACACTGGGTATCAAGCGAACTCAGTAAACTGATCTTCTTTACGACGAACAGGCATACGCACAACTATACTGGGATCTGCGACAACGCGGTCCTCTGGAGAAAAGCCCACCACATTCTTTCCTACCCTGGCGATTCGGCCCACAACTTCATGCCCAGGAATGAGCTGCGCTGGAATGTCAGGAGACATGCAAACACCCTGGTATCAAGCGTCCTTTACTCACCGGAAACTTGGCGATGAATTCGCCGCCATGAATATGGCTGTCTGTTCCGCAGATTCCTTCGATATCATCATTGTAAGTCCACAATTTACATCAAACATACGGTGATCAACGATTACCACAGCTAGACACTGTCGGTTCAAGATGGTGAGGGACATTGCTTTCTCTTATCACAAGCGAGAAGAGCTCACCTTTGATTAATACTTCGCTGTCGCCAATCTGCGGCACAGTGACGTCGCGAATGTCAAATTCACGAGGCTAATCAACCAATCTCGAAGACGTCAGAACCATCCATGTATTAGAAACAAGCATCTCACAGCGGTATAGTAAACAGCTTTCATCGTAGCTCCCGCCATGGTTATCGAATTCGGGGAAATCTGGAGACGAGACGAAGTTGCTGAGAGACAATACGCTGTCGGAAAAGCTGGTGGTCGATGCTCTGAGATAACAGAGGACAGGCTGCTTTTGTAGCACGGCAGAACCTCGCTGAAGTATGGGAGAGAGCATCCTCGGATAGACGGACCGGCGTCAATCGGGGATCCATGAGGCTTACAGGTGTCCTGAATTTATCCTCATGACCGACAGCTCGATCGAGTACGCGTCGGCGATGTGAACAAGCGTGAACAAGGCAAGTGGGAGCATACGCAGAAACATACTGAACAACGTGAAGCACTGAAGGGCACCTGAAGATGAGACGCCAGAGCAGCCGTACTGTTTATCAACAGGCGCAAGACAGACGTGTAGCGGCAGGTAGCGGCTCAATGTTTGTGAGCAGCGAGATGGCGGCTGAGCAAGAGATGAGTCTGGACTCAGGTACATTATCGATTGTCGATAGACTCGACGCCGTTGGTCTGAACTGACGTGCGCGGATTTATGATGATTCCAATGGGAACGGTTAGTATCACAAAACCTAAAGCTCATACAATTCCGATGCAACTAGCGCCTGGGGTACTTACACCTGCCAACTTTCTATCAAAGCGAGGGAAGATGGCCAAGAGATGGATACTAGACCAGAGAATTAGGACTTCTTCTAAATATCTACGATGAGCGTCGATTTTTGTATTTGGTTGGTTGAATCTCGACGATGTGATTTTCCCGGAAACATGTTATGTGGCCGTCCAATCTGCTGCGCTACAAGATGCCCTGAATGAACCATTCGTGCTGGAGGGCACGACGATGCTATTGACTCATACACTCTGCGATTTCATTTCAGCAAGGCCAGTGTTGTTCAAATACGAGCGCTGACGAGCTCGATTCAAAGGGAAGAAGAATCGAATTAATCTAAAGATAATAGGTGTCAATGATGAGTAGAGTCACACAAAGCATGTAGCAAGAAAGCGAAAACAAAAAAGCAAAGAAACATCGACGTTGATGTACAATCACTGTTCACCAAGCGATGGGCGAATGTAACAAGTCCACGCTGATACCAATGAAATTAGCATTGAACGTAACGCGTTAAGTAAAGGCTCCTGACAAACCTTCACGAAGGGTTCAGAGGCGCCATGGGAGGGGCAAAGACATCGGCTGTCTCAATTGAAGACAGATATCCACAAACCGCGGATCCGTTTCTTCGGTTACAAAACCGTGCCTGATCAGAAAGTCTACAAGCGCGAGCGCGGAACTCGGTTTGAAAACTCCGGTAACGAGGTTATCTAGTACTGTCTGTGCATCCATGAGTTCGAACTCTTCAACCTCACCATCCGCTGTATTAACCTTCGGCCGCACAGATCCATCCGATGGTAAGGGAAGGTCGAAGAGGTAATACAGGCCAGGAAGAATCCAGCCAGCAGGAGATCTGTTGGGGAAAGGTAAAACCCCAGCAGGCCGAAGGTTTTCCTGTACGAAATTGGCATCAAGAGATGCTTCCTCTGCGCACTCGCGGATGATAGTGGCCGAAGCAGTATCTCCGGTACTCATTCCTCCGCCGACGGTGACGTCCAAACGACCAGGCCAACTACAATGAAATGAGCGAAAGGCCATCTTGGTGATTGCAGTATAAACGTACGTGCGCTTTGTTTTCGATCTGCGTGGAATCCAAAACATTGTTTTTCCCGTGTCAGGAGAACGGTAATATGCTGCGAGGTCGATTAGCAATGTTCGAGAAAAGCCATCAGATAAAATGGCATTAAACTGACCAGTGAGTAAACATCCAAAGTTAGCAAATCCGAATAGAGGCAGAGCAGCACGCTCGATTGAAAAAGCAACAGGGTCGTTGACGGCCTCCGGAGAGTGATTAGATACAGGTGTATAGTGGTAAATTGGAAAGTCCTCGTTGCTCCAGCCTGTTGTGGCTCGAGTCAGTGCTTAGGATGATGCTATGACTGATGAATACCTCGCAAAATATCCTGGAATAATCCTTGCTTCCTCCATTCTGCGACGAGTTGGTTGATGTAGAATGTCCTGGATTGTTTACCATCTCGGTTGACGGCAGGTGAAAATGAGACGAACTGCATCCCTTCAGAGTTGCCAAGTAACCATGGAGAGTTGCCAGATCCTCGCAGGAGTATAGAGTGATCATGCTGCAATCTCTGCATCACCTCTGGCCTGAGAAACCCAGTAGGTTGTGCAGTTTGGCCTTCTGTAGGGGCTGACAGGAAGAATGGTATGACCGGCTCTTGGTGAATCAGGGTATTATGGGCAGTTCGCGTGTATACAAATTTCTGTTCGGCGTTCTTTGAGAATAAAGAACGCTGTGAGAACACCAGATTACTCGATGCGAAAAGAAGAGGCAGAAGGCTTGGAGAGTCTTGCGGCAGTAAGAGCTGAGCCTGGTCACGATGCTGGTTTGCGAGACCGCGTCGCGTAGGATAGACGAGGCGGCGTTGTCGCAGAGTACCTCGGAGCATGATGCACTAGTCGAGGAGAATCAAGCAGCCTGGAAGATGGCCGTAAGCGACAATGCAAGTCTACACCCTTAGCGCTTTAGCAGTTCAGACGCCGAAGTCTTGCGAAACAACTTGGAATTTTCGCCCGTCTGTAATTTAAGAGGTTATTTTGTCCACAAGACTCGAGCAATGGACCACGTGAGCACCGGAGACCACCGCGTAAAATGAGCCCATAGAGCGCGGCAAATATCAAAAGACTCCTTCGATCCATGCTCACAGCGGACATGCTTTAGGTGGACAGGGAGGTCGTACAGTGACCAGTCTGTACCAGGAGTGCATCGATTAAAGGGAAAGACGCGTTTGGTCACGTGCCCAGCGCGTTTTGCAGAGTCGAGTCCTGTCGAGTCACCTAGTGCTCGTACTACTAGGTCGGGCAACATCCCTTCGCCAACAAACATCGCCAGTGCGCGGAAGGGCGAAATTATGTCGTCGGATGCATTGGAACGCGCCGTTGCACGGCTGCAAAATCTTACATCCATTTCTCTGCCGACAGACTATCCTCGACCTTCTGGAGGCCAACGTCTAGTAGAAGCAGTACAACTGGTCGAGCTCTCTGAGCAGACATCTTTGGGTCTCTTGAAGCTTGCGTTGTACAACGAAAACTTTGGTGAAGAGGACGAAGAGCTAGGATTGGTCTCGGGCACGTCCGCGTTCCATCTTCTTCTCGCCGCATTTGCAGTCCTACTTCATCGGTACACCGGAGACACGGATCTTGTCATTGGCTCATCTTCGGCCTCGGCGCGGGACCCTCTCGTCCTGCGGCTTTCTATAGATCCAAGCGATCCGTTCTGGGCGGTTGTCAGAAAGGTGCAGCAGGTGGAAAAGGAGGCGGAGGTGGATTCTGTGCCCTACGAGAGTATCGTTAAAGCATTGGGGAAGGACAAAGATGACACCACTCGTCCTCTCTTCCGCGTTCGATTCTTTGACGAAACAGATGAGCACAACGAGAATCTCGTTCGGTCGACAAGCTTGACCTCCGACCTCACCATCTTCGTCGCTCGGTCTGCCGCTTCCAGTCGAGCCTCTCTTGCCCCTCGCATTTCCCTTCGAATCATCTATAACTCCCTCCTCTTCACCTCTGCTCGCATAACATACATCGTTGACCAACTCTCTGTGTTACTCCGCAAGGTTGCTTCCAATCCTCTCCTTCCCGTCGGCTCTGTTCCTCTCTTGACGCCTAAGCAACGCGTCACGCTACCCGACCCCACGGCAGACTTGAACTGGTGTGATTTCAAGGGTGCTATCACTGATATTTTTTCGCGCAACGCTCGTCAGTGGCCTGATCGCCCATGCGTGGTCCAGAGCATCCCTTCTGCATCCCTTGGACAGATTCAAGAAAAGCAGATCTTTTCCTACGGCGCAATACGTCGCGCTTCCAACATACTTGCTCACCACTTGATCCAGGGCGGTGTTCGGAGGGAGGATGTGGTCATGGTCTACGCTCATCGAAGCGTCGACCTTGTCGTTGCGGTGATGGCGGTATTGAAGGCGGGTGCTACATTCTCCGTCATTGGTGCGTCACACGAGCATGAACGATTGGTTCTCCGAGACCCATTCCGTGAACAGATCCTGCCTACCCGCCTTCCCGTCAAACGGTATACCTTCGGGTCGCTCAGCCAAGGGGTTTGGTTGTCCTCAAAGGCGCGGGTACCATCAATCCGACCGTGAGGCAATTCATATCTGCGGAGCTTCAAATCTGTGTCGAAGTCCCTGCTCTTGAACTGTTGGCGAATGGAGATATCAAAGGGGGCAGCGCAAGTGACGGGGCAGATGTCTTGTCTGCTCAGGGCTCGTTAGCCGACACAGACCCAGACATCGTCCTTGGACCAGACAGCATAGGTACTCTTTCGTTCACAAGTGGAAGTACGGGCATTCCAAAAGGTGTCAGGGGCAGACACTATAGTCTCACCCACTTTTTCCTTTGGATGGGGCAACGCTTCGGGATCGGAGAGCATTCGAAGTTCACAATGCTCAGTGGAATCGCTCATGACCCCATCCAACGAGATAGTGAGGATTCAATCTCAAACTTCCTGCCCCACTGCTGATGAGACGTGTGCCAGTGTTTACTCCTCTTTTCTTCGGAGCTCAGCTACACGTCCCTACCGCGGATGACATTGGTACACCAGGGCGGCTTGCCGAGTGGATGGCGGACAGCGGGGTCACTGTTACGCATCTCACGCCTGCCATGGGTCAGCTCTTGTCCGCACAAGCTACTCGTCAAATTCCTACTCTCCTAAACGCCTTTTTCGTCGGTGACGTTCTCACAAAGCGCGATTGTACCCGTCTCCAGTCGTTGGCAGCCAATGTGCGTATCATCAACATGTACGGAACAACAGAGACGCAGCGTGCAGTTTCGTACTTCGCGATTCCGAGCGTCGCGCAAGACCCAACGTTCTTGGCGACGCAGAAGGACATCATGCCTGCAGGGGAAGGGATGGTCGATGTGCAGCTTCTCATCGTCAATCGAAACGATAGGAATGTCCCTTGTGCCGTTGGCGAGGTCGGCGAAATCTACGTCCGTTCAGGAGGGTTGGCCGAAGGATACTCGGATGCAGAGTCTACCGCCCAGAAGTTCGTCACGAACTGGTTTGCTGCTGATGGCATTTCACGACCAGACACTATTATTCAGCCTGTTGATGGTGAGCCTGGTCCAGAAGCCCAATATTGGAAGGGTGTCCGCGACCGCATGTATCGGTCTGGGGACCTCGGTCGTTACATGCCGGACGGCGTTGTTGAGTGCACAGGACGCGCAGACGACCAGGTCAAGATTCGTGGTTTCCGCATAGAGCTCGGCGAGATCGACACTCACCTCAGCCAGCACCCGCTTGTAAGAGAGAATGTCACGTTGGTCAGGAGAGATAAGGACGAGGAAAAAATACTAGTCAGCTATTTTGTGCCATTGAACAGTCCGGATTTGGACGGATTTGCCAGCGACATACCTGAAGGAGAGGATGTCGTTAGCGGAATTCGGAAGTATAGAAAGCTGATCAAGGATATCAGAGAGCATCTCAAAAAGAAGCTGCCGATTTACAGCGTTCCCACATGTGAGTCATTTTTGATCTTGCTTGTTCGACTTCTTCTCATTGTTCGTAGTGTTTGTCCCTCTCAAGCGTATGCCTCTTAATCCTAATGGTAAGATCGACAAGCCAGCTCTCCCCTTCCCCGACACAGCGCAGGCCGCATCTGTTGAGCCCAGAGCCCCATCCGACGCGCGGAAGGGGACCACTACTGAGGAGACCATGCAAACCTTGTGGGCCAAAATTCTACCTAATGCACCATCACCGATTCCTCTGGATGAAAGCTTCTTTGACTTGGGAGGCCACTCTATTCTCGCCACTCGACTTATCTTTGAGATTCGCAAGACTTTCGTTATCAATGCGCCGTTAGGCTTGATATTCGATCAACCGACCATCAGCGGCCTTGCCTCAGAGGTTGATGCCCTCCGAAACGCTGATCTTGGACTAGCCAACGGCACTCCATCATCTGCTCAGCCTTCAGTCCATGACACGAGGAAGGTTGGCCCTAGTGTTGTCGAGTATGGGTGCGATTATGAAGGCTTGCTGCCGAAGTTACGACCTTCGTATGCTCCTTTGCCAGCGGATTTCTCGTCTCGCCCATTGACAATATTCTTGACGGGTGCGACTGGGTTTTTGGGTGCCTTCATTCTTCGTGATCTTCTTACGCGTGAAGGAAGAGTAAAAAAGGTGATATGCCATGTTCGTGCTTCGACAGCGGAAACGGCATTGGAGCGCTTAAAACAGGGTGCAAGTGATCGTGGCGTATGGGACGAAAGATGGATCTCAGCAGGTAGACTTGAAGTTGTCCGCGGAGATCTCGATCAGGAATTGTTTGGTCTTGAGGAGACCGAGTGGGCGCGCATCTCTCACGAGGCTGACGTTGTATTGCATAACGGTGCTCTTGTGAGTGGTGACTCGCACGGACATCCAGCGCTCGTCTGATTATAGCTTTATCCAGGTTCACTGGGTGTATCCTTATGAGCGACTGCGGTCTGTGAACGTGATTGGTACTCTGACCGCCATCGAACTCGCCTCCGTTGGCAAACAGAAGGCCCTTGTATTCGTCTCTTCCACATCTGCCATCGACACAGAACACTACGTACGTCTATCCGAATCGTTATCTCAAGGTGAAAACAGAGGAGTTCCCGAGAGCGATGATCTTGAGGGAGCTAGGCATTCCCTGAAGACCGGTTACGGTCAGTCAAAGTGGGTCTCTGAAAAGCTACTTTTTGAGGCAGGAAGACGAGGGTTACGAGGCCATATCGTGCGTCCTGGCTACGTCGTGGGCGCTTCCGACACTGCTGGTACGTTCAAATCATTCAATTGAAAGGATAATCGAAGCTGATGGATTCGATGGAAGTTACCAACACCGATGATTTCATTTGGCGCATGGTCAAGGGTTGCATTCAGCTAGGCCTGGTCCCAAACATCAACAATACGGTCAACATGGTTCCAGTCGATCATGTTGCTCGGTGCACAGCGCTTGCGGCGATATCTCCTCTCCCAGATGCCCCTCTTTCCGTTCTCCACCTGCAAGCATCTCCACTGCCCACGTTCAACGACATCTTATCATCGCTCGGTCACTATGGTTTCCCTACAGACCAATGCGAATATCTTGTCTGGCGGCGGAAGCTGGAACAGCACGTCATGGAAATGCAAGACAACGCGCTTTTCCCCCTACTTCATTTCGTACTGGACGACTTGCCGACAAGCACGAAGGCGCCAAACCTTGATGACTCCAATATGAGGGCTGTCCTCTCTCCGCACACGCGGCAGTTGGACGTGACAGTTACCACCGATTTGATGGGCAGATACCTGTCATGGCTAGTGCAGGCTGGGTTCTTACCTGCGCCTCTTAATTCTGCTGCCAATCCACTGCCACACCTAGCAAATGGGTCGGTGGCGAAAGCAGTGGGGCGCAGTGGTGTTTGAGGAGGGAAAACAAAAGGTGACATGGTTTCATCGTATTGTGCGAACCGCGATTTTGTACAGTATCAGTCGAGTTGACGTAGAAGTGTGAGCAACTGTTGTATTACGGCTGTGCATGATGCGCATGCCCAAACAAAATGTCACAGACAATCTCAGCCTCGCCTTTGTTCTTGACGGCGTCTGAAAGGCGTGGGTACCTACTGGTCCCGGTACGGAACCGGTCTGCACGGGGTATGTGGCGCTTGCACCCATTTATATCGGACTTTGGACGCTCAAATATATCCCTTACTAGCGTATGTCTGCCGCTCGCGTCCAATCACTCCCAAGAGACGCTCACACTTCATTTGGGTCGATCAGGCTTAAGGCTAATGGCTAAATTTGCAGTTTGAAGATACACTCACCATGGGACGGCTCTGTTGAGCCACATGAGTCATATTCCTACCCTCCACATTCAATCAGAAGGCGGCCAAAGAAAATTCCCTCTCGAGTACAGTATCTACTCTTGCACCTTCTATCCGAGCTGATCTTAAGCGACCGTTTAAATGTGTGAGGTTCGGGCGCCAGTGTCGAAGCCACTGATGTGTCACGACCAAATTATCGACAGCCTCTGTGCCTGGAATGACTAGGCAATGAGTGACGGCAGCTACCTTCCTTCACTTCACTTCTCTCATCAGTATGGCGACTGTGCTCCCCCGATCGTCTTCACAAAGTCTGGCGATTGCAAACAATCTACGAATAGCAGCATTATCTATCGCTGTATATGAGTGAGTCGTATCAGTTTCCTAACTTTGTATATGTCAGCTCTGAAGATGAATAGCTACATATGCACCCTTCCAGCAGAATGGAGGTTTTTCAAAGGGCACGTATGCCCATTTCGACCCAGGTGATCATGGCAAGAAGGACAAGGAATCTCTCTAATGCTTGTCTTGCTAGTCCTGGATTCACACTTTTCTATCTTATCCGGTAAGCAGACACCATTGCGATATAAACCAGAATTTGACGTCAAGTCTCAAAGATATATCAGCATCGCAACACTGCTAATTAGTAACATCGGATTCTTCTCCAACTTTACTCCATCTACCTGTCAAAAGTATTATATGGCTGCGCCAATCCTCAAAGGTATGTTGCTACTTAGGCTTCAAGGAATCCCCCTTGAACTGTAATCAGTTTTCCAAATAATGGTCTCTCAATCAATCCTAGGAGCACGGTATGGGGTGTATCCAATTCTTTTGCGGCGGCGGAGCTCAAAGATTTGTTTAGGACATATAATATTTCTCGTCGGAATCGCTGGGTTGGATGGTCTTTAGGATGTGGTTTTCTTGTCGTATCAGTGGTAAGACAGTCGAAGTTTCGGCTCTTATCAGAGGTAATCTGACATTACACAGTTCCAGTGGTTAACTAATCTATATCATCGCGTTCGTAAGTTGCCACCCAGAATTCGCTTACTCCGGTGAATTATATATCTCCATACTGCTAGCGGTCTCGAGCAATGTACGTCCGTCTTATCTTAAATATGTCCTCCTGTTGACTCTGCATGCCCCAGGGAAAGTGAGCCAGACTGTGCTCTACATCGACGATCAGTGCCTAAGATATTGATATTACAGCTGTACCACCGGGACCGATCATCCTGATGCTCATCTGTCGGCCTGGCTCTTCTACTTATTGGCTATGGTTTACGACGCTTCCACCATTCTGGTTTCGACCGTGTATTTGATAAGGTATCAACCACGTTCCTCAGCGTAAGTCCTGCATACGTCTTCCCATACCATCCACCCACTGGCTATCCTTAGAATGTCTCATCTTATCAAAATGTATGTCCAATGAATTAGCTCGAATAGTTTCTGTGTTCAGACAATGCAGAATGCTGTACGATGGACTAGGCTATTTTGTAGCCCTAACAGGTGCGTCTTTATTGGCGCTTAAAGTGCGCTCAAGATCTAATTATCCTAAAAGCGTCGAATATCTTAAACCTAATACTATATCGAGCAAGCGACGTCAACATCCAGGTGTGTTTGATATGTGCTGTGTCATTCGTGAACTCATACCCCAAATTCATCTAGTCCGCTGGGTGAGGCAAAACCATACTCTTGGTGATGTTGTTGATTCACAGCGAAACAGAGTGTCTCTAAGCTATAGTATAACATGGATTATGAGCCAACGTATATTGATCCATCTACGCGGTTCGCACCATTTTCAAAGTGACCGAAGCTTTCACTCATCTCAGATCTCGCAACTAGATGCGGGAGCACCCAAAGAACCACACACCGCTGTGACCCATCATCTGCAATCGTTACAAGACATCAATACTGCCATACGTGCATATGCCCTATCACCGACTAGACCACAACATGAGCTCCACAGAGCACAGGACCGTCAAGCTGGTGAAGACTTGGCGGAATTGAACCTTCCAGTGCGGATTGGGCGCTCGATCGTCGCGGACGATAGGAGCCATCCTGTAGCAACTCCGTTGGACAAAGCGCTATATACATCTCAGAAAGCAATATGGGAACAAAGGCAAGATGTGTGAGATATTATGTAGGTCCGTCGTTATCACTAAAGTCATTCAAATAGTTATTCACGAGAATATATGGTAGCAGATTCGCGTACGTCATGTACAATACCTCGTGTCCAAGCTTCGGGAGCGCTCTGCGGCGCAGCAACGTCTTCTATAATGAGAGCGCTGGATTGCTCGGTTTATGATCTTCTGTAGTGTTCATCGTGATTGGTCAAGAAATCGTTCAATAAGGTTTGTTCTGTTTCGAAGTTGATCGCCTGCGTCAAGGGCAGCTGCGTATGCCTCGCAGAGGTTCCAGGCGCTTCGTTTGATTATATAGACCACAAACAGCACCCTGCGAGAGCCATCGCTCTGCAACGATGCTGAAGTGGTTCCATGACACTCTCTCCACAGTTGCAATTCATTCTCTCAAGGACCCGGAGGAAATTCCAGTCTCTGTGAACTACTTCCCCCACAGGTGACGATCAGCGTCTTTTTCGTCGCTCTTTCCCCCTTGATCGTGACACACAGGAAATGCAACTATGCCTGCGAATTCTGTTTCCACACCACGAAGAATATCTCGATCTTACCTCTCGAGGAGGCGAAGGAGGGCCTACGCTTGCTTTCCGATGCCGGAATGAAGAAGCTCAATATAAGCGGCGGAGAGCCGTTTCTTAAGCCTGTATTCATCGGAGAGCTCTTCCGGTTCTGCAAAGAGGAGCTTGGGCTCGAGTCCTGTTCTGTCGTGAACAATGGTTCCAAAGTGACCGAAAGGTGGCTGGACGAGTATGGTGGATACCTGGATGTCATGGCGCTATCGTGCGACTCTTTTGACGCGGAGACGAATCGCCTCTTGGGAAGGTCGGAGAAAGGAAACGCGAGTCAACACGCTAGACGCATATTCGAGGTCGCGGAGTGGTGCAGAGCCCGCGGGATCATTGTCAAAATCAACACCGTGATCACCAGGCAATTGCTTCATTGAAAACTCAATATGTAGCATTGTGCTCACCGCCCTTGGCCCCACTAGATTAAACTGGCAGGAAGATATGAATGGGCCGATCACGGAGCTCTCACCCTTCAGATGGAAGGTGAGACATCTGACTCATTCTGTGATACTATGCCGATTCCTCTGAGACAGGTCTTTCAAGTTCTTCTCCTTGATTCAGAAAACACAGGAGAAGTGACGGGTTCGTTGAGGGACGCTCGTGATCTCGTGATCTCCCGTGACGAGTTTGAGGCCTTTCTCGAACGTCACAAGGAACAGAGCTGCCTGGTTCCCGAGGACAACGAAGCAATGAAGGACTCTTATCTCAACCTGGATGAGGAGATGAGGTAGGCCGTTCCGCAAACTCCGGAACGTGGAGCTTCTGACTGAGAAGTTCTATGCTTTCAAGATTCCTCAACTGTCGAGACGGAGGAAAGAGGCCCGGACGATCTATCCTGCAAGTAGGCGTCAAGGAGGCACTCAAAGACGCGGGGTTTGACAGCAAGGCGTTTATCGATCGAGGCGGAGTGTTCCCGTGGAGTCGTAACAAAGACGTCCCGGATTGGTGACTCTGATAGATCTGGAAGACCTTGTTACCTATGCTTCGAGTCTTCTTTTCTCTTTGTATAATACCTGACAATTCATTTCTGTCCGCTTCACAAATAGCAGGTCCAAGTTCGAGCACTGCATGTGAGACACCGGGTCATCCACAGGTCATGGCGAGTCTATTTTTTCCCGCCAATCTTCTGCATTCGAGTGGATGTTCTCAGGATCTGTAGTCGTCGCTGTTGATTCCTCTGTATGGTAGGGTAAAGGCTGTCCTGAAGAATGGACGCCCGTAATGCTGTATACGGCGTCTGTTGTAAAGACTCATAACGGATTCAACATCCGTCCTGACTCCTAGGAATCTCCGACCTTCATTGTATCTGCTAAATGGCCAGTCCTTTCGCTCTGAGGGACTTCATCGATCTAGCAGTCGCCATTGAATCAAGCATCAGTCAGGCAAGAAGAGCCCATCATCTCTCCTTCACACGATTCTAACCATTCGATCAGGTCTATGACAACCAGCAATTGCTTCAGTCGTTGGCGGAAGACCTACACGACGATATCAAAAACCTGTACAATTGCATCGCTTTGGCCGGAATATCGTCAACGGGAGAATCGGGCGTCCTCGACGCCGCGTTTCTTCACGTCTTGTCTGCCTTGAAAACGCGAGTCTTCTTACCCTACGCTTGCTTTGCTTCAAGGACTTACCACCGTGGACGTGGCGGCAGCGGTTTGACGGACTGCCTGCAATGCTGTAACAGATTCATCACACCACAGTCTTGCAGTGGGATGGCCGCTTTCAAACTAAAATTGGTAGCCTGGAAAGCGAGAGACATCATTCCGGTCAAGATCGAAACCGTCAAACGGAGAGTTGATGCGTGCTATCGGCGATTCATGGTAAGTTCAAGGCTTCTTCATGCGATCGCATCGTCGACTTACGTCTCAAAAAGATAGCAGGCATCACTGGGATCAGACAAGAAATCAAAGGACAGATCGTCAATTGCATCCAGGATGCCCAGTCCAGTCAGGCCAAAGCCGTGCGTCTCATCGGTGCAGATGACATGGATAAAGGAGACATGAAGAATGCTCTGATCAGGGCAAAAGAGGCTAGTACATCTGGATTGGTCAGGGGTGTCCATATCTGACGAGAAAATAACAGGAGTTGCAGTTCCTTTCAGACTCGTCCATCCCCGAGAGTGTCTATCTGCGGCTCAAAATCCGGGCGATAGAAAAGATGCTCTCGTCGTCTCGGCTGTCCTCCGCTTCAGCACCGGTACCCTCGATGACCTTCTCGCCATCCGCCGATTCAGAGCTCCCTCGCAGACTATCGGCCCCTCCGTCGTTGCCCGGCTACGTTGCGTCCAACGACTTCCGCATCTCCATAACCACATGCAGTAATTCCTCGAGGAGCACCGAAGACACCATGGACGATGCAGTGATGCGAATTTTGCAGCTCCTCGACGCTCTGAAAGATGTCAAGAACCAAGATGAACTGCCTCCCGAGGCTGCGGATAATCTGACGGCACTCTCTCTATCGCTCGGACACTTGGACCTTATAGAAGAGTCCTGCAAGGTGGCTGGGTGGGCCGTGATTGCCTACCGATGTGTTGACAGGACATACCCGCCCGAATATCGGGCAAAGCTGGCTTCTGCACTCAACTACCATTCCGTCCGCCTCACCCAGATCGGCGATTCTTCAGACCAGGCGCTGGACGAGGTAGATGAAGCGGTCGACATCTATCGTGTGCTCTCGAAGGAGGACCCCGAAGCCTTCAGCGCCGACCTCTCATCTTCTCTGAACAATCTCTCTAACACCTTGGCCGCGATGGGCCGGCATGAAGAGTCTCTCAAGGCGCAGGTGGAATCTGTCAACATCCTTCGCGCGCTTTGCTCCGCAGATTCTGACCGATTCGGGCTCCCGCTCATCCGCTCCCTCAACAACCTTTCAAGTGCGATGAAAACCGTGGCGGACAACCAAAAAGCACTGTCGATCGTCGAAGAGGTCGTCCACACTATGGACGCCCTGATCTGGAAAGACTCCAAAGTGACAGAGCCGATCCTCACCACCTGCCTGTTCACGCTAGCCCAATGCCTGCATGCGATGGGCCGCACCAAAGAAGCCATCAAGGCGCTCAAGCGCTCGATCCAGATCCGCCGTGAGCTGTGCAAGAGCAGCCCCAAGCACCACTACCCGCCGCTCGCGGACGCCTTCGCCGCCCTCTCCGAGTTCCGATCGAAGAAGGGTGACCACCCGAGGGCACTCCGCGAAATCGAGAAGGCGGTCTGGATCGACCGTTCTCAGGTCGATTTCAAACGGGAGTCGCGGACGCAGCGCCAATCGCGGGCCTCGCACCTGGCGCGTCTCTTCGCGTGTCTGGTCAGGGTCGACCGACTACATGATGCCCTGAAGGCCGTGGAGGAGACGGTACAGATCTGGCGAGAGCTGGCGGAGGCGAATCCGGGAGATTTTCAGCCAGACCTGGCAACCTCACTGCACAACCTGTCTGTACATCTCTTTCACCTCGAGAGATACACGGACGCCGCGCGAACGATCGAAGAGACGGTCGAGATCCGGAAGTCTATCGCAGAGTCTAGAAGCAAGGAAGATCGCATACATAAATTATTGAGAAACTCGGAGGAGGTCAAGCGGAGGATCCAGGAAAAGCTCCACGCATAGGAGCGTTCAGCTTCCCGCCGCGCACTCCGCCTCCCAATCTCTCGGCGTGAGCTCGTCGACACGTTCCACGAACGCCTCAAGCGTGCAGAACTCGGGCGCGCCGGCCATATGCTTGCCCTCGTCCGCGCACAGCGGTAGCACGAGCGTGCGATTCTGGTACCGCGCCCGCACATCTGGATGGCGGTGCGACAACAGGGGTTGAGGAAAAAACGGTCAGCGACACACGCCAGAGCGAGCAGGCAGCCCGAACGACGCACAGTGCTCCGACGCCGTCTTCGCGCGCCGCCGGAACGGCGACGAAGCGAGCACGGTCTGCAACATGCCCGGGTTCGGGTGCGCGACCACGTTGACCTTGGGATCCGCATCGTCCGCACGGGCTCGATCCTGGCTCGGCGCCGCAGGCGCGGCGGCATCAGGCTCCTGTATTTCCCTCTTGCGGAACAGCTCGAATGTGATGGACGCCGTGAACGCCGGCCACCTGCAATTGCAATCGCTGCCGCTTGAGCCATCCGCCACCAGCACGCAGACTAGATCCCTCAGACACACCTGTCATCGAACGCGTCCAGCGCGCTCGCGAGCCCCGCGAGCGCCGTATCGTGCGTACTATGGATCAATATCTTCGGCGTGCGCGCCTGCTCGTCGACGACGCCGGCACTCGTGCTCGTGCTGGCGGGAAGCTCTTGCGCCTTGAGCTGCATCTTGCGCGACAGGTCCGCGAGGAGCCGACCCATGCCGAGCCGGCGGACCTCCTCGGTTTTATCTGTTAGCCGAAATGAGGGACGTCAGAAACGCGATTCCCGTCGAGGGGTAGAGGAGAGGGAGGGGAGAGATCGAGGAGAGATCGAGTAGACGGGGCGCTCTCACACCCTGCGAACCATTCGTTCACGACGGCTTTTTCCTGTACGGAAGTAAACCGGAAGGGGAGCGGTCAGAGAGCGAAGACTCTAGAGGAACAAAACGGCTAGAAAACGAACGCACAATCGGGTCCATGACGCTCCGCTCCTCGAACTCAGGCGGCACCTTGACCCCATGCGCCATCGCCGCGCGTATCTACCACCGCCGGCCCCGCCCGAACCCCAAAAACATCCCCCAAAAAGCCGAAATACAAAAAACAAAGGTCAGAAACCAGAAACCTTCACGAGGCGACGCCGGCCACAGTGCCCACCCACCGTATCGAGCACGCCAGACGCGCGCGGCTTCCCGTCAAGCCGGATAGGGTTCCCTCCGAGGTACTTGGCGACCTTCTTGTCCAGCGGCTCGAGCGTGTGGTTGTACGCGGCGGCAGCGGCTGCGCAATAGATCAAACAAACACGTAGTCAGCACAGGCGGCGAAGCGCGACTTCCAAACGCGCGAGCGGGCAAGCGCTCACCGTTTGCGAAGTTCAGGAGGAGGTGCCCGAGGCGAGAGCAGGAGAGCGTGTTGCCGAGCAGATTCTCGTCGCGGCCGTTCCTGCATCGCCGTCAAATGCCAGTACAAAAAGAAAAACAAAAACCCAAGGCCGCGGTCAAGTCAAGTCAAGGTCAAGTCACGAAAGAACGAAGGAGGGAGCGGGAGGCCGACGCACCGGATGCGGACCTGGGGTACGACGCTCTCGAGCTTGGCCGTGGGGTAGAGCCCGTGGACGATCTGCTGCAGCGACTCGATCGTGCGCGGGAGGTTCGTCGAGCGGAAATAGACGTCGTTTGCGCGCGCGAGCGTGTCCGGGAGGAAGCCCAGCCTGTGCAGGGGACGGAAGGGCACAACGGAGGCATGCGTATCGTATGGGGGAGAGAAGAGGCCGGGGCGAAGATGTGGGATGAGGATGAGGGTTTCGTGCCGTTGCGAGTGGGATCGCGGAGAGCGTGTAGACGCACCTGTCGACGTAGAGTTCGCGCAGCGCGCGGCCGTAGTTGTACGTAGACTGTGCGCAGGAAACACGATCGAGGGCGTCAGCTCACGCACACAAAGTCCGTCGCCGTGCCTCGACTGCCGCGCCTGCGCGCAGACAGCGAACAGAAAAATAGACCACACGCACCTGCCTCCCCACATCCGTCAGCTCCCCGAGCAGACTATCACCGCACACACGCACGCACACGCACGCACGCACACAAAAAAAAAAATCACCACATCAGCCGTGATTGCTCGTCGACGAGACGCGAGACAACAACGCACCACTCGCCCTCGACCGCCTCCCCGTCCGCGCGCTCGACGACGCGCTGCACGTCGAGCTCTCCGGGGCTGTGCGGGTCGCGCCCCGCGACGGCCGCACGGAAGCGGCGCGCCTGCTTGCACATGATCCAGTGTTCGGGGATGGACGCGGGGGCGTCAGACATGCGCACGGAGACGGGCGTGCGTTCGCCTAGACGAAGAAGAAAAGAGGAGGGGCGCGGGGCGTGTCAGGTCTAGTGTGTGAGCGGGTACGACGGGTACGGTTATCGTGATGGGAAGGGGACGCGCGGGGCATGGGCGTCGGGGCGTTGGCTGTGGTCTACAAACATGATGGGGCGTAGACGGATGTCGGTCGCAGGCCATCTGTCGGGCGGATGAGCGTAAAGCGCGCGCAGACCACACGTCGCAGCTGCGAGTGACAGCCAAAGAACACGCATACATCGCGCAAGGAACATCCACAGCGCGCATATAGCGCGTCCCCGGGGACGCACTCAGCATTACGAGGCACTCCAGCGCCCTATCCCACCAAACTCCCCCCCGCCCACCAAAGATGAAAGAAAAAAACGACCAGACGCTCACCATGCCTCACATAAACATGCACCTGCTCCAGTTCCAGCTCCCTCGGCGCCACCGGATACCCCGCCACGTCCAGTGGAGGCCTCGGTGCCCTATACCGCGCACCCCCTCCCCCGCCCCCGCTCGCGTTCCCGCCCCCGCCGAGCCCCAGACCCACTAGGCTCGTCCCAGGCGACACCATATCCAAATTCTCCAAACTATCTGCGCGCGCGCCGTCCTGTGTCTGTGACTGTATATCCGCGCAATAAGAAGCGTCCTGGCCGCACGCGTCGTCGCGGTTGCCGCAAGTGTCGCCGTACGTAGAATCCCCGTTGCCGTCGTCCAAGTTCACGCGCGCTGTGATATCGAGACTACCAGCGCCGCCGTCGGTCTCTGCTGCCCTGACAACCGCCGCGAGCGCAACCGTGAGCAGCAATAATAAGCGGAAAAGCGAGAGCGAGCGCGAGGTGGTGGCAACAGATTGAGATGGAGAAGGAGCGAATCCGGATCTCGATGCCGCTGCGCGTGCGGACGTCTCAGCTGGCGCGGCGCGGAAGGTGCGCATCTAACTTATAGGACGGTGATGTGATGGTATCTCTCGCGGTCGCCAGTCGAGGTATTTAAACAGTATAGGCTGGCTGGGCACTGGGCGGAGGGATGACGGAGCACGGAAAGACAGCGAAGCAGCCTCAAGAGAGCGCCCGCGTGTGTGGGTCTGAATACTACCGGTGCGTGGCCAACGCGAGGATCTCATTTCTCTCTCAGATGTTTCCACTGCCTTTCCCTTCTTGCTCCTCATCCGTCGACAAACGGAGCGACGGATTATAACAAGCGGAACACTTGCATTCCGATCCCAATCCGACCGTCCCGCACACGCCAGTGTCAAGCCTGGTGGAAGGGTCCATCATGATACAGCTTACAACTACGAATACACATGTGGCGAAGGGGATTCAGTTATGGACGGTAATAATGATCTGAACATGCGACATAGGGGTGCAAGGAGGGGGCAGTACGGTGAAAGGAGCCCGGGGCCTCGAGGGCCTAGGGCTTGATCGCGATTTTGAGCGCTCCGCGGCTGTTCATCTTGTCGAGCGCCTTCTGGTAGTCTTCGAGCTTGAACACATCCGTGACCTGCAAAGGAAAGCAGTGAGTCGGCAAAAAGCCATCTGGACATGGCAAAAACGACGCACCATGCCCTTGACCCGAATCTTGCCGCTGTCGAGGTAGGCCACCGCGCGGGGGAAGCAGTATGTCTGCGAGAACGACCCGATGATCTAAATGAACAGGGGCGGATCTGGCTCAGTCGACAAGACGCAAAACACGTTGACTGAACGCACCCTGATTTCGTCCCCGAAAATCTTGGATGGTGGCCAGTGCACAAGTGCCGCGTTCTCATACACACCATAGATCATGAGCGTACCCCCACGACGGACGTAGTTAATCGAATCGTTTGCGAGCTTCTCGACGCCCGTTGCCTCAACCTATACAAGATTAGGTTTTGAACATCGTCGCCACTGCTGCGCAAGAACGCGTCCACGCACCACAACATCGAACCCGTACGGGTTGTCTTTCTTCAGCTGCTCCCACTGCGGTCCTGGGTTCTGTCGGTCGAGCTCGATGTACTCATCTGCGCAGTTGAGCTGCTTCGCGATGTCCATCTTGATACCCTTGTTCGCAGCCAGCGTCACCTTGTGTGCGCCATTCAGCTTGAGCAGCTGTGCAAGGATCAACCCCGTTGGTCCCGCGCCAAGCAGCAGCACCTCGATCCCGACCGGCGGGTTCAACTTGTCCAACCCGTGAATTGCGCAGGCTGCCGGCTCAAGGAGCGTCGCTTCCTCGTCGGTCAGGTTGTGAATTTTGTAGAGCTTGTTCTGTGGACTGTCCGCGCAAAAACATCATGAACAGAGGGTCAACGAGAAAGGAGTGAAATATCTCACTAGACGATATAGTCAGCGAAACCACCTTCGGAACTGACGCCCCGCGCGCGGAAGTTCTCGCACATGAGCGATTGGCCGCGTCGGCAGTAGAAGCAGTCGTCGCACTGTTGGCAAATTTAGGCGCGTCAGAACCTCGGACAAAAGGGGGCGGATTCAACTGACAGTAATGCCTACATCGGCGACGCAGCGGTCACCGATGGAGAAACCCTTGACGTCCTTGCCCATTTCGACGATGGAGCCAATGGCCTCGTGGCCAGGGATAAGCTGCAAAGGAATGGAAGCACTGGTCAGCGCCAAAAGCCCACCTTCTCCCCATTGAAAGAAGATCGTGCTTACGGGAAAAGTGGAGATGAACTCTCCTTCATGAATGTGGCCGTCTGTTCCGCACATACCTGTTCAACCAAGTAAAAGTGCACAATATGATACCAATCTTAGCTATCGCCTCCCCTGGCGGCATTCCGAATATGAAAACAGCGCACTGACCACAGCAGGATACTGATAAGAACAGACACGAATCAGTATCGAAGTCCAACACCTCGCGTGCTTTGCGGGCCTCAACGCATGACATTGTGCCGCTCAGCCCAGCGAGCAAGGCCTGCCGCCTCGAGCGAGTAAATCAGAGACGCACCTTTGAGCAAAACCTCGTTATCGTTCGGCCTAGGTGCAGGGACCTGCTTGATGACAAAGTCCTTTGGCTATATGCGCGTTCGAGCACAACCCGACGCGTCCCATCACCAGTCAGCGCGATGCCACCCGTCGTCCAGACAAAGCGAGCGCTGCTCACCGCGTTGTACCAGAGCGCTTTCATGGTTGTGGCTTGGACCATTGTGAACGGCTATAGTTGTATGAAGTGGCAGGTCGGTGGAAGAGGACGGGCGAGAGGAGACGGTGAGAGGACGGGGACGCGGTGCGTTATCTTTATATGCTCGGCGGGGCGGCCCCATGATGTCATTGTGCATAGGCACGATCGCCGGTGTCACGCGGGCCACAAACACCAGTCAAATACCTCAGAAACTCGTCCACAACGACCAATAAGGAAACACGCCTCCCCCATTTTCCCAAATTCGGATGCTTCTGTTTCGTTTGCGCCGTCGAATATATCTTGTTCGGTTGACCGCGCACCCTTTTCTCACAGACACGATCACTGAACAGCGTCAGTACTGCACCTGCAGGTGAAACGCACAGTTCTCGCCCGAGGCCCACGCATCGCAATGCGATGGTCGATGCCAAGGGCGCAAAGGGTGGTAGCAGTGCTATAGATATCCATCACGGGGACAGAACCACATTCGAGACGTCCCCCATTTTCGCCGTTCAATGGCGCCGATACCGCATGATACTCTTTCGCTCTGTCTATCTGTCTGTCCGCACAGCGGTCCACGCCAGCAAGTATTTGACGAGGCCCACAAAGGCACACCGAATTTCCAGGTGGCCGCAATCCCCCGATTCGAGAGCGGTGAACAAATGGCATTCAGCACAACGGCGCCACCCACCACAGCAGACGCACGAGATATCCAACACCGCGCCTCGCCATCTTGCCGCTCTCGGGACCCCATCCCGCATCGGTTCTTATTCCAGCTCGACTTGCTCTGCGCTGGCCTTCAGAGCCTGCTGCTCTTCTTCTTCGTCCCCCTCCTCGAACGTATCATGGAAGCTCTGCTCGATCGCGCGCAGATACGCGCGCAGCTTCCACATGTCCCCGACGCGCACCCGCGCGTGGTCCAGCGCGAGCGCCACGACCGGGCCCTCGCCGCCGCTCGATTTTCGCCCGCGCGCAGGAGAGCCCGGCCGCGAGAGGTACGCAGGCATATGCGGATAGCGCGTTGAGAAGTGCGTGAGGAGCACGTTCTTCGCGTTCATCCTGCACCCGTGCCGCAATTCGGACGATGAGCAAAAAGAAAAAAATGACAGGTGGGTTGAGAACACGCACTGCCTGCCGATGCCGACGGCCTGACTGACGGTGCTGTGTGCCTTGTGGTGTGCCATGGCTTCTTGGTCGTCGCCCATAGTAGCCTCGTGTATGAGCAGCGTCGCACCATCCCCTGCTTCAACTAGACTCGAGCACGGCATCGTGTCTCCCGAATATCTATAACATAGCCAAAATCAATCAGAGGAAACAGAGAGCGAAGGCGAAAGAAGCCAGCGCACACTACCCGCCATCCCTCCCGGGACGTCATGACGGCTCCGTACGCCCTCGTTCGATGCTTGACGTCTACAGTCTCTAGGCTATGCAGGCCTAGCGCGTCGCAACACATCTCAGCTGCGAGCCGGGAGCTAGCACCGCGCGAATATGTATTAGTTACAAAACCAATTCAAAATGAATTCACTTACTGCAAAGGGTCTTGCCAACCGTCCTTGGGCCCAGGGAAAGGACTGGGGCGCCCGCGGTAATTAATGACGTCGCTCATCACCGTGACTACTCCGTTAGTTGTCACAGGCGAGTCCGCCAACCCAAGATCCTCCAGGTCGGCTTGCTCGCGGAGGTATAAATGCACCACGCGCACGCTCACCAAGTACAGCGGATCCTCTGGCGGCGGGTCGAGCTGCGTCGTCAATCAGCTAAATGCTCAACCTTTCGAAGTATCATACGAGCCCACCGTCTTCCGCATCGCGAGTATTTTTGCGAGCCCCACATGATGGTCCGCATGGGCGTGGCTAATAAAGATGCACTTGAGCTCTCTCAGCACCTGCCATGCATTCTCCGGCTGTGTCGCGTCCGACCCAAAAGTGCGCATGAGCTGGCCAAACGTGCCCTCGCCCGCATCGAACAGAACATACCCGCGCTCGGGAACTTTGAGCAGAATGCCAGACACTGTGGTATTGCATGTATCAAATCCTATCATTGACGCAGGCGGGCAAAGTCCAAAGCTTACCGTTACGGTACCGTGTCGTGACAGTGCTGCTGGTCCCAAGTGGGATGACTACCAGATCGTCGCCAGGGCTGGGCTCGTCGGAGTTGCGTGTAGCCAGCCCGGCTTGTACGGCACTCTGTGCGCGCGTGAACTTATCGCGCGTCGAAGCGAGAAGGGAGATGGGGCGCGGGGTGGCCACGGCAGGATGGAAGCTGTCACGCTCGACGAAGAAACTTTCCAAGACCGGCTTGGAGGGCGGACGCATGTCGACGTAGGTGTGGATCTGCATCACCGCAGCATTGGCTGGGAGAGATGGGACCGCTGTGAATGAGGAGGTGTGAGCAAAGACTAGACAGCATAGAAATAGACATACATGACAAATCTTTCTTGTACTTCAGGTCATATTTGATCAGAGGAAACATGCCAGGGTCTAAGCAGTTGAGACGCAATTGATTGAATGCACAACTCGTGAAAGTCACAGGGTCGTTGTTGTGCTCCCGGGATGATATGAGGTGCTACGATATTGTCGTTGAGTAAAGCATGATTCTTCGTTGACTCGGAACTCACATGCGTATGGTCAGGAAAGCCGTTCATAAATTCAATATATCGCGGGTCCTCCAGCACCCCTTCCCCGAGGAGATGATAGATGATGTGAACATTGTACTTTTTGAGATCTTCTGCATCTTTTGATCGGAACGTAGAGTAGAAAGGCGAGTCGAATGACCATGTCAAATCAGGAATGTGCGCCTGCGACGGAACATCCAGTATCATCACCACCTACAACCAAAAATTCAGTCAAGACGTTCAGTGCTACGCATTGACCTTACTCACTCCAGGGCTCTCGCTCTCTCCAACGCAATCTTCCGGCCTGACAGTCCTCTCCACCTGCCCGCCCTTCCCATCGTCAACAGTATAAGTCACCGTTTCCCCGCGCGCGACCCGTCCACGGAGACGGCCCTGGAGCCCAAGTTCCTGGGCGCGCTTTGCATCGAAGCGCCCACGCACACGCGGGCCCACAACCACATATGCGAGCGAAGATCCCGGCGCAGGATCTGTGTGTGTCGGGAGTTGATGGTATGACCCAGCGGGGTTGAAGATGCCCTTCCCACGTCGAGCAGTTGAAGACGCCTTAATTGTGCCCTCTGTCTTGACTTCCTCAGCCCAGTGCGGCTTTTGTGGAAGAGAGCCCGAGGCTGAGTCTGGCATAGGGGATTGATGACCTCGAACTCTTTTTGAAGCCCTGGCGTTCAGGGTTCTTTGGGGTGGAGGCTCGGTCCAAGTGAACATATGATCAACCACGAGACGCCGCCATTCCTGCGCTTCCGCACCGACGAGGGACGACGGGGAGAAATTGGCATCATCACGGAGGCGTTCTAACACCGTCTTGCTATCCTGGTCAGACCGAGAAGTAGGAGAACGTTTCGAGGGCGCATCAGGGGATGGAGTACGTTTTCGCTTCAATAAAGAGCTCGCTTCGGGAGCAGCGGTGTCTGCAGCTACAGAGGCGAGGTCTGATGTGGAAGTACTGCCGGGAATTAGAGGGATCGAGTAGACAGTGATATTTTCGTCCGAAAATGCTGGTGTTGGATTAAGTTGGGTATTCCCTGTTGTAGGCTGAATCTCTGAGACATTCACGCAGAGGCTATTCCTGTTACGTTCGGGAGATTTAGATTCAGCGATGATATAGTCTTGAAAAAATCAGCGAACCTAAAAGTGTACAAGCGCATAGAGGCGAGCAGGTGTAGGATTCCACTTGGACCGACAACGTCTAGTTTCCGGGCTGTTGCATCGGCGACGGACATGATGAAACCTACATGTGGATGTCAGAATAATTCAACTCCTCTGGCTCGGTCTACATTAGAAGAGGACGGGCATGGCCATCTTAAAAGGTCTCAGGATATTCATCTAAATCTGAAAATCAGCGCCTTGCACTGTTCTCATGTTTCACCGCAGACATGCAACCAGACTGACAACGCTCTGGTGACGCATGCTCAGCTTCCTGCCTGCAGCAGCCTCATCTGCAAAGCCCAAAGAACACTTACCTGGAAGACCACTCGTCCTCTGAGTCCCAACCTGCGTCAGGAACAAACCCCTGACCTTCTTCCATCCTCTCCTACTCTGCACCAAGGAACGTGATGCATTCTCCCCCATGTTGAAGCTATACTTTGCGGTCTCGAACGTGATGAAGATGGTGGGCTCGGTGTCAGAAGACTGAGCCGCGACGACCGAGGTGGACCAATTCATTTTCGTGGTGGAGGGGCCGATAAAGGAAGACTGGAGACGTCTTTGGAGAATGGCGGGACTATATGTACAACGCCTAGGACAGCATAGCAAGCGCAAGTTGGCCAGGTTAGATATTTTGGCAGATGATCGACGTCAGCGTCGAGGGCAGCATGCATGACTCAGCACTGTTCTTCGTGTCGACTCTCCGCAAAACTCAAGGCCTATGTCTTCAATGGACATAGAATACTTTTCAGCGAGCTACGTAGCGATGAACCATAACCTGCTGTACATGATAAATTCAACACACAATTCTCGTCAATTGCTGCCAAAAACAACTTGCGGCCAACCAACGAAACGGCAGGCCCTACAAGAATGAAATTGGCTGTATGTTCGCGAACGATGGACCCAAGCCCATTAAAGAATAGGTATACATGCTATGCTCACTGCTGAGATAGGTTCTTGCCCGACTACTTCTTGGCGATGACACAGTAAACGTATTTGGGCATGCACGCGAAGTAGTGCCATGAACATGCATACTGCAACCGATCACCACACGAACACAGTTGATGGGCAGACGGCTGAGGATGACGTTAGTCAACTTCACCTTTGCTTCTATCAGATCCTCCCTGATTTTGATCACGATCTTTCAGGGCACCTCTTCACGTCCTCGTGTTCTATAACATCATTGTTGAGCTATTTCACTTTCTTAACACAGAGCGACTGTCTTCTGTGTCGGTCAGCAACGGAGACTATATTTCACTGCTGTTTCACAGGCGTGAGGCCTCTGCTTGTGTCTGAGATGAGGCCTAGAACGATCGCGCCGGCGGCAGCTGTGACGTTCATACGCGTGCACAGCTACGAAGAGATCAGTACCTTGCGAACAAGGAGCTCGAATTTGATCCGGTGATGAACAAGTGCGTGAAGGAGGGAGAGGCTGGGCATAATTCTATCTGGTTCCAATATTCTTTGCTGGTGAATAGTCAAACCGTCTACAAGACATACAAGGACGATCAGCTTCTGTCTCGAGACGACGTTCGAAATTTAGTGTCTTACACGGGGGGCATTGTGATGCAATGTGATCCGGGTACCATTGAGCCTGCTTCCTATCATTCTTTTGATTGAGGGTATGAACACCACGGCGGCCCAATCACGCGAGATGAATGGACCTCATGTCTGTTTAGATATACTATCCCTACAGGTGCGGCGCCTGTCTTGTGTCTGCCGAAATATATGAGTTTCAATCACATGAAGACCGAACGTTTGCCAGCAGACGCGAATATTCGCGCCCCTGTCCTCCATAGAATTGTTGGGACACGTGTTCGTGCTGTCTAAAGTCCGAGAGAGCCTAAGAAGGGCGTAAGTTCAACGAATTATGTACCTCGCCCTATCCTTAATAACGATGTGCCGGTTGATTAAGTGTTCTCAAGTCTCGCATCTCCACCGGCATTCCATGACTTGTGCAGCAGCATCAATCCGTTTTTCGATACCTTTCGATGCCTGCTTGTAAATAAGCTCTGAAAGCGCGAGATGGTGAGCGGCCGCAGGCGTGAGGACGCACCTCCAGGTGACTACGGCACTCGCAAATATCTTGCAAAAGATCACCCACAGAGTGGAACCGTTCTCGCGCTGGTGATCTAACCACGACTGACCATGAAATGCGCCATCACGAGTGGCCAGATGGATTTCCTATTTCAAATGTAGGAGCTAGCACGGATGGACATCGCTGCGAAAAGGGCTAACACATAATCGCATGCGACAGATAGGCAGCCCAGTGCATGACATGGGGATTATCCGACTAATGCGTCGAGATGGTTCGGTGAGGGGCTCGGAGCCGGGAGAGGGCAGGAGACTCGGAGGGCAGCACACAGGCAATTTCCAATATTCAACACGTGGTTCCGAGCGACTTCCCTGTTTGCTCTCGTTGGGCGGACATGACGCGTGAGGCGTGAGGCTAGGTGAGGCTGCATGAGATGCTTAACTGGTGCTAATTGTTGGAAATACCCTGCCTGTTATCACGCCTCAATCCCGTCCAACAAGAGGCTATCAATGAATCTGAGAACGGCTTAGACTCCCGACATCATATATATCTGATGGCATTGCAGTCTCCCGCCTGACATTGTCTCGCCATGTCCGGCCAGAGCTCTCATTCAAAGATCCTACATTCTTCAGACGGCTGTGAAATCTTTGCCGAGGCTACAGGAGATCCGAAATCTCTCCACGTCGTGCTCATACATGGCATCACTCTCAGCGGTGCGGTCTTTGACGACTTTTGTCGTCAGCCGGAACTTCTGAAAGAGCTGTATATCGTAAGTCCATTCAAACCACTGCACTTCATCAAGCAAACACTTGAACAACGCGCATAGGTCCGATATGACTTGCGCGGTCATGGTCGCAGTGGCGGACCGGAAGCTTTAGAAGCCCACCAGTCCAAGCTATATGCAGACGATTTCATGGCAGTTGTACGTGGATTTCGATTGAACAAGCCTGTATTGGTAGGATGGTGAGCAGACTCTGCAGTAAGGTGTCGCGTACAGTAGCAACGGACACTCACTGAATTGTCCGGTCTAGGAGCGTAGGAGGTACGACCATTGCTCCCTTGCAATTCATCACTTACTCATGACCTATGGGAAAAAGGGACAATCGCTGTTGACCTCTGTGCGAACGTGGACCCTCTCCCCATCTCTGGCGTCTTCTATCTATCCTCGGTTCTGAGCATTCCAGCGGCCTTCAGCGGTGCCGGAACCCCATTTCTCATATCTCAGCTCAGAGCCTGCAGTGACCCTGCCACGACCACTGCTGGCCTCCTTGGTCTTGTAGCAGGATGTTTCGATGCTCCAAGTACGCGCCCTCCGTCCTATCACCTGCGCTGCTTGGTAGCAGGTATGCAGATGATGCAATCAGCCGCAGTCAGAGCGTCGATCTTGCAGAGGACACAGGACACTGAGAAGTTCTGGAAGAGGCTCGAGCAGGGTCTGCCGGTCTTTGTGTATCATGGATCTCATGACGCGTTGACAGACGCAGGTGCTCTCGTGCGGGACGTCATGAGCAGAGCAAGCAACGTCAGAGTGAGGATTGTTGAGGAGGCAGGTCATGTATTATTTTACGAGGATCCGCAGGAGACGGCACGGGTCATATTGGACTTTGTTAAGTCGGTGCAGCGTCAGGTGAGCTCTGATCCGCCTTTTGAACCCCCACCTTGGCCACAGAACAGTCGGATTTTCTGATCCCTTTTGACATGACAGACTCATGAACTCGTGAAGTAGGAGATCTCATTTCATTGTGTTGTGCTCCACGCCCCGCTTTGCTGTCTTTGTGCACATCCAAATTACCGACAATACATTTTGTGCTTCTCGAGCTGATCCTCCTAGGAGCGTAACATGGGAGGCGGATCGCGATATGAAGAGCATGCCATGCCTATGCTATATCGCGTATTCTGCTGTCTTGTGCGCGTTCAGATTGCCTTTCAGAGGGTTACCCACTGCCAATCTTCGCTGATAGAACACATAATAACGTCATACTGGCTGCATCGCACCCAAGATACACTGTTCAGAGTACGTGTATTCGATTTCATAATGGGATGTATAACTTTATTCCTCTATCGTCGCTGCAAGCATAATATGGCTACGCAGCATCAATGTTAGATGGTTTATAAAACAGGCGCCACATCGTGGATCTATACATCCGGAGTGTCTACTCATGAAGAACGTCGCCAGGATTTTTGTTTCGAGATTTGAGATCATCGTTTGATAAGTTTTGAACACCATGATCGTAGTCTTGGGCATGTCGGCCCATCGCGCGAAGACCGTAACATTGATCAAGAACAGTGACGCGTGATCACGCGACCGTAGCAGTCAGTCACATGCCTTAGACGCAGGAACGTGCCAACTATTGCGGCTGCATCACATTCGAGATTCATTATATGTTTGACCTATCAACACAGCTTCAGCGGACAGGAGAGACATGCATAGAGATAACATCATAAAAAGCCCATCCTATTGTACATTCCACTTGCAATATGTAATGGCATCAAACAGAGTTTGCATCCTGAAAGTCATTCTTCGCTCGTGAGTGCGATTCCATTCGTTAACGAAAACTTGCTTTGCTCACCCTTTTCCACACTTTCTTCGCAAACTGAACGACGACCTCAGCCGTCTCATCCGGCATCTCCCAAAATAATGCATGGCCCGCACCGTCCACGATCTTGATGTCCAAATTTTTCGCATGCTTCCTAAGCTCTCTTTCCAGGAAGTTTCCATCGACGAGCATGTCGTCAGTCCCGTGCATTGCGCACACAGGCAGTCCTTCTTCCATCTTCTCCCATAAGGTATGCGTCTCCTGGGTCCGCCGTGATGCCGCGTCCCGGATTGCTTTACTTTGCAGGGTCTGCATACCGGCAAAAAGACAATGCGTCTGGAATGTAGGCGGAGGCGCATGTGGCGAGGCAAAGCATCCGTCGACAAGGCGCAAGAGGGCAGATGAAGTCGTGGAGTGATCGTCGCAAGAGGCGATAAGAGAAAGGAGGTATTGCGTCGCACTGCCTGACATAAGACTGGATGTGTGGGGGACTGAGGCCAGGTAGAGAACCCCAGAGATCGGAAGGGGATCCACGTTAGCGCAGAGGTCGGCAACTATCGCCCCTAGATCAAACGTTAAACCTGGTTGTCAAGTATAACGTGAGAAGGTCTGGCATTACCTCCAATACTCCTAAGAGGCAAAAGTACGTTAGGGACTGAATGCACCCAAACTGCCAGTGTCACTACGAACTCACCAACCTACGAAAATAGGATATTCTAAATTGAACGCTCGGACAACGGTCATGAAGTCGTCTGCATACAGCCGTGATAGATGCCCATCTTGAGTATCTGGCTTTGCACTACGTCCGTGACCACGCATATCGTATCTCACCTTGGAATCCCATAGCATCAATGCTCAGCATATAGTGATTATGCACCGAACTGACTCACAATATACAACTCTTCGAGGAGGAGCGGCAATCGACAAAATTCATCGAAAACGGCAGCGCTCAAAGTAAAACCATGCATTAGGATGACATGTGGACGCTTGGGATTGCCTGAGGCTTCTGCATAGATCTTGGATCCGTCTGAAGATTGTAACATCTTAGACCTTGACACCGCGGAGGTTGGGGAGGGTTCGCCAGGCATGTCTGTATGACCTTATGTGATGGTTCGTCATTACAAGTGTAAGGCAAAGGCAGACATCCACTCACTCTCAAGGGGCGATGATGATGGTTTGAGTGGAAACCGCGCATTCACAACCAGACCGGTTCTTATCGGGAAGCGGGGCTACATAGTGTCGCTTCCGGTATAGGAGCACTGCTAAGCACACGTGAGGAGCGAGGCAGTCAGAATCGGAACGCTGGTAAACAATACGGACAACTGCACCTTCGGCAACTTCTAAATCGAACCACTGCTCGTGACCAATCAAAGTATGGGAAACACTGAGTAGGCAGTGAGGGAACGTGAGACAGTATGAGCTCTGAAAGCAGGACATTGATATCATGCGGCATGCATGAGAGGGCCAGAATCATTGACTCTGAGGAATCCGACAAAACACATGCCGAGGTTCAACCTAGCTGACATCCGGCTGCCTACCAAAAGCACTCAATGCCCGAGGCTTCGAGACGATGCAGAGTTAGAAGGAGGCCAAAGATGGGAAGTCGCAGTGACCTTGGACACAAAGAGATATGTTCATATGGAACAAGAAGCACAATGAAGAGGCCTGGATTGGATTTTTGAGAAGTGGATTGCGATCCAGTTCTCCTGTACTCGACTAGACACCGAAACAGATGGACATAGTCCCTCCAAATCGGGAACTCCATGCGGCCATCGGAAATGATTTGGAAAAAGGTATCATTTGACCCATAGACGGCAATGTGGGTCTTAAAAAGATGTGTGATTGCGATTATGAACAAGTCGATCTGCGACCACCGACATCGTGATGTATTTTCTGGTGAACGTTGAACGTTAACGATTCTACGAGAACAAAGATACCGGTGAGAAGATACACGTTTTTCGAGCAAGAATTATGCTCACAGGAGTTCACAGGGTTGAGATTCTCCAGCCGGTCGTGTTTGCCGTCGCAACACTTCTTGCGTTTCGAGTATTCTGAGATCGAAGAGATACACAAATAGCGGCACATGTGAAAAGGTATCATAAGTCGCATATGGGGGATGTGGAAACAAACAGCTTACTTGGGCAAAAACCTGGCCCAAGGTACGAGTATCGTGGTCAATACTTCCTTCAATCATTAGCGACCCTCAAGCACCTGCAGCCAATGACTCAGGCGTTGAAATTCTTCTTGATTCACGCTTTCATGGGAAGCAAGGATGTTAGACACACTGATCATTCTCCAAAGGGCCATCTATGCAAGGGCTACGCAGACGGAGATTACCACGGATCCTCGCATAACACAAGGTGATATTGAGTACGTGTTATATGGGAACAAGACGAAAGGTGTTGAGGTTTAGCCTGGGATAGCGAAGTGTCGCTGTGGTTGCAACTTGCCAGACACGTAGAGAACCCGATGCGGGCTAAAACGCTCCGGATATTTCCGGCATGCTCACTGGTAAAACACAACATGCACATTTCCTACTGCATACAATGCTATCCTATCTACATCTATGAGCCGTAAAATCAGGCCTACACTGGAGGTAACCGCGGACATGAACATTTAGTGAACGACTTCAACCAGCTCCTGCCCGTCGTTCTGCGCTTGGGCCTTCTGCGCAGCCAGCTGCCCAAGAGCACCAGGGGCGAGTTCTCGGGTGGTCTCACCCCACTTGTTCTGGTAGAACACAATGCCGCCGTCTTCCTCGATGAAGAGGCACTGCGTGAAGGAGCGCCAGAGGGCGTAGAAGGTGTTCTGGTAGCGATCAGATAGAAGGTTTCAGATAAGGGCAAAAGGAGACGATGTGCAAACACATACAGTCGAATCGTAGTTGTATTCGTCCTTGAGGACACCACGAATGCGACGAGTAATCTCAGGACCGTTGTCTATATCATCGATTCAGTATTTCAATTATTGTGGAGTAAGGAGTAAGCTCTTACAGAAGGGCGCGCCAACGAAGAAGTGGTGCGCGACATGGTCATGCGAAATCTGAGGAAGGACATCAGTGTCGAGAGAGAAACAAACTTTCAGGTATAACGCACGTTATGCAGGAAGAAGCGCCCCATCCAGCCCATGAGGGGTCGGTCAACGGTTGACGCAGCTCCGCGCAGGAAAGTCCATTCGTTGCCGAAGTAATGAGGGATCGTTGGATCAGAGTGGTGAAGATAGGTAAACATCACTGTGAAAATAATTCAGTCGAAGCAACGAGGAAGTTTTTATGATACATACCAATCCTTATATCAAAATGGGGTGGCGTCTTGAGCAACTACGTGAGATATGCAAGAGACGCGAATCACATACCAATGGTTCGTCAGCTAAAGGTTGGGAGATGACGATTGCTGAGTTTTGTTTTGAGTAGATAGGAGAAGCAGATACGCACCATGTAGGGAATGAAATAGTACTTGGCAATTGCCATCCACCCAACGTGGCGCGCAACATAAGAGAGGACAGCGCCCATAGCAGTGATACCGATATCCGACATGATGATGGAGTTGCCTATGAGGCCAAATGAGCTCCGATTTGTGTATCAAATATGGGTATCAAACGTACGTTGATTGGGCTTGAACAGTGGGGAGTTCGGGTCGAAGTGGTTCGTGCCAGGAGGATACATCTTAGAGCCCAGAGTGTTCTGACTGAAGAAAGAAATCAGCTTCCTTCTGTGTTCACTGCAAGGGGTACATACGACAAGTAGAGCCACCATCCCCTATTCATTGCGACAAGCGTGATCAGCAAAGATGATCTCGGAAATGGATCGAGAGACGCACAGGCCCTGCATGATCAGCACTCGCCCGAGCGTCCAGATGGGGGTCTCTTCGAAGACTTCAGCATAATCGGCTTTCTTGGCCTTCTCGCGAGGCGGGAGGTTGTAATCCTTGCGATAGTGAGGGATGTAGTTCTCGTCACGCTCGATCCAGCCGGTTGCTTTCTGCATCGATCAAATTGTAAACAACGCGCTACCAGGAGCCGTGATAATTGAAATTGAATTCAACGCACATGGTGAGCATGATGGGTTTGCCGCCAAGCGTAGTATGGGATCAGGAGGAACTAGAACAGCAAATCGCGATCAGTACCCCTACGAAAATATTCGAGAGACTGACCGAATGCAAAACAAAGCCAACAATGTTATTCAAGACCGAAGAGGCAAAGAGCGTGCCGTGACCCGCCTACGAAGAATTTGACATCAGAAACGGCGACAAGCTCGGAGATTTTGTATTTCTGCGTACATCATGGCCTTAAAGAATACATGAGCGATGACGGAATCAAAGTGAGGGTTGTCAAAAGAAGCGCCCACCGAGACAGAATATACCACCGCCGACCAGACCTTGGAACCACCAATAGGTTCCCCACAGCCCCGCCTTCAATAAAGATGCCCTCCAACCTCCGTCGGGGAAAATGAAGCTGGTCGCAGCGCCGATCTTCGTGGCCAGTGCGAAGAACGTGGTCGCAAGGGTGATGTCGCGAAGGACATAGAACGCTGCCTTCTTGTCAGAGCGTTTGAGGAGATCCTTGGGGACGGCGTCATGAATTTGTTTGAGCGTGAATGTGGGTGGCGAGAACGGCTTCCGTAGACTACATGGGGACATGCTCGTGAGTGGGACAATATGTGAAGTAACTCGATACTCACCGCGCCTCATACTCTGGGCCGTTGGAAAACATGGTGTACAAAGCCTACTGTGCACTTACCTTCTAGAGGAGGAGAAGTGGGGAAGAGAGGCGGAGGAAACCAGTATTAAGCCCCCACGCGCAGTTTATCTAACATCCGGCTCGTGGGCTGCCTGCATGCATGTGCAAAATGTTTGCCATGGACACGAGGTCCGGCAAGAGGGCGATGTACGTGACTCCACGAAGAATCTTCGTCCGGGGAATCCGATAATCCAAGGAACGATTGGCGAAAACTGCGTCAAGCAAGGAATCTGACTTTGGGGTGAACTCCGAGAGCTTAAGAGATATGTCGTAAGTTCCCCACATGTTTGATGATGAGAACAAAGGCAAATGACGGCCTGCGCGCCGTGCCGCCGCGGGGATTCGGTACAGCTGATTAGATCCTTTCCAATCCAAAAGACCCTCCAGGCCACACACAGCAGGTTCGCTTGGACCTATATAAATCGTAAGTACATATTGCTGCGCATTTGTTATCACGTCTAACACACACCGCTACTTGTAAAATTCAGGTAATCTTGGTTCTGCTCCTGATCGCTGCTGATTTGCATAAAGATAAACAACCCCATCGTGCATACAAAGGTATACAAGCGCCTGCCACTTTCTGATCCGCGCAGAAGGACTTCGTGATAACCATCAAGTGGCGTTTCGAACACATCATAAGAACCTTCTACATCTAAGGAAGGTCGGAATTGGGTGCGGGTCGTGACTTGTAGCGCGGAAACGCCACAGAAAACGAATGCGAAAGCCGTAGGGAGAGCAGGCCACACAGGCGCAACATGTCAACGTAACGAGTCCTCCGATGTCTGACATGGATGTAGTTCTGACAAGTAAGTATATAAAAGAAGCTCGGATCAATCTGGGTTGACTTACCACGCCCCTCTTGGATATCCCACATATCTCTCCGCATCCGTTCAATGCCAGTCGATGGTAGTAATCATGGTGTTCTGGATGCGCCGAGAATTTCATCTGCCTGTTCACGTGAGGCGTCCTATCAACACCATGAAAGATGGCGTCAGTCATCTGTGATGAAAGCAGAAGATGCCGTAAGCATGTCCGTGAGCAACGTCAGGCATCAAGTTGGGCTTCGACTACTGGTCGTTGAAAAGGAGCAAAGGCAGTCTTCTTTGCTTGCCCTACGCAGAAGGTAGTCGTTCTACGTATAAGGAGCAACGATGTGGGGTTCTGGTCAAAGTCACAGCGGTGAACAAGCAGCAATCACATCACGTCACAAGAGCCCGAATTGATACAAAGGGTCGAACCACGCCCCTGTCAGGCAGCGTCCCGAAGACCATGCAAGAACGGTCAGCGGCAGGACTTGATAAAAGCCCCACATCCTTGTCCACTTACTCAAGATCTCGGAATTCAGGGAGGTACGGAAGCCTGATCAAGGGTTGGCAATACATGACTTGCATGTGAAAGCTCGACGTCGTAGAGAACTGCCAAAAGCATCGCACGGAAGCGCACGGACTGCCTCCACAGAAACCGTGGGGCCATGATCTCTCACAAAGAAAGCTCCAGCTGAAGAGACTACAATTTGAAAGCCGTTGTAGGCCTTCCTGCAATTGACGGAACCAGACGGGACCCCCCCCCCCCCCCCCTCGGACATGATGTCAGCCTTCTCCGGCCTTTTACGATCTCTGCTGGTCCCAATGCAGCTGACCCTCGGTGAAACCAACAAGGCGATGCTGTAGGGATTCTTCTGGCTGTTTATAGCGAACGCATGTAGGGATTCATTATCTGGCTGTTTATAGCGAACACATGAAAGAGCCTCGGACAGAAGCTCGGGCAAGAGCGGGACGCCCATGTACCTTCATAGATGTCGAAAGTCGATGGAATCCGGTATTTGATTATGAGTTCAATGAGCCGTTTCGATGGACGCTAGTGCGGTCGCTCGTAACGCGTAAGCATCGACGACGACGTCCGAGCACCGAAGTCGACTCGAAGTCGATGCGGTAGTGCCCTGAGGTTGATCCAGAGCCGATATGAGTAGGTCTGCGACCAGAAGAAACTTGGTACGTATCCGCATGAATGCACTCGTGGCCACTATTCCTGAAGCAGGAGAAGACGTAAGTGGTTAGTTCAGTCCTCTCTGAATAGGTACCCGTCGTATTGGACCAAACCACTACCAAACCCTAGCCTCGGATTGGTTATGATACCGATCGGGGTAGTGACAAGGGCATACGCGATCGAACGAGGTCAAAGACGTTTATGTCAAAGACAAGGTGCGGAAAAATCGCCAACGGTCGGGTTGAATCTTCTTATTTACGGACGGAGTTTTGGGTGGTATTGCAAGGGCCCTAGAGAAAGAACCGTGGTCAGGGTAATGAGCATCAAAATCCTCGATCACGAGAAGGCGAACCTTTTTCATACCTGCGCCGACCGCCTTTCGATATATTAAAGGTGAGAACAAAAAATTGAACAGGTCACACTATTGATCAGCCAAAAAGACTGGAAACGGGCTTGCGAATACTGCCTTTTGACATCAATTTCCTTTGTGATTTAATATAGGTATACAATATATGCATCCGGCGCTGCATGATTCTTACGTTCAGTATTTCAGATACCTTGAGAGAACACAAAAAGGCTACTCACAACAGAGCGATATGAAAGCACCACAGCAGCACGCAAGTAGGCGAGCTTCATTCGTCCTCTTCATCCGGGCCTGACCTCTTCCCATACCTAAGCTATTCCTGTTCACCGCTTGCTGTCTGAGAGCTATCTCGACTGTCTACAGTCGACGCATTTAATAACATCATTCGTCCTAGAATCCGAGAATATGCGCAGAAAAGCAAGGGCAGAGCAATATATGAAAAAATCAGAAAAAGAACACAAGTAATTAGTGCGATGAGTGATTCAGTTGAAGGGAACAGTGTTGCTGGACATAGCGATGAAGGAATAGATAGGGCATGATTGACGTGCAAGGCCGTGAGCGAGTCGTAAGAGGTCGTGAAGATGCTAGTGAGACATTACTGGGCGTGTGGAATGGTATGAATGAAAAGGCGGGGGTGATGCGAATGCGATGGACGGTTCCGATGAAAAAAAAGCTGGGGAAGGTGGAATCTCCAGGAACGTGTCGAGGGGGTGCGTGGGGGTTATGATTTTCCAATCACGCTCTCGCTCTGACCTCGCGGGCGACCAGACGCATCTAGTGCAGAGGAACGGCGCGTTATCGATAGGTCATCTTGTGTGTGAGCGAAAAAATCGTCATCGCCTTCGTATGGGGATGACTCTGAGTTGATCTAGATGCCGGCATGGACGATTTCAAAGAAGGACGTATAGAGGGACAAGGGGGTACGCACCCATTGATTGAGGACGTCGGCGACTCTAGCTGCTTCCTCCGGGCTGAAATTTACGTCTGTCCCTTTCTCGGCGTGTAGCTTCAACAGCTCGCTCAACGTCCGCTTACCACCACCACGAGCTCCTTCATGCAAGGCACCTCCATTTGAGGCTTCAGATCCATGAGAGGGAAAAACAATGTGGGATGACCTAGTGCGTTGCATGTCTGTTTCTGAGCGATCCCAGTCTTCTGGGGGTACGGAAGCGCGCGAAGGGTCGGACATATTTGTTCGATATTAAGAGTAGTAAGACTGGATGGGTGAGCAAGGTCTCGAAGGAGGGCACGAGTCGGCGTGTGGCGAAAAAGTACTGGTGAGGTATAATAGTGCGGGGGCCTGGAACGATGTGCAAGATTGCAACGAGGTTGATTACACCGCTATTGATGCTCGAGGAGAGAGAGGTCGCGTCGATTTAAGTCCAGCAAAGGAGTAATCGCGGGTTTTGTCCTTCTGGTGGTGAAAGCAGATGTTGAATGCAAAGAAATCGAGACAAGAAAGATGATTAGAGCCAACGGCTGTTGCACGACGCGGTCAGTTGCCACGGTTCATCACATCGAAACACGGTGGCGTGGAAACGAGACCCGTGACACCCCTTTTTAGGACCCAAAACAGACGCATAATAGACCTTCTCATGGAAACCCTATTAAGCGCGGAACGACTGTCTTTTGTGTAAGGTCAGCCACGGAGACTAATAAAAACCTAATGATCTCTCTCAAATATTCCCAAGCACGTAGTGCAACTCGGTATGGGCACGGCTCGAGGTGGCACGAAAAAAAATCTCGGCATTCTCTCAGGCATTCATTCCGATCTCGAGTCCATGAGCTAAGTTGTATAAAAATCGTCCAGTTTTCAGTAAATATGGTACTGGGCGAATGCTAGCAATCACTATGTAAATCCATATCTCCAGGTCCAAAAGCTGTCAAACACATCGAGGAGAACGACGAGGTGAAAGCGCGAAAGTAGAGCGGGGAAAACATAGACAAAATCTGGGAGAGGGTCAAGCATAAACGCCCCGTCCATCCGGTGGTGGAGGTGTTCACTGACGTTGCTCATCTTTTGTGAAGCGAGAAGATGCAGGATTAGGTGGACGTGGGGAAACGCGGAGTGCAGGGGTATGAGAAGAATTGTATGCTAGTAAGGGTGGTGGCTCGGATGAACATACGATAGGATATGACGTGCACTACAGGAGAAGCGCGACGGCACCGACAACCAACGCTCCGAGGGTGCCACTCATGAATACTTTCGACATCGCGCCATTCGAAGAACCCGAAGTAGAAGTATTCGAGGACGACGGACTCGCAGACGACGACGCCTTGGCACTGCCTGTGCTAGAGGCCGTGCCCGACGCCTTGGCGGTACCAGATGCCGCGGCGGAGCTGGCACTAGTGGTGACTGGGACGACGCTCGAGAGCGCAGAAACCGGGCTCCATGTCGCAGCCGAGTTCACCGCTGTGTTACCTTGCTGGTAAGGAAGGTACGACACAGCACCGGCGCTATCGAGCTGAACGAGAGACGAAAGACCAGCGAAGTAAGTCGCTTTGGCGTCCTTGGTCGTGGGCCCGGCGAGGGCTTGCGTCGAGTTAGTCTCCACATTGATCACGTAGGTCTTGGAGCCATCGTCGGGGATGAAAGCGAACTCTTGTTGGACCTGTGAGTTCATCAATATGAGATGTCTTATTGAAATGATACGAAAAGACATACACCAGACTCCTGGAAGAAAGACGATGCCTGACCGTGCGTGGCGGGGAATGTGCTACCATCCGCGATGGGGTAGGACTGGACCTCCGGCTGGAAGTACGAAACTGCAAAACGGTTGGACAATTATATTTACCCTCCATCTCAAAATTGACATCGTACGCACAGTGGATCACGAAAATATTCGCGTCGCCAGCAGGAGTGCCAGGAACATCGATGAAGTGGATATGGTTCTGCGCAAGAGCCATAACGGGCTGGTAACTGTCCCCGTAAGGAGTCTTCTGGACATCGTTCCACGGTAGCGCAGTGGCGTTCGCACTCGTCAGAAGAGCCATGTCCAAGGAGAAGAGCTCGCCCTTTGACACCGCATCTGCATTCAAACTGAGCTTCCGTCCCTTCGTCGTCTAAACAGAGAAGAAAAAAGTACGAACAGAAAACGTTCGTGTCGTGGTCAAGAATGGCGTTGAAAGAGCTGGGGTCGAAGGTCCCCGTGGTCACGGTCTGTGTAGACCACGACTTGGCGGTCGCATCGTAGAGATGGATGTTCGAAGGATTGGAAGCGTCGCCGTTCATTACGTAGATCGCGTTTGTGAACTGTAAATCCAATTAGCATTTTGACAGCAGAGGAAGCTATATATAGAAGGGAGCGACATACCTGGGAAAGGTAACAGGACGTGTTCGCACCATCGAATGGTCTGCAGAAAATTCATTTAACGGGTGCACTCCGCCCATGAAGGGCATTGACACTTACGGGCGACCGCTCGTCGTGATATCAGTGGCCTTGCCTGCTTCACGCCGTCAGATTTCCCGCTCAGACGTATGCACCTGACGTTGTGAAACAAGCACTCACCGCTGCCCCACTGATCCTGTGTTCCTGCATTCCAGTCCTTCGAACCGAGCCCGAAGGCGAGCAGGTTCCAATTTATGTCCATTGCAACGCATGGCGATGCACGCACGGCGGGCGCACCGATCAAAAGAGTGGCAACGGTGAGCAACGGAGCGAGCATAACTAGCAATCAAGAAGAATGTAAGGACACTAGTGTGGGGAGTATAAAAGAGTGTCGTGTAGGGTGGGTGGAGGAGAGAGAGAGAGACAGGGTGAGAAGGCAGCTTGTGAAACGGCAGGAAATGGCCTGGTCGTTACCATCGGCATGACATAAATGATCTGCCGTCGGTTCGATCAAAAGCCAAATTTAGCAGATTTTAGCCCACTTTGGAAAGTCTTGTGGTTCGTTCTGGAAAGCGCGTGGCCAAAAACTCGTTGAAAAAGTACGGACGAGCAAACAACGGCTGGCGACGGGTACGATCAGGCGACTGCCTTTTGCCAAAAAGTAAGGGTTGTAGCTCCAAAGCAACATCTCAGCAGAAAAACCAGGACAATGTGCTTCCCACTCGCAGAGGGGGTTCTACAACGCTTCGATCCTTCGCCTTGTCTCTTCAACTTTCTCCTTGTATGCTGCGATCTTCTTCTCTATCTCCACCTTCACCCGCTCAGCTCTCACTTTGATCTCTTTCTGTATCCATTGCTCGATAGTCATCTTACGCTCCTCCTCCGAGAGGACCATACCCGTATGTATAAGGGGCTGGGACCCGATATCGGCAAAATTATCAGCGTCAGCGTCAGAGACAAGCTGTTGATCCGAGTCGCGAGATGATAGTGTAGGAATGGAGGACGATGCTGGCGGTGGGGGATGCGGTGAAGATGGTGAGGATGGTGCCTGCGAAGGAGAACGAGACGGCGGCAAGAAAGCTCGAGACGAGGACGGCGATAGACGGAAGGGCGAGGCGGGGGCACGGACAGGCGACGGTTCCAGCATGTACTCGACGTCGGCCATTTCGATCTCCTCCGCCTGTGGTAAACCCGCCGCCGCCGCCACAGGAGCAAACACGGTGGACAAACGTTTCATTTGTTCCTGACTTGGCTCGGTGGGTCTACCTCGAGGAGCTGCAAATGTCTCGTCGACGTCGACATGCATCAGCTCGTCTGAAAAGACATCAAAGGACTTCGATAAAGAAGGAACAGTGTCCTTCGCTGTGTTCTTTGATCGTGGCCTACTACTTGCATTGCCTGAACCGTTGGCCTCACTCCTCGAATGCGTCTCCGAACGGGGTGTGGGATCCGTCACCCTCTCTGCGTCTCTATCTGCAGCAGTTGTGATAGCAGTCTGCTTGCGCGCGTTGTCCAAAGATGGCTTGCGTGCAACCGCGGCAGGATCCCCCCGCTCCGAAGAGTTCATTGTAGCTTTGGCTCTAGTCTTCGATGGTTTTTTGAGAGCAGGTGATGGAAGAGGCTGTGATTGCGCGTCGTCGTCATCCGCGTCGTCCATTTCGACATTCTCGGATGAAGGTGGCGAAGTCTGCTGTGTCTTGACCCCGTTGCGCGCCTGCTTCTCTGGCTTCACAGGAGTATTAGGCGTAGGGGAATCCTCTGCACTGGCATCAGAGCTCGAATCTGTTATCACTGGTGGGGGGACGGGTATTGCCTTCGCTTTCGACTTCGACTTCGTTACGGCTCTTGGATTGGTCTTTACAATTGGTTGCGACTCCTCTATTGCGCTCTGTACTGCTTTTCCCTTACCCTTTCGCACAGGCTTGGCTTCCACCTCCGCATCATCAGCGTCGGAAAGCTGGTCATCAGACTCAATGATGATTTTCTTCTTCGGCCTGCCTACCTTGGGTTTTGACTTCGGTTTCGGTTTCGATTTCCGCTCCAAAGCTTCCTCGTCGTCAGTCGTTTGAACTACCTTCTTCGAACTCTCAGCTTTGGCCCTTGGCTTCACTACAACTTGTTCATCGCCCGCATCCTCTTCCTTCTTCACCTTGGGCTTCCTCGTGGCTTTAGCAGGTGCATCCATATCCTTCTCTGCCTTCTTTTCCTTTGGAAACTTTGCCTTGGATTTCCCCTTTCCCTTTCCCCCACTATTGACGACAGCCTCTTCCTGTTCATCCTCGTCCTCCTCTTCAATTGCTTCTATTCTTTCCTTGGCCTTTCCCTTGGTCTTGCCTCGAGTACTTCTTCCTAACGCTCGGCGCCCATTGTCGCTGCTGCTAGCTTCCTCCTCTGGCTCAGAGGGAGGTTTACTTCTGGAAGACCTCATAGAGCGCCGCGTAGAGTCAGCCGCTAAGCTCGATGCAGACGTCGATCGATTGAGGGCTCGGCGGGGTGCGAGCATGCGGGCAGTGGAGCTGGCTAGATCGTCCTCTGATTCAGAAGACGAAGTATCTGAGGGTCCTTGCTGTGAAACGGGAGGCTTTTTGGATCCTGCCCGTGATGGTGGTTTGGTGCTGGCGCGTGAGGAAGGTGCTCGGGCGGTAGATTTGCCGAGGGAGGAGGCGGGAGCGGCAGATTCTGCAGTGGAGAAGAACGGACATGGCGTGCCGAGTTTCTTTTCTCGTTTGAGATGCTCTTCGCTGTACAGCCGGTCAGGGGGGGACATCGAAGTGAACTAAGCAAGAGCATACAGTGGTTCATCTTCTGCATCCCACCCACTAAGTGATGTGTTGCAGAAGAAGCATGTCGCAGTGTCGTCTCCAGAGACTTGTGGAGTGTATACGAAACCAGCTTTGGCCATCTGCACACATGTCAATGGCAGGTATCGGAAGAAAATGAAGGTTCTCACCTTGGACGAGCTAGCGCCATGCCCCTTCTCTAAATCATGAGGCCACCGAGCGTTGGTCCTAAACGTAGTCAATCGAGCGTTGACCATAGTCTTCCCAGTAGGGAGATACGCTGGGTCTTTCAACACCGGAACTCTGGCGACAACAATCTCAGATACCAGCATGTCTTAACAGCACCGGAGAGCAGCAGACGTACTTTCCCTTTCGACTCCCATCTCCCATCCCACATCGCACAAGCGCCCACGCGCAGTGGTCCCTGCACTTGTCCCAATGCAATACAAACGGATCGTCATCGTCCACCCACCCGCTAAGCTCCTTCTCACACAGGAAGCAGGCAACGTTGTCCCGATCGTCCCAGCTGGGGCTAAAATAGAACCCAGCCTCTGCGAGCGCGTTGGGTGTCGCGAAGAAGTGGTCAGGATGTGGCCACTTGACGGAGACGGTGCGCTTGCTCGATGTGTGTTTGACGCGCTTTGGTTTTGAAAACGACTCTAGCCTTGCTTGGAGGGCTTCCATGGACGACATGAACGACGGCGGTGGCGAACGCTGGATTGGAATGCTTGCAGACGTTTGGAGAGAGAGAGGCTGTGACGGATTGTGACGAGGTGACGAACGCGTCGCATCACAGCGCGTCACGCAGCAGCGACCCATAATTGGTTTCGTCTGAGCAGTCACTTTAGCTTGCTTGGACACCGCCGCCATGACCTCTCGCATCACCTATAGCTACAAGGGCTTGAAGCGATCACGACCGCACACCGTGTCTGACGACGGCTACGATGACCGCCCCTTGCAAGACGTGCCTGCGACTACGCCAACGACGACACCGATCAGTCATTCACGGAAACGACCGAGGGTTCAGGTTGAAGTACTGTTGCCTGTCTCTCCTTCGAAGAACTCACCGGCTCGAAAACCACACATCAATGTGGACAATGTCTCCACTGAAACTCCCAAGCAGCCAACGTCCAGTGGAGGTTCACCGAAGAAGAGGGCGCATGTAGAAGTACTGTTGCCGTCCCCTCACAAAACAACATTCTCGCCGCGAAGCATACACGATGCCTCCAAACCTCCCAGTGGCTCAGACGTGGCTCAAATATTCCCCGAAAAATATCTCGAACAAGTCCGAGGACCACACGAGACGCACTCGCCGTCACCGAAGAAACGGTTAAAAGTAGAGGTGCTCTTGCAGTCTCCTCATAGGACAACACCGTCCCCTCAGAGAAATCACAGCCCATTGAAGCCTTCGACCTCGTTTCAGAGGCGAAGGATAATGTCAACCGAAGAAGACTCGGAATCAGAGCGGGAGCGGTCCGCGAAGAATTCGAGGGCTAATGTTGTTTCGAGAGGTATGTCATGCTAATTTAGTCCTGGTGCATTTCCGCTCAAGGTATGCCCTAATTATATCGATGTTCTCTTACAAGGCGCATCTCCTGTTCCTGAAAGTAGTCGAATCCATGCAGAGAGTCGGGGTATGTTTATCTTGGCATTAACCCTGCTGCTTGATTTGTGAGAGCTAACGCCATAGTTCACTCTTTCCTGCTCTTCTTCAGCATTTATTCGATCGAAAACTGGCGGGTCTGACATTGATGATGGTATGTCTGGCATTGTACTTCTGGACTGGATGGTGTAATGTCATTTGTTTCAGATGATATCTTACCTGTATTGAACATCGCACCAAAGCGCAAGGCGGCTATTCAGCTAACACCGGCTTATGCGTCAACCTCACGAGGTACTGCCCAGCGGGCCGTAAAAGGTGTGTCCTTTGGATGATCATTCATGGCGACTTATTGGCTCATCGTTCGAACAGAGAGCTCTAGGCCCCTCAAGACTACCGTCCCAAAACGAACATCTTCGACGGGCGGTATGATCGGTCTCCGCATATACAATATTTGACACTTATTTTTTTGAGTAGAACGCACTTTGTCCACATCAAAACTTACGTCGAGGGTCTCGACTATGAATTTAACATCATTGCGACCTAAAGAATCACGACCGAGTAGTTCGAAAAGTATGTCTTCCGGTTTCCAGTCAATCTCGGTTCTGACTATTGGCTCTTCAGATACGAATAGGCCATTTGCGACCTTCCCACGGCATTCTCCTCACCGTGAAACTTCTGCATCGCTTCCAGGCGAAGCAAAGGTTCCATCCCTGGCCCGTACACCACTCAAGTCATACCTTTTTGATTCCACATCCCCTCTCACCCCTCTCCCAACCAATTCACCGTCTAAGCGATCTCCGATCACCCCGTCGAAGTCGTTAGACTCTGTTCGGCCTTCTACCCCAAGGAGTCCAGCTAAGGACCTATCCGACCTGTTCAACTTTGTGACCCCGAAAACGGGGCTCTCAAAACTGCCGGACAAACCGAAGGTGCCTCTCGTCAAGCGCATGCTCGCCCGCTCACGCACCGAGCCATCGCTGGGTGCCGCTGTCAGTGACAACCGACCCGGGTCTATGAACTCCATATCATTTTCTGGGTCTCTGCGCAATGCTGACACCCTCGTCGACACTCCAGCTGCAGGAGCGTCGCAATCTGCCTCCGGTAGCGGATCAAATGCCCCTATGCTTCCCGTTACACCCACGAGCGAATCAGAATCACAAGCACGAGCTACTGCGGTACCACAATCCCAGATCCGTACCTACGCGGGAAAGTCACGCTCTTTTTTGGTACCAGTCCCAGCTAGCGGGGTGCCCGGGGCTCTCGACGACGACCTCGACCTCGAGAACACGCGAGAGTCATACGCGGACCTGCGATCACGTTGGGGCGTCGATAATTCCGAAGACGACCCGCTCCCGCGCTCGCCATCGCCTGAACCGGTCAGCGGAAAGGGCAAGGGCAAGGCGAAGGAGCGTAGCAGAGTTGTTCTGCCTTCGAACATGATGAATGATCTCAAGAGCATCACAGAACTGAGGTCGAAGGGCGAGAGTAGGCGCTTTATGGACGAGGTTGGATACTTGTTTGAGGGCATGGGTAAAAACGTTGGGGTCGGGGTGCGAAGAGGGAGGCAAGTTTTTCCTCTCCTTCAGCTCAGGCCATGGTCGTTGATATAATCTGACCTAGTGCACTGGAGATTGTCACCAAGCTTTGTGATGCTGAGTTTGCTCGTCGCGCCAAAACTACGGACTTCCTCAGTCGAGCGTGGGACGTTTTGCGATACGCGGGCGCGGGCGACGGTGACCTAGTCCTCGATGGCATCCTGGTGCTCTTCGCCGCTCTGGTTTCTCAGACTCCACGCGATCTGCAGGATCTGGCACAGAATCATGATTTTGTCCTGACCTTGTGCAGGATGTTGTTTTCGATGGAACGAGGCAAGGATCCTATCGAGCTATTGTCCAGTGGTGCGAGCGATCTAGAGCTGAAGAAGACCGGCATAGGGAAGATAGAAAAGTCAACTGTGAGTGTATTACTCCATCTGAGATTCTAATATCTTTATCTCTGACTTTCATACCAGCTCGCAAGCTTGAAAGCTGTGATCGTCAAAAAATCAGGTCTTTCCACTGCGGGGGACTGCCCATCCTTCCGCCAGCTGATCTCCCAGTCCCTCTCTACTCTCCATGCGCACCATCTTCACCCTGACCGGTTCCGTTCTATATACGATAGTCTGTTATCTGAACTTTCACTCTCGCCATTACGCCTGTCTGCCTACGCAGCAGGCCTGCCTCTTCTTCCAGAGCCTTCATCATCAACGCCTCTCGACGTGCCACTCTTCGCACACATCGAGAACTGCCTCCGGATCATCGACTCGTTCCTATTGGGCCGGTGGGCCGAAGACGATGATCGAGACAGTCTGTGTGACGATATCGTCAATGGTGATGGTCAGGAGGCCCTGGCCGATGGTCTCGTAAGCTTGTGTGCCGTCGGTAACATTATGCTCAAGGTGCCCGAGTATGCGTCACACTATAATCTAGGTAGCGTCTGTCCTTTCTTCTCTTTGGGTAATCCGCTTAACTTCAACCTCTTCCTATAGCAACTAAATGTCTCGAATCGGCGTTGCGCGTGCTCATTAATCTCTCACACGACAATCCCGCTTGGTGCAAGCTTTTGCTGCATCACGAACTCACGATACACGTCATCGTCTCTCTCATCACGAGCTCCTACTCCGTTCGCCCTATCTCCGCGAAGACTGCCCCCAAGGATGCGGAATCCGAGATCGAAGACGAGGACCTTGATCGCGATGCTCAGGCATTCGACAGGTTGTGTCTGGCGTTGGGTCTATTGACGAATCTAGTCCAAGCAGATGACGAGGCTAAGGATATATGCCGCAAGACCAGTAAGCCATCTTCCTCGCATTACATACCTGGCATCGTTCTTATCTCATCGATAGAATTGAGTCCTACATGCCCAAGCAAGCGCGCTTGCGCCAAAACATGCCAATGTTTGGATCGTATCAGCGCGATTGAATGTCTCGTGCGAGCCCATGTGCAGCACGACTCTGCCGACACGAAATTGGACGCGGACGGCCCGAGCAAGCATATTGTGCGCGGCCACCTCGCGGTGCTCTTTGGCCTGCTTATGCAGCAGAGCCCCGCAAACGAACAAATCGTGCTCGACGCCCTGCCTGGTGCGTCACGGCGGGAGAAGCTCAACGCGCTCGTCACTTTTGCGAAAGACTTCGTGGGTTTGTATGCGGCCTTCATGTCACGGATTGCGCGTGGAGAGGGCGAGGAGGCGAACGATGAAGCGGGCGACGACGACGGGGATAACGGGAAAAGGGCGAGCGGTAGTAGGAACACGAGTGCCGATGCGCAGGTGACGGAGGACGTTGTCATGTTTCTGGAGATGCTTCGAGATCAATGAGTGTATCGGCGCGTAGAGCTTTATGTGAGCCAATGCTTGAACTCATGTCTCTTCGATCTCTCATTGCCCTGGCAGCCACATTATCGTGACTGCAATTTCACCTATCGTCCATCTCTCTTTTCGTTGATCTTCTTCTGAAGAAATTTCTTTCGAATTTGTTTCCTTTCAAGAGGTGGAGGTCGCTGCTTGCTCCTTCGTCCATATTCGTCAATGGGAGCTCAGTGATGGTAGAATGTCAATCTTGAACTTCAAGAGCGCACTTAGCACTTGCATCGGGGCGACGGGGATACGGCTGTCCAACTATTCTCCAGGTTTCCGGTTTCCCTCACGAGGTTCCGCCGGTTGGTCAGCCACCAGGGTCCGGCATAGGGTTAACTCACCTGCCGACAATAAACTGATAAATCACATAAAAATGACCAGCCACCAGCTATATGCTAGTCCTGTAAAGTCCACTTGCAACTTGCATTGTGTGTCGCTCACTCATCAATTCATGCAGGTGGTTGCCAAACTTTGCCGGGAAACATCACCTAACATCACCAACATAACATGGATTGATGGCATAAGTCCAGATTCTATCACGCCATAGGACGAGGTAGGACGGCATAGGACGCTCCGATCTCGTCCTACCTCGTCCTACCAGCTGTGGGGGGATTCTCACTGCGCGCTTTAATCTTTCACTATGTGTTTATGAAGATGAGCTATGCCAGATGTCTAAGTCGTACAGGTATTCCGATTTAAATCACGTGGTAGTTCGGCCATGAGTACATATAACGTAATGGCCAAAGATAAGATCAACCCTGTCTCACATTCGTGTCCACAACCCGCTACATCCAAACAACTTTCTACTCTCCAGCTCGTCCTAATATTCGTATCATTGGTATGTCCACATATCTTATGTTTCAATCCTCTTGTTTATCTAGTCATTCTTAGGTCATGGATATTGTTTTTGGCTACCTAGCGAATGAAATCTGGCTGCGGGATTATGCAAGGGAACATGAATACTCCATCGATTCTGATTCTGCATATCTTGCTAGATATCACGAGTCATCCCATCCCTTCGTCATTCGACTCGACGAGCTCGAAGGCATGCGCGAAGCTGCGCGTAATCTTATCGCTCAGTCAGGCATTCATGCCAGCCTGAAAACGGTATGGATCTCCAACTGCAAGTCATGTTTCTGCTGGTCGATTCCCCAAACTTTTCGAGCCGATAGACGAACCCCCCAGACCAGTGAATGCTTAGAGCGCTTCAAGAACCTCGTTGGTGCAAAGGGCGAGCCATCCTATTGGACCACCATCGATGGGGATGTGCCGGAGAACATGCTGCATCAGGCGAAGCCAAAGAAGGAACACTGGCAGATGTCTCTGGAATCATTTGATGGTGGCCGGATGCCGATCAAGTATATCGGTGCCTGTGAGTTCTTCCCAGTTCTGTGCTCATTTATCCATTTGACAAGCATGTGTCGTTCAGTGACAGAAAAGGATCCTGACAAGGTCGAACGCACGCTTGCGCGTCAACGTGCAAATGACCTGAGGCCTTTCTTTACAGCGGACGACTTCCTAGACAGTGAGTCGAGCGACTGTGAGTCGGATGGGGGCGATTCCAGATGCAAGAGTAACAATACTTCGGACAGCGGCCCAGTTTGAACAGTTTAAACTTCCAACCCTGGGCACACTATGTCTTAATATCTTCGTTTTGTCTGTGTCTGCATCGATTTGAAGTGTATAATAATTGGCGAGGAGTCAGGTCTGGCTGTGGAATCTGGCGCAAAATCTCCAACGCTGAAGTACAAATTGGCATTGAGGACGAAGAGGAGATCCTGTTTCAGATGAACAAGGAGCGTGTCTCAGCAGTCGCCTTGGAACAATGGATATGGGCGGAGAATCAGCTGGTTGCAGATTCCGGTATATCGACCTCTCCCTCGCACGCAGTATTAGCATACTGAAACTCTTGAAATCATCCTAGTTCTAGACTCGTTGAATATTCCTCAACGACGATGATTCAATCGGCGATGCATTTGTTAGGCAAGAACTTGTCCCCGTTTCAGTCGATGCTGATGCTGGTCAGTTGAACCGGCCTCTGATGGAGGTGGACAAGCGATATCCCATCCCACCCCATTTACGGTCTCAGAATATTGTTCGAGAGCTCGAGATTGTTCCAAAACCTATCTTCGACGGGCATCCATCTCCTTTCTCTGCCATCCCTATGCGGGTGCATCCCAGCAATGACTCGTCTTTCCGGAGGTTTCCAGGTTGTTCGTGGCGTTATCTCTTCGTCACAGAATTTTCCCGGCCCTAGACGCGATTGTTAATGTTCTCTCGTGCTCACATCTATGCTGTAGGCACTGGGGCCAGATTGTGCTCGAAATTTTCTGAATTCGTACGGGTTTTTTATTTGGTGGTCAATCTACAATAGGCACAAAGTCTGATTCCAAACATTGTACAGATTGGGCTGCCAAATTCATAGCAGCAACTTGATCTCCTCCCATTCTGCGTCGGCCTCGACGGTGATGATATGTTTGTGAGGTGACCATTCACCTACCAGGATGACTGGCTTGATCTCGGTTGCAACGGGTGTCCACGTTGGGTCCTCATCCTCCGACAGGGTGCATGATGGCATCCGTGGTTCTTTGTCAGAATGGCCCGCATGTATCGTTCTCCGGCGACGGCCACTGCTACAACGGAAGCTTGCGCACCCCGAGAAAAGACGTACGCAGCCTGAACTTCGAGATCCTCCTGTGCTTCTGCTAACCGTTTTGTGATGCTCAAGTGATCCTGTTCGACTAGCCTCTTGACCTCCATAAGAAGGACGGTTTCGGCGTCATTTAGTAGCGGGACGTTGTCAATAGGCACTGGACCATCAGGTGTGAGGCGTAAGATGCCGAAATCTGGCAGCCGAGACGAATCCTTCCACTGAGATTTCAGATCACTAGAATCATCATCCGAGTCCTCATGGACTGATGTCGATTTCTCGGTAGAAGGCACAACTACCCTCTGTGGGCCAGTAGATCTTAAAGCCGTCGTGGCCTTTGACTGAGCGTGCTTCTGACTGGAAAGATTAGGGTGAGATAAAAAGCCTTATGACGGATGAAGTGAATTGAGCTCGCATTGACGTATCGTTCCTAGGCCCATCGCTGTCTGAACCGGTTGTGTCGCTTTTGACTGCAATCTTTCCGACCTTCCTCCGGAGATTTTTCTTGATATTCTTGGTCTGGCGGGATGGTTTAGCGATCGATGCCTTTGAGGGAAGCAGGCTTCGATGTATTGAAACCAATTCAAGATCAAGGAGGTGCTTCGTAGAAGGTTAAACTCACTTTTTCGGCGTGTCATCATTCTGTGAACTGGCCTCATCGGATTGATTTCTATCATCGTCCTCACTACAACACGGTGGTATGCAGTCAGAGAGTGTGCAATGCGTGCGCAGTTTAGAATTTATCGCTCAGATAGCAACTTTGTCACAAGTTTCTCGGACTTGTTTGTCGATCGTCCAGCTGTCTGCACCCCTAACCTGAAACCACTATGGCGAAGTTGAGCTGAATTAATATGTTGAGCAGAAATGACATACATTTTTTTTTTGTATGCCCATAGGGTTCGAAGGTCTGTCTATCCTCAGCGATCGTCGCAGACTTCTTCCCGATCTTGCTTAAGATGGCTGTATTTCGAATGATACCTTCGTTTCGTTTCTCTGGTATCTTGCCGCGCTTTGTGACAGCTGACACAGGAAGGTGGCTGGTCAACCCTGGATGAAGGGAAATTGTTTATGACGACGAAGTTGAGCATTGAGATGCAGTAAATCAACTGAGCAAAGACTCACTCCCTTGAATTGTCATTCCAAGACCCACTCTCTGTTTTGACGGGTTCAATGGCCACAGACTTTCCAGCTCTTGTGCTACTAATTTGAGCGCTATAAATGGAATTAGATTAGATATAGCATCACGATATGTATCTTACTGGTGACCTAGAGTATTGGCAAGTGTCTTTGAAGCTTTGAGAATGGATCCACGATGGGAGACCTCAGGGTGAGAGCAAGAGATTGAAGGTTTTGGGGCAAAGTACAGAACTGATTGGGGTTTGGCTCCCTTTCGTTGGCACATCCTCGCGCTGATCCGAGTTTGTTCCTTTCTTGGTTGCTCTACAAGCAAAAAGCATTAGCCAGAAGTCAAATACAGAGATCAGCGCACGCACATAGGCAACAAATCTAGCTCATCGCGGGTTTCTTCTTCGGAATCTTCTTCCGACGAGTCTGAATGAGTCGACTCCGAGTCATCCTTCGTTGCTGAAGCTGGCAAGGGCTGTTGCACTTTCTGAGCTTTGGTGGATGACGAGACGTCAGAGCTGATTGAATCTTTCTTCAACTTCCACACCGGCCACTGGGGGTAGATGTAAAATTTGGAACTATAAAAGAAGTGGTGGTTTAGTACGAAGTTCCACGCCCCGTACCACGCGGATTCGCGACACTGTATGTTGATCTTCGCATCGCGTGCAGAGGCAATATATATGGAGAGCTTGCGGTGATATGGGTCGAGCTCCTTTGTGATAGCTTTCTGAGGAAGATCCGGGGTTTGTGTATTCTTCGAGGTGGAGATAGCCTTCGGTTTCTTGGCAGCTGACTTTCGGGGCGGCATTGATTCAATGTAGACTCTCTGCGGGCTTGAGGAGGATTTATACCCCGTGTGCCACTCATGTGGCAAGTTTCCAGACAATCTCGGCAGAACTAGGGTTCCGTGAGTAATTCCCCAAGATTTTCTAACATTTGTTAATAACATGCTGGCCTCCGAGCCTTTATTAACATGTGTTAGTAACAGATTAATAACATTTGTAAATAAAAGATTAATAAAATGTTAGAAATTCGAATTATTTACATGTTAGAAAATAAAGTGATGTTAATAATTCAAAATTACCAACTCCAGTCAATCTGGGAGTTAGGAATGGAAGGGGGAATTGCAGTGGGAGGAGGGGGAGTAGCTGAGAGCAAGTGCTTCGGAGTAAGAGAAAATAAATCATGGGTAGTTATAGGTGCTCAGTACTTTAATTTAACCAATGGTTATGCACTGTTACTCGGGGGGAAACCACATTCCCAACACAAATACATAGAAATACATCCGCAGCGGTAATCTTTGCCCGAAGGTGCATCTGACCTCAACCATCTAAGAAAAAATAATCCAACAGATCAGCGTCGTTCATATTTTTCGGGTAAGAAAAGAAGGCTCTGCCACCTTTATGGCTCACAATCTTCTCTCTACCGGTGTGAGCCTTCGCACATATGTGCTCTTTTTGGTTTTTCGTATGGAGTGTTTGCCTCAAAAAGATTTGATAATTACTTACGTTGCTAATATTATTAACATAGGTTTTATGACCCCAACCATGTTAATTCGCTGCATGCGTGTGTCAGAACTTACCTTTTTCTTTTTCTCATCCCAGCCAGTGACCGTAATCTCAACATGATTATCGAAGACGACATGGTCCTAGGCTACTTGGTCGATGAGGTCTGGCTGTGGAGACTGGCGAAGAAATTCGGTTATATCGGCACCCCCAATCCAGCCTACCTCGCCCTCTATCAGGAAGAATGCCATACAAGACTTATGCAATGTCATGAGATCCGGGCAACCATCAAACTTGGGAGGCGGATCATCGAGAAGGTGAAGATACGAGGCCTCAGGATATTGCCTGTGTACATCTCCAATTCGCAAATCGGCTTGTGTTGGTCACTCCCATACTCCATGCACCCTGAGGGCCGATCAGCGAAAAAGACCGCGCAGCTCGAATTCTTCAAACAAGTCATCTGCGAGGAGGATGAGCCCAAATGGTGGGCGTCAACGAATGGCGATGTACCACGGGCAATGCAGGACGTAACTGAGCCACGCGAGGATTACTGGAGGATGACGCTCCAGTCCCTTCCAGGATGGATCGGGAGTAGTGAAGGATTCCGTACGCATTCGCCCTCTCCATACATCATCATAACCTGACCGGGTTGTATCGCATAGCGAGGGTTGAGGACGCGCCAGTAACCCGTAACGAGAGAGGAATAAGGATCGAGCCTCCTCCGTTCATTTTCATCAAAAAGCGGGATGAGAGTGATGTCGAGACAGAAAAGCCCTCTTCCCCACCACCGCCGACAGACGACAGCGAGGTAGATGATTGTGATATGGAGGATGGGGAGGCAGAGGATTGAGGTGGGTTACAAGAGCATGTTTGCCGCTCAAAGCGGCACCGGGTCGTGGCCTTTTTTATTTTTGTTCTGATTTTGATGTCGCCATATCGGATTGTTATCCCTGCACGTCTCGCTATGTCTAGTTGCTTTCTGTTCTTTGCAATCCTGATTGCTATACGTTATAATCGTCACTACTTGACAATGTGAAACAGTTATCTCGACAGACCTAAGTTTCCCTAGAATCAACGCCAGCATCGAAGCGACGCCGCGGTCTGCATTGACGCGTTACTAAATTACACGTGATTTGTGACCGACGCGCTATTGCACGTAATTGCCAGCAGTTGTACATTTGTTGAGGGCTACATCTTGTTTGTCGTCCCACCCACTGACCGGTCTCCCATGATGTTCATCGGCGAGGACATGGTCTTAGGCTACTCGGTCGACGAGATATGGTTACGGAACCTGGCGAAGAAATTTGGATACATCGGCGACCCCAACCCCGCTTACCTCGCCCTCTATCAAGAAGAACGCCATTCTGAACTGATGCAACACCACGAGCTTGAGGGCACAATGGCTCTTGGGAGACGGATCATCGAGAAGGTGAAGATACGAGGTCTCAGGATATTGCCTGTGTATATCTTCAACTGTCATTCCTGCATGTACTGGTCGCTTCCGTTCTCCATGCACCCCGAAGGCCGATCAGCAAAAAAGACCGCGCGGCTCGAGTTCTTCAAGACGGTCATCTGCGAGGAGGATGAGCCGCAATGGTGGGCATCGACTGACGGGGATGCACCGCGAGCGGTGCGACACATGAGCGAGCCGCGCGAGGATCGCTGGAGGTTGACGCTGCAGTCCCTTCCAGGATGGGACGAGGAGTCTGGAGACCTCCGTACGCATCTGCTTTCTCCAACTGTGCTCATTGTCCGATCGCTGTGCATCTACTAGTGAGGGTCGAGGATGTGCCAATAATCCGTGATGAGGATGGGATGATGATTGAGCCTCCTCCCTTTCTGAGAAAGCGAGCCAAGCGGGCCTCTGAGAGTGATTCTGAGACGGTACGGCCATCTTTACCAGCAGAGTTGAGCCCCCATTTGTCAACAGAGCAGGTTTGTGAAAGCGATGTCGAGACGCTAAGGCTTTCATCACCGGACGCCAGCGAGACAGGCGATTGTGATATGGAGAACAGAGAGGCAGAGACGGACTCGGTGGAGCACAGCGACGTGCACTGAAAGTGAGTCATGACCCTTTTTTCATTCTTGTGTCAAGTACACTTTTGATGTCGCCTCATCTGGCCGTTCTATATACCTGCACGCCTCGCTCTCTCTCGTTGTTTTCTTGCTATGCCATGCGTTGTGATCATCACCGCTTGCACAAACAAGATGCAACTGTCATGACATACCTAGACTGGTGAAAATGTCTGTTTGTACAAACCTGGGCGTCCGTCGAGGTCCGTCGCCCTCTCCTTATCGCAAACCTCAAGCTGGCCCGTTCCTAAATCCAGCTTGGCCTGTGGTGTGCCTCGAGCTATACTGAAACGGCTCGCGATGGAAGATACGGATCGAGCTCGAGTTCCATACGTCCCGACATGATAGAGAGCCTCTGAGGACCCATGGTACTACAGGCCGGTCGGCCTCCTCAGTGTGGCAGTTAGTCGATCCTCGATTTATTTCTGGTCTCTCCTTTGTTAGGGTAGATAGCGTAGCTGCCAGGATGAGCTTTTATTTGTGCAGAGTCATCTTGGTCGAAGGAGACGCGAGGACCCCGAGCAGCCCCGAGCGCGGTGGGACTATCAGGAGGTCGATTTTACACCGTTGCGTTTCCACCGTCAACGATGGCGTCGCCTTCACCCTCAGACGCGCCAGAGCACGAAGACGCAACCTTCGTCGCGCTCCCCTCCCGCGTGCGCACCAATATTGACCGCGCCTTCGACAAAGCCATCGGCGTCGCATCCACAACTACAACTACAACAGCACCCCTAGCCCCTGGCCCGCGCCACCCTCCTATCCCAAACGCACGCGCTGCGTCTCCCGAAGCAGGCGGATTCCTCGTCGACGATGACGCCGACGCGGGGGGATTTCTCCTCGACGACGCGCCGGGCGGTTTCGTCCCCGACCCAGACACGCACGGCGACGGCGGCGGCGACGGCGGCGGTTTCGTCCTCGACGACCCGGGCGCCCCGCATGCGCCCCACACCATCCCCCCGCGCCCGTCCCCCGTGCGGTCCTCTGCCTCTATCTCCGCCTCTGCCTCTTCCCCCACCTCCGCCTCCGTCTCGGGCGCGACGCACATCCCGCTCTCCCGCATCCCGCACGCGCTTCAGCTGCTCGACCTCCCACCCGCGGACGAGCAGATCCTCACCGTCTTCCGCAACGCCGCGTCCGGGTGGCGCACTCGGGGTCTGCGCGCGGGCCAAGGGGAGGGAGAGGAGGAGGAGGAGGAGGGCGCGGGAGAGGTGGTGAGCAGGAGGGACTGGAGGGCGGTCTGTGCCGTGTTGCTCGAGGGCCAAGATGAACAAGATGGAAACGGGGACGAGGACGAGGACGTCGCCGCCATGGATGTGGACGAGGACACCGGTGACGACGACGACGACGCGGGGTCCGAATCCTCCGACGCGTCGTCCGATGCCTACACCGACGCCCCGACGCCCCGAACACGTGCCCGCCCCGCCAAACGCGCTCGCAAACGGCGAGCCGGCACCGACTCTCGCAGCCCACACCCCGCAAAGCGTCGCACCCGCACCCGCACCACCTCTCGCCAGTCCCCCGGCCCCCGATCCCCCTCCCCCACCGGCCCCCGCCCGCCGACCGCCCGCCAAAAGCGTGCCGCCCTCGCCGCCTTCGCGCTCTTCTTCCCAGACCCCTCCGGCGCGCCGCCGGACCCCGCCGCGCCCGCCCTGCAGACCAAGCGGCTCGGCATCGCAGAGATCCAGCGCGCGGCCGGGCTTCTCAGGGAGAAGATCAAAGCGGACGAGGTGCGTCCGCGTCCGCGCTTGTCCTCCTCCCGTCGTTCGCGTTGACTTTTTCTTTCTTTTTGGACCTTTTTTTTTCTTTTCGTTTTTGGACGAACACCTCGTTCGTTCGTTCGTTTGCGGTGGTTGGTGGATCGGCCTGCAAGATGCTCGAGATGCTCGCCGCGTTCTCTACCGCGCCCGACAAGAGCATGAGCCTCGCCGACTTTGAGCGCATGATGGTCGCCACGCGCATGGCGTGAAACGCCCAGCCCGCGATAGCCGTACGCGGTATCAGGGATATCCGAGACCATGCGCATCGCCTGTGTTGAAGGCATCCGTTCGCCACGCGTGTATGCGATCGTCCCCGTCGCTCGCCGCATCCTCGCTAGATTCTTCACCCTCGCACCCTCACACAGCCTCATTAGAACGATGTACGTAGCATAGGTCTTCACACACGACCTGGGTGTGCAACATCGCCTTCCCAGTCGCACGTGTACATTCAGTCGTTCAAAAAGCTACACATACCGTGAGTGACGAAAGTAAGACAAGACAAACACAAGGCGGTCGTAGAAATCGCAATCAAGAACTCGTCCTCGGTAAATTACAAGAGTAAAAAAAAAACGAAAAAAAGGGGAAAGAGACGCCCCTCCTCTCCACTTCCGCAAAAACAAATCAAAACCCACTGCATACGAGATCGACGCGATATCGTCGGCCTGAATAAGCCAGCATATAACTAGCATCACATCGCATCACATCGCGTCGCGCTCAGCGCCTCCGTCACATGTTCGTAGCGCCGTAGCTCGGCACGGGCGCCTGCTGCGGCTGTCCAAACTGCTGCTGCGAAGCCCCCGTGCCGAGCCCACCGTACGCGGGCTCATACTGCCCGTTGCCCACATCTGCCAAAAAAAAAAAAGAAAGCGTGAAATCAGCATCGAGCGCGATAAACAGGAGGGACGGAAACGCGGGGAGACGCACAGGTGTACCCGCCGTGGCCGTACGTGTCCTCCGCCCTCATCTTGCGGTAGATGAGCCAGAAGGCGTGGATGTGGCCCGGGAGGTATCCGAGACTGGACATGCCCGCCGCGCGAGGTTCGAGGATCGCACGTGTGCGGTCGACGGAGGCGGAGCGGCGACGGCCCAGAGCGACGGGAAAATAAAAAATATGGGATCCGGTGGGAAATCCGGTGGGCGCCCCAGATCAGTTGAGTGGACGAGCGGGAGGGCAGCCGGGCTCGAGAGGGACGTACACGGTGAGACAGATGTTGATCAGCAAGTCGCAGCTGCAGCCCGTGATGAACGCCGCCGCGGCGGGGGGGAAGATGATGGCGACCTGTACGCACGAACGAAATCATGATTCAGCTTCGCGCCCTCTCGCACCCCCACCGCCTTTGCACATGGCAAAGTTGCTCCGGGCGAAACAAGATGGGCACTAACGAGGATGAGAAGGACGTCAGAGCCGCGCACGGACATTGTCGTGATATTGGTTCGTCGAATGGACGTTAGAAAGGCGAGAGACGTGGGACGTGGGAGAAGGGAGAGGGCGAACAATCGAGGGTGAGGGTTGGACCTTGGGGGACAGCGCGAGGTGCGTGAGTGCTGCGGCGGCGTCGACCGTGATATGACGTAGGCGGCTCGCTATGGAACCTCTCCAGGAACAGAGCGTGCCGGCGCGGACCGCACACATTCATGATACCCAAGCACTCAAGCACTCGAGACGGAATACGCAATAACGCGGTTCAGCAAGTCGAGCGAAAAAAGGCACTGCAATAAAATAGAGACGAAAGAGATAGACAAAGATAAATACGGACCCAGAAAAGCGGGAAAGGAGGGAGCGCATGCAGACTGGGAGATGCGACTAGTAAGATGTATATGTGCTTCTCATACATGGTTGCGTAAAAGAGCGGCGGCGCGATGGCTAGTTACATCTATAGACTAAGTGTATTGGAGTCCGTACATTGGGGATCGACAATAAGGGAGTGGAACAGAGGCTGGGTTCGCGCACTGTAAGCACGAAGTTGGAAGCGCTGTGGAAGTAAAGGTACGGTGAACCGTGAATTCAGTGGCGTGCTAGTGGTATGCACGAGTCTGCTCGGTAGTACTGAGCTGCATCCGCTGATACCATGAAGGTATACTAGCTTGGGGTGCACTGGCAGATGTACGACAAGATTCATACACATGGCGTGCCGCCCGTGCGAGTTGTCAAAGCCTGGCGCAACGGCGTTCACAGGAGGTCGGCGCTCTTGAAGTGCTTCGTCATGATCGACTCGCGTACTGTCATGCGTGCGTCAGCGCAACCGCTACAAGCCTCAATGTGGAGCCAGCAGGAAACAATGCTCACTTCTCTCCAACACGATAGACGTCGCCTTTGAGTCCTACACAAAGGAACGCGCGCGGAGGTCAGGCGGCAGCAGAATGGCTACGGACGAAACAGGGACGTACGGTCGCGCAGGTGACGTGCACGCGAAGCAGCCTTCCTGGAGGAGAGTGCTGTTTGTAGATCGCCGAGAACTTGCTCTTGATGTCTGCAAACGACACGCGTGACAGACCCTGAGCAACTCTAGCATCCCTCAACGAAGGAGGGAACACGCACATCCCACAACGCTATCCGTCTCGTTCGGCTTGTCCTTGTAGCTCGTCACGAACCGACGGAACTGGATGCCCGCCTTGAGTTTTGCGTCCAAGAGGTCCAGCTTGTTCAGCAGCAGCACGAACGTCACGTTGTTCAGCAGCCGACTCGAGCATATTGTGTTCCAAATGTAGAACGAGTCCCACTGCAGCCGCGTCCCAGGCAGAACAAAACGTGCGGTGAGCGCCGGCTATGCTATGGCGCGAAGGGGGACGTACGAGTCGGTTGACAGAGTGGTCTTCCGCAAGCACCTGGTTGAACGCGGACATCGGCGCGAGAAACAGCAATAGGTTCACTGCGCGACCGCCACATACCCAATCAGGATAGTAACCCAAGATCGGAACCTATTCTAAACACGACTCACAGTCATCAAAGTAGGGTATCCACGCCGCTGATGGCCAAAGGGAGAAGCGGAAGCGCCATCAGCTCGAGTGTCTGGATGGCCTGAAACGCGCACTGCACTGACCTCGTTGCCCCCGACTGCCCCCGACGTCATAGATACCCCACGTTTGCCCGTTGTCGGCCACTACGAGACCGAGATCAAATGAGGGAGAGAAAAGATTAGCTGAAAACAGCCAGGGGAGCGACGATGAACGAAGGCGGCCGCGAACCTGTCTCCATCTTCAGTATATGCTCCTCCACGCCCATGGTCTGTATCCGTGCTTTGAGAATATCGCCTGTAGGATGGGGATACGATAAATGAGGCGAACGAATGCCTGCAGAATACCAAGGTACGAACTGGGCGAAGGCTCGTATCCTGGCACCGCAATCCGATCGACCTCGTCCAAAAAGCTATTCCATCAAATTCCCGTTACACAATCGACAAAAGGGTAAAAGAGCTCCAACGGTGACTCACAATCCAGACTGAAACTCCAAAGCCATGCTGTGGTTCTTCAAACTCTCCTGGACCGTCTCGTCCTGCCACAGCGCCACCATATCTTCCCTGCACGCTTCAATCACGCGCCGCGCGTCCTCCAGCTCCTCGTAATGTGGCGGGTGCGCTCTTTGACTCGTCCTCGTGTCCGCGAGTGCGGTCGGATGCGGCGCGGGGCCAAACAGGGCCTTCCATTTCGACCCAGGGCAGACCGACACCTCGAATGCCCGCTCGGTCACGCGGTGGGCGGGCTCCGCCCGCGGGTGCGACTCGGAGTCCGCAGAGAGGAACTGCGCGAGGCCTGCCTCGACCGTGCGGAGCGGTGAGAGGCGCATGCAGAGGCGGCGGAGCTCGTCGGTCATGTGTACCAGCGGCGCCGGCGCGTGCGCGTAGTCGCCCGCGTTGATCTCGACGGGGAAGTCGGGATGCCCGTGCCCGGTCGAGTGCGAGAGCGAAGTGGCGTGCGAGGGGCGCGAGGGCGCATATGCGCGCGTGCGCGTGGTCGGGGAGGAGGGCGCGTCGGAGAGGAGGTTGAGGATAAACGTCACAGAGCGGACGAGATTGAGATGGATGACTGCGCGCCAGGCCGCGGCTTCTGCGCGAAAGGCCTGCGGCGTGAATTGGAGCTGGAAGTTGCGCAGGATCGTCGACTTTCCTGACTCTGCCTGGCCTATGAACGAACACGATTAAACATAAGGCCCCCATCGGCGCGACTGAGATACCCCGCCGCTCATATTGCGAGGCGCGAGATGTTCAGGATGAGAAAGAGAGAGAGAGGCGCACCGAGCAAGAGGATCTTGACATCCACCTTTCTCTTCTGCCGCTCTAGCCGCTCTGCTTCCAAGGCCAAATCGATTTCGTCGTTCACGCGCTTTGCCTCTCGCTCTTCGTCCAATCTCAGTGCCCTCTGCGCCGCCGTCTCCCGCACCGGCGGAGGCCAGTCATCCATGCCCTCGTCATATCTTGATGTAGACTCCGCCTCCGTAACATCCGGGTGGGGAGACTTTTGTCGGATGCGGTCGCGCAGGGTCATCTAGGAGAGTATCTGGACTGTCCGCGCACTGCCTGTGCCGATGGTCAGAAGGGAGACAGTCGATGGCACCAGAAGGGACCGATCGATAAATAATCAGGCAGTGAGAGAAAGAAGCACGCCGGGTACAGAAAGGACGGGAGAGATGGGCTGATGGACAGGGAGCTGAAGCGCTGATGGCTGGAGCTCTGAACGGCGGGATAGCTTACAAAAAAAATCACGTCGCTTCTGGCTCGAGGGTGAGGAGCAGCGAGCAAGTGGTGCGCGGGCGCAAAGGAGATCTGCGAGAAAATCGGGACGCTTGGAATTGGAAAGGCAGAAAATGAAATGGGGCCGTGATAAATCGGAAGATACTCGACCATGTATTCAGAGGGAAACCGCCACTGCGAAGGGTCGGGGCCAAGGCGACGAGGCCCGTAGGGGGGCGACAGCCACGCATTGAAACCGGGTCTCGGTTACTCATCGTTATCATACCAGGCCCGCGCCTGCCCACACCCGTGCGATGGCCGTATGTCGCAGACTAGTACTAGTCACGACGCCCGTGCGGCGTGCGCGATCCTGCGCGATCCCAACGCCAGATACTGTGAGATCGCGGTCAGAGGGGATGGATAAACGTTCCAGTTGCGGTCCCGTGACAACTAGATCTGTTGAGGTGGAGACGACGGTGTAGGGCTTCAGCAGGGACATTCTGCGAGGCCTGCTCCACTGGTTCCTGGCTTTGCGTCTGCGGGGGATGCAAGATTCGACTCGATGGTCGCAGCCAGTCGAGCACATCTCAATGGGCAGGGATCTGGTCCATGGATCGAGCGCGAGGCGCTACTTGCCCGGCATCGCCGACGAACATCAATCCAAGCGGGGGCAGGCTTCTGGCTCTCCATGAGCGGACAGCCAAAGAAACGGATTTCCAAGGCACACAGCGATGAGAAGTATCCAAGCAGATTACAGCATCGTTGTAGGCGCTCAATTGATTGTCGGGTTTTGCAAGGCGCGCGCTGCAACAATGTGACGGGAGAGCTCCGACCACCAATCAGCGTCTCAGGCACCTTCACGCCCACAGCAACGACGAGAACTTCATTGAATAAGTAGTCATGAACCGTGCTTAGAGTTGTCGACTTCTGCGAGCCGCGGAGCTTGGGCGAAGCTGCTAGTTTCACGACACCCCGCCTTGAAATTTCTGAAACCCATCGGTTCAAAACATATCAATCCCCATTTGTATCCCTTCCGTTCACCCTCATGCATGACCCCTCTGCGGATAGGCTCACTTACCCGCAAGTCCCTGAATTAATACAGACGTAGATTGGTGCCCAAGCGCTCAAGCGCTCAAGCTTTACTCCATCCGGCTCAAGCGCACAACAGGACTGCGTATCCCAAGAGACAACGAGCGTAACGTAACATGTACAAAGGAGTGACAGGGTTGGTACATCGGCGCGTCGAGACAGAGCATTCACTGAAACATGAAAACCGGAGAACTGCGAAGAAGGTTATCAGCGCGGCCAGCAGAGGAGAAAAAACGAGTGGGACGCGTATGCGTATGCGTATGTATGTGTATGCAAGCGTGCACTACAGCGCGTAAAGGTGGGCGACATGGAGAGGTCAGATTCGGGACTGTAGGACGACGGTGTAGTAAGGTGTTCGTGAGCGGCCGGGCAAACGGATAGACTGGGATGAGAGACATTGTGAAAACAAGGACGTCTAAAACACACTCAAGGAAAACAGCAAGAGAGAGCATATAGGGGAAGAGATGGGAAAGGATAGTGTATGACATCGAGAGCGACCAAAAAAACTATCATGAGAACAAACAGACGAGAATTAGAAGTGTGCGATAGAGGTTGACTGGAGAGGACAAGAGATGACATGTTTGGGAAGCAAGAGGGCATATGAAAGAGAGCATAAATACACGGGCTGTTCTCGACCCGCTCAAGCTGTGAGGACGTAGCGGCCCACTTGTGAGATGAGATGACGATAACCCAGGAGCACGGCGACAGAGGGGATATACAGAGCGCAAACTATCTTGAACAATCATTTAGCGTGTGAGGTTTTGTTCCTCGATTCACCATAGTGGAATCTATAGTCCTGGGGCCCGTCTAAAAGTTGACAGCCGATGAACATCTGTCAGAAGCCCTCTCAAACCAGATCATCCCTACTCACCTTCATACGAACGGAGGTCCTACGAAGCCATGACCCAAGGGTGCAACTGCCCTGCCTCTCCGCCCATCACAAACTCAACCTCATCTTCCTCATCATCTTCCTCCACTTCATCTTCCTCCACTTCATCCACTTCCACATCACCGTCCTCACCATCCACGGTCTCACCCTCTCTTTCGTTGGCTTCATCCCCACCTATAGTGTCCAGGCCTCCCTCGACGACGCTCGTTGCGGCAGTGGGGAGCATGAACTGCTTCCATTGCCCAGCACCCATCCGTGTGTGCTCCCCATCGGGACTCACCTCTAAAGTTGTTGAAAGCGTCAACATCTCCCTCACAAGCAGCAGATCCATCGTCAACTGTTTGACCCGATTGAACGAAGCCAACAGACGAATCGATACCCATCCGCGAGAGTCCATCTATAGCAGAAAATGTCGTTCATTTAGCATACCCTGGGCAGCCGTATACACGACCACTCACCTGCTGCCGCAAGAAGAAATCTGACGCCAAGTTTTGCGGACTCAGATAATATTCCAGCTGCGCAAGTAGGTGATACCGTGTTGGGTCCAATGGAAATGTTAATTCCGATATGGGCCTCGGTATGAGTTGGGGTGGAGTAACAGAAGCCGCCACAGAAGCGGGTGGAGGGGGGAAGGCGGGTACGTATGGCCGGTATGCGTACTCTTCGTACCCTTGAAGTGGAACGTATGCCTGATATTCCTGTTGAGGATAGTATATCTCACCCTGCGTCAGTGTGGACACATTGAGGGGTAGGGTTTGAAGTGGTGGCAGAGGAGGCGCGACTGTGAACGGGGGCGACTGGTGGGTGGGGGCATAGTCATTACTATACCCGCGGAATCCACCCCTCGAAGCGCCATGAGACCACGCTCTTCCATACCCAGCGCCCATACCCCGCCCTCGACCGCGAACATAGCCTCTCTCGCCGAACCCTCCCCGGTCATGACTAAACCCACCTCGCTCGTATCCTCCGTAACCGCGTCGTGGTTCCAAGTGACCGGTATACGACCCCCTCCTCGGCCTCGTCCCAAAACCAGATGCCGCACCATTCGCACCAATTACGGTCTCCCTTTCCTGCTCCCTCGACTCCTTTCCCTTCTCTCTTTCACGTTCACGTTCACGTTCCCTCTCTCTCCTCATCCTCTCCTCCTTTGCTAATACAGGCGCATACCCTGTCCCGCTAGCCCTCCCAAACCCGTAGCCGAAATCCTTGACCTCCCATTCGTCTGTACTCTCTCCCGATAACGGTTGTTGGGATGGCATACGAACTGGGTAAGGCCCCATGCCCGTGTGAAGCTGTAGATCATCCAGCGGTATCGAAATATATGGTGGGTGCTGCAGCGGTGGCGGGGATGGTTGATCCAGACGTTGTGGAGAGGGCTGTGATGGACCGCTGAACAGTATTCCAACGTTGAACGGCGCCCCTCCAGTCGCCACCGCAGAGACAGGGTTAGAAATTACATTCACGGGCCCAAGAGCAGGCGAGGATGCAGGAATAGCGACGGCATCCTTGCCTTTAGCCCGCCTCGTCGTCCCGAACTCCCACTTCGTCTCGGGATCTGTTAAGTCGATGACCTGCACCTCCTTGCCCTCTGCACCTACTTGGTTTGATGACTCTTGTGACTCCTGCACCCCACTGCCTAACGATGCAAAAGCGGTTTCTCCCCGAGTCCGGGCCTGCGAACGTCTCCTTGGCCTCAACTGTGATGGACCAGCTTCGCCGAGGGCCACCCCGATCGAGAACTTCATGACGGGCTTCTCCGCATCTTCCCCCGCGTCAGGTAGAATCCCTTCTCTACTATCCTCAGGTTTCTCCACCAAGTGAGCGGCAGGCAAGATCGGACTGGGGTTCTCGCTCGATCCCGATACGCCGATGCTCCCGAAAACAATGTTGTTCGCACGCCTCCCTCTGGGCCCGACAGCAATTCCGACGCTGGGCATATTGTCTGGTTCACGTGATATTGGAGGTGCGAGCTCGCGATATCCAGCGATAGCGTCGGACTCTCGCGGCGGCGGTTTTACGATCATTGTGGGCGAAGGCAAACTTCCTTCAGGGTTATGTAGCGCTCGCTGCTGCGGAAGCCGTTGCTGCTCTGCTTGAAACGAAGCGTAAGGCGGGTACATAGCCACCTGCTCCTGCACACTCCAGTGGGCGTACGGTTGTCCATAATATCCGTAGTGTGGATATATATGCTGCCCTGGCGGGTAGCTCTGTGGCACATAGTTCAGATATCCATTAGGACCTGGTCCAGGGTAAGGTTCGTAAGTAGCCTGTTCATGAGGTGGGTTAGGTTGAGGAGCGGCTATGTGGCTATGAGGGATATAATGCATCGCCCCATCTGGTCCGCCCGCCGAGTAAGCGTCTGCAGAGAAAGGAATGGTTGAGACAAATGTGGGGCTGATGTGGATGGGAGCCTGAGGCGATTGCCTCCTTGATGATCTTTGCTGGGTAACGGTAACGTCTGCCTTGCCTGCTTCATTCCCACGGGCGCCAGCGCTACCAAGAATCATGCCACCAACAGGCATGTCCTTCATGAGAAGCCGTCGCCCTCGCACATGATGCTTCGGACTTGACTGCGCACTGCTTGCTTGGCTATGGATCCGCGAATGATTCGTCGACGCCACCCTTGAGGGATCCTTGCTCGATCCTTGCGATCCATAGGTGGAGCTTCCTGGATGGGCATTGGGGTAACGAGGATGGGTGGAATGTTGGGGATGGTACGAATGCGACGACGAGTGGCTTTCGGAACGTTTCGCTCTTTGCAAGGCATCTGCAGCCGCTTGTAATTCTTCGGGCGGCATCAAAACCCACTTCGTCTTTTCGCCTGTCCAATGGTGTGAAAGAACGATGGGATTGCCAGTATTAGTATCCGTGAAATTGATAGTCAATACGCTCGCGTTGCAGGAAGTAGATGGAAGTAGATGGTATAGAAGGAAATTGAATGTATAGTGCGAAAAGTAGAGAGTGGAGTAGTGAATATAACAAGTGACGCACTCTTCTTCGGCAGTATAGGAAGGCTTGTTGAAGATTCGTCGTCCTCCCTCCTCTGCTCTTCGGTGCTCTCCGAAGCATCGTGGCGATGCTGAGTCGTGCCCTTACTTGATGAACCGACAGACTGTCCTACCTCTGGCCAGTTTTCCATGTCGTTGACTAAAGCGGGTGCACGTGGAATATCGGCAGCGAGGGCTTGACTGAGGGCACGAGTTGCGAACGGATCTGTGTTCCCATCTATACGCAGAGATGGCAGTCCATTCTGCGTGGCGATGCTGTTCGGATTTGGGAGCTTCACTGAGGGATCGTCTGGAAGATCTCGTGCTGAGCTCAACATATTGTTTTGAGAGCGCAGTTGTACAGGGCGAGACGAAGCACGAGCCTGGGCCATCTGTTCCATGCGCAAATTCCACACGTTGATAGGTGCCGTTTTGGTGGGTATCGTCGAAGTTACGTCACCGTTCGTGCCGCATACCACGAGTCCTTCGACTGGAGAAGTAGGAGATGCAGGGAATGGAACGGTTCTGGTAGGTGATATCGATGGATTGGATGCGATACCGGTACTCGGGATGAGAGAAGAGGGCTTGGACGCGTCTGAAGTAGATGTGGAACTATGTGGCATGTTAGAGGCAGCAGCATGTTCACTGACAATGGAGGGTCTTTGAGACGGAGGATTATGTGATTTAAGGACATTCCTTGCACGATCTGCATAAGAAAATGTTGGTTGATTTGGAGGAGGCGGATGTGGAGAAACCATCCGAACGCAGACAAGTCCAAGGCAGGAAAATCTATGGCCGAATGCAATGAGTCGTTCGAGACTATAGCGGTGTTCTGCGAGATATAAGAAGAGCTTTAAAGAGAGCAGACCGAGTATGTTATGGGATGAGAGAGAGCGGTTAATGGGAAGGAATGAGGAACTGATAAACCGGGTGACTCATTGAATAGCGTGCGCCTACTGCGCCTCCGCCACACCTCGGGACACCTCGGGCTCCTGCTACTAGTAGTACCACAAGTACCTCACGCGTACTACACGCCGAGACCCTGCCGTGGAAGATCAGGCTCAGCAATGCTTCGACTCATCCTGAAGGGCCATCAAAATGCAAGCATGTGCCAACTTTGCATGCCTCTCAGCTCCTCTAAAGCCGCAATTTGGTTCAATGGTTCATGCGACTTTTGAGACGAAATCCAAAATTTGCAAACATGACCTATCCTGCTCCACTGTTTCCTCAATTAGCGCAAACTTGAAATGCGATGCCACCTGCGACTGTGCATTTTTCTCTGATAGTGCGACAGTGCCGGTCCATCAGCCCATCCTCATCTCAAGAGCGCTGTCTACTACGATCAGTACAAGCACGTGGGTCGGGCGCTCTCATTGTTCCGTACGTCTCTCAGTGCTTTCACATCTGGTTCTCACAAAAGGTCTGCGTCGTACTCCGAATCATAGTGGCAGGACGATCTGTTGCACATCCGTAGCAAGAAGTTGTAGCCTTACATAGAGACTTCGTTTTTATCACGTCTCCTAGGGCTGTAGGCACAATCAAGGATTTCAATGTAACAAGGGTTTCTGACGGCAGTGGCTTGACATCAAAGTTGGCGAAGTATGTTCATACACCGTATAATTGACTTCCTATATACCGGGGCGTCAAGCCGAAACCGCAACGACGATCATGATGTTATCAGGAGCGAAGGATATTCTCGAAGTCGTGAAACTCTCCATGTACACTGCTCAAGATATTTCCAGTAGGGAGGTATCAGATTCGGGTAAGAAGGTCTAGCCGGCGAGCTGATAGAATTAAGTAGATATGGTCAGCCTTGTCCTCGATTTCGAGCATAGTACCTAAACGCCGCCGTTGATTTTCTTTTTCCATAAATACACCGGTGACTTCTCCGCATCTGTTGCGGTCGTGATTAGTATTTTGGGATGGGAAGACCATCCCAGTTGAGTTTCTCACCAGTTTCATCTTCATCTGAACAATCAAGGAATCCGCCACATTGCGATTCCAGATCGTTCCTTCTCCACTTCATCCTTGACTGCCTTACTCTCTCCGCTCCTGATTGCGCCGGCAACGAATAATCTGAGCGCCGCTTTGACCGCATCTTTCTTCTCATCCTCCGGCGCTTTCTCGTTCATAGTTCCCTTTTCCTCCTCTGTCCCTGCAGGTTCAAGAATAACCCTCGCCCAATCGACACACATGTCCAAAAACTCGTACAACACACTCACGATACCTTCAAACTTACTACCCGGTTCTCCCACCTCATCGCCCTCTGGCAACTTTACTTTCCACAAGTGCTCAAGTGTGAGCCCGTCCCACGCAATAAGGGGCGCGCCCACCTTGACGGGGACCACGAGTGCAGGGCATCCATTCAACAACTGGTAGTAAATCACACTCTCGCCGGGCCGTGCACTCGTCGTCCATAGGTGTCGGTGAGGCTTCAAACCGACAATGACAAGGACTAAGCGTCGAGGTGTGGGAGGCAGCGGGAGCGCAATGAGTTGCGGCTCCGGAGAGGGAGTACGAGAGCGAGCGAAGACATTGGAGAGCGAAGGAAGGCTCAAGTTGTAGAGACGGTTCAGTCCGTGAGGCTCCTCGGGAGCGGGTGGCGACGTGGGAGGAGGAGCGGCGAAGATGAACGCGGAGGCCGACTCAGCAAGCAGAGTTTCGCCAATCTTGTAGTCACCTGGAAGTCAAGCGATTAATAAAATATTAATAAAATATCACGACCAACGTAAAGGCTTTACTACCTGGTAAAAACGGTCCATGACAGAAGACAATATCAGGCTTCATCGAGCGAGGGATGATCGGCCTTCGGCCACTCGCAAACAGGTATGGAGAGAACCATCCCTTCTCAACCGCCAAATAATCCTTCACAGTCGCAAAGAGCGAATTATCCCTAGAAAATGGAATCACCTTCATCATCAACTGTTTTTATTTATTTAAATTGTCGCCAAAATACACGCACTTGTGCACGCTACTTCTGTAAAAACCCAGAGAAGCATCCTCGAAAGTATGCTTGAATTTGAGCGTGATCAGTATGGTCTTGACGCTCGTCGTCTCAAGTTTTTTCGAGTGGATAGGTATCATAGACTTTATCGGCTCGCCAATGACCAGGTCATTTGCAAGTTTAAGTCCGATGTCAAACCCAGCATGCATGCCGATTTCCACAAGGATTGAGTCCCCTACGGTGGAAATGACAGCGTCTGTCACAGTTCCCATGACGGGGGAGGCTACAGCAGCCACTCCACCCTACAAAAATGTACCTGTTTCGTGAGCATGGAGATCCTTAAAGTAGAACAAAAGATCTGAGCACTGACAGTAGCAACAATCACGGTATGGACAGCGAGATCCCGAAAACGGATGCATGGTAAGAGAAACGGCGAAGAATCGCCCCACTGGAGGAGTATGCAATGTTCGTTACGGCGCAAGTACCGAGGTGAGGGTATAAGATGTTGCTAAAGTTAGTATGTAGATTATTCACAATGGGAGGGACATACCGGGGAAAGACATATCACGCTAGTTCCGGCTGCGCGCAACGACTCATAGGACGATATCACGATCCTCCCGGTCATTGACTGTGATCATGATAACGAATTAGCACTAGGGTTTCTCGGCTTGTATGCACAGACAATCGATCTAGACACTGAATGTTATCAAGCACTGCAGAGTCGTTGCCTCTACCATCAGTCTTCCGAGCCGATATTGACTCACCCCAACAAGCTTCCGAACTATCCATGGTGCAGCTTTCTCTTCTTCAGCATTTTGTATGGACACGGGATCGATGGGACCGAGAGATGATACATCTGTGCTCATGGCTTGAAAAGACAATGGTATTAGGTAGAAAGGTATGAGGAACTGAAAATACAATCGCTTCATCGGCCCGAGCCAATCATATCGCCCCGAGCTTTGCCCTGAGCAACGACTGATCAGCGTCGAGGACAACGAAGGCTCCCAATTCTGATTGTGAAGTGGAAGCTTTGTTCATGGCATTCGGCAATTCGTGAGTAGACGAAGGTAAACAAGGCCTGAGCGGATAAAGTCGACTTAGGCTATGACGTTGCTTCTTAGCAGAAGCTGACTCCAATTGGAAAGGATTGAATTAAATATGGGGCTCGTTGAGGCCCCCTGCAACGAATGACAACGGTTGACAGATATACCACTCTAAGTAGCTCAGCAACCTCGCCCGCCTCACTCCCAAATTTCCTTGGAGCCCCGCACCTACGCGGCACGAAACTCGCCCCGATATCCTCCGCCTACGGACGAGAGCGTTGAGACTCGTCCTCTACACACCACAATATGAAAGGAACGTTGAAGATTCTATCATCCTTCTTCCGGTCGGTGAGAGGCGGCGTTGAGGCCACGATTGCCACACAAGGGCAAAATAGCTTAGTAGCGGTAATGGTCGGCCTTGTAAGGACCGTTGACGGGGAGGTCCAGGTACTTGGACTGAACGTCAGAGAGCGTAGTAAGTTTGACATTGAGAGTCTTGAGGTGAGCACGAGCGACCTCCTCATCGAGCTCTTTAGGGAGCATGTGTACACCGAGAGGGAACTTCTCAGGAGTTGTCCAGAGAGCAATCTGCGCAAGGACCTGGTTCGTGAACGAGCACGACATGACGAAAGACGGGTGACCAGTAGCACAGCTATCAATGTAACGTCAACGACACAGGAAGATGCATTCTATCAAGTAGGGTTACATACCCAAGGTTCACCAGGCGACCCTCGGCGAGAAGAATGATGTGACGGCCCGACGCCATTGTGTAACGGTCGACCTGGGGCTTGACGTTGATGACCTGCTTGGCGTTCGCTTTCAACCAGGCGACATCGATCTCGACGTCGAAATGACCGATGCTGTGATAAGCGGTCATTCCTTGCCCACGTATTCGATGAACACAATGGTGACTTACTTTGATACGATAGCGTCCTCCGGCATAGCCTCGAAGTGCTTAGCGGTAATGATGTCCCTGTTACCGGTAGTAGTGACAAACACATTCGCACGGGGAGCAGCGTCCTCCATGGTAGTGACTTCATATCCAGCCATCGCAGCCTGAAGAGCGTTGATGGGATCGATCTCGGTGATGAGGACGCGAGCACCGTAAGAGCGTAGAGACTCAGCACACTGATAAACAAACGGGTGAGACATGACTCGACACGACATGCGAAAGTCCACGTACACCCTTTCCAACATCACCAAAACCAGCAACAACCGCAACCTTGCCAGCAAGCATGACATCCGTGGCACGCTTGATCCCGTCAACGAGCGATTCACGGCAGCCATAGTAATTGTCGAACTTGGACTTTGTAACGGAGTCATTGACATTGATGGCGGGAACTTTCAACTTCCCATCGCGGAAGGCCTTGTAAAGGTGGTGCACGCCAGTGGTAGTCTCTTCAGAGACACCCTTGATACCTGTGCGGCGCCCATATCAGAGATGCCAAAGGGGTAATGTCGTGGAAATTTGCAGACCCTTCAGGAACTGAGGGTACTTTTCGTGGACAAGGGTGGTAAGATCACCGCCATCATCCAGGATCAGGTTCAAAGGCTGGTTGCCAGAGAAGGCAGAGAGTGTTTGCTCAATGCACCAAGTGTATTCCTCCTCGGTTTCACCCTTCCAAGCGAAAACTGGAACGCCAGTAGCCGCGATCCTAATCCATGAAAGTCAGATTCGGTGACCAGCAACAATCGTGAGCGAGCTTACGCGGATGCCGCATGGTCTTGAGTCGAGAAGATATTCTAAGATCAAAGTGTTGGATTTCGGTGATGACAAGATTAGACGTCTGATACTTACGCAGGAAGACCATGCAACCTCTGCGCCGAGGGCGGTAAGAGTCTCGATGAGAACGGCAGTCTGGATGGTCCTGAGATTGTCGATCAAAAGTCAATGACAGATCGACCGATAGGTGAGAAGATTGTAACATGTATTTGACGTACATGTGAAGACATCCTGCGATACGGGCCCCCTTCAAAGGCTGGGCTGCACCATGCTGTATGGACAAGTGATGTCAAACGCCTGTCTCATATATCCTGAGACTGACTGCACCTTCTTCCTGAGGTACATAAGCCCTGGCATCTCATTCTAAAAGGAACATCTATTGAGCGTCAAAGTGCATCCAAACACTGGCTGTAACAACCTCGGCGATCTCAATCTCTTTGCGACCAAAGGCAGCGAGAGAAATGTCTAGGTCGATGATCACAGATGACATCAACATCAAAGCATGTAAAAAGCCGCTCGAGCTCACCTGCGACTTTAAAGACCATTGTGGGCAAAGACGGGGGATGGAAAAGGGATGAAAAATGGAGAGGGGAGCTGGTGGAGGGCTTAGGGAAAACCGTTCGATTGGAAGAAAATCCAATTTTGATGGTGGAGTCGCGCACGTGGTTTCACGTTGGAATCTTGCACATGCATGCCCTGGTCCGCTGGTCTCTTGCCCCACGAGCGGAGTCGTTCAAACTTCCACCATTCAATATACATCCAGCGAAGTTGGTCTGTCTATTGTTCTTGTTGAAATGCTCTCTAGACATTGATCTGCTTTTGAAGCCATGAAGGTTGTTGATGATACTAGTAGCCCCGAATCTCTACCCAGATGCCAGATTGCAGAAATACTGCAATACTCCTGTGACCTCCAATCGGGGGAAGATGGACGTCCTCAGTTTCATTGTTTTCCTGTGCCTCGAATATTCAGGATGTAAGCATTCTCTGCACTTCTGCTAATCGACAAAGCATGAAATTCATCTCTCGAGATGTCCCGGGAGGCCAGCCATAGAAATCACTCGAACAGTGAAGATTGACATCGCGACTGGTGAAGTTAACATACCTCCGGAGTCCAGGTGTGTATCTTATGTCTATATTTCCTCAATATGCTGATATCCTTTGAAGCCAATACCTTCCAAAAGGGAAAGTTTGGCGAGATGTCGACCTCTACCCACAGCAATTAGAGTCATAAAGCTTATGGAATAACTCAAAAGTGCATCATTGGCGGAAGCTATCGTATCAACATAGAGTCTTATACTCGCCTCGAGTCGAGTGCATCACTTGATGGGTGACCTCAATTCCTAGTACTTACCTAGCGATGATGCACATTGCCATCGCTCTGGAAACGCATAGAATGGCGGTATTTTCAGTAATGACGTGTCCTACACTTCCCTCCGATTGGGGTCATTATGTACAGAATCGAGACAGCATACCCAACTCATTCCTGATCTAGACATAAGCTTGTGGATTTTCTGAATGTGGATCAAGTCATTGCCCGGCTCGTCGGCATCCCAGGGTGGAAGTAGGGCGGAAGGTAGGTCTGATACAACCCAGCGAGCATTCACGCCACGAAGAGAGAATAATGCCAAGATCTGTTACTTTATGATACAGGGTCGGAAGGAGGCAGGAGGCGAAGTTGAACCAAGACAAACGGAGAATGATGATCACCGTTTGCTGATCGGAGGGCCCGACGGCATGCCTACGCAGCGAGCGAGGATCTACTAAGGACTATGGGGTAGAAACCTAGCAGTGTTTGAGATGTCGCTGCAAGTGGCTTGAAACCTGAGTCGACAACGCCCTTTCCACAAGCCTGATTAGAATGATCTACACACGATCTTGCCTTTCATGCACATGGCTCATGGATGTTGGCCGCGGTACGAGTCCTATGCTTCATACAACGTGAAATTTTCACCTGTGCGCCCCGTGTAGCAGAAACGAATCACTGACCGTGTGTAACCCTGGAATCGTCAGAAGATCGAGGACTGATGAGGGGCGGCGATTGCGGAACAACGGGAACGCAACGTGGCAAGGGAAAGGAGTCGGAGCGTGCGAGCGATCAAGGTCCGTTGACGCAGATAGTACGGCAAGTCGCAAAGACATGTTCCCAATAAAAAAATTGATGTGATGATCGCGGGCTAGATGCCTCTGAAGTGGTAGCAGACTACATCGAACTCGGTTCCATCCGGGAAAGTACAGTTTCACCCACGTAGTACATGATTGTAGATTGGTCACAAGCTGTCTGAAGAGTATTCAGAGAACAACCTGTATGATGAATAATAGAGTTACTCGACCTACAATCAACACGTTGTGGCCATGAGAAGTGTGAGCTCACTTTGACGTCCCACTCTTGATCAGGAATATCGGTGCACTGGATACGCCCATTCCAATGGCATCTATAGTAATTGAAAAGATCGGCACGAGTCAATGGGCGGCGACTAGAGCCAGGGGGGTTCCAAGAGACACTGCCTCAGTTTGGGGACGCAGATCTCCTTGAGATCTTGTACCTGATATTCGGAGCTGGGAACCTCTCTCTGGGATCTTATAGAAGGGGCGATCGGTTTCAGTTTGGATAATTGTGCCCTTTGACGCTGGGTCGCAGGCTTTGTCGGGCCACTGGCAGTGATCACTGATCGAGCACCTTGAGCTCATCAGCGTCTGCAATGAATGTGATCAATAGTACCAGAAAATATGTGTCGATGTTTGTAGAGGTAAGCTATGCTCAAGTCACAAAGAATTCCTATAGCTTTGGCGACGTTCAAGCTCGAGGATGCTTTAGATGTGGTATAGAGTCGTAAGGATCACGTGTAACTATAAGGCTCGCGTGACCGCCCGAGACCGCCCGAGCCCTCCCCGAGTCCTCCCGAGCCCATCGAAGACCAACGAGATACGTTCCATCTCCCTTTCTCAATGGCCGTCGAACATCTCTCAACCCGAGCGCCTCTGATAATATGATGAAAATCTTGCCAGTCGGAGGGCGGAGCGCCAGCGCACTGCCGTATCGTAACATCAAACCTGCGCCACAGCATCTCAAACGGCCGAAGGGTACGTGTCACACACAATGATGAGGAAAATGCATCATGGCGGCTTTCCTGTGTGGCCATCGCCTTCTTGGGCGGGGATAGTCGCAACGATTATAATCGGGTTTCTGTTTACGCTATTGGGTGGGAAAAAGGAGTAAAAGGGCATCACACAACACCCAGCAGATCATTTCAAACCATGATTTCTCTCATCTGGTGCCAGTGGTAAGGTACTACTCGCGTATGATTGTTGGACTAAATCATTCCCGTGTACAGCCTGTCGTACTGTCTTCAACAATTATCGGCGAGAGCACCAGATCATAGTCCCTAGCGACCCTTGATCCTTCGTCGCGAGACACCATCGTCCAGGTAGCACAAGCTGACCTTAAAATTTTGGCCCCTCGGGCTGTGGATTGCACTGCCTGTGTTATACAAGCTGCGACGCCGCCTCCTTTTTAACAGACCTCACCATGCTCTCGATCTCTCAAGCTGACTCTCGAGGTCATAGCTGAGCCAGCGCTCCAGCGACGGCGACTATCTAATTTCTTTCTTTGTCTTCGAATCCGCTACCTGTCAATCTCTACTTCACTCCCGTCCCTACTCGTCGGCATCTCTCTTTTACACGTACTAAACGCGCTACCCGCCGGCACGTGCTTCTCAAACTAAGGATACACGTGGAAATCCCTCAAAAATGGCAGACCCAAACTATGGTCAATGGATCAAAACGGAAAGCGGTATGTCCGCATCCATTTTGCCGACGTATATAATCCTGATGTCTTTCATCCTCAGAAGGGGACGCTCAGTCATATACCTTCACCACTGCTGTTGGACAGGTCAGTGCCCAGCTTTTACGTTGTTTGTCGTCCCTTCTGACGTAGACTGCCCATTTCACTAGACTTCACTCATGGGTCATCGACCCCCGTCTTCGAGTTCCGACATGACTTCCTCGAGCCTACGAGGCGCGATGGGCGATATACATATCTCGTCCGCGTCACACTACTCCGGGTCTCCCTCGCCTACTAGTGATGTCTCTGCTCATGTTCGATCCCAACAAAGGGGTCCAACATATGACGTCGCGTCTGGCATGGTATGGATCCATCCTTCACCAGACGTCCCTCCCCAAGCCACCATGCAATCATCTGGGTTTGGAGGTGACTCAGACCAGAGTACCCCTGTCTCGTTCTCCAATATACCTCCGCCTTCCGTTCATCCCGACAATGCCACGAACAATTATTTACAGTATTCATCTTATAATCCCGGAACATATCCTCCACAACCATCTAGCTCTCAGCATTCACAGTCTGTATCCTCCATGTTCGCCTCTTCCCCTTATCAGGATCAATTTGGCTTCGAGCAAGTTCGCCCATCGCAGTCGATGGTGCATGGTCAGATCACACCACACTCTGCAACCTTCCCTACCCAAGGACGCATCGCATCCTCCTCCCCCAGTCGCCCCGCCCATGCCCTTGATGAAGAGAACCGCCGTCTACGCAACAGAATCAACCAATTAGAGCTTTACAACGAGTCGGCTCGCATCCGTATCCGGGAATTGGAGGCAGAATTGGCCAACCCCATGCACAGCGCATCGTTCGCCGGACCATCATCCGTCAGCGGACTTCCCACCCCTCTGCCAACATCTCCCATGCCTACCACCTTTAACGCTTCCTGGAAAGCGAGGTATGACGCCCGAGTCAAACTTCTCTGCTCCTTGAACCGCGCAGGCAATGCTCTTTGCGCGTGGCACGACACTCGGCGGGAACGCCGGGCTCACCCTCCGCGCATGGCACCCCCTGGGCGCCTCAACTGTGGCTGCTCTTTCGATGAAGCCCTTTTCGAAGAGAGCCTTGCTCGTCACGGTGTTGGGAGTTACCACCCCGGCGAGAGCGTCCGCATGGATCCTGCCCTTCGGAACCCCTTTCTGAAGCTGTTGCAGCAGCGATTCGGTTACAAAGACGGCGACTTTGAACGCGATCCCGTCACGGGTAACTGGGTCGAAGGCGAGGGCCATGCAATTTGGGAAGCGAAGGTGCACTCTGGGGGCAGCAGCCATCGGAAGGCACGTCCTGACGAACGTCATTGAACCCTTCAGTGCACCATGATACGCTTTCCCAAGGGCTCTGTTTTTTCGCGTCGATCATCTTGTTTGCTTGCTGTGCGTTGTCTATGTAAGTCCGTCATATAGAGCTTTGTATGTAACTCAATCCACTATACCCTCAACTTCGACTTCGCACTTCTCATTTTGTGTTGCATTTGATTGTCTCTTCCCCACTATCCTTTCATCGGCACACATTGTTCTCATATCACTAAACTACCACTCGCCTATTTACTGTTTCAGTTACTGTCTCTTAGCCCCTGGCACCCCCGATGTAACCCTAGCATTTCTCGTCGTCTCCACTGTTTTCTTATATCACGATTTGAAAACCCCTTAGAGCTTGGTTTCTCATGAAAAAATGTTGACTTTTCAAAATTATGCGCCTGTTTGTCCAAATGAGCCTGAATACAATCCTGATTTTGGAATGCGCATGCGTTGCCCGGAACGATGCATCAACGATTGGGAGAAGCTGTGCGTTACACGACTACTCAAAGGCAATCAGGCATAGTCGTACTGTCCTCCCTTTTCGATTCCCTAGAAAATAGAGTGCAATTTAGGTCGATTTTGATCACGGCTCAACACACTCACTCGTTTGTAGGCAGGCCTAGAAGGAAATCTTGAGCTTTATATTGTTGTAAAGTTTGGAACACAACTTGCTCACCTTTCGTGGATACGGTTGACCCATTCTTGAACCCTCGGCCCGATATGCTCTTTCGAACGAGCGGTCAAGGCTTCCAAGGGAAATAGCATCATATAGTCTGCGGAAGTCGGCTCGTTACCTCCAGCGAAGAAATTACCGGACTTGGCAAGGTGAGCCTCCACCTAAGTACCAATCACCATGATTAGTACGACTTCCCATCAAAGAACTATGTCACTTGCCAGATCGAGATTTCTCTTGAGTTGAGGATTAACGAGTCTGTTAGTGAGTTGATCGAACACAGTCCGAACGATTGGCCTGATTAAAAAGGGGCTACGCCCTGGAACAATGCTGAAGACGAGCTTGTTGACGGCCAAGGGCATCAATGTGCCCTCTGCATAGTGAGAGACTAGGAGTATGGGCAAAATCCATAAGTAATTGCCGAGCATCCTCTCCTCAATAGAATGACATGCTGATCACTCACAGTAGAGGTTATCAATTTTCCCGGCATCAGGAGGCGAAGCTTTGCCACCGCCATATTTAGAGATGATATATTCTGTGTTAAACATGTTAGATCTGCATGACGCAGCACAGTGAAGTAAGGGACGGACCAACGATTGCGCCACTTTCAGCCAACGTTACGTCTCCATCTGTGATTACGGGAGACTTGCCAAGGGGGTGGATGTCGAGAAGTTCCTTGGGAGCAAGCAACTCGGCTGTGCGCTGGTAAAGCTTGATCTCATAGGGCACCTCCAACTCTTCCTGGAGACGATTCAGCAGGTTAGGGCACAAAACATACCAAGAGAAAGCATGAGCTTACAAGTAACCAAAGGATCCTTTGAGAACGAGAATTGTTCAGGTGGTGGACAATTAAGGTAGATTGTGCGGAAGCCGCCGCTGTAAATAGCAAACGCATAGTTAGGCAACCATGTGACTACACCTTAAAAATCGTGCATGGAAGAAAATGAAGGAATGTACCTGGAGCAGCATTAACAGCATCTGCAGACATGATGGGCGCGAAGGAGGACGTGAAGCAACGATGTGAGAGACATGGAAAGCGGAGAGCCCTCATATAGAAGCTCAGTTTCCATTGCCAGCCACGTGCTATCGGTACATATGAAAGCCGACTGACGGCCGGGATGCCCGCGAACATTACTCGCGACTTCCACCAGCTTCCACCGTTGGTCGAGAATCGAGATCTTCCAATCTCTGACTCTTCTCCTACTCATCGTTACATCCACAGGTCCGAATTTACTGCTATGATGTTTCAATACTTGCTATTTGGCCCGCTCTGTGTCACGGGTGTCGTGTCAAGGAATACTCCTTATGTGAGTCTACGACCGGCTTTCGGAAGCCCGCGCATACAAGCAGCCATTTCAACTGGTATTGCCCTGTTTTACTTGCTTTGCATTTTTTTGATTGATTGCCGATGTTGATGCCTCATGCGCCACAAGTTTTCCAGGACCTAGACATCGGCAATGAGGACTTCAATGCTTTATTTCGCAAACCTGGTAGGCATGGGATTTGCAATATAAACTTTTTTTTACAATCAGCTGTTTAGATATCGCAACACTACAAGATAGGAAGCCAGACTGTTTCCGACAAGCTGCGGGGCAAATTTACATACGCTGTGAGGACCTTGATATGGATGAAGGCAGTAGAGTTAGAGGTATATACAGCCTATGCATTCTTGCTTTATGCTGATTTCTGTAGCCGCTATTTCTATGACCCTTTGCGAGCTTAAGACAGCACAATATCAGTCCACGCCTATGGAGTGTGCCGCATTCTCGTTGAACACTAAGACCGATGCTCTCCAAGACATGCCATATGCTGATTGCGTGGAGTGAGCGTTCCCAAATTTCTTTGTGCGAGCTCATGTTTAGTTATGGACAGAGCTATCTCTAGAAGTGCACAATTCTGGGCAAGTTACTCAGGTTATCTTCGGGAGATTCGTGAGCCTTGTCGTCTCAATCTTTTCTAACCTAGTACGACGGGGATGTTTTACAGCTCAATTATGCTTTGCCTTTCAACGGGGAAATTCTATAGGTATGTTGTTTTCCGTGCTGACTTCAATCTGTTGAGCTAGCGAGTTTGTCCAGACACTGCTCAAGAGATATATAAGAATGCAACGCTTGAGAAGGTCGCATATATTCGTTATCTATTTGATTTAAGCAAGACACACGAAGAAGGTCGCGTGCACTGGCGTGCTCTTGTAGCAGTCAGTCGAATGGAGTATCATCGTATACTTTGCGGATGATGACATTCCTCTCTAGGAGACGCAAGCTGTCATCGACGGCCTGCAAGCATCTTCGAGAAAGATAGATGTCATCTCAGCCAATGTCATGGAAAAAACCGAGGACGTTTTGCGCCAAGTACCGTATTTATTACTTAACCGTGCTTTTGCTCTGTGTATAACATTACCAGGCGACAATCACTTTCCAATCACTGTTATCGGAGCTCTTGCAGCGCAACGAAGAGCATTTGGTCTATGCTCTTTCCAATGTACGTGCTATCACTCTTCTCTCGTATATGTCTAATAACACGCATATATCGACAGATAGACTCTGTGATTGGGTCAATTGAGCGATCTGTAGGATTTAAAGGCCTGGCTTTCGTTTATCGATTGTAATTGTTGCTTGCATACAGCACTCGGACAAGCTAACCATTCTCACGTCAAATGTCGAGCAAGACTTGGTTTTGCGGCTGGATGCAATGTTTAGAAGCACTGACGAAAGCTTTGTTCGTCTTGTCAATTTAGCAGTATGTCGTTGTTCCCGCCTTCGTAATGACCATATAATGACTACGCCTTAGGATGGTTTAGGAAACCAGTGGTCCATCATGGGTACCCATATGGAGAGTCTACAACAGGGAAGTCTTCTCACAGTGGTATTGCTATCAGGTCTTTAAATTCCATTATAGATGACCTTGCAGCTTCTTCGATCTGCAAGTGAGGCTTCGTCCCTCTTCGACACACACGCTCTTCAAGCGCGCCAAACCGAACGGATTCAAATTGACGTCTCTCGCTCCACTGCTCAGCTAGCCGAGGCTATCAAACAGATGACGGCCTCAACACACGAGGAGATGCGCAAGATCAACGAAACGGCCACGACGCTGAAGATCAGCCTTTCGGAAACCTCTGACCTACGCACTCCTTCCGAGTTTATGAGCGGAGGGCTTCGCGCGCTTTTCTCATTCTCACGGGACTGTACGTCGTTGGTCTTTTTTACCCACATGCCCCGGCAATTGTTCGATACATGTTGCAAAGTAACCTCAACTTACGTTCATTTGGCGATCTCAATCAGTCGACGCTTTAACGACGCCTCATAGCTTCGACCTCCATCCGATCGTCCAGCTTAGTCTTCTCTTTTTCCGACTTCTCGTGTTTCTGATGCGAGGCTTGCTGTCGTCTCCTACGATCGTAAGCCCTGTCATTTGATTGCAGATTATCCATTCTGATTCGGTCTGTGAAGATGTTCATCTTATTCTGCACCTTTGCGATTCGCATGATTATACACAGGATTTTTGTACCCACCGCGGTGCGCCAGGGGTATAACGCTTCACTTTTGATTCACGTAGCGCCGAACCCCTTGACATTCAAGCATGTTCCCTTCCTTCCTTTTTTTTTTTAGATTGATCCGCGGACAACCGCTAGAACAAGTACATTCCAGATGTTTGACGCGAGCGGTGCCTCGGTTCCATTCCGCGCAAGCCGATTCGAGGACAGTGGTGCGCTCGCGGATGTCAAGAATACCAGATAGGCTGTGTGATTCTGCTGGTGACGATCTTCGCTGGAGCTGAGCGCTGAGTTTTGGCGTCTCCGTGGTCTGGTCTCCGCCAAGCCTGCTCGCCTTCCCACCTTGCTCTGCAACCGCTCGTGCCATTCTTAGTTCCCGCTCTTCGTACCTCGTGGCTCCATCCGCTGCCCTGAAGTTTCTCCTCTCTTTGTTCTAGGCGCCACGCTTCAACTTCCAGTCTTAGCCTGTTATAGAACTTTGTGTACCTAGCCGTGGGCGGTTGTATATTTCTTTGCGGATCGCGGAAATAACCGGTATCTCTGTTTCCATGTTGGACTGAAACAAGGAAACCCTTTGAACCAACAGACGGTTTGCAGGTCTATAGAATCAGAGACACAACATGTTGGAATGCTATCGAATTCGTACACCAACATCTGTAGTACGACGACAGTAATATCACATCCAAGAGGAAAAAAAATCCGCTTGGATGAAAATGTAGTATGGAACGAAATGCGGGAGGCAAGCAGTGATGATGATACCCTACAATGCACGAGACAAAACGAAAGATACAGGTAAAGAACAAAGCCCACGAGAACGGGGATATAAATAGTCTGTTTGCACCGAGAATGGACGAATTAGGCGAGAAGAGGGAGAGAGCTGCAATGGGAGAGGTGGAAGAACGATTAACCTCGTCTCACGATACGGATTCATCATGGTTCTGTCCCCTCTTGAACCGCCCCAATACGCTCTTTCCCCTCCGCGCGCCGGTACCACCATCGTCTGCCACAGCCAAAACAGCCTCCTCGCCGCCCGCCCCAAATCGATTATTCCACCCCGTCACGAACGCGCTCCGCCGCCACCCAGGACTCCGCGCGGTCTCCGAGTAATACTCAGGCTCGCCCTCCATGACGACCTTCATTGTCGACGTGTTGATCCTGAACTTCTTCCCTTGCAAGGCGGCGTTCATGTCCGCACCGTACTGTCGCCCATCGAGCAGCTGGGCCATAGGCGTGGAGGCGGTGATGGCCGCCGCGGACGCGAGGGTGCCGGGACGGTGGAGGAGGCGGAGGTCGCGGCGGTCGTATCGGTGGAGGATTTGAATGATCACGCCGAAGAAGGCGATCACGAGCATCGCGGCGGCGAGGAGATGCACGGCGGTTTCGCTACCGTCGGAGACAATGATGTGCACAGCGATGAGACGCCCTGTCTGAGGTTGGGTGAAGAAATAGTCCGTACCTCATCCACAGCCGTTTTTCGATAGACTGAACGCGTACGTTAATAGCATCGCTCGTGTCCACGAGATAGACGAGTTTGGCAAGCATCACGAGATACGAGCGCTGTCCCCCACCCGCAAAAAAGACAATCAACAAACTTGCACTCGCTTTAAACAGGCCGCCGGAGAAATTACGGAAGACACTTACATAGACAGTTGCCGACAAATCCGCAAATGCGTTATTCACAAACGCGGCCGCGAGTCCCTCCTGGCTCTGCACTGCATTCTGGAATACAGCAGCGGGCAGCTGCAGCTGAATGGCCTGTGCGCGCATGTTCACAAACGGATCTGCCACGAGCTGGCTCTGCGTCCAGTTCAGGCCGTTGTACGCTTGCCCGTTGAGTGGCGCGCCCGTCAAGTTGCTTGCATGCTGCGTGAAGTTGCCTTGCCCGGGGACGACATTGCCCAGCGTCTGCACGCTCGTCAGGTTCGACGTGCTCAGGTCCACCGTGACCGCGACATTATGCAGCGCGATCGACGGTGCACACATGGTGACGGACGCCATCGCGGTGGGTTCGTACGTGAAGAACCAGAAGATGACGGGCATGAACTCGACGGTGGTGTTGAACGCGGAGCACGGCGTCATGACTTGCGCGCCAAATAAGTGCTGCGAAGACTTGTCAACGGTCCAGGAGTACGTGCACCCGCTGAAGGTTGCGCTGTTGGTCCATCCGGTACCATCGGTATGTTGGCTCATCTGCACGCTCTGTTGCCAATGCTTAGTATCACGCAGATAAAAAAAGGTCTCGAGGGGGCTCACTTGGTCTGGTCCGCGGCATCCAGGATCACTGAGAATGGCTGTGGTATTTGCAGAGACCGTTCCGTTCGTAGCGATGTCCAGGGGTAACTGCGCTCCGACCCTATCAGTCTTTTTTCTTCCGGTCCAATGTTTGTTGACCCACATGAAACTCGCCGACAGTGTACCCATCTCGCACGAAAGCAGCGTCGCCTAGCCCATACAGAATTTTAGATGACGCAAACCCGGATGCTCCAAGGAATGCTGAACATGATCAACAAATTTTCAAAATGAGGAAATTAGCCATCACTCGAATCGGCTCTACGCGCGCACAAACACGCACTCGTGAGATCCTGAAATTGCTGATTCTGGTTCAGCCCGATCTCTTGAAGGTTGCTGACGAGCATGTCGGGGTGAGTCGTCCACGTGTCCCGGAGTACGAGCAGCGCAGCCGCCAGAGGCTGGAAGCTCAGAGCCACGATCGCCATGAGCGATGTCAACGCGACCAGGTAATGCTTGTTGACTGCCGCCTTCACCCACACAATGAAGTTGCTACGTTCGGCACCATCAATGTTACTGCATAGAAGTGGGGAAAAAGGGCGGATCCCAAACGTACTGTGTACGAGTGTAGTCAAGCAGGAGACTGTGTTGCGCCGGGGAATCACCATGGATAAGGTCGACATACGGCTAAAAGTGATAGAATATTGAATACCTTCGGAAGGATACAATTTCAGAAAGAGAGGATATACCTGCAAGCGCTTGACTTCTATATCTGTCCACGCCCAAAGACCAACGAGGATCATCGCAACGAACACCGGGGGAAGAGTCTATTGATAAGATGTGAAAATGAAGACGGAGATGAGCGTCCACACCAATATTAGCACGTGTATACGCACATATACATAGTGCATTAAGCCATCTGACGATGACCACTTCCCGCTTGTTGACCACCCTGCATGTCAGAAGAGTAAATGAACCTCGCGTACGTGTGGGAAGGGCGGAGCACGCACCGTTATTCCTGTTTGTGAGCGCGAGAGCGACCTCCAGCGCGATAGCGATCGCGACGAGCAATGTTGAAAACGTGACCCAGAACCAAGTCTGCAGTGGCGTCGGCGTCCACCCCGGCATGGATAAGGGTAGCCCGTTCGCATCTATTACCACAAACACCGGTCGCGAGGTGTAGGTTCCAGAAGATGAATTGATCGTGTTCGAGATATATGTTCAGAGGAGTGAACTTCACTTCAAAGATGAAATTTAAGTGGGGCATGCGCACCTCTATCATGTGCAAACGGCGCCGGTTTTTCAGGGGACGCATACGTTGCATATTGCGCGTGCTCGGGCGTGAGCAAGCCTGATGTTGGGACATCGGGGTGCGAAGGCGTCCTCGACGGCGTCATAGGTTCATTCGGGCTCGCTCGGCTGCGCGTCGGCGAGTCTGTGCGGAGCTGTGTGTACATTGGGAAAGAACGAGGGGTCATTAGTATCGAGGTTGGGCTTTGCACTATATATGCATGAAGACATCAAGACGAGGAAAACATCATAACAGACATAGGCACAGCCCTGAGGCGATGTCATACGAGCACAAAGCAAGCAAGCAAGAACCCAGCAAAATGACTAGTGACCGATGAGTGAGTGATATTAGGATAGGTGGAGCGACGTGCCTGGCACCGCCGGGAGCGAGCAAAGCTTAAAAAAGATAGCACGGCGCCCAATATCAATATCATGAATCAAGGATTCAGTATACGCTCGCCCTTTTCAGGCATAAGCAAACAGCCAGCGCGTTTTATAGGGACAGAAACCATGGGCGGCAGGGCGGTACGTAGACAGGAAGGGAAATGTATGGCCATATACGCTGCAAAAATATGATAGTCGATACCGGTGGAGCGCTGTGAACACAGCCCGAACTTGCGCTATCGATCCCAGGACATGCGAGTTGCATCTTCTGGAATCATACAGCACATCGCATAGGTTCGCGTAACCAGAGAACTCGTGATTCCGGCGAGCGCTTCGATCGCGTTATCGTAATCGGGAAGGAGTCTGGGATCCTTGGGTGTGATGCATGACAAGCGATATGCAGTCCGAAGACCGAAAACGCGCATATAATGGGGTCTCAAAAACCCTAGCACTCCGACGATCATTCCTTGCTTGGCCTCGAGGCATATACACGCAGAGCCCCCGTACCGCCACATTCGTAGAACACGATTCTGAGCTCCTCCGTTCCTCCAAGACCGAAGACATGACGAGTCCGCACGTACCTCCTGATAACCCTGATACTCTAGGATCGGTAGTTGGCTCTGTGTGCCAGGCACCGTGGGAAGAGGTCGTGGATCCTGAGAAGGAGGCCGAGTCGAGAAGGACTGCCTCGTCGGACCGGCAGCGCTCAAAGGCTCCATCGCGAGAAGAGCGTATTGGGAGGAATCAAAGGACTGGAAATAGGCCATGCGTTAGGGCATGGAGTGAAATGAATAGTTGAGCAGATGGCACGAGAAGGGCAGAGAAAAGCGGTAGGCGAGGCCCCGGTACTGCTCGTGTATGCCAATGCATACTTAAGGACAGGTTTGCGAACGCGCGCATCGAGGCCCGGCAAGAGAAGCGAGGGTCTCATTCTGCTTCATGTTCACAGTGGGCGCTCAAGAAGGCTTACTTGCCTGATTTCGGGAGGTGGTCGGTGAGATTCGCCTCCCGCCTGGTCATGCACAGGTCCTCGCGCGGCTGCAGAACGGAACCCTAGCTGCGACAACGCGTGTTTGTGTCAATCAGATCTCCAGCAGGTGCTGCAGCTCATGATAGTAGCGGACTGACCTGTGGCGGATGTGGGAGTGGTGGAGGTGGTCAGGCGGAAGGAGAGAAGGGAAGCGACGGACAGAAAGCATCACCGTAACGTGCTCTCATCAAGGCTGCTTCGACGACTGGATCAACCGCTCGAAATGACCGTGCGACAAACGCGTGACTCTTTCCTGCGCGCCGCGTCACACGCGTCGTCTGACCTCTTTTCACCGCCGTCGGGTTTCGACATCCCGGCTTCACTTGCTCAACCAATACTTCTGCCATATGTGTCTTATTGTCATCGGTCATGGTAACCTCTCTTGGCTCCCACCAGCACCGGCAATTGTCCATAGCAACTTGGAATCAGCCAGCGCGTTTAAGTCGGACGCCCGCGCTTCTAATTTTGGACCCCAAAACGCGTCGTTCTCGAGAATTCTGTTCTGCACGTTTGACCACGTACGACCATCACGACACTTGTGGTTATAACCTCTATCACCTCAATCAGTGACAGCGTCGTACGAATGCCACACGAGGTCGTGTTATTTTCTGAAATAGCATAGATTTCCCAACAAGAGCACATGTGTCAGATGAAGAACAAGCGAGGCAGCCGAGAAACCCGACTCAGCTAAGCGCCCACCGCCGCGCGAGCACGAGGCGAGAGTCACGCGCTCAACCTCCCCCCTCCAATCGCGCACGACGAGATGTCTGTTCTTGCAGCGATGTACGACTGATGTTGTTGCGGGCTTGAGCTTGCTGCTCCTCAGAGTCCCCGATCGTGGAGCTGGAGTTCGAATCATGAGTCGATGCGACGGAACAGAGACTTGCGAACCCAAGCAGCTCAACAGTGCTCGAGGTTCGGACACAGAATCACAGGGGGAAAAAAGAGATGGGATTCTAGATGACGACATGTAGCAACCAGAGAGGCGACACATGGACCAAAGTTTGAGCGATAGGAGCATCGAGAAGGTCAGGGCCAAATGCAACTCAGTTCCCACTCAGCGAGTCCTGCTCTCGACGGCAGAGGCCTTTCACGCGGGACCACCACCACCAGTGGCAGTTGCGAACAGCCAGCACCAAAACACGCCATATCAGAGTCTCATCTGCATACCAGAATGACCCTCGACCTCGAACAATTTCAGTTTGAGCGCGTTTTGAACGAAGGTAGTCTGCTTCCATCATTCCTGCAGCGCGACTTCTCGATCCGCTCACAATCCGACACAGATCCTCTTGCCCACGCGATCACCCTGCTTGGATCTTTGCTCTCAAACACGTCTGGAAGTGACGATGTCAATCCCAGTGCCGCGATCATACGGATCGAGAAAACCGCCCTGCCTGCGTTCTCTGATGACCTCGTCGGCAGTACAAAGCTGATTGAGAGCACCGACATCGTGAGTCCAGCCCCTCTCCCATTCGATCCTTGATGTCTGGACCTCGAAATTGACCTCACTACGGGAAGTACTCGTGGCTCTTTGGCTGGCTCAGATCGTCAGAAGAAAGGCCGGACATCAAGATCAACGTCATCTGTCCCGCGACAGAAGTCCACATCCGCAAGGTTCGTCAGATACATCATCCTGACGCATCTTTATGGCTGTGATGATGACTGTCCAAGCTATTTTCTACCTGATGCGATCTAGTATTCACGGCAACAAGTGCACATGGTGCACGAGACACCCGCACTGTACGCGCGCGTTGTCAAACCATATATCGACGCCTTCCCCGCCTCGCGCACCCAATGGTAACCTTAATTCTCTCACCACGCTGTCCTTTTTGTACCAAGTCAAAAAATGTGCACAGGGTAGAGGACATATTGTCTGGCGCCTCCGAGGCCGAGAAGGTGCTCTTTCGCTCACCGGAGACGGACCCGCACGGGTTCCTCATCCTCCCAGACATGAAATGGGACCTCTCGACCGTCTCCGCGCTCTACCTTGTCGCGCTCGCGCTCGAACATGGCGTGCGAAGCCTCCGCGATCTGCGGCGCGTGCACGTCCCAATGCTCAAGAGCATCCGGCGCGAGGCGTACAGGATCGTAAAGGAGCGCTGGACGCTTGAGCCCAGCGAGCTCCGGTGCTTTGTGCACTATCAGCCGAGCTACTGTACGTGTCTCCGATCCTTCCTCACCCAACCCTCGCGATTAGGTCTTGCCACGCGCGGTGCTCTATAACTTACTGGCCTTGGCCCCAGATCATTTTCACGTGCACATTGTCAACGCGAACTACGTGGGCCTAGCGGGCATGTCCGTCGGCCAGGCCCACTTGCTTGACGACATCATATCCATGGTAAGTCACGTCCAAAATTTTGTCTATCAGCCTTGCCTGCTTACTGACCGCTCTACACAATTGCTTCTCTATCCTGGAATCGTCTACTCTCGCACGCAGCTTGAGCTCGACCCAGAGTTAGGGCCATCGATATTCGAGCGCATGACGCTCACATATGGGCTGGGCGACCAGCACGGGTTATTCGAGCAGATGCAAATTGTGCAGGGTGAGGATGGGACGAGCGACGAGGCTGGTTCAAGCTGAATAGGTGGCGTTCGTGATCAAGCTACAAAGGAACGGAGGCGTGCTGTCGTGAATCTCGAATATCTCGATGCACTTGAACACGATGCGGGTCCTGTTGAGCTGACATCACGCTTAAAAATTGAGTGCCATTCATCCTCTATTCCGTTTAAGCGACGAAGCATACAACAGACAGATCAACATGGTGATACAATGCAGGAAAAGCCAATGGGACGAAGCAGAACGCAAGACTGGCGGTCACGCTGGTGGAACAGATCTCGTCATAAGGCATCGAAACTCTCAAAAGTGGGCACGTTCCATCTCAAGGTTGACGGTGTTCGACTCGCAGTCGCTAGACTTCCATTCAAAGTCCGAGTCGCTGTCCTCTGAGTCGCTGACGAACATTGAGATGTTCATCGAAGGGGGTCGCAAAGATGGAGCGGACGAGAGAGCCAAGTTCTCATTGTTGTTTGGAGATTTCTCTTGCAAAATGAGTGCCGGATAATATGTTTCGCGTCCATTTTCGTCGCGAGGTAGTTTGATACCAGGAAGTCTCGCTGGAGAAGAAGGACAGTAGTCATCACAGCAGTAGAGTAGACAAAAGAACACCGCGTGCCTGAAGGAAAACTGATCATCTCTCCACTTTCATATCCCGGCGACGAACATATCGACATCCGCCAATGTTCCTTGCGCGGTTTGGTCCGGTGGCACATCTCCATCGAGCGATGTCCACCATTGCAGCTCGCCCTCTGCTCCTGTTACTTCTCTGAAGCATTCTAGACACGTGTCTTGTGGTGACCGGTCCAATGGAGGCATAGTGTACGGGTTGGAGATCCATACCGAACGCATTCTGAGGCCAGGAATAACAAATTTGGTAATGGATCCCCTCCCCATCAAGCACAACGCCGTGATGCTGGATAATACGACGATGGACACTCTCATGATAAAGAGCAAGTCCGGCGGGATTGTATTTGCCGATAAGGTTGGCATCTGTTGCGAGCTCCCGCAGCCAGACCTCATGAATCAGATAGGCTAAAACTGTTTCGTCGTCGAGCATGCTGCCACTCTGGTAAGGAGCTGCTGAGAGGCCTGTATGACTCTCTATGATAAAAGGTAGTGTTAACTCAGGTCTGCTGCTATGATGAACGCACGAAGATTATTCCTTGGAAGGACGTATGTGTACAAAGCGACGTTGTCCTTAACATTGTCGTTGGAGACGTAGATGTGTTGCAGTCGAAAATACGAAGGTGTTGCCGACACGGCACGCACACGCCAGTCAGATTTACTGCTGAAAACCTGCTGTTCGTCATTGGTAGCTAGATAGAAATGAGCACGACCGAGCCTCTGTCGACAAGCGGAAGATGGTTCGACTTACTCGTAACAGTCTGAATTGTATCACCATGTTGGTGGTTTGTCTATAGCTCACCCTGATCAACGACGCTCGCTCTACGCTCCTATACAACATTCGTGGCGTGCTGGAAACCGAGTCCACTAGATGGTGATCACCTAATAAACATCCTCTCCGCCATGACAACATCATGGCTTTTCTCGATCAGCTCAAAGTCGCGGATTCCCAACTCAGCAGGGAACACCGACGATGACAGAAACAGAGGATACCTCACTACCTCTGCCCTTCCTGACCAATCAAAGTCGATGATCCTCACCTGCTCCTTCCCATCACCATTCAGAACCATCACATTTGACCTCCTTAGGTCCCCACGCACCAAATATTTCCCTGCGAGAATCCCGATTGCCTTTGTGACGGCGGCCCGCACATCGTCCGAAACAACTGATCTCGCATACTTGTCCGCCAACGTTGTTCCCTCCAAGTGTTCCATCACTACCATGCCAAACCCATCGTACCAGTGCCCCGGACGTCTCTTCGCGAGGTCCGAAAAGTACATGAGGCGCGGTGCCAGTTCCTCCGATGTCAACAGCTCATGTGGCTCGATCCCGTACCTGTCCACAAACTTCACCACGATGGAGTCTCCCTCGGCCCCATTCACCGTGATCCTTGCCAGGAAAGTGAGGCACCAATCATGCTGGTGGAGGCGTGCCTTATAGACGAACTGGAACTCTTGGCCCTTAGAAGAATAGGACGTGATCTCCGGGAAGAAGCGCGAGAAATCGCGAGAAATCAGAGGCGTCGTCCAGTACCACTCGCAAAGGGAGTCCACCGCATTCGCGAGACACTGAAACATACGTGCCAAGTTCATCGCATGCGATTTCCCCGAGTGTCGATCTTGTCCGATAAATACCCAGTCCGTCAGATGTTAAACCACCGCCTTGTCCAACAGGACTGCCCCCATCACACATAAGTAAGGCCCAGCCACCGCCACCAGAATGGTCGGACAACGACACGCCTCACGAATATTTACGCGCTATACAAAACTGCGTTATCAAAACTCTCCGTGATCTGACAGAGAGGTATGCCTACCGAAGGATCCGCCTAATATTGCAGGAATGATAACCCTGCCTGAGCACGCGGATCATTACCTGTCCCCTTCTCCTCTATCAATAACGGCGCCACAGTACCTTTGGGCGGGATCTCTAGCGGCAGCGACACACAATCGGGTGAGGTCTCGCGGTGGGTCTCTTGCTCATATCCTTGAGGTCCGCGCGGAACTTGGCAAAGACGGTATGGTAGAGCTCAATCGGCGGCCCTATGTTGACCGTCCCTCCATCGCCGAACCGGCCGTCCAAAATCCGACTTGGCCCCACTTTATATGTCCTATAAAGATTGGCACTGGCGTTTGTGGACGGGGCCCCCTCAGTAGTCGCAGCTCCGATGACCTCATCCAATCCTAACCGACAAATGCTCGTCAGTAGCATCTCCGCAATTGGCTCGACCAGACGTACTGTAACAAAGTCTTGCCTTGGGGTCCGTCGGTTCCACATTCGTAGACGCCTGAAGATGGGGTGGTTATCCAAGTTCTAGTATCGCGCTCGCCGTGACCAGAAATTCCAACAATGAATCATCATCTTCCGCCTTGACGATATATCTGACCTTCGCTGCCTTCTGACACGCACGACTTGCTGTGCACATTGCTTCCAACCTCTCGCAGAAGTCGACGTTGACCTCGCGCACGCGGATTACCCCCTCAACCTGATGTATTCAAAGATCAGGACGTCCCTGACTTCAGAGAGGAGGTTACTTACAGGGTGGAATGTCAAACCATCAGGATCAAACTCGATTTTCCACCTACGACAGATATCCTCGGTCACTATAGTAGACAACTCGGCGATTGTGATTCCGTTCTTTGCCGCCAATACGGTATCTGACACAGAGACCCATTTAATTTCGTACATATCGTTTGTGGGGTGAAGCAGAATGTAGTGAAGGCGTCTGGAATTGCGAGTGCTGCATGACATGTCGATGGTCAGGAGCTACCAAGTGATCCCTTCAAATGATGACGAAAGCCTTGGCGGAACTGTCATGAATTCTTTATACTTGACTTAGAGCGTGTGCTATACACTCTGCCATTTAGACGAGGATTAACTTCAAGGTGTTGTTGGCGGTTAGCCCCTGAAATGCTTACTAGAGCCTTTAACCTGTTATAGGCATTACATAATTTTTTCGTAAAATCCGTGCCATCTCGTGCCATGCATGTCGTGCCTGATGCTCTGCAGTAACGTAACACTTTGGGACACTGAGTGGTCTCTCCTGTTCTTAATATCATCTTCAGTGGAAAGACAACGACAAAAATAGCCTGAAAGAGATTCAACTGGTATATTGCGTAGATAAGAACGAAATGCGAGAAGGGAAGGATGATGATGATACTTGCAGTACTATACGAGACAAACTGAAGGATGCGAGTGATTGAGAGCCCACGACCGAAGGAGACGTTGGTAGTATGTGTATATGTATATTTGAGAAATATCTCGAATGAAAAGAGGCAAAGAAAGGGGAGAGGGGAAGGAAGGAGGCAACCTCATCTCATGTCGTAAGATTGCCACTGTCCTATTTCCCTCTGGAACTGCACAAACACGCTCTTACCTCTCCGCGCACCACCAGAGCAGCTCCTCGCCGCCCGTACCAGATTGATTACACCACCCTATCATGAATGTGATCTGCCGCCACCCATGGCTTAAGGCTGGGCAGCGCTCCCGCCCGCCACGACGACTTTCATGGTCGCCGAATCGATGCCGAACGTCATTCCTTGCAGGGTGGCCTCGATGTGTGGGCCATACTGTCGCCCATCGAGCAGCTGGGCCATGGGAGTGGAGGCGGTCATGGTCGTGGCAGACGCGAGGGTACCGGGGCAGTGGAGGAGGCGGAGGCGTTCTCGGCCGCGGCAGTGGAGATATTGAATGAGTCCACCAAATATGGCGACTACGAGCATCGCGGCGGCTAGGAGATGGGTAGCGGTTTTACTGTCATCGAAGACGAGGACGGGCGCAGCGATAAGGTCTCATGTCAGGAAGTAGTCGGAGAACTAGCCCATACCTCAACCACAGTCGTTTTTCAATGGACTGAACGCGCACGTTGATGTGGTCGTTCGTGTCCACAAGATACACGAGTTTGGCCAGCATCGTGAGATAAGAGCGCTGCGGATCCCCGGAAACCATTGAGTGACAGATGAATTCGCACTGACACCAGGGAAACACTCACATAGACAGTAGCCGACAGCTCCGTGAATATGTTATTAATAAACGCAGCCGCGAGCCCCTCCTGGCTCTGCACTGCATTCTGGAACACAGCAGCGGGCAACTGAAGCTGAATAGCCTGCGCGCGCAGATTCACAAACGGATCTGCCACGAGTTGGCTCTGTGGCCAGCTCAGGCCGTTGTACGCTTGCCCGTTGATTGGCGCGCCCGTCAAGTTCCCCGCATGCTGGGTTGATGTGCCATCCACAGGCACGACGTTACTCAACTTTTGCACGCTCGTCAGGTTCGATGTGCTCAGGTCCACCGTGACCGCGACATTATGCAGCGTAATCGACGGCGCGCACATAGTGACGGACGCCATCGCGGTAGGTTCGTACGTGAAGAACCAGAAGATGACGGGCATGAACTCGACGGTGGTGTTGAACGCGGAGCAGGGCGCCATGACCTGCGCGCCGAACAGGTGCTGCGAAGACTTGTCAACGGTCCAGGAGTATGCACACCCGCTGAATGTCACGCTGTTGGTCCATCCATTACCATCGGTATGTTGGCTCATTTGCACGCTCTGTTGCTCATGCTCAGTATCATGGCAGAGAAAAAGCAAGGTCTCGAGTGGCTCACTTGGTCTGGTCGGCGACATCCAGTATCGCTGAGGATGGCTGTAGTAGTGGCAAACACCGTCCCTTCCGAAGCGATGTCTAGGGGTAACTGTGCTCCAGCCATATGATGTGAGTCATTTTGCGCTGGTCCAATCATTGCTCACTCACGTGAAACTCGCCGACAGTATACCCATCCCGCACAAATGCCGCATCACCAAGCCCATACAAGATTTTAGAAGAGGCAAACCCGGACGCTCCAAGAAACGCTAACAAGAATGAATTTTTTAAATCAAAATCAGCCGACACTCAAAGCGACTCTGCGCGGGTGCGAACACGCACTTGTGAGATCCTGAAACTGCTGGTTCTGGTTCAACCCAATCTCTTGGAGGTTGGTGACAGCTATATTGGTGTGCATCCATGTATCCCGGAGTACGAGTAGCGCAGTCGCCGAAGGCTGGAAGACTAAGGTCATGATCGTCATAAGCGACGTCAGCGCAACGAGGTAGTGCTTTTTTAATATCGCCTTTATCCATACAATCAGGTTACTGCCATCAGAATCGCTATATGAGTGCATAGAAATCTAAAAAAAAATAGAGGAGCCCAGACGTACAGTGTGCGGGTATAGTCGAGCAAGAGGCTGTGATCCGCGGGAGAATCACCGTGGATAAGGTCAACGTACGGCTGAGCAAATCTATCGTGATTTCAAATCAAATGCCATGAACAAGGGGAGCACTTGCCTGCAAGCGTTTGACCTCTGTATCCGTCCAAGTCCATAGACCAGCGAGACTCATAGCAAGGAATGCTGGGGGATAGGTCTATTCGTACAGCATCACGACCACACGACGGAGATGTAGATGGAAATGAAGATTAGAATGTACATGGATGAATACAACCTCATGAGTACGCACGTATACATAATGCATAATGCCGTCTGACGAAGAGAACCTTCCGCTCGTCGCCCACCCTGCAGATTCAACCCATACATTAATCAAGCACAACTGCGGGCAGGACAGGGAACGGACCGTTATGCTTGTGATTGTAGAAGTGCACGACCTCTAGCGCGATAGCAAGACAGATGAGCATGACTGTGTACATGATGCCGAACCATAGCTTCAGTGGCATTGGCGTCCACGTTGGCAAGGTCGTGAGTAGCGGGACATCTATTACCACAAACCAGAACACAATTCGTAGGTTCCAGTGTGAGAGGATGGAACGTCCGAAAGGTGAATTTGGAACAGCGAGACCACAAGTTAACAAAAAATAAAATAAGTAGCAGCGTACATGCTCACCTCCGTTCTCTTCATCCGTGGGTGGAGGGGCTGGCGTCTCAGGCATATGTTCCTGTGCATGTGGCGGCACCCCAAATTCATGCGGCGTCGGCAACCCTGCGTGTGAGGACATTGCAGAAAACAAGGGATAATCAGTATCAAGGCTGCACTTTGCGTTATATATAAGCCTGAAAGCGATGCCCTGCGAGCACAAAGCGAGCAAGTAAAACCCCGACAAAGTGATTGGGTACCAGTGAGCAAGTCACAGTTGGACAAGTGCCTGGCACTGCATGCCGCAAGGAGGCGCAAAAACAAGATGGCACGATGCTCAATATCAACATATTTGGATTCAGAGGTCGACATGCGGCTGCACTTTGAAGCTGCAAGCAAGAATAATGGAAAATGCGTGGAGATATACGCTAGAAAATTTCGATAGTCGATTATGGCGGAGCGCTGCGAACACAGCCCGGTCTTGTGCCATCGATCCCAGGACGAGCGAATTGCATGTTCTGGAACGAGGTGGCACTTCACCTAGCTTTGCTGTAGCGTGACCAAGATCCACGATTCTGGTGGGCGCATTTCGCTTGTCATGCGTCGTTCGCTGGCATCCTGTATTCCTTCTTGATGACGATAACGCGGCCAAAGCGCATATATGCGCGTCAAGTTGGGTCCCCAAGCCCTAGCACTCCGATGATAACTTCTTGCCTGGCCTCAAGGCATATACGCTCAGAACCTCCGCATCGTCGCGTGATAGGAAGACATGGCTCCGACGAGCGCTTCGGGGGCGTTATCGTCATCGAGAAAAATCTAAGATGTTAGCGGATGATAACAAGCGAGATCCAGCGCGTTCATCGTACACACGCATCAAGTTGGATCCTAAGCCCTAAGACTCCGACGATGGCTTCTCGCCTGGCCTCGAGGCTTATGTGTGCAAAGCCTCCGCACCATCACGCGTACAGATCGTGATTATGAGCTCATCCATGCCTCCAAAATTGACGACCAAACGAGTCTGCACGTACCTAGTAATGATCTTGATGACACAGTATTGGCGATGAGGTTGTAGAATCTAAGAACGAGGCTGAGCCGAGAAAAGATGTCTCGTCGGACCGAGAGCGCTCAAAGGCCCCATCACGATAGAAGTGTCTTGAAAAGAGTCAATGGCACTAGATTTTATCACGCGCGAGGACACGGAAGGAAAGAAATAGTCGAGGAAACGCATTTTGGAACGGGTAGAAGAAACAGAGATATAACCGGTAGGCGAGGTCCTGTATGCTGGTGCATGATGATGGGTTTTGCGAGCGCGCGCATCAGTGCCTGGTATGGGAAGACGAGGAGCTCGTCCCGCAGCTTGCCTCCAGTGCTGCAAGTTGACTTACCTGATTTAAGTGGACGGTGAAAATCCCCATCCGGGTCATGCACGGGTTCTTGCGCGGCAGAGCTTGTTCCTAGCAGCGACGATGCGTGTTCGTGTGCATGAAGAAGTCAGAACGCGCTGGACGTGGCCGTAGCAGAGAACTCACCTGAGTGTCGTGGCGGTCCGAGAGGACCACAGCACTACCACAGCCCTCTACAACCGTACCTAGTGACCGTGTAACTATTGTGTGACTGCTTGCGTTTGGTGTCACGTACATCTCGGCTCCCCATCTCTTTTCCACGGTGCATCGACATATCACGAACAGTTACTCAATCGGGGCCTTTGCGATACCATTTTACGATCATCATAATTATCGATTCATGGCAGGCAACTGGCAGGCACCCTTATTTTCCCCCAGCAAGAAATCCACTCAATCGTTCACGGCAGCTTGGGATCAATCCTCACGTACAAGGCGGACGCCCAGGGACGCCCGCGCTTCCATTTCTAGTCCCGACTTTGTCGCATTGGATTCTGATCCATACACGCTTATCTGATCACCCTTAACGCCATACTTGCGCTGGAACTTTAGTGACAGTGCTGGATGGAAAATGTTCGGCGACACGAGGTTGATCTTTTCCAGAACAGGACACATATTTCTCATAATGTGTCAAGAACAAGCGAAGCAGCCGAGAAAATCAACCCAGCTAGGCGCCCACCGCTACGCCAGTCTGGTCGACGTCAAGGCTCATAGCTAGCATACAGGAGTCACACAAGACCATAGCAGGCTGACGAGAGCGATGAGTGAGGACGGAAGGCTACTTGCGATTATGAGGAAGCCTCGTGTGTACAGGATGATAGAGGGGACAGAGCCGGCTAATCTTGGGGCGACCGAGGATAAGCGTGTGGTCGAGCGTAGATCGGGCAGACGTGGAGGCAGAACATGCGCTGCCGTCGGATCGTGTCTCGGAGGGCGAGGAGAACATCTAGACGCGCGGACAGCCTCTCGAAAAGTGCGGGTTGGAGGTCGAGTCAAAGCACACGCATGCGAACTTTGTCCCTGGAGCCCCAGTCAAGTCAAGTGGGAAGTTTAAGCTCATCATCCTCTCGCGCTCTCTCCTTGTAGAATTCCGACCCGCGCACGAACAAAGGGAACTCCATCTCCACTGTTCGCGGTGGCAAATGCTGTAAGTAACAACGCCATCTGCTTCCGGGGTTTAGCTTCCGCCGGTCAAGATGGTAAGGCAGATGCTGCAGCCGTGCTTTCAGGAGACCGCGCAACGACGCAGAAGATACAACTCATATTTGCTCTTCCGTGTGTCACCCTTGTGAAAAAAGTATGGTGGAGAAGCGTCGTGCCACAGCCCCGAGCCGCTTTCTGGATCTGCTCCATTACGCTATCTAGTTCGTGCCTCCGGACACGACAACCAATGAACCTCGTCACGATTTGCAGGTGTTTTGCCATCCATTCCGTTTTCAGGACGGCGGAGGGCTTTTCTAGGCATTAGGTCCTTCGGGGGTCCGTTCATCACTATCACCTGAGTACGTACGTGTTCTGCCATCTCCCTTCGAACGCTGGCTCCAGGCAATGGCTAAATACTCTGCGTTGTTCCCTTCTCAGAGCCTATCTTCACGCGTGAAATGCGGGCAGCACATCGAGTTCTCGCAGACCTATCATCTAGCCTTGAATGATTGACCGACGACCCATCAGAAGGACACTGTCGCCGCTTTTTCCATGCCGAGGACGACGATGCCACCAGTGCCGCCCTACAGGCCAATGCTCAGTCGTCGGATCTGCCCTTGAGTTCGTAGTAGAGGGGCTAGTCCGGGGACGATACTTGCGGGTGAGGAGTAGTTGTACGAGATACACTATTCACGATGAGTTCAACAGCTAGACATTACTATCCCAGTGCAATATACTACACCTTATTTCAGTCTTCTTCGTTGATCTCAAAGCTCCGGAATGCTCGTGTTCAAAGCGTGAGCACTTCTCATCTTCACTGCATATATGTCGTGTCCATGTCTATGCTATTTTGTCACTTTGACCTTGTCGTGGCGTGCAAACGAGACTTTGTCGAAATTGTTAAAACTCAAGAACCAGCACAACGAGGATGTGCACCGCGGAAGCTTCGCGGTGTCCTGATGTGAAGCAGACAGAGGCCTGCGCCTAAGAAACAGGAAACCCAGTCTATCGCTCTTCAAGTGTCCCTCAACTAGCAAAGGATAGAAAAAAACTTACTCGGTGGGGCGGGCCTGAGAGTACATTTGAGAGCAAGAAGATGATAGCAGCGCCACAGGCTCGGTTAGGTGTCATTGTGCGCGGACGGTACTGAAGAGACTAAATCTTCGACGCATCTAATCCAGGCGCCGCTCAGCGCTCAATATTGACCACTGTCAGCCTGAGCCACTGTCTCAATCCGTCTTGCCAGAAGAGAATTCGAAACAGTATCCACCGGAATAGCAGTCCTTGGACTGAGGTGTCCATAGACATCCTGATCCACAATTTATCGTGAAGGGTCGAGTCCCGAGTCAGAACTTTTTTCGGTACACAAGTCAGAGCCGAGGTCGAAAGCTATGTGTACTTGAGACCGAGGGCAAAGAGCATTGTCCACCGTCCAAGCAATGGGCCTTGGCTGGTCCCGGTGACTTGGGCACAGGAAAAGCGAATGACGTGAATAAGGTTCCCCTGATGCTAAGCGCAACAAAGCAAACAAAGCGACCGGGCGCGGTTCGCGAATCTACAAAAAGGCGGTGGACGTGCAGGAGCCACTCCTTCTCAAACTCCCTTCCCACTTTCAACCCTCCCCATTGAAAGTTCTTTATACAGGATGCCATACTTGCCATACTTGCCATACTTGCCCTACTTGCCTTTCGTCGAAGTCCCAGCCGCATTCTGCCCCACAGACTTTGTCGGCGCCCAACTGTTTGCCACAAACTCGTTGGACACTCAGCATTTCGACGCTTTCGACAATCGCTCTCAGTCGAGCGACTTCATGAGCGGCCCACCAACATTCGGCATCCCTCTCAAACTCGATGAGGACGAATTCTTCCAGGGTCCGTCCGGGTCAAACTTCCTCACAGACTTGGACCCCGGCATGCACTTCGATACAACCATGCCACAGGGTATGGGAACCAGCGCTCGGACAGTCACAGACTCCTCAGCTGTCAGGAAGGAACAGACACACCTCTCTGACAAAGAATTACTGTTCGTGGCCGATGAAGCGAGCAAGCCGGCAGCTGTTGGCAAGCGGCGTGTCAGAAAGGGTGAGCCCATTATTCCAATCTTCACGCTACCAAACTTGTACTCATTATATCACCCCTAACCTCCCTCCCTCACTGTCCTCGTGCTGCATCATCTTTGCCGATTGTGACTCCCCGCAACCGCCTTGCGCCTTCTTCATTAGCAGAAAAGCCTCGCATCCAGTTTGTGTCCCCGCAAATTGCGGGATCAAAAAGGCGCACAGAAGGCGGTGATCGCTCGGACAGGAGATCATCCCTCAAGCGTGCAAGGCGGTCAGTACAAGGCGGAGGGCCATCTTCCTTGAAGGCGACATCGAGCACCTCCACTGACCGTGAGGACGATACCCTCCGGCTAAACACATTAAAATCAAGGATGGCGGACTCGAAGGACAGTGTCCCCAGAGACCGATCACTTCTCGACAATGTTCAAGTGTCAGCCCAAGGGCATCCACCTTCTCAGCTGACGGCCCTGGAACAGGATATGTGGGGACCCAGGCAGGCGCCGTTCATGTCGACAAAGTTCAACTGCTTCGACTGCAAAGAAGGCTTCTACCAGAAGCCAGAGTGGAAGCAGCACTTTCGCACGGACAAGCATGCCAGACAAGTGGCCCAGATCAAAGGCATCAAAGGGAAGGTCAAGGGCCCCAAGCCTTTCAAGTGCCAGGAGCAAGATTGCACGTCGGCGTTCGGCCGAAATGACGAGTTGATAAGGCACAGACGATCTGTGCACAAGATCGTTATTGAGCTGCCACGGAAGAAGGCGAAGGAGACAAGGGCAAAGGGGGAACGGGGGGAGGCGAAGACGAAGACAGAGGTGAAGGTGGAAGAGACGAAGGCAAAGGCAAAGGCCATAGGGAGAAAGGGAAAGGCGACGGGAACCAAGTGGACCAAGACGAGGACGGCCAGAGGAAAGAACTGACAGGGAGTAGCCACTTTTATGCGCTTTTCTTCCGCTTCCCACCCCTACTTTGCCGTACTCCATTCCGTCCTCTAATCGATCGTGTGCTCTTACCCTTTCTCACCCTATCATTCCAGATACCCACGGATTCCCTTGCACTCGATCGGGTCGATGTGGATGTGGTAATATGCTCATTCATATCACGGTTTCTCGCTGTTCATCGATCTGTGCTGGGAGAAGGCGGACTTATTTATTTGTGTATTTACAATCTTTGGCTTACATTTCGTCTGTATGATTTAACATACTGTGTCCTTGCCGTGTCCAGATCGGAGTTGCTCGTGTTCTTGTGGCGAAGGGGCAAGGGAGACCTGAGGTGGTATGTGGGAGGTCAAGGAGGTGCAATGAGCGCTTGAGCCCCTTTGCTACGTCTCGTCAAGTCCTGTCAGGTCCTGTCCCTATGCCTCTCACGGTCGCCACTTCGTTTATTCTGAATGGGACTTGCTTCAATCATTTTGAACTGGACTTTCATCAGAGTCTGAGAGCAGGGTTTATACGGTATTTTCGCGATGCTCAATTGCTGGTAAGCGGTCGACAAGGCCATGCGCTTGCATAGTGCTTGCATACTCTACACCTCTCTGCACGCGCGCTGCCGGGTCTGTCAGACCCTATATCGACGCGTTTCCCACCTCGCACACCCAATGATATTCCCCATCCTTCCACTATACGGCCCTTCTCATGATCTGCACAGGGTCGAGGACATACTGCCTGGCACCTTCGAGGTCGAGAAGGTCTTCATCCACTCGCTTGCGACGGACCCGCACGGGTTCCGCATCCTCCCAAACTTGAAATTGAAACCTCCTGACCATCTCCGCGCTCTATCTCGTGGCAATCATGCTCGGACGCGTGCGCAGGTCCCAATGGTCAAGAGCACTCAGCTTACAGGATTGTCAAGTAACGCTAGGCGCAGGAGACCAGCGAGCCCCGATGTTTTGTGCATTATCAGCTGAGCTCCTGTATGTCTTGCGCGGGCAGGCGCTGAATATCATACGGGTGTGGGCCCCAGATCATTTCCACATGCACATCGTCAACGCGAACAACGTGGGCCCTGGGGGAATGTCTATGGACCAAGCCCACTTGCTTGACGAGATCCGTAGTAAGTCAGTAGTAAGCCCCGTCGCTCCTCAATACTTCCTGCCTTATTCTATCCCCGGACTTGTCTACTCCCGCGCGCAGGTTGAGCTCGACCCAGAGTCGGTGCCCTCGGCATTCGAGCGCATGGCGGTCACGTATGAGCTGGGCGACCAGCACAGGCTTTTCGAGCGGGTGGGGATCGCGCAGGGTCAGTGAAGAGGAAGATTGAAGCTGAACAGGCGGTGGTCCCTACCCAGGAGAAGCCGCTCAGTGGAGGCGCGGGTACGCTTGTCAGGAATTTCGAATATCTGGGTGCACAAACGAGCTTGAGCTGACATCTCACCGAAAAATTGAGTGCTTCGCCCTTCCTTGTGGTGGTCGAGGCCGTGGATAGTCAGATCATGTCACGGTAATGCAAGCTCTCTGAATATAGCTACACTCTGCTGTACTAAGATACTACTCAGATAGGCTGAGACATACAGATGGAAGGAGGAAAAAAAACCTGACGAAGAGAGAGAAAGCGTGACATAAAGATATAAACGGGATCCTGATCAAACTGTGTTAATACCATCACCACTTCCATTCGATTCATCACTGCTGGATTCATCATGTTTCGACTCAGTATCGGTCGACTCATCCAAGAAGTCCTCGTCAGTGAAGAAACATCCATCGGGTTCATCAGCGCGTCCTCCTATCTTGTCCGTCAAATCCTTTGCCCCTAACCAATGCATGCTCATCAGATCGACACACTGACAAACCACTGTCAGAAAATTCGCAGAGGTCGGCGGATCGTGGCAACATATCTTCAGCAGGAAGCGGTTTGAGAGCCATCTCCCAGTGTTCCTTGCGCGGTTTCACCTGATCCTGCATACTCTTGGGAACATCTCCATCGATCGAGCCCCAAAACGATGGTTAGCCCTTTGCGCCAATGAGGTCTTTGAATCTCTCCAAAAGCGCCGCCTCCTCCGGGGTCCGTGTATTGGGATGGAATGATCGGGAAATGCACCAACAGAAGCACGATTCGCAGTTCGAGATCCATACGGGGTTGAGAGTAGCGCGCATGCCACATCGCGCGATCAGGTCGCATCCTGCTTCATATAGCCCGTCCATCTCCTCTGATCGGATGAGAATGGGATATGCGCTCTCATGATATAGGGCGAGAGTCTCGGGATCAAGGTCACCATAGTACTGATGTTGCTTTGCATAATCCCGCAGCCAGATTTCATTTACCAAGTACCCGAGGACAAGCTGCATGGTAATAGATGGCAATCTAGGGAAGAGATGTGAATTAACACGTTAAGAAGCGGGTTTCGTACGAACCAGGAGAAGACTGGAAAAGTTGGATGATGACTGGCTGGAGCTTGATTGATCTCCGCTCGGCACTGAACGCACGACCCTCTGGCCATTCTCTCTCGGTGCACTTGAGCAAAGTCCGGGGACACCAGCCAGTGCGAAGGCAAGTATGCATGCTTCATCGGGAGATAAGGCATTCAGGAAGCATCTGCCTGCCGTGAGACGGAAGATCGAGGACCGGCAATACACGAGAGTGTGCGAGTGTGCGAGTGTGCAACGGATGAGCGGCAGAAGGGGCGATTGATAAAAAGACGATACGCAGGACCATGAATTGCAAAAGAGCTGGAGAAAGCGACGAAACATACAACAGATAGACCAAGGCAATAATGCAAATAAGGCAACTGAGACAGAGCAAAAAGAGCAAACAAGATAGCACACGCTGTGATTTGAAACATATCGCCGCAGAACGCACACAACTTTCAAAAGTAAGCACCTTCCATCTGTGGGTTGCCAGCGTCCGACTCGCAGTCGGCAGAGTCCAATTCTAAGTCTGAGTCACTGTCTTCCGAGTCGCTGACGAACATTGGGATGTTTGTCGACGGAAGCGGCGAAGAGGGAGCGGACGAGGGAGGCGAGTTCTCATCTTGATTTTCAAGCTCGTCTTCCGTGATGAATGGCGGAGGGTAGATTTTGCGCCCATCTTTGTCACGAGACAGTCTGATACCAGGAAGTACCGCTGGTGAAGAATGAAGCCGGTAAGAAGAGCAGCGAGATGAAGAAAAGAATGCCGCATGCCTGAAGAGAAGTCGATCATCGATCCCCTCTCATATCCCGGCTGCGAACATATCGACATCTGCCAATAATCTTCGCGCGGTTTGTCCATGTCTTGCATCTCCGGTGGCACATCTCCATCGAGCGATGGCCACCATTGTAGCTCGCCTTCCATACCTGTTACTTCTTTAAAGTATGCCAAACGTACCTTGTCTTGCGGTGATCGATTCGATGGATGCATGGAGTATGGGAAAGACCAACACAGGCAAGACTCAGAGTTGGAGATCCATACCGGACACATCGTAAGACCAAAGATGTCTAACTTTTCGATGATTCTCCGTCCTATCAAGCATAAGGCTGAAAATTCGTGATGCTGGATGAATCGGCGATGAATACTCTCGGGATAGAGAGCAAGTCTAGCAGGATTGGGTTTGCCGATGACATTGGCGTGTCTTGCTAAATCCCGCAGCCAGATCTCATCGACCAAATAGCCTAAGACCATCTCGTCGTCGGTCATGATGAGGATTCTGAGGAACAATGAGACTACCGACATAAGGAGCTATATCAGACTCACCACTTTGAGAAGTAGTTTCAGGTTTGAGGTTTGGGGGATGGAGATGTGACGTCCGTATGGGTAGTGTGTGGGTTCGTTTATTAGAAGTGAACTTATAATGTGGTCACTAGAAGTCACTAGAGAAGACTAGTGGTCACTAGAGGTCACTAGTCACGATCTGACTCGACAATTTGTAAGGGCTCTGAACGTCCGGCGATCATCTCTTCAACCTCTTTATTCTGAAATTACAGCGATAGCTCTTTATCGAGCATATACAAAAAACTCTCACTCTTCTTTTCCAGAAGGGTCAAGTCTTGAGAAGCAAAAAAAAATTGATGAATGCCTCGCCCAAAGGTCTGTTTCCTCATCTTGACAGCCCGTTGTCTCCCGCCCATACCACTTCCGTAGAAATCTCGTAGAGGGAGGGGGAACCGCAATTCTTCTTCCCAAGTCGCTATACCGGCAGTCAATACGGACGACGGTGCAGGACGCACAGACCTTCTTGAGCGATCCGACATGCAGAATGCGAAGTTCGAAGAGTATTACAGACGGCAGGCAATCATCTCTGCTGGTGAAACCCAAGGCGAAGGCCAGAACGAGTGGTCAGCTTTTATGGAGACTTTGCGCGAGCCACTGCCGACGACATTTCGGATTGCGGGGACTCGGCAGTGCGTGATCCAATCTTTTCTTGCCCTCGTCATTCCTATTCCTTCAGTGTCCTTTGTCGAAAATCGTGGATAAATTGAGTGATGCTCTGATGATACAGAACTGCCCAAGTCCTGAGTGATACGATCACGAAGACGTACGTTCCGCAGCTCGCTGAAGTTGTTTTTGAGGATGCACTGGTTGTCCCGCCCGTTCAGTTATCTTGGTAAGTAATATCTTATGCCCAAAGCCTCTCTGTTGCACAACTTTCAAAATCCGTAATCTCCCTTCGTATCTCCACCTCCCTCATACCACATCCTGCTCGATATACACTGGAGTCCACTTTCATATTCTTGCGGCCGCCGCTATACACAAATCATTTCAGGAAGTGAACAGCAAGTGTCCCCAACCTGATATCCCTTTTGTCGTCCAGGTACCCCAATGGCCTCGCTTGGCAGCTCAACGTTCCCAAGAAAGTACTTCGCAAGTCGCCTGAATTCAAAAGGTTCCATTCATTCCTTGTGTTCGAGACTGAAGTCGTGCGTATTGTGTCTCGTCATGAATGTTTAGAAGTTACTCATGTATTGATTCTTTATCTTTTTCAATAGGGGAACATTTCGCGTCAGGAGGCCGTGTCGATGCTGCCTCCACTATTCCTGGACGTTAAGCCGCACCACAAGGTGCTAGATATGTGTGCTGCGCCAGGATCCAAGGTGTGTTCTATCACCTTCCCCGCAATGTCTCCTTCCCACTTTTTGATCGTGGCATGCTATATGAATACTCACGTGTCCCCAGACCGCTCAACTGCTCGAAGCTTTGCATGTGACTGATGATGTTCCAGAGGGCATTGTCGTCGCTAACGACAGCGACTACAAGCGCACCCACCTCCTCATCCACCAGTCCGCACGCCTTCCGAGTCCCTGCTTCCTAGTCACGAATGTCGATGCAAGCATTTTTCCCGCCCTTCGGCTGCCGGACTCGGACCCAGACGCGATGGGCGGCCTGGACGAGAAAACGAATGAGAACACCAAGCGGAAGAAGGCAAGACAGGTGAGTGGTGGGCGGCAAGTGCGGTTCGACAGGATTCTGTGCGATGTACCGTGCAGTGGCGACGGCACCATTCGTAAAAATGTCGGTATCTGGAAGTACTGGAACCCGATGGATGGGAACGGGTTACATGGGTGCGTCGGCCGGGTCTATGTCTTCTTTTGTGGTCGTGTTGACTGTACTATATGTGTCGGCGTCAAGATTACAAGTGCGGATCCTGCAGCGTGCGATGCGAATGCTGCATCCGGACGGCCGGATTGTGTACTCGACTTGCTCGCTCAATCCGATAGAAAATGAGGCGGTTGTCGCTGAGGCCCTCCGTACTATTCCTGGTGAGGACTCCACGTTCTCCCGCATGCACGTCAGGGCACTGAACCCTTCGATCTTTCTTCTTGTTATCCGCTGCGGTCCGGTAGACTTTGAGATTGTCGACGTGTCTGAGATGCTCCCTTCCCTCGTTCGGCGGCCTGGTCTGACCAAATGGATTCCCTCGGTCGACCGTGATCTCAAATTCTGTGAGACATATGATGAGTGCATTCGCTCGCTCCCGGCGAACAGGCGTGCAGACACGAGGCTTGGGCGAAGCCACTGGCCTCCATCCGACGTCCAGGGACTCAATCTCGAACGATGGTGAGCTTATGTTGCTGGTTACAAAAACACGTGTAGAAATATAATTATTACGGTGCGTTCAGTATGCGCATATACCCCCACTTACAGGATACCGGCGGATTCTTCGTCGCTGTGCTGCAACGCAAGTCGTCCTCCACGAAGTCTCCGAGGTGAGTCCATGTTGTGCTGGCCCCTAGTAGATTTCGTTCATGCGATACAGAGAGGGGAAACGTGTCGCGGATGAAGCATCCGACGAACCTGAGATAAAAAGAGCTCGTTTGGCCGGCGACGAGGACTTATCCACGGCTGAAGTTGTCGAGACCGAACCGGCCGTCGAGGGTGGAGAGCCAATGGATGAAGGTTTGTATTGATCTTGAACAACGGTGTCAGTCGCTAAATGTCATCCGTTGTAGAGGACGACAGGACCACTGAACCATCAACGCCTCGTCTTGACGCTGTGCCTGCGCCGGACGCGCCTCCGAACACCACAAATAGCAACAAAACAAAAACAAAAACAAAAGGGAAGCAGTCAGGCGACGGTGGATTCAAGGAGAACCCATACACGTTCATCGCGCCCAATGATCCGATCGTGCAGGGATGCATGTACGTTGCTCCCGACCTCCGACCCATCTGACTCTCCTCTGCATCCAAACCAAATCTCAACGCACGCACTGTGCATGTCCCTCCAGCCGGCAGCTCTCGCTCACGCCCGCGTTCCCCGCCTCAAACGTGCTCGTGCGCAACCCCGCCGGCGATCCCGCGCGCTCGCTGTACCTGACCAACGACCTCGTCCATGCCGTCTTGCAGTGCAACGACTACAAGCGCATGCGACTGATGACCGCGGGCACGAAGATCTTCACAAAACATGAAGGCGGGTTCGGTCGCGGACGCGCGGCGCCATCGGAGTCGGCACCGGCGTCGATGGACGTGACGCCAGCGCCAGCGCCAGAGGCCAAGGATACTCCCTTCCGGCTCCTCAGCGAGGGCCTTCCAGCGGTGCTGCCGTATATACGAGAGGACGCCATTCTGGAGGCGTCCGTTGCCGACCTGAAGGTCCTGGTGGAGTCGTATTATCCGCTGGTGAGCGCATTTGAGGACCCGTTCGCTGGCATTATCAGCGCGACACGTACGTTGTACCTTGATGCCTTCTGTGGGTTGTTCTGATCTCTGTTTCACGAGCAGCGACTGGAAGTCACGTTGCGCGATTCAAAGAAGGGTCGCTGGAGGGCGCTTCGTGAGTCTTATTTGTTCTCTTGGTTCTTCCTTTGTCGATGAACGACTTATCTCTATTTGACACAGTCTTACACACGACCTCGTCCTGCCCATCTGGAAATCCACAGCCTCGGTCTCACTCATGATCGACAAAAAAGCAAAAAGGTGCGCGTTCAAAAGATGAGAACCTGTCACTGATTTCTCAGCACGAATCTCCTTCTTTCTTCAGCGCGCTGAGCCTCCGGGTGTTCGGGGTGGACTTGACAGTTGCTGGGCTCGAGGCAGCGCAGCAATCGGCTCTGAAGAAGCCGCGTCAGCCAGAGGTGGAGTCTGGCGCCGTGACACCGTCTACTGCACTCGACGCTGTACAAGAGTCAGAGGAAGGCGCCACCGCGAGCGTTATTGAGGCGATGGAGGAAATCGAGGCGTCAGATCAGCCGCCGATGTAACCCAGATTGCGATTCGTGGTGATCGATGTACTGTCACTGGCCCTATGTTCGGACAAAACCGATGTTCAGACAATCTGTGTTTCTCGCCCATTGCTCGACATATCGACCTCATTCTTTTGTCCATAAATCATGTTAAATAGTGTAGACTTGATTCCTGAGATTTTGAGATTTCTGAAAGGTGAATTATATCTTTGCAAGCCCAATGTCATGCCTTGGATGAGTTGGAGCATGCAAGGAAAGATCTTGATGGTCCATGGTTTTTTCTGTAATATACTGTAGCTCATATATATTGGTTCCGCTATGTGAAGAGATGCTATGTGAAGAGAATGCACAGGGTGTTGTTGCACTTGTATAAAAATACAAGGTATCAAGTGTGACATTTGGACACAGAGTGTTGGAAAAGGGAGTGCAAATTCATTCTCTGCTCATGGTTCCACCAGCATCCTAACAAGTTGTGTCCAAGCATTGTCCCCACTGTCTCCCCACCTCAACCATGACATAGACCATCCCAAACCTACATACCAAGAAATGCATAGATTGTCTTTTCTGGCTTATCCAGCTTGTTAAGCTGAATGAGACAAGATAAGACAAAAAATATAGTAAGGAACCTGTCTTGGCCATAATAGGTCTATATCTTTAAGGGCCCACACTAGACAAAATTACATTCAACATGGGCCTCCTTGATAATTGTGCTGGAAAATGACAGATCTAGGGGGATCATGCTAGATCATGCTAGATCATACCCAATCCAGCAGTATTAGGTAGAGCCAGCCCTGACTCATCCTTGCTGATTCATATCCATCTTTTCCCTTAGCCATAATCTGCCCAAATCCAGTGTTAGGACCACATCCTGATACATGCTTTACACATGACTTAGGGGGTATAATCATGTGGTATGCACGTGACTCGGACTTGTGCTGTTGGCTTGGACTCATGTTATTGATTCGGACTAACCACCACCTACATGCTGACGCATGAGCGCTTACGTAACATGGCCCATTAATAAGCTTCGGCTTCAATGCTTACTCACAACTATTATGATTGGTTCCTGATTCTTACTGATGCAAACAGACACTTACAAATAGGTTACTGTATATAGTTAAAGCACAGACTGCAGATGGTGCATCTCAATTGTTGATTTTACTTAGCATTTAGAAGCATGGACCCACTGTCACAAATGGCTGTTCGGGACGAGAGGATCCTAGGCCACAAATAATAGAAGAGAGGTTGAAAGGATGATCGGGACTGATCAGACTAATGTCTTGTAATCAGAGAAGGCTGTGTGAACAGCAGTTCTTAGATTGGACAGAAGTGGATAGCCTGAGGCTTCCACACTGCGCCGCAGTATCTATAAATATGTACAAGCAAATGCACGGACCAAGTATCAATGGAACAGGAACGCGAGGTGTAGTTGGGAGAAAGGTCCTATGAGTCCTTATCAAGAAGGTGAGAAGAGTAGGTAAGCATAAGTGAAGCGTTTCGTAACATTACCCCCCCTTCTAGGCCGTCAGTGCCAGAGACGGTAAGTAATAGTCCAGGAAAAACATAAGCAATGCACCTGAGTCATGTCATACAAAATAATATTTAGGGCACCAATTCTCGCTGCCCACAGTCGAGTCATGACGCGATAGCCCTTGAGTACGGACGTCATGATACCCCACCTCGTTACCAACCATGCGGGGACTGCGTTCTAGAGCCGAGTCCCTCTTCTCATCATGGCAGTGGGTACTGGCCCAACGGATTCGAACCGCTGTCTGCCCCGGCAGTTTTACGTCATACCGGACAAAGGCATCTGTCGCTCTCTAAGCTCCACGAGGGCGGAGTATAACGGGCGCGGTGTCGGACTTGCTAGAGTCGTATTCAGTGAAGGGAAGAGGAGGTTGGGTTCGTGTCGAAGGGCGAATGAGGCCGAGTCGTGCGGGGGTGATGTGATAGCGGGGGGAGACTTGTGTGAACCGATATACGTCTCGCTCCCTGTCAGTCCTTGTAGGGTAAGTCCCCGGCATTGGGCGAAGCGGAGCGCCATTTGAGGCCGAAGACGAGGCACGAGATACCACAGCCGTGGTAGGCATGTGATACTCGGTAGAGGGAGTGGGGTCGTCGGCAGGATGAAAGGAGTCTCGAAGGTTCTGCAAGCCCATGAGTTTTCGCTCTCCAGCATTAATACGGGTGATGATCGTGCCCTCTCGGATCTGCAAGGCTCGCTGTGCGTGTCGAACAAAACTCCTTTCCTCTTCCAAGATCTCTAATGCCCTCTGAATCTCCGGTCTAGTCGGTCCTGACACAAACTCTGTGTTAGGCGTCCCCTCGATAAGTCCCATCATGTATGCGACGGGGGTTGTGAGGTAAGTTTCTCTATCTGGGAAGATGATGCCCTCATTAGCTTCGCGGATCACAGGGGGCGGTGAGGGGGGGGACGAAGAGGATGTGGATATGTCGATGATGGGGGATCCGGGATTTTGCGCCGCGGCCGCTTCTTCTGCTGCGTTAGCGTCAACTCAAGCCTGATACCTCCTGGCTACTTCCTCCATTTGATCCTCTTGTTCTCTCATGCTGAGCATGCGAGTTTCTTCTCTAACGAATGTAGCCTCAAAGTCTCCTACTTCTGACACGGTGGGGGAGCGGAGGTAACTGGGGAGCGACATTCGTTTGTCGACGAGGGTGTTATCAACAGATGAGAGGTAAGGGGATCCGTCGGACGACATGTCTTTTCGAGGGTGAATTGAAGAGGAGTGATTGAAGTGTTGGGGGAATTGCAAGGATCAAATTTGGGTTTTTATACATTTCGCGCTTTAGTGGTTCCATGTTTACAAGGGCTTCTCGTAGAGGTAAAGCGTTGCGTCTTTGGTCGAATGCTTCCAAAAGTTCTCTCGCATTTCCTAGATTTGCCCTTGTGATCCATTCGTCCGCGGAACTCGGGTACCCTTTCCAGTGTACCAGGTATTGGTATCCCCGTCCTCGTTTCCTCTTATCGAGAATGTCTTCCACTTCGTATTCTTCTTGTCCTTCGATAAGGTCAGGTGGTGGCTGTTCGAAGTTGGGGCCGTGAGCCGTCGTTTCTTTGTATGGTGTGAGCAGAGAGGCGTGGAACACAGGGTGTATCTTCCACGTTGGCGGGAGTTTCAACCGGTACGTAATTGGCCCTAGCTTTTCTTCTATTTGGAACGGTCCATGTAGCTTAGGGGCTAGTTTGTCCTTTGGATGCGTAGTGGTAATGTTTTTTCCCGAGAGCCAAACTTTCTGTCCTGCTTCTAGTTTGACTTCGTTCTCGGCGGTTTTTCTTTTCATTAGTTCTGCCGCAACTTCCAAGCTGGCCTTTGTTTCCTTTCGAAGTTGTTCCAGCCTTTCCAGTCGTAGTTCTACTCCGGGGATGTCGGACCTCGGCGTGACTTGGGGTGCGAAGGTCAGGTTGTAGCCGTACATGAGTTCAAACGGCGACTGGTGTGTGGCCGAATGTTCCCTTATGTTGTGTGCAAATTCGGCGTACGGTAGTAGTTCGGGCCAGTTCGTTTGTTCGTAGTTGCAAAATGCTCGCAAATATTATTCTAATTCTTGATTTACCCTCTCCGTTTCTCCGTCTGTTTCGGGGTGATAGGCGGTTGATAACGCTGTCGTGACTCCTAGCTTCTTCCATAGTTCTTTTGTGAATCGAGCGGCAAATTGCGGACCTCTGTCGGAGATGATCTTCTGTGGAAGTCCAAATCGTCTCCAGACGTTTTTCATGTAGAGGTCAGCCGTTCCTTCGGCGTCTATGGTTTTGTCGCACGGAGTGTAGACGACTCCTTTAGTACTTCTATCCACGGTTACGTGTATTGCATTATATGGTCCGACTTGTGGAAGATCCGTAATGAAGTCCATGGTGACTGTCTGCCAGGGTCCTTCTGGTACTTCGTTAGGAATGAGTGGAGTGCATATGGGGTGTGTGATATTCTTGGTATATTGACACGTTGCACATCCTGTTACATATTCTTTTATGAACGTGGACATTCCTGGCCACCAGAAGTTATCAGACACTAGGACATAGGTCTTCCATCTTCCTGGGTGTCCCGTGGCTGGTGAATCGTGATACATTCTCGTGATTTGTCGTTTAAGTTCGTCATCTGGTGGAACGTATATTTTTCCTCTGTGCCAGATGAGGTCGTCTTCGTAGTTCCATTCTTGTAGGCCTTTTGAGAGTGCTCTGGGTCCTGATGTTTTGATGAGTTCCATTGCGTCTGATACTTCTTTGTCTTTGGCTGTGACTTCTTTTAGCTTTCGTCTCAGTTGACTGTCAAGCATTTCGACTGTTCCTCATCCTGTTGCGCTTTTGACGAACATTTGAGGTTGTAGTAGTACCTGGTTTTTGTTGTCAAATTTTACCCCCTCTTTCAGGTCTGGACGCCTGGACAGAGCATCGGGCCGGTGGGTAATGCCTGGTTTGTGGACGAGGGTGAAATCGAAGCGGGAAAGGAAGAGTGACCAGCGCGCTTGGCGGCGGGACAGAGTTCTCGCGGTAGAGAAGTACAGGAGATTCTTGTGGTCGGACCAGATCTCGAACGGATGTTGTGCGCCTTCGAGGTACACGCACCAGTGATCGAGGGCATGTATGACGGCAAGTAGTTCTTTATCAAAGATATCGTAATTCCTCTTGGCTGCATTGAAAGACTTGGATAAGTAAGCGACGGGGTGCCACCCGTCGTTCAGCGTTTCTTGTGACAGGATGGCTCCGGAAGCGAAATCCGATGCATCAGTCTCGAGACGGAATGGGCGGTTACCGTCCGGATAGACAAGGACGGGAGTCGACGTAAAACAGTGCTTTAGTCGTTCAAACGCGTCGTCCCTTTCGGGAGTCCATTCGAATGGGACGTCTTTCTTTGTGAGGTCGTTGAGGGGTCGGGCCATAGCGGCAAAGTCTTTGATGAACCTGCAATAGAAGTTTCCAAAGCCCAAGAAGGATTGTACTTCTTTTAGGTTCTTCGGGGTCGGCCAGGCGGCGATTCCATCAACCTTGACGGGGTCCATGGATATATTGTCCGCGGAGATGATGAATCCGAGGTACTCAATGGTGTCCGTCTCGAAAGTGCACTTGGAAGGCTTTAGGAATAAGTCGTTATCCAAGAGTATTTGCATAACTTGGGTTGTCACGCGTCGGTGCTCCTCGATGGTCTTTGTGAATACTAAAATGTCATCCATGTAGACTGCCAGGACCTGTGCTACGATGAGGTCGTGGAAGATGATGTTCATCATTGTTTGGAAAGTAGCGGGTGAGTTGCAAAGACCGAAGAACATTACGAGGCATTCGAATAAGCCGAACTTGGTCATGAAGGCTGTTTTCCATTCGTCACCTTTCGCTATGCGGATGTTGTTGTACCCCCATTTTACGTCAAACTTAGAGAAGATCCGTGCTTTCGATTTGGCGATGGTTCTTATCACGTCGTCGATTAGGGGTAGTGGGTACTTGTTCTTTATTGTCCATTCGTTCAGTCTTCGATAATCTTGAACCGGCCATAGACTTCCTTCCTTCTTTTTTACGAAGAAGAAGGGTGACGCCTGCGGGGATTTAGATATCCTAATAGTTCCTCGCTTTAGGTGCTCTTGGAGCATCTCGTGTAGTTGGTCCTCTTCTTCTTCTGTTAGTGGGTATAGTTTACATCCCGTTGGTTCCCATCCTGGTTTCATATCGATTTTATGGTCCCATTGTGAATGTTCTGGGAGTCATTGTGAAGCTTCCTGGCTAAAGATTTTGGCGAATTGTTTGAGGACGTATGCCGGAACTATTTCCTTGCTAGGTCGTTCCGTTTTTGCCTTATTTGCCTCTTCTGCCAGTTGTTGCGACTTGTTTCCAATGGAACCGATATGAATGGCTTCGAGGGGGTGTACTTCTAGTGGGTTTTGATAGTACCATTCCTCGTAGAATTTGGAAAAGAAGGTGTCCTCGCTTTCATCTTCTTCCGGGCTGTCCTCTATTCTGGAATACCCGATCGTTCTGTTTTTTCTCTGCCGGATGGGTAATAGTGCTTGCACGGTGAACTTAGGTCGGCTGATCAGACACGTGGTGGCGCAATTTGAAAATGTGAGGCTGTTTTTTACCCAGTTAATTTGCGGGTTGTGTTCATGCAGCCAGTCTGTTCCTAGGATCACATTTTCGCCTCCTAAGTTAGCGGCTAGTAGCTCGCATTGTTCATCGTGATAGTCGCCTTCTTTGTTCGTTATTCTCATGAGCACGCAGACTTTGTCGGTGATTTGTCCTCCTTCGTTGGCCGTTCCATCCACGTTAAATACAGGGATAGGTCTGTCGATTTTTTGCGTTGGTATGTCATTGTTGAAGCAGAATTGTTTATCGATGAGAAGTCCTTCTGCTCCCGAATCGATCAACACTTTGGCTTCGGTGGTTCCTTTCCTGTGTTTTAGGTGCACGTTTATTCGCATAGATGATTTCTGATTGGATTTTGTGAGCCGTACAAATGTTTTTACAGGAGGGTCTGGGATAGGTCTACGGTACACCGGGGCCGTAGGCCTATTTAAAAATCCGATTCTTTCTTCTTACTCATCTCGCTTAACTCCTGAAGGAGTGCTTCCTGTTCGTCCCACCTCATCTTCCCGATAACCCTCTGGATTTCTTCTTGGCTAACCTCAGGCTCCGTCTCACGTATAGGCGCATCCGGTCCGGGTGCGTGGGCCTGGCGAGCTGCGAGTCGGGCTCGGAACGGGTTAGTCGTCGCCACACCTCTACTTTGCGCCGTAGCGCCTCCCTGAGTACCGCCTGAAGCTCCTGCCGAGAACGTTCGGCCATAGCCGCTTCTTCTGCCTCCCATCCTGCCACCGGCCTGAGTCAAGCGGTTCCCCATCGTTCCACCACTCTGTTGAACATATCTAGCTGGCCCTTCATATACCCTAGACGAACCCCTGGCAGGGCATTGGTTGGCCATATGTCCTTTCTGGCGACAGTAAAAACACCCACCCTCCATCCTGAGGCGGTTACGTTCTTCATCCGTGAGGGTTGTCCGGACTGAGTCTACAGCCATAGGGACAACGGAATTATTCATAGAGGATGGAGCGTTGGAGGAGTTGTAACGGAAAGGGTTGCTAGATTGAACGGCGGCGGAGGGTACGGAGCTTTTTATGCTTTGCAGCTCTCTCTACTGGTTATCGAACCTTTGGGTGTATTTCACCCAATCGTCCATGGTTGTCGGCATGTCAGGAAGTCGGTAAATTTGTTTAAAGATTTCCGGGTGTATGGCCCGGCGGAAATAGTCGACGGTGGATTCGAGATCGAATCTGCTTTCTCCTGCCGTCATGAGGTAGTCTGTGACAAATTCGTCTGCTGACCGCTTTCCCATTCTCATTGTGAATAATTTTTGTCTCGCCTTCTGTTCGAGGCTTTCATCTTTGAATGCAGCGGCCAATTCTTTCAGGAAGTCCTTGAACGTTCCCCATGTTTTTCTTGTTTCTGTCGCCTTGTATTCTCGTAGTTCCCTGTCGAAGTAATATTTCTGGGCGAATAGTGACGCCGTCCCTTCCCTCATGTATGACAACACCATCAGGGTTTTATCCTTGTCGGTGTCATACTTGGTTGGGTTGGTGAGAATGTACATATGACATTCGTATATCCATTCTCTGTATTTCGACCTCGTACCGTCGAAGTCTTTCGGTTTGTTCCCTTTGTCCGACATCTCGTCTTCGTCGTCTGTGGTTTCTGCAGTTGGGGAAGGGTTTGGTTGCGGGTTTGGATTTGGATTTGGCTGACTCGGTCCTGCTATAGGTTCCGGGTCTTCTTCGTCAACTGGGGTTAATACTCCTGCCGGGATTGGGGTTTCTTCGATATCCTCCTTGGGGATGTCGATTGGTGATAAAGCGGGTTTCGTTCGGGTAGGGGAATCTACAGTCCTAAGGGGTGCTTTCCTATCTTCCCAGGGTACTAGCGAGGCGTCGACCGTTTTTCCGCTGTTTTGTCCTCCTATGTAAACCCAGTTTCCTTTGGACGTTCTTCTGATGGGTTGTCCAAAGTGGACGAATGTGTCCGAGTGTTTCAGGTAGTCGGTTCCGTGTGGAACTCGTCCTACACGTCTTCCTGAGCCTTGGGAAGTCGTCTTGTTAGATCAAAGAGCCCGCGCTAGTCTCGACCTGATCAAGGTTCGAGGGTCAAGGCAACAGCAGCTCCTTCTGGCCAGGTACAGTAGTTCTGCTTTCGGTATAGTACCGTACGTAACGTCGAGTGCAATTGTTTCGGTCGTACCTCCACTGGGTTGATTACCAGATAGAAGTATTCTACAACCTGAAACGACCCACACTGAAGTGGAATCGTCCAATCGTTCGCTCGAAGTATATAGTAACTATTACGGTCGACGGACACTTGTCTTTTGGGACTGCCTAGCGCCATATGTAGCTAGCCGGTGATGAGCATGGGTATGCTCTAGGCACCAATACCCCACTTTTCGCAGCTTTTCAGTATTCTTTGACCGTTCGGCATACTTAGGACCGACCGATCCCGATCCGTTCGGCGATCTCAGCCATTTGTCAGGTGCCGACTTTGCATTTAGACCTCCGCACAGTCGTTCGGAGCTGTTCACAGTCATCCTATCCATCTATCATCACTCTCAGCAGTAGGGGCTCCCCACAGACTGTCACGGCCGATCGCCGATCGGTTCGGTACACTTCACATGGTCGGCACATTCGGTCGGCTTCGGTGTCCCGAATCGGAGGCGGCCGAACACTTTGTTGACTCAGAACGGATCTGTCTTTCTACCTCTTATCGTCCTTATGCCTTCTGTTGACCTATCCTTTGTTATCTTCAGAGCTCCCAAGTTTCTAAATGGTTTACCCATGTGGCATGTGGTTCTTATCTCCAGGTCCATGTGGACTCACCTTGGCAATCTCTCCACTTATTTAGACTTTAGAGTTATTGCTTCTTATCTTATAGTGTTTGCAACATCACTCCCTTATCTTCTTTACCTTTGATCACTCTTGGCACGCATTTCCGATTGCTCTATGCCTCTGCCGATCTCCTTATCTTGTACCTGTTCGGACTTACTATAAAAGGGCACCTATGGCTTTGCAATACATCAGCTTTGGCTCCCCCCTTGTTCCGATTCCATTTGTGCACTTGTGTCCATGAGACTTTGAGCCATTGCCTTCCAATCCTTGTTCGCATTTTGCCCTTTTGTTTGTGTTGTTGCGTTCGATCACAGCCCTCCGCCAGAGCCCTCGTCGTCTTGCTCTCTCCCTCTCATCTAGTTTGTCATCCTCTGCCAGGGTCCAGTGTGGCCTTGCACCCATTCCCTTCCCTTTGCATCCCGATCAAATCCCGATCAAACATCGACCTACCGACCGACCGACCTACCGACCGACCGACCGACCGACCGACCGACCTACCGACCGACCGACCGACTGACCGACCGACCGACCGACTTACCGACTTACCGACTTACCGACTTACCGACCGACCGACCGACCGACCGACCGACTTACCGACCTACCGACCGACCGACCGACCGACTTACCGACCTACCGACTGACCGACTGAATACTTCGATTTTGGAGTTGTTTGTTCACTACACTCCGAACACTTTTAGTACGCTCCCTTGTTGGTTGTTGCACAGCTTATAGTTCCTTGCACACTAGAACTAGCTCCTGCCTACCTGCGCTTGTAGGGGTGTTTCTTGGGTGTGTTTCGCACTCAGAGGCATCACTAGCGTATCACCGGTGTTCTGCTGCAAAGAAAAGGTGGAGTAGGATTGTGTGTGGAGAGGCTATCCAGATGTCACGAACGGCTGTTCGGGACGAGAGGATCCTAGGCCACAAATGATAGAAGAGAGGTTGAAAGGATGATCAGGACTGATCAGACTAATGTCTTGTAATCAGAGAAGGCTGTGTGAACAGCAGTTCTTAGATTGGACAGAAGTGGATAGCCTGAGGCTTCCACACTGCGCCGCAGTATCTATAAATATGTACAAGCAAATGCACGGACCAAGTATCAATGGAACAGGAACGCGAGGTGTAGTCGGGAGAAAGGTCCTATGAGTCCTTATCAAGAAGGTGAGAAGAGTAGGTAAGCATAAGTGAAGCGTTTCGTAATACCCACTCATGATTTAGCCCTAAATAACTTGTACATACTTATAGCCAAAATGACCTTCTAAGAAGCTCAGCTTGCCCACCTTGCACACATCCCAATCTTTCCACTGCACTTAGCATCTGGCTATCCTCCTAGCTCATGCATTGTGAACTCTACCAGATCTAAAAGAATCATACTCAGTCTGATAAAGCACTGGATCCGTCTTAAAGCATCTGGAAAAACACCCCCTTGTATTAGCTCCGGATTATATCTAATAGTGTCTAACAGTATCTAAAAGTGTTAATAGTATCTAAAAGTGTCTAATTTCCTAATTGGGAGCAACACATTGTGAGCATTGGATTGGTTTCTAATTTCATGATATTAGCACTAATTCTATACTAAGAAGTCTTTAATTATCAGTAGGAAATAGTAAGTACTACTACTCTATCAGTGAGAAAGTAAAGATGTGGCACATTCTATACTATTTTAGCACATTACTCCCCTTTATATATGCCTATACCATTATCTTGTAGCTCTTTTGCTGACTTTCTAGCTGCTTTTATAAGGGATATAGAAAGAGAAAAATGTGCATTGATACCCCCAGCCACTTTGTTGGCAGCTTGGCAGCTGCCACAAGAGGCTATGAAGACCTAGGTACCTTGTCCTTGCACACAAGATCATTAAAGTTGTCATTGTTAGCCAATGCCTGCTATTGGTCATTATAGGACACAACATGTGGGTTGGACTTAGGGATATGCTATATGCAGCCTTATAGACCTTGTCTATCAGTATAGTGGCTAATACTGTCTTGTGCAGCACACAATCATCATCACTATTGATATTACAATTTTTAGCACTATTTATATTGTTTATTGCCTTGTTATACAGAAGATGCTCAAACTTGGTGTTTTCTTCTAGCTATTAGGCTGTGGAAAAGACAGTCATATTGGTATGTGGTGCCAAAATGATATATTTGCCTGCCATATAGGAAATATATGCATTAAGCATATTAAGATCACCTCCAACAATCTTGTGCTTATTTATATATAGGCATGCCATACATATACTCTTGTCCCCACCCTCTACCTCACTAGTGGCTATTTGGAAAACCTCTCTCTCTTATTGAATCTTGATTATTTATAATCATGTTTTTGATCAAATTTGCAAATTCAGGTAGCATTGTCTATACTAGTAGAGTCCCATTGAATATTACACTCAATCATAGTTTTACACATTCTCAGTCCAAATTGTATGAGTACCATAATTTATTTTTATCATATACAAAGTGTATTATTGATTTTCCATTGGTTTATTATCTTCTTAGCTAGTGTTTAAACTAAATCCTGAAAGACCTGACTTTTTAGGTATTTATTGACCTATTTATTTATAAGATAAAGGAAAGATAAATGTTGAATAAAATTTGAGGTGTTGAGGTTGCCTATATTATGTCTACTTATTTAGATTACCAAGTTCATATCTTAGACCTTGTGGCTTAGTGGCTTAGAGCATCTGTCCCTGGTGCTTGCATATATGAGGTTGTTGGTTCAACTCTGGCAGAAGGCAAGTTTGTTATAAGGTATATTCTGTGTTTAGGTATTGAACTAGTGCTCTAATAGACATGACTCTATAAGAAGGCTATGAGAACTGTGATGGTTGGTTTATTATGATTTTTCCGAAATTTCAAGTTATAATCAATCCTAATAATTCGTAATTTAGGAAAATTATGTCTAATTAGAACAGGTTTAGAGGGGGGGTAAGCTAAAAATGTCTAATCCTAATTGTTCTTAATTATGCATAAATAGAACTAATTAGAGCTTAATACAAAGGGGTAGTTTTCCAGATGCTAGCCTATAATCAATGCATAGTCTGCAACTAGCACAGAATATTTCAATCCTCATAGTCACTTAAAACTAAACTACAAAACTCAGATTCAACCCTAACCCCAAGAAATACTATTAAGCACTGTGCAAGAGTCACGAAGCGACAGGCTGGAACAGGACCCCCAGTAATAGGCAGAGAGGATGTCCACTGCCATCTTAAAACAGGCCAAAATTTGTCCAGACTTAGTTTGCCTGGAACCGCCAAAATTTGTCCGGATTTTGCGGACATCCTCCCTAGGGCCCCCTTTTTTGTCCAGACTGAGTGTCCAGCCGCAAAAAATCGATGAAAATGTCAAAACAATTCATTTTGCAATTCTAACAATATGAGAGCAATATAGAGTGACTCTAGACAAGCTCTTCGATCTGGTGCAAAGTCGATGGGATGTCCTTATCGCTGTATGCCTTCTTCTGGGCGGCAAGTTGCAAGATGTCGTGGAGCTGTGATGGTACAATGATGTGAATGGAGTTGAGCATACTCTCTACTCATAGGTGGGCTTGCGGATGATGGATGAAGATATATGAGATGTTGTCACATAGCATCTTGTATTGCAGGAGCTGCAGAAGTTTTGAATTTGTGAAAACTATTCCCCCCACAGGAAATGACGAGTTCCAGCCACACTGCACTACCAGTGCTTGAGCAGAGGGAAACACTATGTTAAATCCCAGGTTCAACAGGGCCTCTTGGTCAACCCAAAGCAGTGCTTGTTACAAACTGCTTGTTTGGTAACCCCAAGAGTAGGAGGTTTTTCCCTAGGTCACTCGAGGAGGATGTGTGGAACGATGGTCTCGGCTGTACGTGTAGCACAGGAGCCAGCAATGTATTGCGATGTAGCAATGAAGAGTACTGTAGGACGATAGTACTGGAATGAGGAGTCCTGTATGTGAAGATACAGGAGAACGAAGAGAATAGACTGAAGAACCTCAGCCTACTCTATGGGCCTTTTATACTACTTTAGGAAATAGGGTGTGAGAATACCATATATGTATCCATAGGTATTCTCTAAGTCGTCTCTCTCAATAATGACTACTCTTGTGCTTCTCCATTCGTCTCCTTCCGGCTAGGAAAGACTAGGAGCTTGATGCCCGGTGTGTGAGTAGTTTGTAAGGCGGCATTCTATGCCCGTCGCAATATGGCTTGTGATACTCGACCAACGATAAGGTGATCCGTTGGGAGTGGATGACCAAGGTTATTATCTGTACCTTGTTGTACGCCTCACCTTGTGAGGCCGCTTGATATTTGTGATGATCGTGTCAGTATAGACCGCCATTAAGGCCCAACAGAACGTGATCATAACAGTGCTCTACTCCAGCCACTCTACATAGTTACAAGCTGGCTCAAGATATGCCACAGTGACAACATCCAGAGCAGAAACCACATGCGGCCATCATTATAATAAGGGTCCACCATAGACCATGCACCATCAAGCCATGCCTGATGTGATGCTTTGTGGAGAGCATCAAGAAATTTGATTGGAGGGATTGGTCTGGACATGAGATGAGTGAAAAGGGATGCATCTGATGTCTTTGTGGGATGATCGCTGCTGTACCATGAGATTGTCCTGCTAAACTCCAAAGTCGAGGACAATGGAGGGAATTCCCAATGAACAAAGTCATGCACTGCAAGGTTGCTAGTTGGGAGCTTTTTGGACCATTGATCAGAGAGAGCGAAGTCACAATGATAGGTATTGACAACATGAAGTAGTATGTCCTTCCACAGCTTTCCTTGGCTAATCCAGAGGGCAGGTTTGAAAGCCTTTTGGTTCTCTTCCTCAAGGTCATCGCCTTGTGGGCAAGGCATTACAGCGTAGGCAGCGAGAAAGGGTTTGGAGTTGAACACGAAGGACCTGGCACCAATGCAGGCCTAGAGAGCAATGGGCTGTGATTTTTGCCCCAGATACATTGGAATCCATAATTTTGTGGGAAATATTTACGAAAGCAAGGATCTCTCATAGAAAATAGAATATTTGGCGCTGCAAGTAATATATTTGTACAGCTAAAGCAAAACAGGTGAAGCACTGAGATCAAGACTGACGACGGAGAACTGAGCACGGGCGTCGCCACATCAACAACCTTGGGGCGGCACCCGGAACCGAGCTCTTGAGGGCCTAGTTTTGTCCGGATCTGAGGATGTCCACCTGCCTCAAACCCCCCAATTTTGTCCATCCTGCGGACGGCCTTCCCCCGCCATTCGGCCAATTTTTGTCCAGGTCAGTGGACGTCCTGTCCCTCTATTACCGGGGGTCCTGTCGAAACTCGTAGTATGATAGCCTATTGCGCTTGGTAAGCACGAGGCTCGGGCCACGTGGAGGCCAGAAAGTCTGGACACAAACCTGGTCCTATGGTACCAGAAACTTCACCTCGAACACTTCCCATCGCGCAATAATTAGCGTGTGTTCATTTCACTTGTGAGTTTCACTTATGCGAAGAACGGTCTGAGGTCTCACCTTGCCATCGCAGACCTCAATGTCAGATATCGATACCTCTGTCGATGACTTGTCTGCGAACTTGTCCACTCTCGGCTTAACCGACGTTTCTCAATCCACATTGCTTGATCACCTGACAAAGTATTACGATTACAAAAAACTTCTACCAAAACCATCCACACACTCCACCCTCGCAAAAAGCTGGCTGGCTGACATGGTATCAGAAATTGCGCATGGAGGCATAGCGGTCTCCGATACATTGCTGAAGGCTCTTTTCATTGATAGCAATCTCACGGCACCGCATCCTTTGAAATCAGAGCTGGCGCTCACAGATTTGATGCGAGACAGCGACCTTGTACATTTCCTCATGAACGGCTGCGGTGTGTTTACTCTCTCTTGTTTAGCACCGTGGTAAGGCCTACTGACGAGTTTTCTCGCTAGAACCCGGAATTCAGTACGATTTAGATCAACCGTTGATACTCTTTTGATCAGTCGATTCGTTGATCTGACATGCATCATGATAGTGTGGACCAGGCGCATATACTCTGGGAGAATTTTCGCAGCCCTTACCTTGGCGAAACAGCGAACAATTTTGTGACAGCCCTCGACCATTATGAGAGTAATTACGATCCCGAAACTCATTATGGCAAAACTGTAGCCATTGTACAGTCGAGTGGCACAGGAAAATCACGTTTGATCGAAGAAATAAGCAAACGGGTGGGTCATTTGGGTCTCCTTATTTGTTTATTTTTCGTGTTTCAATTATTGTTCGCAGATACCGAGTATAAGCATCTGCTTACGACAAGATGAGCGGCCAACAACCGGATGGCCTCCTACCGATACCCCTGCGGTGCATTTCTTCACAAGAAGCCGTGCAGTCCTCAAGAACCCTCATATGGTAATCGCAATTTTATAACAAATTGGCCAAACTAATGGATTCTTGAGGCGGAGGAACTGGCAGCTGCCTTCCTTGGAGCGTTGATAGAGCTATTGCTTAACGGGATCCGAGAGAAGCCGTCAATGTCAACGCCGAAGGATTTCTTGAGTGATTGGGATATTACCGATCCTGGAAGTTCTGAGCAATCCAGGCGTCATCAACTTTTCACGCAGGTCGAGGACATGGCCGAGGCAAAGCTACATAATCATCGCGAAGAACTTAGGAAACTTCGCTCGAGACCGATGGATGACCCTGAACTCTCGGATCACCGCACGAACGCTCTTGTTTGGCACAAATCGCTACTTCGTGTCCTTGTACGGCCCCATATGGAGGCTCTCTCAGAGCTCGTTCATTCACGCGGTCACCGTCGATTCATAATCGCATTCGACGAATGCACCACATTAAACTCCAGAATTGGAATCTCTACCGACCCCAAGTTGATACCCCCTAGGAACGAGATGTCGCTGATCGCACTTCAGCGCATCGTCAAGGCTGCCGATCACCTTATCCTCCCTGTCAAGTTCTGGTTTCTATTGTTAGATACAAACTCGTCTCTGTACGATCTTGTTCCCCCAGGACAGATCGCACCATCCTTCCGGCTCAGGGACAAATTCAGTATGCTGCATCCGTGGATGTACCTTGGATTTAATCAACACCTTAGCAATGATCGTTTGTCAACGCCACAACAGGCACTTCTGTTACGTCACCTAAAAATGTATGGCAGACCTGTGAGTGCGAATCGTACTTACTTCTACTATTTGCAGTGCTCACTATTGTTTTGTGCTCCAGTATTGGTGGGCCCTCAGTACTGGCAGCAGTCTTCTGCGCGCTGCGCGCCTCAAACTTTTTGGCGCCAGCGGCTTCAACCCTGGGAATAGAAATCATGTGTTCGCTGCCTTCTCCCATCGAGTCCTATTAGAAATTGGTGAAGGCGAAGGTTCTAGTCGTCTGGCTGTAGCCGCCGTGCGCAACCACATGCGTGTCTTGATGGGAGTCGCTGATAACCTTGTCGTGACAGAAGCCCCATCAGAGCCAATACTCTCCGTCGCCGCCGTCACAGCACTTCTCGAGGGCGATAACTACAAAAGGGCATTTGACACATTGCTTGACGAACTGATCTTGAAAGGCCTTGTGATCGATCGAGGCCTTCGAGGCGAATTATGTTGTCAGCTGCTGATGATTCTCAGCCGAGACACAGGGACGTTCAAGGAGGCGGGCGAGTTCGTTACCATGACGAAACCTCCTGACAATCCCAATGAAGAACATGCGATCGTGCCTTTGCGACTGTCTACGTTCTTGAAAACGCTACTCGGGCCCCAGCTTGGTCTTCCACTCAAGAAAAATAAAACGCGCGATCGCCTTCTCTATAATACCGCAAATGTCTGGATCAACTTCACCCACATCGTTCAGGTCGACGAAATCATAACGGAATTAACTCATGAGTTCCTACATAAATGCTGGTCCTCTCATGCAGCCATACAATGCTCGTTCGGGCAGCCGGTCATCGACGGATTCTTTGTCGGCTATCAAGGCGACCTCAGCCAGCCGTTCGACTGCAGAAATCTTATCTATACACCCTGGCAAGCGAACGCGAAGACGAAGGCGGCATCGTATACTCTTGTTGACTGTCTGGCTGGCCCATGGATCGTCCCCGAACAAGGTCCCCGCTATAAGCCCGCAAATTACCTCGTGATCTTCATGGACCTTTGCGTATCCGCTTCTTTCCAGCAGGGTCAAAACCTTCGCTGCCGTTTGACGTATGGAGAGCCTCAGAGGCCTGGAAAGTCCGCGGACGGTTCTGCAACATGGGGTGGATATGCAACAGAACAGGAGGTCGAATCGAAACGATACTGTCTGAACGTCCGCGGGCTCAGCAACACGTATCCCGTCATCAACGGTCACAAGGCGCGGTTCAAACAACTGTTTGAACGCACTATAGGATGCTCTGATGCCAGATTCGCCGTTCACGCGGAGAACTTGCGCGAAAGTGTTCGGCATCTGACCCTCGGCTGAGATTGGGAGAATGCCAAGAGGAAAGGACCCACACAAATTTTCTTTTGTAACTCAACTGTTTTGTTCTGTCTTTTCCCGTCTTTTCCTTGACATTGAAAGCTCTGGCCGTCTTGTGTGCACCCAATTCAGACACTCCAAAAGTGACTTATCGGAAGCTGAATATACATATTGCAAGGTTGGGAAGAGCCAGTTCACATATTTACAGAAGAGTAACAATTCTATCAACCAGTTGATCGACCCGACAATTTACATGATCTCTACATTCATACTCGGTTAGATGCAGACCTCTCCACCTTGGGGTAAGCATTGTCTGGGTTGGCATATGTATGGCCTACTGGACACATGTGCAATTTCACCGTGCTCTCCCTCTATGTGGGACCTTGCCCCCCACACATACTGTCTGCTATTAGCTTGTACACAAGATGTGCCCTGACTTCAGCACCGACACCAGCACCAGGCCCGACCACCGTACTAGGCCACGAACTGGAACATATATGCACCTTGATCGCTTGATCAGCCAGCGGGGAGCGTTGGGCCGTACCAACACGCTTGAGGCGCATAACACACACGTATTGCAATGCAGAAATAATCAAATGATGCGTGCCCATGTTTCACGAAAGACTCGAGCAATTGTGTTCTCAAAAGAAGTCATTATTGGACTGGGTAATTCGGACCTCGACTTCTTTCTCGTCGCTCTCGTCACTGTCTACCGTTCTCACACGCACGCTAGCCTCTAAGCCGATACTCGTTCATTGCAGTCTCCTGCCGCAAGTCTAAGCTGTCCACCCGCTCAGTGATCCTCGCTTGGCGTCGGTAAATTCTCTTGATGTATCCTGCGCAGCCACGATAGCCCCTAGGCACACTGAACTGGCAGCCGCACCCGTACCTTCCTATTCGAAACTCTGCATGTGGCGACGGGCGAGGCCATGCAGCTTACGCGAGTATAGAAAGCGCCGCCGATAACCACTCGTACCAGCGAGGGTGTCGGGCGCGGCGATCATCAATCTAACTTTGACCAGGCTCGCTAAAGAGCGCGACGCGATCCGTTTTTTTCGCCGGAAACGCGCTGAGGTCGAGAGAGGCTTCCCCGCGCGTCCTCAGCTCGAGGTCCTTCAGCTGCGCCAGAAAGCCGGGATTGGGGCAGATGGCAGGCCTTGCCCGGACGAGCCTTCCCAGCGCGTCCTTCAGCGGCACGCTCTTCCTCGTCAGGAGGTAGCCCGCCACGACGGTGGGCGAGCGCGATACGGCGGCGAAGCAGTGCACGAACACGCGCCCGGCGAGGGTCGTGGCGACCGCGACGATGATGTCGCTCGCCTCGGCGACGACCTGGTCGATGGACGATCCTGGGTCATAGGAGAGGGAGAGTCGGCGGTACTTGATGTTCGGGACGGTGGAAGGGGGCGAGGCGCCGATGCTGAGGACATCGGTGATGGCGTGTGCGAAGAGGAAGGAGGTAGAGGCAGAGGTGCATGACCCAAGGTAGAGATAAGGGGGGTCGACTAGGATGGCGGCGTCGCCGCTACCCGACTTGCTCGCGGCAGCTTTCCTCTTCGGCGGCATGCTCGACGTGGAGTACGGGAGTTTAGGACCCCGCATGGAAATTGCAGAACATCGCGTGGAGAGCGTGACCCAGCCACACCTCTGTGCATCCGACAGCTTGGTTGGCCAGCTCAAACCATCCTGAGACGTTTCCTCTCGATGATCTTGATGTGTCGCAGCCAGGATCTCTCCATGTCACTCGCTTGCTGCCCCTGAAAACACTCTCGCCTCCTGTACAGCTCTGCAAGCGCGTCTCCCTGGTCAGAACGCCCCTATAACATCCATACCGTAGCTCATTTGTCCGCTTACATCCCTTACATTGTCGCCCAGCGCGACACTGGAGATCCTTTCTCCTTCGCATGTATATATATATGTCAGGTTGGCACCATCCCCGACGATAAGTACTTGGCGTCTACGTGCGTGCATTGCCCCGCCGCATTTGATCCTGGCACTGACTCGCAGCCTCGCGTATTGCTATGAGCATCGTGCTCATGCAGAAGATCGGGTTTGACTCGGGAGTGAGTTGCACTATGCTCCCAACGTATCTCGACGGAAAAGGAAGTCGCTGGCAGGTGGCTGCGTTTCTCGAGGAGGCGGAAGACAAGGTGGCGAGTGTCTGTGCGTCGGCGTGAATGTCGCATCGGCGCCTATTGGTGTTCAGTGGCTCATTTTCAAACTTATGACACAGTAACCTCTTTTGAAAGGGCATGTGCATGCCGCAAAGCTATTGATTCTGGTCTATCTTCTGTACATGATAGAGAGCTTCAGTGAACGCGGCATGAACTCTAGGATCTGGATCCTGCGAGTGCTCGAGCACAGGCAGAGCATGGGCCTTCAAATGGGTATGTGTGTGCTCTTTGCATACCATCAGCAGAAAGAATATCTGCACGGGAATCCACGAACCGTATCGAGCAACACTGGCAAGCACGTGTGCGCTCCCGACTTTGAGATCGGCATTGTCGCTTTCGAGCATGCGAGCAAGCGCCTTGATCGCATTCTCAAGCATGTTCCCTTGAGTGTTTCCTGTTTATCGATGATGGCCGAGCGCCGCGATCGTGAGTCGTATCTTCGCGAACGGGATCTGACCGGAATTTCGAGCCTACCGGAAATGACAGCGATCGCAAGTCGTTCGAGAAGATCGGGTTTTTCCAACAGGTCATGCCACTCAACATGTGTGTCTGCATCGAGTGCATGGAGCAGATGAATGGCTTGGAGCTGCTCGAAGATGTCCTCTTCCCATATATTTTCTGGCTGGTATGCCGTGCGCTCTTCTCTACATTCCGCCCACATTCTTTTGCGAAAAGATGCGAATGGCTTGTAGGTCGAATTTTGAAGCACCGAAGAGTGTATTTTTTGCCCTGGAACGATCACACGGCCCCGTTGGCGATGAAACAGCCTATGGAAGCTATTTGAGTTCTGAAAACGTACAGCTCATAAGGAGATTTGCACCATGACATGGACCGCTCGCCTTTGTACGTCCGCTGGAGAAAGGGCAGATATTCCAAGAGCCACCAGCTTTTGGGAAAGTCTATTTTCGCGGAAACAGGCGATTCGCTCCACTTGAGACTCCAGAGGATGCTTTCGGACTTGAACTGTAGGCCGGCGATCATCGCCTCGTGTTTCATCCAAAACAGAGGCATGTGTAGTATGTCCGGTATGCGTTGCTCCATGTTCTTTCCACCGCTAGAGAGACAGGTATTAGGATGCCCCAAAACAAGATCCCGAGCGCTGACAGAAACTCACATGTCAGAGTGTTTACCTGCAAACCACACTTCCTTGACATGAGGAAATTTAGCAGTGGTGTTTGCACCCGTATCACGCTCCGGGTTGAGACACACTCCCCCGTGAACATACTCTGGGAGAAACTTGACTCGGCGTTCATCCAAGCCTAGTGCGTGCCGAAAGAAGCAGACTCTGGAGTTTGAAAAATGCAAGGCCTGATCTTGAGAGCGCACCGAGGACACGGTATCCCTGCGTAGCCCGCCAGAGTCACCAATTTTTGCACGAGTCATCCGAAAGGTGTACGCACCAGGCGCCCACAAAATGCACCCTAACATCTCTTGTAAATGTGTCCTTGAAAAGCTGTGCGACTTCTCCGACGTATGTTCCATCGACCCCATGCAGTCGACCTTCCTCATCGCGTTTCTGTTGTTTGCATATTCTACTATAGATGTCATAAGCACTTTCGAGAGCACCGTCAGGCCTGGGAGCATGGTTTGTGTAGCATCGTGGAAAGCCTACATCGGTAGCTGCGCTTCGTTGTGACGATGGAGAAGACCGAGCTGTTGTATGCAGCATCAGAAGTCATTGCTGTCTCATTGTAGGCAAGTAGCGTGTATGAGAAGCTCGTACCGTTCCAAGAATTCCTGCAAGTACCCGAATTTGATACGCGCCTCGCGAAAATCCTAAGGTAATGATCAGTGCTCGGAGTGGTGCATAGCCGTCGCGATGTCGGTACCAAACAAATATATTCGATCCTCAGACCTTGTATAGTTATCTGCCAGCCAGAGGTAGGCACGCAAGATGTTCCTTCGTAATGTCCTTGTGGAACGAAACAGGATACCAGAGTGGGCTCGGTCAGCGACTCGGAAGCAAATGATGGTGGAACTTACAACGCTACCGCCTGGTCAATGAGATTGGTAAATGGGCTGTTTACTTCAGTTCCAACACCGCTGTTGTAAATCGCGATTTGGCCCGAATCGTGGTCCTTTCGGATATGTCGGTAGAAGAAGAGGACGTTTGTCGGCTGATGTGGTCAGTGGCAAAGGCATGACTCAGGACCTTCTCGGAGTACGAAATGATGAAATCTGAAGCTTACCTCCAGCCCAAACTTGTTCGATGTTCCATCGATGCACACTATCAATTGTTTTCCAGACACACCACATCCACACGTAGTGCTTCTTTTCTCATTGGCTTGCGATGCGGAATCCTCTCGTCTGCACTCTGTGAGTGAGCTAGATGTTACAGCATAGAAACGGACACAGACATAGCGTCAGCGCGATCTGTATTGTTATCTGGCGAGCCTACACTGCTGTTTGCCATGTTGCTTCAGCGAGCAAGAAGGCTTGGTGACTTGCGTCGTCCTACAAAATTGTCAAAGAAGAGTCTAGCACGAGTGCCAAAACGAGGCTGACACGAGTCACATTGAAACTCGGCCAATTGGAAGCCGCCTGTGATGGATTCAAAGCGCCCACAGGTTACGCCGTAGTTGCTAACGAGTTCGAGGTCGCATTCCCATACAAACCTTCCAAATGTCCAGGAATTCGCCATCAGAGGCTGAGGTAGTGGATTCAGTCACCAGCGTCAACCCGCGTGGCGATAGCGATATACAAAGCACCTCGATGTTCGTATCCTGATCAGTCCTCGAGTCCATACCGCACGTTCATGATGATTTTTCAGGAACGTAGGAGATGATTTGCCTTCTGTCCATCAGACCTCGGCGTGCAAATGCCAGCCTGAAACGGACACCACCAAGAACATAATTATATGCATCGATGGGACTGCAAGCCGACTTGGGCTTGAGGTACGCGCTTTTTTTGCAGAATGCTCGAGAGCACTGGATCTATCACGCGCCTCTGTCACAGCGTACCGCAGTCCTTGATCTCTACAGACACATCAAAAAGAATGGTCACGAAGAACGACAGATTGCGTTCTATCACAATGGCATGGGCACTGTACCGGCTCTACCATCCTGGCGCTCGTTTGAATATTGGAAACAAATATTGAACAGCAAGATAGATCTGGCCATTGGCTGGTACGCACATATACATCGATTATCTTCTGTCCAGTTTATACAACAAACTTCTAGGGATTTTCATAAAACCATCCAACAGGCTTACATCTGGTTGTCTAATAACTACGTGGACGGAGACCGTGTATACTTATTTGGTACGTATGCAAGATGACGCATACTCTCGCGCAGACAAATACATTGGCGCTTCACTATGACGCCCTTGTCTAGGTTTCTCACGAGGTGCATATCAAGTTCGAGTGCTTGCGGCAATAATCGCATCAGTGAGTTCTATATCACACGTTGATCATTAGTGTCGGACTTGAATGAAATCGTGAATACCATAGCTTGGAGTCCCCTTCCCAAATAACGAGGCACAAGTGCCGATGTTTGTATCGCCAACTAAAAGCGCGTTGTCAGAGAAGTACTGATATCCGTGGCCTGTAGCGCATACCAGCTCTATATCAACATGCATGCGAAGCATCAACCAGATGCAATGATTTTGACGACCCTCTTCAAAGAAACGTTCGCCTCCAGGACTGTACCAGTGCACTTCTTGGGGGCCTGGTGAGTGATGCTTTTTGCTTCGTCCAAGCTTGAATATCTCACCACCGTATGCTACGACTGGCTCAGGGATTCCGTGTCCTCGATTGGATTACGGGCAAACGGCCCACCAATCGCTCCTGACTCTATGAATAACATCTGTTTTTTCCGTCACGCTCTTGCATTAGATGAGCGTCGAGTCAAATTTATGCCAACGTACGCGCAAGGGCCTTACCCACGAGCAGACCATGCACGCTCAATGCAGATCAAAGAAGTTTGGTTTCCAGGAACCCACAGAGACATGTAGGCCGTGACGCCTCCAATACCTCTTGGTTTTCTTTGACCTCAACATTACAGGGGGATCAGAACACCGGACAACCTTCTTGCAGATTTGTCTTTTCGCTGGATGCACAGCGAAGCCGCGCATTGTGGCCTGCGTTTGCAGTGGATCGACCCTATCGAGGGCCCCCTGGCATTGCCTGAGGATTCGATGAAGCATATGTGGAGGTTGATGGAGCTCCTTCCAATCCGACGCCTGGCATATAAAGGTGATAAGACAACATTGTGAGATTAAAGTCGCCTTCAGGAGTTCCAGGCATTGATATATGACTCCAGGATACCAAACTATGCACGAGGCCGACCTGTATTTCCCGGGCAGATGATCCACTCCCGTGTGGCTGACATGGGCCCCATGTATGATCCGCGAGCACAAGGTTTAGATATAGCTCGAATCCGCGACAAAAGGAGAACAGCAGCAATTGATGAATTATGGGACTCAAGTGACTTGATGCGTGTTCGATCTTAATATGGTTTTTCAAAGCTCATCCGTCAGGAATCGTCGAGAATTCATGACCTTGTAAACTTCTACATGATGCATCTATTCCGTCTAACTTCCGCCCCGCTCCTGGGTACGCAATTTCTCTGATTCAGAATTATTCTCGTATCCAGGATGTCGATAACACGATTGTTTTTGTCCGTATGAGCTTCGGGAGCAAAAGAATAGCAACATAGCAAAACATAGCAAGTGATAGCGTGCGCGAATACCAATGTACAGTTTACGGGTGCGTTACCCTCCGTCGGTGAGGAGTAAAACAGAACATGAATCAGGACAGACTATAACGAGGCGAGAAGAGATTGGACCCATGGATTTCCATCAATGCGTGGCTGAATCTCAGCGAAGCACGTTTTGAGTTCTTCTAACTGGGCTTGTGGTGACAGTTCATCGGACATGATTACATCCTCGCCGTCGTCCATGGATGAAGACGAAGTACGTGAAGCCCAGGTCTTAAGTAGATCTTCAACTATCTTGATGCCTTCTTCTGTGACCTCTGGTGAGAAATCTCCATCTTTTGACGACTCATCTGTGGTACGTGGTACATAAGTATACGCGCTGCACGCGAAGGCATAGAAGGCATCCACGCACCGACTTTGAAGTCCTCAAGCTCATCGGCCGTGCGCCGCGCAAGCTATGGACGGATCAACTCAGACTCAGACTGACTTGAAGAATATAAAGGCTTACCTTGACTACGGATTCCGGGAAATTAGCCAGCTCCGCCACATGAATACCGAAACTTTGATCGCTGACACCTAGATGCCAATCTCAGCTTAGAGTTTTACAGACATGTCGGAAAGTGGCATACCGGGTTCGACTTTGTACAGCAACGTGATGTCCTTCTCTTTCGATGTCTCGGAAGAGTCGGACACATGCGCAACGACATGCAAGTTTTGCACATGCGATAGCTCTTGGTCGAGAGCGGTGAGCTCGTGGAAGTGGGTTGCGAAGAGGCAAAAAGCGTGAATCTGCGACGCGATGTGCCTACAGCGATACTGATTAGCGGGAGTCGTCGAGAATCTCAAATTGAGAAGTTTACTCTGAAATTGCCCATGCAAGTCCGAAGCCATCATAGGTTGATGTGCCTATGCAGATCGAGTCAAAATTAGGCAAGGCCGCGATACTTTGCAAAGATCGCACCTCTACCAAGCTCATCGATGATAATTAACGAATCTTTGGTGGCAGACTAGAGATCGGCTGTAGGTCACTCAGAACCATGAAAGACCATCGTTGGCGCACCTTCAAGATCGTAGCAGTCTCTAACATCTCCGCCATGAACGTGGAGATCCCTTTCAGCTGACTGTCCCCTGCGCCCACACGACACAGGATAGAATCAAAGATGGGTATTTGTGCCTCCGAGCAAGGCACGAACGAGCCCGTTTGCGCCATGAGCGCAATCACGCCAACCTTGGCGAAGAAAGATGAACATCGTAGTTATGAACGGTTCAAGCTATTGACAAACCTGTCGGATATAAGTGCTCTTTCCGCCCATATTAGGCCCGGCTGAGGACGGGGTGCGCCAGTCAACGTGAAGGATAACATCAAGCATAATACAGACGCACTAATAATCTGGAATTCACTTTTGTCTGGGTATCAAGTCAGTCATCTCGTTTAAGAAAGAACGGACTCGACAAACATACCCTTTATCATCTCTACATCATTTGGTATGAAGCTCATGTCATCTTGGACTTCAAGACAGGGATGCCGAGCTTCTTTCAAAACAAGGTCTCCTGCTCCTAAGATCATAGCACACATGAGATGTTGGCACATCCACCGTAACAGCGCATACACACCTTTCTCGACCACTATGGGCTTGACATACTGCTCCGGCGCGCTTACTGCCACCTGAGCAAAACTGCAGCGAGAAATCGACATCAATGCCCTGGCATGGTACCGGAGGAGGAAACACGACAAGCCTTAATATGACGTCCAGGTGTGCAAGATTGCCATTGAGCGCCTCTAGTACCGGTGTGTATGTTGCTAGCAATCGCGCCAGGTCAACGTCGAGGTTATTATCATGGATTACAGACTAGAAAACGAAGCTTACAAGCGATGCTCACAACTTCTTTGACCAACCCACTCTGCGTTTTTGAATACGCCTGCGTCGCATTTTGATACTCCTCGGCAAGTTCCTTCAATCCTGTCGTCGTGAAGTATACCCCTGATTTTATCGTCCCAAGCTCAATATACTTGCGCTTGTTTTGTATCGCCTTGGCATCCTAGATCGGCGCCATGTCATCGTTCTTGACCAGTCTTGTGAAATAATGAAGGAGCACGCACGTTTTTCGTCAAACGGAAACAGTAACCATAAGTCGCTGAATTTTCCAGATGAAGCTTCTTGTCAAGCTCCAGCCCCAGGTCCGTGCCGACTTCGGCATGCTCCGTGTCCAGCCCATCACGGACCTCGAACAATTTGTCCGCTAGATTCTGCAATCGCTCGTCATAGTCGGGTTTAATCACAAAATTGTGCCGTTCGAGCTCGGTGAGGTCGAGTGTCTGCTCGACCATCTCGGCGTACTTTTCAAGCGACTCGGAGTATTTCTACGGCAGGTAGATGAGCTATAGCACACGAAAATGGAGTGTGCACATACCTCGAAGTGTGTAAGGTACATCTCATCGATGAGCTCTTTTGCACGGTCGGTTCTTGTATCTACGTGCTTGAGTGTCTCTATCAATCCCTTGAGCTAATGTGCATGTCACAGAAGAAGGACCATGCTCAATCTAGACTTTTAAATGGATGAGAGGCACGACGTACTTTGAGCACAGCCTGATACACGCGCACGACATCTTCTAGCGATGCCACGGATTTCTGAAACCGCTTGCTGATACGATGCATATCCGGCATTAACTTCATGAAGTCGTCCTAGAAGTTGGGATGTGGTCAATACAGCTGTAAGGTATTAACAAGAAAGAACAACCTGAAGTGTCTTTCGCGCGTTTCCATCCTCGACAAAGGTCTCGACCAAATCCTGCTTTTTCACTGCATTAATGAGCTGTCAGTAGTCAAGTAAGAGACAATTAGGTGCAGGAGATCACGAACATATTTCGTGTCTATTGACGAGGGGCTGTTTCAGCCAGCTGCCAAGCATACGAGTACCCTGCGCGGTTTTGCATTTGTTCAATAGGCCCAGCAGCGTGGTGTTTCTCGTCGACGTGCCCTAGAATACATTGTTCTGAAATCAGCATCTTGTGGCCGACTTATTCACCATTCAAACAACCCAAACAGGAATTGTTAGGTAACATAATGGGCTGCACTTACCCCTCCAACCTCGACAAGGTTCAACGCACGCAGTGCACTGGCGTCGAGGCGCATATATTGGTCGAGATCGTGCGTGCGGATCGTCCACGCACCGTGATTCGAAGAGTCAGATAAGAGAGATAGATAGATGAGTAGGCCCGCCAGAGCGCCTGGTGCAGTCGGTAGGCTCAGTTGCGCTGTTGTCAACGATGGATGTATGCGTCATCAGCACCAGAGTTATTTTTTTCAAAAGACATGCGTACGAATCACAGTCGACACGTCAGCTGTTACAGAAGGGGTGGCAGCGAGAAGGCAAGTGAGGTCTTGATCGACATGCTTCGCGGTGAATTCACCTTAGAATTAAGAGTTAATGATGGGCCAATGGTAGGAGTATGTAACAGAATATGGTGCGCACTGGGTTTCCTCTCAGTGACGACCACTCCACAGCGATCAAGTACATCTTTGAGCTTCTTGAGGTCAAAATCTCGATCTGTTGAGCCCGATGCGGTCCCTGTGGTTATCAAAGCCTCTTTCACGCCCAGCTGAATTACGAGTGTCTAGACACTGCACATCAGGTTTTCCTTTCGGAATGAAGAAGCATAGAAGCTTGAAAGCGCACTTCGGTGTTCGAGAACAGGTCATTGTCCACAAAATCCGCGACTCCGAGCTGGCGAGTGCTGGAGTCAGCGAACGCGATACCGACTGTCTTATTCTTGACTTTGCTCGAAGACCCTGGAACAGACGGCGTGGAAGAGATTTTGATAGCCATGACCATCGGTGCTGATAGGATATCATTGTCGATGAACAAAAGGTCTTCGACAGCCGAGAGGTTGCCAGGGGATGCCTACTCCAGAAGAATACGGCACGATATGCATGTATCAGAGCTCTCAGAGCGGAATATCGCAGCCGTCTAGAACTCCCATACCTCTTTGTCCAATACGAACTTTTTCGCCTTTCTTCCCTGCCCAGGCTCTGGCACCCATATCTCCACCTTCAACTGTTTGACTGTGAGGGCCTCCCGCAGGAATGTTTTTGCCACACTCGAGCTTAAATTCACGCTGGGCAGTCCTGCCTGCCGTCCGCCTGCCCCGAGATACTTTAGCACCGAGTTGGTGTGGAACACGTGTTGAGCGATGTAAAGCGCATCCGGCCCATGCGCGGTGTAGAAGTTATCGTTGTTAGCATACCGAGAGAAGAGTCGCACAGTTCCCGTCGTGTCTGGAGATTTTGCGGGCAGCTTAGAGAAGAACGTGCAGAAGCCAGGGTCTGTAGTATCTGAAAGACGACGCGGAGTAAGTGAACAGGATAGATAAAATGCCGAAGTAACAAACCCAGATCATTGTCATCCTTTTCTTTTCCATACATGAGCGCCATGGTGGGTAGATAGTCAGACAAACAGGCTACAATTCGGATGTCGTCTCGAGAGCGGCGACTTGAATCAGACGCGTCGGTGACGCGAGCGGCGACCGACCGTGCGAAATGAACGCGTTTATTATGTAATCACATGCCGGCCCGTTTAACAGCGAGCGCCCACAAGCGCCCACGTCTCCGGGTTTTGACCTTCCCCACCGTCTTGACATGACGTGGATTGACAGTCCTCTGGTTCCTGATTCGCCATGTTTCCTCTAATGCGAGCCATGAAGGCATGCCAATCCGATCCCTCAGCTTGGGGCCTCACTCGGCCCCACGCATTCGAGGTAGTGCTGCACCCGTGTGTACAGAAGCCGCGTTGACCCCCCCCGCAGCATCTGAAGTTTGTGGTGCAATATCAATCCGTATCCCTCTATGATCACTTTTGTGATATTCTATGCTTCGATGCCTTCACTGTATGGTACAGGAGCTTGGAAGGAATGCCACAGAGATCCTACCTTGCAGGCTGAATGCGTCTGACGTGTTCCTCAGTGCTTCCCTACTTACATGTGTTGTCTTGCAGCGATATGCAATATACCTCATTGCTTTGTCCGCTTTGTGAACTGGCCTGCAAAAAAGCTGATTACTTTGTTAGCTAGACAAAAGACTTCAATGAAGTCCTTTAGTTTCCGACGTACTTGGTTGATCAGCATTCATCCCATCGGCAGCTTCCACGATCCGTTGACTGCACTTAATCGCTACTAGTCGGCGATCCAGGATTAAGCGAACATCATACCCATCGCTTTGACTCTGGCGTTCAGGGCTTCAGGGCTGTCTCGGTTCCTTCATTTGACCTTCTGAATACGATTGTTTGTTTCTCTAGCGTCCAACGTTCTAGGGCATAGTCTTACAGACAGAGCTCTTCTGGTCTTTGAGATGTGCTTTCGTGCAACCTTCCATGCGCCTTGCTGACTCCATGAGGATCGTTCGTTCACAGGTTTAGCGTCGATGAAGAGTAGAAACTGACAGACATTTGTATGTGATGCCGTCACTCACCTCGTTGACGAACACTCCAGCCACGATGCACCGTCTCGCGCGCCCACGGTCATCGGCGTTCGCGAGCGCTAAGCACTGAGAACCACACCACCAGCACATCGCGAACCTGATGGTCGCGCGCGATAGCATCACCTGATACGAGAGCAGGGTTCTAGAGGGACTGAGCGACGTCGATTCGAGCCAGATGTCCGGATCGGCGCAGGTGCTCCTCGCGAAGTGGCAGTATGATGCGACTTCGTGGCGCGCTACCTTGCTCTAGGGCTTTCTAACTCCCTGCAACATATATATCGTCATCGAGTGGCCCGCATCCGGTATACCGCGGCGCAAGCCTTTTCACCCCACATATAGCATGGCTCCCCCTTCGGTCATGAAATTCGTCCGTTCCTCGGACGGCACACCCATCTATGCGGAGGCCACGGGCTCTTCCCGGAACCTGCACGTCGTGCTTGTTCACGGCTTCAGCCTTAGTGGTGTCGTGTTCGACGAGTTCTGCGCGGACCAGCGGTTGCTTGACGAGCTCTACATCGTGCGTAGCGATCCTCCCGCTCTATTCCCCGCCTTCATCTCTATTGGCAGGTCCGCTACGATATTCGCGGGCACGGCCGCAGCGGGAAGCCTGAGACTGCAGAGAGCTACGTGTCAAAACTGTATGCCGACGATTTCAAAGCCGTGCTGGACGCATTCTCTCTGGTGAAGCCAGTCCTTGCCGCATGGTCAGCCGGTCGTCCCTTACCGTCGCTCCATTCTCCACTGACCGTTCTTTTGGCGATACCAGGAGCATGGGTGGTGCGCGACCGAGCAAATGGTGATGAGTGGACCTTATGCTGATTTTCTCCGAATATAGGCACGGTGGCCACGGACGTGGCCACATACCTGCCGCCAGGAACCATATCCGGTCTCTTATTCATCGCCGCAATCCCCTGCGCTGGGCCATTCGTGGCGCAATTCGGCACCGACGAAGTGCTGGCTGCCCTAAGCGGCTGCCTGGAAACCGGATCCATCGCCTCGAACCAAGCCGCCTACTGGAAGTTCGTCGACTTGCTGTTCGTCTCTCCCGAGACGACGCCGTTCGCTCTCAAGTGCCTGTATAACGGACATGCGGTCTCGCCCAAGATCATGAGGCACGTGTGCGAGCGCGAGCAGGACATCGAGAAGCTGTGGGAGGCTGGGAGGGAGGGTCTGCCGCTGTGTTTGCTCAAGGGCACTGTGGACGCGCAGATCAAGTTGGACAAGGTCGAGGAGCTAATGAAACCGCATTTTCAGGAGGATAAATTTGAGGTAAGAGTTTTGAAGGGCGGCGGGCACTCGCTGCATGTGGAGACCAAGGAAGAGCTGATGTGGAACTTCTTGGAGTTCGCGAAGAGAGTCGGGGGAAAGGTGAATTCGATTGTTACATTGTCTACTTCATAGAGGGCTGAGCGAATCTGCGCGCAGGACTATGGGAGTTAGAAGGCCAGACTGATGACTAGGCGCCTAGCGTCTCGCTGTCAAAGAATGACTAGGATTGTAGGAACGGGTCAACTATGAACGGCGTGGTACATACTATCGACGAACCGACATACTGCGAAATCATCGGAGCATGCGTCTTTTGAAGTCAGTCACAAGATTGAATATTTGAATTCCAAGGCTCATGCTAGATGAACGAATTGAGCTTTGTTTTCAAGTAGGGCGATGGCTTCTATTCATGACATCCTCTTGCCGTCGTATCTCTTGCTACCGCATCGAACCCCCCGTCTGGCTGGCAGAATTCCGAGGAACGTGAAGCATAGAGAAGCTCGTAATAAACAGGAAAACTGACATGGTGAACGCTGATTACTTGAGCCGCTGCTTTTCGAGGCGCATGACCCCATATTAGACTTCGGCGTCTAAAGTTACTAGTGTACTTCGTTCAAGGGTTTTCGCGATGAGGTGCCCCAAGTCATGGAATTGAACGACTTGGTATTGGTGAGACCATATCGGGAGATACATTCCCACGAGCAAAGTTGGCACTGGGACACGCTCGGTCGTTTCGACAGTGATAAAGTCGAATTTTCGCCACATGGTTCAGTATAGGGTGATAGCGACGTCGACTATCCCTCCAACATCGAGAGAGCTGAGGAGCCGCCGTGGTCCAAGCAAATAGGCGCAGACAGCGATGACGTATAGGTAGCTAGGTTATGACGTCGCTGGATCTGGTCCACGTATTTCTGCCCTCGACACATCTGCACGCACTGCGTTCCTTTGTTCTCCTTGCAATACAGGTGAGCTTTTCAGACATAGCTTTTTGCGTCTCGCGAGCTAATCCCTGCAGGTGACCTCGCATAGACTCTCCGTGAACACAGTGCAGGCTCTGCTCTATTATTCGCTATATCCACTTGCGACAATGGTGACGACGCGTAAACGCGCGCGCGCCGGTGAGGGTGACATTGGTTTGCCAACCCCTGCAGATGTCTCTACACCGAAAAAGAGCGACCTGCCCGCGAAACCTGCAAGCAGAGGCATGCGCTCCGTCTCGGCCCCGCTCTCGAATACAAGCGCCTCGAGCACCATCTACGTCCTAGCATTCATCGCCGCCACGTTCTTCGCGTTCTACGCGTATCGCACCGTCTCCACAACACTCGGGATCATTAAGCAAACCACGCCTTCCGTGCACAGCAACAGTTGGAGCTTAGGATTCTTGAAAAAGCATAGAGGGAAGGATAGCCCAGCTGGTGGGCGGCACGAGAAGGGCATAACAGTCGAGAGCCGTATCGAGGAGCTGGCGAACGCGCTCGGGGTGCCATCGCCTGATCTCGCTAGAGCGATTGCAGGTGCCGTGAGAGAGTACGTGCCCCCAGCGTCATTGTCGTCGATTTCGAAACAGGCGGAGAAGACAGGTGGAAAACAGGTTGTGGATAGACTACTTGGGAAAGAGGATAAGGACTCGAGTGTCATTGGAAGCATAGGAGAGACACTTGGGAGCGTGGTCGGCCTAGATGATGGGCCAGAGGGTACGTGAGTTGGAGAACGAGTAAGGCGAGGTAATCCCGAGATATAAGTTATCCTCGCATGTTATTGGGTTCCGACGCTGTGTGAATGTACGATCCCAAGGGTCATCCGCCGATCTGCTATGTCATGGTCAAGGTGGTCAGGCAACAAGCATTCGATTTTGTGGACTCTGCGGCAGGGTCTGCCTTCGTATGAATCGAACAAACACGCAAGCAGCATGGCACAAACGTAGAATGGGAGACGTTCTAAGATAATTTCAACAAGGCTCTGGAGTCAAGTAGATTCGGGTGCACAGAGTGCCTCTGAGTACATGACACACTGATTATGCTCCACATTATCAAACGCTCGGCACAGGAATAGAATGAAAAGAGACAACGACGCACAAAATCCGAATCCTTTTCGTCGTTTCAACAGCGGTAAGAAGCTGTCCTATCTAGCGTCGTGCTTCCACTATCCTACCGAGTTGACGTTATGATAGCGGCTGTCCATCAGTGCTTAAAAAAGGAATCCTTCGCACACAAGAAAGCAATAGAGCTGTGACCATGTGACCCCACATGCGTAAAACAGAAGCACGGAAGACTTGCGGCATTAATGGCAGTGATATGTGATGGACTAAGGAAAGTAAGCACCATCTTCGACTTTGTTCCTTACCTTCCTCCGTTCAAGCGTGGGCCTAGTTGAGCCAGGTGCATTCTATCGATGCGTGCGCACAAGCGTCACTCGTATGTACATGGCACTGCGCACGGATCAACAGAAGGGTAGGCAGCGTGGCTGTATCATCCTTTCAATTGCTGCATACGATCAGCCGAGCGTTTGATCACTCGTTGGCGGCGCTCATGCTTGAACGCCATCCTTTAATGGTCAGTAGCTCCGTGATCCCTGCTTCACAGGAAAGAGAACAGACGCACGAGGGGCTAAGTATATGTGCACAGTCATGCTTCCACAAGCCTACAGCTGTTGGGCTTTCGAAGATCGTGATATGTGGATTTGATGCGCAGCTTGACCTGCATTTACCGGGCTGTCGTTGACGATCGGCGAGCGCAGCTCTCGCGGAACGGGCATTCCAGAGGATTTGAAGCGATCGCCATTTGTGCGATGAGACGAGTTGCACATGAAACGTGGTGCAGGCGGCAACGGCGGGACCGGGCGGGACCGTGACTCGAACGCGTCGGGCGCGCCGTCCAATCAGGGTATGTCGGACAATGCCTGATCAGGCCGTGGGATATCCGTACGCGCCATTTAAATCACGTCGCGTCGTGTGTTCAACCACGTCGACGCGTTCTTCCTCTCTTCCCAGCGCTAGCAGCAGAGCCGTGGTTTCCAGACCTCCCTGTCATAGATCCAGTATGAGCACCTCAGAAGGCTCGGGCGAGCAGCTCCGCTCGTGGGCGAAGAAACAATTGGGGTTCGACGACGATATCCCGGTACGTTGTTTGTCACTTGCTTCTTCTGCTTCTTTTGCTTCGTCTGCTTCGTCGTAAACCCTCTTGTAATGTGGTTTCAGTTCTTCGGGCTGGAAAAACAGTGCGCGCATGGAGCTTGCTATGTGAGCCATAGGGAGGGACGAAGGTTTATGTGTTGGTGGCAAGCGATGCCTGTTGCGTCAGGGAGCAAATGGCCTTGTATAATTACAATGTGCCGGAAGCCTCATTTTTCTTCACTTGCTGCGTCAGTGGCTGTGCTAGAAGCGGCGCCAGCGATGTGCTGTCTCGACCTTCTATCTGTGCTTTATCCCTCTCAGGCAATACTCACAATGCTTGGGAAGATCAAAGTAGCCCTGTCGACATGTCCCTATTCTGGATACGTTGTGATGGATCATCATCTCATTGTGTCGCTAATGTATGTTTTGTCTTTAGGAGAGCGGTATTCCTGCAGTGTATCTGTCCGAATTGCGGAAACATGCTAATGAATATCCGCTTGATATGAATGTATGCTATTGCCCCGTCTTCTTTTCACCATACAATGACTCTGTATTGTTACTAGTTTTCCATTGTGTTGCAAGAGGGAAGTGGTTGTAAGTGACGCTTTGACCAGCGTGCTTTCAGTTGTTGACTCTTATTGTTGTGTTTCACAGTTGGCATTGTGACGTGCCTTGAGAGTGGCTGTGATTCTGCGGTTGTGAGGCTCGGGAAACGCCTGTCGGTTCAGGATGGTGGCATTCGAGATGGATTGGGATCTCTTTCCGCATATAGGGTGTGTGTGAATTGTTATTCCGATCAAGCGTTGTTCTAGCTTTGACCGACTGCCACATAGGTCCACATAACTCGTTGTCTTGCACATGTGGCGAGTAGGGATGCCCGGGTCAAAGCTGAAAAGGCCACCAAGGTGGGGCCTTCTTCTGTAAGAGCTTTGACACGTTCCAAAACATACATAATCTTCAACGTTCACAATAGACCTTCTCATCCTCTACTTCCCATCATTTGCGCCGCAACCTTCCTCTCAAGATGGAACCTCAGGATTCTTCTTTGTCTCTTACTCGTCGTTCAGTCAACGCTAGTGTTGCGAAATCAGATTCCCGAGAGCGCTTGCTCTTGGATTCACAGCCTACTAGTACTGTGGCATCTGTTCCGTCCAAACGCCCATCAAGTCCTCTATCGAAGACAGCAAGCCCCCTTATCAAGGTCAAAGACGAAGAGTCCGAATTGATTGATCTGTCCCTGTTCGATGCACGTCCAGTCAAGAAGATCAAGACCGAGTCTGACTCTCTACCATCTCTTCCGTCAACGCCCACGAAGAAACCGCTCTCGCAAGCCAACAGAGCGTCCCCTCAGGGCATGCTCCACACGCTGCCTACTCCCCAGAGTACAGCAGATATCCGTGCGAGGATCGGTGACTTGCAGAGCAACATTGCTGACATCAATGGTCAGATCGCACGAGTCAGACGCAAGTCCATCCCTTTGAGGGCAGAACTCCTGCGTGTTGCTGCGTGGGAGAGAGATCGTGCGGACATGGAGGCGGAGAAAGCCAGGCTGAGCGCGAAGATTCCTGGCGTTTCGCGCAATGGATCTTGGGCGTCTGTCAAAGAAGAACACAATCCCGCTTTCAACATGCCAACGACACCTGTCAAGAAGGACTTCGATGAGGATGATCGTGTCAACTACCTGCTCGAGCCCTCCTCTCCTTTCCGCGGTGACGCTCACCTTCCTCAGACGCCTGTGGCATCCGGTTCGAATGTCCGGCTGCCTCCTTCGAGCCCCTCTGCTCCCCCGACAAGCCCATTCCGTTCTTCAAGTCCGTTCACCGACTCGGATGAAGAGAAACCTTTAGCTTCCACTCAAGCTGATGTGAGGCCTAAGATTGTGTTGGCCCAATCCGCAGCGGGGCAAGAGCCAGGCGGTGTCGCTGCTGGTAAGGCCAAGGCACCTGATGTCCAGCCCGTGGCCTCCAGTTCGAAGGAGCAACGTCTATTTCCCGTGCCTGCTCCTCAGGATCACGAAGTGGAAGATGAAGTGCAACAGTACATGAATGGCCAGCTGCCTAACCTCGACGACGACGACGAGGTGTACGATGACGATGGCAACTGGTTTGGACGGGGAAGAGACACATTCGAAGGCCCAGTGGCTAACGCTGATGAGTTCGTCATTTCTATTTTTTTTTCTCGATGATTCTAGACCATTGGCTGTTTGTTGTGTATTCAGCATCGATAAATTCTTGATCGCTGCTGGCAATGCCGAGCAGTTCGATGGCAACGCCAAAGTGGATGATGCCCTTGTCAAGCTCGGCCTTCCTGGGCTATACCAACCCTTGCCCGGTATGGAGGTTGCTCTCATGCCTCATCAGGCTATCGGTGTTGCATGGATGCTCGACCGAGAGAGAGGTCCGCACAAAGGTGGCTGCTTGAGTGACGAAATGGGTCTCGGAAAGGTGAAGGAGTGCATATTCAGCCTGCTCCATGAACTAACTGTGTTTCCTCGCCTCAGACTGTGCAGATGTACGCTACTCATCAGCTTGACTCACTGCCTTTCTGTGATTTTGACGCCTTTTATGATAGGTTAGCGATGCTGGTTTCGAATCAATCCCGCGACCCTCTCAAAAAGTCGACGCTTATCGTTGCTCCTCTTGCCCTACTCGACCAATGGCAGATGGAGATCGAGATGAAGACAAACTGTGATTTGAAGTGTTTGATATACCACGGTACGTCCTTAAGGAACTTCTCATACATCGTTCATTCGTTGAACATCTATCTTTGAAGGCCCGACGAAGGTCAAACGCAGGGTCGACTTGCAAAAGTATGATATCGTGCTGACAACCTTCCACGTAAGTGCGAGATGATTGATCTTCACAGAGTGAATGTTTTCTGACATGGCTGTTGGCCTGGTTTGCAGACCCTTGCGATGGAGTGGCCCGATCCCGAGGAACAGGTGAAGAAGGCCAGGAAGAATAAAAAGGGAGGCAATAAGGTCGACTACTGGGATGGTGAGAGCTCTAGTAGTGAAGAGGACAAAAAGAAAAAGAAGGTCGGGAAGAAAAGAGGATGTGCGTTGCTCTTTGACTTGACCATATCGTTGTGCTGAGCTTGTTCGGTGGCTAGTGGGAATATTGTTGCGAATGGATGTCAGTGCTTCCTTTTGTCTCTGTTGTAGTCTATTCGCTCATAGACAAGCCCAGTGGTACCGTGTCATCCTGGATGAAGCGCAGAACATTCGGAACAAAAAGACGCGTATCTCTCGCGCTGTGACGAAATTGGAGGCTGTATACAGATGGGCTTTGACTGGGTACGTTTTGTTTTCCTCCTCTCACGGTCGAACGACCCTCATTGATGATGTTGTCGGCAGTACACCTATCATCAACAGCTTATCGGATGCGTACGCAATCATCCGTTTTCTGAGAATACGACCATGGTACGATTGGGTCGAGTTCAATAACCAAGTGGCGAAGCCTGAAAGGAAACAGCGCAAGTTATCATGTCTTTACCTAAAATCTTCATCAAATTAACCCTTCACCTAGCGAGCCTTGCTGCAACTCGGCTGCAGGCGATCTTCACGTCCATGCTATTGCGCAGAAAGAAAGACACGATGCTGGATGGAAAGCGTTTAATCGAGTTGCCGCCCAAAGAGGTACACTTGACCAAACTCGGATTCACAGCGGAAGAGAGGGATGTCTACCGTATTGTAAGTCCTGTCTACATGTCATATTCAAGAAGCTTATACTCGTGCACCAGGTCGAGACCCAGTCGCAAGCGACTTTCAACAGGTTCCTCCAAGCCGGCACAGTCTTGAAGTAGGCCTTGATCGTCTGTGTGATCCAGTTTCTGGGCTGATGGGCTTCTCTAGGAACTATTCCCAAGTACTTGTGCTGCTGCTCCGCCTTCGTCAAATCTGCTCTCATCCATCGTTGATCCAAGAAAGTGGTAGCGCCTTCATCCTTCCAGTTGATGAATCAGACGAAGGTGTTTCCTACGAGGCGCGGGATGAGTTGGAGAGGGCAAGGAAGCAGGTTTCTACTGAGTTCGTGGCCCGAATGAAGTACAAGCTGAGAGACGTTGTACTCAAGAGGATGGCGGCGGAGCAAGAGGTTCGTTGTTCATTCTCCTTGATCCTCGTCCACAAGATCTAATCATTGGCACAGTCAGCGGATGCCGCCGTGGAAGATGAGGAATGTCCCATCTGTTTCGACACGTTCACCGCCGCAATTGTTACACCGTGCACTCACATCTTCTGCCGCGAGTGTATCTGTGAGTCTCATTCATTCAGCAATAGATTTTCGATGCTCATGCTATGACAGGCAACGTTCTGGCTGTTCCCAGGGTTGACGATGTCAACGATCAACAAAAATACAAGGCCAACGAACATCCTTGTACGTCCCTGAAATAAGCTACATAGATCAACACTCTGACTCTTTCTCAGGCCCCACGTGCCGCTCACCTATAACTAAGGAGAAGTTGTATGCCCGCTCGGCATTCATGCCTACAGATGAGGACTTGATGGCGGTGAGCAAAGCGCAGGCCTCCGGGTCAAACCCGACGGGAGAACGCTCCTACACCAGATTGGACTCCGATATCGAGATGCTCGACGACGAAGCAGCCAAGCCCATCGACGTGAAGGGCAAAGGCAGAGCCCGTCGGTTTGTCGCTAGGAAAAGACTTCTTCGTAAGGCGTACGACTCCGAGGACGACTCCGAGCATGAGGACGCGGACGATGATCTCAGCGACTTCATTGTGCAAAGTGACGAGGATGAAGAGGAGAAGGAAGAGAGGATGAAGTTGAAGAAGCGCCTGGTAAAGACGAAGGCCAGGCCGATCGTATTGGATTCAGATGACGACGAAGTCGTTTTCGGAAAGAAGAAGCATGTGCAAGATCTGCCAAAGGAGCAGATCCAGTTGATGCACAAGTTCTTGCCATCAACCAAGATGAAGGTGCGTTCGCTTATGGTTGAGTTCAAGGGTCGCATTTCTCATACAACACTCTGCAGCACATGATGGAATTACTTTGTGACTGGGCAGACAAGAATCCAGATGAAAAGGTTAAAGACGTTCCCTTTTAACCACGAGAACTTCTCGGCTGACCCTGCGTGCCCAGACCATTGTCATCTCTCAATGGACTCAGTGTCTAATGCTTGTTTCCGACTACCTGACAGAGAGAGGCATCGTGCACGTCAAGTATGCCTTCCATCACTCTCCACTTTCGCATGAAGATGATCCTCATATGCTGCCTCCGATCACAGATACCAGGGCGATATGGCACGCAACAAACGCGACCAGGCCGTCCGCGTCTTCATGGGCAAGGACTCGGCCACAGTGATGTTGATGTCCCTCAAGTGCGGTGGTGTTGGTTTGAACTTAACTCGCGCGAACCGTCAGTATATCTCCGATTTTTCCCTTCTCTGTATGCGATCTCAATTTCATCTCGGTTCTACTCACAGGCGTGATATCGCTCGACCTAGCATGGAGCTCAGCTGTCGAGAGTCAGGCATTTGATCGTGTCCACCGTTTGGGCCAGATGCGAGAGGTGTTCGTGCATAGACTCGTGATCGAGAACACGGTCGAGGATCGAGTGCTCATTATGCAAGAGCGCAAGGTTCGTTGTTCGCTCTGAGTTCATCCAATCGCAATTGACGTGGATTCGTTATAGCAAGCTCTTGCAGATGGAAGTCTTGGAGAGGGCGCAGGCAAGAAACTTGGACGTGAGTGCACATCATATTCTACGATAGAGGAAGTTCATGACCCGAAATCCCGCAGGATTGAGCGTTAAGGAATTGGCGAACTGTGAGTCCCAAACAATTCAGTTCGTCTCTCGCATTGCTGATCCTGTTCTGTGAACTAGTGTTCGGTTTGGACCACCGTGGCCGAGTGCTGAACTAGACCAACACTGGGACAGTCATTCCCATAACATATACCCCCCACTGTCTATGATGCCACTCACAAAGTACAGGCGCTCAAATCTTCATGCCCGCTCTATAGATGAACATGATGAAATGCTTTGCTCACTCTTGACTTCTCATGCTTACCGCTATTCGCTCTCCATGACAGTTATATTGCCTCTTTATTAATTGATGCATAGATCGAATAGTTTCAACAGTGCGTCGTAGATCTTCCAGGGTTAAACACAGCACGCGTACATGTTAGACATGTTTTTCAATGATATGATTTTTGCACAACAAACGGTCTCAGGTTCGAGAGAAGAAGTAATGTCAATTGATCAACTATGGAAGTTACCGAGCACCAGTGCTTTTCTTGAGTTGCGCCAGGACGGTGTCGACCTCACCTATGAAACGGTCGTGCAATTTTTGAAACTACCACGATAGATAGCCCGACAAGGACGATAATAAAGGAAGAAAGTGGGACGTTGGGTCAGCAGGCATACGCGGAACGGGCAGCAACGGGAATAGGCACCTCGTCAATCTCGATGGAATGTTTTCCGTATTTTCCTTTCTTGATGCTCGCTTGATGCTGCTTTCTTATCTGCGCGCGCGTGTCTTCGGCCAGCCGCGCGGCGGAATGGTACATCGCGAGCCGGGAGTCTACAGTCGGCCTGCCAGCATGGTCAGAGAAAGTGAAGTCAGTTTGATTCTACGTTCACGGAGTGTATGACCACGAAGACTCCTTGTCTTCGTGAAGGGGGGAAGGGTCGCTTTGAAGGAGGGTGAGTAGATGCGCACTTTGGTATGGGAATCTTGATCGTACGCTCGTCGGCACGTTGAGGGACGATGTTGGGCAGCTTGGAATCGTAAAGGGCCGCTTCCACGTGTTTGAGAGTCTACTAGAGCGAGCACAAACCATCGAGGTCAGAAATGCACATACCGGCAAAGAACAAGCAACAAGTATTCGCATTCATATATGCGCCTACGCATCTGGAGCGAGAGCACTCACATCTACATCAAACACCGTGATGACGAGCATCGAACCGTCCCGCACACCGACCGTCGCCACTTCCTCCAAGCGCACCCGCACGTCCTCTACGCCCTCGCCCTCAGCGCTGGGTAACGCGACGCGGACGGGCGACAGCAGCTGCGGTGTGACGCGCCCACTCGCTCGCGCGTCGAGCTGTGCGGCTTCGCGGCGGAACCACTCCACCGCGGTGCTCATTTTTGCAGACGCGCGCTCATGCTCGGCTTGCGCTTCTGGATCAGATAGAGCTTGTTGTGAGCCCGGAACCAAGGATGAGGTCGCGACGGGGCTTCGTTTGCTTGAGGGCGCGTCAGACGACTGGTCACGGTTCTTGGACTTCGCCTTGGAGGCATAAGAGCGAGAGATAATTTTGGGTAGAGGTGACAAACGAGAGCAATGCACCAGACGATGTGTGCATGGTGGAGGACGAGGAAAGTTTATGAGGGAGGACCGAAGGCCTTGTCGAAAGACTGACATGGTTTCAACGTCACAAGCGTAGGGGTACCACAGGGACCAGGTTCGATCCCAGTGCGTATGGATTTGACCCGAAAAAAGGATGGAAAAGGCCTCAATCTCCGACCCTGCGGTCCCTCAGCAAAGCCCTACCAAGGCCCCGCTCTTCCTTCGCCAAAACTCATTGTGCAAAGAGCCAGTATTAAAATGCATGGACGATCTGATAGATCGTATAGTGACCACCGCAGGGGTCGAACCTGCTTGCCATTTCGCCAGGCGGCCATTCAAATTCACCCTTCTCAGTGTGAGCCAAAATGTCAATCCACCGCCGATAGCGGACGTCAATCGTGAAGTATATGCATATTGTAATCGCGAATGTAAAAAGTGAGTGTATGTTCATACACGTAAGTATATACTCAATCGTCTAGCCCAAGAATCACCATCCCAGATGGGAACAGTAAAAACCAGATCATAGTCCATAGTCTAAGATAAGAATCCAAGTCAACACGAACAGACAAGCAACGAAGCGTCCAGTCCAGTCGGTGGAGACCACCGCGAGCGCACCAAGATCAGTACCCCATCCACCCTAGGGCAACTGACACTCCAGTCAACAAGGACGCCAGAACGAACCCTGCTTCAGAGCCTCTTGCCCGCGATGTCTCCGTCGAGCCTGGTAACCCACTAGACGCAACTGCGAGCGTGCTCGCGACCGTGACCACGGCGGTCCCCGAGTTGGAGGGTGCAGCAGATATGGTGCTGGAAGGAGGTATGGCCGAGGCCAAGGCCGGCGGAGTAGAAGGAGCGGCTGGCGTAGCGGAAGCAGCAGGTGCAGCTAGAGTCGTGTACGCTCGGAGGTAAGACACATCGAAATACGCGTCGTCGAACTTTGCTCCAGGCCCCAGCACGCTGTCCTCATACTGATAGGAGGAGAACATCAGTTACAATATGCGAGAGATATGGTGGGGTGGACCACGCTCACGCAAAGGCCAGTCGGTCCAGTTTTTCCACACGAAGGGCCATAGAACTGGGGAACGCCGGCCCTAGAAACGTATCATAAGGCAAAAGTCTACACAGCGGAAGTCCGTGCTGACCAGTCTCCGCAAAGGGTAATGTCGAATATCAGCTGCTGAGGCGTGAAGTATTGACTGATGTTGCAGGTAGATGCAGGATAGCTAGCGGAGGGCGTCCCAAAATCTGAAATATCAAGGGCGGAGGTAGACGTCGCGCTCAAGATAGATTTTGGGACGTTCGCGCGCTAATGCAAAATAGAACGCAAGAAGTCCCTCAATGCACATGATTAACGTACGAGAAGAACGTACAGTCCAGAACCACATGCTGCGAGCAGGGCAAGGATCAGATTAGAAGATGGAAGGCAGGAAGGGTGAATCCCACGCACAATATGCCCGCGGTGTCGAACTGTGTCGCCCACACCCCTCCACCCGCCTGCGCGAACCCTTCGTTGTAGCTGTTGGGCGCGGACTCGATGACGACACATCCACTCCCCTCGGAGCAGTTTGTCGCTGTTGGGTGTCCCGACTGTGCGGAGCCAGGCGCGAGCGTGCATCCGGGTAGGGTGTGGAGGGCGTATTGGTTGTTCGACGCAAGATTGATAGCTTCAATGATGTCGATTTCGCCGTCGTCTTTTACGTCGCGAACGAGGATTTTAGATTTTTGAAACATTTTAGATCTATGAGCGCTCGAAACATACTTGGCCATAGAGTACCCTTCGTCCAGAATGCAGGCCAGACCTAGACGTTTCATCAACAAAAATGACTGCGCCACGACGCGAGAATAAAACACGAACGGAGCAGCCGAAAGGAATGTGAAGAAGGTCTACGACCCACAGGCTGCCGATATCGTAAAAATCCTGCGATGTAATGCGGATCTATATAGTCGCAGTCAATGAAAGACTAGAAAGAAAGATAAGAGAGGTGTACCGAGTTTCGTTTTTGATTGGAGGGGACGTTGGAGCTGTTGTCTACCTTCATGATGGCGTGGCCTCGTGCGTCAATATATGCAAGATTCTGCTCGACCGCAGAAGACCGGTTGAGCCACCACACATCGCCTGAAGACCGTTTGCGTTCGTTTCAAACATCCGTTCAGAAACAGTGCACACAGTGATCCATTTAGTCCTGTTCAACTCACCGAGCGTCAAATTATCCCAACTGCCATAGAAATCCCACCGGTCGAAAAAACTCTGTCCAGAGTACTCGCGCACAACGTCGTAGCAAGACGCACCCAGCACAAGAGAGAGCAGGCATACGAAGACCGCGCGCCAGGACACAACCATCGTGCGTGTTCGAAAGCACCAGAGGCGCCCAAGGCGAAGGGATGGACGGGGTGGGGAGAGAGGGAAGCTGACACGGCTGAAACCCACCAAGAAGTATAAGAGCAAAATCTTCTCGAACCATGCCCCGAGAGGCGCCCTCGAATTGCCTTGCGCAGAAGTCCCTTGCCGATGCGCGGCGGACGGAGCCGTGTGTGAGAACGCAGCTGACCCACGATATCAATGCGTGCGATGCCTTCCTCGTGCTACATCAAGCCTCATCAGCCTCATGCATGTTCAATCCCAATATCGACACTGGGGCGCATAGACTTCGGGGATATCGTGTTCCTGATCGGGCAGTCCTTTCCGTTCTATATCGCAGATAAGTCGCTCGAGTGCTCTCGAGTCGCTGTCGTTTGCGCCTCGAGTGCAAGGATGGTGGCAGCTGCATTTAGGCCTGAAGTGGAGATGTGCCTTGCTATATGTTGACTTGTTAGGCCCGTCGTTGAGACGGTCTCGCAGTGGACACCACATAAGCTCACATATGCAGCGCCCGAGGAAGGGTGACTATGAGACGCCGTCAAAGAAAGGAGGACAACGGAGCGATGAACAGCTTGTCAGATGGTAGGCTTGGAGATGTCCATGTTCTCGAATAGTCAGGCACTTACCATCTTACCGATGACTTCGATAGGATGCTGAGGTGAGTCGGCGCTCGCGGCGGGCAGTGTCTTAGGAGCGATTTGAAAACTATATAATATGATGAAGCACTCCGGTTCAACAATGAATCTGATCAAGAGTGAAGGCACTACACTGGTTCTGGGATGCAGGGTGAGCACGACGGTATGACGGTCATCGTGGTGGGAGAAGAAGGATGCATCTGGATCTAGATCCAATCTAATCTAAATTCCTCGCTGACAACAACAACTTGGGAACTCAGATTGGCCGAACACTCGATCGACGATACGTCGAAACTTTCATTCATCGAAGGGCAAGGCTTTGTGGATACAAAGATCATTGAATACACGCAGACGACGCAGAAGCGAAACATTCAACGAACAGCGCCGCAAAGCCCGACCTCCACGCACGCACCCGATCACAACTATGCCAGTATCATCAGAAGTCATCTATTGATAAATCTAGGCAGCCTCTGGGGCGCACTGCGATGAAAACAATCGTAAGGTATTCTCAAGCTGAGAGTTATCGCAGCCAGTCCCAACCGCTCCGCATTAAAAGACTCCAGTCCCAGTCCGTCTGCCAGCAGGTGGTCCGTTGCCGTCGCCAGCGTCGTGCCGTCATCATAAGCGTCGTCACCAACATCATCAACGTCATAAAAAAATAAAACAAGAAAAGAATGGGCCAAAAACAAAGATAGCCCGCCCGACACACCAGCGTCCGAGTCGACGAAAAACATCGCGCCAAGCAACCGTGCGGAGCGTGAACGACAGCGTCAGCAATCACAGCACGCACTGACCCGCCTCACGGCAGTACGAGGCCAAGCGACACCAGACCCACCAAGCACGCCGCCAGCACCGCGGCACCCGCCCCGAGGCTCGTCCGACCGACAGCGGCATTCGGCGACGTGTTCGCGGTGTCCGCGAGCCCGGTCGACGCGGCGGCGCCCGCGCCCGTGGGCGTTGCGACGGCTGGCACGACGGTCTGTCCGCTCGGGATCGACCAGGCGCCGCTGGCGGCGGGCGTGGGGGCGGGCGCACCCGTCGTGTAGGCGCGGATGTAGGAGATCTCGAAGTAGGCGTTGTCGTATTTGGGGGACCCGGGGCCGACGACGTTGTCGTCGTACTATGGTGCAAGACGAGAGATGGAAACGAAAGGAGGAATCAGTGGGCGTAAGGGCAGAGGGGGAAAGACGCACGCAGCGGCCGGTAGGACCGGAACCTCCGCATTGAGGGGTGTAGAATTGCGACAGCCCAGCCCTAGATTTGGTGGGAGAAGGTGGCGTGGCCAGTCCGATCAACATGCCTCAAAATTTGTCCAACCGCAACGGCTTTAGCGCGTCAATAAGAAATAGCGCGCACCATTGTCCACAGAGAGTGATATCGAGCACGAGCTGCTGAGCACTGAAGAACTGCGGGACGTTGCAGCTGTAAGCGGGGTAGCTTGCGGAAGGGGTGCCGAAGTCCGTGATGTCAATCTCCGAGGTGGAGGTTGCGTGCAGGATGGATTGGGGGATATTTTCACGCTGAAGTTGCGGTGCGTGGTGTATGACGAACGTTCACCGTGAGCGTCCAATATACGGACTATGAATAGACAAGATGAAAAACGACTCACGCTCCAGAACCAGATACTGCGCGCGACAGGTTGTGCCCATTCAGTCAACATATACAACGCACGTGCGATATACGCCCGGATCCACAACGGACACTCACAATATTCCTGCGACATCGAACTGCGTCGCCCACACGCCTCCCCCCGCCTGTGCAAAGCCCTCATTGTAGCTGTTCGGCGCGGCCTCAGCAACGATGCACCCGCTCGCGGTGGAGCAGTCCATCGTGCCTGACTGGCCCGTCTGCCACGCGCCGGGCGTCTGCGCACACCCAGGCAGTGTGTGCAGCGCGTACTGGTTGTTCGGCATTAGGTTGATGGCCTCGATGATGTCGATCTCGCCGTTATCTGTGATGAGGATGGGTCGTTGGTGAGTGAATTATCACGAGGAGAAAGACGTCGTACCAGGCCATACGGGGCCCTTGGTCCAGAATGCGGGCCAAACCTACGACGAAGAATGTGAATAAATCGAGGGATGATGAGCTTGATTTTGAGCATCCTATGCTCAGGCAAAGAAAAACACACGGAACAGCCATATGGAATGTGCGTGAGGTCGATGATCCAAAGGCTGCCGACGCCATAAGAATCTTGAGAAGTAATGCGGATCTATGACGGCATCGATTCAGCAATCGGGCCAGGCGATCATTCCAAGTGTCGGTGACGCACCGAGTTCCGCTTCTGGTTCCACGGGACGTCCGAGTGGTTATCGACCTTGAGCACTGCCCGGCCTTGAGCATCTGTGTATGCAAGACCCTGCTCGAGCGCAGAGGTCCGGTCCAACCACCATACATCACCTGACAATCCATCCGGGGCGCATCAGCTTCTGTATGTGAGGATCAAGAGAACGCACGCACCGAGGGTCAGGTTGTCCCAGCTCCCGTAGAAATCCCACCGATCAAAGAAACTCTGACCCGAGTACTCGCGGACCATGTCGTAGCACGCTGCAGTAGGCAGCAGAGGGAGCACGGAGACGAGAAAGGCGCGCCATGAAGGAAAAGCAGGCATCGTGAGTGGATACAATTTCTATGTTGTCTGTGGTGGATACAAGGTTCAGCAGAGGACACGGGCGGCAAAAGCAGACTGAGAGCTCTATATAAGTCAGAGAGAATGTAAAAAAAACCGAGGCGCTGTTACAAAGGCTGTAGCGGTCGTGCGTCAGATCGTGGTTCGTGACGTGTTGATCGCTGCAAACGGGCCAGCAAAGAGACGCGAGGGGGTCGAGGGTTTCCCACTCCAAAAACAAACCCTCCAACGTGCCCGCTGTGCACGCCATCAGCCAGCCTTGCGGCAGAAGACGCGCCGGTCGACGCGCCTCGTGTCGCATCACGTGATACAACTGTCCTATGGACTCTCGGAGCAGCCGGCAGGACCCCCGGAGACGGCCGGCATCCTCGACACACACATCTGAGTCGACGAGTTCCAACTCAACACATCTCCTCCATTTCTATTCGCCATGTCCTAGTGCGCACCCCCTTCTCTTTTATGTAGTCTACCGTGTATGCTCACAACCTTGCGCGGGTGCTCGTATAGCGTTGTTCTTGGCCGGGCCGTCAAAACGGAATTCCTCGCGTTGGGCACGCTCGTCGGCACTGCCGCGCTTTCCTACGCCGCTGCATCCGGCGGGAGCAAGGAGGCTCCCAAGACCTCGCTTCAGGAGGTGAAGGACGCTGTCAAGATCGATTCGAGTTCCAAGTGCGTGTCCGAGTCCTGCCTTGATTTCCTTGCTGTCCTGTGGTCTGACTGGCACGTTTCTTGTGCTTTCGTTTTGCGCTTTTGTGTCTGCAGGGAGGAAGAGGACTTGTACGTGCTCCGTTTGTGCTGTGTTGCCTGTGTCTGCGGCAGTCGCTTATCGGAATGGATAGCATCAAGACCTTCATCGCAGAGGCAGAGAAGGAGTCAAAACACTGAGTGCGGGTGGACATGCGATTTGACGTGGGCGGGGAATGTTGTAGCGAGCAGACGTAGACGCCTAGAACTTCCAGCAATACAACTTTGCAACTTCGGTTCTCCTTCGCGTCCTTGACCCTCGTAGTCTTGTTTGTGCAAACATTCCGTCGTCCATCTACGAAAATACTCTTATTGAGAACATAAACGCTAGTATCCGCAACGTGAGTAGGCGGTGGCTGACTAGCGCGACCGCCATCGTTCCAAAGTCTCCAAGAATCAATTTCGTTCTCCCACCGCAGCCGGCTGTCGATTACCGCTCTTTGCACTTGCAACCATACCAGTCCCCCTCTACCTATCCGTTCACACCTTTATTCTCTCAGTCACTACCCCGGTACACAAGCACCGCATCTACAACTACTCTGACACTCTCTACACAGTATCGTCTACACAAGTAATGAATTTGGATCTACGAACATGAACGCAGCTATCACTCTCCCATCCTCGTCATCAGTGTCGTCTTTCTCGACACCATCCAAACCGCGCCCCGTTTCTATCGACACGCGCGCGCCGCGGCCGCTGCACCTTCCTCTCGTCGCCAACGGCAACAGCACCATCAGCAGCACGCACGATGACATACAACTGTCTTCGAATGCTCGCGTACCGATGACAGCGCCGCTCGCGTCCGCCCCCGCGTTTTCTACCTCCCCCACCGCCGTGTCCGCCTCGCCTTCTGCTTCCGCCTCAGCCTCGGCCTCGGCATGTGCGTCCGACGCGGACGCAGACGCGACCGCGCAGATCAAGGCTGCGCGCCGCCAGTCGTCGATATCGTATCTCCCGCCAGACAGCGCAAGGCATTGGCGTGTACGCTCGCCGACGACGCCGCTGTCGGCGGTGTCATCGATGGGAGGAATGAATCAGCGGTTGGAGCAAGGGCTAGGGAGGAGCGTGTCGTTGTCGGCGCGCGGGGAACGGGGGGCTGGTGTAAGAGAGCAGGAGAGGGAACGCGAGAGAGAAAGGGAGAGGGAGAGGGCGGCGAGGCGCGCGTCGGGGTCTGCGTTCGGAGCAGAAAAGGGCTCGTCGGAGAGGGTCGTGTTGACATTGGCGGAAAAGTGAGTTGATGTTCTTCGTGGTGTCTGCTGCGGTTCGGGGGGCTCTCGCGTCGGATGCTGTTGTGTTGGTGTAGGTACACATGCGACACATGCAGGGAGCATCCGTGCTTGCGTCCAGTCGATGAGTTCATAAGCACCCTCTCGTTCTTCTCTTTCTGAACAGGCCATTTTTCACTCCTGCTCATGTTTTCATCACTCAGGCACGCCGACCTCCTCCACTTTATTGCACAGAAAGAATCCAAATGTCTCGAGCTCCGCTCACAGCTCGTCGCACACGAATCAGAGCTCCTTCAGCTGAAGCAGAAGTGGGAGCGCATCGTGCACCGCGAGTTTGGGCGCACAGTTGGGACGTACTCACCCGCACCGCCGCAGATTACTGCACAGGGTGCGTCTTCAATGACAGCTGAATCTGCGGGGTTGGGGATGGCGCATGCAAGCAACGGAGCAGTGCTGGATGGGATTGTGGAGGGCGTACAAGGCGTCGGCAGGCTGCTTGCTGCGGGACTGAGCACAGCTGGCACCATCCCCGTCTCGCCGTCTCCGTCTTCTTCCTCGTCAGCCTCTGCACACGCACGCACGCCCTCACTTGCCGCGCGTCCCTCTCCGTTCGCAAAACGCGGGAGCGGGCATGGCGGGCACGCGGCGCACGGCTCGATGTCCTCGACTTCAACCTCTGCCTATGCGACGACCAGCAGCACGCGCCTCTCGCAGTCTTCGTCATCTTCGTTGGGCGAAGACGTGGCTCCCCCGCGGTCGGCGGCGGCGCCAAAGGCTGCGGACGGCGTCGACGACGGTGTGCAGGAGCTCATCGTGCGCGACACAGGCGCGACGCCCACCATGAGCCCGAACCCCGCGTTCTTGCGGCGCCACCCGCCTCCTCCGCTTCACCCGTCGCACTCACAGCCTGCGTCGCCTGCGTCGCGGCCAAACTTGGACAGTACGACAAGCTCGCGGATTCTGCGCCGCCGCTCGCGCGAAGTCCCGCTCGTCCCGCTCGACTCGGACAACGATGACGACGCTGCGGCTGGGGCGGGGGCAGATGCGAAGCAGGCGCTGCAGTGTCAGGACTCGGCGAGTGTGAAACAGACGCAGGCGCGCAAGCGCATGAGCGGCGGTCGGTTGCCGCCGGCGTCTTCTATGCCGGGTGCAGGCCTCGGCTCGGGGTTGGCTTGGGTGGGCACGGTCGGAAAGAAGATCGAAGAGTTGCAGGTCGGACAGACGTGCGTATTTTTTGCTCCCGTCTTTTCTCTTTGTATTTCTGTTGTATCTACTGCGGTTGGCTCACGTCGATGTTTGACGAACAGCATCTCGAAGAGCCAAAAACGCGCTTCTTGGCTGCTCGCGGACGTCTCGCAGTCGTTCCTCGCCGCCCTGTCCTCGCCCACAATACCCACCGCACATCATGCATCCCCCGCGCCTGTGACTCGGCCGCCTCTGCCCCTTTCACGGTCCGCGTCTCTCTTAGACGACGACGACGACGACGAATTTGGCGCATCTTCGGGCGCCGGCAAAGGCCTCGGTCTCGGTGTCGTGCTAACGCCCGACTCGCCCGTGCCGAAGACGCCTTCCCTACTCAAGCAGCACACAACAACAGCTACAAGGAAAGCATCAGCAACGACAACGACAACAACACCCAAGGCGCAAAGCGGGAAATCCATCGTCACTGACGATGAGGATGAGTGGAATTGGTAGATTACATTTTCTTTTCATCATGACTATATCTTCTCTTCTTTTTCTTACCCTACCACTGTCTTTCCCTTCTCGTTGGAATCTTCTTTTTCAATGCGGCCCATTGTCTTGATGACTTTTTGTCTTGCCGGCCACATGTCTGCGGTTCGGTCTTCGCCGTCCATATCCACGTCACGCGTATCTACCATCTACATAGGTTATTCCTCTGGTGAGATATATAAGTATACGTACCTGTTACCGCCGCCCGCCTCGATTCTTGCTTGCTGTGTCTTTGTGCGCATCTCGCAATGCGGGTAGGTGGGCCAAGTACGATCAGTACATACTCACGGTGTTGCACTGCTGACCTTTTTTTCGCTCGTCACAAGCTTCGATGGGGGTGTAGCTATCCGCCATTTTTTTTGGATGGCTATAGACTCCACCAGGAATCTCAGGGAGCACAAGGCGAGAGCGAGCAATTGGTGTATGGGACGGCCAACGCCGCTGAGTTCTGCACTCCGCGCGATGGGATGTTGGATTGGCGCGGGGACCGTCGTGTCCCATCCTCATCCACATCATTGCATTGGCTTGCCTCGCCGCTTTCCCTCTCCACACCTCTCACATTACGTGCATTCCACTCAGACGACCCATCGCGACACTTTCGACGGGAACAATGTCAAGGGACTTTCGAAACTCCCACCGTGCAGTACATGGTCAATGTGGGCCTGCGAGCATCCGAGTCATATCTGTGTTGATTGAGAAACGATATGAGTAGCGGTGTGATAGAGGTAGAGTGGTCAACATTGAAACTTTGGTTCTGTATTGTATTACTGATTTTCATCAAACACATCAAAGGCGTTCAGTCCAGTGCAATGCATAGATAAGCCGGACAAATCTCCCCACGTCGATCCTAGAGGTAGCCAAGAGGTGAACCGGTGAAGACGGGGAGAGGCGCTCATCAACAGGTGAGTGCACCATCGATGGACGCCAATCAAACTTTCTACGCTGGATCACCTCCCCTACTCCTTACCCTCACGACCCCTGTCCTCCTTTCGGGACACCTCATGCGGATTCCGCGTGGTGCTTCTTTTTGTGTCTCGAAAGTGAATATGCATCTGCGAACGCATGCCCACATTGGTTGCACAGAACCTGACGCGGATGCAACTCTGTGTCCGGATTGAGTTCTTGTAGACGCGTGTGATGCCTCACATTGCCATTATGTTTCTCGAGGCTATTTTTGCTATGAAAACCGAGTCCGCAGGAGTGGCAATTATGTTCACCAGACATGTAGGGTGTCTGGTTTAGACGCGGACGCAACGGGGGTAGGATTGGAGTGGGCAGAGCTCCAGTGACACTTTGTGACGTGTTGTCGATGGCCTGCATGGCATGCTGTAGGGACCATGGTAGGTCCACCTCCAACTGTGGGGCCTCACCAGTGGTTTGCATGGCAGTGTTGAAGATTGTCCCGAGATTCTCGAGGATGTATCTGAAGATCTGCTGGGGCTGGGTGCCATACATGACCTGGGCATTCCTGAATGCCTGTTGGATGCTGTATAGGGCTTCTATGGCACCATAGCATCTCTGATAGGCATCATGGAAGGTCTGCTGGGTCCATTGGCCAACACTGGTTGCCTGTGTATCGGCTGCCTGTGTTGGGACGTCGAACACCCCAGTTCCAAACATCTGTGCTATGGCCTGGGTGGTCTCTTTGACACCATGAAAGCATTGTTGATCATCATGGATTGCTTGCATGGCATTGGAAAAGGCTGGTTGGTGATTGTTCGAGGCCAATGGCATAGTCGAGTCCGTGGTGGTTGAGGTGTCTGATGCCGATGATGGGAAAAGCCCTCGGGCCAATGGCGGTATAATGTTAGGGTCTGGGCTGGCTGTCGGGAGTTGCCTCATGATGTCCAAGGGCCATGATATATCATCGTTGGTGCTGAGGGCATTACCCTTTTTGTCATTGCTGATTCCTTGGGATGCTGTCACAGGTGGTGTGGGTGCAAGGATTGACTCCACCCATTCCATGTCATCTATCCCATATGTGGTCTCTCTAGGTGGTGTGGAGGAGGTAGGCGCCAATAGTGGTGGCATGTATTGGGCTGGCATGATAGGATGTTTTAAGTCTGGTCATAAAGGTGGTTATCATCAAAGTAACATGTGTCTTGGACAGGGCGAAAGTATCGAGACAATGACGACGACTTGCCGTGTTCAGTGCTCTTGAAGTGGTCTTTGCAACAATTCTTGTACTACAGTGGCAGTGTAGCTGGGGATGGATGTAGGTAGGTAAAGAGTGCTGAGATGGGGATGTTGGCTGATTTTTTGTGCAGGCTACCAAATATGGGGCTAGATAGGTGGTACAGCACAGCAGGTCTCAAGAGATCTTGGCTTTTATGCCTCCGTCTAAAGCTGTGCTGCGGAATACCATATTTGTCCAGCTGCGTCCCCAAACCGTCCTCGAACTTAATTGCTGACAGAGCCAGCCAGAGTGTGGGAGTTAGCAGCTGCCACCCTATGCCACCCTCTGCCACCTTCGGGTCACGGCTTGCCACCAACGGAGCCCAACCTTTTCTATTTTTATGATGGCGCAGTCGTTGATGTCGAGTCTATTTTAGGCGCACGCTCTCCGCACATTTTCCTAGTCTCACCGCCACTAGATCAAATTGTGACAAAACTCCTCTACCTTGCTTTACCCATCAGGTCACTATCATCGTATCTCGTCTGTTGACCAAATTTGGACAGTACAAGATCAACGATGCAAATTCTGCGTTGTCGTTTGCGCGAAGCCATGCTTGCTCTGCTCGACTCGGACAACGATGGCGGAGGCAGATGCGACGCGAGCGCTGCGGTACCAGGACGCATCCACTCGAGCGCGTCTGCCTGTGTCATGGCTCGTGCGCCTCTTGTACGCTGACGGCCATGAATACGGCGCGTCTTCGGGCGCAGGCAAGGGCCTCGGTATCGGTGGAGCGATAACGCCCGACTCATCTGCGCTGAAGACGGCTTCCCTGCTCAAGCAGTGCACAACAACAGCTATGAGGAAGGCATCAGCATCAGTAACAACGACAGCACCCAAGGCGCAAGTCGGGAAATCCATCGTCGCCAATGATGAGGATGAGTGAAATTCGTAGATCACATTTTCTTTCAGTGACTACATCGTTCTCTTTTTTCTTGCCCTACCACTGTCTTTCTCTTCTCGTCTCGCCGGAATCTTCTTTTTCAATACAGCCCATTGTCTTGATGACTGTTGTCCTCGCCGCCCACTCGTCTGTGGTCTACATCTATGTCACATGTATTCACCATCTACATATGTTATTCCTCTGGTGAGATATATAAGCATATGTACCTGCGCGCTGCTACCGCCGCCCATCTCGATTTTTGCTTGTTGTGTCTCTGTACGCATCTCGCAATGCGAGTAGGCCAGTATGATCAGTACTCACTCCGGTCTTGCCTTTTTTCTCGCTCGTCTTGAATCTTGATAAGAGATATTTTTCAGCCATTTGGTTGAATACTAGGAAATTCGGGGAACGAAAGGAGAGAACGAGCGATTGGTGTGTGAGGGCCAACGTCGCTGAATTTTTGTTGATTTCTACACTCCACGCTATGCAGGCCGTTGCATAAAAAACGTCGTTTCTCACGCTCATCCATCGCAGCATTCACTTGCACAAACCCCGGGCCTTTTCTCTCTTTTCCTCTCCGTGTCTCGCATTGCGTCCATTCCACTTAGACAATCCATCGCGACATCTAGGACGTACATCGTCTCAAGGAATTATCGAAAATCCCGCTGTTTGGCACAGTTGCTATCATAAGCTCAATCTAAGCTGTGTGCACATTGATTCAAGAACAATACAGGCAGGGTTCGATTGAGGTCAAGTAGATAACAATGGAAATTCGACTATATATATACATATATTACTGATCCCCGTCCGACACATCAGAAGCCTTTGCTGCAGCGCGCAATGTCTGCGATACATGGAAAAGTCGGACAAATCCCCCGCATCGATCCGAAACGCAGTCAGGAGGTAGAAATGGGGAGAAGTGGCCATGAAAGCCGGTGAGTGTGCTATTGCTGAATGTCAACGAAACTTTGCACGCCGGACCACCTTCCTCCCCTCCTAACACCCCTCACAACCTCTGCCCCTTCTCCGACGCCTCACACAGACTCTACGTGCTGCGTCGCCTTATGCTTGGAGACCGTATATGCGTTGGCGAACGCGCCTCCGCACACGTTGCACCAAGCCAGACGCAGCTTCGACTCCGCGTTCGGGTTGAGTTGGCGCATGCGCCTGTCATGCTTTGCGGTGCCTTCATGCCTAGCGACGTCACCTCTTGCATTGAATCCGAGACGGCAAGGGTGGCAGTTATGCTCGCCAGACAAGTAGGGTGTCTGGTTTCGACGTGGATTTGGCGGGGGAGGGACGACAATGGGTAGGGCTTTGGCAACGCCCTGCGGGACGCCTCTGAAGGGGTGCAGGGCATCCTGCACGAACTGAGGCACATCGAATTGCGCGACATCACCGTTGGCATACTCTGCAGCACTAGGGGTTGGCTCGATGTTTTCGAAGGATCGCGAGGCTTCATGATGGATCGGTAGGGCATCGTACCCGTTCTCTTGAGCGTCGTTAAGGAGCGTGTCATCAAGGACGGACTGGACGGACTGGATGCTGGGGTAGAACGTTTCCGATGCGTCACCAAAGATCTGCAGGGAATCACTCTGGCTGTCACGGTCGTCGTAGGCAGTCTCCGTCTCGTTGAAGAATGCTTGTTGGCCGCCGCAGAATGTCTGTTGGATGTCGTACTGGCCCTCTTGGGCGGCATTCGAGCTCCTCCGTCCCTCGTACGTCTCCAATTCACTGTCGAACTCCTCTGCCTCGAACATCGGTGGTACATCATGGAACCCTGCCTCGAACATCTGCAGCATGCTCTGGGTGGTTTCCGTCACATCATAATGACCTTCTGGACCATCATGAGAGGCCGGCGCGATAGCGTCGAAGAACTGGTGGTATGACATCTGTGGAACGTTTTTCCATGCCCAGTCTTCGGTCAACCAGGGGGCTTGCGAGAGTGGCGACGGGAAAGGCCCTCGGCCTAACAGCTGTACATTGTCAGGCACTAGGCCGCCTGCGTGGAATTGCTCCATGTGGGCGGCATCTCCTGATATATGGTTGTAAGTGTCGAGGGCGTGGCCCTCGTCGTGTTCGTCAGTTCCTGGGAACCTGCTGAGGCCTGTCTCCGGCAGCGCGGTCAGGAGCACTTGCTTAGGCATGCACATGTCTTCCGTCCTCCTGCTCTTGGATGGATACCAAGCGATGTTATTTGCCTGCCTCTTCCCAAGGGAGGTGGATGAGACCACAGGCATCTCACACGGTGTGGAATAGGAGGTGGGTGGCGTTGACTGAGGCATATGTTGGACTGCCACATAAGCATCCTCTACTTCTGGCTGAGAAAGCACGTCATTATAGGCACTTCTTGGACGGGATGGAAGGTCTGGAGATGGTGACAAATTCCTGCTTTCACAGGTTGCTGATGCGGTAGCGACCTTTGACAAGTCTTGTGAGGCAGGTGGCAGTGTGACATCATTGGGTAAGGCTGGGGATTCGAGAGACGAAGGGGAGGCAGGTGAAGGTGAAGAGGTGGCAGTTGAGGTGGCAGAGGAGTATTGGGAGGATGTAGGAGATGAGACGGAAAAGCCCGCAGGCTCTTCATCACTTTCCCCACCGGCATGGATAACGGGGAAGCTGGGCGATGGTTTGGGGAACAGCGTGCAAAGGTAGACGTAGGCCCGACAAAGGCTGTAACGATCACTGGCAGTGAACGATTCAAGATCTTGCGACATATTTGTGGAAGAGTGGCGTGGGCGGTGGTTGTAGGTTGGGCAGTAGGCGGGAAGTGGTGAGATGAGGAGGTTTGTTGGACTTCGCTTTGGTTTAATTTATACCACATCTCAATTTGGGTCGGACAAATGAAGTGGTTCACGCCTCAGACACAGGCTGTGCAGTTTCTTTCACCTCGCATCCAACCGTCCGTCGGCTGCAAGAGGGCAGTCTCGGGAGTCTTCATGACGCGTACATTTGCGTTGTTCGTCACTTGTGTTCCATCGGAGCTCCCGCAGCGTGCCTGTCTTTTGTTGTCGGGGAGGAAGTGGGCCGGGGTTTGCCGTGACACCAAAAGAGGAGAGATCGAGAAGCAGCTGGCAGCGATCTCTGGGCCACCTGCCCACCACGCAGTTTTCTTGTACCCCCACACGCAGGATTCGCAATATTTTTCGCACATTCAACCGGTACGATTGCGACCGAATCAGACCAAGATCATTTTTACATTCTATTCCGTCCTACTCTCTGCTCTTCTGGCCGACCTATCATGATTTGCACACAAACTGGGCGTACAAAAAATAACAGAGTCAGAATGAAAAGTATTGCGGATCGACTTGTGCGATCGCCGAATACGTCGAGTCTAACCTATGTCTGTACAAGTCGCATTGCATAAGACCGTGGATGAGACTGTGAAGCATCGAGGGCTGATGGGCCTCGACTCAATACGAGGGCGCGATTGGCCGAAGCGGCTAACGCCGCCAAGGCATTCATGTATGGGATCTTCTCGACGAGCGGCAGACTCGCCGCGTCTAGGTAAAGTTTTGGTGATACTGATCTTGGCAATGTTGGTATCTTGTACGAGGGTCGACGGGATGATATCGGTCAAATTCACGATGGAGAGCCTACAACCGTACGGATACGGTGTCCCCGCGGCGACTGGAGTACTGCCTAAGGATCGACGGACGCGGGGTCCACCAAGGCCAGGGCTTTGGTCGTTGGTCAGAGGATATATGGACGGCGACATGGCGGGGAGACCGGGGTTGCTTTGACTCGCTGGTGGTCGTGCTCAGATGGCTTTTCCGTCGGAGGCGTCAGGAGCGCGCGACGCCCGCGACATATGTCGAAGCTAGCCGCGAGGCGGTGGATCGCGTCAATACAAGAGGGCGATGTCTGGGGCAATAAAGGTCAGTGCGCGATCGACGAAGGGTGAAAGCCACAGAAGACGACTCACCTCCTGACATCGTCTTGTCCGCTCGACGCTCCGGCCTGTTTCTCCAAGTGCGCAGAGCGCTCGTCTGTCGCGATATGAGCCCCCGCACCCGCCGTAGCGCAACTCCGACAGTCCGGCGGCACCCTGGCGCCTCCTTCCACCAAGCGCACCAAGCGCTTGTCACGCCCGTCGATCCCTCGTCACCGTGCGTGCGAGACGCGTGTCCGACGCGCTCTCTAAGTGTTCAAGTTCCCGGGACGAAGCAATTTGGCAAGAGCGGCGGCTTTGAGGGTGGACGCGTAGAGAGTCTGCCTCGGACGCGGGTGCGGATGCGGGGCAGGGTGGGGGATCGCGGCGGGTGGGTGGGCCGCTGCGACGGCGGCCGCGCTATTGCCGAAGTACTGCGCGGCGTTTGGGTTCTGTGGCACGCTGTACACCAATTGCGGGGTGCTGGGGACCGCGTGCGCACGCCCGGTGGGGACCTGCGCGCCGGGAGCGAGTGGCGGCTGGACAAGCCAGGCGTCTCCGCTGTCCAAGAGGGCATCCAATTGCGGTGTGTTGGGAACCGTCTGCGCGCGCCCGGTGGGAACCTGCACGCCGGGAGTGAACGGCGGCTGGGAGAGCCAAGCCTCTTGGCTGTTCGAGAGGGCATCTAATTGCGGTGTGTCGGGGATCGCCTGCGCACGGTCGCTGGGGACCCGCGCGTCGAAAGCGATGGCCAGTTGGTCCAGCCATGCCGCTTCTTCGGCCGAGAGGGTCTCCACGTCATATCGCAACTGCCCCGTGGCGCCGGCGATATGGCCGAAGAGCTGTAGGTCGCTGTAGAACGGCTCTCCGCTGTCGTAGAAGACGTCGTCGGAGTCTTCTGTGCCGTCGGAGGCGGTCGGAGGGGCGCCGTAGGGAGGGCCCGCGGCGTCGTTGAAGATTGGGTAGGTGTCGTGCGAGGTCGGCGGGGCCTCGTATGGATAGGGAGCCAGGCCGTTTACCGGCGGGGTGTAGAACCAGTTGGGCATTGTGGATGGCCCTTGGAAAGGTGACGTCGAATCGTCGAGGCGTGGGCCGCGCGCGTGCGCGGCCGTTTGTGGTCTCTGCTTGTCCTTCTTTTGAGAACGGGCATCGACGTCCTCGTTGGTTGGTTTGAAGACCATGAGATGCGGTGGTGGCATGGCCGGTGGGAGGGTTATTTCAACCGCGCCCATGCTGTCCATCTTTGTTCGTTTCGAGGGGTGCCGTGCGGTAGTGGCATCGTCGACCCGCTTCCTTTTCCCCGCTGCTTTTGCGGAAGGCGACGGAGTCGAAGATCCAGGGACGACGGGGGGAGGCAATTTGTGTGGCACGTGGGCACTGGCGGCCACGGGTGCTTGGGAACCAAGTTGCAGGGAACGTGAGCGAGTGTCCGTGTCAGTGACATCGTCAACCCGCTTCTGTTTCCTTGCTGCTGATGGAATCGACTCTTTGGAGATGGCGGTAGGAGGGGGCCCTTGTGGCATGTCGGCAGTGGCAGCCACGGGTGTTTCGAATTCTATCAGCAGGAAACATGAGTCGATATCTGAGTCAACCGGTCTGGAACGGCTGCTCACTGTGCGAGAGGATAGAAGTTATCAACGACGAGACATAAGCTCTATTGTCGAATTCTTCCACGTCGGAAGGCAGGAGGTCTTGCAGCGAGACGGTGGTCTCGGTGGCCGTGGCATCCTCTGATCTTCGGTCGACCTTGTCCTGCGCGAGGTCGGTCTCATCTTCGATGGCCGTGGCCGCCTTCTTGGGGAACAAATTGAAGAGGTAATCGCAGGCTGCGTAGATGAAGTGCCAGTCGTTGGCGGTGCCGGGCCCGTTGCCGTAGAGCGACATCCCAGAGCAGAGCAGAGTGGGGTAAGAGCAGAGAGGAGGGTGTGGGACGTGGCGGTGGGTGGACGGCAGATGGCAAAGCCGTATCCACCGCGTTCAGCACCTGCTCTTTATGGGCCACCCCAGCCCGTGCCGGCCAGGGACCCAGTGCACTTGGACCGTCCGTGGGGTCGTCCACCGGACGCGAGCCCCGGGGCGCTTTGCATCTGGACGTGCGCCGTTCGTCTCCGTCTCGCCGGCCTCGCGCTCCGGCGGACAAAGAGACTGGCGCGGTGCATTGGATGAGGTCATGTTGGCGGGACCGCGAAGGCAAAGCGCGTCGCGTCGCATCATGCGCGTCGCACGTGACCGGCGTCTCTGCCACACACACCGGTGGCGCCCCCGATCGCGACATTTGTGAGCCCGCATCGATCGTATTTGAGAGCAGTGGCGACATTTCGATTTCGAGCTAATGCGGGGTCCCATAAGTTGGAGCGAACCCCCCGCTCCGTGCATCTCCCGCGAGCCCGTCCCTCGGCGTCGAATGTGGATTGACACAGGCGAGCTTCATTCATGGAAAACAGGACGTCCCGGCTCGGAACTAACACAGCAGCCAAGCGTCGTTATAGCATACACACACCGGCCGCGGTCACGGTAGTCCATACCGCGTAGAGAGACACCAACGAAAAATGAAAAAAAAAAGTCGAAATTCCGAGCCAGAGAACGAGAAGAAGGAATGGAGACGTCGGTAGAACAGACCGCAAGATCCCAGATGGGGCGTCGACAGCAGTGAGACGTCGCGTCACGTCGCGTCGACGACCCGGCCGGAACGCGCTCCCGGCCAGCGTGCGCCCGGCCGCCCGATCGCCGAGAAAAAGCCTGCGCGCAGAGGTGGCCCCAGCCTCGCGGGATGCGTGCGCGCGTGCGTGCCGCCTCGAGCGCGGAGGGCCCGCGGTCCTGTTTACCACGGGAACGACGCTCTGGTGCCTCGCACGGCAGCGCGCAGGGCGCTCGTGGGATACGAGATTCGTCAAGACGAGACAAGACGAGACGAGACGAACGCGTCGCGGTCGGGCGTCCCGCGCCTCTGCACCCCATCTCGCCGACGGCAACTTCCCGCGAGCGAGCGTTCGTCGTCGCCCCGTCGACCCGTTCTTCGTCGACACTCCGCGCAAAGCCAGAAAAGGGGGGGCCGGTGCTGGCGGGTACGAGCGGGGCCTCTCCCGACAGGCTACCGCGCTCTGTTGGCTGCAGACACGACGGTGCCGGGCCGGGCCGGGCCGATGCCTCGATGTCTGGGGGGCAGAGCTAGACGCATGCGCGCGCGCGCGCAAGCGGGGGCGAAGAGAGGCCGCATCCGCAAGAACTGTGTCCGCGCGGCCGCCGCGGTGCGCATGCGCGGGTGAACGCGCGCTACGACGGCGACGCAGGACCGAGCACCAGTCGAGCGCGCGACTGAACGTGGCGGGGACGGGGACGGGACGTCGGGATGCGAGAGAGCACACGCAGGCTGGCGATGTGGGCTGCTGGACAGTGATGGCGGAGATTCGGGGCTTCTGCGCGTCTGCGCGCAGGATGTTGGATGCGGGGTGGGCGGCGCACCGCGAGCGCGGCGTTGATGTCGCCGTCGGGGCGGGCGGCGCCGGGGCATATCGAGGCGACGGATGACACGCGAGAAACGAGAAACGACTCTTAGTGCAGGATGGGGAGCAGCGCCCGGCGCGAATCTAGATGCTTCGAACACAGACAGAGAGAGAGAGAGCGGCGGGCAGACGGTGCACGGATGCGAAGCCTCGGCGGATCGTCGGGTAGAGCGGGCTGCGGACAGCCTAGGTAGCAAGCTAGCATGACGAGGAGGCGACGAGCGACGATCCCGGTGCTGGGCAGGGGGCGGAGGCCGAGGGAGCGGTGGGCAGAGAGGCTGCAGTGCGCGATGCGCGTCGATGAGAGTGGCGACGTGGCGAGCTCGTGGCGTTGCACCGCGGAGGGAAGAAGAGCGAGGGAGGCGTCCTGAAGCGGCCTGGGAGCGTGTCGTCCAGCGCCAGCGCCAGCGCCCTTGCTCTCTCCTTCCCCTCCTCTCGCCTCGCGCTCCGTCCGCCGCCGCCGCCGTCGCCGTCGAGCACCCTCAGAAACGCGTGCAGCGCCAACGCGGCCTAGACCGGCACCGCCGCAGCCGTCGTGACACGGTGGCAGCGCGGGGTGGCGCACAATAAGCACCTGCTGGGCGTCTATTTCTCGCGAGCAGCAGCAAGCCTCTCCGCTGGTAAGCACACATCCCCGCTTCTATATCATCGTCCCATCCACGCAACTCTCGCCCCCTCCACGCAACTCTCGCCCACCTCCCTCTTCCTCCTCTCCTTCGCCTCGCCCCGCCCCACAGATCCTGCGTCCCCGTCTCGTCGCGCAGGCGCCGGCTCTCCGCTCTCCGACGTGTGTGAGTCCAATTCAAATTACGCCCCTCCCCCGCCTTTCGCTCAAACGTAAACGTCATCGCCCCCATCGCCCGCGTCGCGCATCGCAGAGCATCGCAGAGCAGCGCATTCCGCACCCGCTCGACGACGCTCGCCCTCGACTCGCCGACACCCGCCTGCGCCGCGAAGCCACTGCCCGCGCCCGATCGGATCCCCATCGTGAGTGGCCTTCCCTTTGCCCCCGCCTCGACGCCTCGACGCCTCGACGCCCGGCCCTGCGCGCCGTGTGCGCGTCCCCTCTCCTCCCAGCCGTTTCCGATCCCATCACGCCGTGATGCCGCGATCTCGCCTGTCATCGTCTCTTCCCCCTTGTTGTCTCGCCCCCGCGCGCGCGCCGTATGCTGTATGCCGCACATAAAGATCTGACACGCCCCGCGCAGACCTCGCGTCGCCGACCCCTCCCTCCGCATTCGACCTCGACCTCCGCCCCCGCGCCCTCAGTCCATGCCAGCATGTACCCGCCCCCTCCCCAATCCGCGCCCACCCACGCCCACGCCCACGCCCACGCCCACACCCACGCCCATCACCAACCCCACCAACCCCCACCACCCTGGATCTCCTACTCCCAACCCCCCCTCTCCTGGGCCTCCGCCTCCGCCGCCGCCGCCTCCACCTCCACCTCCACACGCCCTCCCCAACAACCCCCACCACAGCACGCCCAAGCCCAAGCCCAAGCGGCACTCACAGGTACGCTCTACCGCCAGCCCCCAGGACCCCCCTACCCCGGCCAGCCCCCCTCCCAGCCCCACCAGCCCCCGCCCGCGGCGTACTACCCAGGCCCGTACCCCCCGCCGCCCCCGGGCCCATATCCGGGCCTTTACGCGCCCGCGCACGCGAATCCGCAGCGCTACCCCGCGCCCACGCAGCACCCGCAGCCGCAGCCCCCGCCGCCGCCGCCGCCGGCGCCCCCCGGCGTGAACCCGGCGCGGTGGGCGTCCGGGAGGTGGCATTACCAGCCGCCGGGGCCTGGGTACCCGCCGCAACAGCAGCAGCAGCAGCAACAGCAGCAACAGCAGCAGCAACAGCCGATCGTGTCGACAGCTAGCGGCGCTGCGGCGCTGGCTGCGCGCGGGAGCGCAGCGCACCCGTCGTCGGTCGGGTACAATATCGCGCCCGGGTGGGGCATCCCGCCGCAGTACTGGCATCCGCGCCCGAGCGACTCGTCGAGGGAGTATTGGAGCACGCAGTTGACGGATAATGGGCTGGGGTTGGAGAATATGCATATCAAGTGCGTGTCGTGGGTTCTACTTTTTTTTTTTTTTGTTTTGGGCGTTTTGGGCGTGGGCGTCTGCCCGTTTTTATTTTTGTTTCTGCCCTTATCTGCTTCGTTCGCGGCTCCTTCCTTCCGCTCATCTGTTCTCCACCTCTGTGTTGTGTTCGGCGGTCGGAGAAATGCTCGAGCGAGACGAGACGTGCTGACCCGTTTCTTTGGCCAACCAGGCAGGATCCGCACGCGGGAGGCCGCGCGGCGGGGAGGAACGGCGTTCAGCATACGCCGTGGACGTGGGTGCCCGCGCTCCCCGAGGAAGAGGACGAGGGCCCCGCCGCCGGCGAGTCGGGCGAGAATCGGCGCGCTGACGGTGGCGGCGGTGGTCCCACGGCGCAGACATCTCAGGCGCAGGGCGGGGCTCCGCCGCCGCAGCAGCAGCACAACGGACAGACGCTGCCTGCGCCGACGGCGCAGCGGCCCTCGCAGGCGCAGAGCCTGACGCGGGACGGAGCGGGGGAGAGCTTCACGGAGGTGATGGAGCTCCGCCCGACGTTCTCGCCCAGCATCGTGCGCACGCCCAACTACTACACCCACCCGCACCCGTCGAGCGCGAACGCCGCGTCGTCCGCCGCGCGCCCGTCGATGGACGCGTCTGCGTCTGCGTCTGCGTCTGCGCGGGGACCCCCGCCCAACGCCGCTCCTGCATGGCCCGCCGACTCGCCGACGCCGGCGAGCAGGGTGCCCGTTCGGCGCTCGCACACGATGCCGAGCAGTCGCGGCCGTGCAGTGACGGCGGAGGGCTCCAATGCGCCAGCAACGGCCGCGGCGGCGGCGGCGGCGGCGGCGGGCAACGCGAGCGCGGGGCCGCTGGTGCGCCAGCAGACGATGCCCGAGTCGGGGTTCATGGACGAGATGGCGAACCTGCTGTATTTCGCGGAGGAGCCCGAGGGGATGCTCAGCCCGCTCGTGCGCGTGGACAAGGTGCGGCGCGGGTCGCGGTCGCGGTCGCGGTCCCCGTCGTCGTCGTCCTCTGCGTCCCCGTCGCGGTCGCGGTCCCCGTCGCCCGCGCGGCGCATACACAGCCGCAGCCAGAGTCGGAGCCACCGGCACGCGCACGCGCATGCACACGCGCAGCACACACCCACGCACGGGCAGCATACGCCCGCGCACGCGCATCGCCCGGCCGCGAGCCCGACGCCCGGCCGCTACTCGCGGCAGCCATCGCGCAGCCCGACCTACCCGTTCCAGTCCCAGAGCAGTGGCGGCGGCGGCGGTGGCGGTGGCGGCGGTGGCGGCTTCTACGAGGCGATCGCGGAGCACGGGACGCCCCAGTCGTCGACGGCCTCGGCATCCACGACGACGAGCCCGCACTCGTCCGTGCGCACGCGGAGCACGCCGTCGTCCGCGCGCGCGGCGTCGAATCCGCCGTCGCTGCAGCCGTCGCCGCGCCATCCGCACCCGCACTCACAGACCTACCCGCAGCCGCAGCCGCAGCCGCAGCCGCAACCATATCCGCACCAGCAGCAGTACCCGCGCGAGCACCACCAACCCACCCAGTTCTACGCGAGCCCCTCCGCGTCGCAGGCGCAGCGGCCGACGAACATCTCCAGCCCGTACCCCTCCAACGTCGCCGCGAGCGCGTCTAGCGGCGCGCATCCGCAGCAGTATCAGTCCCAGAGACAGCCGTCCCGCACGTCGCCGTACTCGCACACCGGCACCCCCGGTTCTGGCGGTGGGGGCCATGCGCAGCCGTACGCGCCGCAGCCCGGCGCGGGCGCGAACGCCAACGCGCCCTCGGCACAGCAGGGCCAGACGCAGCGGCATGTGTACGCCCCCAGCACCAGCACCAGCACCAGCACCATCACCGGCGCGAGCGCGAGCGCGCACGCGGACGCGCTCGCGAGCAACCCGCTCCCGGCGCCCCCGCGCGCGCACCACACGTCGCTGCCGCCCGCACAGATGCGCACGCCGCCGCAGGGCACGTGGACGCGCCGCCTGCGCTGGGGCTTCTGGAACCGGCGCGGGGACTACCTCACGACGGACATGCACATCGTGTACGCGCCGCGCGAGTACGCGAACCCGCCCGACCTCGCGAGTTACCCGTCCCCGATGGAGGGCTACCGCGACCACGCGGGCACGTTCGTGCGCTACGACCCGTCGCGCCCCGAGCTGCAGGAGAGCCTGCCGAGCAAGGGCCAGCCGCCGCAGCTGCCCTACGAACGGGTGCGTCGCGCGCTTATTGACTTTCTGCCGTTGCTGTTGTCGGTTCCTCATGCCGTTGTTCCTCGACAGTTTATCACGCATGTGTACTTGTAGATGCGGAGGATGGGACGATGGGACTTGCGGCCATCGACGACGAGGATCTATTTCATATGTGTACCAACAATCATTACCTGTCTACTCATCGACATCCGCTCACCTCTCTTTCTTTTTTCGCTCTCCACTGACTCCATCTCGCTGTTCCATGTGTCTCGTTACATCCATCCGTATTGCTTCCGTTCCCTCGTCTTGTTTTAGCTCTCGTCGCAATTGTGGTGGCCTTCGGGCCAAGGTAAGATACGTGCATACTCGTACACAGTGGAGAAATTACAATCATATCCGTATCCGGTACAAACAGACAGTCCCGTGCTGTCGACTGATAGCAGAACGAAGGGGTGAGAAAACGAAAAGAAAGCAAGAGGCGAAGCGCATGATGGTATCAACAACAAAGGAACGTAACGATCAGTAAAAGAAAATAGACAAACGGCGCCGAAGGCCCCTACAGCCCGATGCTGCCGTGTACATGGCGCATGTGGTCGTAAATACCTTCGCCCAACGGAAAAGTCTCCAAACATGCCCAACAGGTGTGCGTTTTGCAGCGGGTGCACGTCATATGGTGGCAGCCGTCCGCTTTCTCGATAAGGGCCTTGCATCCGGGGCACCGCTTGACGTCGTGCAGGCTCTTCCATTCCTCGAACAACCTGTCGATGCCTTCGTCTCGGTCCTCGCACGTCGCGCCTTCGTGGTACTCGACGTGGCAGTGCGGACAGATACGGCACACGCAGTTGGGGCAGGTCACGACCGAGTTCTTCGGCCCGAGGCGGTGGATCTGGGAGCAGTCGGGCGTCGGGCAGTAAAAGAACTCGTCGGGACGAGACTGGACGTAGGTGGTGTACGCGGCGTGAGTGAGCGCGTCGAACTGGCTTGGAAGAAGGACGTCGCGCGCGGTACGGAGAGGAACGAGCTGGGTGCAGGTCGCGTCCTGGCCGAGGCAGCGCAAAGGGAACGATCGGTTGTCTACGGACGCCACGAGATAGCCCGTCAGGCAGCTCTTACACCAGGTGTGCCCACACTCCATTGAGATGGGCGTCGTCGCCTCTTCGAAACAAACGGGACAGTGATTCCGCACGCGGTCCCGTTCATGCGGGTGACGATCCTGTGCCCGACGTACCACGTACTGCACCTCCTCGAAGAGCGCGTCGTCTCCCCGCACGCGGATGCAAGGCATATCAAGGGAGAACCAAACAGTGTCCTTCCCGTGCTTGTCCTGGAGCTCGATGATATCCGCGTCCATGAAAAGACCGACCAAGCGCCCTTGCAGGGGGATGATGTGGATCTTCTTCTCTTCCAAGGACTTGAGCTTGTTCAGAATGGTATATCTAGCCATACCGCGATCGCCCTCGTTGCCCACGAGATTGAGCGTCCGGCGGACTCGGTCCAGCTTCATCAAGATGCCGGGGTATATGGATTGCACGTTGTCAAGGAACGCGACGCCCGCCAAGGAACCTAGCCAGTCGTCCCACACTTTACCGCGGTCATCCTTGAGAACCTCGCCAAGCACGAGCTCGTCAAGCTTCACCTTGATCTGCCCGATGATCTTATGATCGTCGGCGACGACCTTGAGCTCGATCCCATCGTCGCCAGGAGCATTGCTCGTCTTCTCGAGCTGGTGGATCTGCGCCCCCTTAGCGAACTTCCACAGCGAATCTCGCAACTCGTCGATATCGCGCTTGATCAGTCGGTAGACCTCGATCGGCACATGACGAATGATAGACTGGACGCGTTGGATGTGGAACTTTTCCCCGCCCAACGCATCTTGCTTCCAGCCGTCAAGCTCGCACGCCGCTTTGGCGACATCGGGCGAGTCGAATTGTGCCCACCCACGCACGACGCCATCCTTGTACGGCGCAGGAACGACCTCGAAATACGTTACCCTCCCGAAATCCTTCAGCAGCCGCTGTACGGCCGCTATACCGTAATTTTTGGCGTCATAGTTCGGGCGCGAGAACATGATGCCCGACTCGGATGTCTTGCCATATCGCAGAACGTCTTTATCCTTCGCGTTCGGTGGCATACCTGTGAAGCGTACATTGAACTGACCAACACAAGGAAGGCCCGTGTACATCGAGGCCGTGACCCAGTACCCGCGAAGCGTAGAGCCGTCCGCCTTCTTGATCGCCGCCAGCGCAGCCTTTTCGGTATCGTAGCCCGCGAAGCCCGTCCGACAGGGCACGTTCCAATTAAAGCGTACATAGCAGTCCTGTAAGCGTGAGTTCTGAAGACTCGTGCTGATCGCGAGGCGCACGCGAATCCTGGAACCGAAGACCTCAACGCCGTCGAGCGAATCAACAGCGGCCGTCGCCTCTGCGTGTGTAGATAGCTGCACCCTCACATTCGTAAAGGACGCTGTGGAAGAAGAATCTTCGCGGAACTTGACATCGGCGACCTGCCCAACGGGTTTCAGCAGTCTCTCGAGATCGGGCCGCCCCACGCGTGTGGGGATATTCGCTATCGCGATCCAGCGAGAGTCCAACGCGGTGACGACCTTCAGCACTTTGAAACCGGGCCCAAAGGTGGCCCGTGTAGGATCTGCAACTTTGATGACCATTTCCTCCGATGGTGGAGGCGCCTGATTAATCGACCATCAACCTTTAGAGATGCATTGAAGACGGGTGCTCTGCAGGACATACGTTTCTATCCTTGTTTTTGTCGTCGGGCGATGGGGGAAGAGTCGTGGATGCCTTCTGTGCAACGTACAAGTCAACGACGATAACAGACAGCGCGAGCACAGCGACTCACAGGGTCTGTATTGCCACGATTTACCGCTGCTGCGTCCTCAGATCGCTGCACAGGAAGGGAGACTTTGCGACTTGGTGATACAGAAGGTGCAGGAACATTATTCCTTACAGTTGGGGTCTGTGATAACATATGAGCACGTGAAGCAACACACACTTAGAGATTGACCATACCGTATCGTTTGCGGCCGGCACATCATCCGCATTCGGGAACCGATGAGCCCATCGACACTGCGGGCCATCCTTACAAGTGCGTGTACGGTTCCATTCCCAGCAAAGACCGAACGGCAGGTCAGGAGGTGGTGGTCTATGGTATGGTCTATGGGTAGATCTATGAGGTGCGCCTTGCCTCGCAAATGACGAAGAGCCGACCGCAGACTGAAAGAGGTACAGTCAACAGAGGCGCGGACACACAGACGCTGAATGCGTACCGGCTCTTGAGCAATACTTGTATTATGAGGCATTGCGCTGGCGTTAACTCTGACTACGCTTGGCCCCGCGTTTTGATAACTGCCAGATGGGGCGGGAACTCCGCCAATCGACGGGAGGGGAGATGCATCCGACTGCGTACATCACGATTATCAGCCTAAGGGAGGGTTAGAACACAGAGAGATACACGTACGGGCTCTCCTCTATCTGAAGTGAACCTCTCGTGGCGCCACCGGCACCGCACGCCTCTAGTGCAATTATTTTTAAAATACCAGTCCCTGCAGATGTGATCGGGGATGACCTCTGGGGCGTTAGCATACCGGCCACGGTGGGGTCCATCAGCCACATCTGCGTCTCCCGAATCTAGATTTGCGGCCTGCTGCGTAGGGGCGATCGCCACGATCAACTCCTCAACTCATACAGAAGAGTAGGCGAGAAGACCTACACCTCTAGTCACGACGCCCACAGCCTCCCGAGCCTCCCGAGCGGCGCGGCCGTCCGACGCCGCCAACGACGCGGGCACATCGATATCCGCGATGCTCGAGTCGCTCGCGGACGACCCTTCCGACGACAGGTCAGGCACCTGCTCACGCGGAGGTGGCGCGGGGAGCTGCGTGTCGCGTGTCGCGTGTCGCATGTCATGTGTCAAAAGTCGCGTGCGCGAAAAAAGAGGCAGCCGCCACATCAAGTCAGAAAGCTCGTCAGTCTCGGGGAAATGAGAGACGAAGGAGGAGAGAGGAAGAAGAGAAGACGAAGGAAGAGGCGACGTACATTCGTAGGCACGCTCGAGCCGACGCCCCCGGAGTTCGTCGCGTCGCGTGGCCGAGGTCCACCTTGTCTCCTCTGAGGGCCAGAACCGCCCTCCGTCTTCGCGTACGACACGACCGTTCCCGGGACTAGTTCACCAGGAATAAGCGCCGCGAACGCATGTCGAGGAGCGAGGTTCCGGAACCTCGGCGGCAAAACGGCCTGCGGCATACGTTCGTCCTACAGACGCCGGTCGTCGTCAACAGACCATTGAAACATCTAAGCGTGAGGGGGCTCACGTGGATGCCCTGCATGGGATACGCATCGTTGTATGCTTGGGCATGGCTATAGCCATAGACCTGCACATTTTGGAGCGGAGGACGCTCGTGGCTCAACTCGTAAGTGGGCGCGGACGGGTTCCCTCGGGGCAATCTGATGACAGGGACATTCCTCTCCTGATGAATAGGAGAAAGAGGTCTCGAGGACGTGACACACAGATTATCGTTGATGACTTGTTGGGTATGGATGTTGCGAGAGTTGGGGCCTGGAAGTCCTGGTGGACTATTTGGTGGAAGCCGCGGCTGGACAGGAATATGTACAGGCGCATACACCCAGGATGAGCGGCGCCAAACGGACTCTCCGCCGATGAGACGTACCTGTTGAAAAGGCGGTTGCTGCGGTTGCGGCTGCTGTTGAAATTGGTGTTGTTGCGGCTGCCGCCGCTGTTCCAGTTGGGGACGATCCCCTTGCCCAGGATCTACATGTAGATATTTACACTGTTCCCACCTGCACTGACCGCGGGCATAGTACGGACATATGTCTCCTGGGCGCAGGGACTGTCTCGAGGGCTGCAGATCCCACGCGATGAACGATCGGCGGAGGATTGCGGACGAGAACGGGGACAACGCACCTTGGAACCGAGCATTACGTTCCCAGAGGAGGGGGGGGAGTCATCGGGCGGGTATGGGCCGCGATCTTGGGATACCTGTGATATATGAAACAGAGCAACGCTGCGCATCAGCACAGTTCGAGCGATTCGCAGGAAAGACGTAGAGAAGCGTCGCAGGTGGAGCGCTGAAGGCCAAGAAACAGAAGCAGAAACTACAAACAACAAAGATAGGTAGGGTGAAACATCGCGTCACGGGTGTGTCACCAACTCGACGCCCTGTTTCTAAGTGATAGCTAAACAGTTCCTGGCTCCACGCACCGTCAAAGGAGGGGAAGTTGATCATTCGCATCCACCTATATGCTGGATCGTCATTCCCGCTCCTTGACAGTCAGACAGTGACAGCTGCACACGCCCCCCTCCCCTGCATTTTTAGATCATTTGGGGGAGGTAACAACGCTACGATCTTGGGGATCATTGAAGGGGATACTCAAGGGGAGAATTCGCTGCGGCGCATGGATCGCCAAAAAGGGTGGGGTTGCTACCTATCCTGGGTGCTTGCCGCAGTCAAAGAGGACGCCGCCTGTCGGCAGATGTAGCACTGGGCACCCCAATATCCCCCCCCCCCTTTATTGTGGTGAACGCATGCGCTCCTCCAAACGTTGGAGAAGACGGATACAGACACAGAAGAGTAACGGGGATATTCGAAAATCTGGCCCGGACAATATTCTTACCGTATTCTGAGCGGTGCGGGCGACCGTGGACCCGTCTGCGTCTACACGCGGATGCGATTTTGATTGGCGCAGAATGTTGAGCATCTTTATGTGGGTAAGGAAAGCGTGAGTGATGAAGACACACGAGTTCGGATGCGACGTACATCTGGAGTGAGAGCAACATGGAGTCGGGGACAGGGCCAATTTTTGCAGCGTCCTTGGATGAAGTTGGCGCATACTTCTCTCGGGTCGATGTCGTGTGATGGGAGGGGGGTGGACTACGACGGTCGGCAATCGGGAGCCGATGAGAAGACTGAAAGGATTAAGACGAGAATAGAGACAGACTTTTGGAGGATGTTGGCGATTATGCCCCTTCTGACTTGAAGGTGGCCCAGCCATTTCTGGAGAGAAGTTGAGTTGTAGTGGCGAAACCGCTTGGTAAGAATGGATCTGGATGGCAAAGGATGGGATGCGGGGTCAGTGCAGAGCAAGGAGAAAGGGGGAGGGAAGGGGGAGAAGGGAAGGGGCTGGCGTCATCACTCACAATCGGAGTCGGAGAGACAGTCTGAGTGAAAGACGGTCGAAGTGAGAGCGGTCTTGGAATACGCCTTATGTATGTGAGAATATCTGGAGAACCCAGTGGCACCTGCTGCCTTCTGTGGGTATAGGCACTGGGATGGATCAGCGGCTATCGGCGGACTTGTATTTGGACGAAAACGTGGACCGCTAAAGAGTGTGGCAGGAAGAGAGGCGAGTTGATTGCGGTCGCTGTTGAGCATATATGAATGCACGCCCACCCAGTCGTCGTCAGTTGTCTCGAGTCAACTCCAGTTCGCTCCCGCCACCCCTGCATCCCCTTTACGTAACATCTGCCCCCGCAGGTCTGCTCGTCGACGCACCAGAAGCTTATTGGGCACCCACGCTTCTCGAATATATGCAGCATACACCACTTAAGTATCCAATACAACACTTGCTCGCCTTGGGCGGCGGAACCGCCCTGATCGTCCACTTCGGTACTCTCTCGGCGGAATTGTCTCTCGAGTTGCGTTCATATGATCTTGGCTAACCCTTGCCTGAGGTCTAGAAAAACCTATTATTCCAGGCATCTGGTATCGGCCAGAGTCCAAAACACACGACTCCAAACGGCGAACAAAAGAGCTTCGCCGGCGTGGTAATCTCGTGGCTCGGGATCGATCATAAACCAGCACGGAGAGCGTGGTCCATCTGATAAGATAAGATAGCCATGCTTGCGGCGGACCCCGCGTCCTTTGCCGAAACGTCAAGCCTGCAAGCCTCTCTCGTACAATTTGCTTTGGCGCCTCACGTTCCGACTGCATCGCCTCCATGCAACTGACCACATAACATTGAATTCTCTGCCCATCTGCGTCTCCATCCTCCGCTTTGAATTCTATCACCGTCTCCGCTTCGCTTCGCATTATACTAGACCCCGGGACTCCGACTCGTCACAACTTGTGAAACAAGCCACCCGATACCCCATGGAGACCGCCCCAGACGCATTCAACCCAGCTGTCGCAAATGACAGAGGCTCGCCCACCGAGCGCGCAGCGAAGGACATCGCTTTTGGAAGCGTGAGTCAGTCGCACGCCCCCGCCGTCTCTCCGGGAGACCCTCACTCACCCACTCTCGTACGAATATACCAGGTCGCGGGAATGGCCTCGAAAGTCCTCGAGCACCCGTTCGACCTCACCAAAGTGCGCCTGCAGGCCCAGGTCCTCGACTCTACCGCGCGCTTCAGCGGGCCGCTCGACTGCCTCGCGCAGACGTATAACAAGGAAGGCGTGCGGGGGCTCTATCGCGTGCGTCCCTTCGCCCTCTACTCTCCTCCGCCCTCATCCTCCGTCCTACACGCTCCCGCCGCTCCGTGAAGCAATGAAAATTTGCCCACAAGCGCGCGTGGTGGCGTCTGATCCGGCGCGAAGCGTCCCAATTAACGCCATTATGCCACGCAGGGTCTCCCGGCGCCCATCGTCGGCGCCATGGTCGAGAACGCGTCCCTCTTCCTCACGTACGGCGAGCTGCAGAACGCCGTGCGCGCGCTGAGCGGCCTCGCGCCGACACACGCGCTCTCCCTCCCGCAGCTCGCCCTCGCGGCCGGCGGCGCGGGAGCCATCACCAGCTTCCTCCTGTGCGTCCCTATCTATGGCGCCTCTCGCGCGATCTGTGTTCGTGCTCACGCGCAGGGCCCCGGATGACAGTACGCCGATAGAGCTCGTCAAGTGCAAGATGCAGGTCCAGATGCTCGTCTCCGCTCCCGCAGCCCTGCCCTCCGCCCCCGGCGCCGCCTCCGTGCGCTCCCTCCCCGGCCCGCTCGCCATCATCGCGCACACCTTCCGCACCACGGGCCTCCGCGGGTTCTGGCTCGGCCACACCGGCACGCTCATCCGTGAAACCGGCGGCTCCGCCGCATGGTTCTCCACCAAAGAATTCGTCGCCTCCCTACTCCTCGCGCGGCACCCGCAGCCCTACTCCCCCTCCTCCTCCTCCACCGATGATGCATATGACACACACGCAGCCGCCCGCCCGCGTGACCTCGCGTCCTGGGAGAGCGCGCTGAGCGGCGCGTGCGCGGGCGCGTCGTATAACCTCGCGCTCTTCCCCGCGGACACCGTCAAGAGCACCATGCAGACCGAGGCTGAGCTCCGCCCCGGGTCCGCCCCCGCCGGCGGTGGCGGGCGCTCGTTCTGGGGCGTCGGGCGCGAGATGTACCGCGCGCAGGGGATCCGCGGGCTCTACGCGGGCTGCGGCGTCACCGTCGCGCGCTCGATACCGAGCAGCGCGGTGATTTTTTGGATATATGACGGGTTGAAGGCGCGGTACGGCTAGAACGGGCGGGTCGACGGGCGGATGGATGTGCGGGCGGGAGATTTGCTTTGCGAGCGAGGACGATTTGCAAGTGTTAGTGTCATTGGGGCACTCATGGATATATTATACTAGATGGAGGGGCGCATTGTAGATCGACCTTGCTTTCGGTGCGTTTTTCTGTAAGTTCCATAGCGACTGCGCTCGACCGCTCGTCGAATCGTCGATCAATGTTGCGATGTCGGGAGATGGCTGTTGGTGATAAAACGGTCATATTTATTCAGGCAGGGCTATCATCATGGCCGCCTGGCGAAATGGCATCGCGTCTGACTACGATTAGGTAATCAGGAGATTGCAGGTTCGACCCCTGCGGTGGTCATTGTTGAATTGAAAGTCCTATTTTTGTTGTTAGTCCCTGGAGCAACAGATCCTCTAAGACTGGACGCTGATATACAGAATCATTTTGGATACTTGTGTGACAGCGAGACTTTTTATTAACAGTCCACAAACCGCCGCTAATAGCTGGCCCTAAGCATGCTCTATCCACACGCACTATGCTCGCATTGCAAGCAGATCATTTATGAATGATACTTCAGAGGTACTAGAGAGTAAGCATCCAAAGTTTGAGTACAAAGGGCCTGTGGTTATTGGATCGAGGAATGCTGGGGGACCCAATTCGCCAGCCTCTGTCCTCTCCACCATAGCGCTGGTCTCCCTCTTCCCAAACCAAACAGCCCTGCATTCGGTTCGGGCAGCGTGCGTTCCCAGCGCAACTCCATCTCCCCCCCTAAGATCCCTCGCGTCGACGCGAGCGCGGCGTTCCAGAAGGCCGTCCCGATCGCGCCCTCGGACATGGGAGGGGTACCTGAACTGACGTGGGGTACCGAATCGGTGTCGCGAGGGGAACGTTCGCGTGGAGAGCGAGGAGGGTCTGGGGAGGGCAGGTGGAAGAGGTAGAGCGGGACGGTGGAAGACTGGGCGGCGAGAAGGGAAGCGCGGGTGAAGGGTGACTGGGAGATGAGCAGGGCGACGACAGGGGTCAAGGGCTCTTCGCGAGGACGCGGGGCCTCTTTAGCTGCTGCGACGGCGGGCACAGCGGTGGGACGGGGGCCCTGAGCGCGGGTGCTCTCGGCGAGGAACTTGTACACGACGCCCTCGAGCTCGCGGATATACCCCGGGCCCATCTTGCGGCTCTCCGCCTTGCACTGCGCGAGGATGCGTATGCGCCTTCGGCCGGACCCTGCGCACGCACGGGCAGAACGTCGATCAGTAGCGCAGTAGCACCCAACCCACGACACACACGCACGCACGGCGTCCTGCCCGTCCCCGCCGAATCCGACACAGCTGCCGACCTACCATTGTCGTCGCGCTGCCCTAGTCTGGGGACCCACCACCATCCGACCAGATCGACCCCGCCGTCCGACTTGCCGCCGACGCGCGTGAGCGACATGGATAGGTTGTCCTGCAGGATCCGGAGAGACCGGTTTTCGAAAGCGGTCCCGCGCGCTACGGCCGATAGATGCGTGGAGACATAGTATCTGATGCAGGTGGGGTGCATCGGCGTCGCCTTGGTCGCTTGCTTGTGGGGGCGGCGCGTAAGAGTCTGTGAGAGCAGGTGCAAGCGACGCAGTACAGCAGTAGTCATGATGTTTCTCACGCGATGCGGCCTGTCTTTGTTTGCGCGACAACACTACACCTTTCTCCAGTCTGGGACTCATGTCCTCCTCTGAGACCCCTATCGACTACAGCCTCGAGTTCGAGCGCGACGCTGACGGCAACCCTATTGGAGACCAATTCACAAGCTTCAAGATGACGGCTCGTGCCAGAGCCTGCCGCCGGCAGGTTAGCCGTTCTTGTTACTATCATCGCCGCACCTCGCTGCACTGGCCTGATGTGCATTCTCCAAGAGTTTCATCGAAGCCACGAAACACCGAACACCTACTGCCCAACTTCCGGATGACGGCAATGTCAGCCGAAATAAGGATGCCGATATCCTGCACTTTGGTTTTGCACTCAGCGTCGAGCAGATCATGCGCTCCGCCGAAAAACATGATCTCTTCATGAAGCCCCGGTCTGACGATCCGGACCTCGTGTACATCTCCGCCATACCTGGCATGCGCGTGCACCTGGCGAAAACGTGTAATGCGGTGCTATTTTACCATATGCCATTCACCGTGACCGGCCAACCGTGCATGTTCGCGCTGTATTCCAACTACACGATGGAAAGGTACCAGCTGTGCGAACAGGACGAGAAGGAGGTGATCGAGATCCTCCAGACGGAGCTAGGAATTGTCGAGGACCCGATGTGGTACTGGGACAGATGCCACAATCCTTGGTGAGCTCTTGCGCATGGTGAGTCTTGTTTCACATCTATATTATTCATGCAAAGCAGCCAAATGCTGAAGGACGATACAATCGGGTCTACCCTCTTATTGGCTTTGCCCCCTTACCGTTACTGTGCCATTGCTTGCATCGTACACCAGCTGGGCTTGCACAGCGTCGCCGCGCTCAACTCACAGGAGTTTCGCTCTTCCTCCCCCGTCTCCGCGCACGAGGGACGAGAGCTCAAATCCGCCCCGAGCTCCGGCGCGCTCGCATGCCCCAGAGGAGGCCGCGGGGGCGCGTTTGCGCGTGCGTGCGCCGGCCGCGCGAGACGAGCAAGCGGCGAGCGTTCGGGGCCAGCGGGCCAGCCCGTCGAGAGAGAGCCAGCGTACACGTCCACGGGCGTTCACCGACGCCGATCGTGCGCGACTCGCACCTCGCACCTCACACCATCTGGTGGATAGCGAGTTTTTTCTATCTCGCTATAAATAAGAAAATGAATTTCTCAAACCGGTCTCCTTTGCGTGCTATTCATTAGCGTGCGCGAGCACCGACACCTGATCGTCTTTAATTTGCCCCGTCCTCCGCCCCCTGCCAGTCGCGCGCGCGTCACGAGAACAGAACACACCCGCTTTTGCCACTCCCCCGGCACACCAAAGAGCCAACATTCCCCCCGGTGGCGCCGCTGCACACGTTCGTATCAGCCCCGCGTACTACAGGCATCCGCCCAACCGAGCATCATACAAGGTGCAAGTAAGAGCGAGAGCGAGTGGGTACATATTCAGCAGTGTGCGTGTGCGTGTGCGTGTGCGAGGCGTTGCGATGAGAGGTGATGAGATGTGAACGGCACGCGCCGGATGGCATTCTGCGGGGGTATCATGGCTATGGCTACGGCTACGGCTACGGCTACGGCTACGGCTAAGGACGGGCGACGCGGACGCGCGCGGTCATGGTCATGGCGGCGGCGGCGGGGTGCGGCCGAATGGCAGCCTATGGCGCACGCCCGGGAGATGGCCTGCGCAGCGGCGCGAGGGCCGGAGGGCGAAAGGGCAGAAGGCGCGCGTTAGCTGCTACGACGCGAAGACGCTACGTCGCACGGGGTGCACGGTGCGTGTGCGTGTGGTGGTGGTGGTGGTGGGAGACGCACCGAATACGACGAGGGGGGCCCACGCGGTGAGGAGGAGCGCGACGTGCTGCGTGCCGAAGGGCGCGGGCGGGCGGTGGCGCGCGAGGTCTACGAGCGTCGAGAGGGACGCGAGGAGGACGACGGTGAAGAACGACCTGCGGGCGCGCGCGCGGCGGTGCGTTCGTGCGTTCGTGAAGCGTTAGCGCGCGGACGATGGGGGCACGGCGGTGCAGGCGCGAGGCGGAGCAGGCGGGCAGGCAGGGAGACACGGGAGACACGGGAGACGGGAGACGGGACGTACAGCTTGAACACGGTCAACCGCCAGATCGCCGACCGGAGGTCGGTCGACGGCCGCACAGACTGGTGCCGCGGCGCGCGCGCACCCGCGCCCAGGAACCGCCCATACGCAAAGCACTCGCGCGGCGGCTGCCGTGGGGGCGGCCGCGGCGACAGGGGCAGGGACAGCGCGCGCCCTGCAGAGGCGCCCTTCGCGCTGGGCCCGTGGTCGTCGTTGTCCTGATATTCGTCGTCGCCGTCGTCGTCGCGCGCCCACCGCAGCACCTCGAGCGTGATCTCGTCCCCCGCGTCCCCCATCTTTGCCCCCGCCTCCTCCTCGCGCGCCTCGTCCGAATCCGCCCGCGCGCCAGCGACGCCAACAAGACCCGCCAGCGCAGACGCCTCGCGATCTACCATCGCCGCCCCCGCCCCCGCCCCCGCCGGGCCCGGGGGGACCGCAAACGCGTCGTACGCGCCGAACGCGCCGGGGTCGGGGAACGCGGGCATGTACCGCGCGGCCGGGTCGCTGCTCGGGGCGCCGGCTGGGCCGTGGCGAGGGCGCGGGAGCGGCGGCGGGACGGGGGCGAAGGTGATTGGAGACGGGGAGGGCGAGCGGCGCGAGGAAGTGGTGGTGGCAGTGGTGGTAGCGGTAGTTGTAGTTGCGAGGGAGGCGTGCGTGGATGCGGGGGAGGGAGAAGGCGGGGGAAGGGACGGGGGAAGGGGAAGAGAGAAGGGCGGGAGGATGGAGAGATCGAGTGGGGGGAGCGGCGGCGGCGGTGTGTGTGTATGTGCGTGCGTGTGCGTGTGTTGGGAGAGGGAGGCGTGGAGGGTGGATTCGGAGGCGGAGGCGGAGGCTTTTGTCGAGGATGGAGCGGGGTGGGGATGGGGTGTGAGAGGGAGTGGAAGAGCGTGAGGATGGATATGAGGATGAGGAAGAGGAAGAGCGTGGGGGAGCGGGGACGCCGGGCGCTTCACGTCCAATCGCACGTCAGCCGGCTCGAACGCCGCCGCCGCTGAGGATGAATACGGCAGCGAGCGCGTGAACGACGGGCGCGACGCATGGGTGTATCTCCAGCGGCGCGTCTGGCTATGCATCTTGATGATGCGGCAGCCCGTGAGGGAGGAGAGGACGAGGGATGGGGCGGCGAGGAGGAGCGGGGCGCCGGCGTAGCTGAGCAGGCGGGGCCTGCCGTCGAGGAGCGGGGCGGGTCGGCGGTGCGGAGGTGGGGCGATAGACGGTGTGATAGACGGTGTGATAGACGGTGTGACGGGTGGGTGATGGGGATTCGGGGGTGGGTCGATAATGATGAATGAAGTGATTTGATGGGTGATGGGTGATGGGAGACGCACCAGAGGGGGCTCGTGGCGTCGCAGTACATGTCGTTGGACGGCCGCACGGCGTCGAGGCGGAGGATGACCGTGAGGTAGGCGGCGAACGCGGCGGCGGGGAACACGCCGACGAGCCAGAGGTACCCCGCGCGCCAGGCGAGGGGCCTATGTACGAGCACGACGGCGCCGACGAGGCGCGAGGATGAGCGCGCGCTCTGGCGGGGGATCGGTAACATGGGGGCGGGGGTATGGTACGCACGAGGGTGTGTTCTGGAGGCGCTGGGGCCTGTGGACGGAGAGGTAGAGCGCGGCGGTAAAGGAGGCGCAGACGCCGGCGAGGACGTGGCCGGAGACGGACATGAGGGCGGTCTGTGCGACGCAGAATGCGTGCGGCATGCGGTGCGTGTCCATGCGCCATATCATGCCTGCGGACGGGGGCAGTGAGCGAGGACGTGCGCGTGTGGGAGGGGACGAGGGGGGACGAGTTGGGGACGCACCGAGGCAGAAGGCGCCCTGGAGGACGGTGACGGCGAGGCAGTAGAGCACGGGGGCCCAGGCTGCGCCGACGGCGTGCGCGAAGGGGATGAGCACGGCCCAGGCGCTCGCGGTGCCTGTGCGGCGGCCAGCAGTGAGGCGAGTGAGCAGACGAGTGCGGGACGACGGGGGACTGACCGAGGACGGAGAGGACGAGCCAGAGGACCTTGAGTGCGAGGGGGAGCATCGTCGACGTCCCTGCCAACGCGCCCCCGACCCGTGTTATAAAGCAAACGCGCGCCGCTGCTCCCCCAAGGGTCGTCGGCTGCCCGGTCCGCCTGGCCACCCACCGTGGCGTCCTCTCGTATCTGCGATCCCCTCGCCCCCCCACGCACCAGCTGCCAACTGCCAGCGCACTCCCCGCCCTCGCAAGGCATCGACTCGCTTTCCGAGGACCCTCGTCCGCCGTCGTTTGAGCACGTCTGAGGATCCAGCAATGTGCCGCCGCGAGCCGCCTCCGTGGACCGCGGCGCGACTCGAGGCCAGGCGCGCCAACGACGCCTGATGGCCTGATGCACGAGGCCGCTGCTCCATCAGTGCCCCATCCAATGTAACTTACTCACTTCCTTATGCGCTGATGGGCGAGCAGAGCACAGTCTAGCACAGTGCCCGTCAGGGAAAGAGCCTGATTGGCGTCGACGACGCTGTCCATGGCAACCGTCCCGCCGTGACACACGCGCGCGCTTTTTTACCTACTTTTACCTTCATCGACTTGCGGATCGGAAGCGGAAGCGCACGACGGCGACCAGCCAGCGCGTACTGTACTTACTGTAGGTACAACAAACCATCGGAGGCCGTCCAAGCACAGCACAGTGCCGCCAGAGCTCTCCGCCTCCGCGCCGAACACGGGAACGCCACCGTGCAGGACGCCCGCAGGCCCGTCCGAGGCTTATACGCTCGATGCGCTCGTCGACGCGACTTCGAGACTCGAGCATCCCGCCTCGCCTCCCCTCGCGAGGCGTTGCGCGTACGATACCACGAGTACCCCACCGGCCTCCTGCGTCGTCGCATCGCGGCGCAGGCGTCGCCAGAACGACAGTACAGGACAGCGCAGCAAGTCGTGTAGAATACCACAGGCCCAAGCCTCCCGCCGATCCCGCGTCGCTGGCCTGGCGCTTGGCCGTGCGAAGGCTTGACAGTGGCGTGACCCGTTCCCTCCCCGACGTCCCTCCATCGCTGCAGTATGCGCGGCCCCTCGAGCATTCCATAGTCGCTCGATCGACGTGCGTGCATCGCGCACGTCCACGTGATGTTGTCCCTGCTGCGGTGCTGCTTTGCCTCGGGTGGGAAACGAGCAGACGAGCGCGTCATCGCCGTCGAGCCTTTCAGATCGCACCTCGATCGGGACGCGGGATCGGAGCACCCAGGCCAGAGCAGCGATGCGTGGTTATATAGTATAGTTATCTAGTATGTTGATGTACTTAGGGATTGCAGTAGGGACCTGCAGGGCTGAGAAGCGCACAGGGCGGGTTGTGTGCTGTGTATGTACTCTACGGTATCCGTAAATGAGTTGCTTTGTCGGTCCGAGGTGCGCTTCCGAGGCGATCTGACTTGCATACGTAGCATCGGTCGCGTTTTGCGGGCCCTCGCGAACCTCGTGCACTTCTCATCCTTATTTACACTTCACGCATGGTGGACACCCACCAGAGAGCCCTTGAGAACCATGTGTTGAGACACGCGCGGTCGGTGGGAGCGTCAGGCGGACGCGCCCGCGCGCGCGTACGTTCATTCGACTCGATAGGGATGGATAAAAGATACACGGATACATGGTTGGCATGATGGGAGCGGCGTCTAGCGAACGATTAGATACTTGTCCCCGAGTCGAGGTGGGGACGGTGGGTTGGCGTTGGGCGATGGCGATGGCGATGGCGATGGCGGCGGATACTGGTCGAAGTGACGGGGTGACGGGAGAGGGCGCGCGGCGGCGGCGCGGGTGTTATATTCCACGGCGGGAGACGAACGTCTGGGTCGTCGCGAGGTGCGGGTCAGTGGGGAGTGGGCGGGGCACGTGTGCGTGGAGTGCGGGCGGGCTCACCTCGAGGTCTTGCGACGTCGCGACCGCGAGCACGAATTTGCGGTCGTAGTCCGTCACTGCCAGGCGGCACGGGACGCCGGTCAGATTCCGTACGCGATTCGGGACTCGGGAGAGAGCGCGGGGTTAAGGGGAAGGGGGACGCACCGAGGGCGAAGATGTTGCGCGCGAGGAAGCGCTCGACGTCGGCGAGGGGCGTGTCGGGCGTGATGACGGTGTAGGGGTTCGTGGAGGGCGAGCGGTTGAACTTGGTCATGTGGGACGCGACTTTGTCGGACTGCGGGCGCGGTCGGGCGGTCAGCGTGCGCGCGCGCGTACACGCGCGCGAACGGATGGATGAGGGATGGGGAGCTCACGGGTGTCGCGGCGCCTGCTTCCCACTTCTTCTTGAGTTCGGCCACGTCGACGTATCCGAGGGGTTTGCGCTTGCGATCGAGCACGCTTCGGGAGGAGCGCGGTAAGCGAGAGAGAGGGGGAGGGGGGGAGAGAGAAGGGAGGAGAGAAAGAAGAGCCCGGGCACAGCTCGGGGAGGAGGGAGTGGGAGGCTTCCGTGACGTACGGGATGTGCGAGAAGTCTCTGTCGTACGCGAGCTCGATCGCGCGGGAGATGCCCTCGTCCTGCGGGAGCGCGAACGCGGGCGGCAGCTGGAGGTCCTGCGGGACGGCCACAAAAAAAAAAGCAAGCGTGTCAGAGGGCGCCACGGCGTGTAGAGAGGAAGAGAGAAGAGAAGATGTGGGCGTCTGTGTGCGATGTGGGGGCGGAGGACCGACCTCGACGACGGCGCCGCGGTACTTGTCTGGCGGGGGCAGGTTCGGGGCGGACGACATCGGTGCTGGTGCGGTGGGTGTGGGTGTCGAGGTCGTGGAGGTCGTGGAGGTCATGGAGGACGCCGCTTGGGGCATGAAGGAGAAGCGAGGAGGAAAGCGAGGAGCGGTGCAGAGCAGAGCAGAGCAGGACGGGCGGCGCGGTCGAGGCGGACATGACATCTGGGCGGAGGAAGTCACGTGCACAGACCCTGCAGCTTGCTCCTTCTGTCCACGCACGCGTCTGCACAACACACATCTCATCCTGCTCTCCATGTCGACGCGTTGATGAGCATGGGTATGCTCTAGGCACCAATACCCCACTTTTCGCAGCTTTTCAGTATTCTTTGACCATTTGGCATACTTAGGACTGACCGATCCCGATCCGTTCGGCGATCTCAGCCATTTGTCAGGTGCCGACTTTCCATTTAGACCTCCGCACAGTCATTCGGAGCTGTTCACAGTCATCCTATCCATCTATCATCACTCTCAGCAGTAGGGGCTCCCCACAGACTGTCGCGGCCGATCGCCGATCGGTTCGGTACACTTCACATGGTCGGCACATTCGGTCGGCTTCGGTGTCCCGAATCGGAGGCAGCCGAACACTTTGTTGACTCAGAACGGATCTGTCTTTCTATCTCTTATCGTCCTTATGCCTTCTGTTGACCTATCCTTTGTTATCTTCAGAGCTCCCAAGTTTCTAAATGGTTTACCCATGTGGCATGTGGTTCTTATCTCCAGGTCCATGTGGACTCACCTTGGCAATCTCTCCACTTATTTAGACTTTAGAGTTATTGCTTCTTATCTTATAGTGTTTGCAACATCACTCCCTTATCTTCTTTACCTTTGATCACTCTTGGCACGCATTTCCGATTGCTCTATGCCTCTGCCGATCTCCTTATCTTGTACCTGTTTGGACTTACTATAAAAGGGCACCTATGGCTTTGCAATATATCAGCTTTGGCTCCCCCCTTGTTCCGATTCCATTTGTGCGCTTGTGTCCATGAGACTTTGAGCCATTGCCTTCCAATCCTTGTTCGCATTTTGCCCTTTTGTTTGTGTTGTTGCGTTCGATCACAGCCCTCCGCCAGAGCCCTCGTCGTCTTGCTCTCTCCCTCTCATCTAGTTTGTCATCCTCTGCCAGGGTCTAGTGTGGCCTTGCACCCATTCCCTTCCCTTTGCATCCCGATCAAATCCCGATCAAACATCGACCGACCGACCGACCGACCTACCGACCGACCGACCTACCGACCTACCGACCGACCGACCGACCGACCGACCGACCGACCTACCAACCGACCGACCTACCGACTGACCGACCTACCGACCGACCGACCGACCGACCGACTGACCTACCGACCAACCGACCGACCGACCGACCGACCGACTTACCGACCTACCGACTTACTGACCTACCGACCGACCTACCGACTGACTGACCAACTGAATACTTTGATTTTGGAGTTGTTTGTTCACTACACTCCGAACACTTTTAGTACGCTCCCTTGTTGGTTGTTGCACAGCTTATAGTTCCTTGCACACTAGAACTAGCTCCTGCCTACCTGCGCTTGTAGGGGTGTTTCTTGGGTGTGTTTCGCACTCAGAGGCATCACTAGCGTATCAGCGTCCAACGGGCGACGATGACGAGCCGCAGGAGCCGAAGCCCATCCGCCGCCGCCTCCACAAGGCGACCATCAACCGCATCGCTGCGGGCGAGGTGCGTCTGCATGCCGCGCGGGGCCGTCTCGCACAGGCGTGGGCTCTCTAATACTTGTGCCCGCGAAAAGTGTTTGAACAGGTGACTGTGACATGACATGTCTCCTAGTTTCTGACTGTCTCCTAAGAGCAATTGTGAATGGATCGACAATTTGATAGTCTTTATGAAGAGCTAGGAATGTCTTTTATATAATACAGTAGTTAGAATCTTGTATGCCAGCCTTTTGCTGCCTGAACTTGTGCAACTCTCTCTGACATCTTCCCGGTATGTCTCTGAATCTCCTCTTCTATAATTTCTTCCCATGCATGCTGTGCTGCTAACCATAGGTTCTCGAGAGAATTACTGGCACCTGGGGTATCAGCAACACAGTTTTTGAGCAGCAGCCATAATGGCTCGATAGGGTTAAGATCGGGTAAAGATGGAGGATGTGTTAGGGGTGTGATGCCCAGTTTCAACCAAGCAGATTTTGTGAGGCGGCTTGTGTGGGCTGGTGCTCCATCTTTGACAACAAGCATGAGATGTATCTGCTGCTGCTCCATCCTATCGAAAAAATCCTTTAGAGGCCCTTCAAGAACCTGTGCAACATACTCTTTTGCACCCAAGCCTCCACCTTGTCTTTGGCCCTTCTCACTTATGGTTGCAGGCAGGAATTCCAGCTTGATCAGCAGACCTTTCACACCATGTGCAATACACCCCCATACCATGATGGATTTGTGACCACTCTTGAAGGTTGGCTATATGTTCTCAGGAAGAAATTCTTCACCTAGTAATCTCGTCACTCTCCTGTGCCCTGGCCTCTCTCCTAACTCCAACTTTGCCTCATCAGTCCAGATAACCTCATTCCAATCCCTTGTCATATTCTCCTTTGCCCAAATGAGATGTTTCCAGACAGCTGCTAGTGATAGGAAGGGCTTGCGACGTGCAACTCAACGATGATAGCCAGCAGAAGTTGCTATGGTGCGAACTTGTTGGGATGTTACATGTTCAACATGCTCGGAAATAATGGGATAAGGGTCCAGACGGTGTGTATGGATCTCATGAAGGACCCTGCACTGTGTGCGGCCATCAATGATATGTGGCCAGCCAGATCGAGGGAGACTGTGTTGGGTATGGAACTGGTTCTCGTGAGTGACAGTATAATGGCATGCCCAGACAGAAGCACCAGTCAAGGAAGCAATTTTTCGATATGAGTATCCAAGATCATGCAAAGCAAGGATTTGACCTCTTTTTGAGGGTGTAAACTCAGTGGTTCCAGCAGGAGGCATGAATTTCTTAAGACTAATAAGGCTCAGCAACTCATATAGAAGCTTCACATGACGGTGTTCAAACACTTTTTGCGGGCACAAGTACATTGACACATTTTGTATGTAAATTATACACAGGCCCGTGTCGGCGCTCAAGGAACTCATTGAGAATAGCCTCAACATGGGCACGACGTCCATCCGCATCACCATCAAGAATGGCGGCCTGAAGCTGCTGCAGATCCAGGACAATGGGTACGGGATCAAGGTCAGCCTCCGAGTCACCCTGCCGTCATGCTGTGTGCACGACATTTACCTATCGGCATTGTTCCCTCACAAAGAAAGTGGATCTGCCCATCCTCGCGTGGTGCTTCACCACGTCCAAGCTCTCCTCCTTCTCCGACTTGTGACGTATGGCTTCCATGGCAAGGTACTTGCCTCCATCTCACACGTCGCGAACCTCTCGGTCATCACCAAGACGAAGTCAGACGCATGTGCATAGAGGTACATGCCTGTCTGTAATGCACCAACTTGAGTCGAGTCCTGAGCTGGCGTCTCTGTGCACTTGGACTGGCAAAGCACATCTTCGTCAGTGTCGTCGATCTGTAGAAGGAGCTCAGCCTCATGTGGTACTCCACAAAACTGTACCTCGTTGGCCACGGTGTACTAGCATACGTTACATAGCAAAAAGGGTGAATGCATATAAGGAGTACACGAGCACGATGCCTCAGATGCTACATGGAATTAAATTGCTCGCGCTTTGCTCTTCTTTACTGCAGAAGCCATACTACCTGGAATGGGTTGGCCTCTAGAGTGGAGTGGGTGAAGGCAAGTGGATATTGATGGACAAAAATGGATCTCCGCTATCAGGTAAAGTGCGAAGAGGTTTGTTGTTGCCTGACACAACTGAGCGCTTTGAACGTCTGCGGGGGGCAACAGGAAGTGAATCGGCACGTTTTGATCGCTTGCGTGCACAGTTTTTTTGTACTCGGATGTTGGAACAATTGGTGAGGGAAGATCAAAATCACCCTTCAATACTGCAACATTAAGATCATTGGGCCATCGCTCAGTGGCAATTATGCTTTCAATATATTCCCTAGCAGCTTTCTATGCATGCGAAAAATAATGAGCTGTGGGACATGGATCTCAGGTCATTTCAAGGGCTTACTATATGTTCATCAAGAGCAGTGTGATGATTGCCTGGCGGTACTTGGAAGAACGAAGGTTGAAATGAGAACCCAATGGCCGATGTGATATCATTCAAAGCCTTCAGAAACAATGGGGCAAAGTCTTTAAATTCCTGTTGGAATATTGGCTCGCCATAGTATAGTGGCTCAGGAACGATGGGAGAATCTTGTGATTAGTGCAAGTGCTGCCTTTTGTGAGCCCGACCAGGTAGTGTGCATAGTGTAGACAATATTGTAGATGATTCTCCCTCAGACGCAGTAGTAGATAGCCTAGTATACTTTAACAAGCTGAAGAACGTGCCGATGATCAGAAAGCAAAAGATTTCATCTCCAGCATGATGACTAAACGCAAACAGCGCTTGTTGGTTTACTTGCAGAAGGTGATTTGAGATCATCTCCATTGACGTGCGCCTCACCTCCAGAGTATCCCAACCTTCATCAAGTGCAAGGGGCTTGATCTCTAACAAAAAAATCAGCCAAGATTTCCTATACAGAGCACCTAAGTTGCCACAGTATTGGAGAAAGGTAATCAATGCAGCAAGGTCTGGACTCCTACATTCATGATAATTCTTGGTACCTTTGGCTTTGCCATGAACAAAGAATAGATGAGGATGGCAGGCAAAGGTTATATCTCCAGATGGGTGTTCCGAGATAGTACAGTAGTCAGTGAGAATACGGCCATAGAGTGCATATAGGGGGGCTTCCATCTGGTTAAAAGAAGAAGCATGCCACATACCGCATATTGCCCCCAATTATCCCCAGGGGATATTCAGGGTATATTAGCAACAATTCTTGAATATACCCGGAATATACCAAGGAGGGAATATCCCCCAAATATCCCCTAGTCATTCCTAACTAGGAGATGACCCTGACCTATGCGCATTGCCAGATCCGGACATGTCAAAATTTCTTTAAGTTATCCTTCTTCCCTGGACACCCCATTGCATATATCTCCACAGCTCTCAATAAACACCTGTTTTTTTACACATGTCCTCAAGAACCAAGAATCCTGACCCTTTTTTCAAAGAATGCCCTTGTAAATGATGCCATGCACAAACACTGCCTCTCCGCCAGCACTGCCGCACCATTTATCGACACCTCTAATGTCAACACACAGATATGCTGACTGTAGCACTTTTAGTGGCAAGAAAAAAAAAGGGTCCGGTGAAGCGAGTACAAGAGAAACCATTCAATACCAGATAGCAGGGCACTATGGATAGGCTAGATGAAGAGTGCCAACTCTGAAGTAGCACACCAATGAACCTTGGTGAGTTTTATTCCCTCCAAAAAATTCTTTTGGATGCTCTAGTACTATTGCTAATGTTTAAATCCTTATTTTACAAGATGATGCAGGACAGGCTAGTATATATACGTCCAATGCTTTGTCGGACATGAGTGTAATGCATCTGCTACTACTGACAACCTTGAGAAGGCCCAACCTAACTTGTTTGCAGACCACGGTGATATGCTAGTGATGCCTCTGAGTGTGAAACACACCCAAGAAACACACCTATAAGCGCAGGTAGGCAGGAGCTGGTTCTAGTATGCAAGGAACTATAAGCTATGCAACAACCAACAAGGGAGCATACTGAAAGTGTTTGGAGTGTAGCAAACAAACAACTCCAAAATCAAAATATTTGGTTAGTTGGTTGGTTGGTTGGTTGGTTAGTCAGTCAGTTGGTTGGTTGGTTGGTTAGTTGGTTAGTTAGTTGGTTAGTTGGTTGGTTGGTTGGTTGGTTAGTTGGTTGGTTAGTTGGTTGGTTGGTTGGTTGGTTGGTTGGTTGGTTGGTTGGTTAGTTGGTTGGTTAGTCAGTTGGTCAGTTGGTCAGTCGGTATTTGATTGGGATTTGATTGGGATGCAAAGGGGAGGGAATGGGTGCAAGGCCACACTAGACACTGACAGAAGATGACAAACTAGATGAGAGGGAGAGAGCAAGATGTCAAGGGCTCTGATGGAAGGCTGTAATCAAATGCAACAACACAAAAAAAGAGGCAAAACGTGAATAAGGGTTGAAAAGCAATAGCTCAAAGTCTTATAGACACAAGCACACAAATGGAATTGGAACAAGGGGGGAGCCAAAGCTAATGTATTGTGAGGCCATAGGTGCCCTTTTATAGTAAGTTTGAACAGGTACAAGATAGGGAAATTAGCAGAGGCATAAAGCAATTGGAAATGTGTGCCAAGGGCAATCAAAGGTAAAAAAGATAAGGGAGTGATGTTGCAAACACTATAAGATAAGAAGCAATAACTCTAAAGTCTAAATAAGTGGAGAGATTGCCAAGGTGAGTGCACATAGACCTGGTGATAAGAATCACATGCCACATGGGTAAACTATTTAGAAACTTGGGAGCTCTGAAGATAACAAAGGATAGGTCAACAAAAGGCATAAGGATGATAAGAGATAGAAAGACAGATCCATTCTGAGTCAACAAAGTGTTCGGCTGCCTCCGATTTGGGACACTGAAGCCGACTGAATATGCTGACCATGTGAAGCATACTGAACTGATCGGCGATTGGCCATGACAGTCTGTGGGGAGCTCCTAGTGCTGAGAGTGATAATAGATGGATAGGATGACTGTAAACAGCTCCAAATGACTGTGCGGAGGTCTAAATGGAAAGTTGGCACTTGACAAATGGCTGAGATTGCCAAACAGATTGGGATCGGTCAGTCCTAAGTATGCTGAACAGTCAAAGAATACTGAAAAGCTGCAAAAAGTGGGGTATTGGTGCCTAAAGAACACCCATGCTCATTAATAGATCATTCTATCCTAGGCACAAGATTCTGCTAAAATCTGCTCCCTTACCCATAGTCATCCAGTACTCATGCTCCCCTATTTTATTCATAGAGAGAGGTTTGGGAAGGGTCCTACTATCTTGTGCAATATCCATCCAATTGTAGCACAGGTTTCATATCATCATCTGATAGCAGCCAAGCCCCTTCACCTTGAGTGCCAAGTGTTATATTTCATATATACCACTTACTGACAGGATAGGATTGAGATGCACTCCAGCATCCCTGTGATCTTGCTATTCCCTCCCCTTCTTCACCTTTGCCTTGAAAGTTTCCATCTCTATCTTCCAGTCAGTCATCTGTCCTATCATGTTGACCAGCTTTCCTTCAAGCTCATTATTTCTTGTAGTTGCCTTAGTTAACTCTCTGCACAAGACTTTAAGATTGTGGCTCATAGACATCATCATTGTGCTAGGAAATGACTCAACCATATCTTCAACCATCCACTTGACCCTTGGGAACTGAAACTTGAGCTTTGAAAGTCTATCAAGTATGTTTTTGACCACAAAACCCTTTTTATCTATTTAAATTTATACTAATGAGTTGTTTATGTTTCCCTTTACACCACAATCTCACCTATAGACCCCACTGCATTGGGTTTCATCAGGGCCAGAGAGGATTCCCTTATAGGTGCTTGGATTGCTCTTATGGCCATCCCACAACCTCTGCCTCTTAGAAGTGTTGGTGCACAACTCATGCCAAGTACCGGAGTGCCTCGCAGTGGGGTGCTAGGGCCTCGACCTGTGCTCCTTGTTGGGATTAGATGAGTACTCCCTTGCTCTCACATAGGTGTTCCTCATCCAGTGTCATAAACGGGGACTGCTGACGGTGCCTTGAACAATCTTGATGTTGGCTGTGCACTCTCATGCATGCTGTAAGATCCAGGTTCAATAGTTGGTGCAGGAATGTGTCTGTGCATGAGTGCACCTTAATGGGATCAACGGAGGTCAGTTGGCTGTGAATGCATGGATGAAAGTGCAATTATCAATGCATGAGTAGCGAGAACAGACTAAAGGGTGGGTGCAAGTAGGGTGGGGTGCATTTGAGACTTAGAAGGATTAGTGTTGGCACTGGCAGTGTTAGCACAGGTGTGCCAGGTTCATGGAGTGGTTTCAGAATTAGCTTTGGTGGCTGTTGTGTTAGAACTGGTGTGACAATAGTAGCAGCAACACCGAGCAATGTTGCCACAGCAGTAGCAACCTCACAGGACAGTGCTGCTATAACATCAACTGGTGCTGCTGCAATAGTAGCAGTAACCTCATAGAATGGTCTTGCCACAATAGCAGCAGGAGCATTCTCCTGAGCTAATTGCACTGTTGAGGGCATGCACATAAGTATTGCAGTCTGTAAGTGCATTGTTCCATCTTGTTAACCATTGCTCAACACTAACCTTTTGCTGAATATGGTGTCTTGAAAGAATCCTTTTTACGAGGCGCAGGTTTCCTGTTCATTGAGGTGTCATGCTTGTGCATCCCTACTGCCTGCAAACTCATAGGGTGCTTGGCATGATGCTTCTTTGGGTCGTCTTGATGTGGTGATATGCTAGAGGTGGCTCTGAGTGCCAAGCACAATACCAAAACAACCTGTAATGTAGGGGGTGCTGGAGCTAGTATCTAATACACAAGGAATTGTTAGTGATGACTTTAGAAATCAATGGTGCACTGGGAAGCAGCGAGGAGTGTGGGATTATAGCACCTAAATGGTTTTGGGACTGCACTAAACACTGACTGAATATTTGGTTGGTCATGTTGGCGATTCAGTTGTTAATGAGAAGGTAGTGTTGCAGCTGACAGCTACGTGCTTCAAGAGCCACATGGGACTCTGACAATATACAAAAAAGGGGGGGACAAGGGGTATGAGCGAAGAAATGAGGACAAACACAAATAAGGCTAAACAACAAGGATGACAAGTTTTAGGAGTCAACAAAGACAATTTCAATGGTTAAGACAAGTGCAAATGAGTTCTGAACTGTGGGGTGCAAAAGCTAGTTTATTCCAGAGTTGTATGTAGGTTTTTATAGTAAACTGAGCCCCTAAGTAAAATACCAAACACAAAATGAAAGTAGGTGTCAAATGGGCACCAAGCCCTAGCAATCAGAGAAGATAAGAAGATAGGTAAAATGTCCATATGGATTCCAAAGGTGATAAGGTAAAAGGTAATCAGCAAAGGTAAAAACCCAAACATTCAGGATCTGTCACCTGAGTGTAGGTAGCAGACACAGGCCTTGGTAAGCTAATGAAAATAAAGAAGAAGTAACGTATGACTAGGGTGGCCAAGCAATAGTGCAAGATCATGTTTGACCAACCATGCGAAAGTTAGGGAGATAAGTGATAAGAACTGACTAACTCCTAGAGCACATCAGCCAACACAGAATCCTGGCTCCAATCTCATAAACACCTTGTTGTAATACTCCTGTGCAGTCATAGTAAGTGTGTAAAGTGTAGGCAAACTGACTCAAGTGCTGCCAAGCATCCTTCAGTGGGTTATGGTCAGTTGGGTGGGGGCCAACCATGTTTGGTAATAGTTAGCATCTTCGGTACTTGTCTAGCACTGTTTGGTATCTTCTCAAAGCCTCCCAAATACCTTCTTCAGACCCTAGCGTAGGTGCCTGCTTATCAGTGGTGATGGTGGAACTCTTTCCATAGTATAGAGAGATGGTGGATGATTACCTAATGGGGTGATGTTGGTACATGCTTCCGTTTCTTACTAGGTTGTGGCCCTCGGTACTGATTAAGGGTACCTTGTAGTGTATATAGCAAGGTATGGGGTGTGGATGAGTAAGTGGGGTGTGGCAATGTTGTCTTTTTTTTGTAGCACCACTGCAACATGGATTCTTGACCATGAGGTCATGAACCTTCCAGCAGGGATTTGCCTGATTTTTCTGCTGAGTTATGTTTTGTGGATCCCTTGCCTATAGATCATCATGTAGCCTCAAATGGCTTAATTGTATTTGATTAATAATTAAATGTTCTGGAGCTGCAATATTCCTGGAATATACTATGGATATACTAAGCCCCAAATATCCCCCAGGGATATTCAAGGTATGTTGTGACTATTAGTAAGATAAAATTCTAATAAACCAATGGGGGGTCTGGGAATATTCACAGTATATACCGGATATATTACTTATATAACCCGAATATGCTCGGGGGATATTGGGGGCAATGTGCTGTGACACCAGATTACAAATATCTGCAAAAAAGCCTCTACGCGAGATAGCAATCACCTGTTCTCATGTTCGTTATAATGTCAAGAGACAGATATATAGTGTGCTCACATCTGGGTCTTTGTAGGCAGAACAGTCTGAGAAAGGCAGCTCTGTCATTGTGGGCCAGCACAGTGGTCTACAAGTGTTCCTTAATCTCCCAGTTCTGTGGAGAAAAAAAATGCTAGGATGGTGATAATGGGAATATGAATAGGATGTATATCCACACAGAACTACAAGACGAGAGATGCAAAGGCATGTTGGTTGGACAATGTGAGCTGAATTGGGGGTAGCTTGAGGCTTGAGGTAACTGCAAGGCTTTGACACAGACTTGCACGACAACTCTGCACCTTTCTCTAGTCTGATACCCATGTCCTCTTCTGAGACCCCCATCGACTACAGCCTCGAGTTTGAGCGCGACGCTGATGGCAACCCTGTGAGAAACCAATTCACAGGCTATCAGATGACGGCTCGTGCCAGAGCCTGCCGCCGACAGGTTAGCTATTCTTGTCGCTATCATCGCCGTACTGGCCTAATATGCATTCTTCAAGAACTTCATCGAAGCCACGAAACACCGAACACCTACTGCCCAACTCCCGGACGACTGCAATGTCAGCCGAAACGAGGATGCCGATATCCTGCACTTTGGCTTCGCACTCAGTGTCGAGCAGATTATGCGCTACGCCGAAAAACACGACCTCTTCCTGAAGCCCCGGCCCCTCGATCCAGACCTCCTGTACATCTCCGCCATACCTGGCATTCGCTTGCACCTGGCGAAAATGTGTAATGCGATGCTGTTCTACCATATGCCATTCACCGTGACCGGCCAAACGTCTATGCTCGCACTGTATTCCAACTACACGATGGAAAGGTACCAGCTGTGCGAACAGGACGAGAAGGAGGTGATCGAGATCCTCCAGAAGGAGCTGGGAATTGTCGAGGACCCGATGTGGTACTGGGACAGATGCCACAATCCTTGGTGAGCTCTTGCGCATGGTGAGTCTTGTTTCACATCTTGTTTCACATCTATATTATTCATGCAAAGCAGCCAGATGCCCCCACAGAACACCTTCCCCTCACCCGTGTTCTGTATTCCATCCTCTTGTTGGCTTTGTTCCCCTTATTGTAACTGTGTTGCTATTGCTACATCCTACACCTAAACATGCGTACCTGCCAACTTTTAATTCTTAACATTGCCATAATGAACTGCGCGCATGCCGATGTTGCGAGAGATGCTGACGCGGAGATAGACGCCGCGATGACCCTGCCCTCAGCCTCATCGTGCACCGGTGTTCAGCGCACGCTCTGTAACGATGTGCTCTTCCTCGTGCTTTCCTGGTACCTACTATCCGCTAGCCCGCGTCGCGCGCACAAGGTACGCGGCGCCCTTTGCCCCATCTCAGAAGTAAAGTACGGCCATTGTTCAGCCTCGACGGTTCGATAGCGAAGAACGATTGATCTATAGGGCAGGTAGGGACTGATGAGGCCGCGGCGCGGCGCTGCGGGCTCTGAGCGCTGTGGGATACTTTGAACGTCGGATTTGAAAGCACGCTACACGATCAGGTCATATAAAGAGCCAGCTGGGCTTGCGTAGGGTCAGCCCATCGGGGGGGAGTCAGCGTACATGGGCATTCATCGCCGCCAATCGTGCGCGACTCACACTGTCTGGAGAAAAAATGGATGTGAATACAGAACAGATTTTCACTCACCATTCTCCTGTGCATGCTCTCCATCAGCGTGCACGAGCACTGACACCTCATCATCTCCGAGACATCCGCCGTCGCCCGCCAGTCGCATCTGTCGCGAGAACAGAACACAGCGTCGTCGAGAGCTTCTTCACACCCGTCTTTGACACTCCGCCGACGCCCAGAAGAGCCGACAAGCCCTCTCAGCGGCGCCAGTGCACTTGTCTGTTCATCCTCCAGTTCGTACACGAGCTCGATTGCGCGAGAATGCCCTCGTCCTGCGGGAGCGCGAACGCGGGCGGCAGCTGGAGGTCCTACGGAACAGCCGCAAGAAAAAACAGTAAGTGAGCTACAAGGCGTGAAGCGCGGCGTGTGGAGCAAGGGAGAGGATGGATGCGCGAGACGTCTTTGTGGAGGGACTGACCTCGATGACGGCGCCACGATACTTGTCTGGCGGGGGCAAGCTCGGGTTCGGGGCGGACGACATGGGTGCTGGTGCGGTGGGTGTGGGTGTGGAGATCGTGGAGGACGTGGGCGCTCGGGGCATGGAGAAGAAGCGAAGAGGAAAGCGAGGAGTGGTGCAGAGCAGAGCAGAGCAGGACGGGCGGCGCGGTTGAGGCGGACATGACATCTGGGCGGAGGAAGTCACGTGCACGGACCCTGCAGCTTGCTCCTTCTGTCCACGCACGCGTCTGCACAACACACATCTCATCCTGCTCTCCATGTCGACGCGTCCGACGGGCGACGATGACGAGCCGCAGGAGCCGAAGCCCATCCGTCGCCTCAGCGAGATAACCATCAACCGCATCGCCGCGGGCGAGGTGCGTCTGCGCGCCGCGCGGGCTCTCTAGCACATTGACACGTCTCATGTGTAGATTATACACAGGCCCGCGTCGGCGCTCAAGGAGCTCATCGAGAACAGCCTCGACGCGGGCACGACGTCCATCCGCGTCACCGTCAAGGACGGCGGCCTGAAGCTGCTGCAGATCCAGGACAACGGGTGCGGGATCAAGGTCAGCCTCCGAGTCACCCTGCCATCATGCTGTGTGCACGACATTTACCTATCGGTGTTGTTCCCTCACAAAGAAAGCGGACCTGCCCATCCTCGCGCAGCGCTTCACCACGTCCAAGCTCTCCTCCTTCTCCGACCTCGCGCGCCTCGCGACGTACGGCTTCCGCGGCGAGGCGCTCGCCTCCATCTCGCACGTCGCGAACCTCTCGGTCATCACCAAGACGAAGGCAGATGCCTGTGCATGGAGGTGCGTGCCCGTCCGTGACGCGCCGACTCGGGTCGAGTCCTGATCCGTCATCTCTACGCGCTCGGATCGCAGGGCGTGCTATGTCGACGGCGAGCTCGCGCCCTCCAAGCCGGGGCTCAGCCCCGACCCAAAACCGTTCGCCGGCAACGACGGCACGACCATCACCGTCAGTCTTCGCTCCACACCTTCCCCTCTCCCCTCTCGTGCGCGTCGACCGGCACGGCTCACCCTATCCCGCGCGTATATGCAGGTCGAGAATCTGTTCTACAATACGACCGCGCGCCTGTCCGCGCTGCGGAGCTCGTCCGAGGAGTACGCGCGCATCCTCGACGTGCTGACCAAGTACGCCGTGCACAACGCTGGCGTGTCCTTCGTCTGCAAAAAGGTGCGCGTGCGCGCGCGCGGCCTCCGTGGGGGTATATGCGCTCACGTGTCTCCTCTCTTTCTTTCTTTTGTGTGTATGTGTGGTGTGTGTGCTAGGCGGGCTCGCCGACGCCCGACTTGTCGACGCCCTCGTCGTCCACGACGCATCAGGCAATCCGGCTCCTTTACGGGCAGACGATCGCGAAGGACCTGGTGCAGCTGCGCGTTTCCTCGTCCGAGAAGCACGGCGGCGGGAAAGGCAAGGGCAAGAGGAAGGCGGACGAGATGGACCAGGACGAAGACGAGGCCGCGGAGGGCGATGGCGATGGCGATGGTGAACGCAGCGGCGGATGGACGGCGGAGGTGCATTTCACGAACGCGAACTACCACGCGAAGAAGATGACCTTTCTTCTCTTCATCAATCGTGAGTCTCCGAAGGCTGCACCTTTCCCCGCGAAGGAGGCCGCGAGTTGACGGCGCGCGGACAGATCGGCTGGTCGAGTCTTCGCGGATCAAGCGGGCGATGGAATCCATCTACAGCGGAGTCCTGCCCAAGGGCACATCGCCCTTTGTCTACTTAAAGTACCCTCCGTCATCTGTCCCTGTGACGAGATCCTGACCACGCGCCGTCGCAGCCTCCAGCTCGACCCGACCACCGTCGACGTCAACGTGCACCCTACGAAGCGCGAGGTCCACTTTCTGAACGAAGACGTGATCGTCGAGCGCGTCGCCGACGGGGTGCAGCGCAAGCTCGCGGGGCTGGGAGAGCGGACGTTCGAATACCAGGCATGACGCGTCGTCGGGACGTTCGCTAGGATGCTTACTGATGAGCACTGCCAGACGTTGCTCACGGGCGCGTTCGCCAAGACCGATCTCGGGAACAAATACAGAACGGCGCAGGATGGCGATGGCGACGACGCCATGGACGAAGACGACGAAGAGCCGTCCGCTGCGGCGCCGGCACTGAAAAAGAAGACGCTCTCGCAGCACAAGGTCAGGACCTCTTTGGCGGACCGGACGCTTGACTCCATGTTCCACGTCGCATCCCAACTCCCCGGCGGCGCTCCCCGCACTGGGTCAACGTCCACCGCTCCGTCACCGAAGGCGAAGGAAAGACACATCCCCGAGTCGGTGTGCTACCTGCGCAGCATACAGGAGCTGCGGAAAAAAGTGGCGGGCGGGGCGCACAAACGTGAGCTCGTCGCCTGCTTTGCGGCGCAGGTCCATTCAGGCGGCTGATCTCAGCGTTGCACGCGCGAATGAATGCGGGTGCGAAACGACAGAGCTCACGGAGATAATGGCGAAGCATGTCTTCGTCGGCGTCGTCGATCTGCAGAAGGAGCTCAGCCTCGTGCAGTACTCCACGAAGCTGTACCTCGTCGGCCACGGTGCACTGGGGTACGTAGGCGCGTCCGCTCCGACTCACCCTTGTTGCTGATCGACTGATCGTTGTTGTTGTCTGCGCCACCGCGTCGTCGCGGGCAATAGAGAGGAGCTGTTCTATCAGCTTGGGCTACGCCAGTTTGGAAACCTGCCGAAGTTCAAGCTCGACCCGCCCCCGTCGCTGCGTGCCCTCGTCGAGCTCGCCGTGGCGGTCGAAGAAGGGACCGAGCGGAGCACCCTAAGCAAGCCCCAGATCGTCGACGTGAGCACGCCTCATTTCGACCCCCCACGTCCGCGCGCGCGATCAGCTGACTGTGCACCACGGCAGGCCATCACGGACACCCTCGTCTCGCGGCGCGACATGCTCGCCGAGTACTTTTCTTTTTGCATCTCCGCCGACGGGCGCGTGGAGACGCTGCCGCTCCTGCTGCAGGACTACGTCCCGAACCTCGACCGGCTGCCTCTGTTCTTGATGCGCCTCGGACCCCAGGTTCGCCCTCGCGCGCAGTGGCCGTGCTTGCGGTTTTCGTTTTGCGTTTTGCGTTTGTGGCGCGCTGACCGGTCCTGTTCCTCCTTCCTTTCAGGTGAACTGGCACTCTGAGCGGGAGTGCTTCGACACCTTCCTCCGCGAGCTCGCGTATTTCTACGTCCCGGGCCCAGTACACCCCGCCGTGCACGCCGACGCCGACGCGCACACGGATGCAGATGCGACAGGGCAGGCCGTATCGGCGCACGCGCACGCTGACGCAAATGACGCCGACAACGCCGCTGCCGCCGCCGCCGAGAAGGCGGAGAAGTGGCAGATCCAGCACGTCCTGTTCGCCGCCGCGCGGCGGTACCTGGTCGCGCCCAAGACGCTGCTCGCGCGCGACGTGGTGCAGGTCGCGGATTTGCCGGATCTGTACCGGGTGTTTGAGAGGTGCTAGCGTGCTAGCGTGTTGGCTGACTGATGAGCGCGCGGGTGCGTGAGCGTCGAGTGGGCTCACCCTGGAGCCGGGAGCCATTTGTTGTTGTTGGGATCGGTGCGTAGGTGCGTAGGTGTGTGTGTACGTACAGAGAGGCGGTACATGGTATGGCATGATTCGCGTACGGTGCGAAGGGTGTGCGTGATCCATCACTGCTGAGTATCCGCCTGCGACGCTCGCCCGGCGTCGGTTCGGCAGTGGTTGCCAGCATCGGCGAAAGAGGTGCACCCTTTTCATCGGTCGTCTATGTTGCTTGCGGGTCATGGTTCGCAGATGCCCGTGCTCGGAAGGCTTGCGATGTCCGTGAGCGTTTCCTAGACGAGCCTTCCCCATGTCATGTCAATGTCATGATCATCGAAGATGACACGTCGCTGCTCTGTCAAATCTTACCCTGCGGCAAGAGTTTCTCCTCGCCAGTTCCACCCAGGTACGTTGAATCGTCCTCGATGCTATGTTTCTCGATGCCTTCCTTTCTCATGCACGTGCTGCCGCTGTGCACGGTCGACGCGCCGGCCGGAACCTCGACCTCGACCAGTCGGGGGGATGTCAAACCCGAGAAGGCGGACGTGGTAAAGCCGATCGCCACCCTGATGATGCTCGTGGCTACTACTACTACTACTACTACTACTACTACTACTACTACTGTGACTATTAGGGGGCTGCCCAACGCCGTCGTGGTCGGGCGTTCTCGTCTAGCAGCACGACGTGCGTCTTAACATCGACATCAAAAGCGCTGCTCGCACTTGGGACGAAGTTGGAGAGGATGTCGCCTATGTAGAACGCACCAGAACCAATTCGGAAATTATCCATTTCGTACCAGACCCATGTACCGAGCTGGTCTTCGAGCATCACCTCTTTGATTTTTAGTGCTCATTATCATCATGAAGATCGTTCGATACCGTTACAATGCTTCAAAATGTTAGTGCTAGATTCCAGCAAGTGCCCGCAATAATGGCTCGAGATTATATCCTTCCACCGCAATCCCTTGCAGTTCACCTCGACGCGATCTTTCCCGCCTGCATCAGTTTCCCAACGCCTGTACAGCCTCCACGCCCTCCCTGATTCCACCCGCGCCCTCCATCGCACCGACGGCCCCACCGATGATGCCACCACCCACCTCCACACCCTCTCCGGCGGCACCCTCGCCGCCCCTGGTCCGTGTGGGCGGCTGCACGGCAGACGCCTGCGCGACGCGCGCGAACGCAAGGTCGACGGACACGAGCGACGCACCGAGCCTGATCGGAAAGTCGAGGTCGGACTTGGCGAGGTGGAGCGTGAAGTGGTCTGCATCATCCATCAAGGGTGAGTCTGGGGAGGTGGAGGGAGAGGCGGACGTGATGGGGGAGGTGGAAGTGTTGCTCGAGTCGGGCTTGATCGAGTCGGAAGATGGATTGGGAGGAGAAAGGGAGAGCAGCTGCGGTGGGAGAAGGAACGCAGGGATGATCCAGAGCCAGCACAGAAACACCTGTAAAGCAAGACGCTTCAGATTCTGGTCTCTAGTGCAAGTGTTATCGTATGAAGCTGGTTATTAGGCTCACCTGACCCATGTACAACTTTATTCGAACCTCCCTGAACGCGTCCAGCACAACGCCCTCCTCTTCCTCGCCTTCGCCACCAACATTAACACCGCTCATGCTTCCATGTACGCGCATTGTCTGCACGATGAGCTTCTTTCCCTTTCCCTTGCCCTCGCGCACCTTCTCCGCGCCAGAGCCAGCCCTCATCCGCGCAAAGCTGCGCACCATCTTCTTCCCATCCCACTTGTCGCCCACGAACAGATTGTGTAAGCGTTCCTCCCCATGTGTGCCCTCAGCCTCGCCGTGCATAACGTCCCCACCCGCCCTCAACTTCCCCATCCCACCTGCAGACGCCCCATCCCTGCTCCAGCGCTCCCAGCGCTCGAGCGTATCCACCAGCGCGTCGTCGTACCTGGCCAGGCTAGCCCACAACGCCGCGCCGTTCCCCGCCGCGTCGTCGCCCTCGCGCTTGTCACCCACCTGTGAACGAGCGCCGCCTTTCCCACCAAACCGCTCGAGGACATGGCTCGCGGCCTTGACGACGCCAAGCGTGACTCCGCTAGTTGGGCGCATGCGAACAGTGACTGAGAGCAAACGTACGCGCGGGTGGGCCGGCGGCATCTCTAGCTGCTTTTCCGCGTGCGCGGAGGGCGAAGAAGAAAGCGTCAGTGAGTATACGGAGGTCGGCAAAGGCGGCCAGAATCCCGTGGGGCCCTCGCCCGCGAGGAGAAGACTCCAAAAATGGAGCCAACGGCGCTGCGACGGAATTGAGACGCCCAATTTCTGTTTATGCTTGCGTTTATCTGTCGCTGAAGACGACGATGAGGACGACGATGAAGACGACGAAGACGAAGAGGACGATGAGCTAGACGAAGACGAAGACGAAAGGGAAGGCGCGCGCATGCGCCGGGACGTATGCAGCTCAAGCACGGACGTGAGGGTTGACCTGTGTGATCGATGTGTCTTCCCTTGCCCGACGGTCATAGCAGCCCCATTCAATTTCACGTCCGCTTCTTCCTCTGTATCCGGCGCCGTATCCGGTATGGCCATCTCCGCGCCTTTCTGTGTGCTCGCGTGATCGTTGTCAGAGGGAATAGCAGCCATGACCTCGTCCGCACGGTCCTTAGCCCACGTGCGCTTGTGCTCGGACGTATCTCCTTGGGGATCATTTGGAGGATGCAGCTGCTTAGAGTCGCCCTGCGACCACTCTTTTCGAGCATAATTTGCATCGATCACAAGCGGGGCAGAAAATGAGAGGTCCGGAAGTACTGGCGCATGCGAGGGCGAAGGTTTCAGTGCGGCCGGCTGTAGTTGTGCCGCATCGGACATGGAGAGCACACGCCGCCGGTCGTGCGCGCTATAGTTTCGTGGGAGACGGGGAGGCACAAGGCTATCATCGTCGAGCGCGAGGAGGTATGCGCAGGCGAGGGTGCCCGAGCGACCTTTGCCAGCTGTGGATTTGCGCGCGTAAGTTTATGCGCAGCGAGCAGTGAGAAGCGGTGAGCAGAGGCATAGTGGACGAGAATACACACCTTTGCAGTGGAGCACGGCGACGCGCTCGGGCGCACCGTCGAGCCATGATTTCATCTCACGCACAACGAGGGTGAGCATCGCGAGGGGTGGAGCACTACAAAAGGGTGAAAGCTTCTGAGCATCAAGCCCTGCTACGCGACTTCGCATGGGAAGTGAAGTACATCGTGTGATTTCCGTGCACATTGTGTCAGGACAAAACAATATCATCTTGAGACAAGGTGAGGCGTGTAGGTTTATATCTAGCTTCGAGCCAGACGCGCACAGAACCGTACATGCGTGCGATAATGCCACACCCAGCACCCCACCTATCAAAAAAGACGCTAATAAACAACTCACTGGTGGTCTGGAAACGGATACCGACTGACGCGTCCACCAAACACATCCGCGTCATACGCATTTTCGCGCACAGGGCAGAAATTGAAGACCCAGAAGTTAGTGCCGTGGCGGTGTGCGAGGAAGCGCGCAACGTCATCGCGGCGGTTCCGGTAGAGCCCTTCAAGACCAGTCGCGGGATATCCCATGACAATGACACGGTCGGTGATGTAGGCTAGGTCTGTTAAAGTCACGATATAAGGGCGTGGCGACGATGACATGATGAGGCGGGAATGACGGCAGACCTAGCTCGAGATTGAGCTCATTGTCATGGAAGCGGGCCTTGTCTCCCGAGACGAGGCGGCGGATGTAGTCGGTCATCGTCGATGGATGGCCCGTGCGTCAGAGACCCGCTGGTTGCTGGCGTGGTCGGAGGAGGAAGAGAGGTGTGCATCGACGTCATAATGGGATATTTATGGTAATCGGGTTGCCTTTTTGGGATGACTTCGTAGCCGGAGCTTTTTCGTTCGTACTCCTTCCCAGAGTCATTACACACATCATATGCAGACACTGTTATCAAGTAGATACCTTTCAGCAGTCTTCAGCGTCATGAAAATATTCTACGATTTAAAATTGTTAAAACTGTTATTGATTGATGACACATTGGAACGGAAGGAGTATACAGTTGCTTGTGGGAAAACGCCGGAGGACGGTATTGATCCAAGGCATGTACAAGAAAAATGTCAATTGGGATGTGGGGGAAAAATCGATAACATCGGTAGACTGAAAAAAAAACACGTTGACAAATCGAAACAATGCGAGGATAGTCTGGCGGTGTCGCTGACAGGCGTAGAGTTTAGATGGGGGATCGCTTGTGATGATGAAAAGTGAAGGGTGAAAGTATTACGGCTCCAAGCGGGGAAGAACGAGCATGCAGACAGGCAAACGACAGAGCGTGAGCGGAAACAAGTCACCTACGAAGCTAGGGGCAACTTCCGACGAGACAGAGAGCGGCGATAGCAAGGACGATTGGACTGAATGCGTCAAGGGCGGTAAGGTAGGGCGGAAACGGGAGATGAACGGCAAGATGACGAAAGGGTACTGGGCCTAGCACCGGATGCAGGGTATACACAGTGCAGGAGAATGTCCGTAGGGGCATTGTGGAATCCAGGACAGACACGAGGTCTAGACCACAAATTGGATGGTGAAGTGCTTGCTATATTGACCAATAAAAAATATGCGTGGATATGGCTTGAGAGAGCTGAAATGCAAAGCGTACATGAAACGAATGCCGCAGCACAATGCGTGCCGAGGGAGCTGATCAGAGATTCATGTGAAGCACAACTCCCTCAGTGTCATCGGGGTCAAGACCAGCCGCCGCCGCACGCTCACGCGCCGCTCGGATCAGCGCCTTTAATGACGGTAGCTCAGCCTGGAGGTCAACTTGCTCGTCTTGTTCCCAACGCTGCAATGCCCACTCCCGCACAAAAGTGCTCGCCTACATACACATGAGGTTCTCATACTAAGCTGGGGTAAAAAAAAAAGCGACTGACTTTCAAATACTTTTTTGACGCGTACTTCTTGAAAAACGAGGGATGCCGAACCGGTCTCAGTACATAGTTAAGCATCAAGCTTGCTGTCGGAACCAGAGCACTTTCTGGATACGACGAATAGTGGGCCAAGTTCGGGGTCTGTGCCGATGTCAGCTATGGTAGTTTCAAGATGTCGGAGTCAAGTCACTCACCCAGCCATCGCGCCCAAGTATCAACCTCGCGAGCCATATCGCCGCCGCCGCGAGCAGTGATGGTGGGGTACCAACCATGCGCCACTCCACACACTGCACCTCCAACAGATATTTCCCCACTGTCCGCACTTGGACGTTGTACTCATCGGCTTTGCTGATACGTCTCAAGAAATGGATGGGGTTGGGAAAGTTCACGGCCCACTCGAGCGTCTTGAGAATGTACTTTTCCGCCTGGAGGATCTCCTCCTCGGTGTACGAGGAGTCAGCGCAGTAGAGGAAGTTGCTGGCGGATGGGGCGACGATTTCCTCAACCTTGGAAGCAATGAACATGCAAGTGATGCCAACGAGCTGGAGCTTCGCAAGAGAAACTACGCGTGAAGACAAGAAACGATCAAGGAGATTCACCGCGAGGAATAGTGTCTCGGGTAAGAGACGGAATCGCATGTGGACCTGAATCAGCCAATCAGTGAGAATGCCACGCATTTTCCATGCAAGATCTCTCTGGTTGTCCATGTAGTTGGGTTTGGGCATCGTGGTTTGCTGTCGTTCGAGGCGTCAGGCACCGTCAAAATCGAAAGCGTAGGCAACGTACCTCAACTTCCTTCAAGTACTGGAAGATCTCTACCACGTACTCGCTCACCATCAAAGGATCACTTGCGTCCTCAGCGTCAAGGTCGACCCAGTTATCATCAGGATCAGCTTCCGCCTCACGCTCGATCTGTTCGAGATGCCTGGACAACTCCTGTACGGCCTTCTGTGCCTCCTGCTGCTGCAGTGCCTCATCATTCTCTTCATTCTCTTCTTGAACGGCGGCTAGGTGATCGTCCGGCACATCCGACGACGTGCGCCGTTTCTTGAACACACGGTTGGCCTCCGCCTCGTCCTCTTCGGGGGGCGCGACCTTCACGGTATGGGACAACGGTCTGCGAGCAGCAGGTTCAGAAACTTTCTTGGCTGTCGTAGCCGTCACTGATGACTTCGTTCCGAGTCGTCGAGGTGGGGGGTGGAAAGCAGGTGTGTCGACTGCCATCGCATCATCCGTTGGTGGCAAAACAACCGGGGTGGGTTTAACGCCACGGTGCTGCCCAGCCGCCGCCGAAGCGCGAGTTACACGCGTTGAAGTCCTCGTAGGAGCGGGCGCAGGGGCTAAGACGGTACGCAGAGGCTGTCGCGGGATGGCAGGTGCGACAGTAGTGGAGGCCTTCTGCTTCAACACGATGCCGTCGAATTTGCCATTGGCGGGTGCTGGAGCTTCCTCTTTGCTTTTCCCCTTTAACGCGGTAGCTTTGGGTCGAGTGTTGTTAGGAAAGCCAGCAACTTCGCCGAAAGCCGAGCGTTTTCGTTTTCCTTGGGCAGCTGAGTCCTGCTCGGATGACACCTCCTTAGCTACGGACTTCGCCCTGGTCGAGACGGTACCACTGATCGCACGGGTAGAGATTTTGGCCTTGACTGGAACTTCCGAGTTCGATTGTGGCTTAGCCCTCGTGGTGATCCGGGGCCGCGCATTGGCGTTTTCGTCCTTAAGGACAGTAGTGCGTGTCGTTCGTGTTACACGCCTTGTCTACGATGACAGAGATCGACAAATGCTGGGAAATTCGACCAAGATTGGCAAACTTACAGGAATGTTTGAAGCCATAAAAAGAAGAAGAAATGGTGAGCAATTTCAACGAGAAAACGGAGGGAGAGAGGGAGGGATGGAAGTCGTGGTAGGGCAGATGCGATGAGCGCCTTCGGTTCGCCGGTTTTGGTCCCGAGTTCAACCACAACAAATATTGCCAAATACGACACGGTCGCGTTTGCTCACGTGCCTCGGGTTTTGATAATGAGACGCGCTTGCTGTGGCCTCTTTGCCTCCCCATCATCTGTGCTGCTTCATTGTGTGGCAAATTATGACACACTCGCTCGATAATACAGCATAATTTATCAATATTCACCGTCAGCTCTTTGCCGTAAACATGAAACTGCGTGATACCATGCTTTTAGTGAATATAGCACGGTAAGCAATAGTCACGCTGCGTTCAATCTGTGCATTCTACCTACGGCATTCAATGCTCATTGTATCTATGTCTGCAGCGGTCTGCAACATCCCGCCTCAAAGTTTCTATAACCCAACGGAACAAAAAAAAAAGGGAAGAATCGGAGGCACCACACGTGATGCTGCTTTTAAAGACACATGACATTATTACCCCGCACAAGTCCCCTGAGGGCTCCGTAGAGTCGACGTATTCAACCTTTCCACCCAACTTCCTACTAACCATATGCCAACCGTTCCTTCGATGTCTTTGAATGCCCCTAGCTGGAGCCGCCGCCTGCGTCCTAGCTCTTGCCGAAGTTTGGTATCCCAATTTCAACGGCTTCGCAAGTTTACCTCACACCGCCACCTAACCCTGTCAGCAGTTGAGGGGGCACAGGAGCCTCCACTCGACCAGAGGACATTGCCTGAGTTTTTTACCAACGAAATCCTCGCTAACCATCGCGCACGTCCGGCCCTCATTTGTTCTCACGAACTTCCCCGACCCCACGGAGGCCCTCTGTCACGGAATTTAGGCGTAGAAGGTCATCTAGCTTGGGACTTCGATGAGTTCGACATGAACATTTCCGCTCTCGCTCGAGGACTTGTTGGGTTAGGCGTGAAGAAAGGTGACAGAGTCGCCATTGTCATGGGTAACAATAGGTATCTACAGTTGCTCTGCTTGAAGTTCATAATGCTTATAAGAGCATCTAGCGCGTATGCAATGCTCCAGTGGGCGTGTAGCATCATTGGTGCTATTTCGGTAACTGTCAACCCAGCATACCGCGTCAACGAGCTCGTATGTACGATCTGTATCTCCGGTTGCTACGTTTTGATCCTTCGAACTGTCAAAGATCGACACCCTCCGACTCGTTGGTGTCAATCATGTATTCCTGGTCCCGCAGATCCGGAAGTCATCCTACCTCAGTCTTCTCGCTGATGCGCTTCCGTCCCTGCGCGACGCTAGTCCCGGTAATATCCAGGAGGAACAGCTGCCAGAACTCAAACACATCGTCGCCGTCGACAACCTGTCAGATCTCAAGAAATTTCAAGAAATCCAGCAAAATATCAAGTGCGTAGCAGACTTCCGGGAGGTGCTGATCTGGGGAGATGATGGCAGGGAGTCGCGGGCAGTGGAGGAAATGACACGGTCCCTCCATAAGGACGACATCATGAACATGCAGTTCACTAGGTAGCGTTTCCAGGTTGTGCCCAGAGGCAACTATAACTTTTTCTGCGTGCAATCTTACAGTGGTACTACTGGTTCACCAAAAGCCGTCTCGGTGACTTTTTCCATGTCTATATACCTGCGGCCAGGATGATTGATCACCGCATCTAGCTAACACATCACAACCTCTTAAACAACGCTCTTTCGATTGGGGATGCGATGCGTCTGACGGAACATGACGTCGTTTGTGAGCGTAGTCATTCAATCTTCACTCTAGCACTCTTATCTATTCAATACTTCCACAGGCAATGTTCCGCCATTATTCCACTGCTTTGATAGGTTTTATCTCCTTTATCTGCTATGACAAGAAGTGAACCTTGCTTGTCATGCACGCCTCGTATTAGGGAATCTTGCTGCTTGGGCTTATGGCTCCTGTATTGTCTACCCATCTGAAATTTTCGACCCTCCGTCGATTGTCGACGCCCTTGTACAAGAACGGTGTACTGCGCTGCACGGTGTACCCACCCACTTTTACGGCGTACTCGCAGAGGTGGAGCACAGACAGAAAGTGGGCTCTACCTTGGATCTCAGTCGTCTACGGTGAGTCTTAGCCGCAATCTCAGGACAAACGACCCAATTAATAACGCATGGGTATTAGAACAGGTATTGCAGCGGGATCGCCTATCCCAATCGGGCTCATGAGGAAGCTGATTGAAAACCTGAATCTCCGCGATCTGACGATTGCATACGGGATGAGTGAGAGCCTCTCCGACGTTCGTCCGACGTTCGCGGCCATTGATTCCTTTTGCAGCTGAGACTAGGTTGGCCCCGACTCGAATATGAACGATTATATATGAAACCAACGCTATCTTAGTCCCGTGTCCTTCCAGACTACCATCGACGATCCTATTATAAAGCGAGTGGAGACTGTCGGCAAGGTTCGGCCTCATGTCAAGGCCAAGATCATTGATGAGGGTGGCAATGTCGTACCCATTGGAACACCAGGAGAGCTTCTCGTCTCTGGTTACCTTGTTCAAAAAGGGCTCGTTATCAGGAGTTGTTCGGAATTGTCTACCGAACTGATACAACTATTTGATCTAGATATTGGAAGGACGAGGAACACACCCGAGCTGTCATCAAGAGAAATCCAGATGACGATGAGACGCTATGGATGCATACAGGCGACGAGGCTGTCATGGATGAACAAGGTTACTTGCGGAGTACGTGGTTCTGGTTTTCATCGAAAGCTTCTCTGAACTTGGCTTTCGTCCTAGTCATCAGTCGGATCAAGGTATTCTATTACGAGGTTTCAACACAGACGATCGTGAACTGAAGGCACTCCTTTTCAGGATATCGTCATTCGTGGGGGAGAAAACCTATTCCCTGTCCAAATAGAGAACGTCCTTTCCGCTCATCCCTCAATCATCGAGGCCGCGATCGTTGCCGTGCCTGACGTGAAATATGGCGAAGTCGTCGGTGCGTGGATTGTCTCCAAACCCGATGGGAATCTCTCTCGTGAGGCCGTTCGCAAGATAGTAGGGGAAAAGATTAACCCTCAGGTGCGGTACACATCTCTTGCATGATTTACTGTGTTGCTTAGATTGCTTCCCTTTGTCTCTATTGTAAGAATGCACCGGCATGGGTTTGGTTCATTGGAGAGAGCGGAACACCCGATGAGCTGCCGAAGACTGCTAGTGGAAAGGTACAGAAGCATATCTTGCGGAGTTGGAGTCGCGATCTAGCAGAGAAGGGCATTGGTCTCGTCCAGCAATGAGTGGAGAGGTGGTCATCTGTTTTACTGATGTTGCTTCAATTATGATGAATCTGAATCCTCGCCTCGTCGGGCTGTATCCAGTTGCTAGTGCGGTGGCTAGTGGCGACTTTGAAGCACGAGACTACGAAGACGACAACAAAGTCAGCGATCTGCCCGTCTGAACAAAAATTGAAAAGTAAAAGTCAGCATGGCCAAGCGGCACACGAAGCTCGCAGCACCAACGATCACGCATAGACGCAGAACCCATCAGCTTTCCGTTCTTGATAGCCCCGCACAAGCGGTTCGTCCACACGCCACGCCGCGATGGACTGGCATGTGGGGCGGACCAGAACGGGCGGGCGCTACCTTCGCCTCATCGAGTGACTCTCCGCGAGGGTGTGTGGGTATGCATCATTTGGGGTTGGTTTGAGTATGGAAGGAAAGGAGAAGGCGACAAAGCAGGAAGAAAGGAAGAGAGGATATATATGAGTCAGAGTGAAAGTGGACTCACATCGTGGCCGTGTAGACGAGTGTGACGATTCAAGGCAGTCGAACCTGACACAATGGGGGATGTAGGCATGAATGAGAACGCCCTCGGTGTCGACGTCGAGAACCAGCGCTCAGCGGCTCGAGCCTGGGTCGAGATGTAGCAGCTTGCCGCTCCAGCCTTCACAATCGAGTCGTCTCTAAAAGCGAGTCCCACAGAGTCATGTCCTGCCCGAATTCATATTGCTGCATGGCACACTGCGATGCTGAACAGACTTCAATGAGCTTGTCGTGTTTGAGTCGTTGAAGCAGCCGCTGCCACGCGACGGTGGCTGATCATCAGGGCGCCTGAGATACTACGATCACCTCACCAGGCCTCACCCGAAGGATAACATCAACCAGGATCATCGAGGCACGCTAGTGGCGCGCTCATGAGCAGCAACGATCGAGCTGGAAAAAGAAACGAGAAAGAAGCGAGGCGCGACAAACGACAGCAAATGACACGGTGCCGGACGAGCGCTAGATGCGGTGGATATTTGTCGATGGCATCGACATTCCAGTGACATCCCGTGTTGCCTCTTGTTCCTGGACCGTGTGTACGCCTATTCAACATCACAAGTCCCGTCCTGTCCCAGTCCTGTCCCGTCGTGATTTTGGACGAACCTTTTCCTCGAGACTTCTTTGGTTAATTGAATATTCAAACACTGGATGCAACGGGAGCGGAATACCCATCCCACTTACCTCTAAGTACCGTGTGTCCGTGACCCTCGTTATCTAGCTGATGATCATGGTGACTTTCTCGGAGGGTATCAATACTACCCTGTGTTACCCGACTGATCTCGATCACAGCTCCATCTGCATCAGTTCTGCATCTCCATCCAGATCTCTGTCTATCCAGCAATGTCACTGCAATGTCGCGTCCTTAAAGGTCCTTATCTGACATACATGCGTTTGCGAGCGGGATGTGGGCGGTATGTGTCTGTATGTGGCCACCCCACCCGACCGATGCGTGGGCGGCGTTGGTGGAGGCATCGCCACGCATATCTAGCACAGGAAATGGTCTATCGTCGCCCGAGCTGGGCCCGTCCCCGTTCTCACCCTTCAAATATTTTTGTATTTATCTTCGTCTGGACCGCCACATCCATCTTCCCGCCCTCTCTCTCCCTTCCATCTATCTTTACCTCCCCCATCCGCTAGTCCCGGTTCATACCCATCAATCACTACTGGTGTCGAGCAGGTCTCGAGGAGCACTCCTTCAATTGAATTTCCCTTTAGTCAATTAACAAGACGGCTGCATTATTCACCGAAGGACGGACTACCCTTTCTGCGAGGATCCTCCCGGATCATCCTGCCCCCTTCCCCACACTTTTTCTTCACTCACCTCTAGTCACCCCCAGTAGTCCCGTCTAAAGCAAATACAGCAACCACGATGGGCGCCGCACTCTCTCACGCGAATTCCTTGAATCCTGCAACTGCGGCCGCGAACACGATGCACACGACGATGCTAAACGTCACAGAAACTCTCTCGGGTCTCGGGTCGGGCACGGGAGCATCGGTGGCGTCGGGCGCGGTACCATATGACGCGCTCACGAGCGGATGGGTCACGGTGCGCGAATGTTCCCCTCACCAAGCTTGGTGTTCGAATTTGTTGATCTGTTTGTTTCCTATGATCTCGTCGGGCGGATGGATGCACAGGCTATCGTGGCTGCAGGTAGTCTCTCGGCATTCGCGGTGATGTTCACGTTCGCGGTAAGCACGCGTGCGATTTAACTTCCTCTCCCTCTCCCTTTCCTTTGCATTCCGCCTCTCTTCGACGCTCCTGAACACCCATCGAATCGGAATGCGCGAGCAGATGCAAGCTCTGCGGCCATTTCCGTGCCAGATGCACATCACGGCTTACTTCGCGTCGCTACTTTTCGCAAATCTCGTCCAGGCGATTGGTACGCTCATCGACGCGCGCTGGGTCATTGACGGCGGCGTCATGCGAGGGCGACTGTGTACCGCACAAGGTGCGAGCAGTTGATGTTATTCTCTGTTTCGCTTCTTTTGCTTCAATTTACTTTATCAATTGTCGTACTTTCACGTAAAGTCGAAGCCGTTTGGGGGATATTCGGGGATTTTCTCACTCATTGCGTAGAGAGGCTGATGCATCGGTTTTGCGAACAGGCGCACTCAAACAGGCGGGCAACGTGGGCGCGGCGCTCTGGTATATTCTTTCCCTCCGAGCCTGAATATTGAGCGTGAAATGAACGATGATGGCATGGCTCCCACGTGTGTGTGCAGGTCGTTCATACTCGCGTTGCACGTCTTCAACCTCCTCTTCTTGCGCCTGCGCCTCGCCACCGCCGCGTGGACTTCGACGATTGCGACCTTGCTTGGATGGGTGGGCGTGCTATTCATCGTGGTGCTAGGGCCGCTCGCCATTCACAAGAAGGAAAAGGGGGACTTTTACGGGCCCTCCGGGTACTGGTGCGTCGGGGTTTCCTATCGTACGAGTGGGGACGAACCGGGCTGATTTGCGGGCCTGTGGTCGACCACTGCATGCTCATCAGGTGCTGGATCACAGACGCATACCCCGCGGAACAGACGTTTCTTGAATACTTCTTCGTGCGTGATAGCCCCCGGCGCCGCTGGCTCCAATCGTGTCTCACCGCGCCGCACGTCGCGCACACAGGAATGGCTTTCTGCGGCGGCGAGCTTCGTACTCTACACCTGCATCCTCCTCCGCGTGCGCGGCAATCTCGCACGCACCGCAAGCGGCCGCTGGGCACTGCACGTCGTCCCTCGCGGCAGCGCGTGGCGGCTTGCGCTTGGGCGCGACATGCTTGACTCGGCGATGTTGGGCGTCGCGGCTGTCGTCGTGTGGTGCGCGCCTGTGTCACTTCGCATCTATGCTGAACACCCTTTAATGACAGCATGGCCCCGCGCGTCAGGTACCCCGTAAGCCTGTCCCCTGTAGCCTTTCTTCTTGCACCCGCTGACGGACTGCTCATTCGGCCTTCCGGCTGACAGGTCGCATACACGCTCCTGATCGTCCCCATCACCGCCGCACGCTTTGCGTGCTTCGCGGGGCTGCACGTTCCGACCTCTGTCACGTTCTTTGCCGATTTTGTATACAGTTCAAGCGGTACGTTCCCGTGCTGCACGCATGGCCGTTTCGCCGCGCTCACAGGCTCGCCCACCCCCTTTCCTCCGCGCGATCGCGGTCGGACGGCTTGCACTGACGGACAGGCACGGTGAACCTCCTGCTCCTGCTCGCCACGCGCAGGAGGATGCCCGCACCGTACACCATCCCGTCATTCACGACGCCCCGCGCCTGCGTGCCCGCAGCGGGCAGTGCCGCCGCTGCAGGCATCACGCCGTTCGTGCTATCCGCGCCGGTCTCTGCCGCGGGGGACATAGAAGCGAAGGGAGGGTACGAGGCTGAGGAGGACGATGCGGGAGAAGAAAAGGGCGTGAGGAGGTGGGATGGCGAGAAGGGGGAGAACGGGCGCGGGCGGCGCAGCGTGCGGAGCTCGGTGAGCTCGGTCTCGACAGTTGAGTCGACGATGCCGCTTCGTGGGCATTCGCGGAGCGATGCACGCCTCGCAGAAGGGTCCTATGTCGGCGGTGATGGCGAGGCGTCTCGCTGACCTCCGCTGGCCCCATGACTTTTTGCTTTTGACTTTGACGTCGATCATGACCTTGAATTGACTTTGAATTTGAATTTGACTTTGACTTTAACTTAGACACTTTGACTTTCACGGTGTTATTCATGCACGAGCACGACCAGCCAAATTACATCTGTGCTTCGCCGACACCCTCTCATCCGCCTCCACTTGCTGGTCAGAATAAATTAGACAGGTGCGGATGCTTTTGACACTCGTGCTCTGCGACCAAAACACCCAATCTCCATATTAAGAGGTGCATCCGAGCCACGCTTGAACTTGAGGGAATTGATATACATATGTTGTATGTTCTTATCATCTCCAGTTTCTCAGGATGTCGGGGTGCGGAGTGGCATTATGCTTTTCTGAAACGAACCAGACTGGTGCGGAGAGAAACTGGTTTGCTTGTCACAGAGTGACTATCCCCCCGTGATGCCATGAACGTGACACGACGCGCGTCCAGCTCGCGCTCATTGTCAAGCCTCCTCACTTTCACCATGCCCGCACCCACAGAATTCGCGATTTCTGTTCAATCTGATGACCCAAAGAGGAAGGAGAAACCCGCAGATAAAGAGAATGCCAAGCCATTTATTGATGCAAAGGAAGGAGAGGACCTGGTATGTGACGGTGGGCGATGTATTGCTACACACTGACCATTGCTACGCATTATAAAGTCAGAAGAGGATCTTCAGTTGAAGAACGAACTGGAGATGTTGGTGGAACGGCTCAAGGTGCGTTGCACTAGTCAATGGACCCTCAGCGCAAAGTCTTGATAACCTGTGAAGGAGCCAGACACCAGTCTATACCGCCCTGCGTTGGAGACCCTTCGGACACTCATCAAGACCTCCACATCATCGATGACCTCCGTACCTAAACCCCTCAAATTTCTTCGACCACACTACCCTGATCTCCAATCCTTGTATGAAACCTGGCCCGTGTCAGAAGACAAGGTACGCACATCATACCCGTCTTCATCTGCATCTTGCCTGGTGGAGCTTGCGTGCTGTTCGCACGATTTTCGAAGAGCGTATGGTAATACAGGTTGTGTTTACAAATGAGGAGACTGCGAACCAGACTTGCCATAAATGCAGCCTCTTCCATGCGGAAGCACGCACCGCTTGGTACTCGTTTTCCGGCGCTTTGTGAACTGATCATCAGCCACTTCATTGATGCAATTCCATGCTTGATACTGATCATCGTGATTCCAGAGCCTCTTCGCTGATATACTTTCGGTACTCGCCATGACATATTCCGACACGCAACCTCGCGGCACCCTTCGATACCGCCTCCTTGCAGAATCGCTTCGACTTTCGTTATCACCTCTACCAGACCCCGGAGATTGGGGGCACGAATATGTTCGTCATCTAGCAGCCGAATTGGGCGAGGAATATACGCTTCGGGAGCAAGGTGATGAGCCGGGGTCAGCGGACAAGGACGTGGAGGGAGAGAGTGCGAAAGATGCGCCTCCTCTCGTTGGTAACGTGGAGGATCTGCAGAGTTTGGCGATGATATGCGCTAAGTTTTTACTTGGGCACAATGCGGAGCCAGATGCGGTTGATTTATTGGAGGAATTGGAAATTGTGGATCGAATTCCAGAACTCGTCGACGTCAACACGTATTCGAGAGTATGCGCGTATATGATTGCGTGAGTTACCGGTTGCATACAGCCAATTATAGTTTACTAACCCTCTCAAAGGTGTGTCAACCTGCTACCTCCACAAGATGACGTCGCGTTCCTGCGCACCGCACATACCATCTACGTACAGCATCACAAGTTCCCTGAAGCCCTTGCCCTTGCCATTCGTTTGAATGATTCTGAGCTCATCAAGGCGGACTTCCATGCGCCAAACAACCCGTGCGTGTCGAAGCATCCTCCGATTGAATCTTGTCTGACTACTGTTCAGAACTATGAAACGGCAGCTAGCATTCATCCTTGCACGCGCGCAAATCCCACTGGAATGGCTTCAGACCTCTTCTGCGGATGCCGATGCGGAGGATGAATTGTCACAAGAACTCATGGACTGCTTGTACAACACCAATATAAGCAGACATTTCCGGGAATTTGGGAAGGAGGTCGGTGTGGCAGATGCTCTGAACTTGGAAGATGTGTATAAAAGTCATCTCGAGAACACGAGTAAGCTGCGCTTCACATGATTTTGAATTGAATAAGGGGCTGATTACTGGTCTAGGATCATCTACCGCCAACGTTGACTCGGCACGAGCGAATTTGGCGGGCACATTCGTGAACGCGTTCGTAAATGCCGGATTTGGTAACGACAAGTTGATGGTCGAAGCGGACGAAGGCAGCAGTTGGATCTATAAGAACAAGGATCATGGTACGCCTTGTCATCATCTTTTTTTTTGGATCTATCTGACACTTTCTCAACAGGCATGATGTCTGCTGCGGCCAGTCTTGGCTTAAGTCTACTCTGGGATACAGATATCGGATTGAGTCATGTGGATAAGTACACGTACTCGTCAGAAGAGTATATCAAGGTATGTATCAATCGTCACTTGAAGAGATTCACGATCCCAACGACGCATCTGTAATCCTTAGGCCGGCGCGTTGCTTGCAACGGGTATCTTGAATACGGGTGTTCGCTCAGACGCAGACGCAGCGCTTGCGCTCTTGGGCGAGTATGTCGAGAATAAATCTGTCCCACTCAAGACAAGCGCTATCGTCGGCCTGTCATTCGCTTATGCTGGTTCTCAGCGCGAGGACATCCTTTCCCTCCTCTTACCTCTCGTTGCCGACGACTCGGTGTCAATGGAGATCGCATCACTCTCAGCTCTTGCAATCGGTTTCATTTTTGTAGGGAGCGAAAATGGCGAGGCCTCAAGTACAATCTTGCAAACACTTATGGAACGAGATGACAAGGTTCTCGAAGAGAAATGGGCACGGTTTATGGGCCTTGGACTTGCGTTGTTGTACCTTGGTGAGCACCGTGATGTTTGGCTTCCAGAGTCGATGCCTCATGATGTTCGGCTCGCTCAGGTCAACAAGCAAGTGACTCGTACGACGCTACGATCGAGACGCTCAAAGCGATCCCGCATCAAGTTTCAAAGCAAGTGCAGATCTTGGTCGAGATGTGCGCCTTTGCGGGCACAGGCAACGTTCTCAGAGTTCAGTCGATGCTCCACCATTGTGATGAACACATCGAAAAGAACAAAGGGAGATCAGAAGACGACCCCGATAAGAAGGCAGAAGAAAGCATGCCGATAGACGATACATTCCAGGGCTTCGCCGTCCTGGGCATCGCACTACTGGCGATGGGCGAGGATGTGGGAGCCGAAATGTCCCTCAGACAGTTCAACCATCTTGTATGTCCGCATAGCTTGATACCTTTCGCTTAGCATTCTCAAATGCTCTACAGATGCACTACGGCGAGCCTGTTATCCGGAAGACTGTTCCATTAGCCATTGGGCTCGTCAGCGCCTCTAATGCACAACTCTCTGTTCTGGATACCCTCTCAAAGTACAGCCACGATAGCGATCTGCAAGTTGCACTCAATGCCATCTTCGCCATGGGTCTAGTCGGTGCTGGTACAAACAATGCGCGCCTTGCGCAGATGCTCCGTCAACTTGCTGGCTATTACAGTAAAGAACCGGATTGCTTGTTCGTCGTGCGGATCGCGCAGGGCCTTGTGCACATGGGCAAGGGTACAATCGGCATCAATCCTTTCTTCTTAGATCGGACGGTTATGAGTCGGACGGCGGTCGCGGGTCTGTTGGCTACACTGACCGCCTTCACAGACGCCAAAGCATGTGAGTCAATGCAATCGTTTGAAAATTGTTCCGGAACTGAATACATATGGGGTCGACATTCAGTCGTGCTTGATAAGTATCATTGGATGTTGTATTTCCTTGTGACGGCCATGTACCCGCGATTCATGATTACCCTTGATGAGGAGTTGAACAACGCACCCGTCACAGTGCGCGTTGGCCAGGTGAGTTTCTGTGTCTGTCGACGAGGGCCTTGTGTCTGACTGCATTCGATTGTATAGGCCATCGATGTCGTTGGTCAGGCTGGCAAACCGCGAACAATCTCAGGTTTCCAAACACACCAGACGCCTGTACGCCTGGCAACAACAGAACGCGCAGAGCTTGCGACAGAGGAATTCGTTCCTTTCGCGCATGTGCTCGAAGGTTTTGTTATCCTGCAGAAAAATCCAGGTTGGGAAGCAGACAAGATGGACATATAGAAGGGTGTGTGCTTGTACGGTTGTGACTATTAGCGATGAGACACTCGAATTTCACTTCATGTCAATGTGATGAGCTCAAGTGCCGAATCAGCATCGCTGGGCATGCTAAAATGATCTCATCAGTTCCGCATATACGCTATACTTGTGTTGCCTTTCTTACAACAGCGAGATGAACAAGTGGGACGGTGAGCGTTGGACCGGGATCCAAGGTGATAAATTGCTCCAAGCCGCGTGCAACTCGATCAATTTGGGGAGAGGAGCCTGTGGGTCGCGTCCAGGCCAGAACAATCCATTTGAAGACTCGGCCTCTCGACCTCCCTAGGCGCGTAGAAGCCAACCCCAACCGTTTGAGGACTCAGACTTACAAAAGACAAGTAAACGGGCGCGTTCATCTCTCCTCATTCCCCTGGTATCCCTAATTTCGACTCCTGCTACATCCTCTCATAGGAAAGGCTTACGATTCACGAGCGCCTGAGATGATAGGCCACGCCAATAATGTTTCTAATATCCAGAGTCCGGCTGACTCCGTCGAGTTCGAGGTACCAGATAACTTTGTCAATTACACCTTGAAGAAGTCGAAGGCCCTTCCGCCGATTTCTTGGAATAACTGGTGGCGAGAGCTCAATTACCTCAATCTCGCTGTTGTTGGCTTCCCCCACGTTGTCATGTTGTATGGTTTGTTTACCACAAAACTGCGGTGGCAGACTGCTCTGCTCGGTATTCTGTACTATCTGTTCACGGGTCTTGGTCAGTTCTCAGTCATCCTTCGTATTGGAGGGACCCCATTACCTTGGGGTTCATGATCGCTGTGTCGATGTAGACTGACACGTTGTTTTCAGGCATTACGGCGGGGTATCACCGCCTATGGTCGCACCGCAGCTACAATGCTACTAGACCCCTCGAATACCTCCTCGCTTTAGCAGGCTCTGGTGCCGCCCAAGGCTCCATCAAATGGTGGTCACGAAAACATCGTTCGCATCATCGCTACACGGACACTGACCTCGACCCTTACAATGTTCAAAGAGGACTCGTCTGGGCTCACATTGGTTGGGTCATATTCAAGCCACGCATCAGGCCCGGTTCTGCCGACATCAGTGACCTCAACAGGGACGACGTTGTTCGGTGGCAACACCGACGATACATTTGGCTGATGATGATTATGAGCTTTGGTGTGCCGACGTTGATTGCGGGGCTGTGGTGGGGAGACTGGAGAGGAGGATATGTATATGCGAGTGCGGTAAGGATGTGTTTCGTGCACCACAGCACCTTCTGCATCAATTCGCTTGCGCATTATCTCGGGGATGCGCCATTCGACGACAAGCACAGTCCCAAGGATCATTTCATTACGGCCTTGGTCACTGTCGGAGAAGGTTATCATAATTTCCATCATCAGTTCCCCATGGATTATAGAAATGCGATCAAGTGGTACCAGTACGACCCGACGAAGTGGTTCATTTGGGTTTGTAGCAAGCTGGGATTGGCGTCCCATTTGAAGGTGCGGATTAGTTTACCTCAGTAGATTCTTCTCAACCTGACCTTTTTAATTCAGACGTTCCCTGACAATGAAGTGAAGAAGGGAGAGCTCACCATGCAGCTCAAGCGATTGCGAGAGACTCAAGATGGGATTTCTTGGCCTGAACAAGTTGACCATCTACCCATCGTCTCTTGGCGAGAGTGTGCGTTCTTCCTTCATTCTCAGATAGCACTATCATTGAACTAATCGTATAACCATGCTTCGTTTCATGTTAGTCCAGGAGCAATCTATAAACAGGCCACTTGTCCTCATTGCCGGCTTCATTCACGATGTCAACTCATTCATTGAGGAGCATCCGGGCGGGAGACACATGTTAGCCAAATACATCGGAAAGGACGCAACCACCGCTTTTTTTGGCGGAGTGTATGATCATTCGAATGCGGCTCATAACGTGAGCCATGCTTGTTCTCACCATAACGCTGAAATGACCTGACTGGAGTTACTTGTCACAGTTTTTGTCAATGATGCGTGTAGGGGTCTTGGCTGGTGGCCAACCTCATGCCCTTGAGGACAAATTTGTCCCGCCATCGCAACGGCTGCGTATAGCTCGGATTAGCGAACTTTCTAGCCCATATACGTCGACGGATGGAGAATCCATATTTCCTTGAGATGTCTTCACGAACTAATCATGGCATGTGTCATAAAGCCTGAAGGCTTGAAGCAGTACCTCCTTGCAGTCCCATGTTAAAATACACCATATCAGTCCGACTATACATGCCGTCTGTGCTACTAACTGCTACAGAATCTTACAGTTCAGGAATGAGCCCTGTCAATCAAGACACAGTATGTGATGAATCCAAAATTATCCAAACGAAAAATGAGAGCTTTCTATGCAGTGCGAGTGTGTGATTCTACAAATCATGACCAGTATATAGTGTAATTCTGTACGACGAGAGAGTAAATAAGATGTCAGATTAATTGGAAAGGTAAAATGAAAGCACGAATATGCGAACATAATAAATACAGTTATTGAAGTCTCGAGCCATTCCCGCCCTGCATCTGACGAAGAGCGGAGGGAGAGTCAAAAACAAATGCTTCTGAATCAGAACTAAAGTCAGAATTGTCATCAGAGTCGTTAGGTGCGAAGGATGCGATGTCATCAACACGGAAGACATCAACAAAGGGCGTCTGCGGGAGATCTGCCATGTTCTCCGTCGATTTGGCAAGGATGGCAGCGACTCGTGCCTCGAGCTGGTGACTGGGCATCACAGGTAAGGTGGCTCCCTTGAGATCAACTTCATCGTCCTGGAAGTACGTGCTCAGCTCATGCAAATTCTGAACCAAGCCACCCAAGTCCTCATCCAGTGGATCTGGTGGTGCCAGACGTTCGATGTCCTCAGGCTCAAAATCGATGCGGGATGGTCGTGAAGGAAGATTGTAGGAGTTGAAGACGGCCATGACGTTGGCGCGGCACATTTTCATGAGTTGATCCGGTCGTGGGACACACCATCCGGACTCCTCAGGCATGCCAAAAATATCCGCCACTGAGTCAACTTCCTTTGCAATGGGCTTCATATGCATGTTCATATGCATACTCATACGGAGGACTTGCTTGGCTGGAAGACCACCACCAGAGATAGTCATCGGCTCCTCTAAAACTTCCAGAGCTCGCCCAGCGAGGTCAGTCTCTAGCAACCGCAATAGTGGCATCAACAACTCGGATCCCAAAAGCTCCACTGGGTTCCTAGTCTCTCGCTGCTGAAATAGAACCTTGAGAATCTGCAGTGACTGGACGCGAAGCCATTTTTCTTGATTTAGCACGAGGCCGACGAGAAGTGTGACGACTTCGGTCCAATTTTCAGCCCCGTAATGCTCTCGTAGACTGGAAACGGACTGTCGGAGAAAATCATCCTTTGTTCGGAACCGGCCCTTGACAAAGGAAGTCATGATTCGGGCAATACTGGACCGACCCTCCTGTTCGGCAAGATACCCAACGTTGGTGGCAAATTCTTCCAAAGCTGGGTCGTGTGTCTCGTCTGCCATGGCCCTGAGACACCAAGGCAAAGAAATCGTATACAGATCACGAACACGGCCCTCGCTCGGGTCAATCAGCCTATTGTCAGTGAACCTGGCTAGGTGTTCTAGAAGCTTTATGGTGGCACCGAAGGTCTTGGATGACCGCAATCCGATGAGCAAAGAGGATTGTAAAGACGAGGACCCTTTCCAATCGTGCGGACGTTGAGAGAGCAGGAATTCCACAGTGTTTTGGTCGTCCAAGTTCAAACGGGATAGCAGGGAGTCAAAAAATGTGACAACCTGCAGAAACTCGACCTCTACTGTCGTAGAAAGACAAGCACATGCGCACCAGAACATCTGCGGTACGAGTGAGACGTCTAACTCCTCGCTCTCGACCAACACATTCAGCGTCTGAATGAGCTCGGCAGTGAATAACTGAATGTTTTCGTCAGGGTCGGCAACAGTGTTGGACAATCTTCCAAGTAGAAGTGCGAGATCAGCTTGAGTTGCGGAAGGTCTGAGAGCGCGGAAAATTTGTAAAGAACGAAACGCTATGGGTCGTATCGTGCATGCTGTGCCCCATAACAAGGCCAGAGATCCCCATTGCTGCGCAAGACCAGGATGCAATGGCTCCAGAAGACTCAACAATCGAGCACAAAGCCAATGCATCTTCGGCCCCGATTGGGCGCTATTCTCGTCCTCCTTCCAGAGCTTTCGCTCCATGTCCTGCTCTAGGTCTCTGATGGCGGATTTGAGCGCGTTCCGAGTGGGATAGAGACCCCTATCAGAGGCTTCATCATATCCTGGTATCCATGAGCGCAATAGTTGAAAAAGCATATGCTTCGCATGGTCACGGACAAAAATTAGACGATGATCCAAATGGACACAAATTGCATGAAGTATGATCGGTAACTCGGCGTGAAACTCCCAGAGGCGTTCCAATGCCACATCCGAAAGGAATAGAAGAGCGTATTGTCCAGCGCCTAGTGATAGACGTGGATGTTCGGCAAAAAGGACGTCTAGATCAGACCATAGCTCCATGTCGTCCGCGTCAGGGAATGCCAACTTGTGCTCTATGTCAGGAAGCATGCGAGCAGGCTCTATGACACTGCAAAGATCTTCAACCACTTGTCGCCCGATTCCCGACTGCGACAGACAGGCAACAACTCTGGATGCACACTGGATATAGGTGATGCTGGCAACTTTTTGGGATTGTTCAAGTAGAAAACGGATTGTCGCATGACCATTCGATTGATATGGTGCATCCACCAATCGGGTCCAGAGCATTTGGATTTGTTCAGCGTAGTTCTCCGCATAGCGCAGCGTGAATGACATGAGATGATAAAGAGCAGTTCGCCCTTCTCGTGACAGGCCAGACCTATCATCGGTCATCAGATTGATGTTAGGACTCCAATATTCTAGGCTCTGAAGGAGGAGGAGTGGTGAGTTTGATGCCTCAAAGAACTGAGGTAACCAAGTTGCGAATTGAGAAAGAACGCCCATTGCTTCGTTTGGATGCTCTCCGGCCAGGACATCCGAGATAAGACGGTGTGCATGGAGATATGTGCTTGGGGCGGGGCTACCGATCGCAGCCTCAAATTGAGCCATGGATAGCATTCCGTAAGACTCCTCGTGGATGAACTCCAGAATGTTCAAAGCGGAGGTCCGCACATGGAGGGCTGGGTGACACAGGTTATACAGGCCTAGACATACGATTTGATCAAAGCGAAATCCATGGCCTTGAGAGCTGCAAATAACGTCTGCAACGACTTCGAAGAAGCGAACATTGCTGGTGTCGATGTCCTTGACCGTAACAAAGGCCTTCCGCATGGCTTCATTGACCAGACCAGGATCTCTGTCGCTGCATGCTAGAAGTGTTCTTAGGGCTTTCCTGTGACGGCCATCAATTTGAGTGTACCTGCCTCTCAAACTGAACACTCACTTTCCACTGGTCTGCACGGAGATATCAAGTGAAGCCAAGACGCTATGGAGTCTATCCAATGTCGTTATAGGCTCCAATGCTCTGAAATATTCTGTGCCTGCTTGGTCCGTTGGTGAGCCAGAAGATACATCAGGGGGAAAGTAGGCTTTGGACTAAAGAAGATGAGCAACAGTTGTGTCAAAGAGAGATTGAGACTTACACATAGGGATGCCATAGCGCCAATGGCAGCCCTAGACAAGAGCTTAGTCTCCTTTTGAAAGACAGCTACGGCTTCGCCCTTCTCTGATGCGTCAGCTACGGCATTCGTGGCTGCCCTCTGCATAAGGATCAAGCGCTGCTTGACAGACTCCGACTGACGACCAACTTGACACCACTCTTCACAGAGACGGAAGAGGGACAAGTGCATATTGGGCGGTATGAAGCGGTCCGTATCGGAGAGCGTGGTGAGGCCATCAAATAAGCGCTCAACTGTCCCACAGAAGTAACGTCGCAGCTTCTGAAGTTTGAAGTGATCGCGGCAATCCGCGGATGTGAGGAATGCCTGTGTATTTCGCACGAACCGAAGAATGGGGGACAGTGCTGCCTTTCGACCGCTTGAGCGGTGATCTTGAAGGTAGTGTGCAGTAAGAAAATATACACGAGCCACAGCAGTGAACAGCCGCTCTTGTCGACGTCCTCGTTCAGCGACTGACGTGGCTCCAGACTTCATCCTTGTATCGTCAAATAATTGGCGATGGGCGAGCAGACCAAGGTCTTCAAGAAGCTGCGGATATCCTCGAGATGGTAAGGAGCTGATACAGAACACAGCCGCGTCTCTGAACATGGAGTGCTCGGAGTCAAGGAAGGGTGCGAGATACCGAACCAAACCACGTGTTGTTGTTAACCTTTCTCGCTCGAAATTGACCTCCGAAAGAGCACGAGAATGCTCCCGCTGGACAAGAGCAGGACGATAGTCTACGATCGAGGCAATCGAACACAGAACCTTCGTCCACATGTACCATTGCCCTGTGAGTTGTCGATTATCGACTGGTGTTCGAGTCTCTTTTTCATTGATGGCTAGACCTCGTGACGATGGACCAGAAGGCATACGACCATTAAGACCTGCCACAGCAGCAATGGTTGGATGGAAGCGAGATACTGCAGCAATCAGTGTCTCGCGGAGGATGTTTACGGTAGCCGGTGTGTGTTCCGCTCCATCACTGCTGTAAGAGTGCATGAACCCCGGAAAGATCCATTGCCATATGGTACGATCGCGTGAATCTTCGCTGTCTGCAATCCGTAGATATGCATCAGTCTTGCCGGAGTCCCGCCACTGCTTCAAGCGCTCCAGATCAGCTGGGTCCAAAATGTGGTCGAATCCGTCAAGAGGAATCTTGATGGAGCTTCGCCCATGAAGTATGTCTACAATTCGGACGTCCATCGAGGCTATTTGAGGAGACGTCGGCTGAGGCCATAGATGGGCAACTAGAAGGCCGAGCATACGCAGCAGCTTGACCCCAACGGTGTAAACAGGGCGGGATACGTGGCACAAAAGAAAAAGAGCCCCTGCCTCTGTCTCATCAATTCTTGAAGCAACCGCCGCCATCTCTTCGTCCGACAGAGTCTCCGATTTTCTCTGCAAAAGGTCGTGTACCCATCCATCGAGAAGACCGACCCAGAGGTTCAGCAAGCGATTGCTTTCAATGACCAATTTTGAGCTTGATCCTTCCTGCGCAATATGCGGAGTGTCAAACAAAAATGAGGTATAATTTTGAAGGACAGCGTCAGCATATTGAGGATTCGACATGAACCGACGCAGAGCAAGAACAGCTGCCTCTGCAACGGCGGGTTCGATATGAATGACGCCCCGCACCAGCATGTCAACCGCGTCATCCAATTGTAGGGAGGTATGCAGAATTCGAGGCCAGGATTGAAAACAGGTTTGCAATAAGTTAATCTGCGGAACCAGTTGTGCAGGATACGCGACAGTTGCATCAGGGTGTCGACGAATGATGTAGCTGTGAGTTTCGTCGTAGGATGGATTGATGCGCGTGACAGACCACTGCTCATCAAAAGTCGACATTCGCCCCACCGCATTTGCACATGTGGCGGCGACATAGCTCAGCAGTATCCCGACCCTGTCATAGAACTCCTGCATTCCCGGCTTTGATAGGATGGTCAACGGTAGAAAGTCTGAGGAGGCGGGATAATCCTGCCATGATGGCGCTCCAGAGAAGTCCGAGCTTGAAGGCCAAACCGGAATTGGCTCGTCTCGTTCCATCAAATGCAAGGTGAGTAACATGGCTTGTATCGCGATAGCCATTCGCTCTGGAGATAGCACCGTCGAAGGGTTGGGCGGCTGGGTTGACATGGCTTGCTCCTGCAGAAGATTCAACGTGAACTCCGCTCCAAAATCGAAATGCCGCGCAAAGACAAAATGTACTATATAGATGAAGGGCTCAAGGTGATCCTCTTGAGGGAAGATGGGCAATCTGTTAGGAGGAAAGAAATGTTTTAAGACTATTTCCATCTTGGATGTGGAGTTCGAGGCAGACTCTCGGCAGCGAAACATGTAGGTCCAGACCAAGCGCATCATCCCGTTCATCACTGGGATGCGGAACGGTTTCTCCTATGCGTCTGCATCAGGTCAAATTGAGTAGATGACGTCGGGTGAAACGTACTTTCAACTTGGTCAGACTAGCCTCAAAACAAGTTTGCCAATTGCGCAGGAAGTATTCGTTCGGCGCAACACAAAGGCTGACGATGACGAGAGGGTATGCCACGTGCCAATACCGAGGTTTGCTAGCCATGTCCCTGGCTTTCGGATATATAATCTCTATAGCCTTTGCCCATTGAGGGTGATTCACTTCAGCTTGGGCCGTCTGCGTTGTCCACGATTTAGTAAATGGAGATCAAAAGACAAATACGCCTACCTTAGCAATGGGGTGCATCAGATGTACCAGAGTTTCCGCGAAGGCAAGCTTGAATCGGAAGCCATGCGCATTCTCAAAAGATTTCGCTAATGCTTCCATAAATTCGGCCCCCTCCTCGAACGACTCTGGGGGCCAGACCTAACGGCAGTCGATGAGCACATAATGGAACAAGCTGTACATCAATATCGGAGCACGCTAACCTTGATCTGAACATGCTTCAATCCACGTACAAGATTCTCATATTTCATGTCACCATCTTTTGGAACATGCCCGGAAGCAACTGGGCCCATCTCAGACAGAAAACGGTCTGTGACACTCGAAAAGCTTTTGGACGATTTCAGTGCCGTTTTGGATGAGCATGTCGTGAAGCTCACCGTGTGTTCGCCAAGTGACCCAAAAGCGTGGCATAAAGCTCTGCATTCGTCCTATGATTGGCGCTCTGGGTCAGCAGCTTCAAGTCGGGTTTGCGAAACTGCTCAAACATGGTCTCTTCGAGCTTGTACCCCATCTGTTCGCCGAGAGCATCTTTCGACAACGGTTGCATCACAGCGATAAGTGCCCGGCACATGATGTAGATGGAAGCCAGAGACTTCCGTTCGTTCAGTATCATAGACGTGTCCAGATGTCGGACACCTCGGGATGTCGCTGGCGACTGGCCTGTGTGATGGCGCAAGAGATCAGGAGAAACAGCCTCCTTTTGCGTGCGGCGCCACCGCGTTATCGAATTGACAACAGGCTTAGCATGCTTCTGTCCTATTTGGCCGAGAGTCTGCAACAGGTCATCAAACACAGGATCAATCCCAGGGCCAAAATAGTCAGCAAGAGGTGGCTCGTGGTCCTGCGATATCGGTCATTAGAGAACATCAATATTCGCGAGCGATGAAACGTACGAGCCCTTGTCGCAAGAAGGCGTCAATCTTCATCTCCGCTGATGTAGCGAATCGGAAGAAAGTAGCATGCAGAGCATATTCCGAGGGCGTGCGCGGATCAACCGAGACAATCTCCTCCTCTGCTTCTGCATATGGTGGCAGCTCACTCTGAGAAAAGCTTCCAAAATATCCATTCGGCACGGGTGGTACAGGAGGAGGAGATGATGGAATTGTGAAACCATGCCCGTGATCGCTTCCGACATCCGAAGTATGAAATATGGAACCCGAATGAGAATGCTGTGAACGACCATAAGCGTGGCCCTTAGTCTTTGCCGGGGTCGCTCGCGCAGATCGAGCCTCGACAGAGCCTGGGGTCGGAGGTCGAGGATATGGAGGGCTCATGTTCTCGGATGGCCTGCGGAAGGATGTCGCGGACGCATGCGCAAGGGATGAATTCGATCGATTGAACGGATTCTTCAAGACCGGGTACACGCCATGATCCAGAGGCGGCATAGGAGGGGGTTCAGTGGACTTGCTACCGCTCTTGAACGCATTTCGGATAGACGCAAACGAGGTCTTTTTGGTGAAAGGAGAGCCGGCAGAGTTAGCAAGAGACGAATGCTGCGTGTGAACAAACGGCATAGACCCCTTCCGAGTGGGGTGTCGTGCGGAGTAGTTGGAGTCCTCTGAGGTAACTGAATCGCCGCGAGCATGGAAATAGCCTCGGTCGGAGCGTTCAGGAAGAGCAATGGGCGTCGTCGCGGTGGGAGACTCCTGGCCAGAACTCAATCCTCCTCCAAAGCCAAATCCAGAGGTTCCTGGCACTCTCCCAAAAGGAATTGAAGTCGAACTAAAATCTTCGTCATCAAAGTCTATGAAAGCAAGGTGAGTGTATGAAATAGCATCATTGGATGCATTGTCGGACCTGGGATAGTGATCTGAATTCCGTCAGAGCTCATCGTCACCTCCTCTTGAAGCCGTTAACGTTGACTCTATCCGACCGCGACAGATAGAAAGAGAACAAGGGTGAAGAAGATTGGGGGGGACAAGGACTCGACTTTGTCTGCTTCGAGCAAAAGCAGTGACGCCAATTAAGTTAGGTAGAGTGGATCACGTGGTTGCTATGCAGATATCGGCTTCTTCTGTGAGGATTCTCACAATGTTATCTGAGTTAAGCGAAAACTAACAGACCAGCTCAGGAGAACGGCCAAGGACACCGTCCTGACCATGGTATGGACTCCTATTGACAAGTGTTTGCGATAGCAAACTAGCTGGTACGATACACGATACGCTCGACGTTACAGCAGAAGAACACAGAAGCACCCCCCAAAACGCCCTATGAAACCCAACAAGCACGAAAACAACAGCATAATTGAAAGCGATGACGATAATAGCGAGAGCATAAAACACGACAGTGCTAGCAGTGACGGTGATCTATATTTAAAAAGAGTCCAGACTGACAGAGAAAAAAAAGCTTTTGAGGGTGAGCCTTGATCAAGAGAAGGTTGCAATATGGACATGGAAGCGTTTTTCGTGGACTTGTGTGGTTATTAAAATAAGCCTCGCTCAACGCAATCCGGAGAGTCTGTGTGCGAGAGCCTCGACGAGGTGGGAGTCAACGCCGAACTCCCTGGCCAGCACGTCGAAAGGCCCACGCTGAAGAGCCTGATTGGATTGAGCTTGGACAGAGGCGCGAGAAATGTTTGGGTGTCGCTGAGATAAATGGTCTGGCGTGTGAGAGCTGAGAGCACTGATGGATGACGCGGGGCTACGAGGGAGAAGGAGGTGTTGAGAGGTGTTCGCAAGGCTCGCAAGGTTCGCGATTTGTTCCCTTGAAAAGGCTAGTAACGAGTCATTGGCCAAAGCAATAGATTCTCGGATGTACCATCTCACCTTGGCATGCCACAGCCGCTTGGGATAGCTGCGCAAGTAATCCGGGATCGCACGCAGTGGATTCGTCTGTGTTGCGCAAAATGAGAATTTGAAGTGCGGCTGCGATGTGGCGGGTTAGTCCCAAAGGAGCTTGAGGGCTAAGAATGAGGACACTCACTGATAGTGATTTCTAGGTGCCAAACAACGAATTAGCAAATTCCGGGACATGAAGCGAACAGCCATACCGAACAGAATTTCCTTGGACGACCCGGAATAGATCCGACCATCTTGATTGGCGGGAAATTTCGACAGAATGCTAATGAGTGAGTGGAAAGGGAGAGACGGTACTTTGAGGAAATGAGACTGATCGGGAAAGAGACACAGTGAGATGGTTGGCAAGGCGGCTCGCAAAATGGATGCATCGAAAGACAACGTACGTCAGGTGATTGGATCAAATGGAGTAGCGCCTTCAACTCAGAGTCGGAAATCAAGCCATTCTCCAAAACAGCATAGATCTGTTCGTTGCTCAGGCCGGCGAGAGAGGGGTGAACGCCATCAAAGCGTCCCTGCCAGGAAGGGAATAAGGCCTTCATCAACTCCTCCTGTCCGCTTCGGGTAACAGTGACACCTCGGGCTCTTTTGCCTTTCCCCAGGACCGAGTTTTGAGCCGTTCTAAGAGCCTGCCTCGCCGCTTCTTCATCGACCATTTCCACAAAGGCGTGACTGAATGTCTTTCCCTTGCGGTCAAGTAGAACATGAACCCGGCGAACGGGGTGCCTCAACCACGCGACAATGGCAGGAGGAGTGATGTCCTACAATAACGCAATAAGTCGAAAAGGGCAGAGTGACAAAGTTGCGAAGACGGCTGACCCAAGGAACGTTGTCGATTCGCAGGACAGGTAGTTCCCCTGGCCTTGCCGGTGTATGTCGTACTCCACCGAAGCCATGGGGGCTGGCTGTCTCCGGGACATTAAAGAAGTTGAAATGACCAAATGGACCATCGGCATCATTGGTCCCAAAATTGCTGTGCTGCGACGCCCCATGTGCCGTGTTAGGTGGGGAAGCTCCTTTCGCGCCAGAGCTTCGCAAATGGAAGGCTGCCACCCCTATCTTGCAAACTGCGCACTCCATGTCCTTCTCACCGACGATGTTCAGGGCGCTGGTCAAGCACGCAGAGCACAAGACGTGGGAGCAGGGGTCCAAGACTGCCAAAGACGAGGAAGTCTGTCCGCATACAGAACAGGAATCGTCTGTCTTTAATGGATCATTTGGGCGTTCGAAGGGGTATAATGCAGGTGCGGGAATTCGCGGGAAAGTCATGTCGTCAAATCCATTTCTGTCAAAAGGGCCATTCAGTGCCAAAGGAATCGCAAGACGCTGTATTGGTGAAAACATCGTCGGGTAAGGATCATTTTCGTCGATGTCGAAGAGATCGGTGCGTGTCTATGGTGACAGATTAGCTTTACATGGCAAGGCGGTAGAAACTGTGTACCTGTCCAAACGGTTGACGGCGACGTGGATAAGCTGGATCAGTCAAGCTTCCTTTTGCTTTGAGTCGATTGACGTTGGATGCCAGGGGAGGAGGGGTGTTCAAAGCCGCTAACGTACGGCGCCCGGGAGTATGCGGTTGACTCTGAACTTGTGGTGAGAGAGGCAATTGCGACTGATGTGCCAGAGTCTGCGAGCGAGGTCGACGCTGTGTACTAAAAAAGGGAGGTGGAAGAAGAGCTGCAAAATTCGGTCGGTATCAATGAAAAGATTCGCGACAGTGATGGCACCTACCTAAAACATCCAATACAAAATGAACGCGTGCAGCCGATCAATATAGCGCGCAGGATGAGTCATCAGAACGTGTACTGACCATCTGAGCGATCGAGAGGAGGATAAGGCCTGGAAATTTCCGTCAGGACACGCTTCCCGCTTGATAAAGCGCATATACTCACGTTGTGACAGACGGGGAATAGGGGGTTCAGAAGCAGGGTCAGCGCGTGTGTTCAAAGAGACCAAAATTAGACGCATATATGCACCTAAGCCAAGAGACATGAATACGGTCGCACCATAGCAGTCCACAGAAGGACATACCTTCGTCCTTGGACCCGTTGACCGAAGCGACTCGGATCCCATTCTCACCTGCGCGAGAACGCCAGTCATTGGCTATCTCCCCTCGGCCCGCATCGCCTCCAAAGCCATTCGCAGAAGATTCAGGCGATACAGACAAACCGGTCCGCTTTGAGCTCGCGACGGACACAGGTGTCGTCAGCGCCGACGAGTCGTTCGACCATACATTGCGGAGGCTCAGAGGTGTGTAAGGTGTCGAGAGAGTACTAGCAGGAGTTGATGGAGAGTTCGAAAAATAATTTTGAAGGTGATGCTGATGTCTGTGGGCGCGCGGAATACGTTGAGGGGTTACTGGAGGAGGTCCGTCGGTATTGGACTTGGCGGATCGGGTATATGCGGGCGTGGCAGGCGCAGACGCTGGAACATTAGGAGTATAGAAAGAATGCTTGTTTGGTGTGGTCGTGATCGGCATCATTGACAGAGGAGGAAAGAAAGAAACAGTCGAAAGGACACGAGTCTTGATGGTAGGCGACAAGAGTCGAACTACTTGTATGAGGAGGCGTGGGAATGGCCCACGCGTCGAACGCGATCACGTGATATATGTTATGTAACTACCGTGAAAGGGTTCCTCAAACGGCGTGTTGAACCCAGGAAGTCGCGCAGTATTGCTCGAAAGAGGGACTGTCAAATAACGCATACTAGGTTCTAGTACTTAACAGGGGAAAGGTGAAGTAAATCTAAAGGAGTGACGTTCATATTGTACGCATGAATACCAATAACGTTTATGGATGTACGATGCTGCTGCGTATTATAATGTAACAAGTAGGATGTGATGCGATATAGCGATTAGGAGGAATGGAAGAATCCCGAAGCTTCGTCGAAGACCAAGTAAGTGCAGAGAATTATCACCAAAAAGGCACGACAACAGCTCACGGGTGGTCGGATCATCAGACAGAGGATCCCAGGGTACTAGGAGATCAGATGAGAACGAAAGGCCGACATTGTTTATCTACCGACACCATTAGCATTCCAATTTCTGGGGAGCTCTCTTCTCCGCCTGCTGCCCACACGATCGAAGCTTGTCATCGTACCCCAATCCCCATCGTTCAGCGAACCTCTCCGACTTCGGCGCAAAAGGCCGGAGCTCTCATCATCGTCATCCTCAGGGGACCAAGGACCGGGCGGGGGTCTTCTGTTAGCACCCGAATTCGAGTGTGAGGTATCCAAGTGTCGTCGAAGAGATTGGATGGACTGTTGACGTTTAGACGGCACGAGCAACCGAGCGAGATTGATCTCGCCTTCATCCTCGTCTGAAGACGAGTCATACTCGACATCCCAGCCCAGATCCGGACGATGCTCGTTCCAGATATCCTCCTCTACTCGCGTACTTAGGCTGAAAGCACCATGGGATCTTCTCCCCGGCTCTCTTCGCGGGTGCTTCCGAATGAGCTTCTTGCCCTTGCCCTTCCACCTGCCCGAGCCATTTTCATGTAGCATCGGACCTGATGGACCCGGCCGCGTTCCAAGGCGCGAGGAGGAACGAGACGCTGGGGCGGAACGACAAACCACCTCCGTCTTCATCACCGTCCCAGGAGAAGTCTCTCCTCGGGTCGCGCACATAAGCAACGAAGGCGGCTGCAAGTAACCTGAATGGATCGAGCCGCTTTGATGTCCACGCGGACGATTCATGATGTTCTCCGACAGCGCCGAGCCGGGCCGTTTGCCACGGCCGTGCACAGTGCTGCTGCGGCTCGGCGGCTGAGAAACAGGGTATCGAGCAAACTGAGATGAGGCCATGCGGCTCGGCCCGCCAATGTATGCACCCGGAACACCAAGGACGGCGCGTGCTACGACTTCCAGCCATGAAGGGGGCATTGGCGGTTGGTCCTCGCTAGTGTCCTCGCCGTTGGGTGTATGGACATTCCGACCATGTGGTGCAGAGCCATGCTGCGGAGTCATCGTCCTCCTTGGCATAGTTGGAGCGGATGACATGTGCCGCAAGTAGGCGCGGGCTGGCGATGCTTGAGAGTAGGTCTGCATATTACTGGGAACAGAGGGTTGCGGCCGGACAGAACGCTGATCACGGCGCAGATGCTGCTGGAGACGAGCCTGGGCATGTTGCTGGGTGACAGTCCGTCGGGCACGGCTTGATTCTTTTGAAGAAGACGCGGACGACGCGTATCCAGAAGCAGATTGAGACGACGACGAAGGGATCAAGGCAGGTTCACCGGGAAGATGAGAATGTCGGAGAGGGGATGTTGTGGCTTTTTTCCGGACCAAAGGCGACGTCGGCGGCGAGTAGTCCAATACTGTCTGTGGCTGTATGCTCTCTGTATCTTCGATGACAGAATTCTGGGTGCCGACGTCTGGCTTGCCTGATCCCACACTCTGCACCAACCCTGTCAAGAAACCAACAATCCCGGTCTTACCCTGCAGCGCACGCTCTCGACGCTCCTCCGCCTCCGCCTCCCTCCTCTCTGTCTCCGGTGTGAGCACACGAGTCTCCTTGTAGCCAGCCTCCCTCAATAAATCCTCCAGTCGTTCATAAGTTCTCGATGTCCCGCGTCTATGGAGAGGAACTCGGTTTGGATCTTTTGATAACTGTGCGTGACGATTACGACCTCTCTCGGGTGTTCGAGGGGGGGAACGAGACCGTGGTATCGTGGAAGTGGAACTGGAGGGTTCGGAGGTGTTAGACGAGAGCATGAGACTTGGAGGCGAGAGGGGAGGTGAGTCGGGGGGCGGTGTACCAGAGATCTCCTGTATGAATTCAGTCAGTTCCTCGACAGCCAACATTTAAGGGAACATGCAAGAGAGCATGCAAGGCTAGAAGAGTAAGACTTGCCATCTTGTCCAGTAACCACGGTGTGAAAAGCCGTTACTAAAATCCGAAGGATATTCTCCTTCAGGACAGACGCTCCCACGGAAGCGTGCTGTGCGAAGGCAGGTTCCTGGCGAGGGCGGATTGGAAAGTGTGGCCTTTTAAGGAGCGAGAACAAGGGACATGCAGGTGGATGCGAGAGATGCGGCACTGGGTGGTGTTGTCCGCACCGCTCTAGTGGTGATCAATCCGCTTGTGTCCTTGTGGCCGTTGTTCGCAACAGCGCCGATGACGGCACAGTTGCCCCAGAGTACGTAATACTCAACCATTTGCCACCATTTGCCACTGCCATGTGATCGAGTGCGGCAACCCACTTGTCCGCCATATATTCCCCAAAACGCCATCGTTGTTTCACTCACTCTGCTTCTGTTCCTCCCGCTTGCAAGGGAGTATCATTCATTCGTCGACACCTGACCGCAATGTCTTGCGGATGGTGCGTCTCGACAAATACATGCATACACGCGCGGATAAACAATGGAGGACCTGACCATGTCTCTTCGTGACCCCGCCTGCGAGGCATTGCAGTGACATGAACACATATCGATTGACAATGGACATTGCTTAGATGATCCTCACGATGATTCAAGCGTCGAACCCCATGTAACAGTGGAACTTTCAAATCCTGGGCTGACGATAAATGTGACATTCCTGACTCCAACAGCGCGCACGGCGAAGCGCTGGCTGGCATCTGGACCTTCCAACCACTCCACCAGCATCGGACACCGAGTCCTTTCGCCCCACGGAACCCTCTGTAGTCTGACTTAGGATCTTACACGCTTCAAACGGACATGAACAAAATCGCCTCCTGATCACGGACAATCTCGTGCAATCTCACGTCCTGCACTGATCGCTCAGATCCGGAGCATTCATGCTCTGACGGCTGAGTACGTGCTTACGCGTACTACGTCGCGCGCATCACTCTAATTTGTAGTCATCAGCGTCTTTCTCTGCGGCGCACCCATTCACAGACGTCCGATATCAGCGCAGACAGCATATCCCCATTTCTTTTATGAAAAGCATGTTAGCAACGAGCAAATCGGCCATGCATGAACGATCATGGACTTAAGTCTACCTTGAGAGCCCCGAGGACTAATGAACACCTTTCCACATCTGATCTGGTTGCTAATCGCTCAACACGAGATCAGGATGCGCACACCTCCAACACCCGCATCGTGTACAGACTGATGAGCTCGTGCGTCGTCGCCGACGGGTGCCCTGCTGACCGACCCAAAGTAAAAAGATGCAATCAGCCCATCGTGTCGTGTCGAGGCCAAACCCAACCACTCACGAATCCAAAATACCTCCACACTCGGATCATCGCACCCGCCCACGCTACTCGTCGCACTCAACAAACACGTTGCGTTCCCCACCCCGACGTACCCGAACGCACCCGGGTCGTCGAGGATCGCGCCAAACAGTCTTCACGGATCGGAGTTCGATATCGAAATCGGAGGATCGAGGATCGAGGATCACGATCCGGGCCCCATGCAGGAACGTCCAGGAAGCACATGTGAGCGTCGAGCCGGGTGCACGCGAAAGCCCCCCCCCCCCCCTCCCCCCCAACCAGAAAACACGCGCTCGAGGTGAGCATTCGCACGTCGCGCGACGCACCTATGCAAGTCCACAAACGCGACGTTCGTCCCGTTCGTCGCACGCGCCTCGCGCAGGTACGCGAACACCCGGTCCTGCAGCGCGTCCGTCCCCGCGTGCGATTTATACATCTACAAGGGCATCGCATCAGCGTGCATTGAGATTCAAGCTTTCAAGCTCGAAGGCATGTCGATCCCCACAGCACACGACGGACCGGAAGTGAAACACATGCATAGTGTGGCACTCACCCCATGCACGAGTATGTTCTTCGCGCCCGCGGCTTGCAGCTCTCCCAGCTTGCCTACCTACAACCACAGACGTCAGTAAACCGCGGATCGCCCATGCCCCAGATGAATCTCACATAAGTCTCGTACGCAATATCGTAGTCGCCTCCTCCTAGAACAGAACAGTCAATACGCGGTCCTCCTCTCCAGATGCACGGTCCTCGCCGCGCCAGTACATACCTAGCTCGAACTGTCCATCGTCGCTTGTAATACAGTCCGGAACTCAATCACCGTGCTCATGGAGCCTGTAGAGCATATGACGAAAGAAACGAACGCTCACTTGATTCCAAAAGCGACCGTGTACAGCGTCTCGCTCGGGACGAGCGCGTCCAGGAATTTGCCTTGCTGCATGAACAGCCGCGTCTCCGCTATGAAATCCGTGCGCGGCGTCCCGCCCTAAGCACATTGCACGTACACACACACACACAGAGTTGACATGCGATTCGTGATGAGGGCGCGAACGATGAGCCACAATTCGTGAACGGACGTACGACAGCAGGGTTCGTGGTGTTATACGCCGCATTGTCGATCACCGCGCCGCCCCACGCATACTGCGCCGCCCCAAACCAAACCAAACGAAAGGACAGGAAAGGACAGGAAGGGAAGAAAATCAGTCGACGCGCACAGACGTCCGTCAGCACAAGTCTCAACGCACATTGAGCAGCTTCGCCCCGAGCGCGTTCGCCATGTTTTCGACCCATATAAAGCCGTTGCTCGCGCGCCGGTTCTCTGTCAGCCGCGAGCCCGCCGACGGCGAGGGCGGCCACAGCACGGGCGGGACGGGCACCGTGCCGTTCGCTGCCCACCCACCGACGCGTCCCAAAATCCGCAAGCGGCCCATCCATCAGGCGAGAGGAGCAGGAGCACCGTCGCCGTTTGGCCACAAAAAGAAAACACAAAAAACAAGCGCTCACCTCCGTTCGACGTCCAGCTATCCCCAAACGCCACGACCGTCCTGCACAGCGCACGCACCAAAGTCAGCGAGCGACGCACGTCGTACGGATCCCGAAGGAACGGCCCGGCCTTAGTCGCCCTCGCGGCACGCACCTCGTCGCGCCTAACACGAGGCCCGCGTTCACCTCCGCAAACCGCGTCGCGTTCCCCGTCGCGGCCAACGATCCACACGCGGGCTCGACCGCAAGCCTCAGCGGAAACGTCACGTTCACGAGCGTCGGCCAGCGGCCACCCCCCGCCGCTTCCGCCTCCGTTGTCGCAGAAGAAGCGCGCACCGCAGGCATAGCCGCGAGCATCAGCAAGAACATAGCTCCGACACCGAGCATGATTGCAGTAAATCTCAAGTCCAGGCGAGGCGAGAGGAGAGCAAGCTGACTTGCGACAAATCCAAGACCGAGGCTCCATCGTCCGGAGAACCAGCCAGCTCATAGATATACCCCTCCGGCACGGTCGACACGCCCCATGCTGAGGACGAGAAGCGCGTGAAGTCCAAGATGCAAGATGCTGAATTCTGAAGAGAGTCACGATGGCGACAGCTGATCACGATCTCCCAGAAACGACCGTCTCTTCTGCGCAAGATGATGGTGACGCCTCTGCATGGACGAGTGAAGAGATCCAGCGGGCCGCGGTCTGCCGCCGCCCTGCTCTAACTTCTCCCAAAATGACTCCCCTGAGAGGAAGATCCCACTCACCTCGTCCACGCCTCACAGCTTTGTGTTCCAACAGATAAAAACACAGAACCATATGCATCAATTTGAATCGATTACACAAAATATGCGGCTCCCAAAGTGTCTAACTCGACCGCACGACGGGGCCCTCCGTGCCCTCATTCGCGCTCGTAGACTACGCAATCCATCTGACAACGTTCGTATTTTGATTCGTGAAGTCGTGTCCGCCGTCCCCTACGCCACTCTACCTCCAAGCTCATGCTATCTGGACCTCTGGGTCGCATTCACTATAACCGATAAACGGAGCCAATATGCAAACACTCTAACCAATCCAATCATGCAGCAGACAAGAGAACGATATGCAAATAAGCCGATTAACCGAGCATGCCCTCGCCGTCCGAGTACGCGGTAGAACTGTAGGGACTCGAGAGCTCGTTGTGACGGGCGACCCGCAGCCGTTGTGACGGCGGAACGGATTTCTCTTCCAGCCCGTGGGGTTGACCGCCGTGCAAGATGCCAACGCGCATCATAGAAAGAAGCTAGAACGCAGGCATGAGCCAAAATAGATAGACAGGCAGAAGATGGAAGACGTACGTTGTGCGCAGCATTCGAGTGGTCGTAAACACCGCCAAAGAACGCCGTCGTCGCGTCCTTGCCAATGTTCTTCACGAGGAGATGACGACCTCCAGGATGTTCATCGATGAATGAAGCAACATCGTGAATGAAGCCCGAGATCAGGACTAATGGACGTTTCTCGGACTGCTCCTGGACTGTGAGGGAATGAGCAATCAGAAAGAGCGCGATTACGGGACAGATGCAAGGGAACTGACAGCTCTGCCAAGAGATAATGGGAAGCTCTTGGGTCTCCTGCGGCCATTCTAAACCATCCTGTGTATCACGCAGGCGCTTGAGCTGCATGGTGAGCTGGCCTTTCTTGACCTCGTTGTCAGGGAACGTCTAAATCGTGTTCAGCGACAGTCTAGCTGGCCAGGAATACTCGAGCTCACCTTGAGATGCGAGGCAAGACCGAGCATGCCGCAAAGCGCGATGAACCATTTCGTAGGGTCATACTGATACCACTTGATGGCATTCCGGTAATCCATAGGGAACTGGTGGTGGAAGTTGTGGTAACCCTCGCCGATGGTCACAAGCGCAGTGACGAGATGGTCGCGCGGAGTGTGCTTGTCATCAAACGGCGCCTCGCCAAGGTAATGAGCAAGCGAGTTGACACAGAACGTGCTGTGGTGGACGAAGCACAAGCGCGCTGCGCCAGCATAGACATAACCACCGCGCCAGTCACCCCACAGAAGCCCAGGAATGAGAGTGGGGACGCCGAAGCCCATGCCGAAGATGAGCCAGATGTACCAGCGGTGCTGCCACCTGACAATGTCGCTCTTGCTGAGATCACTGACGTCTGCGACACCAGGCTTGCGGCGCGGCTTGACAATCATCCAGCCGACATGCGACCACCAGAGACCCTTATGGGCGTTGTAAGGATCAAGTTCGGTGTCGGTGTACCGATGGTGGGCGCGGTGGCCCCGGGACCACCACTTGATGGAGCCCTCCACGGCGCCAGCACCTGCGGCGGCAAGGAAGTACTGCAAAGGCTTGGACGCGTTGTATGACCGATGCGCCCAGAAACGATGGTAGCCCGCAGTGATGCCTAAATGAGTGGCGTTTGATAAGTTGGGGGGACAGCCCACTGGCGCGGTGAACAAAAAACGTACCGAGCCCGGTGACGAAATAATAGAAAACCGCAAACGCCGCCGTCTCCCACCTCAGCTTTGTCGTGAACGCGCCGTAGACCGCGATGAGGGGCGTGACGGTAAGGACGGCCAAGCTGATGTAGTTGAGCTCCTTCCACCAGTTCTCCCATGTTACGGGCGGGAGGGCCTTGGTGGTCTTGAGGGTGTAGTCGACGTAGTTGTCCGGGACGTTCATGTCTGCGGGGGCGTCAGCCCCGAGAGCGGCGGCTTTTGACTGGGGCGGAGTTAACGGCGGGGTGAAGGGGGCGACGTCGGGCGGAGGCGTCTCGCGTGAAGGATAAACGGTTGACATGGGTGACGGGAGGAAGGAAGAGAAGAGAGCGCGGAGGACAGGATGGAGGAAGGGAAGGGAGGCAGTGGCTAGGAACGTGTCGCGCGCCGGTTTATATACTCACACAATGCGTTGGGGAGCTGCAGCTCGGTGCACGCTTCCCGCCCAAACACCCAACACACACGCCCGCGTCTCCATCCGCGCTGCGATGCCCCTCCATCACACCGCCCCAGTGCTTCGTGCGTTCGTCGCAGCACGGAATGCATTGTGTCCGCCGAACATTGTTCTTTCGTGCGCTACTACTTACCTACTACGCACGCGTTCATCCTCTCTCGCTGCGCAGCGGAAGGAACGCCACACCTGGTCTCCGCAACCCGCCCTTGGGGATCGCTTACGTCATCTTTTTTTGTTGGGGATGCCCGCTTTCGGCAACTGCGTTTCCTGTCTGCGTCACCGCCGGAAAATGCCTCCGTTGCTGTCTCACAAATCTCCACATCCGGCGCCAGCCTCGACGCATGGAACGCTCGTCGCTCGCTGCATCCTCATCGAAGTCCTGCCCAGACGTCAGCGAACACGTCGTTTTGGGAGCAAGAGCTCACTGAGGTATGCGAGTAGCCCGCCCGCAGATCAGCGAGCAATCGTTCAAATGTTCAGATGTTACAACGTGTGGGCAAATAGCGGAAATGGAAATGGGCGAGGACTCGTACAGCGACAACAAAATAAGACTCTGGTATGTAGATATGAATGATAATCACAGATAACGATTGACCCCAGCATAGATGCGAATCTGGACGCGTTCTACATGAGAAGCGACGACTTGTTCAAGTTGTCGCGCATGACCAGCTCCGTGACTGTTCCCGAAAAAATCCGAGATACCGCGGGGAACAGAAACAACAAAGAAACAGCTTCAGCGACGCGCAGCACGACGGCCTAGACGGGCACGTACCATCGACCAGGATGTGATGCGTCGCCTTGGTATCCTATTCGTAGCAGAAGGGGCGCGGTCAGATACGGCATAGCGCGTTCGAAGCAAGCGAGGGGGACTTCACGCACGACGACCGAGGTGAAGTGGCAGAAGAACGGCCTTGGCGAGCGCGAGTGGTCCTTGAAGATCCCGGCGAACTTGCGGCGCATGTCTGCAAAGCAAAGCGGGGCCCTTCCGCGTCAGTTTACGGCGATCGACGGCGACGGCGGTGCGGAGGTAGAGGAAAGAGAAGACGGCGATCGCGAAACAGGAGACAGCAAGGAGGGAAAGGTCGACAACGTCGCAAAGGGGCGTCATCACGAAACAAAACAGATGGCAGGCGCACGCACAGGTAGACACCGATTCGTAGTCGTTCGGGCGCGTCCCGTACGACGTGATGAACCGCGCAAACGGCACGCCCGCCTTGAGCTTCTCCGTCAGGATGTCGCACTTGTTCAGAAAGAGCACGATGTTCGTTCGTGCGAGCAGCGGGTTCGACACGACCGACTTCCACAGGAGCACCGAGTCTTCCTGCGGCCGCGACCGCCGCCCGAGCCCAATCGTAGGTAGCCGAGGTGAGCGCGCGTCCCGTTTCCCGCACGTATCGAGGAGATCCAGTATGGGCATGAATGAACATACAAGTGAGTTACCGAGTACAGGAAGCGGGGAAAGGAGAGAGAGCTTTCACACACCAGCCGGCCAACACCCGGGTCTTCTTCCAGGACCTGATCAAACGGGCTCAGAGGTGCGAGGAAGATAATGGCGTCCATGTCGTCAAAGAAGGGTATCCACGCGGCTGCCATTCAGAACCAGAACCATCGTCAACGTCAACAATGACAGCAAAGCAAGGCCACCAGCGAGACAAGGGTAGGTTCTCTAACCTCGCTAGATCACAAACGTCATTTGTTAACCTCCACAATTCCTTTGTACAGTCGAAACATACATAGAAAATAACTCACACTAGATCTATGTCCGCCGACGTCGAACACGCGCCACTCGGGGCTGAGAATGCTGTCTTCTCGGAAACCGGTGTATTCGTGAGCAGGGACTGAGGAAGAAACAAACATTGGTGCACTTACTCGCCGACAGGGTGAATCGATGTTCTGAGACACCCAACGTCTTGATTCGCGCCCGTAGAATTTCGTCTGGCGTTGAGCATGTGAGCTTTCAACACTATACTCGGTGGCTATATGCGTGGACGTACCGTCTGATGGAACATAACGAAGTGCCGTGACCCGAGGCAAACAATCTAGAAAGCTGCATCGCGACGTGAGTTCGAAACGATTCCATCCAAATTCTCCATCTCTACGCGCGACACACAATCGTCAGGAGCGGAGCCAACTCACAATCCTGACATCTCCTCCAGCCGCAGCCCCTGCGCCCTCAGCAACTGGTGCGTAAGCGAATCCGCCCACAGCTGCATCATATCGTCCCCGCACATATGTATAATCCTTCCCGGGTCGTCCGGGTCGTCCCAGTCGATCCCGTCGTCCTCCTCGTCCCCCTCCTTCTCTGCACCCACCAGTTTCCCCAACCTACCCTTCCACCCAGACCACGAATTCACCTCGAGCTCCTTCGGGACCTGCACCCGCTGGCGCCTGTTCATGGCGCCGTCCCCCCCGGCGCCCAGCCTATCCTGCGGCAAGTTCGTCAGCGCTGCGAAGTGCGCCGACCGCTTGTACTTGCCCGTCGGGCACGCAGAGAGCTTGCCCACGAGGAACTCCTCGACCTGGACGAGCGGCGAGAGCCGCATCTTGAGGCGCAGGTGCTCGTCCGTGAGGCTCGGGAGCGCGTGCGCCGCGTCAGAGAGCGAGCGCGGGGATGCGGGGAACACGCGGGCGGCGGCGTCGCGCTCGCGCTGTTGCTGCTGCCGGTGCGCCTCGGACATGATGTCGAGGATGAGGTGGATCGAGCGCACGACGTTCAGCTGGATAACTGCGCGCCAGATGACGCGCTCGGCGCGGAAGGCCTGGCGATATGAGAGCATGAGGATAAGTGCAGAAGGCAGGAGATTTCGGAGAAGGAGAAGAAGGGGGGGGATAATATTATGCGTCTCGGGGTCATTTCTAGGTAATTTCGTCAACTTGCCTTCGGAGAAGCCATGAGCTGGAAATCTGTCCCATGAAGGGCAAGAAGAGCCATACGTCATTTTAATACATCGTCGTCCAGAGGCGCTAGAAGGCAAGGGGAGGGTGGGTAGGAAGCTGGAGACGTACTTTTTAGTGTAGTAGATTTCCCTTCGGACCAAGTTAGGAGTCGATTCAGCATGCCCCAACGACCGACCTGCAGGAAAACGCCACATACCTGATTCGCTCTGGCCTGCAGCGCGCGCGCGCACGCACATTCAACGAGGAATCGAGAATACTCAGAGGCTGCGCACGCACCGAGCAAGAGGACCTTGACTGGTTTGGGGCCTTTCTTCGCGGCGAGCTTCTCCTGATTAATCTGGTCGTCGATCTGGTCGGATATCTGGCGCGCTTCCTGCTCCGCGAGCAGACGCGCCTCGCGCGCCTCGTCCGTCTCGTCGTGCGGTGGCTCGGCGAGGTAGGTCAAAGGGTCGTCGTATGGACTCAGCGGGTGCATGGTGCGCGCGCAGGGGGAGGGGGGCGGGGGGCAGGCGATGGTGGTACGAGATAAAGTGTGTGATCTGGGGGGGCGAATAAGGGAGTTGAGCGGGCGCTTAGAAGAGCAGACCGGCCTTGGATGGTTCGTTGCTTCGAACGGACTGTCACGGAGTTTGTATTGCCTCGTCGGGAAGACGTATATGGGATGCGTAGGTGATGGGGCGTCGGAGCCGTCGAGAGGGGATCGTACGACGACGACGGCGGCGGCGGTGGTGGTGGTGGTGGTGGTGGTCAGGAGCAAGAGGGGACCGGGAGACGATGCGAGCAGTGGAGCAAAAGGAGCATGGGGCAGACCGTCGCATTACCGCACCGAGGCTGGACGGAAGAGAAGAATAGAAAAAGAGACATTCTTTAGCCGCATCACCCCACCGCACGTGGCTGGATCCTGCACCGTTCATTGATTTCATTCATTATCAATTTACATACAGACCTGGGCGTTCGGCCTGTGGAAGCGCTCGGGGCCTCGCCGTAAGATTTGATGGACGCGAGGAAGCGGGGCTGGAGGGGTCTGATCACAACACACGCCCACCTCGACAATCGCGATCACCCTCGAGACTCTCCGTCAAGCCATGGGACTACCGATCCTCACCCCCATCCAGCAAAGCGTGATGCCCGCGCGTTGCGCAGAGACCCAAGTGTTTCTGAACAGTCGCATCGACCATGAGACATTCCACGACTGCGCGCGTGAGCCCATCTCCTCTGAGCCTGGTTTCCCCCGGACGCTGTCGCGGAGTTCAGAATCAACGCTAGCCGAGAAAAAGGTTTGCTTCCGTCCATCATGCAGTATCGATCGTGAACCCAATCGCGCCGACGCCGACGCCGACAGGGATCTTCATGGACAACCAGGCTGTCCTGATCCCGTCCATTGTTCGTCCTCGAACACAGCGTCGTCGCTCTGAACGGCCCTCACAGGGACAGCACTCGCCCATCCCATCTGTTCGTCGCATCGCTGGTCGTCTCATCGAGATCGTCGGAGGGAGGCACGGTCGTCCAACGGCAGATCAAGGCTACGCGCGTCGCGATAGGGAACGCGGCACGACCAACACTAGCTACATCTAACTCCCACCTCGAGCATCACTCCAGGCTTCCACTGCAACGAGCCAGACACGACTTTGGAGTCCAACAGAAACGAGGGCAGCCGGGGCGTCTTACAGCATGCTTCCCAGTCGGTATCCCCGCCGACATCAAGCCCGCGACTCCCGATTCGCTCACCGCCCTCGTCGCGCCGCGAACGTCGGCGGTGCTGCCAGCACATAGCGAGGCTCGCGCTGCGCGACTGCGCGCTGATGCTGATGATCGCATGCATGCTCGCTATTTCCTTGCCGAGGTCAGCCCGCCATGCATCACGCCCTCACGCCTACCGCTTTCGACCGCGCCCATCCATCCGCGGCCGCTACCCCCCAAAAAACGAACCTGCAACGCGAGGAAATCGTGTCGCAGCGTGCGTAGTCGAACCCGAGCTATGGAATCTCGCGCGATCATCATCCTCACCCTTTGACATCAGTTACACCAGTGTCGTGCGCATTGCACAGTCATTGCACGTTGGAGCGAGCGAGGAGCCGCCTCGAGCGAAAGTAATGCTGATGTGCTCACCGCCTTCCTTACGCCGTGAACACCGGTGGTGCTGCTCATCGGCGAGGCTCGCGCGGCCCAATCCGCCATGCATCATGCCCTCGTGTCCACTGTTGATGGTGCATGAAAAAAAAATTTCGGGTAGAAAACGTGGGGGGGACTGCATCTCACACCAGGTGAGAGCGTGCTGAAAATGTTCGAGTGTTTATGACGGTCCCCATGCGTGCGTATATATCAGTAAAAAGATCAACAGCACGCAATTGAATTTCGGACCGAGTATGCACGGTGCCATCTCAGCGCTGGAAATATTCCTTCGACAATCTAACGATGTGCTCGAAAAGCATCTTGCTTTTAGACTCGTCTTTGCTGATGCGATCTCGTACAAGGTATCTACGACGGACCAACGGCCAGCTCGACTCCAAGCGCGCTTGAGATTGCCTTTCCGCTCCATCCTCGCCTCAATCTCCGCGGGATCGGTTCTCAATTCGGCTGAATTGTGCGCTATCTTTCGTACTCCTTGGATCTTGCACACCTCCGACCGGCGTCGATCCGGATCCTCGATCATCTCAGCCCTCCCGGTGCGGAGCCCGACCGGTCTTCGTCCCGTTTTCTCTGCCTCGGCCCCTGGTCCCGTCGAACACCCGAGGGACACGCTCACACAGAAGGAGTATTCCCGAGTATATTCTTGTCGCCTTGAGGCTCCTTGTCATCTTGAGGGCCCTTGCCGCACGGAATGAGAAGCGCAAAAGGCATCTACTAATGCGGGCACTTCGGGGATGGGGGTGAAAAGATAGTCCCGAAAAACTGGATATTCTCACTGTGGGAGACAGAATCCCCGCACCACCTGCTCGCTGCACCTGCTACGCTGCCTGTTTAATTTCTGATTGATACTGAGCCCACGCCTCCCTCTGCCTTCCTGCTACGAAGCCCAGGCGTTTCATATGACACTCTTCTCTTCTGATCGCGCACCCGCTCCGCGACGACCTTTGCCTGATATTGGTGCCTACGGACATGGAGGTGGGGCGCACTCGCTGATCTGAGGCCACCTTTCTGTAGCGTTGCACTGCTCTGCCTTGACACTGATGTGATTCAATTGATGGTTTGCTCTTGCGCACGAGCTCTTCGAGCGTCGTCTGCGTACCATCTGTGATGCATGAGTCCTTGCCGGTACCGCTGCTTGCCCCATCTCCCTCATGATCTCTGTGCAATCTGACATTTGTGCGCACTCAGGTTTCTAGGCGCGTCATGGCCCACGCGCATCGGAATTCGATAGTGACTCCCGCGAGCTGACTGTGTTGCAGTGCCTTCGTGAGATCCGCTGAACGGCTACGGACTTGCGACCACTTGGGATATGTCGAGTTTCGGACCCACTCAACTAGCAGTTTAAACTGCAGAGAGAAAGATTGCCTACGTGGACTTGCGCTCGGACAAGATTGGGCAGTCCTTGCCACGAATCTCTGGCTTCGGCCCGCTTTCTAGATCGTTATTCTGCACGGCCGCAAACGCATCCTCCACGCCCCTGCTGTGACATCTGCCTGCTCACGGATTGCACACTCCACGCGATCGCGTTCACACGTCATATTGGGTATATCGCACCGAACCCCGTCTTTCACGCATATAGCGCACACTCCGAATCATTGTTCTGCTGGACACCATCGCCACGCATCTCCCTTTCGTTCAAGCGCGGCCACACCGGCCGCAGATTATCAGTGGCCGGTGGCCGGCCTTGATATTTTCCCATGCACGTGATAGTTTCCTGCCGTCATGTGTTGCGGGACGCGCCAGGCTGGGCCCAAGCAGAACACCCTTCTCCCGTGCGCTGTGATTGCTTGGTGATTCATGAGGCATGGGCTGCGGAACGGGGCATCTTGAAAAATTTCCTGCTCCTGGCTGACTGCTATCTTCTCTGCAGTCTCCGGCGCGCTCGCTCTGGGGTGTCGGCTTTCACTGTAAGCTGCCGTTATTGAAGGCCGAAGACCTCGATACTCGGTCAATGGAGGCTCGCATAACGTCTCGCGCAGTTCCAACTTCCATAGGGAGAGCGACAACTGGAACAAGTCCCTGACACACCCATTGGCATCCCGATCAACCTTCGGGTCTTATGCACCTCGAACGTCACGTACTTTCGGCTATTCCCTACTTGTGCATCCCACGCCGCCCTTGCCCGGCGTTAACGCCAATGCTCTGCGTACCGTTCCGCACCGAATGTGGCTGACGGTGGAATATCTGGATTTCTGATGCCCACGGTTGACAGGCTGCCGTCAGAGTGCCACTGACGTCGACTTGCCGACGACGCAGCATAGCGGCTACAGGGGTCTAGGCCTGTGCGCACCCGCCTGCATCTCTCCAGGACGGACTCGTATGGATGATTCTGCTTTCGCTTCATCGGAGGCTTGCTCCTGATCAGAACCTTCGTATTATGTATGGGTGCGTCCTCGGGCTCCTGGGCGCTTCCGTCGACACATACCGACTCGCGTATGCGAACTCAGACGCCCGCGTTCGGCACATGCACATCATGCAGATTACGCCTCGCGTACAGTAAGTCCTCGAAGACTAATGGAAGCCTACGCTGTAGGGCCTATTCGCACCGACACACAGATTAGGCCGGGTCGTATAAGGACATATTCGGCGCATACGTACTTACGCCCTCGGTATGCAGTCGCATTCAATAGCAGGGGCCTGTTGGTCATGAATTCAGGGGGTCGCGCAAACCATGGGACGTGCTCAGCTGCTGTTACCCGGTGCAGGTGAATTAGGGACCAGACAGTGCGTGGCGTTTCAATTCAAAGGATTGATGCGTCTGGTCACTCGATCTGGCATGGCTACTTTGTCGTTCTACGATCGGGCGTTTCCTATATCCTTATGGGCTTACGGTGCTTCCAACGCGCATTTGGGGATACTTGGGACCCGAAATTCAGCGTACGTATGGCATGACTTCCTTCGACAGGCCGGACAATTCACAGCACCAGAGGACCGTGTTCCACGGCGTACTTAGAGATGAAGCTACTATGGATTGAGTCCCGTTGCTCCGTGGCGTCAATCATGGCCCTTTCCCAGACTTTTCCGCCACTTCCCCCGATTTCACAGGAACACCACCCCTCGTCGTCTTGTGCCGTAGTCTGCCGTCTATCGTCAGTTCGACGATTGTTCGTCGTTGTATCTGTGTCTTTGAAATTCCCTTTCCATCCCAGCTCTGATCAGGGACGAACGTAACATGGATTCATCGACAACGCGACATCTGGCCGCCTGGCCGCGGCCGAGCTGGGTGGGTTCAGGCCCTTTTTTGGAATATACGGGCCCTACGGGTGCCAGGATGCGCAGAGGGGCATCTTGAATTTGAATCATGCGGGTTTTACTTGGGCGCGACGCAAGAAGCTCGGAGCCGCGAAGGTTATTGGGCTGCGCGACGCCCAGGATTATTGTGCCCGTCTGTCTTTGCCACCTGCGTTTTTCTCATATGCACATACTTGGACGGCAGGCGCGCGCTCACGCAATCGGCCCTGTTCCAAACGATCCTTCAGCCTATTTCGAATCCTGCGGAAGGTCCGGCGCCCCGCCATACTGCGCCGGTCCCTACCAGTCAGTCCTCTCCAGCCTCATGTTGTCTCTGTCTCACTTTCATCGATGTCGTCAAGCGCCCGCCTACATGATACCACGGCCCGACGACCGCGCGGAGCATCAAACCCATCGCTCTCGAAATCACCAAACCACGTGACGTTCAGGAGCATTCGAGTGACTGACTTTGATCAAGAGCGCACCTAGTACCCCTGCTGTACTGTACCTCGCCTCGTAGCATCGAGGTACGAGCCCGCGCGTGATGCTGGCCTGATCAAAATATATTTCTGACACAGCGCCACAGTTTGATCGCAGACCTGGCTGCGTGGTAGTGCGTAGTCCTATGCTAAAAATTCTCAGATGCGTGCGCGTACCTTGCACCCAGATACGGGCGGGACTCGACCTCGACTGAAAGCCGAACAGCAAGGTGCATTAGTGGCGCGACGGGTATTAGCTGCACCCGAACTCGACGCCCGGGGCTGGATACGGAGGACTTGGTATTCGCGCTGTTCGGCGATCGTCCGATTCCCGACGAGCACGACGCACGACACCTACCCCCGCTCCGACAGCACGCGCGCATCCTACCACGAAAATGCCGGCTTCCCCGACGCGCGCGGCGCGGCGCGGCGTCGAAGCCCTCCCAGGATCCTGCAGCGGCCCCGCAGCCGCACGGTGCGCTCCATCGCTCCATACCCTTCCATACCGTGCCCGCACATGCTGGCAGTATGCTGGCAGAGGCAACCCTGCGATCGATCGCTGTCCAGGTGCCCGACGCCTGATCTTGACAGAGCTCGAGGGGCTCGCCCCTGGATTCGCGGCTCCGACACCTCCGCCCCTGCGCCTCCAAGGTTCCTGTCGTCGGTCTGTCGTCCTAGGTTCGAATTCCACGGGGGTCTGTCCGTGTCCGTCCCGGTCTGTCCGTCTGTCCTGGCCGGCCTGTGTCTGTGTCCGTGTCCGTGTCGCGTCGTCGCGGGGCCGAAGCATGCAAGGGGCACCGATCGACAAGCCTGCTGACTACAGGCCCCGCCGCCGTTGGATATAGGTCGAACCCCGACGTGCACGCGACCTCGGTCCCGACAACGACGGGCGGACGGAGTTGGACGGAGGGAGCCCGGCAAGCCTGCATTTCCGAATCGCGTCTGGAGAGGATCGTGCGTGCCCCATCGATGCATCGGTACTGCGGCGCGAAATGAGATTGCCCAAGGCTCCTTCAAAAGTGGTTATTTTGGCCGCGATAATGCACAGAAGCCTCTAATAATATGAACCCTTCCGACTGGTCGGAGCACTCTTCCAAAATTCTCAAAAAATTCTCGGTGGGAACTTTTTCCCCAGAAATTTCGCCGTTTGTCACATCACGTGATGTGTGACAGCAGTGGCAAATATTCAGAATAATTGTGCACTTTCTGTCATTGTTTAGCTATGATATATACACTGTGAACTACTTCTTATGCCTTCTGGTCATCGCAATAAACACAAAGATGCCGGGTCTTCGAGATGATTTTCGCCATTTTCTAGGGTTAGGGTTAATTTTTTTTTGTTTTGTCCTTCGAAACAGCGGATTTGTTCTAAAACCAGCTTTCCAGAGTCCAAAAATCTGGGTGTGGAGACAAAAATTAATTGATTGCGATGTGACATGAGGTGGCTAATGCCACCCATACCAGCTAGTGCTGTACCAGTGGCGCGGAGCACAACGAGCACCACGAGCACCCCGTGCCCGAGCCCGAGCCCGAGCGGTGCCTGAGCTCGCCCGGGTTCTGCCCTTGCTAAGCTCGCGAGTCCGTGCACCTCTCCTCGCTCGTCGGCATGCGCGGACGGGGCGGGCATACGACGGGGAGTCGCGAAGGAGTGCGATCCTCGTGGTCCCGCGCGAGCCGTCCTGATGCCGTATGTGTAGTGCCGTCCTCGTCTGATCACGCGCTGCTGATCGATGGTCCCGGAGTACTTGAGCGTCGTCGGAGCCTCGGTCAGACCACCGCGGTGCAGTGCGGTGCAGTGCGGTGCAGTGCGGTGCGGTGCAGTGCGGTGCAATATCAGTGCCAGTGCGATATCAGTGCCAGTGCCAGTGCCAGTGCCGGCGCAGACCGGTGCCAGTGCCGGTGCCAGTGCCAGGCCGCCGCTGAGGCGACCGCTTACCTTTCCGCAGATACGCGAGATCCCGATCCCAGATCCCGCTCCGAGATCCCCATTTATGAAGCCAAGGCGAGCACCGTTACTGTACTGTACTGTATAGGCGAGCACTACAGTGCGCTACTGTATAGGCGAGCGCAACACGCGCGGGCACCGGCTCGTCAGCGGCCACCCTTCCCGCGACACAGTGCTCCGAACCGCGCTTGGCTCGCCTGCCCCTCTAGATCTCGCGACGCCCGACTCGTGCGTCCGCTGGAGATCCACGAGCTGGCCTGATGGTCGCCGTCGCCGTCGCCGTCGCGCACACGCACACGCACACGCACACGCACAGGGCGGTGCTGCCTGGTCGTCTCGCAGTTATCCCGCTCGGTTGTACTGTCGTGCGCTGTCGGTCGCGGTCGGTCGGTCGCTTACATACGCACGAGCCCTTACCGGCGGGAGAAGCAACGATCAACGCGCAACGCTCGATGGTCCACAAGGTCCCACATCCGATCGCGATTCCCGTCGTCGGCGGCGCGCGGCGGCGAGCGGCGGGTCCACCCCCATGCAAGGCCGAGCGCGCAGCTGGGTTCGACGAGGGTTGGTGTGCGCGACGGACGACGCGGCGACGTGATCGTGCGGCGCGCGGGTGCGGACGGATGGGGGAGCTGGAGGAGGGAGCCTGGCGAGGACGCGCGCGCACGGTACGTGCATGCATGCATGCATGCACGAAGGGGTGGACACGGGCAGGACACGGGCAGGACCTAGGGCCGCGCGTGTGTGAAGATTGATCGAATAGAGCGGGGCGGAAAATAGAGCGGAACAGAGCAATAGGACGGAACGGTAAAACAAAACGGAACACGAAAATAAAACGGAACGGGAATGCAGGACTGAAACTGAACGGAAGTGGGCGGTCGACAGGGAAGAGCGGGACGGGGCGGACGCTAGAGCGCTGAGAGGCTGAGGGGTCGAGCGGCGCGTGGTGGGCGGGGAACGCGGCAATGCTCGGCATCGCACCGAGGATCGACCGCGCCCGCGCGCGAGAGAGCTGGGGAGGGAGAGAGGGGGGGGGGGGAACGGGAGCGTCCTGCGGGGCAAGCTGGGGCGCGTGGGCCCCGTCGGTGCGTCGGCGGCGCGTCGCGTCGCTGCCCGGCCACCAGCCCCACACCCATGCAAGGCCGAGCGCACAGCTGGGTTCGACGAGGGTTGGTGTGCGCGACGGATGACGCGGCGACGCGATCGTGCGGCGCGCGCGGACGGACGGGGGAGCTGGAGGAGGAGGGAGCCTGGCAAGGACGCGCGCGCGCCGTGCGTGCATGCATGCATGCACGAAAGGATGGACCAGGCTGGACCTGGGCGCCGCGCGTGTGTGAATATTGATCGAACAGAGCGGGGCGAGAGAAGCGGTGCGGAACGTCGCAATAGAGCGGAACATAAAAAAAAACCGGAACAGAGAGTTAGAGCGGGACAGAAAAAATAGAACGGAACGGGAAAATAGAACGGAACAGGAAGAACAGAACAGAGCAAGGAGAGGGAACGGAGCGGAGAAGTGGGCGGTCGACAGAGAAGAACGGGACGGCATGGACGGTGGGAGGCTGGGGCGCTGAGAGGCCGAGACGTCGGATGGTGGACGGTGGAGAAGGGGGAAGGGAAGAGGAAAGGGGCACGGACGCGTACGCGCCTCTGCGGGGCACTCGAGTGTGGGTGCGTGCGTGATGGGCGCCGGGCGACGAGGGTGTCAGATAGGCGTAGGGCAGGAGACCGCCGGGCACGGGCTGGCGCGGATCAGAACAGGGCAGAGCAGAAGGAGGGCGCGCGGGGACATGGCAGATGGCACGCGGCGGCGGGGAAAGGCGGGAGGGACGCGGGTGGGGGGATCGCGGACAGATCTGTGGGCTGCGCTGAGTGCTGGGATTGACAGAGGGTGGGCGGCGGGGGATGGATGGACGGACGGACGGCGGGGCGGAGATCAGGATCAGGAATCAGAATCAGAGATAAGGGTGGGCAGCGGATTGCTTACATGGACGCAGGAGCACCGTGCGTGTGAGAGAGCCAGCTGGGGCCGGGTGCTGATGGACGAGGGTGCCGGTGGGACGGTGTGTGCGGGGGTGCTTACAGTGCCGGCGGAGGGGGGGGGCATGTTGTGAGGGACAGGGTGACGGGATTGACAGCTGCGAAGAGGGCGACAGAACGGGATGGAAGCTGAGGCGCGGGTGCTGGACGCGACGTGGATGGGACGGCGTGGACGGATCTTGGGGGACCCGGCAGACTGGACGATCGCGTCCCGTCTTGCGAGGGCAGCACCGACCGGCACGGAGGCCGAGGGCGTGGCGCACCCGTCGACGCACCACCCGGCCGAGCTTGCAGCCCCCGACCGCGACTACTTAACACGCCCATGGCCTTCACCTCCAGTGCCCCCGCTGCACCATGGCCTGCGCATATACCCACCGCATCCCGCCCGAGCTCCATCTCCTCGTCCAGGACAACCTTGACCGCACAGCCCTCGCAGCCCTCGCACGCACCTCAAAGGCCCTCCGCGCACTCTGCGTCCCCGCCCTCTTCCGCGTGCGTACATGTCTCCCGCCTCGTCCTCACCCGCGTCCGCTCACGTGCCCCCCGCCCTGGACAGACCGTGTCCCTCCCGTCCCTCGCCGCCCTCCTCGCCTTCCTCGCCCACGTGCCCCCCGCCTACCGCACCCACATCCGCGCCCTCGACATCTCCACCCGCGCACTCGCCTCCCCGTCCGACCCGCGCACCCCGCGCACGGACGCCCTCGCCGCCCTCCTCGCCTCCACCCCGCGCCTCGAGCGCCTCGCCCTCCGCCTCGAGCGCGGCCTCGCGCCCCACATCCTCCCCTCCTTCGCCGCCCTCCCGCGCCTCGCACACCTCGACATCGCCAGCCTCGACGACGAGGCAGACGTCCCCCTGTCCGTCTCTCCCCTCTCGCCCTCTCCTGCCGCGCCGTGCTGACCCCCCCGACGATCATCCAGGAGCGAGCGCCTCGTCGTCGCCATCGCAAAATCCCTCCCGGCACTCACCCACCTCTCCCTCACACGCATCACCCGCTCCCTCTCCGCCGCACCCGACCTCCTCTGCCCGCCCTCGTCCATCCCCCCCTTCGCCCTCCCCGCATACCCCGATCTCCCGCTCGTCGCCAACGATCTCCCCCTCTCCCCGTTCGACGCGGACGACCTCGCCCTCCCCGCCCTGCTCGCCCTCCCCCTCCACCACCTCGCCATCCTCGACACCCACCTCGGCCACCCCGCCTGGGCAGCCGCCCCCGGCATCCCCGGCCCTTCCGCCCCCTCCGCCGCCCACGGAGCGCCCGCGCCCGCACCCGCGTCCGCGTCCTACACCTTCTCGACAGCCGCGCAACGCACCCTCACCTCGCTCGACATCGGCGCACACCCGGACCTCCCGCCCGCACACAACCAGGCCCTCGCAGCCGCCCTCCTCTTCCGCCGCGCCCCCGCCTCCCCGTCCTCGCCATGGCCCGCCCTGCGCACCCTGCGCCTCCACGCGGGCCTCCCCTCCCCCCCTGACTCCCCCGACTCCCCCGACTCCCCCGATGCACTGTCTCTCCCCCCCGCCGCAGACGCGCACCCCCACCCCCACCCGCGCCTCCCCGCGCTCTCCGCGCTCCGCCTCTCCGCACTCGTCCCCCCCGCCGCCCTCGCGCCGACCCTCCACGCGCTCGGCGCCGCCCGCGCACCGCTGCGTGCGCTCGAGGCGTGCGTGCTGCGCGAGGACGTGGGAGAGGCGTGTGTGGCGCTTGGGGAGTGGGTGAGGGGGCGGGCGGGGGCGCTGGGGGCGGGGGGTCGGGAGGAGGAGCAGAGGGATGCGGACGAGGACGAGGTGGACGGCGATGGCGACGACGGGGCGGCGCGGTGGTTGCCCCGCTTGCGGCTTATGCGCGTGCGCGTCGTCGCGGCGGTCGAGGGCGACGTCGAGGCTGCGGAGGCGGTCGTGGAGGAGAGGGAGGAGGACGCGGTGGATGTGGAGACGCGCGATGCGGTGCGCGCGCTGTTGGCGTGCTGTGCGGAGGCGGGGATCGAGGTGCGCGTGGAGGGCGTGGGCGTGGGCGTGGGCGTTGGCGTGGGCGTTGGCGTTGGCGTTGGCGTGGGCGTTGGCGTTGGCGTTGGTGGGAGTGGTGCGCTGGCGAAGGAGGCGGGAGGGGCGCCGCACGAGCGCGAGGGCGGGGGCGGGGAGAAGGTGTGCGGGCCATGAGCGGGCGAGCAGGCTATCACTCGCCCTCGGTAACGCATATACATATACCAGACATATACCCCGCCGTCGGGCCCGACCCTGCACGCCCGTGCCTACGCCCATGCCTACACCCGTGCCCGTGCGCGCTGCGACCTCCATATATCTGCGCCGACGCCCGTTTGGACTGCTCGTCCGACTCTCGAGCGTCCCTCGTCCCTCGACAGACCCTCGACCCTCGATCCCCGATCCTCCATATATCCTCGACCGACCCTCGTTTCTCGATTTTCGACCTCCGGCCCCCGGCCCTCGACCCTCGACCATCCCCGGACGCACGCGTATGGCGCCCCGTCGTCTCGTTTGCCTTCGCGCTGTGATACCCGGCCCTGATACCCCATACCCGCCGCGCTGCGCACTCTGATGCTCGTCCGCTCGCTCGAGGTGTCTTGCTTGTTTATTTATTCGCCCGCCCGTCGGACGTCGGACCGTCGCTCCCCGTCTTCGTCTGTCTGTCTGTCTGTCTGTCTATGTTTCTGTCTGTCCTTGCGTGTGTGTGTGGGTGGGTGGGTGGGTGGGTGTGGAAGTGGACGTTGGATTGTACGTGACGATAGCAAAGCAGCGGATTGTTTTTTTGTACCTTTTTATATACCTTTTTTGTCTGGTTTCGAGTTTGTGAGGCCGTGAATTCGGATGTGGTGCGGTGCGGTGCGGTGCGGTGCTAGCCGTTCAGCGCGCCGTGGGCGATTACGTCACACATGCTACGTCAGCGCACGCCCGAGCGGGGAAATCAGCTGAAAGCGGCCTCTGGCACTCCCTCCTCACCATGCCCACAATCCATCACCGCCCGCCCACCACCCCCACCTGAACCTCATCGACCCCACCACCGTATCCGTATCGTCCGCACCATGGCCGCACAGTCCAAGCTCCTATCCCACCCGTCCCTCTTCCTCCTCCTCCTGCACCACCTCCGCCGCCGCGCGCGCCAGCGTCGCACGCCGCTGCTGTTGCTCGCCATCGCGGCGGCCCTGCTGCTCCGCACGCGCATCGTGACCGCGCCTGGGGACGCGCTGCGTGCGCTGCGCGCGGCGAGGGGGGAGAGGGGGAAGACGCTGAGCAAGGAGGAGCGCGCGAGGGCGCTGCAGCAGGTTTATGTCGAGGGGCCGGGCGGGGAGAAGACGCTGCTGGTGCCGTTCCGGGAGGACATCGTGAAGGTGCGTGCGTTTGTGGCTTTTGCCGTGCCGCGAGCGGAATGCGTCTGACGGAGGCGGGCAGCTGCGAGTTAGGGAGACCCCCGCGGCGCTGTTCGAGGAGAACAGGGAGCGCTTTGCGCTGTTGCCGGCCGCGGCGCAGGTTAGGCCGAACGTGGATCGCGCGTTCGCGCGGCAGCTGCTTGCGATTTTGAGGATCGCGTTCCCGTCGTACCGCACGCGGGAGACGGCGATCGTCGCGCTGCATAGCGTGTTTTTGGTGCTGAGGACGGTGTTGAGCGTCGGGGTGGCGAGGCTCGACGGGCGGATCGTGCGGGATCTGGTGCGTCGCCGCGCCATCGCGTGTCTTTTTTGGCGGTGGGGTTCGTGTTGCTGATGTGGGCTTGATGGACAGGTGAGTGCTAATGGGAAGGGGTTCGTGCGCGGTCTGGGGTTGTGGTTCCTGCTTGCCGTGCCGAGTATCTATACGAATTCCATGGTATGCACGGCGTGCTCGGCGTGGTCGCGACGTCGCTGATGTTTCCTAGATCCACCATCTCCAATCCCGCCTCTCGCTCCGCCTCCGCACCAAGATCACCCGCTACACGCACGACCTCTACCTCTCCGCGGACCCGCACCTGCGCTACTACCGCGTCGCGGGCGAGGGCGGGCTCGACGGCGTCGACCAGTACCTGACCGCGGACATCGCGAGCTGGGCGGACAGCGTATCGGGGCTGTACGGGAACGTGCTCAAGCCGCTGCTCGACCTCACGCTGTTCACGTCGCAGCTCGCGCGCACGCTCGGCGCGCGGGGCACGGTCGCGCTGTTCGTGAACTATTATGTGACCGCGCGGATTTTGAGGGCGGTGACGCCGGCGTTTGGGCGCTTGGCGGCGGTCGAGGCGCGCTTGGAGGGGGAGTATCGCGCGGGGGTGGGCCGCGTCGGGCGGGAGAGCGAGGAGGTCGCGTGAGTGGACGTGGCTGGTGCGTTGCCCGTCGAGGCGGGCGTGGCTGACGCCCTTGGCCGCTCTCTTTCGCAGGTTCTATGACGGCGGGAGACGCGAGCGCGATATACTGTGGCGCGCGTACCTGCGGCTGATCAAGCACGTCAACTCGATCTTCAAGGTGGGTGGGCGGGCTCGTGGAACGGACGTCGCGTTTCTTTTTTGTGCTCACGGCGAGGTTTGGCAGATCCGCATCGCGTACGAGTGGACGGAGGACTACGTGATCAAGTATTTGTGGTCCGCGGCGGGATACTGCCTCATCTCGATCCCTGTGCTGTTCACGCGCAGGCGGTCCGTGGGCGTGCAGACGGGCGCCCGGCCTGCGGAGACGCACGACGAGGTCGCGAGCCGGACAGAGAGTGCGTTCCCGACCGCATCGCACAGAGCGCGGCGCGGCTGAATTCAAGCGCGACGCTTCACACAGATTACATATCGTCCCGACGCCTGCTGCTCTCGCTCGCGGACGCCGGGGGGCGGCTGATGTACGCCTACAAGGACCTCCTCGAGCTCGCGGGCCTCACCGCGCGGCTGTACGCCCTCCTCTCGAACCTGCACCACCTCCCCGCGCTGCCCGCCGCCTCCAGCGCCGCGCCCGCGATCGGCCTCGAGCACGTCGACGTGAGCATCCCGACGGAGCCGGGCGCCGCGCCGCTCGTGCACGACTTGAGCCTCGCGCTGGGCGCGGGGGACCATCTGATGATCACGGGCTCGAACGGGGTGGGGAAGACGGCGGTGGCGCGCGTGCTGGCGGGGCTGTGGGCGCCGGGTGGGGGCGGGCGCGTGAGGCGGCCCGGGAGGGGGGACGTGTTCGTCGTGCCGCAGCGCGCGTATATGGTTTCCGGGAGCCTGCTGGACCAGTGAGTCGCGCGCGTTCGTTTGGCGCGCGTGGTTCTGTTGACGTGTTTTGATGAAAGGATCGTCTACCCGCACACGTACCCGCAGTTTGTCAAGTCGGGGCGGAGCGAGCGGGAGCTGATGGAGATTTTGGAGGCGGCGCATTTGGCGTATTTGCCGGAGCGGGAGGGCGGGTGGATGACGAGGAAGGAGTGGAGGGATGTGTTGAGCGGGGGCGAGAAGCAACGGGTTAGTGGGGCCTGCTTTTGTTGATTTCGGCGTGATGCGGGATTGTTGACTTTTTACTTGGTGCGGTGCGGTGCGGTGCGGTGCGGTGCGGTGCGGTGGGGCGGTGGATAGATGGCCATGGCGAGGGTGTTTTATCACAAGCCCAAGTTTGCGATTTTGGATGGTGAGTGGTTGTAGGATTGTGTGTGTGAGCCGAGGCGGAGGTCTCATTTTTTTTTCTTTTTGTCTGCGGCGGTAGAATGCACGAGCGCCGTGTCTAGCGACGTGGAGGGGCAGATGTATAAACACGCCAAGATGTTGGGGATCACGCTTATCACGATCTCCCTCCGGTACGTAGCCCGCAGCAGTACCCATATCATCATGTACTGCGGTTCTGACGCTGTGAACGCGCGCAGGCCGTCCCTCGCGAAGTACCACACGCAGCTGTTGACGCTCACGGGCGACGGGACGGGCAGCTGGACGCTCACGCGCGTGGGGACGGAAGAGGAGCGGATGGGGATCGGGCGGGAGATCGAGATGCTGAGGCATAAGTTGAAGGAGGTGGAGACGTGGGAGGAGCGGGTGAAGGCGCTGGAGATCCTGTTGGGCCCGCGCCCGGAGGGGGAGAGGGAGGAGTGAAGTGGAGTGAAGTGAGTGTTGTGTTTGATGTTGTTGGTTGTGTGACGTGTACGTTAGGTTTCTTTTGCGGTGGGCCGTGTAATGACTTTTTGGGTGGTGTAGCAAGCGCGATGGGTCTCTGAGCTCGGGTTGTCAGGTTTTCATGGATATGAGGTTTGAATGTTTGAATTTCCGCGGCTTATATTAACGGAATCATGTGACCGTGTTCGGCGCGTTATATGAATGAGTCTCGCGTCCGATCGCAGGCGACGGCGACTTCATCCTGCCAGGTTATCGACGTCTCCAACGAGCCCAACATTCTCCTTTCGCGTCTCGATTCTGGAATGACGAAGCAGGACAATATCGTGATGCCTAGTGGTGAGCTCATCTGTTTCTTCTATGTGCTGCGCTTGAGTCCTTCGTGGTCGGCGGTCGCGCGTGTCGTGTTTCCGCATGACCGCGTCACCGACTGACGGCTCTTTGCCTCGTTATTCTAGAGGAACCGCGGTATGAGCGAGGCGGGAAGCATAGACCGGTCGTCAGCACTGCTGCGTCCGCCAAGCTGCGCACGTTGCTACTCGGCGACGAGGCGTCCGCCGCTGACCTGGCCAAGGCCGCCGTGAACCTCCAGCTTGCCGCCTGGGAAAAAACGAAGGCGGAGGCCGAGCTCCGGCAGGACGCCGGGGTGGGCAAGCTCGCTGACCTCGACTTTGGTCGGCTCAAGTTCGCGGGCGTGTTGGGTGAGAACGCGAAGGAGGACGTGGAGGTGATACTGGGCGCGATGGGCAAGGGGGCGCGGGGGTTAGGTAGGGAATTTTGGACGTGGGAGCGGGTGCCGTATACGATTAGGTGTGCGGGGCTGGCGGTCGCGAAGGACGTCGCTGAACGACCGAGGAAGAAAACCCGGGTCGACGCTGGGGAACAGCTGCTGGCGGACGTGGACGAATGGTATGATGTCGCGGCATCGTATGAGAGCCTGTGTTTCGTTCCTGATGAGCTCTCCTTTTAGGGTTCTTAAGAACGAGATGTACCTTCGTTCGATCTCTAGGAAGCCAAGCTCGGCGACGCCGCAGACTAAGACTTGGATGTTTGGGCTCATTCGGATTGAAGACGTTCCTGGTGTTGTTCCTGGCCACGCGCCTGTCCGCGATGACGCTGGCGCTACCCTCGCCGTCAAGATACCTCGCGATCCGTTGAGTTCTCTTCCCGGATACACTATCCTCGACGCAAGGCGAGTCGACGCGGTTTACCTCCAGCCTACTTCGGATGCGTTCAGAGTACGTTGGGGTATCATGACCGACGGTATCTTGACTGGCCTCAACTGGGACAATGTCTTCGTTGCGGGTGGGGTGGTCCTCGGCGCCCTCCTTACCCCGGAGATCCCTCCAAAACACGCCGACGCGCCTCACGTCAATAAGATGGACGAGTGGAAGTCGTCGGACATCGACATGTACGTCTACGGCCTCGGACCGGACCTCGCGAACGAAAAGATTGAACACATCGCCGCCACGTACAAGAAAAATCTTCCCGATGGCGCGCCCTTCCTCGTGGTGCGGAATTCGCAGACGGTGACGCTGTACTCGGAGTGGCCGCGTCGGAGGGTGCAGATCGTCCTGAAGTTGATCGGAAGTCCGAGAGAGGTTTTGTTGAATTTCGACCTCGATATTTGCGCTGCTGGATTTGATGGCAGCAACGTGTTTATGCTTCCGCGGTGTGTGCGTGCGTTGGACAGTGAGTTCTTTTGGCAGATGCTTGGTGGACATCGCTGACGTCTCCTCTAGCGGGGACCAATGTTTTCACGATGGACCTCATCAACGGCCATTATTTAGGGGATCGAAAGGCTACTCGAGACAAAAGGTCAATCTCCTTCAGCTCTCGTCGTCCTATTTACTGAGTTCCTCATAGAGTGTTCAAGTATGCGAACAAAGGCTATGGCATACGTATTCTTCCCATGTACATCGCGGCTCTCTCGACTTACTCGAATCGGAAGAAGCTCTCTGCCATTGCACGCGGGGAACGGCTGTACGCCGAAATCACGCTACCCAAAATCGCTTCGGACTCTCGATCGTGGACGCAAAAGATCATCTCCGAGTACGAAAAAGTCGGCACTCACAACCGCCCCTTTCATTGGCCGCACGGCGCCTACCCTCCCGTCAAAAGCGATAAACCAGTCTTTTCACATGCGATGCTGGAGAGCTACGCACAGGTCACGAGCGAGCCTTTGGGGAGAAGTTGTTTGACTGGATTCTCGCTTCTCATGAGGCACGTCGCCTTGTGGGAAGAAGAGGTCAACGGAAACATCATGTGAGCGCATAAACTGATGTGCCGACAGCATACCAACATATTATATGGACAGGATTTTCGAAGACCTCTGGGCAACGGATACGTATGGCGAAGGCCCTCTCCAGCAGGTTGCCTACGATGACTCGCCCCCGTGAGTGGCGAATCTGCCCTCTCGCCCTGACCAGCATAGGTTGACATCCAACGCATCCAGTTACGCATGGGATGAATCGTTTAGCATTGAAGGCTTTGCGCGAGCCATCGATGGTTTCAACGAAAAAGAGGCCTCGAATGTTCAGGAGAACCTTGGTTGGATCAGCGAATCTCCTCTCGAAGACAAGCCGATATCCGCTGCGCGCACCACATATGGCAGCACCATTAGCGAAGTACTTTCCCCAAAGAAAGACATCTTGATCCCCATTCTGATCCCCGAGGATTTCCTTGAGTTTGCCAACGAGATGACTGTACAGGCTTTACGACGGGCTCTCAATCTCGATCAGAGCGTTGATTTAGAGCCTCTAAAGCCTGCGAAGACAGATCCCCAGGATGATGAGGGAGAAGGGAGCGAGAAGCTAGTCATTTGGCGCCTCGACAAGGTTTTGAATTGGCAGATGTTAGATCGCAGGATCGATGAGTTCGTGTATTTTCTTCTATTGAATGCTCTAATCTTGTTATTAACCATCCCATCCTTCATCTCAGGGTCCGAGAAGCACTTTGGGCCTTCCATCGCACTAATGAGAGAATGGTGGTCAAAGGAGATCAGCGCATGAAACTTTTGAAGACAAACATCTCAAGGCGCGCTATCAGGACCACCGTCGAAGACGAGACAGAAGCGTTCGTGCGATGGGTGGCGCGGAAGCCCTACCACGAATCCACAAAACTCCCCGCAATGTATGTGCTGAATGAGGACTATGGCATGGACGACCTAGAAGACGACGATGGCGGTAATAACTACGACAACGACGAGGACGACGATTGATGCGCTCGTCTCCCAACCAATATCCCATATGATGTAGGCGCGAACAACATCAAGCTGCATCGCTGTACGTTCTGCTGTCGGCTTCAGGCGCTCTTGTTGCATACTGTTGTTATGTTCTATCTTTCTTGATTCTCCAGTATCTTTTCAGAACCATCGATCCTGGTCCTTTGGCTGTGCTATTCTTGTCGTACTTGCTGAGTTGCTAATGATCCACTCCGGGCATAAACGTATTATACTTGTGCTTAAGTTTACCCATTTTCTATCAATTCATAAGTAGTTCTACAGTGATTTCAAGTTCTAGTCACTCATACCCTTCTTTGGCTTGTCTGTTGGACGCTGAATTTTCTGGGGCTTTACTTATGTGCGCTATTATGCGCTTTCATCATCACATATCTCTCGTACTATCACAAGGCCTGTTTGCGCTGATCTGAGGAATGATCCAACCAAGTCCATTCCTAGGATGATCGTCACGCGAGCGTGGTGGCCGTCTGGGAGAACGGAGTGAGCGGAGCGCACTCTAAAAATAGAGACCACCGCCAGGCAACGCTCACAGTTAAAGATACGCACGGACCTTTTGAAAGTGACCAGAATAGATGTGTTTTAATAAGATGGTTGACATCGAAACTCACCTGCAATGGGATGTCTACATTTCTTATATGGGTTCGCGTCAGCACGACATACATCCTCTAGATATCGTCAAGATGAGGTACACGCAGGCGCTAGTCTAATGATCACATGGTAGCCTTTAGAATAGGCAAGGCTGGATGATCGAAAGAGGCTCGCTGTGAGAACGGATACGGCAAATCATAGAAGAATGAACGCCACCTCACGGGCTATTGTATCCACGATCACGACGGTCACAAGAGTGCCGGCATAAACCACCAGCGCACTTTCGCCGCATATACTTCCCACTCCTTTCCGAACTGCTTCTTCATCTCCTGGTCCTCTGCGATTGCGCGACGAACAGCGACCGTGACACTCCATGCCCACCACGATGCCCACATTGTGATGACGAAAAGGCCACGGGGGTTCAGTAGGCCGCTTTCCACGAGAAAGCTGCCGCGGGTAAGTTGCGAGACAGGTATCCCGAAAACGAGTAGAAGGGATCCGCAGTAACTCGGATGTCGGACATAGGCGTACGGACCGGAGGTCACGAGTTTGTGGCCTTCAAAAACTGTCAGGTCGAATGTAAACAGGTGGCCCAGAGTTCGGAAGCAGATAGCGCGAATAATAGAGCCGGTTATTGCTGCTGCAAAGCCCACTAGGAAGGGTAGTGTCACGAATGAATGTGCTTCGGAGCGAGGAGGGAGATGAAGAAGAGAGAGAAAGGGGATATAATCGGGCGGAAACAGTGCGAGGACCTCAAGCGATGTGCAGAGCCAGATGAAAGGCTGCTGAAGCTGAATCAGGGACAAGTATAGATCAGCAGACTGCGTGAGGGTGCTTTTTTTACTTTGCCTACCGCGAATATGAATGGGGCCACACGTAGGATGAACCACTCGTCCGTGTGGTACCGGCCCTTAGAGGGGGTTTTGTTCGGTGGCGTAGTGGCGATCTGCGTGAACAGGGCTTGAATGACGACGAGTGTAGCTCTGAGTGTGGACATTATGATAACCGATGGGTGTGGGGAGGTCCTGCGATCATGATAGCCTTTATATACGCATTGGCACAAGGTTCCACGGTTACAGCATAGGTCCATCCCACGGTCAGCGCACAAGAAGTTCTTACGATCGAGACCTAGACGCAGAAAGAAGGTTCGTTGTAAGGGGGTTGATAAGTAGATCACCTACTTACTCGAATTTACATTTCGAGATTGACATCAGTACATATGATGACGCTGCTAATCAAGGTTTCATGAATCTCGCGTAGATTCCGGAGCTGTATGCTTCTCCGCGGACTCGATGCTTGATCAGATATTGTCCGCTTAGGATTGAGCAAATGAAAGAGCTTATAGGATGCTCGTGGCGTCACCTATATGATCCAGTCAGGATCGCGTAGGGCGTCCACAAGTTCCATAAGGAAAGAGGGGCGGAACGTTGCGTTTTGCGGACTGCGAACCGGAGTTCCTTCTTGCGACAAGGAATTCGAACGCGGTCCAGTCCCTTTCTCGTTTCCAAAATCGCGTTTATCCGGGAAGGCCCAGGATATGATTTCAAAACATGTATGGACGTGTCTGAGTCTCGAACGAGGTGATATCCCATCAGTTGAAGATTGGTTCTTGGCGGTTTTGAGGATTGTTGACCATCGATTGGGCTGTTTTGTGACTAACTCAGGAGATTTTCGAGGCCATCGTATCAGGCAAACCAGACAACTCTGTAAACGCCATTAGAGTGCATACGGTGTATGGAATGCTCCGAGTCCAGGGGAGAGTTCAAAGTGGCCATGAAAGGGATTGAGCACTAGAAGAGCGTAGTGACCACTTACGCGCCGCATCCCAATGCAGGTCTGCGTTGGGAATCACCGAGAGGCTTCTAGTCATAATGAAAGCTGAAGCCGAGCAGTCCGTAGTGGACGGTGATCATGCCTCGTTTGTGAACATGGCGCAGATGAGGTGGCAATGATCTGAATGGTGTGAACGGCAAATTAAATCGCGACAACGAATCAGCCAATCATCAACATGATATCAGACGCTGCTGGATTAGGACCTGTTCCTATTCATAGACTTCAGCTTGGTATGAATCGAAGGTCTGTGGGAATCCCCATGGGGTTCGATGGGTACACCAGCCGAAACAGTTGAGGCTTCGGTGCCGATGTAGTTCTGTGACCATGCCTCTTCAATTTCCGAGGAGGAATGGCCCTCAATGAAGAGCTCGAAGTCCTCTACGAGCAGGCCCTCGCACGGCAGGCAAAGGACCATATTTAGGCATGACGCTGTGATTTTATACCATTGAAGATTTGTTCCGAAGTTAATAGATAGACTTGCCTTCGCGTGCTAGAACCACGCAAATAAAGTTGGCCCGTGATACAGTCGTTCCCTTGTTAGGCGCCATATAGGGCGACAAATCCTTGATGTTTCTGTGGTCAATCAATACGATCGTGGGTCAAAAGATAAACATCATTACCTATGAGCGCATTTCATATTTCGATTGTGTCAGTGTAGATGCCATCAGGTCGTGGCCATTTAATCCGGTACAAGATCAAAAGAACCTCGTACCAGCTGTGCCACGCTGACATAGACCTTGAACTACAGTGTCATAAACCCTGACCAAAGATATCAACAATTGGGAGTATTAGTTCGATCTGACTCACCATTGTTTGATCTGTGGCGAATGGTCGTGGAATGCTGGATCCTGATAGATGGTGTTGCGTAGTGAACATACTCTTGAATACGATTAGAAGTAGGCGAGCACCAGGAAGAGATAAGGCATCGTCGAATTCAGTGTGCAGCAACATAATACCTTCAACCCCTGAAATGCTCAACAACGCGGATAAAGGAGGGGAAGAGTAAAATGCGGGCGGCTGAAGACGTTTCATCATCCTTACGTAGCGACTGCGCTGGCCATAACAAATGAAGCATGGCGAGTCGAAGGTGCTCATTTGGGCCAGCTAACGCTTGCCCTTGCGTTTGCGATGAATTGTGCTAGCGCAATTGCAGGTAGTCAAACGAGTAAATCTGATAGACGAACCGGTGATTTGAATGAGATGTTTTGAGCAATGACATTCACAAAAGGCAAACTGGATAAGCTTGAAAGTCGGTGACTACAGTCGAGTTCTTTCAAGTGATCGCGCGACTAAAACCAAGCTGATGATGTGCGGGCGCAGACTCTTCACCACCTATGCGAGGCGAATAAGAGCCAAAAGAAGGACTTCGAGATGGTCATAGCATTGCATAATTACTCACCATTGCGGAGAGGCACGCACCGAAGCTATGCCGTTACTCATAGGGCCCATCCTTTTCCCTTTCTATCCCGAATGATCTTCGCGCTTATTCCGACGCGGGCTGCATTCACTAGACTTGACCTAGTAGGGCTGCTCGGAGGTGAGTTGTCTTCTATTGTAGTATCTGTTATTTGAGTGAGGAGTGGAAACCCCATCCTGCTCTGCAATAAACTATCGGCGTCATCGAGGGAAGGTTGCATTTTGAGTACATGGGAACCGCGCAACATCGTGTTTTCTGTGGTTTCATTCTCATCGATTTGTTGTACGTATCATCGCAATGAGCGCACGACCTCGTAAAGCGCTGGGTGCACAGAATATTCGGAAGTCAATAGAGTATTGCATCCTGACTTTGTCGCCCTATGGGCATATGAAAGGATACCTTTCTCCTCCGCTATCAACTTCAGCATAGGCAATAGCAGCAGCTGCGCTTCTGTCCCTAATTTCTGCTCCTTCTGGTCGTGAAGTCGGTTTCATCCTCAACATTCTTCTCGAAATCTTCCAGAGAACATTCGTTGTCAGATTTGGAAAGTTTCGTCCGGTGTTGATGCTGCTGCTGGGCGAGGCAGCTCGGAGGACAGGAGCCGCATAACATTTTTCTGGGCCAACGAGGACGTGCCACATTGGATGGCAAGCGGCAGAGGGAAATTGGTGAAAATTATAGCAGGCAGAGATAACCCACGATCTAGACTTCGCGGTGTCATTTCAGGCGTATTTTGTCTATACACCATTTGTGTTGACGGACAATCAAGATGGCAGGTGATATGCAGTGATATCCTGCTCATCAACAGGAGTTTGAAAGAGTTCGAAGCAAAGGCGATACATCAAGAAGGAAGCATGTGTTGTTGGGACATCATGTCGGACGGCGGAAGGTACACAGGCAGACACAGGCGCCTTGCAGGAATGCATGAACGTGGGAACTTGGACTTCGGACTCTGCCTCACTCTTCTTTGACGCAGAAAGCGGTTTGACTTTGCTACTTTGCTAAGGCCTGCTCGTCGAGGAGCCCTCGGCTGATGCACTCCCGTGGAGTTTCTCTTATACGACTCTCCTCGAAATTTCAGCACCTGTTCAAACCATGCGTTGACTCTCGCGCATTCTCGGCTCTATCACCGCGAAGGGGACAGCCTATCAACAATAAAGCCTTTTCGAAGACTTTGTTACTCCCAAAGACAGCATTTCCTCTTTGGACCGACCCGTCGAAGACTGATCTCGCATTTCGGAGCAAAACGTGCGACGGGTTGTATAGGTGGCAGGTCGGACTCATACTTTGTCATGTTATGAATGCTCGTGTTGATGAGACCTGTTTGTCGAGTCAGAACGAGCATGCGACCGGGCCATCCTTTGTCCTTCATGACGGACCTCCATATGCCAATGGGAATCTCCATATGGGTACGCGTTTCAGGCGTGGAATATAAACTGCGTGCTAATATCTTACAGGGCATGCCTTGAATAAAATATTGAAGGACATAATTAATCGATACCACGTATCTTTGGGACACCGAGTACAGTAAGCCTTGAATACAACCTATCATGAGCAGCCTCAAAACACTTGTTGGTTGAAGCTATGTGCCAGGATGGGATTGCCACGGGTTACCCATCGAGAATAAGGCACTTCAAGGGCTCACAGTACGTACTTAACAGTGTCTAGGGTCAGTGCCTACCCTGAACTGGCGATCAGAGGGACATTCATAGTCTTTCACCACCCGTCATTCGTTCCGCGGCATTAAAGACTGCAAGGAAGGAGATTGCACGCCAAAAGGAGGAATTCCAGCAGCTCGGAATAATGGCAGATTGGAGTGACGAGACGACGTATCGCACGCTTGGTACGTATTCTTCGTTAATTTCCATAATTAGCTCAAAACGTTGATCATTTGTGAAGACCACGAGTATGAGTTGAGACAGTTACGCGTGTTTCAGAAAATGGTTGAGCAAGGCATGCGTTGGGCCGTTCAAAGTACTGGACTGTGCTAACTAGAAATGACCAGGTCTCATCTATCGTCATTACCGCCCGGTGCACTACTCGCCGTCTTCCCGCTCTGCTCTAGCCGAAGCTGAATTGGTATACCGTGATGATCATATCTCTCATTCCGTCTACGTCGCTTTTACGATCGATCCTCAGTCAGGAAGTATGAGCTCCACGCTTCGAGGCTTGCTTGCCAAGGAGACGAGTGTGTGTCTACTGGTTTGGACCACGACACCATGGACGTTGACTGCAAACATGGTAGCATACCTGCCTCTATACATTGTAAGATGAACTGATATAATATGCATATAGGGGATTGCTGTGCATACGGATATCGACTATGTCTTAGTACGATCAACGTCAGAAACAGCAGATAAGGTCTTCATCGTTGCGGCAGAACGCCTCTCTGCCCTGGCACATGTCACCGGAGAGGTCGAGGTCCTTGCCATTGTGAAAGGTATGCTGATCTACGTTGATTTGAAGCCCTCGTTCTGACGTATGATTTATAGGTTCTGACCTGGTTGGCACCGCCTATCTACCCCTGTTTACGTCTATCGCCCCGGCTATCCATCCTTCACAGCCGTTACGTATCGTTCCTTCCTCGCATGTTACCGCGGAATCCGGCACGGGCCTCGTCCATTGTGCCCCTGCGCACGGAGCTGAGGATTACAATGCATTCCGGGCCCTTGGTCTTATCACTTCTTCGTCAACTATCCTCTGTCATGTTGGCCGGGAAGGCACATTCACTGATGAAGTCGCTCAGGTAGTCGGGGAGACCGTAGGCAGGTTGTTAGGTGGTCAAGCAGTGCTGAAAGAAGGATCCATGGCCGTCATCCAACTATTAAAAGAAATCGGAGTTCTTGTCAAATTGGAGAAAATCAAGCACCGTTATCCGTACGATTGGAAGACTAACGAGCCCATCATTGTAACGTGCGTCGCGTTCCCGATCTTAGCAGTTCAAGATATGCATTGCAGGAAATTGATTAGCAACTTTCAGCGCGACTTCTCAATGGTTTGCAAATTTAGACAACATTAAGGAGAACGCGCTTCGGGCTCTCCAAGACGTGTCATTCTTCCCACAAGCTTGTAGGCAGTCGCACACTCTGTATACTTAGGCTCATCTCATGAGCGCCAACAGCTCGCAACCGCCTGGAATCCTTCATTAAATCCCGATCCGAATGGTGCATCTCGCGACAACGTGTTTGGGGCGTCCCCATCCCCTCGCTCCATCACATTGCGACTGACCGTGCGATTTTGGACTCGGAAACGCTTGACCATATTTTGAACGTTCTCCGGGACAAGGGTGTTGCGTACTGGTGGAATGGACCTACTGAAGCGTTTGTCCCGCCAAAGCTGCTCGCGGACGGTCAAAACGCGAACGAGATATGGAGGAAGGGGACAGACACTATGGATGTGTGGTTCGACAGTGGTTCATCGTGGTCAATGCTGGAGACACGGGAGGGAAGACCCCACGCAGATGTTTGCTTAGAGGGATCTGACCAGCATCGTGGGTGGTTCCAAAGCCAACTACTGACCGCCGTTGGAGTTTCCAGTCCCAACTCGCACGATGCCAAGGCACCATACGGGACCCTCATAACACATGGGATGGTACTTGATCAAGAGGGCAAGAAGATGAGCAAGTCGCTAGGGAATGTCATTAGTCCGATGATGGTCATCAGGGGAGGAGAGGTATAATTTAATCTTTGGATCTATGCCTCAATGTTGATTATTGGCGCAGGACAAAAAAAATGAACCAGCCTACGGAGCAGACGTCCTCCGTATATGGGCAGCAACTGTTGAGTATTGGCGCGATATGTCCATTGGTCCGACAATCTTGGCCCAGGCGGCCGAGTCCCTGCGGAAACTACGCAATTCGGCACGTTTCATACTCGGCAACATCGGCACAACAGAGCATCGGAAGGATTTTGTGCGGGTCGAACAGAAAGACCTCGGTTTAGTAGGTTCTTCCATCTGGCTTGCGAGTATCTCTCTCACAAGAATCTCAAGGCTGAACGATACGTAATGCACGAGTTGTATATCCTTGAGCGGACGGCATTAGATGGTTACAATACCTATAACTTCCCGAAAAGTACGTTCGGTTGAAGTTTTCCACGAAAATTTGCACATAATGCTGATAATTTCCTAGTAATCACTGCGCTCAATTCCTTCGCAAACGTTACCATGTCCTCTCTCTATTTCGACATCACTAAGGATTGCTTGTACGCCGATAGCGTGACAAGCTTCGATCGGAGGGCTGTGGTCACTGTCCTTGAGCGGGTGAGCATCAAATGCATGCTTCCTGAGCATAAATCATCTAATCTCACTCAAAGGTTCTAGATACCATGGTTCATATCATGGCACCTGTGGTGCCTTACCTTGCCGAGGAGATTCACCACGCTGTGAAGGGTAGTAGTGATAAGTCAGTTGACCAATCTGTGTTTACAAAAAAGTGGATACCCTTGGTGAGGGACAGTGATGTCGTTCACATCTTATCACGATTGTTAATCGTCTCCTGTAGCCCGCGGAATGGGAGGATTCCTCTGCTCATAGGGACATGGCTGAACTACTCCGCATCCGCGGTGCCGTGTTGTCCTTGCTGGAGAAAGCACGAGAGGATAAGTATGTTCTATCTCAGCATGTCTTGCTTCGTTGCTTATGTCGACCTTTAATTATATCTAGAAAATTAAAAAACTCATTAGAAGCCGAAGTCGATATTCTTGTACCAGATGGCACCTCGGAGGGTGTGCCGCTCGTCGAACTTTTAAGGCGCGAAGGTCAGCAGCCTTGATAGTGGGAATTTTCTTCCTTCTCTTATCATATCCGAGCGTAGAGTCCTTCCTCAAGACACTCTTTATTGTGTCCGATGCGTCATTGGCTGATGAGGGATCGTTGGGTACTTCGTCGCCGGAGTGGACGTACTCCGACTCGATACCAATAATGGGTAATACTTTCTCTTCTTCTCGCGAACTAACTCCCTGACGTTTCCCTCTAGGCTCCGAGGAAGAGATAGTGGTTCGTGTTCGCACCGCAACCCAAAGCAAGTGCCCCAGATGTTGGACGTATACGCGGCCTGAAGAGGACATACTCTGCGAGAGATGCTCAAAGGCTGTTCCAACTCCAGCATAAAGTCTCTTACATCGCAATCTTTATTCGTAGATATTCCCAATGTAACTTATCACCAGCGCAACTCAGTATTTTGGGTCTTCATCGCAAAGAAGGTGAAACGCTCACCCGAGCGAGTTGTTGAGCATTCGAGACACGATGTAAATTTAGTGGGATTGAGTCGGACAACGTAAAGCACGATAGCCGAAATCTTTCCTGACCGTGACGTCCATCCCACTCTCGAGGGTCGGATGCTGGCTGCTGGCCACGGCGCACACCGTCTTTGTCTTCATGCTCGAGACAGAGTGTTCGGTCATGGGCGACATCTGATAACAGCCAAACGCATCGAGTCACGCCCAGTTTTTGCACGCCTGCGGTTGCCACCCTCATTCACCATTCGACTCACTTCTTCCTCTACATCTCCCACCTCCATGGCCTCCCCCGAGTCGCTCACTCAGGTTCTCAAATCACTCTCCATCACTCCCACCACGTCTGTGTCGCATGGGGAGACGACTTCTCCTGCTGCATGGCGAGAGGCACTCCAGGGCACACAGCAGGTCCCGAACGACTTCGAACTCATTAAGACGCTGGTGTTCAAGCCCAAGACCGCAAAATCTGCTACCCCGATTCCCGTGGTTGTAATCGCACGCGATGAGACCGAGACCAACTCCAATGCTCTTGGGAAAAAGCTGAATCTAAAAGAGCTCAGGCTCGCGTCGGAGGATCTGCTTTCCGAGTTCTTCTCACTCAATAAGGACTCTCGTAAGATTTTGCTTCTCTCGATGCATGATCAGATACTATAATCGATATATTGCAGTCTCTCCCCTCGCTTTGGACGCACAGACATTCCCGAAGGTCGTCACTGTTGTTGATGCTTCTCTCGCTACCTCTACGGCCCCACTGGCCATCCGAGCATCTTCCTCAAGCTCAACCCTATTCCTCTCCGGAAGAGATATCCTTACCTACCTTCGCACGCTCGAGACCGCAGAGACCAAACTGATCGAAGTGGATTTCGCAGCTCTGAAGACGGAGGCTGTGGGTGGTGTGACTGCGCAGGCGAAGACAGAGAAGAAGGAAAAAAAGGATAAAAAGTCGGAGAAAGAGGAGGCGAAGATCGAGGGCGCTGTGCAGGTTGCTATCGGGGTGAAGAAGGAGGTTGATTTTGCGGCATGGTATACTAATGTGAGTGTGGCGCTATATCATATTACTCGAGTCACCGAGGCAGTCTTTGTCTAGGTTCTCCTCAAGGCAGATATGATTGACTATTACAGCGTGAGCGGATGTTACATCCTCAAACCGTGGTCATATAGTATTTGGGAGATTATCCAAGGTCAGTCCCGCATGCGGCAATCCTTTGCAGAACGCTCACGATTGACATAGAATGGTTCAACTCAAAGATCAAGGAAATGGGCGTCGACAACGCGTCTTTTCCCATGTTTATCTCCCAGAAAGTATTAGAGCGTGAAAAGGACCATATTGAAGGTTTCTCCCCAGAAGTTGCGTGGGTTACACGGGCGTAAGTCAATCATGCGTTATTCTTGCGAGTCGCTACCTGATTGTAATCGGTATCATAGTGGCCAATCGGACCTCGAGGAACCCATCGCTATTCGCCCCACGTCGGAGACTGCGATGTATCCTTGTGAGTTCACTGTGGAGCGATCAAAACTTGTCAGTGTCTGATCAGATCGCTATCTTTTTAGACTACGCAAAATGGATCAAGAGCCACCGTGACCTTCCCTTGAAACTGAATCAATGGAACAGTGTTGTCCGATGGGAGTTCAAGAACCCTCGTAGGCAATTCAAGATTCTCTTCTCAATATGCTATCTCACTGCCATCTTCAGAGCCTTTCCTCCGCACGCGTGAATTCCTTTGGCAGGAAGGACACACTGCGCATCTGACAAAGCCTGAGGCTGATACCGAAGTGCATCAGATTTTGGACCTTTACCGCAGGGTCTACGAAGAGCTCTTGGCTGTCCCCGTTATCCCTGGCATAAAGTCGGAGAAGGAGAAGTTTGCCGGTGGATTGTACACCACGACTGTTGAAGGCTTTATTCCAACCTCCGGGCGCGGTATTCAGGCAGCCACGTCTCATTGCCTGGGGCAGAACTTCTCAAGGCCGGAGATGTTTAACATCTTCGTCGAGGATCCCAACGACCCGACTGGTCAGGGCAAGACCTATGTTTGGCAGAATAGCTGGGGTCTGTCAACGCGCACGATTGGTGTCATGGTCATGGTACATGGCGATAACCAAGGTCTCGTCCTTCCCCCGCGCGTTGCGAGCGTGCAGGTCGTCGTCGTCCCATGTGGTATCACAGCGAAGACAAGCGAGGCGCAGAGGACGGAAATCAACGACAAGTGTCAGGTGCTTGTCGACACTCTTAGAAAGGTGGGTGTGCGCGCCAAGGCAGATTTGAGGGACGGGTACACCCCTGGATGGAAGTTCAACGAGTGGGAGCAGAAGGGAGTGCCCTTGCGGTTGGAGATCGGGCCTCAGGACTTGGTGAAGAAGCAGACACTCGGTGTCCGCCGAGACACAGGCGTGAAGGCACCTCTCGCTCTGGCGGAGTTGGACAAAGCCGTTCCGGCGTTGTTGGAGACCATCCAGCGGGAGATGTTTGAGAAAGCTAAGGAGACCTTCACGTCCCGTACCAAGGAAGTCACGAAATGGGAGGAAGTGGTTCCGACATTAGATGACAAGTGTGTCGTGGCCTTGCCGTGGTGCGAGGTGGAGGAATGTGAGGACGATATCAAAGAGCGCAGTGGCCGAGCGTGAGTGTTGCTTCTCTATCCTCAATATGGCTTACCGAAGAGATTTTTCGGGCTGCAGTGCGGAGCCCCAGGACGAACGTGCCCCTTCTGCTGGTGCCAAGTCACTTGCAATTCCTTTTGATCAGAGCCGTTGGACGCCCATTGAGCCTGGCAAGACCAAGTGTCCTGCGTGTGGTCGTGATGCGAAACGGTGGACCCTGTTTGGCCGCTCGTATTAAATAGGGTACTATGTCAAGCTGTTGTATCATCGTTCTCTGGTCACTGGTAGAAGAAGAAAAATGTACAGAATAGGATGAAACGTAGACTGCCCTTTTTGAGCCGCTAGTGATGGGGGAGCGGACACAGCTCGAGGCGAGAGCTACTAGTCACGTGTTCGTGTATAGGATCGCGACGCGAGCCTCGCGCCGCCTCTTTAAGGCCACCGTCAGTTATCTTGAAGCATCGCCCCATCTGTCCCACCCTGCCAACATAGATCTTGATCTAAATCTCCTTGTTATATTTGTCTATCTGTCTGTTGTTCTTCAGGATTCGAGATGGATTCGATATACGAGCACGGGGATCCAGCACTTGAGCCCGAGGACCCAGCGGAGGATCCCGTCCATTCTGGATGCACATGTCCTCCGTCCCCGGCATCACAGCCTACAACAGACTACTCCGTCTTTGACATTTCCTTGGTTGAATCGTTCGATACTGGCACACCACCCCTTACAAGATCCTCAGGAAGCCATGAATCTGTGAAGAGGAGCCTTGACGCCCTGGAGGATAGCACCTCAATTTCCCGCTCAGATTCGTTTAATCTTCCCAGCGCGAAGCGGCCGCGAATAATTTCAAGCTCTGAGGTGCTTCGTGGACTGGAGGGTGATTCTAGCTCAGCGTCGAGAGGCAGAATTGTGGACGAGGACCCGTATATTATTGTGAGTAGTATTCTTGTTTCGAGCGAGTTTACTGGACATACTTTGTAGGCATATGACAAAAATATATCGAAATGCATGAAAAGTCGTGACTTGGCCATCGGCACCCAATGGGAGATCGCGCGACTTGTCTCTCAAGGTACAATCAACTGGAATATCGACCTCGAGAAGCTGGACAAGTTGCGAGGGTCAAACTCGGAGGCTGCACCAAAGGTGAACGGCATTCTGAGGTCTTGTAGCTCGATCCGATCGACCACATATAATGACGCCTATGCAAAAGAAGCGGCGGCAAAGGTGCGTTTGCTGTCAGCGTGTCTGAATTTGACGATGCACATTTCGGTTAATTGAAATTGGTCTTTAGTCCCCTTGGGAAGAGCTGGATCGAGAGGACGAAGCTTTTCGAAAAAATGCTTTATCATGTCTTGGTATCACCGCAGGCGATTGGTATGGAGGGCAGGTGCAATTTCCGGCAAAGCTAATTTGGACTGAGTCAAGATTCAAGATTGTCCTCGAACAGCCTGCGCTTGGTTCCTCTTCACGGTTCACCCGTCGTTTCGGGTCTGACTGGCTGATCCGCGTCCGGATACACAAGGACCTCAACCTGGCTAGCAAGATCGAACGGCTACAGATGTTTCTGGTCCGGCCTTTCATAGTCAACGGGCAAGTGTACCGATTTTTCTATGCCAACAAGGAGCGCAACTTGTTTCTCATGGCCACAAACGAGGGATGCACCGATGGGGTCATTAGGGCCTACCCTAAAACAAGCCGCCGCATGAGCCTACTGGATTTCTTTGAATGGCACAACTCAATGCATACGAACTTCACACAGGTACAACTTTTCGTTTCGCCAGCGAACTTGTGCTCTTGACGTTAAAACCTTGTAGACTGTGGCAAAATGGGCAGCACGCATGGCATTGGGGTTGTCCAACTCGGTCCCGGGTGTCCTCCTGAACGAAAATGAGATACTAGATGAACCTGAAATCAGTAAGTCAATCCTACCGATCATATTTCATATACTTCGTGCTCATTTCGTCAAGTCTCGCCTGAGTTCAAGGGGAGCGGAAAGGTACCTAGCGAAATGGAGATGACCGACGGCTGCGGGTTCATCAACACTAGTGGATTGATGGCACTGTACAAAAGGGGATTTTGGGCAGGAATGCCTACTGCTGTCCAATGCCGCATTGCGGGGGCAAAGGTATGTGTCATTGTGGCAAAGTTGCACTGCGGAGTGGTTTGATGATTGGTTTCCGGTCAGGGCCTTCTGCTAAGACATCCTAGTGATGTGGAGAACGGTCGAGAGCATCCCACTGTCTGGGTTAGGCCCTCTCAAACTAAAATCAAATATACTCCACAATCCCTTGTCGATCCCGCGAAGCGCATCGTCGATGTCTTGCGAGCGTCACACATGACTACTCATGTACGTCTAGCCAACGAGACAATAATCAACCTTGCAGAAAACGGAGTACAATCTGCTCACTTCAAAGTTCTTTTACGTGCGTCACTCACCGACGTCGTTGACAAGTTGTTGGACTGGGATGGTGAGAACGGCATGGCTGAGCTATGGAATACCGTTGCAAAGGCAGGCGGTGTCATTCCTGCACGAGCAGCACGGCAGATGTCAGGTACGGCGCGAGTCCGTGGTCTGCGTAGCCATGACGTGGAGTCAGACGATAGTGATGATGATGAGGCAGTTGTGTCCTCTCAGCCACAGTCGGCTGCGTGGTGGGCAGATACTGTTAGCGGCTGTCCTTCATCTCTCGAAGAGACAGTTCTGGTTTTCCTCGATTCAGGTTTCTTGCCGAGTGAGAATCCCATCCTGGCGAAGAAACTTCACGAGGTTATCAAGAAGTCAATTAACTCGTACTGCTCTAAATGCAGGATAATAATACCTATGGCCTGCTCTGCGTTCATTGTCCCAGGTGCGTGATGTTTCAATATTTGTCGCTACCCTTTCTGAATTCTTGACAGATCCGTGTGGCATTCTAGAGGAGGGCGAGATTCATGTTAAGAGTTCGTCTCGGGACCTGATCAGACCAGATGGTACGACGAGTGACAGAGTGCTTGGAGATGTTCTAGTCAGTGACTTTCTCAGAGCATGAGATTGTTGATCGTAATACTTGCCAGGTGACAAGAAACCCGTGCAAACTTCCTACTGATGTTCAGAAGGTATATTTTATTTTTGTCAACCAGAGCCAAACTCACGATATCATCAAACTGCCAAGGTCAAAGCCGTCTTCAAAGCCGAACTCGATCATTACGTCGATGTCATCATCTTCTCGACCAAGGGTGCTCGACATCTGGCAAGTATGCTTGGGACCGGTAAGTGGCAGAGTCAGAATGTGTGGTTGCACCGGGGTCTGATCGACATCTGTTGTAGGCGACTATGATGGCGACAAAGTGCAATGTATCTGGCAGCCGGAGATCGTTGATAACTTTCAAAATGCCCTTGCCGACTTCGCTAACCCTCCTACGGATCTCGAAAATTCCTTCCTGAAGGAGAATGAGAGCGTCGCAGCCTTTTTGGAACGCGTGCCAGAATCAGAACCGGTGTCCAAACGCACGCATGAACGCCAACGGGTCCTGATGGGGCCATTGCGTGACCTCTCTGTTGTGGGGATCTACTCCTCTCTTCACGACAACTCCATTTATCAGTTTGGTTATGGACACCCAGACACTGTTCGTCTGGCCTGGATGTAAGAGGTTCTCTGCTCTTCTCTTAAGAGAGGACTGTTGACCATGAGCATCCAGGTTCTGCACCGTATTAGATGGTTCCAAAACGGGAATGACCGTCAGCGCCGAAGTCCTCAAGAACGACAAGAAAAAGTTCGGCTCCAACCGAGAACCCGCCTGGAAGCGCCACCGACTATTGGAAAAAAAGAACAAAAACAAAAAGGGCAAAGGGAAGGACCGCTTTTCGGAAGAGCGAGACTTGGTCCATCGCTGCGAAGTACTGAAGTCCACGAAGTTCATTATGGATGAGCTTACGAGCGATGCAAACAAAGTCCGTGATGAAAAGCTTGCCTTTGTGGAACATTACTTCGACGACCTATCGGCCCACATGCCATCAAAGGACGATGATCTTGAGAGACCGTGGCAGATGGCTCAAAAACGCTTGGAGGGGGTGCGCAGGACGATGGAAGAAAACCTTGGCCATAGACTGCTGCAGGTGGTCAAGCATGTTTGTGCGGGCCTTGATTTCGAGGCAGAACGGGCGGCGACGCTAGGCAATCTCATTCATGAAGATGTAAAGCGAGCACGGACGACCTTGACCGACCTTGACCGAGACATCCGCGAGAGCGTGCGACTTGCGGGGATAGAGATGGAAGCTGTGATGCTGGAAAACCTCGTGGTCCGGATCCTGGAACAGCCGATGGAGGTGCCAGGTGCAGCGATGGAGGCGGAACTTGTGGAGAGGATCCAACGACCTGTTGAAAAGTTGTTTGAGGAGTTTAGAAAAGAGCAAAAGGACGAGAAAGGGGGCTTTACAGGACTCGCGATCACAACACGCCAAGACTTTCTCCGCAAATACTCGCTCAAATTCGTAGGCATCGCAAACAAGTTCACATCTCAGCTACTGTTCTTCAGCGAGGATGATGTGAGGCTCGTGCGTGCGTCGTACGCATACGTGCATTGCCCGAAGTCTAGCCGCTTCCCTTGGAATGTCGCAATGCGGGACTTGGGTGAGATTAAGGCGAAGGCGAAAAAAGATTACAAGGTCTGTACAGGCCCATTCTACGATCGATTCAGCATCCGTTCCAGCCGGCATTGAGTGGGACGTTGGAGTAGTCCGCAGCTTGCGCGGGATCTTTGGTTCACTGTCGTGTATTGTTTTGATATCTGCTGCTCTTGTGTTGGATTTGATGAGATTCTTGATTGGAATTGCATCGTGTCGTGTAGCTGAGCGTTTGGTTTTGATTCGCCAGCGCATTGTATCATACGTGTCAGACGCTAGTTGCGTCTGCCTCTTTGTCATCCTGTCGTTGTAGTTGTATATATGGTTTGTTATGTTGTATTCGTGTGTATGCTTTGTCTTGACCTTCTTGAACTATCGATCTCTGTCTTGGCCTGACCATGACACTCACCCCAGCACTGTAGATAAAAGAAACTGTGTATTCATAGTCCCTTGGACGCACTATAGACAGTCATTCGATCACGCGTGGTTCACGGGATTCCAGCTGATGGCACCAGCAGAGCCACGGTCGAGCGCATCGAGACGAGCGATGTCGTTCTTGTCTAGAGCGAAGTCGTAAAGCGATATGTTCGAACGGATGCGTACCGCTGTCGCCGATTTGGGAAGAGGGACATAGCTGCCGCCGTCGACGTCAGAAGTCAGAGTCAGGGCAGGAGGGTTACGTGCCCACGGAGCTTACCCGCTTTGTAGCGACCAGCGAAGGAGGATGTGTGCTAGATCACGCCCGTGCTAAGATGCCAGAGCACATATAGCAGTGATCAAACTTCATGCCGATCCGTCCCAGTTTCATCACTTACCTTATTAGCGATGTCGACCAACACCGGGTCGTCCATACGTCCACGAAGTAGTGGGCAGTACGCTTGCACGACTACGTTGTGCTCGCGGCACCACGCCACAATAGGCTTCTGTTGGCAAAACGGATGCAGCTAAAGGAAGGTGAGTTGACGCAATGCTGTGGATGGAAATAAAGTGGCCAGACTGATCGAGTACAGGCCACGCACCTCGATTTGGTTGACGGTGGGCAACTCAAGTCCGGCGGTCTTGATCTCATCTAGATGCTTGAGACCGCTGAAATGTGTCGTCGTCGAAATCAGGGACGATTGTGGTAGTAAATCGCACGAACTAATTTGATACTCCAACGCTTTTTATTTTCCCCTGGTCACGCGCCTCGAGCAAGGCTCGATATGTCGCGAGACGCCGTTCAGTGCCAGACATAGGATCATGTATGAGGAAAAGGTCGATATAATCTGAATTGAGTGACCATAGCATGCACAGTCAAGATACGATTGTACATGTATGATAGGGCTTACCGAATCCAAGCTTTTCAAGTGACGTATCGACGCCGCGCAGGGTGTTCTCATACCCATGCGTCTTGTTGATGCATTTCGTAGCTGATATGCACATCGATACAGATCGACAAAACCGCCCGTCATAGTGTGGTAAGTGTAAGGGGACTCACTGACGAATACATCGCTGCGAGGGACGCTCGATTGGCGCACGGCTTCACCGACGTGCGCCTCATTGCAATACGCCTGAGCGCTATCGATGTGGCTGATTGCAGGTCAGAGAAGTATCTGTTGGTCAAAGGGATACCATTCGACCAACGCACCGATAGCCCGCAGCTAACGCTTCAAGGACCGATGCCGTTGTATTATAGTTCTGGTATACGCCAAAACCAAGCAAGGGCATCGAGTGGCCTGGTAGCAGGTCTGAGTGAGATGGCCCCCATAGTGCATGGATGGCTGGCTACCAGAGGAGAGTCGGACGACGGAAGAAATCGATAATACAGACATTACGCCTGTGGCTTCAGTCTCAGCAGCAAATGACTCCGCCTGATTTTTCTCAGAGCCTCGGAGCCGCTTAACTTGAACGTGACGTCGCTCAGACTATATTTTAACAAGATTTTCTGTATCCGGATATCGGAGAATTACAGTAAGTACGTCAAGCCTTCGAAAAGGAGCATATAACAAAGGGGAAACACATACGTTCCAGTTCAATGGGCCACTGAAAGTTTACGAGAGTTGGAAGTTCGAGGTTGACCAGCAATGTTACGTCATTGTGTAACGTGCCCTAACACTGCCCTAACCCTGGTTTCCATATTCCTCGAAGCACACTGGAGCCGCAGGGAGCCGCACCTTATCAGAATTTCTTCTCAAATCATTCTGAACTTGATCCTCATCATGGTCTCAGCACTCATTTTACTAGCAGATGGCACGGAAGAGATGGAGTTGTCCGTAATATCTTCCAGGAATCCCTTGACTATAAGAGTGACCTGCTCCAACTTGCAGCACTATCATCTATGACACTCTCGTCCGCGCTGGGATCATCTGTACCTCCGCTTTCGTCCCTTCCGACGCAAGCGCAGCAGATACGGATGCGCGCATCAGCCCTCCGTTTGCAAAGGGCTCCAGGGGGATCCGAATTCAGCCAGACACTTACTTCTCTCTACAAGCTCTGCGAGTCGTGCGTGTCACAAGTTCATGAAGATCCAATACAGAGAGTTCATTTTTCGTGCGGCAGGAGAAGTTTGGCGCGATTATCATCCCAGGTGGGGCACAGGGTGCGAGAACAATGGCTGAGTCGCCCGCTGTGCAGCGCCTTGTACGTGAATTCTATGAACAGAAGAAGATTGTAGGTATGATCTGCGCAGGCAAGTAGCGTTGTCTTGAATTTCGGGTTTTTCATTCTGATTACTCCATCATGAAGGAAGCATGGCGGCGCTCACGTCGAAGCTTCCCAAGCAACCATTGACCTCTCATCCATCTGTGAAGTCAAAGCTTGAGACAGGTACGTTCTTGACGTTTGCCTTGAGATATATCAGCGAGATGACCACTGTGAACGTCTCAGAATATGACTACCGTGAGGATTCTGTAGTCGTCTCGGGTAACCTCATCACTAGCCGTGGCCCAGGTACGCCCATTCTCTCCACTATCGTATTTATGGCAATCAGCGACGAGCATGGACAGGCACTGCGTTTCCCTTTGCTCTCACTCTCATTGAGCACCTCTGTGGCGCCACTAAGCGCGAAGAAGTCCAGGGGCCAATGATGTTCCCGCCCGAGACGACTTGGTGATCCTATTCGTCGTACACGCGAGGAAATTCAAACCCATGTTTGTATAATAGACATAGCTTCGAACAAAATGCATCGGCTCAATTCAACATCTCAGATCTTGACAGGATGAGTCGTTCGGGTTCAATGCACGCGTCAATGACTACGGCCCATGGGCCCATGAAGAATACAAGAAACGCACCGCCTAGTTCTCGATTCTTCACAATAGAGCTGGTTGGAAAGTGAATAGAGGTTCCCATTTCGCCAGGCTACAAGGTATCAATCGTACTATGTGGGCTACTTATAGGAGGACTTCAAGGATGTGGGGCCCAAGGCCCTTTTATCCCTTTGCAAGAATGGGGCAAGTACTGGTCCCTTATTACGTCCCTTGGCAGCTACATCCGGATCGGCACAGGACAGTCTGTGTGGTGACAGTGCAAAACCCATAGGCACAATAGAAGATCTCTGGCAATGATTGCAGAACTACAAACCGCCTGCCTACTTGGGAACAAAGAGACCCGTTGAGGTACACATCGCCTCGAATTCGTCACACAGATGACGGCAAGCTTGTGGACCAACAAACTTACTTCCATATCCGTCTCGCCTACTAACTTGTCATCTGACATTCTCCGCTACAAATTCGTTTCAACGCACCGTTGTACCACATGTAGGCGCACGTTTTCTCCCTCGCCTTGCTTTTACGGAACCTCAGTTCGGCCTGTACCACGTACTGATCGACAGGAACGCAGACCGTTATGGGTCGTTACTTTGTTTTTCAAAAGTGGCATATCCGTGTCCAGAGAGTCCGGGAGGCTGCGTAACCCTTCACCCCGCTATGTTTCCGCAGGGATGCGCTCTTGTCTCAGAAACGTAGACCGGCACCCTCACGGCACCCTCACACACTGACGACTACGGCTCAAAGCACAAGTATAAGTGTGCTGAGTTGTGGGTCCATCCCTTTCCTTCTCTAGAAGACCCTACATGCCTCCCAATCAGGCTTTCAGTTCTCCATCGTTCTTTACCGATTGATGCGTTTGAGGTTCGTTCAGACACTCATTCTCCTAGTTCTCTGTCTTCAGTGTGAGTCTACCGCCTTCTACATCAGATATCATGTTGTAACGAGCTGAAATATTGGGTAACTAGTCTCCTGTTTGTCGACTGCTTTCGAACTTTCCTCGCATGCGGGGTTGAGGAATCCTCGCTGGGAGATTAATCGACGAATTTGTTTCTGGGGCTGTAGGATGTCAGAACCGGTGAGTGTAGTCTCTCCCACTCAGTATCATAATTCGCTTCAACTCCTCTCAGCAGGTCGCTCATGATGTACAGTCGAACTCATCTCAACCGTCGTCATCACTATCTGGGATTCCTCCAGGCACCCTCTCCCAAACCGCGTCGGCCAGCGAGGAGACGTCTTCCTCGCTTCTGCCCTCGAGTTGCTCCAATGTATCTGTCATCGACGACCCAGCCCTGGCATCTTTGCCTCATTCTGGAGGCATTGATTTATTCGTCTCCTTTTGGAGTTACTGCGTTGTTCTGGTCGCAACAATGGCAACGGCTGTGGCTGTATAGATCACTGGTGATAATCACTAGACTCGTATTTTTATAGTCTTGTTTGTATTCAAGTTTGGTACTGACTTTGTGTTGAATCCCGTAATATATGACTGCATGTAGCTTATACCCACGAGGGACTACAGAGAAGGGTTGATTAGGTTATATTGAACGCACCTCGTCTACAGAGCATATTGTACTTACTAGCTATCTGCCCACTATGTCCAATACACAATGTAGCTGACAATTTTCGTTATTAGTTTTTATATCTTGTTCTTGTGAGCTTCAAGAGGAGACATATGTGATAGCGCCGTTCTCCTTTTCGTGGGCTTTTACTTACGGTAGAGGGCGAAAGGCGGGCACGCGCCGAGACGCGCGCATCATGTGCTGCAGAAAGAACGTCACATGTTACCAAAATTTGACCCTTTGGTTCTTTCGGCTTTCAGTGTCCCAAGCCCTTGCACGCTTTTCCTTGTCAATATCAGTCCTTCGACACACCGAAGAATGGTGGCCGTCGATCCAAATTCCGTCAAAATCTATACCGTGAATGGCGCTCCTGCCGGGTCTTCTTCCTCGCTGCCAGACTGGCTCATTCGCAAGCGAGCTGCCAAAGCCAAGGGCAAACGTGCAGTCCGAGAACATGTTGAAGGCACCATCGAGCTCATCCAACATTTCGAGTTCCCCGAAGCGAGCAATCGTGTCCGGACGACACGAGATGGGCACCATATTATTGCGACTGGCACGTATAAGCCTCAGATGCGAGTCTGGGACTTGGACCAGTTGGCTCTGAAGTTTGAAAGGCATTCAGACGCGGAGAATGTCGATTTTATAGTGAGTCCCCTCCTCTTTGGCATCAGACCCATCTTGGAGATTAAAGTCCTTCCAAGGTTATCGTCGTATTTCCATGTCTGAGCCATCTCTAAACACATTCCCAGATTCTATCCGACGACTGGACAAAATCTCTGCACCTTCAAGCGGATCGTACTATTGAACTGCATACGCAAGGAGGATTCCATTATCGAACACGAATACCTCGTTTCGGTCGCTCTGTCGCATACCACTTTCCTTCCTGCGACGCCTTATTCGGTGCGTCAGGATCTGAAGTCTATCGACTCAACCTGGACCAAGGCCGTTTCCTAAATCCTCTCGGGCTTGGGAATGACGACGACAGTGTTGAGGGTGTCAACGTGATCGACATCAACCCAGCACATGGGCTATGTGCATTTGGCCTTGACGGCAATGGGACCGTTGAATTCTGGGATCCTCGCTCACGAAGTAATGTCGGCATCCTGCGATTACCACGTTCGCGTCTCCTTCCTTCTGGCAACCTAGGGTCTTCAACTCTGTTGAATGGCACGGATGGCATGGGTGGATCTGGCTTGTCTATTACCGCCCTTTCGTCTCGATCAGACGGCTTATCATACGCAGTCGGCACATCGACCGGCCACACACTCTTATACGATATCCGTTCCCCACAGCCGTTTGCCATCAAGGACCAAGGCTACGGTCTCCCTGTCAAGAGGGTATCTTGGATTGAGAGCGGAAGCAGGATGGCAGGTGACGGCCTCATACTCAGTGCAGACAAGAAGGTCGTAAAGATTTGGGACAGAAATAGCGTACATCTTCTTTTTTACATCATGGTTGGGCTGCTCTCAATGCATCTTGTTCTTCCTATCAGCCTTCAACAAATTTCACGTCGCTCACCCCCGCGAACGATCTTAACGATATTCATCATATCCCCAGCAGCGGCCTGCTCATGACCGCGAATGAAGGTATACAAATGGCAACGTACTATATCCCGCAATTAGGCCCTGCTCCACGATGGTGCTCCTTCTTGGAGAACTTGACTGAAGAGATGGAAGAGGGCGCTGGTGGTGCTCGTGGGATCTATGAAGACTACAAGTTTGTCTCTCGGGCCGAGCTTGCTACGTGCGTTGCTATTTTATTTCATTATCCGTCCATATAGTATCTGACGGTAATCTTGTTTGCAGCCTTGGTTTGGACCATTTGACCGGCACTGCGGCTCTCAAACCGTACATGCACGGCTACTTCATCTCACTCAAGTTGTACGATGCGGCCCGTGTCATCACCAATCCTTATGTGTACGAAGAAGCTCGCGAGAAGATGGTCAAAGACAAGCTCGACAAGCTCGCCGAAGGCCGCATTCGCGCGCGCAAGGACCAAGCCAGCGTCAAGGTCAACAAAGCCCTCGCTGAGAAGGTGGCCAGGGATGCGGAGCGTGCGCGCAAGCGGGAGGAACGCAAGACGCGGAAGAAGGCGGTGGATTTCATGGATATCGATGAGGCTGCTGAAGGAGAGGAGACGGCCAAGGGCGAAGTTGCGAACCTTTTGACCGATCCGCGGTTCAAGGCGCTGTTCGAAGACCCTGAGTTCGAGGTGGACACGCAAAGCAGAGAGTTTGCACTTCTCAACCCATCGACCGCGGCGCAGGGTAAGGGTAAATGGGCAGAAGGCCGGAAGGAGGGTGCTGGGCGATCAGCAGGTAAAACCGCCGTCGAGGACGAGGAAGAGGAAAGCGAAAAACATTCGTCGGATGACGGCACTGACAGCGAAGATGGCTCTGGTAGCGATGATAGCAGCGATGCTGGTGGTAAATATCTATTTTCCAAGATCGTCTGTATTCACCAGGCATTGAACATAAACTTTGTTTTCCTAGATCTGCGTCCATCACACGAGGCCGCGCGAAAAAGCGAAATGGCCAGTCGTCACAAAGCCCACGCAAAAGTTCGCCTCGTTCCCGTGCGCCCAAACACCGCAAATTCCAACGCAACCGCCAAGTCCCTCTCCTTTGGTCAACGGCGGTCAAATTCTCGCACATCTTTCTCTACTTCTAAGAACCGTCCTTCCGCTGATGAGCACGTCGTGCGCAAAGCCGACGGCACCGTCGAGATGAGTTGGGTACCCTCTGGCCGTTCATCGGAGAAGTATGCAGGTGGCGATGGGGATGATGCAGATGGGAAGCGCCGGCGCGGCAAGGGCAAGGAAGATACGAGGAAGGGTGTGGAGCGGTTCGGAGCAGGCATGGAGCGGGGAGGCGAGGAACCGTATGGTAGTGGGAAGGGGTTGAGTGAGCAGGACAGGAGCGGAAGGACGGAGCGCAGGCGGGGGGTCAGAAGTGGAAGTAAAAATACGTTCAGACGGTTATAGGTCCCACGACCCATCCGGAGGACAGGTGGATTTCGATATCTGTGTGCTGCTTTCTTTTGTTCTATCTCCCTGTATGTCCCGGGTGCGACCTTGTTCCCGGTGGGTGTGAACGAGAAAACCCACTTTCGAATCCGATTCGAAGGTAGGACGATGGTTATCGTTGCAATTAAATATTATACTGGAGCAAACTACCTCTACGCTAGCTATGGAGCAACCACCCTAGATAAATAAGCAATACACGATGAGACTACTTCCCACAAGCACCTCCCGCCAAAAGGTACCAAAACCTATCGATCGCTCCCTGAGGCTCCAAACCACGAACCAACACCGCTACCTCGAACCTGACCCATGCCCTCCTTCCCATGTATCCTGACCACTGACGGCTCAAAGGGGGGCGCAAGCGATGACAACGTCGATCCAGATCCTTGCGCTGACTGACTATTACCTTCGGCACCCTCGGCGGCCCTCCGCTTCCCGCTGCCGGCGCCAGGCGTTTGCATCCCCATCGCCCCCCGCGCGCCGAATTGCTGCTGCGCGGATGAGCGTTGCTGAACCTGTCGCACCGCGGGCGGGCTGGTGAACTGGTTCTGCGCCCTCGGGTGCACGTGCGGATGTGTGTGCGAGTGCTGGTGCTGCTGGTGTTGTGGGTGTTGGTGGGGTCCAAAGGGCGCGTGCCGCTTCCCGCGCGGCGCGAAGGGGAGGTGGTGGAAGTGGTTATGGCTGTGGTGGTGGTGGTGCCCGTGGTGGTGCCCGTTGTTGAGACGGGGTACGGACTCGGCACGGTCGGCCTGGGAGGCGGCACTGTCAGTGGAGGTGGAGGTGTTGGGGTCGGGGGCGTCATCGTTAGAGGCAATGTAGCCATATGGATCGGCCTCGATATGCTCCCTCTCTAGCTGGATCTTTCTCAGCCGGTCTTCAAGATCGCGGATGAGGCCCTTGTTGTTGCTGGTGCCGTCTTGCTGTCCGTCACTCTCCTTGTCTCTGTCCTGAGCTGCTTCGTCCTCCTCTTCGCTGCCACTCTTGCCTTCAAATTTCTCTCGCCTATACTTCAGTTTCTCCAGCCTCGCTTCTACTGCCGCCAGCTCCGTCCTGATCACTTGCAGCCGCGCACTGTCCTCGCTCTCCCTGAGCAATCTTTCCTTCCGCGCCTCCTCAGCCATCCTACTGACGGCCTCCCACTGCTTTTCTTTCTCCTCGCTTTCCGCATCTTGATCCTTCCGATCGGCCTCCACGACCTCCCGTTCTGCTTCGACGTCCTCTCGGCCCTTGGCGGCTTGCTTCACCGCCTCCTCCAACGCACGCACCTTCTGTCGTGCCCTGGCATCACCGGCGGCGTGTTTCTGCGAAGACTTTTTTAGAGAGGAGATCTCGGAGCGCAGGGCAGACTGCGATTTCTGCGCATCGCGTCGAGCAGCTTTGAGTGAGGAGAGCAGTGTGGTGTGCTCGTTCTGCAGATGCGAGAGCGTGGATTGGAGAGAGGCGATGTACTCCTCGAGGGTCTGATGGGAGTGCGTGGTCGACGTCGGCGTGGTGGGGGGAGACGGCGAGGGGGGAGATGGAGAGGGATCGACGAGGTTAGGTTGGGAAGATGAGCTCAACAGGTGGGTGAGCTCAGGGACGTCCTGATTCGCGTCCGTGTCGTTGTCGCGACCTAAAAATTAAATCAAGCAGCTGAGGGTCGACGAATGAAAGCGATGCGCACCGCGAGACTCGGTCACGATTTGTCCCTTCACCCTCTCTTCCCCCGGCAGGACTCCCAGCTCGATGTCGTACTGTCTTCCCGGCATGAGTCCGTAGATGATGATCAGCGCCTCGTCTGCCTCGTCGTCGACTCGGATGAGAAAGAGCTTCCACGAGGCGCCGTTGACCTTTACCGAGAGAGCATCGGACATGATTTGATGAGGGGAGGTGGACGACAGCGCTACGGTGCCATCATCTGCGTGGTCGTCCTCGCCGTCGAGGATGAGCGAAAGATTTGTCTGGGAGGAGAGAGAAGAGAGGATGAAGGTTGCGGAGACGGAGGTGATCTCGCGAACGGAGAGGGAGAGGCGGGGATGCCATGGACGGATAGAGTGCCATTTCGACATGTCTGCCGCTTGCCCTGCCATCGTCGACGAACGAGTCAGTAAAGCCATGTAACGACGCCACTTTGGCAAAAATGCAGTCACACAAGTCCATAATGGAAACGGCTTTCATGCGAATCTCACACGCTTTCGTCGATCCGAGCTGACAGAAACCCACGATTCCGGGTGCATTTCGACCAAACTGATACAGTCTTTCACCACTCCTCTAGACACCCAATTTGCTTTGATGTTTAGTGACTCGGATGTTTATTTTCATGGGTACATTATTTGAGGTCATTCATTCACATACATAAGAAGGATACAAGCAAAAAGTTTCAGGCCGAACGAAGGCATTTTAAGGTATAAAAACAAAAAAACTTTGTGGGAGAAGGCAAAGCGTGACATATGGGTCACCTAGACACCTTGGGGCTCTGTCACACGTGACACAGACATGAGTTGAAGTAGACAGACAAGAGGGTAGAGAAATTGGGGATAAAACTCCAGAGCATATGTGAGCAATACCAGAGCCATGCCATAGACCTTGAATCTTCACAAGGGTAATGGTAGGCAGACCATGCATGCCACCCTGAGTACCAGGTGTTCCTAGTGTGACATTTGTGACATTTTGTGACTGTCTAGAGGCCTGTGGTGTAAGTTCACGTTATTTGGGAAGTTGTGAAGGTCTTGTCATGTTGCACAAGTCACTATTGTGTTAAGTAGGTACACCAATAGCATACCAACATCTTTCAGACTGCATGAACCTCTCTTGTCTTATACAAGCACACAATACCAGCCCTCCATGCACACTCAAAAATTCAAAAATGGGCAATGCCGAAGCTTATGAATTTTTTCCCACCTGTTTGAGACTCACACCAGCAAAAAAAAGTACCCAGATATATTTGTGCCATCCAGCACTACCCCTCGGGAATTGTGTAGAGTTTAAAGTGCAGAGGAACTCGAATTCTGGCAGTAAAAGAGCCAGGTGTCTAGGTGAGTGATGGTGTCTAGAGGACCGGTAAATGACTGTAATGATGTTCCGTGTGCACCTGCAAGTCAACGTGGTCACAGGTGACACTCCATGTGACATCATGTGACTCACCAGAGTCACGCTGTTCGCAGCGGCAGCGCGCCGTGTCTGACGACGTTCCCACCAGCATCAGGCTGGAGAAAAAAAATGATGGCTGAAGCTGATTGCAACAGTAACTATGTTTTGATGCCAGTGAAAGGGGCCCATCCAAATTGTCCTCATCAATAGGGCGGTGTAGTGGCCAACCCTGCGAGCAGGACTCAAATTCACACGCTCGCCGCCACGTCGCCAGTTCCAAAGCGAGCGCACCTCTTCTGTTCCTTATCCACCTCCACCGTCCACCATGTCCTCCCGCATCTCAATCGCCCGCCCGCAGGGCTCATATAGCCCAGACCCTCACGGCTTTGGCAACTCGCGGCCCTCGTCTGGTTACAGGGCCGCCGACCCCGACGATCCCATCGAGAAACTCCGCACGTATAGCAAGCTGGCCGAGGACAACATCGAAATATACGCTCAACCGCTCAAGCCCCATCTCCCCGCCATTGGCCGCTTCATGATTGTCGTCACCTTCCTCGAGGACGCGCTCAGAATTGTCACTCAGTGGGGCGACCAGCTTTGGTACTTGCAGAGGTACGTGCGCGCTCTCCGCACTCGTCCGCGGCTCGTGTCCCGCCCGGCCTCGCACTCAACTTTCTCGCGTTGTAAAGACACAGACACTTCCCCTGGGGAATTTCCCACTTGTTCCTGCTCATCAACGTCATCGTGAGTACTTTAAAACGTATCCCGGTGACTGCCATTTGTGACACGTGTGCTCCGTTCCGTCAGGTCATGCTCGTGGGTTCGGGTGCAGTCATCACGAAACGACACACGGAGTACGCCGTAGCGGGGCTCCTCGGTGTCGTCATCGTTCAAGGTTTCGGATACGGGCTTATTTTCGATCTCAACTTCTTCCTCCGCAACCTCAGCGTCATCGGCGGGCTCTTCATGGTCTTCAGTGACTCAATGATCACCCGCAAGAAACTCTTCGCCGGCCTCCCGAGCCTCTCTGAGAACGACCGCAGGAAATAGTGCGTTACTTCCGCTTTTCCGCCGCGACGACTTGCTCGCTGACTGAAGCACCGGTGGACGTCAGCTTCCTCCTTGCCGGCCGCATTCTCCTTATCTTCCTCTTCCTCGGTTTCATCATCCAAGGAAAATGGAGCATCGGACGCGCACTGGTGTCTCTCATCGGGCTCGTCGCTTGTGTCATGGTCGCCGTGGGCTTCAAAGCCAAGTGGTCGGCATCCTTCCTTGTCATCCTCCTCTCCATCTTCAATGTTGCCGTCAACAACTGGTGGTCTGTGAACTCTGCGCACCCGGCGCGAGACTTCCTCAAGTGAGTCTGATTGAATATTGTCTGAAACTCGATATTGACGCGTGATCTCGGCAGGTACGACTTCTTCCAGACCCTCTGTAAGTTTTCAAATGTCTACCTTTTCAAAGCATCTTCTCTTTACATCTTTGAATTGTAGCAATCGTTGGCGGTCTCATCCTCCTCGTAAACATGGGTCCTGGTGCGTCTCGTTCTTTCACTCTGGCACAGAAGCCGCATCTCACGCGACCGACTTCTCCGCAGGCGGCCTCTCGGTAGACGAGAAGAAGAAGAACTACTAAAAGTCAGCGTGCAAAGAGCTCATCCACGTTGCTCGTCGCACCGCAGACGGAAGGGTGTTTGTAAACGGCAGATGGACAATGATCACGGATCATGGATGGGCAAGAATTGGCGAGCGAGCGAGAGTGTCCGGTCGGAACGCGGTATTTATTGAGCCTTGAGCCTCTCGGTACTACCGTGTACATTCTTGTGTGAGGGAACCGGTGTGGGGATATGGCATGGCATGGCACCCCTTTCTTTTCTCACTTTTCTTCTTTCTCAATGTGTTTCAATTGTCTTTTTTTGGGTCAGTCTGCGCTGCTGCACATGCAGCTGGTGCGTGTGACATAGGTCTCGAGTATTTTGCTCAGCGAGCGCTGGACCCAAACTCTATCTCGATTACGAGGTAGGTTCACTTATGGTTCGTCTGCATGAGCGCTTGTGTACACGAAGAGGGAGGGGTGCTCTAGCACTTTCAACTGCCCGGGCGTTGGTCTGTCCATTCTCGGGCCCAGATGACTTCAGGCGTAGATGCTTAGGCTCGGATCAAGGTCTGTTTGTGTTCGTGAATCGCTCCAAACAGGTTTAGAGCTGTTCAAAGCTGGATGTCTGGATGCCCGGGCCGGTTCTTTGCACGTTGGTAAGCAATGGCTATGATGCTGCGCTTTGCTTGTGGCCGCTGCGTCCAGCAAGCTTGACCATCTTCGTCTACTTGCTAGGTCAACTGCCTCCCCTCTATGGGACCGCATCTCAGCGTCTCTCTAATATTTAAGTACTCAACATTGCGCGTGCTGCTTTCTTTCGAAGCTGGTCATACTATGAAACATGTTCGCAAGTATCTTACGACTTGTACTCTTGTGGACCGGGGCTTGCAGAATTGTGCGTCGCAAACGCTGCTTCCGATCCGTTCGATCGAAATTACATTACAATCGATTGAGGGGGTGGTTAATGGCTGTTCATATCCGATGCGTGCGGGCAGGTCATGCCCAGCCGCAGCCCGCGAGCCGGGAGAGCATTTTCCGATAACATCTTCTCCTTCAAGCTAACCTCCTACCCTTATGTAGATATCCGAGCTCGTCAGCCAGCGAGACGAATTTGAAACAGGCTCTATTGGCACGAGCTGTGTCTGGCTATAAGGCGCTCGTAGCCGACTCGACAGTGCATACTGCAAGGTACGGCTGGCCCACCTCAAACAGCAGCTTAGTGGCAGCTTGCGTCTGTAGCCACTCCTGATACATCATCTATCGCCGGCTGGGAGCTGACGTATCCCCTTCTGTTACAGCTGCCTCCTGTGGCGACGCAGAGTTGCCCTTGGAGCAGGTCGCATGTTCCTTCCAGGCTAAAAAGTATCTACGACACAAGTCCGCAGGAACCCAGGAAGCACCGAATGAACACTCCATAGAAATACGAGCGCCCAGGGGACGAGGTTGCGTGGAAATTGCCATCAACGTGCCTCTTGCTCTCCCAATCCGGTTTCTCATCGCCAGCCACGCAGCCGCAGGCTCCATAAGTGAGTACCTCACATGGCCTCCACTTGTGCCTGGGATCGCGACCTTCCCCTATTTTGGGGCGCCTGCTTCACTGACATTGAATGACGTTTTGCTTCAGGAGTATTTGTTGTCTGGGCAGACTTGGGGTGCGCCGGCATCAGATGCCAGTGATTGGAGAAGGTTTGGCACCAGGCCCTGGCCACCAACTTAGTAAGAGAGCCGGTAAGCACTGATTGGACTTCTCAACTTGGTGTCTAAATCTAAATGCGGTAGAGAAGCAGATGTGCCTTCAACGTGCGGTCGTCGATGTGGTGCGTGGAAAAGGCACCGTTCCTTCCGCGATGTGCAGACGCAGCTGAGAAAATGGGCTTGGATGGACACCCGCTGACCGCCATTCATGGCGCCTCCCACTGGGCTTTGTGTAACCCCCGACAATGTCCAAACTCGCTCGCGTAGCATCAGCCCGTCCCAAGGGGCGCATCCGAGCGCTTCACTCACATAGGGCTCGCTAGGACTTGAGAACATACCGCCGGCGGTGGACCAGTTTGAAATTTCGTTTAGGTTGAAGCCTAAGCGGTGTGCTAAATCTTACATAGAATCGACATGGCTCATTACGCCCAGTTGTCTCCAATGATGGGCATCGTTGTTTCCAAGGATAAGGATTCAACGCTTCCCCAGTTTGGGGTAAGATGTTTCAATACCGGAACCTGTAGCAACCGATATAGCTGGTCTCTGGAACACTAGCCATGTTCGATGTAGCTAGTCTGCTGGTTTCGTCGGAGCACCTTGCCGCACTGTATGTGCATGATATGCAGCTCTGCCTGGATTGATGTTGAGCCAAGTGGGGTTATCACCCTTTTCTAAACAAGGGTGACTTACAAATTGATTCCGGCCTGATGATGTTTGATGATCGTTATCTGCAGGACCATAGACTCTTCTAAGTTGTCGACTCAAGTGGTTAGCTGCAATCTCGATCCTCCTTCCCTGTAAGCAATAAGAATGTTGCGTCGCAAGTTCTATGACCGGTTGATGCTCTGGACCGGTTCCAACAGCCCATAGGCGCTCTTGCTTTCCAACAGCTCCCCGATTTATAAGTCAGCACACCTGACTCGTTTCCATCGCCAAGCTTGGGTTTATATCAAAAAAGGCTATAGCTAAGTGTCTGCACACCACATAGATCCGGGCGGAAGTGCCTATCAGCTTTAGAGTCAGTATCATCTAGTCCCATGTCTGCAGCCCTTGTATGTACCACCCACGTCTCTTGGCGCCGGAAGACAACCATTTCTCGTCTCTTCTCCATTTAAGCCTCCGCCTTGTCCCCGGAAAGTGCTTGCCATATTAATCTCAGCAGACCCCCTTGCGCAGCGGCGCTCATTTTATCTAGACAAAGAAAAGCCTCCGTCTCCGACGACGATGATAGGCTGCATGGCCTCAAGCTAGTAATAGCGACATATCCGCCTGCGATTAGGTGCATTGGGCGGTGGTATTCTTTCCAGCTTTCCGGATCTTTCGAAAATGGCAACCCGAGTCGGGGGCTGTCTTTTACTCTCATCCTCGAGCTTCGAGGAATATATTCACTTAGGCGAGGCCATGACGGACTCGAGTTGGGCCGGCGACCATCGACGGCGGACTCTTCTACCTCTCTCCGATGCAGACTCGCTATCGGAGAAGTTTTGGTTCACCAAGTCAAGGAACTACGGAGTGTGCGGTGACTCAGCCATGCAGTAAGTGTTTTGGATTGGTTTTCTGCTTGCACCATTGGCCCGCGGATATACCGGATATCATAATTCGACAGTCTTCTGCGTCCTCGTCCCTCCCTCGCCGACGATGCCGACGTTGAGCTTTGAGCCGACGTTCTATCATATGGCTCTCGTCGTCGATGCCCTTGAAGAAAATTATCCTGTAACGCTGCTTGACTCGCATCCTGAGGGTAGGCCTGCCGGCGAACGGGATGTGGTGTTTCGATGCATCAGTTCGAGTCGGCGCACATGTGGATGGCTTGCAAAATCAGGTAGCCTTTCTTGTGCGAAGAGTTCGACGAGGACAACTGCTCCAGGCGCGCATTGGGTGGTTACAAATGCTTGCGATCTCGTGTTACACAAACTGTACGTACACTATGACAAGCAAGCTTCAGCTTAGGCCCATGTGATTGGTCTGAGAGGATGTAGAACGAAAAATCGTGACAAATGAGGATTTCCACTTCCATCCCATACGGCGTAGATTTCAAATGGAAAAAAAGAGGAGTATAGCATTTGTACATTGATCTGCTCTTGTGTGAGGGAGAGCATTGCGCCGACAATTGGAAACACGAATGGCGCAGCAAAGCGCACGCCGATGGCCAACCGTGCTAGAGATACAACAGGGATAGCATGAATAAGGTGCGAATAAGTATATACAAATGATACACATGCGGGGAAAAGTCCTGCGCGCGATCTGCGACGTCTGACCGGTAGCCCCAAGTCCGATTAGGGAGGCGGACAAGATAAAAAAGGATAAAGGACATGGTGATGTATACACCGAGGCGCTCGTCGAATGGGCATCAGAGAATGTAAGCGGAATCGGATGAGGGAGCACGCGACTTTGGCGCCTGTAAGAACATTCGGGAACCTGTCCAGCGGCGTAGGAGCTCGAGGCTAGACTGCCTGGAGGACGGGAGGGGGATATGACCAGGAGGACGGGAGGGATATACACAAACGGCTATGCGGCACACGCGGGCATGAGGTATGGCGTTGCCGGTCGACTAGATATGATCCCGGGTTGCTTGTTCGCTCGTCGCGAGGAACACAAGGGATCAGAGCCAGGCTGCTCCACGTGAAGGCTGCTGTTGCGATTCCGAGGTGTAATCGCCGGTGTCACCGACCGAGGGACTCCTGGTGCGGGCGGGGTCATTCTCAACAGCTGACGATGGCGAAGCGCGTAAAAGTGAGAGCTTCCGTAGGGCGTGCTCGTCCTCTGGGTCTCGGTACATCCTCCCACAAGCTTTAAGATCCTCGAGGGGTACGAGCGATGGAGCGTCCTCGTACGCTCGTCTCGTACCTTCCGAAGGATGGAACCGCGGGGGAAATTGATTGCGAGGCATATAGTTGAGCGGTGGGGTCAGTGGAGGGGTCAGATGGGACTGAGAGCGGAAAGCAGCGTATGTGCGTTGCGTACGTGACGTGGTAGCAACTGGATAGGAGTGATCATGAGGAGGAGGCGGTTGCGACGCCACATACGTATATTCAGTCGGGGGCGCAGCTTCAAATGTTCGAGAAGGGGAAGGTTCAGAGCTGGATGATGAAAAGATGGTGTACAGGGCGCCTGCACTGGAGGAGGCAGTAAAGCTCTGTTCGGAAGCAATCAACTGTCCATTCGGCCTAGGGTCATGTTTTTTATCCTTCGAAGTCCGCGCACTCCAAAAGTAGCCGTCTGGAATGGAGACATCGCCTATACCAGGGATGCTGCCAATATCTCCCAGTATGTCAGCGGTTCGCCGATTGAAGTAAGCGGCTAGAATAATAGGATCAGGAGAGTGAAGCGGTGTGTGAGAATAACAAGGGAACTAACTGAGATGCCACTTGCGCGTGATGCCCTGCGCGCGGTCTTCTGGTAGGGATACAAAGACGCTGCACGTCTGCTTGATGAATTTGTCGGACTCGGGAATATGCTGCGTTATACTTTGGATACGAGAAGATGAGTGCGCATTTTGAAGTTGAAGATAAAGAGAGATGCTCACGCGGGCGCGGCGAGGGAGGTTCTCTCATTTACTTGTGGGTCTTTCTGAAAATAGAGCAGGAATTCCTGCAACGAAAACAAGCCGTTGAACGGTGCGCTCTGCGTGGATAGAGATAAATGAGATTCACGTCTCTGCCTCTGCTAGGCCCCCACGACATGCCGTCGGTCCTGATATGGAAAGATAAAGCATGAGGGCTATGCCACAGAGCTCGAGACGGCATGAACGCACCACCGCTCCATGTTGAGGCCTGCGGTTTCGGAGGTAGTGGCGCTGCGGTCCTCCCAGACATAGACGTTTCCGGGGCGAATTTGCCTGCGCTCGTCGGTATCGAGTCGACGGGATAAGAGGGTGAGGGTGTTTCTGGCGACGCCGTAAAAGACCTGTAGAGCATCCTGAGCCGTGCGAATGCGGACGTTGTTGAGGGTGGGCTGCTGCCTGTAGGTGGGGGACATTTGGGATGGGGTGTAGATGAGGCGAGGAAGAGGAGGAGGAGGGAGGGAACATGACCGAAGTGGAGAATTATAAGATGTTCTCCAAATAGCCGCAAAAGTCTGTCAGGGACAGACGGCTCGGTCGGCCCTAAGAAGCTTATATTTGAGTTTCGCCAGAAGATTACCAGATTAAGATTCATTAAATCCCCTAGCCCAAGGACGAAAACGCTTCCTAGAATCCGTCCGGCGGGAGACGCTAGGACACGCTTTCCACTCTGGGACATTCCGACGTCCAAATGTGGCCGGTTATCGTCCAATATTACAATCAGAACGGTCCTTTACAGCCCTTTACGCTATCCGGTCAATTTTGGGCCGCGAGTCAGTCCGTAAGTTGCCGTATGTAAACACGTTTACGCGGTAGCCGATCTAGATCCCACTCAGAGCTGATAGCACGTTGCGCGCACCCCTCAAACGGGGCTTACCTACACAAGGTTTGTTCGATACAAAAGCGTATGTGTCGGCAACCGCCTAAAACTCAAACACCTCTGTAGTCTGCATCAGGCTATTCGCCATCAGTTAGCCCAAGTCCTGCTTATTGTGTTTCGGTTCAGCGCTCGCCACGGATCTTCGGAGGCGTCGAGCATTGTTCCAACACACAAACGCGAAGGTCATCAAACTCCGGTCATCCGACTCTATCGACCGCGATCTCTCATTTGCTTCCGACCTCCTGAAGAACTCCCTCGAAGAATCACCTCCTCTTCGGCGATGTCCAGCGCTAAGCATGCTGGCATCGGATTCGCGACAGTTAGCGGTGCGATGTCCGGCAATCCATCTCCAATCTCTTCTCTTCAGATTTACCGGCGTCCTTTCGCCCGCCTTATGCAACTAACCGGAGCCGAGTCCACCGTCCGATTCTCACCTTGGTGGGCGCACTATTCTGCAAGCGTGGGGGGCGAAGTCTCGGCGAGGCCAGAATGCCCGAGCTCACATGCACAGCCGAATGTCGCGTCACTGCCCTTTCGTCACATTGTATGCATTAATTGTCTTCTATCATTCAACACAGATGCGAGTGAGATGTGAGTGCCTAAAGTTCGATGTCCATGAGTGGGGGCAGTGAATTCAGGGGCAGTACAATAGGGTGGCCTTATAATAGTGCGGTGTTGACGAGGTGATCTGTTGGCACAATAGAAAGACGCTTAACAATTGTCGTGAACGGAACAGGTCAATTGTAGCCTCACCTTCGAGTGGCAGAACCACAGGGACAAAGTCTGGTATTTCAGCGTAGTGCATACGGCCAAGGAATGAGTAACGTATCCGCAGTGCCTTGCTACAGGACGGCGCAGGGTCATAGAAACCTTGAAGACCGGACTATCAAATAGCAAAGTCAGCGACCATGATTTCTCCAAACGGTAACTTGAACGTGGAGCGCGAGAACGGAACAGAAGCCATGGTTAGCAACTCGATTTGATGGACCCTGCTCACCTTTGTGCGGTGGCCTGGAATATACAGTTGGCTGTGATACACGAGCGCCTGGATTGGGATGGTTACGTCCACTTCAAGAGATCTGGCTTCCAGATCCGAATCCGTGGGTCCATACTTTGCGTCCAGAATGATTAGGCCTGGGACTTCTGATCAGAATGAGATCGATCGAGGAGCAGGATCTCTACCTTCTCTCGCCTTTTCGGCCTGCATGTGCTTCCGTGCGGTCTCCTTGAGTAGCGATATCGTCTCTTCGACTTCGCGCCTCACCGATGCCCGATCTTCTGAGAGTTCTTTTCGCGCATTGCGGAAGAACCTAGGAAACGTTATCGCGAGGGTGCACCAATGAGGCGACTCAGCAAGGCGAATGAAGTTACGGAACCGTACTCACGCAGCTCGCTCCTTCCGCCGACGAGGTTTCAAGATCAACTGATACGCCAGAAGGAAGCCGGTGGTGGGTAAAACTGCCGTAAGGAATCCAAGCGAAGGGTCGTAATCATCAGCCACTGTAACGGGCACGACCAGCCGCTGCCCGAGGTAGGTCAGGCTGAGCAAATAGATCGCCGTCAATGAGAAATAAACGATAGAAACGAAGCCGCGCACTCCAATTTCATTTCTACACCGCCGGCGTTTATCTCCACCGATGTCGAGACGCCCCCCTGATCGTCACCCCAGCTACCAACAAGCGCCCATGAAAGGCCCCTCACGTTGAGTTGCAGTAATAGCCTAGTCTCGAGCTGAAGCTCTGAGAACGTAACACCCCATTGCGCTCTCAAACCTGTTTCCAATCCCGCCAGCGTGACACCATATGACGAATAAGTGAGACCTTTGCTGAGTCCAGAAACGGATCCAGAACTTGATGAGCGAGGGCTTTCTTCCCCTGCCCCAATCTGGGAGGTAAGATCAAAGGGAGATGGGCACCGAATGTCAAGAGTGAAAAAAGGCATCTCTCCGGCGTGTAAACCTAGCACACCATGTATAGGTGATGTGCGGGACAGGCGGCGGCTATACGTAACCGTGAGAGGAGGTGGCGAGGAGGGCGATTGCAGTGACATCGACGTCTGAGCGGTTATCGTTTCGTCATCGCCGAGATATATTCCCTTGACGCTGAGGAGACGCGAGCGAAGAAGGGATGCCGTGGCCTATGGTGATATGCAGCGAATCGCTCTCGTCAGTTACAAGGGTGAAACGCGACCGATCACCTTTACCTCAAACCTCAGACGCGGTGAGTATTGATGTCGTACTGTGCCTAGGACATTCCCACCTGCGCCCCGCCCCATCTTGGCAGTTGCAGTTATTTGTGTTTTTGCATCAACGCTTCTCTAAGGTATGTCAATTTAACGTACGCCCGTGAGACAGGCGATTGAGAAATTACCTGAATTGTATGTTGGAGAACAAATGACGAAATTCTAATATCAGAGACCCTATCAGCCGCCTGCTCTACCCAAGTTGAGCCGCTGGTAGGGATGTCCGATGTGAATAGAGATCGAGCATCGATACCAAAGGTCATTTGTCCCTGAGGATTTATCATGTCGACTAGTTTATGGGTTTTGAGTTGTTGTGTTGTCTGGGTTAAAATCCGTCGAACCTGGAAAGTGTAAGTAGAAAAACGGCAGTACAATTGCAAGGACCGACTTGATCTCGAGGCATGTCGCGAAGCTGCGGTGGCCAATCAATGGATAGGCCATCATAGCCTGAGATTTTTCTATATGGTCGATGGTCAAGCAAACCGAAGGAAGACTGACGAGCGCACCTAGCACATCGTAGACCTGCCTATTCGTGGGTGAATGAAGCGCATTTCCAGCATAACACATATTACCTACCGAAGAAATGGATCGGAAAGAACTTCGACGCTGTGAGCAGGATCAACCATCATTCGTGTATGGGTTGTATATACCTTCATACGCCTTCTGGATCTCCAAGAACCGTCTGTTCGCCGTTTCCTTCGTGGACTCATCATGTTGTTTATCAGGATGAAATACGATAGACAGAGCCCGGTACCGCTCTCTTATTTCATTGTCGGATGCAGCTCTGGGAAGATTCAGAACTGAGCTGCACTCCGTCAATTGGAGGCCTGTAGGTCAATGACAGAGGCGGGGTACTGACTAGAGGAAGTCCTTGGCGGAGTAGTTAGTGGGATTGGCTGTATTATCAGAGGACGTCATGCAAAGATGACAGAATTATTTTGAGCAGTAGAACAGAGAAAGGAACGTTGGTGGTGCCAGTGTGCGACTTTGAAGGACACGAGTGACCTTCGGTGTGACAAGGGACGTGACTAGCGCCTTCATTGTGTGTGACGTCTGCGTCGCTCGTTGCTGAATTACTGAGCTTTCTCTCTCAACTCACACATCTCTGTCATCCGACCGCTCACAATGTTGTCTAATCAAACAGCTCATAGAAATCAGTCTCTCACACCTTCTGACGAAACGAAGCACCGAGGTGCAAATCGGTCCACGAAGGTAGCAGGCAAGCTCAAAGTTCTCCCTGAACAACCGGAACCAGAGCCAGTCTCCGTGAAGAGAGAAATGCTGGTACCATCAAGGGTCAAGAAAGACAGGGAGGATGGATCTGCAAGCACTGCAGAAAGCGAGGATGACGAAGGGGACGATGAAGAAGAGACGGAGGATGTCGAAGTGTGTAGAGACTTTGTTTCTTGCATGTTCGCCCGAAATTTACCTTTTCATCGTTGAACCAGGTGTACGACCAGATTGCACGTATACCCGCAGGAACTGCCCGCAGAGACGCCTTGAGACTCACAAAGAAAAAGGCAAGGTCTCTACCCCGAGTTACAGCATACGCAACGGCAGGGTACAACAGTGTCGCGCTATATTTTCTTCCACGGTTTTTGACATGCCCACTCTCACACAGCTCATATGTATCCCAAGATCTTATGAAGTTCTTCAACGCTCGACGGACGTCCTATCACACGAATCCACGCATGATCGATGATGTCGTATATACCCCTTACCTCTACGATGTGCCTTCCTCCCCGACCGCATCCCGCCAGTCGAAAGTGCGATGGCAACCCACTGAATCTCAAACAGGGGATCTCCTCGGCGTTCCCGACTTACGCCCCGAGCCAGAGGCAGACAATGCACAAAAAGGCAAGAAGAAGAGTAAATTCGATAACTCCGCAAGCGAGGCCGAAATATTTTTATTCCCATATGGGACTGTCGTTATCTGGGGCATGACGGAAGCACAAGAAAGGCGTTTTTTGTCTTCGCTGTGAGTACTCAGCCGCATGATAGTCATATATATTCATGGGAGACTTTAGAAAACGTTTCGAGATTGAGAAGCTAGGTATATCGTCTAATCAACTTCTTCAATTGAATGCTGTGATCGAATCTGTTATTTCAAGCCCCGCAGGACGTCGAAATGGAAGATCTCAATTTCTACTATGCTAATTACAGTCGGTGAGCTTGCGTGTTGGGTCAAATTTTGGCAGTTTCAGTGATTGGGGTTTTGAAGGATTTACAACGATGTGATCACACTGCGCAAGGGATCGAGTTACATGTACGTTTTCCGTCAACCTACAGGTGCTTTGATAACTTTGCGATAGGACCAAGCTTTCGCTATCACACGCTCTGGCGCAATCTGTCAAGATTTCTCTTGTAAATCATCCATCCTATCCTATGTTAACGCTCGCGTTGAACATCTTCCAAGTTCGAGGAGCGAATATCGACTACTATCGAGGAGACAAAAGACTACCCGGAGATCATCAGCGAAACAGGCAAGATCGGTATGCCTCATAAGGGTGCGACTATTTTTGCAGCTCGGCGCCCAGAGAAACATATTGACAAATCGGTCATGACAGAAATCATGAAGAAGATGGGCGAGGTTTTTCTTTTGCGATCTAATATTGCCTCTGTTGGATCTGTCTTGGATTCGCCAGACGTTTTCTGGGTGAGCTGCGGATTCTCCATTTGCCTTGTCGATTATCAAACACATCATTGGTTACAGACATATCCCGATCTCCAGCCATTATATGACGCTGCACGGAGCTATTTAGAGCTCCCGCAACGTATCAACCTCTTGAACACCCGCGTCGGAGTAATTCGTTTTCCTGTCGAGACATGATCACTTTTCCTGATCTATCTCTTCTGGATCCTAGGTTTTGCAAGATATGCTGCAGCTTCTGAAAGAGTCCGTCTCAAGTCGCCATTCGGAACGCCTAGAACAGATCGTCATCGCCCTCATCGGCATCGAGATTGGTGCGCTCCCTTTGTCCCTTTCCTTCACTTCTTCACTCACGGCATTTGCCTTCATCTAGTTCTGGGTATCGTTACAATTCTCGTCGATCTTTTTGCTTGACCTCGCTCCTTCTATCTGACCGGATTTTGCCTAAGCACAGTGGTTCTCCCGCACCCATGTAACATACACACAAGCATCGTTTCGTCATGGGTATCTTCTACTATTTTTACATCACCTATCGTAACTAGTCCATCCAGCCCTCGACCACAATGTCCAGGATTTGAAAGAAGAGATATCATGTGAAGACTCCGCAGGCACCAGGGTCAATACCTACCTCCCTTCCCTGGTCGATCTTTCTCTATCCTTTTTAGGAGTCCCGCTGGTTTCCGCCTTGCTCGCAGGTTTGCGCTCCTTGGTGGCCCTGAAGCATAGAAACTCAATTCCTGTCGCACGCCGCGTGTCTGCTAACGTCTTCTTGACGCCGTCCAAATGGCTTTGCAGGTTTTCGTCACCCGGCCGCCGCGCATATGCCTGCGATATTTTGTTGTACAGGTCCTGTAGCGTCTTAGCTGCCGATGATGTCACGTAACGCGAGAGAGTTTGATGCATGAATTCGATCTCTAGCGTCGCCTGTAGAAGGTGACATGGTGGCAATGAGTCCGGCGATGACCGCGGAAGCTGAAGACGGATAAGTTGCTTACACGGAGCATGCCGCCCATGCCAAATCTCTTTACTTGTTTGAAGCATCGCAAAGCTTCCTCCGCGACGTCCTCAACCAACGCATTCAGAGTGCGCTCCAAGAGAGGCGCCGCGGCGTTGTTGACTTGCGCATGAACGCCGACGAGGTACATCAACGTCTCGTACATGTATTGACGGATTTCTGCGAAGAGTGCAGATTTGGAATCAATGACACAGGGAACGAATAGGAAGACAGGCGCACCTGTGGGCTGAGGCGTCTCATACCAGTCCATTGAAGGATCCAGGATTCCGCTGCGTATGGCATTGGATACCACCGCCGCCTTGGGCTTGACATATCCATCGAACAGAGTCTGGTCGAGCTCATCCACCACGCTCATTAGGTTCTACAAAATAGCATCGGTGAGGAACAGTGTGACGTGAAACAGTATGAGGGACAACTGAGTACGACTCAATTGCTTTACCTGACGATCAGCTTCCGCGGACACGTTGAACGCAGTCTCCAACTCTTTGAGCATGCTTGGGATTAGTACCTGTTTGAGGTACCCGATATTCGACACGACCAAAATTGTCCGCGTGTCCTAAAACGTCCGATAGAATCAACCTCAGCAACCTGATACGGCCCAGCCCCGCTGCGACGATAAAGGCACTCACGACGTCTGATAGGTCTAAGTTTGACATGCTATGTACGACGGTGTCGCCCGGCGCCTGCACCGGCTTGTCCACACTGACAGGCAACTCGTCGGACGCCAGATGCACCAGCCCGTCCAGGAACGCATACAAAGTGTCCAAAAACGCCTTGGTGATCTTCGCGACGAACTCCGAGGGGATGGGGTACTGCTTCACCATTCTCGACGAGGACGCTGACGCTGACGAGGAGAGGTCGACGCCGCCTGCGAGCTTGAAGGAGTAGGTCGTGACATGCTTTTGAAAGAGCTGGATGTCGTCCAGGTAAACGGTCGTGTACGGCTCGCTCAAAGATGTCGTCCAGGTCTCAAGGTGATAGAAGATATTCGCATCTGAAAAGAAATGAATACTCTTTAGACTTCGACATTAGGGATCGTTCAAAAAAAGAGAACCTGCCTCTCAACCATCCCATTACCAGGATGTCCACGAACTTCCACCGCGCGCTCTCCAACAGACCCTTCAGACTCGTAGCCGTGTCGTTCGACACCTCCATCGCATTGACCTCGTTCACGCATTCCTGGATTTCGCCGAGGATCCGCATGAGATAATGGCCTGTCGTCAGTATGTTTGAGTGACCTGGGATCAGCGGAGGAGTGCCATCGCCTCCTGCGGCTGGAGGCGTCATCACAGCCATATCGGAGAAAATGAAGAACTCGGAGAGCAGGGAGATGTATAGTTTGACGATGTCGAGGGCCATGGTGCGTACTTGTGAGGGACTGCGGCGCGAGTTGGAGGATCCTGGAGACTGCGCCGTGCATGATTATTCACTTGGACGGGTGATTTTACTACGAGTAAGAGGGACGCACCTTTCTGTATTTACCATCCAAGAACGATTTGGCGATTCTCCAGAAATTAGGCAGGGCTGACATCATCACGTCGGACACGGCCTTGACCATGTCCACGATTGTCTGCCATACTTCGTGTCCACCCGACTGAGCTGTGGGTGGCCGTCACGCTTCGTTCAGTCAATAAGAGAAAGGTGCACAGAGAACGCACATAGGACGGCTTCTGATTGATTCGACTTCAACGCCGCGACGCATGTCTGCAACTGAGATGCCAAGACCGCATCTGACGAGTCCAGGCCTTGTATGGACGGCTGCGTCTTCTCCTTCTTGCCTAGAGTCCCGCAGTGAGCCCGAAGAACAAGGGGTGAGCCGTGGGCCCTGGAAACACATACTGTGCACGACTCCGACAGCAATCTGATACGTCTTCTTCATCTGCTCCAGGATAAACCTATGTTGGGCGTCAAAGTATGTCCACACAGGATCGTCCGGAGTATTCAGCTCCAATAAAATCCTTCGGTGCCGAACATGAAGTCAGCACGAACACGAGAAATGCGGCGACCGCACGCACTCGATCGTCTTCTCCTGGTCCTCAACCGGCCTCCCAGGCTGCTGCAGCTGCCCGAGCAACAGGGCCCGCATCTCGCTCATCGCCTTTTCGACGGTATTCCAGACCTTGTCCAGTATCCGTTTCTGCTGCTGCTCTGCCGTCGTGTTCTGGCTGTCTTTTGAGGCTCCGATGGGGAGGAGCTGACCGGGCCGCGTCTCGAGCATGAACTTGCCCTTCTTGTAGTCGCGCATGGCCACTTCGTATCGGCCCTGTGATGTTTGGACGGTGAGCACCAAGAGCTGGCGGAGGTGGAGACAATGGAGGGTTCGAGAAAGAATGACATACGGCTTCCATGGACTCCACGATGGATGTGGGTAGATTAAAGAAGAACTTCGAGCGCTCGAATACACCGAGCGTGGTGCGCAGCTTTTGTGCCTTGCTCGCGTTCTCGAGCACGGGGAGGAAGACTTGGTTCGCTTTCGTTGCGGCCTCTACATATGTGATAACGAGATCAAATCAATGCCCACACGACCCGATTATTTGTGCTCCGAGAGGGGACAAATTGGGGTAGGATGATTCACGGAGGGGACGTACGTTTTAGCTGGTCACGCAGCGGCTTGGACGCATAGTCCGTCGACGGGGCTAGCAGACCCTCTTTCATCTCCAGGTGCAACGCTAAAACAGCCGCACGCGTGCGATACTCAGCTCACAGCAAGAGATAGGTAACAAGACGGGAATAGACAGAAGGACAGGAGAGAGTTGGAGAGACTGAAAGGGGGCGTACCGTCGGTGGACGCCTTGACGGCGACGAATTTGTCAAAGTTGTCCTCTACGAGGACGCGGATCGCCTCGGAGCGCGAGTCGATGGATGCGCGGAGGTGTGCAATGCCGGCGGCGAGGTCTTGGTAGGTCGCGTTGGGGTGTATGGCAGAAAGGAAGGCCTTGGGGTCGAAGGACTTGGAGGAGGTGAGGATGGCCGCGCCTGTATGGAGGTATAGGTATGCAAGCGAGGGCGAGGGCGATTAAGGAGGAGCGGGAGCGGGAAGTGTGTATGCGGACGCACGCTGCTCCATGTCCATGTTCTTCACGCTGTCCGCGGTGGGGAGGGCTCAGGGTCATCTGTGTGCGCATAGAGCGAGCTGCGCTCGGGACGTACTCGACGAATGCGCCCAGCCCGAGCGGGTCCCCCTCCGCCTCGGACGTGCTCGTCGTGGGGCTGATAATCTGCCCCGCAACAGAGTCCTCATGATCTGCCTCTTCCCATTTCCTGCATCATGTCAGCCGGGGTAGCATAGCATAGCATGAGATATCACAGAACGAAAATGAAAGAACGGAGAAAGTCAGGCTGTCAGTCGCGCAACGTGAGATGGAAAGGGGGGCGCCACTCACGACGGGGAGAGCGTCGAGATCTTGTACGCCTTGAGTAGGGCTGCCTCGTCCGGGTCGAAGTTCAGTTTACCCATGCTGTGGGTGTGCTCGTGTGTCCTCGATTCCTCGAAGGGTTGTGGGATGAAGGCTTTGCTTCGTGTTATGCGTCCAGAGGCTTGTTGAATGCGATCGTCAGTGCCTGGTAGTCTGTGGATGTCGAGGAGATCCTCGATATGTTCTCGTCAGGCGCCGGAACAGAACAAGTTGAGAGCTCGGGCTTCGAGGTTGATAGGGTGGCTATTAGCAGAAATATCGCGCGCACGCGTATTGATGCAAGGGTCAAACGATTGTCAAACGTTGCTTCGGTCGCGCGTAGTGACCGCGTTTAACAACAAATGAAAAGTGTTCTACTTGGTGTTTCATGTAGCAGATCTGTAAGCTCGCGAAACTAGATACGAACGATCACACGTTGAACATATCAAAGGTTGGACTCGAAAGCGGCACGGCCAACGATTAAGAATGCAAGCACCAATGGAACGAGCGGGGATGCACAAATCCTCTAAACTAATTAAGATAGCCAAACCGTCCGTCTAATCATCAGAACGGCAGAACAAAACAAAGCGCCTCATCAGGCGCGTCATGGGGGAATATGAGGAAGTATGGACGACTTCGTGGGCCTCCTCGCTTTTGGTCCTTAGAGGGGGATGACGGTGTTAAAGACGTAGTCCCAGACCTTGCCTGTACAGCCATATGTGTGAGATGAAACGAAGAACGGCATACGACGCAAAAAAAGGGAGAGAAACAAGACGCACTGGTGACGCCAAACCCGAGCTCGAAGTTCTTGTAGTGGTGCGCGAGGTGGTATTTCTTCTGTTCGCGAAGGTACGCGGGCAGCTTAGTGTGGTGCATCCTGTCAGAAGTCCCCATGACGCATTAGAACTTTCCTGACGTGTCTTCAAGCTCAAGGGTAAGGGCGCTTACGCATAGTGCATGCAGTCATAGATGACGTCTGGCGGGGGAAGGATCGTTAGCGGTGAAGCAGAGCGAGAGGTTGTGCTATACTTACAGAAAAAGAAGGCCCCGGCGATGATCCCGTTGGCCACGGCCGCAGGGAACAGCTTGTGCGCGAGGCGGGTGAAGGGCAGCGAGAGCGTCGTGAAGAGTACAGGGGGCATGACGAGCCTCAGCCTGTCTCCAGCGTCAGCAGCCGCCAGCCCGTGGTATGTAAAGAAGCAAGGGGAAACAGATCCACGCACCGGTCCATGGGCAAATAATGGTGGATCCCGTGCAGCAAGAAATGGAGCGTCAGGAACATGGGTGTGTCGGGGAGGTAGTAGTCGACATGGAACAGGAAGCGGTGGAGCGTGTACTCGAGGATGGTCCATACAACGTTGCCGATGAGGATGCACGCGCCGGTCTTGAGGTAAGCACTGGCAGGGAGGGAGAGGAGGGCGGCGAGCGGCAGGTATGGATTCGATGTGAGGGGCGGGAGAGGCCCGGAGAATTGCAAAATGGAGCGCAGGCCGAGGTATGTTGCGATGGGCAGCCAGATGGTGGGGATGACGAACCATTTGGTGCGCGTGAAGACCTGGGAGGAGGATGAGCGGTTTTGTGAACGACTCGTCAGGAGGTGATAGAGAATGCGTACCTCGAGGTAACTGGGACCGAAGAGACGCACAGGCTCTGAAAGATGACGAGGCTGATGCACTTGCTGGAGGTAGTATGATTTACTGGGCGAGTATCAACATGCTGCACGGCCTATCGCAAAACCACACCCACATACCTGAAATTGGCCTCCCACATCTGCTTCAACAAGGGCTTCCGCAAGTCCAAGAATTGGTTCTTCTCGTAATCCTTCGCCTCGTCCGTGTTTTCCGGGTGGAAGTCATCTGCAGGGACCCAGTCGTCGCTGACGAGGTTCTCGCCGACGCCAACCCTGCCAATGAAAAACTCGTTGAGAACCTCGTACGCGCTCTCGGAGTGCTCGTGCTCTGTCGCATCGCGCATCGCATCTTCGACGTCATGGCCGGCGAACTTTAGCACGAGCTCGTCGCCGCCGGGGTGGTCGGGAAGGAAACGCGTGACGTCGAAGATGCGGCCTTTGTAGGAGACCCAGCAGCTAGAGGCGTTGGCGTGCTCCGCAACGTCCTCTGCGGTGTACATGCGGATGCGCTTGGACATTGTGAGTGCACGGGTCTGAGTTGGGCGAGTGGGCAGGGGAGGGGAGGTCTCCTTTGAGGAAGGAGAGGCTGAGGGCAACGCGGGGGGAGACGGCGGCGGAGGGCTTTTTAGGAGGAAAGGGCGCAGTCGGACCACAAACACGATTATATTCGCTGATTACGAGACCGGGCTGGGTCTGCCGCGGCACGCCGACTCGTCCTTGCCGCGGCCCCTGTCTAAGTCCGTACACCTCCCTACACCTCCACACTCCTCATGCCTCCCCGCTTCGTCTTGTTCGATCTCTCCACCGACCTCGTCGACGCGTGGCGACAGGATTTCGCGGCCCTCGTCCCCCAAGAATGCCAGGCTCAAGTCACCATCGTCGAAAGTGCACTCTCAGACCTAAAATCTCCCTTTGATTGCATCGTCTCTCCTGCTAACTCCTTCGGTCGATTTGATGGTGGGTGAGTCTTGGCGATGCATTATGGACGCTCGTCTTCTGGCTGATTCGCCGCCGTGCTTGCGTCGACTAGCTTCGACCAGATCCTCTCCGATGTGCTAGCTCCCCCAGACGATCCGTCTGCCCTCACGCGCACCGCTCAAGCGGTACTATACCGCCGCTGGCGCGGGTTCGCGCCCCCCGGCACATGCACGCTTATCCCCCTCTCAGACACGCCATGCGCCGCGAATCCATTCGCATGCCGCTTCGTCGCGCTCTGTCCCACCATGCGCTTCCCCGGCTCCGTCGCGTGGCACAGAGAGCTCGTGTACAACTGCGTCTGGTCCCTGCTCGTCGAGATCGATGAGCACAACGCGCGCGCAGCCGCGGACCCGCGGCTCCTGCCCGTCGAAACGGTGGCCATGACCGGCCTCGCCACGGGCACCGGCTGCATCTCGGCGAACCAGTGCGCGAAGCACACCGCCCTCGCCTTTGCGCACTACCACGACGCGAAGACGAACCCGCAGAAATGGTCGGCGATGACCTGGGGTGACATCGAAGGATACCCGCTCACCAGACTCTTGCCGACAGATTATTGAAATCTGTAAGTCTGCTGCTGCAGGATGGATGCAGGACACTGCACTGATCTCGGGTGCGTCCACCGTCCCTCAGGGACTGATGAGTAGAGGGTACATCACAGCTCTCGCATGTGGAATCTGTTGACTTCGCTTAGCAGCTAGTCGTGCTATGCTAAGAATATGCTCTTTTCGTGGGGCTTGGTGAGCGAAAGAGGTTCCAATAAAAGGCAGGTCATCCCGACGCGTCGATCGACAAGCTGAGGTCTCGCTTATATACTGTACGCGTCCGTCGTCTGTCATTGGGACTTCGATTTGTCAGAGGCAACGACGAAGTGGAAGGTCCACATGGAGACTGGTGGCCGCGTCGGCCTGCGTGGGGCCGTTAGCGCGTCAGCAACTGCGCGCAATAGCATCGGGATCGCCTTTTGCATTGTATAACGATGTCGTCGCAGGAAGAAGTGACGGCCAGTAAGTGGTGCTCCCTACGCGAGCGACACCACGAGTTGCTTTCCGTCCTGAGTCTCTAACTCGTGTGGCCTCGGGGAACGCGCTGCCGTAGAGGCTGCTGGAGATATCCAGCCCACAGAAGCGGGCTCAGGCCCTTCTATCACTAGATGCGCCATGGCCCTTGCTACTTGGAAGTCGACGGCAGTGCGTCGCAAGACTATCCTGTTGCCGCCTCTTCATTTGTCACACGTACTACTACCCCTGGCCAGGAGATGGTCTGAACAATCTCCTGCAACAGCTTAAGTTCCGGCCTGAAATCATCGCGCTCAACACCTTCGGAGAGGCCGCGCTTTGCCACGGGGATTGTCGTCTTTGGGCTCAGCGCTTGGCTGGGGTGGCGCACAGGCTAGCGTATGTCGCGTCTCAAGGTCTCTGACTTGGTTCGGCTAACATATGTGTTCTATATGCAAGTGAGAGACAGGCGCAAACGTCTTCACAGCAATAGTCTAATCATGTTATGAGGAAAGTGTGTACCTTCTCGAGATGATATGAACGATGGTTTTGCTCCTTGCGTGTTGTGCGACTTGGGGAATGGTGTCGTTGGCGGGGTGCGATGGCTTCAGGCGAGAAATGAGGCGTGACCTCAGCAGCCTTACTCCCAAAGACGGTGCCGCTCGAGCTTAAGTGGGTGGCGGTCGGCAACGAGGTGCGTCTAGCCGTCTACTCGTGATGCGCGCAGCGCTCGGACAGTCCAAATCCAAAGCTGGACTTTCTGCTGAATTCGAAAGCTAGCTAAGGAAGCTGGAGAGACGGCGCTTTTCCGAAGTTTGCTCGAAAGCCAGGCCCACCACGGCTGTTAGAAACCAGCACGACACTCATCACGAAATCAAGTTGGATGCGAGCTGGAGCTTCAAAATTGTAGGTGTAAAATTCGTCTGCACTACGACCTCATAGCCTATAGGATACACTGGTGTCTATCACTAGACTCCTCACTCCTGGTGCCGCACGGGGTGGACCCGTCCTTATCTGAATACGGCTCTATACGGTACGTCATATTCGATACGAGAGCAATGCTCGTCTGTTTTCCGGTGACGACAGAATCATAGAGTACATCATCACAGCGCAAATCATACACGCCATTCAAAATGTACGCTGAGAAAGATATACGGCACGCATGTACGCTTCTATATTCTGCGTGACCGATCTATCGTTAAGCGCAACACTTCTCTTCTCCCGTCGGACCACCACATCGGCTTCTCTAGTCGCTTCGTTACCTTTACTTATTTCGTCAAACTTCCTCTTCGAGACGGTCGTGGTCCAGGTTGTCTCTAACGTATCTTGTCTCTTAGCGCAGGTGGGCTTTCTTGAGGACGTCAAATATTGCCTATCATATGTTGTGTGTAGCCTCTAAGGTGCAGTGCTAATTGCCTCACGCTATACGTTTAACTCAAATATTTCCTTCAGGGACGGGCCGGACGGCACGGAAGGATAAGACACACAAGTACACGCCATAAAAGATATACAGCTTCGATGTACGTCATAAAACACATACGCCACATTCGATGAGAGACAAATACAGGGTGGCCCAGACTTACAATCTATCCCTCACGTTGAGAATCCCCTCACTATCTCATACTTTTGGAAAAACATTACCTTTGACTTCGCACCAACGATGTCGTCACAGGAGGTGATAGCTAGTGAGTAGTAGTACTTCACATGCGATTGACACGACTGACTTTTCGTCAGTGTTCTACTCGTGTGGCCTCGAAGAATCTGCTGTCGCAGAGGCCGCTGAAGATATCAAGCCCGAAGAATTGCGCTCGGACCCCTCATGGGCCCTTTATTACTACTGGATGCGCCACGACCCTCGCTACTTGGGAGTGCACAATAGTACGTTGCAAGAATATCCTGTTACCGCCTCTTCGTTTGACATACGCACTACTATCCCTGGCTAGGAGAGGGTCTGAACCTTCTACTGCGACAGCTCAACTTCCGGCCTGAGATCATCGCTCTCAATACCTTTGGAGAGGGTGCTCGTTGCCACGGAGATTATCATCTTTGGGCTCGAAAATTGGCCGGGGCGGCGTACAGGCTCGTGTATGTTGAACCCCGAGCTCTCAGACTTGGTTCTGCTGACATGTGTGTTCTATATGCCAGCGAGAAACAGTCGCAAGCCTGTCAACAGCTATAGTCTAAGTATCATACGAGGGAACTGTGTATCTTATCTTGATGAATATAAATGACGGTTTTGAACTTTGCGTGTCGTGCGACTTGAGGAATCAATGAGGTTCGGAACGCGGTCGAGTGAAGCGATCGAACTGACCAGCTCGACCTTCTGATCGCACGCAGCAGACAGAAACCTCGTCGGCCATCAGACAAATCAAGCATTCAAAAAAAAAACGTCTAAATCACTCTAAATCACCGTACTGCTGCCGCCTTTTCGAGCGCAGAGATGCCACTATCCGGGCCCGAACCCGTACGCTTCGAGCCCACCACCTCCGCCGCCTCCGCCACCACCTCCGCCACCACGTCGTTCCCACTGCGCGCGCGCAAGCTTCCAGACCTTCATCACGCCCGTCCCGACGCTGCGTTCGATCAGAGGGGGGTCAGCTTCGCTCGGGCAGGGCAGGAGGCCCGTCCGAGAGAGAGAACGGCGCTCACTTTTGGTCCTCGACTTGCTCCAGGGGGACCCACATCGCGGCGCAGGGGCGTGCAGAAGCGGGAGCGGCCGCCCCTGCACCGCCGTCGCCCTCGTCCTCGTCCTCGTCCTCATCGTCGCTCGCGTTGCTCTTCTTCTTCTTCGATTTGGGTTTGCGCTTGGGCTTGGGCTTGCCCCGCCCGCCGCGAGACGCCGCAGGCTCGGGCTCGGGCTCGGGGACGAGGAGCTCAGGCGGGGCGTCGCCGCCGCCCTCGAGCACGACCCACTCCACGCGATATGTCTTGCGGATGTGGGAGAACACGTGCAGCACGTCGCCCGCGGGCTTGACCTTTACGATCTGGCACGCCGCCCCGGGCGCAGGAGCGGAGGCCCCTATGGCCTCCGGCGCGTGCGCTGCAGGCTTTGAGCGCGTCGTGGGCTGGGCGGCGCCAGATGAGGGTGGGAGAGGCGGGACTTTGAGGAGCGGGCGTAGGAGAGAGTGCGGGAGGCGTTTCAGTTCCGCGGGTGTCGTCGGGGTCGGTACGTTTGGAGAGGTGGGGAACTCGTGGAGGCCGGCTAGGAGGCCTGGAATATCGGGGTGAGCTTTCGGATGGGTGTGGTTTGGGGGTGCACGGACGGACCTCCCTCTGGGCGCCGGACAAGCAGGAACCACCTGCCGGAGGCGTTGCGCCATTCGACAACGTTGACGATGTCCGTTTCTTCTCGCTGTTTCTTGCGCTCTGCTTTCATGGGGTATGAGGTAACAGGGGGCTCGGGCGTGCCGACAGCGCTCGCGAGCGGAATGGGCTCGCACAGCGTGCAGATCTCCTCGATATCCGGGACGTCCGGTATAGACGGCTTAAGCTGCGTTAAATGGATAGATAGATAGATAGAAAGGGCGGTCAGCGCCGGTCGCTCGTGCCAGCCATGGCGCGACGTACGTCTGCGGCGGAGGCGCGGTAGGCGCCGCACCACGGTTGGAGGACGCACGCGGCGCAGTCGGGGTCACGGGGCTTGCAGACGGTGCTCCCGAGTTCGATGAGGGCCTGGTTGACGTCCCCGGGGCGGGCGGCGCCGCGAACCATCGTCGCGGCGGCGGACCAGAGGACGTCGAGGGTCGCCTTGGCCTTGGGTGGCGCGTGCAGGGCGAGGAGTCTGCTGAGCAGGCGGTGCACGTTCCCGTCGAGCTGCGTCGGGCTTTCAGTCGTGCGAGAACGGGTGCCCGCAGGGAGAGCGGAGATGAGGGATGGGGGATGGGGGATGGAGGGCTCACGACGGGGACGCGTTCGTTGTACGCGATGGAGCAGATCGCGCCGGCGCTGTAGCGCCCGATGCCGGGGATGCGCGACTCCATGTCCTTCGCGTTGTCTGGGAGGCGGCCGGCGAAGTCCTCGACGGCCGTTTTGGCGCCGGAGAGGAGGCGCGCGGCGCGCGAGTAGTATCCGAGACCCTTCCAGATGCCGTTGATAGTGTCTATGTCGGAGGACGCCTGTGGAGGAGAGGAAGTGAGAAGCCGTTGAGGAGTCGACGTCGGGAACACGATGTGCATGGGACGGATGGGTGACGATAGGATGGAGACGCACAGACGTACCAGATGTCTGATGGTCGGGAACCTGAGAGGGTGAGCGTGGAGTGAGCGGACGTGTATGACGCGCGTAGAATGTGGAGAGACGCGCACTGTTGCATCCATCTGTTATAGTAGGGAATGACGGTGGCGACTTGGGTCTGCTGGAGCATGACCTCGGAGACCCAGACCTTTGTATGAACGTCGCGGTGAGGGTTCAGACGCGTACGGTCGCGAATGACCGACTGACCTCGTAGGCGCGCTGAGCACGCTCCTCTGGGCTAAAGGAGAGGTCGTAGGGCTTGCGCCAGGGCATTCGGCGAGCATCGTGCACTGTGGAATACCATGCGAGGAGCGCGGATTGGAGGGGCTCGGGCTGCGAGATTATGTGTCGGGATGCAGGGTGCGACGGGGCTGCGAAGGACGCGTCTGGGGACTGCGGTGATCTAGGGGCTGCACGTGTCTTCGTGCGCGCGGGTACAGGGCGCGGCTGATCGGCGTAGTCAGCGTCATCGTCTGTTCGCTTTCGTTTGGCCATGGACGGAGGAGAGTGCGGTGGCGGTGGCGGTGGCGGTGGCGGTGGCGGTCACGGAACGCGGTTGTGGCGCCTGAAGTATCCTCGTGATCAACGTGTCGGGACGGATCACGTGAACAGGACCGATCGCTGGCCCGATGTGGTGCTCGCAGGTGACCTCGTCGTGCTCGTCGCCGCCGCCTAGACCGAGTATGCGCCGCGTGCTGGCCCTCTGAGCCCTCGGTCTTCGAACTTCGTTGCAGATCACGCGCGCGCCCGCTGCCAGTCACCCTGCTCGCGACGGTCCGGTCCTGCTCATGTCCGCCCCTTCTTAGAGCGCGTTGCCCGCCGTCATAGGACGGAACTATATCCGTCAGCGCGCGCTCCATCTCCCGTCCCTGGAACTTCTCCAGGATGCTGCAGCGATCCCTCTCTTCTGACATGTAACCTCCGTGCGCCAAGGTCTACCGTTCCCCGCTTCGGCCCGCCGTCTGTATTCAAAAAGAATGCACGACCGGGGAGGCGAGCACCACTCGCCGCCATGCTCTCCATCGCCTCTGCCGCGGTGCTTGCGTCGCTTGCCTTTGCAGTCTCGACGAATGCTCAAACTACGGTGGTCGTGCAAGGCACTCCCAGTCATGCTATACCTTCTACCCTATGTGAGTTTCGTGCCGCGTTCTCGATCGTGATCGTTCGCTCACCTTTTGCGGACGAAGGGGGACTCATGTACGAGGTAAGTGTAAAAAAGCCGCGTCTCTTTTGACAGACAACAACGAATATGTGCTCGCTCTGCAGGATATCAGTGTAAGCTTTGCATTCATCACGCTCTAGTCGATCGAATCTGACCGCTTTCATCCACAGCATGTGAGCCGCGATTCGCCATGGATCGTGCCTAACTCGTAGAATACTTACTTGTTGCCTGCAGAGTGGCGATGGAGGTCTTTACGGAGAACGTGCGTCCTCTCGTCAAACTACCTTCGTTCGTTCGTCTCACGATGTCCTCAGTCCTACAAAATCGCGCGTTCCAAAAAGTGACGCCCGGTATGCATCTGCCATGATCTAAGTCCTTCCCGCTCATGTCGCGTTGCATCAGGCACCTCAGCCGCTTTGAACGCCTGGCACGCGGTCAACGGCGCAGGGATCGCTGTCGTTGCAGATCCCACCCCGCTCTCTTCTGCGCTGCCCAATGCTCTCGAGGTCACAATTCCCTCGAACAGCTCTGGCCCAGTCGGTTTCAGCAACGAAGGTTACTGGGGTACGGCACCCGTCCCGCCTCGCACAAGTTCATGTGACTGACGCATGATATTATTCTAGGTATCGCGGTCAACTCGGCGTTCACCTACAACGCTTCCCTCCACTACCGTTTTGCCTCCGCTACGACTTCTCCGGTCACGCTGACCGTCTCCATCGTCTCGTCCTCCGGGACCGTCTTCGCGAGCAAGTCCGCCCGGGTCACGCCCAGCGCATCGTGGACGCCCCTAGTGTTCAGCCTGAAGCCCTCACGCTCCGCCAGCGACACCGCGAACAGCTTCCAGGTGACGCTCGAGGGCGCTGCGGGACAGACGGCGCACTTTGCGCTGCTGAGCCTGTTCCCGCCGACGTTCAAGGACAGGGAGAACGGGATGCGGATCGACATCGCCGAGGTGTGTTCTATTCGCGCGGTGCTTGGTCTGGGTTTGTCCGTGATCTGTATTTCATCGCGCGCGTTCTTTCGTTAGGCTTTGGCCGAGTTGAACCCGTCGTTCTTCCGTTACGTCGGTGGCAACAACCTCGTGAGTGCGGTTCTTTGGATTTGGGCCGGATATGGATGTAACTTTTTTTGCTTCGTTTCGATTTGCAGGAGGGCGAGTCGATTCCTCAACGCTGGCAATGGAATGCTACCGTGGGCCCTCTCACCGACCGTCCTGGCCGCCTCGGCGACTGGAGCTACATCAACACAGAGTGAGTCGACCGCTCGCGTCACTTTGCTTTGATCTCATTCAGATGGACGTCTGTAGTGGGTTGGGACTTCTTGAATATCTGCATTGGACGGAAGACGCGAACATGGCCTCTATCATGGCCATCTGGGCGGGCTACTCTCTCAACGGCGCGAGCGAGCCCGAGGCCGGGCTGGCACCTTACATCGAGCAGGCCCGCCAGCAGGTGCGTGATGCGAGTCCGGGTTGCTGTGGTCATGCGATTGATGTCGGGTTGACTTGGGACAGATCGAGTTCGTCGTCGGGAGCACGGAAACGCCCGGCGGAGCCCTGCGAGCTTCGTTGGGCCATCCCGAGCCGTTCGAGCTGAAGTGGGTGGAGGTTGGCAACGAGGTGCGTCTGGACGTCTGCTCGTGACGGCGACGCGCGCGCGGTCAGCTGAGCGCACGCTGCTTGATTTTTATAAAAAAATATTTACGCCGCGCTCGCAGGATTTCTTCGCCGCTTCGAGGTGAGCTTTTTTGTGCGCGGGTGAGGGCTGAGTCCGATGTTCACGCTCACGCAATCGCGCGGCGGGGCGGGGCAGTTATCTGTATCGCTGGCCCGACTTTGTCGGTAACCTGTCGGCGCTGTATCCCGACATCCGTGGGTCGCTCTTGATGCGTTTTGATTGATCGCGTTGTTTTGACTTTTTTGGGGGGCGTTTTCGCGCAGGCTTCATCGGGACCACGGACGCTTGGTCGCCCGTCTTGCACCCCGTCCCCAAGTCGTACGACGTGCACGTGTACCAGACACCCCGTGCGCGATTGTGTTCTCCTTCCAGACAATGTTGAGATTGACCGTTGGGCGGACGTAGGTTGGTTTGCTTCCAACTCGTTCTATTACGATAGCTTCCAGGTGCGTGTATCGATCTTGTTGGACGTTTTCGAGTAAAACAGATGCTCATGGACGTGCAGCGCAATGGCACGACGTACTTCGAGGTCAGTCGGCCTTGATTCAGGAGCATCGTGCAGAGGCCTGACAGATGAGCGTTCTAGGGCGAGTATGCGGCCATCTCCACCAACCCTAATGACATCTTCGGTGCTCCGGCGGACGGCCGGCTGTTGTGGCCAACCATGGAGAGTGCGTGTCTCGAGTTCGTTGTGCTTGAGTGCCCTTGCTCAAGGCTTGGAATTGTAGGCTCTTCTGGCGAGGCTGCGTTCATGACTGGGCTGGAGAGGAACAGCGACATCGTGTTCGCCGCCAGCTATGCACCGCTGTTGGGCGTGAGTGTCTGCGTGCTCGTGTATTGCCAAGAGAGTGTTGCTGATTTCGCGTCTAGCATGTGAACAGCTCGCAATGGGTGAGTCGTTTTGCGAGTCGATACGAGGAGAGAAGCTTACATAGGGCTAGACTCCGAATCTTGTCAGCTTCGAGTAAGTCTTTCCTTCTGAGTGATACCTATACGGGAGTGGTGCTGATCGTCCACATGCAGTGCGGGCCACGTGTACAGGTCCACCAGCTACTATGTGCAGCAGGTAAGCGGGGATGGACATCTGCCATCGTCGAGCGACCGCTGACCGCTCGCGTGCAGCTCTTCAGCGTCAACCGCGGCGACGAGTACCTTCCAAGCACGCTGCCCACGCCCAGCGGTACCCTCTTCTGGTCCGTCGTGCGCCAGAACACGCCCGCCGCCGTGATTATCAAGGTGCGCGCCCCGTTCCCGCGCTCTCTTCGTCTGCAGAGACACGATCGCCTGACACGCGTCGCCTGCAGGTCGCGAACACGGTCGGCACCGTGGCGGGCCTGACTTTCGAGCTGCCGTTCGACGTGGGCGCGCGCGGGACCGCGCAGGTGCTCACGGGCGGCCAGACGGACAGCAACACGCCCGCGACGCCAGACTTGGTAGCGCCGAAGACGAGCGTGGTCGCGACCGGGCGGACATTCAACTATACGGCGCCGGGGTTCAGCGTCACGGTGCTGACGGTCCTGATCGTGTGAGGCGGCGGCGGGGTGGTGGTGCGAAGAGACCGATGGGCGTGGAATCGAGGGAAGGCAAAAGGGATATTGATATCTGGGGTGCCATCTACGATGGTAAATGACTGAGGAGAGCAGAGCGGTGCGGCGCAAAATAAGCCCGAGTGAGGAATTCGCGCGTGGAAACTAGCTTTATCTATTGTTTCGCACCCGGAAAGTTTCGTGCGGAAGTGTCACAGACGATATTTTGTGCGGAATGAATAAAACGACACTTTGACCACCACAGGGGGTATTCTCACTGCGATTGATAAAAGGAGAAGGTCAGGATAAAGAAGTTGTTGCCACCTAGTCTCATTCCCATGGGAAGTTTTCGACCTCGTCCTGTCAGACGTAGGGAGATTCTCACTGGGTTTCATCGCTGCTCCAATTATCGTGCCACCTGGCAACATATATACACGATGTCATGATGCGTTTCATAGCCTCTGGTACATTACCAAATCGTGATGCTTTTCGATGAGGGCCCCAGCTTTCACACCTTCGGCCCAATCAATCTCCCCGGAGTCATTGATTACTGAGGGATACTTCGTCTGCCCCACTGGCCCAGCCCAGTCGAAGTCGATCAGCATCCCGCCATCATATTCGGATGCGTCACCTGTCCCCGGCCTCCGAACAACCATGATGTTCGGGCGGCGCAGATCCCCGAAGACCAAGTTGGACGCGTGGAGAAGGTCTATGGCTTTCTTCACATCTACCTTCACCTTGTTGAAAGACAAGTCTTCAACTTCAGATGGCGAGACTGAGTCTCGAGGATAAGATTTCCCGAAGCGACTGAACGCGTTCTGACCTTCGATGCGATCCATGACGACCATGGTCAGCCCACCGCGCACCATGACGGCGAGATGCAGTTTCGGTGCAAGTGGGGGATCCTGGTCAGCCAGCAGCTTGTGTGCCTGGACACCGTATGCTTCGCAGAACTTGATCACGACATCTCGACCACGCAGCGTGCCCAAGAAGATAGGTCGCTGATATTCCTGGGGATGTCTGCCTTTGTAATCGTATCTCCTTTCAAATTTTAGATTGAGAGGAGATAGCGCATCTTGATCTTCAAATGTTGAGCCTGGGCGGTAGGTGGGCGAAGGGAGTAGACGGTTGTGTACAGGTATTTCGGACGGTTTAAGCTTCATGTACATGGCGTCCAGTTTCCCCACAGCTTTGGCTACCACGTGGAAGATGCGTGCGATATGGTCCGCGGCCTCCCTTTTGAGAGGGTTACCGCCGAGCAACAAGTAGCCTGTCAAAGGCTGGACGATGACAATGTCGACAAAGATAGCACCCAAGATGCAGATATGAGGGCCGCCGATTGCGATTAGGATGCAAGGACAATTGGATGCATTGCGAATGCGTGTGAACTGCAAGGTGTGAGGAATGGTCAGGTAGACGACGCGAAGACAAGACGTACGATTTTTTGCGCGATATACTTTCGATAGGTGAGTGCAATCTGAAGTGAAGGGTCGCCGCCGATCCCAAGCTCGTTTTTCCACTCGAGGAGAACGATTGGTCGGTTGTTGCCTTCGGTTACCGCGAACACCGAGCCATCGAGGATCACTTTAGCCTCGGTCTGAGCAACATACAATGATATGGTGGTATGTAGCAGAGAATTTAGCATGGGTAGCATTCCTGCAATCCGCTCGCGTTCATTCTCGTAGACTTTGGACGAAACATGGAAGAGCTTTCTTACTTGACCCAATTCTTCCGCGTTGGGCGTGACGGCGGAAAGGTTGGCCAGATTTTCCTTGAGCTCCGCAAAAATGGAGCTGTACAGAGTGATCGGTGGACCATCGAAACCGTCGCGGCCATTGTAGATTGGCCGTTCCTGCTGCTCCTTTTTGAACGTCCTAACATTAGCCGATACCGATGACGGTGCCTGGGCTTCAAAAGCTGCATCTATGACCTTCAGTTGTGCTGTGAACATGTGTTGTCAGTTGACCACTGTGACTAGATATTCAAGAGGTGTATGACTTTGCTCAGCCTTGTCAAGGGTGGCCACAGGTTCTGGCGAGAACGTTCAGAATAGGGCGCAAAGAAATCACGGGTGAACCACGTACCATCACTGATATCAAGAACGAAATGTACGCGCCGCGGGGACTCCCCTTCGTGAATGTAGTCTGACAAGCGGTCGATGACAAGAGCCTCAGTTGGGCAATGAGACTGCAGATACTTCTCCACACGCTCAGGAACCGCCGTCACCGTCTCCAACGGAGGGAGCTGAATGGGCGGATTGGACGGCTGATACAGCATGAGCAACATGGATGAAAGTGACGACTATGTAGCTGACCAAAGGATAGAGAGAAAGCCTTGCCAGGCCGATCCTTGCTCCTTCGAACTCCATCTTGAACTCGTTATAGACTTGATAGAGCAGAATGTCTATCGTTTCATTCGCATCCACCTTGATATCGATAACATGAGGAGGCTTGGCCATAAGAAACTCAGAGTATAGAAAGTAAATCATGGCAAGAGGGAAGTTGAAAGTGGCGAGTTGCTCAACACTGCGTGCACTGCAGGGTTTTTCCTGGGATAAACCGTGGATAAACCCATAGATATTAATAAAGTGTTTGTTTGGGCTTGTCCGCGGAAATTATCAAAACAAAACCTTAAAGTTTATCCAAGGTTTTATTCCGGGATAAAACTGGTCGGGGTCGTTGGATGGGCTCTACTGTCGTGGCTCCGAAGTTGCAAGCGACCTCGTATTTCCTTCGTAGTAGTCTCATTAAATAAAGGTAAATACTGCAAGAATTTCTGCTACGAAGCGCACGCCACGACACAGTCAATTGTCAAAAGATTCGGGGACAAGACCTGGCGATTCCAGTAGAAAAAAGAACACGCTTCAGAGAATTTGACAGGTCTGCGTCTATTTTTTTTCGTACAGGCTCGCAGCAAGGCTCCTTCTCAGGAAAATATCCGACATCGAAGCTAGCCGCTTAAAAAAATGTATAAGCATATCCTCGACAGGACTACCAGCGTGCTATAAGAATTCGAGACCCATCCCGATCTGAAAACCTTTTCTGCAACCATCCGACCTTGCTGCGACCAGCGGCACGCCGAAATTAAGTTCGACCTTGAGTGGGTCAAACAAGTACACGAGCCCCACCCCCACAGATACGGATGGTTGCAAAGCGCAAGTTGATAGATTCCTGGATAATGTCTTGGCTAGAGCGCCTGAGAACATGAGTCACTGTAGGTGCTTTCAAGATGGAGAAGTCACGAACAAGGCTGCAGCGCTTGTAATTGGCCGGCATTGACGAAAAGCTGCGCTCGCAGTGGCCATTGTGTCCTGCGAGGAATGGTCGATGTCAAGTTAAGTCCAGCTGCCCAGTATACATCACCGCCAACAGCGTCGGCTACTCGCAAAGTGAGGAAATTAGGGCCGAATCTCAGAACAATGTTTGACTAGATGCTTACAGCCATCACGGGGGCCCATGGCATTCGCGCGGAACATGCGAACACTGAGCGGGCCCCCTAACTGGAAACGATCCGAGAAACGGGAAAGGCCTTTCAGGCTATAAAGCAGTCCAGCACGGCCAGAAAGCGAGAGAGACTTCATTGCGTCAGACCGATCGTGAAAGGCACCAAGGAGGCAAGACTCACGAGGCCTGGCAAGAGAGGACGAGATATCCGAGTTTCGGCTTCGGTCTTGTAGAATGAAACATCACCGCCCAGACCGGCGAGCTCGTGGAACAGCTTTGTAAAATATCCTCGGCTGCTAGGGAATTTTGCGTCTCGGGTATCCCGGATCCAGGTATGGAAGACAGAGGACTTGATTGATTGGCCGGTAGCCTCTCTCATACTTTCCGTCACATCAGTATATACAGAGCGTGCAATATGTTCATGATCTCTCACCTGATAGACGCAGAGGGCATTAGATTTCCGACATGCCTGAGGACTGCTTCATAGCCTACCTCGTGTTGTCCTGTCGATGGCGAACCGCTCTTGGGACGAGTTGTTGGCATTCGTGGAGGATATGAATGATGTAGGTCGGATTCTACTCACCTTCAATGTCGCCTTAACCCCACGCAACCCCTCGGTACAACTCGCATGGCCGGTGTAATCTCTGTCCAAGGCAAATACAGAGACGTCGCCAAAGGTTTTGAGAGTCGATGTGACCGGCGCAGACAATGTCGCATGGAAAGAGCGACGTGTTTTCGTCCCAACAGAGACGTTCGCCTCGAGCACCTCTGCTCCACCGAATGCGTTACGAATGCGTCCTGTTGCGTTCTGTAAGAACAGTTGAGGTCCCCATGCTCAAGCCGATGATGCCCAAGACTCACTGCTGAGCCTTCGTTATTCCCCACTTCAGTTGAGGTTTTCACGTAGAATCTACCCCTTTCTTGTGTAGTGAAGATGACGTCGACATCGCTCTCTCCCGCCAAAGCTGCGCGACTGCGTTCCAACTTGACGTCTATCGACTTGAAAACATCAGTGCGCTGAAGGATATGGCTGATTTCTCGCGTGGTGCGAAGAACGGATGCTAAATTCGATGGTTGGTCATGGGGAAGATAAGTATCAATCAAGGAAGCGAGAAAAGTCTTGCGCGTGTGGAGGGCGCCGTCGACACGTACGGACGCTATGCGTGCCGGAAAGTCGAGACTTTCATTGACCTATGATATTGATTCAGAACGGGGATTGTTAAATGAGTTCTGGAGCTCGTTTACCAGGTCGGCCAGATGAAGGGAATGCGAACTCATGTTAATGTCGCTGGACCTTAGGCGGCAGTTGGCAGGAACCTGTCCGGCACGTGACCGAGATGTCGAGCGCGTCTTGCAATTGGTCTCCTCCGGCTTACCGCAGGCGCTCTTCGGAGCCGACCTAACAGGCTGCAATTTTCTTTTGCATTTTCTTTGCTATCTCTTCCTTGGCTGAGACCACGGTAAAGCCTACTTGTTACCATGTCCCAGACGTACATGCACTATGCAACTTCCTCCTCTCTTCCCTCGGATTATGCCATCCTATCTCGCTATGCCGCTGCTCGTAGTCTGGACGAAAACACTAATACTATCGCATCTAACGAAGAACTCGAAGCTAGTAATAACAATCACGATGCCGGAGAACCCTCCGACGCTTCTTCCACCCACCAGCGTCGCAGCAACTTTCCGACGCCTTTCATCCGCCCCTTGAACCCGACCATAGCTTCTCGTCCCGACACTTCTGTTGCACCAGTCACGCTTGCTAACGAATTCACGCCCCTTCTTGTGCCTCGGATTGAGGAAGAAAGTGACGACCTCCCAGGCGCAGCTGGAGAGCATGCGCCTCGCAGCCTATTCTGGGAGGAGCTGCGTATTCTCATGAAATATACTTTGCCAGTCTACGGGTTCGTTCCATTCTCATCAAGTCCTACGATAACGAATTTGACATGAACGTCTTTAGAACTCATGTTCTCGAGTATTCGTTCGTCATTGCGTCTGTTGTTTCACTCGGACATCTGTCTACGACTGCTCTAGCAGCATCCACGCTTGGATCCATGACCGCAAGCGTGTCAGGCTTCAGTATTATCCAAGGGTTTACAAGCACCCTGGATACCATGCTTCCCAGCGCCTGGACATCTTCACATCCTGAGCTCGTAGGATTATGGTCTCAGCGAATGGGTCCGTGTTTTCATACGCCTTTGGGGCTATGTTTAGAAGCTGACGCCGAACAATAGCCGTTGTCATGAGTATCACTCTTATCGTAAGTTTGGAATGATCTGTCTGTCTATTCATCAGAATTATTATTGACATCATTCTCTCCAGCCAATCTTCGCTATCTGGTTCAGCTCAGAATCGATTCTCCTTGGTCTCAGACAAGATCCGGAGGTCGCACACCTTGCGGCGGTGTACCTCAAATGGGTTTCGATCGGTCTACCCGCCTATGCTTTCAATTGCATATCTCGGTGAGAGCTTTTTGATTTCACTCTCTCCAGGATCCATTGCTAACTCGAGTTTCCTCAGTCGATATTTTCAGTCTCAAGGTACCAAATCTCGACAAATTTCATGTATAAGTCATTCATGAATGTTTCAAACGTTAGGCTTATTCGCTGTCCCGACCCGAGTTATATCCGCAATTGCACCCATCAATGCGCTTCTGAACTATCTTCTTGGCAAGTGGATCCTTGATGTTCCTGGCATTCCGATCCATCTCTTATACTTTTTTTTTTAGTCTGGGGACCCAAGCCTATTTCTCTAGGCTTCATCGGTGCTCCGATTGCGACCGCAATCTCGTTTAATCTGGTTTCTCTGGTATCCATAGCTTACGGTGTCTGGTTTGTCCCGCGAACGGCTTGGCATCCTCTGTCTCGTCGCAGTTTTACAAATCTGGGTTTACTCGTTCAGCTGGGACTTGCCGGAGTTGGTGAGTAGCGCTTGTTATCCATCTCTGAACGTATTATACTCAACAACTTATCAAGGTCAAACTGCATCTGAGTGGTGGTCTTGGGAGCTCATTGGTCGTACGTCGTTTTAAAATGAAGACAGATATATAACTCACCTCTCTCTTATCACAGTTGCTGCTAGTCTGTGGGTGGTTGATATTCAACTGTGATACAAGACAACTAATCTATGAGATCGCAGCCTTGGTCCTGTCGCGCTAGCCACCCAGTCAGTCCTCTTGGTATCAGCATCCACCGCATTCCAAGCCCCATTTGCTCTGAGCGTCGCGGCTTCCGTACGGTAAATGACCCTCAATAATCGTCCGCTATGCTGGGCTCACAGAAGCTATTTAGAATCGGTAATCTACTGGGCGAACAAAATGCGAAGCGCGCAGCATTAACCACGCAAATATCTTTGCTGCTTGCACTTGCTCTCGCAGGTATCTCCAGGTCAGTCATCTTACCGACGAGAATGTTACTGCAGGCTGATCGTTTCTGCCTATCTAGTACTATCTTCCTTGTTTTTAGACACTCTTGGGGCTACCTATTCAACAACGACCCTGGTGAGTCTTCTTGCATACCTGCACTTCTATTGATGTCACTCAACAGACTGTCGCAGCTGTCATCGCGTTAGTGGCATCCATCTTACCCCTTGTTTCCCTATTCCAAGTTTTCGACGCTCTGAGCGCCGTTACTGGAGGTGTCCTGAGAGCTAGAGGCAAGCAAGTAAGTTTTGCCTTCGTGAAGTCACACGATTCTATCATTGACATTCTTTTGGTCTAAAGTTCACAGGTGCCTTGCTTAACTTGAGGTGCGTGCACGAGCTTAACTCTGTTTTGGGTCGAATTTGATTTTGATCGCTGGCGAATTATCGCCGTGGGATTCTGCAGTGCATACTATGTGATTGGTATGGAACAATCTTACCTCTACGTGTTCTTTATCCCTGACCAATCATCTTTGTAAACAGGGATTCCTTTTGGATTATGGCTCACGTTCAGATGCGGGATGAAATTGCAAGGTTTGTGGATCGGCCTAACAGTATCGCTTGTCTATTGCGCCGTTGTTGGTGTGCATCTGTGCCTCGCCACTGATTGGGATGTAGAAGTGAGGAAAGTTATGGATCGCTTAGCAATGGACAAACAAGGACATCAGGACATTGAACAGTCTTCGCATTCCTGATGACTTGTGCGCTTTCGATGATCTTTTTTTGATCTTGGTCATATATCTGTATCACGTTACATACACTCATAATCCAGCATCTCAGCACTTCACACGCCTGTACCCTATTCTCACCCCTTGGCTTAGTAGCGAATGAAGAATGGCTATGGATAGTCGCGCAGTGTTGCTCACTGGCAGAATGGAGACGACTATAGTAAGTGATCCTAGATTGTTCACGGGTAGATCTTCTAAATTTGCGCCGCACAGCCGGGCTCGCAACCCGTGTTGAATGGTGACTACCCAGTTTATCACAAGATGCTCACGATTATCCAAAAGAAGACATTACATACCTCCACGGGGTTTTGTCCCTGGAAAGAACCGATGGATACATAAGGTATAGATGCGGGCGGCCCTCTGCCCTCGCCGGGCTTGTCTCCTTTCACGTCTAGCTTCCACAATGTCACAAAGTCAACCCCCCGTCGACACTGCCAGCGTTCACGAGAAGGACAAGTCTGTGATCGAGGAGTCGGCGTCAGTGGACTCTGAAATCGACCTGCTTTCTTACCATGAGCATCGTGCTGGCCGTTTGGTGGTGGATCCCAAGTGAGACCCTGCAGCGTCTTGTCTACATTCATTTCTGATGTTGTGGGACATGCAGCGAAGCTCGGGTTGAATTCGGTGAAAAGGTCGCATCGAAGTTGAAACTCACAAAGGACGGATCCAAGGTCCTTTGGCCTCAGCCTACTGATGACCCCGAAGACCCTCAAAACGTGAGCTCAATGATCTTTTCGAGCGCTTTGTGTCCATCTCCCGTCAAATGACCTCTGACATAACATCATGACAGTGGAGCTCTCGTCGCAAGGCAATTCAATTGATCATCATTACGCTGGCTGCCATTGTACCAGATTTTGATTCGGGGATAGGTTGGTTGCTTCTTCCTCACTTGCAGCGCGCAATTTACGAACTATACGCAGGAATTGCTTCTATATTTGCGTTGGCGGAACAGTTTAATACGACCACGGGCGTGATCAACAACTTGACTTCGAAGTGCGTTGAATATTTATACCCCCAATATACCAATTTTGTTGAGCTTCTGTCAGTTGGAGTATCTTCCTTTTGGGTGAGAAGTCATGTCATCCTCGATTGACTTGATCTGTACCAATGCATGAATCCAGGATGGGGAAGTATCTTTGCTGTCATGCTTATGCGACGTTTTGGTCGTCTGCCTGTGCTTTTCTGGACGCAGGTATATTATATGATATGTCGCTGTGTTCTCCTTGTTCATTAGGTGTTTGAAATAGGTATTAAGTCTTGGATTCCTTGTCGGATGCACTTTTGCACCAAATCTCAATACATTCACGGGTGAGCGGGTTGTTAAAAACTCTCATTGACGACCCTATTCTCATGTCATCTCTTATCCCAGCAATGCGATGCTTAACAGCATTCTTTGGGTGCGTGTCAATCTAAATCTGGCGTTCCATACGACTTACTGACTTTATGTAGAACGTGTCCGCAAGTTACAGTAAGCAAACCCTTGTTCATTTGGTATCGCGCTCACATCATTTTCAGGGACTATATATAGTCACCGATATCTACCCTTTCCATCTTCAGGCTCGAAAGGTAGAGTCATGTAATGATCTCATTTCACAGCCCAAAAATTCGACGCTTGAACTCAGCTGAACATATGGACTATGGGCTTCATCATATCCCCTTTCTTGTCGCCATTTGCATTCGGATTTTTAGTTGCGCGTGCAAGGTACATCATTCGACTTGAACTAGATTACTCGCTTTAATATATTTTTAGCTGGCGATGGGCCTATGGAATTGGGTCAATCTATGGTGCCATAGTGCTCGCCCTGATTGTATTTTTCGGTGAAGAGACGTATGAATCTTATAATTATCTTCTTTCTGTCCTCTGATTTATTATTTCCAGTATGTATGATCGAACAGTCAAGCCTATTCCTCCACGCCCATCGTTCGGGCTTCGATACCGCATTGAAACACTCATCGGGGTCACGGGCCTCAAGATGGCTAAGTATCGGTCTTCCTGGACAGATATCATGTTGGGGTGCATTGACATTGTATGGCGCCCACATCTGCTTGGTATACTGTTCTTCGAAGTCAGTGTCGTTTGATTTGTTCCCATCTTGTGATTGAACCCGTCGTGCCAGGGCCTCCTGTTCGGATTTAGCATTGGGATTAACGTATGTACCATAAGTTTTTCATAGATCATCGAACTGAAGTGACTCCTGCCAGACAACCAATGCCGTCTTTCTCGGGGCACCTGCTCCAGTTGGATTTGGGTTCAGCCCCTTCGCCATCGCTGGTGCCTATGGCACACCCATTGTCAGTTACTGTTTCATATCTAATGTGGACCCTTGTTTCATGCCTCGCACAGGTTGCCGTGCTCATTGGCGAAGTAGTCGGCCGATTTCTAAACGATTGGATCATGAATGTGAGTATTCGTCGCAATGGAGGTGTTTTCGAAGCGGAAAGTCGGCTATGGTACGTACTGCTGGAATACGCTATTTTCTCCTACTCATCTGTTTGGGATAGGACGTGCTACCTTGCCGTACCTTTGTATATCTGCGGGTTCGTCGTTTTGGGGGCATCTCTACAAATGCGTCTCTCGCCTGGTGCGCTTGTGATGGGTTGGGGTATCGCAGAGGTTGCTGTGATGATCAACACTGTTGCTGTTTGTGCGTACCACCCAAGCAAATACTCCGCTATGAATACTGAAAAAAAGATCACAAGATGCCTACTGTAACGATTGCTTCCCTAAGCGGCAGGCACGTAATCTCTATCTTATAAAACCTCCTTAATTGACCGCCCTCCAGGGAGAAATCAGTGCACTGGTGAACCTTGCACGCACGCTTGGAGGCTTCAGCGTCGCATACTTCCAAGTCCCATGGGCTACAAAGCACGGAGCACTGCAGACATTCGGTGTAGAGGCCGCGTGAGTGCAATTAATGCATCAATGCGGCAGACTTAACATTATGCTCTAAATCATAGCATTGTAACCGGCCTGTTTTTCCTCATCGTACCGTGGATTCAAATCAAAGGGAGCCGACTCCGGGTAAGTAATATACATTGCATGGTGTGTTCAATGTTTGATGGTCCTGTCATTCCCTAGGAACGCTTTTCTGTATAAGAGATGTGGTGGTCCTATGCCCAGGCCGGTGATCGGTAGTGGGGGAAGAGACACCTACCTGTTATGATTGGACGACGTGATGCTATAACGTTTGATGATCGTGTATGATCCTTGTGTACAGTTCACTTACAGATGAAAATTTGATGATTGTAATCACCACAGAAGTACAAGTTGAGCTATCCAGTACAAGGAAAATTACATCTGCATCGATATTTCACCCGCTCTTCCTATTCGTGTACTGACTCGTCTCTTGATGAGCCTGGGATTTATGTCAAGACTATGCTAGGCCACACTCATCAAATTGACTAACCTCTCGAACACATCCAATGGACTTCGACTAGCGCTTTCTGCCTGATCGATAGGCATCTCTAATCCGGACTCACCTGCTTTTACATCCTCTTGAATGGGCCCAGTAATCGGCACCCAGCTACTCAACGGGCTTGTCCCTGGTTCGTATATCGCCTGCGCGACATAGAGCAAGAGACCGTCCGACTTGACGTCCGTCTGTATTGACCGAACTGTTGGTTGTGTGGTCTCCACGTCCATAGCAGCCTCGCTTTGCGGATGCGGCGCAGACACTGGGACCGAGACGCTGACAGTGTAAGGGGATCGTGCGAGGGGTATGACATGGGATATAAGGTTCGCAGCCGTTGTGTCTACGTGATACGAAACGGGCAAAAATGATGTCGGGTATGGGAAGTGATATCCTTCTGCAACGCCACCTAATGTGTTGCTGGTCGGCGCAATTGGTGCGACATTTGTCGGTGGTCTCGGAGGAGGAAGCTCAGAAAGGCGGGTATCTCTCCACCAGAATCTACGAACCGCCAAACATCGGGGCGGCCGTCATTGACTCGTCGTATATCAATGTAACGTGAGATTCGAACCGACCTGAAAGACGTTTCGCAATCTGCCACATCTTGGCCCTTCCACTTCAGCACGTCGAGCACATGAATCACGCCGTTGACCTTCCAGTTTTGATCCAGGATGCAGTCAAGTACCGTGTCAGACGGTAAGGGCGAGGGAAACCTCGGCATGAGCGGCTTCCCAAGCACCCTCGATCGTAAGGTCGTGTTAGGCACTAAGCCGACACGATATGAGTAAGTGACAAAGAACGAGACAGCGATAAAAATAGAGATCCATACCGACACCCACGACACCACTCCCAAAGTGGGAAACCGCGAGACACCTCTTCCCCACCGGAACAGGCGCAACGGCAACCCAGCCTGTCTGTAAATCGTCCGGCAGCCCGTCGGCATGTCCTTCTCCTCTCTCACTCGCCATAACCCACGGCTCCATCTCTTTCATCTCTAAAAGCTCCGCATACATGCACCTGTCTGCCCAGGGGCTCGGTTTCTTCACCTTTGGCTGCGGCTGTGCCTTCGTGTGCCCCTTTCTCTTTTTCTGTTTCTTTCGAACTTCCATGGATGCATCAGGTATATCCTCGACATGAGGTTCTGGTGCGGAGACAGAAGGTCCTGGTTGAAGTAAAGTGGCGAATTGGCCTACACCCTCTCGCACGATCGTATCCTCATCAGCAGTGGATTGATGCCCTCGGCGCTTTATATCGACTTCGTCATCAGAAGGCCCAAGGGTAAGATCTGCGAAAAGATCAATATGACGTTCAGATTCGATGCGCTGTGCTCGTCTCTGTCAAAAGGGTGTACAATGAACAGGACATGTTCAACCGGGTGTACTTAGAGAGAGAACGAGGAGCGTGGGCTCACTCGTTTTTGCTCTCCTAATGCCTAAAATCAGTTCGTTAGGGCTCATCGGCACCTGTCTGGAGAGCACACTCACTTTAGCACGTCGAGCGTTCTGCGACAGCATCCTGTCCGTGATGCTATTGGGTGGTTGCTTGTATGAAGCCTTTCTTTCAGTGAACGCATTCATATCGTTGATACGGGACCTATGATGGATGATCGCTATGAGCTATCGCTCGAAGACAATTGCCGTTTGAAGTATATGAGAGAGAAGGGCCGCGCAGGAAAGCCGGGAAAGTGATCGAGTCTCGAGGCAGAATTTCGCAACGATCGCAGCTCGCAGTTCACAGCTCGGTTCTGGGTTCTGGATCCTAGGAGGCCTTTGTTCACGTTCAAGATGATCTTTGCGCAGATAGCTAGCGAACAAAACACAAGCTTGACGACGTTGAGTCAACAACGACTCCGATCCGATCGATAACAATCTAAACAAGGTTCAAGTTTACGCGTGACCACATGCAGACTGCCGCCCGACAAGATATTTCCTGTATGGAGCAAGAAAACAAAACAAAACAAAACAAAAGATTAAATTCTGCCTTCCAAGCGGCCCGAATAAAAACTTGAGATACATGATGCATAGATCTTAGAATAAAAACCAAGATATTTCTGAACATACGCTCCGCCTGAAGAAAGCAAATACCATAAAACACGCGACGACAGCGAAAAAAACCTATAAGATCTCACGGCTTCCAGGCCGGTTTACCCCCCTTCGTCTCAATCGTGCCCGTCTGGCTTCGCATCGACATCTGCGAACTAGGTCGCCCAATCGACGACGAGCTGTTGTCCATCTCCTCAAAACTCCTCACCAGATCCTTCACGCTTCCCCCGCTGCTTCTCGGCCCATTGGGAATACGGATGGGCTGCGACGGCTCCGGTATAGACGTCACGGGCCGAAGATCCACGAGGCGCCGTGGCCTCGTCTGTAGGCGGGGTATCTTCGACGGAGGCGGCGGTGCGGGCTGCAGATTAACAAGCTCCTTAGGGTGGGAGGGTTTGGGCGGCGGTTTGCTCATGGGCGTCGAGATGGGCGCGCGTGGTTTCTCTAGCATCTCAGGAGGGGGAAGAGGAAGCCCGGGCCGCGAGCTCGAAGGAGCATTCGGCGGCGGTTTAGTCTTGGACAGGGTCGGAAGGTAGGAGAAGAAGAACCCCTTGACACGGCTGCCGATACCTGGCGGTGCCGGTGCAGCTCGCGGTTCCTCTCCGTATGTACTTTTGGACGCAACTGATGGTTCATCTGAATCTATCGGAAGCTCAGCGTCATCATTGTTCATCACACTCGACCCGTCGTCTGAAGATCGGCTGACGGATCTCGCCTCTTCCATGAGATGTGAATAGCGGGGGCCCAATAAAGATGGGGGCAGTGGTGGCTTGTCGAGGCGCGAAGCGAACGTAGGAGCCGCCAACTTTTGACGATTCGAAGACCAGACGAAACGGCCACGGTTGAGCGGGGTAAAGTCTGGCACGGAAGGCGTGGTCGATGAAACGGGCGGCTGGCGCAGCGTCGGCGTCGGCGGCGCCACGTTCCCAGCGCGCTGCTTACTTTGCAGTGCTTTCGCTCGTTTGAGCAGATCATCGCTGCAAGGGCCATTAGCGACGCAACGTGTCGAGTCACGCACGAGGTTCCTCACCGAGTCCATGCGGAACCGAGACGCGCAATGACGTCTGCACCTCCTAGAAGTGCGACGAACCGATCGACGACGTTATTCAGATCCACCCGATCGACATCCCCCAGTACCCCGCTCTCGCCGTCTACCGCCATGCGTTGGCCGACCTCGAGCCGCTCGTCCGTGAAGCATGCGTCAAGTAACTTCCAATCGCTTCGAGACCAGTCCCTCGGGCCGTCTGTATCGATATGGAGGCCCGGCTCGGGCGTATGGGGTGCAAAGGTCGCCGGTGAAGGCGTTCGGAACGGGTGCATGGCTCCTGCGGATCTCCTCGGCGTTCCCGTCAAGGGTGGCTCTGCCTCGAGGGGATCTAGCAGCTCTGGCAGCGTCATGGACGGACTGCTGGGCGTGAACCCTCGCCCCATTCCACGGGCAGGCGAGACTGATTTGCTGACACCCGAGGCGGAAGCGTCCGCGCGACGTGCGTCCTTCATCAGAGACTGAACGGTCCGAGGTGAGCGACGGGCGCTGTTCACGTCCTTGACAATCATGTCATAGTCATGCTACAACGCCAAAACAGTCAATATCAGAGCGATGAATAGGAAAATAAAGCATACCGATTTGAGAATGGCAGCAGCGCGAGCAGCCGCCCATGGGTTATCACTAACAATCTTCACGACGCTCGGGTCCCCTTCCTCGTCTTCCTCTTCTTCATCCTCGCTCCGTTCCTCAGCTTCATCGTCTGTGTAGATCATGTCTTCATCCTCATCTGGCTGCTCGAGGACGTTAAGATGACTACTCTGGATACATTGCGAGGCCACTGACCTCGGCTTCCCTAGACAAATCATCGTCAATCAAACCTGGTTCAGAAGAGAGGTGTCGATCAATCACAGCCTCCTCCTCCTCCTCCTCCTCCTCCTCCATCTCCACATCCAGCGATCTTTCAGGCTGAACGAGGGGTTGCACCCTCTCCTCTGGGTTGCTAATGTAGGATAGTTCACGCTCGAAATATTGCGATGGATCGTCCTCCTCTAGGAGTGACTCTTGCTGCACCGGTTGAACAGAGATATCTTGAGGTGCTGCGACATCACCAACCTCTGCAGGATATTCTTCGGGGACCGCCTCCTCGAAGCTCAACTCTGCCTTCGCGATAAAAGGAATTTCATGATCATGCGTCTCCTCTATCGGTGGTTCGACATCCCCAGCAGAGGTATACACGGAGTACTCCTGCGACACGTCCAGATCCATCGGATGTGGCTCATTTTGCTCTGAGTCCTCCAAGTTCATGGATCCCGGCTCTTCGACATTTTCATCCTCCCCCGCTCCAATAACGGGTGACGGGGGAGCCACGGCCTCGACCGTTTCGTCGTGAGGTTCAGAACTACGGCGTTCTAGCGACTCGTCTTCCACATCAGGCTCAGGACTATGGCGTTCCGGAGATTCGCTGGGTTCGTCAGGTGGTGGGGGGCCTTCGTCCGCGAACGACGGTTGTTCCTGCTCCATGTCGTCCTCCTTATCGGCCCTCGCTCCGCTACTTCCCTGCCCATTTCCTGTTTCTGCCGCCCGATTGACATCCTGCTCTTGATCCGTCCCCAACGGTCCCGCCGCCGACCCAGGCTCAATCTCAGTCTCAAACTCTCTCCCCATCTCCTCGTCCATCTCTTCGTCTCCCAATGTCCCTTCTTCTTCCTCACCTTCTTCTACAAACGACAATCCCCCCTTCTTTTTCAGCGGATGGGGACTCTTCGGCCTTCCCCAGTGCTCGATCCTCTCCCTCGTCGCGCTCGTCGGGGGATCTGCCTTGGTCGGCACGCTCACCGTCGTAAACTTGCCCGTAAATTCCCCCGATTCCTCCCACTCGTCCTGCGCTTGCTGCTCCTGACCGCCCTCCTCACCCGAGCTCCAACCGTCGTCGGCCCCATCCGCGCCCATAAAGTCGAACACTGGCGGCGCCGGAAGCATGTCGGATTCGTCGCCCGACTGGAGGGTCAGATCAATAGGGCTGTTTTTGTCTGCCAGAGGAGAGGAGACGCGAAATGTAGCGTCGGGGGGCGAGGTGGACGCCATGGACGGCGTGTCGCGCGTGTTCATGATCGTAGGCGTCATCACCCTCACCTGCATCTTCTGCCTGCGCGGTCTCCCGCGCAGCAGGAGGGGGTCGTCCGATGGCGACGGTGGAGGCGGGGGCTTGCTGAGGTCGATGTCGGGCGGTTCTTTCTTGATCAGAAGCTTCAGGGCGTCTCTGCCCGCGACGGACTTGCGCTTGCTGGACTTGGAGACTCTGGCCTTGGACGGCGACGGTGTCATGAGCACCTCGCGCGGGGGAGTGAAGCGCTCGGTCGGGGGTTCATAGTGGGGTATAGGCGTCGCCGAGCGCGCGCGAGACGAGGTGCGCTGGCGAGTGCGGGTCACCGCGAGAGACAGTGGGGGTATATTGTCCGCGTTGACGTCGCGTACGGGGGGAGGAGACTGGAAGAGGACGTGCCTGGCCGGCGAAGTCGGTTTGGAGGGGGACGCGGAGCGGCGGTGGAGAATGGAGCGCGTGGGGCTCTCGGGGGAGACGGCGCGCGCGTTTCGCTTTTGTTTGCGGGGCTTTGGGTTCGGAGTGGCTTCGGAGGGCTCGTCAGTGCCCTGGTCTGTCGGGCGCGTGGCGCGATCGAGTGGGCCTGCGTGCTTCATGTGCGACTTGGACAGCGAGGACGGGGCTCGTTTGCGCTTAAACGAATCGGTGTCGTTTGCGTTGGTGGCTGAGCGTAGCGGCTGGAAAGGATGCGACGACGCCGAGGACGATGGGTGTGCGGGCTCCGATCCCGATCTCGAGTAGTACAAAGGCTAAGGGTGTGATTGAGGAACAAAAAAACGTGGCGCTGGTCAGTGCCACGAAGAGGACAAAGCGATGTGTATGTATGTAGATGAAGGAGACAAACTTGATGTGCGCTTGCCGCCCGCATACTGTCTTCTGGGGGCGGGCTGATCAATGTCCGTGCAGGATCGAGCCCATGGAGCGGCTGGGATGCGACGTTCGCGAAGACGTCATGCATGACGAGCTGGTTGCGCTGTGTGTTCGTGCCCCTGATGGGCGAGGAGCGGGAGACAGGGCGAGAGGACGAGTGCGGGTGCAGCATGTTGGCCATGCGGGCGTTGGATAAACCGCCTCCAACCACTTCCAAACTCGTCCGACGCCCCCGACGCGTCCACACGTGACCTCGGCGCCTCCCGCCCGTCGCGTCGCGATCGTCCTTATGCTCCGCACTCAGCTATCCCACCCCCACCGCGATCGCACATCTCCTTCCTTCTCTGCTCATGGCTACCACTCTCCTCGCCCAGACGCGCACCGCCCTCGTCGTCGATGTCGACTCTATGGACCCCGATGTTGCAGCCCGCCACACTTCCGCGACGGAGCGCTTCTGCGACATGACCTCCAACCAGGCCATCGTCTACTCCGAGTCCATCCGCCCAGAGCGTCTGCCGCTCTTCAAAGAAGCCGTGCAGAAGGCACGCGCGAGAGGCAAGGTCCTCAACGAGCAGCGCATTGTCGACGATGCCGTCGATCTATTCGTGCGCCCTTTGGCACAGACGTCTCCCTGTCCATCCTCATCGATGGCCCTCTAGACCGTCCTCCTCGCGAAGGCCGTATACCCGCACCTCACGGGCCGCGTTCATGCCCAGACCTCCCCCGCAGCTGCCTACGATACAGAGGAAACCATCGCACACGCGAAACGTCTCGTTTCCGTCTTCGAGGCCAACGGCATCCCCAAGCAAGCAGCGCTCCCCAGAATCTGTCTATACACGAGCTCATCGTCGGTACAGGGAACGGATATCCATCAAGATCCCCACCACTCCTGAATCTATCGTGGCCTGCCAATATCTCGAGAAGATCGGCATCCGCACGCTCGCCACCTGCCTCTTCTCCGTCTCGCAGGCCCTCGCCGCCTCTGAAGCCGGATGCCTCTACATCGCCCCGTACTTTAACGGTAGGCACACCCATCTACCCATGCCTAACACAGTCTCGGTCTAATCTGTCCTTGCGACCCAAGAACTGCGCGTCCACTTCGAGCCCGGCATCTGGAAAGAGTACAAGGACACGGCCGCCGAACACCCGATGGCCTTGGTCATCGCCGATATCGTCAAGACGTACAAGCAGATCGGATCCAAAACCCTCATCATGCCCGCCAGGTGCGTCTCGCGTGACCGAACGTATTCCCCCGCACCGTCTCATGACCTGTCTACCCAACAGCATCGTCACGGCAGCCGAAGTAAATTGATCGTCCGATATTGCCTTCAGGCTGAAATATTGACCATTGAGCATTGATGTCTGCTGACACGCACCAGGTCCTCGCCTTGGTGTCCCTCCACCCGGACCACCTGACCCTCTCCGGGTCAGTCCTCGACCAACTCGCGGCCCTCCCTGCCGCAGAGTTTCCGCCGAGCGCGCCCGCAGCACCCCCCACCGAATGTTCGTCCCAGTCCTCATCGCTCTCACATATCTGCTCCTCATCTCATACTGCATTTAATTCACAGCCTCGTCCGACCCGTCGACCGACTACCTCGCTTCTGGCGGGGCCAACCTCCGTGCGGCCCTCGCCGCCGACGCAGAGAGTACTCGCAAGCTCGCCGACGCGCTCAAGATCTTTGGCGAAATGGAGGACAAGCTCAAGGACCTCGTCCGCAAGGAGCTGACGACGACGACATAACACCCATACCAAATACTGGAGCACTCCACTGTACAAATAGAGTACATACAACGACATCGATGAATGTATATACCCGGATACACGCCTGCCACACCAGACACGAATATTCCTTTCGCTCGCTCTCGCGCTCTTGAATCCGCATATACCACCCCAGCGCCGCCTCACGCGATCGGGAGTCTGCCCAGTCGCCACCACACTCGTCTTGGGCGCTATCAAGACCGGCGTCGCAGGCATGTTGCATCAGGAAAATCATCCCCGATAACCAGATGAGTTGTCCGTAATTTGACGGCAAATAGCAGGTTTCCTTGCTGGACAGGTTAGCTCACCCCTGTTGGAATCTGGTGACTTAGCAGCGTCTATAAGATGAGTAAACGGGGAAAAGTATGAGTTTATTTGTCGCTGAAAAATCGAGTACGTCATCAGCACTCCTGACTCAATACTTTCACCTCACTCGTTGCCCACAGTTAGTACAAAATTTGAACTTTGATCATACACCTCCTACACCGAATAATTGAGATTTCTAGCAGTTCCCCGTACACGGTGTCACCCTAGTCACCCTAATAACTGGGTTGTAGTATATGAGGATGAGGTCATAGTATTACAGGTGAGCTTGTGATATTGTTACCAGGCTCCTACCCATCCGAAGGTGAGAGTGGGTGACTATGAATGACACGTGCTAAGTAGATTACAGTCACGTGTAAAATATTTCCCAATAAGGAACTTTTAAACTTCAACCACTAACCTCTCACCAATGGCTGGCATAAAACATTGGTAAACAAATGCTACCCATGGTGCCAGCCACCCAAATTCAAAGCCCGACACTAGTTTAACAACAATATATTTTATTCTTTTATTTATTGACAAGAAATATGAAATGGTGTGTTATGTCACATCACTCTGCATCAGTCTATTTACTGCATGCCTTTTGTCATCCTGTCAACTCTATGATCCTATGCTGGCACTTGCAAAGCTTCCCTCTTTGAGCCAAATTTACAAGAAGACTCTGAGCTTCCTTAAGAAGCACCCATGCTTGTAGTGGCTGAAGGTTGTTGAAGCAATTCTGAAGGGTAACAGAGATGTGACTTGACATTCTGGAACAGGTTCTGGAAAGACACTGACATTCTGGATGCTATTACTATTTGCATCTAGAATTCAGATTATAGTCACACCTTTGAATATCTTAGGGAAGCAAAACAAAGATGACCTCCGCAACATCTGGAAACCACTCCCTTGTATTAAGCTCTAATTAGTTCTATTTATGCATAATTATGAAAGATTAGGATTAGACATTTTTAGCTTACCCCCCCTCTAAACCTGTTCTAATTAGACATAATTTTCCTAAATTAGGAATTATTAGGATTGATTATAACTTGAAATTTCGGAAAAATCATAATAAATCAAGCATCACAGTGCTCACAGTCGTCTTCTAGAGTCATGTCTATTAGAGCACTAGTTCAATACCTAAACACAAAATATACCTTATAACAAACTTGCCTTCTGCCAGAGTTGAACCAACAACCTCATGTATGCAAGCATCCAGGACAGATGCTCTAGCCACTAAGCCACAAGGTCTAATATATAAACTCAGTAATCTGAATAAGTAAACATAATATAGGCAACCTCAACATCTCAAATTTTATTCAACATTTATCTTTCGTCTATTGTTAGGACTGCATCCTAACACGTGCTCGGCACGTGACTCATTGGCATATTCGGGTGACAAAGACTGATTACATATACATGCCAATGCATGAACGCTTACCTTACTGACTCATTCACAAGCTTCGGCTTGAACGTTTACGTATGCCCGTTATGACGTCACTTAACTGTGTTCCTAAATTACTTACTGATACGGACAGACAATTGTCGTTGTTACTATAATTGGATAAAAGCACAGAGCTGCAGATTACATACGCCGATCATTGATCGTACTTAGTGTTTAGAAGCACGGACCATATGTCCGGCTTGCCCTAAATAGTCTGTACGTATAAATAGCCAAGCTGAGCTTCTTAGAAGCCTCAGCTTGTTCACTTCGTATACAATCTTGATCTCTGCACTGCGCCTAACGTCTGGCTCCTTCCAAGCCCACGCATCGCGAACTCTGTCAGATCAATTGAATCATACCTAGTCTGACAAAGCACTGGATTCGTCTCAAAGCCCTTATCATTCTCCCGTCTCTATCGCTTATCAAGGACTCGCTGCTTATCGAGTCATTTGCTGGGATCCACCTGAAGTGATCTGCTCTATCGGAGAAGACTTGTTCGTTCCTGAAGAACATCGGTCGATTATAAATAATCATCTTCTCTACTTGTTCGAAGACAAGATCAATAGTAACCAAGACTTCTTGGATCACGCACGCAGACGAGCCATCGTCTTCATTCGTTGGGCAGTCAATCTTAGTTTTAGCTTAGGGAACCCTACTTAGTGCATTAAGTGCATGTGATAAGCCTAGCGGCTTAACACTTGAACGAGCTCTTTATTCCCTATCCTATCACACCCTGGAATGACAAAACATCTAATCTCTTGCCGAAGTCGCTCGACAAATACTAGAAGAAAGAAGCCGCAGAGCCACACAGATCAGTCAAGCAATAAACACAGACATACTCAGACCCGAGGCCACCACCCCGGTCATCAGCCAAGAAATTCCCACGGGTACTATTACAACCTCTAGATATTCAGTAACTGGAAACGCATACGCAGGAGTAGCCATATTTAGGCTACAACAATACCACGATTACTTCTTCAACCTCGTCAATGGATTCGGATTCCCTTTTCCCGGGCTTTGCTTCATCAATGATCCAAAGACCCCCGTCTCCTCCATTGGAAACCCAGGACTTAACCTTCTCCACACAAGAAGTACCATTGATGTGGACGACGGCAGACCCAGTAATTTTCCAGCAGCACACATCGCCGATCTCCGTAGGCATATCACCAGAGGCGTGGATTCCGAAGGAATTAGAAGAGAACTCGTCGAGAAAAGTGAACAGAGGAGTCAATACGCAATTATCATCTTTTGGACCTACACCACCCAGAATTAAGACACACTGGACAATACTGGATACTCACCCCATCGAACGGAAATCACCGGAACTGTATCAATTATCAGAAGAGGAGAGCTCGCCCTCAAAACTTATTATTTCAGAAGTTTCATCAGCGGACAAACCATCAACGAGATCCTCACGCTTATTGACCAAATCAATATCGGGATCAACGAAATCATCAGAAGAGAACCTACTCTCCAAGAAGGACTTAGGGCCGGAAGAAGACTCGAAGTTCCCTTCCACTTCGAAGAATAAACCATTGAGCCATCACTTCCAAAAGGATACCCGCCCCCATACCACAACGATCCTATCTACATCTTCGAACATTTACCTGAAGACGTCGACCCGGACAACGTTTATTGCGACCAGGAAAACAGACACTTCTACCACAGCGGAATCCTCTGGGGATTCTATACCCAGAACGGAAAAGAGGAATATTACGCAAGACCGTTTCAAGGAAAGGAAATCCACACCGCACCCGGGTTACCAACAGTTAAACTTGCTGAAACAGTCAGAGCACTCCGACTCATCAAGCCTAAATCACCGACAAATCGGAATCGTAACACACCAAGGCCACACATATATAACCTACCCAGAGAAACAGCCAGTGGAAGTCGAACATCTCAAAGAAACACCCCCGTCCAATCTCCGGTACAAGAAACTGCTGCACCGGAACCCGTCAGAACCCCTTCACCGTTCGAAATCCCCTTTGCGACCTATCCTAAAGAAGAACCAAATCCAAGTAGAGAGCCTCCTAACGATCTGGAGCCCCCAACCAGTGAAATGTCGACAAATCCTAGAAATCCTGAGTCCAAGGGACCAGCCATGGCCAAACCAACCCCTTTTGACGGAAACAGGAAACGAACCAAGCAGTTCCTCCACGAAATCGACTTGATGATCCTCGCCAGGAAATATGATTTTCCTGACGAATTCGCTAAAATCGCCTATGCCCTGTCATACATGAAAGGAGAATCCGCCGGTATATGGTCTAGAAATTTCACAAAATCCAGAAACGAAGCAGATGACTGGACTCTATACACATGGAAGGAAACCACAGGAAAAACCTCAGTCCGCAAGAAAATCTCTACAGATTTTGAGGAATTTAACAAGACATCAGACGCCAGAGACAAACTGGCTAGAATAAATCAAGGAAAAGAATCCTTTAACACATACCTCCAACTTTTTGAACAAATAGCAGAATTGTCTGGAGTCGACCTAGAAACCAAGAAAACACATTTCCTACGCGGCCTAAAATGGGAATTGGCTCGAGGAATCTACCAAGATCCTGCCAAACAAGATACATGGGAAGAACTGGTAGCGAAAGCTAAAAGACACGAAACAATGCGCATAGAAGAAATGCGCGCGCGCGACCTCAGGCAGGGAAAATACCAAGTTTTTACCCCAAGCAATTATTACTCCAACATCGCACCTCCTCGCCAAGAAAGGGAATCGCAATACGTCCCAATAGACGTAGATGCAGCAGAAATGGAGGCCGATGCCATCTGCACTCGCTTCAAGAAGCTCACACCTGAGGAAAGAAGCCGACTCGCCAAAGAAGGCAAGTGCTTCTATTGTAAGAAACCCGGGCATATGGCGCGCGGGTGTCCCTCTCGGCCCAAACAAAGATTCCCACCCCCTTCCTGAGGAAGATTCCAACCAAAGCACCGCATGATGCACGCCATGGAAGAAGAAGAAGGAGGTGATGAAGAAGACTAAGAGGAAGGAAAGCAGAGGGTCGCCCACATTCAACAAATGATGATGGGCCTCAGCATGGACGAAATTGAAGAAGTTCGTGCTTTTAGCGAACCAAAGAATTTTTAAAGACTCTTCCATCGGCAGCAGATGTGAAGAGTAGGATTCTTGCAGGAAATTGGTACGCTCCGCTGGCCAATGAAGACATTGACCAAGAGCATAGACATCCAGATATATTGTATCTCTCGGAAATGAAATCACATGGTGCACCATCACTCCGAATCAAGACAATATTAATAGGCAAGAATCGAAAAGCTGCTACTCAAGCTCTCGTAGATAGCGGAGCAACAGGAATATTCATGCACCCCAGATTCGTGGAAACGCATAGAATAAAAACCCGGAAAACCCCAGCCCCCATCCCAGTCAACACGGTCCAAAACATGGAATTTAAAGGAGGACCAATCACAAAATTCGCAGAACTAAAACTACAAGTTCTAGGGGAACACACACCGAATCGGCAAAATTCTATATAGCCGAAATCGGGAAAGAAGATGTCATCTTAGGAACCGACTGGTTGTTAGAACACAACCCAGAGGTCGACTGGCATGCCTATGGGCTACATTTTACTAGATGCCCACTCTCCTGTCAAATCAAAGGAGGACCTATTAAAGCAAAAAGGGCTACAAGAAAACCAGGATGTCAAAACCCAGAAATACAATGCATAGAGACAGTACCAAGAAAAAATGACTATTCAATACCATTGCAAAAACCAGGAAAAGCACAGCCAGGCCGGAAAGTGGGAAATACTACAGTACCACATCTGCGGATAAAACCTAACATCTGAGGTTCGCAACCTGAAGGACGAAATCCGGAATATCTCAGAGCCCGAGCCAAACATTACACGACACCCACATGGGCTGAAGAGGATATTCCAGAGGACGGTGTTCGACTATCAGCACTTCCCTCCACAGATTTAGAGGAAGACGGAGTTTATCTCGTCAGATGCCTTGACACAGGACAACTAGAGGCACTCGAACTATACAATGACAGCAAAGAAAAATTTGATATCCACCGAGCCGAAACTACAGAAACCCTCATAACCAACACACCGGTACCTAGGAAGGAACCTATTAGAAAACAAACCAAACACACAAATTCACAGAAATTAGCGGAAGAAGCTTCAAAAGGGAAACCCGAATTATCCTTTGAAGAAATAGTTCCCAAAGAATATTGGGATTATAGAAAAGTTTTCGAAGGACGAAAACCAGGGAAACTACCGCCTAAACGCCCTTGGGATCACAAAATTGAACTCAAGGATGGAATGGAACACTCGCTCAGACCTAAATTATACAGTCTTAGCCCAATGGAACAAACAGAACTCAAGAAATTTATTGACGAAAACCTGAAGAAAGGATTCATCCAGGAATCCAAATCACACATAGCATCGCCGTTCTTTTTTATTGAAAAGAAGAACGGGAAATTACGACCAGTAATGGATTATCGGAAACTCAATGAAATGACTATCAAGAACAAATATCCACTACCAATTATTCAAGAACTATTGGACTTATTAATAGAAGCCATATACTTCTCACTTGTGGATATCGACACAGGATATAACAACGTATGCATGGACGAAAAGGACGTCCACAAAGCAGCATTTGTCACAAACCTAGGAATGTATGAACCACTGGTGATATACTTCGGACTCACCAACTCACCAGCAACATTCCAAACTATGATGAACTCGCTTTTCAAAAACCTCATTTACGCAGGAAAAGTGGCAATTTACATGGACGACATATTGGTATTCTCCAAAACCATGGACGAACATATCAAAACAATGCGACAAGTTTTACAAATCCTAAAAGACAATGATTTGTACCTGCAACCGTCAAAATGCCATTTCCACAAAAAGAAAATCGACTATCTCGGATATGTCATATCTCACGGACACCTCGAAATGGACCCAATCAACATAGCCGGTATCACGGACTGGCCGACACCAACCAGAGTCAAAGAAGTACAATCATTTTTAGGATTCTGCAACTTCTATTGCAGGTTTATCAAAGATTACTCGAAAATAGCCAAACCACTATTCAAGTTAACACAGAAAGATCGCAACTGGGATTGGACGCCAGCATGCAAAAACGCATTCCAAATACTAAAGAAAACCTTTATATCCTCCCCGGTACTTGTTATGCCAGAAACCAAGAATCCCTTCCACATTGAATGTGACGCATCTGACTTCGCTACCGGAGCAGTATTATCACAGGTCGCCCCCGATGGAAAATGGCACCCTTGCGCCTACATTTCCAAATCACTCTCACCAACAGAACGCAACTATCCTATCTATAATAAAGAGTTGCTAGCGGTCGTCCGAGCTTTCGAAGCTTGGCGACACTATTTAGAAGGCGCCGAAATCCCGGTCGATGTCTGGATGGACCACAAAAATCTGGAATGGTTCCGCTCAAGCCAAAAGTTAAACCGTCGGCAAGCACAATGGTCACTCTTCCTCTCGTGTTTCGGCTACAAATTAATGCACAAGGCAGGAGTCACCAATAAATCCGACGGTCTGTCACGGCGTCCAGACCATAAAGAGGGGGTGGAATTTGACAATTCAGGCGAAACACTTTTGGAACCCAAACTTTTCAATCAAAAACAAGAAAAGATTAGAAAACCTTTTGCGGAAGTCAACGCAATTAGCACAGAAGAATCACTAGACCCCCATCAGATATTCCACATTAGAGCAACCGGACGAGGAGGTGTCACAATAATCGACGAAGACCTAAAAAATCGTATCATCGAAGCAAACAAGAAAGACAAATGGTTATTAGAAACATTAACCAAAGTCAAAACACTAAGCCCTCACAGCATGAAGAAAGGACTACAAGAATGGAACAATGAAGAAGGACTCGTTCTACACAGAGGAAAAATCTACGTCCCCTAAAATGAACAACTACGCAGAGATATCATCAAGATAAATCACAACAATCTAGCTGCAGGACATCTAGGACAGAGAGGAACACTAGCGGCCGTAGGACAAGAATTCACATGGCCCAGAATCTCAAACACCATTCATCAATACGTGGAAGGATGCGCAATCTGTCAATCTACAAAAAACGACATGCACCCTACTATGGTACCACTTCAACCAACGGAGATTCTGGATAGACCATTCGGAACAATCACCATGGATTTTATCACCGATCTCCCGGAATCAAAAGGATTTGATTCACTCCACGTAGTAACCAACAGATTTACTAAAACGGCAATAATCACACCATGTCTGAAAACCATCGACTCGGACGGAATGGCGCAAATCCTACTGGAAAATACCTGGAGACGATACGGACTACCCGATAAAATCATATCAGACAGAGGAACCCAATTCGCATCAAAAGTGGCGCAAGCCCTACTCAAAGAACTCAGAATCCAATCAGCATTAAGCACGGCTTATCACCCACAAACAGACGGCGCTACCGAACGAATGAATCAAGAACTAGAACAATATCTTAGAGCCTTTTGCAGCTCATCACAAGACGATTGGGCAGCATTAATTCCCTACGCAGAATATGCCTACAACACACACCAACATTCAGCCACAAAGAAATCCCCATTCGAACTATTACACGGATATCAACCCAGAGCATATCCAGCCATTATAGGCAACATGAATGTCCCCACCGCTGACACACGCCTCGAAGCTCTGCAACGCGCTAGGAAGGAAGCGTAAGCCAGCCTCGAAATTGCAGCCGAAGCCATGAGGATACAACATGACCGTTTCGGAACAAAACTACCGCCTTTCAAGAAAGGAGACCAAGTTTGGTTAGATGGAAAGAATATCCATACCGGTCACCCCTCAGAGAAACTGCGACCCAAACGATTTGGACCATTTGAAATTATCGACACAATCGGAACTATCAATTTCAAGCTGAAACTGCCCAACAGCTGGAAACACATTCACAACGTTTTCCATGCTAGTCGACTTACACCCTACAAGGAGAATGAGGTCTATGGCCCAAACTATCCTAAACCGGCCCCGGACCTGATCGAAGGGCAAGAAGAATTTGAAGTTGAAGCTATTGTCGGAGCTCAACGCTTTGGACGATGGAAGACCTTGCAGTATCTAATCAAATGGAAGGGCTACCCCGAATCGGACAACTCATGGGAAGCGGCGGCAAATGTTACAAACGCCAAAGAAGCCATCATGGAGTTTTATCATAGACACCCCTCCGTAGTCAGAGAAATGGAAGCCTCAATCTTAGCCTTAACGATTGAGCTGGAATACAACAGAGTTGCCGAAGAAAACCAAATCAAAAAGAAGCTTCAAAAGCATCCAATTGGAAGAAGACTTCTATCTACACAATTGGAAATTCCCCAGATCATGAAAGCAATCGACAAACGGATGACACAGTTAAAGAAGCGATCAGTACCTCTGCAGTCAAGGAGGACAGAATCAACGATTGACGATCAAGGAACATAATTGAAGAAGCCCAGTTTAGGCTCGTCTCGATCTGTGCCGCAGCACAAACGATCGGACAGCTCTAATTGGCAAGTACAAGTCTACCAAGAGCTACAAAAGCAGACGAACCGCGGTTTGGCATGGCCAGGCAAGTGGCTATGACCCCCCTGAACCCCACTCTAGCAGAGGTAGCCATTTACACCTCTGTCACAACCGCCACCTTTCTAGCCATCTCTCTCGCTGTCTTTCTCGTCAGAACCATTTGCCAAGGCTCTTGTCTCATCACCAGTGACCTCGTATAAATACGAGGCCACCGTCGACAAAAAAACTTTCCTCCAGCTCCCCAGCTACATGTCCTTGACCGTCCACAAATTCCACTTCCTCGAATCCCCTTGCTACATCATGGCTGACTTCCACCACACTACCTCTCCCTCCGCTCGTTCCCACTCTACTTCCCCTCCCTTCATCCTCTGCCCTGTATCAACCGCCACCGACGACTCTAACGACTCTTATGACTCCCTCGCCTCCGTCAACCACATTGACGGCATCACCATAGACGACCCACACCTCAAAATCGGCGTCCCCAGTCTCCCTAGTCGCATCATGAACCCCCACACGCCTAGTGCGGCACAAGTATTCACTCTATTTAATACCATTCCCCGCATTCTCATTCCCGTCTACCCTTCCCCCATCTATAACTTGACCCGCTACTTGAACCCCAACCTTGTCGGCGCACTCTATCACATCACCTTCACCGACGACGAGGCCCCGATCATGTTGGAACAATCTGGGCTGGATGATCCCACAAACTTCTTTTTCTATTTACAGCAGATTGTGATGAACAAGGGACTCATTAATCTCCCATCGCTCCGCAGCGACATGATCAGCTACCGCCCTACCGGGTATAGCTCCCTCGCCATGAGTCTCCTCCTCCACCACTCCCCAACCGAATGGGTCGACACTCTTGCACGAATCCCCTTCCGACGGAATACCATCCGTTGGTTCCGCATTACAGGGTTTGGAAGAGAACGGTTGGTCATTGAAGAATACATGCCGGGTGGAATGCTGCCGGAACGCCTCTTTCCCACGAATAGTCGAGGGGAGCAGCACGTCGCCGCGTATTGGTCCGAAGGGTCTAACCCATCAGACAACGTGAGGCCCTGGTACATGGCAAGATCAGACGTCATTGCAGAGGATGGGTATCACTTGCTCCGACCCAAGGAGCTTCTTTACGAGTCACAGAGGATCATTGACGCTCCGGGAACCTCCGGAAATATTGCACGTCCCCCTGTCAAATCCCTCATCCTCTCCCTCCCTATGCTCAGAGAATCGTCCCTAGCACCAATTCCCCTCCTCGCACCTTCGCCACCCCTTCCCCCTCTCCAGCTTGACATCCCGGTGCTTTTTCAACATGCAGTCTCGGCCGAAAGGACCACGGCAGTTGAAGAATGGGCAATGGCCACGCTCCCCCATGCCTACACCGACCCCTTTCCGGGAAACCAGCTTGCCCCTATCCCTAACCTGGAAGAAGACGATCCCATGCTCCCCGCTAGTCCCCCTTACGACCCCGAACAAACCGTCTGGGATCGCGAGGCTCGTCGACCACTTCCAACGCCGCCCCCAGCACCCCCTGTTACACCCTCATCCATGACCCTCGTTGAGGAAGGCCCCACCTCTACTGAGCCTGTCGACGCGCCCTCCTCTCAACCTGCAACGGTTCCAGTCACGTCGGAAGATTGGCGCGAAGGAGCACGTGCATCAGAACTCGTCTAGCCCGCAACCCCCGCTTTCACCCCTTCTCCTCCCGCGTCTCCTGCTCCACCAGAGGTACGCTATTGTTGGGAATGCGGACGTAGCGGACATCTCCTCGCAGCCTGTTCAATCACACATATTCGGATGCGAACGGACGTCATGGCGCATCAGTTTCTACGCGATTATGACGCGCATCGCGGAGCCACTAATCGTCTTAGGTTGCAGATGGATAAAGTGGCTGAGGAATATGGTTATCACAAACCTGCCTGGGAACGCATGATCGACACGGCCCTCTGGACTGGTTATCCCAATCGCTCCATCCCCACCTACGATGTCAACAACCTGCGTGAGCCGCCGCCGACGATTGGTCTATGTCATAAACACCGAAGACTTGTGTAAAAGGGGGGGGTAGTGTTAGGACTGCGTCCTAACACGTGCTCGGCACGTGACTCATTGGCATATTTGGGTGACAAAGACTGATTACATATACATGCCAATGCATGAACGCTTACCTTACTGACTCATTCACAAGCTTCGGCTTGAACGTTTACGTATGCCCGTTATGACGTCACTTAACTGTGTTCCTAAATTACTTACTGATGCGGACAGACAATTGTCGTTGTTACTATAATTGGATAAAAGCACAGAGCTGCGGATTACATATGCCGATCATTGATCGTACTTAGTGTTTAGAAGCACGGACCATATGTCCGGCTTGCCCTAAATAGTCTGTACATATAAATAGCCGAGCTGAGCTTCTTAGAAGCCTCAGCTCGTTCACTTCGTATACAATCTTGATCTCTGCACTGCGCCTAACGTCTGGCTCCTTCCAAGCCCATGCATTGTGAACTCTGTCAGATCAATTGAATCATACCTAGTCTGACGAAGCACTGGATTCGTCTCAAAGCCCTTATCATTCTCCCGTCTCTATCGCTTATCAAGGACTCGCTGCTTATCGAGTCGTTTGCTGGGATCCACCTGAAGTGATCTGCTCTATCGGAGAAGACTTGTTCGTTCCTGAAGAACATCGGTCGATTATAAATAATCATCTTCTCTACTTGTTCGAAGACAAGATCAATAGTAACCAAGACTTCTTGGATCACGCACGCAGACGAGCCATCGTCTTCATTCGTTGGGCAGTCAATCTTAGTTTTAGCTTAGGGAACCCTACTTAGTGCATTAAGTGCACGTGATAAGCCTAGCGGCTTAACATCTATCTAATAAATAAACAGGTCAATAAATACCTAAAAAGTCAGGTCTTTCAGGATTTAGTTTGAACACTACTAAGGAGATAATAAACCAATGGAAAATTGATAATACACTTTATATAGGATAAAAATAAATTATGGCACTTATACAATTTAGACTGAGAATGTGTAAAACTATGATTGAGTATAATATTCAATGGGACTCTACTAGTATAGACAATGCTACCTGAATTTGCAAATTTGATCAAGTACATGATTATGAATAATCAAGATCCAATAAGAGAGAAGGGCTTTCCAAATAGCCACTAGTGAGGTAGAGGATGGGGACAAGAGTATATGTATGGCATGCCTATATATAAATAAGCACAAGATTGTTGGAGGTGATCTTAATATGCTTAATGCATATATTTCCTATATGGCAGGCAAATATATCATTCTGGCACCACATACCAATATGACTGTCTTTTCCACAGCCTAATAGCTAGAGGAAAACACCAAGTTTGAGCATCTTTTGTATAACAAGGCAATAAACAATATAAATAGTGCTAAAAATTGTAATATCAATAATAATGATGATTGTGTACTGCACAAGACAGTATTAGCTACTATACTAATAGACAAGGTCTATAAGGCTGCATATAGCATATCCCTAAGTCCAACCCACATGTTGTGTCCTATAATGACCAGTAGCAGGCATTGGCTAACAATGACAACTTTAATGATCTTGTGTGCAAGGACAAGGTACCTAGGTCTTTATAGCCTCTTGTGGCAGCTGCCAAGCTGCCAACAAAGTGGCTGGGGGCATCAATGCACATTTCTCTCTTTCTATATCCCTTATAAAAGCAGCTGGAAAGTCAGCAAAAGAGCTACAAGATAATGGTATAGGCATATATGAAGGAGAGTAATATGCTGAAATAGTATAGAATGTGCCACATCTTTACCTTCTCACTGATAGAGCAGTAGTACTTACTATTTACTACTGATAATTAAAGACTTCTTAGTATGGAATTAGTGCTAATATCATGAAATTAGAAACCAATCCAATACTCACAATGTGTTGCTCCCAATTAGGAAATTAGACACTTTTAGATACTATTAATACTTTTAGATACTTTTAGACACTATTAGATATAATCCAGAGCTAATACAAGGGGGTGTTTTTCCAGATGAAGTTGGGTATTCCAGCAGTTACACTTACAGGGCAAACTTCTAGCCCTGCAATTTATTAGGTAATGTACAAAATATCATTTTCTCACTAGCCTCTCATTCTCATAATTTATTAGGCAATTGATGATGGCTAGTATTGTGCCATTATTGTTAGCTCTAAAGAGCTTATAAAGGAGAATGTAGATTTTGAGAAGCTTTAGAAGAATAAACAGTTTACTTTTCAAATTATCAGTCTTATTTGGGACAAGGCACACTATGTTAGCAAGTGGGGTGGATTCCAGCCAGAGTACAAGGGAGCAAAGTGCTTGTGATATCTCATACCTTGCAACATCCCCTTTCACTTGACCTCTGCCACCTTACTACCTGCCATCTACTGTGATGTTCTAAAGATTCTGCAAATCAATCTAGCTTTCTATCTACTCATTCAGCAGTCTAATAATCGTACCAATATTTTATTGGCCATGCGGAAGTTGCAGCACCCTCTTTATACATTCCAGGATCTTGTATTCCTCATCCCTAACAATTTCTTTCCAGATAACCCACCTAAAAAATTCCTTATATTTTTTGACAAGATCACAGATTTAGTAAAGGTGAGTCAATTCCTACATGCCTGGTTACCTATGCAATATTGCCAGAAAATCAAATGGTTTAATGCTCATATGACAGAGCAATTCCATGAGACCGAGTTACAAGCCATAAAGGATGGTGACATATGGGGGCTTCTTTGCACCAATTCATTTGGCATGGTGAGGTTTTATCAGATGAACAGTCAGCTATCCTATGCTTATAGACATTTAGGGAATTGACCTGCCAGATATTGAACTTGTTATTCAATAGTGTGCAACCTGCACCATGTCTATGCTGATGAGCATGCACCTGTGCTAGAGTCCAAAGGAGGTATCCGGGAAGCTTTGGGGAGATACTAAACAGTGCTAGACAAGTACTAAAGATGCCGACTATTACTGAACACGGTTGGTCCCTACCCAACCAATGGCAAGCCACTGAAGGATATTTGGCAGCACTTAGGTCAATTTGCCCACACTTTACATACTTACCATAACCACACAGGAGTATTACAATAAGTGTTTATGAGATTAGAGCTAGTAGTCCATATTGGCCGATATACTCCGGGAGTCAGTTGGTCCTTATTACTTATTTCCCCAACTTCGGCATGGTTGGTCAAACGTGATCTTGCACCATTACTTAGCCACCCTGGTCATACATTATGTCTTTTTTATTTTTATTGGCTCGCCAACGACTGTTTTTGCTACCTACACTTGGGTGATGGATCCTGAATGTTCAGAATTTTGCCATCACTGATTACCTTTTACCTTATCACCTTCGGAACCCATATAGACATCTTACCTATCTTTTTATCTTCTCTATTCATTAGGGCTTGGCACCTATTTGACACCTACTTTCATTTTGTGTTCAATATTTTACTTAGGGGCTCTGTTTACTATAAAAGCCTACATACAACTCTGGAATAAACCAGCTTTTGTACCCCATAGTTCAGAGCTCATTTACACTTGTCTCAACCATTAAAATTGTCTTTGTTAACTTCCAAAAACTTGTTATCCTTGTTGTTTGGCCTTGTTCACGTTTGTACTCATCTCTTTGCTTGTACCCCTCGTCCTCCCTTGCATATTGTCTGAGTCCCATGTGGCTCTTGAAGCATGTAGTTGCCGGTCATGACACTACCTTCTTGTCACTGATCGCCTTTCCAACCCAACTCAACTGACCAAATGTTCAGTCAGGTGTTTGGTGCAGTCCCAAAACTATTTAGGCACTTTAATCTCACTCTCCTCATTATTCTTCAATGTGCCCTTACTTTCTCAAGTCCTAACTAATGATTCCTTATATATCAGATACTAGCTCCAGCATCCCTGTATTAGAGGTTATTTTAGTGTTGTGCTTGGCACTTAGAGCCACCTCTAGGGTATCAATGCTATGGCAGTGCTTTAGTCAAGGAGCCCAAGATCTCACACAGCACATGATTGTATTATTTTTGGTTGAGCCAAAGCACTTTGACAACAAAAAGGAGAAGAGGATTGCTGCAAGAGAGCACCATCAGTGACATATGTGTGCCAAATAAAAGCTTTGGGAGCCTCCCACAACATCTGGAAAAACACCCCCTTGTATTAGCTCTGGATTATATCTAATAGTGTCTAAAAGTATCTAAAAGTATTAATAGTATCTAAAAGTGTCTAATTTCCTAATTGGGAGCAACACATTGTGAGTATTGGATTGGTTTCTAATTTCATGATATTAGCACTAATTCCATACTAAGAAGTCTTTAATTATCAGTAGTAAATAGTAAGTACTACTGCTCTATCAGTGAGAAGGTAAAGATGTGGCACATTCTATACTATTCTAGCATATTACTCTTCTTCATATATGCCTATACCATTATCTTGTAGCTCTTTTGCTGACTTTCCAGCTGCTTTTATAAGGGATATAGAAAGAGAGAAATATGCATTGATGCCCCCAGCCACTTTGTTGGCAGCTTGGCAGCTGCCATAAGAGGCTATGAAGACCTAGGTACCTTGTCCTTGCACACAAGATCATTAAAGTTGTCATTGTTAGCCAATGCCTGCTACTGGTGATTATAGGACACAACATGTGGGTTAGACGGGATATGCTATATGCAGCCTTATAGACCTTGTCTATTAGTACAGTGGTTAATACTGTCTTGTGCAGCACACAATCATCATCACTATTGATATTATAATTTTTAGCACTATTTATATTGTTTATTGCCTTGTTATACAGAAGATGCTCAAACTTGGTGTTTTCCTCTAGCTATTAGGCTGTGGAAAAGACAGTCATATTGGTATGTGGTACCAGAATGATATATTTGCCTGCTATATAGGAAATATGTGCACTAAACATATTAAGATCACCTCCAACAATATTGTGCTTATTTATATATAGGCATGCCATATATATACCCTTGTACCCACCCTCTACCTCACTAGTGGCTATTTGGAAAACCCCTCTCTCTTATTGGATCTTGATTATTCATAATCATGTACTTGATCAAATTTGCAAATTCAGGTAGCATTGTCTATACTAGTAGAGTCCCATTGAATATTACACTCAATCATAGTTTTACACATTCTCAGTCTAAATTGTATAAGTGCCATAATTTATTTTTATCCTATATAAAGTGTATTATCAATTTTCCATTGGTTTATTATCTTCTTAGCTGGTGTTTAAACTAAATCCTAAAAGACCTGGCTTTTTAGGTATTTATTGACCTATTTATTTATAAGAGAGAGGAAAGATAAATGTCGAATAAAATCAGAGATGTTGAGGTTGCCTATATTATGTCTACTTATTTAGATTACCAAGCTTATATCTTAGACCTTGTGGCTTAGTGGCTTAGAGCATCTGTCCTGGGTGCTTGCATACATGAGGTTGTTGGTTCAACTCTGGCAGAAGGCAAGTTTGTTATAAGGTATATTCTGTGTTTAGGTATTTAACTAGTGCTCTAATATACATGACTCTATAAGAAGACTATGAGAACTGTGATACTTGATTTATTATGATTTTTCCAAAATTTCAAGTTATAATCAATTCTAATAATTCCTAATTTAGGAAAATTATGTCTAATTAGAACAGGTTTAGAGGGGGGGTAAGCTTAATATAAAGGGGTGGTTTTCCAGATGAAAGCCTAACAAAAAGAGACTTCATGTGATTGATAATGAGGGGGGTCTAAAAGATGCAGAACATAGTCATCACATATCTGGTAGTGCCACCCAACCCAGAGAGAGCTTAGGATCTGACAATGAGCTTGACAATCTGTCTAGTACTGATGAAGAGGCAAATCTATATACAGAAAGGTGATTGTTATATTGTCAAGATACGGTCACAACCTCAAGTGTGTGACCAAAGGCTTTTAAAATAAATGTCAATGATATAGAGCCTTAAATGACTTCATCAACCCATTCTAAGCAGGATACATCTGTTTCCATACTGTGGTGGATATGTTTTTTGGCAACAACAAACTATGTATATCACTTGCTTGTCTTTAAGTGTGCTCTTACCTAACTCTTGTTAACTTTGGATCATATGCTCTGCTGGCATAAGCTCTTAGCAGGGTGCTTATAGTGCTATCTCCCTCTACCTTCCATCTGCTGCGAGATGTGCTCCCTAGTATTGTTTATGACATTTGCACAGATGGATGATAGCTCTACAAAAAGGCCAGCCACACGAACACTATGCACACAAGTCAAGGGCAAGTATGAGACAACACTGTAGGACAATGCTTTGCAGCAGGTGCTCTATGTTTTTCACAAGAAACAGATGGTATAGCTCTTTGGCCATACCACTCTTAAGACATTAGGCCCTGGGATCCTGATGCCAAATGAGATCTTACAGCATATTATCAACGGTGCTCATTTTCATCTTATTAATAAGGTATGGGATGTTGGGAACCTCATGTATCAGATATGCATACCTAATCTTGGCAGTAAGGTTCTTGCCTTAATCTAACATCATTGCCCTCCACCAGTACCTGACCCACCAGCACTTTAGGCTAATGCCACATTGGCAAGCTTGGGTTCCTATAATATTAGGATGGCTTGAGGCATCAAAGGTTGGACATATGGATCTTGTGGTGCTATAAAATATATAGGTATGTCATGGCTGCCCTATCAGCTACCTTGCTAAAAGCTAGATCTCTGCAAGGTAGCCAGCAATTGCAGCATATGCCTATGCTAGGCAGAGAGTCACCCTGTAAAAGGAGTGGCCATTTTCTCTGCAAGAGATGAGATACCTCACATTGCCAACATAGCACCCCGCAAGGGCTCAGACACTCCTTTCACCCTATTGAGCCCCTCTGGCCAATTGCTAGCACTATTAGCAGTGCCAGAAAGCAGTTCGCAACCTGCGTGAAAGTGAATATGTGCATGCTATGGAGGGCAGGATTATATTGGTATGCTCCTACATTTTATATTGTAAGTGATAATAAACTCATGTATTACAGCCTCTAATTGGCAGATCTGTTGGCCATACATGCTTTAACATGGGCAGGCTGGGTTCAGGACCCTTGGTTCCCTAAATAGGACCACTTCTCTGTCAACAAATGCAAGTGCTGTTGTGGATGTTCCTGTTGCTATACTACCTACATAGGCCGGCACATTGGGCGATGTGTACTCTGCCATAGAGGCAACAGGGGCCTCTTTTGCTATATGACTCCTTGAGTAGCTTATCAATGTTCTCACCTATGGCTATCAAGCCCTTGATATCCATCTCTCACCCTCCAGTGCTTGCATCCTCTTCCATGATGCCAGTGATACCTTCTGTAGGAACCAGGGCAGCAGTGATTCCCCATGTCATTCATAACAGATGAGTCCCAACAACCCTAGTCACTTATCATCTCCCATGCCTAGCACCTCAATCTGCTTTACCACCAACATATAGCTCTCGCTTCTATACTGCCTGCTCAGCCAGTGCTTTATCACTACCTTTTCCTGTGCACCACAAAGAAACCATACATAAGCTCAGTAGCCTTGCATGAAGTGCGCAAAAGTGGCCACTCACTCACCATGATCAGGTGTGGTACAAGAGCAGGGGCGTCAGGCAGCATGCACCTGGCTAATGCTGTGAGTGCAGTGATGTTGGCAAACATGTCAAACCACAGCTGCCAGAGGCACTCATCCCAGTCAGACACATGCAATAGCCTGAGGAAAAGGCACTCTGTGCATTTGAAGGCATGCACTAGTGTGAGTGCTACAAAAGGGTACACACATGTGATGCTGCTCAAGAGCACCAGTTTGGCATCAGATAGCAGGTTGTACAGTGCTAGTTGTGCTGCTGAGCCTGAGCCTGAGCCTGTGAGGAGTACTGAGGATGAGGAGGAAGGGCCCACAGAGAGGCCACAATGTGCATATGCATTAGGGATAAGGTGCAGGAACACGTACCAAGCCATGCAAGAAGGGCAGGAACACCTACCTATGTGCTGTGGATTAGCAAATCAGTGACAAAAAGGAAATCGATGGCAACAACAATATAGGGGAGGGGAAGAGGAAGATGCACAGGATTCAGAGAAATGTGATAGTAAGTAAGCTGCATGTTGACAGAGAGCATATCCAGGTTTGTGGCATCTATGCCTTTCAAGTGTGTCTATTCACCATAGTGAGCCCATGTCTCTACTATTAAAGAGCCTTTGACTGACGGCGGTGGAAGTATGTGGCATTTCAAGAGGAAGCAAAGTGCATGGTGCACATAGACTATCATGGTCTCCAGATAGCACTACTTATTATCTATATTCCATAGCTATATTTGCTCATTTATCCCTATTCATTAACTTTGAGATCCTCCATCTCAACCACTGCCCCAATGTTATCATTACCATCTGTGCCAGCCCCTGAGCCTTTGTCCATTTTGGCCCATGTGGCAAGCCCTTTGTCCAGCATATCTGGAATTGAATACAACATACAGCAGTCCCTTTGGGTCTCATTGGGATGGGCTATCTGAATATGGATTCCCAGCTTGGTGTAGATTTTCTTTATATCTCTCACAATGTGTCTATATGTCAGGCCTAGTAGCTTGACCTCATCTGTGAGTTGCTTGTGGCAACATCTGTAGATTTTAACCAGCAGTGATTTGTCAATAACACAGTGCTGTATATATTTGGAGCTAGACCTGCCATATGTATGCTATAAAGATGATATCAGCACTGGAGCATGGCTACAATAGGCACAGAATTACCTTGGTACACAGGTTATTGAGCTCTACTAACCAATCCATAGCTTGGAAAGCATTCAGCTGACCTGTTGGGTTTACTAAGACATTGTAGCACACAGCATGTCTATACCATATTATGTGAGTCATTTTGTGTTTATTTTTTTCTCAAAGGGGGCTGAACACTCACTTAAGACCAGACAGATACATAAAGTGCACATCCATGAGAAAATCATGCATTGCACTGGCATATTTGTGTTTGCTGGTGGCCTTGAACAAGCAGACTCATGGTATAAAAAGAGTCTCGATCCTTCCAGTGTTACCAGCATTGATGGCAAATGCTAATTTTTCATATAGGAGCATACATTGATGCAGCAGCAGAACATTTTCATGTTGCTGGTTATGAAGTGTTCCAATTTATGCACATAACTTGTAAATATTGATGCTCTTACCTATGATATATTCACTTACCAGTTTGTAGAATAATTTTTGAAGGTCTCCAAATGATGGTTGTAACTGCACAAAGTCCTCCAGAGTTGCCTAGTCTTCCTTTTGCTTCTGCAATTCAACTTTTCAGCAATCTAAACAAAGCACAGTCCCTACATGAGAAATGATCTCATGCATATGATGAAAGCCAGGGTTTAAGGCAATCTTCCTGGTTTCTCATAGATCGAGGATTCTTATGAAACTTTGGAGTGATTTTGGATCATATTGCATTTCTTTTAGCTAAATAAAGATCTTCCATATTGCATCAACAGCAGCTGTTTTTAGGTGAAAGAACCCTAATATAAAGATTGTAAACTGGAACCTATGCCAAGGTGTGTCCTTGATGGCACATTCCATGAGCAAGGACTTGACATGCTCTTGTGTGCCCATGTCTTCTTGAATGAAAATCACATATAGTGTCACATCACACATATTATGTATAAGAAGGTCTTTTAGCGCTTCAAGATGTGCTTGCTTGGTACTATCTTCATATGAGTCATTTCCTTTTTTTGGATCATATTCCATATCATTGGTGAGATCTCCAACACCTCCTTAATGAAGGAGGTTTATTATTTCTTCAATATTACCATCCACTATTAAGGGATTTGGTGCTGATGATACCTTTGGAACCATGTTATTTAACTTTGAGTACTACCATAAAAGCTCTGAGCACTGCAAATGTTTGAGCTTGACTCTGTGCTAGAGAGGAAAGAGCAGACCAGAAGTAAGGTATGTTAAAGTGTCCTCAGATTGCTCTACTATTAACAGGGATCTTTTGAAGTCAATATCAAGGTTGTCATAGGCATACAATGCCACAAGTGACTGGCCAACTTCTTGGATATACTTATGGGCTTTTTATGAAAGTGAGTGAATGGCATTATAAATAGAGCCTATCAAGATTGAGAGTCCAAGTCTAGTAATTGTCTTGATGACCTTTTCAGGTGTGTTACATGAGTGCAAAAATACTCCAATGATTTTCTAGAAAGCATTGCAGTGCTGGTTGTGTGATTGCATCAGAATACTGACAATCAACACCTGTTTCTGATGGAAAGGTCAGTTAAGGTTATATGCTTCTAGAACAAGCATCTATTTACCAGGACAAGCAGAGTCTTATGCAGTGGTGCTTTCTTGGTAGTAGTCTCATTGTAATCTAATTCCATTTTGGTAGCTTCATTTTTGCTTATGTCTGATAGTTCATTCTAATAGATCATGTCATCATCTTCAGCATTATTGTGAGGAATGTTACCATCTACTAGTGAGCACTTTAAATCACTGTGTTATGTAGCATTGGTGGTAAGCATAGCACCTAAAAGATCCCATATTTTTGGAGCCTGAGCATGAATATCTTTTGCTAGGTTGTGAATATGGAACTCCTGGATCTGTTTAAGGGATGCATAGATGGCACTAAAGTGCCATCTATTTTCTTTTGCTGAGAGTTCTCCAATTCTCTTTGCATAGACTTTGGCAGAAGTTTTATGCACCCAGAGCCTGATTTGTTCATAATAGTGAGGGTGTAGGAAGAGAGTAGAAAGGATTTTCCTGATATCTTGGCTAAGATGCTAATAGGTAGGGTAGTCAGAATGAAGAGGGCTTTGTAGAATGGATAGTAGTAATTTTGAGAGATTGAACCAATATGATTCAAGAGTTTGTAGAATATCATCTAAGTGTGGATGTAGACCCATTTTAATAGAAGGCAAGACTATTGCAATGTGACATAACATACCATTTCATATTTCTTGTCAATAAACAAAAGAATAAAATATATTGTTATTAAACTAGTGTTAGGCTTTGAATTTGGGTGGCTGGCACTGTGGGTGGCATTTGTTTATCAATGTTTTATGCCAGCCATTGGTGAGAGGTTAGCGGTTAAAGTTTAAAAGTTCCTTATTAGGAAATATTTTATATGTGACTGTAATCTACTTGGCATATATCATCCATAGTCACCCACTTCCTCTCACCTTTAGATGGGTAGGAGCCTGTATTGTTACATGATTTGTTTGTATACTAAAAGCCACATGCTTATACATCATAATAACTCATTAATATATGGCCTATCCTTTTATTTATTTATTATTAAATTAATAAATTTAAATACTGTGTAGATTTTTTAGCTAGTAGTAGCAAGCCCTATAACCACTCCCCAAACCATCCTTTTTATACCCCCTATAACTGGATTAGTTATTAACCTTCCTATATAGGTGTGTTGTTAAGACTGTGTTGATACACTAGAGGTGGCTCTAAGTGTTGAGCACAACACCAAAACAACCTCTAATGCAGGGGGTGCTGAAGCTAATATCTGATATACAAGGAATAGTTAGTTAGGACTTGAGAAAGTGAGGGTGCACTAAAGAGTAATGAGAAGGGTAAGATTAAAGTGCCTGAATGGTTTTGAGACTGCACCAAACACTAACTGAATATTTAGTTGGATAAGTTGGGTCAGGGAATTGATTGGTAATGAGAGGGTAGTGTTACAATTGACCACTATGTGCTTCAAGAGTCATATGGGACTCTGACAATATACAAAGATAGAAGAGGGGTATAAGCAAGGGGATGGGTACAAATATGAACAAGGCTAAATAATGAGGAGGATAAGTTTGCTAAAGTTGGTAGAGATAATTTCAATGTTTAAGATGAGTGTGAGTAAGCTCTGAACTGTAGGATGCAAAAGCTGGTTTATTCCAGAGTTGTATGTAGGTTTTTATAGTAAATAGAGCCCCTAAGTAAAATATTGAATGAGAAATGAGAGTAAATATTGAACAGGTGCCAAGCCCTAGCAAACAGAGAAGATAAGTGTTATGAACTGCTTGTTCAATAACCCCAAGAGTAGGAGGTTCTTCTCTAGGTTACTCAATAAGGAAGAATGGATGAAGGTATCAACTATATGCATAGCACAGGAGTTGATAGTATTATAGATGTGAATAGTATGGGGACTATTCTTGAGTAATGAGTACTATAGGAAGACAGTACTAAACAAAGAGAATAGAATAAAAATCTGTAGCTTATTCTATGGGCCTCTTATACTACTTTGGAAAGGGCATGAGAATGCCAAATATATCCTTTATACATTCTCTAAGCTGCTGCTCTTTCTTAGTGCTACTCTTGCTTCTCTACTTGTCTTCTTTTGACCAGGAGGACAAGGAGCTCCATTCTCTATGAGTCCATATGTATAAGCCTGTGTTGGTCATCTACAATATGCCCTATAATATTCAACTAGCAATAGTAGTGTTTGCTAAGAGTAGATGACCAAGGATATTACTCTATACTATAATATACACCTCATGCTATAAGGCCGCCTAGTGGTTGTGATGATTGTTATTGGCATAGACTGCCACAAGGCTCCAATAGACCTAATCATAACAATAAGAAGGTAGGTGAGATGTCCATATGGGTTCTAAAAGTAATAAGGTAAAAGTTAATCAGTGATGGCAAAATTCCAACCATTTGGTATCTGTTATCTGAGCATAGGTAGCAGGAACAGGTATTGGAGAACCAGTGAAAATAAAAAAGAAGCAATGTATAACTATAATGGCCAAGTAATGGTGTAAGATTGCATTTGACTGACCATGCTAAAGTTGGGAAGATAAGTAATAAGGACCAACTGACTTATGAAGCACATTGGCTGACACAGACTACTGGCTCCAATCTTGTAAACACCTATTATAACACTCCTATACAGTCATGGTAAGTATGTGAAGTATAGGCAAACTGACCCAAGTGCTGCCAAACATCTTTTGGTGGTTTGTGGTTAATTAGGTAGGGACTGACCATATTTGGTGCAAGTTGGCATCTTTGGTACTTGTCTAGCACTATTTGGTATCTCCCCAAAGCTTCCTAAATACCTTCCTTGGACTCTAGTATGGGTGTATGTTCATCAACAGATAAACCAAGAAATTGAACAATTCCTCCAAATATTTTGCAACTACTACCAAGACAATTGGGTAGACCTTTTTCTATTCATCAAATTCCCCCATAATACATGGAAGCATTCTGCCATGGGAAAATCTTCTTTTAGAATACTATATGGTTTCAATCCCTCTTATTTGGCAGATAGAGCTTTGGAAACCAAGGTACTCATGATAGCAAAATGAATATGGTCAATAATAAAAGTACAAGAAGAAGCCATAGCTAGTCTGTAAATGGCTGCCTAATATGCTAAAGACCAGGATTCTGATTGAAATAACCCACATTAGATAGAAGGGACCCAAGTTTGGTTAAAAGGAACCCATATCTGAACAATATACCCAAAATTCAAGTTAGCCTTAAGATGATATGGACCTTTCAAAATCCTTGCCAAGGTTGGACCCTTGGCATACAAACTAGAAATCCCTGCTCATTGGAAAATTCATCTGGTATTTATGCCACCATGCTAACTGAATACAAGAAAATGGAAGCCTATAGCATAAACTTCATCTGACTACCACTGGAAATATTGAACAATGAAGAGCATTATGAAGTAGAGGCTATTTTAGACTCAAAACAACAAAAAATAGGAACTAAATGTCTTGTGAAATGGGAAGGATATCTAGAGGCTGACAACACATGGGAACCTTATGCCCTCCTAAAAGAGACAGCAAAGAAGGCCCTCCAAGATTTCCATCAGGCCTATTCTGACAAACCCTAACCTACAGGATTAATGTTAAAAAGCATATAGAAGGAGCAGGACCCTTATCCCTCTGCCTTAAGAGTTTAACCTCCATACATTTTTACACACCTCCCTTCATTGCAAAATGCTTATTCATAATGAATCCACCTTCTCATCACTATCTAGAAACTCCTCTCTAGATGTCACTCTAGCCATGATCAACCCAGATCTCAGACAACTCAATAAATTAGAGCCCCATAATATTTCCAAGCTGTCCAAAGCCAAGATGCCTGACTCTTTCTCCATCTTAGTCTCAAACAAAGTTAAGAAAGAGACATCAAACCACTAGTGTGGCAGAACCCCAGAACTCTATTACTGATTGAGAACCCTAATAACTGAGACTCTAGCAATGCTAGTAGATCTGCAATTCAAGATCAACATCTTAACAGAATCTAAGGAAATGATGGAGAATCAACCCATATGGGACCTAGACCAAGAAATAGACACCAATAATCAAATACTAGAATGAATACTCTAATTCTGATTTTACCAGGAATTGTACCAAATACAATATTGACTGTCGAATTGCCTCCATATGCCTTAGAAACTCCTTCCCTTAGTGCAAATTCTCAGCCCAGAGAATTAGAATGACATACAGATGCTTTTCTATAACAAAATACCATCTCTACAGTAATATAAATGGCAACTGCCATAGCACTCCAATGTCTTGCTAATTTTTTAGTAAGACAACCAAGAAATGAGAATAATGAGGTACTTTGATGACTGGCTTGTGCAAGCCAACAGATCAAATGACTTGCCTTGGACACTTATCCCAATATCACCATATAGGAAGCAAGAGGGGACAACTAACTCCAAGCCCTCCTCATCTATTCTGACAAGTCCACCCTTTATGTTAACCAAGAACTACTATCAGCACAGCACTCCTCTTTTCCAGGAAACTGGGTCCCATTACCCCTCAGCATGTTGACCCCTTTTAGGTCATCACCTGGCCTCTCTCAGTGGAACTATGAACTAGTTCCCCTATAATTCTGCCTATCCAGATTCAACATATGGTTATCTGAAGCCTGCCAGTTAGATATACAGAGGTTTCTAGAAGCTAGGGCATTTTGAATATGAACTATACTATTCAAAATGTTATCCATGTTCTTTGGGTTATAGATAAGGAACTACCTATCTATAGACAAAATAAAGGGCATCAAAGCAGAGGAACCTAGATGACCAACTATTATAGAACACTAACTGGGCAAGCTATACAATCAAGAAATGGAGAAGCTACTCCTACTTCTCAATCTTATGTAAATGAGGAGTTGAGTCCTTAATGTAATTGACAAACTTAGCAGCTTGATATAGAGACTAGAACAAATTGCTACTGGACTTGGAGCAATTTAGATGCCTGGGATGCCCTAGATGAAACACAGGAGTATAAGGACCTGGAAAATTATGAGGATGCTGATTCATACTATAGGCCCAATAAAGGATGAGGAGATTATAAAGCTGATGAATATTGAAGAAGGCTAAGTCTGCAATAACCTTAAACTAGTAGGTGGCCATTGTCATCTTCACTGTGAACATCCCTCATGACAGTAAATTGTATGATCATCCACAACAACATAAAACTGCCTCTATCTGTAATGACATCCAAACTACCAGACCTACATGTCTTTAAACTGTGAAAAGGGAAAAAGGTGGGGGGAAGTATCTGATCAATACTGGCACTATGCATATGCAACACATATAGCAGAGATGTCACAAGGCAGCAAACTTATGGCAAAGCATTTCGCATCCTTGCTATCAAGGAGTTAATCCAACAAATATATAGGTATCATTTGGAAAACCGCCCCCTTGTATTAGCTCTGGATTATATCTAATAGTGTCTAAAAGTATCTAAAAGTGTTAAAAGCATCTAAAAGTGTCTAATTTCCTAATTGGGAGCAACATATTATAAGCATTGGATTGGATTCTAATTTTATAATATTAGCACTAATTCCATACTAAGAAGTCTTCAATTAGCAGTAGGAAATAGTAAGTACTACTGCTTTATCAGTGAGAAGGTAAAGATGTGGCACATTCTATATTATTTCAGCATATTACTCTCTTTTATATATGCCTATACCATTATCTTGTAGCTCTTTTGCTGACTTTCCAGCTACTTTTATAAGGGATATAGAAAGAGAGAAATATGCATTGATGCCCCCAGCCACTTTGTTGGCAGCTTGGCAGCTGCCATAAGAGACTATGAAGACCTCAGTACCTTGGCCTTGCACACAAGATCATTGAAGTTGTCATTGTTAGCCAATGCCTGCTACTGGTGATTATAGGACACAACATGCAGGTTAGGCTTAGGGATGTGCTATACACAGCCTTGCAGACCTTGTCTGTTAGTGCAGTGGTTAATACTGTCTTGTGCAGCACATAATCATCACCACTCTTGATATTACAATTCTTAGTGCCATCCACACTGTCCATTCATTGCCTTGTTATACAGAAGATGCTCAAAATTAGTGTTTTTCTCTAGCTATTAGGCTATGGAAAAGACAGTCATGTTGGTATGTAGTGCCAAAATAATATATTTGCCTGCTATGTAGGAAATATATGTACTAACCATATCAAGATTATCTTTAACAATCTTGTGCTTATTTATATATAGGCATGCCATATATATACTTTTGTCCCTACCCTCCACCTTACTAGTGGCCATTTGGAAAACCCCTCTCTCTTATTGGAAACCAATTATTGATAACCATTAATAATACTAATTTGAGCTAATTATGGCCAATTATTTATAATCATGTTTTTGATCAAATTTGAAAATTAAGGTAGCATTATCTATACTAGTAGAGTCCCATTGAATATTATACTCAATCATAGTTTTACACATTCTAAATCCAAATTGTGTAAGTGCCATAATTTGTTTTTACCCTATATAAAGTGTATTATTTATTTTCCATTAGTTTATTATCTTCTTAGCTAGTATTTAAACTAAATCCTGAAAGACCTGAATTTTTAAGTATTTATTGACCTGTTTATTTATTAGATAGAGGAAAGATAAATATTGAATAAAATTTGAGATGTTGAGGTTGCCTATATTATGTCTACTTATTTAGATTACTAAGTTAATATATTAGACCTTGTGGCTTAGTGGCTTAGAGCATTTGTCCCAGGTGCTTGTATATATAAGGTTGTTGGTTTAACTTTGGCAAAAGGCAAGTTTGTAATAAGGTATATTCTGTGTTTAGGTATTTAACTAGTGCTCTAATAGACATGAATCTATAAGAAGGCTATGAAAACTGTAATGCTTGATTTATTATTATTATTCCGAAATTTCAAGTTATAATTAATCCTAATAATTCTTAATTTAAGAAAATTATGTCTAATTAGAACAGGTTTAGAGAGGGGGTAAGCTAAGATGTCTAATCCTAATCTTTTATAATTTAGTATAGTAGGGCATCAATTATAGCTAATTAGAGCTTAATACAAGGGGGTGGTTTTCTAGATGATCCCATTTGGATCCCTAGTTTTATAGGTTTTTTTATACATTAGGGAACCCAATAGGAATATATTTGGTATTAACAAGCCATCTCTCCTTTTTTAGACTAAGAAGGATAGAAACATAACTGGTATAAAAGGACTACAGAACAAGGTTTCCTTATATGATTGTTATTGTCAAGGTATGATAGGTATTTAGGCATCCTACTTTGGATCCCTAGTTTTACAAGGTTGTTTCTGTATTAGGGAACCCTACCAATACTGATGTACAGATAAATGGGAGTGTTCAACCCACTAGGAGATAAAAAATATGTCAGCTTTGATAATGTGGAGCAGAAAATAATATCCAGAATGATGTAAAACTATCAAAGGCTTGGTCCACAATGACGATAAACTAGTTTCTATCTGCAATGACATTAAACTACTATTGACCTATGAATAGTGAATATATTCTGGTGAAGCACGAAACCCAAATTTCCATATTGCAGAACCTTATTTATAAATGGTCAGGTGCTTCCATATTCTTCTACCTTTTAGTGGGGGATCATGATGTCATTCTGGTTTAATTCCTTAATTCCAGATAAGATATCTGGGGACATGAAAAAGCTGGCATTTTCTTGTGGTGCACTAGTCTAGTCTTAGAGTCAAAGACAAGAAATTCCACTCCAAGACCTAGTCAGCAAGCAACTAGAATATATGTCTAAAGTCAAAGGTCTAGTTGTGGCAAACTAGATCACAAGACTCATTATAGTTGTATATTGTGAAATCATGATATTGAGTTGGTTATTCCCAAGTCCTGACTGCTCCTTGAGCCAATGTCTGGGATAATGTTAAACTAGCTAATATCTGAAATAATATTAAACTACTGTCCCTCAGTTTTAAAGATTATATTAGAGCTAGAATTATCCTAGCTACAATATGTCCACAATAATAATAAACTACTTGTCCTTTTTAGCATAGGGATTGTCAATCAATGTTATTATTGATGACAATATATTAGCCAAGTCTAAAATAATGGTAAACTACCCTCATCTCTAGAAGACAATATCTATTGTGACTTGGAAGACAACATTAGATAATAGCAGTTGCCTAGCTCATGGCATTAAACTGAGTTAGCCAAAACACATGGCCTAAGTTATCTAGTTTGATATATTATGAACTGTTCTCATCATGCCTTAGTAGAGATCTGAAGAAGTTGAAACCTGGTCTAGGGCCCTATGTACATCACCAATGTATGTTCTAGCATACAAAAAAGTTCTCTTTTACAGATACTCCATGTTAATGATGAAGAAGGTCCACAATGACCTTGCCCTTGTTTGTTTTATTTGTTTGTTATCATTAACATCTAATGTGGCATGCTGCATACTTAGACATGTACATACTTTTATGTATCTATAGTAGTGGAGTGTTGTGGACTGGGTCTGTGTCTGTGCACTGCATTGTCCCTACCTTACTCTTAAACTAGCAGACTGCACAAAAGCCATCTCAAAATAATTGTCCTGCAAGATAAAAATAAAATTGCCATGAAGTCTGCAAAGATGTCAAATTATGGAACATCCTACATGATATTTAAACTGCTTATTTTGGATTTACCTTACATGACCCAAATTAATTACCATCTGTGGTCGCAAAAATCTTCTTGCACATATAGGTCGGTATCTGTCAAAAAACAAGAGGCCAGACTCTCTTTTGGCTCTCAAACCTAATCTCAGTTGGAAATAAGCTCACTATATAAGAGTGATACAGCTTAATAGGAGTACCAATATTAGTCTATTCTTTTCACATTCTTGTCTTAAATCTAACACTATACATGGTATTTCCCACCATAGGCTCACATTTGTGACAAACAAACTCTGGATGCACATCCAATCTCACTAGACTTAAGCTCACCATATGAGAGTGATACTAGTTGGGATTGTTAAAGGAACCCTACCAGACTCAAAACAAATTGCAAGTGTGGTTGCAATAGGGAAGTAGGCCTAAGCCTTGGTAAAGCAATCAACCTACTTGTCTAGAGTCCCTCTTGGCACAGCAATCATGAGGAACAAAGAAGCTATCTTATAAACATTGAGATTTGACCCTTAGAGAAGGAAGAAGAAGAATATGATGGTGTTAGAAAGAAACCACATTGACAAGTTTCTACTTATCCATACACTGTTCCACATATATGCCTTTCTTTCAAGCCCAACTAATACAGTTTGGTAGACATAGTGGAACCAGCTTGGCCTGAGAATCCAAGCTCAGTCCATAACAAAACTAGTGGATGAAGGAATAACATCCTACTGATGAGGGGCCTAGAAAACCCCAAGAGTCCACAAACAAACAGCTCAAGAGAGATGGAAAACTCCTAGAGGACTGAACAACATAAGTTGGCTCTCTTCCTAGAAAATAAAGTCATAGCAGAAGTCACATCTGCTCCTTGTTTGGCTCAAGAAAGCATATCATATATGGAATGGCAATAAATCATGCATGGCATGTGTCCTATTAGGTACTAGGATATAGAAAAAGGGTATTGTTATAATCATGGTCTGCTAAGGCCCTTCAAGGCCTAGGTCATTGACTCCCAATGGATATCATCATTGCTAGTTGAGTATTAGGAAATATATTCTAAAAGGAGAATTAAAAAAAGGTCTAATTACTATTTCACAAGAGAATCCATCCTGTCAGAATTCCTATGTTAAAAGGAAACAATGAAGAAAATACAAGAGTAGGCACTGAGAGAGAGTAATGCCCATAGGAAAATTCCTGGAGGAAATTATTAGAATTCTCATAACTTCCAAAGTAGTATATAAGACCCATAGAATAGGCTAAGGACCCTTAGTCCATCCTCTTTATTTGCTACTATTGTCTTATAGTAGTCTTCATTCAGTATTACCATCCAATGGTACCCTTTGCCTAGTACTGTCATCTTCAAATACTCCCTGTAAATACTATCTTCTCATATATACTTGTATAGTCAAGATCATCATCTTGTTCTTCCTTATTGTGCAACCTAGGAAAGAACCTCCTACTCTTAGGGTTATTAAACAAGCAGTTTATAATAGTCTGTAGGCTTGGTCCTCTATAGATTTTCTTGTTCTAATAGGACATGTTCCAGGAATAAAAAAATCCTTCTAAGATGTGAATCTGATGAGAAGGTTGTTGACATAAAAGTGTTTGTTTGCTTTATTGTAATAAATGATCTTTAGGTCTGAATCTTCTAGAAGAAATCTGAGAACTTTGGCAGGGTCTGAGATATATCCTTGCTCTGCTAGATATCTTTGTAAGAGTGTCAACTCAATGGTTCATTCTTTAAAGTAGAAGGAAACTGTATATCTTTGGCTTATAAGTAAGCTTTCCTAGGCATATGGGTCTTTTTTAATGATTTTGTTAATAAAAATGTTGATCTGGTCAAGGAGCTAGATAATTTTGGAGAACATTTATCTAGAGATGAGGGCCTAGAGATAATAAGTTTTGTGGGTGAACTCTTCACTGTGGATGATAAATATAATCCTGTTAATTTTGGTTCTAACTAGTGGATATTTAGTTGCATCCAACTTGTTGTACTTCATGGTGGTGAATATCCACAAAATAAAAATTGCATGGTAAGCTTTTTACTCATGTCTATAGATAAGTTCTTCTCTGATTCTGTCACAGTTAATGATTTTTATAGGGGCTCTTCTGAAATTAGGGATAAGAGTGTGTAGGTAGTCACTTGGTCTTCTGTCATCCATATTAATAGTATAGATGGTGTGGATGGTATAGAGTCCTATATTGTTTCTTCCAATGAAGGAGTTTGGGTTATTAATGAAGCAGAGTTTATTAAATGGGTATCCAAACTTATCAATGTCAAAGAAATATTTAGGGGCTTTTTGTAGCCAAAATATGGCTACTCTAGCATATGTTTTTCCTAATGCTTGGTGCCTAGCAATAATTAGGATTCCTGTGGGGGATTTTGAGCTATTGGCTCTATCCTAGATAGAGCTTCTTTATGTTTGTACTTCTCTTTTAATGGCCATTGTTAGTGCTTGTAGATGTTGGCAATCTAGCTTTTTTTGATAGAGTAGGGAATAGAAGAGCTTGTTCAAGTGTTAGGTCAGAGATCTATTATGTGCACTTTATATACTAAAAGTGGTTCTCTAGGCTATCTAAATCATAAGACTTCAATAAATAAAGATAATGGATTGTCTTTATACTCATGAGAGGAATTTAGGATCGCTATCTGCTTTGTCTTTGAAAAGATAAAGTAGATAGTCTTTAAGAATGTCTTGATGATCTTAGGGGATAGGGTCTTCTTCTTCTGTCTAACAGATAAATTTAGGAGGTATCTAGCTAAGGGCTCAAAAAATAGTAAGTCCATTATACATTATAGATATTAGAAAATAATAAGAGTGAGGAAATAAATCCAGTGCTTCATCAGACCATGTAAGGATATTCTTAGATCTAATAGAGTTCACAAAGTATGAGCTAAAAAGGTAGCTAGATACTAGGTGTAATACAGAGATTAAGTATATTACAGGCAAATGAGCTAAGGAAGCATGCCTTCTCTTTGACTTGTCTAAATATATATAAAGCTATTTTAGGGCTGGATCAAGATCTGGTCCATGCTTCTAAAGCTAATCTATGTATCTATGAAGTGACAGGTGTCAGGAATAACTCTATAGCAATAAACAATTGAGATCTATGGTTAATAATAAGCTTTATTATCAAAGATCTAAGTATAATAAGATAACCACTTATGTATGTCCATATCTAGGACCACATTTTAACACATGCAAAGCATATGAGAAGGTAGGCTTGTATAGTAACTTAGTAGTGACTCATTCATGATTCCTTACTATTGATATACTAACACATAAACACTTTCATACTTACCCAATTTACATGCTTTTTCATGAACACTTACTTATGTTTTGGACAGCCTCTGGCTCCTAGTCAGTCTTTGGTTCCTGAATCTTACTAACAAAAAGTGTTGTTATCCAGCCAAAAACCTTGATAGAGACCAAAAAGCACAAAGTCAATAAGAGGTTGGTTTGGATAGTGAACAAGGGAAGCTTTGAAACAAGAAATCTTTATAGGTATGACAATAGAGAATAATAAAGGATTTTTGGTGACAGTTTAGTGAGCTACTTTATTGAGAAACTTGGGTAATAGAGAACTAGGCAATAGAGGGGCAGTCTTTATTAAAGTTGTAGATGGCATTATAGTAATTTCATAATCTTTCTAGACGAGATTACAAAAGTACTGAAGCTATTTACTTACCTGTTTCCCAAGAATATTGCTCAGGTCCAGAGTTAGAAGGCTAAGGATAGTTAATAATAGCATATAAGTGGGTATAACAGTTGGAACAAGCATGTCAGTAGGAATAGCTTTGTAACTTTCAAAGTCCTTGGTTGAAATGATAGCAGGTCTTGGAAGATTGCCCCCTCAGCACTTATACTTTGAAAGATAATGTTGTAGCAGCTACTTTCTTACTACTGATATAGAGGGTATACAACTCTGTAGTATTGTCAATAAGCAGCATGTTGTTATAGTGGGTAATATGTACTCATGCCCACAAAAAGTGTTTGAACACCATCACATGAAGCTTTTATATGAGTTGCTAAGCCTCAGTAGTCTTAAGAAATTCATGCCTTCTACTAGAACCACTAAGTTTACACCCTCAAAAAGAGGTTGGATCTTTGCTTTGCATAATCTTGGATACTCATATTGAAAAATTGCTTCCTTGACTGGTGCTTCTGTTGGAGCATGCCATTATACTGTCACTTGCAAGAACCAATTCCATACCTGACACAGTCTCTCTCAATCTGGCTGGCCACATATTATTGATAGCCATATATAGTGCAGGGTCTTTTATGAGATCTGTACACACTATCTAGACCCTTATCCCATTATTTCCAAGCATGTTAAATATGTAACATCCCAACAAGTTTGTACCATAGCAACTTCTGCTAGCTACCACCACCGAGTTGCACGTCGCAAGCCCTTCCTATTACCAGCGGCTATCTGGAAATGTCTCATTTGGGCAAAGGAAAATATAACAAGGGATTGGAATGAGGTTGTCTAGACTGATGAGGCAAAGTTGGAGTTAGAAGAGAGGCTAGGGCATAGGAGAGTGATGAGATTACCAGGTGAAGAATTTCTTTCCATGAACATACAGCCAACCTTCAAGAGTGGTTGTAAATCTATCATGGTATGGGGGTGTATTGCATATAGTGTGAAAGGTCCACTGATCAAGCTAGAATTTCTGCCTACAACCATGAGTAAGAAGGGCCAAAGATGAGGTAGAGGCTTGGGTGTAAAAAAGTATGTTGCACAGGTTCTTGAAGAGCCTCTAAAGAATTTTTTTGACAGGATGGAGTAGCAGCAGATATATCTCATGCTTGTTGTCAAAGATAGAGCACTAGCCCACACAAGCTGCCTCGCAAAATCTGCTTGGTTGAAACTGGGCATCATACTCCTAACACATCCTCCATCTTCACCTGATCTTAACCCTATCAAGCCATTATGGCTGCTGCTCAAAAACCATGTTGCTTATACTCCAGATGCCAGCAATTCTCTTGAGAACCTATGGTTAGCAGCACAGCATGCATGGGAAGAAATTACAGGTTTAGGCAGCAAAAAGCTGGCATACAAGATTCTAGCTACTGTATTGTATAAAAGGCATTCCTAGCTCTTGATAAAGACTATCAAATTGTCAATCCATTTACAATTGCTCTCAGAAGACAGTCAGAAACTAGGAGACATATCATGTCACAGTCACTTGTTCAAACACTTTTCGTGGGCATGAGTACTTGTATAACTTTGTTATAGTTAATAATACTATTAACAACAACTCTCTGTCATCAGGCACTTGCTCTACTATCTTAGAAAGATAAGAGAGTTTAGAGGGGTGGCATTAAGCTGGCAGGCTTATTATATGTGCTAAGCACTAATAGAGGTTGTCTAGGCTAACTAAAGTGTGATGGTCCAATAGTTAAAGACAACTGCTTGTCTTTGAGCTTACACAAGGAATTCCAAGTTATTGTTAATCTTGTCTTTGAATAAGTGGAGAAAATGATTCTCAAGAAAAAGATAATGTTCTTTAGACATGTGATTGTCTTCTCCTGTCCAACAGATAATATGAGATAGATTTCAAAAGAGGACTCTATATGCCATAAGTCCTTGGTATGTTATAGAGACAGAAGAATGATAAAAGCTTTGAGACAAATCCAGTGCTTTATCAGACTAAGTATGATACTATGGATCTAGCAGAGTTTGTAATATGTAAGCTAGAAGGTAGCCAAATGCTGGGTGTAGTACAGAGATCAAGTTGTATACAAAGTGAACAAGCTGAGCTTTTTAAAAGCTCATCTTAGCTATTTATACATACAAGCTATTTAGGATGGGACATGGATCTAGTCTGTACTTCTGAATACTAATCTACATCATAAATGTTAAGGCACCAAGATAATTGAGTCCTTAATCAAGATTAGTAGTCTATAGTCTGTACTTTATCTATATATGATAAGTATATCAAATATCTGTCCACATCATTAGCAATCCAGGAACTAATCATGATTATTGTAAGTAAGTGTTTGTGCTGAAGCATATGAATAAGTTATGTACCATAAGTATTTATGTATAAGTATGTTAATAGTAATTAAAAATGAATCATAGTCTAAGTCTGAGTAATGAGTATATTACCTGACTTCCTTCCTAGGTCACATTTGAAGCATATATTTGAATATGGTCCTAATGGGTGGAGGTAAAACCAGCTTAAAGCTGGGGATCTATTGCTAGCTACATAACTCTATATATACTATGTACTCTACATACAAGCTATATAGCAAAGGCAAGCAAGTATATATTAGGTAACTACTTAAGTGAATGTATCTAAATATAGACCATAAAATAATATTATATAAGTAAGTCATGTAAATGGTTCAGCATAATTAAGTAAGAAAAAGAAAGAGAAAAGAAAATTTTATGTTTAAGTTATGACATCACCCTATTTTTAAGAGGATTATCTATAATTTTAATTTATTATCTTTAAGTCCTTTTATTTTGCTATCTGTCTAGTCAAAAAGCATGGGTTTTCAAGAAATATTGTTATGTATAATCTTATGAAAGTATATTTGTGAAATATTAACATATTAAGGGGCAGAGAGGTGTTTCCTATAGAACTCATCAATATATTCCCAAAATTTTGATAGGTTCCCAATAGGTTTCCAAGTTCTTTCTTTAATAGGATATTCCTTCCAATATACCAAATACTTTAACTTTCTAGAATACATCTTTGAGTCTATAATTTCTTCAAATTCATATTTCTCAATGTTATTGATAATGTCCAATAGAGAAGAAACATCTGTCTTCTAAGGTATAGATAAAGATTTTACATATAAATATAAAAGTGCTTTATTAAAAACAAAATAAATCTGTTTGTATTATGCTAGTAATTTTAATCAATATAATGTGCTATTGATCACTTTCTTAGGGTCCAAGAATCCAGATATGGCAGGATTGTCTTTAGGGATAAAAGTGACACTATGCAACCACTTGTGATCCCAGCCACCTGTCATATCAGTATCAAGGCCAAACTATCAGACCTATAGGAAGTCCATTCACTTAGGCTTGAAGGAATAGTCATGGTGGTAAACCATGTAGTTAAAAATGCCTACAATATACATGTATTAGAATAAATGTGCTAGGTGGCCAGGGATACTGTTTTCTTGTGAAAGGACCATAATATCAGCTTAGGTTTGGGTGTTCATCAAGTCTTGCTGCTATCACATGTTATAAGTAGTGTAGTTCATATGGAGCACACTGTATTGGAACAGCTAGTTATTGATAATGGTGATATTGTCATGGTCCTTATTTGTGAAATCTTGTTCATCATTATTATAAGCAAGTCTGAGCATGTATGCTAGGAGATGGTCCTGAAGACAAGGCAAGAAATCCTGTCATACTAAATTAAGTAGTTCATACATGATAGCAACAATCATTACTTACCTTGAGCATGGGGTCTTTAGAGTAGTTGTGAATCCAATACCAAATACTGAAGTGCTTCCTCATTGAGACAGCAATATGATAGTGACTATTTTACTTTTGAAATCCTTTAAAAAAAAGATTTTAAAAGTTAAATTATATAAATAGTTGCCACCAGCATTGGTGAAAGAAAAGTAAAAAAAAAAAAACTCCTTTAAAATGGAGTTTATAAAAAAGGAGTAATTTGGCCTTCTTGCATTTGTCTCTATGTGCATGTGCTTATTCATACCTATAATGTTTGTTGGACTGCTTTACAACTTTGCAAAGAAGGCATTCACAAGTGTCATGTCTTGTGAGCTATAGAACAAAACTATTCTTGTTAGTATAGTCATATTGATATTTAATGATCTTATGTATAAGCTTGCCCTATATAAAAGATAATTAGTTTTATTCTTGCAAAGAAAGAGAATAACTTACTACTTGAATACTATATAAGTCCATTATTTTAAAGCATAGGATCATATATATGTAGTCCCTAAGGGAGTGATACTTGTATGTGACTAGGTTGAATACTTTTTGCACCCTTTCAGAACCAAAAAGCTTTGGGCTGGTCTTTGTTTTTTGTGATAAGAGACTTTTGGACTAGTGCAGCCTTATGTCTTCTTCATATGGCTATAAGAGAGTTCTTTGGTATTATAAGTAATACAGGTCTTTTTGATGAACCAACTCATTGTGGTGCTAAGTATGATTATTGCAGTGCTAAAGAGTTCAAGGGTAGTGTCCATGTGTAGGTAAAGCTTGGTGTAGGCATACTATATTGCAAGGTCAAAGAGGAGGTTGGCAATGACAGTGTCATAGGGTGCAGGCAAAAGGCCTTCAAATATAGGTGTAGCATACTGTGAAATCAAGATTAGTAGCTAATCCTTGGGTCAGGGTTAGTACAGACCTGTAAGAGGTCTTCAAAGTCCTACACTACAAGCTTTCATATAAAAGAAGTATTTTTAATATGGAGCTGTTATATCATACCATGATCAAAGGTGGAAATTGCACAATAGTTGTAATGTAGGTGTCATAAGAATTGTTTATATCATGTAAAAGATGAGGAAAGCTTGCCATTGATTCAGCTTTTAAATAGCATTATCTACTACTACTTAGAGTAGTTGCATCAAATGAGTGAAGGTTAACTTTCATATACTAAGCTTGAGCTTATGCAGGAGATTGACAACAAATATTATATGAAAATTAAATCTAAACCATCTTAGTTTCATGGAGAAGCATTAAGTCCAGAATATTTCCCTGAAAGACACAAAATATCAAGGTTGTTTAGCAAATGATAAGTACACATATACATAATGAAAATTATCTTTATAGTAGATTCTTTTGGGACCATTGATATCTGTGACTTTTTTCTTGGATGACTCTTTGTTTTCTCCCGTTCTTTCCAAGCACACTTCTGCTAAAAGGTAATGTCTTGTATGTTTTAATAGGCTTGGCATTTTTATTTTTATTAGTGCGCCTTGAGACTGCATTGGTTATTGAAGCTTCAAAGACAGGTGATGCAATACAGAGCTATTACAAGGAGGAAAAATAGCAAAAATATTAGAGCTTTTATGCTTATTAAGGGCATATGAGCCTCCTTGAGCAAAGAAAGTAAAAAGATGAGTGACTTTGCAAAAAAAAATCTGAGCCTGTCATATGACCACTTAATGCATCATAACTGTATCATTTCATCACCACTTTTATTTTCTCTCACACTCTTATCTAGCCATGCCCTATTGACTCTCTCCCTCCAATGATTCTAACTCAGACCAGGAATCTTCCAGGCTTCTTTCAAATCACAACAAAATAATAGCAAAACTTGCCATAGAAGATGCATGCTGCATACCAAAAAGCATAGCACAATACAAGGACAAGAAGTCTAAAAAGGATGCTATGAAGTGAGTTATATTTTCTTCTATTCTTATCAACTAACTCCTTTCATTCTTGACAGGCATGATAATCAAGATGTCTATAAAAGCACTGCATACTGGATTCTTCAAGGGAACAATCTCTATGAAGCTTTGTATGACATCTTCCACATTAGCATGTATATAGAATATGGGCACCATATGACATCAGATACAAAGTTGGGCAATCATTCTAATACTAGACACTCTTCTGAAGATCTTCATATATGAGCTTATGACTGCTAATTGCACTGACTATCCCTTAATTATTGGATATATCAAGGATTATTGGATAGATCAAGGGAACAAAAGAAGATATATCTTAAGATTTTCAAACAGATTATCAACCTCATCCCTGGCTTTCATGCTAAGGCTAAGTCTGAAGGTAATAAGGATTCATTTTAGTCGCTGCTTAACATGGTAGGTATATTATATATGCTGTAATTACCTCTTATTAGATAATTAAAAGTAGCACAAATGCTTGTACTGTTGATACAATACACATAAAGAAGTTTGTTGCTAAGTATGCACCACTTGATTTAGTCATATAGCCAATGGAACTGGCACTCATACTGAACAACAAGTGTGATTGTGGCTTTTCACATCAAATGCTTGTGCATTTTTTATGCCCTAACAAGTACCTTGCAATATTTGACAAGGACCCAATAGGGTATCTTTATTTTTCTCACTTATGTGATGATTACTGACTTTCTTTGACTTTCTTTTTCTTTTTCTATAGCATCTAGAACAAGCTCAAGGATAACAAGATCAAGGTCATTGCCAAGCATTGGTCTACCTTCTTATATAAAGATTACTAATATGACCTTAGCAACTATAAGAAAGGCTTGTTTCATGGCCATTTTCTTCTCTATGTAAGCTTTCATTCATGCTATCACCAATGTGGTGACACTCTATTATTGCATAGATATAAAAAGCCATATAAATAGGACCCTCAGCTGCAAAATCAGTGCTAGGTGCCATAATAATATACACCAAGAGTGGCAACACAAAATTGTACAGCATCTATATGGTAATGCCTTAAACTATTACATATGCCACTTGCTAGGTACATCATTGATTAATATGTTTATGTACATGCTAACTAGTTTACAGGCATACTTTGCTATTAGCTTCATTGATATGTGGAGCCTAAATGATAGAATATTTAATTATCTTATATTCTACAGCAGAATCATCAATCTTTTTGAGAAGTATTAGGCTGATAAGTAGACAAAAGAGACTCTTGCTTGATAGAACAAGTTCCTTTCTATTTTTTCTTCCCATTGCATGCCATAACCTAATTTCACATAGAATGGTCTTTAGGCATGAATCAGGGCTTGTGGCGACCAATCCTAAAGGCAAAAACAATACCAATAATACTGACAGTGAGTAGGAAGCCCTTTACATACTTATCAACACCAGGCTGAAGAAAATGAAGTATTCTATCTTCATATCTGATTCCTGTCTACTAATACATTGCATCAATATCTACAGTACAACCTACTGATCCAAATATTGGCGCACAAACTCCTGCCATGCCTTCACCTTTATTGGGTCCAGTACCTCTAGCCAACAATCAAATAACCTCTTATTGCCATTGATTTCGAATTCCTATGCTACCCTTGGAGGTGGCACCAACACTATTGCTACTCTTAATTACAGTGACTGTACTTTAACAACTAGCTCATTGAGCCCTCTAGCTCTCACTCTAACTATCATCCAGCTTATGTATCATGGTAAAGGTATCCGAGGCCTGCCATTATATATTGTGGATATGAACTAGAACATACACCTTGATAAGCCCATTGCTAGCTTATCCAAGAGGTCCACACATAACAACAATAATAATGACAATGAAAACAATAATAATAACAGTGCTGTGCTTCAATCATGTAGATGCAAGTGGCTAGGGTACAACAATGACAATGACAGTGGTAGCAGTGGCAGTAATGGTAATAGCAATATCATACTATAATTGTGCAAGCATATAGCTATGTACACAAACTATGACATCAATAGTAGCCATACCTTAAGAGTACACACAGCTAAAAAAAACACTGGCACTATATTAACTTCTAAAGGGAAAGGGAGGTCCTAAATAATACTAACTGTTGCTGTTATGGCCCTTTATCTCTAGAACTCTGCCTCATTCTTCTTATCTTTAACTCTATCCTCTTATGTCCTGGGTCTGTCTTTTGTGCTTTATGCTTTGTAGTGTTCCATGGTACTCTCAATCCTATGTTTCCATGGCCCTTACTGATAGATACTTACTAATAGCATTTAAGTTCAATATATACTTGTCTTTCAATGGCCGCGTTTATATAGTCTGACTATATAATATAAGCTCATAATTTGGTTGGGCACAATGCAATGCCCAGTAAGCATTGCCAAACAATATATTCTTGCTTATTGATAAAGAGCTATATATTCATGCTCAATCTTAAGTAGAATATATTTATACTTAGTCTTAAGCAGAATATAAATTCCTTAAGGCTTGGGGAGAATATATTCTGCTTCAGGCTAAGTGCAAATATATTCTCTCTAAGCCTTAAGGAGATTATATTTTCCCTAAGCCTTGTGAAATTTGCAAAAATTATAAAGATTATAATTTTTTCTAGTCCCTTATATAATTATATATTAACTCCCTCCCAATTGGAGGTCTTGAGGAGGTTACAAGGTATATAATTAAATACATAAGTATATATGGTTTGTGCAATTTTGCTAATAATTATGTATGCTCTTATTATATGTGCTTTTTTCTCTTCTATTGTGTATGCTCCTATTATATGTAATTCTATTATGTGTGCTCCTGTGCTCCTATTACATGTGCTCTTATTATGTGTGCTTATATTGTGTATGCTCCTATTGCATATGCTTCTATTGTGTATACTCTTATTATATATGTTTCCATTATATATGCTCTTATTATGTGTGCTCCTATTATATGTGCTCCTGTTATATGTGCTCTTATTGTGTGTGCTTCTATCATGGTTATTATACTCTTTTTATAGGTTATTAGACATTTTGATCTAACTTGAGTAATATTCTTAGAGTTTTCCACTACTGTAAAAGACATATACATAGAATGCATGGATTTAGCAGGTATTGAGTTGAAAATATAAGGTACATTAATGATTAGAGTCAGACTATTTTGCCTTATGCTTCATAGATTTTGTTATATTTTGTTAGGTTCCCTTTTTTGGACTTTTAGTATAGAAAATGCTTTTATTAGGAGAAGAGAAATTAATAATTTGGCCAATAAAGTAATTGTTTTAACCTCATGCTTTAGGTTATCATGTGGTTTTCATATATTGCCATGTGAGATACTGCCCTTTCATTCTTTTTGGATCTATTAGAGCATTATAATCCAAATAGTCTAGGGAATCCTTCTTAGTGCATTAGTATATATAATAAGCCTCTGGCTTAACAATATCCTACTCTTTCCCATTCTCTTTCCATATATATACTTAAGCATAATTGACCAGGTTATTTAATGCATACATATTTATCCTATACAAGTTAGACACACATCCTACTATAGCACATAAAAACACACTTAATGTATACATACCTCTCATATACCCCACACTCCTTGGTTGGCAAGAAAGCAAAAGTACTCAAGTACTATACCCTCTACTTGTTTTTTGGACTATTTTTTCTTGCTATACTATTCAGGGTATGTCTACCAAACCAGGAAATTAACTAGTTATTGTTCATTAAACTATTAAGTGTCCTTATTTAATACTCTCATCACATTGTATACTCATAAATGAACTCATTACCAAATATAGTTGTGGTTGTTGTAGTACACAGATAAGGCACTCTTACATGTTCATTGATAATATGCTCATACTTAACTAATAAGTACACTCATTGTAAGAATCCTTTATTATATATCTCTACACATTTTTTTTAAAGTTATGTGTTGCTGTTTAGCTAAGAGTTGAAGTTGCTATTTGTCTATGTACAACACTAACTAATTCAGATATTGATCCCCTTTCTTAAATGGCACTTATTCTAGGAGATGTTCCATATTGACTCTTGATTAGGTGTACACATCTTACATCATTATCACCTACTTGTACAGCATACTATTCACTACCAAAACTATTTTTTTGGTACTATTTATTTGTGATCGATAAAATTTTAGTGTATCTTGCAAATACTTCCTGCTCTACAAATAATAATTATATGTTATGCTCATACCTATAGAATGTTATTAGCAAATCTGTCTTAGTTTGATACTTAAGATAACTACCACATATATGTTGAGCGCAGTGACAACGAAGCGACTGGCACAGAGAGAGTGCCTGTTACGAAACGCTTTACCTATGCTTACTTACTTTTCTCACCCTCTTGATAAGGACTCGTAGGACCTTTCTCCCGACCATACCTCGCGTTCCTGTTCCACTGATACTTGGTCCGTGCATCTGCTTGTACATATTTATACATACTGTGGTGCAGTGTGGAGGCCCTAGGCTATCCACTTCTGTCCAATCTAAGAACTGCTGTTCACACAGTCTTCTCTGATTCTAAGACATTAGTCTGATCAGTCCCGATCCTCCTCTTCAATTCTCCCGCGTTATTTGTGGCCTAGGATCCTCTCATCTCGAACAGCCGTTCGTGACATCTGGATAGCCTCTCTTCACAAATCCTACTCCACCTTTTTCTCTGCAGCAAAACACCAGCTAGTTACATACGGCGCTAGGCAGTCCCAAAAGACAAGCGTCCGTTGACCGTAATAGTTACTATACACTTCGAGCGAACGATTGGACGATTCTACTTTAGTGTGGGTCGTTTCAGGTTGTAGAATACTTCTATCTGGTAATCAACCCAGTGGAGGTACGACCAAAACAATTGCACTCGATGTTACGTACGGTACTATACCAGAAGCAGAAAATACTATACCCGGCTAGGAAGAGCTGCTGTTGCCTTGACCCTCGAACCTTGATCAGGTCGAGACTAGTGCGGGCTCTTTGATCCAACAAGACGACTTCCCAAGGTTCAGGAAGAAGCGTAGGGCGAGTTCCACACAGAACCGACTACTTGAAACACTCTGACACATACGTCCATTTCGGACAACCTATCAGAAGAACATCCAAGGGAAACTGGGTTTACGTAGGAGGACAGAATAGCGGAAGAACAGTTGACGCCCCGCTAGTACCCTGGGAAGACAGGAAAGCACCTCTCAGAACCATCGATTTCCCCACTCGAACAAGACCCGTCCTATCACCAGTCGACATCCCCAAAGAAGACATCGGAGAAACCCCAATTCCCGCAGGAGTATTAACCCCGGTCGACGAAGAAGACCCGGAACCTATAGCAGGACCGAGTCAACCAAACCCAAACCCGAATCCACAACCGAACCCTTTACCAGCCGCAGAAACCACAGATGACGAAGACGAAATGTCGGACAAAGGAAACAAGCTGAAAGATTTCGACGGAACGAGGTCGAAATATAGAGAATGGATCTACGAATGTCACATGTACATTCTCACCAACCTGACCAAGTATGACTCCGACAAGGACAAAACCCTAATGGTGCTATCATACATGAGGGAAGGAACGGCATCACTCTTCGCCCAGAAATACTACTTCGACAGGGAACTTCGAGAATACAAAGCAACGGAAACAAAGAAAACATGGGGAACGTTCAAAAGTTTCTTGAAGGAACTAGCTGACGCATTCAAAGATGAAAGTCTCGAACAAAAGGCGAGACAAAAATTATTCATGATGAGAATGGGAAAACGCTCAGCAGACGAATTCATTATGGACTACCTCATGACGGCAGGAGAAAGCGGATTCGATCTCGAGTCCACCGTCGACTACTTCCGTCGCGCCATACATCCGGAAATTCTCAAGCAGATATACAGACTCCCTGACATGCCGACAACCATGGACGATTGGGTAAAATACACCCGAAGGTTCGACAACCAATGGAGGGAGCTACAGAGTATAAAAAGCTCGGTACCCTCCACTGCTGTTCGATCCAACAACCCCTTCCGCTACAACTCTTCCAACGCTCCATCCTCCATGAATAATTCTGTTGTCCCTATGGCCATGGATACGGTCCGAATGACCCTCACCGACGAAGAGCGCAACCGCCTCAGAATGGAGGGTGGGTGCTTTTACTGTCGCCAGAAAGGACATATGGCCAACCAATGCCCTGTCAGGGGTTCGTCTAGGGTATATGAAGGGTCAGCTAGATATGTTCAACAGAGTAGTGGAATGATGGGGAACCGCTCGACTCAGACCGGCGGCAGGATGGGAGGCAGAGGAGGCGGCTATGGCCGAACGTTCTCAACAGGAACTTCAAACGGTACTCAGAGAAGCGCTACGACGCAAGGTGGAGGCGTGGTGACAATTAACCCGTTCCAAGCCAGACTCGCAGCTCGCCAGGCCCACGCACCCGGACCGGATGCGCCTGTACGTGAGAAGGAGCATGAGATTAGCCGAGAAGAGATCCAAAGGGTTATCGGGAAGATGAGGTGGGACGAACAGGAGGCACTCCTTCAGGAGTTAAGCGAGATGAGCAAGCAGAAAGAATCGGATTTTTAAATAGGCCTACAGCCCCGGTGTACTGTAGACCTACCCCAGACCCTCTTGTAAAAACATTCATACGGCTCACCAAATCCAATCAGAAATCGTCTATGAGGATAAACGTGCATCTAAAACACAGAGAGGGAACCACCGAAGCCCGGGTATTGATCGATTCGGGAGCAGAAGGACTCTTCATCGACAAACAATTCTGCCTAAATAACAACATACCAACGCAGAAAATCGACAGGCCTATCCCTGTGTTTAACGTAGATGGAACAGCCAACGACGGAGGAAAAATCACCGACAAAGCCCGCGTGCTCATGAGAATAACAAACGAAGAAGGCGATTATCATGACGAACAATACGAGCTACTAGCCGCTAACCTGGGAGGCGAAAATGTGATCCTAGGAACGGACTAGCTGTATGAACACAACCGCAAATCAACTGGGTAAAAAACAGCCTTACGTTTTCAAACTGCGCCACCACGTGTCTAGTCAGCCGACCTAAGTTTACTATACAAGCACTAATGCCTACCAAGCAAAGAAGAAACAGAACGATTGGGTATTCCAAAATAGAAGACAACTTAGAAGAAGACGAAATCGAAGATACCTTCTTTTCCGAATTCTATGAGGAATGGTATTATCAAAACCCACTAGAAGTACACCCCTTCGAAGCAATTCATATCGGTTCCATCGGAAACAAGTCACAACAGCTGGCAGAAAAGGTGAACAAGGCAAAAACGGAACGACCTATCGAGGAAATAGTTCCGGCATACGTTCTTAAACGGTTCGCCAAAATCTTCAGCCAAGAAGCTTCACAACGACTCCCAGAGCACTCACAATGGGACCATAAAATCAATATGAAACCAGGATGGGAACCAACAGGATGTAAATTATACCCGCTAACGGAAGAAGAAGAAGATCAGCTACACGAGATGCTGCAAGAGCATCTAAAGCGAGGAACCATTAGGATATCTAAATCCCTGCAAGCATCACCCTTTTTCTTCGTAAAAAAGAAGGAAGGAAGCTTACGACCGGTTCAAGATTATCGAAGACTGAATGAATGGACAATAAAAAACAAATACCCACTACCCCTAATTGATGACATAATAAGAACCATCGCCAAGTCAAAGGCAAGGATCTTTTCTAAATTTGACGTGAAATGGGGGTACAACAACATCCGCATAGCGAAAGGCGACGAATGGAAAACAGCCTTCATGACTAAATTCGGCTTGTTCGAATGCCTCGTAATGTTCTTCGGCCTCTGCAACTCACCCACAACCTTCCAAACAATGATGAACATCATCTTCCATGACCTCATTGTAGCACAGGTCCTGGCAGTCTACATGGATGACATTTTGGTATTCACGAAAACCATCGAAGAACACCGATGTGTGACGACCCAAGTTATGCAAATACTCTTGGATAACGACTTGTTCCTGAAACCCTCCAAGTGCACCTTCGAAACGGACACGGTTGAATACCTCGGATTCATCATCTCCACGGACAATATATCTATGGACCCCATTAAGATTGATGGAATTGCCGCCTGGCCAACTCCGAAGAACCTAAAGGAAGTACAATCCTTCCTGGGCTTTGGAAACTTCTATCGCAGGTTCATCAAAGACTTCGCCACTACGGCCCGACCCCTTAACAACCTGACGAAAAAAGACGTCCCATTCGAATGGACCCCCGAAAGAAACAAAGCATTTGAACAACTAAAGCGCTGTTTCACGTCCACTCCCGTCCTTGTCTATCCGGACGGTAATCACCCATTCCGTCTTGAGACTGATGCATCAGACTTCACTTCAGGAGCCATCCTGTCACAAGAAACGCCCCATGACGGGTGGCACCCCGTCGCTTACTTATCCAAATCGTTCAATACGGCCGAATGGAATTACGATATCTTCGATAAAGAACTACTTGCTGTCATACACGCCCTTGATCACTGGCGCGTATACCTTGAAGGTGCACGACACCCGTTCGAGATCTGGTCCGATCACAAGAACCTCTTGTACTTCTCTACCGCAAGAACTCTCTCCTGCCACCAAGCACGTTAGTCACTCTTCCTCTCCCGCTTCGATTTCACCCTCATCCACAAGCCGGGCATTACCCACCGGCCCGATGCTCTGTCCAGGCGTCCAGACCTAAAAGAGGGGGTAAAATTTGACAACGAAAATCAGGTACTACTACAACCTCAAATGTTCGTCAAAAGTGCAACGGGACGAGGAACAGTCGAAATGCTCAACAGCCAGCTAAGACGAAAGTTAAAAAAAGTCACAGCCAAAGATAAAGAAGTAACAGACGCAATAGAACTTATCAAAGCATCCGGACCCAGAGCACTCTCAAAAGGCCTACAAGAATGGAATTACGAAGACGATCTCATCTGGCACAGAGGAAAAATATACGTTCCACCAGTCGATAAACTTAAAAGACAAATTACAAAAATGTACCATGATTCACCAGCAGCAGGACACCTAGGAAGATGGAAGACCTATGTCCTAGTGTCAGACAACTTCTGGTGGCCAGGAATGTCCACATTCATAAAAGAATACGTAACAGGATGTGCAACGTGTCAATATACCAAAAATATCACACATCTCACACGTACTCCGCTCATTCCTAACGAAATACCAGAAGGACCCTGGCAGACAGTCACAATGGACTTCATTACGGATCTTCCACAAGTCGGATCATATAACGCAATACACGTAACAGTGGACAGAAGCACTAAAGGAGTCATCTACACCCCGTGCGACAAAACCATAGATACTGAAGGAACGGCCGATCTCTACATGAAAAATGTCTGGAAACGATTTGGACTCCCACAGAAGATCATCTCCGGCAGAGGCCCACAATTTGCCGCTCGATTTACAAGAGAACTATGGAAAAAACTAGGGGTCACAACAGCGCTATCAACCGCCTATCATCCCGAAACAGACGGCGAAACAGAAAGAGTAAATCAAGAATTAGAACAATACCTGCGAGCATTCTGCAATTACGAACAAACGAACTGGCCTGAGCTACTACCATATGCCGAATTTGCACACAACATAAGGGAACATTCGGCCACACACCAATCACCATTTGAACTCATGTACGGCTATAACCCAACCTTCGTACCCCAAATCACACCAAGGTCTGACATCCCCGGAGTGGAACTAAGGCTGGAAAGGCTAGAACAGCTTCGAAAAGAAACGAAAGCCAGCTTGGAAGTTGCGGCAGAATTAATGAAGAGAAAAACCACCGAGAACGAAGTCAAACTAGAAGTAGGACAGAAAGTTTGGCTCTCAGGAAAAAACATTACCACTACACACCCAAAGGACAAATTAGCCCCTAAGCTACACGGACCATTCCAAATAGAAGAGAAGCTAGGGCCAATTACGTATCGATTGAAGCTCCCGCCAACATGGAAAATACACTCCGTGTTCCACGCCTCTCTACTTACACCATACAAAGAAACAATAGCTCACGGCCCCAACTTCGAACAGCCACCACCTGACCTAATCGAAGGACAAGAAGAATACGAAGTGGAAGACATCCTCGATAAGAGGAAACGAGGACGGGGGTACCAATACTTGGTACACTGGAAAGGGTACCCAAGTTCGGCGGACGAATGGATCACAAGGGCAAACTTAGGGAATGCCAAAGAACTTTTGGAGGCATTTGACCAAAGACGCAACGCTTTACCTTTACGAGAGGCCCTTGTAAACATGGAACTACTGAAGCACGAAACGTATAAAAACCCAAATTCGATCCTTGTAATCCCTCCAACACTTCGACCACTCCTTTCCAATCTAACCCCGAGAAAACATGTCCTCTAACGAATCCCTCTACCTCTCCTCTGTTGACAACACCCTTGTCGACGAACAAACGCCGACCCCTGACTACTCCCCCACGGTGTCAGAAGTAGGAGACTTTGAGGCCTGATACGTCAGGGAGGAAACTCGCATGCTCAGCATGAGAGAGCAGGAAGATCAAATGGAGGAAGTAGAGAGGAGGTATCAAGCTCTAGTCGACGCTAACGCAGCAGAAGAAGCAGCCGCGGCACAAACCCCTGGGTCCCCCGTACTCAACGTCATAGACATATCCACATCCCCTTCATCCTCCCCCTCACCACCCCCTTTGATCCGTGAAGCTAACGAAGGCGTTGTCTTCCCGGATAGGGAAACCTACCTCACAACCCCCGTCGTGTATATGATGGGACTTATCGAAGGGACACCCAACCCAGAGTTTGTGTCAGGGCCGACTAGACCGGAGATTCAGAGGGCGTTGGAGATCTTGGAAGAGGAGAGAAGTTTTGTTCGACACGCACAGCGAGCCTTGCAGATCCGAAAAGGCACGATCATTGCCCGTATCAATGCTAGAGAGCGAAAACTCATGGGCTTGCAAACCCTTCAAGACTCCTTTCACCCTGCTGACGACCCTACTCCCTCCACCGAATATCATATGCCTACCACGGCTGTGGTATCTCGTGCCTCGTCTTCGGCCTCAAATGGCGCTCCGCTTCGCACAATGCTGGGAACTTACCCCACGAGAACTGACAGGGAACGAGATGTATATCGGTTCGCACAAGTCTCCCCCCGCTATCACATCATCCCCGCGCGTCTCGGTCTTATCCGCTCTTCAACGCGAACCCGACCTCCCCTCCCTTTCACTGAACACGACTCTAGCGAGTCCGACACCGCGCCCGTTGTACTCCGCCCTCGTGGAGCTTAGAGAGCGACAGATACCCTCGTCCGGTATGACGTAAAACTGCCGGGGCAGACGACGGTTCGAATCCGTTGGGCCGGTACCCACTGCCATGATGAGACGAGGGACTCAGCTCTAGAACGCAGTCCCCGCATGGTTGGTAACGAGGTGGGGTATCGTGACGTCCGTACTCAAGGGCTATCGCGTCATGACTTGACTATGGGCAGCGAGAATCTGTGCCCTAAGTATTATTTTGTATGACTCAGATTGCACGCATTGCTTATGTTTTTCCTCGACTATTACTTACCGTCTCTGGCACTGACGGCCTAGAGGGGGGGGGTAATGTTATGAAACACTTTATCTATGCTTACTTACTTTTCTCACCCTCTTGATAAGGACTCGTAGGACCTTTCTCCTGACCATACCTCGCGTTCCTGTGTTGAGCGCAGTGACAATGAAGCGACTGGCACAGAGAGAGTGCCAAAAAGAAGCTCTATAACGACAGGACTGTGGTCCAGAGGGTAAGAGTCTAAGTAGATACAAAGAACAGAGGGGAGCGCACCTGTGGTCCAGAGGGTAAGAGTCTGAGGAAAGAATCGCCCTCGGACCACGGGTATTTAAGCTACACAGAACAATAAGAAACGAAATAGGAAGGTATGACATCAACGGGTCATTACATGTGAAACATCTTACAAAGCGGTCAAAAGCTCCACCTGGAGCTCGGTCCGGAGTGTCAATGACATCACACCGGACCGCCTCAGCCGGCTAACCCGGTGAAACAACTGAAACAAGGTGAGACAAGGTGAAAACAAGGTGAGACAGTCCAAATGGAGAAAGAAAGCAATATACCCGCTCTGGGAACGGCTGTAGGGCCGCTCCCGGCTGTAGAGGCGAGTAATCAATGAGTCCCAAAGGGGGCACCCATGTGGCATCCATGCCACATCAACCAGAACGGCCAAAAACAACACACCCTCCTGATTGCACACCTCTACAGCGTCCAAAACACCCTCCTAATGCGGCACATCCTCTAGTCCCATCAGGCCGCAGCAAATCTTCACCTTCTCAGGTGGAACAGCCTTCGTCAGGATGTCTGCAGCGTTGTCCGCAGTAGGAACGTAGGCTGGCGCAATCACACCAGCCTCTACCTGGTCCCTGAGCCAAAAGAATCGAAGATCGAGATGCTTCATCCGCCCATGGTGCTCTGGATTCTTGCTAACTGCAACAGCCGACTGGTTATCGACACGGAGAATTGATGGCTCGGACAGGGAGTAGCCAAGTTCAGTGAGCAAATTCCGCATCCAGACGATCTCCCGGCCCGCATCAACGGCAGCAATGAATTCCGCCTCTGTGGTCGACTGTGCAACCAGTCCCTGGAGCTTGGAGCTCCAGCTGATCGCTCCAGAGCCAATGCGCAACACATATCCACTGGTGGACCGTCCGTTGTCTGGGTTGCCTGCATGATCAGCATCACAGAACGAGGTGAAGAGCTCCTTGGAGTCGGTGGGACCATAGACGAGTCGATAATCCAGGGTGCCTCTCAGATAGCAAAACAAATGCTTCACAGCCTTCCAGTGCGCAATCCCAGGATTCGAGTTGAAACGGCATAGGACAGAGACCGTGTGGGCGATGTCAGGACGAGTGGCGAGTGCAAGGAACAGCAGGGAACCGACAGCAGAGATGTAGGGAACCTTCTTCATATACTCCTTGTCCTCAGTCGATACAGGAGCCATGGAGACAGAGAGATTGGTGCCAGGGACCATGGGGGTCTTCACAGGGGTCGAGTCGGCCTGTCCGTAACGCTCCAGCATGTCTAGGATGTATTGGCGCTGGGAGAGCATCAGGCGACGATTAGGGCGATCCCTGGCAATCTCTATCCCAAGAAGAGCGGTGGTGGGCCCCAAATCGCGAAGCTTGAACGACCTAGAGAGCTCAACGACAAGATGATCGAGCAGGGACAAGGAATTCGACGCAAAAGTGCAGTCATCCACAAAGACAGGCAGAATGACCTTGACCTGATCCTTGGTGTAGACATAGATGCTGTTGTCAGAGTAGATCGCCTTGAATCCCATGCGCTCCAATACCGCCTTGAGCTTCTTGTACCACAGCCGACTCGCCTGCTTCAGCCCATACAAGCCCTTCATCAAGCGGCACACCATCTCAGGTCCTCCCTGCTCAAATCCTTCAGGCTGCTCCATGTACACCACAGTGTCCAGATCGCCATTGATGAACGCATGGGAGATGTCGACAGAGCGCAGGTGAAAGTCCTCGAGGGCAGAGAGAGCAAGGATGGCGCGAACGGCTGCAAACTTGGCTGTGGGGGCGAATGTCTCGAAGTAATCAAACCCAGGGCGCTGACTGAAGCCCTTGGCGACGAGACGAGCCTTGTAGCGCTCGACAGAGCCATCCGTGTTGTGCTTCACCTTGAAAACCCAACGAGAACCAATTGCCTTGCAGCCCTTAGGGAGTGGAACAATGTCCCAGGTGCGATTCCGAGCATGAGCCTCCATCTCTTCCTCTGCCGCCTTCTGCCACTGATCTGCATCAGGACGCTTCATTGCCTGACGATATGTCGAGGGCTCAGCCTTTTCAGCACCAGAGGTGAACAGGGCACGCTCGACTTCAGCCAGAAATGCGTCCTCAACAATGGGTTCCATCTCTGCCTCTCCAGAAGCATCAGGGGCGTCCTCAGCAGTGTCCGAATGAGCATCATTGTCTGCAGACAGTGTCCTAACCTTCCACCATTCCCCAGGAGCGCGACGAGTGCGAGTGGAGCGTCGAGTAACAGATGGGCCTGGTTCAGGGGTAGCAGAGCGATTCCTGGAGCGCGTTCTAAGAGCAGGAGGTGGCGCTGGAATGACAGGAGGGAGAGCATCAGGAGGGACAATGGCAGGAGCAAGAAGTGGAGGAGGTGCTGGGTCTGCCACAGGATGATCCTGATCGATGGGAGCATCTTCTAGATGACCAGCAGGAGGAGGAGCATCTGCTTCCCCCCCCAGAACCGGCACCGGATCCACATCTGCATCCCAAAGACTGAACAGAGATGAAGGAGGAGGGGTGGCAGACTGGGTGTTAGCATCAAAGTTGCGAGTGCCAGGGAAGAATCGCTCATCAAAGTCTGCCCTTTCCGAAATGATGACCTTCCGAGTCGCAGGATTGTAGAACTTCCATGCCTTGTAGCCCTCAGGATACCCAATAAACACGCACTTCTCCATATGCGATCCAAATCCATCCCTTTTGTCTCTTTGCACATGCACATAAGCCAAGCAGCCCCAGACCCGCAAGTGCGAAACGTCCGGCTTCTTCCCATGGACCATCTCAAATGGTGTCTTGCCCTTCAGTGTAGATGTCCAGAGTCGATTCCAGACGTGCACATAAGCGGCCAGAGCCTCGCCCCAGAAGACAAGCGGCAAATGCGATTCAGAGAGCATAGCAGTGAGGGCCTCCATGATAGTGCGATTGGCACGCTCTGCCACGCCGTTCTGCTGTGGCCGATTGCGCGCCGTGTGCCTCCTAGCAATCCCATGCTCCAAACAAAACGAGTCCCAGGCATTGGACATGTACTCTCCTCCCTTGTCATCTTGCAGAGCCAAAATGCGCTGTCCAGTCAGGTTCTCCACATAGGCCTTGTAGCGCTTGAAAGCCTCAAACGCGTCGCTCTTCAAGCGCAGGACATAGACCACCTTGAGCTTGGTGAACTCATCAATGAAGGTGATCCAGTAGCGCATTCCAGAGTGAGTTGCAACAGGGAGAGGACCGTGGAGATCAGAGTGAACGAGTTCAAGCGGTTTGGAGGTCACAGAGCCAGTGGAGGGGAAGGGGTGAGCGTGCATCTTGCCAGAGAGACAGGGCTCGCACACAGGGTCAGGCTGCATGTCCGAATCGAGCTGTAGACTAGTAACGAGTTGTTCCTTCACCATCTTCTGCACTCCAGCATGGTGGTGGTGGCAGAGACGACGATGCCACAGGGACAAGTCAAGAGGGAGAGTAGAAGCGGCACCAGCAGACTGCAAAACAACGGTGGATGTGGTCCCTTGAAGATATGCGTTGTTGGAACCATCAGGAACGATTGCCATGAACCACACTGCACCATCCCGGGAGAAATGCATCGAAGATCCTTCTATTAGCACAGAGAAGTGCTTGTGCTGAGTCAAATACAGCACAGACAGGAGATTACAACCGAGATCAGGGACATGCAGGACGTTTGAGAACTCCACAGACTGCGCCCTCTTGCCTCCAACGACCGGATTGAACACCACAGTCCCAACACCAGCAGAATAGATGACAGACGAGTCTGCAAGACGAATGGGGACGACAAAGGGACGATAGTTGCGAGGCCAGTGGCGATGGGGCGTCATATGAGAGGTCGCACCTGTGTCCGCATTCCAATCGAGGTCAGTGACGAGTGAGGGGGCTGTGGATGAAGGGGATGGAGCAGGGGAACGAAAACTTGCATTGCCTGCAAACTGCATGGGACCAGAGGCTTCAGGGGCCTGAACCGAGTGGGCCTGCTGTGGCTTGGACTTCTTCAGCTCCTCATTAATCCTCTTGAAGCACCTGTCATCAGTATGGCCAGTGGCACCACAGAAGTCACACTTGTACTGCTTCCTGGGTGGCCTAGAACGTCTGTAGGAGGTGGAGGAAGAGGAGGGAGAGGAAGGAAAGGATGCCACAAGGGCCTGTGCAGAGTCTGTGGGATCAGAACGACGCGCACGGTTCAAATCCTCGCGCCTGAACGCGTCCTCGAGCTTGGAGCGAGACAAGACGTCCATGAGACTGAGGGAGGAGCAGAAGGTGTCAAACTCGGAGGGGAGAGACCACAAGAGGGCCATGCAAGTGAGCTCCTCATCCTGCTTCTTGAGATCGAAGCCAGAGTCGCGGAAGTTCTTCAGGACGCGCATAGACTCGTCCACACGATGAATGAGGGACTGGAGGGACTCATCGTTGCGCTTCTTGATCGAAAAGAGGTCCTCCATTGCGTTGAAACGTGATCCAGCAGATTTCTTGTTGAACTGCTCCTCCAGTTTGGTCCAAATGGCAATGGGGTCGTCCTCAATGCCATCCAAGACGCCTCTGAACTGGTCCTCAACTGATAGTAAGAGCGCACCAGCAGCCTTCTGAGCATTCCTCTTCCACTCTGCCACCTCCCTTGCCTCAGCAGGCTTCTCCTTTGTGCCAACAGGGGCTGTCTCATCACCAGAGACTAGAAGCCACAGGCCTTTGAGACGAAGCCAGGCCTTGATCTCCTTGGACCAGGAAGGATAGTTGCGATTATTGAGAGGGGAGACAGAAGGGAGAGCGAATGAGGGGTCAGACATGGTGTGGGACGAGTGGCACAAGGAGGGAAAGGTGTTGGAAGCGATGTGTGACGATGGGAAAGGCAGGGAAAGCAATGGGGAAGATGTGGCAGCAATGGGGTGTGGCCAGAAAGGAGTGGCACAGCAGATGGGAGACCAGAAAGCGTCGATAAAGCAATGTAGAGCAAAGTCGCTAGAGCGCAGGGCCCATAACCTGTTGAGCGCAGTGACAACGAAGCGACTGGCACAGAGGGAGTGCCCAAAAGAAGCTCTATAACGACAGGACTGTGGTCCAGAGGGAAGGTATGACATCAACGGGTCATTATATGTGAAACATCTTACAAAGCGGTCAAAAGCTCCACCTGGAGCTCGGTCCGGAGTGTCAATGACATCACACCGGACCGCCTCAGCCGGCTAACCCGGTGAAACAACTGAAACAAGGTGAGACAAGGTGAAAACAAAGTGAGACAGTCCAAAAGGAGAAAGAAAGCAATATACCCGCTCTGGGAACGGCTGTAGGGCCGCTCCCAGCTGTAGAGGCGAGTAATCAATGAGTCCCAAAGGGGGCACCCATGTGGCATGGATGCTACACCAACCAGAACGGCCACAAACAACAACAGCATCTATGTCTATGCCAAGGATCAGGTCAAGGTCATTCTGCCTGTCTTTGTGGATGACTGCACTTTTGCGTCGAATTCCTTGTCCCTGCTCGATCATCTTGTCGTTGAGCTCTCTAGGTCGTTCAAGCTTCGCGATTTGGGGCCTACCACCGCTCTTCTTGGTATAGAGATTGCGAGGGATCGCTCTAATCGTCGCCTGATGCTCTTCCAGCGCCAATACATCCTAGACATGCTGGAGCGTTACGGACAGGCCGACTCGACCCCTGTGAAGACTCCCATGGTCCCTGGCACCAATCTCTCTGTCTCCATGGCTCCTGTATCGACTGAGGACAAGGAGTACATGGAGAAGGTTCCCTACATCTCTGCTGTCGGTTCCCTGCTGTTCCTTGCACTCGCCACTCGTCCTGACATCGCCCACACGGTCTCTGTCCTATGCCGTTTCAACTCGAATCCTGGGATTGTGCACTGGAAGGCTGTGAAGCATCTGTTTCGCTATCTGAGAGGCACCCTGGATTATCGACTCGTCTATGGTCCCACCGACTCCAAGGAGCTCTTCACCTCGTTCTGTGATGCTGATCATGCAGGCAACCCAGACAACGGACGGTCCACCAGTGGATATGTGTTGCGCATTGGCTCTGGAGCGATCAGCTGGAGCTCCAAGCTCCAGGGACTGGTTGCACAGTCGACCACAGAGGCGGAATTCATTGCTGCCGTTGATGCGGGCCGGGAGATCGTCTGGATGCGGAATTTGCTCACTGAACTTGGCTACTCCCTGTCCGAGCCATCAATTCTCCGTGTCGATAACCAGTCGGCTGTTGCAGTTAGCAAGAATCCAGAGCACCATGGGCGGATGAAGCATCTCGATCTTCGATTCTTTTGGCTCAGGGACCAGGTAGAGGCTGGTGTGATTGCGCCAGCCTACGTTCCTACTGTGGACAACGCTGCGGACATCCTGACGAAGGCTGTTCCACCTGAGAAGGTGAAGATTTGCTGCGGCCTGATGGGACTAGAGGATGTGCCGCATTAGGAGGGTGTTTTGGACGCTGTAGAGGTGTGCAATCAGGAAGGTGTGTTGTTTTTGGCCGTTCTGGTTGGTGTAGCATCCATGCCACATGGGTGCCACCTTTGGGACTCATTGATTACTCGCCTCTACAGCTGGGAGCGGCCCTACAGCCGTTCCCAGAGCGGGTATATTGCTTTCTTTCTCCATTTGGACTGTCTCACTTTGTTTTCACCTTGTCTCACCTTGTTTCAGTTGTTTCACCGGGTTAGCCGGCTGAGGCGGTCCGGTGTGATGTCATTGACACTCCGGACCGACCTCCAGGTGGAGCTTTTGGCCACTCTGTAAGATGTTTCACCTGTAATGACCTGTTGATGTCATACCTTCCTTTTTCGTTTCTTATTGTTCTGTTTAGCTTAAATACCTGTGGTCCGAGGGCGATTCTTTCCTCAGACTCTTACCCTCTGGACCACAGGTGCGCTCCCTTCTGTTTTTTGTATCTACTCAGACTCTTACCCTCTGGACCACAGTCCTGTCGTTATAAAGCTTCGTTTTGGCACTCTCTCTGTCCCAGTCGCTTCTTTGTCACTGCGCTCAACATACGGAACGTCCGGCAAGACGTTTAAACTGCATTGTGGATATATCTCACAACCCGAACAATATATCAGCTGTGGTCTTGAGATCTATTCGTGCATGTGAATGGGCCAACTTGGAGAAGGAGTCAGACTCCTCCTTGCTCCTCGCGGCGCCCTTCTAGTCTAATTCTCTTCACATCCTTGCCTCGAACCCAACACTACATGTGGTATTCCCCACCATAGGCCCACGTTTGTGACAAACAAACTCTGGACACCGTAAACTGCCTCACCAGAGATGAGTCCACCATATGGGGACAATACTGTTGTTTTTGGCCGTTCTGGTTAATGTGGCATAGATGCCACATGGGTGCCCCCTTTGGGACTCATTGATTACTCGCCTCTACAGCCGGGAGCGGCCCTACAGCCGTTCCCAGAGCGGGTATATTGCTTTCTTTCTCCATTTGGACTGTCTCACTTTGTTTTCACTTGGTCTCACCTTGTTTCAGTTGTTTCACCGGGTTAGCCGGATGAGGCGGTCCGGTGTGATGTCATTGACACTCCGGACCGAGCTCCAGGTGGAGCTTTTGACCGCTTTGTAAGATGTTTCACATGTAATGACCCGTTGATGTCATACCTTCCTATTTCGTTTCTTATTGTTCTGTGTAGCTTAAATACCCGTGGTCCGAGGGCGATTATTTTCTCAGACTCTTACCCTCTGGACCACAGGTGCGCTCCCCTCTGTTCTTTGTATCTACTTAGACTCTTACCCTCTGGACCACAGTCCTGTCGTTATAGAGCTTCTTTTTGGCACTCTCTCTGTGCCAGTCGCTTCATTGTCACTGCGCTCAACAAATACTGCTTGGGATTTGGCGAGCAACCTCACTGGAGATGAGCTCACTGTATGGGGGCGATACTGCTTGGGACGACGATAGGGTAGTCTGGAGAAGTAGGCCTAAGCCTTGGTTAAGCAATCAACCTACTTGTCAGTGGGCATGCTTCGTCGTCAAGAGGAACTAACAAGTCATAAGGATAGAACGACTATCCTGGAAACACTGAGGCTTGGCCCTCGGAGAAGGAAGAAGAAGAATCTGATGACACGAATTTGGAACCCACATGCTAGAGTTTCTATTCATCCATACACCACTCGCATTCATACGCCTTTCTTGATGCTGTTCCAGAGGAGGCTGGAAGTAAGACCGCGAAGAAGTTTACCGTGGCAAAATTAATCCTTACAGATGAAGAAAAAACATCCTAGTGGCCCAGGGCTTGGAACTCCCTGCGTTATGGCTGAGAAACAAACAGCTCAACGGAGAAGGAAAACTCCTAGAGGATCAAACAACGTAAGTCAGTCTTCCTCCCAGAAAACGAAGTCATGTCCCGGAAGTTGCATCCGGAAACCAGTTTTTGAATTAAGAAAGCAAATCATATATGGAGTGGCGATGAAGCGCAAGGCGCTGTCCTACCAGGCAAATAGGACGTAGAAAGGGGGTATTGTTATGATCACGTTCTGTCGGGCCTTAACGGTGGTCTATACCGACACGATCATCACAAATATCAAGTGGTCTCACAAGGTGAGGCGTACAACAAAGGTACAGATAGTAACCTTGGTCATCCACTCCCAATGGATCACCTTATCGTTGGTCGAGTATCACGAGCCATATTGCGATGGGCATAGAATGCCGCCTTACAAACTACTCACACATCGGGCATTGAGCTCCTAGTCTTTCCTGGCCGGAAGGAGACGAACAGAGAAGCACAAGAGTAGTTGTTATTGAGAGAAACAACTTAGAGAATACCTATGGATACATATATGGTATTCTCATGCCCTACTTCCTAAAGTAGTATAAAAGGCCCATAGAGTAGGCTAAGGTTCTTCAGTCTATTCTCTTCATTCTAGTACTGTCTTCCTACAGTACTCTTCACTCTACTGCAGTCATCCTGCTGCAATCTTCATTGCTACATCACAATACATCTCTGGCTCTTGTGCTACATGTACAGTCGAGACCATCATTCCACACATCCTCTTCGAGCGACCTAGGGAAGAACCTCCTACTCTTGGAGTTACCGAACGAGCAGTTCGTAACAATAAGCACAATAGAGGTAAAAGGTGGTGATGAGAGAATATGAGCCCATACTTATTTTATGCAAGTGTAGGTGGAGGTGGGAGGTGGCACATAAGAAAGATAAGTGCACATCTGGAAAACCTGCCCTTCTTATTAAATCATAATTATTAACAATACTAATCAGTGCTAGTTATAATGTATTTTATCTAATTATCATTAATTATAATCATGATCAAATCAACAAATCAACATAATGCTGTCTATATGATTAGAGTCTTATAAAAAAGTATTTTTCTAATTATTATTAAACATATCCAAATTCCAGATTAAGTAAGTGTCATAAATAGTTTTCCCTGATATAAAGTGTATTCTCAATGTTTTATTAGTTTTTAATAGTGGTATATGGTATCTGGACTCACATTCTGAAAGCCTTATTTTTTGGGGTATTTATTAACCTACTTATAAGTAAAAGAAATAAGAGATAAATGTGGAATAAAACTAAATATGTTAAGACTGTTTAAAATGTGTTTATATATTTGAATTAACAAGCTAAGTAAGTAAGACCTTATGGCTTAGTGGTTTAAAGCATCTTGCTAGAGTGCTTATATGTATGAGGTTGTGGGTTCAACTATGGCTTAGAGTAGGTGTATTGTAAGGTACAATTTTAGATATAGATCATTAACTGATAGTCTCTATAACTGGGCTCTATTCAAAAGTTGTAGATAATCATAGTACTAGTAACTAACCTCAGTACTTGGTTAAGTATTATTTTCCAGAAAATTTGAATAAAAATTATGTGTAATTAGAGCTAATTACGCATAATTCAAGATAATTAGCCTTTATAAACTGTAGATAAAAGAGAGGGGAAGCTAAAAATCCATAATCATAATAAGCAGAAATTCTATATAATTACAGAGAATTTAAGCATAATTAAGAAAGTAATTTTTCCAGATGTATGCTCATTTTTTATAAGCATAGGCAGAAGCCAGTAGTAGGAGAGATAAGATGGGTGTGTGCTTGTCTTAAATAAGCACAAGCAAAAGTCCATAGTAGTAGTGAGAGAGATAGGATAAGTATAAGGTAGTAGCAATAGCAAAGAGGTCTATAAGCTGTACCCTGGATCGGAGGAAGAGCGTAAATGGTCAGTATTAGATATAGACAAGCTAGTCAACAAAACGAGCAGGGTTGGCATTTTGTCCCTCAGTAAACTTAGTGACTATCATTGACAATTCCTGGTGATCACGGTATTCCTCTTTAGCAAGGCATGAATCTTAGTAGCCAAATAAGGATGAGCCTTTACTAGACAACTTGTACAACCTCCAAGACATTCATGACATGGCCTAATTTGTCTTGTGTGGCACCACAGCCACCTATAGCACTATCTCTATCAATATCTCTCAAGCAGCCCCATCGCACTGCCCACCAATACAATCAAGGCCAAAGATCTAGTAACTATATTTGAATGGCTCACCAATACCTTTGTCAAGGCTATTGTAGCTCAAAGGACATCTAGGCCAGCTAATTGACCATCCTGATAGCTAGGATAAGGCAGCAATAACTGCATGTTCTGCAGCAGTCCCGAACACTTTATACATGCCTATCCTAAGATTACCAAATACATTTGGATTAGCAAATGCAAGCAGAATATCAAGGAGAAGGTTGTATTTTCACATAGGGTATTCATACCTAAAGAAATCATAGGTGGTAACCTAAAGAACTAAGTTAACAAATGGCACTACAAGAATCCAGGCTAGCTTATGATAGAATAGATAATATTTATGGTAAATACAGCACTGACTTACCCAATGATGATAGCCTCCTGTCACAATTTGCCTTCACTACTAGATATCACCCTGACTTATTAGCTTACTGATGTATAGCAAATTGTGAGCCTTAGATGTGAACTATTTGCACTCCAAATGCAGGGCACAAAGGCATATGAAATAGCACAGATAGGATATTTGGCACCTACCCCTTTACTAATCAAATGATAAGCAATGGCTAAAACTCCTGAACCCAAACCCCAGCTGACCACCCTGACCAGCAACTATCCCTAGTACTAGCCAAGAACAATGCTCTGATCTACTCATATGCCAAAGCTTAGGACACCATCTATGTACTGCCACATGAATGCAACATAGGAGCCTCAGCGAAAATACCATGAGCAAAGAAGTATGCTCCAGCCTACAAAATTATAGTGCCAATCTACAATAAGAAGGTAGTAGCCGAGGTCTATAATAGGGCAATGGCCACTCAGGTGACACTTATCTAGTGTGACCTACTCTCTCTCTCTACTGAAGTCTGTTTGCAGGTTAGGGAAGCCATGTTGGCATGCCAATCACCTACCAAAGATGCCAGCAATATTTGGACCTTCTACTAAGATGCTGATCTACCCTATGCCATCAATGGCCTTAAGCCACTGACACAACTGACTATCTCCTCCTTTGTCAATGTCCTGCATCAACTAGAAACACCTTCACCTAGCATGATCATTATTCCTAATGATATGCTAGAGGTAGCTCTAAGTGCCAAGCACAGTACCAAAACAACCTTTGGAGCAAAAAAGTGCTGGAGCTAGTTTCTGATACACAAGGAATTGTTAGTGACAACTTTAGAAATTGAAGGTGCACTAAAAAGCAATGGGGATAATAAGATTATAGCACCTAAATAGTTTTGGGGCTGCACAAAACACCAACTAAATATCCAGTTGGTTGTGTTGGGGATTTGGTCAGTAATGAGAAGGTAGTGTTGTGACTGACAACTATGTGCTTCAAGAGTCACACAGGACTTTGATAATATATAAGGGAGGACAAGGGGTATAAGTAAAGAGATGAGTATGAACGTGAATAAGGTTAAATAATGAGGATAATGAGTTTTCAGAAGTTAATAAAAGTGATTTTGATAGTTAAGACAAGTGCAAATGAGCTCTAAACTGTGCAAAAGCTGGTTTATTCCAGAGTTATATGTAGATTTTATAGTAAATAGAGCCTCTAAGTAAATTATTAAACATGAAATAAGAGTAGATATCAAATGGGCACCAAGCCCTAGCAAATAGAGAAGATAAGAAGGTAGGTGAGATGTTCATATGGGTTAGAAGGTGATAAGGTAAAATTTAATCAGCAATGGCAAAATCCTGAATGTTTGGGATCCATCACTTGAGCATAGGTAGCAGGAACAAGCATTGGTGAACCAATAAAAACAAAAAAGTAATGTATAACTAGGGTGGCCAAACAATGGTGCAAGATTGTATTTGACCAACCATGTGTAAGTTGGAAAGATAAGCAATAAGGACTGACTAGCTTATGGAGCATATTGGCTAACATGGAATACTGGCTCTGATCTTGTAAACACCTATTATAACACTCCTGTGTGGTCATAGTAAGTATATAAAGTATGGGCAAACTGACCCAAGTGCTGCCGAACATCCTTCAGTGGGTTGTGGTCCGTCGGGTAGGGACTGACCATGTCCGGTACAAGTCTATATCTTTGGTACTTATTTAGTGTTGCTCAGTATCTCTCCAAAGCTTCCTGAATACCTCCCTTGGACTCTAGCACAGATGCATGCTCATCATCTCCTCTCTACTAAAATCCTGACTATCCTTAGTCAGTGGTCAGTAGCTATGAGTCAGAGTGAACAAAAAAATAGTGTGGAAAATATGATAGTTTGGATGTGGGAAAAAGTTAGTAACAAGTGATGGCATGGAAAGAATAGCTATGGCATGGAACATGGAGTAGAGGCATAGAAAATATGGAGGTAGGGCAAGTTACATAGAAAAAGGATTGGTAATAAGTGTGGCATAGAAAAAAGTGGGTATATGGGAGAAATGTGGCAAAGGTAAATAATCAGCAAGGAGATATCATAGAAAGGACTGGGTTAGTGTGCAAGAAAGACTGGGGCTAAGTTAGCAAAGTCCTATGGTGTGGCAACTAATTAGATGAGAAAGTGGCTGAGACCTAGAGTATCCCAACTAGATGCTGGTGTGAGAGTGTGTTGGCAAAGAGTAATGGTGCTTATTGTTGTTTCTGCTGAGTGCAGTGGCATGGGGCTTTGTTAGGTAACCACAATCACCTACTGATTATTGATTTTCTAGTGACTAAGTCCCTTATCGCCACTCTCCTGCCACTTTTTTTCCTCGTCTGAACCCTTTGGCCTTTACAGCATGTCCTCTATTCTCTCTGTCCTCAAAACCAAGCTTGGGGAGTATATGCTTGCCCTTCCTAATAGCACCACCAAATACAAAGATTACAAGGCCTAGAAGCAGGGGTTCACTAAATGAGTAGTAAGTTGGTCCTTTCCTTTGCCTTCTGCTGGCTGCTGACATCCTTAGAGGCTATTTTCAATCATTTGGCATGTGGGCAAGATGTGCCCAAACTTGCAGCCTAGATTGCCAAAGCTGAGAGTAGCCTTGACTATGTTGCTACCAACAACTGGCTTGCCTAAGGGTTGCATATCTTGCTACAGTGTGTGGCATACTTTGCAACATAGAAACAGCAATAAGTGGCTAAAGAACAGGCCCTAGAAGAAAAGGCTGTATAGGTCACTATTGCCAAATGTAAAGCTGAGGAAGCCAAAGTAATGCAGGCTGCTGCTACCTATCAGTTGGCCAAAGAAGATTGTTAGTGGTGCTAGGAGGCTTTGGTGGAGGCCATGTTCAATAGGTTGCTCAATCCTAAACAGGGTAATCATCAGCTGTCTGAGCTAGAGGCAGAGTTCATCCTTTCCCTCCCTCTCTTTCTTCACTCCCCTTCTCCCTCTGCCACCACATCCTTTTCTCATCCCAACCTGTCCACCGACTTATTCCATCCTAACCTATCCACCAACTCATCCCATCCTAACCCGTCTACTGTTAATTTGGCGCTTATGTCTGCAACTAATACCCTGGACTAAATAAGTGTGGGTCTGGTCACTGCCGCTGCCCCAACTAACATAAAGGGCAAAAAGTCAGCTGTGGCTGTTGTCGTTGAGTTTGCTCACCAAAGGACACTATCTTTTTGGCACGTTGTCCTTCCTCTCAGCCCTGGGATAGGCCAAATGTCAATAGTTAGGTCCTCTATAGAGCGGAATAGTGCCAGGAAGATGCTCAAAGACCCTCCCAAATTATTACTTGGTGATGTTTTGGTGAGTTCCCTCCCTCTTACTACCACTTTTTCCTATTGCTAATCATCCTTCTTCTAGGCAAACTATGCTTGTCATTGCTGTGTGACCACCTTCTAGATCAAGGTGTCCCAGTGCTATCAGCAACCTGGGCTAGTGCTGTGCACTAAATGTGCCAGGGAGTTAAAGAGGTGTAGCTTCCAGCCTAGGTGGATGCCAATGGAGAAGGGGAAGGGGAAGTCAAAGGAGCAGCCAGTGCCAAAGTTGGAGGAGAGGGAGTGTCCCTTAAAGTGTTGTAAGATAGAGGTAGTTGTCCCTGTGCAGTCAGTTAGGGATAGCATTGCCCAAATAAAAGGTGAGTTATTTTTTGATTGGATTAGAAATAAGAGCTCATTATTTGGTATTATTCAGTATAGCTGCTCATACCCAAAAGCCAGTCCAGTGGCTTCCCACCACTGCTAAGGCCATCTCTACTCTTACCTGCCCTTCTCACACTTATTCAGCTGCCTTCCTCATTCCTACTGACTCATCTTGCCTCTTATCTATTGTTACCCAAGGTATTGTGTCTGAGCTTTGGTACTATATTGCAGTGGCTGAGAGTACACGTGCTTCACTGGCATGCTTGGTCATGATGTGGCAGGCTGAGCTAGAGTCACTTAAGGTATAGGTACATCCATCCACATCCTCGGACGTTATCTTGGTCAAGGACTCATCAGAGGCAGAAGATTTGGGAATGTTGGTGTCAGATGACTTTCTTCCTAATGAGTAGTTCCTAGTTCTGTATGTGTAGTCCAAAATAATATATAGAGAAATAAAACTTGTACTGAGTCAAATGTAATGTTTTAGTAAGGCCAAAAAGCAATATTTGGTAGATCAGTCAGCAAAATGTTTATGTGAAGATGTGTTTGTAAGTGAAGTGTCCGACTATAGTAAGGAAGAATAAATTAAAATATTAGGGGAAGCCTTAGTATGTCATCACAGGCATGAAACCCTGTGGTTTTGCACAAATTGAAAAAAGTCTTCAATGCAACTTGGTACTTGAAGGAATGATAGGAAAATGATGAGCTGGATATTTGGTCAGTGTTTGGTTGGTGGCAAAAGTACTAAAAGATGTGGAAATGATTGGGTGCCAGTCTATGTCTGTAATAAATACACAAAAATAAGGAATAGGTATATCTGTGAATCCTCCTCCCTACTAAAATCATGACTGTACCTAGTCACTGACCGAAGAGAGCAAAGGGTGGAAGGGTAGGATCTAGTTAGAGGTTGCCAAAGCTGCATCATTGTCCTCTGCCAATTGGACTGAGCTGGTGTCAGAATCTTTATCAGCATTGTCATCTTTGGCATTGTCATCTCTTGATTAGGAATCTTCCATGGCCCAAAGGCATTCTTGTGAGATGTTAAGGAGGGCTTTGAGATTGGCAAGCTCTAGAGACCTGCAGGCAAAATAAGGAATAACATGGAATGCTGCCACTGGCTGATTAAAGACTGATCCATCGAGTTTGGCCAAAATATATGCTCCTCCCCAATTCCTAGAAATTACTATCAATGGTCCTAAATACCATGGATGTATCTTTTAATTAAGTTCCTTTTCTATAGCTGTGTTGCGCATCAGGACAAGCAAGCCTCAGTGGAAATTAAAGTTGCAAAGGGTGGCCAAATAATATTGTTCAAATTAGATGGCAGCCTGGACATAGGTGCTAACTACCAAGCTGCAAATGTGGGTAAGGTCTGATCGGTGTTTTTGCAAGGTGATGGCACATTGGGTGATGAGATTAGTGGTGCTGAGGGTTGTGGTCGGCAGTGGCAAGAGGTAGGTAGCTTTGGTGATGTCAAGGGAAAGATGGGGATGGGTTCTGATCACTACAAAGTATAGTGAGCAACCCATTTGGTGCCAAACAGTACTATGATCAGCCTAAAATACAAAATAAGCAGCACAATTCCACTTGGCCTGGTTTCTATCCACAGCTTTGAACAGAGCCTGCTAAACATTGAAGTAAGGTCATTTAGCAATGCTGTTCATGTGCGAATTGTAGCCTGGAATGTAGATGTGCCGAACATGGTACTTTTTCACTAATTAGTCTAGTGCTTTGACAAATGCTGGTCTGTTGTTGGAGACAATCTCTACCAGTGTTCCCCATCTATAAAGGATATCCTCAAAGATCCAGTTAGCAAGGGATAAGCTTGTTTCACACCAGAGCATTCAGAATTTAGGGTAGTGCAATACTGAATAGTGGCCTTGAACAAGATACTTGAAACCACCAGTGGTCAGCATATGCATAGTATCCATATACATCTTTGCAAAGAGTAGTGCAGGCATGGCAACAATTAGGGGGATAAAAACATTGTGGGTCTAATGAATCTGGCAAAGGTGACACATCCAAATGCACTGTCTTGCCTCATGTGTGGCCACCAAAAGTGTTTGGCAACCATAGTGGTAGTAGCATAGAATCCTTTGTAAGCAATGTTGTCATGGGTGGCAGTAAGAATTGCAATTTGACTGGAGGGTGCTGCAATAATCTTGTGTTGGCCATATGAGTCCTTTATTCATAGCTTGTTGGCTGCGATGAAGAACTTAGTGCAATATTATAGAAAAGTGGCACATTTGGTATTAGAGAAAGAAGGGGGATGAACCAACGTTCAGTGCCAGTCATAGACTAACTAAAGGTGTTCTTTAGCTTCCAAGGCTTTCTGCAATCTTAGGATATCTAAATAGTTAATAGCTGGCTCCTTATCGGCTAAGTCAGTATCAATTGGGTGGTTATCTATGAGTGAGGAGGTAAAGATGGCAGTTGTAGAGGCTAATATAGAGGATGTGAATATGTTATTAATCTGATAGAGAAAGTTGTAGAGATTGTTGATCCAGTCATCAAAGTTATCTTTGGGTTCAGATTGATTGGAGGGTTGTGATGGTCATTAGGAGAGTCCATCAGGGCCATGAAAGGTGCCAAAGACATGGACAACTGTGAAATTGAAGGTGAGGATAGAAATGATCTATCAATTGATGCTGGCACTGGATTTGAGATCCAGGTTAGTGAGCATGCCCTTGATGTAGCATGTGTCTACTTTAACTATCAGGTTCTGAATACTGATGAGGTATATCTTGAGTGATTAGAGGGCATGAAAGAGGCTGTAGATCCTGAGCTTTGGTTGGGAGAATTGCGATGTGTGATCATTAAGGGTGATGGAGCCAAATTAGGCATAATACTGAACCTAGGGATTGTCGAGCACACATTGACAAAGATGGAAGCCAACTGCGATTTGGGAGGTGTCAATGGCAAGGATAACATTGGCTGCTGAATTATAGTCAATCAGCCAAAGGGCTGGCAATTTGAGAAGTGCTAACTGGAGGTCATCCTAGGCCACTATTTAGTCTGGGCCAAACACAAATGGAAAATCTTTGTATGTTAACATATTTAGTGCATGCACTCTATATGCAAAATTCCGAATAAAGATCTGAATAACACTAATTGTTCCCCAAAAATGCCCAAACATCAGAGAGATCCCTGCATGGTCCTCACTTCATAATTGATTCTACCCTTGATTTATCTAATAACCTTCCTTTGTACATACAGCAATGGCTAAGAACTATGATTTTGGCCATGCAGAGTGTTACCTTGTATCCCAAAAATGTGCCTCTGCTATACTTCATCTACTGAACCACCCAATCAAGGCCTTGAAAGTGCTCCCACACAAACTGTCATATGCTGGGGTTATTGGGATGCATCTTGAAGCTGCTATTTGGAAGTTCATATTGGGTTGGTGGGCCCTGAATTAGGACATTATCAATAAAATAAATAGTGGTATTAGGGATCTCTGGCTAGAGGATGTATATGATATCATTATAAAAGATTGGGACTGAATTCATCCATCCCATAGGTAGGATAACAAGTTGGTAGGCACCAAATAAGGTCTAGAATATGGTAAAGTCATGTGAAGATTTAGTGAGTCCTTATTTATCATAGCCAACATAGAGATCCAAAATGCCACTGCAAGCACAAGCTACAAACTGTTCAGTGATTTGATTAGTATATGGGGGCACACCTAAATGCTGGATGATTACTGCATTCAAGGGTTCAAGGCTGTAAATAATTCAGAGTTTGGTCCTAGTAGAGGTGCTATTTGTTTTCTTGATGACTATAAACCAGCACAATTGGTAGAAAGAATTCAACAGCTTATAGACTCTAGTAGTGATCTTGGTTTCAATAAGTTGGCACACTTTGTTATAAATGCCTAGTAGAATCAGGATGTTGCACTGCACCTAGGGTTTGTGTTCAACTACTAGCATATTAACTGGTGAGAAGAACATTTGGAAAACCACCCCCTTGTATTAGCTCTAGATTATATCTAATAGTGTCTAAAAGTATCTAAAAGTGTTAATAGCATCTAAAAGTGCCTAATTTCCTAATTAGGAGCAATACATTATAAGCATTGGATTGTATTCTAATTTCATGATATTAGCACTAATTCTATACTAAGAAGTCTTTAATTAGCAGTAGGAAATAGTAAGTACTACTGCTCTATCAGTGAGAAAATAAAGATATGGCACATTCTATGCTATTTTCATCTGGAAAAACACCCCCTTGTGTTAGCTCCAGATTATATCTAATAGTGTCTAAAAGTATCTAAAAGTGTTAATAGCATCTAAAAGTGTCTAATTTCCTAATTGGGAGCAACACATTGTGAGTATTGGATTAGTTTCTAATTTCATGATATTAGCACTAATTCTATACTAAGAAGTCTTTAATCATCAGTAGGAAATAGTAAGTACTACTGCTCTATCAGTAAGAAGGTAAATATGTGGCACATTCTATACTATTTCAGCATATTACTTTTCTTCATATATGCCTATACCATTATCTTGTAGCTCTTTTGCTGACTTTCCAGCTGCCTTTACAAGGGATATAGAAAGAGAGAAATGTGCATTGATGCCCCCAGTCACTTTGTTGGCAGCTTGGCAGCTGCCACAAAAGGCTATGAAGACCTAGGTACCTTGGCCTTGCACATAATATTATTAAAGTTGTCATTGTTAGCCAATGCCTGCTACTGATCATTATAGGACACAACATGTGGGTTGGACTTAGGGATATGCTATATGCAGCCTTATAGACCTTGTCTATTAGTATAGTGGCTAATACTGTCTTGTACAGCACACAATCATCATCACTATTGATATTATAATTTTTAGCACTATTTATATTGTTTATTGCCTTGTTATACAGAAGATGCTCAAACTTGGTGTTTTCCTATAGCTATTAGGCTGTGAAAAAGACAGTCATATTGGTATGTGGTGCCAAAATGATATATTTGCCTGCCATATAGGAAATATATGTATTAAGCATATTAAGATCACCTCCAACAATCTTGTGCTTATTTATATATAGGCATGCCATACATATACTCTTGTCCCCACCCTTTACCTTACTAGTAGCTATTTGGAAAACCCCTCTCTCTTATTGGATCTTGATTATTCATAATCATGTTTTTGATCAAATTTGCAAATTCAGGTAGCATTGTCTATACTAGTAGAGTCCCATTGAATATTACACTCAATCATAGTTTTACACATTCTCAGTCCAAATTGTATAAGTGCCATAATTTGTTTTTATCCTATATAAAGTGTATTATTTATTTTCCATTGGTTTATTATCTTCTTAGCTGGTGTTTAAACTAAATCCTGAAAGACCCGACTTTTTAGGTATTTATTGACCCATTTATTTATAAGAGAGAGGAAAGATAAATGTTAAATAAAATTTGAGATGTTGAGGTTGCCTATATTATGTCTACTTATTTAGATTACCAAGTTCATATATTAGACCTTGTGGCTTAGTGGCTTAGAGCATCTGTCCCGGGTGCTTACATACATGAGGTTGTTGGTTCAATTCTGGCAGAAGGCAAGTTTGTTATAAGGTATATTCTGTGTTTAGGTATTGAACTAGTGCTCTAATAGACATGACTCTATAAGAAGGCTATGAAAACACTGATGCTTGATTTATTATGATTTTTCCGAAATTCAAGTTATAATCAATCCTAATAATTCCTAATTTAGGAAAATTATGTCTAATTAGAACAGGTTTAAAGGGGGGGTAAGCTAAAAATGTCTAATCCTAATTGTTCTTAATTATGCATAAATAAAACTAATTAGAGCTTAATATAAAGGGGTGGTTTTCTAGATGAACAGATCAGCATTTGTCAAGGTGCTTGACCAGTTAGCAAAAAAGTACCACATTCAGCACATTTGTATTTTGGGCTACAATTCCCACACAAACGGCATTGCTGAATAACCTTACTTCAATGTTTGGCAGGCTCTATTCAAAGCTGTTGATAGAGATTAGGCTAAGTAGAATCATGCAGCTTATTTCATATTCTGGGCTGATTGCATTACTGTTCGGCACCAAATGGGTTCCTCACTATATTCTGCAGCAACTGGAACCCATCCCCTCCTTCCACTTGACATTGCTGAAGCCACCTACCTCTTGCCACCACCAACCATAACCCTCAGCACCACTGACCTTACTGCCTGATATGCCATTGCCTTGCAGAAATGCTGATCAGATCTCACCCACCTTCATAGCACAGTAGTTGGCGCCCATGTCTAGGCCGCCATCCAATTTGAACAACAGCATTCAGCCACCCTTCATAACTTCAATTTCCACCAAGGCTCGCTTGTCCTGATGCACAACACAGCCATAGAAAAGGCACTCAATCGGAAGATGTGTCCACAGTATTTAGGACCTTTGCTAGTAATTTCTAGGAATCAGGGAAGAGCATATATTTTGGCTAAACTCAATGGATTGGTCTTTGATTGGCCAGTTGCAGCATTCCATGTTATTCCTTATTTTGCTTGCAGGTCTCTGAAGCTCACTGACCTTGAAGCCCTCCTTAACATCTCACAAGAACGCCTTTGGGCCATAGAAGATTCCCAATCGAGCAATAACGACGCTGAAGACAATAGTGCCAATGAAGATACTGACACCAGCTCAGTCCAATTGGCAGGGGATGACAATGCAGCTTTGGCAACCTCCAACTAGATTCTACCCTCCCATCCTTCACTCTCTTTGGTCGGTGACTGGGGACAGTCATGATTTCAGTAGGGAGGAGGATTCACAGATATACCCATTTATTATCTTTATTTATTCATCACAGACATAGACTGACACCCAATCATTTCCACATCTCTTAGTACTTTTGCCACCAACTGATCACTAACCAGATAGTTGGCACTCATTTTCCCTATCACTCCTTTAAGTACCAAGCTGCATTGAAGACTTTTTCCGATTTGCACAATACCATAGGGTTTTATGCCTGTGATAACATACTGAGGCTTCCTCTAATATTCCAATTTATTTTCTTCATTTCTGCCAAATACTTCGCTTACAAGTACATTCACCCACAGTAATTTCACTGACCAATTTCCTAAATAATGCCTTTGGTCTAAGCCAAATGGCTCTTTCAATTCAGGACAGTCCCTTTGCTGCTCTATTATATTTTACTGTAGAACTGTTAAAACTATTCTACTCATCGGGTACAAAATTACCTGACATAGACATATCTAAATCCTCCACTGCTGACAAATCCTCAACCAAGATGACATCTGAAGATGTAGACAGACCTGCCCATGCCTTAAGTGACTCTAACTCTGCCTGCCACATCTTGATTGACTATGCCAAACAAAGCCCGCATACCCTCAGCCATAGCAATTCAGTACCAAAGATCAGATGTGATGCCTTGCACAACAATTGGAAACAAACAAGATGAGTTGAACAGGGTGGGGATGGCAGCAAAACAGGAGCAGAAGGAGGAGGGAACAGCACAAGTGATGGTAGGAAGATGCTGGACAGGCTTCTAGGCCCACACACCTGAGACAATCTAATAAGCTCTCATCCCAGCACTAATCAGACCTGTACTCACCTCTCATCTGCACTATGCTCTTAGCAACTGAATGTTTGGGCATGAGAACCTCGACCTTGTGTTTTTTTGACGGGTGTGATAGCTCATTTGCTTCTAACTTGTCAGAAGCCTTCCCCTTCAACTTCCCCTTACCTGTTGACTTTCCTTTACCTATTGGTGTCCACCCAGGCTGGAAACTGCACCCCTTTTGCTAGTTGGCATACTTGATATAAGACACCTAACCAGGCTAGGTGTAGCAGCAAAACGCCATGGTCGAGAAATTGGACAAGCATCGACTACAAGCATACTCAGCCTAAAAGCGAAAAAGGTTAGTCTTAGGAGGCAGCAAAAGGGAAGGGATGCACTAGGCAATCACCAAATACTAGCCCAGGGGGGTTCTTGAGGACCTTACTGGCACCATTCCATTCCTCTGAGGCCCAAACTGTTGACATCTGGCCATAACCAGGGCCTAGTGGAAGCATGACACAGCCAAAAGATGGTGTTTGTTGATGCGCAAACTCAACAACAACAGCAGCAGCCAACGGCTTGCCGTTCATATTGGTTAGGGTGACCAAAGTGACCGGGTCAATGCTTATGCAATGCAAGGTGGTGGTTGTGGATGCAAGGTTGGACTCGGCGACCAAGGGATTGGGTTGAGAAGGCAAATGGGCAAAGGAGGGCTTAGGACAAGAGAAGGACATAGCAGGAACAGATGGAGAAGGAGAATGAAGAAAGAGAGAGAGGGGAAGAATGGACTCGGCTTTTAGGGCAGCCATCTGATGATTCCCCTTTTTCACATCAAGCAACTCACTGAACATCTCACCTCTACTAGTGCCTCCCAGCAACGCTGATGATCTTTCTCAGCCACCTCAAGGGCAGAAGCAGCGCGTGCTACCTCAGCCTCCTCAGCCTCATGTTCGGCAGTGGCTACCTGCTCAGCTTCTTCCTCCAGGGCCTGTGCCTCAACTGCTTGTTGCTGCATAGCAAAGTGCACCATGCGCTGTAGCAAGATTCATGTTCCCTAGGCTAGCCAGTGGTTGGTGATCATATGATCAAGGCCGTGCTCAGCCTCGGCGATCCAGTCAGCAAGTTCGGGTACTTCCTGCCCATGCACCATTCAGTTGAACACAGCCTGCGAAGGTGTCAGCATCTAAGCACAAACAAGAGGATGAACTAACTTACCACTTGCTTAGCAAACCCCTGCGCCTAAGCATTATATTCCTCATATTCAGTGGCACCATCCAGGAGGGAGAGCATGTACTTCCTGAGTTTGGTCTTCAGGATAAAGAGTATGGCAGACATGGCGAAGGAACGAAGCTGTAGAAAGACGACAATGAGGGACTTGGTCACTGAAGGATCAACAATCAACAGATGATCACCTAACAAAGCCTAGTGCCATGGCATGCTGTAAAGGCCATGATACATGCTACCACTCTTTGCCAACATAACTCTCATACTAGTGTCTAGTTAGGGGCACTCTAGATCTCAGCTACTTCCTTACCTAATCTTTCCATGCCACCAGACTTTGCCAACTCAACCCCAGTCTCTCTTATGTGCCAACCTGGTCCTGGCTATAATATCCCCTTGCCAATTATTCACTTTTGCCACATCTCTCCCATACACCTACTTTTTTCCACGCCACCACTCATTACCAATTCTTTTCCCATGTAACTTACCACACTACCACATTTTCCATGCCACCACTCTGTTTGCCATACCATAACTATTATTTCCATGTCATTGCTTGTTGCCAACTCTTTCCCACATCCACATACCACACGCCCTTTTTCCACGCCACCGCATTTTCCATGCCATTTTTTTCTACTTCAATCCATAGCTACTGACCACTGACTAAGAACAATCAGGATTTCAGTAGGGAAAAGATGATGAGCATGCACCCATGTTAGGGTCCAAGAAAGGTATTCATGAAGCTTTGGGAGACACCAAACAGCACTAGACAAGCACTGAAGATGCTGACTTGCACCAAATATGGTCAGTCCCCACCCGACTAACCATAACCCACCAAAGGATAATTGGCAGCACTTGGGTCAGTTTGCCCACACTTCACATAATTACAATGACTGCATAGGAGTATTATAATAGGTGTTTATGAGATTGGAGCCAATATTTCATGTCGGCTGATGTCCTCTATGAGTTAGTTGATCCTTATTGCTTATCTTCCAGACTTCCACATGGACAGCCAAACATGATCTTGTACTATTTTACTTGGCCACCTTGGTCATACGTTACTTCTTCTTTATTCTCATCAGCTCACCAATGCCTGTTCCTGCTATCGATGCTTGGGCAACGGATCCCGGATGTTCAGGATTTTGCCATTACTAATTAACTTTTATCTTATCACCTTCAGAACCCATATAACCCATATAGACATCTCACCCACCTTTTTATCTTCTCTAATTGCTAGGGCTTGGTGCCCATTTAATATCTACTCTTATTTCTTGTCTGATATTTTACTTAGGGGCTCTATTTACTATAAAAACCTACACACAACTCTGGAATAAACTAGCTTTCACACCCCACAGTTCAGAGCTCATTTGTACTTATCTCAACTATTGAAATTATTTTCATCAACTCCCACAAACTTGTCATCCTTGTCGTTCGGCCTTATTTGTGTTCATACTCATTTCTTTGCTCATACCCCTCATCCTCCCTCATATGTTGTCAGAGTCCTATGTGGCTCTTGAAGCATGTAGTTATTAGTCGTGACACTACCTTCTCGTCACCAATCAACAACCCAACTTAACCAACCAAACATTTGGTCGGTGTTCAGTACAGTCCCAAAACCATTTAGGTGCTTTAATCTCACCCTCCTTATTACTTTTTAGTGCGCCCTCACTTTCTCAAGTCTTAACTAACGATTCCTTGTGCATCAGATACTAGCTCTAGCACCCCTGCATTAGAGGTTGTTTCAGTATTGTGCTTGGCACTTAGAGCCACCTTTAGCGTATCAGCAGATTGTTGAGTGCATATTGACAGAGGTAGAAGCCGACCACAATTTTTAAGATATTAATGGCAAGGATGACGTTGGCTGCTAAACCATAGTTGATCGGTTGAAGGGCTGGTGATTCAAGAAATGCCAACTAGAGATTGTCCTAAGCCACTATCTAGTCTGGGCCATAGACGAATGGAAAATCTTTACGTGTTAACATAGTCAGTATATGTGCTCTGTGTGCAAAATTCCAAATAAAAATCTAAACAATACCAATTGTCCCCAAAAATGCCCAAACATCAGAGAGATCCCTGCAAGGTCCTTACTTCATAATTGACTCTACCCTAGACTCATCGGGCAACCTTTTTTTGTATGTGCAATGATGGCCTATGACTGTGATTTTAGCCATGCAGAGTGTCACCTTGTATCCCAAAAACATTCCTCAGCTATACTTCATCTGCTGAACCACCTGATTGAGGCCTTGAAAATACTCCTACACAGACTGTCATATGCTGGGGTTGTCAAGATGCCTCTTGAAGCCACCGTTTGGAAGTTCGTATTGGGTCAGTGGGCCCTAAATTAGAACATCATCGATGAAAGGAATGATGGTGTTTGGGATCTCTGGCTGGAGGATGTGGGTGATGTCATCATAGAAGATCAGGACCAAATTCATCCATCCTATGGGCAGGGTGATGAGTCAGTGGGCACTAAACAGGGTCTGGAATGTAGTGAAGTCATGAGATGATTTGGCGAGCTCTCATTTGTCATATCTGACATAGAGATCCAGAATACCACTGCAAGTGCGAGCTGCAAACTGTTCAGCAATCTGATTGGTATATGGGGGCACACCTGAATGCTAGATGGTGACTGCATTTAGGGGTTCAAGGCTGGGAACAATTCGGAGTTTGGTGCTATAAGTGGTGTCCTAGGCTTTGGCATATGGGTGGATTGGAGCATTGTCCTTGGCTGGTACCGGGGGCAGTTGCTGAGTCGGGATGGTTGGTCATGGTTTAGGTTTGAGAGTTTTAGTCTTTGCTCGTCATTCAGAAGCTGGTAAAGGGGTAGGTGCCAAATGTCCTATCTATGCCATTTCACATGCCCTTGTGCCTTGCATTTAGAGCACAAATAGTTTGCATTCAAGGCTCACAATTTGCTGGACATCAGTAAGTTGGTAAGTTGGGGTGATATCTAGCAATGAGGATAAATTGTGATAGGAGGCTATCGTCATCAGGTGAGTCAGCACTGCATTTACCATAAACATCATCTGTCTGGTTACTAACTAGCCTGGATTCCTTCAGTGCCATTTATCAACTTAGTCCTTCAGGTTACTATCTGTAATTTCTCTGGGTATAAATGCCCCACTTGACAATACAACCTTCCCCTTGATATTCTGCTTGCATTTGCCTATTCAAATATATTTGGTGACCTTGGGACAGGCGTGCATAAAATATTCGGGACTGCTGCAGAACATGCAATCATTGCCACCTTGTCCTGGTTGTCGGGATGGTCAATTGGCTAGCCTGAATGTCCCCTGAGCTGCAATGGCCTTGATAAAGGTGTTGGTGAGCCATTCAAACATGGCCACCAGGTTTTCGGCCTTGATTGCATTGGTGGGTGGCATGGTGCAGGCTGCTTAAAAGATGTTAGTAGAGATAGCGCTGTAGGCGGCCATGGTGCCATGCAAGACAAATTTGGCCATATCGTGGATGTCCTGGAGGTTGTACAGGTTGTCTGGGAAATGATCAAGGAATTTTAGTTGTAGACATTGAGAGATCCTTGCCCATAGCTTCAGCTAGAATCCTCTAGCGAAGGTGCATCCTTGTTCAGTGACAGAGATTCATGCCTTGCTGAGGAGAAATACCATGATCACTAGGAATTGCCAATGGTAGTTACTGAGCTCACTAAGGGACAGGATACTGACCCTGCTGGTTTTGCCAACTAGCTTGTCTATATCTAATACCGGCCATTTATGCTCTTTTTCCAATTTGGGGTAAAGCTGTAAACCTCTTTGCAGAAGTCCTTGAATATCTTTGTGACATCAGTAAAAGTGGTGAGCGATTGCCAAAACTCATAAGTATTGACATCTAGAAATTGGCAAGTGTGTTTCTTCCTTTCTTGTTCATCCACTGCCACAGACTAAACAAAATGGAAGTCCAGATCAGCAAAATACCATCTCAGTTTGTGGGATTGATGAGGGTCAAAGGTCAGGGCCATTCAATCTCCACAAGCAAGCATGAATGGGGCCACCATAGTGAGAAAGTCAAAGGTGGGGGAGAAGGTGTTATTTGCTAAGGTGATTAGGAATAGGGTCACTGCTTTGAAAGAGTGTTCTAGTGAAGTCAATTGGATGGTTGGCATCCAGAAGACAGGGCTGCATAGGATTAGCAGAGAGATGGAGTTATAAAGAAATGGTATAGGAGACAGAGGTGATTGTTCTAAGAGTGCAAGATCGAGGATGGGGGAAATTAGCAGGAGTAGCAATTGGTTTGGCAACAAAGGTGAGGTTAAGAAGAAAGTGGAGTTGGGTGGTGGCAAGATCAATAGTGAGGATTTGAGATCAAGGTAGTGATGGTGGGATAAATGTTCTGGGACTATATCGGTGTCTCTGAATAGACATTGGTTGGCAGAGGTTTCCTAAGTATTGAAGCTGTCGATAACTATTTGTCATTCGTCACACTCTGCTGTTGGTTAGGATGAGTAACATAGATTCCTTGAGGTAATCTTGAATATTAACCCCTCATGGTGGGCTCCAAAATGATATGCTAGAAGTGGCTTTAAGTGCTAGGCACAACACCAAAACAACCTCTAATGCAGGGATGCTAGAGCTAGTATCTAATACACAAGGAATCTTTGGTTAGGACTTGAGAAAGCGAGGGTGCACTAAAAAATAATGATAAGGGTAATATTAAAGTGCCTGAATGGTTTTGGGACTGCACCAAACACCAACCAAATATTCAGTTGGTTGATTCGGGTCAGGGAGTTGATTGGTAATGAGAAAGTAGTATTGCAACCAATAACTACATACTTCAAGAGCCACATGGTACTCTGACAATATATGAGGGAGGATGAGGAGTATAAGCAAAGAAACAAGTATGAACACAAACGAGGCTGAACAACAAGGATGACAAGTTTTTGGGAGTTGACAAAAACAATTTCAATGGTTGAGATGAGTACAAATGAGCTCTCAACTGTGGGGTGTGAAAGCTGGTTTATTCCAGAGTTGTGTGTAGGTTTTTATAGTAAACAGAGCCCCTAAGTAAAATATCAGACAAGAAATGAGAGTAGGTGTTAAATGGGCACCAAGCCCTAGCAAACAAAGAAAATAAGAAAGTAAGTGAGATGTTTATATGAGCTCCAGAGGTAATAAGGTACAAGTTAATCAGCAATGGCAAAATCCTAAATGTTCGGGATTTGTTGCCTAAGCATAGGTAGCAGGAACAGGCATTGGAGAACTAATGAAAATAAAGAAGAAGTAACATATGACCAGGATGGCCAAGTAATAGTGCAAGATTGCATTTGACTGACCATGTGGAAGTCTGGAAGATAAGCAATAAGGACCGACCAGCTCATAGAGGACATTAGCCAACACTAAATACTAGCTCTGATCTTGTAAATATTTATTGTAATACTCCTATGTCATGGTAAGTACATAAAGTGTGGGCAAACTGACCCAAGTGCTGCCAAACATCCTTTAGTAGGTTATGGTCAGTCGGGTGGGGACCGACTGTGTTTGGTGCAAGTTGGCATTTTCGGTACTTATCTAGCACTATTCGGTATCTCCCCAAAGCTTCCCGAATACCTCCCTCAGACCCTAGTGCAGGTGCATGCTTATCATTAAGGTACAGCCTGTAGACTTTTTCATAGAAGTCCTTGAATATCTTTGTGGTGTTGGTAAAAGTGGTGGGTGATTCCCAAAGTTCATAGGTGTCAACATCTAGGAATCGGCAAGTATGTTTCTTTCCTTTCTGCTCGTTTACTACCACTAACTAAATGAAGTGGAAGTCCAGATTAGTGAAATATCATCTTAATTCATAGGGTTAATAGGGGTCAAAGGTTGGGGCCATTTGATTTCCACAAGCAGGCATGGATGGGGTCACCATAGTAAAAAAGTCAAAGGTGGGGGAAAAGATATTGTTTGCTAAGATGATTGGGGATGGGGTCACTGATTCAAAGAAGCATTCTAGTAAAGTTGGTCAGACAGTTGGTGTCGAGAAGATGGGGCTGTGTGGGATTAATAGAGTGATGGAGTTATGGAGAGATCGTATAGGAGATGGTGGCAATTGTTCTAAGAGTGCAAGGTTGAGGATGGGGGAAATCAGCAGGAGTAGTAATTGATTTAGTGATGAAGGTAAGGTTAAGAAGAAAGTAGAGTCAGGTGGTGGCAAAAGCAATGGCGAGGATCTGAGATTGAGATAGTGATAGTAGAATAAATGTTCTATGACTATATTGGCATTTCCGAACAAACTTTGGTCAGCAGAGGTTTCCTAAGTATTGAAGCTGTTGATAACTGTTTGTCACTCTTTATGCTTTGCTATTGGTCAGGACAAGCAATGTAGATTTATTGAGGTAATTTTGAATATTAACCTCTCGTGGTGGGCTCTAAAATAATATGCTAGAGATAGCTCTAAGTGCCAAGCACAATACCAAAACAACCTCTAGAGCAAAGTGGTGCTGGAGCTAGTATCTAATATACAAGGAATTATTAGTGACAACTTTAGAAATTGAAGGCATACTGAGAATCAATGGGAAGGGTGAGATTATAGTGCCTGAACAGTTTTGGGACTGCACCAAACACTGACTAAATATTTGGTTGGTACTATTAGGGATTTCAGCCGGTAACAAAAAGGTAGTGTCGCAACCAACAACTACATACTTTAAGAGTCACATGAGACTCTGACAATATACAAGGGCAAAAGAGGAGTATAAGTGAAAAGATAAGTACAAATGCAAACAAGGTTGAACAATAGGGATGACAAGTTTTCAGAAGTTGGCAAAGGTGATTTTGATGGTTGAAACGAGTGCAAATGAGCTCTGAACTGTGGGGTGCAAAAGCTGGTTTATTCTAGAGTTATATGTAGGTTTTTATAGTAAATAGAGCCTCTAAGTAAAATATTGAACAAGAAATAAGAGTAGATATCAAATGGGCACCAAGCCCCAGCAAACAGAGAAGATAAGAAGGCAGGTGAGATGTCCATATGGGTTCCAAAGGTGATAAGGCAAAAGTTAATCAGCAATGGAAAAATCCTAAATGTTTGGGATCCATCACCTGAGCATAGGTAGCAGGAACAGGCATTAGAGAACTAATGAAAACAAAGAAGAAGTAATGTATGACTAGGGTGGCCAAGCAATGGTACAAGATTGCATTTGACTAACTATGTGTAAGTTGGAAAGATAAGCAATAAGGACCAACTGACTCATGGAGCACATTGGCCAACATGGAATACTGGCTCTGATATTATAAACACCTATTGTAACACTCCTATGTGGTCATGGTAAGTACATGAAGTATGGGCAAACTGACCCAAGTCCTGCCAAATATTCTTCAGTGGGTTATGGTCGGTTGGATGGGGGCTGACCATGTTCAGTGCAAGTCAGCATCTTTGGTACTTATCTAGTACTGCTCGGTATCTCCCCAAAGCTTCCCAAATACCTCCTTCAGACTCTAGTGTGAGTGCATGCTCATCACCAACACATACAAAAAGTATCTGAAAAGTCTACAGCCTAGTCAGGTTATTCAGCTGTTGATAGTCACTAAAGAGTCATCTGCCCTAAGGTCTATTGTTCCCCTCATTAATCATCAACAAGAAGTTGAATTTGTTATCAATCTGGGTTCACAAGTCATCACTATGTCTAAAGGCATCTGTAATGAGCTAGTGCTCATCTATGACCCCAAAATCATTCTTAATATGCAGTCAGTGAATAGCAAAATTGAATGATCCTTGGGCCTAGCACACAATGTTCTATTCTTTATTGGCAACATCACCTTGTATTTCCAAGTCCACATCATTTAGAACCTAGCCTATGATGTTCTCCTCGGTCAGCCCTTCAATATCCTCACTAAAATCATTGTCAAATATTATTCAAACAAAGACCAGATGATTACCATCAGTGACCCAAATATAGGACAATAAGCCATTATTCCAATGATTAGGCGAAGACCCCCTCAAGTCCTTTACCAAAGATAAGCAGATTTTTGTAACTTAGTGAATTGATCCAAGATTAAGGAAAAATTGTACTGATCATTTCTACCAATCATGGTACCCCCAATTTCCCACTTATTAAAGTGTCCTCAGATTTCCATTCTCCATTTCCCTCTTGTTGTGATCTCTGTCTCAAGTATATTATGGCCTCTAATTTAGGGCCCAAAAATCATCTTAAAAACAATCTCAATTCTAATATGTCATTCTTATTTTCCTCAGTCATTCCGAGTTCTCTCCATTCTACTAATATCACCAACCCAGTTGTTATCTTTGCTATAAAGTGCAAGTACAAACCAGTCATGCAAAAAACACATACAGTCTTGGCTGACCTTCCCAAAAAGTTCTGAATTGTTCAGAACATCATTGGTGACCTTGCTACCCTTCCGATGCTGATACTGAACCCCCCACCATTCGCACTGACTGGTAGATACACGGCCAAACAACACAACCTCATTAATAAAGTCCACTCAGATAACTTTCTTTGGCTGGCTGAATGACAGCTTATGCACCATTTTATGTGTTTGCAAGGGATAGGATTTGCCTAGGACAATTCTGAATATGGATATTTCTGCAAGGACTTCATTTGGAAAACCACCCCCTTATATTAAGCTCTAATTAGCTATAATTGATGCTCTGCTATACTAAATTATAAAAGATTAGGATTAGACATTTTTAGCTTACTCCCTCCCTAAACATGTTCTAATTAGACATAATTTTCCCAAATTAGGAATTATTAGGATTAATTATAACTTGGAATTCCGGAAAAATAGTAATAAATCAAGCATCATAGTTCTCATAGCCTTCTTATAGAGTCATATCCATTAGTGCACTAGTTAAATACCTAAACACAGAATATACCTTACAACAAACTTGCCTTTTGCCAGAGTTGAACCAATAACCTCATATATACAAGCACCCAGAATAGATGCTCTAAGCTACTAAGCTACAAGGCCTAATATATTAACTTGGTAATCTAAATAAGTAGATATAATATAGGCAACCTCAATATCTCTGATTTTATTCAACATTTATCTTTCCTCTATCTAATAAATAAACAGGTCAATAAATACCCAAAAAGTTAGGCCTTTTAGGATTTAGTTTAAACACCAGCTAAGAAGATAATAAACCAATGGAAAATAAATAATACACTTTATATAGGGTAAAAATAAATTATGGCACTTACACAATTTGGATTTAGAATGTGTAAAACTATGATTAAGTGTAATATTCAATAGAACTCTACTAATATAGACAATGCTACCTTAATTTGCAAATTTGACCAAAAACATAATTATGAATAATTAGCCATAATTAGCTCAAATTAGTATTATTAATGATTATTAATAATTCAGATCCAATAAGAGAGAGGGGTTTTCCAAATGGCCACTAGTGAAGTAAAAGGTGGGGACAAGAGTATATATATGGCATGCCTATGTATAAATAAGCACAAGATTGTTAGAGATAATCTTGATATGCTTAGTGCACATATTTCCTATATGACAGGCAAATATATCATTCTAGCATCACATACCAACATGACTGTCTTGTCCACAGCTGAATAGCTAGAGAAAAACACTAATTTTGAGCATTTTCTGTATAACAAGGCAATGGACAGTGTGGATGGCACTAAGTATTATAATATCAAGAGTAGTGATGATTATGTGCTGCACAAGACAGTATTAACCACTGCACTAACAGACAAGGTCTGCAAGGCTGTGTGTAGCACATCCCTAAACCCAACCTGCATATTGTGTCCTATAATGACCAGTAGCAGGCATTGGCTAACAATGACAACTTCAATGATCTTGTGTGCAAGGCCAAGGTACTGAGGTCTTCATAGTCTCTTATGGCAGCTGCCAAGCTGCCAACAAAGTGGCTGGGGGCATCAATGCATATTTCTCTCTTTCCATGTCCCTTGTAAAGGCAGCTAGAAAGTCAGCAAAAGAGCTACAAGATAATGGTGCAGGCATATATGAAGGAGAGTAATATGCTGAAATAGTATAGAATGTGCCATATCTTTACCTTCTCACTGATAGAGCAGTAGTACTTACTATTTCCTACTGCTAATTGAAGACTTCTTGGTATGGAATTAGTGCTAATATTATAAAATTAGAAACCAATCCAATGCTTACAATGTGTTGCTCCCAATTAGGAAATTAGATACTTTTAGATGCTATTAATACTTTTAGATACTTTTAGACACTGTTAGATATAATCTGGAGCTAATACAAGGGGGTGGTTTTCCGGATGCTACCCTATGCTATTGATGACCTTGAACCACTGACTCAACTGACCATGTTCTCCTTTGTCAATGTCCTGCACCAACCAAAGACATTCCCACCTCGTGCAATCATCATCCCTAACCTGTACAAAATGTATCTGAAAAAGTTACAGCCCAGTTAGGTTCCTCAGCCGTTGATAGTTGCTAAAAAGTCATCTGCCTTAAGATTTATTATTCCTCTCATTGATCATTGGCCGGAAGTTGAATGCATCATTGATCCAGGTTCACAAGTTATTGCCATATAAGAAAGCATTTGCAATAAATTGGTGCTTATCTATGACCCCAAAATCATCCTCAATATGCAGTCAGCAAATGGTGAAACTGGCTGATCCTTGGGCCTGGCATACAATGTTCCATTCCTTATTAGCAATATCACCTTATACCTTCAAGTCTATGTCAGAACCCCGCTTATGATGTTCTCCTCAGTTGGCCCTTCAATATCCTCACTGAAATCATTGTCAAATATTATTCAAACAAAGACCAGATGATCACCATCAGTGGCCCAAACATAGGACAATGAGCCATCATTCTAATGATTAGGCGAGGACCCCCTCAAGTCCTTTACCAAAGATAAGCATATTTTTGTAACTTAATGAATTGATCCAAGATTAAGAAAAAGTTGTACTGATCATTTCCACCAATCATGGTACCCCCAATTTCCCACTTATTAAAGTGTTCTCAGATTTCCATTCTCCATTTCCCTCTTGTTGTGATCTCTGTCTCAAGTATATTATGGCCTCTAATTTAGGGCCCAAAAACCATCTTAAAAACCATCTCAATTCTAATATGTCATTCTTATTTTCCTCAGTCATTCCGAGTTCTCTCCATTCTACTAATATCACCAACCCAGTTGTTATCTTCGCTGTAAAGTGCAAGTACAAATCAGTCATGCAGAAAACATGTCCAGTCTTGGCCGACCTTCCCAAAAAGTTCTGAATCATTTAGAACATCATTGGTGACCTTGCTACCCTTCCGATGCTGATACCAAACCCCCCCCATTCGCACTGACTGGTAGATACACAGCCGAACAATGCAACCTTATTGACAAAGTCCACTCAGATGACTTCCTTTGGCTGGCCGAACAACAGCTCATGCACCATTTTATGTGTTTGCAAGAAATGGGATTTGCCTGGAATGATTCAGAATATGGATGTTTCCACAAGGACTTCTTCCCACCAATTAATATACTAGTAGTTAAACACAAGCCCTGGGTATAGCGCAACATCCTGATTCTACCAAGCATCTATAATGAAGTGTGCTGACTTATCAAAACCAAGATCACTACTGGAGTCTATGAGCTGTCGAATTCTTCCTACTAATCATGCTAGTTCACAGTCATCCACTGAACTACCCAATTAAGGCCTTGAAAGTGCTCCCACACAAACTGTCATATGCTGGGGTTATTGGGATGCATCTTGAAGCTGCCATTTGGAAGTTTATATTGGGTTGGTGGACCCCGAATTGGGACATCATTGATGAAAGGAATGGTGGTGTCTAGGATGTTTGGCTAGAGAATGTGGATGACATCATCATGGAAGATCAGGACCAAATTTGTCCATCCCATGGGCAGGGTGACAAGTTGGTGGGTGCCAAACAGAATCTAGGACATGGTGAAGTTGTAAGATGATTTAGTGAGCCCTCATTCATTATATCTGACATAGAGATCCAGAATGCTGCTGCAAGTGCAAGCTGCAAACTATTTAGTGATCTGATCAGTATATAAGGGCATACTTGAATGCTAGATGGTGACTGTATTCAGGGGTTTGAGGCTGTAAATAATTCAGAGTTTGGTGCCAGTAGAGGTGCTATTTGTCTTTTTGATGATGTACAGCAGAGGCATATTTTTGGGACACAAAGTGACACTTTGCATGGCTAAAATCACAGTTGTCAGCCATTGCTGTATGTACAAAGGAAAGTTACTAGACAAATCAAGGGTAGAATCAATTATAAAGTGAGGACCATGCAGGGATCTCTCTGATGTTTGGGCATTTTTTGAGGACAATTAGAGTCATTTGGATCTTCATTCGGAATTTTGCACATAGAGTGCATGCACTAAATATGTTAACATACAAAGATTTTCCATTTGTGTTTGGCCCAGACCAGATAGTGGCCTAGGATGACCTCCAGTTAGCACTTCTCAAATTGCCAGCCCTTTGGCTGATTGACTATAATTCAGCAGCCAATGTTATCCTTGCCATTGACACCTCCCAAATCGCAGTTGGCTTCCATCTTTGTCAATGTGTGCTCAACAATCCCTAGGTTCAGTATTATGCCCAATTTGGCTCCATCACCCTTAATGATCACACATCGCAATTCTCCCAACCAAAGCTCAAGCTCTACAGCCTCTTTCATGCCCTCCAATCACTCAAAATATACCTCATCAGTATGCAAAACCTGATAGTTGAAGTAGACACATGCTACATCAAGGGCATGCTTACTAACCTAGATCCCAAATCCAGTGCCAACATCAATTGATAGATCATTTCTATCCTCACCTTCAATTTCACAGTTGTCCATGTCTCTAGGACCTTTTATGGCCCTGATAGACTCTCCTGATGACCACCACAACCCTCCAATCAACCTGAATCCAAAGATGGCTTTGATGACTGGATCAACAATCTCTACAACTTTCTCTATCAGATTAATAACATATTCACATCCTCTATATTAGCCTCTACAACTGCCATCTTTACCTCCTCACTCATAGATAACCACCCAATTGACACTGACTTAGCCGATAAGGAGCCAGCTATTAACTATTTAGATATTCTAAGATTGCAGAAAGCCTTGGAAGCTAAAGAACACCTTTAGTTAGTCTATGACTGGCACTAAACGTTGGTTCAGCCCCCTTCTCTCTTTAACACCAAATGTGCCACTTTTCTATAATATTGCACTGAGTTCTTCATCGCAGCCAACAAGCTATGAATAAAGGACTCATATGGCCAACACAAGATTATTGCAGCACCCTCCAGTCAAATTGCAATTCTTACTGCCACCCATGACAACATTGCTTACAAAGGATTCTATGCTACTACCACTATGGTTCCCAAACACTTTTGGTGGCCACACATGAGGCAAGACATTTCCTAGTGCATTTGGATATGTCACCTTTGCCAGATTTGCCAAACCCACAATGTCCTTATCCCCCCAATTGTTGCCATGCCTACACTACTCTTTGCAAAGATGTATATGGACACTATGCATGTGCTGACCACTAGTGGTTTCAAGTATCTTGTTCAAGGCTACTATTCAGTATTGCACTACCCCAAATTCTGAATGCTCTGGCATGAAACAAGCTCATTCTTTGCTAACTGGATCTTTGAGGACATCCTTTGTAAATGGGGAACACTGGTAGAGATTGTCTCCAACAATAGACCAGCATTTGTCAAAGCACTAGACTAATTAGTGAAAAAGTACCATGTTCGGCACATTTGCATTTCAGGCTACAATTCCCACACAAATGGCATTGCTAAATGACCTTACTTCAATGTTTAGCAGGCTCTGTTCAAAGCTGTGGATAAAAACCAGGCCAAGTGGAATTGTGCTGCTTATTTTGTATTTTAGGCTGATCATAGTACTGTTTGGCACCAAATGGGTTGCTCACCATACTTTGCAGTGACCAGAACCCATCCCCATCTCCCCCTCGATATTGCCAAAGCTACCTACCTTTTGCTACTGCCGACCACAATTCTCAGCACCATTAACCTTATTGCCCGACATGCTATTGCCTTGCAGAAATGCCAATCAGACCTCACCCACCTTCACAGCTTGGTAGTCAGCATTTGTGTCCAGACCATCATCTAATTCAAACAGCAGTATTTGGCCACCCCTTATAACTTTAATTTCTACCAAGGCTTGCTTGTCCTGATGCATAATACAGCTATAGAAAAGGCGCTCAATTGGAAGATGCATCCATGGTATTTAGGACCATTGATAGTAATTTCTAGGAATTGGGGAGGAGCATATATTTTGGCCAAACTCGATGGATCAGTCTTTAATCAGCCAGTGGCAGCATTCCATGTTATTCCTTATTTTGCTTGTAGGTCTCTGAAGCTTGCCAATCTTAAAGCCCTCCTTAACATCCCACAAGAATGCCTTCGGGCCATAGAAGATTCCTGACCAAGAGATAATGATGCCAAGGACAACAATACTGATGAGGGTGCCGACACCAGCTCAGTCTAATTGGTGGAAGACAAAAATGTGGCTTCAGCAACCTCCAACTTGATCCTACCCTCCCACCCTTTACTTTCTTCAGTTGGTGACTAGGGAAAGTCATCATTTCAGTAGGGAGGAGAATTCACAGATATACCCATTCCTTATTTTCATTTATCCATTACAGACATAGACTGATACCCAATTATTTTCACATCTTTTAGTACTTTTGCCACCAACCAAATGCTGACTGAATATTTAGCCCATCATGTTCCTATCATTCCTTCAAGTACCAAGTCATATTGAAGACTTCTTCTGATTTGTGCAAAACCATAAGGTTTTATGCCTATGATGACTTACTGAGGGTTTTTTCAAATTTTCAATTTATTCTTCTTCACTATTATTGGGCACTCCACTTATACGCATATCCTCACACAATTATTTTGCCAATTGATCTCCTGAGTAGTGCTTTTAGGCTTCACTGAACATCACATTTCATTTAGAACAGTTTCTTCTCCTTCTATTTATATTCTAACTATTATACAAAGGCCCAAATTCATTTGTTAGGTATAAAATCCCTTGACTCAGACATATCTGAACCTTCCAACTGCAATGAATCATTGACCATCATCATGTCCAAGATCATAGGACCCAAACATGCTTTGAGTGACTCTAGCTCAGCCTGCCACATTGCAATTGAACATGCCAGTAAGGCATGCAAACCCTTGGCAATGACAATCCAGTACTGAATCCCAGAGGCAATGCCTTGTATAATGGCTAGTGACAGATAAGAAGAGTTGAAAGAGGATGGAATGGCAGCCAGACAAGAGCAAGAAGGATGAGAGGAGAAAGAGACAGCCTAGGTAGTCACTAGCAGGTGCTTCACTGGCTTCCTGGTCTGAATGGCTGTACAAATTGCAATAAGCCCCTCTAAAACTTTACTAAACAACAACTTACCTTTGTTTTGCATAATGCTGTCCCTGACCAACTGTTTGGGAACAAGCACCTCTATCCTACATCTCTTTATTGGGTAGGACAGCTCCTCTTCCACCAATTTCTTGATCAATTTTACCTTACTGGTCAACTTTGCCTTACTGGTGGGCTTCCCCTTCCTCTTTGATATCCCCTTTCCCTTGTCCTTTAATGCCCACCCAGTGCATTTAATACATGATACTTGGCCAGGCCTTATATAACAATAAATTGCCCTGGTGGTAAAGTTGTCGGCACACTGATGACAGGCATAGCCAGCCTAGAAACAAAAGAAGATCAGTATCAGGACAAGGCAGCAAAAGGGAGGGAACATACCAAGATATTACCAAGAAGCAGTCTAGGGGGATTCTTAAGAACCTTACTAGTGCTGTTCTTTTCCACCAGGGGAAATCCCATCAACATTTGGCCTGTGCGAGGACCCAGAGAAAGCACAACCTATCCAGCAGTCAGCATCTGTTGGCACATGAACTCAATGACAATAGCAGCAGCTGATTTCTTGCCCTTCATATTAGTTGGGGCGGCAGAAGTGACTAGATCCACACTTATTTAGTTTATAGCAGCAGTCATGAAGGGGAGTTCAGGATCAGTGATCAAAGATCTGAGACAAGAGAGCAAGTCGGTGATGGAAGGAGCAGGATGGGAAGAGTCAGCAACAAAAGGAGCAGGATGGGAAAAAGATGTGACAAGAGCAGAAGGAGAAGGAGAGTGAAGAAAGAGGAGGAGGGGTAGGATGGACTCTGCTTTTAGGGCAGCTAATTGATAGTCTCCTTCTTCCAGATCCATCAATCCATTGAACATGGCCTTCACCAAGGCCTCCCAGCACTATTGACAATCACCTTTGGCTATATGTAGGGCAGCAGCAGCCTGTGCCACCTTAGCCTTCTCAGCCTTGTATTCAGCAATAGTGTTAAGCTGCTAAGCTTATCATGTGCACTTTGTTACACTAAGAAGGGTTCTCTGGGCTAATTGTGATAGTGATGGCCCAACGTATAAAGACAACTGATTGTCTTCTGGCTTGGTTCAGGAATTCTTGATCACTATTGATCTTGTTCTCGAATAAATGGAGGAGGTGCTGGTTAACTAAGTGTCGTTGTTTGTCTAGTATGAACAAGTCTTCTCCAATGCAACAGATGACTTTGGAGGGATCCTAACAAATGACTTGATAAGCAGCGAGTCCTTGATATGTTGCAGGCGGTAGAGAATGATAAGAGCTTTGAGACGAGTCTAGTGCTTCATTAGACTAAGTATGGTTCTATGGATCTGGCAGAGTTCACAAAGTGTGGGCTGAAGGGGCCAGATGCCAGGTGCAGTGCAGAGATCGAGATGTATATAAAGTGAATGAGCTGATCTTCTAAGAAGCTCAGCTCTCCTATATATAGTACAGGCTATTTAGGGTAGGATGAACATATGGTCCATGCTTCTAAATACTAAGTAATCTGCAGTCATGGTTTGTACTCCATGGCTCTTTGATATAACCATATGTAGTAAGTATATTAAATGTCTGTCTGCAGCAATATCAAATGAAGCTCAATCATGATTGATTATTGTAACCCTCGTAGCAAATATAGGAAGAATAAGTCATAGTATTGTAAGCATTCATGCATCAGCATGTAAATGATAATTAGTCCAAATCCAAGTCATGTGTGTAGCTCATGACCATGTCCTGAGTTACGTGCCTAGATGCGTGTCAAGTCACAGTCCTAGTCGTTAATTGTTCAGGTCCAAAGAAACACCTGACCTTCCCTTCTGTCCACATGCCAAGCACGTGTTAGGACATGGTCCTAACAAATAGCGACCTATGCCGTTTCCTCTTCCAGGGCCTGTGCTTCAGCTGCTTGTCACTGTTGCTATGTCATAGAGTGTGCTACCTGCTGTGGTAGGATATGTATTCCCTAGGCTAGCCAGTTGCCATGGCTATATAATTGAGGCCATGCTTGGCCTTGGCAATCCAGGTGGTGAGTTTGGGCATGTCTTGCCTATGCACTGAATGGCTGAAAACAGCCCGAAAAGATGTCAGCAGCTAGTAGCAACAAAAAAAAGGGGCTAACTTACCACTTTTTTGGCAAAACCCTGCCCCCAGGCCTCATAGTCCTTGTATTTGGTGGCACCATCTAGGAAGGAGAGCATATACTCACCAAGTTTGGTCTTCAGGATAAAAAGGATAGCGGACATGCTAGAAGGAGAAGAGATAATGAAGTGAAGTGGTAGGAGCAGGGTGACAAGGGGCTTAGTTACTGGATGCTCAATCCCAGTGGGAACCTATGCTAGTTAGAGCTAGCATGCTCAACGAGAGGCACCGAGATAGAACCTGCTATCATGTGATAGCTAAATGGCCCTTTGCTAGATCATTAGTCTCACTTCCTCTATTGTGATCTATCGTGGTACAGTACCACCATAACATATTTCATAACCTTGGTATTGCTATTGGTTGCTAGATAACTGGTGTTCCTTAATCAGTCTTTCCTATCACAAGATAGCAGAATATATTGTCATTATTGGTGGTCCTATCACCTGCTAGCACCCACCGTGTCAGGTACACTATTTTCTATCCAGGATGCTTGTAGATTATATTACCACCTAGCAGTCTCTGTATACATAATTGCACGACATTGTGCTGGTAAAAACCATTAACATTCTAATCTGTATCACCAGCTGCATCAGTTTGGCATGCAATTGGTGCCCCGCGCAGTCTGTGCCGCTTTCTGTCCATGGAACGAGTAAGCCAATCACCATAGTGCCAATAAGATTATACATACCATATCTTTTGCTTGGTCGTTGTAAATCTGTGTGACCAAATAACGATGTCATCAAAACACAACAACGACTTCACAGAAACCCTAGCATATGCACCCTCCTGTCTGACTTAGACAACTGTTTCCAGTGAACATTGAAGTATTTTTTGCTGCCATCTAGTGTTCTTTCCTTCCATTGATACCCACAAAGGTTTCTGTATAACTAGCAGTCAGAATGCGACCACACTAAACCCTATTCCTAATGCAGACACACCTTGCTATGATTGTTCAGAGTGGCCACAATGCTACTGGGCCTGCTTCCGTTATGCTAAGCGAGATGGCAGTACCTGGAACAAGCCCCGCTGTCATTGATTGCTCTGCTATTGAGGCCTCATCTGTCATCACAAATGTGAGCGCAGGCATGCTAACAGAGACTCCAGCAATGCCATCTTTGACATGGTTGGTGACAGTGTCTGGGCTAATGTTTTCGGCTACAGATATAGTTTCTGCTAGGTCCTAGATATATGTCAGTGCATGTGTTTGGCTCATGACAATATGAAGAACCTACATTGTAACTAGGTGTCAAAGAGCGATTGCAAGATGGAACACGTTCCAGCATCATGTTATCAATGGTGATTGGTGCTGGCTGCATGCTCTGGGTAGAAGTTGGCCTTGTACCACATTGAGTATTGCCTTGTGACGTGGCACAGTCAGTACTATTGGGAACCACTGCATGACCTGTGCGATGCTGATCTATTATGTCTAAAGACAATGGGGGTAATGTTTCCGTGAAGATATCTGCCCTGTTAAAGTAAAAGTGTTAATCAGGTATCATCAACAGGAACAAAAACAAACAAGGCATCTTGCAAACCCATGGTAATTGTTGAGCAAGTAGGGATATTGGCGGCAGATATACGTTTTTGATATTTCGCTGTACTTCCTGTTGCTTGCAATCCAGTGGTGTGGTTGGGAGGTTGTTATTTCAAGCAAGAGGCAAGAGGGAGGTCTGACAACAGCACCATCTCACTCTCGCTCTCAGGCTCTGCGGGAGTAATGTCAGCCACGGCAGGCCTTGGTGCCATGGCAGCTAATGGCATTGGCCTCAGCAGATGGGCCATGTTCTTTCTGGAGAGCCCTTGCACAAAAGCGGGATAGTTGTTGGTGGCAATCTGCCAAGCCTTCCAGTGCGCAGGCGAACCCCCACAAAATTGTAGTGGCGGAAATCTATAAGCCATCTCTTGGTAGTAAAAGTCAGCAGCGCATAGAGTAATGTGTGACTACTTCAGAAGGGCAAGGCATTGCAGTAAGAGCTCATACCACATTTGGTAGGCGATATCATGTATCTCCAATGCATAATACCCCAAGATGACATGACCAGACTCATCCTGGACATACTTCATAGTCATGTTGAACCCTAGGTAAGCATTTGTCTTCCCCTTCTTCTTCTTCACTTGATTGGTGTCTGTAATGTTGTCGTCCTTTGCAACCTCGGCCCAGTCTTGGGCTGTCCAGATAGTGACTAGTTGTACATCTGTCCATTTAACAACAAGCAATGGATCTCATATACAAAGAGGACTATTGGTAACCACAACACCCGATTCACGCAAATGTATCACATAGGGCACAGGATCTGGGACTACGAAGTTGTTTAGGAGGGCCACGTAGCTCAACACGAGTATCTCGGGTATCGCAGCAAGTATATCTGACAAGGCCGATCTATGTGAGCAGGCAAATTGTCAGGCTTCTTGTTGTAATATCATTTCATAGTGTTGATAAATTCAAGAATTTACTGTAGGACTCTGATCTCTGTTTGCAATGCAACCAGCTCAGTGCTCAGAGATCCATGGGTAAATGATTCTGCCATGTTACTGCCCTGTATTTCTGGGTGTTGTAGGGTGCCATTGCTTTTAGATACATATTGATTGACTTCACTTATACGCCCTATCAAAGGCATGCCAGGATACAATGTCGTTAGTCCGCCTGCGGGCACCATATGTCCATGTGCCAAAAATCCTGGGCTATCAGAAGAGTTGTCAAAGAGGGTCCCACCTTGACTACTGTGAAGTCCATAGTCACTAGGAAAACTAAACTGAGACACCGTGTGAAGATTTTGGATGCCAAACAAAGAGCTGACAGATTCTGACTGGTGGGGAGTGTGATGGTATGGAAAATTGGAGGGAGTTGTAGGGACCATAGGAGGGATAGGCAGCGGCATGGCCATTCCATAGACCATGTCGCAGGGGGCACAGGAAGGGTGTTGATGAAGCTATTGGCAGAGAAAAAGTATGCAGTCACATATGCCAATTAGAGTTTGAGGCTGACTTAATTAGAAATAGTACATTATAGCACGCTTAGAGAGGGGCACAATTGCCTCTCTTTGCTGCTCGTATACTGATCCTTGCGGCCGTGCATGGTCTTCCATCTAAACGTAGGTGTACAGGTCCATAGATCTATTAGTGCTGTATGCTACTCATTGACAATCGACTCTTGTCTACCATCCATGCATGTGACATCAAGTCCCATCTTCTCGGCTACAAAGAACCAGGTCCCTATGCTATTAGGCCCATTTGTATATGGGACCATTGCAACCCCTGCAATAATACAATTAACCTCAACCACAGCCAGCCCATCATCACCTTGATGCATACAAGAAAGGACAGTATTTGAAGAGGCTTCCATGAGCCCAGGGTCGGGCGGAGAGAATAAACTGATGAGGGCAAGAGGGATATCCTTTTCCTGCATGCGCGATGAAAAATAGAAGCGAACCTCAGCAAACTGTGTCATTCCTCTGAATAACACCTGATAAGATTGTCAGCATTTAAGGGAATGTGAACCGCCAATTCATGCTACAGTACCTTCACATTGCGGGCGATCCTAAGCTTATGCAGTGCCTTGCATGATTCTTTCCACAATGAACGAGTGACCTGCCCATTTGGCAGGTGCAACCGTGCCTACTGCCAGACCTTAGGAACCCATTTTGCCTCATTGTCACATACTCTGGAACGAGTATCAATTGTGTTGTCAAGCCTTGATGACCGTTGCCTCCGAGGGAGCACCATCCAAGCATAGGAATCTCTCGCGCATAGAAAAACATAATTGTTAGCCAGAGCTTATGCACCGCACGGGAGTGTGTTTGTCACGGCGTTGAGGTCTGGTACCATTGCCTTGAGAGCATTTACTTGCGCACGACGTAGCCCCCTCTGCGAGAGGTTTGCATAAGGGTTGGAATGTTGCTTGATTTCGCTGCCAAGATCCCCAATCATTTGCTCCATTGTAAACTGCGTTGTGTATCCCGGTGGGCCGCAATGAGTGACCTGCTGAGCAAGATGCAATAGGGCATGGACACTTTGGCGACAGAAATGGAGCCGACCGGTCTTCCGCTGGTAGTAAAGCTCTTCAAACCCCTCCGAAAACTCTATTAACAGCCAATAGGCCAGTCGGATTTCAGTATGTGTGATTTGCTGCTGATGGATAAGACAAATGCCTGTGACCAGCTTGCAAAAATGTCTTCAAAAGATGTCTGGAAGGACGCCAAAGAGAAGGGCCGGCGCAAGGCCACAAATCCATGTTAAGAACTCCACGGCTTTGTAGCCATTGTTAATCTTTTCTGCTGGGTTCCGTGGAGGGTGATCAAATATCCCAGGCAGATACGGTGTTGCAGCAGCGACAGCCTTCCCGTGAGCCTGCCAAACTGTAGGATCCCGGAAGATGGCAAACAGCCATAGAGCTCGATCGTCTGACGGAGCACAGTCAAGTGTCCCACAAAACAATCCCACAACCAGTTCAGTGAGATTCAAGGAGCACAAATGCATGAGGTCTGCAGGAAACAGAGCCAGAATGTGAAGGTGACATGACGGGTCCAAACCACTGAAAAGACTTGGCTTGCACACCCCTGTTTGGAGTCAGCGTGCACGGTACTCTGCTGCGGAGCAAGAGTTCGAGACAAATTCCAAGTTTGCAAGATATCTGTTAATTGTTGTATCTTCAGTGTTAATGCACACCATAGTTGGTCACATGCCTCTCTTCGGTCTGCAGGCCAGACAAAGTCCCAACTTCGCGGAGATTGTAATCAGGGTGATTTGAAGTGGCTACATCGGAATCAAGAGGTCTCAAGCATGCAGGATAGTACTGAGCACCTCCTGGTTTGTGCTGGCCTTTCTAGGGACAGTATAAGCAATATCCATAGGCCCCATAATGGCCTACACCTCCAAATATTGCAGCTATGGCAGGACTGTCCGCTGTCACCAGAGCGAGAAAAGGGACTGAGGGCACCACCACATCGTCTATTGCATCCCAGAGGTACATCCCTTCATGTTGTAGTGCCGCTAGATGATACAAGCCAGGAAATAAGAATGAATCGAGGTTTTTTGGTTTCGAGGGGCCAGGTATAAACCCCCCAGGCAAGATAAAGTTCTTCTTGTACCGCATGTCGGGTGAGCGGTCTAACAGTACCCAAATATATATCCAACAATCCAAAGCTTTGTTGCGATAGAGCTGGGCCCCATCTATTTGAAAACATCATGACCAAGTCGTGTTGTTCAACATGCCTGTTTTTGACTGTGCCGAGGAAATTAGTACCATCCCAAACATCTTGGTACTCTGTGAGGCCATGCTTCTCTGTGATACTCTGGATAGCTTTTTCGTAACATGCATGGCAATATCGCATTGCTTGGAAGCTGTCAAGGGTACACCGAGCCGCTTGAAGCTGTGGGCCCAAAGGGATGGTGTGGAATTCCTGCTGCGGGGCCTTCAACCCTGGTTTGAGAGGGTCATATTGGAGCTCATGGCACACTAGACACTCTGTTAGGTCACGGAATGGTCCTGTGTAAGCAATACAGATATTGATGCACATGTGATGAATAATAGGCACAACACCACTGATTTTGGCAACACGGCGCTATATCTGCTCGAATGACAGTATCTTGAGGCTGGGATCATAATTTAGCAGCGCTGTGCAAATGTCACTGTAAGTTTGCTGTGAGGCATTGCTGACAGTGAGGAATATGTCGAGAGACAGTCGGAGCACAGGGTTATTGAGGTCGACCGGGGGACCCTTTGGACAATGGGTGGGATCTTGCAGTGCTTCAACCATGGACAAAGAGAGATCACCATTCTTCAAGGTTGTGGAACGAAGCTCTGAGATGAAAGATTGAGTGAGGCGAATGTCTTCTATGAGAGAGGGGGAATTTTCAGCCGTGATATTGTCCTCATCCTCGTCCTTGTCCACGGCGACCTCTGGAACAGAGATTGGCACCAAGCAAGCACCCTCTATCTCCTTGTCTTATAGGCTACCAGGATCTGGACCAGAGCTGTCAAGTGATTCATCCTACATGCCTTCCGATAGATCATGTCCACTTGGGTCTCCACCGAAGTCGTTGTGTGTCTCGGTTGGCAGGAGGGGTAGATTGTTGTCTGTCATAGAAGGATGATTGAAGTACTGAGGGATCTCATTGATATCATGAATGCACACAGCTCCCAAGTCAAATTGGCTCCCGGGAAGAGACGAGGCCTCACAGAATGTGCTGCTTGGCAGTGGGTTTGGCCCAGTGACCGTACCAGAAGCCAATCCAGATCCAGGGTCATGCCATTTATAGAGCAGAAGCAGTTTGGAAGGGACTAACGCAGCTGTACAGTCTTGCACGGGAATGGCGAGGGGCGCGTTCGAGGGTAGGGCTGCCAAATTGGCATGGTTTGGGATGGAACTGGCAAGCGATGCCCTTGCAAGCTCAAGTGGAGAACCAGCCCTTTGTAACTATGAAGCAAGTTTTAGTTACAATGGAGATATAAGCGAATAGAACAGAATAGTCTACCAGTGCCAATGTCCGATGGTTTGCAGGTGCTCCTTCTGGTAGTCCTTGCGATATGGTTGAGCTGTTGACATATTCCTGGGGAGGCAGAGTATCTAGAAAATCTGTAAAAAAAACAGAGGATGGTGCTAGAGTGACATAGCGATATGGGGCATGTTGAGTGTGGGTTCTCTGACTACATTGTTGCCAGGTCCCCTCGCACTGCAGGGGACAATTGCAATAATAAAGGCCGTTGGGTGCTTGGGGCATCCTGAGATCAACAAGATATTAGAAAATTTGACCAATGAAGGTAAACATGGAGAACTTACATGGAAAAGCACAAAGTCGAGCGTTATAGACATGACCCAGAGGACCAGCTACGCGCACCGCGTTCGGTTGATTATGTCACTTGGTTGGCCTGATAGGAAAAGCAGTCAGTACGCTCAGTCATTGGACGACTTGCGCTTGTTTCAAGAAGGTGGGTGAAAGATGTACTAGGGTGCCTGGTTGTCAGAAGAGTCATCTTTTTGTAAAAAAATTCTGCTATGCTTTACAATAGTACTAGGTGACAATAGATGGGCCAATCGCAAGATAGACGTCACTCGTTCTATCTAGGTTATGCTAGCCTGGGTTCCCACTGGGGCTCAATAAGTGATAGTGATCACCTAACTGGGCCTCATGTCATGGTGCTCAGCAGAGGCTGAAATTAGTGCCACTGCTCTTTGCCAACATGACTCTCACACCAGCACCTAGCTGGGGCACTCTAGGGCTTAGCAGCTTCATCACCTAATTAGTTCCCACTCATGTTTTCCATGCCACAAGACTTTGCTAACACTGCCCTGGGCTTTTTTATATACCAATCCAGTCTTTCCACACCTTTGCTCCATTTTCCATGCTATAGGACTTTGCTAACATAGCTCCAGTCTTCCTTTACATGCCACAGCTATTTTTTCTATGCCATCACTTGTTACTGACTCTTTCCCACACCTACATACTATGTACCCTGTTCATATGTAGTATTTCCACACTACCACAATTTCCATGCCACTTTTTTTTACTCCAACTCATAGCTACCGACCACTGACTGAGAACAGTTAGGATTTCAGTAGGGAGGAGATGATAAGCATGTACTTACTCTAGGGTCTAAGGAAGGTATCCAGAAAGCTTTGGGGAGATACCAAACAGTGCTAGATATGTACTGAAGATACTAACTATTACCAAATATGGTTGGTCCCCACTTAACTAACCACAACCTACTAACATTTAGCAGCACTTGGGTCACTTTGCCTATACTTTACATGCTTACCATGACCACACAGGAGTATTATGATAGGTATTTATGAGATTGGAGCCAGTATTCTATGTTGGCCAATGTGCTCCATGAGTTGGTTGGTCCTTATTGCTTATTTTTATAACTTACACATGGTTAGTCAAATGCAATCTTGCATCATTGCTTAGCCACCCTGGTCATACATTACTTCTTCTTTGTTTTCATTAGTTCTCTAATGCCTGGTGATGGATCCCAAACATTCAAAATTTTGCCATTGCTGATTAACTTTTGCCTTATTACCTTCAGAACCCATATGGACATCTCACCTGCCTTCTTATCTTCCCTGTTTGCTAGGGCTTGGTGCCCATTCAACATCTACTCTTATTTCTTGTTCAATATTTTACTTAGAGGCTCTATTTACTATAAAAACATACATATAACTCTGGAATAAATCAGCTTTTGCACCCCACAGTCCAGAGCTCATTTGCACTCGTTTCAACCATCAAAATCACCTTTGCCAACTTCTGAAAACTTGTCATCCCTATTGTTCAACCTTGTTTGCATTTGTACTCATCTTTTCACTTATACTCCTCATCCACCCTTGTATATTGTCAGAGTCCCATGTGACTCTTGAAGTACGTAGTTGTTGGTCATGACACTACCTTTTTGTTATCAACTGAAATCCCTGACAACATCAACCAAATGTTTAGTCAGTGTTTGGTGCAGTCCCAAAACTATTTGGGCACTATAATCTTATCCTTCCTATTGCTTCTCAGTATGCCTTCAATTTTTAAAATTCATAACTAATGATTCCTTGTATATTAGATACTAGCTCCAGCATCCCTTTGCTCTAGAAGTTGTTTTGGTATTGTGCTTGGCACTTAGAGCCACCTCTAGCATATTAGCGCAGGATTATATTTTCTTGCTGCTGCCTCATACCTTTGCCTATACTTATATACAATGAGCATAGGCTTGTATTCTCTTACTACTGCCTCACATCTTGTACACAATGAGTATAGGCTTGTACTCTCTTACCACTGCCTCTTACCTCTACCCAGGCTTATTTTCTCTTACTATCACCTTCTAAAACCTTCTATACTTGCCTTGTCTCACTACTGTCATCTATCTCCATCCATACTTATATAAGATAAGTGTAGGCTTGTACTCTCTCACTGCTGCCTTTCACCTCTGCCTAGGCCTATCTTCTCTTGCTACTGCCATCTACCTCCACCTATGCTTGTATAAGACAAGTATGAGCTTATATTTTCTTGCCACTATCTCTTTGTTTTACCTACACTTGCAGAAGACCACCTACAAACCTGTGTTTGATAAGAGGAATTAGGTTTGAGGCAAAGATGCAGAGTAGATCAGTAGCAGGGGGACACTATAGTTTAGTATGCATAGAGTTCTGTAATATAGTGTCTAGATGCAATATAATTGTTCTGCTTACATATTTCATACTAAGGAGCTGTCTAATGATTTAAGCAAGGACATGTTGAGTTTTTATAGGCAATTAGCTCTATATTAGTAAATAATTAGCCAACTAATTACTTGAGCACAAATGGAATTGTGATTAGCTAACATTAGCACTGACTAGACCACAAGCTCTTATTTATCTCTAATTTAAATAGTATTAACAAATCAGATTTTTTCAAATAATAGAGCTATCATAAGTGCAGCATTATCATTGTGTAAGGTATCACATATGGTAGAGTAGTGAATCTAAGGCTCTAGCCTACCTTTCTATTATGTGCTAAATGTTATCTGAGAGTGTTGTCAAGTACCAATAATAAATAGGCTAGCTGTATAAGGCAAGCTAGTTATCTTATATATTGGTAGACACACACCCCTGCTTAGCTGCAAATTATGAAAAAAACCTAGCCATATAGTGGTTAAAGTTCAAGGAGTGTTCTTTTATTTTTTTAACAGCTTTGTATCTATTTTTGTCCTGCTTGTACCTAGTCTTGTTTCTATGAGCACTTTCCAACCCTATCCTCTTAGCTATGAGGAATTTTTACTAGGCATAAAAACCTATGCATTATACATAGTAAAAGTCATATTATCCTACTTGTTTGCTTCTTCTAGACTTGTTTATAGTTCCAGATCTTTCTAGCATAGTCTTTAATCCCCTAATAATCTGCACAATCTCATCTAAAAACATATTAGCATATGTGCCTGTTTTATAAAAAATATCAAACATACTAGCTAGTATGGGGCTTTCTGCTTCAAACTCATATCGTTTGTTACCACCATCACGATGCACAATAAAGCGGAAGGATGATGACGACTTTGCAGATTGTTGACATGCTATGATACTGTTGATATGATATGATGAAGTTTTACCACTCTCAAACACCACTTTTGCTTTGTTCGAGGAAGGCATAATCTATGATGGGATAACATTTATATTATGACAATGCTTGATAATGATAGTGAGCCTACGTGAATATATGCCCCATCAATCGCCAGTGTTCTCTCGTGTCGACCAACAAGCATGGGCATCTTTCGGTAGACTGTATATTTCTATATATAACTCATAAATCAGTGTTTTCTCCCTCGAGTATCAATGCGAGGCAAACCTTATATGCCGATGTATAGTCACCAGCAAGGCTGTACTGTGCTTCTGGGACATCAGACATGCTCTTGAAGATTGATGCTGAGGTGAAAATTTGAGTCGCTCATATCTCTGCTCGCTGTTGAGGACTTACCATTAGGATCTGTTGTTTTGCCAGTCATCCTTCCAACATCAACTCCTAGTCGAGGTAACATAGATCTCTTCACCAGCATCAAATCGGATTTGCCTTGAAGACTGGCGACGGTGCGATCCAAAGGGATGAGAATGCTCATATCACCGAGCAGAAGTGCATACTCCTTTGCATTCTGCAATTTTCGCTTCCGACAAACCATTTCAAGCGCCTCTTGCATGTACATAGTCGCCGATCTAAACGATCATTAACATAACTCCCAGGGATGATGATCGGCAGTGAACATACACAGGAATGGTTGTGGAGATGTGGACCGCATCAGCTGTATCTAAAACACGGATCCTCAAGAACATCTGAGGGCCGTAGCTAGGTGAGGGGCCTAACGAAGAGGAGAACAGGGAATTCCCGAGGGTTGATCCAAGAATGGCACTGGTACCAGGACCAGATGAGCCTGGTATTGTTAGACCAGCGACGGTTAGGCCTTCGGGCTTTTTGACTTTGGTTGCAACACGAGATGGACTGCGCTGTATCTTACTTTCGAGGACCTTGTTCTGCTGGACTGTAAATGGTGATCCGGAGCCCGATCAATAGAAGAACACAAAGATGTCAACCAGACTTACTTTGAATAGGAGTCGCTTCTAGTACAGCATAAACATCAAAATTGAACTTCGAGATTTTTCCCGTCCGGTCAGGTGCTGTGAACAAGTCTAAACAAGACTCTATGTTGCGATAGAATGAGTACTTACGAGGGAAATCTTCGTCTACTTCACCATCATCCTCTGCAATTCGCAGAACCCAGCCCACAGCACTCAGTGTGTCGTCGGACTCATCCTTTTCACCTAGTCTTGGTTGCCAATCCTCTTCCCAATAGTTCCACAACGCGAACCCTAGGACCTCCTCCATCGTGGCATCCTTTCTCACATTCAGCTCCATTGGCTTCCCTGCAGGCTCCCGTGCATGGGGAAAGAATATTGTGATGGTGGTCGCCGCAGAAGTGGGCACGCCTCGCCCAGAAATCGAAGAATAAAGATCAGAAAAGGGATTCGTTGTGTTGGAGGAAGCAAGGAAAGAGCTGAGCGCGGATTTTGCGGGACGATTAAGGACGATCTCTTGTCGGGCAAAAAGGTCATCTAGAGGTGAGTCAGCAGCAACTGGCGCGATATCCCCAGGATTTTCAGGACTTCGGTCGTCAGAGGATTGATCTTCTGTCTTCACAGGAGGTGGAGTGACCATCTCAAAATAGGAATCGATAGGCTTCTCGCTTTGAAATGGGGATGCATCGGACGACATGCCCTCGATCGTTGAACATTCATTGACGGGACTCAGATGGGAATGTCTATTCACGAAGATATTCAGAAAGAATAGTGTAGCATAAAGATCGCACTTACGTATCAAATTCATCCCCATCCATATCAATACTGTTGTCGATATCACCGACGTCGTCAAAATCGTCTTCGTCATCGGCAGCAGATAAATCCTCTCCATCGGAGGACAACGACCCTAGCTGGGAGCTGATGCCGCCGCCAGCTTCCTTAGGCGGATCGTCATTGCGCTCCTCATCACGCTTAGCGTAGCGTGTTGACCGCCGCGCTGAGCCAGACCTGCGATCACCGGTTCTCATCCCCATGAATCCCGTTCGTGAAGGCCCTAAGATGGTCTGGGTATATCTCAAACCAGTTGCACCAGGAAACCCAGAGGCGTGCCGGATACGAGTACCATCGGCCTCATCTTCAGACAGAGGGGGGCTCGACGGTGCAGATAGTTCCGGCCATCGATCGACGTCAGCAAAAGAGGCGGCGACGATATATGGGTTGGAGGAAAAGGATGGGTTCAATGAGATGAGGCGGGGCCCATAAGGATCGTCGACGTTGCGGAGGTAATTTAAACGAAGGCTATGGACTAGGAACCTAAAGGATATGATGTTTATTGAACGAGATCTTTTAAGAGATGATGAAGCCGTACTCAGGGTCGCTCAGCAGTGACATGGCTATTGGTGGATCTGGGATACCGTAGACTTAGTGCGAGCGGATCTGAGCACCGCACATCTACAGGGTCTTGCTAGTCTCCGTTGCTGACCTAACGCAGAAGATGGTCGTTCTGCTTATAGGGTCTGCTTCCAAATTGGGATTTCGGCGTTTGCCGTACTTGCTCGAGAGTTTTTGAACGCATGCCGAAAGATGCCGAGCTTAGTAATTTATTGAGCGTCAGCGTGATTATCATGTATAGCTATGAGAGAAAGTGGATAAAGGCAAAACAACATATGAGACATGCATCCCTTGTGTTTTATTGCTCACAGGGAATTACACAATCCCTACACAGAACCCCCTCCTTTCTATCAAACACCCAATCCCAATATTAACTCTGTCCAAAATACTGCACCTGTAGAAGATAGACCTATTGCTGCTTAGCTACAACCCTATGTAAAATGTGCTTACATCCAGCATTGACCCAAAGCACAAAAGCTTGAAGTTTTACTAGCTACAGTCTGACAGGCCAATTAGACTCTAGGAGAATTTTTTTATATATTGTTTTTAGAACTAGGCAAACAAAAGATGATAGTGAAAAAAATTAGTGTGGCATCATTTTAATAGCCATTGACATTTTATAAACAAATTTTCATCAGGAAGTATGAAATACACACCTTACCATATTATTAAGTTAATGTACCTAGTAGTGCACCTATCCTATTCTCATCCAAATATACATAAGTACTTCTTGATAGACTCAGCTGCTAAGTCTATAGAATATGCATGTCCTACTCTGTCAACATGGGCACTAAAGCTTATGATAGCCTAGCTAGTAAAGAAATCACCATACCTGGCTTCTAATAACTCTAGCCTTTGAGTACAGGCCTCATAAAAGATAAAAAAGGATTTGTTATATAGTGTCACTTCTAAGGCACTGGAACTACAAGCAGCAATACTTACTGGTCTATCTAGCACATAGGAGGACCCACAGTCAAAGGAAGCCTCAGATATTATAGCCATGGATAAAGATTCTAGATCAGAAGATGAATAGGATAATGTTGAAGACAAGACACTCACTGAGGGTAAACAGCTAATAGACTTGGTGGCTCCTTAGAAGATAGATAAAGAGGCCAGTAGGCAGACTGTAGGTGATGAACCAAGTGACCAAACAAGAGCTAATCTAGCAGATTATCTCATAGTGGCAAAGCGTGCTTTGACAGGCCAGCATGTGGCTATTTTGTAGGATCTTGTTAGTGGATTTTCCTTTTAAAGAATGAGAACTTTGTACCAAGACTATGCTCCTATACCTTGGCATCTTTTATCCAATTTTGTGTCACCAAAACCAGGAAGCAAGCCATAGAAGCAAAAAAAAGAACATGCATTGACCTGAATGGATTGTAAGTCTGGTCCAGTTTGTGTAATAGAGGATTTGACTTACTGAGGTTTTCTGAAAAGGCTGTCACAAGCATTATTAATGAGCTCATATATACATGGAATTAATGGGCCAACCTATTGCTGCTTTGTCACTTAATCACATTGTTCAGGTCTAAGGCACATCATGCAACATACAGAGTTGGCAGTTGGCTTGCATAGTATATACCTTTTTTGACTACTTATTGGGGCCTTATTCAGATAGCAAAAGAGGAGCATGCCACTCTACATACTTTGTTTGAGATAGGTAAGAAGAATCTCATAATGGTCATGGATGATGTCCAAGTTTATGCATGGCACTAGAAGCAACATATAAGAGGGCAAAGCCATATAATAACTGGTACTGGAGGAACAGCAGCAGAGATAAAGGACTGTCTATATGGAGCTTTTGATCTAAGGCCAGTCCTTGAGTAGTATACAAAAAGAAAATATAAGAGACTTACTATGGAGAGTTTGGCAACTAATATTGACTTCAAACACCAAGAAAATATATTAATCTTTTATTGGGTGTCTATCCTTGTGATACATGGTCCCCAATCTTGTAGGCCACTATGGACCTATTGTAACTTTGTTCAAGGAGCAGGCTCTTAAGCATCAAATCAATCCTTATTGATATTCAAAAGTTCATCCCCTTAGTACAATGAGTGCTGAAGAAATCACTCTATATAGTGCAAAGAATGCCATTGCTGACTTCTTAGCCTAAACTAGAATCAAGGAGGCATCAACACAGGGTAAAATATCCTTCTTCAGTGAAGATGGATTAACATTCACAAATATTAATAGGATAAAAAGGTACCTATTAAGCAAGGAGAGAGACTTCAAATTCTTTCACTTTTTACATAGTGTGCTTAAAATCTAGCATACTAAGTGGACAGACTTGAGTCAAATCTGTTAAGGTGCTTAGAAAACTAGTAGCTTAGATGATCCTTCCACTATAGGATTTATAGCTAGTGCTATCAATAGCCCTATATTATTGGATCTTAGTAAGATCAACTTCTATATGAATACATGCCTACTTGATATAATTGTGTGAGGACACATTTTGCAATATTAGGAGTAGGTTGGCTTCTACTATATTCAAAGCTTATTGTCAAGCTAATGACTGGTACCTAGGGTTGCACTGAATACTACTAATTTTTGCAGGCATTTTCAAGCCTTGGCCACTGGTAAGAATCTCCTAATACTAGCCAAACTTATAAGATAGGCTGAAGTTCTTGCTTAATAGTACTTTAGCACTAAAGCTTATAAAAGTGCACTCAAGATACACCCTAGATCTAATATAAGTAGAGAGGAACATATTTCATTGGCTGTGGAACCATTTAGCAAGATAGAGTAGGATAATTGTATGGTTCCTACAGACAAGGTATTTGAGGGAGACTAGCTGCTCATAAATTCCATTTTATTGATATGAGATAGTATATGGTTCCTGGAGATGTGCCAGGCTATTGCAAGTGGTAACATTAGCTATGTATGGGAAGTGCTAAAAATAAGCAGTGCTTTTTTGCTAATACAAGATATCAATGGTTCACTAGGTATCCAAGTATGTATCATTATATTTGAAGGAGCTGGAAACACAGCCTATACTCAATATCTGCTCAAGATATACTATAACATTATATGCAAATATCCTAAGGATATCCAATTGGCCTTCTTCAATAATTGGCTTGTCAACCTAAAAGAGAAGTCTGGTTATTTCTATAAGCTCAATCTTATACAAGAGCATTTCAAATTTTGGCTTGAAGTGCTCACCCAGTATAAGGGCAAGGAGTTTGGAGATAAGTGGTACTAAAATGTGCTAGCCCATATGCATCATTTTCTCTGTCTAAAAGAAGAGATAAAGAGTATGGTACTTCTTATAACACCAAGAAAGGGCCATATAGACATTGATACTGAAAACAAGATAAAGGTAGTGATATGTATCTGCTGAGAGCACAAATTGCATTGTTTTGTGCTGTATCACAATTATTATAATCATAGTCTGCTAGGGCCTCTATAGTCAAGTTTATACTGGCAACAATCATCATAACTACTAGGTGGTGTCTATTATGGCACAGACATCACAGTCTAGGGTAACATCCTTGGTCATCAACTCTGAGTAGATATCATCATCACTAGTTGAGTGTGACAACAAGATAATATGAGGTGACTAATGACAGGCTCACAAAGGTATACTCACATAGGGAATCACAAGCCATCATCCTCCTAGGTTAAAGGAAGTTGATAGGAGAAGCACAAGATTAGTCACTGGGAAAGAGCAGTGGCTTAGAAAATGCCTAAAGGATACACACAATATTCTCACATCTTTCCAAAGTAGTATAAAAGGCCTATAGAATAGACTGAGGATCTTTAGTCTATTCTCTTTGTTTTTGGATAGTCTTCATACTGCCTACTTCATCTATAGCCTTCCTTACTGTATCTACCCTAAATATTATTTACCCCTATATATTTGTATAGTCAAGACCATTATTCTACTCTTCCTTATCATATGACCTAGGGAAAAACCTCCCACTCTTAGGGTTACTAAACAAGCAGTTTATAACAACAACAAGGGTTTCTATTCTTCAGACTCACTTACAGCTGGCTATATTAAGCTTGCTTATGAAGGCAAAATTACTAATTTTATAGCTACCTTAACTCAAGACCTTGCGGACACTGCTAATGCCTCCACATATATGTATACACCTATATATTATGAAAATAGGCAATTATTGCTTTCTTAGTCAGCTAATACAATCGTGTAGTTGATTGTTGGTACTTACTCTAAACAATTATGCCCTTCTCCTACCATGAATAAGCCTCATATGTTTTCTTGGAGTTATAACTCCTGTTGGTTTCTATTGTTTCCTAGTATGTATTAACACAAGATTATTGGGATTGTAAGTATTATTAGCAAGCATACACACATTCTTTTTATTAGCATGGTCATTCTTGATGCACTGGACTATAGGCACCTTTACAGTAGTGAAGGTCAATAGTACTGTGGATGTTAAAGAAGGTAGAAGTGACTGCAATATTATTATAGGAAGGAAATCATAAGCTATAGCTGCTCAATTATTAGATCAACATAACCAAATTATGACTTACTCAGCTGAGTGCCCTCATTCACAATTGTACTACTCATGTCTATTAAAATAACATAATCAGTTATAAAACAGTATAATCAGAACTCCTACTAGCATATGATACTTTTAGTTTAAGTTTCTAAGCAGTATTGGATGCTTATATTAGAGCTGCTTTTGCAGCACTCTTCTTTCTCCTATACACAAACATATTGTCAAACTCCTTATTCATTCTCTTAATCACCTTATATAGTGTATTACTATCCATTTTAAGATATTTTTAGTCCACCATAATCTCCACAAGGATCTCCCAATTATATACTAGGTAAAAATGGTCTATAAGCCATAAAAAGATAGTTAATAGGATAAAGAAGACTAAAGGTAAGTACCATGATTTGGTAGTATTCTACAGAGGCCAGAGCTCTTGTTGAAACTTGTAGACACCTTTAACTGTATGCTACCTTATCTCTTTGGTAAGCTTGAGCTAGGTATCAGAGTGATTTATTTAATATCCATCACATTCTCTATAGCATCTAAGGGACCACCAATGACTAGGCAGGAGAAAGAGACATCCTAAGGAGACTGTATAATCATGGAGAGAAACTGGGAGCATTATAAGCATATTAAACATGGTAAGTGCCACTGTGCTTTGAAGCAGTTCTTATATGAATACATCTAAGGGCTACCAAACATGACATTAAAGGTGACTATAAGGCATTCATTCTATATATATGCCCAAATCAAGCATTGCAAGTAAGGATCCTCTAAGTGGGTTGTCTTTCTGAACCCAATGTTCTTGCTTGCTTATTTACTCAAGCTATCTCCCTTACCTGTCTTTGACCGTATACTTCTCTAGTTCTCTACTACCACCAATGCTACAATTAAGGCTTGAATACACATGTATCCATATATTTCTGCTTCACTCTAGTGACCTGCTCTACCATTTTGCTAAAGTATAGCTTCAGCTAACTCTGGTAAACCCAGGTTGATGGACACTTCAATATTTCAGATATCAACTCTCATGCTGGACTTTATCATCACAATCATGATCAAGGCCTTGGGTTATCAGCAAATAAGTGCACAGCTTATGCATTAGATTTAGCCCAAGTAAGTCCATTGTATTTTTGAATGGATGTGAAATATTGTTTACCTAGGAAAAGGAGCCTCCATAGATAAACTGTAAGATAATGGCTGAGGTCAATAGAGAAGCAATAAATGATTGTCTTTTTCTAGGCACATGTAACCTATGCAAGATTGGGAAATTCATGGCCATCAAGACCATGTAAGAGGGTGTAAAATGCCAACTGGAGGTTTGCATGCTTATATGATTGCTACAGTGTTTGATATTGCTGAATCCCTAATTGCTTTATCATATGGCCCTCAATCTCAACAATAGATGTCACTATCAATACTAGAATAGGTATGTCTAATTGTATCTATGTGCAAATCTTACTGAGCTGGCCATATGGCTTGTGAAATATGAGGCTCTATAGAGTAACAATATGGGCTTTGTCAACCATATATAGTACAAGGATGTTGCAGAAAGTGCATGTTTATAGAACAGTGTCAAACTATAAAAAGGTGAGTTACTTAGAAAACACAATGACAACTTTCTATTTGTATTAACTCACTTCCCTTAATAGATTCTGGCCTTTCTTAGAGATAGTCTTGACATTGTCAACATTGAGCACCATGGCTGCAATACCAAGCCTTTTTATTTTATCTACCTTAAGTAATATTCAGTTGTTCCTTCTAGGACTAACAATACTCTAGTAGCTTATCTTATCATGCCCAAGGTCACTTAGAAGAGTAATCATCAATATGATAGGCTTGTCCAGAACTCTAGTTCCATACCAGGGAAGATCAGGCTCTATAGTGAGCTTCTTCAGTATGAGAAATAGCAGGTATGTGGCTGCCATTTTCCCATCACCAATATAGTGACCATAAGTTGGTTGATGCCACTAAGAGAGCATGTGGTAGATATAAGCTACTAGTTATGAGTACTTGCTGGCCATAAAACAAGGCCATCAATAATTTTTTAAGAGCCTCCAAACCTATAAAAGTGTACCAATCCTCATTAGCCATAATATATAAAATTGAAATGAGCAAGTATAGTATTTGTAGGTCAGGCAAATATAGTCTGTTAATTACACAAGAGCATATTATGTTATAGCATGTTAAGTATGCAACTAGCAGTATAAGGCCATATAAGTAGATAATATGGATTTTGTCATACTAAATATATATTATAGTTACAAATAAAAAAAAATA